ACCGCGGCGGTCCAGGGGCATCTGGGCGTTGGCACCCTCGCGGCCCTTGTTCTTGCCGCTTTCCTCGAAGGACAATGCATGGGTTCCTTCCACTGACAGGGAATAATCACGGGTATCAAATCCAGCTAGATCCGCATCGATCCGGGAGATGGTGACCCGAGCGGGATACTTCTGGAAGAGGGCGGTGGTATCTTTGACGAAGGTGTTCACTCCAGCAGCGAGCTTGGGCCGCGCGTTGTCCAAAAGCTCTTCAATGAAGTCGAAAGAGTCATCAAACATCTTGTCGACACTTCCGTGGAGTTGCTGAAGAGAGGGAGGCAGTGACCGCTTGAGACTCTTGACGAGACCGGCATCCTGACGAAGGCTGCGGCCGTACAGCTTCTGCATGTGCGGGCGTTCCACGAATTGAATAAAAGCTAGGCTCAGGATGTGGCTGAGCAAAGCAAGGAAGGTGACAGCTCCGCTGCTGGTGATGAGGACGGCTCCCCATACACCCGCTAGACCGAGGACTCGCTCGGGGTTGTTAAGGAAGCGGTAGATACCGTTGTAGGTAAGTTTAAGAGACTCATCAAAGAAGAAGTCGCCGTAGAACCAGCCAAATTCACCTAGAGAATCATAGATGCTGACAGAAGTCCAGATTTGCAGACTGATCAGACCTGCTCCGAGAATGTGTCGGAACAAAACCAGTTCATAGTCCCAGTCGGCCGGGAAGGTGTACATTTTCCACACGGCAGCAATGAAGGTGGAGTAACACAGAATCATACTAAGATGGTAAGTGCCCTTCCATTGGTTCCACGCTTCTTGTGGCGTGTCGCCATACTTGACGAAGTGTCTGGTCCATGATTTGGTGGTGGATTGGTTGCGAAGAAGGTATCCAATACCTACTGAGTACCAAATCCTGGAAGCAGCCGCAAGGACCACGAAAAAGAATTGATACCATGGAGTAGATGGCGTCAAAGCAGTAATTGAGAATACAAGAATCTGGACAAGTAAGATTGAAGAATCCGTGGTTCTATACAAGTCCAGGTTGTGCAGCCCCAAGAGGTTGTGAGCGGACTGGGGTGGCTTGGCGGAGTACGAGGAGGTCGCATTGGGAGGTTGTTCTTCAGACGGGGTTGTCGCGTTTGGAGTGTCTAAATCGATAGGGAGACTGGAGGCGGAGTCCAGACAGGTAGAGCGCTTTCTGGGAGGTGGCGGGTTGTAGGTCTTGTCGATGTGCGGGTTTTCCACGAGGACCAGGAAGGCGAATTGTGCTGCATGGGCAATGATAGAGATGAACAAGACTTTATAGCTGGCTGCCATCAGGGAAATTCCGTAATATCCCGCGTAGCCGACCGAGTACATGGGATGAGGTGCCATTTCGAACACACCATCGAAGGTCAGTTCTTGGTCAATGAGGTAGAAGAAATCACCCCAATACCAGGCATAATCCTTGACCACACGATGGGCGTCTAATTTGACCCAGAGGTTGAACAGCACTAACACAATACCTGCGGACCAGCGAAGAACGGCCATGACAAGACTTTCGTCCGCCGGTTGGTGGCCACAAGCAATCGCGAAAAGGCAATAAGAAGTGAAGTCACACATGAGAATCAGGTCAACAAGACGTCTAAAGACAAGCCAGGTGTTGTATTCAATTGGAGCATCGTCGAACGAGTAATCCTGCGGGATCTTGGTCTCCAGCTCTTTTTTGATCCAGTTATACAATTTGGGGTGCGGGTTCTTCCCAGTGGCCGGATTAACAAAAACCTTGGTCTTTTCAGCCCACCGAAGCAGTGTCTTGTGATGCGACTGATTGTGCAGCAGCCATCCGATTCCACCATTGTAGGCCATGCGCCAGAAGAGATAGGTGACCGCAAAGACCGGGATCTTCGCGCCTGCCGGGAGAGCCCAAAGAAATAGAATGTGACCTGCCAGTAGAATAATTACCACAAGATCACCGAAGTTCTTGGGTTCCGACGGCGAAAGAAGCTGGGAGACCATGTCATGAGTCTGCGGGACCGTGAATACTATAGAAACATCCCGCAATCGGTTAGCCACGGGTCCTCGAAAGCAATGGATTGACAACAGATCAAGCCTGCATTTCCATCACCACGAGCTTATTTCCATCCAAACGCTTACCTGTGCCATCGGGTGTTCTCCCAAAGGTCTTCACCTCGTTGCCGGCTCTGTCCTTGATCTCCACTTCCCCAGTAGCAGTCAGTGCCTCGCGACCGACTGTTGAATCGGCGCGCACATTTTCTCTCGCGTAGCCCATCAATATCTTGATGGGCCCCTGTTGAAAGGCCTTGATCCATGTTGAAAGATCGCAGAGAGTGTTGCAGAAACTGAAAGTGTTGAGACCCAAAGTGACGACAATAGCATGTGACATGTGACGGAGACGGATCTAGTTTAGTCAGTTGGCATGGGGAAATTACTTCCGCCCTTGTTTACGAGTTCTTTTCTTTCCCTTAAATCCCAATCAGTTTGCGACGAATCTCAGTATTTATAGGCGAAAAGAGAGTGGAACCATTCAGACTACACCTGTTCTCCTACAGGTCCTCCAGGAAGCGGGCCTCCGAATGGAGCGGAAAGGCACAGAAACGGGGTCTGATCAACCAAGACGCTAAGTGGCTTTAGCTTTGGGAATTGTTGGGACTTGTGTCTAATCCTGAACAGGATAGGTTAGGGCTACATGTGTTTTACACCAATTCGACAATGGCATTCCGGCACTCTGACCGCGGGGTATATCGACTTCACCTTACATGCGGCTACTGCGGAAGCATGTGCAAAGCCCTCCACAACTTCGTAGATTGATACAATTGTGTGTGTGTGTGTGTGCTCAAGTCATCCCCGCATACACCTTGCATTATGATCGGGTTCTCATACCCAATGAGGTGTGCCACGCCCTGTGGAGTCCTTGACATCATCCTATCCGCATCCTTGAATGGCGCTGATCGATATGCACACGACAACACGACAGGCACCGTAGATGTCAGTGCGGTACAGATTCAAGATTGATAATGAGCTTTCAGAAACGTGCCAATTGTGCCACGCTCTCTTTGGAATGCACTACAAAGACTGACATCTTGACGCATCCCATCCCTCCCTTCTTACCTCGACAAAGCGCAACCTGGGATATCCATTGTCTGTATTGTTAGACCACCTCTTTTATGCTAGCGTAGGCGCTGAATCAAGATTCTCGGCCCCCTAGCTAAGTTCTGACATGACCAGCAGGGCCCTGTTTTCTGCAGCGTGTGGGCGTATAGCATTGGTGGCATGATAATTAGTTGCATAGGACCCCTCTTGACCCGAGCAGGGGTCTAGTGTACATACTGTAAGCGATTACACGTAGAACACTACGCATGCACCTCGGCTCCGAAAGGCCAAACTCGACTATATAAGATCAAATCTAATGCCGCGTGAGTCTAAAGCAGATCAGGGCAGGGGAGATATACTATATTCACACGCCGCCAACGGATTTGACGAAGATTAGCTTTCTAGAATAATTCAAATCTGGCTAACTCAATATTTTGATCCAACAAATATTACCCAAATTGATTCTCATTTGTCTCCTGCTAAACTGCTCCGACACCGCAGCGAGGCCTAACCCCGCCAATGGCAGGGTGACTTTAGTCATCCCCGCTTATCAAGCATCAACCCGCCACCAGACCTTGAATTTGAGCTCGAATTTCTCGCTACTGACTCTACTCAGAATTCTCTCATCACATTACATACTGGCAATTTAAGAATGGCACCCTTTGTGGAGGAGCCGGCTGAGGAGTCTCTGGCTGTGTCGTCCAAGGTGGCGCCCAGTCTTGTCGCACCTGAGCCAGGTATGTACACGCCGGATCTTGAATAAATCGACCTACCTGCTAACATTGCCTAGAGCACTGCCCAGGCCCTGAATCCGAGCAAGCCGGCCAAGGCGACGCATGCGCCGGCTGCCCAAACCAGCAAATCTGCGCGACCGCGCCCAAAGGCCCCGACCCCGACATTCCAATCATCACCGAGCGCCTGTCCCAGATTCGACACAAGATCTTAGTCCTTTCAGGAAAAGGAGGCGTAGGAAAATCAACATTCTCAACCCTGCTCTCGCACGGCTTCGCTTCAAACCCCGATTCGACCGTTGGAATCATGGACACCGATATCTGTGGTCCGTCGATCCCAAAAATGATGGGCGTGGAATCGGAAACGATCCACGTCAGTAACGCGGGATGGAGTCCTGTCTGGGTAACCGACAACCTTGGCGCAATGAGTGTGCAGTTCATGCTGCCCAACCGCGACGACGCGGTCATCTGGCGCGGACCTAAGAAGAACGGACTCATCAAACAATTCCTGAAGGATGTGGACTGGGGCGAACTGGACTACCTGATTGTCGACACTCCTCCTGGAACCTCCGATGAGCATCTGTCGGTCAACTCTTTGTTGAAGGAGTCTGGCGTCGATGGCGCTGTCGTCGTGACTACCCCGCAGGAGGTTTCGTTGCTGGACGTGCGCAAGGAGGTTGACTTCTGTCGCAAGGCTGGAATCCGTGTGCTAGGATTAGTCGAGAACATGTCCGGATTTGTTTGTCCGAACTGCACGCACGAGTCTCAGATCTTCCGCGCGACAACTGGTGGAGGTCGTCGACTGGCGAAGAAAATGGGCATTCCCTTCCTGGGCGCCGTCCCTCTGGACCCCCGTGTCGGTATGGCTTGCGATTTTGGTGAAAGCTTTGTCGACAATTTCCCGGACAGTCCGGCATCCAAGGCCATCAAGCGTGTCGTGCGCGCGGTTGGCGAGGCTATTGGCGAGAACCCGGATGATGTCCTTCCGGAGGATATGATTGAATGAGGTGCTCTTTTTTTCGCGTATTTACACAGCGTGGTGCATTTGGGTACGGCTTTTGACTTGGCGTTTGGGTAACTTATACTTGCATAGAGCATGACTTGGTCAATACCGTTGGACGAAATGAATATGAACATGCACATTGATTATCAAAATCACTTTCTACAACTGAGCTACTTATCTTCTTAACTTCAATAGGCTGCATACAGCAAAGCCAACTGATCGATCTCATCTCCATCCTGTCCAACGAAGCCAACAACAGCAAACCCAGTAGGAGCAGTGAAGGTCGAACAGTTATCAGTAGCAGTACCGGCCTCAAGAGTATTACCCGCACTGGTGGTAGCCTTGATATAAAAGTTGCGAGTTTGACTATTATACTGACCAGTGCAAAGCTCAGTCTGAGTCCAGTACTCACCAGAACCCAGAGTAAGAGAAACCTCCGAGCCGCCAGTGCCACCATGCGAAAACGTCGTTCCATCAGAGAGGGTCACAGCAACAGCATCAAGTCTGTCAGCGCCACGGAAAGTAACAACAGAAGCAGCAGGCGACGAGGGCAAGCCTGTCAGATCACTGAACCAAGTGCCGTGAGGACCACCAGAGAACTGACTCTGACGCAACGAGCCCGAAAGCGACCAGGTAAAGTTCACCAGGATGGGGTCGTGGTCCGACAAAACATCGCCTAGGTAATCGGGGTTCGTGTTTGTGAACATGTCACCAACATAGGCGAAGCTATGAGCTCCCAGGGTGACGATGTCAGAGCCTCTGTACAGGACCTTGTCTACAATCTCGCAGGTCTCGACCGAAGATGGGTTGTCGCACATCAATGCATCGGCACCGGCAGTTGGGTAGACGCCGTTCATTTCGAGATCAACCCATGCGTCTGCGAGGTTGTTCTGGGACTTGAAGACGCGGATAGCTGTGTCGTCGGCGCGGGTGTAGCGGCTGTTTGTGTCGCCCATCACGACAACAGCATTGCCGATCGACCAAGTGTCGATGTAGTCGGCAACCTGCTGGAGGTTGGAGTTGCGGGCTGTTTCGTCGGCGGTCTCGGTACTGTATCAATAGTGAGTCTGGGGCGGTTCATTATAGTTCATGTCCTGTTTGGGTGGGGATTTCACATACCCTGCATCGGCGTGGACGTTGTAGAAGTCAATGAATACGCCATCGGCAGGGTTCCAGCGCATGAAGGTGAATCCCTTGGGAGTCAAGCAATCCGAGCCGGAAGCATCTGAGCAGGTATTCCACTTGTTGCGTGTGAAATCGACCCAGTCATAATTGGACAGGGAATTGAGTCCACTGCCGATTGCTGCGCCGCCTGATGTTGCGGTGCGGTAGACATGGTCATCTGTTGCATAGATGTAGGCATGGTAATTGAAGTCCTGGTGGTATCTTGGTTAGCCGGGGTCACAACGGCAATGCATAGGAGACATGGAATCGTACTTCCTGCAGATGGATGATGTCGTAGCCATACTCGGAGAAGTAGGTACCGATCTCCCCGGCATTCTCTGTCTTGGTACCATTGACATCGTTTGATTGAAGGATCTCAGGGAGACCGGCGACATTGAAGGTCAACGCGGTGAATTTGCCGCTGGTTGCCGCGCTGGCCAATGCCGGGAGAAGAGTGCTCAAAAGAGTGGCCTTCATTTTTGCAATTCTAGATTTTGATGGTTTGATGAGCTCCCGGGTTATGTGACGCTTTTATATAGGCGTTGTATAAGTTAATCTAGATAGTTGAGCATCTAACCGTACCTGGATTATTGGCACAACGACCTGCAGAGGTCTTCCGAGCGCCAATGAAAAGAACAAGAGAACGCACTGTCTCAGTACATAGATCCAAGGATAACAGGACCTGAAGAACGTGTAACAGATTTTACCAGGTGATTGGGGAATAAATATGCTTGTCAGCGCCGTGGCGTAGATTAAATCAACAAGAGTTGAAAGGCTTGAAGAAACCTAACACGTGGTACATACTATCAGCCTTAAATAATGAAATGAAATGAAGATTTATGCAGCCAAGAAGAAAAGCTTCCTACGCTAACGTCGTTGCCAATGATTGACGAGACCATTTCCCCATTCTGCTAAAGGCCCGCCTCGGTTAGATGTGTGAACAGGAGGTCGGGATTTCGGAGAAATTAAATATGCAGTCGAAGGCAATTGGCTTAATGTCTATGCCGTGATTGTGTCTTTATTTTCACCCCTGAGACTGTTATGTAGCTGTTTATCCAGTATCGGTAGCTCTTGGGCGGCCCCCCTGAGGGATATGGAAGCAGGTCTGGTTGGAATTAAGCCTATTTAGTCTATTTACTCTGCAAAACCTAGCTCTCTCAGCTAATGAATTAAAGTAGATTTATGATATCATAAAGTACATCACATAGCATAGAGGGGTTTACTAAAATGAAAGGGGCTAATGGTCCGAAGTAGGCTAATATAGTACATAAGTGTTTGACTCGACCTTATTCGTTTTGTGCTGGCATGCCGTCGTAATCCATCATTTCGATCAAGAAAGTGACTCTGTAGTATTTGTTGTCTGGATCAAGATCCGACGATAGCTTGTGAGGGGATGGTATCCATCATCCGTGACTTCAAGGATAACATGGAGTAACCAGCAACCTGAAGAAGTGGATGCTTCCGCGTCACAGCTCTCGCTAGCTGCAGGAACCTGGACCTGGGCTTTTCGGCCACCGTCCAAGGAGCTGACATTTAACTGCGGTACCTGGCCTGCAACATTCCAGTCACTAGACCCGGGCTCTTGATACTGGAACCAATTGAAAGTCAAACTGTCACCATCAGGGTCCGACGTGGCTGCGGCATTAAACGTGAGAGTTGACCCAGCAGCAGCACTGATGCTCAGGGGGGACAGCTCGGCACTGCCGTTGACTGAGATGATAGGATGATGATTCGGTCTGCTCAGATTCGCCGGGAGAGACCACTGCATGCGCGCAGCGAAATCATTTTGGTAGGCATCTCTCCACCGCCAGATAGTCGCTTGGCTCGATTTAAACATTTGATTGTTCTTTCCAACTACACGGTCGGCGGCATCACTGTAGTGGTTGAAGTTCAGTGCTGTTGACGGTTCCACCTTTGAGTACCGACCACCCCACGATCCATAGTCTGGCTGCTCGGAGACCCCAAGCCCGTTTTGGATGAGATACAGGAAGGTCGGGGTATCGCCTTCCATGATGAATTTGAAGTTGGGATATGCCTCTTTGCCATACGGTCCGACCTGAATATTCTTTCGCAACCATTCGTGGGAAACAGTAGAGTTATCTGGTCCGCCTTGATCAACACCGTAGTAATCCTCGCCAGAAATACCTATCCAGGCTGCAAGACCATACTGGTTCCAGCCGTGGGTTGAGGAAATGTAGAAGATATCCGGGAATTGCTGCCTGATCCAGGCGCCAGTATCATCTTGGTCTGAAACGGCGTAGACGCGGAGTCGGGATCGAATGGCTGTAAACTCAGTCGCCGAGAATGTGTCCCGGATGTGATAGAGAACTTGTGCAAGTACGTTGGTTCCTCCCCAGGCAAGCACCCAGAGAGGTTGGTCGGATTTTGCTTGAAGGCTCTTGAGCAGTAGCTTGCCGCCACTGCTAAGCGTCACATTTTTGCCAACGGCGGTCATACCGTAACTCTACAATTTGTGTTAACGAATTACTGAACGTAGGCAAATCATACATGAACTTACAGCTGGACCTGTTCGCAGAAGACTGCGCAAATACTTCCCTGATGGGTATTGCGAGTCAGGAGATACATGTCGATTCAGATTCTCGGTCACATTTGCATATGCATTGATAATTGCGAGCATTTGCTCTGGGTGAACTTCATCTCTCTGCCATGTAGACGTCGTAGCCACGATACCTTCGGTGTGGAACTGGTTTGCATAAAGAAGATATCTGGTCAGGGACTCGGCATCATCAGGCTCGTTCGAGATGTCGGAGAGAATGAAGACTCTTGGCTTGTTGGGGATTGCCAAGAAAGAGCTGGTGTTTACGGCTTTGGCAAGGACTTGGGCTGTGAATGCCCACAGCACCAGGAATGTAGTGAAGGAGCCCATGGTGTAGGGAACTAACGTGGGGGTCAATGGGGCTTTTATATCATTCCAGAACCAAATTCAAGTAGACGTCAGACCCAATGGCATCATTATTCCCCACGGGGCATTTCGCAGTGGTTGGGCTTACCCGATCAGGGCGTGTGCAAGGTGTCCCAAATTAGGAATTTGCAACCACCGATCTGCCCTTGCAGATCTCCTGTCAGGTTTATCGTCAGCCTATTTGCGGCCAAGCCCTTCGTCAAAAATTCGTTGGACTAGCATAGAAAGTATTGATGGTTAATTATATGAATGATATCAATTGTAAACACTCAGTCTATGCGCTTGGAAATCAGCGGAATTAGGCAACTAGGAAAAAACCCGAGATCGGATCAACAGGATGGGCACAGAATATCGACGGCGGCGGCAGACCGCTCAACCGGGTGCTCAACTCGGCCTTGGCATTGTCCAGTCGACGTCGGCTTACCGTACAGTTCAGGAGAATAAAATGTCGAATGTCCGCATAGTACGGCAGAGTGCAGCCATCAGCTCAATATGCCCGTGCCACTTTTTCTGACATCAATTGCTTATTCATAGTGTGTTTCTGAATTCCAAGGTTGTAAGTGATGACTTTAAGAAATAATCACTAACGAAGTGGTAATTCTAGATCCTACGGGTTACTTCGAATATAATCTTTAGTAATTAAGAGATTAAATCAGAGAAGTACTAGTAATTATTTAGTAAAGATAAGTATCAATCTAACGTTAACTATTATTCTCTAATCTCTTCAATCTCTCAGTTCTCTCTCATATCTCAATCAGTTTTCTCTCATTTTTCAATCATGCTTTTTTGATAAATTTGAGTATTCGTGATTGGATATCTAGGCATTCTCTTTGACTGCTTATTTCTTTGTCGACTGAAATAGTTCTATTGAAATGTTCTGTTCACATAGAAGATTATACAATTGCTTGTTTGGTTTCTAAAACCAAAGGCTACTTTCTTACCACTCCCCTATACATACTATTTGTTTGTCTTCGCTGACAAATGTACGAAGCAGAGAATGAGCTTCAGACCATGTAGCAAATAGCTCTCAGTCAGCGAGCCTCACAATCTGCAATGACCTTCTGACTCTTTCAAAAAAATTCCCAGATTCAATACCAAAATCATCAAAAATTGCATTCTGAGAGAGCTGTATCATGGTTTACTGCGATTTCGAATGTATTGTGGGATGGGGCCGCCGCATCCTCTGTCGGACTGGGGGGCAGACCATGTCGCAACCCACACAGTCAGAGTCGGGTAATCACGGAGACGAGACTCACTTTAGTGGTGACGGTGCCAACAATGTCCATGACACAGCCGGATAATACTCACTTGCACCCCTCCTTCTTGCAATAAATCCCTCCTACGCTCGCCTTCAATAGGAAGGAGCAGACAGGCAAAGATGGATCGACGAACCAAATGCAGCCAACTGCCCTGTAAAACAGTCAACCTTGACAGTGGCTGACATCCTGAACGCGCCTGAAATTCATGCTTGGGACGTGAGTGTTCGCACTGAGATCGGGCCACCCTACAGAGCTTTAGATGATCTTCGGCGCGTTGGACTCTCGCAGGCAACACGAGACTACGGCTCGATGAGCTGGACCAAAGTCGGACTCCATCCACTGAGGGGTCCCGGACAAAACAGCTATGTGAACTGCACGGGACCGGGCGTTATCTTTGCCGAGAACATTCTGAGACTGGATAGTTTCTTCTGGTCTCAAATTGCCCGAGCACAGTACGAACAGTATCACACGATCGATACTCTGAGATACGTCTATACTATAAATGTTGTCAATCTCGAGACCAAGGAATCTGTATTGGACTTTCTCTATCATGCACGAGGCGAGAAAGATTGGAATATGTGGAATAATCCGGAAAATGTCGCGGTGGAAAGCCCCCGGCTGTGGCTGCATGGTACGCCTGAGTACCAGGGGATTTTGGGCACCAAGCTCGGGAAAGCAGTTGTGCATCGAGAGTTTGTAGGAAGTCTTCACACTTTTCTTCGTAGGTTAGGACCACTTTTTCTGTCCAGCCTGGCTGTAAACTATCCCACCAGGCCATGTCTATCCGTATTCAGATCGGGTTTTTGCAGAAATTTTGTGATGAATGGTATCAGAGAATCGAAACATTTTCCCTGGGAGAACGCGCAAGACAGGTCCCTTGGAGATATTTATGTTTTTTCAGCATGACGTTGTATCATCGATTCTAGGCTATGCCGTTAATATGAAAAAAGAATCAACGGGCACCACGGCATAGGAAAGATGGGTTTCTTTGTGTCTGCAGTGCCAATAAACAATGGTTTATGATATGATAGCCATTTCTTTGTCCAAAAATAAGTGCCGTTCTTTATGTTTAGCCTCAATAAGTTATTGTAAAAGATAAATTCACTCAGATAAATTCTTCATGAAATTTCTACACCTGTAGAATGATTAGGCTCTTCGAGCCTCATCTAGTCCTATATAAGCCACACAAAACCCGGCCATAATAGTATGTACAGATCAACCAACCCCATTTCGTCTCTTAGTTGCCCCATGAACGGCCAACAGTGAATGAACCATGCTGGCGGATATCACGACTGGAGCTTCCAACGTAAACACGGAAAGTGCCAGTAGGGACAACCCATTTCTGGCTCGCCACATCCCAGTAGCTTAGATCACGTCGGGTAAGCTCGAAAGTAGCTCTGCTCGATTGTCTGGGATTAAGCCACAGCTTCTGGAAACCACGAAGCTGCTTGGGAGGAGTACCCGGCACAGAGTTCGGGAGACCAATGTAAAGCTGAGCAACTTCTGCACCGGCTACCTTACCTGTGTTGCGGATAGTTGTAGAAATTGATCCAACAGATTCGAAAAGATCTGCTGGGCCGCCGGGGACGACTTTGCCGGTTGACGGTCCCGCTCTGGCAAATACATCAACGGCAATGCCGTTGTAGGCGAACTCTGTATAAGACAAGCCGTATCCAAACTCGTAGCGAGGGGTAATTCCATTTTGGTCGAAATGGCGGTAGTCAATGAATAAACCCTCGGTAAAGTCGTCAACCTCTGAGTTGGTCCAGGTTGTGCCGTAATCTTCGGCTGCTTTCGCGATAGTGTAAGGAAGCTTGCCACTTGGGGAGACAGCTCCGTACAGCACGTCGACAAGAGCATTTCCGCTTTCTTGACCCGGAAGTCCTGCCCAGACAATTGCTTTCACAGATGGCAGTGCCAGGATTGTCTCGAGGGTGACTGCACCCACGCTGTGGACAACGACGATTACATGCTTGTTGACAGCTGCGACAGCCTTGACAAGTTCGTTCCCGTTGTGCCAAGGGTCAAGGTTGTTTCTGTCTCCAGCATTGCCTTCCACTGTAATATAACTGTATGGAATGTTAACACAATACTATCAATGGGAAGGCATCAGATATAGCTTACCCTTCACCGGAGTCGGAGTTGATGAACACTACGGCAGTCTCGGCGGCAGCGGCAGCAGCGGAAGCATCAGTAGTACTATCAGTCGCACTCTGAATAATCTTCGTGCCGTCCTTCTTGGCTTGAACTTGAATTGCATCGAGAGGCGCAACGAGATACTAGATCAGCATTGTTAGTAACTCAGAGGACTAGCGTTCAGATGCCTTGAAACATACAGGGAACTGAGCAGTGCCACTACCCCACCCCATAGCCAACGTGCCGTTGTCGCAGCCATGGTCACTGCATGCGTTCGGTCCATCAGGGTTAACAGCAGCATCCTCTCCAATGATAGCAAGGCTCTTAGGTCGTCGAAGCGGTAAAGCATTTCCAGTATTCTTCAGCAGAACAATAGAGTCCCGGGCAACAGTGCGGACGACACTGGCATGATCGGCAGTCACATCAACTGTCGCCTTGCCACCATCCCAAGAGCTGAACGAGACCTCGGGATAGCCTTGGTCCTGGCGAAGAAGATACCAAGCGGCGAGAATACGAGTGACCATGTTGTCAAGGCGAGACTGTGGGACTGAGCCGTCGGCCACAGCTTTGGCGAGGTTTGATCCCCAAAAGATGCTACCAGGTGGAGAATTGAAGTCACTGCCTGGCATGGTCATATCAAGACCGGCCAAGGCACTGTTGGCAGTAGTGTGCTGCGCATTCCAGTCGCTGACAACGTATCCTGGGAATCCAAGTTCCGTCTTCATGAGTTTATTCAAAATGGCATCACTCTCGCAAGCCCAGGTCTCATTGACCTTATTGTAAGAGCACATCACCGACGCAACATTGGCTTTGACGGCATTCATAAATGGCCACACGTACAACTCGTGTGCGGCGCGATCTCCAATATTGGAGCTGATGGTATCGCGGTTATGCTCCTGTTCGTTTCCAAGCCAGTGCTATTCAGAATGTCAGAGCAGAATCAATAGAACGAAGTAGAAAACTATTCACCTTGGCACAAGCCTGAACACCTGAGGTCTGCATGCCCTGGATTGTTTCTTCCATGGCTACACCACTGAGATACGGGTCAACCGAGAATCCTTCCCAATTTCGCCCACCAGTGGGATTCTTCCCCAGAGGTCCAGCTACTGGTCCTAGTTGCACATGAACACCGAGACCCTTTGCCTCTTGGCCCATTGCAGCACCGCGTGCATATAGAAGACTACGGTCCCATGTTGCTCCTGCGTTAACCCCTGCCGGGAATGCTGTCACGGGGTTGGCAAAACGGATACCCAAAGGCGAGTCTTGAAGACATAAAGAAGGATAGTCGATTGAGCTAGGGGCATAGGTGTTGCCCACACAGGGTCCTCCCTCCCAGGTCACACCGGTGACAATCCCAACTTTCTCGGTCTGGTTCAGCTTGTTCAAGGCTGTTCTGGCTCTTGAGTAAGCTGTATCCCAGCCGCCACTACCTGAACCATAGGCATGGGCGCCAGTGCTTAAAGCTAGCGCCGAGAAAAGGAGATACTGCATGGCTCTCGTCGCTGTCGAAGATATGCTGGATGAATCCCCCGTTTGAGGGCGCGGGCTTCGCCCTTTTAAACCCTTCGCGCAAGAATGGGCTTAAATTCCTCGACCTACAAACCCCCTCACTCTTGGTCCTCCATGGCGTTCTGGGCGCCATGCTGAGTGCCGGCCTTGATTTGAATACATAGAAGTGGGCAAACGGGCCGGCCACTGCACTGAATCAGGAAGAGGAAATTGATCTCCGCATGGCCAGCGACACCCCTGGACAGCTGCGTTACACTGGGGTATGCAAGGAAGTAGGGCTAATTGTCCCGCCGGCGGCCTCGGACCTTGTCGCACCCGGCTGTTAATTGGCTGGCGGAACTTCGGAATGTGGAATACTCAAGTGAGTTGGGCTACGCAATTTAGCGTCAGACAATGTCTGCTTTTGCCGTCCGATGCTGCAACCCTGAACGGCTTGTACCCCGCATTGTGCTGATTCCTGGGGAAATCGCCGACACTCCGCGTAGCTTGGCGTTCCGTCCATTTCCCGATTGGCCTTGATCAGAGTGCGTTGAGTGGCTTCTTGAAGCATCAGGGTCCCATCTCCTGCCATGTGTGCCCCCGCCTGAAATGTCATGCGCGACACCTTTTCTGTTCCTGCAATTTATTATTTTCAATTTGTATACTTTCGTCACTCTTGGCTTAACTATTCAACAGGTTTATATATCCGGGATGCCGAGACGGGAGCTATTTCTTAAATGGATTTGCGAGTTGTTCATAGAAATTGCGTAACTTGTAGGTTGCAAGTTGCTCAATTTATCAAAAACGAACAGACACGCTTAAGTGGAAATGACTTACTGGAGCAATCTCTACTAGCAGCAATATATCTCTTTGCAACTCTATCTGAATGGACCCTTCTATAGCCGAAAGAAAACTCAAAAACTTGCCGGTGAGACTATTGGATCAGCATCAATAGGCTAAATATTGAATCGAAAGGCTTACTGACTTCAAATGCCGAAGATTTCCTGATACTCGATTTACCGTGCAGAACTTGTGGTAGACCACCTCAGCAGACCACCAAGACTCCTCCTTAGGCAACACTGATTCTTCTATAGATGGCCTGGTTCCGTCGTTTATGAAATTTGTAAATATGGCAGATATCAAATCTTGAATCTTGAAGGAAGTTTGATACACTGCCTGAGCATTGACATCCCTCCCAACTTTGACCACCTTTTCTCTGAACTATACGCTCAACGAGAAATTTTCTCCAATAACATGGTCGAAAGAATACTTCCCACAGGCAAATCTCGCGTCGGCGGTCTCAACCAGAGCTAAGTGAACCTCATCCACTCACTTCAGGGACTTTTTCTTCACTGGGGCGGGCTGTCGGTGGAGAAAGAACTATGAAAGTTTGAAAGTTTAGTAACTCAGGTTTGGATTGGTGCGCGTGCATTTTATTCGTCCGCGGATTAACTCTTAGAATGGATTCCTGCTCGTTCCTCAAAAACTTGGTTTCTTTCTCATTTGCGCGTTTATGGTTTCCCAAGGTTAAAATGAATGAACCTCTTGAAGGGGAAAAGGCGGATATGTTTCCTCTGTTTTGTTCTATTCTATTGACAGATTGTTTCCTGCTTGGTCGAATCAAGTCTTCGAGGAGGGAAGTATTAGATATTTTGCTCTCTCCTCATTTTGCTAATTTGGTTACACCTATAAATGCTTTGAGCTCCGACACTTCACGGCTATATATTTGGAGGAAATTTTTGATGCTGGTCAGGGCCTACATCGGGGTCTCAAGGTCAAATGATAGATCGATTTACAATATATGCCTATCAAGCTTCTATACATTTTACAGGATGGTTGCAAATCTAAGTCATTTTACTGCGATGTTCTATCTGAAGCAGCACTTACTTCTTCAAGGACAGACGACAGAGGGTCCTGGGTTAAGCGAATGTTAATTTTTAGCTTCTATGACAGAATTTAAAATTGCACTGTTCTCATTTTAGTCATTTAGTAATTCTGTGCGTGTCGTGTTATATATTGTTTGGTGTTTGTATGTTATAACCGACTCAGAACGGTAGCTAAGAATTTTGACCTTGTTGGTACCCGGGTGCCTTTGAGCCCTGGCTAAATGGAGGCTATGGCATTTCTGTAGATCTTACGACGTTGAGATATCTGGGATGTCCTATTTTCGTGTTTAAATAATCAATGCTAGAAGCAACAAGTGAATCATGCCTTAGCAATGTCGACAACTTCCATCAATGAATTGACCACGAAATCCGCCTTCAAGTCCTGGCAAGCCTCCTGATTACCATAACCATACCGACACCAGCAGACTTTACTCCCGATATTCCTTGCAAATTGAATATCTGCCACCGTATCACCGACGACTAGCACAGTGCCCGGCTCAATCTGCCCCGCCCCGTATCTTCCCCGCAAGATGGGGGCCAGAACATCCACGAAGCTGGCAGGATCTGGTTTGCGCTTGGCTCCAGGGGTCTTGTCGCCAATGATTAAATCTTCGGGCACACAGCCAGCGAGACCATTCCGTTCCAGAGCGGTTTTCACGGCCGCGACCCCCTTGTTGCTCACGATAGCGATAGGGACCTTGCGGGCGTTCAGCTCGGTCAAAAGGTCTTTGGCGCCTGGAAAGGCCTTGATCTGTGATTGGCCGTAAGTTGAGTATAGGGAGCGATATTTTTCGATCCACTCCTCTTCGTCGGTTGGCATGAATTGGGCGGGCGAGGGATGTAGGGCTTTGAAGGTGTCGGCCAAACCGGCACCACTGGCGATTAGCCGGTAGATCTCATCTTCTGGTGGGGTCTGATTAGGAAGGAGGGCGTCGAAGGTGAGTTTAATAGTTTTGGAAATCGATTCATGTGTATCGAAGAGAGTACCGTCGAAGTCGAAGATAGCAAGGGATATCATATTGAGGGATGTGAAAGTCGAAGATAGTTGACTGCAAGTTGGGAGATAAAGGGAGCAGTAGCAAATGATCCGCTTTGATTGACTCGATTTCCTTGATTTAACCCAAGTCTGTGGCCCCCGATCCTGAATGTTAAGTCAACTGGCTAATGCAGCCACCGGATTCTATGTTACCCTGAAACTGCGAATTAACTCGCTTCGATGCCACCGATGTTATTAGGACAATGGCAAGAAAGTAAGTTTCGTAGCACAACCCGGGGTACTCAGAATATAATTGATTGTTAAAGGGGCCAAAAATGATCGCGCAGCATTGCCGAGAGCCCATATTTGACCATTGGCTGTGATAACGGCACACGAAATGATCTCTCGGTCGCCTGCAAAGCGTCGCCAATTACGAACAAAAATGGAATATGGGAAGCTGTTAGAGCGGTTTTGTTTCGATGCGGCGAGCCAGCCATAGTCAGTAGTACGGAAATTCTAGCCCAGCATTAAAATTACCAGGACCTCGCACTATCCCTATTATCCGAGTCATTTTGGACTAGCTCCAAGATTTCTTGCAACGCCTGCAAATCTACGGAGATAAGCGGCGGCTATTGTTTGGGAAACGCCAACCCATATTCAGTCACTAGCGGAACCTGGGTTCTAGAAGATAGCAAAAAACACTAATTAATATTTTGGCCGGAATTGGAACAAGGCAAGTGTATTTAGAAATCGATACGTGGAATTTAGGCGGGTTGGAGCGCTATACAGGAAACCTAGATCATATGGCCCGGTGAAGTCCTGAAAAGGGGCCGCTGATTTGTTTCACAGCTTTCTTCAAGTGTTCAGACTCATTGCAATGATCAAGAATATTGTCTACGGAAAAATTGAAACATGGGCAAAATTTGTTATTGCATAATTTTTGAAGCATTAACCAATAAATATCACAAAGTATAGTAAGTTCAAGTACAACCGGTCTATCTATTTGGGTCACTGTCAGTGTGACTTTATATCATTTTTATGCTTCCAGGTCGATGGACGAATTGACCTTTTTCCTTCAAAAAGGTGCAGATCCGTCGATAAATATACATAAGACCCTTACCACGTAGAAAAGTCCAGAATTTCCTCTCCTACTATTTGAGAGTGAAGTAAAATCAAGCCGACTTTTGTGGTTCATTGTGAGCAGCCATAGTCTGCTAACAGACAGACGCCCTGAGCCCCTAGCAGAATGGCTAGCTTCAGGCATTCATGATGAGTTTTCGGCGCTTGTCTGTAAATATCTCTCGCGAGAATAAGGTGGGATGCACATGTATAGTACCCCGTGGAGGAAAGCGGCAGTTATAGGGGCGACCCAATGTACCCAATGATACGGAGCAAAGTGTGAGCCGACCATTGCCGCAAAGCACCGCGCAGGGTTTCCCGCTGTTGAAGTTAGTAAATATTTCAAGACTTGCGGGATATGGCTTATTGAAAACCTACAAAATCCAGAGTATCCCGGACGACTAAAGCCCGTGAGAAAAGTGCAAGTTCCTAGAACAATGCCTATAAAGACAGGACCCAAAGCTGGCCCAAATACAGAGCGCTGTCGAGGGTCAAGACCAACACCGAAACAGAGGAAGATGAAAGCGAAGTATGTGACAAATTCCATGGCAAAAGCGCTGCCTGCCGAGACTTTTGTCGGATCAATATTGCAGCCCGGCACCGTGAACTGTAAAGATGGGTTAGTATATCTTTGCGGATAAAGGAAAGGGGGACAAGTTACAGATCTCGTGTCAAAGCTCGCTCTCAGCAGCAAACCTGCCATAGCTCCTCCAAACGTCTGGAACCCGACATATAGAATACATCGCGGTAAGCTCGTAAGACGCGCAAAGAATGTAGCGATGGTGATGCAAGGATTGAGGTGAGCTCCGGAAACTGGACCTGTAGCGAAGATGAACAGCGGAAGGATAAGGATCGCTGAAACTCCGGCGAGTAGACTAGGCACAAGTGCTCCAGTCGCAAACGTGCTTCGCAGGTCATCATTAGCGTCACGTGTCAACATGGGGTCTAGGAAGAATGTACTTCACTAGGTCACCTAGACCGATAGCTACGAAGATGCTCAAGTAAACCAAGAAACATGTTCCTAATGCTGTTAAATTCCATGTCACCTGCATGTTTCCTAAGTTTCACGAACCAAATGCTTCTATAACAGCGGCCTTCCATAATTCTGGCTCCAGAATGGTTCGAATAGATAGGGCATCCTTCCATGGGATCCATGGCGCAGCATCAGGAAACTTCTGCAATAATTCTGCCTGTGTGCAATTGGTTTTGTCCAGTGAGAATTCTTGATTGGCACCAAGGCGTCCGGCGAACGGAATGACGCTTGCTGGCGAAGGCAACGCCGCAGCATCACCATCGCGCCTCCAGAACTTGGCGTGAGGGAGCATGGATGGCATCTGTCGGGATTTGAACTACCTCAGTTTCACAATTCAATGTCAGTGCAGGGATCTTAAGTTGAACATGCAGATCAATTCCGTGCACTTCAGGGGTTCGAGCACCAGAAAATTGAATCAAGATGTCATGGCTGTCAGCAAGTAATCCCTAAAGCTTGGCACTTTGCTGCCAGACTTTTCAGGCCGAAGGTCGGACTACAAAGACCATTGTGGCTCTTCCAGGGTCTGCTTTCGTCAGCCTTACTCAGTGTGTGTCATCTGACCTCGGGAAGCGGGGATCATTCCTTTAAGAGTAAACTTAAATCGAAAGCCTCGACGAGATTTCTGACCGTAGTATTTAGGGTACCTCAAAATTGGTCATATCTGTGGAATGGTTTTCTAAGAGAATCAACAACATAGAACACTAGATCGTAACCTAGCTACATTAGTCCTAGCGTGTTCTTCAAACTGATCTGACCTTCTACTGTCGCCCTGTACTAGCTTAATTATAGGTCTTTATTAAAAGGACCCCCATTCTTAGCATTTGGACCCCGGCAGCGCACGTTAAGCCTAAATAGGTCTTAGACAGTAATTACATTTCCAATGCATTATTCGGTAAGATTGCATGAATTCTTGGCAATACTGATGGTCCGAGTATTGGCGGCCATGAACCTTGGGCACTTCCGTTTACTACGTAGAGCTCTCATTAAATTAAGTCACTGCTGTTCCTCATGAACCACTAGCTGGACTTGGTCCTACCACTAACCAATTTCTACAAAGGAGTAGTCCTACTTAGGAAATAGAGGCTGGTTTTCAAAACTCTGTGAATTTGAAGGAATCCAGCTATTCTGGCAAATTTCGAAACAAAGTATGAGAAAGCGGTAAATCCTCGTATATTTCTTATATGAAGAGACATCTAATGCGTCCTGATGCTATTCAGAGAGCTCTTGGAGAGCTCTCCTACGCTTCCTAAGCTGGTCGGACCATATGTCCCCTTACCCTGAGCCGTAGCCTGGGCCGTAGATGAAGCTCCCTGAGATGCCGCCGGCGCCGAAGGTTCATGGCCGCCAATACTCGGACCATCAGTATTGCCAAGAATTCATGCAATCTTACCGAATAATGCATTGGAATGTGATTACTGTCTAAGACCTATTTAGGCTTAGCGTGAGCTGACCGGGTCCAAATGCTAAGAATGGGGGTCCTTTTAATAGAGACCTAATTATATGATTGACGCTCTATCTGAACAACTGCTGCTGAAACATACCAAATGCTAATAAAAGTTTGCTCCCTAACCAGTTGTAAGATCAATACTGCTGCTATTTGTAGCTAATATGCAATGATAATGCTTTTTCTGAGGATACAGACGTTTTAAACCAACGCTTCTAGGTTAGTACTGGTTCCAGTAAGCTCAGAGTACAATTTCCGGCAGATACTTATGTTCATCCTTTCCCGTCTCCTATTTTCTATTTGAATAACATGGCCATACTAATGTGACGTATGCAGTTTTATGTATGCAGTAAGTTATCTAAGTTATGAATGTGAAAAGGGATGAAAACCCCCCTACTTCCCCCACGGAAGTTATTATTTTTAGGTCTCCTGAAAGATGTCCATGACGAGGCCGACAGATTTATTATATCCCGTGAGAATCATCGACTCTGGTTCTTTAGATATCCGAAATCATGAGTCCATCTCACCCCGATATTACCCAGCCTAAGAATGTCAATGATGATAAAGAACAGGGTCCATTCATGGACCAGGGGTCTTTGATCAGGGAACAAGGTATGGAAGGCCAAGATGTTCTGGAATCACCATCACCATCCATATTATCAGGGCCCGAAAAAGTACTGTCTATTATTATTATCACCACCATGACATTCTTGGGTCCGGCACCGATGAGCATTTACTTTCCCATCCTGGGCAGTCTGTCGCGAGATCTACACGTTTCTCCCAGCCAAATGAGCTTGACCATCACGGTGTATATGGTAATTCCCCGGTCTATCCCTTACATCATAAGAAGGCCAGCCTACTAACAAGCACCCCGCAGATTATGCAAGCTCTCTTTCCCCTGTTAACGGCGAGTTTTTCAGACCAACGTGGACGTCGACCGGTCTTCATAATATGCCTGACAGCGTCTTTGGGGGCCAATATCGGCCTCGCGTCGCAGACAAGCTACACCGCACTGATGGCACTGCGCTGCCTGCAGAGCTTTGGCAGTAGCAGTCTTTCCGTCGTGGGTATCGCCGCAATGACGGATATCATCACCCGTGATGAGCGCGGGAAGTACCGCATATACACTTCCTCCGGCTATACCATGGCCAGCTTGCTCGGCCCAGTCACGGGTGGTCTCCTTGCACAGTTTCTCGGGTGGCGAAGTGTGTTTTGGTTCCTAGCCATATTTGCCGGGGTCATGCTTCTTCTCGTCCTAGTATTCCTGCGTGAATCGTGCCGCGCCTTAGTCCGCAATGGGAGCGTGCCCTCCCAGCCATGGAACCGAGCTCTAGTTGATTGGCTGCATCCGCTGAAGACCTGTCAAGCATCGCGCCCTCAACCCCCATCGACCCTTGGGCGGGGAATCCTCGATACGATCCGACTCCTCGGCCGCTGGCAGACAGGCCTGGTAGTGGCATTCCAGGCCGTCCTCTTCTGCGGCACCATGGCTATCTTTGCCAGTATCCCGGTGCTCTTTGAGCGCCACTATGGCTTCCAGCCTTGGCAGGTTGGGCTCGTTTACGTACCATACGCCGTTGGTGGATTTGCCGCACGCTGGATAGTCAACCCTCTAACGACCAAAAACATGCAGCGATATCGTCGCCGTGTCGGGGTGCAGGCCACGGATTACCTTCCCCAGGATTTTCCCTTTGAGCGTGCTCGGCTAGAAATCATAATCCCGCTAGTCTACCTGGGCTGTGCTTGGATGATGGTATATGGTTGGCTGATGGAGCGGAAGGTGCATGTGGCTGGACCCTTGGTGATTCTATTTTTCGCAGGCAATGCTATCACGGGGGCGAGTGTTGGACTTACTGCAATGCTATTAGGAATGCATCGACGTCGGCCAGCGATGGCGCTGGCGGCAGCCAACATGGTTCGATTTTTGTGCGGTGCTGGTGCAGTGGCGGCCATTATCCCCGGGATCAAAACGATTGGCATTGGCTGGATGGGAACGGTTGTGGCTGGAATATATCTGGTGGTTTCGGGGGTGCTATGGGTGTTGTATTATTATGGACATCGTCTACGAAACAGCTACAGGAAGAAATGACTTACCTCGGGAGACGAATGAGTTGACGTGAATTTATATTATTCCCAGCACCTAAACAAAAATTGTCTACGCCAACATATAAGTTCCTTTTCAACAGCTCAATATCGTCCGCTCCGGCTCCGGACTGATAGGGTTGAGAGATTTCGTCGTGGTACTCACACGGTATTTGAATTTGAGCGACATCTCGGCAAGGGAGTAAGATTCTTCTGCGGCCTATCTTATCTAAAAATGGCATTTTCTTTTGACAGAATGTGCAGAAACCTCAAAGTTGATACATCGAGGCGACTGATAGAATTTATCATGGCGGCCAATAGTTAGTGGAACACTGCAGGACGCTGGATAACATGAGGCATCGATCTACCCGTACAACAACACGATAAAATAGTTCATTGAGAGCAGATATCTTATATTGATCCGACCTTTCGACAGTCAGCTTGCTGTATTTTCAACTAATTGACCATCCTTCTCCCAGAGACATCACTTACAATGACCGCCACTCTATCTTTCCCTGATGAGCCGCATTTTCGAGTATTGCTGCAACACTGCAGAGAGACATCCCCCAAGGATATCTTCTTCCAAGATCCTTCCTGTGGAATTGAAGCAAGCCACGACCAGTTCCTACAGGATGTTTTTCTCACACGACAGGGACTCCTCAACCAGCTGCCCAAAGCCCTCGTCAACGAACGAGGCATTATCCATGAAGAACATCCGTTCATCTGTATACTAAATCAGGGAAACTATGAATATATAGTGGCGGCTTTTGCAGTGCTCATGTTGGGGGGAGCAGTTGTTCCCTTGTGTGAGTCTTTTCTCCTTTCCGTCTGTCCTTGCTACTGCTCCGAGGTATAAAACCACAGTATTAATTGAAGCAGCCCCGTGTATTCTCCCAGAAGAAGCATCATTTTTAATGAAACAGTGCCAGTCCGTTGTGATGATGGCCGGATCGAGGGTGCTCGACCATGCCACTGCCATCCAACAATACGCTGTAAGCCAACAACAGACCGTTCATGTCAGGTCAATCTCCATTGATGGCCCTCAACAATGCATTGCAGCCTCCATCGACGAGACCATTATTATTGCGCCCGAGCGGCCTAGCATGCTCATCTTCACATCTGGCACTGTGGGACCTCCTAAGGGTGTCGTCCATACGCGTCACCTCCTGGCCCTACCCTACACGCCGTTGCGGAGCGGGATATATCTCAACTGCATTTCCTTGTGGACCGTTGGTGCCGTGAGACTCATCAAACAAACACTACACGCACGTCGCATCGAGATCATTTCTCCAGACCCTGGTGTTTTGTGGGAACGTCTACGAAAAGGCGGCGTCGTATTTCTAGCTGCCGTGATTCCAGTTTGGCAGGGTTTGATGGATTATTTTCAACAGAACCTTGACCACCTACCAGACGCCCAGCGAGAGGAGTATCTGTGTGGTCTGCGTGGTCTGCGTACTGCTATGCTAACTGGTGGAACACTGCCCGCGTCGAGACTGCGGTTTTGGAACGACCTAGGGAAACCGTTAAAGTTGTGCTACGGTGCGACGGAGCTGGGGAAAATATGTCTCGTCACGGGGAATGAGTCGAGTGCCGATCGAAATGTGAGCTTATACAAATTTTGTCCTCTGGGAAATATGGAGTTGACTGGATCCGGATATTCTAGAATTGCCTGGGACATCCAGTATCGGGAATCACAATCAAGCTTTCTGAAGGGGATCATGGGGAGCTGCTGATCAAAAGTCCAGCAGTATTCTCGCAGTACGTACTTTCGCCGACTTTGCTATACCAATCCGCCGACTGACCTAGATCAAAGCTATCTTAATGATCCCGCCACTACAAAAGCCGCATTTACAGATGATGGGTTCTACCGAACGGGTGATCTGGTCTCGCGAGAAGACACCGACTACTTCTTCCATGGCCGAGCCTCAACAGATTGTATGTGACTAGCAGCCCAAGAGAAAAGATCTATGATACTAACTATGCACTCCCAGTTATAAAATATTACGGCTACAAGATCCCCATTCCTACCCTCGAACAGAAGATCAACGATCTTCCGGATGTGAGGGAAGGCTACATCCTGGCCATGCCAGATCAACACTGCGGATACCGCGCTGCAGCTCTAATACGACCCGTAAAAAATGCCGATATTGATCATCGGGCGGCCTCATTTGATCTGCCACATTTGCACGAACAAATGGTGGCTGACAAGATACCTGCATTCATGTTGCCCACTGCCCTGCGGTTATTGCAGGACGAGGAGACAGTTCCGCGCACCGTATCGGGAAAGATTATCCGCAGGGATGCTGTGAAACAGTTCTTTCCCATGGACGATGATGGACGCTGTCCGGCGGCGGTCCAGGTGTGGCTGGCACGACCGTCGGTTTGTAAGGAAAGTATGAAACAGGCGTGGGATTGGGCTGGGGCACCGATGACATGAGGACCATCCAATGCCTGAGATTTTGTGTTCTTTTGGGGCTATAGAAAGCAGTGTTTCCGTTCTTTGATCTAGTTCAAGTTCATGGGGACGGGCAATACAAAAAGATAGACAGTTTTCTTTATTCAGGGTATTCTTGAACAATGAGACGAAATAGAAGCTCAACACATACACCAAAGCTTCCTGGCGCAGCTGATGAAATTACCGGTGAAGGGCTCCAGCGCAGAGCCCTGCAGGGCTGGGGGGGGGACTATGATTAACGTGCATGTTTAGCGTAGCCAAGGACGCAACAAAACGGTCAATGACATTCAATAACCCATATTATTACCTTTCTATCAATAAGACGTATATCAGGACCCCATCTGTATGCTGTATGTGGCTTATCATTTCGGCACGATATGGATGCTGCCTACTAGACCCCTTGCACGCCATCATGCACCACCAATATATACAAATCACATCAGCCCAAGATCTCCGTCATTCTCTCTCGCAATAACCCCAAATTGAGATAGACGGTGAAGAACTTAATCTGGCTCTCCTCTACCCCTTTTCCAAAAACAGCAAGGCCGTGCGCTTCGATCGGCCGCTGCTCAGGATCTCCCTTGACGACATAGGTGACCGTGGCTTCCTGATAGATGCGATCGTGTGTGACATCAACATGGCGGATAGTATGCTTCATGCTCTCGAGGCGGGCGAACTGGCGCCGGAAATGCGCGATAATCTCGGCGTGGCCATGCACTGGTGGCTGGCCGAGGAACTGCATTGTGCAGTCGGGGGCGTAGAAAGTCTCAACCCATATTTCAGGAGAAAGGGAATCGCCCATGCGGTGGAAGGATTGGAGCCATTCATGCGCAGCTGCTGCTGTTGGTGTTTCCGTTGACAAATTACTCATGTTTGGGGATTCAAGTTGGGAACCGAGTTGGGGAGGGACGATGATGTGGTAGAAAATAGTTTTCTTAGCATAGACTGATTAAATTGGATGATCTTCATGGTCAGCCCCTTGTGATAGATAGCCTATTATCTTGGTCCATGCAATAATACATAGTACTATGCACGATAGCCCGGATACAAAGCCATAGAATGCATAGGGGCGGCCCGAATCAATGGAGATCCACGGAGTACCGTGTGTGCATTTGATAGGATGCATCATTCGCATTAATTGCACATGCTGTGTATACTTGGCTTTCATGAGACTAAATATACATGGAAATCACCTGTTCACTCTCGTTATAAAGTTATCAGAAGCCATAGCCAAATCAAGCATCTCAATTCTCTTGTCATTCTTCTAAAGTGAATCCATTCGAAGCCCTAATCAAAGATGATTTTCAGTTCACGGCTTCCGTTGCCCCCAGTCCCCCAATGTGACGTGTTTAACTACATCTTTCACCACAGTCGACGAGACTACCCTCGCAGCCGTGTACTCTATCGCATTGATGGTACCGATGAGCAATTGACTCTGGCTGAGTTGGAGGCCCAGAGTCGACGCATGGCCCTCGTCCTCCGGACTCAATACAACATCAAGCCGCAAGATGTCGTCGCCATCTTTGCTTATGATAAAGTAAGAACTCACAGAATCTCGCGACTAATTTCCTTCTTCTAACAACTACCAGATCCAGTATCCTATCGCTTACTTTGGAGCGCTGGCGGCGGGCGCCACTGTTGCCCTGATTCCTGTGCAAGCATCTACTGCTGCTAGCGATATCGCTCGTCATCTGAAGCAGAGCGACGCCAAACTGTTGATTACCGATACCAATGTGCTATCCTTGGCCGAGGCAGCATGCACCCTACTAGATACCCGGTCTCTGTCTCTGGTTACCCTTGATGAGACTCCTAATCATCAGTATCCCTGCGTTGCTGCACTCCTCAATACAATCACAACCCATTGCCAAGAAGACATCTTCCACCTGCAGACACCTGAAGCTGCCGAAAATCATACTGCGTTTATCAACCGCACAAGTGGCTCAACTGGCAACATGAAATGTGTTCTAGTGAGTCACGCACACTTCATTGCCACCCTCGAAGGCACACGCGCGACCATACCCGCCAATACATCCCCCGACACAGACACTTGGGTCTCGCCATTATCACTCGGTTTTTTCATCAACGCGAAGCTGAGTATGGGACTCAATATCGTTCTAGGCATCCCGGTGGTCCTGGTACCATCCAAGCCAGACCTCGACGCCGCATCAGCTGTGGATATCATTTCCCGCCACAAAATCACATTCCTGTTCATTACACCCCCCTTGGCAGCACAGCTAGCGCGGTTCGAAACGTCGTCATCCCAGACAAAATCCATGAAATGGCTGCTTTCCGCTGGGGCCCCGATCCACGAAAATCTTCGAACAGAAGTATCTCGTCGTTTTCACGATATCCCACTAAGCCTTGAACTCGGCACTGCCGAGACAATGCTCGTCTCTATCCAATTTGACGAGGATTCTCGCGCCCCTGGGTCAACGGGTACTCTTGTGAGTGGGATAGAGGCCAAAGTCCTCGACCTGAAAACTGGACTGGAGCAGAATGGATCAGGCCCCAAATATGCAGGCGAGCTGCTCATTCGCAACTGTCTCGCCCGGTACCGAGGATATCAGAACAATGCAGTAGCAAATGCGGCTGCATTTGATGCCGAGGGCTGGTTTCATACGGGGGATTTCGGGTATTTAGATGCGAAGGGGAATCTGTATGTCGTAGATCGGATCAAGGAGATGATCAAGACTGGCGGGGGATATGGGTCGCACGTATCAGCAGCAGAGCTGGAGGCGGTCTTGTTTACTCATCAAGCTGTTGGGAGTGTGGTGGTTCTGGGGGTGCGTGAGGAATGCAGTCAGAGGGATCTGCCGACGGCGTTCGTGGTGCCCAAAATGAATGAAATGGGGCAGCTGGAGATGGGAAAGTTACAGCAGGCTATTGAGAAGTTTGCGGAGAAGAGATTGACCGGCTTGCAAAAATTGACTGGGGGTGTTCATTGTCTTTCCGAGTTGCCCCGAAAGGGTATCAAGGTCGATAGGTCGGCTTTGAGGGAATTGGCGAAGATGCGGCCCATGATTCAGTAGATTGAAAGTTCTACTTGGATTGGGTGTTGATGCATACTTCGGTCCTGGAAATGCCTGAAGGGGCCAAACTACACACCCGTGTTAGGGCTTCAGTTCTCAACGTATAAATTAGGAAATGTTCAAATTTTGGGGAAGTATTCAATGTCGGCTCAACTTGGACCAATTAATTCATCATTCTTATTATTTTCTTCGGCTTTCTATCTCTCCCTGCGTCAAACACATCCTTACTAAAGCATCTCAAGGGTGCGGTTACTACCACACGGTGAAAGGCGGCACAGGTTTGAGCGATGTATTCAGTGTGCATTCAAAGAGCTGAGCAATTTAACTAACCTGCAAGCTTCAACCATTGCAGTGAGAAGATAATCTCCTCAAACGCCGCCCCAGTCCCACGCCCGCCTTGTCACCGTCTCCTCTACCCCTATGTCCCAAACCTCCACGTTACCCGACAACCCTCCACCTTCTGTCAGGAAGAGTTTCTGCACGGCAGGATTACGTGACAGTTTACCTTCTGGACTACGAGGTAGCTCCTCATTCTTGTCCACAATGCGTAACACTGTTGGCAATTTGTAGATAGCCAACACTGTAGCCAAATCCTTCCGCAATTTGGCTAGCGACAATGAAACTTCTCCTCGGCCTAAACGCACGAGTGCACCAACGCGGTGTCCATAGCAATTGTCTGGGATGCTAAGCACGTACGCTTCAGTAATATAGGGCAAGTCCCATAGCTGCGATTCGACCTCGTAGACTGAGACGCGGAGGCCATTGAACCGGACGACTACGTTACTTGTCAACAGGTTTCCTCAAAATGAAACAACGTTAAAGATTGAAAGGGAAGATGAAGATGCAAACTTACAATCTGCCGATGCACGGCCGTCAAAGACGAACATGCCCTGTTCATCTTGGTGGGCAAGGTCCCCCGTACGATAGAAACCGTTGGCATCGAATGCCGCACTTGTGCGTTCTTCGTCATCGATATATCTATCATCATTAGATCCCATATCGCTGAACAGAAAGAATATGGGAAAAATCACCCGATCATCATTGTTGGGCTCTTGATGAGCAACTCCCCTCGGTCGCCATCTGCCAATTTGGCCTCGGTCTCAGCCAACGGACGCCCAATAATTGGCTAAAATCATGAACCAGCCAGTCAGTATAAGACCAAGTGAGTAAGATCCAGATCATCGATCATCTCACCTTCAATGCGGGACTCTCGCTCGAAAAATGAAACACCATCGCCTCCCTCCCCAACTCGGACGCCCCATACTTGACCGTCCACTCCCTCCCGCTGCGCAAACTGAGCCAGAACCTCTTTGCCGCCGGCAAAGGCATCCCGCCTCCGAACCACGCGACACGGATATTCCGAGCACCCTCATCATACATGAGACGTTCGTTCTCCGGTAGGCCTTGCAGTCTCTCCTCATAGTCTGTCATGAGAACCTGCCAGAAGCGAGTGGCACCCGCTAGCACGGTGACGCCACCGCCTCGAAGTCTCTCCCAAATAGGGGCTGGCTGGATTCCTGCCGGAAAGAGCTCAATACGCGCGCCGACGTACACCAGATCACTTAGATTCAGCACCCCGGGGAGACCGTTGACGGCGCGGTAGACTATGGCGATATCTTCGGCAGTGCAGTCGGGTGTGACGTGCGGGAAGAAGAGTTGACGCGGTAGGATGACACCCTTTGGGGGTCCGGTTGTGCCTGACGTGAAGAGGAGAAGACCTGGCTGGGTAGGGGGGAACTTAAGGGCTGGGTTAATCCGGGGTAGCTCAGAGAATGCCCTTGGGTTGTGTTGAATCGGTATTATGGGGCTTGGAGTGGCATTTGGTTGGGACTGGATGTCAGTAGCAAGCGGCATATGCTCTGGCTGAGCGAGAAGACAGATGGCATTGCATTTGTTGAGGAGCCAGCCGCCTTCTTCGGGGAGCACTTTGGTTGCTATGGAAGGTTAGAAGGCCACGATAGCGGGGGCTGTGCTTCCTACATAATGGTACGGCTGCAGCGCCTAGTGCAATAACGGCATATAAGGCAACGACGAAGTCGTAGCTCAGTGGAGCAAGAATTGCTATGTAAACTCCCGGGATTTTGAGACTTCCATGCTCATTGAGAAGGTCTTGGGGTAGTTGACAGAGAATGTTGGCACAAAAGGCCCCTACATCATGAAGGAATTGAGCCGTGGTGGCATCTTTGTTATGGGTTGGATCATGTATCAGAATGTTGGTGTTGACTTGAGCGTTGTGAAGCAGCTTTTTGAACAGGGGATCATTTGGGAGACCGACTTTTTGGCTAAGAAAAGACATGGTAAAGAATGATTATTGACGTCTTGCAAATATGAGAAGAAAAAAAGCAGAACCAGTGCGCTCAAATACAAATCAAAACTGCAGTTCTATGAAAAGCCAGTGGCGCCGCGATCTGCAAGGTACGATCTATCTAATATGCCTGATATACTAATACATCGTTCTGTGCCTTTTTCTGACCTCTCTTTTACCATTGTTGACTCGTCATATGTCGATCGATGTTGATGTTTATAACATAAAGCGGTGACACGCTTTCAAAAGAAGACGAAAGGACGAGGGATACTATCGCTGTGGATTACTCCAGACTTCAATCATTTTACTTTTACTATCATATGTAACGCATAGGTCCATTCCGTCATGAGCTTCCCAAACGAGACCTTCTTCCGACGTTTGGTTGAATTCGCCAATGGCCCAACCCGCGTCATTATTAGTGATGATATCTCAGGCATTAAGGTCACCTATCAACAGCTGTTGTCGGCAGTGCTTCGATGCCGGCAGGTTCTGCAGCAGCGACTGCCTCATATCGCCTTAGATAACACCAAGATGCTTCAAACACCTATGAGTATCGGTATCCTCGCCCCAGCAAGTGTAGAATTTGTTGTGGCATTTCTTGCAATCTTGTCCCTCGGTGGTACTATTGTTCCTCTATGTATTTCGTTCCCATCACTCTTTCACGCAGAAAGTCCTCGCTGACGAGCATCCACAGCCACAGCCGAATCTGCTGAAGCAACCTGGGACCGAATTGCTAAATGCAATGCGGAGTGTGTTTTATATAGTCCACAACAAGCTGAGCTCATGTGGCTCATTCGACGCCGAGCTCTTCTGACCACTGGCAAAGAGATTTACTCTGTAGCAATCAGTGCTCATGCGGGCAACACCTCACCAAGTCTTCAATTTGCCGCAGATCAACCGACAAACTTCTCATCCACACGTACTGCTCTTCTCCTCTTTACCTCGGGAACTATGGGCCCGCCCAAAGGAGTCCTCCACTCGCGCCAATTCTTCAATGCCGACGTGGACCCCATAGGCACAGAGGCAGATGCTCTACTCTTCACCCGAGCAGCGGGCTATATCGGCTCCATCCGCCTGATGGTCAACATGTTAATGCGAGGTATTCGCATTGAGCTTTGGCCATACTTGGTAGACGCGGACATGATCTGGGAGCGTCTGCGCCAGGGCGGAATCACCGTACTACATCTTCTGCCGACCACCTGGCGGAGTTTGATGCTCGTTTACCGCGATAAATTAAGCATGCTGCCCTCTATAGAGCGGGAAAAGTACTGCGCTGGGGCACGTCAACTGCGTGAAGCAACCGCTGGTGGTCAAGTGATGCTGCAGGAGGTCAAATTATTTTGGCGAGACATGCTGAGTGGGCGATGCGTGACTGTCATCTATGGCGGGACAGAGATGGGAATTTCGCCTTTCAAAGCGTTAGGAGATGATTCCCTCGTAGAGGTATGCCTCGCGCCTATTCCTATATTTGTTTCTTGTTCTTGGTTAGTATTTTCATGGTTATGCTGACACTGAGGGCTAGCGGAGTATCGGGAAACCTCTGTCGGGTATAGAGTTCAAGCTGAGTGAGGGCGACAAAGGAGAGTTGCTTGTCAAAACTCCTGTACTTTTTACAGGGCATGTTCTCCACCACAGGCCAAACCTCTGCACTATCTAATTGGCATCTACAGATACCTGGATAACCCCGAGGCTACACGCAATGCCTTTGATGACGATGGATTCTTCCGCACCGGCGATATCATCCGCTACAACGGCAGCGCGTATGAGATTGAAGGTCGGGCAGAATGTGACTGTGAGTAATCTAGCAGAAAGATTCACCCATCACTTCTAGGCTACATATGGACTAACACCTCCTGTAAATAGTTATTCCTACCTTTGGAGGCAGAGTATCAGCGCCCAAGATCTGTAAGGCTCTTCTTGACCTGCCCGAGGTGGCAGAAGGCCATATCTTCGCGGTTCCGGACCCCAAGTACGTCAATCATGTGGCGGCTTTGGTGCGTCTACACCCTAGTACCACTCTTTGTCAAGAAGGTGGCACGTTGAATCTGACCACCTTACGACGTGATCTGGCGCATTCACTTACAGAGCACGAGCTACCGACTCTGCTCCGGCTTGTGGGAGCTATGGAGGATGTTCCACGGGGAGTATCGGGAAAGCTGATGTACAAGAAAGCCCGCGAGCAATTCTTTCCGCCGGGATCAGCATCTCTACCAGACGTGGAGAGGCTTGAGTGATAGAGTGGGCTGATTACCTTCACTTCGCATATTCTTGGCTTTGATCAAAGTTTTAAAATTGATCCAAGCTGTCAGATCTCTCTGGTTGTAAATCTAGAAGTTAAAGATGGAGGGTTTTCCTCGTTTAACACAAGGTCACAACAGTAAAGCACATGGAGTATTGTCTATCTAACTGGCCTCAATGGCAAGAACATGAATAGCTACATTGGACTAGAAATATTATTGCAAGGCGCGCCATTCAGAATATTAAATAAATTACAAAACAATGTGTTAAACGAACTAGCTAGGAGTTGTAAAATTGTTCAACTATGAAGGTTATTGCAGCGAGGGTTTGGGAAGAGCATATCTCAGGGCTTCTAGGCATCACCTGATGCCTTTCTGATATGGTCGTTCGTTACACGTCTATCATCTAACAACTTCAAAGGTCTTCTACCTTCTCATTCACACTTACTAGCTCCATTACCCTCCTCGCATCTTAGTCTCTATTCTTTCGTTGTCAATTAGCCCCAGAATATGCTCCTAGGAAGCGCGGTAGACGATCGACCGGAACCAAATTGATGCATGTGCATACTGGCGGCTGAAGTGTGCCAGCTAAATCTTTGGAATGCTCCACGAGCGGCAATGGGAAAAGCTGGCGCTAAGTTGTTCATCTCGCAATAACTTGACAGATATAGGATCAGTATGGGACGTTTGCATTTTACACCATGAGGACAACGCTTTATCATAGGATACCTGTAAATTTTAACCAAGGCAACAATTAAAATGAAAAAAATACTATTTGAGGCCCTGTTGGCAAGTTCATTATTTCTGGGGGGCTATTCTTGCTTGTTTAGCCACCGGACTATCAACGCTTCCAAAGTTGCCATAAAACTTGACAGTCAGGTTTTTAGCCACGTCCCTCATACAATCGTATACAATCAAGACCATCACAGTTTTTGCCCAGGTAACAGAATTTATCTTTGAAACGAACTGTTGTACAGAAAAGATCTACTCCGTATTCGCCAGTTGCTTCAGCAACCAGAGCTCCCCATCGAAAATGCCACCTTCAAACCCTTCAGCACCGTCATCCATTCTCCTGAAAAAGTAGACATTGGAGATCTCCACTCCATTTACCTCCAGGGAAAGCCAAATAATTGCGGAGTTCTCGCCTATGGCCTCAACTCTGTGCCCTGTCACTTCGGGGATTCCTTTCAGTCTGTCCAAAGGCTCGGCGATCAGTGCCACATACTGCGATGGATCAGATAGTTGAGTGATGTTGCCGTTCGCGAACAAAGAAATGGTTGGGAGGTAATAAGTGGCCATTTTGGTAGCCCGCTCGGTTGAACTCTTGAAGAGAGGCGAGGTGAGAGCGGCGCAATAAGAGACGATGTGATTCTTGGCAGCGGCGCTTATAACGATAGTGTCTTGCTTGATAGCCATGGTGAAGCTGTTCTGAGTTTCAACAAAAATGCTTTTAGGTCAAAAAGGAATAAGATGATTGTGGGTTCTGGTATGTTCCAGGATAGCAAGTTGAATCTACTCATGTGAAGAAGTCGGTTTCTTATAGAAGATACTTCAATTACCGTAGGACGCTATATCCGTCTATTCGCCGTTTCACCACCGTCCTCTGATATATACTCGGCCGAATCTGATCAGGAAGTCCGCTTCTGCATGGCAGTTCGGCCGATTACCCCCGAGATTCTGAATTTAGGGCAGGATAGGATAACAACCTTGGTAGCCTTCATATACGTATGCTTGACCGCAAACAAAATGAATCACAGAGAAGCTCTGCACCCTTTCTTAAAATTCCTTTTATCTACCATTATTGACTCCTGTGTATCTCCTAGAGTATCCAATTACCCACCAAATCTGTGTTCACCAAGCTGTCGAAGAAAACCAGATCATCTTCTCCAAAAGACCAATCACTGGCATCAAGACCATCTTGGATGCCCGGTATCTCGGGAAATTGAAAATGACCACCAGAAATCTGCAAAATAGTATCTTCCGTCTCCACACTATCACCAGCATGACTCCCTTCATTTGCATCTGTTTCATGAAACATCCGTTTCCTGGTGTGAGTATTAAGACTCGGTGTGTATTCTGCTCCCATTCTAGAAGAAGAAACATCGGATTCAGCAGGCCTAAGAAAGGAGGGATTTTGGCATGCATTTGCTCCGACAATCCGCTCGCCTTCTAACGGCTGCACGGCACCACCACGCGCAATCCGTATCACTCCGAAAAAGGGGATTTCAAGACGCATTTTGTCCGACTGGGTTTCCCCACGAAGGAACCGTTGAAGCGTGTGAATGACTGAGATGCTCTGGGTACCAACCGACATCACAGCACCATGCTGCTGAAGTCTCTCAAAGTTCTGAACAATCGTCTCTACAAGGCGAGTATCCTCATATCGCTCTTGTAGGATATTTTGATCCGTGCTTTCTTTGGCGCCGAGGAGACCCAGAAGAATAGTTGTCGCTGCCGTGAAAGCCTGAAACTCGAGGAGGTTGGAGAAGAGAAGCGTATCATGACATTCACAAATGGAAATCCATCTCTTGATCAGATTTCGGCCTGCAGTCAGGCAGGATATGCGCGAATATTCATATCGTCGATCAGTTGCGGCGCGCAGCATGAACGGTAGATGCAAAAGCATCTCCAGTTCGAAATGCCAGATTTGGCACATCATTCGCTCAAATTGAACAGACGCTTCTTTGGTGCGACTTTTGAGTATGGTACAAGGTATTTCCCACCATTCTAGTGGCATTTGCTCTGCGAGCGAATCGAGTTGTTCCCCTATTTTTTGGGTGGTGGAAAAGGAATGGGTGCAATCATATTGGTTGCGAGCCGAAATTAGGCCAGCTAGGTGGTATAACTGGCTATGATAGAGATATTCAGGAGATAGCCACGTAGCGTTTTCACCACATGGGAAGGCTGCTGAGCCACTGATTGACGGAACACCGAGTATGGTGGACAGGTATCGTTCCTAATTGTTTAGCGTGATTATGTGGAAAATGAGGTGGTTAACTTACTCCTCTCGATACCTGATACCATAAATGACGTTTCTTCATCTTAGACAGATCAAAATCGTCCGTAGATGAATCGACAGCCACTCGGTGAAGACCCAAAAGCTGAGCTATCGCGATGGCTTTTCGGAATGATAGCCACGATCTTCGAAGATTACCGGAGTTGACCTCGTATATTCCCATAAGTGCAAGACACTCAATACTTTCGATATTTCCCATCAACTCATCGTCGGAGGTGACGTTTCGAACGATAAAATCAATTATATCGCACATCAGATCTCGAAGTGGTTTTGTAGTTTGGAATCTTCGCACATCCATTTTTGGTGGAAGCTGCTGAATGCAGATTGCAATGCAGAGAAGGAGTCTCGCTACATGCAGCGGATCTCCCTTTGAAACATTGTATACATCGAACGTGCCGTGAAAGTCATTCTCTGTTACATCTGGTAGATGCGGCATCATATGTTGCTGTATCAGCCACCATCCATGACTTGAAGAGAAAAGAAGATCGACATCCGCTTGACAAGGCAATATTTTAGCTAGCCTTTGGCGGAGGATCTCGAGCTTTCCTATCGGGAAACTAACTTCAGCCTGCGCCCCATATCCACCAGAGCGTGAGGCCACGAAAGGTCTAGTCTCGTGAGTCATTGCTGGACTGGCTAAAGGGGCCGGATGACCATTCTGACTCGTCTTCGTTGTTTCCATCAGGGTCTCTAGCAATGACTCTACTCTTGCCATACGCTGAGCCAATGGTGAGTCGTCAGCATGATGTGGTAAAGGATCATCCACATACTCCTGGCTGAGGCAGGGAGTGCTTCTCTCTAAACATCCAGCGCAGATCGAGAGATCCGAGGTAGGATTACATTTGACTTTTCTTCTTTTGCCTATTCATTGTCAGTCTTCGCTCGGTTACGGAGATATGTGCTTACACTCCAAACAGCTCTTCGTTCCTTTACGGACTCTTTTCCGCCGGCACTCTTCGGAAATTAAGCTACCCGACATCGTGACAGAGTCTACACAGACTTGAAAGTGGGAAAAGCCCGTGTAATGCGGAGCACGTAGTTTCGGGGGAGTCAATACCTAATTCTGGAACTGTGAAGTCGGTCAGGTTCGGCCGAACCCGACCGGAGGCTTTCGTAGCCAATGATAATCTACTGCCCAGGCGCAGCTTACAATAACCAAAAGTCTTTGGAATTTCGTTTTGCTCTTCTTTTAGTCTGATTGTAATACCAGACAGAAACCTCTGGTTTTTAGCTTCAATTTAAGTGGTACTATTACTGGCGCTTTGAAAAGAGAAAAAGATAACATCATTCCGCAAGAATAAACCGCGCTGCTGACTTGGCTATGCTAATATTGCGCGAGATAAAGATTGTGAAGGAGAAAGGCGACCTGCTCAAGGCAAGTTGGCACAACAGCAACAGCATGCAATCCTAACCTGATGATGTTCTGCTCATACGTGATGGATCAACACATACCATAGTAGCCTGCCCACTAAAGTCCTGGCCTGGGTCACGCAAGTGGATTTTGCTGGTCCCTGGAAGCTTTGGTCCACCAACGTATACCCCATACGGTCCCCCAAAGGATGGCCGATGTACCATCTCTATCTGAAGCTGCTTAGCCCATTCCTTGAAAGGTATATTGGCCTTCTCAGCATCAAAATGGAAATTCGAGGGATTCACGCCCGAGAAAGACTGTGCGTCCTGTTGTCCACGTTCCAAATACAAGTTGTCATGCAATGTTATAGATCGTCCTCGGTACCCAAGAACGGATAGTTCGACGTATTGCGGTTTGAGATGATCTGCCCAGAATTCGAAAACGCGCTTCCAGAGTCCCTGCATCTCGGTTTTGACTTCGGTAGACATTGAAGTGACCCAACTATCGCTGTTTGGAGTCAGGGGTCCTAGGTCTGGTGCTGATGTTATACTATCAACTAAACTGACTAATCTCAGACTCAGTCGTTTCAACGTTGGGGCTGCTGTCCGTAGAAATTCTTCGAGGCTACTCACTGTCACCTCAATCGAATGAAGATGAAGTTCCTCTAGCTGAGTGAATTGAATCCTTTGAGAGACGTGCTTGAAGAAAAGAGGGGAAATCTCTTCTATGGGGCTCCATTGAGCAAAGTGTAGAGTCTTTAGTGTCGGTGCAGTCGTGACCATGATATTGAGAAGACGTTTCAAGGTGTCTTCATCGAAGTTTTCTCGTCCGTGATCTTTGAGGCGAATGCACATATGTAGAGTCTTCAGATCCTTCAAGAGCGGAAGCAGTGATTGATACTGTGACTCTGGCAGTTGGAAAAGTTTCAACTTCATGCCGCAAAAGCTATGGCTGCATGTGTGGAGGGCTTGAACCTTTCGACCGGATTTTATTATGGCGTTGAGTAGTTGCGAGAATACCAAACTGTAAGGCATGAACGATACGCTCTGATGAAACATTGGGCAATTCTTGAAGTTGAAATGACTTTTTAATTCTCGTAAGCCCAAACAAGTAAAGTCAGTGTTCCTTGCTGTATTCAGGAGGAACCTTGTCTCGTAAGACCGTAGCCCAAGGGCGACAGCGTTCTCGAGGCGCGGTAGGCATTTTTCAAGTCGATCTAACAGTCCCGGGGATTCGACAATGGCACGGTGTTCTGCCATTGTAGCTTCGTAGACGGCAAACAGAGCCTCGAGCTCAGCCTGAACTTCATTGTGTTCTTCCGTTGTTGGATGACGTCCCAATGTCAACAAATATTTCCTATTGTCCACCTTTGTAAAACTTGCCTTGCCCAAGTTTGCCCAGTGATCGAACAAGTTCGGGATGATCCAAATTTCTTCAACCGAGCCACGAAGGGATTCACTGGCTGCAACATGCTCCAAGCGGTCAAGACCTTCACGGGTGAGAAGAAGTGTGATTTTTTTGAAATATCGCGTTGCATAGGCTTCCAGTGTGTTGTCGTATATTTTGCGGCAAGAAATCCGGAGTGCGCCCCATTCTTGAGGCTGTAGATGCTCACAAATACCAGCCAACAGCTCTAAAGGCAAATCCGTAATCGACATATTGCGCGGCTTTATTTAGTCCGCACCAAGTTAATCACTATTGGTGGCCTTGAATTTTCGATCACGTGAGCCGCGAAGGATGATGGGATTGAACGAGAATGAGATTCACAAGGAATTCCATACAGAACTCGACCCAAGAGGTGCCCAGACAAAGCTTAAGTACCGGTAATTCAGTGGCGTCGGAGCTAAGTCCGGCTGTCGCAGAAAGCCCATTGTTTACGGCCCACACTTGATCACCGGTCGCGCGACCATAAAGCGGCGCTCGCCTCAAATCCGACAAATAGAGATAACAATCAGACGAGGCATTGGCAGAATGGTTAAGTTGAAGAACTGAATTGCGAGTACTAAAAGCCGGGAGAAAGCCTCAAATCAAACAAGCAAAGTTTGGCGGACTCGGATTTAGATGCAAATGAATCTAGCTATGCACTGAAACGGTCTAGGCGTATACGTAACAAGCTAACTTTCTATAGTTAGAAATCAAGATTTCCGGCGCACTCGCTCAATCAAAAGATCCTCTCTAAAGCCCTAGCCTCTAGAAGAAGACGAATCACATGGACGAACAAGCAGCCATAGTGATTAAAGCTCGGTCCTAGACTACCAAATTCGGTACGAAATGGAATGGCTACAGATTCCTCGACAAAATGTTCGGACTGCGGCGGATCTGAGAAACAACGATCATCTTGAGTGGTTCGCCCCGCCTGCTATAACAAAGGTTTCGCGGCATCAGTATGCTGTACTTCGAATCTAGCATCCACGTGAAATACTCTGAGCTTTCTCGACTAGCGAATCCTCACTGTTGTCTACTTTTGTTTTTTCTGTTTTATCGACAGATGTTGCATGATATATGACAGACTAGCTGTGGTTTCCATTCATGGCCGGTGCCCGCAATTCGAGAGCATAGACATCCGCCACCCGGCTGCCTAAGGATGCCTAGAAGATAGCGCTAACTCTCCTTTTGGGTCTAGCACGTCCTAATCAAATTTTTATAAGGTTCTCGAATATGCCCTTCTCTGATGGTTTCTCGTTTTCATGCTCAACTGCAACCAAAAACATGGCCTCATTCAATCTTCCCCCAGAGCTCCTCGCGATTATCACTTCTTTGTCAGACACAGAAACTCTCAAGGCCCTAAGGCTGACCAGCCGTTCCTTCTGCACACATGCATCGAGAAGCCTCTTTTCTACAGTCTCGTTATATACAGATGACAAAAGCTGTGAGGGCTTTATGTCAATCATGGCAGATCCAGATTTGAAAGGACATGTCCGTAAGATTTGCCTCAATACTGTGGAGGTGGACTACGTAAGTGAACCGCCTTAACGAGATGCAATGGTAAACACTATTGTTCAATCAACAGGCGACTAATACGCCGCAAACTAGGACTCGGATGATGAGTACCAAGATGAGCTACCTTCAAGATGGAAAGACCTCCTACCCGAGCTTTCAAAATTTTCAAATCTCGAAAACGTTGCTCTACGCTTCGACAAAACATGCTCGATGGGTGATAATATTTTTGAGCCTCACCAGTCAATTGAGTATCGAGAAAGTATCCTGCAATGGCTTGCTACGGGGCTGTCATCTCTTAAGCGACCATTGGAAGAATTGGCGATTCAGAACCAACAGAATGTAACACCGTTGAGTCCGGATTTTCAACGGATATTGAGCACGCTGGGTTCACTAAGGCTGAATGTTGTTCATGAATATGAGCCTGCGGCTCCCGAAACTGAAATCGAGGTTTGTGATGTCTGAAGCTTGATCGCAGGCATCATATATGCCTATACATTGTTCTTTTTCACTGACCTGTCGGAATATCTAACAGAAAGAGGAATTGGAAGAATTTTACGCACGCATACTGCCGTCAGTCTGGCTGAAACCCACAATGGGATCACTGCGAAAGCTTTCTCTATATTCCAACTTTTACTGGGGGTTCTGTCCCAAATTCAGCCTCGAGGGGATCCATTGCCCCAATTTACAGTCACTCACTTTGGGGAATTTTTCATTTTTTGAGGATCAGCAACTGGACTGGATATTGTCGCACTCGTCAACGCTGCAAGAGCTTTACCTCGACGATTGTCCCATTTTATTCCGAACACTCATACTGGATGAAGAATCCGATCTTGCCAAGTGCCCGATACCAAAATCTAACATGACATTGCAACGGTCTGATGAGTGGATGAAGTCCTGGTTCTACTATTACCCACGCCGGTGGAGTGATTATTTTGCCTCGTTCGGTGCAGGGCTGCCACTCCTCCGTCATTTCGCAATTGGTCACAGCGAAGCATGGGATTCAGAACTTGGGATGCCGTTTACGACGAACCCGGACCTGATTCCCGCATTGATGCGTGATCGGTACATGGCGTTTGATGGCGGCATTGGACCCTCGCAGTTTCTTTCACCGCGGCTTGAGAGCGAGAGAAAAGACTGGCCGCAATGCGATGACGAAGATCGCACAGCTTTGAAGGCTTTATATCATAAGATCAACCAGCCGGTAGATTGTGGAGAGTTTACTTTAGGATCTTATGAGGTGATTGATTTGGTAGCCTCACGATAATTGATGAATTGAAATCCACTACTAGGATGCACTCAAACAAGCTTTAATTGTCGCTACTTCGTCTCTTCTAATGGGCCTAGGTCCAATCAGGTAGCGTAGTCGTAAATAACACCTACAGCCGAGCTCGGGATATTTGAACATCATGAAATAATATGAAAATATTTCTCTGGACTTCTATATTGAAAATCAGAATCGTGAGATACCAAACGCGAATCACAGTCACTTGCTCCAAAGAAAACGAGAAGTAAGAGCTGATGTGGCAGTTGAAGAGACAAGGCGGCAAATTTCCGAAGCACTTCAGGGCTTGGCATCCCGCAAAAAGCCACAATCGCCTCATTTTCATATCTGCGACTCGAGTTCAACCACAAGCATCTTGAGTAGACCACTTCCTGTTTGTCATTTCAAAAGAAAGCTGCGAAGATGACTATCAACCACAATTTCACCCTGCCAACCTCGGTGCAAGAGCTGCCTGTCAGCCCGGATTCGAAATTCTTTATTGCCTTCGTCTCCTCACCAGATCCCATTACCAAACAGCCCTGGTGTCCAGACGTACGCGCTGCTCTACCATTTATCCACGAGGCTTTTGTTGGTGACGATGCGCCAACCCTTGCTATCGTCGAAGTTGGACAAAAGCCAGAGTAAGTTCTACCACGGTGTTTTTTGTTTCTTTTTCGATCCTTGTTTCTCTTTTTTTTATACAAATATAGAATTTTCGATCCCTCTTTTGGGCTACAATTAGCTAATGTTGTAATTTCCAGGTGGAATAATCCTCAAAATGTCTACCGCACAACTTGGAGCACTAAGAATATTCCAGCGCTAGTACGCTACCAGAATGTTCATGGAGAGGTTACCGAGACCACAAGGCTAGTGGAAAACGAGATCTTGGACAAACAAAAGCTGCAGGCCTTCATGGTCTAATTACGACAGCATTATGGGTTGATTGTGCGTGGAACTCAAATTGCTAGTTGCCATATTCAATGATGTCTTACTGTATTCAGGTTCATAAAAGGCCAAATCATAGCTTATTAATGTGGAACTGAATGAACTCCGTATCATCCGTAGTTAAGACATACTTGCCGATAGGCATACATATCTCATCAGCACAATATTCGAGTACGGAAATATTAGCCCCCTGAGAAGAGTCGGTTGGCTCAATTTACTTCCCGGTTAAGACGCAGGTGAGCACTAAGAACAGGGCAAAAAGAGGACCCCGGTTTTAAGCTTTGACTCCTTTCAACACTAAACCTATTTAATCCAGATATATCGTACTCGTATTTCTTGCTTATTCTTCACTAAAGTTGATGCAAAAGTTGAGGAATTCCTTGGCATTAAGGATCGCAATGCGTTGGCTGTCGTAGGTATAGAGCCCTACTGGTGGACTCTAGATTTACCTTCTGCTCAAGACCCTGTAGACGGGAGTTCGGCATTTCTAGCAGGCCCAAGCGGGACATGGAGAAATGCGGGGAGACGGTGGGCAATTTACTTTTGATACTATACTTTCGTCACTTCCGTTGCCCGATCCCGGGAAACGGCTTTTGAACTTCGGGTATGGCAATTTCAAAGGCAGAAATCTACCCAATGAAGCTCTCTGATCATAGGTGTTATATTGACCATGGCTTTGATTAATCCAGAAATGGGAGGCCAAACCCGGGGGCTCTTACACGGTGGGATTCTCTTCAAATGCCGATGACTGCGATAGCCTTGGGAAATACAGATATAAATTGCCAGTTGATAACGCACTTTTATATATCAATAGCATAACTTGACAGTGAATCACTTGAAAGACATGCGATCTACTAACCTTACACTGTTGGGCTCCGCCCTACTCATCGGCCAAGGGTTTGGTTATAGCAAACCGAAAGCCATCCCTACGCCGCAGAAAAGTACTCCCACTGTACCCAACGATCTCCAGGCCTTTTCAATTGAATTCACCTTCTTCCCGGACTATGCTGGCAACAAGTCACATCCCAATGAGTTCTCCAAGAATCTTTTGGCCAACTTCAAGCGCATTACTGGCGTGCAGCCATCAGTGAGAGTCGGGGGCACATCTCAGTATGTTCAGATGCATTAAGTATACTCTTGGTTTCTATTTAAACCTTTAACACCATACACAGAGATAATTCATACTATGATCCCGACCAAGAGGAGAATATCAAACTCATCTTTGCGCATCCAACTGATGACCAGCCAGAAACAGTCTTCTATGGTCCAACATTCTTCGAGTCCTATCATACATTGGGGAATATCAATTTCTTTCACGGCCTAAACATGAAGCAGAATAATTCTATCCAAGAACTCCAGGAGGCTGCGGTAGAGGCATGCACCTCGATCGGTCCCCAGTTGAAACTCTTCGAGTTAGGCAACGAGTGGAACTATGAAGCTTCTATATACCGCGGAGCCAACTACTCCATGCCAGAATATGTCGACGAATGGAACAGCAAATCTACGGCAATCAAGGCTGCTGTTCAAAAGGCTTGTCCTGGGTCCTTCCCTGGGTTCATGGCTCCCTCTTTCCTGGTGTTTAGCCTTTTTGAGAATGGCTGGTCTGCGGAAGAAGTCTTCAATCTTGGCTTTGATCCTTACAGCTTGACCAAGGAGCTTTCTTTCCACAGGTGAGCTTCCTCCCTTTGTTACTCATCTCACCAATTGACTTTCATCGCCTCAAGCTACATGGGTGTCAACCAACCACCTAATAATCCTCCAGTGGGCTGGGACCTTCAACGTATGACTTCCGAATTCAACATAATCAAACAAAGACTGACTGCTATAGGCCGCCTGATGAACCACACTAGCATCCAAGAAACTCTAGCAACCCATATCCAGCACGCCAAGAACCTCGCGTACCTCGGACACCCTTACGTTCTTGGTGAGCTTAACTCCATCGCGAACCAGGGTATCACCGGCGAAACCGACACATTCGGAGATGCTTTGTGGCTAGCTGATTTCTCCTTCTGGGCTGGCGCTAATGTACGATCCTCCCAATATCCCATCTCATTACAATAAATCACTATTAACATATCTCTGCAGAACATCAAGCGCCTCCACTTTCATCAAGGCCTCAATTACCGCTACACCTCATGGCAACCCATCCTCGGCAAGGGCCAACCCCCTACCACTCGTGCCCCATACTACGGCCAGATCATGGTAGCTTCTGCTCTCGGTCACGCGAAAAACCCCCGCTTCGTCAACATTCCCTTGGAGAAGGACACCGAGTCTGCTTACGCGATCTACGATGGAAACCGCCTATTCAGACTTGCCATCATGAACATGCAGGCTTTCAACCAAACCTCGGCCGGTATCCGCCCCAGCAAGGAGTACACCTTCAAGGTCCCTGGTCATCATCGTCATGCCAAGGTTGAGCGTCTCATTGCACCCGGAAGTGACGCCACGAATCAGATCACCTTTGCGGGTATCTCGTACGACCATGACCTTCGGAATGGACTGCCCGTTATAGTTGACCCGAAGGAGGAGTCTGTGGTTGTTAAAGACGGTGTGCTCCGGATTCATGTACCAGATTCCTCTGCTGTTATTGTAGAGTTTCATTGAGGAACGATATTATGAGGTGGTCGCACACTTTTTGGCAGTACATCACAAGATGTTGTTTCCAGACACATCTCCAAATATCACAAGTTATTTCATATCCTATATATTTCCCTTTAGTATTAAAACAAGCACATACGACCACAGGGTGTGGAGAACAGGGCTTCCCGTCCGCTCAGCCGTACTTAAGCCACACGCCGGTAAGTTAGTAGTTAGGTGGGTGACCACTAGCGAATCCTTACTGTTGTATGTTTTTTTTTTTATTTTCGTGGATTCTTTTTGCGTTTCATATAGTGGGAAATAGCTTATACAAAAGACAGGGTTGAAGTATCTGTCCGACGTTGAACAGGTAGAGGATGAAATTTTAATCTGATTTTTGTTAAACTCGACGTATTGAATAAATAAATATCGAACTAGCTGGGATAACATTATAAGTTATGATCAAAGTTTGACTAAAATCAGGCAATAAGGAGTGGTCGAACACATGGTCTTGGCCGAGTTGCATATAGATAGCGAGTCGGTCGGTTGAAGGTCTCGAGTCCTATATGTGAGTTGGATCTGTTATTGAAACAACCAAGACCTCGACCGGGGGAGGACTCTTGATCGAGATTCCAGACAGGCTGCGTGTATCGCATACTGTAGGATGGTGTCCATGTTCAGGGCTACGATGACTTATCCCCCTTACTCCGTACATGTACAGTAGGAGAATCAATAATAAGCATTGATCAGAGCTTGAGACCTCTGATCTGTGCTACCTCCAGCAGATCTGATTGGAGTCGACAGACGAAGTGTACGCGTACTTAACTGCAGGCTCCCACGACGCGCACATTATACATCCAATGCCATCACCAAGAGTACGATTTGCCACAGCGTACAGATCATAGCGATCTCCATTGCATGCCATTACGTCTCCCATCTTCCCCCTGATAGGTTTCAAGGGGTTATACAAGCCTGCAGGCTGATTGGCCATCTACCCGCTCGGTTGTGTTTCAGGACTAATGACGGTCTCAGCTGTCAAATCCACGCGCTCAGGAGGTGATTTCCTCCCCACTCAAGACGCCGCGCAGTAACAGACAAATGAGCCGGGGGGTGCCGAGAGCTCTTGGGTTACTTTCCTGGCTGTCCTGTCCGGGACTTCGTCCTTCCCTGGTCTAGCGACTGATCCACACGCACGCCAATTCTGTTTCGCCAATTCTGTTTTGGTTCGGCGGTTGTGAAGAGGTCTAATGCCCAGCATGCCGAGAATAGCCAAGGATTTTGCGTTTGGTCGTTACAGGTCTCTGATAGGGTGAGAGGTGAGGTGGAAACAAACAGTTTGGTGATGCTCTTTCCATATAGATCGCCCCGTGTTTCACTTGAAGGTGCTTTGTTGATTCTTTCTTTTTCTTCTCCCTTTCTCTATTGTCTTTTATTCTCTCTATTGTCTTTCATTGTCTTTTGGTTTTTATCGCTCTTTTCTATTCTTCTGTTCCTTGGATTCGATTCAGGACTGCCTGTCGCTCCTTTTGCGACATTGGCATTGTTGCATTGTGCATTTCTCTCCACGCCTGGTGCACTTTTTTTTTGAAACAGCTCCGAGAGCTATTCCTGTCTTTTAGTGTCTGGATTTTCTAGACAGGCTCGTCTTTCTCTTCTCAGGACATTCCTTGATATCGATCCCTCAGGCTGGTCCTGGTTGTTCCGCTCATTTTACGGCACTAATATCCTTGGGTATTCGCACAAGATGCATCTCTTATTTTCTCTTGTTATTTTTGTTTTCTTGGGCTTGAATGCTCTGTCCATGCCCACGGAACCTCGGTCCCGCCTCCAGAGCCGGTCCTTCAAGGTGGACCTTGTTCGACGTAGCGATTATGTTCCTCACGGCCCAACTGCTCTACGCAAAGCATACCGCAAGTTTGGAATCACTTCGACCGACTTCACCGGCACTGAGCTGAGTGACTTTAAGCTCCTCGACACCAGCAGCCTTACCACCGCGAAGAGTGCCACCGAAGATTCATCTGATACTGAGCAGACCGGCGCTGTTAGCGCCACTTCAATCAATGGCGATCAGGAATTCGTTTCGCCCGTAAACATCGGCGGCCAAACCCTCCCAATGAACTTTGACTCGGGATCTGCAGATATGTAAGCTCTAGTATGCAATTAGTTGGCTTGTACATCAACTAACATGTATACAGGTGGGTGTTGAGCTCCCGGCTCCCGGCCACTCAAAAGCAGGGCCGAACTGTGTTCGAGGAGGACAACTCGACTACCTTCAAGCAAGTCCAGAACGGCACATTCAGTATCTCATACGGTGACAGCTCCAAAGCCTCAGGCTTACTGGGCAAAGACACGGTCTCTGTCGGTGGTGTGGAGTTCAAAGAGCAAACGTTCGGCCTTGCAACTGAAGCATCCGACGTATTCATCGAGGATACAGCATCAAACGGACTCGTCGGCCTCGGCTTCTCTTCTCTCAATACCTTCAAGCCCGGTCCCCAGAAGACATTCTTCGAGAACGTCGCCCCAACCCTTGACGAACCACTTTTCACCGCCAGACTACGCCCCGATGGCGTCGGCCAGTATGAATTCGGCAAGATTGACGAGACCAAGTACACTGGCAATCTTGTCAACGTCAGCGTGGATTCGTCCGATGGATTCTGGCTGTTCCAATCGGCTCAATACTCCATCGACGGCGGCGCCTTCAACACCATCACCCAGACAACCAAGGCCATTGCCGACACGGGCACCTCGCTTCTGCTGATCAGCCCCGAGGTCGTGCAAGCCTACTATGCCAAGGTCGCGGGTGCTGTGTATGCTGGCAATGTCCAGGGTTGGATTTTCCCCTGCGCATCAACCCTCCCTAGTCTTTCCATTGCAATTGGCAACGACTATGCGGCGAAGATCCCCGGAAAGTTGATCAACTATGCCCAGATCGGCACCAACACGACTACCGGTGCAACGCGTGAGTTATTGTCGTCCCTCTTCTATGAATACCAACTAACCTTTCTCCTTGCAATAGTTTGCTACGGTGGCGTCCAGTCCAACTCCGGTGGTTCAATGTCAATCTATGGCGATGTGTTCCTGAAGGCGCTCTTTGTCGTCTTCGATCAGCGAGGTCCTTCTCTGGGATTCGCCACTCCCACTTAGGCGAATGTCAGTGCTTGCAACATACGTTGCTTGTCTCACAAAAGCCTTTTGATATGTACAGATTAAAGAAATCAAAGATCACATTTCAACTGTTCTTAGCGGTATTCATGTGTCTTTGGTCGGTGGACTTGGAGCCCTTTCACTATGACAAGTAATAAGTTAATGATAATACTGAACTTTTGAAATTTTGATTTCTTCATATTCTCGTGGGTATGCGTGTAGTCCATTTTATTTGCAAAGCCAGACAACAACCAAGCTCTTGACATCAGGCATCTATCTCTTTACCGCACGGTGGCGTTCTGCAAGCTCTTAACGGTGCAGATGCCACCAGAGGCAGCAACAAGCTTGCCAAGAGCAGGCTTGCCCTCCTGACCGTGGACGGCGGGAACAGCACTGCTATCAAAGGCGACCTCGAGGTCACCGGTGGTCGTGAATCCAGGCTGGAACATCTCCCAGACCTTCTTCTTAGGGTTGAGCTGCTTCTCGGGCTCACCCTCGCTCCAGCCCTGGAAGGTGATGCGCTCACCAGCGGGGGCATCGGCGGGAGGGTTGACCAGCTCGACAGGGCCGGCGTGGTTGTCCTCCTCACCCTCAGCGAGGCGGGGAGAGGCAGCGAGAACCATGGCGCAGGACTTGACACCACGCATGGTCACGGGCTTCAGGTTGCACACGGCGACGATCTTGCGGCCCTGCATCTCCTCCAGAGGCACCAGGCCGTTCAGACCAGAGCAGACAGTGCGGACGGTCTTGCCGGTCTCCTCGTCCAGGGAGGTGTTGTCGCTTCCAGGGGCATCACCGCAGTCGATGGTGGAAACGTACAGAGAGTCGGCGTTGGGGTGGTTGATAGCGCGCAGGATGTGACCGACACGCAGGTCAATCAGTGAGGGGGCGGGAGGGGCAGCAGGCGCAGGGGCGGGCTTGGGTGCCTTCTCCTTCTTCTCCTTCTTTTCCTTCTTGTTGGTGCGGGGAGGGCCACTGGCGGCGGCGTCGGCGCCAGCCTGGGCCTGGCCCTTGTCGGCCTTGCCCTTCTCGGGCTTGCCCTGGCCAACGACCAGGGGCTTGGAATCGGCGCTGGCCTCTGGGTTCTGGGCAGCGGCCTTCTCGCGCTTCTTGCGCTCCTTCTCCTCCTTAGGGTCGACGGGCTTGGGCACAAACTTGACGTCGTTCACGTCAATGGCGATCTTCTCTTCGTCGGGGATCTGCAGAGAAAATAGGCGGGAGTTCTGCACAAAGTCGACGTGGCGCACGATGTGGTGCAAGCCCTTCTCTCCAGTGCGCTGCTCGGAGGTCCACTTCTCAACGACGGGGGCCAGAAGAGCGTAGATAGCAATATCGGCGACCGAGGGCTTCGCGCCGAGGACGGTTGTGCGGGTGGCCAGGTGGATGTTCAACTGGGTCAGAATTCCCTCGGAAGCTCTCTCATCACCCTGAGCCAGAGAGCTCTTCAGACCGTTGACGGTGTGCAGCCATTGCTTGATGTCGGCTTCCTCATCTTCGGCGAAGGTGACGGTGGGGAAAATCTTGGACGAGGCGTGAAGGTAATCGGGCTCAGTCGCATCGGGAGAGATGGTGGCCGGGTACGACCGGTAGAGCAGAGAGAGGAGCGAGGACTCGGGGGTAGCTGCCGTAGCCATTGTGAAGCGTGGAGGGGTTGGTGAAAGAAAAGAAAATCGAGGGGCTCGGATTTGTGTCGGGACCCGCGGGGTTATGTTTCGGGCCCGCAATGGGATCCTGAGGATATTCAGCTTGACAAGGATCCCAGGAGTCAGGGATCTGGTAATTATTTTATTCTAGTCAAAGAGCAAAGAGCTACAGGGGGAGCCTGGACGTTTTTTCTGACTGTGCTGCTTGGGCTGACTCAGCAGAGGAAGCCGGGTCCAGGTGTCTACGGGTTGGATATTGTGAGACTACATACAAGTTACCTGGAGAGTCCCTGGGTTTAGTTGAGTAAGGTGAAGTATAGGCTTGAGTGCGTGGGATTCTATCAGGGTCATTGTAGGATGACTGAACGCTAGTCCGTCCTACGGACTAGCGGGAACTCTCTATGTACATCAGTAGCTTTGTACCTAGCTCTATCACTCTCTATTAAAGGAGCGAATAATTTGCATCTAATGAAATGACTAGTACTAGACGTATCGTTTCTATCAAGCTTAAAGCACTGTAAGATCAGCCTCGCTTGGTAACCATAGCCCACACTGAATGTAGCCCAGGGCGTGACATGATGTCCGACTTGCCAGAAGCCAGTATGTGATCTTGTAATTATAGAACAATCCGGAATCAGAGCTAATGTTCTTATTGATTGTAATTCTCATACGATCGAGCAGCACCCATTGGGTTATTGCACTCAATATATAACAATTGCATACTTGATCTACTAATTGACTCCTGCGAGATTGGCCTTTTCGAAGTTGCAGCATCACACAATGTCTTATTTGCATCGTAATTTATCTTAGTTTTCTGGAACAACAAATGTGATTACTACTAGCTATGTTACAAGCCAAATTCCAAACTATTTTGCAGTCTCTTCTAGGTCGAGGTTGCCTATTCTGATAGGGACTATGAACGGCAACTTTCTCGAGCAATAAGCACACAAACCAAATCCGATGAACCGTTTAGAGGCTACGGTGAAGCCAGACTACGAAGGTTACTCTCTTGGTCCGTCTTGTAGCCAGAGAAAATCCGGCAAAGCTGTTTATTCAAGGCCACAAATTCGAACTCCTAGTAATGCGAGAACCATAAAGTACCGGGTTTTATGATTGTCAAGTAGTGCATTTCATATTTTTATTGTTCGAATATGATATTGGAACCCTGAGACTGGCTACAAGTCAACCAAGTGGTATTCTATATCATTTTTCTGGTACATCGAGGATTTGGAGTAGTCTCTTGGTCCTTTTGTAGCATGATATGCTTGAGCGATGGTGTACAGTCATTCGTACGGCATCCTGTCGTATCTTCTAAATCGCTAGTATAAGAACACTTAGAGCGTGACGGGACGTCATAGACGAACGAGAAACCGGGGGATCACCGAGTTGACAGATCAATAGACGCTAAACCACATTTAGAATCAAAACATCCGATCTTGAACTCAGATCGCTTCATTTGGGGTGCAGATACTGTACAATGACTCTACAAGATAATGAACGAGATAGGCAACATATCAAAGCCACGAAGACCCAAAAGATATCTAAAATGCCACTCAATGCCAAAGGTAGTATAGGAAGCTAAGCTATATTATTTGACAAGTGTATAGCCTATGATCCATGTCTAACAGGTTGTTCAGTTTGACGTGCATCCCAATCTTACATTTGGTCAACGCTCACATGTCAAAACCTGTTGAGTTTGCCGGCCACCTTAGTGACGATGAAGAGTTCGACGTCACTGTGGGCGAACATGTCGATCCACTAACCCCACCGATTGGCATGGCACGCCACAAACCCCTCATCGGGCCTAGGAAGAAGAGATCTGAAGATTGAGACTGGTTCAGGGCTGGGTTGAGCTGGGCACGGATAGGTCCTAGAAGTACGTTTTTAAATATTGCTTGCGCAATAGTATCCAAGGTTCCTCCGGTGAACGGTTCGCCAACTCAAAATGGATTTTTGTGTTTACAGTAAATCGCGCAGTCAATCGCCAGAAGGAGCCAATTGTAAATAGTCAAAGGCCCCATAAAAGAGCTGCCATTGACATCTCACTTGACATTTCGCTTGACATCATAGTTCTGTCCCGGGAGAACGGTTATACCCAGCCGCACTCATAAACAGGGCTATAAGGATATCAACGCCAGTGCTGTCCACGTTCCTAATTAATCTCACGACCTGCGAACCTTTCTATCAAGCCTATACTTTCAGACCAGACTAAATCTCATTCAATACACCGCATTGACAACATGGGGCTCCACACAACTGACGACAAGGAGTACACTGAGCTCATGGCTCACCATGGTAAGGGAAACTTCATCTACGTTCCTGAAACATACAAGAATTTACATCCCGGCTCTATCGGATACTGGAACAAGCTGGGCCAATGGGTTGAAATCACGGATATTTCCGTGCCAGGCAGACCAGAGGCCGATGGATTCGGACCTGCTCCCATCCCGCCTATGGATCACCCGACAGACCAATTCTGGAAGACCATGTCTTCTGAGAGTGGAAGTGAGAATGGTGGGCGTCTGAAGACAGAAGTTTCCGGATTAGCGGCAGGAGGACCCATCGATGCCGGGGTTAAAGCAGAGAACAAAAACACCTCAAACAAGAAAGCAGCCCTTATCACCGATGAGGTGGTGAAAATGGAAAGATTTATCACAAGAAACACAGTGATTATTGCGGGGTGGGTTAAGGATAATGCGAAGAAACTCGTCAATTCGCCTTTTGGTGCTGATATTGGCCACTACGGTCTTTATGCGGTTCACACTGCCTGGGTCACCTCGCAATGTGCAATCACCATGACCACCGACAAGAGCCGCAATCTTGACCTTGGACTAGACGTCGGAGCGACCGGAATTGCGAAGCTGGGAGCTGGTGGATCATCCCTTAAGAAGCTCAAGGGTGAAGGATGGGCAACATATGAATCCAACGGGGTAAGTTTTACCAAATTCCAAGCTTTGAGATTGCATTACTGAAATCATGCAGAAGGACGGTGGCTTGGTGGTCTCGTACGCAGGAGCTCAGTTCAAGCTCGCGCGTCTGGCCCGCTTCAGGAAACATGTAAGTTTGAATCTCGATTTACCTAACATGTCCAGATTAGCTAACCAAATGAAGGCTCTATCGGAAGTCAGGACCGGGGAGACCGTTGAACTTCGGGCTATCTATGACGAGAACGGAAACATTACAGGATACGAAGAAGTGAAGGTGAAGGCACCAGAGGAAGAGGAGCCCACTGGAGAAGAAGATGATATAGTCATTGCCGAGAGTGAACCCGTTGGAATGACTGAAGATGATCTCAGGGACGAAGAAAAGGCTGCAGAGGAGGCAGAAAAAGCGAAGCAAGCTGAATTTGCCAGAAAGGCTGCGGAACTTGTTAACATCCCAGAAGGAGTAGAAAGAGATGCGGCGCGGCAGAAGCTGCTACAGGATATGACGGTGCAGCAACCTGTGACCCAACAGATCCCAAAGGCTTAAATTTGGGATTCTTCAAGTTTGGAGCATGAGAATCAGGGTTAAGATGTGCAAACTAGATATGTTATATCCGAAGTATAGAACGTGACTTGAACGTGATGCCAGATTCCCAAGGTCTCATCGAAGCCGATCCATGGATGTGACCCCAGATATGCGCTAGACCAAACCAGGACGGTGCCCAAAGATAGACAGTCTATGATTGGCTGATTCCACCACGCTAAAATGAGTCATAATGAATCAAGCGCCAAGACCCAATCACATATCGCTGACTGTGGAGCCACATCCGCTGCGGTTCATCCCCTTGCCTCAGGATTTCTTTATATGGCCTGGCCTTTCCTAGAGTTCCTTCCTCAGGACACGACTCCTACAGAGTCGGACCCCATACGCAGTTGACCTAAGGTCACCTTTCATCGCCCTTCGCAAGAGCGTCACGGGTCTGCAAAGACCCGTCTAAGAGATCAATCCATGCCGGCCTGCAGTTGCTCAAGCGCCGCAGCGGTCATGCAGAACACCCACAGGTTCATGCCCAGCCAGCTCCGGCACACAGGAACGCCGTCAAGGGCCTGTTGAATATTCACCGTGGTTGAGTTACGCTCAATACGGTGATGACCACCTTCTCTCGTCTCTGGCGCCGCCGATAGGGGGTTCCCCTCGGCGGTGCCTATTTGTCAATCCTTCGAAACCCTCGCGCAACAGTCCGATCTCTGGCCAGAACCCGATCTGTCCTTTACCGACACGGACTGGAACTTCGTATCTGTGAACACTTCAACGCCTTATCCCCACGGTTATGATGGTATCGATGTCCCCGCCATGGACTTTGGGTACGGCACTGCCTCTGCCTTTCAATCTCTCTCGGATTCGGGCTCACTCGAGAACCAACACCTTGTTCCTGCATCTGCTGTTCCTAGCTCGGCCAATTCTCAAGGTATGATTTAATCTTGTCGCCATTGTCTCTATGGTACTGGGTTCTAACTCTCACGAAGACGGTCACTCGCACTCGCAGCCTTCTCCTGTCTCACAATTTCCTGCTCCGGTCTCGACCACTTTTCCTAGCCCGGCTACCTCTCAGGGCGATGACATATTAGGCCCGACTGGTGCTCGTGTGGAAAAGCGCCGACTCAATACCCTCGCTGCTCGACGATGTCGGCAGAGACGGGTTGATCGGATGAAGGATCTTGAAGCGGAGCTGGAGAAGATTCGCCAGGAAAGAGATGATCTGAGACTCAAATGTTCCAAGCTGGAAGGCGAAACGGATGCTTTGAAGGGTCTTCTCAGTCGCAAGAACAAGGGTAGTTAGGATCTCGATCATTGGAGCTGGGCTCTTAGATACCGAATTCGATTGGATTGTATTGGTTTCGACTTCTACTTCTTCTATATTGTAGCTCTTCTTGTATGTTCGTATTGAGAGGCAAGTAAGCCCCGCAAGTTCTCGACATGGCCCCAACATGTCCAGCCCCACCCCCACAGAGCACATCCAAACCTCGGCCAAACAGGGACTCGAAGTGCGAGACGGAGCATTTCCGTCCCAGTCCAGCTTCCAATCTTGGCAAGAATTCGATGTCATTACCCGCTCTTCGGGGCTTCCGGGGAGGGGCTTGCAGTCTGTACAGCGTTCGTGGCACTAATCACTGACAGGCGCCATGTTCTTTTTCCCTCAAGTTTAAATCTTTCACTGCAGTGGATCCCCATCGGCTCATCGTACTCGACATAGTACTTGGTGCAAGCCTCGTCCGCTCACGTTAGAGTAAAACTGCCGACCACACCGAGGTCAAATCAGAACCCAGGAATCAGGATGAGAGCAGTTCGCTTCCACGGCCGGGAGGATATCAGAGTTGATGAAGTGGAAGAGCCAATCTGTGGCCATGGTCAAGTCAAGGTGAGAGATTCAATTCAATTCAAGAAATGACCAGCTACCGTTGCGATCCGACTCGCGATGTATAGGGCTTGGGTATGTCACTTCAGTCACTGACAAGCCTCGCTGTCAAAGATCCGCCCTGCATTCGTGGGCATATGTGGAAGCGGTAAGGGTTCCCTCCTAATCTCAAGTCTCTTTTTGACATCATCCAGATCTACACGAATACCTGGCCGGTCCTCTGGCAGTCCCTGTCACCCCGCACGCAGTAACGGGGGAAAAACTGCCGACCACGCTGGGCCACGAGTTTAGCGGCACAATTGAGGAGATTGGAAGCGGTGTTACAGGGTTGAAAGTCGGTGATCGAGTCGCTGTCAAACCTAACCTCTCGGACGGGACATGTTCGAGGTGTGTGATAGGAAGATTCAATTCATGTCAGAATTTAGGATTCATCGGGTATAGTGGTAAGTTATGGCAGACCTCATCTCGGTTTGACATTACTGGTTTATCCTTGTATGGAATGACACTGACCTAACTGACATTACCTTCTAGGTAAGGCAGGAGGCCTCTCCGACCATGTCGTCGTCGACGTGAAACATGCAATCCCACTGCCAGATTCCGTTCCCCTCGATATTGGCGGTAGGAATAACCTAACTCTTCTCTTCGTTTCATATTCTAGTCAGCTCTAACAGCGGGTAATACAGCATTGGTGGAACCACTCTCGGTGGCATGGCACGCCGTCAGCCGTAGTCCTCTGCAGGAACAGGACACAGTGCTAGTAGTTGGCGCCGGACCAATCGGGCTTGCAATTATCCAAGTACTGCGCGCGAAGGGTATCGAAAGTATTATCGCAGTTGAAGTCTCTGAGAAACGACGAGAGTTTGCTCTCAGCCTAGGTGCGACAGAGGTCCTGAATCCGCTTGAGGTGGATGCGGTCGCACGGGTGCATTCCATGACTGGGGATGCTGGTGGTGCTGCTATTGCTTTTGAGTGTTCTGGAGTACAGGCGGGGCTTGATACTGCTATGCAGGGTCTTCGGGTACGCGGCACGACGGTCATTGTTTCGCTGTGGGAACACAAGCCGGTCATTGATGCCTTTGCTGTCGTGCTGGATGAGAAGCACGTAACTGGTGCTGTTGTTTTTGATGATGGTGACTTTGAGGCTGTGATAGATGCTATTGCTTCAGGTACGTTTTCTTACAGTCGTCACTTTGCATATTGCTTCTTTCTCTTGTCTAGTTTGGGCTCCTGCTGACCTCTTGCTCCCCGAAAACAGGTAAGATCCAGCCACGCCTCATGATTACAAGTAAGATTCCAATGGAGGATGTCATCGAGAAGGGATTCAAGGCTCTCACCGGTGAGAGGGATAAACATGTCAAGATTCTGATCGACATCTCTGCATGAGCCGGGCGCCTAATGGTTAGGTGAGGCAGCTTCCCTGGTCGGATTATGGGCAGCAGTTGATGCCCAGCTTATACCGTAGATCAGCGAGGTATTTACACCAATGAATACTTGCATGGTTTCCCAATTTGGATCTGAGGTCGAGCCACGCGAGATCGATCGGGATGTAATGCGTTATGTGGTTGATCGGGTGATTTTCTTGCAGAATGGCCTAGTTCTGCAATACAACCTTGACCTAATTCAACCCAAGATATCCCTGCTAGATCTGGAATGGCGTCAATCCGTATTTACATGAGCATCACATTGACGCAATGGCAATTCCTTGTGGTGCCTTGGCCTGCGTCGTTGATTGCCAACACATCCGATATATTTCTGATACAACCGCTGAAATCTGAAGGCTGAGTATCGAAAGTGCATGCTACAGTGTGACCATCCACACTGAATATTCGAATGGCATTGTCCGGTTGAGTTAGCAACGGTGTACTCCGTAGATGATCCGCTCTATAGATAGTTCGAGGCCAGCCCCAAACCCCCTTTGTCAGCAACACGGCCACATCAGTGGCCGTGCCAACTCAGGTTCGCGTCGGGACGCCACAACCCTTTGGCCATTTATCCGCTTGTCCTATTTCTGTCTGAAACCCGATGCGTTTGGGATTTGCTTTTTGTGCAGAGATTCTTGAATGGAGTGATCGATAACATGATGTTTTCATTATTTTCTAGTTACCCCTCCAGTTGTTTCCCGTAGAATACGAGCTGAGACCTAGGCTGACTGTTGGGAAGAACAAAAAAAAACAATACTTGGACTAGACAGTGGACCAAAAGTACCTGCCTCGACGCCTCCCGCGCGAACTTAGCGATGTGTTTACCGACGACTAGATCTCTCTAGACCGGGATCTGAGGATCGGCAAAGAGATTTGAGACGGGGGGAAGGTTCAGTCCCACCGCACCATTGTCGCGAACTTCCCGTTCAGGGTCAGAGGCCGAATCCCCGACAATGCACAGTATACGAGTCGAATGGACAGACCAACCTGCTTCTACTCCAGTGTGCCATGCCACGCACCGTCAGGCGGAAAGATCATAGGGTATCCCGTCATGCCGAAAGGGTAAGTGTATTCGCTTTTTTCGGCACTAAGGCACCACGTCGTCTGTGTTCGCATCTGATTGATCCACTCTGTCGTCTTTCTGGAAAGACACGCCTCAGCCGTGAACTGAGACAAGACACCGCTCACCTCTGATATAATTCATTGGTTTATATTCTGCATAGTATGGGGCCGGGGTGGAATTTTTAGATCCTACCGTTTAATGGTGCCTATACTCTTTGACTACGCTTTGGACCCCCCCCCCTGCAGCGTTTTTTTTCTCTCTCTTTCTTTTCTTAATTACTTTGTCACGTAATACATCCCTTTGGAACGTCCTTTTCTTATATAATTCGAAAAAAATCGTCAGAATCTCCACCAGAAATCTCCACAGTCTTTTTTCTCCCCTCCCATCTAGAGCACATCTTGCCTGAAACCTGACGCCATGGGAACACCACTAACAGGAACGGTCATTATTACCGGAGGCAACGGACTACTAGGCTCAGAGATTGCTATTGAGATAGCAAAGAAACAACCCTTTGTGCATCTATTGTTGACGGCCCGAGATATACGGACCGATGATGTCCGGGACCTCATCGGCAGAATTCGATTAATCGGCCCAAGATCGATTGAGGTTCTCAATCTTGATCTAACCGATCTCAAATCAGTTGCCAGCTTCGCCAAATCTACAGTCGACCGGGTCCGATTTAAAGACATTCCACCCGTGACTAGCCTAATTCACTCTGCGGTGGCCACATCATACGTTGTTGACGACCTGACATCAGACGGCTACGACCCTGTATATCAAACCAACTGCCTGTCACCGTTCTTATTGACCATCGGACTATTGGAGGCGTTCCGTGCCGGCGATGGCACACCCAAAGGGGGAGCCAAGGTCATCAACATTGGATGCTCAGCAGCAACCTCCTGTGGACAATTGGATTATTTCGATCGCGACCATGGAAGACTCGACCGGCAAATTGGATCACCCCTCAGTGCCAAAGAGGGCAATATTCGCTTTGGAAGCAGCAAATTAATAGGCAGTGTCGCACTATATGCATTGCGACGGAGCTTGATCTGGGTAAGTTGCAACCTCTAATCCCCGATATCCATGACTCGGTACTGACCTCAACCTAAATATAGACTGGACACATATCGCTGGACATCTTCACACTGGATCCAGGCGGCATGACTGGCCCAAGCAATCTACGGACTGGGGCCCCCATGTCCGTCAAAGTCGCACATCAGACCCGGACGGGACTCCGGCCTTTTTTGCGCATGATCTCCCGAAGCTCCATGAATAAGGCCAGTGTGCCTGCCAAGGCGATTGCCAGAGTCGCATTCCAGATCGACTCGGTGGAGAACTGGCAAAAAGAACGCTACTTTATACTTGATAGCGACTACGAGGCCGCATCCGTCATGGCGGGCTTGCGTGATGGCGAGAAAATGAACACCTTGCTACTACAGATGATGCGACAGGTTGATGTGGAAACAAAGGAGATTGACTCTCCTCCTGTTCGGCCTCGAGTGAGTCTGCTTTCACCTCCGACGATTGCATTGTGAGAACAACCCCCAAAATTAGATTAGCATAGCGTTTCGCATATTTGAGATCTGTACATGAGCGATATTAATTTCAATTGGCCAATTCAAACTTCCATTTGATCCGAGAGAAAAGGGTGTTAAACAAGTCGATGTGTTGTATGGACAGTATGGACAGTATGCAATCCAGGGGCGCTGCAAGCGGTTGACCGGATTCGGAGGCAACTTCCAGCACCCGTGTGTTACTCTTACGGGCACTTTCTCGATCTCACTTCTTTTCCTCTTCTTTCTCTGTTCAATTGGTATCGTCTTCTAGGGACCTCAGGATCTCAGGACAAAACCCCCGGGGCTGCGACGAGGCTCCCCGGCCACCAACTTCTTGGCCCCAACATAAGCGCCGTGGGTGTGATAGCGCAGTCATGAACAGGCACGTCTTGGAGAAGGGCCACTCCGCCTATCCCATCGGGTCGGCCTTCTCAATTGCACCAAATAAGTAAGCTCAGGCCCTGCATGGACGAGTTCATGCATTCTAACCGAGAGCTCTCGGAGCTTGCCGTGGCACCCATGTCCGATCGTGAAGCTTGAAATCGGGACTGACTAGCCTCCCCCTCCAGATTCCAACCTCGCTCCCAACCTGCCCTTCGACGTCGACGACAACTATTCCAGCGTCTATGTCTCCTAGCTGGAGTTTCGTTCGTTCTCGTGCTTCTCATCTTCCCATCCTGGCGCGCCGCCATCCTGCCGACAATCTCGCTCGGTCTCCTCTCCTCCACCGAAGATCTACATCTACAAACGGTCCGTTACTATGATTTATCACAAGTGCAGGGCTCGGAGAAGGGCTGGGAGCGCGGAGAGCGTGTCCTGATGTGCACCCCGCTGCGGGACGCCGAGTCGCATCTGCCCATGTTCTTCTCGCATCTGCGGAACCTCACATACCCCCACAACCTGATCGATCTTGCTTTCCTGGTGTCCGACTCCCGAGATGACACCCTCACTATGCTGTCAAGTATGCTGGAGGAGCTACAGAATGACCCGGACCCGAAAATGTCATTTGGCGAGATCTCGGTGATCCAGAAGGACTTTGGTCAAAAGGTCCAACAGGATGTGGAAAGTCGCCATGGATTCGAGGCCCAGGCAAGCCGTCGCAAGCTCATGGCGCAGGCTAGGAATTGGTTGCTGAGTGCAACTCTACGCCCGACTCATAGCTGGGTTTATTGGAGAGATGCGGACGTGGAAACCGCCCCGTTCACTATCATTGAGGACTTGATGCGGCATAATAAGGATGTTACTGTTCCTAGTGAGTTGCGACCCTTCCTACATGGGGGGTTTGATAGCATGCTAATTGGGGTTATTTTTAGATGTTTGGCGACCGCTCCCGGATTGGCTGGGGGAGAGCAGCCGTACGACCTGAACTCCTGGCAGGAATCAGAAACTGCCCTGGCGCTGGCAGATACCCTTGACGAGGATGCTGTGATTGTTGAGGGTTATGCCGAGTATGCTACGTGGCGGCCTCACCTCGCTTACCTCCGCGATCCCTATGGCGATCCGGATATGGAAATGGAATTGGACGGCATTGGCGGTGTCAGTATCTTGGCCAAAGCTAGGGTCTTCCGTGCAGGCGTTCATTTCCCAGCCTTTAGCTTTGAGAAGCATGCCGAGACTGAAGGGTTTGGCAAGGTAAGGAACTCTGATGCCACAATTGATAGGTACAATTGCTAATGTGACCTAGATGGCCAAGCGCATGAAGTTCTCCGTCATTGGGCTGCCCCATTACACCATTTGGCATCTTTACGAGCCTAGTGTCGATGATCTCCGACACATGGAAGAAATGGAGCTGGAGCGATTGGCTCGCGAGCGGGAAGAGCAGGAGCGCGCCGAACAAAAGGACGGTGCCCAAGCTAAGGCCCAGGATCCCAGTACCGACGGAGAATCTATGAAAGGCTCCGCCGACGGCCCAGCTGCGCAACCCGAAAAGGATACCCAAGGGTCCCAGGCGTCACCCCAGCAGCTTGACAAGACCGACAAGATTCCTAAAGCGAAGCAGTGATCCAACATCGCATCACAATTTATTTTTTTCCAGATATACCTGAGTACCATGCCGCAAGTTTTACATTGCATTTGCACAGGTATTGAGCCGATCGGCTGCCACTCAACATGCGGCCTGACCGCGATTCATACGAAATTCATACGACACATCTTTCATGCAAGGGATTATGGAACTATTTGCTTTGCTTTAGACTGCGGGCGCATTTATGCCCAAGCTCGGATGGGCTTTGACATCAGGGGGTTTCTTTCGTGTACATGTCTTCGATCTTTGCGTGGTCATTTATTTCTTATGGAGTACAAGCATACGGGTTGGCATAGCACTGAGGATTAATTTGATCCAACGCAATATTCCCGATTTAGTTACTCTACTCTTCATTGCCACCGTATGAATAGACCCAAAATGATCCAAATCAAAGCTGCCAAGGGAAGCATTGCAGATATCCAAGTGGTAGATGTTAAGCGGTGGTCCGTGTGTCTCCACCTTTTCGCGTCGCGTCCAAATTCACGTCTCTTGTCTACACTTGGATCTTGACAGTCACGCAGCAATGGCAACGCAAGACTCGCACAGTATTCTCTTCACACATAATCGATTTCAGCAGGGTTTTCGGCTGCTGGAATTGACCCCGGAATTGGAAGAATTACTGACATCAAAAGATGCCCCAGCGTAAGTCAAGAACGCGATTGCAACGAACCGCTCCGTGAACACCCCAGACCATACCCTATTCCAACCCTACAATGCTTCCGGACAAAATCAACTCTCAAACTAATTCGCAAACCCCAGACTCGAACTCAAATCCCCCTCAACAGCCCTCGCCCAAGCCGTAGTCGACCCAAGCGCACAAGACTACGTGAACCTCTGCACACCCACCAAAACCTACCGAATCCGCCAAGTGCAATCCTCAAATTCAATCCACATCCTTCGCCCCAGCGCCGGCGAGATCTCCAAAGCAGACATCAAAGTCGTCGAGGAAGAAGCCGGCGACGAAGGAACCCTAAACCTCCCCAACGAAGCAGTCACCACAATCGCAAAATGCTCCTCCACACTCGAACTGCACATCCCACCGGGCGGGTTCTCCGCACTACCTTTCCTGGAGAAGAGCCTGCGACTTTATGACCGGCGCAGTGACGACGATGGCGATGTAGCGATGGGTGATTCGGCTGCGTCACTGGACCCGCTAGATGCCATGGGCGTGCGAAGGGCCAGGGAGAGCGTTTGGGCCGACATACCTGTCTCGCGGGCGCAGTGTGAACAGGGTTGGATGGAGCTTTGTGCGTTTGTGGATGGTGGCGAAGAGGTTGCTTGTTGGCGACCTTCGGCGCGGGCTCGGTTGGCTGTTTGGACGCGGCTGGTTGAGGGAGCTGTTTTGCAGGGTATTGATCTTGAGAAACAGTTTCTCGTGAGAGAGTTGTGGAAGTCGGTTTTGGATGAGGACGAGGCGGCTGAGCCGCCGTTTCCGCGTGTATTACTTGAGGCCGTTGTCAGGCGGATTTGTGTTGTTGATGAGCGGCCTGCTTTGGCGGATGAAATGAAATGTGAGTTTGAAGCATGGTTTTGGTGGGTTCTTGTTGGGAGGTTGCTAATTTGTGTTTTTTTTTTGAAGGGGCGAGCTTCGATAAGGTGGAATGTGTGCAATGGGTTGGTGAGACTTATTTGGCTGCTACTGCGCCGGGGGCTTCGTCTGCGATTGGGAGAAGTGAATTCCTGCGTGCTTGGAAGGATTGTCTTCCTGAGTCGTGGAGAGCAGAGGTCGTATTGTCCAAGTTAACTGTAAGTTGTCTCTAGTCAGGTGGGCTGCTTGCATGGCTAACTCGGCTATAGAATGGCTGCTACAAGAGCCCCGACCCTACAACTATACACTTTGTTGAGCCCTCTCAGCGGGAGCACACTAGCAAGGCTGCTCCTTCGGGCCCAGCTGCAGCTGCAAAGGCCAAGAATACCAGGAATTGGCACGAGTTGCTCAAAGGGCGCCGCTGAACAGCGTGCCGATGCGGTGAAATGTCATTTCATCTAATCTATGATGTCCTATGTCTCTAACGACATCATGATCATATCTGCCGCCATAAAAACGCAGGAGCTCCGCCTCCTGAAAGTGGGAAGAACCTCGTCAAAGTCAAAAACAAACCCTCCGAAACGATTTCAAATGAGTGAATGTTTAACACCAGGCGTACTTCTCATTCAACCACCACTCTACGTCCTTACCTAGCCCATGATCTGAACCCGTCCAGCGCAAGCTAGCAATGCTATCCTTCTCGCGGTGTACAAGCTCGGCCTTCGGGTCGACCAAGGCCATAGCCTGCCGCAAGAGAAATGATGGGTTCCAGAACTCGACCTTGCTCATGTTCCATTCGTGTGCTTCGTGCTGAGCTCGTCGAAGAATGGCAGCCATGGCCTGGATGATGGTCTGTTCTTCTGCCGGCGAAGTGGGTTCATCGTACACCCATCGAAGGATGTAGAGAACGTTATCTTCAGGCAATTCTCCAAAGTTGCGGTTCCAAGCGCAGTACACGCGAGCCTGGTCATCACCCGCACCCTTGACAACCGGCGGAGAGCGTTCCGAATGCAGCTGTTCCGCAAAGAACTCCTCTCGCGCCCAATGCCACACAAAATGGTCAAAGTCAGGCAAAATAGCAATCTTAGCCCTGGACGACTTCTGCGATGCAGCAAGCATCTGCTCACGCAGCTTAGCGAGAACAGCCTCACTGCAAACAGTCTGCTGGACATCCTTAGCAAAAAGATCCCTCGTGCCATCTCCTCCACCCACAGCACCCTCCATAGCCTGCAAAGACATATGCGAAGACAAGAAGGGCCTCCACCCAAACTGAGCGTAGAACTTCTTCCCAATATCAGAGAACAACACAGTAAACAGCGACTTCCGCCGACTCTCCTTCTCCATCTCCCACGTATCAAGCTTCAGTCTCAACTCCTCGAACATCCGCTTCGCATACCCTTTCCCGCGGAACTCAGGCCGAGCATAAACACTCCCCACGCCGTGGGTAGCCACATCCTCCACCTGACCATCGTGGGCCAGCAAGGCCTTTTTGCGATAGGACTCGCACGAACTGAGGATTGTGCGTTGGCCCTCAGGTTCGTTGCGGTCCACCAGGATCCAGCACGTCAGTCCATCGCGAGTCAATCGCTGTTGCATGAGATGGTTCTCACGCTTGATGTATGTTTCGACGTCCAGCGGGCCCTTCCACGCCACGCTATTTAGCTTGATTGAGGCTATACGTTCTTCTGGTGTTGCCGGGACCAGAATTAGATCTGGTGACTCCCCTGCTGGGAGATCTGGGACTGCTGCAGCGATCATGGTTGCGTGTATTTTTTTTTTTCAAACAGTTTGTTGAGATGGTGTTGAGGGTGTCGTCTGGCTTCTTTGTGTAGCAGCCGACAGTCCTCGGTGTAACTTGTAAGTATCTGTATGAAGAAGTGATGAACGTGAAGTGGTTACAAGATCTCAAAAACACTTTGGCTGCATTCGCAAACAAAGAAGAAGAGAAATGAAGAAGGAGTAAAGAAGCCGGGATATGACAGGTTATCCGACGGGACTCCGACCAAAGAAAAGAAAAATCCGGGGGGGTTCAAAGCGGATAGTGGCTCCGAGGGCTAAGAACCATGTGTAGATATCGTCACTTCCACGGCTACCCATTTTACATCCTTATATACCTTCTTGGGGAAGATACTTGGAGACACTGAACATCTCTGTGCCATGACTCTAGTCACGCGAATCACTGTCTACCAACCAAACCCGACATCGTTCCCCCTCTCTGCATTCCGCGTCGTGGTCCGGGCCGGAGACGTCTGTTCTACGAGAAAGCGCCGTGTTTCTGTTTGTCACCGGCCCGACGGCAAGCGAGGACAAGCGAAGATGTTGCATTTGGTGCTGGGTTCTTGACGTAAGTGATGCTTTTTGGGGCTGGCGGAGGGTTTGGAGGGGTCATGTGAGGCCTTGGCGATTATGTCATTTGTTTTGCGGGGTTGAAGTTATTTACTTCTCTGGGGTTGGTCTTGTCAGTGTTATAGTCATGGCTGTGACGTTGGGTGTGTAACTTGGCTCGAGGGTCATTTGATTATACGACTATTGCTTACAATATTTCTACCTGCAGGTTTAGTCTTACCCCTCCATCCAAATTTGTTGGGAGTTGCTGATTGTTGATACTACACTATTAAAGGCTGCTATCGTAGAAAGCAATATAACAAAAACACCAGCTTAGAGAGATGCCCAGGTGACTAGCAGGTCATTGCTAGGAAGATGAAGGAAGTAAGTTTAATGGTGAGCAGGCTATACCACTAGATTCATACTCCAGTATAAATGCAAACAAGTCATCATCTCCAAAGCTTAAAGCCAGATCGAGAACAAGCTTTTGGCAAATCTCTATCACGAAGCAAGAAGCGCGTGACCATCTAAAAAGATCAGCCCCCCCCTGCTTGTTATCTCCTCAATACTCTAGATGTCGAGGCCAAGCAGAGAAACAGGCCGACCTGCTAATAAGACCGGGCCATAATGAATATTTGACTTGCGAGGGAAATATAGAGTGTGATCGAATATGACTATAGTCCCGATCACTACTGCTGGCAATTATCTACTACCAACAAAGTATACTCTTCAAGTTCAGACCATAGTTGCGAGTCGACAAAAAATGCATAGAGAGCATATCCGATCATCACGCTTAAAAGCTTCAGAGGATTTCATATTGCATATCAAACATATCTGCAGTTATGAACTGTCTACTGTACATACTGTATGGTACCTGACTATTTTAGTATATGATGTCATGCAGTACCCAATGTCGGTCTACACGCGTCGCCTTCGATAGTGTAAATATCAGGGGTCACTCCCTATGAAGCAATAGACGGCATATGTCTTAGTATATATTTGGAGCCGACACATCCGCTTATTTCAAGCCAAAAATAGCTCATTTAAGGGGTTAGTAGTGTTTACAAGGCACGTTGTTATCGATATAACAATGTTTCCCGAGTGTTTCCCGAAGAAACAGAGGTACAAGCAGTATCGGTAAATCATCCCTCTTTTCACAAATTGATTGAATTATGATGGATATTTAACTGACTAATTACTTACAAGGTCAACTCCCAAAGGCAAGGGCCTATTTTTCATCAGCCTGATCCAAAGTATTAGAAGAACGGAAACAACCATAGATAGAACATGTCAATGGAGATGAAAGACGAAATAAACATTCAAACGAGGAATAGAGCATGAGATTCAGGTGCTTATGCTGTAACGTTTATTTCAAGTTCTTTTCTTTTCGTGGGAGTGACTGGGCTCATCAGCATCAAGGAACAGGCAGAGAACGCAGCGAAATAAGAAGACATTGGGAACTAGTTGCTAGATAGTTGAACTGGCTAGAAGAGAGAATCATGTAGTTGGAGATTTGAACAAAGGAGACGAATGAAATACAACAGAAAAAAGGGAGATGGTATGAAAAAAGAGGCCGGACCGCAGTAAAAAGATCAGCGTGGAGAAAGAATCCGAGGGATCAAGCACACAAAATGATGCAAATGGAGTAAAAGAGAAGAGGTAAAAAAGCAGGTGGGTAAAATGGTAAAGAAGGATGGCGAAGGAGCGTCATGAAATTGAGAATGGGGAAAAGCAAGGGAAGATGAAAAATCACTTGGGAATGAAGCAAATAAAAAAAGGAAAGATATGAACCTGATCTATGTAAGTAAATGCCATGCGAGTCCCAAAAATCGTCCGCTCCCGTTTTATGTATTTGCGCCACTTCTTGCGGACGGCAGTTCCAGAATTTCCTTCGTCCATCATGTATGTTCGATCATTGGTCACGCTAAATCAAGAATGAGACAGAATTTGGGTGTGGACAGGAGATATATATATAAAAAAAAGGAGGAAGTAGAGATGAAAGAGGATAAAGAAAGCAGAACACAGATTCCCCCCAAGGCCTGAAACAATATCAGATAATCCCGGATTCAAGGTGGCTGCTCTGAGTCCACCGGTTCGTTGAACTTCTGCCGTGCCTCTTCTACCCACAATTCCAATCGAAGCTCTCCTGCTTCGACACGTCGTACTGGTACTGTTTTGGCACGGCCATTCGAGACCTTGGGGGGCGGCTGCTGGGGCTCACCGTTCCGCAATTTAGATACGGAGAATGGTGCTGTGCACGATCGTAAGTGCACCTTTCCTGGCTCCGCGACAATCCAGGTCTGTTCTTCCTTGGTAGTTCCCGCGGGTGGTAGTGCGTCTTCGCGCACTTCGATGCAGACGGTGAAGCTGAACTCGTCATCGCGGGGCAATGGGGTCAGTCGGGCACAGGCAGAAGCGAGTCTCGCTAGACAGGCCCGAAATTGCGCCTCAAGGTCGACCGACGTCGGTGCGGGGCCCCGGTCTGTAACAGGGGCACCTGGCATGGATGAATCCTCATCTCTTTCTTCAAATGTGGTGTTCACCTCTCCCGCGGGAGCACGCGGGAAGCCCGACAGATCAAAGGCATATCGTTCGAGGGGCTGATTTGTGCGAAGAGACGAAATGATGATACTGACTGCGGTGATTGTGCCTTTTAAGATTTCCGTTCCGACTGCGATCGATGCATCGTTGATATAGTCACACACTTTCGGGTGACGGGATTGCCGAACGGGGTAGTTGTATGCCCGAACGGGAAGAAAGGTTGCGCGCGGATAGACGGAGCGCAGGAATAGTATTTGGTGAACGGAAACGGTAAGGAAGTTGGTGAAGGAGGCCGCTAGTGCCGACTGGTTGGTAGGCAACGATTTGGTAGCGGGGACCGGGGCGGAGAAGGTGGTCATGGTGGTGGTACTACTGCTCTCACTGGCAATCGGCATTGCCGTCGAACGATCGGGTATCGATTCCACGGGGAAGGTGTTCTTGTCGGAGTCTCGAAGAATCTGAATGTTCCACCCTGAAGCTAATCATCGCTCTGCCTTTCTAATCCATTGGTCAACACCTGCTATTCTGTTTGTTTTTGTGTTGTTGTTTGTTTTTTTCAAGTCAAGTCAAGCCAAAGCGCGTTTTTTGGGGCTTCCCCAATACTCCAGCCAGCGACGATGAACGAGAGAAAGAGGCTGAGGAGATCAGGGTGAGTCCAGCGACAAGCAAGTATGTCTCAACCAGATAAAAGAAACGAGTCCAGCTTATGTGGGGGAGGTAGGAAAAACGATGTGGGCTGGAGGGGAGGGGGAGTGGGAGATCGAGACGTACGCTTGGGTGGACAAAACGACAAGTATAAGCAAACCTCAAAGCATGAGGGCTGGAACGATAGAATTTCCCGAAGTGACGATCCCAAGGGCAAAGTGATGACTCTAAGAATTCCAGAGTCCCTCGGGAGAGAGGGGGAGGGGAGGAGGGGAAAGCGAAAGGAGGGGGAGTTTTTGGCGAGAGAAGGAAAACCCTAAAAGGGAAGAATCGAACAAGGCTCCCAGGCAGTACGAAAGGAAAGAGGACTAGAAGAAAAGGTAGATGAATCGACTGGTTGACGATGTACCTCAATCTCGAGGGGAAAAGCAGAAGAAAGGCGGACTAAGGTTGGTTGGCAAAAGGTCACGGTTCCCGTCACGTGGTTGCGTCATGGGTTTGGCATCCACAACATGAGTCTGATATAGTTCCTCGGGTTGGATGCTCTTGATCTGGGATTTTTGGGATCTATTCTGCTGGATTTCTATAGGTCTGGGGTTTTCCTCTGAGATTTGTGTGAAATCCTCCAGGGTCATGTATGGAGAAAAAGCACACAGTTTTTTATTCCCCACTGCTTCAAAAGATCGTCAAGCGAGAAAAAAAAAGGATATATCGGATTCCCTGGATACAGGGATACTGGGAATCGTGGAACCAGTGAAAGAACCATCGGGGTACAGTTGAGCGGCCATGAGTAGCTTATGTTTGTGCGTTCAGGTACCTAAAGTATATCTACTTCCCAGTGCGATAGTCGACAATATCGGTGTACACGAATGAAGCGCCCAAGGCATCGGTATTATGGCGTACTGCATAATACGCCTCTTACCGATGATCTTCCAACACTGACGGCAGTGGCGGTAGACAAGGGTACACTACCCGGCAATCCTACCCTCCGTATGGCTATAGGAAATACATGGCATCTTTCACATTATCAATCCCTTCTATCTGTTTCTATGTGTGATCGTCAGGCCTTTACCCTTATTCCGAGGTTTACACCTTTAAGAGGGGTGTATGGGTCATGTTCCGCACAAAGTACGGTACTAAGTATGGTGCCCTACCCTTTGTTACCCGGCATTGTCTTAGGGTAATATTATTTCCGTAACTGTGGACTGTCTACACTACATGTGCTCGAACTGATACTCACACTCTTCCCAATCAGTGGAACTCCCTTCTGTTCCGAATGATCACCCAATAGGACTGATCCGAGGGATCAGAGCTTGCATCTTAAAAGCTCGAGCCAATTCGGGAGACCCATGCAGGCAAAATTTGTATGACGGAAGTCTCTAAGTGGTAAAAGGTGGTCGGGTCTGTCAACGGGCCATGTCCACTTGAATCCCCGAGCCCCGAAAGAACCCCTTGAGCTGGATTTAGACTACCGGGAGTTCCCATTCTCGAAGTCCTGACGCCATTGGATAGAGGAAGGGACACTGTAGTCTAAATTAAGTCATGTCCCAATTTTCCCATCCCTGTCTGACATGTCTTAAATCTCTTCCAGTAAGGAGCAAAGGGAAAACCCCATACATGTGGAGGAGTCAATCCCCTACCAAGGGATGATTTCCCCCCAGACTTTCGCTTTCTCTCCTAGATGCCTGCTTGGCTAATGTAGATCGGAGTGATCTCCCGCTTTTCAAGACGAATCGGGCGTGTCTTATAGATGTGTTTGTTCTCTAGATTGGTTCCCACGTATGAAAGAGTCTACTGAGTTACAATTTAACGGGCATTTTCGGAGGGGGGCTATAGAGACCAGGGCAATAGATATTACACATACTCGAAATGGCAAAACCATGCACACACATGCACCCGTGAAATACCGAAACATGTCTTCATCGGATTTGTAGATGCGATTAATTTTGGGGTCTTGTGGAGTTATTTAACGCACTATTAATTTCTATTTAGAGCATACAAACTTTCTCCTGGGAGTTGTTTACTTTCACTCGAACAGTATTGTAATTTTAAACACTCTGAGTCGTCCTGAGTATCTCCGACAATCCGATGAACGGCCGTCATTGCGTACATAGTCATCGCCACATTGATCATTTGAGCTTGAAATCTGTTGGCTTTGCTCGTATTACAATGCTATCACGGTGCTACTTTTTGGTTACTAACATGCAGAAAGATCTTGGAGGTAGTGTAGCTTATAAGTTAAGAAACGAGAAATATATGAGAGGGGTTGATCTGGTGGCCACCGCTATACACCGCTCACCGCCTTTGTATTGCCCCTCCTCCGCGTCTCCTTATCTGAGACGCGCAAAACATCATCTCGTTAGAATTTGGACCCCATTGGCGTCGCGCCAATCTTGATTTCACCCCGAACCCCGGATTAATTAACCCCATTGCCACCATGGAGCAACAACTCCTGTCACTCCTAGCCGACACCCAGTCGCCAAAGGCCGACAGCAGAAGAGCCGCAGAGTCCCAATTGGAGCAGCTCTATGGTCACGAAGGCTTTCCAACCTCGCTCACAGCAATCGCATCACACGACTCGGTCCCGATTAATCTCCGCCAGTCCGCCCTCTCCATTCTGCGTACCTTTATCGCCGCTAGTTGGTCACCCATACTCGACGAGTTCAAGGGTCAGATCCTCGTCAACGATGCCAACAAAACACACGTCCGTCAGTCCTTACTAGCGATCGCCACTTCAGATATTCCAGAGCGCAGAGTGAAGAACTCTGCTAGTTATGCTGTTAGCAAGATCGCCAGTGCCGATTTCCCCGATGACTGGCCGGAGCTCTTGCCATCGCTGCTCCAGATTATCAACGACTCTGCCAGTACCGATGGCCAGTTGCACGGCGCATTGAAGGTCCTTCTGGACCTCGTGGATACAGGGTTCAGCGAAGAGCAATTTTTCAATGTGGCTCGGGATCTTGTTTCGTCCCTTTTCGCCGTGGCTACTTCGGAAGCTAGACGGCCAATGTTGCGCGCTTTGGCCGTCGCGGTCTTCCGCTCTTGCTTTGATACCCTGGAGATGGTCTTGGAACAGCACAAAAACGCCATTAAACAATTCATGGATGAGGTTCTAAGCGGATGGTCACCATTCCTCGATGCCACTTTGAAAGCACCTCTGCCACAACCTCCCAGTGAAGAAGAAGCTCATAAACAAGGGGATATCGCAACACAGTGGAGGGGCATCGTTGGATTGAAAATACAGGTCGTCAAGGTACGAAGAAATGTTACAGCGCTTTACTCCAACCCCGTTCAGTGGTCCCTTCGAAGCCACCGGAATTGCTGTTAGATTTTTGCTTGAAGCTTCTTTGTAGCCTATTCCTTGAACTCGTGCTAACTCATCATTCTACTATAGACGGTTATGAAAATCCGCATGGTTTTCCCTGCCCTATTGACAGCACAGAGCACATTATTCTTCTCGACCGTCTGGACCGAGCTCAACAATGCTTTGCCTTTTTACCAAAACTTTTACATCGAGGATGAGCGACAGGGCAGGCTGGAAGATGGAGATGGTCTTCCTCATTCGCTTGACTTCTTGGTCCTTGAAGAGCTTGACCTCATTCAAGCATTATTGAAAGCTCCCCCTGTAAAGGCAGAGCTTCAGCAGCAACTGCAGAATGCAGGAGCTGCCTCCAGTACCTCTAGCTGGCTCCCAGAGATCATGAAGCTTGCCAGTTCCTATGCACAGATTACTACGGAGGAAGAGGGTCTATGGGAGATCGATGTCAACCTGTTCCTTTCTGAAGAGACATCCCTCACGGCTAACTGCACTCCCCGTACCAGCAGCGGTGATCTCGTCATCAAGGCTGGTGAATGGCTGAAAACTATTGCGGCCGAGGGCCTCCTCAGCTACATGGACGCACTCTTCGCCGATAACTCTGTTTCGTGGAAACCCCGTGAAGCAGCTCTTTACGTTTTGAACTGCATGCTCCGTGACTTCAGTGAAGTTGACCAGACAATCACCCCAGAACTGGCAAATCACTTTACCAAGTTTGTTCAGTATGCCACCCAACAGGAACAGGAGCTTCTGCGTGCTCGGGGCTACCTTGTTGCTGGTGCTTTGTCCAAGGTTGCTGGAGAAGCATTCCACCAGACCACATCTTCATATCTAGAGGCTACTCTCAAGGCCATTGCAGAGGATCCAGCAGAGGTGGTCAAGGTGGCTTGTATTCGTGTCCTACAAGACCTCATGCCCTCCCTGCCCTCAAATTTGGCACGTCCCTTCCAGGCCTCAGTCATCTCGGCGATTTCAGAGTTCATCTCGGCCCATGATCTACGTGAGCAGACCGATACCGATGATCTCAAGGTCACTTTGGCAGAGACCCTTCGCGATACTATCATGGCCGATCCTGGCGTTGTCCTCTCTTCTGTTGCCATTGATGTTTTGTTTAGCATTGCCAGCAGCGGTGCTGATAACTTCCAGTTGACCATGACAGTGACCGAAGCCTTTGAAGATATTGTGGACCAAATTACCGAGCATGGCCCAGATGCCTACAGGAGTCTCTGTGAGAAGGTACTCCCCTCGCTGATGGGTGCAATTGACGTTGGCAACTTGACAGAGGAGAGTTCATTGACTGTCTTCGCGGCCGATCTCCTCCGAGCATTGGCTGAGCGCAGTCTCGAGCCTATGCCCGCTGGTTTTGTCGAAACTGTGATGCCCAAGGTGAACCGATTATTGCTGGAATCGGATGAGGCCGAATTGATCCGGCCTGCCACTGAGGCCGTACGCCATATGCTTTCCCACGACTTTGCTCAATTTGTGGCCTGGCGTGACCCCCAATCCGGAAAGGAAGCACTTGAGGTTGTCCTCGTCATCATCGACAGACTGCTTGGCCCAGCAGTCGACGACAATGCTGCAACAGAGGTTGGCCAGCTGGCCGCAGAGCTAGTCGAAAAGGCCGGCTCAGAACGTCTTGGTCCCTACCTCCCCCAGCTTCTCCAAGCTGTGGCCCAGCGACTGGCTACGGCTGAAAGGGCCCAATTCATCCAGAGTCTTATCCTCGTCTTCGCCCGTCTGACTCTTATCAGCGCCCGCGAAGTCGTCGACTTCCTTGCACAAGTCAACCTCGGCGGCCAGAGCGGCCTCACAGTCGTGCTCAGCAAATGGCTCGAGAACTCTGTCAACTTCGCCGGTTATGACGAGATCAAGCAAAACACCTTTGCCCTCGCACGGCTGTACGAGCTCGCCGATCCCCGCGTAGCCGAAGTTCCCGTGAAGGGCGACCTGATCATCCAAGACACAGGCCGCATCAAGACCCGATCGCAAGCCCGCAATAACCCAGATCGGTACACCACAGTTCCGGCACCGTTGAAGATCATCAAGGTTCTCGTCGAAGAACTTGCCGCTGCATCAGGTAACAAGGAAATTGACGCGGCAACCGCCGCTGCCCTCGACGATGCGGATAGCGATGATGGCGACGACGACTGGGAGGACATGCCCGGCCACATACTTGACCTCGGCCTCGGTGTTACAAAGCAGCAGCTGATGAGTTTCGGCGAGGGTGGTTCCGAGAGTGTCTTCGGTGTGCGGAAGCGCGATGATGAGACACAGGGCTTCTTGACCGAGTTCTTCAGACAGGCTTCTACGCAGCCCGGATTCCAAGAAGTCTATTCTGCCTTGACGCCCGATGAGCAAGTCAAGTTGCAGAGTCTGTAGAAATCCAGACCCTTTGAGAGTCATGTCCCGGTCTGACTAAGCTACCCCGGGCTTTGTCGGGGCTGGAGTTTGAATATTAATGATGGATGCATAGATGGATTCAAAATGTACGAGTGCATACAGTCTATTTCAACTGGTGTGGTTTTTTTTCCCACCAGATCGTTTTCTGTTCCCCTCCTGTAATTGTAAAATTTGGCGTGGTACTTTCTTTGTGCGCTGTACTGTACTGTACATGTAGCTGTTCTAAACCCTGATCCCTGTACTTTGAACCTTGTCGATTTTTTCCCCTATACCCTGTTCCCTGTACCCTGTTACTTACGCGTAGCTTGGACTCAACCCGAGCAACTGGGTCTGGTTCTGCATGCAGGGATAGTGCAGGGATGGCACAGGGAATCTTTTCCAAGCGCATCCTTTCAGCCTGCCACGTACTGTACAGTACTGTATGTCTGCTGCAGTGTGCTGGCCTGTCCTCCAGGGCTTTGACGAATGAGAATTAGTAATCATATTCTGGCCTCCTTTCAGTAAATGAATACATGAATACAGTATACGGGGTGCATGAAGCAATATCTCTCGGGCCGTTACTGTACTACAATAAACAGATCAGCTCGGGGTCACGCATGAGTCCCGTTTGGGCGCTAACGTTACTGGTTGGGTACACACACATCTGGGCGACCCCCGCCTAACTGTACTGTCGGGAGACTAACGCAATCGTATCATAATCGCAATCTCTAATGTAAGAGCTAGAGATGTATCCGATACAGTAGTCTTGTTCGTGCGCTCCCGAATTTACTGTAGTCACGTATTTATTGGGGACTTGCGCTGAGCTTTCGCGCCTCGTAGTTCATAGATTTGGGGGTCTCTGGATTGGATACGAGAGAGTGATCATCTGGAAAAACTACCAAGTTTAAGCTTTCTTCCTTCTATCTGCCTTGATCATGGCACGATATCTGAGTCACAATGGTCTCATCACGATCTTGCTCTCTTCTTGAACGCGGGCGTTCTCGATCCGGGTGGATTTGCTCGCTGGGAGAGACCCTATTGCATTAGCTGCCGATGTGAGAAACTACAGGTCAAGTTGTACTTGGGACAGCTATAAGGTGGTGATGTTCCAATTATAAGGACATATATCGAATGACTCAGTTATGTGGAATGTCCTCTTCGGAAGAAATTAGGACAAGCCGAATGGATAATCGCCAGTGTTCGATCTGATCGTCCAGCTTCTTCATATGGAGAAGAAGCTGGCCATGGCTGTCATTTTGTCTTTAAGGCTTGTGCAGAACAAAGTTTTCGGTACACTTTCTCGTTTAAATGGCCCTATCGAGGAGCAGGGTGCAGTCTAGGAATTCGACCCTGCTACAGAAACCCGGTCGTCGATCTGGCTATCAGACTACACACCAAGCTGTCAGTTGCACGTAGCTATCACTGCATGGCTGACTGGAAAAACACACTCTACCTCCACATGGAGGCCCTTTGATCGCCTGTGCAGATGATAACTGATATATGGGCTAGTGTATGGGCTATTGAATTGGCTTGGTCTTGCAGAGGTAAATTTGGCCCCTGAGATCGGGATCCCTCCAGTTCTTGCCCTGACATACAGATATCCAGCATTTCTAATCCATCACAGTGACGTAGGCTCCGAGTCTCTGGTAATAGAGCAATGTGACAGGTGTGCCAGTGGCAAACAATCGAAGCCAGAGCGTCGGTAACGCCAAGCCCAGCGCGTTCAGACCGGAAGGGGTCAGGGCTTACCCGTCCCGCGTGGAGCCTTTTTTTTTTTTTTTTTTTTTTCTGGTTGGGGTTGGGGTTGGGGTTGTTGTAAGCGTAGGGTTGGGCTTGAGGTGCGGTATGCTTAGGGTTGGGTTAGGCTTACTTGGGCTTGTGGTAGGCATGGGGTTGGCTTAAGCATAGGGTTGGTTTAAGGAGAGGGTTGGCTAAGCATAGGGTTGATTTGGGCTTAGACATGGGCTTAGGGTTTGGCTGTCGTGCTGGTGGTTGTGTTCTGTGGTTCTCCTGCTCGTATTTCCCTTGCATAACCTGTCCAGAGAGAGCCAGAGGTGAAGCTGGACCGTACGATATCGTCCCAGTCCCTCGGATCACTGCGGGGTCAAGGTTCCTTTGGGAAATCCTCCCGGGTTCCTTTCTCTCGGGATTTTGGAGTACTTAACTTCTTCTTCTTTCCTTCTCTCTCTTGTCTCATCAACATGTCACAGCCCAATCCCGATGAACGCATTCAAGTCGATGTAAGTCTGGTGGAACCCTAACTCCCCCCTCGTCTCCCATCCACATTCACCCTCCAACCTCCACCCTCCACCCTCGTATTCAAAAACACAACCAACCACCTTTCTCCCCCCAACCACAGACAAGCGATGACGACTCCCTCTTCGACACAAACTCCCTCCTGAGCTCCAACCTCTCCTTCGCCTCCTCAGTCCGTGACTACTGCTACGAAAATGGCCGTCGCTACCACGCCTACCGACCAGGCCAATACCCAATCCCCAACGACGAAGAAGAACAAGACCGCCTAGCCCTCATGCACCACCTCTTCCGCCTCCTGACCGGCGGCGATCTCCACCGCGCCCCAATCACCGGTCCCGCCAACACCATCACGCCGCAGCGCGTCCTGGACGTCGGCACCGGCACGGGCGAATGGGCCATCGAAATGGCCGAGACCTACCCCAACACCGAAATCATCGGCACCGACCTCTCGCCCATTCAGCCGAACTGGGCGCCGCCCAACGTGCGCTTCTTCATTGACGACGCGGAGAGCGAGTGGGCCTTTGGGCCGACGGAGAAATTCGATTACGTGCATGCGCGCAGCATGTGCGGCGGCATTGCGGACTGGCCGCGGTTTCTGAAGCAGGGGTTTGCGTCGTTGAAGCCCGGGGGCTGGTTTGAGGTGCAGGAGTTTGATTGCTGTGTGCGGTCGGATGATGGGACGCATGAGCAGGCCGAGAGTTTCAAGTATTGGATGTCGTTGCTGGTGCAGGGGAGTCTGAAGCATGGGCGGTCGGTGAGTGTGGCCAAGTCGTTTGGGCCGTGGATGGTGGAGGCCGGGTTTGAAAATGTGACGGATGATATTTACAAGGTGGGTGGGACAGAGAGAGAGAGAGAGAGATCGGGGACTGCCCTGGAAGGCAGTGTTGCTGACTGCTTGTATAGTGTCCGGTTGGCGGATGGGCCAAGAATCGCCGGCTAAAGGAGATTGGTCGCGTGGGCAGAGTGACGGTCTTGGAGGGTCTGGAGCCTTACTCGCTGGCGCTGTTTACGCGCTATATGGGATTTACATACCAGGAAGCGCAGGAGCTCATGGAAAAGGTGCGAGCTGAGATTTTGAACCCCGCGTATCATCTCTATATACACTTCCACTACGTGTATGGGCAACGGCCTCTGGAGAATGACCATGGGACCGATACACCGTGAGTGTTCGACTTGACTGTCAGGAAAATACCGACTACGATACCCACATCTTCGACCTGCATCTCTTCACGATGGATGATGCCGTGAATGATTATTGTATGGGTGTTTCTATATGTAAGATTTGTGTTTCGAATCTGTCGAACAGGATCGTGATGCGTGAGACATGAGACATGAGACATGAGCCATCCGAGGATGAGATGAGGCCTGGGGTGGTGGTGAATCGGTCTCGGACAGATCCAGTTCCACAGCTGGTCCCTGTATCGGCCAGCAACACAGAGATCTAACGGGGCTCCTGCTGAAGAGGCCGAAGAGGCCTGACCAAATATTATCTGGCCTGATCCCGTTTCAATCCGCACAGCAGACTTTCGAGGCGGACGCATGAGATCCCAAATCCCAGATCTGGGTCTCATGACACCAAGCTATGTCACTGGCCACTCCCGATCCCGAGAACGCGACAGATGCCAGAAACCGCTTCTTCGGGTGATGCGCTCGTCCGAACGACCTGTACAACCTGAGCAACGCTCTGTTCGTCGCAGGTCCCTATCGTCTCCAGGAGCGTCTCCAGGAGCTCCTGCTTTCCTTGTCCTTTCCACGAGTGGGGAATTTGATCCATGATAGTCGGGGTGGGAATGTGTTGGGAACCCCGATTGGCAAGGACAGGAGGATCGACGGCTATGGCAAGCGTCGGTGCTGGGTCTGGAAATGGTGGTACATCTGTATATGTGTTCGGATTGGCAGTGGCGGGATTCATGTTCGCCATGTTGCCAAAGGTGTTGATAGAAGAATAAGATGGTGTTTGATGCGGATATAATTGTTGAAACTGGCCTTGTTGACTGTACCCATCTCCCCATTGAGGTATTTCTCCGTTTTGTGGCGATGGTATGGGATAATTGACGCTCTGGTCGGGATAGTATGGAAGAGCTTTACCTGCGTCGGCCATCATATACTCCATTCCACCAGCTCCATACATTGGCGCATGTACACCGGCAAGCCCATCCTTTGTAGGTATCCCGCTCGGCGGCACACTCATCATTGGGAGTCCAGCCATATCGCCGGGAGAAAAGGAAGCTCCAAGGCGGCCTGCATAGTAGCCCGACATGATCGGATCATCTAGAGAATCTGCATAGCGCGTCAGTTCACACTGCACAATGGCATGCCAGCCACAGATAAACATAATATACTCACGTCCAAAGACCGCATCACCAGCGACAGCGGACCCATCAAAATCAGCAACCTGAGGGACAAACCCGGTTGCCAGAGGAAACCCAGCGCCAGACCCCGATCCAGAAACAGACGCTGAGCCTAACCCCGACCCATTGTCACTCCCCGTACTCTCAGGACTCATAACAGTCGCCGAGCTAGTCATAGTTGAAGCCGGCGACGACCCGCGCCAACTCCCCTCCCCACGATCATGCGCAAGTCCCAGTCCCAGTCCCTGTCCCTGTCCATGACCAGTCAGAAAGCCCTGCGCATCCCGCGAGCCATACGCAGCTCCATATGCTGTCACCGCAGCCTGAGATTGAGTCTGAGAATGATTCCCATATCCATGCGCAGCCCCAGTGCCAGACCCTGGCCCAGGCGTGTACTGTCTCCGCTCATCCCGCTCCCGATCGCGATCGGAGCCGGGACTTAATCGACTGCCTAGACTGGGGCTCTGACTCGGCTCTCGCGGTTGATTGAGACGCCCGCGCAACTGTGCGACTTCCCGGCGGAGTCGGTCGATTATCTCGGCTTGACTGATGTGGGCGCGGTCTTCGGCGGTGGTGAGGTATGTGCATTCGGCTTCGATGCCGCGGGCGATGCAGGCGTTGCAGGGGATGGAGCGGTCGCACTGTTTGATTGGAGGTAAAGGGGTTAGATTGGCTTGCTTTGGCGTGTCTCTGGCGTGTCTTTGGAGGGGGAGAGTAATTTGGGCTTGGGGCTGGGGTTTAGGCTTGGGGGGGGAGGGGATTGGAGCGGCAATCGGGGATCGCAAGGAGACCAAATGGTCGGGGAGAAGAGGAAGACGAGAGAACAGAGAAAGGAGAGGTCATACCTTCACTTTGCGCTCACGGCATTTTAGACAGGATTGCTGGGGACGGAGTTTGGTCTTTGTGTCGGGCATTGTTGAGGTGAAGATCGAGAAACCGTTGACGGACGCGGGTCACATCCTAAGCTTTACAATGCAGGAATGCAAAGACTGCAAGACTGCAAGACTGCAAGATGGCTAAACGGGGGGCAAAGTTAAGCCTTAATTTTTGGCTTTTGGTCGGATTACTGCCCTTCTCGAGATCGGAGGCCGCTCTCCACTTGCAGATCCTGGATTGTGTCGATCCGCCCTGGACGTACTTGCGCATTGCGCTTATGCACTGAACCTCCTCATATACCACCGTCACACTGCTAACGCTCTCGTAGCAATGGAACGCTGGGGCGGGGAAACGCTGAGATGCAGGAACTATCCTACACCTGCATCTACATATAAACCTCCAGGCCATTTCTCCAGCTCTGCATTCTCCAGCAAAGACAACAGACTCCATCTCACCAGCAAATCACCTATTCAACTCAGTTCAAAATGAAAACCATGTCTCCCTGGTCGATACCCAGTATAACAAACCTCTTAATGCTTCCCCTACTCCCCCTACTCCCAGCCCAAGCCTCAACAGAGACACCAACTATCCTCCCAACTCCACCAATGGGCTTCAACAACTGGGCACGCTTCATGTGTGATCTCAATGAAACACTATTTACAGAAACAGCCCAGTCAATGCTCAGCCGCGGTCTCCAGCGCGCAGGCTACAACCGCCTCAACCTAGATGACTGCTGGATGCGCCATGACCGTGCTTCCGACGGCTCCCTGCAGTGGAACACCACCTTGTTCCCGCACGGCATTCCCTGGCTGGCCGAATATGCCACCAAGCATGGCTTCCACCTGGGCATCTATGAAGATGCCGGGAATCTCACTTGTGGTGGGTATCCGGGGTCGTATGGACATGAACAGCAGGATGCGGAGACATTCGCCAGCTGGGGAATTGACTATCTCAAGCTGGATGGGTGTAACGTCTGGGCGGAGGGTGGTCGGTCGCTTCGTGAGGAGTACCGCGTGCGCTATGGACAGTGGCATGATATCCTTACAGCAATGGAGAACCCGCTGATCTTTTCCGAGTCTGCGCCGGCTTATTTCGCTGATAATGCCTCGGACTGGGCTGTTGTCATGGACTGGGTGCCGAGGTATGGGGAGTTGGCGAGGCATTCGACTGATGTGTTGGTGTATGTTGGCGAGGGGAGTGCTTGGGATAGTATTATGAATAATTACGACTATAATACTCTGCTGGTGCGCTACCAGGCTCCGGGGTATTATAATGATCCTGATTTCTTGATACCCGATCATCCTGGTTTGACGCAGGTTGAGAAGGAGTCGCATTTTGCGCTGTGGACTTCGTTTTCGGCGCCGCTTATTATCAGTGCCTATATTCCTGCTCTATCGGATGATGATATTGCATATCTTAGCAATGCTGCTCTTATAGAGGTGGATCAGGACCCACTGGCCGAGCAGGCTGCTTTGGTTAGTCGGGATGGGACGTTCGATGTGTTGACTCGCTCGTTGGCGAATGGAGATCGACTTCTCACTGTGCTGAACCGTGGCAGTACAACTGCAAAGACTAGTGTTTCTGTTGCTCGTCTGGGTCTTTCCTCAAAGTCACCCTGCGAGTATCGCGCTCACAATCTATGGACTGGTCAAATTTCGACTATTCGTGAGGCTGTTGATATTACGCTTGACTCCCATGCTACAGGTGTCTTCCGTATCACGCCTAGACATTGCACTGCTATTACACCTACGGGAATGGTGTTCCATACACCATCTGGTCTATGTATGACGGCGTCCTCTGCGAAGGTCACTTTTGAAAAGTGCCGTGCTTTGGACTCTCAGGTCTGGAGTGTTGATGCTAATGGTAGCAAGCTAACTCTGAGTCCGCTGTCGGATGGAACCGCTTGTCTTGCTTCTTCGAAGGATGGGAAAGGGGTTTCCCTCACCCAGTGTGATGGTGCTCGTGCAACTTGGTCGCACCATGTTACCGGTCATTTGAGCAATGAGCATGCCGGGGGTTGTCTGACTGGGGGCTCTGGAGGTGGAGCTATTGTGTCTTGTGTGATTGATAGTGCCGCTCAGATCTTTGGGTTGCCTAGTGGTGTGCAACTCGGTGGGAGTATCTGAGCATGTCTATACATTGTAAGCTTAGATGCTGCGTAAAGATGAATAGAGCTATATACAGTAGCTGGGAATACATAAACACGGTTGCACATGATATGATACGCATGGTCTCTACACATAATTGATTCAACCGAATGAAATGGCGCCGAAATTGCCCTCTATCCCTGCAAAGAAAAGCCAATTCCCTCCCCAGTGCCCATCTCCACCAGATTAGCCCTCATCCTCTCAGCCCTCTCCCCGACCCCAAAAGCAGCATCATCCCGATGAACCCAAGCCCCAACTCCATGCTGCAAGACAGCAGTCGCCCGAACCTTCTTCTTCTCCTCCGCATCCCCCTCTCCCTCCCCATCAGCCTTCAACCCAAGACTCCCATGAAGCGTCAATCTCGTCTCCACACCCCCCTCCTCCTTCCCCCGATAAACACCCCGGTGCAGAATATTACTATTGTAAAATACCGCATCGCCAGGCTGCAGCTCAACAACCAGCTGATCAGGCAAAGAAGCGGCATACGGATCCGCCTCCCGCTCCGTCTGTGTCCGCGCCCGCCCATGCGTACCGGGGACCACAATCAGCGATGCATCAGGACACAGCGCCAGATTATACTGGCAGTGACCCTGTCGCCCGTTCGGCGCCTTAGCGGCCAATTGAGCGATCTCCTCTTCAGCCGTTGCCTGCTCGGAGATATCATCTCTGTGCCAGCGGAGTTCGAAGTCCTTCGTCTCGGGCGCGACCAAGAGGTTAAATAATTCCATAACGAGCGGCTCGGCAGAGCTCGTCGGGGAACGGGAGCTATCCACGCCCATCAATTCCTCGGCTACGGCCAGGATCGAGGGTGAAAAGTAGCACTGGGCGAAACTGTCGCGGCCTGGCATTTCCGGGTGCAGGAGGTGCTGGACGCCCCAGATTCCGCCCTCGGAGGCTGGTGGGGGCGTTGTTGGCCAGGGGGGAATTGTTTGGGCACTGTGCGGAAGTGTGGCCAGCTTCCGGTTCTTGTTAGGGTGGTTGCTTTTGTGGCGATGTCGCGGTAGTGCGTGATTTCTTCTGCGGTGAGGAGATTGCGGACTACTACGAAGCCATCGCGGCGCAGGGCGTCGAGGTGAGGTGTTGCCATTATATAGGATGGGGGTGGAATGGGGGAGAAATTATCACAGTGTAGAAGTGTAGAAGTAAAAAGTAAAAAAGTATACCGGAGACAAAAGGAAATGAAGCAGAAGTAGAGTAAATATAGATAGGTAAGATCGGAGATATACTATGCGGGGTTGGATGCTACCGTGTCTATGGACTGTCAGGAACTCAATACTACCGTGGACCCAATACAACATCAACGGAGTTAGGGCTATTTGTTGATCATTGGGGGATGATTGTGCTGAACTAACACCTGCATAGGATCACTGAGGTCCACGGAGCCAGCTATTAGGTAGCTATTCGGTAGCTATTAGGTACCTATCAGGCAGTTATTTCGTGTTCGGCAACTGCAGCTTGTCACAATACAAATAGAACGAAACAGAAAACAATCGACTGCACAAATACTTCCGACGTCATGGGGATCACCGCGCCAAGAGCCAAGAGGCTGAGCATCAGGCGCTTCTTATTTTTCTTTCCTTCTACTATTCGCAGTTGAAGTCGACTTTGTTTACTATTTCTCTCACAAGGTCCCCTTGCAAAACCCCCTGGACAAACCCCCACTATGCCCCTCCTCCACGCGGGCTCCGCTCTACTGGTGCTGCTCCTAATCCTCCCGCAGGTGCATGCATTCGGAGCTGGCAGTATGTAGTGTCTGACTCGATATCCACGGAATCACCCTAACACGATCCAGATATCGCATCTATCTCTGCTGTCGAAGGCAAGAACTGGCGCCATGGCGACATCGAAGATATTCTCAAGACCATCGCGTTTATCCACGGCCACAAATGGACCTCAACCATGGTCAAGCGCGTATACTTCGGCAACTGGCTACGAGATTAGTGAGCTCAAGATATAATCCCAAAAATTCGCACTAGCTCACAGGTTCGACAGCTCACAGGCAATGGACGTCGGCACGCTCAAAAGTCTGCAGGCCGAGACTATCCGCATCCTGGTGTGGGTCCTTTCGTTCCTGAGCTTCGGATATGCAACAGGGGAATTCGAAGTGACGTCGGATCGGTTGGGTGTTTATCGTCCAGAGGAACATATCGAGTGAGTGGAAATCAATGCTCATTGCGAAATATATATATATATATATATATATATATAAGAAGGCTAACAACTCTTGTCACATAGCAACCCCAAGGACTATGCCGACAACGAAGATGCGCGCCAATATGACAAACGCCTGCGACCACCTGTTCGCAGCATCGAACTCGAAATAGACCCGAATACCGGAATGAAGAACTATATCGCAAACGAACGAGGCGACTGGGCCACCAGCGCGGCTTACATCAAGTTCAGCATGAGCCGCAGCATCCACTACGGCCGAACATACATCCATGGCGGGTCGAACAAAGGCAATGAGGATGATTTGTGTGAAGCACTGCGCTGTATGGGACAGGGACTGCACACGTTGGAGGATTTCGCTGCGCATACCAACTATGTCGAGCTGGCGCTGCGTGAGATGGGCATGCACAATGTGTTCCCGCATACTGGCACAGCGACGGAGTGTAATATCCATGGGAAGCGTGTTTTCCCGCTAGTCACGGGAACCTTTGGCATGGTTGATTTCTTCCACTCCGTGCTTGGAGAGGCTACCGATCATTTCACGCAGTCTGAGGTGAATGAGATGGATATTGCATTGGGGGATGCGGAGACGAATGCTCAGTCTAACAACTCGCTGAACGCCCTGACTGGATTACTCGGCAAGATCCCGGGAACCAAGGATCTGGTTTCCGAGGCTGAGAGTTTGAAGAAATCCTCTGCCGCGCAAGAGTTTGCTAACCGGAGCCGTAGTGCCGCCACGGGATATGCAGAGAATACCCGTGCTCCAGGCGGCAATCAGTCATCTGGGGGCTCTGGGCCCGGCGCTGGATTCGAGGGAATGCCAGACTTCAATCCGCAAGAAACAGTCGCTAAGATCTATCCCATCCTGGCATTCCGTGACAAGGTTGTCCGCAAGCTCAGCGCCATCATCGAAAAGGTTCCTGGGCTTGAAGCCCTCGTCGAGAAGATCTCCGAGACTCTCACTGTCGTGATCATGTCGCTTCTGGCCCCCTTTGTACGCCCTTTGATCAAAGCAGCTTCAAAGTCCCTGCAGACCGGATCGGCGGGTGTCATTGACGCCTCGGGCAAGCACCAGTACGAGCCTTGGACCGATCCCCACTGCACCGATCCCACCCACTCCCTGCTCTCAAAGGATCATTTCGCCAATGTGCTCAACGAGCCCGCTGGCCAGGTCGCTTCTGCCGTGGTGCAATACATCGCTCCTCGCATCCTCTATGCCTGGCAGCACATCGATGTGCCCGAGCACGAAGTCCTGGAAGATTGCATGCGTGTCTTCCACCACCCCGCCCTGCGTGATATGCACAATGAAGCCCAGCGGACCATGTTCGAGGCTGTCCAGACCTGGGCCCATTCTCGTCCGGACCGTGGCCATTCTCTTAATGAGATTCTCAGCTCAGAGGGTGTCAGGTCGGGTCGTAACACTGGCGGTGTCAGTCACACCCACAGCGGTGGTCATGGCGGATTCCCGACACTAGGAGGACAAAAGCCAAACAAGCACGGACAAGGCAATAGCCATGCCCAGAGCCATGGTCAATCATCGGGTGGCTTCTCATCTTTCTTCCAACAGCAATCCTCTTCCAATCACAATAACTCCTCCTCGTCCGGTCTCCCCTGGGACAAGCTCTCGTCGCTCCCAATCCCGGGAATTTCGAATTTGAACAAACTCGAAAGCAAACTCTCAAACTTCATTCCTGGCGGCCGGAGTCGTGACATGTGTGAAGACGACAGCCAGCAGTCGCGTGGTGGGTATGAACATGGATTAGCAGGCCACGTGGTTGGTGATTCGCGAGGGGGCAATGTCCAGCCAGAGCACAATTTGCAAGCTGGCTATGACCACGTCCAAAATGGTTCTTCTCAGTATGGGGAGCACGGCTCCGCTAGCCACGGCCATCACCATGAGCATAGTGAGCACCACGGTGGTCATCATGGCTCTCATTCTGGGCATGGCCATGGTCATGGTCATAGCCACGGCCATCACCACGAGCACAGGCATTGAGTGTTGTTGAGCAAGACGAGGTTGATTTGAGTTTTGGGTGGTTTGCGCAATGGTTGCAGACAAAAGAGAAACAACTCAAGCGAAGATGAGATGAGAAAAGCATCTAATGTGAATGGCGAGTTTGATATCATTGAGAGGCCTGATTGCTTGCTTGCTACCAGATGTTGACGCCTAGTAACTCTCATTTCACTGTTTGCTTTGTTGAGTGCCTTTGCTGGAACCATTATTCTTGCTGTTACTCAATTCATGCACCTGTTGATGTTTGTTTTGAATTGCGAAGATTGCCAATTGTTCTTTTCTTGTCTATTGTATTCGTGGAAGATATCAAAATAGATGAATGATGAATGTGATGAATTATTTTCAATTACAGTCGGTCCGCTACAGACATAGCATTGAGGCGAGAAAAAACATGCCTAGATTTCCTCTGGTACCGACTATAGGCACTTTAGACGTATCCATGGGATCATTTGATAGATCCTCACTCTTCTTCACTCTTCTCCTTTTTAGTCGATTCATAAACATATCGCCCACGTCTATGATTGATTTACACCACTTAGTTGTCTGGTGTTTTGCAACCGAAACTAAATCATTGAGACTTCTGGTGGATTGGACGCCTGAATTTGAATTGCAGGAGCCAATCGTGACTGTCTAGAAACATTGATCTTAATTTAGAACAAGCGAGATTTCATTAGGCCCTGCTTGGTATAATTCTCAGTATATGGTGATGTTCTAGGTATCTGTCGCCGGGCAAGGCGTCCGGTAGAGGCGTCCAGCTTTGTCTCAACGGAACCCTACAACTGATCATTATGTGGTCATCTGGACTTCGAGAGACGAAATATTCCTTATTCTGTCTACTCAATGAAAAACACAGCCTTGTCATTACGTACATGATCTCGTGTTCCTCTCTGGCAGCTGAACTTCTTGAAACTACGAGTGAAACTATACGGGGAGTCAAGATATAAAAGGACCAACGCCCCCAGCAGTATACTCTGAATAAACAGTTCAATCAGACACTCAACCTCCAAAGAACAACAACAAATCTGAGACAAAGAAGGGTATAAAAGCCGACAAAATGAAGTTCCAATCAATCTCTACCCTCGCCCTGGCTGTCGCCTCAACCACATCGGCCGCACCGCACCAAGCCCGCGCTTTGAAGCCCCTTGAACTCGCAAATATCAGCGCAAGCATCCCATTCACAACAATGCCCACAACTACCATCTTTGGTTTCTCTCTGAAGGACCCGAATACCAATATTGAAACCAAATGTTCTTCTTACTGGTAGGTTCTACATTATCTTCCTATCTCTTCTAATGCAGCCCAGATATATCAAGAGATGAAATATAGATAGCTAACTCGGATACAGGTCAGTCGGCCAGGCTGGAAGCAAGTCTTACAACTGCACCAACAATGCATACCAGCTCAAGCTTTCTAGTGGAATCTACAACATTGAGGAATTTGACTTTGGTGTTGCTCGGGCGGATGGCTCTCTAAGTGGACGTTCAACTCTCAAAGGTGAATCGTGGAAGTGTACGAAGGGGTCTGAAGAGCCTCTGGAGAGTTGTTACTGGGATGGGGTCTTTCAACTTGATGTTGCTAAGTAGAGTTGATTTGGATGAATCTTTTGGTATGAGAACTTGGCATTTTGATTGTTCTTTTGTAGGGTATAGGTTGCCCTTTCTTCTGGGCAAATTGTATGTGTTTACAGCTTGGCTGAAATAATTATTGTAGTGGGGGAATTGCTTACTGCATGAAGTAGCGGTCTATGGATGATTCAGCACTCATGATGTATTTAAGACCTCTCTACTCTACGTAGAACAAGACAGACACATTCTTCTCTTCAGACCATCCCTATGTGCTCTCCTTTCCTATAGCCCTACCTCTTGTTGGGTTTGCCTATGCTCCTACTGCTATTGTCGACCCGTCTGCTTTGACCAGACTGCCATCGCGCTATCCCATTTCATTATTTAATTTATATTTTGCTTCAAAATCATGGCCTATACAAAAAAGAGTGTGGATTGCTTGAAAGTATACACTGCAGAATATACGACGGTGGCAATATTTCCCATACTTGAAATCCAAAGTAAGCTTTGAAAGATTCCAGCTTTGAACCCTTTTCCGCTGAAAGAACGCAACATTTAGAAAGAAACAGAGCTTCCCGAGCTTACTCCACCAGAAGCAGTGAGTCTGGCTGCATAGCTAGCATCGGAATCATGGCTAGCAGACACATTGACACCCATAGTAACCCAAGCGAGAATACCATCCTCAATAGAGTCCCCAAGCATGGCATACTCAAAGAAGGGATCAGAGTTAGAGTCTTCGGTCTCAACCTGAACAACATGGTCATCACCATTCTCGGTAATAACCACAGTGCTAGTGTTATACGGGTAGGTAGCCTCGACCTTTGTAATAAGGTCCTGATCGAAAAACAGCTGACCAATGTGTGAAATATGGCCACCAGTCAGAGTGTTGTTTGGCAGGATGTGCGCATTGGTGTGGGCAATAACGTGGATGTGAGTGGCCCGGCCAGAGTAGTGGCCCGGGAACAGAGACTTGAACTGGGCAACGCCGTCAGAGTCAGTCTTCTGGATACCACGAAGGAAAGTCTTGTCCAGGTTTGTAGCATCGTTTCCATTGCCGTTCATGTCGCTCTGGACTCCAGAGTAGACACCGGTGGCGTTGCAGTTCCACACGTCCCAGTACAGATTCTGGATCGGCTCGCAGGTGTTGATGTCGATGAATTGTCCATCGATGATGACTGGGATACCGGCCTGGCCATCGCGGATATCGTTGCGGATCAATTCGCCCTTCACCCAGAATGGACCAACTTCTCCCTCGGGGGAGAGGATGCATGTGGGGTTGTTGGAGAAGAGGTCTGTCTCTGGGGTGTTTGAGGTGACCTTCAGAGTGGAGTGGTGAGAGGTGTTCACAACTTTGTCTGTATCACGAGGGAAGAGAGCTCGCTTCTTGTTGGTCTCGAGGAGAGCGGCACGGCGAGCTTCGGCACGAGAATCCACACCGCGACGCTCGAGGTGGTCTGCACACTGATCGAGACTACGGCGGGCGTTTTGCAAGAAGTCCCTTTTAGTCACCTTGGTATAAGAGCTGTGCTCATGGACACCAGGATGAGCTGTAGCAATACCAGTCAGGGCAAGGAGTACAGCCTTGGAGAAGTGCATTTTCTCGGTGGAGGTTTAGGAATTTAGTTATATAAGAAGAGACGATGCTGTGACTTGATGTTTCAGACGGATATTGAGGAATCGAGGGTGAATTGAGGGTTTTTATAACCTGATTTTGCTTCATGATTCATACTTGGGCGTCTCTCTGGCTAATATCAACGACTTCTGAGTCGTCATTGTTGTCGTCAGCCAGATAGTGATCTAGGGGCTGTAGTGGATGAAATATGCCTTCTTGGCAAGCATTGGCCTAGTAAATTTACATATTATTAGTTGTATGGTGACGACGCTGGAGATTCTGCAGCAAAGCGGGCTGACGAACGAAACCATGGTTATTGGACCTCAAAGACAAGCACCGGGGAGGTGGGCCTATAGGAGCAATGAGAGCCTGGTGCCTGCCTTTGTGGCTTTTGCGATCTACAGCCAAGGCTTCCAGTGTGGGCAAGTATGGTACTTTGAGATATTTACTGCGGAGGAGCGGTGGGAAGGATAGAAACTAGGTCAGGAAGGTTTCAAGCTTTGTTTTCTGATACATGTTGAGAGTTGATGTACTTGCAGGATATGGGCTATCCAGATATGGCTGGTTCAAGAGCCTTCATATTATACAATCAACTTTCTTATTTCACTGTTGGTGAGAAAGTCCCAGGATTGCTCCATAAAACTGAAAATGTTCGGCAATCGAACGCGGAAGACTTGTATAGATGGCATCAATATGGCATAAGTGATCGGTAAATCACCGTCGCCAAGATAGAAACCCAGACGTTACATCTACGTGGATACTGGAAATTTGCCAGGATTCAACCCGATAATCCATATATCATGGATAGCACGGAGGTATATAGGCTGTACAGATTCTTAAAGATAGTGGGCAATTTAGCCATATAGAATCACAGCCACCGACACGTATTCATGACATATACTCACTCTAGAATTGTACATCTGACTACCTTCTCTAAACCCATTTCCCAAAATCGATTGAATATCCCAGAAGCATTGGAATAAGGCATAAAATGTCGGGCCTCTCCCCCCGCTGACTCATCCCCTAATTCTTGGCGCAACGCAAGCAAAAAAGGCCTTGGCGTTCCACCGGCGACGAGCTCAGTGGTGGAGAGAAAGTGGCACTTTCAATCCAGCCTTGTAATAGGCTCGTCACCGTTGAAAATCGTTGATGATTCAGCGGCGATGAGAAGCGTCGTACCCCGACCTCCAGTAACAATCCCCCATTTGTCTCCCTATTGGGATTTCCAGTGCCTCACCTGAGACAGGCTCACTATCAAGCCTAATCGTTTTTATGGATGACACTACTGGCCCGCGCGGGAAAGGGCGGAGTGCCTGCGATCTATGTCGACATCGAAAGGTATGGCCACGCACGCACTCTACATGCCACCCCCCTAACGATGATACTTGACCAGATCAAATGTGATAGGAGCGAGCCAGCATGCGAGAATTGTCATCTTGCAGGACTTCCATGTACATTTTCTCCACCGGCAACTCAGCTCCGGAAGAGCACTCGGCAGTAAGGCGGCCCTTAGACTGTCCCTGAGACGGGCACTAACGAACACACAGAGAGCTTGCTGACACCAAAGCGCGTGTCCGGGAACTGGAGGCGAAACTCGTTGCGTTTAAAGAGCATACTAAACATAGCCACAGTGGGCTGCTCCCTCCTAGCAGAGGGGCTTCTCCGGTTCCGCTCAGTCCCCTTTCCCAGGCTTCTTCATACACCTCTTCGGCTGTGACGTATTTGCCTGACACACGCGATTTTGATACTGCGTTGGCAGCATTTCAATGGCATGTCTCATACTGTGGGCTTGGAAGTCCTCTTTCGACCCAAAGAGCTGCATTTTATTCGCTCATTGAACAGCAGACGGGGTGTACATTCAATGTGGACGTCTTTGCACATGAAGTCACCCAGTCATTTCAAGCAAAGCATTTAAAATCGTCAAGAAAGTCCATTGGGTTGAAGTGGCCTCCTTCTGCTCTAGTCCAGCGTTGTCTGGAGTATTTTGATAAGAATGGGCTTTATTCAATATTTCCCATTGTCGATGTCGAGGCTATGCAAATCCTCCTCAACGCGAATACTTTAGAACAGCCATCAAGCATGACTCGTGCTTCTAACCGTGCTTGTCTCATTGCTTTTGCTGCAATGATCACTCAAATCCACCGTCATGAGAATGCCTTTGCTGGCTGTGATCCCGACGCTTACCTGCAAGCGGCACTAACACTTCTTCCTGAAATCATGTTGGAGCCCCCTGACCTGAGGACTCTAGAAGCTGTGACTATTATGGTAAGTACTTTTCACGGTGTTCGTTTCTTCTCACGCCTAAGCTGATTGTGTGCTACAGATGCTCTATATCACTCCTCTTGGCAGACCCCAAGCAGGAGAACTGCTCCTTGGCGTGGCCGTGCAGCTCATCTATAACCTCGGTGCAAACAAGATTCAAACGCCCCATGAGATACACCGGACAGACCAGCGCAGTCAACATATGCGAGCACTATTTTGGCATTGCTATGCTATCGATAAGGAATTTTCCATCCGAAAATCCCAACCACCTTTGATAAACGATGACGACTGTGACCTGGATCTGCCTACGACATATGCCAGGAAGACATCAGAACGCCACTTTTACATGAAGCCACTATCATCCAAGGAGCTTCTGTTTCCCTCGGACCTCCGATTTTCTTTGCTCAAGTCGAAGATCTTCCGGCTGCTGTATTCAGTGCATGGTTTAGCACTCCCCGAGGCAAGACGTCTTCAACACATTCGCGAATTAGATCAAGAATTGAGTGAAATGAAGCAAGGATATCCCGTCGACTGTCGGCCCGATGCATTTGCTACTGAGAGCGCACCGGAGTATCTCTTCCACGATCTCAGTATCCGCGGTGTGAATATCCATATGGAATATTATTATTGTCTAGGCAAGATCCACGGCGCAAGCAGTTCTTCTAGGATCGCTGCCCCGCAAAGCTGGTCACCCCTTCCATCAAGTGCCGAGTTATGCTTTGAAGCGGCGCGATCCTCCTTGATCTACATATGGCGGGTCCGCCAATTCGTGAACCATCATACCTTCTGGTAAGCTTCATCCTGGAATCAGGCTAGCCAAACCCACATACTAATCTATTCCTTATAGGATCCATGCCCAGTTTCTCCTTGCGGCTGTATTCTCCGTCTTCTGGTATCTCATCACATTCCCCACTTCCACGACATTTACAAGAGATTTGAAGACCCTAGAGGATATAGCAGGTCTTTTCGCTGAACTTAACAAACCCAATGATGACAGACAGGCTTTCCCGCCGTTTTACTTGGCACAGGCTTTTATTGAGAAGTTGGTCTCGCTGGCGAGGCATTCTTTGCCCAAGATTGCGGGTCAGTGATGGGGCAGCTGGGCTTCTTGGATCTCGTTATTCTCATAGAAAATGAATCTTATGAAATCGTCATGAATTGCATCTGTATATCTCGTTCTTCTTAGTACCGTAGCTCTTGGGTCCCGGGCTCGGTCTAGGCTTACACAAAAGGATCGGGTATGTAGCCATGGCTTTCCTGGGGTTGATAAGCTGAAACGGAGCGTACATGAGCAAGGAGGTAACAACAATATATAAATAAACGAAGTAACAAAGGTACAATTCTCAATCGAAATCAAGCCAATATTATAGGGCTGATGGCCAGGCGAACTAGGCCACGTTGCTCGGTTCCTTTGTGCCTGAACTCCGCCAACCCCTCTCCCCCCTTTCCCCAACTTCCCCATCTTCTCCTCTTTCTCTCTCTTCTCTTCCCTCTCCTTCTCTCCCTCGACTATCCTACTCTACCTCAGGCAATAGCTCAACTAACTAGTCAGGCCCGACCTACAACCCATTATGACCATGAACTGACTCGATACTCAATCCCTCTGACATCTCAGAGTCACTTCTTCATAGATTCTGCCACAACCTGACACAGTCTCTCGCACCATCTAGCAGTCACGGCATCAGAGTCAGCTAGCAGGAGACACCTTCCCAACGAACAACAGGACCACAATGATTTATGCCAGCTTGGCAAAAACATCTAGAGTCTTCGGAATCTGAAGTATGACGCAGATGCCTAGGGAACGATCACTCACGGAATCCTATATCATGGGCGCTCATATCAATTACTCCCCAGGTTGAGTATGCCAGTAACGCTGCGTGGCTCCAATTCTCGTTATGGGTCGTGTTCTTCTATCCTCCTTCAACAGCCCGGCCGGGCTAGCTCAATCGGTAGAGCGTAAGACTCTTAATCTTAAGGCTGCGGGTTCGACCCCCGCGTTCGGCTATTCCTAAAACACCGTCCTCGAGTGAGCGTTTCTTTTTTTGCTTTTCTTTTTTATTCCTATGACTCGAGTTTATTTTCTCGAATGTAGGAAGTATTGCTTTTTTTCAAGGGCGATGCTAATCCAGGGTATGGCTGCGAAAAATTACGTTTCTGTGGGCTATTCTGCTTTAATTGGCCATGCATTGGCTTTTTTTTTATCATAATTGCCAGATATATAAATTCACAGTGGTGCTCAGTATGATAACTATAAATCAATGCATTCAAGCGGTCTAAAACTGCCAACTGGAGACTGGATTATAGAGCCAGGCTCCTAACAACTAATCATCATGTCATAACAATAAACCACACACAAAGCTACCCAAAACTCCTTCCTACCCAGATCAAAAATGCATCGCTCAAAATCAGACATCCAGCCTAGTGTCATAGTTTAGTCCCCTCACGCCCACTATCACTAGGCCTCCTAGGTCGAATAGGGCCCAACGGCTGAGCGGTAATACTGCTGGATCCAGCCGTCGACGACGAAGCCATCGGTGATCGAGGAGTTTCACCACCCGTATTTGCCCGGACAGCCCCCGTACGTGTCCCATGGAGTCGGGGATTCATTAGCCACTGGACTTGCATCCGGACACTGTTGACTGCGGCATTCGTGTGGGCCATGTCTTCCTTCATGCGTATACACTCGTTCATCAGAGCCATGCTAGCGCGCGCATCGAGGTCTGTGAGGTTGTGCTTGATTTGCTCTACCTCCTCGCGTAGAGATTCATGCAGGGAGAGTAGATAGGTTGTGGCATTCGATGAAAATACACTCGATGAAATATCCGTAGGATCATCTCTGTTTGTTTCGGCGTGTGCAGAGGTCTGCTCTCTTCCAGCAGTGGCGGATTGTCCGCTGGAAGCAGCACTGGCACCTATGCGTGCAGACTCGACCAGAGTGGATCTAATGTTGGCAAGGCCATCCTCGAAGATCTCGTTCCGCTGTTGAAGGTGTCGCATGCTTAACTCCAAGGAATTGAGTCGCGTATTTTGCACCTCGAAGTACGGGATCATCGTTATCAATGGACAGCTTTGTTCATGCATTCCGATGTCTGCGCGACGGACCTTGACAGGACATGCGTATTTTGCCGCCGCGCAGGGCACAATAACTTCGGGACATGCTTCCACATGTTCATTGAATGATTTCCGAGCGACAACCGTTTCACAGTCGACACAGCTAGTTTCCAAAACCGGACAAAGCTTCTTATCATGCTCCTATATCAATATCGCGAGTCAGCATCTATAGAGCGCCAAGACAACCTATGCAAGATGACGAACCTCATAGTCCTGCTCCATGACATCTTCTTCGCAGCGGGGACACTGGCGCAGTACATGTATGCATTTCCCATCTAGCCCAATATCCTTGTTCCTAATCAAACCATCGCATGAATCATCCGGACACGGAACCAGCCGATACCCACAATACTTCTCAACATGCGACTGGACATGACCCCGAGGCACGATCTCATGACAGCCCTCCGTTATTAAAGGACATCGCACCCGGATCTCGTCGCACATGTTGATCAGCAGGCGGGGTACACTGGTCGACACCTCGCGGGTGGGGGTTCGGCAAGAGGGACACGGGAACTCATCCGAATCGGCCGAGCGGAAGGTGTTGATGGCGGAACTGAGGCAACTCTGACAGAAGACATGATCGCACTGTAGACGGACAGGGTCAACAAAGGGACAGTGGCAGATTGGGCACATAAGGTGCGAGTCGTAGTCGGAAACGAAATCCAGGCCGCGAAGATCAATGAGCTCATCGCGATCGCAGCCGTCCTCCATAGCCAGGAATTCTTGTAGATTCATGATGCGCGGGTATCGACCTATCCAAGGTTTCTTGTGAATGTTGCAATGCGTATATTTGCTCTTTTTCTTCCCCTATGTTGCTGTTCAAGTAGGCGGAATCAGCGCGCGGGTTCATGCAGCAACGTGCAGATGATGGGGGCGGGTCTAGGTACCGAGGTAGACCAGCAAGCACTATGGATCCATGAGGATGCCACTAGATCAGGGAGCAGTTTGTATTAAGGCTTTGCGAGAAAATGCAAATGCCTTAACATGTTCAAGTCCAAGGAGGTGGACTGCGGGGAGGAGAGGCGAAGGGCGGAAGGGCGGTTGATCCGCACTTGGTCATCTTGTTGCCTTTGGCATCTCCGCCTCATCCCCAACTCAACCTGCCAACATCCCAACTCTGAACCCTTTTATGATTTGGCTGATCGGAGGTTTTACTCCGTACTGATCGTCCACACGTCTTTCGATCGATCATATATCATACACACCGCTAGCCTCCTCATACCGACATCATGACGAGTCCTTCGCAGCTATTCCTGCTCGCCGATCACATCAAATTATCACTTCTAGAGCGCCAACGAGCCATTTCACTTGACCTAGAACCCAATTCTCAAGATGGCGAGATCTCGCGATCCCTCGAGTCTCTGCGCGAAGGAATCGAAGCCGTGGAAGCCGAGCACACCCGTCTAGCGAACTCGAACGACAGCGCAGGCGCCGCCGCCCTGAACGACCAACTCTGCCCCCTCCAGGCCCAATATCAAGAGCTATCAATCCAGTTCCATGGCGCAGATGGCGAACCATCAGAGAACAACATGATGCAGGCATCGAACGCCGCAACGCCCCCTCTCAAGCAGCCGGTCCCCCAACACCCTCCTTCTAAATCCGTCCGATTCATGGACAACTCCGCCGCGGCAGCTGCCGTGCAAGACGAAATCGACGAAGAAGAAAACCGTGACCGTCAGAATCTCTTCCGCCCATATCGCGATGAGCCTTCACCGCCCCGTCCGGACCAATCCAATATGGACAACCAGCAAGTTTATGATCATCACCAGCAAACCATGCGCGACCAGGATGAGCAGCTTGATCGTCTTGGCGAATCTATTGGTCGGCAGCATCAGCTGAGTATTCAGATTGGAGATGAACTGGATGGCCACGTTGCGCTACTGGATGGGATGGACGGAGACGTTGAGCGTCATCAGACTCGGTTGGATGGGGCCAGACGGCGGATAGACAAGATTCGGCGCAAGGCTGGTGATAATTGGAGCTTGATGACTATCATTGGGTTGATCATTATACTGGTTATTCTGATTGTGATTCTGAAATGATACCTACATCTACCTTGGAGATCCGAGCTTGTTTTCCGGGTTTCCGGTGTTTCTTCCTCTGGCGAGCGGGCGTTTCTTTAGCTATTCGCAATGAGTCGATTGATTTCGATGTCTTTTTCTTTCTTCTTTTCGTTTCTGGCGTTGAGGCAATGGAGTCATTGCTAGACTCTTTCGAGTTCTTGATCATACTACATTCGCGATTCTATCATTCATTATATCCTCTCACTCTCACACAATGACATTCAGACACGACTTGCTCAAATTATTATTGACGAATGCAATGCACGGATCAAATAAATAAATCGTTTTGTCAATAAGATAATAAGACAACTTGACTGGCGAAAAGCCATGGAATACATGGAATACAAAAAAAGGAGAATTCATAGCGCGAAGGGTACCAAAACATCTCCGGGCCGACTTATTGCTTTCCAGAGCTCTGCTTGTGGAGATAAGTTTTCGTCTTCTTCTGCAACTCATCGAAAGTCACATTCTCGCCGTCAAAATCGCCACGATCCGCTTTCACCTGCGCCGGTACATGTTAGCCCGGACTGTATCTACACTGTAGACTTCAAGGCTCTGGGTGTCTGCTTACATCTTCTTCACTGCTACTCGCAAGCTCGGCCTTCCACTTTCCCTTGCCATCCTTGGACTCCTTGAGACCTTCTTGCTTGTGCGATTCATAGTGTTCGGCGAGGTTCTCGCGGTCTATTGAGTTGTTAGCATGAGGGGTTGCTCCTTTTCAGGTGTTTTCGAATTGAGAACGGGATCCGACTGACGTCTATCATTCTCCTTCAAGCTGCGGACAGCTGAAGTGTGGAAAGTGGAGGTGATGGCGTAATTGGTGCGGAGGGCTTGGCGGGATGCGCGGATTGAGGTGAGGAAAGACATGGTGATGGTGGTGGTAGTAGTGGTGATAGTGGAGGTGATGGTGTTTGTGGAAGAAGAGATGTGAAGGAAGATAAATGGAAGTTGACAATAGAACGTGGATTCCTGGGGTTGGCCCAACCTTGGATGACAGCTTGAGCAGCATGACATCATTCTCTTTGCATGTGGGTCGAGCATGTTTATTAATCGCTGGATCCTGGCAGCTTGACCGTGTGGGTATGGTATGTCATATCTAGAGTGATGGAAAGAGAAATCGATGCAGAGATACTGTATGAGGCTTCACATCCTACGCAGTGGATACTAAACAGGTAGCGCATCTCAGCTAATGAATCCCTTATGGCCTGTAGAACTGCTGATATTGCCTCTATCCTCGACAATTAGCCTTGAATGAATGTCTAATACTGTGATATCAAGGCGAGCTACATGACTTAATTCATATTTTGCGAGTTCAAACCCCAATGAAGGTTAAGTTGCATACTGTAAGGCCAGGCCAAAGCGGATTGGTGCGCTTGCTTGGACATTACAGCATGATACCCCAGATAGCAAATGAGCGCAAAGATCAGAGCCACTTTAAGCTTATCTGGATTCTAATCTGCACGGGCAAAGGGAATTACAAGGGAGGAGCAAACAGAGCTAATCAAGTACCGAGAGAACAGTGTGCGCAGGCCAGCAGGTCAAATCTGGCCCAATATAGTCTATGTGAAGGACTATTCTCACAATATGCACCATATAGGAACTGTCTATTGGTATCATATTTTCCGACTATAACAAGGCAATAAAATTACAGAACATCAGAAATATAATCAAGGGTTTCAATTGAAATGTCAACACGCGACAAAGTGCGTCCGGATGGGTGGCCTTGTGGCCTTGTGGCCTGGGGCGCCAAGTCTCTGCCTCAACGCGGCAGACTTGGCGCTGTTCCTCTTTCTACTCTTCCCAGTCCAGTCGGAAGAGGGTTTCACTCACACAAAGTGTCTAGACCAGAATCATCGGCTCCGACTGCCACTGCTGCCAACTCTCTCATTACTCGGACAACTTGCCACAGAAGTCAGATCATAACCGTAAGGCATTGCGCCACCGCGTGCCGCGGGGGAACAGTGCACAGCCGAAAAGCTGTCGGGGTGCCCGGGTCCCGACTGCAAGCGTCCAGCAGTTTTCTCCCCAATACGACATAGAAATCCCCCCTAAGCCACTTCCGGCATTCTGATCCAGTGTCTCTCAAGGTCTGTTCAAGGATCAGAGCGTCTACGCCACGTGCCGCCTCCAAAGCGCCAAAGCGCCCCGATCCATGGCGCCCAGACAATGCTCGTGTCCTGATAGGGGTAGGCCAAGTAGGCCTCCAGAAGCGTCTCAGCCCGCGCGGGGACGCTGATAGAAGTGTAATTCCACCCAATCGCAGTGCAGTCCGGTTCAGAGAAAAACAGGGATTCGTCAGATGGCTGACAGGGCTTCGGCTGGCTCTGCGGTTTAACTGGCCTCTTTACGCGGACTAAGGTCGTATTTGGTATAAGCGGCCTAGAAGTAAATTAACAGGCTTTCCATTTTTTTCTCTCTCTCGTTCTGTCTCTCTTATAAACCCTGTCAAAAGCCACTGCTGAGTTTTTTCCTATCTGAGATGTTTATCTGAGATTCTGAGATAGGGCATATCTTCGATCTTACGAGTTCGAACCCCCGGCTCTGTCCAGGTTCTTATTTCAAAGATTCCTTTCTTTTTTTCTTCTTTTCGTTCTTCTCGACATTGCTAAGGTATCTCCGCTGTGCGCCTCAACCCCAGATCTCCCGCGCGAGTCCCACAACTTCCAGTGCGCCACCAGCATCCATTGCGACAAGCTCCCCCCACAAAGCGAACAGACAGAACCCTTGCGACAACGCAGATTCCATTGCAGCAACATATCAGCCCATATCCAATTATACAACTACTCATAGACCCATGCGACAAACCGATAATCAATTACAACGACCTTGACCTAGCCATATCTAGATTTCGGATCGACTGCGCCTTGCCCATCCGTATCAAAATACTGATAGATCAGAAAGACCAAAAAGGAATGCAAACATGGTTTTTGGAAACGACAAAGACAAAGAGACAAGCAGTGGAGTGCTAGAGACCTTGGGGTTAAAGTCGGAAGCTCCTCGCGATGTGCAGGAAGGTGTAATGGCATCGAATGCCGACAACCTCCAGCGTCATCTTGGAAACCGTCAAATCCAGCTCATTGCAATTGGTGGCTCCATTGGCACTGCTCTTTTCGTGAGCATCGGTAGTGGTCTCTACCATGGTGGTCCCGGAAGCTTGTTCATCGCGTTTGCGGTTCAGAGCATCTTTTTGGCCATGGTGAACAACTGTCTTGCTGAGATGACCACCGCTTTCCCTGTTAGCGGTGGGTTTATTCGCTTGGCTGGAAAATGGGTAGATGATGCTCTTGGTTTTATGGTTGGCTGGAACTTTTTGTCCGTTTTTTTTCCCACCTGATATATTGGTGTCGGACAGATCTTGCTGACTTTGTATATAGCTTCTACGAAGCTCTGCTGATTCCATTCGAAATTTCGGCCTTTACACTTGTGCTGTCATTTTGGAGTGATGTTGTCACTGAACCTGGCCCAGTTGCTGGTATCTGTGCCGGTGTGATTATTTGCTATGGGTAAGACCTCTGACAGCTGGACCGGCTTGTTTATCCCCTCACGAGCTCCTTTTGATCCAAATTCTAAATTCGTACAGTTCCCTCAACGTTCTTGCTGTTAAGGCATACGGTGAAGCCGAATTCTGGCTGTCAGGCGGAAAGGTCGTCCTGATCTTTTCTCTATTCTTCTTCACCTTCATCACAATGGTCGGTGGAAACCCACAGCACGATGCCTACGGCTTCCGTTACTGGAACAACCCAGGGGCTTTCATGGAGTACCTGGACACCGGTGCTCTCGGCCGCTTTGAAGGTTTCCTCGGATCTCTGTGGTCTGCTTGTTTCGCTGTCGTGGGCCCCGAGTACATCTCAATGGTCGCCGCTGAAGCCAAGCGTCCTCGGATTTATATCAAGAACGCTTTCAAGACGGTTTACATCCGATTCGGTCTTTTCTTCATTGGCGGTGCCTTGGCTGTCGGAATTATCTGTGCTGCCAATGATCCAGCCCTGGTCGAGGTTGTGACAGGTGGTTCTTCGGGTTCTGCTGCTGCATCTCCATATGTCATTGGTATGCGCAACATGGGAATTAAGATTTTCCCATCTATTGTCAACGCGTGAGTACACCAAGCCAACCCTGACTATGATATATTACTAACATCGATGCAGACTCTTGCTCACTTCAATCTTCTCTGCTGGTAACACCTACACCTACTGCGCAATCCGTACTCTGTACGGCCTTGCTCTAGACGGAAGAGCTCCAAGAATCTTGACCCACACCACTCGCAACGGTGTCCCAATCTACTGCTTCTGCATCGTGATGATTTTCCCAATGCTTTCCTTCCTACAATGTTCCAGCAGTTCGTCCATTGTCATCACCTGGTTCGCCAACCTGGTCACAGCCGGCGGACTGATCAACTATATCACCATCACATTGACATATATATTCTTCCACCGCGCCTGCAAAGCCCAAGGCCTAGACCGCAGATCATTCTCTTACTACGCCTGGTTCCAACCATACACTGCATACATCGCCTTTGTTTGGATGATTATCGTTACTTGTGTCTACGGCTACTCTTCCTACAAGCCCTGGTCCGTCTCGACCTTCTGGTCAGACTATACCATGCAAATCGTTATCCCTCCTCTCTTTATAATCTGGAAGGTTATCAAAAAGACAAAGTTCGTCAAGGCCCATGAAGCCGACCTCGTCTGGGAACGACCCCTTATCGATGCTTATGAGGATAGTTTCCTCGACCCGCCCACTGGGTTCTGGAGAGAAGTTCTTCAGATGGTTGGAATCGGGCGCGTTAAGGGTGGAAATGATAAAAGAAGTATGTCCATTGCTGATCCTTCCCATTCGACTTCCTATTCTCATGGAAAGGAAGAGGGATCCAGCGCTTAAGGATAAGCTTTTTTTTCTTTTCTGTTCTTTTCGTGGGCCGTTTTCAAACACTGTTGAAAATGACCCCGATGAATGAAACGCCCTGGCTATTTCACCATGGGTATCTTATGAATTGACATGTCTTTTGTTACATACTTTGTACATGATACTTGGGTTCTGTTTGTACCATACCTTATCCACGGATAACAATGCATGTATTTGATCGAGATCTCAAGAAAACACGGTGATGATCGAGGTATACTGTAGGCGTGATTGGAGGGTTTCAACCCATTTAATTCGCACGTAGCTAGTCGAGAAGTACGGTAGGAGAGAGAAAGGTGACCCCAAATAAAAGCTGTGAGCCACTAACTTTAAATAACTCCGAATGCCTCGTGGCTTGTGCAAGATCTTTTTGTCCCGAATTACTGGCCGAACTATTTTTGAATGATATATTCTCCTTTGATACCGAAATAAGCATAGCGAGTCTGTATCAGTAGGCATTGGTGAGCATTTTGTTCCCTTCAGCTTCTATTTGGTTGTAACTGATATCAGTTATTGCCCTTGATCTCTAAGATCTTTTGTTTCAGGTGGAAGTGTATTATCCAACAAGGGGTTTAGATCAGCTGAAGGGGATCAGTGCACTAGTCGCGCTAATCGGGTGATTCTCACCCTGCTTATAACCTTGTTTATAGCACACTCATCCCTCCCACCCCTAGTCGTGCTATAGTATTCTGTTAAGAATTTTTCTATCGTCACTCCATATATTTTCCTTTAATAGTAAAATAAGTACATACGACCACAGGGTGTGGAGAACAGGGCTTCCCGTCCGCTCAGCCGTACTTAAGCCACACGCCGGTAAGTTAGTAGTTAGGTGGGTGACCACTAGCGAATCCTTACTGTTGTATGTTTTTTCTTTTTGTTACCATTTACTATGGCGTCTTATTGCTAGAATGTTTAATGATCTAAGGGACATCGAGTCTATTTCTTAGGTATTCTAGGAATTGAAGAGGAGCCTCGCTATCTAATAGGACAGAGCCTAGCTCTTCACGCGCTTCAATCTAGCCTAAAAGATCATCTCTTACTTACTAATAGGTTCTATTCGAGTATACTCGGGGTACTTTCGGACTTATTAAGGGGCGAGAGCTTTTACTACGTGTATGATAGAAATTCTCACTAGGCTTCTTAAAGATAAAGACTGGAGTAACAATGACTAGAACTCGGGTTACAATGGGTGATAGTCTATCATCCATGCAGCCCTGAAGTACATCACAGGCGAGCCAACAAACTTGGCTTTGCATTGCCCTCAAACAGCTCGAGGCCATCAATGAATTGGTCCATAAGATTTCTTGAGGACATCGGAGCATTGCAATAATCTTGCATGCCAGATTCCTCCATAATGTCTTCCAAATGGGGAAGTAAAGCATCCGCCGCTTGAGACTCTACCTCCCGCTGATTTTCCCGGCTTATTCCACCTTTCTCAGCGTACCAGGCGGAGTCAAGCTTGATGACTCCTGTTTCATAAAGCTGGATAACCTTAGGATCAACATTGGCTTCTTGGGCAGCCTCATACGCCATTCGATGACCTATGGCTTCGACTAATGGAAGGGCCAGTGGCAGAATATCCCTGTTGAAATTCTCACTTCGATGATTGCCATTGGATGATCTTTGAAAAAGTGCCTTTGCCTCGGCAAAAAGAGACGCTTCATGTCGAGCAATGGAACTCGTCGGTCTTCTCGGTGGTGGCAATTGATAACGACCGATCAATAGCTCGGATGCAAGACCTGGTTATTACATTTGTCAATCCTGCCATCTCAGAACAAGGTTTGACCTCAACGTACGAATCACAAGAACCCTGATATCACCTTCTGCGGTTGCTGCGCCTCTCATCTCCAGCTGATGGTCCAAATCAGTATATTTCTAGGGCTGACATTGCTGTTCATCTTTCGACACTTACTTCCAGCTGAAGAATTTGATTGTGCGCATAATGACCATGCCATCCACATCTCTCACTCATAGCCTTGGTGGTCTTGTCGAAGTGATTCACAGCCACTGCTTTGAAAGCGGTGGCAATGCCATGACGGACCCTGGGGTCCATGTTATTGTCAAGATAAGATGCTGTCGCAGAAGCCAAGAACGCCTCTAGAACGCTATACTGTGCCACCGCATGAAGTATAGGAAGACTCTGTGTCCGAAAACCAATGACTGCCATAGGTCTTCCGTCGGCTCCGGTGACGGATCTGTTGCGACTGTACCGATTCATGACAAAAGCTACGATTTTCAGACATGGGACGATACTACCTGAAACAAGCAGTGTTCCGACAGAAATACGGTGTATAGTCGATAAGAAACTCTCGCGCTCGTCAGTCGCTTTCTCAATGCTACCCAGTAAGGAAGATTGTGGTAAGCGCACATGGTTGAAATACGTGAGGGCGTGATCAACGGGATGAGCTCCAGTCCTTGTAGGCAAAGCTCTTCGGTAAAGGGTTAGCTCGATTAGAGTAATGGTGCTGTTTTAAGCTTACCTTGCAGTAATGTTTTCACACATCTGCTCTCCGTCACCAAGTTCAACCAGGAAAGGCTTGATTCCGCAATCTTTGTCTTTGTATACGAGACGAGCCATGACAATGGCTACAACGGGAAGTCCGCTTCTAGTTGTAGTCGGAGGCATAGCTCTAGTAGCATGTTAGACTCAATCAGGTGGTAAGTCAAACGAAATTACGGTAATATGGACATACTTTGCATCGCCAGGTGAAGGAGTATGAAGGTCAATATCTCCATCGGGCAGGATAGTTGCCGTAGTCTGGAGATTCCGCGTGTCGAGTCCATGATTGAGCTCAGTAAGCATATACTGTGCTCTTTTTTGAAAAGAAAAAAGTTAGACTAACAATGCTCATACAAATCCGAGGGGAAACAATGCGCAAAGGGCTCGCTCACGAGATTTCAAAGTTCATGGCAGCTTGGAGAATGGAATTGAGCTCTGGGCGGTTCACTGCAAACGGACCCAGCGTGCCAATGAAAAGGTTGGTCTGAATACTTAGAAGATTCAAAGTCCCTATATCTAGCCCAGCTAGAGGCTGCAGATTCATCTTGCAAAACTTTGGAGTCATATATACAATATCCGATATATTCAGGCCTATCATGGGTCAGCAATCTTGACCGAGCAAACAGCACGCAGGATTACCGTATGCATTGCAGAAAGCCTTTGCCCTTCGGTAGCAAAGTTTATTGCGTTCTACCGAGCTCAAGGTGCGCGGGTCGGACTTGAACAATGGGGAGCGTGCTAATTCGGAAATGGCAGTATTCGTTTGTTTCAAACATGTTTGCTCCAGTGACACTTGTCCCATGATGGAATTGATTGTCAATGAATGAGTATACTGTTCAAATGAGTTAGCAATTATTCCCATTTCTTTTATATGTACACCTATTCTAAGAAGTATCAGGCCAATCTACTTTCTCAACCATATCGGGACTCTTGGAAATACAGCAAGGCTGAGTGATCTTTGTGTAACGTAGGATGTCGCGTCGCGTGTCGAGTGGATCGATTTGTTTCCTGCGATTGGTTTGGACAAGGTTTCAACCCCAATAATTCCAAATCCTTACATATCAAGCGTCATTGTACTTTTGTAGGTAAGTAGTTAGAACACGGCATACAAGATTCAAGATCTACAGTATGCACCCATAATAAGGGGATGTGGCCAGCTGAAAATACGAATATTTCCCTTTTCTTCGGCTGAGCTATGCAGGCTTGTGGCCTTGGCGGACACTAGGAGCAATATGCATCACATCAATCTCTCCCCTGCCAGAATACTAGCAGTCTCACGAGCGGGCTGGCCGCTATATAACAAGCACATAGATGGCTTAAGAGCACTTCGACAAGTCTCCGACAGTATTCTATCCTAGCTTTCCATTTCAGCTTGCAGATATACCAGTAGATAGCTGAACATCTGATGTCCTAAAGTTATTCTTTTTCTCTTTTGGTGTTCTACAGTCTTTCCCCCTCATTTGTCTCGATTGCAGTTTATGAACATGTGACAGACGATCGGTGGATACCCCTATAGGTGACGTAGAAAGTAGGCAGAAGTCACATTCTAGGTGGACCCCGATCATCGCAATGCAGACACGATGTTAAATAAATTATGATCCCCTTATCAAAGTTGTCGTGTCAGTGCGCTGAGCGAATGTGCTAGCAGGACACAGGATCAAATTCAAACTATAAGGGCTGAAGTCATACCATCATAGGCTCTAGGGTATCCAGAGCCATTAAATATAGGGTAAAGCTACCTTACGAGCGAGAAGTGAATGGCTCAAATGGCATCTTGTCACTTATTGGCGTTTCCGCACCTTGAATTCTTTAGCACGGGCTTATTCTGCGTTATACGCGGCTAAACCCACTGGCCTTCTACAAGTCGTAAGAGCGCCAAGAATATGTTGGGGTCTATATGAGCTGCAGGTGCCTAAAAGAACAAAAGGTTATTGCCTAGTGCCAACAGCTTGGATCCCGGAGAGTTCATGGACTGACTTATCAGCCGTGAGCCGCTGGAGAGGGAGACAGTTGGAGAACGCGATAATCAGAATATGTGAATGAGGCCTGAAATAGCCCCATGCATTCAACAAATGGAAAGCAGCATGAAGAGGCCCGTTTATACAGAGTACTGTAGTGTAGGTGATGCGGGTTCCCAAAGTAGACCCACCACAAGTAATATGCTAGGAGCAAAATTTGCCTGGCACGAACTGATCTTCATGGTGTTTTACGCTGGGTACTAATCAATGCTTGCGACCCAAAGAGATCACTGGAAGCTAGTCAAATGCGCGGGGAAGGGAGAGCAGAGAAGGAGAAGAAGCAAGAAAGAGATCACGTGACCAGACTTTGCTCACTACCACTATCTTCCTAGGCTCACTATTCTAGATAGTTCACTAGAATGAAATCTGCGGATAACGAAACAGTAATTCTATAACTTAGACAGACTTGTTATTGATCTTGAGGAGCTCGACCTCGCTATAAAGAATTAGCTTAAACATTGCCTGGTAGGAGATGGGTTGAATCCTTACAAGACCAGCTGAGAGTTAGCGGGAATCAGGCCGGGGAAGCCCCTAGAAAAAAAGTTAGTATTGTTGTCATTCCATGCGACGACCCGTGGAGTCGGTCGGAACGGGGTTTATATTGGATTGAGATTCCAGGGTACATACTGGGAACCGTAGCCGAAGTCACTATATTTAAAAGAGCGAAGGGTTAGCAGTGTGTCGCGAAGCTTTGACGAGTGCGAATTACTTACGGGCTGATGGTGAGGATAGCCTTCTCGCCGAGGGTCATCAAAACAACACCCTGGTCCCAACCTGTAGAGCAGGTGATTAGCAAAGCAAAATCCCAATATGCCTATACGCCACATCTTCCTGTCAAATTGTGCGCAGAAAGATATTCTGCAAACGCGACGTACCGGGGATCAGACGGCCTACTCCGATGGGAGTAGCGAGGGGACCGCGGCCGGGGTTGTGGGAACTGTCGAACCTGATTATCGCGCGCATGATTAGTAACTTGAGCTATAATCATGGTTTCCAAGGATGCTGAGTTGAGGTGTTGTTGCTCACTTGTTGCCCATGGAGTGATTGTCAGCCTTGGAGGCATCGTACAGGTAGCCGGTGTAGTGGAGAGCGACGTTGTCGCCCTTCCTGGGAAAGTCAACACCGTTTCCGGGGACCAGAGTCTTCTTGTCAACGCCCATTGTGAATGTGGATGGAAATGCAGTGTAGGTGGGGGAAATGTTTGCAGTGTTGGTGTAAGAATTAGGGTTGGAAAGAAAAAACGCGGGGCAGCCGCAGTGGAGCCGCCCACAATTCCCCGAGATGGCTGGGTATATCGTTGGTATACCTCAACTCTATACCGAGGATGGTGAAACACCCCATCCCAAAATCACCCGCGTTTATGGTTTGCCAATTGGATTACGGAGTGTTCCCCGAATGTGGGCCTCCTGTATGGGTTCTTTTTTTGCTACGGATGCTTTTCTGTCTAGCAAACAAACAGGACTGCGAGCAAGGATGTGAAGAGAGATTAAGAAGAGACGAAGAATTCCTCAAAATCCCACCGATTCTCCTATGTTTCTTATTTTGAGAGCCCACTCTGAGATCTAAACACCCTCGAGCGCTTGCCACTCATCTAATACCGCAATGTTGAAGAACAATATTCTGCGCGAGCTCCTGCCCTAAAAATAAAGAGATTCGCACAGAGTCTCTGGAAAGTTACTCGCCAAAAACAGCGGCGAACATATCTGGCCTGTACTGAGTGCCAGAAAAAAAGTCCAAGGTCAGAATTCTGTACCTTCACTTGACGATAGAGCTAACTTATACAGTGCTCCGATACGATCCCTTGCACGAGATACGCGAACGGAGGATGATAGTGTTTATATAATCCAGCCGGTGATCGAAGACTCAAGGCTCATACCGCCGAGCTGTTAAACTTCCGTGACGCCCTTCGCCGAATCGCTGCAAAATGGCGCTCTAGAACGCCGGAGATATCACAAATGATTTGGGAGATCCAAGATCTGCCAACAGATCAAGATGTAATTAACTATTTTGCTGACGGATGCTCATTGAATGAAAATCCAAATGTTTAATTTGAATGCCGATTAGATCTACAGAACTCCTTCGCACAATTCCTTGGGCTGTACCATATCAGGATGATGGGAAAGGCCCTTTTGAACACAGTGAGCTAGATACCCCCGACTTTGCCATCATTCACTGTGAGCTTCTGACTTACTTTTAAGAAAAGCCATCTTTAATGCAATACAGCGCTCGCCTCTGTTTCATTGACCGTTTGGGAAGCCTTGAATGTCAACCTCGTAAGTTCTAATCAAATCAATACAGATACTACAGCTAACAGCTATTCAGAATGTTGGAGATGGCAAAACTTATGGTGTTAGAAACTTGCTTTGTAGCAATCGAATGGCCCTTAACAGCAGTTCAGATCGTCCATGCTACTACGTCCACCCTTCCGAGGCTGACTTATAAATAAAATATGGAAATATCGTTCAGTTCATCATGACATCTATACACGAACTTATTGGTCATGAGCCTGGTAAATTAATAGCAGAAACAGCCCCCGGCAAATTCAACTTTGATCATGAAAGTCTCCCCATCAGTCCTGTGACAGGTCAGCCCATCCAAACCTAATACAAGCAAAGGAAAAGCTGGAACAGTGTCTTTGGGAAGCTGGCGTTGACCGTGGAAGAGTGCAGAGCTCTTCTCTTCGCGGACTACTTTATTGACAATAAGGAAATCCTCGCCCCTTTTGGATATGATGAGAATAATCCCCCGACTTTCTCGGGTCAACGTCAGGACCTTCAAAAATAACCGATCACAGTCATATATTACTCCAACATGCACATTGGAGTCGAGGGCCTTCGTGCAATTTGCAGTTACAGGGTCGAGGATTAAGCCTGGGGCAGTGGTCATGATCAGGTGAGATATATCTAGCATCAAAGGAGACATTTGGCAGCGAAACTAATACATCGCTCTGTCTACTTCAAAGGCTTATTTTGTGATACTGAATTACATTTTGCAAAATCACGGGGACGGTGTCATAAGCGTGCAGCGCGACACTTCCTCTAAAGATTTATTTGTTCATGTTGATCGCTCCAAAATCACCTCTCATAGAAAACCAACCATCGGCCAGATGCTGTGCAGAATCCACACATGGCACTCTACAGCCTAAATTTCTGCGTTTCACCCGTTCTATAAAGTCTTGAGCACTGTTAGTGGCTGCCATGAATTGTGGAGGCAGATCGTGGCCTCCAATCTAGAACCAAAGTGTAAGTTTGTGCAGCCTAACACATTTCCCAGAGATGACGGTACAGTCAAGATTTGAAAGTACGGGGCTAGCAATGTAGGAATCATCCAGCCTTTCTTTGAAAGACACATTTGATTTTCTGGGCTAGGTATTATACATATTTCAACCAGTCAATCCATGGTTCGAAGTTCGATCAACAGCGCTATATCATCAGGTACAAACTTGAAGCGCACAGAATAAAGACTTCCAACCTTGGAAGACTTGGAACCTTTTGTAAGGCTCCCTGGATTAGTTTTGTCTCCATCTTTTGAAAAAAATCTTTTTGGAAAACCTTGGAATATATAGCCATGACAGACTACAACCTACGGCAAACATGAACAAGTGTCTTGGTAGCAGAAGATGTCTCTTTAATATTTAGGATCCAATATCTCACCAGATGAGGCTGTAGGTGGATTGGCGCCTTTAGTCACTGCCACGCGCTTCATGTAAACTTTTATGGACACAGGGTAAAAAAGAAAAACATACAACAGTAAGGATTCGCTAGTGGTCACCCACCTAACTACTAACTTACCGGCGTGTGGCTTAAGTACGGCTGAGCGGACGGGAAGCCCTGTTCTCCACACCCTGTGGTCGTATGTACTTGTTTCACTATTAAAAGGAAATATATAGAGTATCATAAAGTGATTGTAAAAGTGATAATATAGCACGACTAGGGGCGAGAAGGGCGAGTGCGCTGTGGATAGGGTGAGAATCACCCGAATCGCGTAAGAATGGGGACGGACCGCTTAAATATATACGTAGTAGCTATAGAAGAGCTTCTTATAGGTTCAATATACCTCTAATATCCCATTTCCATATAAACAAGCATACAGGCGTACACAAAGACCGTGGACCATGGAATCTTATCATATAGTTTCACCCCCAGGGAACACCCCTGTAAGTTGCTAGAAGTCATTGTTACGTGTAGTAAATTTATTGAAGTATCTAAGAAAGAAATGTCCATTACTATAGCACTGCCATCCTTGGATCTACCGTATTCATTCGTCTTCAGCTTCATCACGGAGGCGCTGCAATGCTGCTTGATCAAAGATGCCAGGACCCGTAAGCTCATTCCGCAATGTCGAAATAGAGGGCACAAAGAAGTAATCTCCTCCTCGTTGGACGACCCAGCTTTCCAATGCTAACCGATTGCCGGACTTGTTGTCATGGTCAATCGTAGCGAAAGAGCGAGGCGGGTGATGCTCAAGTCTTTGGCCCACGATGGCATCGATACCCGGGCCCTCCTCGCCAACTACATGGGTCTTGTCGTCGGGGAAATGGTGGCTGCTAGCCCAGCCTGGATTGTTAATGATGTCAGCGGTGAGACTCTTTTATCAATCTGCACAGGGGTCATGAGGAATACTCACGGGTAGTCAGGAAGTTGTATCCATTTCGAATATCACTTTGATAGCAGACAAACAGAAGCCCACGCTCCTTGTCTGCAGCAGACTTTCGATCAGCTGCTTCTTCTGCTGTCACCTCCTCGCCGTAGGGAATTCCGCGACGCCAGATGATGGCGTGGTCGTGGTTCATGTCTCCTCGAGGTCTCATCTTGCGAGTATGAGCAGCAAAGGGGCATTTCTTGTGCTCATCAATAGGGCTGTAATCAAAGTTGTTTGATGCAAAGAGATCTTTGTTTGAGTCGTCGTGAGGAGATTCATCAACAGGAGTTCCTATAGTTGGTCAGAAATCGAAGCTCAGAGCAACAATAGAAACGAATTGCAACAAACCATTCTTCCATCGGCCCATCAAGTGTGCTGCAAGTTTCTCAGCTGGCCTGGGGTGATCTTGAGTGAAAGGGGCGAGGTGCGCATTGTCTTCCATAAATCTAAAGATGTGGTTAGAAAGAAGTCACAAATATGACTGTCAGGTGGTTCACATACGCGTCGAACTCAGGAACAAGCTGCTGAAGGTCACGGAAGACAAGGAAGCTACCGTCTTTTACCCAAGCCGGTTGTTTTTGCTTGTCACCCTCATTTCCGCAAAGAACCAATCTGCGTTGTGTTAGTCGAAGATACCTTTGTAGCGGGCCATTGAACCACTCTTACCCTGGCTTTGCGGCTTTTGGTTCCTTCGCCTGAGGCTGTCTTTCATCCCAGCCTTCGATGAGAGGCTGACTGATTCCATCCTGGAATCCAAAGCTAGAGGAATAACGGGTGAGCTTTACTGGAATGAAGATATCTATGGGTATCAGATCAGTTCTTACTGCTCCTTTCCCTTCTGAAGACCAGGTCGGACCTTTCCTTCTCTGACCAGGGTGAACTCGATCGAAGGGTCCCTGCTGATGGCGTAGGTGTCTGCATTGGCATGCGTTCCCTTCTCGGCCAGGAAGTGCTGCTTCACTTCACTAATTCTCGCATCCAAATCGGACTTCAAGCTCGAGGTCACCATGATGACACCATCAATAAGCCTCTTATTGTCACTGGTAGGCTTATATTCTGTTCGCAGCTCTTGGGGATTGTCCCAGCCTTCTCCAACAAGATCACTGTACATACCCTTCTCAAACAGACCTCCACGAATCTGATTCTTTCGGAAGATCGGGGAGAACTTTCTGTCCGCTTTAACCAGCTCTTGGTCCGGAACATTGATGAATGCTCCAAGCTATATATGGTTTCTTGTTAGCCACCGCTGACTGCCGGGGATTGAGCTCACAGCAATGACTTACCGCTTCAAGGCCGGTGGAAGTAAAGGCAATGTTGATTCCTGGCAAAGCTTGAAGCTTCGCAGATCTCTTTGCCTGTTCGGCTTCTTTTCTTGCCGCCTTGATGATCTCGCTCATTTTACAGGCATCTTGAGCAGTGGTGATCTTATCAGTGAATGTCTTGAGCCGGTCCTTGAAATCGACCTGGTTCCGAATCCGAAAGAAAAGGAAACTTTGAAATCTCTTTGGGAGACCGGGCCTGGTAGTAGCGGTAAGCTTTTGAAGCTATAGCATCGTGGGAAACTCACCAAACATCACCCTGAATGTTTGCCCTGAGGGCCGGTGTGAGACTCATGACTAAGAAGCTCACTTGGGACGAGGGTCTGTAGTGAGATTGGTGTCTGGAGGGGGGAAGGGGCAAATATATGAAAATGCGACACCAACTGATGAGCTCAGAAATAACCAGCTCTTCCAAGCCACCGAACAAAGAAAATGTGGGGGGTTACTGCACTGTGATCGAAAAGCGCTTATCATTCGAGCACTCCAGTAGATCCTGTCGCCAATTGGAAATGGGGCATATCAAATAGCGTCATTTGCATGAGGTGTCGAGGGCATCTCCGAGGTGCAATGTCGACGGCCGATCAATGCAATGCCATGTTGCATACCGTGTACATATATCTACTGCATTTGGCAAATTAATGGTCACGGATTACGTCTTCTGCTTGGTAAACAGAGAGTGTAACTGGACACGGTATTACTTGGCCGCACTCAGCTTAATCATTGTAGATCCTCTCATCCTACAGGCTGCTCAGATCATTCCAAATACGAGACGATCAGCGCCTTCACATTTTTCTTGACAGCAGAGATTAACATAGCCGAAGACCCCGCCGAGCACTTTCAATCGGAACCTCCTTTATCAACGAATTAGATGACGTATGTAATGAGATCGACAGTTCGCATATTCAGCAGCTGTACACTAGCGAAAGAGGCGATCAGATCGTCAGCTGAAAAGTGGATTCCACGTACATGATGTTCTGAGACTGCGGACCTCATCTTGCATCTTCAAAGGGGGGTCCTGCAGAATGCCAGGATCATGCGTCTGAGTGGCGGGATTGGTAAGAAAAATAGCGCGCTGGTGATTGGAGTAGGCAAAAGTACCGGATGCCGATCGTAGTTCATAGTCTGTCTTTGTTTGTCTTGATTCGTCCTAGCGCCCTTGGAAACTGGAGCTCGGCCCGCCGCCGCTCCGCCTGCCCGCAGGCCCTAAAATCCAGCGAATCACAGCTCGCAAAATGAGGCGTGAAGCGGGGGCTAGGTGGGCCTTTTTGTCCCTTGTTTTCGACAGAATTGTATGCCGATCAGTTTCATCTATCACCACGATCCCACCTAGAAAGTTTATGCATCAATTTTCCAAGCCAGCATGAAGAGGGGTTTCAAAATAGAGGAGCTGAAATAGGATCAGGGCTGTCAATCAATGACGCTGGGGTCCATCGTGCAGATCGGGATAGGCACTTGGCTGGTGGCAAGCCCCTCTCTGTTTTCATCGCATCTCCACATATTGTGATAGTCGAGTCAAGAATTTGATCCAGCGGTCTAGCGGTATTTACTTACTGTACAAAAGGTCTTCGGATTGTTGATCACGGCGACGAACGACCCGAGGCGGAACATGTGCAGGGCTGGGCTTATATCTCCCCCTTGCTCCTGCTTTAAGTAACCTTCCTTTTAGAAATTGACAGAAATTTCCGTTCTTCCTTTTCTTTTTGTTCTCAACACGAGATTTTCACCCATCATGAAGATTCATTGGGCTGGGATTCTCCTAGGCACCTCCATCGCCGGAGCCAATGCCAATGGCATGGCTAAATATATGGACGAAGCTATGAGAGGCGAGCGTGTCTCGGGCTATGGCAAGTCTGATAAGCCCTCCTGGGAGCCGACCTTCATAGATGAATCCCCCCCTCACAACGGAATTCGACTCCCCCGTCAAGACTGGAAGGTGACGTGCAGCAGCTCCGCTGCTGGTTACCCCTGCAAACGTGCAATCGACGGCAAAAATACCACTGCTTGGCGAAGTGATTCTTCTGAAAAGGGACACACCTTTGTCGTGGACCTCGGAGCGTGGTATCAAGTCAGCGCCGTCGTTGTTCTTCCTCCAATTGATACGGGAGTGGAAGGCCTCATCACCCAACACAAGATCTGGGTCAGCGAAGACGATGAGACCTGGAAAGGACCCGTTGCGTATGGAATGTGGCCCACCACCTTCAGACAGCGTATGTCCTCGTTTGAGCCATCTTCTGCCCGATACGTTAGAATCACCACTGATGCCGACGACGAAAACCCTTGGGTCGGTATCTCTGAGCTCAACGTCTATGGAACTCTTTACACCATTCCTCGTGACCCCACGCTCGGTGTTTGGGGACCAAGTGTCGACTTCCCTATCGTGCCTGTCTCCGGTGCTCAGCAGGGCAATGGCATGCTTGCCCTTTGGTCCTCGTGGGCCGACGATGAGTTCCACTCCTCACCCGGAGGAAAAACCGTCATGACCCGATGGAACCCCATTACCGGAGAAGTTTCCAAGCGCACTGTCACCAACACGCATCATGACATGTTCTGCCCTGGTATCTCTTACGATGGTACTGGGATGATGGTAGTAACCGGAGGTAACTCCGCCAAAGAAACTAGTCTCTACGATGCTGTCAATGATGAGTGGATCAGCGCTACCGGAATGCATCTCAAGCGTGGATATCAGGCTTCGACAACTCTCTCCGACGGGCGTGTCTTCGTCATTGGAGGCTCCTGGTCCGAGGTTTCTACTATTGACAAAGATGGTGAAATCTATGACCCCGCTACTCGAAACTGGACTATGGTTCCTGGCGCGACAGTCCAGGACATGATGACGGATGATATGGAAGGCGCTTGGAGAGCAGACAACCATGGCTGGCTCTTTGGTTGGAAGGGTCTGAGTATTTTCCAAGCTGGACCTAGTAGGCAGATGAACTGGTACTCTGCTTTCGGAGACGGCAGTGTCAAAGCTGCCGGAGACCGTTTGGATGACGATCATTCCATGTCTGGGAATGCGGTTATGTTTGATGCCGTGAAGGGAAAGATCCTTACCCTTGGAGGATCTCCTGACTACGATAAGTCCCCAGCCACCGACGCCGCCCATGTCATTACTATCGGCGAGCCTGGTGAGGAGCCTAGGGTCCAAGCTGCTGGAGGAGAAGGTGCCATGCACTATAGACGTGTTTTCCATACCTCTGTTGTTCTACCTGATGGAAAGGTTTTCATTGCTGGAGGTCAGACTTACGGCATTGCCTTCAACGAGGAGAATGTCCAGTTTATTCCAGAGATTTATGACCCCGAGACAGACAGGTTCCACAAGATGCAGCAGAACAACGCTGTCCGAGTGTACCATACTGTTTCCATTCTTCTTCCCGATGCTCGGGTGCTGAATGCTGGTGGTGGACTCTGCGGCAACTGCACGGCCAACCACTACGACGGTCAGATCTTCACACCTCCCTACCTGGTGACTGCCTCTGGCGAGCCCAGGCCCCGTCCCGAAATCCTCACGGATCTTCCAGGCAAGACTTTGGTCGGCAGTGAGCTGAAATTTAGAACGACGGGTCCTATCAGCGCAGCTTCCCTTATCCGGTTGGGAACTGCAACTCATACCGTCAACACTGATCAGCGACGCATCCCACTTCAAGTTCAATCCACATCTCGATTTGGACGAAGCTGGAAGGTCGTTTTGCCAAGTGAGCCTGGTATTCTCATTCCTGGATATTGGATGTTGTTTGTTATGGACAAGGATGGCGTCCCTAGCGTTGCAAAGATCATGATGGTTGGCCTGGACCCCAAGAAAACCATCAAGGCCTGGGGAGAGCCAGAAGATGAGGCCGAAGAACAAAACTGTGAGCATGGATTCCTTAAGTCCTACTGGCGGTCTTGGACACAGACACTAATTCTGCAGACCTTCGGCCTTTCATGAGGATGGAATTGCTCAAGAGAATGTGGTTCTGGTAGAGCGCGGAATTGAGGAATCTTTCTGGAGCAAAACGTAATAACCAGTTTTGCAATGATACAATAGCTCGATGTGACAGTAGCGGTAGTTCCAAAACAATCAGATAGGATGTCTCCCCGTATACACTGTTCCGAGGATTTCCAACATTTACCGGTTGCCTGGCTCAAGGTCGCCTTCAGTATAGTTGCACCAAGGTATATTTATTTTACACCATATCGACATTCACATATATTTCGCTCAGAATATTGCTCCTTTTCCATCTGTTTCAAGTTCTTTCGACCCAATACCGGTCCACAGTCAGAACCAGATTGATACCGTAGACTGATTCAATTTCGATGGGCTCCATTCGTTACAACAAGGAATGCAAAAAAAATACTACATACCACAGAAGGTCTAAAATGGTGGTCACCTAGCGCCCACGGTTCGGTCACAGGCAGCTCGCCACTTTATTCAGGGTACTCGGACACTAAGGGCAGATATTTACCTACCCAGATATTCCTCACCTGAGTGTCAGCCCGGAAATCAAATGCATAATCTCCATTAAGACTTAAGGAAGGGGAGCTTATAATAGTGGCTTGGAAGAAAAAATGTGTCTATCTTGCTCTACTGCGTGTAGAGGGGTTTTATAACTACACATCATGTATTTAAGATGTCATGATTCAATGTGCGCACAGCTTCCAGGTAATAACTAGCGTGAGAATTACCTAGACCGTGCGACTACTACAATAACCCTTTCAGCTAAACAACATAATGCTATGCCTTGGTCTATATTCTTCCTTATAGAATGCTCGGTATATTAGTATCTATACGCAGCTATCAAGTCAAATTTAAATGAATATAACTTAACTATAAACAATATCTTTAAGTAAGCTAATGTACTTCTATATTAAGTCAGGTGTCGCATGGAGTCTTTTGGTAGGCCAAAAACACTTATAGCCAGATCTGATAGGCAGAATTGCGTTCAAATTCTAGGGATGGGGTCCTTTAGCCAAGCTTTTTTGATGGAGTTATCCAACTTATTTGTTTCTAATATTTTTGTGCCTAACAACTATTGTTAAGACCGGTAAGTAACATTAAGCCAGGAGGAGACTTTTGAATCATTGAAGTTTTTCGACAGGCAAAGTATACCCACATCCTGAATATATACAGATTGGTGGCCAAGGCGCATTTAATTATCGATTTATGGATTGAATTGGTCTTGAAATGGTCCAAAAGAATTATCCTACTTTTTCCGAAGCCTGTTAGCCGAAGAAGATACTTTCATGCACAGTCGTATCTAGAAAACGCCTCCTTAAATGTGGCAAAGCTTCTCTTGTACTCATGTAAGATCAATCACAGTTACATCGGGGCGTAGAGCTGGTGGAGTTCAGCCAATTCAGGGAAGGTGACGGGATAAAAGGAACGCATAGCAATTCCCCGGTGCTGCCTACTTCAAACATCAAAATTAGAAACCAACCGGATACCTTGATTAAGCGCTTTCTATTTTCTATATGTAGACTAAAGATATCTCTGGGACAATACGACATGGGTTTGTCACACAAGGGCAAGTACTTTGCCGATCACCAAAAAGGACATTAAAGATGATAGGGGTGTATAAAGGTCTCATCGTCCACCCATTGAATTGAAAATGGCGATATTAACAAGGCATATACTGCATGCATTGAAGACCCGAGAACTATAAAATTGGTCATTCATTTCATACCTTTGCAATCTGAGTATCACCATTTGTCACCATGGGTCTTATAAAGCTCCTCCTCAAAGTGATCATTATCCCAATTGTTCTCCTTCTTGTTGTTACCGTCGCCGTGGTATTTTACATCAAGATTCGTCGCGAAAAGAAACAGAAGCAACAAGAAGTCGAGGCCGGGTTTCACCCACCTCCTATACAACAATGGGTTCCTTACACTCCGGTTCAACAGCCCGCCCCTGTTTATGCCAAAAGTCCCGAGGCAACGGAATATGGGATTAGACAGCCATGAATGTAGAGATATTTTGGTATGTTTCTATTGCTCTATTGAATTTTGAGTACTAAGATTGACTAATCTCCGAGGAGATATAGATTTCTTCCAGTGATCTCTATATTATGTCACGACTTGGTAATGTCACTTTTTGTTGAGTGATACCAGAATGATATTGTGTCAGCATCCTAAAACTCCATTTATTTGTTTCTTGCTTGCAACTTGTGATATTCTTCTCTCTTTTTTGCATGTGGAAAGGGCTACACCTTTCCGTTCAGGTTTCAAACTTTTGTGCTACAGACAGAAATGAGCAGGAATGTCATTGCTTTATCACCCGCAATTACAGATAGCCCGTATTGGATATGATCAACAATTTGAAACCAGTAGTAGAGTCCACAAATGAAAGATCCCTTACGCTTTATCCAAAAAGTCCATGTTCCAAAGCGGAACCTATAGGGCTGCATTCAACACGGTGTCATATGTCGCAGCTGAAGACCAATCATATCTATAATACAAGAGCGCAATTTGATTTGCATGCGGGTCAATGCTCTGGTTTCCGTTGGAAATCTTGTTGCCTGGAGTGCTAAGCTTTTAGTTGGTTGGGGAGTCGATCAGACGTGGGACTATTGTGCTATGGGGCAATTTAACCGTCCCCTTTTGACTTGTAACTTGTGGGAACGACTTGCTGTGACGGATTTGACTACATGAGTCCCATCCTAGTAGTTTGATGTCTATCGAGCGAGCTCCATTGTAGAATCATACGCTCAGCTTCCCATTTCCCTAGCATTGAGACCTCTGATGTCTATGAACACGAGAATGTGGCATTCCAGAAATCCATCTAGTCTTAAAATAACTCATATGACCGAAAATACACTGTGTATATTGCAGCCTGATATGGACTTATGCTAGCCATGTGCCTCGTTTTAAGCGCCAAGTCTCAGCCCTATGAGACTACTCCACAGGGTCGGGCACCGATCCCTGTCCTTGCATTGTTAGCCTTGTGTTCTCAGACGGTTAGTACGTCGACTTTACATGCTCCGCTGTCGATCTATCTATCTAACGGGATGCTTTTGAGACATTGGAAAATTCTTTGTATTCTGTTGTTCGCCTTGAGCCGGTATGGTATGTAACTGAAAATGTAAGTTGAGTTGCCTGTTTTCCAAACACATTACATCAATAGCGATTCGATTGCATCAGGATGCACGTAGAAAGCGATCGCAATGATGAGATACCTGGGCTTCGTAAGCACTAGTCAAATTCAAAGCGTTTAGAGCTCACTCACGTTCCAACCAATAAGCACCCCTCGTAGTAGTTCGATCGACCGCCTCGAATCAAGCAATCCATCACAATGACAGACAAGAAAAACACGACAGTCTCAAATGGGCTATACCGCAGGGACATGGGCTGTCCGATGATCATGCCGCAAATAACCAAGAATGGGCTCACGAACAAAGCGATCTGCAAGGTGCTTCCCACAACAACACCGATAGCGAGGTCCATGTTTCCTTTCAATGAAGCATTGACGACAGTGTTAAACTCTCCGGCATTGCCGACGATTGGAACAACGATCAGACCAATAAACGCCCGACTCACATGCCATTTCTCTACAAAGCCATCCACGCTCTCAACGAGGCAATCGGAGCAAACAGTAACTCCAAGAGTAGCTAGTATCAAGACAATGCTCGCAGCCCATGGTCCTAGAACTTGCTCCTCTTCCTCTGCTGGCTCATCATCCACGAACAAATCGTTGTGACTCTTTAGTTGGAAGTAAAGGTAGACGAGGTAGAATGCGAGTAGTACAACCGACGCGGCACGGGACAGACTCAACACGCTCTGCTCCACATCGGGCGACTTGGATGATATAGTCGAATAGAGAACCGATGGAATGATCAATGATGCAGAAGAGACGACCATCAAGGATGACAAGATTCCACTGACATCCACATTGAATGAAACAGCTTCTTTTGAAATGCCGCCGCAGAACAGGGAAACACCAAGAATCTAGGTCGATTAACCAAATGGACACAAAGCTGAGTAGCCAAGCTTACCAAGAGATTGCCCGAAAGGATACTGCCCACCATACTGGACTGGACAATACTGATTTCACCTTGTCTGACCGCAGTAATCCCCACCTGTGCAATGAGCGGGACGTTAGTTTCCCCACCCAAGACTGGATATTCGGCATCACTCACGATCATTTCCACGGCATTTCCAAATGTTGCATTGATCAGTCCTCCAACGGTTTGTCCCACGCTCTTTGCCAACTCCTCGGTGGCAAACGAAAGTAATGCTGCCAGGGGAAGGATAGCCAAGAAATTGAACACAAAACCAATGGAATCATTCCACCCTAGGTTCCCCGCTGTAATCCCCAGAAATACAAACGGCAGAAGCAGGTTTGAGTAACTGCACCCAAGGACTGTCTTTACCACCCACAGAGCAGATCTGCCGGGAGACATACGGCGATTCTCGGAGTGGTCTGCGTCAGGCAGCCTCGAGCCATTTTCCTCAACAGTGCCATGTTGGAAATGTTGCTCTTCTCTCAGTAATGCCTCCCGTTCCTCGGGTAATGAGCTTGTGTCAAAGATGTCATCCATACTGGGACTGATCTTCGTTGGCTTTCGCAGTCGGACAGCAGGGTCATCCATATTTCATGAGAAGTGAAAGTGAAATCAATAGGGAGACGTCTGTCTCAGGTGGATCGAGGGGGAGATGATGTACCGAGAGATTGAATACGATGTAAACAAGATGCCTGTTTCTATTTCTGTTTCTGTATCTGGTTCCGTATTGGTACCAAACGTCATAATAAATTACATCTTTGATACAATTACGGTATGTTTCAACTCCTTAACGATATCAACCGACCGGCACTCCGTTCTTACTTTCAAATATCCGACCATGTCTACGTGATCAAATCGGTTCCTCAATCATGACAGACCACAATCAAAATGCAGTCAAGGTCATCTCAGTACTGCTGCCCCTCATGGGTATGGCAGCGGGAGCTATGCGGGTGAACAGCGCCGTGGTTTTCACACTCAACATCTTGGCTCTGATCCCACTGGGTCCATGGATCAGTCGTTCCGTCGATGCGCTGTCCGTGGGTGGACGGCGGTTCACGAGTGAGCTACTCAAATCAACCCTCGGCAACTCAGTCGAATTGATGGTGGGCTGTCCCTCGACCTCAAAGCCAAGCACAGCTGACGATAAACTACCAGGTTGGAATCAATGCAGTCATACAGAGGCGGCCTCATGTCTCCCAGTCCGTGATTCTCGGCAGTGTTCTAAGCAATTTACTATTAGTATGCCATCCACATCCAAGCATGAACCTCGAAGGGATGAAGCCTCACTAAAACCACAACAAATCCACTAATCACATCCTCTACACAACTAGGTTCTCGGTGGCACACTCTTCATATCAGGCTACGATAAAAAACGCCTCCGTTTCGACCGAACCCTAACAACAGTCCTATCCTCTCTGATGACAGTCGTCTTCATTCTACTAGCAATTCCAACGATGATGGATGTTTTCCCCTCGACCACATCCACGCCAACAAACCAGGTCCTCTCCACACAGCGCATCACAGCAGTCATACTAATCCTCCTGCTGGTGACATTTCTTTTCTTCCGACTGGGCACGCACGCGGCCATGTTCGCCAGTACACCATTCTCCCAGACCGATCCCAGTCCAAATACAGGCCGGAGCAGACACCAACACCGACAAAGCCAAATCATCGAAGCGCAACTTCCCCGTCCATATCTCAGAAGAGATATCGCTGCTTTGGTGCTTGCTACTGCATCGGGCTGCACATTTGGATGTACATATTACATCGTGGACGGACTTTCCGAACTAGCCAGACTGACTGGGTTCAACGCGTCATTCCTAGCTGTTACTACTGTTCCTATCATAGGGAACTTTGTAAAGTATTACTCCATCGTGATGGGATCCAGATCTTACGGTCAGGTCGAATTGGGAATTCGGGCGATTATCAATTCCGTCTTGAGGTTGACTATGCTCATTGCGCCACTTTTGATGCTTGTGGGCTCGGTTTTTGATCAACCGCTTACCTTACGCTTTGATGGGTTTGAGTCTACGACGCTTTTACTTAGCGTTGTTGTTATGACTTATCTCATTTCCGATGGGAGGAGCAATTATTTTGAGGGGCTGATGTTGATTGGGACGTGAGTTTTCTTCTATTGACTGCCTGATATCTCATGCTGACTTTTTTTTACCTCAGGTATGCTATTATTGTGTGTTCGTTTTTTGTCAGGCCTGAGATACCGGCGAATGTTATCTTTTTGGGCACTTAGATTGGCATGAAATTTCATCAGATCTACGTTCTCTCTCGAAATCTTACTACCTTTCTGCGCAAGAAATTGATTAGATCTCAATAGTAGATTCCGGATATCCCAGAATGCCTAGCGGGTGTAGAATGCGGCAACTAGTCCAGAATAACTGGAACAGATGGATTAGTAACAGTATTCGCTCAAACGTATTAGAAGTAAAAAGGCACTTACAGCGCAATCAACATCGCCCCATGAATGTAAGCATACTGCCCATCCCTCAACAAATGATTGACAACCAGAATAGCCAAGAACATAGCAACAGTCTGGAAAGAGTCAAAGAAAAGAGTCATTGGTTCGGCAATGCACCAACCCATAACCACTAAGAAAGGAATCGCAAAAAGACCGATTTGCAAAAGACTATCGATAATCACTCGAATCGCAGCGTCAGTATTGCCAGATCGTGAGGAAGAGACAACAGTAACACCCTCAGTACTGTTACTGGCAATTGGAATAAAGACCAGGGAAATAAAGCTATGAGAAGTCCCAAGAGTGTTTGCCATATCATCAACACTTTCGAGCAGAAGTTCCGTGCAGAAGATCGTTGCTGCGACAGCTGTCACCAATCTGAACACCGAAGAAGACAGATTTACGGGTTTTTCTTGTGCTGATGACTCGGCATTCTCATCTTCTTCGTCGGATGTGTCCTCGTGTGAGATAAAGAGGTGCTTGTGGGTTCCGAGGTAGAAGTAAAGATATCCAGCATAGAGAATAAGTAGCACGAAGGAAGTTCCACGTGAGAAAGAAAGCACCCTGTCGTCAATTTCGGATACTGGAAATGTCGAGTATAGTGCTGTTGGTAGAAGCAGTGCTACTGCTGTGATCATCATCAATGATGAGAGTGTCTTTGCCAAGGCGCCGTTGAACTCCAAGACGTCCTTGTTGTATGACGCTGTGATGAGACAGCAACCGAAGACCTAAGACGGCCATGAGATTGAGTCCACTGGTCCATGATATACATCAATACTTACCAGAAGAATATCAGAGAGAATACTGCCCACCATGACGGATTGCGCGAATGCGATTTCTCCATGGACCAAGGCGAGGGTTCCAGCCTGCATCTTGTAAGCACTTTCTCAATTGGACGCATGTCAGAATCGGTCACTCTCACTCACTGTTAGCTCGACGGTATTGCCAAATGTCGCACTGAGAAGTGCTCCCTGCAATTCACCCAGGTATTCCTCAAGTTCCTCGGAAGAGATAGAAATGGCCTCCGATAAGAAGACAATCGCCGCGATATTGACCACCAAAACGATTGTGGCATGCCAGTTGAATATCTTCGCTGCTGCTGCTAGCGGTAGCAATACCATGACTGGGAGGCCATAGTTGATATGAAGTCTTGTCTGCAAGGGCATATTGATCAAGGCTTGGAACCGAGTCCAGGGATCTGGATCAGGGACATGGCAGTCAGCCATATGAAGTCGGGAGGATGTTTGAGAAAGATGCATTCTGTGACACGCTGGAAATGGCCCCAAGTAAGTCGAGGTCTCGAAGTCCAGGGAAAGTGCGACCGGGGGAAAACATAAGCAGTTGCAAATACAGGAATGGTATCTGTATTAGACAGTATTCGATGTATTTGGCAATTTACCGTCACATTCAGCCTTATTACTAGCGCATACGAGACGGATAGGGCTGAACAGGCAACAACGTTTCTCAGCCTTATGTGTTTGCCGATAAATAACCGTACCAGCCACAGGAGAAGGACTATCACAACTGGAGAACTTACCAGTATTCTTGGCTGTATTGTCGGCTGATGGATTCCCGTCTCCCCCCCCACCTGTCCATGGCATATTCGTTGACTCTCAGCCGCATACTCTACGGTCGCAAAGTTCATCTTCATCTAACCTCTCCTCCGCCAATATCGCTTGAATAGACCGCCTTCCCCACACATCTCTCGCAGGGCTGAATGGTCCGTTCTCCAATCTATGGACAGACACCCGCCCTCACTCGAATCGCTCAAGAGGGGGGTAACTGATCTCGCAACAACATATCATGCCCGGGAATGGACAAGCGAAGCAAAAGGCTTGGAAAAAGCCCTCACAACCGCCGAAGAACGAACCATCACGGACGCAAGTCTCGACGCAACGATAACAACGCTAGAAGAGCTGGGCGCACTGGTAAAAACATGTCTTTACCGCAAGCTATGGATAATCGCGGAAGACCTGGGTATCCTTGTGCTGGAAACCAGTGAAGCTCTGCAAGGAGAACGAAATCCGATCACAATGTCCGCGATGAATAGCCTCGCTTCGGCGTACTGGGGCCGTGGACAACTGGATCAGGCGGCTCCTCTTGCGTTGCGGGTGACGAATCTCCGCAGAAGATTGCTTGGCGAGTCTCATCCGCAGACGCTGGCGTCCATGACGAATCTGGCTTCCATTTACCGGGGCCAGGGACATTGGCCTGAAGCTTTGAAGCTTGACTTGAAGACGTTTGAGATGAAGAAAAAGACACTGGGTGCCACACATTCATCCACGCTGGCCTCGATGGCAAATTTGGCGGTCTCCTATACAAACCTCGGGCAGTATGACGAGGCGGAAACGATTGCACGTGAGTTGGTTAATCTGGGAGAGAGTTTGTTATCTGAGAATGATGTCTCACGATCCTCACTGTCCTCACTATTAAACTGGAAGCTGAGTCTAGCGTCGACGTACCGAGATCAGGGGAGGCTGGGCCCCGCTGAGGAACTCGAACGCGAAGTCGTCGCTACCAGTCGTGCTTCGCTAGGAACAAACAATCCCTTCACCCTCACTTCCATGGCCAACCTCGCATCCACTTACCGGGAACAAGGTCGCTTGCCAGATGCTGAGCGTCTTGAGAAGGAGGTTGTGTCGACTAGTGAGACGGTGCTTGGCGAGACACATCCACAGACTCTTATGTCCATCAGTAACCTGGGGTCTACCTATCGAAATCAAGGTCGCTTAGAAGAGGCCAAGAACCTCGGTGAAAAGGCGACGATGGTGATGAAGGATGTTCTTGGTGAACGTCATCCATTCACGTTAGTCGCCATGGCCGACCTCGCCATGACATATCAAGTGAAGCAACAATCACCCGATGCTGAGATCCTCGCAGCCCGATCACTTCGCTTGATGGAGGAGACGATCGGCAAAGACCATCCATATACTCTCAGTGCCATGGCTAACCTCGGCTCAATATACCAGTCACAGAGCAAGTGGGATGTCGCGGGTGGAATGGCAGAGACGGTGTATGTGGGCCGAGAAAAGATGTTTGGAAAAGACCATCCAGACACTCTTGCCGCACTGGAAGACTTGAGAAGAGTAGCGTGGGTAGAAGCGGCAGATCAGAATGCACAGCCAACGTTGAATTAGGCTCATTGGGGGTGTTAGATTGTGGAGAGGTATAGGCGTCTCGGGCCGTTAGCATGCATCTATAGTCATCTGTTTTATGAATTTAGGAACCAATTGATGAGATTTATGAGACGCCAAAGTCTATCTAAATTGCTAGGCTGGGGCTTTGTAGCCTTTTTACTTAACACAGCCTCCTTGCCAAGACTTAGCACTGGCTTATATTGTGTTTGCAGTTAACGTACAGCGCATCTACACAGCCTCCTCTTGACTAAAAAGTAGACTGTCAGTGTAGAGGTAGATCTCGAGGTGTCACTTGAGTGGTTGAATGTTGGTCTATGCAAGTCAAATATCTTGAAGTCTTGGAATTCAGACAAAAGTGGGAACTTAATTGACCATTGTGTGCTCATAGTTGTTCCTTGTCTCGAATTGCTAAACGATAGCCATTTACACGCCTAACTAGCAGTGCAATCCTATTACTATGAAGACCGCAGTAAACTTGGTCCTAGAATTTTAATAAGTGAAAAATCAATATTCCATCGTATCACCAGCTTGATCACGGTCTCTAAACTTCCTCGTTGGTCACAATATGTAGCCAGCAAGAATCTTGTTTGCTTTACGACCACACCGACATGCTCTGCTTCCTGTCATCATGTCCAACTTTGAGACTCTAACCAAAAAGACCAAAATGCACCCACAGTAATCCCCCCTTTACCACCGATCGTCTCTCCACTTTAGCCCCGCGACGCGCAAGAGTATTGTACATACAGTGTACGGTATTTACGTGTATTTCACAGCCAGCTCTCACCTCCAGGGTCTTTTCTCCCTCTCACCCACAATGACGCCAGCTTCGGGGGCCGATAGGTCTCGCATGTCTTCTTTATGGCGCGTAAGTGAGCAAAATTCCCAAAAAGAGGCTCCCACTCACATAGCTGCAGCTGCCACGGTCGAAGCAGGTCTCTGAACTATCCCCCGACTCGATATTCACACCTTTCTCACTCGACCCTGACACATTGGGCGATCTCGTGCAGTCTAGGGATGTGCAAAAGTTGCATGGTCTCGGTGGTGTAAGGGGCCTCGAAACGCAACTACGAACCGATCTACAGTCCGGCTTGAGCTTGGATGAGACATACATTGATGCTGCCGCTGTTTCTACCAATGCGACATCCACGGACAAAGTGACTGTCCCTGAGCGCTGTCTCACCACAGAGTCCCAGCATGATAGATATGTCGATAGGAGGAAGTGTTTTGGTGATAATCGCCTCCCGACAAAACCACCTCCGAGCTTTCTGTCGTTGATGTGGGCGGCTTACAATGACCACGTCTTGTTTCTCCTGACTGGTGCTGCTATCATATCACTTGCACTGGGCCTGTACCAGACATTCGGTACCAAACACTCAGCCAGCAATCCTCCCGTGGAATGGGTTGAAGGTGTATCGATTCTCGTCGCTATTGTTGTTATTACTGTAGTCGGTGCGGCGAATGACTATCAAAAAGAGTACAAGTTTCGGAAACTCAATAAGAAGCAACAAGATCGCAATGTCTGGGTTCTTCGCTCTGCGCGAACTCACGAGGTTCCTATATCTGAGATTCTTGTTGGTGATATTGTCCATATCAGTCCAGGGGATATTGTCCCGGCAGATGGAGTGTTGATCAGGGGTCACCAGGTTAAATGTGATGAGTCGTCTGCGACGGGAGAGTCGGACCCAGTGGATAAGAACGCGGTTGAGACCGGTTTGAGTCCTGGTGAAGGATCCAAACTCGATCCATTTATTCTGTCACATACCAAAGTTGTGGAGGGCGTGGGTGTCTTCCTTGTTGTGGCAACTGGCACGCGGTCAAGCTATGGACGGATATTACTCTCTCTGGACACTGAGCCCGGCTTCACTCCTCTTCAAGTCAGACTTAGCAGGCTGGCAAAAAATATTGCCAACTTCGGTGGTATTGCTGCGCTCGTGTTGTTTATCATTCTCTTTATCAAGTTCCTGGTTTCTCTACGCCATAGCACGGAGACTCCGTCCGAGAAAGGCCAGTCATTCTTGAACGTGTTCATTCTCGCCTTGACAGTGGTGGTAATCGCTGTCCCGGAGGGACTGCCACTAGCTGTCACCCTTGCACTGTCCTTTGCCACGACTCGAATGATGAGAGACAACAATCTAGTTCGTCAACTCCGGGCTTGTGAGACCATGGGTCAAGCCACAGACATTTGCTCTGACAAAACAGGCACCTTGACAGAAAATAAAATGACCGTTGTCTCCGGCTTTTTTGGTGTCGCCTCGCAATTCACCGATAGAACATCTAGTCCTGATATCCTCGGTGACGAAAAGAAAACGTCCATAGCAATATGCATGGGCGGCATTTCAAATCAAACAATTGTTTTGTTGAGACAATCCATTGCAATCAACTCATCCGCCATTGAAAGTCAAGAAGGTGCAGGTAGAGAGTTCTTAGGCTCTCAGACTGAGGCAGCCTTGCTGCGATTCTCTCAAGATTATCTTGGACTGGGTCACCTTGATCATGACCGTGCTAGTGCTGGAATTCTCGACCTCCTTCCTTTCGATGCGTCTCGCAAATACATGGTGACAATTGTCAAGCTACCAAGTGGCTCCTACCGGGCATATATTAAGGGAGCTCCTGAGATTCTCCTGAAGAAATGTGCTTCTATGATTAGAGAACCAATTCAAGAACTCCATGTGTCCCCTATTACAGAAACTGACAGCCATCAAGTCAGTGAGATAATCGCGCGGTACGCTTCGCAATCCTTGCGCACTATTTCAATTTGCTTCCGTGACCTTGATCAGTTGCCTCTCCAGAATGGCGAAGAAGGTATCGACTTTGACGAAATCATGCAAGGCCTCACACTTCAAGGAATTCTTGGTCTAAAGGATCCTTTGCGAGTTGATGCATGGGATGCTGTGCAGACAAGCCACAAAGCAGGTCTAACTGTTCGAATGGTTACCGGAGACAATCATCTTACAGCAAGGGCCATTGCTGAGGAATGTGGAATTATCAGAGGTCCAGATGATGTCGTTATGGAAGGTGATGAATTCAGAGCCCTCAATGATGTTCAGCGGAAAGCATTAGTTCCCCGATTGAAGGTCCTGGCACGATCTCGTCCAGAGGATAAGCGGGTACTGGTTCAACGACTCAAAGCCCTCGGCAGGGTCGTCGCTGTCACTGGAGATGGCACCAACGATGCTCCCGCTCTTGCAGCTGCTGATATTGGTTTTTCAATGGGAATTTCCGGTACGGAAATTGCTCGTGAAGCATCTTCAATCGTTTTGTTAGATGATACCTTCTCTTCTATTGTAAAAGCTATCATGTGGGGAAGAGCTGTGAGCGATGCAGTGAAGAAATTCTTGCAGGTGAGAACACCATTTCGATATCAAAGTTCAAGTCCTTCGCTAACATTCATGTCCTTCTAGTTCCAAATCACCATCACATTTACTTCAGTCGGACTAGCATTTGTCTCTGCGGTAGCGGACTCATCAGAGGAATCCGTCCTAACCCCAGTACAATTGATGTGGGTGAATCTGTTCCAAGACACGCTGGCAGCCCTGGCCCTGGCAACGGATCCCCCTCCCCGCAGGATTCTTGATCGAAAGCCTGAACCCACATCGACACCACTTATCACACCCATCATGTGGAAGATGATCATCGGCCAGTCTATCTACCAAATGGTCGTAACCCTTGTCTTATACTTCGCCGGTGCTGCCATCTTCTCCTATCATGGCGAACATCAAACATCACAGCTGCAGACTGCTGTTTTCAATACTTATGTCTGGATGCAAATATTCAACATGTACAAGTACGTCACATTTCAGCTCTCTGCTTCTTCGTCGGGTTATAAATAATAATGCTAATGTCGATACAGCAATCGCCAAATCGAAAAATCATTCAACTTAATTGAAGGAGTCCACCGCAATTGGCTCTTCATAGCCATCACAAGTGTGATGATGGGCGCTCAAATCTTGATTATGTTCGTTGGTGGCCGGGCGTTCTCGATAACGAGATTGACCGGTGATCAATGGGCTTACTCCTTGGTCCTTGGCTTCCTCTCTATCCCTGTTGGCTTTGCTCTGCAAGCTGTTCCCACAGTTATCATTGAGAAACCGATGTCTTGGATGGGAAGGTTGTGGGATAAGACCTATCGTCGGTAGACTACCTCCTTTCCTCTTTTCATTTCCATGGTAACTTTCTATTAATGCACATTCTTTAGACTTGCGGTTTTGCTTTGTTTTCTTATTGTTACGTTGCGTGGTTGGCTCTGGCTGCTGAAAAGAATCTTGTTATGGTTGAATTAGCTAGATTAGTGTTCAATCCTAGCTTCAGACCTCCTTGTGCTACAGTTTCCTCTTTAGTAATTCGTAATAATTGTCCCACTGTGTGCTTGGTCCTTTGTCTCAAAACTAGTCATGCGACATCTACTTATGTTGTAAGGCGTGCCACAAGCTGCACATCGTTGGGCTTCATCAGGCCCCCCACACCATGCTATATAATATATGAAGAACCCAATTCTTCTCTTCTATGCCTAGCATTATACTCTTTAGTATTACTCTCTGTGCTAATCTCAAAAATGCGCTTCATAATCATCGTTCTCGCCATTGTCACTTTGGCATACGCCGCCCCAACTCTTGACAGACGGGTTAGTCTATGAAGATTTCTGGATAATTTACTATTTCTAACCTTAGATAGGAGCGAGAGAACTGCGTGGTATGATTTTCTTTCCATTGTCTTCTTCTGCCTTGCTGTTACAAGTAGAGCCTTAGAATTTAACATTAGTTGTGACATAGGTTGTTTACTTACCCGACTTTTGCCCACCCACGTGAGTCAACAGCCGAACTATCCATCGTTTAGTTTCATGGTCTCTAATTTTTGCTTCAGCCATCCACTTGTTTGCAACGGTGACAGCGGCAGAGCAAACTGCTGTGTATGTATAGCCCTCTCAAATTCTATCTGGAAGAAATGTCTTTGTACGATCTCTACAAACTTGACTAACCTATAACTCTGCTTTTGATAGACAAAATGCTGAGTGAATGGTCATATTTTCTAGTAGCGTATGTCGCTTTTGAGAGACATGGCATTTAGCTTTTTCTCCGGGACTTGAATAACAAGTTCATTGAACATTAGCCTTTGTGTCCAATTGTTACAATTTCCGATCACATTAGAAAGATATTTCGTTGACTTCTCAGCGTCGTGCACAATGAACTAAGGGTGGTGAGATATTTATGCAATAGACAATGTTGTAAAACAACAATCCTCTTTGTTAGGTATCATCGAGTATTAGGACATTCTTTTGTGTATGCACAATGTATTCATAAACAGCAATCTTATATTGCCAGGTGAATCTTCTTGAGATATACTGCAAAGGCAGATGCTCAATAGGACACTTCTGATATACGTAGAGCAAGCGGGGCTAGAAAGACTACTTGGCATAGCAAACATGCCAGTGGAATGAAGAAACCTACTTACCTTTCGTCGTTCGATTATCAGATGGAGTGTATATGCTTCTTCCATCTTTCTTTTGCTTTTATTGCCTCTGCTGTAACAGTTACCAAAGCCTGCTTAGCTTCTAGGCATATTCTGTCATATCTCACAGACATGAAGACAACCTTGACGCAGCTTCAGACTGACCTCTCCGGGCTTTTTCGGCTTTCCCTAAAGACCCATCGGTGATGAGGACCGATATCGCATATGATTATGACCGTTGAAGGTGGAGACACCTGGAGCGACATTCGCGAAGAGCACACTGAAGATTTCACTTTGAGCATCAGTTCTTCCACTTATGGAGTATTCCAAGCTCTTCTTCGTTCAATCAGCAAAAGGACCATATTCCTAGTCATAATCCGGGATTACGCCCAGGAAGATGTGAAAAAAAGACGTATTGGAAGCGCTACGTCAAGAGTATGGAGCACTATTTCGAGTTTTATCAGCAGCGTGTTCCACCATGGATTGATGCATAAGGTCATGGAAGAAGAATATCAAGAAGCGTGCTCACAATTATTTCTCAAAAACTTGTCGGACAACGCGACTCCGTTGGTAGGGTACAGGTCATGAGGAAGAATGCCTTCTGGACTAAGAGGACATGAGCACGATACCCAAGCGATGTTCAGCAGCAAATCCACAAATAGCAATGAATTGCGTGCCACGTTCTCAATTATCTAATGGATTCTTTTGCCACCAGCTTGTTCATCTGCCTTGATGGATATCTTTTTATTACATTCGCCTCTAGCGCATCGCTTGTACGCTCGAAATAGGCTTCCAGCCTTCGCCCGGGCGTGGCAAAAGATCACAGTCAGCTAGTGCCCTAGAGGGATATCTCGGCCTATCATGGGCTTTTGGAACAGCAATTCTATAGAACACGAACTGCGACTGGTTGGATTCGGGCTGAAAGACCCTGCAGCTGCTCCTGACTTAGCCAATTCACCCGAGGTCATGCGAACCAGGCTAGAGCGGAGAATTCAAGAATGCGCCTATGCGAACGCCTTGAGCTGAGTGGGGCCAATATCATGCGAGAAATGCAGTGAGAAAGCCGTGAATGTTGACAGCTAGGATTCCAGTACGTGAAATTCACATTCAACCCGGGTTGTTTGGGCGGCAGCTGTTGTGTCTCGTGTCATCGAGTCTGATACGACATGAGTCGTTTACTCACGTATTCTCCGAACTCTGGATCTGACCTCCCAGGTTTCGTGGAAACATAACAGTGACACGTGCTCGGGGGTCTCCGTTTGCCAAGAAATAATCGAGTGTAGGCATCAGCAAGTTCTTCTAGAACATCAGGAGACAGACTGGAGGAGTCCACAGACAGAACAGCAGATATAAGAGATGAGGAAGTAATAAGTCCGGGGAACAGGAGCCTTCCATTCAACCCACGTGTGGACTGCCCCTCCCGTGATAGGCTGAGTAAGGAGCGCCCCCACATGCGCCAAGCCCCCTTGCAGCCAATCACATCACTTTAAAGTATGGGAATATCTCGTCCGCTCCGGCCCTGCCAAGACCTTGTCCAAATTGCTTCATGAGACCTAAACTCACTGAACCGAGCTTCTTTTCTTGGCACTGCCCTCTCATTGAATGGTCGCCTATACCAAGCGCCCCCTTCTAAGCCACCTCAAGGCAAACCAACCCCAACCTAGATCACTCCGGCTGGCTCTGGCTTTCTGCCAAGAGACATGCGAATCCCTGCTGTCCTTCCATTGCGAGTCCGGTCAGCACGTGTGTTCAGGATTGCCTAAAGTGGTAACCGGACTGCGAGGACCATGTCAAGCATGCCTGCTATGCCTGCCACGGGGCGTACCACGCGTGCAATGCCGTATCTACGAATCTTCTGTACATAAAAGCCCTGGCAGCCGTGCGTCTTTGCTTCCTTTTCTGTGTGCAAACCGACAGCCCTATAGATCCCTGACTTGATCTCCAAGCCATCAAGCCATCAAGATGTATCTTCACCAGTACGATTACATCTTTGCCATTGGCACGTTGTTTGCTATGCTTGATGCATACAACAACGGTGCAAGTCAGTTCAATTCCTTTTCTCTCCTGTTTCCAATGGGGACTTTATACTAACATGTCTCTCCTATAGACGATGTCGCCAACTCTTGGGCTACCAGTGTCTCCTCGCGGTCTATTTCTTACCGTCAGGCCATGGTCCTCGGTACAATCTTCGAGTTCCTTGGAGCAGTCACTGTCGGCGCCCGTACTGCTGAAACCATCAAGAACGGCATCATCCCTACCTCCGCCTTCCAGAACAATGCCGGTGTCCAGATGCTGGCCTTCACCTGTGCTCTCGCTGCGGCTTCCTCCTGGGTGATGTGGTGTACCCGTCACTCTGCTCACGTCTCCTCCACCTACTCTCTCATCTCTGCCGTCGCTGGTGTCGGTGTTGCTACTGTCGGTGCTTCCAAGGTTCAGTGGGGCTGGAACGATGGAAAGGGTCTCGGTGCCATCTTCGCTGGTCTGGGCATGGCTCCCGTCATCTCTGGTGGATTCGGTGCTTGTTTCTTCATGCTCATCAAGTTGATCGTCCACATGCGCCGCAACCCCATCCCCTGGGCTGTCTGGACCGCCCCTTTCTTCTTCCTCGTTGCCGCCACTATCTGTACCCTTTCCATTGTTTACAAGGGCTCTCCTAACCTTGGCCTGAGCAAGAAAGCCCCCTGGTACATTGCCGCCGTTACTGTTGGCACTGGTGCTGGTGTCTGTCTCCTTTCTGCCATTTTCTTCGTTCCTTGGTTGCACGCCCGTATCATCAAGAAGGACGCCTCCGTCAAGTGGTACCACGTTATCCAGGGCCCTCTCCTCTTCAACCGCCCTACTCCCACCGACTCGGAGGTCGCCAAGGTCCCTAACTACGCTGTTATCCAGGATGAGGAGGAAGACACTCACCTCCACATTCACGAGAAGGAAGCCCAGACTGGCGTTACCTCCGTTGCCGCCTCCACCGAGGAGCGCTCCGTCGAGAAGCTCGAGGCCAACCAGCTCTCCTACAAGGAACTCATGGCCCAGTCTGATGCCCGCCACACTGCCAAGCTCCTCCAGAGCCGCGGTCCTCTCGGCTGGGGTATGCGTCTCCTCCGCGACAACCCCATGGGCTCCGGTGAGATCTACGAACTCCGCAACATGATGATCATGGCCAAGCGTATCCCCGCTATCCTCACCGTCGGTCTTCTTTACGGTTTCCACTATGATATCCACAGCGCCCAGAGCGGTATCCAGGGTACCCCCGAGGGTGAGCGTATGAAGCGCGTCTACGCCCACGCCGAGAAGTACCCCAACGAGGTCGAACACACCTACTCCTTCATCCAGATCATTACTGCCTGCACTGCCTCTTTCGCTCACGGTGCCAACGATATCGGTAACTCCGTCGGTCCTTGGGCTGCCATCTACTCTGCCTGGTCGACCGGTGACCCGTCCAAGTCCAAGAACCCCGTTCCCATCTGGCAACTTGCCGTCCTGGCCATTTGCATTTCTATCGGTCTCTGCACATACGGTTACAACATCATGAAGGGTATGCATTCCACTATTCCCAGTCTCTTCTGTCCTTTACTAACTCTCCGGCTACAGTCATGGGTAACAAGATCACATACCACTCCCCCTCCCGTGGTTCCTCCATGGAAATGGGTGCTGCCATCACTGTCCTGGTCTTCTCTCAATACTCCCTGCCCGTGTCGACTTCTATGTGTATCACCGGTGCCACAGTCGGTGTCGGTCTCTGCAATGGCTCCTTCAAGGCTGTTAACTGGCAGCGTGTTGGTCTCTTGCTGCTTGCTTGGATCATGACCATCCCCATTGCAGGCACCCTTGGTGGTTGTCTCATGGGATTGGTCATCAACGCTCCCCATTTCCTATCTTAGACTTTGGTTCGGTATTTTGGAGCTCATTTTGGAACGAGCCATATGTGTAAAACTTAATTACTTTTTCGATATCCATTCTTTAGATGCTTCATGTCTGCTTTTTTTTGGTGTATATACCGCACTTGGCAGCTACAAAACCTTCATTTTATTGCTATTCTAAGTCAATGTAAATCCTTGTCCCCTATTGGGTGAAGATAATGTGATCATTTAAGTTCTTGCGTCGAGGTTGGAGTCGGATTTTAATTTAGATACGGTCCGTCAGGTCTTTCCCTGTCTATCTCCCCGGCACTGCCAGTGGATATGGGCCAATGATAGTCCTTTTCCTCGGAGAAAATCGAATCATTTAGACTCCTTCTGCAACCTCCCAATTATTTTTCCAAATTCTATACCTTCAACATGCCCCAGTCAACAGCTCCGGGACCTCGTGTTTGCAATTATGCTTACTAATCACCGACGGGTCGAATTGTTCTTTTTCAATGGGAGAAAAACGACGATAGGTTTTGAGCGGTGCATTCAATCTAATTATTTACCTTAGACGACATTCATGAAATATTTTCCTACAGTCGGGGAATTAAGACAACACAAGAATATAGCCGAGGTCTTGCTATGGGCTATCTAAGCTGCTACAAGTTCCCCTCCCCACTTTGCCCGAGATACAAAAAATTAGTTTCCCTGGGAATCGAACCCAGAACCTTTCCGGAACAGATGCTTGAAGCAATTGTTAACGGAAAATCATAACCGCTAGACCAGGAAACTGTTTGATGGTAGAAGTCACGTTTTAGGGACCCAAGATCGAAAAGTTCAGCTTCAGGGAGCTGGTGCATTGCAATTTTGAATCTTCAGTGTCAGGAAACATACTCAAAACATATTCACTGGCTTAAAACAATTGTTTTTGAAATTTCTCATAGAAAATCATTGTATTCAATCATAACAAAACAGAGAACACAGAAAATGATTATTCAAATCGAATATCCTACAGTGATCAAACGGATATATATCCTGCATTCCAACAAGTGTGGAATACTTTTAAGATTGTATCATTCTCAGATGTCCTCAGCAACCAGAACCAGTCCTTCTATCTCACATCTCAAATAATCCATAGTAACAATCTCCGTTCTAGCCCCCTTCTCAATTGACTCCCAGTCACGTTTAGACATCACAAACTCACCAGGTTGACGTGGGAAAATATTCATCGGACGGTAGCGTTTTGAAACACCAACATGGACGCAGCCAAATGTAAATTTCTTCATCTGGGAGGACTCAACTGTAGTGCCGAATTGGTAGGGCTTGTTGATCTTCTTTGCGGTGATGACAGACTCGATGGATGGCGTTACTTTGGAGCCTTCCGAGACTGGGTGAGAATCCAGGCCAGGAGAAATATCAGAAGCAGGCTCAGACTCTTGTTTGGTCTTCAAGGGAACAACAGTTGGCTTTGGGGCTCGTGGCCGAAGTCGATTGTAGATAGGCGAGATTTTACCACGAAGTGGCTCACTAAGAATGATCGGAAGCTCGATTCCTCGCTCTGGGTCTTCAAGTATACTCCTCCAAGTCCTGATTGGTCGCTTGCGTTTGCGGGATTCAAGGGAAATAGAATCGTTTTTAGAAGGCTCGTATCGGATACCAGCTTTGCAAGCGCGTTTGTAGTCCTCCAATCGGCGAACACGACCCGCCTCGCTAATTCCATGGCGTGTGATATCCATGTACAAGCGGACCTCCTCGCCTTCAATACAATCATCGTCCATGACGGAGTTCTGTGCCATAGTGAAGTGTGTATGAGCTTTATCGAAGTTTTGGCGCAAGAATTCAATGCGACCAAGCCAGAATTGGCATCTAGCGATAACGATGTCGTCTGGAATGGACCTTGCAATCTCAATTGCATTCTGGGTATGCTTCTCCGCCTCTTTAGGGTTATTCTCCATAATGCATACTTGTGCTGTGCGGAGGAGGATTTTGATTCCCAGATCTCGAAGTCGATAGGCAAGGTTGGTTGGTGGAGATGGGTATTCGGCATTCAAGATGTAACCGAAACATCTGGCCTTGTCATCAGTCGCTTTGCTGGCTTGGTAACTGGAGAGAAGTTTCTCCTCTACCGAGAGGGGGGAAATGCGATGGAAGATTGGATCATTGAGTGCTTCATACTTGCCTACCAAGTCTGATAATGTATTGCCCTCTTGGGTATCGGCAGAAGAAGACGGAGACAAATTGGGAATAGGAGACGCCATATTGTTAGCTATGGGGATAAATTGTGAGATTGGAAGTGTGCAGAAAAGACCATAGAGAAACAACTTGCTGGATAATACAGCGCAGTGGTGTCTATTTATCTACTAGTCATCCAGCGTACATAGGGAGTGAACAAGTAGAAGGGGTCTCATATACAAAGAATCACAGTGTTTCAGTCCTGGGGTCTTAATAACAATGATATTTGTTCTTCTTTGTTTACTTTCAGGCTTATTGATAGATGCTACCTTTGATAAGAGAATATCCAGAGCCTAAATCAGTAGGCCAATGAAACTAATTCGGCAGATGTATTTTTTTATTTGTTTTACTTCGCCTTTGTCCGTACGCACGAACTACAGACTAGAGTAAACGAGTCACTCGCAAGGCGCTGAAAGCGATACTTGATTTTCTTCAAAACTGTTAGCTACCTTCAGTATTGGTATCTATATTTGCGCCCGCTGTATGATAAATAGAAGCCTGGAACTTCAATACTAGTAACCATATAACATCCTCTCTCGGATAATTAGATGAGGCGTGATCCTGGATAAGATCTCAATTCGCCCAATCAACGCAAGAAGAAAAGGAAAGACAAGTTTAGCTTTCTTTGTTTATGCTTTCCCGAAATTTTTATGGAATAACTATATCCAGATTGGGCATCTACCTATGTTCTATCTAACTAATCAGTGCATGTTAAGAGACACTCCCAGATCGACTGAGCAACTTATTCACTAGGTTGATGTTTCCGACAATTTTTATTCCCTCGAATTATCCTACGATTTGAATCAAAGCAACTGTCTTGTTTTTCATAATGTAGACCACAAGAGCTGTCCAGAATGTCAATTAGTTGGGTCATAAATTGCTGTTTGTATGACTTCTGATTCTCGATAATCGCCGTTCTGACTTACTCTTAGTTATCGCTAAGGTCACGTATCCAAGTTATTAGACAAAGTCTTATACGTAGGAAGCTTCATTTAGTACCCAATACCTCCCGACTTAGCCTTACGTCCGAATCATTCTCACAGTAACGTGAAATATCTCGATAGACTTCATCAATTGAAGCGTATTTGATATTCCAGCAACCAGAAATAATGGATCCGAAGGCCAAACTCTTCACAGGTGGGAATTTCTGCTGTGAGAACAACCCCTCAACAACTGTCACTAGCTTTCCCATTTCCAGAGTTCTTTCCAGCTCGTTATAGGGGACGCGGCCTGTTTCAAGCTCGAACAGCATTGACCCAAAAGCAAATATATCTGTGCGGATGCCAATTTTAATGCCAGGCTGGAAGCTACACTACTCATAGCAGACTAAGGGGGCTTCGCCGTCGATACCGGAGCCAGCGAAGTCAATAAACTTGGCGTGTTTGGCATTATCCACGATGATATTGTGACAGCCAACGTCTGCATGGATAATTCCCTTGCTATGGATATACGCAAGACCTTCCACAGTTTCCAGCGCCCATTGAAGCTTCATGGGCCAGGGAATGGCAGACTCGCCGACACTCCGGAGCATGCCGCGAAGACAAGTTCCACGTTCCAATATGGGACCTTTCTGGGTCACTTTGCAAGATGCGATGCGATCATGGTGTCCAAGCCGTTTATAAGAGCGAATTTCAATGTCGTAAGCTTGACGTTCGAATTCCCCTGATGTGGGACGGATTTTGATGACATTGCTGTTGTCAACGGCATAGACTATCGAGACTGTACCAGCCGCAATGAAGGAATTGGCTTGGCTCAAGCTGGAAGATGAATCCATTTGTAGGACAAATTGCTGATTTTTCGAGAGGAGGTGTTCCAGTGGGAGAGAAGGGTTGGTTGCTGACGGGACATCTACCAAATGAATCCAAGGGCCTCCAGGGGATAGCTTGGGTCACGTGTCAGCGTGAGTCAATCAATCAATCAAAGTTCAATTAACCTGATGCAGCCTAAATAGTATCGTAATGGCGATGCAGGCGCTTCTATCCAGTTGAAGCAAGAACTTAACCGTACGCCTGACGACAACGCAGAAAGAGAGCTGGTCCTTGCAACGAGAGACTAGGTACCAGCTCGACATAAATACAAATCCCATAGCCCAAAACATAAGAAAAACCTGGTGCCGAAGGCATCCAGGTACAAAGAACGATCGCAGGTGCACCATCTGTCTTTCCAACATCCCACTTCCATGTCTCCCTATCTGGGGCATTTTGAGGGTAAAATCTGATTTAAATTACAGTATATAAAAGGCGCTAAAATGCCGCTAGTTTACTAGTCGGATTTAATTGGCTTTGTAGCAATTGGGGTGGCTTTTTAGCACTTCCCTATTTTATTGTCTACCCTACCTACTTGAATAGAAAAATATCAGATAAAATGCTTTGTACTACTCTGATTTGTGGTCTATAAGAACTGACCTATCGTAGACATTGAAAATCTACTACTACAAGTAAGCACTCCAGCGGTTCATGGTGGTTGTTATCTTCTGAAACTTACACTCTCAAAGGCTTACTGATAGTCATCTGGAGTCCTATTGATCATAGCTTTCAAAGTGTGTAATTGAATTATTTGAATTAAGAAATAAAGGTTTAACCTATCGGAATAGAAATTAACGACCAAGAAAGATCTGAGCACCCGGCAAGGGAGTTTTACTGAAGTTACTGGAAAGTAGTAATCACTCTCGGAACTCATCAACTGAACAGCACAGGATTTGCAATTCACCTGCCTTGATGCTGTACTGAGGGGTACTCATGATAGTTTCTTCGAAACACCAGTTAGCATCCTCAAATCTTTCCGCGGCCATGAGACTCTTGGCTTCGATGAACCACAGTGCACCGAGGTAGGCCTCCTTTCCAGGCCCACCAAATTCGCCGTCAACGTGGCTATCATATAGTTTATGAAAAAGCTGACTGGAGAGGTGCTCGTCCCTGTGAAAGTGAAGGATCGCACAAAGAAAGGTTTTGCATCGCACAAAGTCCTGACGAGACAGAGATGGATTTTCAGAAATCTCATCGGCGATCTCGTATGCCCACTGAGAGTCACCATCCAGCCACATTTGCTCTGCTTCTGCAAGTAATGTGTCCGTGGTTGAGCAGAGCCAAATATCCTCGATCCATGTCCCTTCTGGTTGAAGGGAAGATGGGTTGAAAAGCCGGTTGTATTCACGAGTAGACAGGAGTGGTGAATTACCTTTGATATCCCGTGGGACATGAGTAAATGTTACTTCGTTGAGCAGTATGTGAAAAGTTTCTCGCTGCAAGGAGAATGGGTCGTGGTACAGTTGATAAAGGGTATGGGCATCCAGACAACGACGTTCGATAGACCAAGGCTCAAGCACCTGTTTCGAAATATGGCTAGTATCTAGGTCACCAGAGTTAGGCTTATCGCTCGGAAAATCTTCATCCTTAAGAGAAATCCCCTTACTGGGAGAATTATCCTTGCTGGGAGAATCATAGTCACTAAAAGAACCATTGTCACTAGGAGAACCGTCGTCACTCGGAGAATAATCGCCACTGTAGATAGCATGGTCACTGGCGGTAGCGTGGGTGAGTAAAAGTTGGTATTCTACAAGAAACTTGGTCATCTCGGAGATTGCCTTGTTTCTGCAGGATAAGGCTAGTGCCAGCTGAATATTGTTCCAAACAATTTCGTCAACAACCCAGTGGACCGCCTGACACCTTTCCGCGGGGTCATAGAACATTAGGGCAAGGCTTCTAGTATCAAAGCAGTAATTTTCGACATATGAAGACTTATCGATCTGGGAAGAAGGGCAATCGGCATTCAAGTCAATGGAGGTGGCTTCTGTGAGTAAGACATCGTATGCTGCAAGCAGCCCAGTCAGCTCGGAGATTGTCGCATTTGTGTGAGATACGGCTATTTTGAGCTGAACATGCTCTCGACTGACTTGACGGATTACATTATATTTGTGTGATTGAGGGTCGTCTGGCAGAGGCTCTCTCGGCTTAGATTCTCTCTGTTGCTTGGAGAGAGAATGATGGATCTTGTCCAGCATCATGGTGGGTCTAGGCAGATGAAACCTACTATGAGGAGTCATCTATGATAGGTTTTTTTTTTGAAATACTTGTGAGTTAACTTATACTCTACTCGGAGGTCGTGGGGAGTCTTTTATGCAATTTGAGGCGGTAGTAGCCAGGGGCAAGGAAGAGCAGTGAAAGCGATGACGTGTTGCATTGTGAACATTGATCCTAGAGAGGCCTTTGTCTTCTACAAAGAGATCAAGGGCATAGAACAACTGTTTGTCTAAGGAATTTACGTTCTATCATGATCTCTTAAAATTGTCCATTGCGAGAAATGACGTAGTATTTGTTTTCCTAGTGTCTCGGAAATTGGAGCTCACTTCTACGTCACAAGGGCTAACCTTGATTCATAATACTGTCCAACCAACCTTAAAAAAAAGCTTTATATTTGAGCAGAAAGGTGGCAGCCAATCATCACTCGTGGATCTATCACTCTTTAAAAATTGTACAGTAGACAACCAACGTAAGACACTCGTAGATGTTGAACAGTCAAACTGCCCCTGTTCACCGCCCATACAAACCAGCCAAACCAAACATACATGCAAACTGTGCAAATCAGTGCAAACCAGTCAAATCAAACTGCAAATCAGACAAACAGCGCTATGACCTCACCATGCCCGGAGCTCTCCACATCTTCAGCGCCTCGACTGGCGATGCAAACAACAATTGGGAGATTCGACGTCAGACGGCATAAATCGGGTGAGTCAAAGGCTCGCTAATCCAATCTAATACTTGGATCTGTTCCGCCCTGAGCCGCTTACACGATCAGCCCATGAATCTAGACTTGCGGGGGTGGTGATGCAAACACGTTCACTAAGACGAAACCGGGTTGTAGAGCTGGTGAGGGTTTATATAATGCCCCTGCAATGTAACATGAGGATATTCCTTTGCCATTTTTTTCTCTTCCAAGCTTGATTTCCCTTTCGAAGACTCACAGGTCTTGTCTAATAATTTGTCATAGAGGTTGGCATCGTCTCCTTCCAGGTAAGAGCGGCAGTTGAGACGTCACTGTGAATCTTTCTTTTCTACCTTCGTCATAATAATATTCTGGATGGTTGTACTCATCTGACCTCTCAAGATTGCTCAACCATGTCTCCTACAGCGTTAAGAAATACCGACACGGTCGAGATCGTCGACATTCACCAGAATGACATGGAATTCTCCCTCGTTGATGATATCTACAAGAACTTGGACCCACCGGCGGATACACCGCGCACATTCCCTACCCTCTTACTATACGACGCTAAGGGGCTGAAGCTCTTTGAGAAGATCACATACCTGGAGGAATATTATCTTACCAATACAGAAATTGAGATCTTGACAAACCACGCCAAGCGGATAGTCGAGCGCATTCCGGAAAATGCGCAATTGGTGGAACTAGGCAGTGGGTCAGTTACACATACACTATACCCTCCATACAACAATTGCATCTAACATGCTATAGAAATCTGCGCAAGATCGAGATCCTCCTCCGCGAATGTGAGCGAACAGAAAAGAAAGTGGACTATTACGCGTTGGATCTTTCGCTGGTGGAATTGCAGCGGACATTCTCCGAAATCTCCCCCGAGAAATTCGTGCATGTGGGATTCCATGGTCTTCATGGAACCTACGATGATGCTGTTGGTTGGCTGCAAAGCCCGGAAAACCGACAGCGACCAACAGTTGTCATGTCAATGGGATCTTCTATGGGCAACTTTGGTCGCTCTAGTGCCGCCGACTTCTTGGGTGGTTTTTCCAAATTGCTGGGTCCCTCGGATTTCATGTTGATCGGATTGGATGCCTGCAAGAATCCCGAGAAGGTGTTTCAGGCTTACAACGATAGTGAAGGAATTACCCGCCAGTTCTATGAAAATGGCCTACTGCATGCCAACGCTGTGCTTGGCTTCGAGGCCTTCAAATCCGGTGAATGGGAGATTCTAACTGGGTATGATAGCCACGAGGGACGGCATCAAGCTTGCTATGCTCCCAAGGTCGATGTGGTTATCAATGGCATCAAAATCCCTAGGGGTGAAAAGCTTGTCTTTGAAGAAGCGTGGAAATACGGCCGGCGTGAACGTGATGCATTGTGGCGAAAGGCAGACCTCATCTCTCAAGTGGAGTTTGGGAATTCCACTGATGATTATCGTGAGATTTGAGCTTCCTTCGATTTCTCTGTCCATTTTAACTAACATGGTAATAGATATCCACCTACTATCGCCCGCTGCTCTTCATACATCTACAGACCCCTCGCAGTACGCAATTCAGCCAATCCCAACCATCGAAGATTTCCAGTCACTATGGACTGCGTGGGATCTTGCAACCAAAACTATGATTGCCCGTGAAGAGCTTTTGTCCAAGCCGATTAAGCTGCGTAATGCGCTGATATTTTATCTCGGTCACATCCCAACATTCTTCGGTATGCTTTTCAAACTTCAACTCGTGTTCGTCGCTAATTTCGCTATCAATAGATATACATTTAACCCGCGCGACACAGGAGGATCCCACCGAGCCTAGATATTATCAACAAATCTTTGAGCGGGGGATCGACCCAGATGTTGAAGACCCGGAACAATGTCATAACCACAGTGAAATCCCCGATGAATGGCCCAAGTTGGATGAAATATTGGATTATTCGGAAAAAGTCCGAAACCGCGCGCAATCGATTCTAGAGGAAGGATCTGCACAACAAGACAGAACTCTCGGAGAGGCTCTTTGGATTGGCTTTGAACATGAAGCCATGCACCTGGAGACCTTCCTCTACATGCTACTTCAGAGCGACAAGAGCTTACCACCTACGGGAGTTCCACGTCCAGATTTTGAGGATATCAGTCGAAAGGCCAAAATGAACGAGAAACCAAACAAGTGGTTCAGTATTCCGGCACAAACGCTGACAATTGGTTTGGATGATTGCGACGAAGAGATCATGCCCAAGAGCTCTTTCGGTTGGGACAATGAGAAGCCTCAAAGAATGGTCAATGTACATGCCTTTGAAGCCCAAGCACGACCCATCACCAACGGCGAATATGCAAAATATCTGCAAGCTCATAATCTCCAGACACTCCCTGCATCTTGGGTGCTGATCCCAGGGCCAGACAATCCCATTTCGAATGGAATTGGCAACTCAACTGCTCAAGCTGGATCGAGCTCTGACACGATGGGGCTTTCCATGGACAGGATTGCTGTGCGAACAGTATTTGGGCCGGTAGCTTTGAAGTATGCACAGGACTGGCCGCTGAGTGCCTCGTATGACGAACTCGCGACCTATGCAGATTGGATGAGCTGCAGGATCCCGACCTTTGAGGAGGCCAAGAGCATTTATCAGCACGCCGAGAATACTCAGGGTTGTCAAGCTACGAATGGCCACATGTATGTTCCCCATACTATACTTAAGATCGGAACCTAACGGCAGATGCAGCAATGGGACCAATGGGACCAATGGGTCGTATTCCCATGATTTGAAACCCCGTTTCACTGACCAGGGACTCTTCCGTGATCTCAAGGGCTGCAATGTGGGATTCAAGAACTGGCACCCTATTCCAGTTACTCCCAATGGTGACAAGTTAGCTCGTCAAGGGGACATGGGAGGTGTTTGGGAATGGACTAGCACATCATTAACGCCACACAAGGGATTCAAGTCAATGGAGATTTACCCTGGATATACATGTAAGTGATTGTCATGCACATTTCTTCATGCTGGACTAATCAAAATTTTTATAGCGGACTTTTTCGATGGCAAGCACAATGTTATGCTCGGAGGCTCCTGGGCCACGTTGCCCCGCATCGCTGGCCGGAGTAGTTTGTGAGTTGAGGTCGTGACAGCAGGTCAATCAAGCCAACTAACATCATACAGTGTCAATTGGTACCAGCACAACTACCTTTATGCCTGGGCTGGAGCTCGACTGGTGAGAGATATATAGAAGTAGACTTGAGTTGCTATGACTTCATCGATAAGATAAAGATAACGTGACTGCCCCTCATCCCTTCGCTTCTCCAATTCCTCTAGCTCTTCTCTACATAAGTTTGTAAAGTATCAAATACTCATGATGTCTCTGGAAACTATCACCACTATCTCTCCGGCTACCAATGAGCCAGTTATCACTCGCTCTGGGGTCTCATCTGAGGATCTGAGACAGATCCCCGAGTCCGCCCAAGCTGCATTCCGATCATTCTCCCAGTCCACTACTCTCCAGCAAAGACAGAAGATTGTTGAGAAGGCACTGGATATCCTCGAAAAGAAGCAGGATGAACTGGCCCGCGAGGTTACTGAGCAGATGGGCCGGCCTATTGCCTACACCGGCGTCGAAGTCGCGACCGCAATCAAGCGCAGCCGATACTTGACTCGCATCAGCACTTCCGTGCTTGGAGAAGAAGGTATTGTATCTGGGGAAGAAGAAAAGGGCTTCAGACGGTACATCAAGCGTTTCCCTGTCGGTGTTGCGCTGATTATCTTCCCTTGGAACGTGAGTTTCAAGCCAAAACTGTTAATGTTGATGCAATGACAGTCTCCTGAACAGCATATAACTAACTTACATCTCCATAGTACCCGTACCTCACCCTTGTTAACAGCTTGATTCCCGCTATCCTTGCTGGAAATGCCGTTATTTTGAAACCCTCGCCCCAAACCCCTACAATTGCCGAGCAGTTTGCCTCCGCATTTTCCGAAGCTGGTCTTCCCAAAAACGTGCTCCAATTCTTCCACAGTGGATCAATCACTCTCATCGAGACTCTGGTGCGCTCACCATTGGTCAACCACATTTGCTTCACGGGCTCAGAGGCCGGTGGCCTAGCAGTGCAAAAGGCCGCTGCGGATCGTATTGTGAATGTTGGTCTTGAGCTGGGCGGCAAGGACCCGGCTTACGTGCGGGACGACGTTGACCTTGCCTGGGCAGCCGAAGAAGTCGTTGACGGGGCTATCTTCAACAGCGGACAGAGTTGCTGCGCTATCGAGCGTGTCTATGTCCATGAGAAGGTCTACGATGGTTTCGTTGCAGAGGTGAAGAAGATTTTGAGCAACTACCGTGTCGGTGAACCTTCCGACCCGAAGACCCAGATTGGACCCGTTGTCTCTAAACGTGCTCGGGAGGCTATCCTTGCTCAAATTGATGATGCTGTCAAGAAGGGTGCGAAGAACGAGACTCCTACCAACGAGACTTTTGAGAATCTCCCTCCCAATGGAAACTATGTTAAGCCCACACTTCTCACTGGTGCCAACCATGAAATGGTCGTGATGAAGGAGGAGACCTTCGGACCTGTCATTCCACTTATGAAGGTCTCTGGTGATGACGAAGCTGTTCAACTTATGAACGACAGTGAATTTGGTCTTACTGCTAGTGTTTGGAGTAAGGATATTGCTGCTGCTGAGAAGCTGGTTGAGCGCGTTGAAGCTGGCACCGTTTTTATCAATCGATCTGACTTCCCCAGTCCTGTGAGTACAACCCCTTCCAGTAGTCATCCTATCACTGCTAACAATACATCTTTACAGGACCTCGCCTGGACTGGATGGAAGAACTCTGGTCGTGGTGTGACTCTGAGTAGATTCGGATTCGAGCAGTTCGTTAAGCTGAAGAGCCACCACATTAAGGACTACCCCAAATGAATGGGTACATAACGAGATATGAATTTTTTGTTTCCGTCACTTAGAAACACAAAATGGATATATAGATTGGGTGGTGATAACATGCTGGACATACATTGGAATGAAGCAACTTCGTCAGCTGTTAACTTCAAGGGGGATAATCATGACCCACTTCATTCCAGCAAAATAACAGACGAAAAAGGAAAACGGTACCTCAACAGTGCTGACTGAGATAACTTATGCCACTCTACACTGTATTCATGTGCCTAGTGCATCAATGCCCCAAACAGGCGCAAGGTAATCCACCGAAGAAGGCGAAGTATGTCTCTACGACAAAGCCAACATCCAAAGAATGAGCCAATAGCACCGGAGAAAACATTTCCGGCAGGTGGTCCAAGACAATCTCAATTGAGCAGTGTCTCTGAAAGAATGTAAGCCAACCTTCAGAATACGGGTAACCACCCCCGCTAGCCCTCGATACGTGCCAATAATATGTTGTATCCAGGTAGCCAGGTAGGTTTGAGGTTCTATGGTAGGGACTTACATAGCTGGAAGGACCTTGCATTGCAGACTCCACTGGGACGATACCAGCACGCCTTCAATTTAAGATCTTGTACGGACGTACATTTACAATGTGCTAAGACGAAAGTTAGACATTTATACGATTACCCAATATACAGTAATGGCGGACTCTAATATTCAATAAGGCGCTTTTACGGAAATTAAAAATCTACTCTGCTGGAAGTCTCACTGGAAATAGAATCCCGCATCGAACAGTTCATCCCTGCGGTTCCAGTCCGAGGTTAGGGCTTCCCGTTTGCCCAGATGAAACACTCAACAACAACCCTTAGTTCCGAAAACAATCCCAAGCCTTGAAATGCATGCTTTTATCGTGTATTCCATCCCGTTAATAATATAGGAATGTGTACCTGCCCGAAGCTTGTACCTATGACCCCTAAAACAACCTTTGTGAGCTGTTCTTTGACTCGGCATAGCTCCGACGCAAGGGAGGCGCAAAAAGAAAATTACGCGAACCATTCCAGGCCTCGCAGGCACCCGCAAGGCCTCTGTACAATTGATTTCGCTCTCGGCACCTCTGGAAATGATCGATCGTTAAGTGATAAAGGGAATAGGACTCCGTATTCCGTGCAGTAACAAAGGAAGCCGAGGCGAGGAAACAGTCCTTCCTTTCGGGATTGTGATTGAGCCTAGGATATACCTATGGAGTTGAAGTTTATTTTGAGGATTCTACGAGGTGGAATTGGGTTCAAGGATTCTCAATTATTATTAAAAAAGACATAGATACAGAATTGAGGTGATCAAAACTCTCTGCTGCAGTACCTCGGTATCACCATCACCAGATACGGGTCGGCTGCACTAGGTTTAGCCACATATCTAACCCTGAAAAGAAGTCTAAGATCATCCCTGTCATCGAAGAATCTATGATAGATCGACACAGCTGCAAGTGGATGAAAGATCGGCAATGCATCTAAGAAATGCCTAAAATTACATTGCTAGACTTACGGTGCTGCGTACTTTTGAAAGCCGAGCATCCGAGACCAAGAAAGAGAAGAAACGAGGCAAAGAGCTATTCAAAGCTGCCTCGTATTGAAAGAAAGCTGGCGGTTGCACAGACAAAGATGCCGAGCTTTGCAGGCCCTCGCATTCATGCACATATCCACCCAGCTAACGGGGACCGGGATCGACAACTAGCTATTATCGAAATATTCCTGGAGAAACGGCACGGAAGCTTTACGGGTGGGTGTCTTGTCCTAAAAGGGACAAGAATGAAGTATGGAGCGCGACACGAGGGTTTTCTTTGCTTGTCCCTTTTGCCCCTTTAGTCTGGCTCACTCTCTACCGGGTCCACTGAGGGTCGAGTGCCTGCTGTAATCTGCATGGGTTTGTGACGCATTGGGTTCCCTACAGGCTGCAGGTCAGGATGATCTTGCTGCCTGTAATGCTCGTCTGCCGTTGTTGCACTTAATGCTTTGCAGCAGATCGTGGTAGGGAATATTGTATGCACAGAAAGAGTTGGAGATACGCGATGGATAGACAATCCCATGCTCACAAATAGCCGGAGTAGGCATACGGGCATTTCGACATTTCCTTCCACAGCCAATCCCTGGCCCAATCTCTCAGGAGGGGGGAGGACCCGCCGCTGCCGCCAGGGGACTGCCAGGAATGTGTCACAGTCTCAGTAAAGGGACTGGATGTTTTTGTTCTCACAGGTGAAATCTGCCGAACCTGTCATCCCGTCCATGCCAAAGGCCCGGCTGTCGCCTAGTTCAACCTGCATGGGCGAGACCGTGGATCGGATTATCCTTGACACGCCGGGAACAGCATTGATTTGCATACTGCCGGTAAATTTGCTGTAGTAGTATATGTACTCTCGCTGTGCCTCATTTCTGGTACACTTGATTTATTCACGGCTCGATGCTGTAGAGCACAGCCCACTTCTTTTCTTTCTTGTTTTTCCTTGACATCCACACAGTCCTTCGTTTCGCATTGTCTCTTGTATAGCATTTGTTTCACGACAGCGTTGTTCTTGTTGTATTTCTTTGTCCTATTTCAAGGACATTCCAACTGGATTGTCCCAAGTTCCCGCAGCTCTCGATTCGACCCTTTATAAGGAGAGCTTGTATCCGTCTGCTGGATCACCCAAACCACATCAACACAACATGGAATGCTTTCGACAAGTCTTCCGGTGCTTCAAAGCACCCTTCACACGCAACAAAGGAACAATCATTGAAATTGTAAGTCGAATTGAATATTGCAGATACTAGAGGGTTTGAGTCTTGTTGGAAAGACGGTGGCTGACCAGTGAATCGTAACAGGGTCATCCCACCAACTTCCGCAAAGAAGAGTTGCCTGCCTACTTCTCTGATGCCGAGTCAGTCCTCTCGCCCAGCCAGCTCCCGAGAGAGCGACCAGATCTGACAAACAAATCACAGCACGCTGACGTCGCAGGACAGTCGAACAGCGACCGCGGAGGAGAAAGACGGAGCGTTGATCGAGATGGTGTCCCTCCAGCCATCGATATCGACGAAGAGCAAGGTTCAGAACCACGTCCGCAGAATGAGCCTGAAACTGTCGCAACCCGCCGGGAGCGTTTAAGGCTACCTCGATGGTGGAAGTCGAGCTCAGCTGCTGCTCAAAGTTCCAAGGCCCCGGCCGAATCTATCACTATGAACGAGCTTGGAAGTGTCTGATTGAATGTTCGAAAGAAGCACGAATTACGCGTGCATTCTTGGGGAGAGGGGAGGTATCACACCAGAAACGTCGGAACTTCACTATGTCCGGATTTGTCTTGCCTGTTAGAAGGTGATCTTCTGATATTAGTCGACTCATATTTAATCGACTGAGATGGCTCTGGCAGTCCATCGAGGTCATCAAAAAGTGATTGAACTCTTGATTTGTATACGGGTCGAGTGTTTCCCGGCTTGACTTTTGGCATAGATGTAGCCTTATTTTGTAAACTTGCGCGAGGTGTAATCACGTCGTTAGATTCTGGTCTTTGTGGTGTCGAGTGGGCGCTCCTAGGAGCCGGTGGCCGAACCGCCTTCGGTTCGATATCGAGATCGTCATCCGAATCTGATGCTGTCTCTTCATCCAGCTCAATAACTTGAGCTGCTGTTGCCTTGAAGTTTAGCGTATTAGCCACTCGAGCTTGACCAGTGTTCGAAGGTGCCTGTCCAGCCTGGGAAAAGCCTGCTGCAGCTCTCGAGGACGACTTCAGCGCAATTACTCCTGCCAGGGACCGTGATTTTCTCGGGCTGGTCATGAGGTCGTGCAAATGTGTTCCCTTCCATCGCGCGTCATCTTCATCATGCTCCTCAGCCTCGTCGAGGTTCTGGCCATCGAGCTGTTGTAGTCCAGACTTCTGGCGATGCCTGAGGGCCTCCCGCTCCCGCTGGCGTTCAACCTCTTTTGGAAGAGGCGTACGGCCATCTGTGGGCCTTTCAATAACTCCAAATGCGGCCATATTTTTAGCCTTCGCTTCCTTACGACGGCGAAGATACTCGGCGTAATGTAGATGTTGGGTGAATGTTTGGGCAACGGAGTAGAATTCATCTTCTACCATTACCCAACCATCGTCACACTCAAGACCCTCGAGCAAAAACCTATTATATATAGTGAGCAACTATTATATTCTTGATTGTGACGCGTGGTTGTAAGCATACTCTTCGGATGGACATCGTTTGATTGGCGAGGATGGTGGGGTTTGAGCTGTGTCAAAGTCCCGCGCATTAGAATAGATTATTAATTAACGGATAGGAGGGTAAAGCTCACAAGATCTGAAAAAGTCTCGCTTCTCGGGGGACACTGGGAGGTTCCGCGGGGTGGTGTCGCGATCGGGAGTAGCTTCTGTCTTTACACGCTTTCGTGGGGTTGATTCTCTTTTCACTTGGGTGTCATCCTGTGCCCGAAGCCAGGGCAGAGTTCTCGGCATTGTATGAGTGCATTAAGAGAACAATGGAAACCCAGTGTGAGGCAAGAGGGGAAATATAGAAAGTGAAGTTGCTCAGGAGCCTTTATCTCCGATAAGGCGAGGTCACGCTACCTAGGGAGTACATACGTCCGATTCTGCCTCACTACGCACTGAGAGAAATTTGTATGCAAAGCTCCCATCTTTTGGGTATTTCATGTCATAGACATTGAGAATGGAAGATATGAAAAACCAAACCGCCTGGAAACGCCTCGAGGATATGTGCCCGAATTCTAAAACCACTGCCGGTAGAACGCCGATACGACTCAAAGAGAAAAGAAAAGCAAACGCCATCTGTGTCCACCTATGTCCCATCTTATACCTCGCCAGGGCGCTTGCTGTTGCAGCTGACGATCTTGACCCTGTCTGCGGATACTGAGGTTTGGTTGTCCAACTTGAATGTGACGTCCTTAATCAGGAATGTCCAGACTTCGTCGCAGAATCGGTAGGTATCGAGATGACCCTAATAGTGAGAAGAAATTACATGTTAGTCATGATGTTGAACTGGGCTGAGCTAGAGTGGAACCCTTTCCAGCAGAGTACATGGACTCGAAGGGCTTACCTTGAAGGTTAGTCTGGCTCGAACTTTGTCGGCCAGGACCTCAGTAACCACACGGTCAAAGGTGGAGAGGATTTTCATGGCCAGCTGGGGTTCGATACGGCCCTCGTTGATCAGATCGTCCAGAGTATCGGTGAGAGACAGTCCGAGGCTAGAGATTCCTTGTTAGCTTTCGAGCTGCCGGTCCGGTTCATACGGTGCAGTACCTGCTCCCACGGTAGAGCTCGTAGTAAGCCACAGATGCCATTTTGAGGTAAGTAAATGGAAGATCTCTCAGATAAGATCTTTAGATTGAAGTGTAGTGTCGAGAGCACAGTTGACCAGTAGCGGTGGATCGCGGGGACGTTGGACATCAGGTGACTTGAATCACGTGGCTTCCTTATCGGCGATGGCGTCAGAGTCACTCAAGACTTCTTTCATCACAACATTGAAAAGAATATCAATCTCTTTCACTATGCCCGTGAAGCACCTAAAGGGCTTTGGGAATGGCTTCTGTGCCAGAGTAACGCCGTTTCATTTGCACGGCTGCAGCAATTTCCTATCTACAACATCCAAGCTCCCAAAAGCTCGAGGTAAAAATAGTGGATTTGCCCTGGAACTCAGCGTCAGATCTAATGAACATTGTCATTTCTAGATATCACCAATTCCAAGCTCGAGCAAGAGCAGAACAAGACTTCTTTGAGCACTCCTTCAAACGAAGACAGCAAACGTCACCCTGTCCCACGCAAGACCAAACTTATCTCCGAAGCAGATGCTGAGCTACGCGAGCGATTGGAACAAATGTCAGGTGAGGGAGGAGCCTCGGGGATTGAATACGAAGATGGAAAGCCCAGTGCCATGAAGCGCGGCGTGCGCAACAATATGTTCCGGTTGATCTGAATCGGACGCAACCTAGAAGACTCAAGGAAGCCAAGTGAAGCGAGATGACTGTTGGGGATATATATATGTTCCAGCAGACATCCAAGGCCCTGCGACCTCGGTGCCTATTCGCCGATCATGCAAGAATGCGGGAACAACACGATCGGCGAGGGTGCGGAATCCATCAGAAACCGAGCTTCTCGACCTTCTTTCCTAGCCAAGCGGACATCATTTCGGTCTCGGTCTCGGCAGAGTTTACCTTGCACTGTGTCTCACGTTGATATGACGTTCGATGACCGCGCGCGAATAACGGCGTCGCGTAATTGAACGCATTCCGCACGTCGGGCCCCCCCCCCGCATTCTCTGATTACGATTGCTTGGGCAGAGCCAAGCAGTCTGATGTAGTTTTATTGCTACATTATGAGCACCATGGCTCGAAATATCAGCATGCTGTTGGGAGGAAACAAACATTGTGGCCGGAGGCAGTGCAGTTGCAACATACAGTATGCCAGAGAAGATCACTTCTATGTCCGATCTAGGGTCCATTTATACTTCTTTGGATCAATTTAACACTATTGGGGCTTTCTTCTACAAATGAGTCCTTACTTGAATGATTTGGATTCTAAAGACAGCATTGAGCCTAGGATTGATCATCCGTGCATTTTTTTGTGACCTTGAACAGGTAGGCAATTACAATGTCAACTTGATCACGAGCTGCATGAGAGAATTCTTTTCGGAGTAGAGGGGAGGGAGATTGGTACTGGCCTCCAGGAACTAGGCGCAAGGAAGTAGAAAGACCAGATAGCCAACTCCAACGAATAAATCTTTCTCTAGACCAGTCAGACGACGTAGTCAATATATTATCTGTTCCATTCAAATACCCTTTTCTATGCCATGGGCCCGAATCGCAAGCTTAAATATAAACTATCCCATTGTCCCTAAAAAAACGAACCATTGTCTTATTGCAAGCGTCCACCCGTAAGACAAAGACCATATTGCATGCCCGTAGAAAGCCGAATAAGAAGGCTTTACTTGCGCACAACCATACCAGCCAAAACACCAGCTCCAATAACACCACCATCCGAGGCCTCCCGCAAGAAAACAGATTTGCCCCCTCTCTGCGGGCCAGTTCGCATAATTAACCGATCAATATATTGCTGACACATTTCCTTAAACTGCGGATAATGCTGGATGATACCACCGGTGTATGCAACAACCAGTTCCTCGGGCCCGGACTGCCAATCTGCCGGCGTCTCTAGGACCGGAACAACATGCCTGTGAATAGCATGTTTAGCTGCGACCGTAGCATCCGGCGTAGCGACTTCGCCATTGCTCTGCGGTGAAGCAGCGTTCTCGGGCGTGTTGCTGTTGCTATCCTCTTTCAATTCAATCTCGCGCGCGCAGGCCAGTAGTCCGACGACCGCCGATGCGATTAGCCCCGCTGAACGTCTCTGTACTGTGCGGGCGATCTTGCGGAAAGCACCAGCAGTCCGGGGTTCCCAGCGCCAGTCGCTGCTTTCTGGTGGGGGGAGGGATTGATTCAGGGCCTTCGCGAGGTCTGGGTCGGAGCGGGCTTTGGCTACCGTTTCGGAGATGTAGGTTGTTGTCAGGGCGTATTCTTGGATGAGGTTTGCGGGAAGGGAGCGTTTAGATAGCTTGGCGATTGATGTAAGGTAGTCGAAGAGGATTATGCGGATGAGTTCGCCGATGTAACGGCCGCCGGTCATGTATTCGAAGGGCTGAAATCCTGGACGCGCACAGGCCCGGTCCAGTTCAATATCCCATTTTGTTGTGACATTCAACTCGGAGAGAGGTGGTGCGGCACCGGAGATGGTCCATTCGGTGTTGACGATTGTTTCTACTGCGCTTGGTTCCATTGTGTTGACGCTCTTGGCTTTGGATTCGTGTAGTGCGTCTAGTTTCATTGGGATGGTCGCGTTGCAGCCGGTTCCCACGATGATTCCCATTGCGACTCGACTGTTTGGTAGTGACTTGACCTTGTACGCAAGGGAGGCTAGCGTGGCAACGGTATCGTTGGTGATTGCTTGGATCTTCAATTTGGGCAATGCAAATAGCTTGCGGCGTTTGTATGATGGCTCATCATCATCATCTGGTCGCTTTGTATGCTTCTCATAACCATCGAGAAGAATGTTGCCCAAGTTCAAGTTGGATGAAATAGCGAAGCCTTTGCCCATCGGCATCAATGTAGCTTCTGCTAATGATTCTTGCCTATCATATAGTTAGTCAAGGCCCGGAACTAGACCCACAGATCCCATTGAGATCAATTCAAGAGCTAGCATAACTCACATAATGGGGAAACTGAAGGTGATGCCCATATCAAGTTCAGCAGGTATATCCTTTTTCGTTGCGTCCGATGATAGACTCTCCGCCACCACTTCAGCAATGCAATCACCAATCCAAGAGAACAAATCCTCGGCCTTGTCCATCTTCAAATGCTCCTGAATAGGCCAGGCTCGCTCCAACGTTCGCTTCACGCGCTGACGCAGAGCTTTTCGGATGGTATCCTGTGACCTCTCAGTGGCATCAGTGGGACGAACATCCGAGTCGACAGCTTCTCCAAGCAGTTCAATAAATGCAACTCTCAAGTTACTGCCTCCTACATCGATCGCCAAATAGCGACCAGTTTCCTGGCCCGTAGGAAGCTGAGTCACAGGCGTCGGGAGAAATTGCTGATCGGATGTCAACGCCAGGTGTCTATATGTGGTGGAGAAGCGCCGTGCCAATTGATACAGAACACCTTCATCCAGAGACATGGGCGACAGGAAGTCTTCCAGTTGTTGATGATGGACAAGATATTCTCGCTGGGCGGCGTCGTACTCCGAGTTGATCTCGTCATGGTCCTCCTCAACCAGATCATCAGGCATGTCGCGCTCCTCATCGTTGTCCTTTTCTGATATTGAGTTGACAGACACCATTTTGCCACGTTGATGGCAGATATATTGAATCCGAATCTCCCCGAGCTCAGTATACGGGGTGTCGCAAATGATAGTCTTGGCAGTTCCCGAGCCTGACACAGCCGTTACGTTTTCAACAGTGACGTTGGGCTGGAATGTTTGAAGAGGACACGGTCATGTCCCTGGGAGATTCAGCTACCACAGGGGGCTAATATAGCCTATTTTCGTGTGTCAGTGAGGTTGCAATAAGGAGTGAACATTTCGGTGACGCGGTCTGCAGGGCGATGGGGCGGCTGCGGGGGAAAACAGAAACAAGACGATCATGCCAGTAAATAAAGATGAGAGCACCTGTCATGTCTTACGTACCCTGGAATCTTCGGTATGCGCTGATCACAGAAAAATAATAGGGATTTCAGGGGGGGGAAAGAGACTATATACGAATCTTCCGATATCCCTAGATGCCTGAGGCAGAAGTTGGAGAATGAAGTATACTCCCTGCTTCAAGATAGGCGAGAAAATAGGAAAAAAGAAGAAGAAGAAGAGAACCAGTGAAAGAATCAGGCAAGTATCTTTATTTGATTTGATTTGGATTTTGGGGGGCTTTTTTTTTTCAACTTAAAAACTGAGTTGGAGTGGGGAAGCTATAAGAGCGTCAAGGTACATCAAGGTGGAAATGATAAATTTAGTTGTGTGTGTTAAGTGTGATCTCAAGCATTCGACGTATCATCGATGCGACGTTGCTGAGAAAATCAAAGACTTTCTTCTCGTTGAGGCAAACGACTCCGTCTCTCCAGCACTCCTCTCCGAACTATGTAACCCTACCCGGGACCATCTGACGCCCTTCCAGGGAGGTCAAAAGAAGGCTAAACACCTCGGTTAGAGGGCCCTGACTGCTCTCCATACTTTGACTGACGCCATTCTTGGCTTTCGGAACTAAAACACAATCGAGGCGTTTGGAAACGGCCGTACGACCGCCAGTGAAGATCCAGAGAGGTATACGATAGGAATCAGGAATCAGTGGGGGGTTAGATCCCGGCACACGCACCAAAAGCGTTTCAACCTGCGATTCGTTCGATACGAGGTTCGCCTGTTCAGATATAACTCGTGGCGCTCGCGTGGTGATGGGGCCGGACATGCCCGTATCCAGACGCAGCTCCATGTTGCGACACTCTTCTGCCTAAGCATCGTGTGCTGTCTACGGGCCTCGATCGTTCTCGCCCAGATTGTCCGATCTGATTGGAGGCCGTTGCAGCCTCGCCTTTGCTTACCCGGAGTTGGTCACCTGCTCCCCCATGGGTTCAAGGAACAGCTCTCGTGTTCAAGCGTATCATGATCCTGCTGTATATCAAGGTTTGTCTCCTGTGAGCCTCAAAGCGACCTTGCAGACGGCCCAACCATTTGATCCTGCCCCCCAGAGATACCTTGCCTCATAAGAAATGCCCAGTTTCTTTGGGTCTTTTTCTTTACTGTAGCCTTGCACACACTTGAAACTTAAGCTAGTGGATGCCCCATAATGGCCTCCGAAGTCGGCGAAGTCAGAACCACAAATGGGAGAATCCTCTCGGTGAAGGTGTGGTCGTTTAGGCATTTAGGAAGAAGTCGGGGACTGGACCAACCAAAAGTAAATGTTTATTCAAGTAAAAGCGAAGAAACTCCGATGTCATTTGCCCAGCTGGCAGATCTTATGTAATACGGTCTGGGCAAAGGGGAAGTTCCGCCTCTCCACACGATCTTATCAAAACAACGTCACTTCACCATGGAGAAACTCCCGATCCACTCACATGGCGATCCTCCGGATCAACCGACTCGTCCAAGTACAGCGACCTTTTGGCGCCGTCTATGTATTGCCGTGTTGTTTCTAATCGGCTACTATATGCTGATCAGGCCATCTTCCTCGTGCACGCAACACCACACAAAGCTCCCTGGGAGCGAGAGCTATACCGCGGACCTCGAAGATGTCACAAATGAAGACAGCTACAACCCAGTTACAGAACACGTTTCTGGTGTACAGAACACACTCGCCCAAACTAAGATCCCGCTGGAAGCTCACATCATGAGCAAATGCCCAGATGCGCAGGCCTGTTTGCAGAAGCTGGTCTTACCAGCCATGGAAAAGGTTTATGACAAGGTTGACTTCAGACTGTCCTTTATTGCTAGGTGAGCATTGGTTCCCAACACCAGGAACCTTGTGTCAACTAACCTCAACTAGTGCCTCCGAAAGCTCTGAAGAGATCGAGTGCATGCATGGCCCAGGTGAATGCATCGGTGACATGCTTATGCTCTGTGCGGCCAACCTTCCTTTCCCACCCCCCGCGGACGAATCCCTTCTTCCACCAGCCTACCCTCGAACCCCTATCATCAGGTCTCTAGGATTTGCAAACTGTCTAATCAATGACTATGCTGAGATCCCAGATCGTGATTTCATTCACCAGTGTGCAATGGAACACGGTATTGACTTTGACGCACTGAATAAGTGTGCCAGTCAACAAAACGATGACCCGGATGACGGTGACAATGGAAAGCCACCACTGAGTGGCATCGCTTTGCTGCGCGAAAGTGCTGTGCGCGGTGCCAAACTCGGTGTTAAGATAAGCTGCACTGTTCGCCTAGATGATGCTTTCTGGTGCGTTCATGATAACAATGAATGGAAAAATTGTGCCCAGAATGGTGAAGGCAGCAACCCTGCAGTCTTAATTGATCAAGTCGAGAAGCTCTGGAACGAGCGGAACTGAACCTCATTCACACAGATATGATAGGATATGATAGCCAATGCAATTTACGATCTCTTACAAAAGTTCGAAGGGCAGACTGGTTCTAGGCTTATTATACTCACCAGAAATTTCATTTAGACGCTCGCTTTCTCACGAAATCTGGCCATGCGAGTCACAACAATGGGGGATGGTTCTGTGGGCACCCTGGCCCTTAGCTGTAGTCAACAAACCACCTCTCGGCTCCAAGGCATCGAAGTCAGCCGCCAGTTATTTGCCTGCGCTCATTCTTCTGTTTCTTGCCCATGGTCACCATCAACCTGTAGACCTTGACAATCCTTTTCTCTTTCTTTCCTTCTCATCTTTTTCTCAATTGGTCTTACCCTTCAACATTGTAAGCTACTATCCTAACGCCCAGCACGAATATTGAGCTTACACCCTCACTCTCAGACCCAGATCAGTGCGATGTCCTCCACAGCTCCTAATCGCGATATCATGGAACGCTTTCGATCGAAGGAGGAGCAGCTGTTCCTCAAATGGAAAGTGGTGATGAACCCCAGTGAGCTTCTGCGTGGGATTATTTCAAACCAGGAGAATGCCCGTTCCCTATTTCACGGTCTGAGACGCCAGGTCAGAGCCATCCGCCGTCGCTCGCAAGCCTATCGGGATGGCCAGGTCACAATCTTTGACTTGGTTCTGATTCGCCTTTTTGATGCTGGACACTCCATGCAGGACTATGGACTCCTGGAGTTCTATCTCGCTGAATTTCTGGGAACAAGAGACTGTGTCTCAACCGCTGATGCGAACCGCATTGTTGCTGCCCATCTTGCTGCTCAGCGTATCCTGGACGATGGTATGTCGCATCTCCCAGTTCAACACATCTTCACGTATTCTGATTACCCTAGGTCCCATCGACGAGCTGCCCACCGTGAAGACCGCCAATGTTCAAGACCAAGAGCCCACCAGCACCCAGAACAGCACCTCCACCCACTACTCCGAGGAAGCCAAGCCACCCTACCTTGACAATCTTATTAGAGTCTACGAGCGAGCCAAGGATGACTACTACAAGTCCGGCGTTACCCACACCCACAACGAACGTTCCAACATTGTTCGCTTTCTCCGTGATACCGCTGAAAACCTCTTACGATACCTCGAGGCCTTTGACCAGGAACATGAGCTCATTCCCGAGCTCACCGATGTCATTAAGAGCAGCCAAGCCCGTGCCGAGGAGCTTGCTGGTGGCCGCAAACGCAAGTTCGAAGACTATCAGCGATCTCCATCCATGAGTCCTTGGCGTAATACTGGATATACCTATGAGTACGACCACCGCACCGGCCGTGGCGGATACGTCAAGGATGGATGGGACCACAGTCGTGTCTCTGAGACCTGGAACCGTGCCTTGGACTCTTACCGTCCAAGATATTCCCTGCACCGACACTGAGATTCGATGCTCGTTACAGTGTTATTCTCATCCTAGTGATATGTTGAAACAAGAGAAGATGGCTGTTTTCTCTGTTGCTGCTTTGTTGCCCGTTGCTACTGAATTTCCTGTTGTTGTTGAAGAAGTTTACCATGAAGCGCGTCCAATAAGACAATCCAGATCAATTCAATGATACTTGCAAATAACTAGGAACTCCACAGAACATTCTTAAATTTCAAGGGTCGAAGTATACAACCTTAAAGTGCGATCCGTGGTTCGCACTAGTCCGCTCTCATCGTAGCGCCAATAACAAATCCACGTGCCTGGGTGACATAATCCGTAGATCGACAGTCACCTGCAAGCTCTCGAGGGGTAGTTCCACCTTCCCTCCTTGTGATAACTTCTCAATAGCCAGGTGGTTCCCGCTCAAATGAAGAGACAAGCCCTGCGAACCGGCCTATAAATCACCTTCCAAGCCCTGTATCCCCCAGGAGAAATGGCAGGCCTTCATCCCTCCGCAGTGGGGGCATCCTCCGACAGCTCAAGCACATCCTCAAACCCACGATTTACTCCGGTATCCTACGACCAAGACAGCGATTCCCCAGCACCGGGACAGGCCAAATCATCTATTGGCCCATTGCGCGTGGAAACCCACTTCGACGACCACCGGGATGTCGGTGACCCTCTTTCCGATTTCGAGAACGAATACAATACCAGCGACGAGCTCGAGGGCAAATTCCGACAGGGCGGATCGGCACCGAGACACACATCTGAGGAGGAAAGTGAGGTAGTAAAGAGGTTCGATCGACGGCTGGTCCCGTTCCTGGCTCTTCTCTACCTGCTCTCCTTCCTGGATCGCTCGAGTATGTGATATTATGCGGCACCGAGGAAAATCTTTTCTATACGGATTTTGCGAGCGTATGCTAATCTTTGATACAGACATTGGAAATGCAAAGATAGCTGGTCTCAAGGAAGATCTTCACCTTTCATCTTCTCAATATGAGTGGCTTCTTACTGCATTTTACATCACTTACATCTTATTTGAATGGATGGCACTTATGTACCGCGTTGTGCCGCCACATATCTACATATCTCTTTGCGTATGTGGCTGGGGACTTGTTGCCTCCTTTCAATGTCTAGCGACTTCTTTCTGGGGCTTGGCTGTCCTTCGAGCTTTACTTGGAATCACTGAAGCTGCTTTTGGTCCTGGGGTGCCATTCTATTTATCGTTGTTCTACCGCCGGCATGAGCTGGCCTTCCGGAATGGTTTGTTTATCTCGGCAGCACCCTTGGCAACGTCTTTTGCAAGTAGTCTGGCGTTCTTGATCGTCAAATTCAGCAGTGAGGGTCCCATCTCACCATGGCGAATACTGTTTCTTGTTGAGGGGTTCCCGAGTGTTGTAGTTGCTGTATTTGCTTGGTTCTTGATCCCAGATTCTCCAGGTCAAGCTCGGTTCTTGAATCCTAGGCAAAGAATGGTGGCTCATCAGCGCCTCGAGGAGAACACAATTAACTATCAACAGTCCCATGGGAACCAATTCAATTGGCGAGAGATCCTGAAGACTGCATCGGATCCCAAAGCATATATGGCTGCTGTAAGTTCAACTTACCTCAAACCTTTCAGGCAAGTTCTAACATGGCACTATAGTTCATGTTCTTTAGTTGCAATGTGGCTTTCAGCTCAATGCCCGTCTTTTTGCCCACGATCATTAAGGAGTGAGTCTACCAAGCACATACAATTTCCAACCGAGTCACGTTCTAACACCTCTACCTATAGCATGGGATATTCCTCATTGCAGGCGCAAGCTCTTTCAGCGCCGCCGTATCTAGTCGCCTTCATCGTGGTCCTTGTCACGGCATACGCCTCAGACCGCAGCCGCTCCCGAAGTCCCTACCTTATAGCCCATGCTTTTATTTCGTCCTTGGCCTATCTAGGAATCGCACTAACAGGCCATTTCCATGTACACCTTTCGCCGGCAGTACATACCTTCATCCGCTATATCTGCGTTTACCCAGCGACCGCAGGGTTCTTCTCGGCAATCACCCTCATCATAACCTGGTCAATGGACAACCGGGTTGAAAAGGAAGGCAAAGGTGCAAGCATTGCTATCCTCAATATTATCGGTCAGTGTGGCCCACTACTCGGAACAAGACTGTATCCCGAGTCTGACGGGCCGTGGTATGTTCGAGGTATGGCCGTCTGCTCGTTCTTTATGATCATAGTTGCAGTATTGGCTCTGGCTATGCGTATTCTTCTACAGCGTATGAATCGAGCGGTTGTGGATTCGACCTATACAATCATTGAACAGGCTGGGCCCGTGGAACAGGGTGAAGAGCGGGATGTGCTTATGGGTGGTGGCCGGAGGGATGATTTAGAACATTCTACTGGAGATAAGCGGCTTGTGTACATAATATAGTCTCATCTATCATACTTTGCCGTTCCAGGACTTGAGTGGCTCTTTGCTAGGGTCCAAACGTCAGACAGACTTTCAGGCCCCCAGTATCCCCCCGTTTTGGCCCCCAAAGCCTTGAGGCTGGTCCACCTCACTTTTCGGAAAATTATATTTCAACCACCGCGAATTTGGGGCTGGGACCAAAATCTCTTTTGGACGTCACACACCGAACCGGTATACTACGCTCGAAGATGGCCACGGCCATGTCAGAAAAATCGTCCTTTAGGGTGATCATTGTCGGCGGCAGTATTGCCGGCCTTTCACTAGCTAACATGCTTGAAAAAGCCGGAATCAACTTTATGGTCCTCGAAAAACATGAGAACATTGCACCTCAGATTGGCGCCAGCATCAGTATTGGGCCTTCAAGCGAGCGCATCCTTGACCAGCTGGGCTGCTATGAGACATTGGAGAAGCTGAGCTCCCCTGTGAATATCTATTCATTTTATGACGAGAATGGAAATGCTACACACCACGATACTTGGGGATCAATCCTAGATGAGTCGTGAGTCGTTCCTGATAAAGCTTTAGTTTGTAGAAAGAGATGCTGATATATGTATAGCTTTGGATATAGAATCCGGTTCTTGCATCGGCAACAACTAATCCAGACTTTGTTTGATAACCTCAGCGATAAATCAAAGGTCCTGACTTCTCATGCCGTTGAAAGGATTGAACAGAGTCCAGATGGCGTTGTGGTTGAAACAACGTCCGGGGATGTGTTTACTGGGAGTATTGTTGTTGGTGCAGATGGCGTTCAGAGCCGTGTTGCACAGGAGATGCAGCGATTTGCTGAGCAAAAATCCTTGAAACTGAGATCGCGTCCCTTAAAGAATGGTCTGTACATGATTCTCAAATTCTCGGTGCTAGACGCTAACACTTGCTTCCTCAAGCATTTGAATGCTCGTGTCGATGTATCTTTGGAATATCCAAGCCTTCACAGCCTGTTGTTGAAGACCAAATGCTCAATGTCTCCAACAAGAATCGGAATTACTTCTGTGCGGGTGGCACTGATGGGCAGATGTACTGGTTTGCTTTCGTGAACAATGAAAAGCCTACGAGAGGCTCTGCTATTGAGCGCTACACAGAAGCGGACAAAGAAAGTCTCGCGGCAACCTTCAAAGACGACATTATCAAGCCAGGGCTAACATTCGGAGATCTATATGAAAGCCAAATGATTTCCACTCTGGTTCCTATCGAGGAGGGTCTGCTTGACAGATGTTTTCATGGGAGAATTGTTCTGACGGGTGACTCCTGGCATAAGGTAGCTTCGTCTCAAAAATCCTCTTGTCGACAGCATACTCACTAATTACAATAGGTTCATCCAATCACTGGGCAAGGAGGTAATCAAGCTATTATCTCATCTGCATATCTTGCAAATAAACTGAATGAGCTAAAAAGCGCCGAGTCAATCCCGGACCATCAAGCCATTGAGAAAGTCTTTTTGGATTATCAAACTTTCCGGGGAATCCAGGCCAGGGCATCGGTCAAAGCAGCCCGATTCCTTCAGTGGACAGGCACTCTTGCAACGCCAATCTCGGCTTTCTTGCAACGCAATGTAGTGAGCAAGACTTCTACAGAGGAAATTCTGGTCCGCTTTACGCAAAGCACAACAAGTGCGGTTCCTTTGAAATATCTTCCTATGCCAACCCGAAAGGGCAGAATTCCGTGGAATGACGACATTGCTTTGAAGCCACATGCTCGTTCGAGAACCGCTACTATGATCTGGGTTGTTCTATTGTTCTTCACTATGGCCATACACTATAAGGCTGTGGATATTGCAGGGCCAGCAATTCTGTCAGAAAGAAGACCTGGGGTCCTCTTCAAACTGCTCAATATCCTCGATACGTCTGGTTTTGATGGCTCGCAAAGAAAGGAGCTTCAATTCAACATGTCCGTTGCAACGGTGGCCCTTTGCATGTACGTTGAATCTCATCGATTCTACATTCCAAAAGCGCTTAGCAGGTGAGTCAGATGTTTATGTTCACTTCTGGTACTTGCTAATCCAAGCCAGTGTGCTGCCGTTTGTCATTGCCGCATCATTTCTTGGTTGGCAATACATAATTCCAATATATTTTGCCCTCTATGTTTGGTTTTCCGGTGACAGACTCTTCTATTACCCGACACCGATGGCAATGGACTATTCCGTGGGAAATCCTATGATAATTGCCTATTTGTTCACCTATCTCCCAGCTCTTGGCTTCACTATCAAGAACCCCAATCACATTAGCACAAGTTGGCCTGCAGCCCATATCATGTTCCCTATATTGAGCTCTTGTTTCCACAAATTGATCGTTCGACGCAGTCCTGCGGGCAACCGACGAAACCCAGGAGTTTTTGACAATAAGTACATCTGGTCTGTGTATTCAGTACTCCTGTTAAACATGGCGCTATCTGTTGCGGCACCATTGATATCCGGGAAAGACCTCTACCAAATTTATGGAAGAGCTCTAATGGGATCTACGATTGAGCGTGATGAGGCCAGAATTGCTTCCATCGATTGGGCTATCTTGATTTTTATGATCTTTTCTCTATGGGAGCTTCACAGAGTGAATATTGCCGCTAAAGGGGTTTTCGAGGGTATGCTTTGGATTATCGCCACCCCCTGCTCAATGGCCCCTTCATTGGTCTTGATGAAAAGTTGGCTTGGCAGAGAGAAGAAGTGGAAGCAAGCTCGACAAGCCACACCCACTGAGAGCAAGAAGAGCTCTGACACTGAAGCTGATCGCCCTTGATTTGTGGATCTACGGGGTTTTATCTCCAGAGTGACCGTAAATTTGTGTCTTTTGGTTTAAAACTGCATGCATTTCATGAATAAATTCGAACAACGAATTTCTGTGCCTCAAACAATCATTGATTCATAACTCTTTCATTCGGATCAAATTTCCAGCTCGTTGGGTCTTCGTTAAGTTTCAAGCGAGACTAAATCGGTGCCAAAGTTTGGCGCATTTAGCAGCCAAGCTCACCATGGTTGTTGGCAACACACTTGTCTTGAAATTGACCATATTAGCTAAGGTTTGCCTTTGAGGGATTATCAGCACTTACTCAAATCAATCGTAGTAGATACGTATTTGTGGTCACGCTCGCTGTTACGGCATTGGCAGGTGAAATCGGCGTGGCCACGCATTGTGCAATTAATGCAAGAGCCGGAGTAGTGACCGCTGTTTCAAGGTCAGCTTTTGTGGAATTTTCTTTTCATTCCATATTAAACTTACTTCTTTCCACACTATAGAAATTAGTATCAATTCATGAAGTGATATAGGGTTGGTGCTCGCTTACCTTAAGCGTGCCCTTGTCGTTCTTGAGGCAACGGTTCAGGTCAATTGAGCTGGTTTGAAGCTGGCCATTAGGCGATACATGGCACTCTCCACGAAGGGTTGTACCTTCGCCATCGATATTCTGGCAGGTGTCTGCAAACTTCGAGGAACCGGCAAGTGTCATGGCCACGAAGGGGAGAAGTCCAAGAGCCTTGAGGAACAGCATAATGATTATCTGGGGATGCTTTGAATAGAAGTAGATATGGATTCTATGATATAGAATGATATTGACAATTGCGATGAGTGAAGGTGTGAACTTGAGGAGGGAAGAACCTTCTTTATATAGTTACGATGACTGAACATAGCTCCAATGCTTCTCGGATATCCAGCCCTAGAGAGTGCTCTAATGCACCTGATCACAAGAAAAGAAGCTGAGTTCCCAATGGCTCCTTGCTTTTCTCAAGATCCTGCTATCCAAGTCAATTCGAGCCACTCTAGGGTTTGTCGAGGTCATCATGCATGAAACATCAACCAGTGACGTTTGTTGCTGGCTCTGGGGCTGGGCTGAATCTTGCCGCGCGCAGCTCAACCACATGAGATATTCAGATAGAACGTTTGGATGAAAGCTAGCAATATTAGATGTACTCAGACATGGAGAGCAGAATATCATTTTTCGCCATTTAAAGAGCTCGAGCTTGTTACTTTTCGGAGCTGTTCCTGGACGAAGACCTCGAAGACAAACCTTAACACACATAGCTTGGACATAGACAACCTTTCTTTGCCTTGTTACACTAGACAAAGGGGTGGCGGTGTACCTTAACCAGCGTGAGTGAGGCGTAGATCATATGTGAGAATCGATCTCCCACGTCGCTGCAAGGGGTCCATCTACATGGTCTTTCGCACGAGCCTGTCACTAACAAACCCCACGCATAGAAGATACTTTGCAATCGAAACCCAACCAATGGGCTCTTGACTGTGGATAGTTCCATCGTTGGAATGTTAACTCTGCATCAGTTTGATCACTCGTTGGATCACCGTCAACGGTCTTAGGTTCCCAGCTTCCTCTGCGCTCGGTTAGCAAGTTTGCACAGATCTCTACTTTACATGCTCTGTGTGCCCCTTGTCAATGCCGATCCCTTTGATTCAGGGTCCTCGTCGGTCAATTCATTACTAGACACATATTGCCACTCAGACAGTCCACCTAGAGTTTGTTCGATTTTCACTCTCCTGTCGAGCTACCTTCACTATTTATGTCAGGCATTTTAGAAGCGGTTAGGTATTAACTAACAACTATATCAAAAAGAAATAACTATAAGATATGATATGGTGGCTAGCGTCGGTTAGCTAGCGCGCGGGTAGATGAACAAATAAATTTTACAAAAAAGAAACCATTAAAGCCCAACGCGGGGGTCGAACCCGCAGCCTTTAGATTAGAAGTCTAACGCGCTACCATTGCGCCAGCCGGGCTGGTGTACTTGCAAACACCCCACCCAAAAAATATGTATTCAAAAACTATTCCATATTGGTTAGCCGCTCCAATCAGTTGATTAAATTTGGGAATTCAGTCAGTTGTGGTATACTTCGCTCTCGGGATGCATAGATGCAGTCCATTCTTGTGTCAGTCTCGGTCAATGTTTTAGCTATCGATAGGCTCAGTCCTCGTTCACCGGTAATAACATATATAAGTTAGTATCGACGATCCTCCATACCAGTCTCCCTGAATTGCTCGCTGTTGCCCAAAAGCTTCTTTGACGGTAACTTGCACTCAATGCGATCGGGGTTGTCAAAGAGATTGTAGATATCGTCGTGGATGAATGCTTCTTTGAACGATCGAGTATAAGCAGCTCGGAGAGGAAGCAAGAGCGTGAGAGGTACGTAAGGTAGCGCCAGCAAGTTATGTACGAGCAGGAGCCATAACTCATAGAAGAAAGGAAGGTACGTTGTAACACAAAGAGGTCATAGGTAGATTAAATAGCTTCAGATGGAAGAAGTGGATATACAGGGTACATATATATTGTTGGGTCAGCAACCGCAGAAGCCCAAGGCATAAATGCAAATGTCCAAAATATCTCACAATATGGATGCTCTCTAGAAAATATACCTATATCACTAGGGAGCAGAGAAATAACTCCCTAGAGATGCTGCGGAGATAAACCACATCATACATTGTGGATTGCCTCTCAATCGAATCGAAAATTCAAGCCCCGGTGCGCGTGAAACTATGGGTTCATCAGTTGGTTTACCGTGACTGGTTTAGAGACCCCTTCTTTCAAGTTCACTATGCCTATCGGGAACTAGTCTGATTGAATGGGAAGTGCCACTACCCAAATGATAATATTATGCACGCCTAGCCTTATCCCATATTGTTTTGCGGCTTGGAAAGCCATGAGTTCATGGTCTGGAACCAGTGACCCTACGAACCGTGAAGTAGTACACATACCTAGCTATGTGCCCACTAGGCAGGGGCTATCAATGAATGGAATGCGATCTTAAACTCCATGGAACGTGGCTGCTCTAAACCCAGGTCATCTTTACCAATGGAGCATGGATAGGGAGCGGTCTGTTATTAATGTTCACCAGGAGAAGAAAAATTGAGCTGCGAGGACACGCATTGTGCGTTCTCCTGCCGTAAGTCAATTAGTAAAGAGCCAATCAGGCAACATACATTATGACCTCCATCCTTCAGCGGTAGACGAGTCAAAATTCATAGAAACGATCAGAGGCAAATGAAAAATGTAAGAATGAAACGATCCGTATGACGTCCAGACTCCTGTAACCCGTCCCAATGTTGCCGATGCCCAGAAAAATAAACGCCAATGACTTGTTGCGAGATCCGCTAAAAAAAGAGCAAAATTAAGCAATGGTTGGTCTGATGCATATGGGTTGCTTCGGCGCCCTTATTGCATACCCGCCAGACCCGCGGACATCTCGGCACCGAAGCCACTGCGAAGGCTGCCGAAATCCAGCTTCATGAGTAGTCTGTCTACACCTGCAGGTTTGCGGGGCATATAATGACTGAAACTGGCCCCTGTGCTGTGTTCTCCTTGGGACCCGAGCCCCGGCTGGCCGAAGCCCCTTTCGAGATCTACGGATCCCCGTCCTTCTCCTGATCGGCTATCGTCGATGCTTCGCAGGCTCGTAACGAGGTCTTTCATGCCCCTTTCGACGTGGCTGCGTGTGGAGCGCAGCATTTCCCATATCTCACGTTCTTCTTGGGCATAGTCAATCATGGAATCCACGACACCTTCGTCGGTTTCTAAGTCCATATTACGCTGAATACTTTCCAGTCGGATCACAAGTGCGACAAAGCGGTCAATATCCGTGAGAATGCCTCTCAGGGCATTGGTGAATGGTAACTCGGTTAGGAATAGAGATTGAACGAGAGAGGCCAAGTGTCGTCGATGAGCAACAGTCAGAGCCTCAGGATCGTGCCGTCCCATGGTTTGTGAGCCAGGATTGAGAGAATCTCCGGTGGACCCATTATCGGAAGAAATTGGCGCCGAGTCTTGTTGCGGCTTGGAAGATGATGCGGTTCCAGGTCGAGAACTGGGTGCTGACTTTGTTGGCGAAGATCTTCCTTCGATCCAATCACGAAGGTGCTGCCACGATTCATTGACCACCTCTCCTTGGAAGAAAGTGCCTATCTCTGAAAGCACAAAGAGACACGCACTACTTGTGGCCCAGATTTGGCGCATTTGGCGAACACGAGCATTCTCTCTCTCCCTTCCTGCCTTTAATCTGGCTTGACCAAAGGCGCCATTGCTTCGCGGTGGTCCCCAGGGAGTAGGGTGGTTTCTGCGTAATGATGTGCGTTTCCAAAGGTCTCCAAGCCGGATTTGAGCCCGTCTGATACCCAGGAGGTAAGAGTGGATCTTGGAGTATATGAGGACATCTGAGCTCGAGATGAATAAGTCCAGAGGAGCTCGGATTTGTGCTGTAAGTTGTGTGGGTGTCGGGAAAAGCAAATCCTCAAATGATACTTTCGAGATATCCGCTATCGGATTGGTGTTTTGAGCGGGAGTCATCGGACGTTCCTTCTCCCGACTTATGATGGAGATAGAGAGGAGATCACGAGCAAGTTCAAGCAGATCATCGGCTTGATCCTCTTCCTTCTGCAAAGCAAACAGCTCCGCCCATGTCTGGACCAAGGCAGTTGCAACATCCCCTTCTTTGATGGCAAAGCCGTCAAGTTTCCCAGATGGCCCATTACGGGCCAACGTTAAGCCGCGGCGTCGACTCTCTTCAAGGCGAGCATCTGCGTGTGAAACCAACGCAATTGCAAACTCGCCTTTCCCCAGTAGAAGAAACCCGTGAAGTAAATCAAGGATTTCCAGGATTTTTGGAAGTGGCAATAATTTAGACAGGGTTGACTGAGAAAGGGAAAGACGAATGCAATCAACTGCAGAGGATAGCTTCACAGGTGACATTGGTGATTTCAAACCTGCCAGTTGCTCTATGTGTTCCCGATACAACGTCACAGGCGCCGTGGAAGCTCCCGTTATTGAAGTCTTCCGTTTTGCTCGGATATGATTTAACGATTTACCAATGAACAATATTGAGCCTGCCGTTTGTGTCGTAACAAATTTCGGAAGCAAGTGGCTTCTTATCCTGAATTGTGTCTCATGGCCTTCGCTTTCGAAATCTTCCTGGATGAAGAAGTCATTCTTGCCGTACATGGGAAGGTTTCCGTAAAGAAGCCACATGGAAAGTTGTTTCATCCATGCTGTCTCTGCAGATATCCCTAAGTGCAAGGCCATCTTTTTTATATCAAGATACCCGGTGTGAGCTTCGGTCCGTAGATGATCGATGAGTGCTGCACCGGTGGAGCCATTGGGGCGTTCGCCCTTCTGCTTTTCAGGCTGAATGAATTGAACGATATCCCAGAGCCATTCCATCCGCCGCGTCCAGGGTGAAAATTCTCCAACGATAGTGGACAATGGAACGATACCGTAGCCACCCACATATGCACTATCTTCGGCAAGAATCGCCCTTTCGACCTTCAAGATTTTATTCTGAAATTCACTTAGGTGTGTCCCTACAATGGCAGTAGAGACTGAGCGGCAGACGACAGATGGGTTCACGGAGGAAATGTCGGAGGCGTGTTCCCGTAGCTCCGCGTGGAGTCGACTCAGGTGGGCAACGGATGCGAGGAGAACTTTCTCCGGAGGTGAGAGAAGAGGGAAATCATCTTGAGAGACAGCACCTTTTCCCGTCTGGGAGCCGAAGAGGGGGGAGGGTTGGCCGGAGAGGGAGAGCAGGATCTCGTGGAGCATTCTGACGGAATTTCACTGTAGAGGGTTAATTAGAGACCAGCCACCGGGAGGTGGAGGTAAGACTTACCTGGAAAAACGCCTTCTGTCCCTTGGGCAATTCTGACGCTGCCAATATAATAGACCACGGCCTACAAACTCGAAGCGACACATAAGAAGTCGGGCAATGACGGGGCCTCGAGCTACGCGTCGATGTCGTGACGCGTCGTAGAAGGTCGAATGATGAGATTCAAAACAGACACAGCAACGTAGGAACTGTTTTCATCTTCCAAACTCAATCACCACTTCAATAAACCCCGAGACTCTCAACATAGTCATCTAAGTAAACTCACATCTTCAAATGATCAAACTATCGCGGGGCTCTTTCACCGCCTCCTTAGTCAGCCGATAGCTGTCCCCTCCACTCTTACGTCGTTGGTCCCTCGATCTCTCTCTCTCACTCTCTCACTTCTACCCTCTTCTTTTTTTCTTTTGCTCCTCCTCCCTACAGCTTACATTTATCTTTGCATATCCCTCCGCGGTCCGTCGTTTGTGCTCGGATTGCTACTTTTCTTTGTGCTCGTCGAGCTAGGTACCTGGTACGCTGGCGCTACAACTTGATTTATCATCACTGTCGAAAGTCTTGCTTTCCCGCAAGGCTTTCACTTCCTGATTTTCATCATTCGTTCCAATCTTTCTGTTCGAGACGCGGCTAAGCCGAACAAACGCAGAGCGTCCGAAGACGACATCGGAGCTCCGTCAAAGAAACGAACCATGACGGTATGATCGGTCTCCGAAGATAAATAAATTGCAGCTAATACTTTTTAAGGACGCCAAGATGCAGGTCGATAACCCCCAAGAAACCGTTGAGATGATCAAGCAGGGGGAAATCGACGAGTCCCTGTACAGTCGACAGCTGTGAGTGCCCCGCGCCGAGTGAGGCTCGAGTATCCAGCATACTGACGTTTTCGAGGTACGTTCTCGGCCACGAGGCCATGAAGCGCATGGGATCTTCCAATGTTTTGGTCGTGGGTTTGAAGGGCCTGGGTGTGGAAATTGGTAGGTTTGATCAAGCGGTTATCGGCCGGGCACTTACTTTCTTATCACAACATTCTGACTGGTTTAGCCAAAAACATCGCTCTTGCCGGTGTAAAGTCTCTCACTCTCCACGACCCTGCCCCAGTCGCTATCGCAGACCTTTCTTCACAGTTCTTCCTCCAGGCCTCAGACGTCGGCAAGCCACGTGCCGAAGTCACCGCGCCGAGGGTCGCCGAGTTGAACTCTTACGTTCCAGTCACTATACATGAAGGCCAGAAAATTGTGGATGATTTGGAACAGCTTAAGCGCTACCAGGCAATCGTTCTCACACAGGTCCCTCTTAAGGAACAACTGGTGATTGCGGATTTCTGTCATAAGAACGGAATTTACCTCACGATCACGGATACATTTGGTCTCTTCGGTTACCTCTTCAATGATTTCGGAAAGAACTTCACAGTTGGTGATCCCACAGGCGAGGAACCTGCTAGTGGTATTGTTGCGGACATCAGCGAGGATGGCTTGGTATCGGCGCTGGATGAAACTCGCCATGGACTGGAAGATGGCGACTTCGTCACATTCACTGAAGTCAAAGGAATGGAAGGCATTAATGACAGTGCACCTCGCAAGATTACCGTCAAGGGACCGTATTCGTTTACCATTGGTGACGTTTCCGACCTAGGAACATACCAGGGTGGAGGTCTCTTCAATCAAGTTAAGATGCCCAAATTTATTGATTTCCAACCGCTGGAAGAGCAGATGAAGAACCCTGAGCTTTTGATTTCGGACTACGCCAAATTTGATCGGCCTCTGCAAGTTCACATTGGTATCCAGGCTCTCCACAAGTTTGCTGAGACTCATGGTGACCAATTGCCTCGTCCTCATAACGACAGTGACGCCCAGGAGGTCCTCAAGCTTGCCACCGATCTTGCTGCAGCCGGCGAGGACAAGGTTGAACTGGATGAGAAGATCATCAAGGAACTCAGCTACCAGGCCCGTGGTGATCTAAACCCCCTGGCCGCCTTCTTCGGTGGTATCGCTGCTCAGGAGGTATTGAAGGCTGTGTCTGGCAAGTTTAGCCCTGTGCAGCAATGGTTATACTTTGACTCCCTCGAGTCTTTGCCTTCATCGGTCACTCGATCTGAGGAGAGCTGCAAGCCCCTTGGTACACGATACGATGGACAGATTGCGGTGTTCGGTAAGGAGTATCAAGACAAGCTTGCCAACGTCACCCAATTCTTGGTTGGCGCCGGTGCCATTGGTTGCGAGACCCTGAAGAACTGGGCCATGATCGGTCTGGGTACAGGTCCTAAAGGAAAGATTTACGTTACCGATATGGACCAGATTGAGAAGAGTAACCTGAACCGGCAGTTCCTCTTCCGTACCAAGGATGTTGGCAAACTGAAGAGTGATTGCGCATCAGCAGCTGTTCAGGCCATGAACCCAGAGTTACAGGACAAGATCGTGACTCTTCGTGACCGTGTTGGACCTGATACTGAGGAAATCTTTAACGAGAACTTCTGGAATGGCCTAGATGGTGTGACAAACGCTTTGGACAATGTTGAAGCGCGTACATATGTCGATCGTCGCTGTGTCTTCTTCCGCAAGCCATTGCTAGAGAGTGGTACTCTCGGCACAAAGGGCAACACTCAGGTTGTTATCCCCTTCATCACAGAGTCTTACTCCAGCTCTCAGGACCCTCCTGAGAAGTCTTTCCCTATGTGCACCCTGAAGAGTTTCCCCAATCGCATTGAGCACACCATTGCCTGGGCACGGGAAGTCTTCCAGACCTACTTCGTTGGCCCACCGGAATCAGTCAACATGTACCTCTCTGAGCCCGACTACATCGGTAAGACACTCAAGCAGGCGGGTAACGAAAAGCAGACCCTGGAGCACCTCCGTGACTTCTTGGTTACTGAGAAGCCTTTGACCTTTGACGATTGTATTGTCTGGGCCCGTCAGCAATTCGAGTCTCAATACAACAACGCCATCCAACAGCTGCTCTACAACTTCCCTCGGGATTCCACAACTTCTTCCGGTCAACTATTCTGGTCTGGACCTAAGCGTGCGCCCACTCCCTTGAAGTTTGACAGTCTCAACCCTACACACCTCGGTTTTGTTATCGCTGGTGCCAATCTTCACGCGTTCAATTATGGCATTAAAAATCCTGGTGCGGACAAGGGCTATTACACCAAGGTGGTTGATGACATGATCATCCCCGAGTTCACACCCAGCTCGAACGTTAAGATCCAGGCCAATGATAACGACCCCGATCCCAATGCTCAGCCAGCCGGGGGCTCATCCGGCGATGACGATGACTTGCAGAAATTGGTGGCCACTCTCCCTTCGCCCAATTCTCTCGCTGGCTTCCGCTTGCAACCCGTTGAGTTTGAGAAGGATGATGACACCAACCACCACATCGACTTTATTACTGCCGCCAGCAATCTCCGTGCGGACAACTACGATATTCCTCAGGCCAACCGACACAAGACTAAGTTTATTGCCGGAAAGATCATTCCTGCCATTGCCACCACTACCGCCTTGGTTACTGGCCTCGTCGCCCTTGAGCTTTTCAAGGTCGTTGACGGAAAGGATGACATTGAACAATATAAGAACGGCTTTGTCAACCTTGCGCTTCCATTCTTCAGCTTCAGTGAGCCAATCCAAAGCGAAAAGGGCAAGTACCAGGGCAAGCAAGGTGAGATCACCATTGACAAGCTCTGGGACCGTTTCGAGGTGGAGGACATCACCCTCCAGGAGTTCCTTGCATACTTTGCTGAGAAGGGATTGGATATCACTATGGTCAGCTCCGGCGTCAGCTTGTTGTATGCCAGCTTCTACCCTCCCGCCAAGGTGAAGGATCGTCTTCCTCTGTCGTGAGTTCCTCTCTTTCCTACCCTCACGAGTTAATTAACTGACCATTGATATCACAGTATGAGCAAGCTTGTGGAGCATGTTAGTAAGAAGCCCGTTCCGGAGCACCAGAAGAATATCATCTTCGAAGTGACTGCGGAGGACCAGACCGAGGAAGACGTGGAGGTCCCCTACGTGATGGTCAAGCTGGCTCAATAAATATGTGGACCATCTGCGGATAGACTCGATGAAAAGCCTACATTAGCAAAACTGCTAGAATTTATGACAATTTCCACTCCAATTTCCGTGTGTCAGTGTGTTCGTGTTTATATTATTATGCATAAGCGATTAGAGCAGTTTCCTGATTGGGAATGCCAAGACTCGGCTTTGTCAACGCTGATCGAGCTTTCGATAAGCACCTGACTCAGCAGTTGGTCAACGACGCAACTTAAACCATGGACTGCCCCGCAGTGATTCCTTCTTGTTGGAAGACCTATAAATACGAGTGTTCCGGGCCTGTCGCTTATGTTTTCTTCTCTTCTTCGCTCACAGGTTTTACACAATCTTCAACGTCCAGCAATTCTCCGTGTGGGGTTCATTTCTAAAGCTTCTCAGAGCTCTAGCTTCTCCGCACCTTTCTCGTATTCGCGAAGCATGGCTGTATGAACCCCCCCCAGGAAACTGTACCACTCTTTTCCATGCTAATTTGTGATTACAGACCGGCAATTCCGCTAAGATCACTGACTGGGTGAGCCCTTCCGACAAGTCGGGCGAGTTCAAGCGTCAAACATCTGTCTTCCGTAACTTCATCTCTAGAGAGGCTGGTGCCCAATTTCCTCCGGAAAAGGGCCGCTACCATCTCTATGTCTCGTACGCTTGCCCATGGGGTATGTTCAAGCTTCTGTTCTATGTTATACGCGGTCTGATGCTGATTATGTAGCTCACCGGACTCTGATTGCCCGGAAGCTCAAGGGTCTGGAGGACTTCGTTTCCTTCTCCTCGGTGCATTGGCACATGGGCGAGCATGGTAAGTTCGGTTGAAAAACAGCCTCAAACACAACATTCTAATTGAATTTCCAGGCTGGCGATTCCCTACTGTCGAAGACAATCTTCCGGGAGAGAACGCCATCCCCGATCCTCTGCACCCGGACTTCACCCACATCCGCCAAGTATACTTCTCCAACAACCCGGACTATTCCGGCCGATTCACTGTGCCTGTCCTGTTCGACAAGAAGACCAAGCTCATTGTCAGCAATGAGGTAAGAGCTCTGACGCACAACATATCACCAGTCCGTTCATCTAACAAGGTAAACAGAGCGCAGAAATCATCCGAATGTTCTACACCGAGTTTGATGATGCCCTCCCCGAGCAATACAAGAAAGTAGACCTTTTCCCCAAGGCCTTCCAGGCCGAAATCGATGCCTCAAATGAATGGATCTACAATGACATCAACAATGGCGTCTACAAGTCTGGCTTCGCAACCACACAAGAAGCCTACGAAAAGGCCGTCACAACTCTCTTCAGCTCCCTCGATAAGGTGGAAGCCCATCTTTCCAAGCAACAAGCAGCCTCCCAGCGGTACTTCTTCGGTGATGAGATTACCGAGGCCGATATTAGATTGTTCACGACAATCATCCGTTTCGATCCTGTCTACGTGCAGCACTTCAAATGCAATCTTCGTGATATTCGTTCTGGGTTCCCGGCTATCCATGCTTGGCTGAGACGTCTCTATTGGGATGTTCCTGCTTTCAAGGATACTACCCAGTTTGAGCATATCAAGTTTCACTATACTAAGAGTCACAAGCAGATTAATCCCTTTGCTATTACCCCTCTTGGACCTTTGCCTGATATTCTTCCTAAGGATGAGGAGGTGAAGGCTGTTAAGGCGGCTTGATTGAGATATGCAGCTTTCAATTATTGGATACGAATCTAATCAAATATAAGAATGACATTTAAGTGAATACACTATCTTTTGATGATTGCAATTCCTTTTTTTTTCAATTGTTCATAGATGTAGATTTTCTAGTATAGACAAAAAAAAGCAAAAAAAGTCCCGTGGTATTGTATCGACGCCTTGCCATGCTGATGTGATTGATGATTGTTGGGTTTCACGATGCCTTATTTGCATCAAAAGCGGGACCAAAAGTACAGTTGTCTCAAGTGAAAGCAACATGAGCAAGAGAAATAAAAAAAATTACATGTTAAAACCCTGACTAACAAGGATCAAGCAAAAGCAAGATGCAGGAAGTTGATCTCTAGATGGCATCAGACATGAAGAGATCGAAAAAGCAAGATATGCATTATTTGAATGCACCTGAGGGCGAAAGATTCGCCATATCTGGATAGATTCGGTGGGTATCTTGAGGCTACGCTTGTAATGTTTAAGCAAGCGAATAGCAAATAGTAGCCACGGGGCGCCTGGGGATGATGTCGGGCACCGGGGACGGGATGCGAACGTTGAGCTGGCCAGTAGATTTCGAGGCACGAGAAAAGGAAACAAAGTATTATCTTTTGACCTGGCGAATCATCTCAAGCCGAGCGAGCGCTTCGCATTTTCATAAACCACGTAACTGATTGACATGGCCGGTGCGACTTTCAGGAGATTGGGTGTGAGTCCTTTGTAAAGACCGCGGGGTCCTTCCGATGCGAGAGTAATGCGAAGAACATCGCCAATGCCGTTGTATGTAGGTGGGTGCATGACCGTACCCTGAGTTTGCAGTCGAGTGCGCAGGACATTAAGGGGATAGACAATCGATGCGCTGAATCCACCACTCGTCGCGCCAATCGCACCTGTCGCGAAGTTTCCGAGCGGTACATCATCTTCATGGCAGCCTTGCTCGCGGGCCTTCTTCGCAATAAGTGTTCGTTTTAGATATTCAAAGGTCGATAGATCGATCGCGGCGTAAGGGAACATTCCGATGAGACCAAGAGGAAGTCCTCGGAAAAAGCCAAGTAGGCCATTCTTGTTCCAGACCTTCTTCGCTGTAGCGGCAATGAGCTGGTTTCCCTTTGGACCACCTTTTACAGTTTCACACTGCATGCGACTGTGGAAATCATAAGCCATGTTGTCCACATAGATGGTTGGGTGATCTACTTACAATTTGAGAGTATCAAGGGGGTAGACAAAGCATCTGAATGGGGTTAGTTAAAACTAAATCACCTCTCAAAATGATGATTCTTACTGTGCAACCATTCCACCGAAACCACCGGACATGAATTGTGACGTTGGGAGAAGTCGCTTGGTATCGTTGTGCCCTTCAAGTCGCGCAAATGCTCGTTTAGCAGACTGGTTTCTCGTCAGCACCTATGTCCTCATGGTAAAGCAATCTGCATATCAACTAACTTCGTAGGCGCCAAATTTGATTGCAGACTCGGGCATGACCTTCACAACGTTCAAGCCATTACCTGTTGGGGTTTAGTAAGGGCTTCGAACTTGGAAAGGGAATAGTAAAACAAACCTGCGAACAGACTGCGGATTCCTCCAGCTCGCCATAGTACTTTGAGGGCATCAAGCAGCGTTTTGGAGGCATTTCCTGCCGCAACCAATGGGGCTCCATCCTTTGCCGCTCGAATGGTTGTTTCTTGGACGCCGGTCTGGGCGATGAGATAGACTTTTAGACGGTCAAGGGGAGCGGTAGCCGTCCTTGAGACAGCCCCCGCAATTCCACCTGCAATGAAGTAGCCTAATTGAGGGGTATTTTCGGTCAACTTCCGTTCATAATATCGGAGAGACATCCACATGGCGGTAGTCTTGGGGATGGGCAGCCACTCCAACTCGAAGTCTCCCTCTATCGAAGGATATTCATCTTCGGGAACAGGTCCCAAAGTTGAGCTGTGGGGAGTTTGCGCATGCGCTGAAGGAAGGAGAGATGCCAAAGCGGGTAGAGAGAAAATATTGTACAAAAGGGATTGGATGGCCAGAAAATAAGAGGTAAGAAACGGGTGGTCTGTACCTAAACCCTGCAGGTCATTGATGTGGACATCTCCTTCCGGGTTTAGATTTCCCGTGGCCGTGTAGTATGACAGGACTGCGTGTAGGTCGGTCGGGGAATGTAGAGGTAGGAAAAGCAAAAAATCCCTAGATGAAAGAGCATATACGTCAGTTCAAGCTGTTCAAGTTCCTCACTTGACCGGTCCGGATGTGTCTAACCTCCATTCTGTGTATGAGATGACCCCGTCATTGTTTTTATCGACCTCCGCGAAAAACCGATCGAGTTTGGCGCTTGAGACCGTGACGCCGGACTGAGCAAAGGCATTTCGTAGTTCGTTCTTGTCGATTTCTCCGTTGTGATTTCGGTCGATCCTCTGGAACATCTGCCATAAGCCGTCCTCTGTATGGTCGACAAACGCTCGGAATTCTGGAGATTATTAGGATCGGAGGCGCGCGGCCAAAATATCCCTTTCCCAGAGCTTGTGATCTTACCAGCTTGGTCTATACGGCCATCGCCATTGGTGTCGACTTCCTGCACGACGTTGCGGACCATGTCATCTGCATTTTTTAAAGCTGGCAGAAGACGTGTCAGTCAGGTGCAGCAGCGCGGGACCCGGTCAGACTCACGATGGTCGATCTTTTTCAGGCCCTTCTTAAGTCCAGTCAGGTCGATATGGCCTTCACGTCGAGTATCCAAGGATTCCCAGAGTTTGGTAACTCGTTCGTCGCGTTCATCTTTCGACTCGCCGGGTGCCATGATCGGAGGAAAATTGTTACCGAGCAACCTTCATCGTTTGTGTAAGAATAAACGGGTAAGCCCTTCTTATTGTAAAAAGGAGAGGAACATAGACGGTGGGGATGACAATGATTAATTGACGCTCGGCGATTTGCTTGGGCTCTTGACGCCATGACCGGATTATCGTCGGGAGGCACGGGACCAGGGCCAAGCCCTACTATCCCTTTTTGGGACTTGGACCTCCTTTATGTTTATACCGTTGATATCATTCACCTCACTTTCCAGTCATTCACGGTTATTTTCGTTTCCTCCTTGCTTTCTGTCTGGTTTGACCTGCGGGGAAGCTGTAGCTCGGACCTCGGAGATCATGTCGTGACGGGTGTCCAGCGTTGACCCATCAAATCCCCCCGAATATGGCGGCCAACTACTGGACGTCGACCCAACGTCGCCACTGGCTTTTCTCCCGGGAAAAGCTAGCGGAGATTCGGGATGTGTTACGTGAGAAGGACCACGCTGCACATTCACAGTTTCCGCTGCCGGATCAGCGGCTACTGAACATCTACTTCAACCAGCGTGGGTTCTGCTGATATGCTGGCATCGAGCGCTTAGACCCAACACAATGCTAATCAGAGTAAATAGAGCTCATAAAGCTTGGCAAGCGCATGTCCACTAGACAGCAGGCCATTGCGACAGCACAGGTATATCTCAAGAGGTTCTATACCAAAAATGAGATCCGACAAACAAACCCGTACCTTGTGCTCACCACAGCCTTTTATCTTGCCTGCAAGATGGAAGAGTGCCCACAGCACATTCGCTTTGTGGTTGGCGAAGCACGCGGTCTATGGCCAGGTATGTATTCATATCTAGCTAAGCTCTTCGCGACATACCGAGAGGTGCCGAAAGCTAACGGTCCCAGAATTCATCACCCCAGATGTGGCAAAGTTAGGGGAATGCGAGTTTGCTCTTATCTCGGAAATGAGCTCGCAAATGATCATCCATCATCCCTACCGAACGTTGTCTGAACTTCAATCTGAACTAGAACTCACTTCAGAGGAGGTCGCTCTTGCCTGGTCTGTAATCAACGATCACTATCTGACAGATCTGCCACTTCTTCACCCACCCCATGTTATTGCTATTATGGCAATCATCATCGCCGTTGTGTTTAAACCCTCTCATCCTGCTAGCTTCTCTGGTTCCACGCAATCCGCTCTGGCAAGCGCCATGAGAGAAGGAGGAGGTATGCATATGATGACTGCTTTGTCGGATAGAGCTGAATCCGACCCACCGTCCAAGATCCAAAAGCTTGTTGAATGGCTTGCTGAAAGTGAGGTTGATATCAAGGCTATCATCGAGTGCACACAGGAGCTTGTTTCGCTGTACGAAGTGTGGGAGCAATACAGTGAGAAGACTTGCAAAGAGCTCATTGCAAGGGTGGTCAAAACTAAGAATCTGGACAAGTAATTCTTTGACTTGCGCTTTTGTATTCTGCGTGTCCTCGCTCATCGTCAGTGCTCGCCGCATCGAAAGGGAAACCAATAATTTCCTTTATTTAGCTACTGCTGCTGATGCTCGGTCTCACGGCAAGCCATTCAGCTTAGCAGACTTCTGCACCACGCTGTCGTGTCTCTTCATCTCAATCAATACAAGTTGAGAACAAAAAGCTGGTTTTCCAGAATTCAGCAAAGGAGTTACTAAGGGCACATTCACTACTCATTGCCTTGAAAGGCTTGGATACAGCTCTGGTGCCTATGGACTAATGTGGAGGACATGAATTGTGTAGCTTGTTCGCCAAAACCTCCGATATCTTTTCTTCAGACAGAAAAAACATCGAAATTCAAAATAAGTTCCTAGAGATGTGAGCAATACTACATCATATTTGATGCTATCTCTCTCATATCCACTCTCCACTTCTTGGAATACAGCGCCGCAAGTTCTTCCACAGAACCAGGTGCCTCACCATTGAATTATCGAATAAACCAATTTTCATGTAGTGTTTCTGGATCGCTTTGGAGTCGAAGTTTGTGCTGGGTGCTTTGGAGATCAACAAACATCTGGAAAGCCTTTGCTCTCTCGTTTGCATAAACATCCAGCAAAGCATCCGATGTCCCTTCCGAGACGAATCCTATTCTCTTCATGTCGGGCATGATTCCCATATTGTGCAGCGCTGTTAAGGCGCTGGCGTAATATGTCCTTGCGCGTGGTTCTTCGCTTAATTGCTTTTCTTTTTCGATTACTTCCACCGTTATGCCGGACTGGGCTAGGCGGACTGGGTCTGCGCCTACTATTAAGACGGTTTGTTGGGGTTCATCTTGGGGATCCTCTGGGTAGGGATGGATTGCTTCTGATGGTGGTCCCATGTTTTGGGGTATTTGGGGCGGGGGGTTTGCTTTTCCTATTCATATTATATAGTGCTTGTTCGAGCTTTGTTGTCCTACGTCGTGTTACTTTGGTTAATGAACGAGGTAGGTGGGACGAAAGTAGGACAATGGTCATTGATTGTGTATGAAGTGATGAAAATTCATCGATTCGGAAACCAATAGGAACATTTACCGTGCTATAAATATTGCTGAGGTTCTTCACTGCATGTTACGCTGGAGCGCTTGTTGTCCCCAGCCATTCTGGGGAATGTGGATGTCGTAATATGGTATTTACATCAATCAAACGAGTTTGATCACCACATCCTGATTCTATCATCAGTCTAGCAGTTTGCAATGAGAGGGTTGCTGAGCAATAATATTGTTGAAGTTTGACTTGGTGTGGATAGAGGGTAAACCTATATTATAGTCACGGAGTAGAAGGTCAATTCGGTAGCAAGCTACACCACCAGACGGAAGCTTGCTACAATGTCGTGTAACAGGGTCGACTCCGCAATCCATGCAATCCGGGTTGAAACTGCCGACTCGGAGTACGTGCACTGGTGCCTACAGTATGGTGGCACATTGATGGCATTGTACAAAATCCAACGGCAGGCCTTGTTTGCGCTCCCTTGCACACTCGCACGGGATTGGATTGCAGGATATTTAGTACCCCTCGCAGATAACATATTTCATGCGTACACATAAACATGTACTGCGACTCGTGCATCATAACGTGTACAGTACTGGGCCCGGCATATGTGATCTATATTATTTCCCAGTGGTGAAGGTTTACACCAGAGGCTAAAAGGGCGGTGTAGACTCATCCGGCGATTGGCATGTCTTGACGCTGGAGGCGTGAGTGGGCTCATACGGCGTAGTCCGTGGACGTGAGTGGCACACGGTATTACAGTATCATGCAGGCAGTGTTCCAGTAGGCGCCCGAGAAACATTGCATGGCAAAAGCCAAGCCTATCGATCAGTCCCGAAAAAAGCGAGAAACGGAAATAGCTCCCCAGCGTAGATCCACCACGTTAGGGAACTTGGGAGCATTGGGGAACTCTTATTCGGTCGCAAGGCTCCATTAATGGACTCCATTGGATGACTCACGAGGCAATGCTACCCAGTGCCACTGCCCCCTCAATATGCCCCTAGGCCGGATTCCGCATTGATGAACTCGGCTTGAGGGGGGGCTTGGGCTGATAAGGTAAGATCTCAAGGTCCCCTGCCAATAAGCGACGATCATACCTGCAGCTCAAGGGACCGTGGGAGGTCTCAAGACTAACAAGGTTTTCACTGCAAAGGATTGACGAAGGATTGGGGAATTCATACGGGGGGGAGTCGATCAAAGCGAGATCAGCAGCCACTCCCGATTCGGGCACCCTATAGGGGGGGGTGGGGGAATGTTCCTGAGGCATGCCCTGCACAGCCTGCAGCTAAGGCCAGGACTGGCCCCCTCATTGTAGACTGGATCCCAATATCGAAAGCAGAACAGACATCAGTGAACACGCAACGCATGTAGCAGAGAATACAGAGACTACACTCGACAATCGTCATTGTAGACCAAAGTCGACGACGTCACGTTGGTATTTGCCCGGTGGAGTCATTTCCGTGCGATCTGCGGGCTGTGATTGGCTGAGAAGAGTCGCCACTTAGGGTGGTTGGTGCGTGACGGTAGTGGCCTGTTGGCATTTACAATACCAAACAGCAATACACCATACACCAGGGTCTGATACTGTTGATCTGACAGTCCCATGACCATACCTCCCTCTCAGCCCATCCCCTCTTTTTCTTCGCCTCTTCCCTTCTTCTCCCACACACTCTTTCTGTTCTTCTATTCTTCTATTTTCCGCTCTCCCAACCGTTCGACTTCCCCATCTTCTTTTTTTTTCTTTCCAATATCTGTGACTTAATTCTCCTTTCACTCTCGGGTGCTGGCTTTTTAAATCATCCACTATGTCTGCCTTCTTCTACAACCACCAACACCAACACCAGCAGCCTCACCATGCTTCCCACATGCAGGCATCAAATAACCACCACGGACGCTCTCGCCGCGCTCCCAAGATGCAACAGCAGAATGCCCAGCGTCAGTTCCGAGGTGTCAAGAGCATGCGCGAATTGGCCGAAGCTCCCGCTGTGACGGCCTTCCGTGCCAGATTCGAGGCTGGCCGATCCTTCGATTTGGATGATGACCTTGAATTCTGCCCGGGTCTCCTGACCGAGGATGATGTATGTTTTGATATGGCGATCTCCCTTTCCCCTATTATCGACCCCTTGGGGATCGTCACGATATTCATCCATGTCACATGAGCGGTTTCGTTGACACCTCTCCAGTTGCACTCCATCCACTCCGCCTCCGACCGTTCCTCTCTTTCTAGCGGCTCCCCGGACACCTCGCCCTTGCAGCACCAGATTCAACCGGTGCAGCAGGTGACTCCGTCCATCTCTTTGTCCCCCGCTCAGACCAACGCTTACGTCCACCCTGGTGTTGCCGGCAACCCGAATCACGTCAACTACCAGCAGCCTTCTGCCAACCGGACTCGCAAAGTCATCCCGATTATTAACCCTAACACCGGAATGACTCTGTCGAGCCCTCCGTCGTCGATCTCCCCCGCGATGATGCAGAATGCTCAGCGTAGATGGTAAAGATGTCATTTGCCAACGTCGTGGGCTGGCGCCCGACATCTCCATCTTTTTGCTCATCATCTGTCTTGTTCTGCATCATCGGGGTCCCTTAATCGCAGGTCATAATTCTCTTTTCACCATTGCATTCTTGTCTGATTTGGCTATTGCATTCGACACGACCAACTTGGGAAAAATATTTGTTCCACGAACACGGCGACACAAAAAAACATCAAAAACTCGAAAACAAAAAATCCGAACTGTACATACCCATCTCCTTTCTTTCGCCGATTACGACCACCTTCGCCTCATATCTTAGATCCTTTGCGATACTTCCAGCTTGTTGCGAGCGACGGCGCCTGCGATTCAATACCTTGCATCCTTTTCCTACGATACCTCTTTCGTCTCTCAGGGAGGGACGAATACTTTCTTCGGCCTTTGTTTTCTTTTTTTTTCGGTTCGGCCACCGATGATGTACAGAACATGCAGTGACATTGCTACTTGACGTTGCATGTCCATGACCTGGAGTTGATTTCCTTTTTTGGGAGGGTTTGCGTGCAAACGACTTTGCCAGATACACCTACGCTGTGACACTTTTTCTACGATCTCTCAGTTTTCTCAGTTTTGTTCTTGGGGTTTTCTTTTTTAACCGGGGTGGGATGGATATCATTTTCAGGGATCTAGAGGCGGAAACGATACACGTCTGCATTGCTTGGGCACTGTTGAATATCTGGGTTGTTTTTTTTTTATTCTGCTCTTCTTGCTCTTCTTTTGGTCTATTTTTCTCTCTTATCTCTTTTACGGATTGTTTCTCTGTACATCGTTTCGGGGCTTGGTGAAACGCAATACTCATTACTACCATGGCCACCTGGTGTGTGGCTGGTTGGGTCTGGTGCGAGCGAAACCATTGGATTGCGGAGTTGTTTCTGTTTGAAATCGATATCCTGGGGGTCTCTCGCGGTGTGCGGGTCATAGACCATATGCTAAAATGGCTTTGTTCATTGTTTATTACTCTACTCTATCTCACTTTTCTTTTCATCTGTACTTCGCTTTAGCTATTTCCCGGAAATTTCTGGAGATTATGATTACATTCTACAAACTTGTTTCACTCTGATTCTTGCAAACTACTTGATCACATCTCGTCTGTTAAAGGTCATGATGCCTCTGGAATGAGAAATTTCTTCCGACTGCTTGATTTTTTGAAAATATTTGAACACTGGATCATAGTGACATGATACTGAGTGTTCAACATATCAAGCTCGCGTAGCTCAGTTGGTAGAGCGCGGCACTAGTAATGCCGAGGTCCATCGTTCAAGTCGGTGCGTGAGCAATTTATCTCTTTTTGGCTCCCCTCCAGAAGTGAGTCAATCCATAATCTTTTTTTGATCTCTTCAATGTCCGACTTTTTGTGGAATAGAGATTCCGATCAGTGCCATTGTATATGGGGTTGCATTACGCTATCTATATATATGATTGGTAATACAAAGGGTTTATTTGTAAAGGGCTCTCCATGGTTATTCCTTGATAATATTTGAGCTAATGATTATTATATTTTATTGAAGATGATTGTATAGGCAGACAGACAAACAGGCATCTTTGACAACTATACATACACACCTATCGTCATCGTCATATCCAGCACCGTTTTGTATTCCATTCTACGTCCGACTATACCGACTAAAGCTTAACTTAGATTAGGTTAGTAAACCACCATTGGGACATTGAAAAAGGCTAGTAAGTTTCCGTCCAATGAGCTCAGAAAAGAAGTAGACTCGACAGCTTAAGAAAAATATAAAGTTCTTATTGTTTGTTACCAAAATGCAAAAAAAAGATAAACTGCTCACGCACCGACTTGAACGATGGACCTCGGCATTACTAGTGCCGCGCTCTACCAACTGAGCTACGCGAGCTGATTGGTTGAATGATCCTGCATTTGGTGCAATATGAGTATAATATCCCGATATTAAAGGTTGAAATCTGATCCTGCGCAACATCACGACCTATCTGCTCTGCTTCTTTGAAAAGTGTCCTACCTGGAAATGGCCGACGGTATATTTAGACGCCCACGGATATATAAATCTAATGGCAGTTGGTCTTTTAAACAAACGTATCCTTTCTTCGATCCTTACTCGAACTCCAAGTTATCGGTCCTCTATGACAATTTGTTACTCATATGTCAATATCTAGACAAGGGTTTTGGGGTATATGGTAAATCCGATTAGACATGGTTTAAGCTCGGTCCGATGGGGGTCCTAGTGCAAATATTGGAGTTAGAGTGTTGAGATATCTACCGACATGCAAACTTATAATGATGTTCCCGTCCTAAGTCAATCACGATAGGGGATACTTCGTTCCTGGAGAACGTACAGTCTAACGCTTGAGAAGATATCAACGTCTTTTTTTGGGCCCTGGGATTATATCTCACGGGCTTCATCGTCCAAGTGCGGAAGAAGCCCAAATATATCACTTTGACCTCTAGGTCCATCGTTCTCCGACAATCGGCTTTTGAGTAAATTGCCATTGACCTCTGGTATCTTCCTTGCCGAGCTTTATGGGATTTGGAATGTGAGACTACGCTAGTCTCAGGGTCGTAAATGGGCAAGCGAGATAGATGCCTGATGTAGCGTATGCAACAATGATAATGTGTATTGTAGAAGAAGTAGTCTGAACGCTGATTCCCAGAATCAGCGTGGGCTTACTATTTATCCCCTAGGTTTATATGACCCTATTAGGTAGTAATCGTATAAGTAAGTATGTCGTTATCTTAACATTATCTTCAGGGACTGACCCAGTCCCTTCCTGGAGGAGTTCTTACACAATTGAGAATCTCCAAACTTAAACAACTCGATAGTCAATTCAAATATTATCTCTATTGTACATTCTTTCTCGTCACCATTCCCATACTTGCATCGTAACTTTTAACAAACTCAATTATCCGCAGTGGAATCCTGCTCATATATATCTCGATTATTGCACTTCTGGTTCCCCTTTAGTGGCGTGCCATAATCACCCGAGAAAATGGAGATGAAGGAAGTATCCCAAAGATACCAACCATTCCATATATATAGTGAACAATGGAGTGCAGAAATGAAATACAACCAAGCTTGTACGGATTTCAGGTAGAATACTTTCTATATTCTATATTGAGAACATATGTAAACGAGTCTTCAGTATATGAAAACCCAGAATTATTAAACACTACTGTAACTCGACATGAAAGTCATTTATTATATACTGGTTTTGCCGAAAGATTGTTTGCCAGTATAGCACTAAAAACGATGATTCATCATCACGCAGCTCGCGTAGCTCAGTTGGTAGAGCGCGGCACTAGTAATGCCGAGGTCCATCGTTCAAGTCGGTGCGTGAGCATTCTGTCAAGTTACTTTTTTTTGGACAGATTTGTTCTTCCATATCAATCAATCCTTATTTTTTTTTTTTGGTTTTCTTTTCTAAATTTCCCACACCTAGTGTAGGCCGAAATAGATACAATGAAAGCACTAAACCGATTTTCATGCCTACCCTTCTCACTACTGGGGGAGGTGACTTTCAATTCTTCTGGATTCAAACGTACATCACGACCTAAACTGTCCGATCTTTAGGAACGGGCTCCCTCGCATACTCCTACCCCGGCTACTTAGACCGTTAATGCACCCTATCCGTGTTCTGCCCTTCACCCGGCCCCGAGGCTCCTGACCGCTAAACCTCTTACTTAAGTAAGTATAAAGAGGCACAATAGTCACTTGGCAATGCGCGTCCACCCGTGTATTCTGCGCTTTGTTACCATCCATTGCCAATATAGATACCTATGCCACCATAATAATAATTTATGCTTGCGTAACCGATATAGAGGGCTTTCCTCAGAGGCGCCATGTCAAAATTGGGGAAGATTTCTGTGCAGCTATATCAAATCGTGCATTCAATTCTATTCTTCACCCAGCGGGCTACGACCACATCCATATTCCCGCAGATTTTGGTTCACAGCAGCCTCTCAAACGATGGTTTATTCTTGATCTAGGTGTCGTTCAACAACTCGACAAGGAAAATGTTTTGCAACTTCCCCACCAAGTGTACCTTGCAAGTCATAACGGCAAATTGTAAGGCGCCCAATCTAATTCATGGTTATAACACATTCTGATTGGACAGAACCTTTATTCTTCGCAATCGATGGGCCGAAAAAGCAAAGGACAGAGCTATTTCATATACTTGGGGGAAAAGAGGAGCAAAAGATTGTTGAAAGCATGCGGGAGAATGTCAATACTAAGAAGGTACAGTGATGTAACAAAAGTATTTGGCCGGTGGTACTTTGGGCCCTCACTTCTGATTACTGCTGACCAAAAACCTCCGAAATCCATTCAATTCAATAGCTAGTATGCAATCCATCATACCGAAGGACATCCTAGACCCGATGAGGCATTGCATCTGACAGATGTTTGAAGTGTATTTCCGCTCGGTATAGGATAAGAAAAGACTTTATCCTCTAGGTCGTGTATGTCAATCAAGACTACAAAATCCCAGCCGTTAATTTCTTTGCCACAATTAGTATGATCATTGGCAATGCCCTTTTGCATTTGACACGCTCATCTAGGAACTGTTTCTCAATGAAGATTTCGGTCCATTCAGCACGTCACCAATATCTGCCAAGAGAACAAAAAACGGTCCCGGTTTATGTTAAGACTTGTAGGATACACATGTTCATGGACTCAGGTCCTGGGTAACGGGTCTGCAGGCACATAATTTCCAGAGAGCGTCATGGCAACGTCCAAGCCGTACTTTGAAAGTCGCGATAGACCCAATCCAGACCTATTCCAGGCCTACTTACGAATACGAGAACTTACGTTTCACACCCTGTCTCGAACCTGGTGGACCGATGTAAATTGCCCTCTTATGAGTGGTCCGTTATGGTGTAATAACTTTTGTCTGATTGAGTTCTCCAAGGCAGTGCCCTGTAGGATTTGTACATCCACTTGCAGGAGTATCTACCCTGGATTCCCCACGCTAACAAATTGTTTCCTTTTCCTTAACCTGGGAAGTTACTCTGAGCATCAGCAGCTCCCTGAGCACAAATATACCATACCGTTCGAAGGTAGAGATTCCACGTTGCTAAGATACTATACGCCTATCATTTCTCAGCTGACTTGATTCTCCAAAAAGTGTCCATGATCGGAAGTCTTTTTCTTGATCACGTATTTTTCTGTTAAACGATGAAGTTTGGAACTTTTATTGCCTTCTTACCATGGGTATCTGCCAGTACTCATCTTGGTGTTGGGCAGACAGCGGCTTTGCCCTGGAAGCCAACTGGCAGCAATGACTGTAAATGGGCGTCCGCTAAGTTGATAATGCATACTAATCCAAGTAGTTCGCGGTCCATGTCCTATGATGAACACACTCGCAAACCATGGGTTTCTCCCACATGATGGCCGAAATATCACGAGACAAACTCTCATGGAGGGTCTGCATGATGCTCTGAATTTCGATTTTTCGCTGTCCTCCCTGATGTTTGATATGGGTGTTGTCGCCAACCCGAACCCCAACGCGTCATACTTCACATTGTGCGTAAATTTCATCTCAGATCGTCTCAATAATCAGTATTGCCAACATGGAGAAGATATAGCCTATAAGATTCGCTTCTGACGATGGAGAATCTAGGGACCATCTTAACCGCCACAATGTTTTGGAGCATGATGCCAGCTTGAGGTAATGAGTCTTCATTCCCCTGTGTCAATCCCTCAGAGTCTCCTCCAGTCATATGCAGAGGCTACCCAGCCTGCTTCCTATCTCACTGGATCTCATAGCAAGTCTACTATGGCTACATGCTGACCTGTAACTAGTCGGACCGATGCATTCTTCGGAAACAATCACATCTTCAATAAAACCATTTTCAACGAAACGAGGGCATATTGGACGTCGGAAATTCTCACACCCGCCATGTTGGCCAATAGCAAAATCGCCCGCCAAATCAACTCAAAGGCTTACAACCCTAACTATAAATTTACCCCAATGACTGAACAGTTCAGTCTTGGCGAGGTAGCTGCTCCGATCATTGTATTTGGAAACTCTACATCAGGGGAAGTCAACCGGACCCTGGTTGAATACTTTTTCGGTTTGTGAGAACAATAACTCCTAGGCGGAATTTCCCCTAACATTCATGTCTGCGTCCTAGAGAACGAGCGTCTTCCGATCGATCTGGGTTGGAAGATATCTTCAAAGATCATCACCCTCGACGACATTTTGAGAGCCACCCAAATGATCAGAAATGCCACGAAATTGATCACATCCTCCCCATCTCAACATCGAGTTAGAACTGAATTGTAAAAGCCTGCTATGATCCGATTCGATCAGCCACAAATGGTTAGGGAAAGGACTTTGATGGCTGTTTTAAGTTTGTTTGAGCTTCGGAGCTAGTTAACTCTATTGATTATGAACAGGGTATACACTTCTTCAATTAAAGTACATCTAGGAATGGAGTATTTCTGACTGATATAACTCAGGTTCTTCCGAAGTTGGTGTTGAATTGGAAAGAGCTTGAGAAATGAAAAAGATGAGTGATGAGTGACCACGGGACTGACGTAGAGGCTTTAGGCCTTGTATGTTTAAAGTTTCCTCTTCTACGTTTCTGTTTTGTTCCTTCTTTTTCTGAATGACCTCTTTGCGAAAATTTACAGAGCATCAGAACTTAGAGGTTCATCTTGTGCTTTTGGTGCTACTTAGACCTAGCCCGGACCGAGCCTAACCCGAGCTAGATCGGATTTTTGATCGCACTGCCTTGATGGCGGCTTGGCTATCGGAGAAAATGATCATCTCTCGAGTCTATGGGCCTATATTTCCTTTGCAGTCTTTTCTGGAAGTCGCCAGTGCCATTTGTATACCGCTGGTCTCTGCAGCGTACACTGAGGATTGCGGCTCCATATCAAGACGGGCACAGTTGGCCTAGGCGGACAGAACTGGAAGACTCTGTTACTCTAAAAAAAAACCAACGAAGACTAAACGAGAGTGAAAGTCGCTCCTAGAGAATGTTGGGCTGCTAGCCTGTTCGGATGTGGGGGATTGTCTAAAGTTGTGATTCTAGTTGCCTGATCAGGGCAGGGGGAGCATTCATCAGAGGGATCTGATTAGATCAGCCGTTGGAGTCTATATTTGTAGAGCAGGTTGAGTTGAGAGACATTAGTTTTCAGGTACAGAGGCTTCCGTACTGGGGTTACCAAGCTGCATGTTTGATGTGAATATGAGATGAAATTCATAAAAAATGGGTAAGAAGAAGTGAGAAGATACATCACCCGTTGCTCCATCCTAAGAATATCGTGAAAAAAGAAGAGAGACTTCTCATAGCAAAGCCTCAAAGTTTGACCATGTCACCAGGCGAGACGAATTAAATCTCAGTATCAGCATCACCCAGGGTCTCCGATCTCGGTTGCGAAGACTCAGAAGAGCTTTCATAACCCTCCTCCTTGTGCCCTGTCTCTTCAAAGTGAGACCAAGGTCGGGGCATCTGACACTCGAGACACTGCTTCGCACCTCCGATGCAGGAAAGACAGAAGAAGAGTCCACATTGTTTGGCCTCACGAACTCGCTCGCAGTGCACACAGAAGAAACGTCCGCGAAGAGTATTGCTGTTCTCCGACTCATCGTCATCGCCATCATTCTCATTTTTGGAGTATGCGTCGTTCGTGTCGTGATACGGAATTGTGCCAGTCATCAAAGCGTCGTGTTGAGTTTCGATCTCAGGAGATGCTATATCTTCACCCCCACCCTTCTCCACATTGCAGATTACGTTAGTGATCGTGATCACTGTCTTGCTGATAGTAATTCCAGCGACAGTTTCAATAATCTCGGGAGCAACAACGATGTCACGGGTTTTATTAAAATGTTGAGTGGCGCCTGGGAGAGTCTTGGCCGAAATATTTCCAGTGGGGGTATTGTCAGCGTTAGCCGCTTTAGTGAAAGCCCTGCTCACGACAGCCCCAGCAGATGGGCCAGCAGCAACAGGCGGACCAACAGCGGCAGCAGAAGAGCCAGGGGCGGCGGACGAGCCATGGGGGTCGTGGCCTTGATTCTGGGGATGAGACTGACGCCAAGCTCGATGTGCCTATCTCAAGGTTAGCCAGGATCTCACGGGTGGAAACTATGAGCAACTCACGTTGGTGTTTTTCTGTCGGCACGTGTTGCAGCGCTTGAAAGGCCCGTCGCCATTCTCACGCATGAACATAGCCACAGCATAGGTGGTGCGGCATTGCACGCAGTACTGCGATGGGTCCGACATCCTTGATTTGACCCACCCTGATATGATCAGGGGGAAGTCTTCAAGGGTTCGGTTTGCTCAGAAGGGAAAAGAACGAGCTCTGTGCGAGATTGGATCAGCCGTTGCGAAGCTGTGATAAAATCACCAGATGTCGGGAGAGAGGGAGGGAGGAAGAGCAAAGTGTGAGTTTCGTGCGAGATGGAAATAGTCACGACGAAGCTACGATGGACTCGCCAGGTTCGGTTTGCTCAGGAGGGAAAAGAACGAGCTCTGTGCGAGATTGGATTAGCCAGTGCGAAGCTGTGATGAATCACCAAATTTCGGTTTGCACAGAAGGGCAAAGAGCAAGCTCTGTGCAAGATGGAAACAGTCACGACGAAGCTACGATGAACTCAACAGGTTGGATTTATTCAAGAGGAAAGAAAAGCTCTGTGCGATATTGAAACAGTCACGGCGAAGCTTTGAAGGAAAGGTTCCATAGAGGTCGGTATACGGTACTTATGGGCAAACATTATAGTCATAGAGAGTGCATCATCTTCACTTCTTCGCGGGAAGACCATAGAAAATGTGACGATAGCCACGCAATGTAGAGCGCATGACTTTCCGGTAGAGTACCTATATACCGGGCGCTCACCATGGTACCCAGGCTTCAAGACAAGGGTCATTCTTCAAGTCTGGCTTTTTTTACGGTACATTCCATATGTTTGGACCTTTTCGGATATTCTTGCCATGCATTTTACTCACAAAGAACTGAACTCTAGCAGAAACTCCTGGGCTGAATTAGATCAAATCAATAATTGAGCTCGCCCTTTGTAAGTGAACCAAATTCTTCGTTCTCTACATAGATAGGGTTAGGCCGGATTACGAACAAAGGATCAACAAAAGTGATCGGGGAGAGTGGAATGGAAAGACACAAAGAACGCACCTGGAATTCCGACCCTCGGGCACAGCAGCTTATTGCCATGTTGTTTCAGCCATTGGAGTACATGTGAATCATCGTGAAATAGACGAATGAAAAGATCTCGACGCTCAGCATGACTTGAAGGCCCTGGAAACCTGGAATTTCTATCATGCCTTCTTTGAAGTCCGTCTCGGTAATGTAGGAAACATGGGATACGTTTTCCCCCCTAAACACATAAAGATGTCCTCAGATAATTCAAACGATGCAACTGTTTCCTTCAGGTGTTGGCAAATAATGGCGGTCTCCCATCGTAGCACTTTCGTTGTTTTTGTTAGCATACTTTTGCCGATTGCAGCCTTGACATTGGATACAGCTGATCGCCTCTCTCCCCGGACTCACAGTGTTGATATTTGTTCTACTTATACCATCCAGGCTGGAGATTCCTGTTCTGGAATCGCTCAAGCCCACGGAATCACCGAAGCTAATCTCCAGACTTACAATGCAAGAAATTGGGATTGGCTCGGATGTGGAAATGTGACCCAGGGGTCCTTCATCTGCGTTGGTCCTGGAGAGCCTCCGATGCCCGTCGCCCTTCCAAATGCTGTTTGTGGTCCTCAAGTGCCTGGAACCACTCGCCCCGACAGCTGGTCCGATCTGGGGTCTCTGAACCCTTGCGCGGCAGGCGAATGCGTAAGTCAACTTGTACTCATGATTATGTGGTTTGCGCTGAATTGGAGGAATAGTGCGCTTCTTGGGGTCAATGTGGAACAGCTTCGAAGTACTGCGCTCACAGTACCGCAGTGGTATCTGTGTCTTCTCCACCCAATGTTCAAACCACCATGACATACCATCGTACTACGGTATCGGCCTCCACACGTTCAAATGAATCCAAGTTGAGTACGACGACCAAACCCACCACTAAGCCCACCACCAAATCCACCACAGCCACAAAAAAGCCCACGACTACAACAAAAGAACCCAAAAGCACACAAACGAGCAATGTACAACCGTGGGAGTTCACAGTTTACCAAAAGAAGGATTGCACCGGTGATTACTACGTGATCCAAGGACACAACGTGGGACCCGCCAAAAAGTGCTTGGAATTGAGTGAGAGAAAACACAACCTCAGCCCTAATCTCAAGGACCCGGGGCTGTATTGCAGATATTTCTACCAGGGTGGCGAGAGATGGCTAAATTGTGATAAGGATCTGTCTTGGGATCCCAAATCATGGGTAGTCAAGAACGGTATCTGCACAGTATACAACAAAACGACGTGCGATGCGTCCGACAATATGTTCCAGACTTATTCCTCAACCCATTGCCAGAACCGTGGAAATTTTGATCCATCATTTATTTCAACGTCATGCTATGCTCCTAACCATTAAAGAGGTAATTCACGAGGAGTGGGAGGATCGGACTGAACTTGTCGTCATATTTAGTAAATTATACCACCCTCAAACATTGTCAGAGAGCTAAGTTAGCGCGTCGTGCCCTCATGGCGGGCGTCAGTGCTTAGCCAACAAATCATCTTTTTTCTCGCTCATACGTCTGACGTACGTAGGTCTTATAGACATCTTCGGTCCGACGGCACCGTGGCATGATGCAAACCAATATTTACTCGATGAGAGCGATCACTTTTTCAATATATTATTGACTCCTAAACTACAAAAGTAATTTCAACATTCAGGCTTTGATAAATTGATTGGCCCTTTGCGAAAGAGTCGATGGAAGTCTTCAGTTAATAGGGAATTGAGTCATGCAAACACTGCAGACCAACCGATGCCCCAGGCACCTGGGCACATGGGCAGGCAACTTGATGCTTAGTCGGTTAGACCGGCTCCTCCAGGGCTATCCATGGATCTACAGGGTATGGATCATCTTCTTCCATATGCCAGTGACTGTTCCTTCCCCAAAAAATGCACATTAATTTAGCTGGACCGGAAGCATGGCTCAAACACAAGGGAGAAAGCCCTGAGTCTATTAGATCCGAGTACTTGAGCTACAGAACTTAGCTTTTAATTCTTCATGCACTCCATAGTTTGCTTGCCCATATGATCGCATCAAAAGAATTGGGGTCTATGGTGGGCTTGAGGAAGTTCCGAGATTCAATCCAAAGTTTCAACAATGTTTAATACCCCAGAAATACCTCGGCATGACATTTAACCAAGGCATCAGAGCTATTTAGTGAGGTCTACAGTCCCATGAAACCCGAACAATCCCATTTTCCGGTGCCCCCACGCTGTTTTGCCACCTCCGCACCTTCCAAATCGATGACCAGGTCATTCCAATGGTAGACAATATCGGAAACCATCTTACGATATGAAAACAGGACACTTCCATACATATGGAGCATTGATTATTGATTACAAGGCCTTTGTAGTGGTCTCAGGGAATATGTAATCAAGTTCATGTCATTGCCCAGTGAAAAATGGGTACACTCGTATTTGACCACCGGCAGGACGGACAGTCAGGCCTGACACAGGCACAGCTGGGCTATACGAATCGTATCTAATATTACTTTACGTCATTCATAATGCATATACCCAGTTAAGAGCTCCCAGCTGACTCCCCGTCACCAAAATCACTATATTTAGGGCCTCGTGCGGCTCTTCCCTTGGAACTTGAAACCTTAAAGACTATACCAATACGAGGCTCTGGTAATATTAGCAGATCTAGGACGAATGAAAACATGATACCCGTAAAAGAAATCACCCGTAATAGTTTCAATTGGTCGGAACACCCGAGTACATTGTAGAGCCCTGGGATTTGAGAGACAATATCCACCTTTATAGATGGATACAGTCAATAGATACAGTCAGAAAATCTGGAACGCCTAGTCCAGCTGATCATGCATTTCCTGATAGCTGCATAGCCATGCAATCGGCTCTTTCAGAATGGTAGACATCATAGACATACTGCTGAGAAAGAGAGGAACAATGGAGGCCTTGCTGTTGGGACGGTCCGAATGTAAATTAAATTTGGGACTGCGCTGGACAAGTCACAAAGGTATAAGAAGGACCATATTTCACACCCAAATCAGACAGATATATCTTGTTCGCTTCAACATCATTGTCAATCAATCTCAATTCATCATCTGTTCAATATGAAGGGTTCTACCATCATCAGTCTCCTAGCTACAGTTGCCACTACGAGCGCAGGCCCACTGAGAGCAAGGAACGACCAAGTTGACATCACTTTTATTGGTGCAGCCGATGCTCAATTCACCCAGAGCTTTCCAAGTGATGGGACTGTCATTTCCATTGGTGAGTTTCTCTATAATAGGGCCTACTTTTGACAACTAAATTTAATATCTTTAGGGAACCCATTGAGCATCTCGCACATTTCATCCAACACCGCCGGCATCCAATGCACCTTTAATGGCATTGACAAAAGTGTGACAACTGTCACAGGACACGAACTGGTCGATGTCGGCCCTCCCCAGACCCAGCTGTCTGGATCTTGCCAGGCAACGGGCGTGAAGCTTCGGAGCGACATTGTCCATGTCTCCTTCATCGGCGCCGCTGATGCTCAATTTACTCAGGACTTCCCTGTGAACGGTGGATGGATTCAAATCAGTATGTTCATTCATGCCTTCCTGTCTCAGATAAAGTCAACTAACGAGAGCAGCCGATCCTCTGAGTATCTCCCACATCGTATCGGACCGAGATGGCGTTACCTGCACCTTCAATGGTATCGACCACAGTGTCACTACTACTAGTGGTACACAGCTGGTTGATGTTGGGCCCCCTCAGACTCAGCTCTCTGGTTCCTGCTGGCTGTGAGGTGAACCGAGAGAGAAGCAATTTTGAGCATGCAGCGGTGAGACTTGTGTCTCAGTCGGTCTGGAGAACGAGCGAAACTTGGTAATTGGTTTTTATTTTCTGTTTTCCCTGCGATGTGACGGTTTTCAAAGGGGATCGTTTGTTGTTTATATGTTTTACCTTCAACACATTCGTTAAGCAAAGACCTCAATACTACGTGTTTAATCTTACCAGATAGCCTAATGCCAATCACGCAATGATTAATCTAATCTGAGGTTAATTGACAGCCTGTTTAAAAGGTTCTCCGAGAAATGAGGGACGAATGTGATGTAGGGCGAGAATGCGACGCGAGGGGTTGCCCATGGTCGATCTCGGACCTTGACTTTCTTTCAGTGTAGTCCTATTAATTATCTGTATTGAGTTGTTGAATTGTGTGAAATGAACAATTGTCACATTTGAACGCAAATACAGTAACTAATTAATCTACGAAGATCAAACATCACACAATGCGGACATGTATCTCACCCAATCCTCAGCCAAGGAGGCCCGGAATTCAGGGCTGCTACTGTCCCTCTCTTGAAGCCCTTCCAAGGCCAAGCGTGGACGTACATTCCAGATGAAACCCAGACCAATTCGCCCCAAGTGTTTTATAAAACAAGTCGCGTCCCCAGACCGCGTGCTTGCGACAACCACCACGACTACCGACACCGCGCTATCAACATGTATGCGACCAACTAAGCGCGTAATTTTTAATTTTTGAACCAACACTCATTGACACCTTAAACTATCGCGTCAAGAGTCGACACCTGCTGTTCAATCGAGCTATCGTCGACTATACCTTTTTCTTTTTTTTTTTTTTTTTTTTTTTTGAAATGCGTTGGAACTTGTCAACACAGTTCCTGCTCGCCGGCTTCATTGACTATGCATTTGCCAGTTTGCATCATTACAATGCCCATAGCCATCGGCATCGTCATTTGATGCGCCGTATTGAGCAGCTGGAGGCGAGGGGTCTTGCTTGGGACAGAGTGGACAATATTCAGGGCGATATGGAGCTGGAATATGTTACTCTCACAACTACTACGACGGTCATTGGCAACTGCGCGCCTACAAACACTGTTACCAGTACGTTGACACTCGTGAGGGAAGACCCCAAACCTACATTGAGTGCTTCGGAATACTCCGCAAACAGCGTTGTTCATGAGTCTATGGTCCTGGAGCCCTTCCAAGCCCAATGGAATCAAGCACAGCCTCATCGCCAGCCCATCTATCATGCTCAGTTTCAGCCCAGACCGACTGTTCCTCAAGTCTCACGACCTGAGCCAACGGAATCCGAGGATATAACGATCACCAAGACCCAGACCATAACGCGAACTGCAACAAACACCGTGAAGGTCACTGTGACTCCGGAGCCAGGCACAGCAGATCCAGACTTGCCAGAGGTTGAAAACCAAGAACCAGACACAACAGAGCCAGACATAACGGAACCGGACATTCAAGATCCTGATATTTCAGAAACAGACAAACTATCGCTGGCAGATACACTGCGCAGCAATCCAACAGAACAACAAAAAGCCGTGCCACACCGAGGCCCGCCAAAGAAAGACGATGGCACAGGCACCGTGAACGCAGTGCTCGATCTCCCAAGCCAAGTCCTCCCGGACCTACCAGTAGTCGATCAAATCCTGCCAGGCCCGAATGCGCACAAACCGGCACCCATATCCTGGACAGAAAGGCCGCCCAAAGGACAATTCTCATTCGAGCGATTTGGCGGGCGCACAGCACCACTCGGGACAGAAATCCACTACAAGGGCAACGTCGGCAAACCATGGGGTAGCAACATCATCGCCGTGAGCGCCGAAGAAGCACACAATTACAAATACGTTGCGCAGTTCCACGGCGCACAGGACAAACCATGGACAGTGGTCTTCTGGAACAAAGTCGGTCCTGACGGCAAGATGACAGGCTGGTACGGACACTCGGCACTGACGTTCTCCATTGCGCCTGGTGAAACACGCTATGTCGCCTTTGACGAGGATTCCGAGGGCGCGTGGGGTGCTGCGCCGGGGGATGCTTTACCGAAGGATCAGTGGGGTGGGTATTCGTGCACTTGGGGTGAATTCACGTTTGGGGACAGAGAGAATAATGGCTGGTCTGGTTGGGATGTTTCGGCTATTCAGGCGCAGATTGCTAAACAGCATGTGCAGGGTATGTCAATTTGTCAGGCTGATGGACAGGGGTGTTCTGTTATTACGCCGAATGCTGAGAAGGTGGTGGATGCGTATATTGAGGAGAAGAAGACCCGGAACGGGATTGGAGGTGCTGCTTCGCCGGGGCCGGTGCGGTTGGATGTTTTGCTTGATTATCGGGGTTAGGGTGTTTGATTTGTATGTGTATATACATTGGGGCTTGCATTTGATGCGCGATAAACAGCGTGGTTCTGCTAATCCACTAATTCATCGATTTTCTCTCCAAGCTATCGTACATGTATCAAGGTTATATAGATGAAGGCTGCAAAGAAAATGGGTCAACACCATGTCGCTAATCCATATATCCTCTTAGACTGTCCTTCCCCAGGATTCCCTGATTTAATCCATGGCAGGGATATCGATCTGGGTAATGGTCCAGACCTTGCCACCCTGGCTGGAACTAAGTCCGGAGTAAGTAGCACCACCGGCCTTAGCAATAGTATTACCGAAAGTGGTATCAGCACCCGCAAGGGTAATAGTAGTGTTCAGGTACTTCTGAGCAGCAATAGTACCAGAGCAGCTATCATCACACTCGGTACCAGTACCATATCTAGTCTTGGTCAGCATATTGCAGATATCAACTGGGAGAACTGATGAAACTCACCCGGTCATGTAGGGACCCGAGGCGCGAGAGTAGGTCGAGAGAAGAGCACCGGTCACAGCGTTAGTGACAGTCCTATTGATGTTAGCTTCACTGATACATTTCAATCACCAGTAGGATGACATACTGCTTCCAGGTTTGTCCATCGGACTCCAGGTTGTACTCGATACGGACGTGGTCGTCGCCGCTGACAGCGGAGCCATCACCATCAAGCTGTCCAAAGCTTCCGAAAACACTGGCGCGCACACACCACTGACCAGTGGTGGCTCCGCACCAGGAGTTGCTGGGCCAGCTCTCAAGGGTGGTCTGGACGAGGTCGCCGGTTCCGTTGGACATCTATGATTATTAGCGCTTCGCCATAGAAAGTAATCCGCAAAGCTCAAACTCACACCAGGCCACAAGAAAAGCTCTCCATTTTGAGTGGAAGGAGCAGCACCGGGGATAATAGTGGTGACAGCGTTGACAATAGTCGACTTGGAGGGACCAAGAGAGACACTGCCACCCCAGCTGTCATCTCTCTTAGCATGCTCAGCGACACCAGCGCTGACAAGGCCAATGCTGGCAAGGGCAGGGATAACAAAACGCATATTGAATATATCAAGTAAGAATATTTTTGGTTCAAGATTGAGTCGCTAAGCGTTCCTGCGCCGTTGATCTCAGAAGCAGAAGAATGAAAATGATGAGCTTGATTTCAAAATGGCACAAAACTCCTCCATATTTATATACCAACCCCCTGGAATCCGAGGAGAAAACAATGCTGCAGACGTGTAGTGGTGGAATTGACTAAAAACGGAGCGTGGTCCGAATGACTAGGATGTTTCACCTTAAAACAACACTAACATCAAGGCTGATTGGTGAAACCGCCTAGCTCCGACGAATTGGCACATCCTATGGACGCATTAATTTGTGCCAAACAGTCATAATGCAACTTATTCTCCGCAGGTGGACTTTTGTTTCACCTGACAGTTCCACGCTCATACCACAAGCCCTGTTCCGGGCTTGTCTGTCTGAGACTACGATGCAAAAGCAATATGAGTTACTGAAAAACCCACTGCGGGGGCAGCTCCGCAGGGCTGTTTCGTATTGCGTTCATTGGTGTAAAAAACTAAACAGGGTTGTGCCTAGGGCCGTTTAGACCGCTGAGAATTGTCCAGCCCTATTCAGGGATCAAAGTATTCTTATTCCAAGTACGCGCCCTTGGTCTCCTCGTGAATTACATCAAATAGGGGCTTCGCACTGAACCAACCGGCCTTGGGGGTTCCGACTGTCTTGTATGTGAAAGCAGCATCTGCCTCGTCGATTTTGACCGTCTGTCCGCCTCGGCCGGTCGCAGCGGCGTCTGCTAGGAGCTGTGCGTAGCAACATTTCTCCAGGCTGACGAACCAGAAGACAGTTTCCTCAATGGTGTTTCCGACAGTCAAAAGACCGTGATTTTGGAGAAGTGCGGCTTTTTTGTTTCCAAGTGCCGTGGCAATGTTCTCACCTTCTTCCTTGGCTAGGACAACACCCTTGAAGGAGTTATACAGTGCCAGGTCCTGTACTTTGTTAGCTGAGATCTCCTCGCCATGATGGACTCGATGAGACACGAACGTTGTGGAAAGCACAGGCATCCTGCGAAATGATATCTAGCGGTCGGCCTAGTGAGCAAAACGCTCGCCCATAAAGACTATGGCTATGCGCTGCACAATGCACATCCGGCCTGGCGGCATGAATTGCCGAATGAATCATAAAAGCAGCAGCGTTTAACATGCGGTTTGGACCGCCCGCAATGACGTTACCGTCATGGTCAACCTGGATTAAGTCTGAGGCTTTCATCAACTTGAACGCTGTGCCGAAGGGGTTCACCCAGAAGGTCGAGGGGTCAACCGGGTCACGGACGGTGATGTGTCCCGCAACACCTGGAGAATATGTGTGAGTTGATTGATGATCCCAAACAGTAGCTCGATGTCTTACCCTCGTCATATCCCTTGTCACCGAAGATTCGGAATGCAGCCGCCAGACGGCCCTTGAGATATTCGCGCTCTTTCATCTTATCTTCGAATACCGGCATGCTAGGCATTTGCATTTTGACCTTGGCCTTTTCCGCGCCCTCTGCCTGGGATGATTGCGGAGCTTGCATGGTGACGGTGTTGGTGATGGTGTCTGTTGCAGTTGGGGGCGCCATGATTGAAGAACTTGAATTACTTGAAGAAGTCGAAGAAATTGAAGAAGGGATGAAGTTCCAGCGGAAACGTCTACTTCAAGGAGCGGGGTTGCTGATTATCGGCCACAGCAGATTGGCCGAACCGAGGCACTCCGCAGCGGATATCCGGATTTAAAGAGTAAACCAAGTTGTATAGGAGTGGCATAGGAGTGGTATAGCTAATCGGACCCTTGACCTTTGACTGCGGAACTCACATCGCTAAAGTAACGTATCAATACAAAACAAGCAACGCTCTGGTGTAATCCATGCGCTGTGAGGTCATAAATCATAATCTGGGGCATTCCGGTGTGACAAGATCCAAGATCACTGTCCTATACCGGGAACAGGTGTCCTCGTTCAAGCTCCGCCATCAAAGCCTTGAATAGTCTGCGGTTGGCTGGGCTGAGACTGTCGCCGAGAGTGTCGACATGGTGAGGAGAACCAACCAATGGTTTGAGATCTGCTTGGCAGAGAGTTCCTGGGGCAGGCAATGTCCCGGTTTGGAAGTAGTTGCGAATAACCTTAGCGATACACATTGATGGAGCTGCAATCGTGGTGTGCTACATGATGTCAGTGGTGGCAACGAGTATGCAAGTTGATCGAAGGAACTCACCCCTTCAGATTCTTGTTGAATGAGCCCAGATCCTGGGAACAGCCGAGCCATATGCTGGGCGCTAGACAAAAATTAGCGTCGGTCATTGATCATCGAGAAAAGAAAAAGACATACCCGTGTAGCGGTGTCACTGGATCGAGAGTGTTCGACACAAAGAGCAAGGGTTGAGCTGTACTCGCTCCCCAAGGCCCTGATACCATTTAACAGAGAGAATACAGAGAGCAAAGCGAAACATACCTGTGAATGGATACTTGGGCTTAGCCTTCCACCCAACACAACTCAAGTGCATCTGCGCCCAGTAATCCCCAAGGGAGGAACTGTCACCCACAAGCTCAGTCCACATGCGTGTGAACTCTTCCATGCTCATAGTAGTTAAGAACTCAGCATCCGAGCAAAGAATAGCAGACATTGCATAGAGTCCATTATCCTGCGCACGAGCGCACTCGGCAGACCAAGGCCCCGCACGACTACAAGCATTAGAGGGACAGGCACCAAAGTGACCTCCATGCTTGAAGTCTGCTGCTGGGACTGCATTGCCCTTGGAAAGCTCGCTCATCCTCCTTGCCAGAATAGGGAATGCAAGTAGTGGCTGGTACACTGCGACGCGCTGCATCGCCTTGATATCGGTCCAACTCACAACCTCGGGCCCCCGTGTCGCAGAGGCCATCACAGGTATTGAAGCATTGAGGATTTGGTTTTCGAGGCGTAAGAATGCTTGTTTGATGGCGTCTGCACCGCCATCAATGTAGAAGGGACAGCCAGCCAGGCCTGCTTCGTGGCAGTACTGACCAAATCGCTCAAATATCGCATCTGCATCGGTGATGGCATTTTTCCCTTTGCCCTGGTAGTATCGGACCATATCCACTACGCCGTCGAGAACAGCTCGATGGACTCGATCTGGAAATAGAGAGGCAAATGTAGTACCCAGGAGAGTGCCATACGACCTCCCCCAGTATAGCAGCGGTTCTTCCCCCCGGCGCCATCGAGTGCGCTCTAAAACCGCCAGGGCTTCGTCCGACCCGTGACACTTGTTTCCCTTTTGAGCCTCTTGTCCTTGCTTTTCGCGCCATTCGCCATGTCGCTCAATGATCACCAGCATATCCTCCGCGACCAGTCGCGTGTTTACAAATGACATCATTGGCTCGTCTGTTCCCAAGCTGGACATGTCGTATACCGAGCAACCCGAGTTCAGCGCTTCGGTCCGCTGCCAGTTCCTCTGTAGCGCGTTCCAGCCACTGCCGAGCATGCCTTCGGTAGCAACTTGCAGTTCCCAATTCCGCTGCGAGACCGGATCAGGGAAACACATCACAGGGGGTGTTGTAGATCCCGCGCCCCGAGGGTCAAACCCGATGATATCAAAATATTTCTCGACATTGCTGTCTCCCGTATCACTTGGCTCACCCTCTGCATCGACAATCACCTGGAGATCGGGACCCGACACAAATGCCTGCATTGTCCCCGGGCCCCCAGGACCACCTAAAAATACGGCATAAGCTTAAATCCATTACCGACGGGGGCTTCATCGACCCACCGGGATTAATCAAGATCGCGCCCCCATACCGGGGATCCGTGACAGGCACCTTGGCCGGCAACCGCACAACAGCCAAGGCGAAGATCCGCCCCTTCCCATCCGTCCGGTTATAATCCATGGGCACTTCCAGCCTCGCACACTGAAAATCACCCCCGCAGTTGTGATACTCGAGCGAGGAGGCGGGTGTGATCTCATCCCAGGTCAGTGGGACAGGGACCTCCGGCGAGATCCAAGTCCGCGAGGGCCAAGGGACTGGCCATACCAGGAAGGTCAACACGGCTGCTAGTGGTAGCCCCCATCGCGCATAGCGAGGGCGAGGCGGACGTGGTGATTTCTCCATCGTGGATTCCTAGAGAGAGAAGCGGATGCCCCTCTCAGATAAACATGAGTCGATCCATGGCTCGACGATCGTCCCGCAAGTGGGGTTTTATTGACTTCTACTTCCGAAAAGGGGACTCTGGATCAGGGCGGCTTCTATTGGTGCTTTGCTTTGTTTTGTCTGTGTTCTGATTCGTCTTGATAAGAGGGGCCAAGGCTGAGAAAGTGTCTGCGAACCCTGATTTCACCGCTTCTCGTTCGTACAAGCCAGTGGCTTGCTGAAGAACCCTGTGGGACGCTGTGAATTTGGTCATCTTTGGCTTTCTTATTGGTGAAGAACTCACATATGAACCCTTTGTTTGTACTGCTTCTGGCAGTACAAACCTTGTACTGATCTACTTCCTGATACGCTTATAGCGCTACCTTGTTCAATCCACATTTTGAAAGGATTGGACATCAGAAAAAGGAAGTCAACCAGCAGCCAATTTAATGTAAAATAAATATTTCAAATGGTACACTTACCCTGAGGATTCCCTCAATAGCATGTTATCACTTTATTGGGGATCAAGCGTGTAGTATTTGCTCTTTATGGTGAGGAAGTCGCAGGCATATTATCCAAGGCTATATCAGATCTCCCTTGGAATTTCAAATGAACAAGATCATGAAGAAATATAGGCCGATTGACTATTGAGTCCCCAAGGCTCTCTAAAGTATCCAGTCGGTAAGGCGCGACCGATAATTATTGTTGCAACTTACTATGAGATCTCATTCTTAAGCAACAATAAGCCACCGAAACATAGGATTCATGTGCATTATATGTTTCCCTCTTTGTGTATTCGAAAGAAATCATGATATCAAAAGGCCAAGACAGCAAACCAAATGTTGGCTAAACCGACAGGGTTCAAAAGAGCCTCAATTTAGGTGGAGACATAAAAAGGGCCTCCCCATCTCCCATCCTTGTACTGCACTCCAACCCATCTCAACCCACCATGACCCAATCCCTCCAAGACCACATAAACACCCTAGACACCCTCCCCCTCACCGAAGCAATCAAAGCAATAACAACCCTAACTCCAGACCTCAAACCAAGCATCCAAACAAAATACGGCTACTTCGTCACCCACAGCGCCTACTCTGGCATCGCCGACCTAGAAGACCTAGGCCGACTATGGCTCAAAAGCGCCACCGACTGCTTCGAGCAGAACGCACCACTAAAAGTACGTCTCCTGCACTACAGCCAGACAGAAACCTTCAACGACCTCTATGGCGGACTCTACAGAGCCCTCAATGCCGGACTGAAAGACGGCTCGGTGGAACCGCCCGTGGCGGATCCCGAGGCTGGGTGCTCGTGCTGTGCGGGGGTGCCGAGTTCGGTCATACTGTGTGGGTTTTCGGAGAGGGATGCTTTCTACTTTCGGCTGGAGGAGTATAGGGCTCATTGGGGGGAGCAGGCGAATTCAGGGTCTAGATGGCGCGATGGGGTTTGTTACTGTGAAAATGCGAGTTTGGAGCAGGTTCAGGAGGCTTTGGCGAGGGATCCTGGGGTTGAGGTTTTGAGTATGCTTTAGGTGTGATGGAACTTACTTGGCTGGGATGGGCTGTGGTAGGATTGGATATGGGTATTTGCTAGTCGTTATTGTTAGTCTTTGGTAGGTCATGGTGGCAATGAATTCGTGAGTACATCAGGACTAGTCAGGACTAGCTACTAGTTGGACAGGATACCTAGAGATGAACCAGAAAACAATGAGTCACGAATACCTTTTTTGTTTTGATTGGATTCGCACCACCGGGGTATTTACACAGCCATGTTAGAATAAAGAACAGATGTAAAGATAACAGAAATCCGCCGTAACTCGCTCCGATTGAATACCATGTACAGATGTAAGAGATGCGTCAACGTTCGGTTCGGATAAAAGACGACAGGCGGGTATGCGAGCGTGCCCAGGTGGAGCTCGGGATGAAGCCAAGCTCAGCTGTGGCTTCGATGGCGCTTTCTGGGGTTTCCCCGGCGACTGAGGGAGTCGCCGCGGGCTGCGAGGTTGTCCTCAACTTCCTGCAAGTAAGTGACAAAGTCATTGTAGTTGACAAAGTCCAGATAAGTCTTTTCCGCCTCGCTGCGCACCTTGTGGAGTAAGTGCTCGAAGAGGTGGCGCATGCGATCGCGCTCGGTCATTCTCTCATTGAAATGGGGTTCCCACTGCTGCATCCAGTTGGAAAAATCAGTCACCGACTGCGCGGGCCGCTGGAAGCTATCCTTGTAACGGGCTCGTGCGGTCTCCGGGTAAACTCCGGTTTGGAGTTGATGGATGAGAAATGTGCAGAACGCAGAATACGTGACTTGGTCACTGGGTAGGTTACGCGTGTGACGCTTCCACTCATCTTCCAGGCCAAGTGTGACGTGCTTAAGAGCTCGGGTAAGCTTGCGTTGCTCGGTGTTATAGTATTCGGGATATTTGGCGAAGTGACGGTCAAGGCCCATTGAGTAGTTCTTGTATTCCCCTAGAGCGCGTCCATTGTAAACTGGCACGTTCGGGACCGGCGGGCCAAGGTGGTGATCGTCATTCGAGGGAAGTATGTAGGAAGGTTGAAAGGCCGGAGCGGTGGGCGCGAGAGTCGTGGTGGGCTCGGTCTTGATGATTGCTGACGTGGGGGATCTGCTTGCTGCCGCGAGTGTCCGCAGTTGATCGAGTGCCAAAGCCGAGAGAGTGTTCGTGGTTGGTCTGGCAGGAGGATCTCCCCCGGAGCTCGCGTGTCAGCCCGAGCGGTTGTGTCAGACGCAGGGTGGTCGGCTGTGGGCTTCTTCGGGGTGTGGACTGGAACAGTTGGATTTGCTCGTGGAGAATTACTTGTCTCAATGGCTCTCGGGGTTGGCTGTGTCAGAGTTGGAGGTGTAGGATCCTTGCTCATGGTAGCTACCAGACGGAGACGAGCTTCTTCCAGAGCTCTCTCTTCATCGGCCACTTGTTGCTGGATCTCAATGAGCTGACGCTGTCTTTTCAACCTGACCAACTGGTCTTGCGCCTGGCGGATCTGAGCTTCCAGATCATCAGGCAGATCATGGCTGGCCACAGGCTGAGACTGGGACTGAGGGAGTTGCTCTTTCATCCTAGCGAGTGAATGCCATCCCTGGGAAGAATCCATAACTTTTTGAGTCTGCCGATAAGATAATGCGGAAAAAGTAAGTTCCGTGAAGAAATGCACGTGTCAGGCCACGTCCACGACGAATTGGGCATCAACAGTCAAGAGAAGATTGGATGAGAGGGCGAAGTTCGAAGAAGAGAGTATTTCCTCGCACAGAATGTGAAAAGTGGTGTCAAAAGTGATGTTGTTGAGCTTCAATCGCAAGTTGCAAAACCAGGTTATCGGATGATCGACGATAGTTTGAGCAAACAAACGCTAAATTCCGAAATCAAACGGACTAACGTGAACTACCGTAAATTGACGTGAATGAAGTGACTGGTAATCAGGAAATTCAAGAAGAATCTGAATAATGGATTCGTCATCTCTGACTTCGCCAACCGAAAAGCCCAAATTACTGCCTGATTGTCCTATTCAGCCCTATGCCTCTACTTACGTATATCCTTAATTTGACCTGAAAGTGATCTCTATTCTATATGGATAGCTCCTCGGGGGCTGTACAGTACTCACAATGATTCCGACATCAATTGAAACAAAATTTTCGATTGAGATATGACACGTACATCTGCACCTACGGACAAATGTACAATCTGGTTTGAGTCCAACTTCAAATTGTCCAATTACAAACCTGTTCTTCAAAAGCACGTAAAAAAATTCACAGATAAATTATATAGTATAGTATTAATTACAAGATTATTTATTAAGTATGGAAATGAACCCCAAATTCTCCGAGTCCATCTATTTACCAGGCGAACCGAGTAAACAAACGAACTTGCGATCAGGAGTATCATCAAGGACATTTTTAACCAAGTTCCAGACATTCAGATCATAAGCCTCACCAATATGACCAACTGGGTCAAGCGGGCAAGTATCCTGAATCCAGCGGTTGGTAACACCATCCTCATCGACGAACGACGTAGAAGGAGGAGTGACAAGCTCATCATACTTGGAAGCAATAATAGTCACCTTATTTCCAGGCTGGACAATAGGCTGACCATCATTCAACCGGAGCACAGCAGCACCATCAGGACCAACCTCATCACAAGCAGGACAGCCAACAAGGTCAAGGACATCCTTCACAACAGCACGGGTAGTGTTACCGAGCACGTAGGCCAAATCATACAAGTGAGCGAAAGAAGTCGCGTGGGTCGGCGGCGCAATGGCAGCGATCTTATCAACAAGTTGCGAGACATTCTCGAACTTGGGCACGTAAAGTGCCTGGAAAGCACCCTCCGAGTGACCGACAAGGTCGACCTTGTCCTTGCCAGTTTTGGCGACGACTTCCTTGATATAAGCGGCAATTTCAGGGGCGCTTTCGCTGATGCTCTTCAGTCCGCCCAGGAAGGGGAAGCCGTCGTAGGCGCCGTATGTTTGGGCGTAGGTGCAGTGGCCCTGGGTTTGGAGCCAGTATTGCATGAAATTGATGTCTTCATAGTAGGTTGCGCCCAGGCCGTGTAGGAAGATGACCGGGTTGGAGTCGGATTTGCAGTTGAAATCGTTGATTCCTGTTGCGATGGTTGTTGTCGCTGCAAGAGCCGAGAGGGCCACACTTGTGATTGAAGGCATGGTGTCTGTGTTTTACTTTTGATTTCCTTCGTGAAGAATGATCTGACACGAGACAGATGCTTTCTTTTTATTCTGCACGAATTCGACGCCGTCATCTCCTTTTCCCACGTTAATTTTGATGGGTTCTCCATTCTGTGAACTATCGATTGTTGATCTCTGAGCCCTAATTGTAACTGGTCGATACAGTGGAGTAGGGTCAGGTACCTGTCGAATCAGTGAGGGATCCATCGCCGATCTCACTCTGACAGCCAATAAACAGGAATCTGACACGCCCAATCTTGGATGCATCATTTCAGCTGTTCAATATCGGTGGATCGTGGAGATTTTCGATCGGGAACGGGCCAAAAGGAGTAACGTCCGAATGCACAAACGGGCGTCAATTGGATATGAGCACTCGCTAAGCCCTGATTGATTTCAGGACCCGCAAACACATTTTTATGAAGAGGGTCCATTAGTGGAGTTGTGACAGGGCGGTTCCAAATATTGCTCAACGGGAGGATATGACAGATATTCCTGAATACTGTGGGATTTGCAAGTCGTCGCTACATTTCACATCACTATATGCATGCGCAAGATGCGCTAAGGGCTACCTGAATTCAAGGGCGAATCTTGCTGAGTGGATAACTCAGGCATGGCACTGCCCCAAAGCCCCAGGGAGTGTCGCCGTGCTACCAAATGCAACAACTCCACCATCCACCGGCGCTCCGGCCCTCCTTCGGGGAAGGCTTCCCATGCTACGCGAGTGGGGAATGCAAGGCGGTTAATCATGTTGCCAGGCGCTGTCGTGATATAGAACTCCAGCGTACGGGCAATTCCACATCCGAGGTCGTATTGTTCCAGGGGTGTGACGCGGTCCTGGGGACGGGTATCGACCGACGAGAGGATCAGTCGGAAGCTGTAGTAGAGGCACATGGTTTGTGCGAGAAGGAGGTTCGGGTATGTAAATCGGGTTGGGGTAAAAGTAGCCCCAGTGCGGAAGTCGCGCCGCTGGAAAATAGGGAAATCATCTGCTCCTGTTTGCTCGACTTCTTCAGGTGGTCCATCCGGGTAGACCTTAACCCAGTCTTCGTACCATTGGTAGAACTTCATTGTAAGTTCGCCAATGCCGTTCCACAGGGTGGTCTGCTTGACGGTGATTTCGTGAGCACCCAGCACGGAGCGAGCCTGTGCTGCTTTGAAGGAGTCGGATTGTTCTAGTAACCCTGGAACATGGGCGGCAAGGTCGAGCAGATGGTGTAAAATATCCTTTGTGGTTGTTCCTGCGGACCATGGGATAGTCTTCCACTCTTCTCGTGCTAGGAAGGACTCTTGTCGAGCAGCCAGAGCACCACCGATCTGGGAGTCATTAGCAGGCGAAGAAAACCAATTAGTTGGGAACATACCCAGTAAGGACGAAGTTCAGTGAATAAAAGATGTTCCACGCCGTACATATGGTTTTCCGGTCCACGATGCTCAATCAAGCGCACCGCACCCCGAACGTGGGCCGAGACACCGCTGTCAGTCGTGCGTTCAACGCTCTGTGAGAGTCAGCAGTGATCAAAATGTCTGTTCATGAGATCGACACAAACCTCGAAAGCCAGTAGCAGAATCACAGTGACCAGCGTGGATTCGGCTTTAGACTTCTCAGGATCAATCAATGCATCCTGCAGACCACGCAGCACCCGCGGATACAGTCGGAACCCAGAGGCCTCGATTTGTTTGTTCTGGACAGACCGACCAAAGAAGGCCACCGAGACAGCCTCGAACGCATCGCTGATCAGAGGCGAAAACATTCGAATGCCGGCGGCGGCTCGCAATGCGCCTGCCCGGCCCGACTTGATGTCCACCTCGGGGCTAAATGCATCAACGAATCTCTCGACAAACACATCAACCACTGGTCTCTGTAAGCTCAATACTGATGAGCCTCCCGATGAGTCCGAGCCACTGCCAATCGACATTTCTCGCTCAAACGCTCTGTCATGGTCGATATCATCTTCAAAGTTATTGAAATCCTCGGTAGCAGAATTCAACAACAGCCGTTTGCGAGCGGGCGAAGTTGAAGACGGTCGTGATGGATGTTCAAAAGAGTCATAGGCTGAACATGTTAGTAAGCTATCATAGTCGCTGCTCCCAGGTAAGGGACAAACCTTCACGGCCTTCCCATGGTCCTACAGGAACCAAATCCTTCGTAAGACCTCCATGAGCAGAGCGAAGCTCACGAACAAGCTCCTCCACAAGGTCGAGCGGAGCAGATCGAATAGAGTCAAACAAGCCTTCAAGCTGCTCCAGCTGCCGCAAATCCCGAGATCTCGAGCCTCGATCTACATGCAGGAATTAGCAACAAGTCCTGCATCGAACCCCACAGGCAAGTGGGTGGTGGCTTGAGAAGCACATACCATCGTTCCTGGCATCAATTCTCGATCTTAGCTCCCGGATCTCCGCCCGCAAGTTCCTGATCTCTTCCGCCTGGCTGATCGGCCTGGCATCCTCATCCGGAACGTCCTCGTACACGCATTTCGAGGGGTATCCATGGGCACAACAGGCATGGCATGGCTTCACACGATCACACTAGCAACGATTGAGGTTAGCATTTTGCACGTCGTACTGTATGTCGTAGGTCGCACTGGCGCTGGCGACCAGTGGGACGCATGCGATGGGTACGGGAGCGTCCCGGCCCAGGGCTAGCGATCTGAGCACAAATGAGCATGAAGGACCGACCTTGACTTTGCGGAGCCGGCAGACTTTGCACGACCGTGACTGGCGGTTGGCAGCCCTCCCGACTCGTAAGTCGGAGGCAAGTTGTCGCTTGTCGCCGACCATGGGGGCACGCATGAGGAGCTTGAGGGTGGGAGTTTGGGAAGGGTCTCAGCTCTCGGGCCAACGGCGCGGCGGGATTTAGGCGAGCCAGATTTCCGAGCTCGTCGTCCGAGATCTGCTGGCTTGGTAGGTGGGCCAACTCGCCCGCTCGGGGCGTTTGTGGCTGCTAGTCTGACATTAGTTGGTGCTCTGCCGCTGCTGATAGGTGATGCGTGGGGCCCATGGGACCCCCGGCCATTGCGACCGGGTCTGAATTGGGTTATTGCCCACTGGGCATTATGAACGTGGCTGCGCTATTCGTTGCAGACTTGGCTATGGAGCTGTCAGTCGAAAGGGAAATGTGAGCTGTCGGCTTTCAATCCCGTTCATTCCGTTTATCCCGTGACTGTACATTTGCACGACACCTGCAGCTTTGCAATGTGATGACGTAGTAATTAGCATTGGACAAACTGACTAATTCTTTAGTTAGGTAGGCAGAACTCTCAATAGTAATTTGCTATTTAAAGCCACAAACAAGCTTTCGACGCTACTGTATGGATGATAGCTCTCGCTATCCAAAATAAGGCACACATTGGTGCCTGAGGCAAAAGGAACAAACCGAGCAAACATGTATAGGTCAAACAAGTGAACAGAAGATTCTTACACCTGGGCAATCGCATCGGAAGTAAATGGATCTTTCAAAGAGAGATATCAAAGTCAATCCTCCCCTGAGCTGATTCCAACAATCTCCTCAGGGAGAATGTCAGAAACAGAGTAGCTCATGTCTTGATCTTCTGATCCGGGAAAGCATAACCACTACTGTACAGTACAGCAGATGCCCACAAGATCTCACAGATCATGCAACACGGGCAGGAACCGGTTGTATCGCCCGAGAAACTTACCGAGGTGAAAATCCTGGGCCATTTGACAAGCACAGAAGAACGACTCAGTTGAGATGTTCGATCGGCAGGGCCCCGGGGGTTGATTTGACTCGACTCGAAATGAGAAGATCGCACTAAGACGAAGATGGTGAACCCGAAATGCTAAGTTTCGAGTCGAGGACTCCACGCGGAGGAAATGCGAGTGACGAAGTTCGAGACGGGAAAGTCTTGGCAGAGGAACGCTGGGTTCCGGGGTGTGGCGGGATTTGGAGTCTGGGGTAGTTTCTCTTCATCTGCAGGATCGGTGTTCATCTCAACCATCATACTGTAGTCTCCGCAGTCAAATCAACCATCATACTATAATGCCCTCAGTCAAATGAACCATCTTTTAATAAAGCGCCTGATTTCGGGATATGCTTTCCTCGAGTCTCCTTTCACATGGAGCACCAAACAAAGCCAGAGCCCAAAGTTGCAGGGGTTCCTGATACCGGACTTTGTCCGAGTATGACTCGGCTCACAATCCTGGAACGGACAATGAGCGAGACTCCCTGAAGCCCGAGACTTGGCACCCGAAGGCTTGTGCAGACCGGTCCAAGTGACCTTCCCAGTACGGTCCACGGCTTAAACTCAGTAGAGCATCTCAGGCTGAAATTGGCCTCCACCGTGGGGGGCCGTGGGACAATACCACCTATGAGAGATCATCTATGCCGTCATGACATGCTTTTCCCTTATATCTCCGCATTCGACCATTTCCCCGCAAACATGATTGGATGTCGTTGTCCCCCCCACGTTTCCCCAGAATTCACGGGGGAAATGCGAGAGCTTGTTCTATGAGATAACCTGCTGTGACTGTAGACATAAATGATCGTCTACCCCGGACTTTCCTGGTTGTTTTTCCAGTTTATGTTCACTTCAATATGACCGGAAATGATCATACTATCACCGATTCGGAGTTGGGTGCAAAGGTCGACTTGAGCCATGAGGAGGTGGTCCATATGGCTGGGTTGACTGAGGAGGAAAAGGTTGTTGAGAAGAAATTGCGCCGGCGCATTGATACTCTGATTATGCCTTTGGTCATTCTGGTTTATCTGATGAATTATATCGATCGGTAAGCGATGCCAGCAGCACGAGTTCTGCTAAAAGTCACCTATGCTAATGGCTACAGAAACAACTATGCCGCAGCAAAGCTCCAAGGTCTGGAGGAGGACCTGGGTCTCGATGATACGAAATACCAAACTGGCCTGTCTATTCTGTTCGTCGGATACATTCTGATGCAGGTACCTTCCAACTTGCTTCTGAACTATATGGGTCGTCCTTCACTATACATTGGATTCTTCGTTTGTGCTTGGGGCTTGGTATCTGCTTTGACAAGTCAAGTGACTAGCTATGGAGGCATTGTTGCATGCAGGTTTATTCTGGGTTTCGTCGGTAGGGTTCCCATCACCTTCCATTTTACATTCGCTGACCCAGACCAGAGGCACCCTTCTTTAGTGGCGTCCTATTCTATCTTTCGAAATGGTACACCAAGAAAGAGTTGGCTTTCCGGATGAGTATCTTTTACTCTGGCTCCTTACTGAGCGGAGCGTTCGGAAACCTCATCGCCGCCGGTATCCTTCACGGTCTTAAAGGAAAGCGAGGAATGTCCGCCTGGCAATGGCTATACGTAATTGAAGGCTCCATCACCTGTGCCATCGGACTGGCCATTTGCTTTATTCTGCCCGACTTCCCGGAAACATGGAAGCTCCTGTCCCCAGAGATGCGCAAAGTTGCCCAACGCCGTCTTGCCATTGAGGCTGGCGAGGCCGATGTGGATGAGAAGGGTGGTGCGAACCAAATAAGGGGCTTGAAGTTAGCCATGACCGATATCAAGACTTACGCCTTTGCCATTGCCTATATGTGTATCACCGGAGCAGCTGGCTTCCAGAACTTCTTTCCGACTCTGATCAAAAACTCGGTTCATTATGATCAGACCATCTCCCTCGTTCTCGTGGCACCCCCATACATTTTCATGGTCATTTATTCTCTCTGTCATTCCTGGGCTTCTGATAAATTGGAGAAGAGATTCTGGTTCTTCGTTTACCCCATCCCAATTACGATTATCGGCTTCGTGGTTTATATGAAGACCAATACCTTCGGACCCCGATACTTCTCCTTCTTCCTCATGGTCTTCGTCTTTGCCCAAAACGGTACTCTGTACTCGTGGCTCGCCAGTTCGATCCCTCGCCCACCTGCTAAGCGTGCTGCTGGTAAGTCCTTTTTACTCTCTGATCACACCATGCCCAGTCCCAGTACTGACTACTATAGCCTTTGCATTCTTCAATTCTCTAGGAAACAGCGCCTCAATCTGGACACCGTATACGTACATGGACAAAGAAGAGCCACACTACGAGACAGCTATGGGTGTGTGCATCGCTTTACAAGTCATCGGTGGACTGTGTGCTCTGTTCTTATACTTCAACCTGAACATGCTCAATAAACGTCAGTTGAGACTTGAGAATGAAGAGGTAGAGCTCAGCCCGAAGGATCTTCGTCGATTGCAGGTTACCGCTGAAGTTGAGGGTATTGACATTGCTGCGGCGAGACGGTTGCAGAAGGGATTCCGTTATGTATTATAAGAAATTCGTCTATAAGATGGAAATCAAGATTCAATTGAGTTATTGAAGATAGTCTCCTCTGAGATCTACCGCATTGATAGAAAGGATAAACCATTAACAATAAGCAGGGAAGTATTTACTGCAATGCCAATAGATCAAGACCGTACGAGGAAATGTTCTCCGCAAGCCAACTCCGAAAGGGCCAAAAGTGCGGGGACGTGGCGATGTCCAAGTCTGAAGCGTAACCGGTGCGCCCACTCCAGCACTCCCTGATTAGTCCTCCAATCTCCGTCATACGCCGGATCAAGTCTATAGAATCACCTGACACTCCCATGAAGTCATCTCCTCATAAATAGCATCGACCTGCCACACACTTTCGGTTTATCTCTATTGATCTGCACTTGTACAGAGAGCAACATAACACGCAATTTACTGGATACATCATTGTCCCGGTGCACATTCCCCCCACACACACCAAACAGATCGACATAACCCATCCTCGCACTTACCTCCATCTCCGATTTTCACCATGCAATCAGCCCTTTCGCGACCCATTTCCCGAGTGTTCAATCCATCAATTATCCGATCATTCTCAGTTGCTCCCGCTATTATGGCTGCCGGTGATCTAGGGTCTCCCAAGTCGCGGGGTTTTATGGCCGAGTATGCATAGCTTAATGTATGACGTCATTCATTTCTAACTTCCCCTAGAAAGGATTCCTTTGCGCGACGTGAGGCCGCGCAAGAACTTATGTATATTCGGGAGCAAGAGATAGAGAAGTATGTTGGATGATTTGTTATTGCACGCCGATACTAATGACAGTGCAGGGTTAAGCGTCTTCGGCAGAAGATCAAGGAACAGCGCCAGCATATGGATGAACTTGACAAACATCTGTATGTTTCTTTCTCTGCACCTCATCACTAATAAATCTGACATGCCACAGTGAGGAGTTCACCAACAGCCAGGGTGGTGAACAGAACTAACTTCGGCTTCCGACCATTGGTCGATGATCATACGATCACAGATACTGCAGTACGAGCGCCAAATTTATCATTTGAGATGGCCTGATCTTGCACAAATATGTATTCGATACCACTCAATCTAGCGCTATATTCGAATTTCCCAAATGAAAACGAAATTTTTTACCTGCCCCCTGTTGTAAGATCAATTTCTTGCCAATCTAAATTAGATCTTTGCTTGCCATCTCCACCGGTAGCTGAGACAAGCCCATCGAGCCATGACAAACATGCCAAGTGCCACAATCAAGACACTTCCCAGATAGGCTACCATTGCCTTCTTGCCAACTTTGTCTAGCATCTCCCCTCCAATTGGGATACAAATCAGGGTACTAGAGGGATACTTGTCAGCCACGAACCAACATGCACACCAGGGTCTGCAAAGATGACTTACGCAAAGCTGACAATGGAATATGTCAATCCAAACCGTCCACCGACCTCGCTGGCCTTGGAGATTTGCCCAATGCAGGCTGGTGCCAGACTCAGGAATGATCCCGATGCTAGCCCGAAGACCGACGAGAAAGTATACAGTCCTGGCAGGGTATCTCCGAAGGGTAACCAGATGACGAAGACAGCTAAGGCCCCTAGGGCAATCAGCGCGGCCTGGGTGTTTATTCTTCCGTAGCGATCGGCTATGCCTCCGGCGATCAAACGGCCGACCGTGGATGCTCTGTCTCATGTCAGTCTTTCGATTTGAGGCATCGCGGAATAGTCTTCCCTCACATGTTTAGCACGGAGAGCAGAAGCACACTAGTGTTGGTCGAGAACCCTTGCAGAACGACATAGGTTGGATAGAGACCCAGACTGGCGAACACGACGAGCTCGAGGCCTGGACACGGTCAGATATATGGCTCCTCCTTCGATGCACATTCACTTATAGTTGGTTACTTACTGAAAATACCCATCGTCAACCAGGTAAACCTGGCATCTTTCAAAGAGCGCAGATTTACCGTCGACTTACTCCTCTCCCTTTGGCAACCTCGCCTTCACCAAAAACGTCCCAACAATGCACAAAGCCAAGACAATAAATGCCAAAAGCCTAATCGTCCACTTATATCCCAACTTTGAGAATCCAGCCCTGAGCATCAAGGGAAAAAGCACACCACCAAGACCCGCCCCAGCCATCGAAATCCCAATCGCAAGACCAGCCTTGCGATCAAACCATTGCGGCACACTAGCCAAAGCAACCGTGCTCAAAAGTGCAGCACCCGTGCCAGACAGAACCCCGAGCGTCAAGACAAAATGCCAATATTCAGAACTCTCAGCGAGGAGCATCAACCCGGTAACATAGATCGCCGTACCGGCCATCAGAATCCCAGTCGGACCATAGCGATCGAACATCGGGCCAACCTGGACGGACACGCTCAGACCAAAGAAAGTGAATAGCCCCGGAATCCAACCGACGGCACTGGGCGAGTACTGGGACAGTTGGTGCGACGAAAAATAGTTTTGCAGGATACCTGTTGTGTTCATCACCCCGAAACTGCTCATCAGGAGCAGGAATGAGCCGAGAACAACGCTCCACGAGCGGAGTCCGCCATCTGGGAAGATGTCGTCGGCATTGTGCTCGGGGAAATGATCTGTGAAGTGGGTTGTGACGGTTGCCAGCTCGGCTGGGGGCTCGATTATGGAGAAGGCTGATTGGGGGGCTTCTTCATCGGTGATTCTGTTTGTGCTTGGTCCTGCGGGGAAGCTTTCTACGCTTGTTTGGGCTGATGGGTAGTGTTGCTGGACTGAGATTGTGGCTGATTTGTGTTCGGCCATTTTCTTGTGAGCGGTGGTGGCGAGCTTCCCTGTTTTTTGCTCACTTGGTGATGTGAAAAGACAGCTTCAGAGATGGGAGTTTTAATTTTCGGCTCGTATTGTGAAGTGAGTCATGTCGATCGAGGCTTGCATTGCTTTCTCCATGATTCATGGTGGGGTTATAGATGTCGGGATGGCTATCCGATCTTTGATATTGGCATATCTAGTGGAGAGTTATGTATTTAACCAGTCTTTTGGAATTTCGGGAGTAATAGAGATAATACGAGTAGTTCACAAGGTCTGAGTAATTTCGAACTGGAAATTGACTTCAATTCGTGTATTCCGGATGGAAAGAATTTTCACGGCCGAAAGAAAGCCTCGTCGGGTCACATCCCGATATCACCAGACAATGCCTGGCAGTGCCTTCTTTGATCCAGGGAAGTTCTAAGAACCAGGGAATCATTCACCAGACTTGGAAAGATGTTGCACAGCATTGGAAATGTATTGCGACTCTGTAGGAATGCGGGTATCAGGTATCGTAAATTGAGGGGAAAACAACGTCATCTATGGATTATTGAATTCAGTTGATGCCTGTAAATCAATGCCACTAACTGACATGAATAATATTCTGACATCAACATGAACAATGAATGTGAAGACTAAATATCCCACAGTAGGTGGAAATGGTGGCATGACTTTTTCGCCACCGCTCCTCCCCGATCCCGATTTTCTCCCTATCTTCTGGTGGTATGATCAAAGTACGGACATGCCATGATTTCATTCCCCAATGGGTTACTCTGTTTTTTAAGCCGATTTATCCCCGCAAAACAGATAACATCTGCTATTTAACGACCACATCCACATCTATACACCCACATCTATACATCCACATCTACATCTATACATTCACACAAACATACCCACAAATCTCTCAACCCAATTGAGACAATACCAAAATGCAGTGCACCAGAATCATCACGAGAAACATCCCTCAAGTGAGGAAACAGCGCCAAATCCAAAACCCACGCATGACGCTCGTCGCCAGTCCCGTTCCCAGCCACAACCCAACCACTGACTCGGAACGATTACCCTACCGACTCTACGAGCTGTCCCTCAAGAAGATCAGAAAAGAAGCACATGCTGCTGAGCCAGATCTCCGCCATGTAATTGCCGGGATCTCCATGCAAAAAGTCGTCGCTGGGGCCGTGCACGACGATCTTCTTCACAAAGTCGATATGCTTGAAGAGAAGCATCCTCGCAGATTCCCGCTCATGCCTGGCTGTGATGAGTCCTGGGAACATGAAGAGGTGGCGGAGGATACAAGGCACAATCCTAATGCTTGGGATATGGAGGCTCTTGATCAGGCTTTGTGTGAGATGGAGATTGCGGGGAAGAAAGGGGAGGTTGCTAAGACTGTTTGTTGGAGGTTGATTGGGGAGATGTAATTAAGACCTCGCATGGCCTGTTTGAAGCGTTCTTGTCTGGTTTGAGCGGAGTTTCTGGAGGGGTTTTTATAATTCTTGTGCATATATATCCAAGGCGTTGAAAAGTGCAGCTCAGTTGCTACTACATTTTTTATGAATCTATTTCAAAGACACATTACCACTGCATTCCTCTCCTTTAAACGCAAGCCCACTCCTAATTAATCAGATTAGAAGAGCGTCCCAGTTTCTACCTTTCACACATTCGTGGCATTGTAAAAGGTCGTGGCATAGTTGTAGACAGCTCTCCGAATCTCTCCCTCGAACAACCTGCGAATCTCATCAAATTCGAAGCCCGAAGCGAGAGCCAACTGGAGCTGGATGCGGGACTGTTCGCCATGTAGGAAGCCAGAGCTGATACTGTCCATCATGTCAGTTTAGATATTATGGGGGAATTCCGGACATGATTTCCTTACATATTGCCTGGTTCTGGGCTAGGGACAACTGCGCCAAAGAAGGGACGGAGCGATGCGACAGTGATTACTCCCTTCCCGTGGAGATGTTCAGCAGCCTCAGTGGCAGCTGTGCTCAATCCGCCGGGACCTACCCCCATGATGACAATACCCCTATGAATATCTGCGTTAGAGCTTGCTGGATAATCCTCATGACTGAACCTTACTTGGCGCCATCCTTTGCTGCTGCATGTAGCAGGTTTGCATCGAACCCCTCTGTTTGAAGATGTGTGTTAACAGAGTTCACAGATATTCCAGGTCATTCTTCACGTACGGTGACCATATAGAACCACCACCTTGGGCAGAGGATAAGTGATATTGAAAGGATTGAAGTAGTGGCGAGCTTTTGGAAGAGATGCACCATAGAAGAAGTATGGCTGTCCAGCAATTATCTGAGCGATGTAGCCTTGATCAATGGCCAAGAATGTTGAAACCGTGTTTCCATTTGTCTTGGTTCCATAGAAAGCGGATACTAGATGGTCGTTGAACGCAATCATGGCCCCACGGTCCCGAGCCTCGGGGTGAATAGCGGTTCTGACTGCATCGTAAAAGTTGAATGGCCCGTCGGGTGACATGGCTGAGTTTGGTCGCATGGACCCTGTAGCGACAAATGCCTTGGAGCAGTTTAGGGTGAGATCAACACCAAAAGCCTGCAATCTATCAGCTAACTTCAGGGTCTTTTCCTGAACATAGGACATACAGTCTCGGCAAGCGTGTTAGTGCCATGAATCATGACAGCCCCTACAACATTGGAGTCTGGGGTGCAAAGTTGCTGGTGAGCGTCCATTGAGATGTTTAGAAATCTGTCCGAGTCGGCATTAGCACTGCCAGTGCCGCTTATGTTTCGGACGGCGAATTGAGCAATTTCGAGAACTTCGGGAACACTCTCAATTAGCGTCTCTGGACTCAAGCCCCCAATGCCACCGCCATAATTGATAGTATCCAATCTTCCGTGGGTAGATCCCGAGAGAATTGTTCCATCTTCAGTGTTGTATAGCCTATGAGTAGAGTTAGAGACTTCTTTTACCAAAGTATGATCATTTTACTTGCATGACTCTCGGCAGTGACGAGTTCTTGTATATCCAAGTTAAATTGGTGCTGGGGTCCTTCCAATGTTTGACCTCAACTGGTGAGGCCATGACCAGGTGGGCAAGAAGCGTCGTGGCAATGAGCGTACCGAACATGATGATCAATTACGTGCTATTGAGCCAGACGTGCGATTCGTACAGATCAAAGTAGTTCTGAATGCCCTTTTATATGATTTGTAGTCCTGAAGCTTGTTTGTTGGGGTAAGGATTCGTAGATTGGCTCGAGAAATTATGTAACGACAATTCATACCAGGGTACGGCATCTATCTGTCTATCTCGGTTTGCTATAATTGAAAGATAAGGAAGCTTCAAAGTTAATTTAGAGAAGGCTGTGAGTATATGAGCCAAGGATAGAGCGTCATCAAGCGACCTTTAAGTATACGTGTTGAATTGAACCATGAACAGTGAGAAGCCAGCAAGGAATTAGATGATTTTCATTTGCGTCTTTTGTGATATAGAAACTCTAGACCATCGAGCTTCTGTGATATGAATGCCATGAAGCACGGAGAATAAGAAGACAGCCCAAGGATGGGTCGGTCAGCTATTGGTGAGATAATTTTAGCGTGAATCTTATACACCAAGAGAATGGTGTACAATGAATGGTATACTCGGTGAAACCTTTCACTTTATTAGGCAAAATAGGACGATTGAGCTTAGGACACCGTGGAGAATGAAACAGAAATTGGAGCTTCACTTTCTATGAACCCTGAATGGACTCGGTCAAGTTACATTTGTGGGGTACTGGACCCTTGGCCATCATGGGATCATTCTAATCTTTGGAGTATAGTTAATATGCTGCATTTTGGGGTCTTCAAATGCTATCATTCAGCACTGTAACTTCTTAAATGCTACTTTGAATTCCAAAGTAGCTGGAAGGACAGGGTAACGATTGAGCGTGTTTCTGTCTTGATATCTTGGATGTACAGCCTTCATAGCATTGAAAGGTCTCATAATTTGACACAATAGGGATTCTGTGGCCAGTCTAGGCATAGTTACTCCAAATGATCATAGCAAAATCATCAGAAGTTGTTGATAGCCATACAAGGCTATGACAATTGAATACGAGAGCTTATCTTTAGAACCCCAACATGTTTCGGAGTTTACGGAATTGCTGACAGCCTTCGGCCGATGCCAAGGTAATTGCGAGACCACGCCAGTCTTTGGGTTTTAGTGGGTGAGCGAGATAGAATCTGATGGTTTCTTATTGCGGATAGGATGCGTTTTGAATCCAGTGGGCAGCTGTCTTACCGATTACATTGATATTTGATTGGCAAAATGGTGCCTAGCTCCCATATTCTTTGTTGACCTCTTCTGCGACAACTGCTAAAGGCCGAAAAGCAAACCATACTTTTAATAGACCGCAACAAACACAACACAGGTGCCTGTACCACTCTTCAGTGCATGGACCAAAGGGATTGTCTCGATAGTAAGTTTGTTCCGCCCAATCGCTACGGAATTCGCACAACAGCTTCAGCTCAGTCTATCTCGCGATACAGATTTCAAACAAGGCCGGTAAAAATAACGAGAATATAAATCTAACGCCGTCCCTCAATAACTTAGTAAGATCTAGTCATATTTAGCTCCAATAAACTATCGCCTGAGGCATGAATTCTGTAGAACATGGAACACGTGAGAGAGTGCTCCAAACCTCAGACAAATTTTTCCTAACTAGGTTAGACTCGGTCATAACCGGGCATAAGCGGCATCATGCTTACGACCGAATCCTTGACATCCTATGCACCGAGAAGCTCCTCTTCGCTCCTAGCGGACCGATATGGAGTCTGGACCACGCCGACGCCGCAGAATAGCTCGGTCTTGTGTGGAATGTCGCCGGCGAAAAATCAAATGTGACCGAAAAGACCCTTGCACGCATTGTGTCGTCACTCAGCTGCGATGCAACTACCAGGCTTACGGAGATCGACCTGCCTCTATTCCGCGTGACACAGGCGATATTTCCGAGGCCGGCAGTCTTGCACCTTCATCGGCACGGCCTGTTCGGCGAGCCAGGGGCAGATCACCCACGGACCAAGACCTCTGGCAGGGATCCCTCACTCCCACAACAAGATCGCCAGCCCCCCGGCAACAGCAACACAGATTGACATCTGCGACCCCTCGGATCTAAATGAGAGACATGCCTCATTCCAAACGCATAACTCACCGCCGAATCCTGCTGATCTTCTCCGCCGAGTCGAGGCTCTGGAGAAATCTTCAGTAGGAAACTCGGCTGGTAGCTTATCTGAGACAAATCAAGCAATTCTTGAACGCCCTTCGCGTATTGAAAGTTCCGAATGGATCTTTTCCAAGACAAGAATTATGCGGTGGAGCCTGTGGATGGGCACGGCCAAAGAGGTACCAATGTTTTATTCTATTTTGCTTTATGATTCACGCTGAGTTACTATGTCACAAGTTTGATCCATTTCTCGCATTCTATTCCGAGGCTACTGGTAATGGTACAGGGTGCTCATACCAAGGCCTTGAGACTCAGGCCCTTCTATCCCAGGTTGGCGATCTTCTCAGGAGATCCAAAGCTATAGCGCGAAGCCTCAAAGCCTGGCGGCCGAGTCGATCGTCAATGAACCCCCAGCTCGGCCTTGAACCCCCATCGCGAGATGTCGCAGATACCATGGTCAATCTATACCTCGGAGCGTTCGAATCAACACAGCGGATTCTTCACATTCCGTCTTTCTGGGCTGAATATGCCAAATTCTGGAGCAATCCTGCCAGCGCTTCGACCGAGCTACGTCTGAAGATTCTTCTCGTTATCGGGATAGGTTCAAGTATCCATCCAGGGGAAACAGACATCGAATTTCGTCATACGGTCCATCGCTGGGTATACGCAGCCCAGGTATGGCTGTCTGGGCCATTGGAAAAAGACAGACTTAGTGTTTCTGCGCTGCAAATTGATTGCCTGACGATACTGGCGCGTCAAATATTCTCGATAGGTGCTGATCTGGTCTGGACATCCATGGGGACACTGGTTCATAAAGCCATGCAAATCAATTTACATCGCGATCCCAAGCACCTTATGGGAATATCTGTGCTACAGGCTGAAGTCCGCAGAAGGCTATGGGCTACCATCGTTGAGATGACGGTGCAGGCAGCTTTGGACTCAGCGGTGTCACCCAACCTTCCAGAGTCTGATACCCTGCCTCCTGCGAACATAAATGATGAAGATATTGGAGAGTCTTCCGGTGAACTTCTCTCTCATCCTATGAGCACATACACTACCACCTATATGCAACTTCTCCTTCTCGAGTCATTGCCAATACGTCTACGGATTTTGAATACACTGACTAGTCTCAGCTCGAAAATATCATACCTGGATGTCATTGAATTGAGCTCTGAGCTAACGGACGCTTTAGCCTCATCTCAAAGGGGTTTAAAGGAAGCTTCAGATCCGGGGATCGCACCATTCAAGCGAAACATTCTTGATTATTTGGTTCGCCGGTTCATGATTATATTGCACTGCCCGTTCATGCACCAGGCTCGCACGAACCCTTTATTGTCCTCATCTTTGAAAGCCAGCTTAGACGCTGCCATGGCCATCATGTCACCGGAGCCTGATAAAAGTACATCCAAACTAATGGCTACAGGTGGAGGCCTTTTTAGGGAGGGTATATGGTGTGCGATGACCGTGATCAGCATTGAGCTCCTGGCGCAAGTTGAAACTCAACGCTTGGATGGAACCTTGCACCGCAACCACGGCTATATCGGACTACTTGAAAAGGTTGTCCGCGATCTTAATGTTTTCTCTGCTGAGCGAATTCGTCAAGGTGAAACAAACATCAAGAGTCATATGTTTATGAGCATGATCATCGCTCTAGTGGAGGCGAAGCAAACAGGTGCCGATTGTGAATTGAGTATTGCCCAAGGCGCTAAGGATAGTCTCGAGTTCTGTTGTGGTCTCTTATTGGAACTAGCCGACACTGCTTCATTGGCGCATTCGAGCGACTGTGCAGTGCCAGGGGTCGGGGTTGGCCAACATGGAGAATTCGCGCCTGACTTTGACCTGGATTTGGACTGGGACTTCCTTTTACCAGACTCGGGATTTCAATAGACTTCAATGGCACCTTGGATATAAACAGTATTCTTATTCATATATACCCATTGTGTTCAAACAATCCAGTGCCAAGAGCTTTATGATATGTGGTTGTAGCCCTGGAGGCTTGTAGCCCCTGGTGGACTTCGATGACAGACCTGTGCGTTTCCAACGCTTCTACTTTAACTTGGAGGATACTAAATATTAAGACCCACAGCGGATGCACGTCGAGCTAGTCGGTGTTTTGCAGGGTTACTCTCCCCTACGTGGAGCTTTATGCCCTCGGTCGAAGCAGCGCTGTTTAGACGGAGTTAATCGGTCTAACGCAACAGGCCACATATAGTCACCAGCAATGAGCTGTTCCTGAAGCTCCGACCTATATAAACCCCCTTAAGCACTTCTCTTGCCTTGTGCAAAATCCGAAACATTTGCTCTTTCTTTACACAAAGCCCTGACATCAAAACTCTTCATGGCACGACTGAATATCCTCATCAGCGGCGCAGGTGTCGCCGGAAACGCCGCCGCCTTTTGGCTTACGAAGCTCGGTCACCATGTCACAGTCATTGAATCTTTCCCATCCCTCCGAGCCTCAGGTCTCCAGATTGATCTCCGTGTCCAGGGTGTCGAAGTTCTCAAACGCATGGGTCTCGAGCAGGCCTTTCGCGAAAAGTCCATCCCAGAACAAGGCATGCAATTCGTGGACAAACACGGTAAAAGAAGAGGCTACTTCCCTGCGAATGACTCTTCGAACGTGAAACTCGGCTTCAGCTCTGACTGGGAAATAATGAGAGGGGATTTCTGTCAAATCATGTACGACGTCACCAAATCTCGAGCCAAGTACATATTCGGGACATCGATCGACCATTTCCACGAAGACGAAAATGCAGTCAATGTCCAGTTCACCGATGGCTCAATCAACAAATTTGACCTAGTAATTGGTGCCGACGGTCAAGGCTCACGCACCCGAAAGCTGATGCTCGGATCTAATGCGCAAGACCCATTCCTTCCTTTGAATGGCATGTATGTCGGTTATTTCACCATTCCTCGACCGATTCAAAAAGACGAAGAATACATCGCGACATCTTTCATGGCATCCGGGTCCCGAGGCATCATGACTCGAAGACATAACGACCGCGAAATCCAAGCATACATCGGTGGCCGAACACAATCGGAGCGACTCAAGGCTTCTTTGAGAGGTGACATCAATGAGAAGAAGCGGGCATTGACAGAGATGCTCCAGGGTGCTGGGTGGCAGACAGAGAAGATTCTGGAGTCACTCCAGACCGCTGACAATTTCTACTGCGAACGTCTCGGTCAAGTCAGATTGGATCACTGGTCTCGCGGGCGGATTGTGCTTGTCGGCGATGCGGCCTACTGTCCTTCTGCAATGACCGGAATGGGCACCACTTCTGGTATTCTCGGTGCTTATATTTTGGCGGGCGAGATTGGTAAACACTGTGGTTCTGCATGTGTGGATGCCGCTGCAGATGATTCGGCTGCGGTTTTGGCCGCGTTGGAAGCCTATGAGCATAAGTTCTCTCCTTTTATGACTCAGGTACAGCAGAGAGTGTCCCTTGACGGGGGTCGTTTTGACGGATTGATCTCATCGGAGTTTGGTGTGGCTGTCATCAATTATCTCATGGGAATAGCTTCTTATTTGGGATTGCATCGTCTTAGCCGATTCACATCCGAGACTGTCAAGGGCTGGGAGCTCCCGCAGTACGACGACTTACACCGGGACTAGGAGTAATAGGACTAAAGACACTCATAATAATGCAACAATTAGTCTAGTTTACTAGAATGCGACATCCGACGAAAGAAACGGGGTAATCCGTTGGTGTCTTCTTTAATTATGTCAAAGAAAGGAATATCTCAGAGACAACCTAGGAAAATATCATTACCCAGGTAATACTGACTCTATTGGCTTAGATGGCATCACACAATGGAAAACACCATCTCCCCAGTGTTACCGCAATTTCTTGGAACATATGCAGATTTCTCATGATCCGACGCACATCCCGTTCTCACCTCCGCACAGGACTTTGACCGTTCTTATCGTGAATTTAAGCCCTAATCCCCTTCGAGTAAAACTCACGCCCAGTGGGGGGATGTTGGCCAATCAAGGTCCCGGTCGCGCGCAAGATTTACCCAAAGTGACAACCCTGATATCTGGCCGTGGCATATAAGACTGTCTTCGGGCCCTTGCTGGAAAAAAAAGCATCTGTCTTCATTCACAATGGCCAGCCTTCACCCATTTGACCCTATTACCCCTGGGGAAATCCAATTGGCCGTTTCCGTCTTGGAGCCCGCCTTTCCCGGTGTCAAGCTGCGCTACAAGCGCATTGATCTTCAAGAGCCAGCCAAGCATGAAGTGGTCCCATATCTCGAGGCGGAGCGTCTAGGAGAAGTGCGGCCTCGCAAGCCCGCTCGCTTGTTGATGGTTCTCTTCCACCGTCTGGACAATGGTTCTTTCTTCAAGGCCTTGATCAATGCTGACACCAAGTCTATTGTGTCGGCCAAGGAGCTGCCCAAGGATGTCCAGGGCCCCGTCGATATCGATGAGATGATTGAAATTGAGCAGTTGTGCCTTGGTCATCCGGCTGTCAAGGCCGAGGTTGAGAAGTTGAAGCTTCCCGCTGGCCACACCGTGTGCTTGGATCCCTGGATCTATGGCACTGAGGATGTCAAAGAGACTCGCCGCTTGTTCCAGTGCTATATGTATATTGTGGCTACCGATCATCCCCAGAACAACCAGTACTCCGTACCATGCCAGTTCTCCCCGGTCTTTGACGGGATCACCCGCGAGCTTGTTCGCATGGACTATCTGCCTGGTGGCGCCAACGCCGAAACCAATGAGACGCAGCCGTGGAAACCAGTGCCTACTGTTCAGTATGCGCATGAATTGCTTGATGAGCCCCTACGTACGGACCTCAAGCCTTATATTGTTCAGCAACCCGAGGGTGCGTCATTCAATGTCATGGGCAATGCTGTCTCATGGCAGAAATGGCGTTTCAGGGTGGGCTTTAACAATCGGGAGGGTCTTGTGCTTCATAATGTGACCTACGATGGTCGCAACACATTCTACCGACTTTCCTTCTCTGAGATGACAGTTCCTTATGGCGGTATGTTCATCCTTACCTGCTCTTAGCGATTCCATCTAACAATTTAGACCCCCGCCCGCCTTACCACCGGAAACAAGCCTTTGATGTCGGTGATGTCGGCTTCGGTATCACAGCTAATCAGCTCACCCTTGGCTGCGACTGTCTCGGTCATATCAAGTACTTCGATGGATACCGCACAGACGCCCAGGGAGAGCCGATCCAGCTTAAGAATGTCATTTGCATGCACGAGCAAGACAATGGCCTCCAACATAAGCATACAAACTATCGTAGTGGCGCAGCCACAGTCGTCCGCAACCGTCAGCTTGTGGTCCAAATGATCTGCACAGTCGCTAACTACGAGTACATTTTTGCATTCATCCTCGACCAAGCCGCCAACATCGAACTCGAAGTACGAGCAACTGGTATTCTATCCACGGTTCCCTTCGACAACCAAAACGGTGAGACAGTCCCATGGGGTACGAACGTCGGACCAGGCGTCATGGCCCCCTTCCACCAGCACATGTTCTCCCTCCGCATTGACCCAGCACTCGACGGCTTCAAAAACACAGTCTACTACGAGGACAGCGTACCAATGCCCGAGGATGACACCAACCCATATCTCGTCGGCTACACAACCGAAAAGAACGTTATCAAGTCCAGCGGCAGCGCCTCTACCAGCGTTGAGCGCCACCGCGTCTTCAAGATCCGGAACGACCATATCATCAACCCTATCACACACCACCCAATCGCCTATAAGCTGCAAACCTCCCCGAGCCAGATGCTTCTCGCACACCCGAACTCATTCGGCTCGAAGCGCGCTCGCTTTGCTACCCGCCCAATCTGGGTGACTAAATACCAAGATGATGAGCTCTTCGCTGCTGGAGAGTTTACAAACCAGAGCAAGCAGTCCGATGGTGTGGAAGTATGGGCTGGTCGAAATGATACCGTTGAGGATGAAGACCTCGTTCTCTGGCATAGTATGTTCTCCCCCCCCTTCCATTTTTTCTTTGTTTGGCGTGATTTGTAGCTGACTAGTTTGAAGCTTTCGGTCTCACTCATAACCCCCGTATTGAGGACTTCCCCGTTATGCCAATGGAACGGGTTAGTGTCATGCTTAAGCCTGATGGTTTCTTCACTAAGAACCCTGCGCTCGATGTGCCGGCTTCTAGTCAGTCTTTTAATCAGTCGACTCTGCACCCGGAGCCGACTTGCTGTGCGACTCCTGCAAAGCCCAAGATGTAAATATTTTAGTTGGTCTTGTGGATTTGGTGAATAAGTAGAAAGAGTTAACTTTACTGAGATGTTTACATGATTATGGAAATATATTGCAGCCACTTTGGTCCGGCCCTAGAACAAATTATAGTCGATGAATGCGAAATTATAAATGTTGGATTGGAAAGCAAAGAAAGAAACCGGAAATCATAAAGCTGTTCTCGATTTGTGACTTTGCCGAAACTTGTATACTAAGCCACTCCACCACTGGAAGCCCAAGTACATTGCGAAGAACAGTTCACCTCACATCTTTCAATCAAAAGCCTCTTTCTTCTCGCATCACAAAGCTAGATCCCAATCCTCCCAATCCACTCCTCAGCAGAGATAACCTCAGTCTTGCGAGCAAAAACCTTCTGCATAAGCACACGATGAACCTCCTCATCACGATCCATACACAAATCCTCAAGCACAGCAACGCGATAATCCAAATCCATAGCCTGTCGCACAGTCGAGAGAACAGCACCACTGGTAATCAAGCCCGCGACGACGACAGTCTGAGTCTGGAAGCAGCGCAGGATCATGTCGAGCTCGGTCCCGAAGAAGGCCGAGATGCGGCGTTTCATGATGACGACCTCGTTTTCTGTGGGTGCCACAGCTGGGTGTACTTTGACGGAGTCTGAGTCCTGTTGGTATTGGCCGCTGGCAGCGACGGCGGGCACGGAGCTGTTGTTTGTGTTGTTTTCTGGATACCCTGGGCGAAAGCCTGTCACTATGTGGATCACTTTGATGTTGGCTTTGCGGGCTGCGGATAGGGCTGAGGCGAGACGGGCTAGGTAGCTCTCTGTGTTTTCCAGCTGATCGACTATGCCGCGCTGGACGTCCAGGATTAGAAGGACGGTTTTGTCCATTGTTGTGGTTGTGGGGTTGTGTGTGTTGGGAATTGAGGCGGTGGACCTGAGCAAGGTGAAAGGGAATATGAAAGAATTTTGAGAAGAGAAAGATATGAAGGGGGATGATCAACTAGAAGTAAATGTAGTCGTCGATGTTGAGGTTTGATGCTCAGTCGCGGTTCCGGCATTGCGGATCCCGGTGCCGGGATGGGTTGCAAGAGCATCAGGGCATATATCTTCAAACTAGTGTTGAGACTTGGTGTGTATGATGCTCAAACGCGAAAATGAGTTATTTTGGGCCAAGTGTTATACAAATATTTTGACTGACAGACTAAGAAAGCGAACATACAAAGAGCTAAAAAGAACATCTCACTCAGTCCTCTGCTTCTTAGCCGGCATGAAATTCCTGAGAATATCAAGCTGGGCTTTAAGACGGGCGTTTTCTTTCTCTAGCCCACCGCGGTCCAGAATCAAATCATCTCGGAATCTTTTTTGTGTGCAAGGCGTTCCCTCAATGCAACCATCCAAGGCTTTGATATGCTGGTCGGCAGACATGACCAAAGCATGCGATTCAAGGTCTGTGACTTTGGATAGAGCGGACTTGGGAGTCTTCGGAGTGATTCTCGGTCTTCGCGAAGTTCTCGATGGAGTCACCGACTGGGACACATGGAAAACTGGGGTGCCGCTTTCACTGTTCGATGCGCTGTCGCTCTCAGTGTAATCCATGCTCGAAGAGACAAGATTATCCTGGAGGTTCTCATGAAGCTGTAGGTCTGATTGTTCCTCACTTTCATCTCGCTTCTCTATCTCGGTCGTTGGAAGAATCGGAAGAGGCACACTGGTCCGAGGTGTGGATCGTGCCATGGGGCTACATGACGTCCGGGGCGTCTGGGTCATAGAACTTTCAGAGCGGGTGCGAGACGGTCTGAGCTCTCTACTCGTATTCCAGTCTGTTTCATCTGGCATAGCTGTCGCTCTTTTCCCTTGCAAATGGTTGCGGAAACGACGCTCGTCTGCCGGGATGAGACAGCTCTCAAGCCAGCGGTCCGTCGCTTCTGCTTTTCGCTTAGATGAATTGACTTCGGCCTGTATCCATCTAGCAAAGTATTCCACTCCCATTGCAATATTTGGCTTGTTGAGAAGCTTTTGCAACATGGTATCGGTGTAGTTCTGTTTCATTGCTTCAAAAATAATGTTCCACATTGGATTAAAGAACTTCTGATCATTGTCAGGAAATTGAAGACAAAGGATATTCCTCTTCCAGCAATATTGTTCGAATTCTGGACGCACACCAAAGCGACGAGACACCAGCAGAATTCTCCATGGGAATGACCCATCACAACTTTCCTGAGGCCGGGTTTTGGGTTCAAACACAGTTCTCAGCCAATCAAGAGTATGTGCCTGCTCACTCCATCCAGTCTCGTTTGAGGCAATCTGCATTGTCTTATAGGTTTTTGTTTGTGGAGGATCCTTACTCCTGCATACAATATATGGAAGCAAATGCTCCCCTCGAGATGAGCAACAGTGAATCACAGAGGAAAATTGTCTCTCTTCTCCTTTGTCCTGTTTTTTCGGCCGAGGAAAAACCATATTTCCCCTTTTATATATAGAGGTCTGGTATGCAGCTTCTTCCAAAGCGTAGACATCCTCATCAAGAATCGAGTTTTGGCCTTTGAACTCTTGATATGTCGAAAAGAAATTTTGTGCACTATCTGTTTGGTGTACTTTGGGCAGCTTCTGCAGCTTTTCCGGATCTCTTTCCACTTTCTTTTTGTTGAAAAGTTCCGAGAGCTCCTTGTTGGCCATCAAGAAACTCGTTTGCCATGTCACGTTGAGATTTTCACGCCGTAGTGTAGTGTCTCCCGGGTTCAAGATACGGTATGCATTGCCAGTATCCTTAATCAAGCGGGCATATGGATCGAACCCGTGCTCAAGCCAACGCGTGGCATGTCTCACAATTTCCTTTCTCTCTTCTTCATTGACGCGAGACTGGCCTCTCATGATACCTGACCTCTTTCGTAAGGCAGCGCCAGCAATATTCACGGCGACTTCGACAGCAATCGTGCGAGATGGAGGTGCACCTTGAACTGTCAACATGAAGAGATCAATAGATTAGGTTGGAAATGAAAATTGCAGAAATAAAAGCATGATAATCTAGTGCAACAGTAGGATAGGGTGCAAGGGGATCGAGAAGAATGAACATACCTTTTTTCGCCGAACAAGAAGAAAATTTTGCGTTGAATGTGCGTCCTGGAACCGAAAAAAAAGTCGAGCGCTTACCGCATTAGCTTTAAATCAGGCCAATTCACATCACATTATTGCTGCATTGCGTGTGGCTGTTTGAGCTGTCCGCGAAGCTATCGACTCGGGCGGATGCAGTCCCACTCCATTGCGAAGGAATCCCTGTCAATCGCAAGATAGCCGTGTCAAGAGCCTGTGGATAACGGTCGAGAATTGGAGTCTTGCCCGGTAAATTGGGCAAATAAGTTCGCAATTTTAAATCATTCTTCCCATTAACCGTTGACCACAGTATCGCCGATGCATATTTCATGGGTGGCTTGGGATCTGGACATGCTGCATCGTTTCTGGCCATAAGACCTGTCAAATTGAACTTTTGGCTTCTTCGGCGTGAGAAAATCAGCAGCTTGAAAATTGTGATCAAATCGGTGACTCTCTCTCTCTCTCTCTCTCTCTCTCTCTCTCTCTTCAGGCCATAAGGATGGGTGGATTCTAACTCTCTTAGCACCTGTTGTCTCTCAATGGTTGCCATAGTCGAGGCCGGCAACTGGTCATTTGGCAAACCGGTCGAGTCAGCTGGGGAATTTTCCTCTGTGATCATCCCAATGCGTGAAATTTGCCATTGTTGGGTCGCACAACACACTCTATGACAATCACATCGCAAATGCCAAACTCAGACGGTTGCGGGCCGAGACAAGTTGGGGCAGCTCAGGCCAAAGCTAGTGGCTGCAGGGCTCCACGCGTATCCACGCGTATCCACCGACTTGTCAACCATAAATGCCCTTCAGACAAAGCTTGACAATGAAAATCGATTGGGATGAACAAGAGGGAATCGACGACTGGAATGCTTCTCAAACTCTGAGGAATGAGCCGGTCCCCGAGACCCGTGGACCTGTGACCAGCTTACATAACAGCGATTACGTCGATGCCAACCTTGGAAACATAAAGAACTGCACTTCCTCACTTGACATCTCCTACCTATGATGGCTACCATATCCTCACAGAGGGGCCAACCTATCGTCGCTCACATGTGTTGCAGAATCCCAGCCTAATATACCACATCCATGGCACGCGTAGTCCCAATCACGCACGGCGGCCAGAGTAAGTCAACAGACCTCGGGAGAAGACAGACGAGATAAGATACTGACGATAGTGTATCAGAGCTGCTGAGCTCAGTAGCGGCCTTAAACGGCCGTGTCTTTGACACCGATCCCGTCATTGCCTATATGCTTCTAGGTCTCTCTCGGAAAGAAAGACTAGCTTATTTGCCGACATACTGGGCAACATTAATCAAGTCCGCTTTGCTGAACCACGCTCTGATCACTGAGGCAGACGGTTTCAAGGCGGCTTCAGTACTGATTCCCCCGGGTCAATACCTTGATAATGCTTGGACTCTGCTTTGCGCCGGCTTCTTGGGCGTGTTGTGGAGGATTGGATTTCCAGGCTTTAAGGTATAGTTTGCAGGGATGGCTTGCATGTTGCTTGCCAACAAACAATCACAAGACTGACTTGGACGTTATATAGCGTCTTTGGAATGAATTCTCCGGTATGACTGACAACGCAAAGAGAAAAGGTCTGCATGGACAAAAGCGTTACTACTACGTCTTCAGCATCGGAACCGAACACGAACACCGCGGAAAAGGTTCCATCACTATTCACTCTTTTTTCTTTTTACCCTTCTATACTGACACTTTCAGGTCTGGCAAAAGCTATCATGAGAGATCATCAACGAACAGCTCAAGCTGAGAATCTTCCAATCTGGCTCGAGGCAACAACCCCAGGCTCGCGCAGTCTGTACCTTTCAATGGGCTTCGAAGAGATCGAGGAGATTGTGCTCGGAAAGGGCAAGGTCGCAGCTGATGCGAGTGTTCAGCCTGGTGGGCCGGGAATTCCATTGTGGGCGATGGTGTGGTGGCCTCAGTTTACTCCTACTTCAACTTCTACTTCAACTTCTTCTAATACTCCGACTCCGACTCCCACCCCTGGCTACTAACACCTGACCTCTACTCCTAGTAATATTGTTACTACTATTCATAGTGTACATTGAATCAAGGATTTTCAATGAAGTTGTGTGCGTTGCTTTGCACAACAGGAGGCACTAGTCCTGCAATATCCCTGCCTCTCCTCACATCCCATAGTCAATCATATTGAAAACTTTAGTCAAGTTTCGTTTAATGGCACCGTGGATATGATTGATAGTGTTCATATTGGTAGCCCAGGGGAAGAGTGGCCAGAGCAGAAGTTATTTGCGCAATGCTACAGTAAATCCAGTCATTGGTATTGAACCAATACGTAACTTACTAGCGTGGATGAGTAATCAGGATCGGAGAAACAAGAGAAAAGTGTCAGTGGTTGCACCTGTGTCGGGACTACTGTATATAGAATTTAACTAGAAGCCTTTAAGCATTAAAATCACAAATTCGAAGAAAGAGAGCATTGGAGCAAACGTGGATATCGAGCTCTTCTTGGTAGCGGAGAATCTCCGGACTCCCCCGGTCCAGCAAGGGTCAGCTCCAACCAACCACATTCCGTAATGTCTATCCTGTCAATGCACCTGCCCAATGACCATGAGTTCAACCGGGGAAAATTATATTATACACAAGGTCTCAACAAAGCGCACTCGGCAAGCTTGTGATCCCTGTCGGTATGTGGCAAGTCTGGGGGAAAATCACCCGCGATACCGGCTCAGCCTGATGAATCTTGAGATCTGACCAAATTTGATAGCCGGAAAAAGGCACGCTGTCCTGGTGAAAAACCAACATGTTCGCTCTGTCATCGGCTAGGGCAACGCTGCTCATACGAAGCGCAGACATCCAGCAATGCAAGAAGCAGGAATAAGCCGGAACCGGCTCCGGCTCCAGCTCAGGACCATGATCAGCGAAATGAGTCTAATGAGGTAGGTTTTTGCAGACGACTGTCTGTCGAGTTTTCCCACTTCTTTGTGAACATAATACTGAGCTTGGTAGATCCAGGATACGCCGAATGCTGATAGGCTGCAGCGTATCGAAGACAGGTTAGAAACGATGACGCGTTTGCTGCAGTACGTTATTTCCTCTCAAGTGTTTGACTTCTTCTGAATATGGACCTTTGCTTGGTTTTAGAGAGGGTTTACCCAAAGCCACTGTCTTGCATGGAACAACAACCGAAAATCATCATGTGGACCATGGGTATGAAATACGGGATGCTCATGATGAACCTCAACAGCTCAATAATCCGAATAACCAAGTGTACGTATTCACTGCTGAGTCGCCCGTAATCCCGATGTTCTAATGGATTCAAAGTGAAACCGGGTTCCCTGCCGGTTTCATAGAGCGAGAAGTAGAGATTTATCTAACGCACTTCCATGACCAACCATACTGTGTGCTCTCGAAGAGATGGCTTTTGGAAAACGCAAGCTCATTGCCTCTAGAGATTTCACTTCCATTAGTGGCTCTTACATCTCATCTTCCTCGGAGATCAAGGGAGACCTTACTTGAAGATTCAATAGACGCAAAGTCACTATCAGAGAAGGCCTGGAATATTGTATCAAACCAATACAAAGATGGAAAGATGAGTCTATTAGCCCTCCAGGGCTCTTTTCTCATGGCACAAGCAGACTTCGCCAATGGATTTGGACACAGAGGATATGCCTCTGTTGCATTTGGCCTGCGAACTATTCAGTCTGTTGGTCTGAATAAAAATCAATATTCACACTCTTCAAATACACTCGACAGCGAAGTGAGAAAGCGCCTCACATGGGCTTTCTTCATGCTTGATCGCACATACAGTGCCTCGCGCAATTATTCACTTTCGCTAACAGACAAGCACTTTACTCTTCCGTTCCCTTCTCAAGAGAAAGGTCCTCCTTTCAATGAACCTACTGCGGCCGTCCATGGAACATTGCATGATGGACCTGGGAAGCAAGGCCAGAAAGTCGACCACGGTATTCTAGCATGTCTCCTTCGATTATACGCACTTTGGGGGAAAGCAACAGAATACGTCTTTGAAACATTCGCAGATAACCCACTGCCACCTTGGCAAACAGGGTCTGCTCTCGCAATCCTCGAGTCGGAGTGGCTACAGTTCGAAACTCATTTTGCAGACGCCCATCGGTACATCAATGTCGACTTCAAAAGACGCGCCCGAGAAGAGCCACAATCGCGCACATACCTTTCTACTTGGGTTTGTGTCCAGTTTCTCTTCCATTCGATTCAATGTCTGCTGCACCATCCCTTCGTTATCATGACGAAACTTCGGGATTTCAATGGAAACATATCAACAACCTTCTTACAAAAGTCTTTTGAGACGTCACTTCTGCATTCTAGGTGGATTGTGCGGTTTATCAAGGAGATGGAGGAAGTCAATTTCGAGACTTGTGATCCGTTCCTGGGATACTTGGCTGCGATCGCTGCTACCATTCAACTTGAGCACACTGGGAGTAAAAATCCGCAGATAGCTTTGCTGCTCAACAAAGAGTTTCGAGTTCTCGTCGACTTTATGACAGAATTATCTGTATATTGGGAAAATATGAGGGTCTTGGTTAGTGTAATGTGGCTCTTCTACTTTGATCAACTTGCTCATGTCAAATTCTTTAGGTTCGCAAAGTGAATGAACTGGCTGCTCGTCACCATAATTATGGATCCCTTTACTACAACCAAGAAGGATTCTCGGGCGCATTATCCAAAATGCCAACCCCGTCCAATATGCCTAGAATGTCTGCTGAGGATGAAGCGATCATGTGGGAAATTCTCGATTTCGGTTCTTCTTCTGGGGGGGCTTCCCAAGCTCAGTCTGGAGATCTAGCTATGCCTCAGGATCGCAGCATTGACTTTGGAGCAGGGAATAGGATTGAAAATGATTCTGGTCCTTTGGAAGTCTCCCAACGAACTGGCAATTGCCAAAATGATTTCATGGACAGTAATCTGCCAGGTCGAGGTATCTCGCTTACTGATCAAATATCTAGATCTATCAATGAGAGTCCCTTGCCAGACTGGACTTTGTCGGGGAGTGGCAATGATGTTATGGGGGCTGGGATCCCGGACATTCCAGAGTGGATGATCTTGGGTGATTACATGGCAGAGCATCTGTAACTTATGGTGGGCAAAGCCCGACATTGAGTCGTGAATCATTTATGTGCTAAATAATCAAATTATCGACACTCAAAGTAACAGCAATCTCTATCTGCGATGTATGCATTGGTCGGATCGTCCTCTTCTGTCCTTAAATCTTGCTCTGTCGAGCTCCCGAGGCTTTCAAGGCCGTGTCGAAAGTGTCCAACTCTTCAGTGGTCAATTCTCTTCTTTCAGGTCCTCCACGGCTTCCATCCCCTGTGAACACCTCACCCTGGAATCGCTCACGGAACTGGGTAGGGAACTTCCACTTCTTCAGCAACTCATCCGAGAGTTTTCGTTGCCAGCTTCCTACAATATACTTTCCAATCACTGGGAGAAACTTGAAGGCACTAAACACGAGAATTGGGATTAGCATTGTTCACCTTGCCGAATTAATGCGTTCACTCACTGTCCGCTACCACCAGTGGCAATGAACAAATTCTTGTGCTCAGGGTGATAATCGAAGATGAAGTCGCCAGTCGGAGTATCATTATACCAGCAGATTCCAACTTTTTCAAAGCCACGCGATGCAAACTGGGGGAAAAGATCCATCATGCCAGCTGTGAGGCGCTTGAGTCCATCAGCAGGAATATAGTTTGCCCGCGAAGCGACTGCTGAACTAGGTGGTGCAGACACGACCGAAGGCTCAGAACGTGTATAGCCGAAGCCATGGCAGGCCACCTTTAAGTAGCCGGTTGGTTCATGCGGAGGGAAAGCAAAGAATCCGGTGGAGAAATTGAAGTAAATGGGCAAATCTCTCAGTTCGGCGACTTCCTCTGGCGTCAAGCGCAGGTATCCAACAACCTGACCCGCGGCAAGCATGGAGTTCCAAGCAGGAATCAGACTTGAGGTCCAGGCACCAGTAGCAACGATGAAATGATCACCTTCAACACGTCCATTCTTGGTACGAACTGACTTGATCGTTCCATTCGGGTTCTTCTCAAATTCTTCGACCTGGCCATTCGGCCCGGTGATGAAGTTGACACCGGCTGAAGCACAGCGAGACATAAGACGAGCACAAGCAAGCCCAGCATCTGCCCACCCAGCTGAGGTGTTGTAGAAACCATCAAAGCCAGGTGTAGCAAGCTGCCCAGTCAGTTTGGGGAAATGTTGCTTGGCCTCTTCCACGCTTCCGACAGCGACCCATTCCTGGCCCATCTCTGTCAAGACTCGCTTTGTCTTGCGGCTGTATTCCTGCGCACGGGGTTGCACTGGCTGCTCCGGGGTTCCATCTTGACAAACCCATAAGCAGGGGGTCTGGTGGAATGCTTCCTTGTAATCGGGGGTCTTCCATAGATCAAACGCCTCCTTGGCAATCTCTGCATATATGGGATCTCCGTAATCAAACCGAATGACACGGGAAATATCGTTGCTCGATCCATCTGGAACTGGAGGTACAGATCGATCCAGAATTGTGACTGACTTGTAGCCTTCTTCCTTGAGTCTCAGCGCAGTGCCGAGACCAAAGGCACCGGCTCCAATAATAACGATGCGCTGGTCTTTGTCCATTTTGTTTGGAAGTATACTATGATCTTATTCTGTGTGAAGCTATGGAGCTTGTTATATAGTTGTGAAGCGGAAGCCCATGATCCGGTTCACACGGACCGTGGGGACATGCTGTCGGTTTGAGTTTCGGAAAATCGAAAACGATAGAACTTCAGAGCCTCAAAGATGTATGCTAAGCCAATTCAATCACAGCTAGATCCCAATTATGAGTCGCTCAATCATCGTGGGCCGGGAGGGGAAACACGGGCCGCAAAAGACGTTGAAGCACGGTCCGTACACGGTCCGTCTCATCTCCATTGATTTGCACAGAGGTTCAGAATAAACAGTGTCTTCAAATTTCTGGATCTTGAACACTAAAAATGTTCTATGTATGTCTTGCAGTGTATAGAATGTGATATCAATCAATCAATCAAATTTCAATCAACCTGTTGCAGCCTAACTAGTATCGTAATGGCTAGGATAGAATGTGGTAGACAGCGCATATTCACAGCGAAGATAGCTCAACTCAATAGTTTGACGGTTGAAATTCTAGAATGTAAAGCCTTGAACATTTGTCTCGTTCTCCAAGTTCCAAGCTCGGTTGATCAAGGATTCAACCTTGTCGGAATCTTCAACTCCTCCATATCTAGCAAGGGCATGGGTTTTTGTCTCGATTTCAGCCCTAGAAGCAAGAAATTAGAACATCAACACAGAGGGCTTGAATATGAGAAAGCGAGCTTACCGGGTCAGTGGAATTTCAGGATCTCCCTTTGCGAACTTTGTTGATTCTGTGAAAGTATTTCCAGATTTGCACTTGACGATAACTGTCCCCTGCCATTTCTCTGGGAACTGAGAATCAATGTCCACGTCATATTTCATGGTCACGCGGTTTTGAAATTCTCGCAGAGACAAGTCTTTCAAATCATCCTCAGTGAAGTCGGTGATCATAGCCTGACCCTTTTTTGCTGCAATAGCAAGTACAAAGCCCATTGAGAATTTGCTCTGGTGGACCGTCTCACCATTACCACTGAGACTTAGTACGTTGATAGCCGCCTGGTATGTAGGCACGAGCACAGATTCAATGTCTTCGAAGACAACTCGATTCTTGGCCATCAAAGTCAACAGTGCATCCACACTAGGGTGTGTGTGCCGACAAGATGCGTGCCATTTGAAACTTGATCGAAGAACAGCAAATTCTCTGCCCAGATTCTGGTCAATGGCTTCTGGGTTTGTTTCCCCCGGAACCAACGCAATACCCATAGCACGGGGTCCTTCAAGGATATCTCGCGGGCCCAGAAGGCCATCACGAGCAGAATATGCGGCAAATATACCATCAAAACAGGCCTTAGCAGTGTGTACTTGTTTCGAGTGTGTCGCATCTAACAAGAATTGCCACAATCCAGCCGCTTGTGTTCCAGCCGTTCCGACTGCAGATAATGTCTGGCTCACATCTAGTTTGAGCAAATGAGCCACAGCTGCTGCAACTCCAATAACTCCACCGGTAGCTGTGCTATGGAATCTCTGTATCATTTGTTTCAGTTCTGAGGTATCGAAAGGGACAATCTGAATAATATATTGAGAGAGTGGCACACCTCATAATGGCTTTTCCCCAGATACTCGCCGACACGACAACCGACTTCGTATCCAACTACACAGGCGGTAATGAAGTCCTTCCCGCTGGCTCCAATATCTTGAGATACAGCTAAAGCTGCAGGAAATATCACAGTCGCCTAAAGCTAGATTAGCCCTATGTTTATGAACAGACAGTCAACATAGTACTCACTGGGTGCATGATACTTCGATTGTGAAGATCATCTTGCTCAACCACATGTGATGCAGCAGCATTGATCAGACTAGCAAATGCTGGGCTGGTAGTAATATTTTGGGAACCATCAATCAGCTCGCTGTTTCCACTAGACGGGCCCATTTGAGCCGCGAAGCGTACCATTGCAATGACTGCTGAATGGCTTCGACCGGCAATAGCACAACCTAGTGTATCTAAGAAGAAATCTTTGGTGCGTTGAACCACTTCATCAGGGATGTCTGCATACTTCAGATCAACTGCCCATTTGACCAAACGGTCGGTTCGAGTTTCTTGAATAGAGCAAGCCATTGCAGCTAAAAGCAAAGATTATTCACAAGTGTCTAGTCTGATGGAACCGTTCTATACAACTGCAAGGCTTTGTCAAAATATATGCGGGGGTTGTAGCGGGCACTTCGGTTTCCTCTCCTCTTCCGAGGGAGGTTTATCCGAGGCATATAGCCGATTTAGATCTATAGATAATAGCGTTCTACTTAACTTTGGATCATACTGATCCGAGAGTATCTAAGTCAACCGTATTTGGAAGTTCCTTCCTTCTTACTGTTAAACTAACATCTAAATTATACTGTAAGTTAACGTGAAAGTTACTGCTGTAGATTCCATGTGATAGATATTCAAGCCTTGTTGCCTTACCGCCTGCATAATTAGGCATAAATATTGGCTCGGCCCGGGCATACTTTTCTCCTGGTAAATTCCTCAGATCAAAGGAAAGCAAGGGATTAATGTATTGTCTATCTGTTTTATTTGATATCACCGATTCCATATAACCTCATTAAACCCTATCCTCTTCTGCTATGCTTCTTGACTCCATACTACCACTGTGGAGTGTATAACAGCGATGATTTCATGCAAGCGGCCTTATTGAACCCGAAGGCGGAACGGGAAATTGATCTGCAACGGATCAACCGGAACAGCGCCCCTGGGCCATCTGCGGTCCCATACTTTCCCAGCCTTTTTCCTCTCCTTGCTTTCCCCGTATATATATTCAACAACCTATCTTCTCGTTCCAGATAACGCACATTCTTGTGCCTCGTCTTCATGGGGTTCACCTCCCGATTTCTCCGCATTCCGCGGCCAGAGGTAAGCCTCTTCGATCTGTGCGCCCGAACGAGCTAACCTAACCCCGATGACTTCAGACCTTTCTTTATGTGATGAGCTTAGAGACTGGTGCTTCTTTAATCACCCTATCTCTGCTATTGAACAAGATCAGTGGCCTCTATGGTCTGTTGGCCCTTTTGACCGGATACCACCTGTCCCCCGTTCAATTGTCGATGTACCTTTATTCTCTCGTCGCCCTCGGACTCGCCGCACTCCTTTTCCCTCATATTCGGAAACAATCACCGCTACAATGTCTCTTCCTCGCCTACCTTTACGTCTTCGACAGTCTGATTAACGCCGCCTACACTGCCGCATTTGGTGTGACTTGGTTCCTGGTGGTTTCGCAGCATTACGACAGTGGCAAGGGAGCAGGCCCAGGTGGTGACACCATCGCCCAGACCGCTGGCTTCACTAGCCCGAAATACGATGCTGCCTACGTCGAAATTCAAAACACCAAGGATGGTAACAAGTTTGTCGCACACCCACCTCGCGCCGCCGAAGACTTGAGCAGTGCCGTCCTCCAACCCGAGTCTCTCCCGAGTATCATCTTCATCTCCCTCCTGTGGGCCATGCGTGTGTACTTTGTCCTGGTGATGCTTGCATTTGCGCGCCAAACTATCCGCCTCTGGGTTGCTATTCCCCGTCATACTCAGCTCCCGACCCACAGTCGCAATGTGTCAGTGGCCAGCGTGGCTGATATTGACCGCGAGCCCTTTTCTGCCTACAGCCCCGAGGGCCAGGGGTGGAAAGGAAAGCTGGGCCGGTTCATGATTGGTATTGGTCACAACTACTGGCTCGGCGAAGAAGAGGATGGAAACTGGCTGAGTGGAATTAACCACAAATTCCGCAACCGTTCGAGCCCTACTGAGCTTCCTGGCGCTCTGGAGAGAGAAAGAAGACGCCGGTCCGGAACTGGCCCGCCACAGCCGTCGCGGTCCGTCGTTCAGTCCGCCACCGCCCAGCAGCCAATTCCCGAGCATGTCCCAGGCATGAATGTTAAAATGCAAGACTGGAGTGCGCCTCGCTAAATGATAATTTTGAATATGCCAGCGTCTTAAAACAGAAACGGCCATCTTCTTGTACATCGCCCCCTTTTGAACTCGCTCTTCTGTGTCTTCAACTGCCCCCAATCCTTCAGCTGGCTGCTCTCCGCCAGAGGACACAACTCGCTCCGGCTCTTGTGTTCGTCCCATCGTTTTCCGCGACGGCTGAATTCGACTGCCGATAGCTTTGCTTACTCGAGACCCCCGCTATCACGATCAAGCCCGAGTCTGCTCTCCTCAATAATAATGACATACTCTGCATATACAAATCTGGAACGGTCCAAGAATCTATGGCGTTGATTGATCACCCTGTTATCATTTGATATTTGGGAAAGGCGTTTTGAAATCTTGAATTTATCACCTTTACCCAGATGGGAGTTTGGGCGCTCTGTCACGCTCATGCACATCTAACATTGACACCTTTGCTTCTGGCGTCGGGATATGTGTACATTGCTTATTGGATATGGGGTTTGGTTCGGTTGGGAGAGTCACGCATATTTGACAAGAATTTCCATGTCTCTTATTGTACACACTAGCTTTTGGTCAATACCATATGCATATTATCTGTTTTTGATTGAAACAAAGTTAGAGTGATGAAGAAGAAGATCGCCAAATGAATAGAGTATGATATCTCTAGTGGCATTACCAGTCTTTATTGTAGCCACTTGAAACAAAATCCTTGTAAGGTGCATCTCACTCGGCCGAATTATTATGATAGTGGATCTAAATATTGGAGTCATACTCGAGCGAAGTCGGGGAACCGTTCCCCTCGTTTGTTTTCGGCACCTGACCGGTAATTTCCATTTTTGGGGATTTTCTCCTGCCTTGGGTGATGTAAGAATGGTATTGACCGGAACACCGGGGTAACTCCGAAGTGGAAAGGTCAGGCATCAGTAATTACCGTGGTGCGATTGGTGCCGCACTAGCAGAAATAGTAGAAATGGGAAGAGAAAAAAAAATTATAGTTGCACGATCATGCACATGGTGCATTCCATACCACCTCTAGGTCGGTGCTTCTAGTTTGACATCATGAAAGCAGATAGCTTGACATCTCGGGATTTGACTATACTTCTACAACCCCAGAAAGTCCGTAGAGCATTCGGTGTAGAGAGGAAAGCGAGAAAAGAGAGGAAGCAAACACCGCAAACACAAACCCCGACGCTGACGTGCTCGAGAAAGTCACGGGATCCCCCGCACCTGGAGCCTAATCGGGCTTGTTTGCATCTTTGCGACCAGTGGTTTGCACTGATGTCGTGATCGTACACCAATCAGCGGGCTGCTGATCTAACCCCGACGACGGAGAAATCGATGATCGTGGGAAAGAAAACCCGTGGAACATCTTTTTTCTTCTTGACGAGAGATCACTGATATTAGAGACCTTTTAATTGTCTCCTTCAATCTATTTGGCGCTTTGCTGCGAGTTGGGAGATCGCTGCAACTGATAAGCCAGATCCGCCCAATTTAACATCCCACCTCCACTGTGACTCGAAACAGCCAACAATTATAATGGCATCTGTCTCAAGTGCCGCCGAGGCTGGTAGGTCATGATACAATATTGAGATGCTTGCATAACGGCGCAATGGCTAATACTGCCATTGGTTTATAGTGGCGAGAATCGCCTACCTCACCAGCGATGTCGTTCTCTCTGTGCAGCCCTCTCTGCAGAACGACTCATTGTTCTCCAAGTCTCTCAAGGCCTTGAAGGCCAACAAGACAAGCAATGTCTCATCACAAAATACACATGTGAGTCATTTCGGAGAAAGCCCGCGAGATCGGAACCGAATTGACAATATGACCAGGTCCAAGCTGTGCGCTACAACGAGGACCCTCTTCTGTCCGCGTTCACCCCTTTGCAGAAGGGTGAACTTACCTCCGTGGTCACCAGCTCCTCCGTCCTGATCACTGCCGTTCCTCACCTCTACCGTCTCGCCAACAGCCCTGTCGTTATCCACGTTGCTCTGGAGCCCTCTCCCTTCCCCGATTACTCCGTGATCAGCTCCATCCGGCAATCCGGCTTCACATTCCTGCACTCTGAGACCGTGCAGGAAGCTCAGGATATTGCTATCACTGCCCACGCTCTTGCTCAAAAGTCTGGAAAGGGTGTGATTCACTTCTTCGACCCCGCCAACTCCGCCAAAGACCCCTCCATCGCCACCGAGGATATTGAGGTTGTTAAGAGGGTTCTCAATATCAGCACCAATGTTGCGACTCCCGCTGGAACCGAGACCCTCTATGCCGACTCGGGTCGTGTAGCCACAGTCAATGCCGAGTCCCTGGAAGCCCCCACTGGCCAGGAATCTACAACCTTGGCTCCTCCTTCTCAACCTCAGACTCCTTTCAACGCTAGCGTTGACAACTCTTCAGTGGGATCCTCTCGGAGGGAGAGCAGTGCTGGCAGCGAAACACCCAGCTCGACTGCCACCACCGTCGACAATGCCAACAGTACCCGACCCGTCAACGCCGCCGATATCTTCGACTGGACAGCTCAGATCTGGAACACTTTGTTCCAGGAAGTTGGCCGTAGATATAACGCTATTGAGTACACCGGTACCGCAAATGCCAAGTCTGCCATTTTTGTCTTTGGCTCAACCGGTGTCTTCGTTGACGCTCTGGCCAACGCTGGTGCGCAGTCCGAGCTTGAGAACATTGGCTTGATCACCGCACGTCTCTACCGCCCTTGGGTTGGCGGCCAGATCTCTGCCTCAATTCCCAGCTCCGTCGAGAAGATCGCTGTTCTCGAGCAGGTTCGCAAGACCACCAGGTGGGGTCCTTCTTTCATGGATCTCCTCTCCAGCCTCACCCCCTCCGGTGTGCGCGGCCAGGCCCCTCTGATTGTTGGATACCGCCTTGGATATATTGAGCCCTCCACTGCAGGTCAAGCTCTCCGTGGTGTCCTGCAGAACTTGGGTTCTGAATCTCCTATCCAGAACCTCGAGATTGGAAGCTCTCAGGTTCCCACTATCCAGAACACCCTCGAGCAGCCTCGCATTGAGAACGCTTACTTGAAGATTCTCAACCAACTCTTCGGTGAGCGTCTCCACATTGCCAACGAGTTGGGATCTCAGAATGCCGGTATCTCGAGCACCATTGCTGCAAGCCCCGAGTACGGTTTCGGATCTTTGCTGGCTCGCCAGGAGCACCGCCAGCGCTTCATTCGGGAGGTCGAAGAGGCCTCTAAGTCCACCACCTTTGCCACTGACATCCCTAAGACTTGGTTGTCTCGCTGGGCTCTGAACGTCAAAGAGGCCGCTAAGGCTAACAAGATCGCTCCCGAGCTCATTGCCCGCCTTTCCAACGACGGTTCTGCCCTTTCTCGCCAACTTCTGCAGTCCAAGAAGCTCTTCTACGAGGAGTCCGACTGGCTCATTGGTTCCGATGCCTGGGCTTATGACCTCGGAAACTCTGGTGTTCACCACGTCTTGGCCTCCGGTGCCAACGTGAACATGCTGATCATCGACTCTCAGCCCTACTCAGAGCGCTCTGCTGCTGACTCTACTCGCCGCAAGAAGGACATCGGTCTTTACGCCATGAACCGAGGTAACGCTTACGTTGCCTCCGTTGCTGTCTACAGCTCCTACACTCAGGTCCTCCAGGCCATGTCCGAGGCCCAGCAGTTCAAGGGTCCCTCTGTCGTCGTTGCCTACCTTCCTTACAACCAGGAGAATGACTCCGCTCTCACTGTGCTGCAAGAGACTAAGAAGGCTATTGATCTCGGCTACTGGCCTCTTTACCGCTGGAACCCTGACAACGAGGACAAGGGTGAGCCTAAGTTCTCTCTCGATTCTGAGCGCATCAAGCGTGAACTTGAGGAGTTCCTGCGCCGTGACAACCAGCTCACGCAGCTCATGAACCGTCACCCCAAGTACGCTCCTGTGCTTTCCGAGTCCTACGGCACTGAGGTCCGTGCTCTTCAGAAGAGAAATGCCAAGGACTCCTACGAGAAGCTCTTGGACGGTCTCTTCGGTGCTCCTCTGACCATTCTCTTCGCATCTGACGGTGGTAACGCCGAGAGCCTTTCCAAGCGTCTTGGAAACCGTGGTCGCGCCAGAGGTCTGAAGACTATGGTTATGGCCATGGATGACTTCCCCATTGAGGACCTTGCCACTGAGGAAAATGTTGTGTTCATCAGCAGTACAGCCGGTCAGGGTGAGTTCCCCGTCAACGGACGTGGTCTCTGGGAACACGTCAAGAACGCTGGCGACCTCGACTTGTCTTCCATTAACTACTCCGTCTTCGGTCTTGGTGATAGCCACTACTGGCCCCGCAAGGAGGACAAGGCTTACTACAACAAGCCCGCAAAGGACCTTGATGCTCGCATCGCCTTCCTGGGTGGTCGTAAGCTGACTGACCACGGTCTTGGCGATGACCAGGATCCTGATGCCTACCAAACTGGATACTCTGAATGGGAGCCTCGTCTTTGGAAGGCTCTGGGTGTGGACAATGTTGAGGGTCTGCCCGAGGAGCCAGCTCCTATCACTAACGAGGACATCAAGGTCGGCTCCAACTTCCTTCGCGGTACCATCGCTGAGGCTCTTCTGGATGAGAGCACTGGTGCTATCCCTGCCAGCGACCAGCAGCTGACCAAGTTCCACGGCACATACATGCAAGATGACCGTGATCTTCGCGATGAGCGCAAAGCCCAGGGCCTCGAGCCTGCCTACAGCTTCATGATTCGCTGCCGTCTCGCCGGTGGTGTTGCCACTCCCAAGCAGTGGCTGCAGATGGACGCTATTGCCAGCTCGCACGGTAACGAGACCATGAAGCTCACTACCCGACAGACCTTCCAGTTCCACGGTGTCATCAAGCGCAACCTTAAGGGTGCCATGCGTGCCATCAACAACTCCATGATGGACACTCTTGCTGCCTGTGGTGACGTGAACCGTAACGTCATGTGCAGTTCTCTTCCCGAGCTCTCTGAGTTCCACCGGGAGACCTGGGAATGGTCCAAGAAGATCAGTACCCACCTTCTTCCCTCTACCACCGCCTACCACGAGATCTGGCTTGAGGACGATGATAAGAAGAAGATTCAGGTTGCCGGTGATGCCATCGTTGACCACGAGCCCCTCTACGGCGAAACCTACCTTCCCCGCAAGTTCAAGATTACCATTGCCATTCCTCCTCACAACGACACTGATGTTTACGCTCACGACATTGGTCTTATTGCCATCAAGGGCGCTGACGGCCACCTCGAGGGCTTCAACGTCTTGGCTGGCGGTGGTATGGGTTCTACTCACAACAACACCAAGACCTACCCCCAGACTGGTCGCATGTTCGGATACATCCCCGCCGACATGATCCACATCGTTTGTGAGAAGATCATGCTCGTGCAGCGCGACAACGGTGACCGCAAGAACCGCAAGCACGCTCGTATGAAGTATACCATTGACGACATGACCGTTCCTGTCTTCCGCAGCAAGGTTGAGGAACTCCTCCCCGAGGGTCTGAAGTTCGCCGAGCCCCGTGCATTCGAGTTCAAGTCCAACGTCGACACCTACGGCTGGATCAAGGATGATACAGGTCTCAACCACTTCACTATGTTCATTGAAAACGGTCGTATCGAAGATACTTCCGACTTCAAGATGCGTACTGGTCTGCGTGAGCTTGCTGGTCTTGGAAAGGGAGAGTTCCGTCTCACTGGTAACCAGCACTTGATGATCTCTCGTGTTACCGACGAAGATCTACCTCTCATCAAGGAGACCTTGGCCAAGTACAAGCTTGACAACACCGCTTTCTCTGGTCTGCGTCTGTCTTCCTCGGCTTGTGTTGCCTTCCCCACTTGCGGTCTCGCCATGGCTGAGTCCGAGCGTTACCTCCCTGTCCTGATCTCTAAGCTCGAGACTACCCTCGAGGAGGTTGGCCTCGCTCGTGACAGCATTGTGATGCGTATGACTGGTTGCCCCAACGGTTGTGCTCGTCCTTGGCTCGCTGAAGTAGCCTTCGTCGGCAAGGCCTTCGGTGCCTACAACATGTACCTGGGCGGTGGTTACCACGGCCAGCGTCTGAACAAGCGCTTCCGCTCTTCCATCAAGGAGGACGAGATTCTCGAGATCATGAAAGACCTCCTCAAGCGCTACTCTCTCGAGCGTAACACCGACGGTGAGACTCCTGAGCGCTTCGGTGACTGGTGTATCCGCGCTGGTATCATCAAGGCTACCACCGATGGACAGAACTTCCACGCTGGTATCGCTGAAGATGAGGAAGAGGATGAGGAGTAATCGATTTATGACACATTCTGACCATGTCCAACTTGTTATGACCATGGGAAACCAACCCCTGCTTTTCTTTTTATTTGTTTGATATCTCACGTCGCAATGCATTAATTCTCTGGCGATTATGATTTCGTCTTGAAAAAAATGTTTTTAGATTATTTTCTATATGCCTCTTTCCTTCTTTCGTCCTGTGTCTATCTCATGATAAGCCAAGTCTTCTACTTGTGCGTACATACTGAAACACCACTCCCAATTGATATCCTGTTCTACTGTGAATAATTTCTCATCTAACTTCAACTGTCACTCTTCGCTGATTTATTTAAATTCAACCCCAGGCCTGCCATACGTGTCCACTGTCCCCGGTGTAACTGGACACGGGACTCAGGTGCCCAATCGGGCAATATCGCACTCTGTCATTAAGGTTAACCACCTCGTGGTGACATAGTCTTCAACCATGGATTTGGGAAAACGTCGCCAACAGAGCTGATGCATTGTTGACATCACAGCCACATCAGTCGTCTCCTCATCTTGATCCGTCTTGACCTTATGTCCCACTGTGAAGACTGACATGTCCAAAATCTCAAGGAACAAAAATTGTACTACATTGTCACCATGGTCTCAATATTAAAGGCTCCACTCACTCCTCTGCTCTACCTCGGTCGCCGATTTCGTCAAGATCAAGACTGGACCTACCGACAGGCCCTATCAAACACGTTCATGAAACTTTTCCTCCGAGTCTTCGTAGCCTTCCGCATCAAACCACCCTTGTCCCTCAAACCAGGCTTAGAAGGGGACCGTTTCGTCTCAGTTGAACCAGCCCCAGAAGAAATATATACAGGAATTACAGTCGACGAAGAAATCCACCCAGAAACTATAGGCGGAACTTGGTTCCCAACAGCCTATTCCTACAACACAACAACCTCCTCTGACAAACACATCATCCTCCACTTCCACGGCGGCTCCTATATCCTCGGCGATGGCCGCACAGCATCCTGCAAGTTCCTTGCACACAATCTCCTAACCCACACCCCTTCCAGTCACGTCTTCAGCCTCCAATACCGCCTAGCCTGCAACCCTAACAGCCGCTTCCCCGCCCAACTGCAAGACGCCATAACTGCCTACTGCTACCTAACTCACAGCCTTCACATCCCCGCCTCACGCATCGTCCTCAGTGGCGATTCCGCAGGTGGCCATTTAGTCCTGGCCCTTCTCCGCTACATAGCAGACTACGACGACGAGAAGATCCTCCCATCACCAGCATGCAGCTGGCTCTTCTCGCCGTGGTGCGATATCCCAAGTGCGAGAAATACAGGACTATGGAACAACCTGCCAAACGCAGCGGTGGATTATATCCCGCCCTCGTTCCCGGCGTGGGGAGCCAAACATGTCATCGGCAACCAGGAACTAAATAGGGCTGTTGAGCCTTATCTAGCGCCGCTTTGGCATCCTTTTACTTTGCCTTCGCCTGTGCTTGTTGCGACTGGTGGTCGTGAGGTCATGTGTCAGGAGCATGAGCGGTTGGCTAGACATTTGCAGAAATTGCCGCAGAATGAAGGCCGCGTGGAGTATTTTGTGCAGGATACTTTGCCGCATGATATTTTGATGGTGGCTTTGATTATGAATTTTAGGAAGGAGGCTGCGCAGTGTGCTGAGCATGCTGGTTGCTTTTTAGCGAAGCTTCATGCTATGTCTGATGAGAGTGAGGTTCCGGTTTTGGCGTTTGGTGAGTGAGGCTTGATGGGGAGGCTTGATTTGCTTTAGTCTGGGATTTGTTTGCTTCATACGTATATTTCGATTGAGGTAGGGCTATTCAGCGGTTGGAGTGGCGGTGAATTAATCAGATTGAGCTTTGCGAATAGTTGCTTGGAGACTTTGACTGGTACTTCTTATCCCGTCCAGGCGATTCAGATATCTTAAGCGTGGTCTCAACCGCCAGTCAATTCACTGATTAGCCCGAAGGTCCCTATATTTATCAAGTGTCTAAATGTGTTATTACGGTTACGCGGGGTTCGACTAAGCCGACATGGAAAGATATGTAACCAAAGTACTCTTGTATTGACGCGCAGATCCCGGAAGGACCTAGGAGGAGTCTAGCTAATTAAAACCCTGTTCGCATCCAGCCATTTACCACCAGCAGTTGAAATCGCACCAATCGCCCATCCCAATACCAAGACTCGCCTCCATGCTTGACTGCATCAATCGCATTGTCCTGGGTCTGTAATTCAAGCAATGCGGATCAGGCAAAGCAAGAACGTGTACCGTGCATCATCAAAATGACGGGAATGATTCTGTAGGTTGTAGGGACAAACTTGGTCCCGGTGGCTCGAATCCGCCTACCCAGGCCGGGGTAGACCCTGACGGCCGAAATGACCTGGCTTACCCGCAGCTTCAGCCTAGCTGGGGCTGCTCTGTCGGATGTTTCGATTCTTTCTCGAAGAATACATATGATGCGACACAGCGAGCACTTCGAGGGCTCGCTACTATATAGTCGACTGGTGGTTCATGATTTGGCACCTTAACAAAAAGGCACCGGTGTTTACGAGATCGATTGACTGAGCTCATTCACCTCCATGGGCAACATGCATTCGTTGGCGCGGTCCCACACTTTTTGGGCTCTGGCCGGTATAGCAGTCTACGATCTGGGGTTTCCTGAGAATGTAGCTTCTTCGACTCAATTTTTGTAACTCAAACCGTTACAAAGGTTGTTGTAGAGCAATGTATTTAAATGCCATCAATCCATGGTAGACGGGTGGCATGGCAATGGGCGGCTGGGTTGATCACAATGTGGTGGCAGATGGTTGGAGTTGAACAGGGGGGTTGCGTCTCTCACGCTAGGAAGGCATCGAGAGGAGATTGGCTTGCTCGATGATGACGGAGAAGATCCTCGACGTCGCTAAGTGAAGTGCTTGTTGAGAGGGAGGACAGCATTGGAGCTCTCTCAACACGACTCAGGGGTCCTCGAAGGACAGAAAGGGACACAGGGGATGCAGAATAAATATAGCGTGGGGCGGTGAATCGGAGCTCTTTTCTGCCCCCTCCCCGCCGACGAAATTCGATAAGCAAAAAAAAGTTCCGCGAATACTCTGGAGTCCTGCTTTGCTTCTAGGCATTTCTCTCTGTACCTATCGCAGCCTTCATACCAAAATGGCCCCCTCTACCGATGATCCCGTCATTGCCTCATATGATGTATTCCTCACTGACTCCGATATCTCTCGCTTTGTCTTTCAATACCTCGACCGAGATCAACAATTTCCCTACAGTGACAGGCACAACCAACGCCCTACTCAACTTCGCATGAAGGCGCGCACAGGAGTTGTTGAGGTCGATGTACCTATCAACACCCGTGGGAATTACGATGTTAACAAGGGAATGCGATACGGTGAGGCAATTAAGAAGAGCCGCTCATCTCGTGATGGAGGCGCTTACGGAATGTCCGGTGGCTTTACTGCTGGAGGTGCTGGTGCCAACTCTGGCGGCAGGGTGAAATTAGAGGGCAACAGCGATGTGGAAATTCTCGATAATAAGCGGGCAATGGATTCAGCTTCGTTGATGCGAACACAATCACTTGCAGGCCGGATAAAGCCTGCCGAGGAAGGCGATCCAATTTATATGCTGGCTACTTTCAAAGATAGTACGTTGAATTGCTGAAAGCAAGCCCCGAAAATATTTCTTGAAGGGACCCGGTTCTGACAGCTAGTCTAGAAAACCTGCACCTTTCGCCGGTCTCGTCGGTCGTTCAATTCCAACCTCAACTTCATCACCTCGATGCCTTGGATGAGATGCCTAAAGCAAAAGGCCGGAAAAGAGATGACGAGGATCGACCCGCTGAAAGCGAGGCCCGCGCAATCGATATCAAGGTCAAGGGAGCCGAAGATGGAGACACGAATAATGTTGGCGGAAATCTAGACCTTCTAAAGAAGATGCAGGAAGAGAAATGGAAAGCATACGGATGGATTGATGCCGAGGTTCGTTGTCGCAGATACATATATATGGTGGTACCTACTGACTCCCTTGCTCCAGACCGAAGACTCATGGTATACATATGAAAGCTACATGATGAACCAGGAACCTGAAACACTTCCAGCCATGGAGACAAATATAAACTCGGAAGACTACCTCGATAAAATGAGTGCTCCAAGGATCGATCCAGCGCGACCTGACCTCACTGGCTGGGCTATGAAGGAAAACCGCCGGAGACAACGCGAGGGTGCTTCGGAGAATGAGAACGACCAGTGATAACTTTTTGCAACATCAACCAATCCATTAATAGCGGTATTTTGGCATCTATCTATCTTTATCTTTAGATTCATCTCTTCCTACGTCCCTCAAAGAGTTTTTTTTTTGACCGAAAGGTTTGTTTTTACGTATCGCAAAGCTCCTACAGCAAGATCATAATTGTCATTAGCAGTCCGATGCGCCAATTTGCCATGGAACAGCACGGGTGCATATAGCAAGTAAACACGCGACTCTGCAGCCCTTGCCACCAAGATGGAGCTGTCCGCCAATCACATGCGATAAGATAGCTGGTCACGTGAGAGACGGTTTTTCTCCCGAGTCTCCGCCGCGACAGATCGAGAATCTCTTCCCCTTTTTCCATTACATTCCTTTCCCTCGTTTTTTTTGGGCTTTAATCGTGGGTTGCAGGCCAGCGCAAATTGCGGTGGGAAATCCATTCGGTTTCGCCTCTGCTATCATCGCGGTGTCTGTTTACTTGATCTGCACCTTGAAAGTTTACATCTCTTATCCATATAATTTGATCTTTAATATCTTCATCATTTCGCGCCTCTACCTGCCCTCAACGAAAACGCGAAATCCTCATATTCATCCACGATGTTGTCACGCGTGGCTCGTCAGAAAAATGCTCTCTTCCATTCACGGAAGGCCCATGCCCTTCGAACATCGATCTCCATGCCGACAACACGTCTCCATTCCTACACAAGCAACCGGGCTACCATCGTGAACCCGCCAATTAATGCGACCCAAACATATGCCCGCAGACCATCTTTCCAATCTAAACGTCATCTCGCTACGGCCGCCGACCACCCCGGTTTCGATACGCATTCAGCAGCCCCCTCCGACTCGTTCATGCGGATGCCCTACGAGTCGTTCGATGCCTCCTCCTTGGTCATTCTTGACTCTACCCCTCAGACACAATCCAAAGTCTTCCGCAGGAGGCACGGTGTTGGCGGCGATGAGACAGAAATGCGAGCAAACCTTGATGTCTCATTGAAAGTTGGCCACTTTGAGCGAGCTGCCCAATTAATCAATCGTCTTGGCCACTACCACCCGATTGGCTCCCAGGAGTACCTGAATTTACACAACCGCTACTTGAAGGAAATGGTATCGTACATGATTCTCAATCGGGCCCAAGAAATGGTCCTCCCTCTGCAGAAATGGTTCGAGGTGGATATGCCCGCCGGTGGTGTGACGCCCAATGAGGAGACCTTTGCAATCATGCTCCACATGGCCATCCGCATGCTTCATGGAACGAAGCGGGAAAGGACAGTACGTCGGTATTGGGAGCTTGCACAAAACGCAGGGCTTGAAGAGGAAATAGTCGGCTTGGAGATGCTGGAGGATTCCGATGTTGGAGAGCTGTCGCGGGTAAGCTTACCTCTTGAGTAGGTTTAATGAAGCCACACTAACAGTCTACAATCAGATTTGCTCTTCCGACATGCTGGACTTGGTGTCTCAATATATGATGATGGATGGGTCCCTGGACGGGCCTCTGGATGAATCCCAGCTTGAGCGCGTACCTGCTGTCGTGGATGATGCTCCCACGATTCAGTCGGTCGATCAAAAGGGATTAGGATTGTCATCTCTCAAAGATTCTTTGTCCCTCTTCACAGACGTAGCTGAAATTCAGCTACCCGCCGATTTCCAAGGTACTGAGGAAGAAGCACAGCTTTTGCGCAACAACATCAGACAACAGCGACTGGAAGCCGATGGCGTTGAATCGGCACTTACTCGTTGGCGCACAGAGAATGCCAAGAGACAAAAAGCAGGCCTGAATGCCCCGTCCGAGGAAAAGCGCCTCAACTTTGTCCTAAGTCAATGGCACACGGATCTTGTGGCAAGAATCAAACAGGAATTGGAACTTGTCGAAGAGGCACTGGCGAACCCAATTACAAGCATTGAGCAGCGTGATCGTTGTGATTATGGCGTATACCTTCAATCGCTCGATGCTGATCGATTGGCTGCACTCACCATTATTACAGTCATGGCCGTGTTCAGCCGCACGGGAATGGACAAAGGAATCAAGCTTTCTGCTATCGCCACGAGCCTTGGAAAAGAACTGCAAGACGAATTGATCGCCAAAAGGGTCATAGCAAAAAGCAAGGGTGTAAACCCAATCCGCCTTAAGGCCCTGAAGGAGACTCTCGCAAACCGCAAGACCAAGGATGGCCGCATGCGATGGAAGAACCTTGTTGAAAAAGCCAACGAAGAAGAGTCACACGTTCACTGGGGCTCCCGTGTACAAGTCAGAGTTGGTGCAAGTCTCATGAGCATGCTCTTCGATGCCGCTAAAATCTCCGTCTGGACCGAGGACGCTGTTACCAAGAAGAAAGTTCGCACTACGCCACCAGCCTTCCAACACGCTTATCAAATTCACTATGGAAAACGCTCGGGTCTTATCCATATGCACCCTGAAATTGTCAAAATCGTGACAAAAGAGCCTGCTTCTGAATTGTTGGCCCGCCACCTCCCCATGGTCACCAAACCAAAGCCGTGGATTGGACCAAGGAACGGTGGTTACACAGTCTATGAAAGCAGCCTGGTGCGCAGTACTGCCGGTGAAATCTTACAACCGGCTTACATCAAAGCCGCTATGAAGGACGATGGCATGAAGGATATTCGAGCTGGTCTTGATGTTCTTGGAAGTACTGCCTGGAGAATCAACCGGCCCGTCTTCGATGTAATGGTTCAAGCTTGGAACACTGGAGACGCTGTGGGAAAAATTGCTCCCCTGGACCCAGAACTGCCAATGCCGTCACAGCCAAGTTCGGATGCCTCCCCTGCAGAACAGCAACAATGGAGTCGACGGGTGCGAGAAATCGAGAACCTTCGTTCTGGATACCACTCTATTCGCTGTTTCCAGAATTTCCAACTCGAAATCGCCAGAGCCTACCGAAGCGAGGTCTTCTACTTACCTCATAACATGGACTTCCGAGGCAGAGCATACCCTCTTCCTCCCTATCTGAACCAGATGGGAGCTGACAACTGCAGAGGGTTACTGCTTTTCGATACAGGCAAAGAACTCGGTGTAAGTGGCTTGCGCTGGTTGAAGATTCAGGTTGCAAACTTGAGTGGCTTTGATAAGGCCAGTATGTCTGAACGAGAGCAATACACCATGGACAAATTGGATGATGTTCTGGACTCCGCCAACAACGGTCTCAACGGACGCAAATGGTGGCTCAAAGCAGAGGATCCATGGCAGTGTCTGGCTGCCTGTGTTGAATTGCGCAACGCCTTGGAACTATCTGACCCCACTAAATATGTGTCTCATCTTCCCATCCATCAGGATGGTTCCTGCAATGGTCTTCAACACTACGCTGCCCTGGGTGGTGACAAGGCCGGTGCTCAACAAGTCAACCTTGAGCCCTCAGATCGCCCGTCAGATGTTTATTCCGGCGTATGTGACTTTGTCAACGAGAGTATTACGCAGGACGCGGCCAATGGCAATGATTTAGCCAAGGTTCTCGATGGCAGAGTGACAAGAAAGATCGTGAAGCAGACAGTTATGACCAATGTATACGGCGTGACTTTCATGGGAGCGACAAGACAAGTGAAAAAGCAGCTTATCGACTACTTACCAGACCTGTCTGGCCAAGAAAGGATCCAGGCGTCTATTTATATCGCCCAGAAAATTTTCGGCGCTCTTGGCAGCATGTTCAATGGAGCTCACGACATTCAATATTGGCTCGGCGACTCTGCGCTCCGCATCACACAGTCCTTAACACCGGAGCAAATCGAACAACTCACTGAGCAAGTGTTGACACACAAGGCCAACACCGGCTCTGCTACTCCCAGAGCCCTCGACCCCGAGAAGTCTTTCCAGTCGACTGTCATCTGGACCACTCCGCTGGGTCTTCCAGTTGTCCAGCCATACCGAACTCGGAAGGCTCGCCGTGTGCAAACTACCTTGCAAGAAATCAGTATCATGGATCCAAGTGTCGATGATGTTGTCTCCAAGCGCAAGCAGCTTCAAGCTTTCCCGCCTAACTTCATTCATTCACTCGATGCCACGCACATGATTTTGTCTGCCAACGCTTGCCACGAAGCAGGCCTGACCTTCTCCGCCGTCCATGATTCCTTCTGGACCCATGCCGGTGATGTCGACCAGATGAATGAAATGCTTCGAGATGCTTTTGTTCGCATGCACAGTGACGATATTATTGGCCGTCTCGCATCCGAGTTCAAGGTGCGATATGGCAAGAACTTGTTCCTTGCCAGAGTTCCTTTGACCGGCAAGCACGGCAAAGCAATTCGCGCTCTGCGGAAGGGCGGTAAGAGCTCTAAACTCGCCGAGCTGATTCAAGAGCAACGACGACAGACTCTTCTTAGGTCCGACGACCCCGAAGACCAGGCGGAAGGTCGTGCTATGGTCACCCCCGCCAGCGTGTTTGAAGAGATGGGTGGCACAGACGAAGACCTGTCCATGACCAAATCATTGGGTGCAACCGCAATGGGCCATGTGCCCGAGAACCTTGAATCCGCAGAGCGTGCGCCTATGTTAGACGGAATCGATACCGCCGATCCGGCCATCCAGGGTCTGATTGGAAACATGGACTTGCCCGACGGCAAGCTTCTTGACGACGAACCAGAGCCTGTGCTAGAAACCACGGACAAGCCTGCTCCCGCTAAGAAACAATCATCCCGCGCCGCGACAACTTGGATGTGGGTTCCGCTGAGATTCCGCTCAGTCCCTAAGAAGGGAGACTGGGATTTGACTCGCATTCGCGAAAGCAAGTACTTCTTCTCTTGAGACCCGCTTCTTCGGCTCCTTGGGCTTCCATTTCATCATCCCTCTAGCGTTGCATACCTTCACATTTCCTCATTTCATCTCCGGAGTCCCGTCGAAGCGTGACTTCTCCATGCATATTAGATGTCTTTTAATCTTCTGTATATTTCCTCATTCCCCATTTGTTCCCCTGGGTTTCATTGTTTGCATTTTTGTATATTCTATCATGTTAGAAGGGGCATTGGGGGACAAAAAAACAACCATGCATATAGCGATGTACGAATATGATCTTAGATTCCAATTTATCTCAATCTACAACTTGGCCAACTTCAGTAGTGTGTTTAACCTAGACAAGTACAGCATGAAGATCTTCAGGCTAATTAGCCGGCCAGGGGTATCGATGGGTTTAGGCAAAATAGAACAGCCGGCAGGGCAATCTGGGGGAATCCGGCTTCAGCTCAGTCGCTGCCAAGTTTTCATTTGCTGGGATAATGAGTCCCTAGGTTGCATATACCAATCATTTCCAAAGTTTGTCAAGGGTCTTCTGTCGGAGCTGCGCTCGGCAGTGAATGAAACGGGTTGTCTACCGATAGTGGGCCATTTCAGTACCTTTGTCCTTAACCACTCTCTAGCCAAGACCGAGGCACCTGACCGAGAAGGTCAGATGGTTGAGGGGGTCCAAGTCCCCGTCTGGTGCTTCTCCGAGCCCTCTTGAATACGGGGCGCAGGCCTGCTTTGTACAGATGACCGGGATCACACTGGATAAAGTGCCAACCAATAAGCCCAAAGTGCAAGGGGTGCAGGTTCAAACCGGGTCAAGGGGAGTCTGCCGGTAGAAGTGCATTAAACAGGAGAATCGAGAACGTGAAACTGGGATTGTAGAAGTTCAAGTAGAAATCGAAGGGAAGGGGTTGACTTGGGAGTTTATACCCCGTGCAACACGTGCCCGTTCCCCCGCCTTTCTCGATTTCCCCAGATCGTCAGGTTCACAACTTCGTTTCTATTTATTGATTCTGTTGGACCCTGAGACCCGTACGGAGTAGACCCTTCGCAATCATCTTCTCTTGCCGAGAATCAAGCTTTGGGTCCTCGGCTCCGCCGAAAAAAAAAAAGTCGCCTCCGGGATCTGGGGTTCCGCTACGGCCTCTCATGTCGTTCCACTGACTCTTATGCCTCCCGTCTCCTCGATCGCCTCTCCCGTCAGACTCACCTCGGTCGAAAAGATCAGGATTAAGTCCTATCGATTCGCGCCGTCGCTCTATGTCGACCTAGAGTGTCTTTCCGCCTCCTCGGAGAAGCATGTCAACAACCTCCCTCCAATCCGCGCCCATTTCCTATCCGCCCTTCTCAGCCCAGCCACAATCTAAACGAATGCCCCAATCCCAAACCCCCGGGCTGGACACGCTTGCGGAGGGGTCACAGTATGCTCTGGAACAACTCCAGCTAGCACGGGAAGCTGGCGCAGCCAACACCCCTTCAGACCTCGCTCAATCGCTCCCTGATTCCAAAGTCCCGCATACCCAGCATCTCCTATATAGTGAACAAGACGCCTCCGGTCTGAAAGGTCCACAATCGCGTGACAGCCTGGCGGAGGCTCGCTCCGTAATTCGCAAGAACTCGTCTGCAACTCCGGTCCGGCGGAGAATTAGCCGGGCGTGCGACCAGTGCAACCAGTTGCGAACCAAGTGCGACGGGCAAAATCCATGCGCACATTGCGTTGGTATGGGCATCTTAGAAAATTATTCTTAGCTTGGAGAATATTTAAATTAACGAATCACAGAGTTCGGACTCAGTTGCGAATACGCCCGCGAGCGCAAGAAACGCGGGAAAGCATCGAAAAAGGATATAGCTGCAACCGTCACCACCGACAGCGAAGTTGGTAGCAAAGACAGTGCGACACATACCCAAAGCCAGCCCTCGAACGGCCATTCTATCACCGAGTCCAACGAACGCTACGACCCAGCCTTTGATGCTGCCCGCACTTTATCCGAAAGCGCACAATCACGACCACATAACGCTGAGATACCTGGCTTGCCTGGGATGCGCCAAAATCAGACACCAGTACAAGCTTCGCAGCAGCAGATTAGCTCTAGCATGGCAAGTATACCCTTCAGTCACTACGAAGCACTACAGGAATCACATCGACCACCAATGCCCGTACCCGATTTGCGCTCTTTACATATGATGCAATCTGCGAGTGCAAACCCTCGGTCGCCTGGCTCAATGCTTCAATCTCAAGCCTTTGGATCAAGTTATAACGATGGTGCGTACCCTCTTATAAATGCACAAGAGGCAAACCCAACGTCCATGAACCAGTTCCGCCTCGGGAACTCGGCGGAGAATCATCCAGCTTCATTCCTAGGGTTTTCTCCGCCGGGTCAATCGCCCAGTTGGCTGCCGCTCCCTTCTCCGTCTCCCGCCAATTTTCCATCTTTCAGCATGCCACCTTTCTCTAGTTCGTTGAGATACCCCGTTTTGCAACCAGTTCTTCCACACATCGTGTCTATAATCCCTCAATCGCTCGCCTGTGACCTTCTCGATGTCTACTTTACCAGCTCTTCTTCCTCGCATCTATCTCCGTCATCCCCGTATGTTGTGGGTTATGTTTTCCGCAAACTATCCTTCCTACACCCCACAAAACCGCGGGCGTGTAGTCCCGGTCTTCTCGCTAGTATGCTATGGGTAGCTGCGCAAACAAGTGAAGCTGCATTTTTGACATCTCCTCCCTCTGCTCGTGGGCGTGTTTGCCAAAAGCTTTTGGAATTGACTGTTGGCTTGCTTAGACCACTGATTCATGGGCCTGCAACTGGCGAGGCATCCCCCAATTATCCCGCTAATATGGTGATCAACGGGGTCGCTCTAGGTGGATTTGGTGTATCAATGGACCAATTAGGCGCCCAGAGCAGTGCAACTGGCGCTGTGGATGATGTTGCTACGTACGTCCACTTGGCCACTGTCGTTTCTGCTAGCGAATACAAGGCTGCAAGTATGCGATGGTGGACAGCAGCTTGGTCTCTTGCACGAGAGCTCAAGTTGGGTCGCGAACTTCCGCCGAATGCGACAACTCGCCAGGACGGCGAACTAGAAGGCGAAGGCGAACTTGATGTGAATGGCAAACGGCAACCATCCCAGCTCATGGGCCATGGTCCTGGTAACTCGACTGTCAATCTCACAGAAGAGGAACGCGAAGAGCGCCGTCGCATATGGTGGTTGTTATATGCCACTGATCGCCATCTAGCGCTCTGCTATAACCGTCCTTTGACTCTTCTCGATAAGGAGTGCGAGGGTTTATTACAACCTATGAACGACGACATCTGGCAAACGGGGGATTTCTCGTCAGTCAACTACCGTCGTGCCGGTCCCTCCTTTGAGTGCACAGGTCACAGCATGTTCGGATACTTTTTACCACTGATGTCTATACTGGGTGAAATTGTGGATCTTCAACATGCTCGCAACCACCCACGATTCGGTCTTCATTTCCGTAACAGCGGTGAATGGGAATACCAGGCGATGGAAATCAGCCGACAGCTCGATGTTTACGCCCAGAGCTTGAAAGAGTTTGAAGCCCGGTTCACGAGCTCCCTTGCTCTCGGTCCAGAGACCGATACTGCCATGGAAGGATCCAATCTCAATCATGTCAGCCCGTCGGGTCGATCGAGTAGTACTGTCGGATCGCATGTTAGCGAGTCTATCGTCCATACAAGGATGGTAGTTGCTTATGGCACCCACATCATGCACGTTCTTCACATCCTGCTGGCTGGAAAATGGGATCCGATCAATCTTCTCGATGATAATGACCTCTGGATTTCATCTGAATCGTTCATTACGGCCATGGGACATGCTGTCAGCTCTGCTGAAGCCGCTTCGGATATTCTAGAATACGACCCCGATCTGAGTTTCATGCCCTTCTTCTTCGGTATATATCTGCTGCAAGGTAGCTTCCTCCTACTTTTGACTGCAGATAAGTTGCAAGGTGATGCTAGCCCAAGTGTGGTTAGAGCATGCGAGACTATCGTACGAGCACATGAGGCTTGTGTTGTGACGTTGAACACTGAATATCAGGTAAGTACCCCAATCCTACCTGCACCGTCAAGTATCAGTACTAATTTTCACCTAGCGAACTTTCCGAAAAGTAATGCGCTCGGCTCTTGCTCAGGTCCGCGGTCGTGTCCCAGAAGACTTTGGCGAGCAGCAGCAGCGCCGGCGTGAAGTACTGGCCCTTTACCGCTGGAGCGGGGACGGCAGTGGCCTTGCGCTCTAGTTGACACATTCACCGCCTATTATTTCGTCATTGATCCAGTATATATTTTTCTTTCTTGTTGGTTCTGATTTACGTCTTGTATACTACATCTCTTGGATTTTGGACATACCCCGAGGAGCGAAAAGGCGTATTCTTTGTCTACTTATTTACTCGACACATACCACACCTTCCATTCCTATATTGACTCTGGTGTTTGGAAACCAGATGTATGAAATACAATCGTTGAGTTGAGCTCAATTAGTAACGATACGTCGTATGAAATCCATGGATATATGGCGATAGGTAAGTTCAGGGCTAGCGCTGAATAACCAAATACACATAGCAGATGACAGTCTCTCCACATTGGGGCCTTCTTTTTAAGTGCATTATTCTCATCCTTGTTTTTGACACTTTGCTACATAACGTTCTTCATTGCTTGATGAATCAGTGAATATCTTATTCCGTGAGTGGAGGACCTGGAATTGCCATAGACTACCCTTCAAAATTAAGACGGCGCTAGACTCTACAAGGCTGACGATAGGGCTCTTCCGTGCGAAATAATTCAAATGAATTATGCTCAAAGGTGGGTTTGTCATGTGGAACTGTGGACCTATTAATTTTGTCGACACTGATAGATGAACGCATATTTATCACCTTGAAATGACCTAACGGCATCTATAAAGGCTTGATTAGGTACGCTCATGCCACCACCCTGATGTCACATCATAACCAGGGAGCTTTATATACTAGAGCCTGATGTATAGTCCGAGTATTCAGTCAATGCTACCTATAGCTACATTGTCTCGTAACTATGAGCATAGCCTTCAAATTTATGCATATAGACTACTATAGCTGCCCATTGATACAAGGGGTACTGCACGGGGCTTGGTATAGAAACCTCTATGGAAAATCGCCAATTACGGGATTCTCTCATGATATAGAATCCAGTCTATTAGGAAATACCCATTCAATGTCCCTCCATTTATACAAGATCGATAGACGTCATGTGACAGTGCTTATTTGGCCCCACTTCAGCTCCAGCTCCAACCCCAACTCCGATTCCAACCTCTAACTTCCAACTTCCAACTCCAGACTTTCTCACCCAAACAGTCTTGGGGTTAAAGCCACTACAATGAAACCATATATTGGTATCCCACTTGTCTTCGGGCTCGTCTATCGAGCCTGGTCTCGCAAATCCCTTACCCCACTAGGCCTCGTTGTTGCGGGATGTTCGGCCTCCGCACACGCCCTCCACCCATGGTCAGCCCCAGTTGCGCTATTGGCGGTATTCTATTTTGGTGGAACAAAGGTTACAAAGGTGAGTGTCAGATCCTTTGGGGCTGGGGCTTATTTGCTGCCAACGCTCGGTCTGGCGGTGTATATTAATCTTTATCACGTTACTGATGATATTCCGCAATGCTAGGTAAAACACGAGATCAAATCCCGCTTGACACTCTCCGCTACCGGCACAGAGGGCGGCGAAGGTCCTCGTAACCACATTCAAGTCCTCGCAAACTCTATTGTTGGAACGATCCTATCTATCCTCCACGCCATTGTTCTAGCCAAATCGACAGACACAGAATCATGTTTCTCACTCGGCCAAAATGCGGCTGATATTTTGATGGTTGGGATTGTCGCGTATGTAGTTCTTTCATCTTCCCTTTTTTTTCATCTGCGCCCCCTCTGTTTCGATTACATGCTAACTGCAATCAATTATAGAAATTACGCCGCCGTCGCCGCAGACACGTTCTCCTCTGAACTTGGCATTCTCTCCAAATCCAAACCTCGTCTCATAACTTCCCTCAATTTCCGTGAAGTTCCCCCTGGTACAAACGGTGGTGTCACTGCAACTGGGCTGGGAGCTGGTCTTCTGGGTTCATTCATTGTCTCTTTAACATCTGCGGCTGTTCTTCCATTTTGTTCTAGCGCAGGCATTAAAGAGCGAGCACTTTGGACTGTGGCAATGACCTTTTGGGGAGCACTGGGAAGCGTTCTTGATAGTGTTCTTGGTGGCCTTTTGCAAGCTAGTGTTGTTGATAAGAGGAGTGGGAAAGTTGTCGAGGGAAGTGGCGGTAGGAAGGTATGTCGTCAACCATTCATAGATGATGAGCTTTACTCACCACTTTATACAGGTCTTGATTCACACTGTCTCCTCCAAAAGGTCGACCATAGATGCTTCTCACGCCGAAGCTACGGGTAGCGCTGTCAATGCGGCTTCATCCTGCGGCAGCGAAGAAAAGGTTGAGTTGCAAGAAGAAACACATGAAAGCCGCCGTGTCGAAACTGGTCATGATTGGCTTGATAATAATGGTGTGAACATCTTTATGGCTGCTTCGATGAGTGTTGGGGCCATGGGCATTGCACAGTATGTATGGGGACTGAATGTATATGAGCTGCTTGTATGAATTAGCTGTGCAGAGGTCACTCTACTGTCTGTAAGTATCATCAAGCACACCTGATCTAGCTTGGGTGACCTACTTTTTTGGAGCTTAATCTACATACGGCTCCAATTACCTGTCTCTAATTTATCTCATTGAAAACGTAGGTATTAAGAAGAAAATCAACGTGATAATAATGTCAAGAGTCCCATTTCGTCCGACGTAGGGATTTCCCAGCATATTGCTTATCTGCACCTTCCACCCCAGAACCCTCCAGGGTTGTATGTAGTGAGATCCTTCGTTCCTTCTCAACTCTTCTTCGTTGACGTGTCACGTGCCACTCTGGCCCTACATCGTGAGTACCTTTCGTTTACTTTGGCAAGCAAATATGCTTACCCAGAACCCTCCAGGGTTACATGTACTGAGATCTTCGTTCCTTCTCAACTCTTCCTCGTTTACGTGTCACGTGCCACTCTGGCCCTACATCGTGAGCACCTCCTTCGTTTACTTCGGCAGGCAAATACGCTTACTGACCACCTCATGCTACAAATAGCAAAGATGAACCAGCTGCAGGTCGAGGCAAGGCCTACTGGCGCGAACATGTCCATCATCCGCATCAAGAAGCCAGGCATTCGTCTCTTGCCAGACATTTTTCGTGATGAGCAAGACGTTCCTCTCCAGGCCAACGGGTTCATTCGCCGTGAATACATGATCAATGGCTATGCTGAAGAGAAGTTCTTTGCCACCCGTCTCGTTCTCTATTACCCCGAGAATCTGTCTAAGTTTTCGGGACTTGCTGTTGTTGAGCCTGCTGGTGTATCAGACAGGAGACAGGTCTGGTCCAAAATCAAACGGTGGATAATGAGAAACGGTGATTCAACTCCTTCTTAAGACTTATTTCTCCCCCCGTCTAACAATTCTATAGGTCACGCATGGATTGAAATCGATTCACAGGCCCCCAGTGCCTTAGAACTCAGGAAATTGGACAGGAATCGCTACAGGGAAATCACTTTCACCCCAACTCCACTCTTGAAGCAACTCCTCCGTCAAACACGATCAGATTCGAATGTTTCCAAGACATCACTTTGGTCGAAATACAAAATGTTTAAGCAATTATGGTGGGCAACAACTATGCAGTCTCCACAGATACTGGTTGCTGCCTCGTATGCTGCAAGATCTGGCGATTTGCGAATCAAAGCAAACCGCGTGATTCTGTGTGGATTGGCTGAGACAGGCGATGTGACCCGTCGGTTCATCCTCCACGAATCTCGTCTCCAGTTGCCTGATGGAACAATTCCATTCGAAGGATTTCTGCCATTCCAGAGTGACGGTGGACCTGCACTGGAGGACCCACGCTCGCCTGCTATCAAAATCATCGAAACAATGGGCGAGTACGATCTCTTCTCCCACGCATCCCTCTACAGAGAGCAAGATGACCGATTGACCTACCCCCACCGCCGCGAGGATAGCCACAGCTACCGCTTGTACGAGGTCCCCGGTCTGCCGGCCCGCAATGCTACTTACATTACCAGGGCGGAAATCACTAATATGGCTCCTGGTGCCTACAAGGCCGGCGAATGGAGCAGCTTCTGCAGCTCCTACATTTACCATGCCATCTTCGAAGCCATGGATAAATGGATCACCACGAACGTCGCACCCGTGCCGGGTGCTGTGATGGCCACTACGGAGCGTGGAGATTTTATTCAGGATATGCACGGAAACACCATTGGAGGGATTCGGACTGTGCACTCGGAGGCTCCCACGTCGAAGCTGGTTGATGTCAAGATGAACAGCCGGCGTACATGGTTCAGTGGTAAGTGGTATTCCTGGTGCCAATTAAAGATAAGCTCCGCCGTGACTGACACTATTCTAAAGGATCGGAGCGCCCATTTAATAAGGCAAAGATGAAGGCAAACTACAGAAATATTGCCAATTATCGCAAGTTGGCCACTGAGGCTATCCAAGCTCAGCTTCGAGTCGGATTCTTGCTGGAGGATGACCGTGAAATCCTGCACCGTGATACTGTTGAGAATGTTGTCTTCTAATTCGTGATACTGTTGAGAATATCGGTTGTCTTCTAATTATTGTTACCAAACATCAGGAAGGAACTCCAATCACTCCAATTGATATTTTTATCTGATTGCTCCTCGCTCCACAGTATTTGTAATTTCCGATCCTAACGGAACTTGTATCAATTGCTCTCACCTCAACGTAGTTGAAAATCAAGACCAAAGATCTAAAATAATGCATATAAGTTGAAATCCAGTACTTAACACCTCCGTCAACCAGAGGCCTCATACAGTTCGGACTAAATCTCATGGCGCAGAGGCTCATTTATATTGTGAACTACATTATCAAAAAAGTTTCGGAATAAAATGCAGAAAGCAAAAAAACATACAACAGTAAGGATTCGCTAGTGGTCACCCACCTAACTACTAACTTACCGGCGTGTGGCTTAAGTACGGCTGAGCGGACGGGAAGCCCTGTTCTCCACACCCTGTGGTCGTATGTACTTGTTTTACTATTAAAGGAAAATATATAGAGTAGAATAGAATGATTCTAACAGTGATACTAGTTACATTAAGGCGCAGAGCCACACGGGAGTTTACTATAAAAGTCTTGGTATGTTTTCCCCGCCGGAGCCAAGACGAGTCGTCTATCTGCCTTCCCTTCTTCTTCTTCTTCTCCTCTCTCCTGCACCCGATCTCGGAAAAGTAATCAAAAATGGAACCGAACTGGCTGACTGCACGCAACAACCATACATACGAAAATGGACGCCGCTACCATGGCTTCAAGGCCGAATTCCCCTTTCCAGACGACCAAAAGGCCACCTCAGCACACGCAATGATCAGCACCATGTGGCATCATCTTCTAGACGGCAGGACTTTTATTGCCCCCCTGGATCCCGTCCAGAAAAACCACAAGTTTCTCGAATTCGCTACCCGCAGCGGCTCCTGGACGATCATGGCGCTGGACCGCCATCATCCTGCCCCGCGCTTGATGGGGATGGACCCGGCCCATATGTCTCCAAATCTCCAGTATTTCGAACACCACGAGCTGGAGGGCGATTGGCCGTTTACTGCAAAACAGGCGTTTCATTTGATCCATGCGCAGTCGCTAGGCGGGGTGATTGCCGACTATGACAAGTTCTACGCTAACGCGTTCCAGCATCTTCTCCCGGGAGGGTGGTTAGAAGTGTGGGAGAACGATTTACGCTTCTTCACCGATAACGAACAAGATGAAACTCGGCTAGTGGCACTGAGGGAGTGGGAGGCGCTGATGCACGAGGCAGCAGCCAAGTTTGGCAAGCGAGTTGACGTGGCAGCTGAGCAGAAGGAGCTGATGCGTTCAGCTGGCTATGTGCAAGTCGATGAACAGATATTCAAGGTAAGTGAGTCCGAAATAGGATAGAGATTCAACGATAATCCGTATATATGTTATGGCCTAAGGGGCTGACTATCGGATACTTGTGAATAGGTCCCCTATGGCGAGTGGAGTGACGACCCAACTTTGAAAAATATTGGGGGGTACTACGTATTCCAGATGCAGTGCGCGCTAGAAGGATATACGCTACGTCTATTCACGAAGACATTGGGCTGGTCAAAGGAAGACACCGATGTCCTGATTAGTCGGGTGCAGGAGGAACTACAGCAAAAGGATCTGCGGCTCTACTCATATTTCCATCTCGTCATAGGGCAGAAGCCAAAACAAGCCGCTCGAAACTAACAGGGAGGAGGGAGGATAGAAAGCAAAGAGGATAACCCGAAAGAGAGAGAGAGATTGCTGGACAGCAAACTTCAAGGGATGAAGTGCGCTTAAGCATTTGAAACAAGAGAGGAGCTCTTTGACTTGACAATTTGCGAATAACAAACCCCGATTAACTACTATACAAATGTATTCTAAGTACTAGTCTCTGCCTCAAGGGCTTCCCAACTCCAGACCGGCCCAACACAATACGTAGCTCCCACCTGTAACAGCCCTGTGCAGGCTTCAGTAGCATTACCAGCCAGACTAGGGTTGACCTCACGGAAAAGGTCGCTTGTGATACCGGTCGACGTGCAGATCTTCGCGCACGTATCGTCGGCCGCCGCAACAGTGTACCAGCTGCCGCAATAATTGGTAGTGCCATTGGCGACAGTGCTGTTGGCCGGCGGCAGAATAACAATGCTTGTGTAGCCGGTGCTGCCACCAGGTGCGACTACGACACCAGGGATAGGGTTGGAAACGTTGTAGATGCCCCCCTGCGGCGACAAGCAGAGAGTGCGGCCGTGGATCCAGACCGTAGAGACCAGGTTGTCACAAAAGTAATTGATCCACGGGTTATAGGCGCCCAGGTTTCCGAGGCCGATGCCTGTATCGAGCTCGATAGACTCGCAAGTGTCGGTGTCCTCCAGCATGTATAGCTCGTGGCAGGTGAGCGGGATGCAGAGCTCGTTGCCAGCAGCCAGCGTAGTGCAGTTGGTGATATAGCCAGTGTTGGCGCTCTGTAGGGCAGCTGAGGCTACCGAGTAGGTAAGCGCCACGCTGTCACAGCTGTCGCCAACCTGTGAGGTATAGGTCACGCCGGTGAAGCAGGGGATGGGCTCCTGCTCGATGGGGATGTACTGCGGATCCTGCACGTCCGTAGGGCCAACCTCGACTCCACAGGTGCTATATATATACTCTAGCCTTGCCTTGAGATACGGAGACTCCAGTGTGGACTGAAAGATGGAGTAAGGCGACGACTGCATCATGATGTTCAAGTTCACGTAGCACCACGAACATAGCTCGTCCCGCGGCATTTCTTCGTACGAATCGACAATCGTAAACGTATCAATCAAATCTACTTTGTCAGTTCAAATATTATATCATGAGGATGACGGACAAAAACATACTGTTACAGTAAACATCCGTGTCCGGATCTTTCAGGCACGTCTCGTTGTATCCCGTCCAGATGGTCCCTCCAGCGCGTGCAGGAAAAGTGACGGCAGATTTGACGGTGAAGTTCTGGCCCTGGCATGCTGAAACAACCCCGTCATAATAGCTCTGTAGAGATCGGCCGCAGCCAGTGTCGCATACAGCGTCTGTCAGGTTCTTGCTGTCTAAAGACCCGTGCATCTCGGGTTGTTGCCAGCCCTCCAGCATCTCCTGGCACTGGATCCTCTGCTTCATAGCCGTCTGACAGGCTGTCGTCAGGTCGGCAATGCGGCTACTGTCATCGCGGTAGATCTGAAACCCTTCAAACTTGCGTTCACCAATGGTTGTGTTGGACGAGTTGCGCACCCAGGCTAGGATGGACGATAGAAACCCGTTGCGGTTATCTACGGCACGTGTGACGAGCTCACCGACGGGCGATACCATCTCGACAATGGCCTTGGTGCACAGGTTGTAGATCCAGATGTCATTGCTCTGCTCGATGAAGAATCCCCGCTGTTGGCAGTCCTCGGTGTCCAGGCAGTCCTGGCTATAGTCCGAGAACCAGCTATACAATCCTGCACCCAGTAGATACACCGTCTCTGAGTCTAAAATGCGAACAGCCCACGAGACAGCGCAGGTACCCGATCCGCTGTCACAGTTGTCAAACGTTGGGTCGTCCTTGAAGAGACCGGTAGTAAAGGGCTGCGGCGCGTTGGGAGTCGGCTGGAAATAGGGAGACTCAGTCTGGATCATCCCAAACACAATATCTTTAGCACCAGAGAGCTGGTATTGGTATAGAACGCAGTGCTCTGATGCCGTTCCATACAGCCACGTTGGGCCCTGGCTCTCGATCAGCACTCCACGGCCGACATAGATGTCGATTTGATCCTGCGAGATCTTATCGAGGTCGTGGTCCGCCACCCACACCCACACGTTTTCTAAATATGCAGAGCTCTGTGCCGTCATATGCAGTATTAGGGAAGCCGCTTTACACGCTTGATTGACAGATCCAGACTGTTTAGGGCAGTCTTCGGACTGAAGATCAGTTCCAATGGCACCACCAACTCGGAAATGAGAGTCTAAACACATTAGCACCGTCAAAACATGTATGTTTGTATATATGAACAGATTGAATGGGGAGAAGAAGAAGAAGAAGGAAACAACATACCCCATAAACCAGATGAGCCCTGGATTGACTCATGTACATTCCACTCCATCAGCACTGCTCCAGCGGTGTTGCCAGAGACAGTAAAGAGCATATCCTGAATTTCCACCACACCGACGTCTCCAGGCTGTCCAACCTTGACCATGACCCGCGGGTTAAGCTCGTCCTGGAACTTAGCGCCCTTGGCCATGATCTGCGACCAAGCCTGGCCAATGATGCGACTGCCCACAGGGACATTGAGCGTGTCTTTGACGACGTACACCCCAAAGGGAAAATAGACAATGGACGACAGATTGGCCGCATTTTGGAGAATAACATTAAGAATCGGGCCATCATCTGTGACTCCATCACCTTTGGCACCCAGAGACTTGACATCCATGAGCTGGGCCATGCCAATGTCATGATACTTGGGACGACGACGTGTAAAGAAGTTGGGATTGACATAACCAGTGTCAGCAAGCAGAGACGCTGTGCGATTCATGGCTGGAATAGCCTGTCCATTGACAAAGCCACTGACGCCTGACTCGCTCGACACCATGCCAAATCCCCAGTTGTCGAGAAAGACCTCATCGCCGCCGGCGACCAGGGTAGTGGCGAGTACGTTGTCAATAATGGCATCCTGCACATTGAAGAAGCCTGTGTTCTGCACCAGCAAAGCCGTCGAGTTCTCTGAGTATAGCGAGGTTACGATACCCTTCTGTGTGTTGGCAATCAGGGCATCGGTGATAATCAGCGAACCAACGGGCTGGCCATTGCTCATGGGCCCACCGGCACCACCAACAATGATGATGCCTGTAGTGCACGACTCAATCACGATATCCTGCATAGTCCACGCCCAGTCCCAGTGAATCTGTAGGGCCGTGTTGCAGTTAACAAACACCAGATGGCTGGTTGTAAACTGCTGATTGCCAAAGTAGGCGCCAAAGTTACCCCCGACAAACGTTAGGTCCGCAAGGAAGCCGCCACTGCCGTTCTCCATGTAAATGCCCTGCTGCGTGCTATCAGCCAGTGCGTAGAACTCGATGTTCTCCAGCGACGTGCCCTGTGCCACCTGCCAGTGGATGGCACACACGTACGCCGATGGATCTGTGAGTCGCACGTCGATCTTGAAGTTCTTAATACTGCGCAAAAAGTTGTTTTGGTTGATGTACCATTCTTCCGTGTCGCTCACGTACACATCGGATGTGATAACGCCCAGGCCAATAAAGCTTGACGCCGCCAGAATTGTCGGCACGGTGACTGGGTCACCCAGGAACTGCGTGTTGTAGTACTGAACGATCGAGCTGCTGACCAGATATGTGCCAGGGGGGAAGTACACGACGGCCGGGTAGATTGTACTGGAGCCGCAGTCGGCACCGCAGCGGCCTCCATCTGCAATGGCCCGGTTGATAGCTGCGGTATCGTCGGTCACTCCATCGCCAGCTGCTCCGTAGTCCATAACGTTGCGCCACACCTGGTATCCGGAGGGCGCAAACGGGCTGTTGCCGCGTTGTTTCATTGTGGCCATCCAGTAGCTGGAGGCCGCTCGCTTGGTCATTTGAAGTTTCTCCTGATTCTTCTTTCCGTCACCCTCGGACGGACCAAAGCCACTGAGGCCGCTATGTGTCTTCAGCTGCTGCGGCGGGAAATTGGTGTCATTTGAGCGCAGCGCATACTTGCGGCGTATACTGGCAGCCACTTGCTCATGATCCCCAATAGGTGTGGCCGGAGGAGCAGACTCGGCGACAATGCGCGCAGCCTCTCTTATCTCGTCAGGGATAGAGTATGAGTAGGCAAAGCTGCTGTTGTCCAACGACCGTTTGTTCAGGCCTTCAGGTGGGCTTTCAATATCTAGAGCCGGCGCCGGTGTTCTGGCCCCGGTGTTCTCATTGGTGTCATCGAACTCATATTTGTTGAAATGAATATTTTCCAGACGCAGCTTGTTGGCCACCGAGAGAGCTTCGAGAGCCTTGCGTACCGTTTCCTTTGCGTCCAACATGACAGCCGAGGACGTGGGAGACGAAGAGGGAGAAGAAGAGGTAGAAGTGGAATAGGACGCAGCAGATGAGGCGCGGGCATGATGAAGATGCTGGTGTACAGCATGATGGCCATGTCCAGATACCTGGAAGACCAACAGAGCCCAGCAGAGAGCCGTGAAGATGACCCTAAGAGGGAGTACCTGGTCGAGCATCTCTGCGCTACAGACTTTTTTTTCCACTTTTTTTGATCCTCTATGGGAAATCCCCCTCTAGCTGTGTTTTAAAAGAGGCCTTGGATCAGAAAAGAAGAAGGAATTGAATTACTGCTCGGTAGTCTGGGATCATGGCTTCTTCCGGTGTCGGCAATATATCTATAACGGAGCGGCCGGGTGCCACCACTGCTGTCCAGGAGTATGTAGTATTGATTACTCCAAAAAAGGTGTTGCCGAGCAGCCAAGAAATGCAACGGGCAAGAGAGTCAGCCATTCTTGGCAACAGGGTCCAATTGAAACCCTGAGACTAACATAGCTCCTCGATAGCGTAGTCGGGGAACGGTTAGCCGCAAACTACGCCGTTAGTGGGAATGGAGCCCTAATCACCGGCGGAAATGCTCATCTCCGGAGAGCAGGGTTCATGCATCCTTCCCTCCCTCTAGCTCCGAAAAAAAGTCTCCCATAAGGAATTCTCATACGATTGATTCGTTTTCAAATGCGCCGATAACGGTGAAAATTAATGAATCTCATATTCTCTAAGCGAGCTCAACGAGAATCAAGGGCCGCTCTACCCTTTTCCCCCTGTTCGACATCCGAATGCTACCGCGTAGCCTTGGCAATTGGCCTACGTTTTATAGTCGTCTTTAGTCCTAGGAGCACGACGAAATAACTAAAGACAGCGCATTTTCCTTTGTTGGACTTGCATTTTCTTCTCTTTCCTTCCTTAATATTATTCACCTCCACGGCCCGCCGAAGTGGACAGAGCGTACCTCGTAGAGTACCTAGGTAGCCTGCACTATGTTGACTCGGCTGCTCCTCCTGGCGCTGGCTCTGTGTCTCCTCTTGCAGGTGCAAGCACAGGATTGCGGTGCTTCAAGTCCGTGTGCTACTGGATGTTGTTCTAGGTATGTCTCTGATCCGAGTTCTATATGAACCTCAAACAACCGCTAACTGAACCTCTAGCTCGGGTTACTGTGGAATCGGAGATGAATTCTGCGTATGTCATTTTCCTCATTGATGTACCCAGGCAGACTTCACAATTAGTAGATCAGTAGCTGATATCTCTCCAGGGTGCAGACTGTGTGGCTAGCTGTGACTTTCAGGCGGAATGCGATGCTAACCGGCCTTGTGCGAACGACGCCTGCTGCTCTTCTTCTGGGTTTTGTGGCCTCGGGCCAGACTGTGAGCGACTTTTTAATTTATACTGTATTAGGGGTTTGATCGATAGCTGACGATATTTCAGACTGTTCAAAGGATAACTGTGTTTCTGGCTGTGAGAATAAAGCCTATTGTGACCCTGGTGGCTATGGCGAATTTGCAGAACACGCTAAATGTCCCCTCAATGTCTGCTGCAGCAAGTATGTCAAGTTGATCATTGAAGGACAACGTACTAATATAATACAGATGGGGATACTGTGGAGTCACTTCTGAGTTTTGCGGCGACAAAAAAGTCAAGCGTCCTTCAGCTGACTACAGTTCGGTCACGCCGCTGAATACCATTGTGGGCTACTATGAGGGCTGGTCCCATGAGCGACCCTGTCACACTTTCTTCCCCGAACAGATTCCATTAGGCATCTATACAGTTGAGCGCTCCCTTGCACCTCGAAATAGTGCTGAGATCAGAGAGGCTAATCAGACCACTACCCGCAGCACCTCAACTATGCTTTTGGCACCATTGACCCGGACACATTCGAAGTTAAGCTAGCATCAACGGAGGAAGAGGACCTTATTAGGCGGCTTGTTCGACTCAAGACCCAGGATCCCGACCTCAAGGTCTTCATTGCGCTGGGTGGCTGGTCATACAATGACCCTGGTCCGACCCAGTCCACATTCAGTGACTTGGCTGCGTCTAAAGATGCACAAAATAAGTTCTTCAACTCTCTCACGTCCTTTCTCTCGACGTATAAACTCGACGGCGTTGATCTTGACTGGGAGTATCCCGGTCCGGATAGCATTGTGGAGCGCGGTGGTCGTGAAGAGGACTTTGACAACTTCCCTACCTTTCTGCGTGCATTGAAAGAAGCTCTGAAGGGCACTGGGGGGCGTGATGGATTGACCGTCACACTTCCAGCCTCGTACTGGTTCCTACAGCACTTCGATATTGTTGAGATGGTAAAGTATGTTGACTTCTTTAACATCATGACCTACGACCTGCATGGGGCCTGGGACCGGGGCAACAAATGGCTGGGGCCATATCTGTTCGCGCACACAAACCTGACGGAGATCCAGGATGCCATGGATCTGCTTTGGCGGAATGAGATCCCAAGCAACAAGGTGGTCATGGGCACGGCGTTTTACGGCCGATCGTTCACGGCCACATCGACATCGTGTATGGAGCCCGGCTGCACATTTGAGTCAGCTGGTAATAAGGGCTTGTGTAGCCGCGAAAATGGCATCCTTCTCAATAGCGAGATTGTGGATATCATCGACGAGAAAGGCCTGACCCCGACGCTATACAAGGAGGCAGGAGTAAAAGTGGTCCATTGGGACAACCAATGGGTGGCATACGATGACGAGGAGACTCTCAAGCTCAAAGTCAACTTTGCGCTGGGACTGGGCTTGCGCGGAGTCATGGTGTGGGCTGTGAGCCACGACACCCCGACTCGCCAGTTCACGAATGCCTTCTACGCCCGGGCGGCTAACCGGCTCGGCATGATTCTCTTGGAGATCGATAACAGCCACAATGATCAAGTGCAAGTCAGGAAGACGATCGACCAGTGTAAATGGACCAACTGTGGCGACGGCTGCCCCAAAGGCTACCAGCCCACCACGCGCATTGACAAGAACAAGCACAACACGGGGGAGCTTATGATGGACAGCACCGCCTGCGAAGATGAGCTGCACATCTTGTGCTGTCCTGAGACGTCGATGCCGACATGCGGCTGGTACACGCACTCCAACAGCTTCTGCGACTACACCTGCCCAGACGGCACGGTCGAGGTAGGAAGTACCAACGGCGGCTGTCACAGCGGCTACCAAGCCGCCTGTTGCGACGTGGGCACCACCGCGAAAAAGATGCCCAGTATGGACGTGTACGACAGCTGTGTGTGGGCCGGTGAGGCCAGCGACTGTGACGCTGACTGTCCCATTTTGAAGAAATTTCAGCAGCTATCGTCTGCCGAGGGAAGCGGTGCGGTCAAGTGCAAGGCCGACCAGGAACGTAAGTACTGCTGCTATGACGATGATGACGATAAGTGGACAGGCGGAGATTGGTATAAGTTTGAAAATATGTTTGTGCAGTTCCAGGATGATCCAGATCGCTGCTCATCTGACTGCCCGGGCAACATGTATCGCCTTGCCATGGAGCGGACGGGCGTATGCAAGAACAAGCCTGGTGCCAGTTCGTTCTGTGCGCTCAACAGTCGCTACGACACCGAGTGGAAGGAGCGCCAGAACGTCACTGACCTTAAGGACGCCCTGGGTCACTTCTTCCAGAGCCCTACGTGCCCCAACAAGGCGTCCGGAGGCCTCTCTACGCGCGACGTCAGCGATTCCACAGCGCGGGAACAGGCTGAGAAATTACTGGTTGCAATCCTGAGTGCAGCGTACTATAACAGTGACCTTATCACCAGCTACATCTCGTACTGGAACGAGAAGATCAAGGACTATTTCTCCAACCTGCAGTTCCCTGACTTCAGAGATGACCTAAACGACTGGTATGGCAACATTTACCAGGAGAACATCGAGGATCTGTCCGACGATATCCTGTGCAATCTTGAGAGCTACGACGATCTGGCAAGCTCTAGCCCGGTGCTAAGCTGTTCGGTAACGGATGAATGCACCGGCGAGGAGAGTGACTGCACTAACGGTGAGTGGGACGAGACATGCAGCGACTTTTCATCGACGCTGGATAAGCGCACTGGAGCTAGACGGTCGTATTGCTACACATTTGATGACCAGAATGGTGGCGAAGACGAAACTACCGTGCGGTCTTCCGCGTACGAGACGGTCAGTGAGCCTCGCGCTAACAGTGATGTCCGACTGCGGACAGTTATATACCGCAACCGGGCCGATTGTGTCGACACCGAGGTGCAGATGGTTTTTCTTGCCAGTGGAAACACTTATAATGGCCGCTCATTACACAGTAAGCACTCTTGCTCCAAGCAATCCTTTTATTTGACATATATACGTATGCCCCAATGATGCTAGTGAGTTGCTAATTTCTTTTCCAAGTGGAACATATCATGGAGATGAACACAGAAGGACGCTTCTTATCGGACATCACATACGGCCGGCTGGATGGCAACCGGCTCAACGAATTTACACCTGTGCCAGCTGGCTTTGTATCTGATACCTGGATGAATGGACCCAACATCAACATAGCTATGTGGGGAATGCCCATCGGAGGAGGCCAGGGTCTCGACAATCCCAACTGGCCATCTGTGCGCATCTTTGAGGCGTACGGCAGTCTCCGAAATCAAGACAACTTTTTCATCCTCGACGCTTATCTCAACTTTCTCAAGAATCGCGTCAGTCTTCTTCTTTCTCCCCATCCCATCTTTCCTTTCTTTCTTTGGATCGAAAACTAAGTGTTGAACAGGTCTGGATGTGGCGTCGCTGGAACCGAGGACCCCTGGCCGACAGCTCCATGACAACATACGTTAACGACATGACGGATCCTGAGCGGGCATTAACGCGTATGCGCAGTGTCATTGCTGTGTTCCGTTATCTCAATGCCGAGGAGGTGCGTCGTGCTCTACGTGCTCAGTACCAAGAGATAGGCGCCGAGCGTTGGATTGCCAACCAGGCATGGAACCTTGCGAATCCAGCAGAGACGTTTGATATCCGGCCCATTTGGACCGCCTGGTTCTCTAACCACATTGATGGCATGATCACGACTTCTACAAACTTCCTCAACCGGTGGTTGGATACCATGGAAGCTAATTGGCAAAATCAGACGGGGCCTCTGGCCATACGTGTGCTGCAAGATATTGAGCGGTTGCGTGTACAAATACGCAACGGAGCCGTTAACATTCGGATAGAGGACTTTTAATTTGGCTGAGCTTTATATAAAACGTGTGTCCTCCAATGGATTGGATGATCTCATATCCAGAGTCGATGCCTTTGAATACTCGATGACTGCGTGGAGGTCTAAACAAAGACATGCATTCTTTGATACAATCCGCGGCTTGGCTTCATACCTGTCCAGCATAGCAAGCCTTATTTATCATGTACTGAAAATACTTTTTCCACATATACACGCTATCTATATCAACCTTGAGTAAGTTGGTGCAGTATGAGCTGGGTAAAAGTCCACTGTAGTGAATGAATTCATTATTCCGTATTATAAAAGTAGAAATTTATTATATCTCCGTATCATTGACAAGTTTGACGTAATGGGTTTGATAACCAGGTCATTGGATGTTATTGTTCCAACCTACTAGGGGAGCTTAGTAGGTTGTACACCGAACCAAAAAGTTACTATGACTGCCGTCAGGCAGTCAGCTCTCCCACCACATTAAGTAGCGCACTCCGTCAGGCAACATTCAGGTACCGTTCGGCGCATTCTCCCTTACAGAGCCAAATCATGCTGGTTCTAACACTCAGCAAGTGGGGAAATGGCTTGGCGAACGGGCCATCTATACTGCAGCGAATGAGTGAGCAAATGGGTGCTGTAACTAAACCTCGGGCAAATTAGTAATGTAAGGACGGACCACTTTTGTCAACAAAATAGAGAACCATTTGAACGGGTACTTGATGAATAACCCGGTCCTTAGTGGTAAAATACCTCCCCCTCAGCTCGACATTTTCTTTAGTCTCCTTTCCCTTTCAGAGCCTCTGTAGCATTACGTTGTCTCCTACTCAAAAATGTCCGCGACCAATGATTTCTCTGGTGGCCGTTTCACAACGACCCGTCATTCTACAACATACGACTATATTTCTCCCTTAGGGCTGAACCTTGCCGGAAAACATGTTCTGATCACCGGCGCTGCTTGGGAGGACGGAGTAGGGTATGCCACCGCAACAGCGTTTGCACGTGCAGGGGCCTCTGCAATAGCGATCGCAGACCTCCACGGGGTATCGGCCGACCTTGCTGAGAAGTTGAAGTTGGTTGCAACTCAAGCCGGTCGCCCCGAACCTGTGGTGCTTAGCTGCACAGTGGACATTGCAAACCAAGAAAGTGTTCATGCAATGCATGACATCGTGGCGCGAGGCTTTGATGGCCGCCTGGACATTGTCATTAACAACGCGGCCCATATGGAACCCCCCAAGCCATTCCTCGACTCAGACCCGGATGTGTATTGGAGGACATGGGAAGTCAATGTTCATGGACTCTTCAACATATCACGCATATTCCTCCCAATGCAACTGTCGGCTCGTTCTAATGCGGATGGTTTATGTATCATGATCAATGTATCTTCCTCAGGAGCTCTGACGGCCCGCCCAGGAGGCGGAAGTTATCGGAGCTCAAAGCTTGCCATATTGAGATGGACAGAAACTTTGCAGTTAGAGTATGGTGATAAAGGGCTTTTGGCTTTTTGTGTGAATCCTGGCGCGATAAAAACAAAGATTTCTGAGGGCATGCCGGAGCAGGTGAGAGATGCATTTCCTGATCGGCCAGAGATTGCAGGTGATACCATTGCGTGGTTGGCAGCTGAGCGCAGAGAGTGGCTGGGCGGGAGATATGTGAGCTGTCCATGGGACATGAAAGAACTTGTGGAGATGAAAGACGAGATCGTTGAACTGGACAAGCTCAAAATAAAGATGTTGTTCTAAGCTCATTCGTGCTTCCTGAGCCTTGCGGCACCCTGTGTATATATACATTACTGATATATTACTCGCTACTTCGTCTAATAAATTCCTTATTTAGATATAAGAAGCAATTACTAGAAAGTAGTCTATATTATATCTTAGCCTAGTATTCTGTTATCTAAGCGTTGGACATGATAATCTGGTCACAATCCCAATAGATGATTGCATTTCAAGGTGTCTAGTTATAAATGTACATTTGTTTTGGGAATATTACTTATTAGGCTGAGATAGAAACCATACCATCACTCCTTCTGTCGGGAAGTAGTTGCCACAATTGTGCCGTAAAAGATGTTGAGTAATTTCCCTAGGCCAAACACACGAGACTGCTTACAGGTTACCCTGGCCAGCGCTGCCAGCAGGGTTGGTGCTGGCAGTATCGGCAGTAGCGAGAGTGTCACCCTTCAGGTCAGACAGAACGGTGGTGGAGGAGCCAGTCAAGGTGCCTCCGTTGACGTTGGCGACACAGGAACGGCTAATGTAGCTCTCACAGGTGCTGGAGGCGCTGTCGGCAGCGAAGAGGGCACCGGCAAAGGAGGAGGACTCAAGAACCTGGTTAACGTTGGAGAAGTAGTTACCCTCGGCAAGGACGTAGCCACCGGAACCAATCTCGAATGCGTGGCCGGAGTTCTCGTCCCAGTAGTTGTTGACAGCGTGGAGGTAAGTGTTGTCCTGGACCTTGGGGGCACGACCACTGGTCTTGTAGAGGTAGTTGCCCTTGAAGGTCACCTTGTCACTGGAGCCATCAAGGTAGACGTTCCAGTAGTGGTGGCCGTCGCAGGTGGCAGAGTAGTCAGATTCACCGTTGATGTAGTTGTTGGTGATAGAGACACGGTTGTCAGCTTCGGTGCCCAGCACGTAGTGCTGACGGCCAATGCGAGCAGTCTAGATTTTGGGTCAGTCGATACAAATTGCTGGCAGTTTCTTCGTAAGAGACATACGGTAACGTGATCAATCCAGACCTGATCAGCCTGGTCGAGGGTGATGGCATCACCACCCCAGACGTACCGAGGGTTGATGTCGGTGACAGCGATGTTCCTGTGATAAACCAGTTAGTGCTTGTTCTAGTGGAAGGTTTCACAGATTAAGCCAATGCAAAATAAAATCAACGTACTGGATGATAATGTTCGAGACACCGTTGACCATGCGCAGACCACGGCCCTTGATGACACCGCTAGTGCCCTCACCAATCAGAGACTTGTTGGAGCCAACGGTGATACCGAGCAAACCAGCGGTATTGCTGAAAAGTGTGTCAGTATGGGCGAAACGTCTATCGCAACATGAAGAATTCAAAACTTACTAGGTGACGCTGGTAGTAGCAGCATCAGGCTCGTAGTTGGTGCACCAGTCATCCTTGTTGATGGCGACCTGGCAAGCAGAGCCAGTACCCCAAGGAAGACAGCCAGTGTCAGTGGTGGTGCCCTCAGTGTCAGTGAAGTCGAAACTATGAGATCGTCAGCTGTTGCCTGTCCACGACAAATTTCCTCTACTCACGTCTTGCTCAAGACAATGACACGAGCCTCATCGTCACCGAGGTAAGAGACCAGCTCATCGGTGGTGGAAGGGTAGACAGCAGTGGCACTACCGCCACCAGTAGCGGCAGAAGCGAAACCCTCAGGAGTGCCAGAGACACCGACAGCAGCGACCTTGGAGGCGAGAGCGGCAATGGCCGTGAGAACAAATGCGTACTTCATCCTGGAAGTGTAAAAAAAGGAATAAAGAATGACGGTAAATAAAAGCAAGCAAAAGTAGGAAAGAAAAGAGAGTGGATTGAATAATGCATCAGAGAAGGAAAGAAACCGAACTTATATATCTCCCAGTTTTAGCTCATCAGATATGTCTCAGACGTTTAGAATATGCCTTGTTTCGAGGCTACCTTAGTTCCTCAGAGCAGAGGCCGAAATGAGAGTGGATGTGGTTTCAGTGGACAACGTGAATCAGATAATAAACATCTGCTCGGTGGATATGTCCACGACGATCACTCTCACACTACCGTTGCTTTGGGAAGTCGATCGTCAGTAATCCCGTCTCCGAAACATCTCCGCTAACCCTATTGACCAATCAGCCCTAAGACCAACACAAGAGAAGCAATAGAGCCGTGGGTGCTTAATCAAGAGTGTTTCATTTTAATACCAAACTCCACGAAAAGTCGTTGTCCACGTTTTCTTTTTCTCCTTTCCATATTGCCTTTAATGAATTTTGAACACTTTAATAATTTAGCTCAACGATCAACTATAACTATACCGTTTTCATGAATTGGTTCACGCTCTACAGTTTAGAGCATGATCTATTAGATTAATCGGTGGAAATTCTTTTGGAAGTCTTGGATGACTAGCTACACCGTTATTCTACACCGTTATTCACCAAACGGTTGAGTGCCATCGACTGTCACTTGACTCCTATGGAAGTGAACCGCAGTATGACGTGGACACTATATATGCTGCTTATGCGAGTACGAGGTCGTCTTGGTTTTCCCAGTTACAGCTACGTTGGAGCAATTAACGTTTTAACGTTAGCGGATGAGGCAAAGGAGGAATCCGGCCCCTTTTTCGACAAAAACCAAGCATAGGTCACTAAACTAGAGTCAATCATTATATGGGCCTCATTACAGGGGTAGATAATATCTTATGACCGACTCATGAAATTTAATCAAGAGAAAAGGGATAGATATTAAACGAACATCATGGCAAGCAGATGAAGGGCTGTCATCAAGGTGCCAAAAGTCAACACAATGTAGATCTTTCATTCAGAATTGCTGCGAGGATTCCCCTTTTGTGATTGTCATCAGGGATGTATAGATATTAATTTTGAAAGTGACTCGCTGACTTAGTGATGGCTTGATCCAATCGATCAGTCCAGGGAAGGTGAAACAGCCCACTCCAGTAGATCTTGCACTGTCATGTCGGCGACATCGACCTCGTCCTCAACATCGAATCAATAAATTTGGTATATGTTTCAAGTACATTGAGTGACTGTTCGAAGTTGTTTGGAGATCATTGGAGGCAATTCTTTTGCATACCAATGATCATTGCTATTTTGACCTCTTGGCGACATAGATTGCCATACTTTCTCAGCGTCTAATGATGCAGTTTGAATAAACTGTGAACTGGATATGACACAGGTTTACTATTCAGGCTTTCTATCTTGGATTGTACGTCGACGCGAAGGAGCGATTGGGAATTTGACCCATAATATCATAGCTGCTGCTTTGCATCGCTAGCTATCGCACCAGCTATTGCAAATCTTGGAAAAAAGTTCTCTTGAGCTGTCTCTTGCAGGGCACTATTCAAAAACAGAATTTACAAAGGAACTCGAGGTCACTCCATCTGGTCATAACAAAGAAGTCAAAATCTCCACGGGTAGAAGCCAGCAGAAATTTCTGCTGAAATATCTTTTCATATTTTTCTTTAACCACTCTACTGCAAGTATTCTGATCGCAAATTGTTCAAAGAACACTGAAAGAGCTCGCAAGGATGGAATTTGAACTACGTTTCTTTCTTGCCTCAGCCCATACTCAAAACTGGGGGTCCTCGATGCTTTCTTTGTACTCGAAATTTTAGGCTGCTTAAATTTAATTTTATATTCTGAGGTTCCTACTTGAATTTATAGTCTTTCATATCGCTACAAACAGCTCAATTATTTTTTCCCAGTCCGCCTGTTTTTTTTTGGCTTTTCTTTCTACATTGCCTTGAATATGCCACGTCCCCGCCGCCACCACACCCTAAAGACGGAAGGGTTCTATGCTGTCTTAGGGAAGAGAAAATTCTTAGACGCCAAGACGCCTGAGACCAGGCCTTTAGATGTTGCATGGTTTGATTCAGACCTCGAGGTTTCCTATGAGGACATATACCCCCCACCAAAGTGGTAGTCTCGGTCTAAGCGCAAAGCCTTTAAACGGAGAGTTCCCGCGATTATCGACTTGGATAAGACTCCTAAAGGCTGGAGTGATCTTGAACCAGATATTCACCCAGAGTAAGTCCGCATGCAGAGAAAAAGGTGCGGTTATATATATAGCTTCTGATCCATTACATTGCTATCCAGGGACTACGATGCACATATCAAAAGATGTGAGTTGCGAATCAAGGAAAATATCATGCCTCTCATCTTTGCACATCGATTGAGAACATACGAAACGCTACAAGAGGAACGCGAGTAAGCTATGCTGAATCTTTTTTTTTCTGGAATAATTTTACTCACCCAACTACTGTAGCGAACTTATGTTGCTTGAACCTGGGCTTAGCTGGGAAGTAGTCCAGCGCTTGGCTTCCCTCGAACGTATCCATACTTGGCTTGTGAAAAAAAAAGTATGAATGGGAGCAGATTAAGAATGTGACTGCCATCATGGCGGCGTATAGAGCCCAAGAATTGAGATGGAATCCTCGCCTTGTTACCTACTGGTCTCAAGGCGTTCAGCTCTGCAAACCAAGACCTTACGGCACCAATAAATACTTATACATCAATGGAAAGTTTCAAGGACACACGGGCTTTTGGGTTGAAGGGGTGAGCCACGTCCAAATTTCTCGAACCCCTGACAGCACTAATGCTTGTTTCGCAGGGTAGAAGGTCATCGTCCCAACGAAAGGGTGGCTGTAGGATCACAGGTCCATCATTGCTTGAGCCATATGCAAACCAAGTATGCTTGATTCTCTTTCAATTCAGTCCTCAACTAACTCGAGACAAACACATTAGATGGCGATTGCCCTTCGGCTCCCTACTGCTCATATAGCCGGAGCACCCAGTACCGTTCCACCCCACATGCAATTTACGTTTACCGATGATACGGGGGCCGATTCTGCAAACGTATTTAGTTGAGATATCACACTCCTTCAGGCGTATGATGTGCTGAAAGGAGGTACTGGGCAGCTTCCACCTTCCCCCGGTATCTCCGAGGCCTTCATGGCAAATGACGCAGTCGATTTTTACGTGGCCCGAACACTAGAGATCAACATGCTGGAGCATATGACCCAGGAACCTATGGTGGACCACTGGGAAGCCATAGACTGCGATGTGCGTCCCGGCGAAGAAGTCCCTAGAGAAGGCGCCAGGCTCCTTGGCCCATGGCTTCGAAATAACAATACACTTATACCATTCCAGATGGCAAGTTCCAAACGTGGATTTTCAATGAGTGTCCCGCGGACTACTTACCGAAGGCAACCCCGGAAGAGGTTCGGATTGATTTACGTAGCAACGAGATGCAAGATCCAGTCGACTTCGCTAAAATTGATATGCAATACCCAGCGTGTCAAAAATGATGGGGCAGCTGGAATGTAGAAATTTGGTATTTTTGAGCACTTGAATACTTTTGTGTTTGAGCACTATGTTGGCGTTTCTTTGGATGGGTTTGAATTATATCTATGACTCGTCACACATTTCTTGTTATCTTTTTGTTTAAAAAGCATAAAAATTCTATGATTACATTATTTTGCATCAGAGATTCAAAAGTCATAGACCTGTGTACTCTTTAACATTTCATCAGGCAATTAGTGCACGAAAGCCTCTTATCCACCACGTAGTGTCTCGCCTTAACCTTGGCTCAGATCTTATGTTGAATACGAGACAAGTCAAAAGCACGCCTAGCTCGCCCAAATTTGATTTACTTGTGGCTGGTTTTGTATAAACACATCAATTCATTTCAAGTAAGTTATGTAAGATTGCAAAAAAGGCTTGATATCTACATGTAGAAATTCACAGGCACTTGTACAGCCCTCGGATAAGGACTCACTCTTCAAGGTGCCAGATTGTCATGCCATTGCTCAAGCAAAACCACTGCTAACCAAGAAGCTCACGTCGGCATTGAATGATGTGGCAGAGTCAAATGTATGAACACCACCATTGCTTGCAGCATAGAGAACATTGGTGTAGTGACGGAAATAGCGGGTGGGATAGTTCCAGCTTCGGATCGAGCTTCCCTGGCCACTGAGACCAGACTGAGGGCAGAAAGTAGCGTCCTCATAGAACTGCTTTGTGCCATCATTGGCATTGAGGTAGAAGACAAAGTCCGAATGGCGAATGAAGCTCCCGGGAGTGTCAACTGACTCGAACGAGAAGCAAGCGCTATTTCCAAGGCCAGTGCGAACGGTCCAGCTGGCTTGTTGTTTGAGAGCGGTGGTGCTGGAGGACGAAACAACCTGTGTGTTGACCGTCGTGCCGGTGTGTGCGATATAGCGGGTTGTGTAGCCAGAGGTTGTTACCTGAAGCGAGATGGACGATCCGACTGTCAGTGCTGTTCCACTGGTCAGGGAGCCGACGGCATATTTGGCCGCTACGACGTTGGCTGCCACTGAGTTCTCGGTGGCGTCGGTCGGATATCCAGAGGTCATCACTCCTTCATAAAAGGTACCCTGGGCACTGACACTGTTGTCACCACCAATGCCGAGAATGATAGCACCCTCTTTGCTCATCGGGTTGTAGCCAGATGCAGTTGGGCGCACGCCACTGTAGTAGGTGGACAGCGCGCCAGACGCCGCGTTGCCACCCTTGATTGCCCACTTGTTCGCTCCGCCTTTGAGGAAGGCATTGACAAACCGGTAAGAGAGCGATGGATCTCCGGCGTTGTTGCCAGAGTTGATACCAGAGAACAGGCCGTTCTCCAGATCAGCCATGATCCAAGGACCGCTACCAGCACCAGAGCCCCACGCGGTACTGTCACCATAGTAGATGGCCTCCATGTGGCCGTTGCCAGTATCTGTACTACTGGTTTCGGCGTTGCCGTAGTCAAAGCAGCAGCCTCCATTATAGTGGGTTCCATCCAGGACTGCGTACATGCCCTCCGCAGCGTCGGCTGTAGCTGAGCCACTGACAACGTTATTGCGGTAGCCGGTGCCGGGCGAGAAGAAGACACCATAGGCTTTCTGTCCATTCAACGTGACTGGTGCACCAACTGCACTCGCCAGATTGTCATAGCCATTGGACTCCGGGCCACTAAAGCCGCCAGGTGGGGCCTGGGTAAGATGATTGCCCCGGCCGGACTGGTCATAAATGATCGTGATGAGACAGGTTGTGCCAGAGCAGAAGGAGTCTTGTGCGGCTGCATTCGCCACACCACCGGCGGTGAGAGGTGCTATATCAGCCGTGACACCATCAGAGCCACGCGACACTTGGTAGAGTGGTCCTGTGAAGGAGCTGTATAGGGCACGGGTGGTGCTGTGTGCAGCGATACAGGGCGTACCCCCGGAGGAGTAGATATCACAAGGCCCACTGGCCAGTGAGCCTCGGGCGACCAGTCCTAAGACCAGCACCCAGGCACGCTCGAGCTTCAGCTGTGATAACATGTTTGATCACTTGTCGTAAAACAGTGAGCGAAAGCAGCGAGGAAATGGGCCAACAGCCACGGATTGAGATAGACAGTCTTGAGATATGGACATCTGCAGCTTCGAAGCTCCCTATTTATAAGATCCCTTTAATCTATGAAGAAACTTGTGAAATGGGAGGCGCGTAACGCTAATCAAGTGGCTGAAATTCTCCTCCAATAACTCTAGATGCGGACAACTTATTACGGGGGCAACTGAACGTCTCTTTGGTTTAACTGGCTCGGTTAATACCACATAATATTAGAGATCATGCCTTGGGAACAATCGAGCTAGTCCTGCAGACCATGATGCGGGGTGCATTCAAAGCGACCCGTTCCCCTGTCGAAATCGAGCTCTCTTTCTGCAGCATTGCGAGAAAACAGCCATGTGACGGATGAAACCCTACTTTCCCTCTGCAAATTGAGGCGACCAAAGTTCTCATCTGAAATGAAATTTAGATTGGGCAGCTAAGTCAAACGGTCATTGCTTCAGAACCGATCAATATTATGTGCAAATTAACCGATCGTGTTCACCAGGACACCAGGGCCCAGTCTATACTGAAGGGACAACCCTCTCCACTCCACATTCTTGGGACAAGCTTTGTCGCAGCACCAAAAACATCTATTTTTATTCCCCTTCGCCCCTCACAATCCAACTGCCGAACTTGTGTCATCTTCATCAATAATACAGGCGAGTTCGTCTAGCATCAATATATCCGTAGTCACGCATCTTGTGCCACCGGGCTTTTTCCTCTTTGGCGTGGGAACAATTAACCGAAGCATGTAACCAGGTTTAACATCGCATGTTACTGGACCAGTAAACAAGCCTAGCCAACGTAGGAAGTGGCGCCGGAGTAGGCCGCTTGGAAAGGTTAACAGGATTGTGACGAGGGGTAATGCGAGGGGGATGCGGGGCCCCAGGTCTTCACAAATGACGCAGGTTCTTGCCGAGCGGCCTCTTGGGGGTTTGACCAAGTTTCAAAGGGGAAACCTGATCATCTGATCGGCATTCTTTTTTCGATCTCCCGGTTCTTGACATGTTCACCCCAAATCTCTTCCTTACTTGCAAAGAAAATGACCAACTGTATATCTCTACCAGTTCCAATCACACATCGGAACGGGCCGGTCCCGGCAGAACCAGATCACTCGCCCTTCTACATATGATTGCTTCGATGGATCGTGTCTACATAAAATAGTCCAGTCCTACGGAATAGGACGATTTGGTTGTAGTTCTACAAAGAAGTCATCGTAAATCTGATTAATGCATTGGGATTCAAATAACGACCAAGAACATGGTTTGTGTCGATCAATGATAATCCTGGCGTATATCCAATTATCACTGGTCTTTGGGTTCAACGTGAACATGTTCTTGTCTGGTTCGGATCTACGGATTTTGTCGATCCTTCTGGGTTTCTTGAAAATGAGAATCTCAAATATCGGACCCAGCTACTCCTGCAAGATGGCTTATCCGCCACGCTCCCCAGATATTGGGTTTTTTTAAAAAAAAAAAAAAAGAAAAAAATTTAACAGCACTGAATTCACATTATGGGCCGATGGTCAGAAGGGGGAGGTATCCAAAGATCTTCTGAATGCTTGACAGATCAAAGAATGAACACTAACTATGAGCTGAACCATACACCCTCCCTCTAACGCCACGAAAGAACTCGTGCAATTCAGAAACTCATGGTATCAAGCTCAAATGGAAGATAATATTTCTGATCTAAGAGTACTGAAGAATACGCCTTCCACGTCTAAAGAAACAAACAATTAAAAAGGTCCACGGCGGTAACATGCCGGGAAAGCGAAGAGAGGAGATTTCACACTTCTCCGAGTATTAACAATGTACATGAACACTGTACAATGCCAGCTCTACTCAATCAGCCTTTTTGGAGGCCTTAGTTCTGAGTTTCATCAGACCAAAGACAAGAGCATAAGAGCTAACCACGAAAAGACCGACGAGAGCAGTATCCCGCCAGCCATAGTAGTAGTCAAGAAGATTGACTGTCTGCAGATAATCGGATCCACGAGTGTATTGGCACACACGGCATTCGGTAGCATCGGGGTCCAGCAGATTCATGCGAGCTCCAATGGTTTGCATGTAGTCGGCGAGATATTCACCACAAGTTGTTCCGTTTGGGGCAGTGAAGAGTGCGTACTCTTCTTCTGAGCACTGCACCTTTTTGTCAAAGAGACCGAATACCAGCATACTTCCCATCAAATAGTTGAATGGGTTGAGGTAGTACATCCAGTATCTCCAGAAGGCTTGGATTTGGGCGTAAGGAACAAGGACACCACAGAAGGAGATTAAGGTCTGATCATATTGAAAACATGGTTAGCTTGCATGTCATGAAGAGAATATGAGGGAGAATGAAGAAAAGAACTTACACCCAGAACAAGGGGGTTGATCATGGCAGCCATGTTGGCGTTAGGGGCATAAGCAGCAACGAATTGACCTGGATATTTGGTTAGCTTTTCCCCAAAAAGAATGTAAAGAGAGATCTTACCAATTCCAGTGTACAAGAACTCATACAAGAGGAACACCGTGAACATGGATCCACTCTTGCTGGCCTCAGTTGCCATACCACCGGTCCAATACCAGCAGACAAAGAAGAGAACACCACAAATAATCAAATATGGGATCTCAGAGACAACCAGAGCAAATACAAACGCTTTCCACGAGTACATTTTAGCCTTCTTCTCGCGTGCTTCAAACAGGTCTCGGCGCTCGAGGAAGGTCGGCTGCAATTGGTTAATGACACCAGGGGCAACGAAGATGGCATTGAAGATGAAGAACAACGTCAGTTGTAGGTCACCAACTGAGTCGCCGATCATCCAAAAGCTGAAGCCAACAAACAAACCCGAAGAAATGTGAAGTGCGAACTTGTTGTTAATGTAGTCACTGTTTCGGAATAGGGCAGTTGAGGTACGCTTGAGGACGAGTCCGGTTTGTTCCCAGAGAGAAGTAGCAAACTCCCGGCCATCATCATTGGTTCCAGCGGGCAGGGAAGCAGCAGTTTGAATGATCGAATCAAGGTCCTTAAGCATTTTGGTGTGCTCGGGTGATTCGAGCCAGACATTGTTCCAATCTCGGCCTTGGCTCATTTGACCAGAAACGACATCGATCATATGCTCGGCAGGGTTGGTCTCAGGAGGACATGGTGCACCATAACGTGAGAAGTAGGCCTTAAGTGTTTCGGCATTCTCTCCAATCTCACCAAAGTAGACGGTCTTACCTCCCTTGGCAAGCAAAAGAAGTTGATCAAATTCAGCAAACAGCTGAGCAGAGGGCTGGTGCACAGTAACCAAGACAGCTTGTCCAACGTCTGCCAACTTCCTCAAGAAGCGAACAGTATTGTAAGCACTCTGGCCGTCAAGACCACTGGTAGGTTCATCCAGGAAGATCAGAATACTAGGCTTAGAAACAAGCTCAACGCCAATAGTGACACGCTTTCTCTGTTCAACAGACAAACCAGCTCCGACGCTACCAATCATAGTATCGGCCAAATCATGGAGTTCGAGAAGGTTAATAATCACATCGACATAGGCCAACTTCTCGGAGCGGGGAATGTGGGCAGGTTGACGAAGAAGTGCGGAGAACTCCAATGATTCGCGGACAGTTGCCATCCGCTCGTGAATATCGAGTTGCTCAACATAACCGGCGGAACGTTGGAACGAGACAGGCAGTGGGCGGCCATCGACCATGATAGAGCCGTGAATAGTGCCCTCAGTCTTACGCTGAGCAAGAACATCCAGAAGTGTCGTCTTTCCTGCACCAGAGGAGCCCATGAGAGCACCTAGCATACCAGGTTTCACCCATCCGTGAACCTTATCGAGAAGGACTCGATCGCCGGTCGGTGTCTTGACAGTGTAGGACAGGTCCTTCCATGTGAAGACCGAAGTGTTTCTCACAAGTTGGTTGTCGATGTCGGTAGGCTCTTCGCTGCCCTCAGTGATAGCCTTAGAAGATGCCTGGCCCTCTTCATCCTTCTTCTGATTCTGGAGATGCTTGTGAAGATATTCGCGGGGGATGACCAGTGTGTTGCCAGACTCGGATGCTGACTTCCACCTCGAGGTCGCAACGATGGTAAGGAAAACAAACAGTGCCCACCAGGCCCAGTTGATACCGAAGTTGCGCCAGACGTGAGAATGACTGTATGAAAGAGATGACAGGTAATTGTCACCAAGTACAAAGTTTTGGCCTTGGATGGCACCGCCAACTCCAGCGCAAGATTGATGGTCTTGGGCATTTTCATATCCGGGGCCAGTAGGAATGAGATTGGTGCCAACGCATGGAATGCTTTTTCCATGGAACTCGGTAGCTAGCAACGCTTCAAATCCATAAGCAAGTGGATCAATCCAGAAAATCCAGCCAAGCCAAGGGTGCATCTTCGGCTTTTGGATCATATATCCAGTGTAAAGAACTGTACACATGATTAACAAACCAGAGACCTTGGAAGCACCATCAAAGGTTGAAAAGACAGCACCGACAGCACGGAATAGTGCAGTCATAGCCTAAATCTGATTAGTTTGATTCTGCACCATCGAAAAGAGGGTCTTACCATTGTTGTGGTGAAAACGACAATCCAATAAGTAAAGAAGGCACCGGCCGACATGGTAAGTCCAACCATGAAGTAGACAACCAAGCCAAACATCGAGATTTGGAAAAGTAAAACAGGGATATCAGCAGCAATCTGGGCCAAGCAAAATGCAGCCGGGTGGAAATAGGCGAAACTTTTGTGCTTGATGAGAACTGGTCTTCCAGAGAAAGACTCGGTAACCTCGCTCATCGCAAGCAGACTGTTGTACAGCAAAGAAAAGAATAGTGCACCGGACTTGACGAAGAGGCCGCCAGAGTTATCAGGGGCATTGTAGAACAAGGATCCTGCAATTAGCGCCTGAGCCAGTGTAGCGACCTGCTTAATGATGAAAGTGGCCTTGTCACCCCAAATGATTTGATATTGACGTTGAACACAAATCTTGACCTGATCAACAAAGCCAACAGTGAAAGGACTATTATTAGGAAGCTTCTTGGATGTCTCGAAAGCGACACCCTCCTTGAACTCCCTGGTCCGTTCACGAGCGACATCAGAGTCGGGGTAAGAGTATTCAGCTGTCATCTGAGCATAAATTGGTGACTTTTCATACTCGGCACGAAGAGCCTCTGCGTTGCGAGGGAAGCGGTTCTCGTAGCCATCGCGAATACGTCGCTCGGTCGGAACGGTCACACCAGTGAGGTAGTCGGCGACGTTGGAACCCTCGAGGCAGATGAAACCGGCATCCTCCATGAATGGACGGGCCTGTTCTCTAGGACCGTAGTAAATTTGTTCTCCTTCATCGAGTACGAGCACTTTATCAAAGAGGTCAAAGATACCGTTACCGGCCTGATAAAGAGTGACGATTGTCGTGAGACCAAGGACGTCGGTCATGGCTCGAATAGCCTTGGCCCATTCGAGGGCAGTGGAAGCATCAAGACCACGAGTCGATTGATCCCAGCAGAAAACGGATCCTCGAGTAGCCATGCATTCAATAATCGACACTCGCTTGCGCTCTCCTCCTGACACGCCACGGACGTATTCGTTTCCAACCTTGGTGTCTTCGGTATGGGAGATTCCGACAGACTCAAGAAGGAACTTCTTTGATGCCTGCTGATACTCCGAGGCAGTCATGCCCTCCGGCAAGTTAAAGGGGACCTTGAGGCGGGTTGCAAAGTCCATGGTTTGGCCGACGGTAAGAGTTGGGAAGAAGATCTCTTCCTCGCTGTTGAGAACAATCTGACCGCGATAATTTTCGGCTTCTTTGGTGTTCATCGAGCCAAACCGTATCTCACCTTCCACGGATTTATACCCCCCGCGCTTATTAGCGAGCATTTTCAACAATGTCGAACAACCAGACCCCGGTCGACCCAGAACGAGGAGCATTTCTCCAGGTCGGACATTTCCGTGGCTCTCTCGAACAATGGTCCGCAGAGGAGGTTTTCTGCGGCTATCCTGGATTTTCTGGGGAATGTTGAACTGCGATAGGACCGTCTCGTTGACCGCCGCTTCGGCACTGGTAACCTGTACAGATAGATCCTTCCAGGTCACACCGAGCGTTTGCTGTTTGAACCCTGAAGCCAGGTTCCGGGCATTGTCTTCTTGGAGACGCGAGAGCATACCCCAGCTGTTGCTTTTGATCTCCGACGACTCTTGTGGTGGAGTTTCAGAGCCGGCAATCGTCATGGCGCTTTCGGTGTCATATGGAATATCATCCGACCCTGCACGGGCAGGCTTCTCCGAATCCGCCATAATGATCGCAGAGTTTGAGATGAAACATTCAACCAAGCAGAAAGGGGACAGGGGGGGGAAAGATGTTAGATTTTAACAGCCCTGATAACTTATATCGGGGTGGGTCTACAGCAACAATCACAAATCTGAGACCGAAGTCCGAACCCGACGGACAAACAGATTAGGCAATCATCGGGATGAACTTTGGAACCGCAGCATGGAGGGCACAAGTCACATTGCTCTAGAACCCCTTGGCTGCAGGTTATTCGCTGTCAATATTGCGCAGTCCACTTCACTGCCAGCCAAAGTGGACCTCGGGACTCATTTCCTTCAGGAACCCGCTTACTCAGCGGGACTTGATACGTGGTAACCCTAGGTAGTTAACTTAGTCCTGGAGGATTGCCCAGGTGAGATCCCATCGATAGCATCCGTGTCGATTGTACAGTATCAGATCCGGGCCTCACAGTCGGGTGGCTGCAGGAGATACACATCAACTCTGTTTTCTAATGCCTTGGACGAATCCCAAGAGCGAAGGATTCCATTCCACTTTTTATACTCCAAACGGACCAATCGGACGCTGGATTGCTCCTCTTGTTCCGCTGATCTAAGCGGAAGGGCCTCGGAGTAATTCAACGCCCGAAACAATTGAAACTCGGGCAGAGTTGAATTGCCGACAGGATGCATATTGTGATTGCCCTATCAGATGGGTTGGTAAGCGATAATTTAGGCGATTTGCCCTGAACTGGGGATTTCCCGTGAGCTCTGACATGTGGTTCGTTTCATCTTCGTGAAGCTAGTCCTGTGATATGGATGTTTCAAATCATTCAGATCCCCTGGGCTTCCTTGCAAGTTGATTTGTTATGCTTGCCTTACTATTGATATTCAGTGGCATGGAAGGGACGGTAAGGTCCTGATGGGTATGAATATTCCTGACTAGTAAACTCGTGCATATGATTCATTTCTTTCAACCCCGATCGATCTTTTATTACCATGTGATTTCCAAGTATACAGGATGAGCATGGTAATATATCCGCATATATCCGAGCCTGCAAGGGGGTATAGCCGAAGATCAGTCTTTGTTGTCGTCCAACTTTTGACTGGCAATATCGCTGGAGAGATCCAGAATTGAACTTGCTATAATCTGCAAGATGGAAACAGTACACTCCATGACCCGAGATACCCAGTTGCGAAGTTCAACGGCAACATGAGAGTCAACACCATATTCAGAAACTGGATGAGAGAGATCGATGTTCTCTACTGGCACAGCAAGATGAAGAGCGATCTTCCGCCTCATTGCTTCGCAGATGACCAGTGTGGCCTGTTCCACCGTTCTGGCTGCTTGAAGCTCCACCTTAAAACTGTCCCCCCAATCACTGAGCATGGTAGCTTTTCCATGAGTTTGAAACTTGCGACGGAAATGAGAGAACAAGGGAGTGCTGAAATTACCCAGGGATCGCTCCTCTTTCCATTGACCAAGTCCGGTTACTATTTGGGTTTCTCGGCATGGAGGTTGGGATATCGCGACTTGAATCAACGAGAGAAGCGTTTGGGTATCGGTGCCTTCGAACCCTTGTTTCTCCATCTTTTTTGATAGCTCCCGGTTCTCTGCGAGGTAACCAACATCTGTGATCGTGCCAAGATCCAGTGATACGGCCGAAAGCCCTAGACCCCTTCGATATGCGGCAAATGAATCCTGGAAAGAACAGCCAGCCGCATATGCAGCCTGGGTTGCATTTCCAATCACACCGCTGATGGAAGAAAGCATGAGAAAGAAGTCGAGGTCTTTCGGCAAATGTCGGTGCAGATTCCATGTCCCTGCGCACTTGGGCCCCATGACTTCTCGATAATCATCTAAGCTCATGTTTTCAATATGAATGTCCTAGCAACTTTCCGTGAGTATGGGCACATTGTAATCAAATATTCGTACTGACCTTCACAACCATAGCCCCCTGGATAACTCCTCGGATTGGAGGCGCGCAGTGAGAAACGTCCACAATCATTTGTTGGACTTCAATCTCGTTGAATATGTTACAGACCTGAACCATAACCTGAACTCCTTTCTCCTCCAGCTCCCTTACTGTTGTCTGTGACTTTTCTTTGGACAAGCCACTTCTATTAAGAAGCACCAAACTCTTGGCGCCGTTCTGAACCATCCATAAAGCCACCTCACGTCCAATTCCACCAAGTCCGCCAACCAAAAGATAGGATGCAGTCGCACTGAACAATGGTTCGGATGGTTTGGGGAGTGTGGCCTGGTTTTGATAAGCGATTACCCTTTTTCTTGGAATCCAATGTGAGATTTACCATGACAAGATCATCTGACGCCGCAGAAACGACAATGTGTCGCTTGATAGATGCCTCTTCGACAGCCTGTCTGATTTGAGAAACGTTGTATACCGCAGTCCCTGGTAGACCTTTGAGTCGTCCTTCTTGAAATAGTCGAAATACCTCAGACCAGATATGGTTTGCGAGATTTCTCCTTTCCTTTTGGAAGTCAAACATGTTGAATGATGACAACGATATGTTTTGAGAACGGGAGACTCTTTGAGTTCTTGACCTGTCATTGGCAATCCTAATGAAGTGACCAAATGGCGCGGTGCAACTTTGAATCTGGTCATCATCTGTCCCAAGACTAATCACTACCTTTGCCTTCTCGCCGTGAGTCAACCGCGTCAAACTCTTCAGAATATCATCTTGCCCATCAATGAAGATATTTTTGGTAGGTATTCGAAATCGACATGATAACAGAAATGCTTCTGTGGAATCTTGAACGGTCACGAAGATTTCGTTTCCTTTCATTTTAAGCAATTCCAGAATCGCCTGTCCACACCAACAGCCCGCCCGGTGCACAAGGATGACCTCGTTTGATTGAAGACACCACAAATAGTATTTATCGATATAATATGCAGTGGAATACGCGACAGGCAATGCCGAAGCAAGCTCGAATGACATTTGATCACTGATTCTCTGAAATGCCGCTGCTCGATCATGGTAGAAACTTCTGGCGGTGCCAGTCCCAAGACACGCCACTCGATCTCCAATGGAAATACCGCAAACACCAGCACCGACATTGTATACAACTCCACTGCATTCGAGGCCAAACATGTCATCCGTGTTGCAATCGTGGGTGTCTCTCCACAGATCTTGTTCGCTGAGGCCAAATGCATGTACTCGGATTCCAACGTACCCGGCTGGAAGTTCCATCAATGCGCAGTCCTCGACAAAACGAGGATCTTCCAATCCTCTCGATAAACGCAAAGGCCGCTTTTTTAGGTGGAAATACTGTTCAGAAACAGTCTCAGTGTCACGGAGATTGACTACCGCCGTGCTTGTATATGAATCTTCCAACACGCGTGGAATCAAGACTGTTCCATTTCTTTCTGCAAATTCAGTGTCGTCGTTAGCGCCTCCACGGAGGAATCGGGTGGCAAAGAATTGAGCAAGTAGTTCTGCGGAATGAGACTCGGATAAAGGGTTTTGTGCATCTAGATCAAGAGTGATGATCAGATTGACACCGGATTCGGCACGCGCTGTTCGTGCAAAGCCCACTGCAAGGTTGGCATTCGGGTTGACGGACTCGATCGTGCCACCTCTAGTGACCCAGAGAATACCCGCACTATGCATGAATGTTGCTTTGATTTTGTCTAATGTGGTTCCATCTGGAGCAGCTAGTAAAGTCTCTTTCTGAGAGTCCAGTACCAGGCATATTCGACCCTCTGTTTCCACATCCTCGATGCTTCGCACGTCCACTTCACAAGCGAGACGCTCCAGTTGGAGAACTAAATCGGCAACAGCTATCCCAGATTCACCATCACAGATAATTGAAACCTTCGCAGTTGACTTGTCGAACTTTTCCTTGCGTGCGACGATGAACTGATGATTCTCTTCGCAATTTTTATCTGTAAAAACATTGACCGCAGTGAACTGCGCCTCACGCAGTGTTTCGTCCCATTGCCACTCTGGCCAACCACCTTGGCCAAGACAAAACTCTTCTGCAGATAAACAGTGCAGGGCACTGAACAAGAGGTTTTTCACGATATTTTGCTTTGGGTGGAAAGGGCTGATCGCAATCAATGACCCAAGGGGCTTAAGAAGGTCATAAATCTTGCAAAGAGCATTTTGCTCACATTGTGAAGTACACAAACCATGAGGTAATATGACAATGTCAAACGAGCCTTCTTCCAATCCCTGTGTGGCAAGGTCTTCTCTTGGATCTAGGAGCTTGCAATCAACCAAGTCCGACCACGGTTCCAGCCGCTTCATGGCATGCTCTAGTACAATTCGACTTTCATGGGCAAATGTGTATTTTCCAAGGTGAGGTATCTGGGCGGAATGTGCAAGTTGTTCGAGGAATAGCTTAGAAACTTGTCCTGTGCCAACTCCAAACTCGAGAATCGATATGTCCGGTTTTTTGTGGCCAATCAAGTCTAAATAACGACTGGTTGCTTTGTATGATGAATCTGTAGAGAAAATATCCCAAAATGTGTCCAATAGATGATGATCCTTTATCACATCGGTGAAGTCCATCTGGGCTCTGATTATAGGCACCAGATTTTCGCCAATGGAGCGCAGCAGACTTTCTGTTGAGCTTGACTGCAGATCCTGGAATTCGGCTTTCAAGTCGTGGTGTTCTTCCTCGTACCTGTCAAGAACATCTTGCAGATGACACCTGAACCTGCGGTGGGAAGTGTGAAGTTTCCTTGCTTCCATTGCAGTGACTTCGTCTAAAGCAGTCTTGATAAAACCCACCGCGCATTTCTCGAGTTCTGCTTGACATATAAGCTCCTGAGTTGGCTGATCTTCCTGCTCAAATAAGAATGTTGCATTTTCGTTGGAAAGAAAATACGAATCGGCTTTCCATTCAATACGATAAGTCCTTTGGCTTTCTTGAGCAACGAGATGCCCTCTCTCGCGCTCAAGCCGTGTACATCGCAGACCACGAATCGAGATGCTGGGTTCCATTTCGGAGTGTTTATCGTTGCAATCAACGACCACGATAGATGCCATCACATCTTTCCTCGGGCCTTGTCGCACATGGGTGCAAATGCTCATGATATTGCCCGCCGAAGAACTGACACCTGAAGAAACAATCATCTCCTCGATTGAAATTGGGATAGCCGGCCCATCTTGAATATCCATGCCATGTGTCAAAGCAGCAAACACAGCATGAAATATGCTGTCTAGCGTGCAAGGGTGGATCAGAAGATCATGCTGGAATGCGCATGGCATCGCTGATCTAGTGTCTGGCACAGTGACTTCTGCAAAGCAAGCCCCCTCCTGGGTGACATGTGCTGTGCTCAAATTGGCGAAGCATGGTCCGTACTCCAGTCCTATCTGATGAAGCTTCTGATAGAAGTCCTGAGTGTCGATTACGGATATTCCATGGACTTCAGTTCCCAAGGGCACCATCGCATAGTTATCGGTTTCCCTGGGTTCGTCGACTGAAACACCAATTCTCCTCTGTGAGCCGACCAGCCCGGTGCAATGCTCGGTCCATCGATTGTCCCCCGAGATTGAATAGATATGAAATTCGTATAGCTCATGAGGCTTGTGAATTGACTCCCGAATAGACACCATAATCTCGACGGCCGAAGTCTCGTTGAGAACTAGTGCGGATTTGATCGACACATCACGCAGCACATACCGGGCAATATTGTCTTCGCTCTTCACCAGCTGCATGGAAGCTTCTATTGCAATAGCCAAATATCCTGCAGCGGGAAACACAATACTCCCTTGGATCTTGTGATCGAGAAGCCACGGGAGCTCCGAAGTCCGAAGAAAGTTCCTCCAGCGAGGCTCACATGGGCAATGCATGTTATCTGGCACCCCAAGAATATCATTTCGAGGTAGGCTTCTGTTTCTGAACATCTTGCTAAGTCGTGGTTCAGCCCAATATGATCTGGCATGGTTCCAAGTGTATGGTGGCAGATCGACCAGCAACTGTGGGACGCAGGTTTCTTCAGATCCCTGTGGCCTATTGATCGCACCAAAGTTCACTGGGTAGTTCAAAGATGCCAAAGTGGCAGCCATGCCGAGTGCAGCTGTAACAGCGTTTTCTTTCCGCTTCAAGACACTGGCGTACACAATATCGGCAGAGTTCAGTTTTGGGTCTGCTCGTAGTATTTGTTTGATTGGCCCAGAAAGGGCAGCATGCGGACCGATTTCGACCAGACAGTCGATGTTGGCTTTTTGGGCTGTTCCAACTCTTCTAGATCTTACTGTTTCAGTATTACCAGACCGCTGCGTGTTTGTTTCGAAACACAGATTTCTCACTGAATCTGCAAATTTCACTTGTCCGATCAGGTTTGAGACCCAGTAGTTTGTGTCCAGCACCTCTTGCGACAGCATCTCCCCAGTGACCGACGAGAAGAATGAGATTGATCTTTTTCCCCTCTCGTCCTGCAGGTGATCTTGGCTCTGAGGCTCGATGTACTCGATGAACCGGCGATACTCATCTGCAACAAGTGCCATATGCGGGGAGTGATACGCGACATCCACGACAAGTTGCCGTGTGAAGACTGGCTTATTCTTCAGTAGCTGCGCAAGAGCAGCAATGGCAAGATTATCACCAGATACTGTCACACTGGATGGACTATTGATACACGCCACCACGAGGTGTCCACATGGGAGCCGATCAATGTATTTCTGGACATCTTCGGCAGACAATCCCACTGCGATCATGGCTCCCCGGGTCTTGTAGTCGTCCAATACCTGGCTTGCTACGACGCCACGATAATATGCGACTGACATCGCATCTTCCACACTGAGCGCTCCGACAGCATAAGCTGCTGCAATTTCCCCACTGGAATGACCGGCTACAGAGTCTGGATAGATATCCCACGAATACAGTAGATTGACGAGTGCTATCTGCAGTGCTGTGCAGATAGTCTGGCTGAGACGTGGATGATTCAAGTCTGAATCTTGGGGACACTTTTTGAGCTCCGCTTTATAGGAATTGAGGTTAGCGCAGGCATGAATTTAAGGAGATTAAGTCATCCAAACCTTCAACTAAGAATGGAGCTCCAATGACTTCCAGCCAACTATCGATCGCCAGGACTGAGTTGCGAAAGACCGGATATGCCTGGAGTAGTTCCTGTCCCATCCCAACCCATTGTGCGCCTTGGCCAGTGAAGATGAATCCCACTCTTGGTCTTCGTAACCCACTTTTAGCTTTGATGTTCTGAGCGAGAGATGTAGCCAAGTCTTCAATTGTATTGGCCACAACGGCAACTTTCCAGGTAAGATTTGAACGCCGCTCGTTCAGTGTGAAAGCGAGATTATCTAGCAACTTTTCGTTGTCAAGCCTGGCGCCTCTGTCGAGGATATAGCTTCTGAGAACTTGCATTTGTTGTGCACAAGACCTTTCGTCGAAGCCAGAGAGCATGAATATGCGCGATGGACTGATCGAAGTATCTCGATTCGCTTCTTCCTCTGTGTCAATTGACGTAGCTGATGACATACAGGATTTTTTGCTCAGGTCTCGACTTGTGAGATATCCCATGGCATCTTCTAAAATCACATGGGCATTGCTTCCTCCGTATCCAAAGCTGTTGACCGAAACTCGATGTGGACCGGTGCTCTCCCACGGCTCAGTGAGTAATTGTATCTATGAAATTAGCAATGGGTTCTGTATTGAGCGACTCGAACAAACCTTCAGTCTCCAATCGTCTAGAGAGATACGCGAATTAACTGTCTGAAAATTACAATTCGGCAAAAATATGCGGTTCTCCAACATCAAAACCGCTTTGATCACACCAGCAATACCACTTGCACCCTCCAAATGCCCAACATTGGTTTTGATGGAGCCTATCCGCAATCGATCATCCAAAGAACGACCAGGTCCAAATACTCGGCCAATAGCACCAGTCTCAATTGGATCACCAGCTTGCGTGCCTGTACCATGGGCCTCAACAAACTCCGTCTCCGATGGATCAAGACCAGCTCGAGCATACACGCTTCGGATCAATGACTCCTGAGCAGCACCACTGGGCAGCGTTATACCTGGTGTACGTCCGTCCTGATTGGATCCAGTGCCTCTGATCACAGCTCTGATAGTGTTTTTGTCGCGCAAAGCACTGGCCAGAGGTTTGAGAATAAGACAAACAATAGCTTCGCCACGCGCATACCCGTTCGCCCTCTCATCAAATGAATAGCATTTCCCATCGGGCGATAGAAATCTGGAACATGGTCAGCAGTATTCCTTCATTGTCAATATCATATTTATCGTACTTCATCATACTCATGGTTGACATGAATTCATGACTCAAGATCAAATTGACACCCGCTGCGATCGCCGCAGAGGCATCCCCTGTCTGTAGACTCTGGCATGCCAAATGGAGTGCTACCAAACTTCCTGAGCAGGCTGTATCTATTGTGACACTTGGTCCTTTCAAATCGAAGAAATAGGATATTCTGTTGGCTGTCATTGCCCTGGACTGTCCAGCATTTGTGCATTGGTACATTGGCACGCATTCCGGATCTCTTAGGAGGATATCTGTGTAGTCTGCTGAAAAAGACCCGACAAAGCAGGATGTGTTTGTGCCTGTCATTTGGGCGATTGGGACGCCAGCTGGTTATTGTTAGAACGTAGGTTTGATGCATTGATACATGGAATTTTGTTACCATTCTCCAGTCCCTCATATATGACTTCTAGCAGAAGTCTCTGTTGGGGGTCCATCACCTACCAAGTGAGTGTAAGGATAGTATCCACGATCGTGCAAGTGGTACTCACCGACGCTTCGTCATTCGTCATGTTGAAGAACGGCGCATCAAAAAGAGACACATCTTCTTCCAGAAAATGCCCTCCTTCCACGTTGATCTACTGACACTTGGCTGCTATCCTTGTGACGGACTTGGAGAACCTACCGTTCCATGTCTAGAATGATCCGGGTGGTAGAAAGCCGCATTGTTCCATCTTTTGTCCGGTATCTGAGTCCAGGATTCTCTGCCATCACGTATCATCTCCTCCAACTTTTCGACATTGCGGGCATTTCCAGGTCCTCGAAAGCCGATACCTACTATCGCAATTGGCATACAAGAGTCTTCATCCACTGGTTTCATACCACCTTGGGCTTCATCATTCTTTGAAAATTGGTCAGTCATCTTTCTTTCGGGTTGCTGAACTATAGATCACGGCAATATCTTTGGTACCAGCGCAGAATTAATATTGCTCGGGCAATTCCTGGTCCCGGTTCGTGGTTGGTATGTCAGTCGGGCCAGTCAGCAACCCACAGATTGAACCTCTAGGATTATCATGCGATGCCTGGTTTGACATCGCAAAACCTCGGGATGAAAAGGTTTGTCGTCTCACTTGCACCAACTTAGTATCCGGGTGCAACCCTCGGCGGCAAAATAAGCTACAGACCACGGTGTGCCTCTTTCTGAAATCGATCGTGCATTCGGGAAACTCATCAATCACGAATCATCACTATGCTTTCTGTCGCACAACTACCAAGATACTAGACTATCTTCCACGAGGTCCCCAAGCACTTCAATTGTGAAACAACATCGCACACCCGGCAATACTCACGCTGTACTCTCGTTTCACCAGATGAGAGTCTGACTACACAATTTCCGAATAGCGGTAGCCATCATAACAACATTCTTTCGATCGCTGGGAATATCATGACCCTTCCCATGGACCGCAAAAGTAGAAGTCCGCGCATTACAAATCCCATGCAGTGCCAACGAATACTCAAAAAGCGGATCCTGCGCACCAGCAAGATGCAGACAGGGAACACCAATGAAACCCTGCAAGCCATCATGCACAACTGGCCGCGATCCAGGAGCAGGATCCATCCTGAATGGCGGCAGCGAATTGATGAAGATGGCACAGCGAAACAAGGGCTGCTCCTTCGGGTACATCTTAGCGTAGTGGATCATGAAGCCCGCAGCCAATGTGCCGCCATGCGAAAAGCCCAAGATGCCGTCGAAGGGACCTTCCAAGGCGACTGTTTCATTCAACCGCTCGTACGCCTCCAGGATGTCGGTCTCGTCGCTATCTTCGAGCGAGAATGTCCGTGGGAACCGGTAATAGCTGTAGTACGGGCCTTCATAGTAGCCGGCGATGCCCGGGCCAGGATCTGAGTCGATGTCACCCTCTAGGAAAGAGAATGTTGCTGTATTGTCCTTTTGGAGCTCTTTGATGAGCCCATCTGGTTCTTTTGAGCGGTTGTGTTTCACGAGGGTGGATGTTCAGCGTACTCAATTGCGACTGTAGAATCTGGTGGAGGTTAGTGGTCAGAGACCCCTGTTAGATTAGTGGGGGGTTTGCCTTTTGATTTGTTCCCCAGCCATGGAGACACAATAATCGCAGGGGCATGGTTTGGAGGTGATGCTAGGCAGATACCAAAGACAAAGAAAAGAGGCCGAGGCAGAATTCGCCGTTGTCAGAATGGAGGCTTGACGACGATTGTCTTTTTGGCTTGTCTGTGGCCATTTATACTGCTCTTAAAATTGAATTCTATCCAGCACATGAAGGGTTTGGGGTAATTTCCAGGACTGTATAGACCCTGGAAACCTGCCGGACTACTACGATGTATAGATCGTCGGCCCGAACTCGGCGAATATCCGCACAGACATGTCGATGACAGTTTCCACTTCACTGTACATAATCATCATACACTGTAAGTTACTTGATTTCCTTCAATGTCTACATCAGCTTCATATTCCAAATGGGGCCGGTTATGATTTCTGCCACTTCAAAAAAGTGGCGGTGCCAAGGCAGGGGCGCATGACGTAGTGAAGACAGAGAAATCGCCAGATCTCTCTGAACTTCCCCTTGCCAATAATCGTCAATCGGTCAAGCATCACATCCTAGCGCAATGCCTTGGTCTATTGCACTTCCACAGGCGATCTTCGCCTCCCCCTGTTGGCGGTCTCAACCCCAATCATCGGAGGGACAACAGTAGCCCTGTTGACCAATCGTACGACAGCCAATGACAAGCCAATGACCCATTACCAGGAGAGAGCCCTTCACTGACGTCTACATTTTACTGTACAGGCAAGCAAAACCGCGCAACCTACAGCAAACTCAAACAACCGCCCTACAGTCCCCCCGGCTGGCTCTTCGCGCCGGCCTGGACACTCCTGTACGGGTTGATGGGGTACGCCTCGCACCACGCCACGACCATCGCGTCGCAATCGCTCTCTCTCGCAGTGCGCGATGCCCACTCGACCGCACAGACACTCTACACCACCCAGCTGGCCCTGAACTTCATCTGGATGCCCCTCTTCTTCCGATTGGGGCGACCGGCTGTGGCTCTGGGCGATCTGGCCCTGCTGGCGGGTAACGTGGGTGCGCTGATGGTCAATTGGTGGTCGGCCGATCGCACGGCGTTCTGGTGCTTGGTCCCCTACGCTGCCTGGCTGGGATATGCGGCATATCTCAATGCTGGCTGTGGCATGCTGAATGGCTGGACTTTGCCCGAGAAAGAGCGGTCGGAGTAGATACAAGGCATGACATCTTTAAACCTTAGATTAGAGATCGTCATATCGCCGCTTCTTGTTTTTTTCTTTGCTTCTTTTGGCTATGTATCCTGTTCAGGGATCTCTGGTTTCAAGTGCATGTAAATTGAATGTATCATGTGGTCGACGCAGTTTTCCAGTTTCTACTTTTCTCCTTGTGAATTTTGATCCACTCTGGTGGCGCCGTGAGCTCTCGGCGATTCGTAATGTTCTCGCCCTTGGTGGGTCTGCTTCTATGTATAAGTCTCGAGGGATTATGAACTGCCAATATCACATCATCACATCGCAGAGTGGGGTGTATCTTCTTCATCCTAGGGATTTGCCTGGAATGTTCCTGGGATGTTACAGATTTTCACCATTGCACTCCACCATAGCTCAGGAGGTGGCTGTCAGAACGGAGTTGATGGTGGGCCGGGATCGACAACTTGGGCAGCCCGGTGCCTAAGGGGGGGTGCAAGATAAGGCAATATGATGACAGAGAGAGAGTGATAGTGATGAGAGGGAAAAAAACAAGGCGGGTACAATTTACAGTAGCGTTGGTTCCTTTCCTTGTCCTTATGCTTCTTATCCAAGGAACAATGAACCACTGCGGATAGCTCGGTGCCAACAAGATCGCCACCCAGACCCACACCTCCGTTGATGAACAAGATGGGTACGTACATGTCTGTAGTCGAGTCTAGATTTATTCTCCGGCAGAGCGCAAGGGGGATTTTGGAAGTGTTTCAGGGACTGTTCGGCGGCTGTAGGGAGCTATCAAAGTGTATAGAGTGGGTTTATAGAGTGGGAACTTAGGGTTTAGGCAGAACGAGGAAAAAAATCGCCAGAAAAAAAAAAGGAACAAATAGAAATGCAGGATGGTGTCATGCATTTTCCCTTATCATATGCTCCAAGCTCTAGACTTAAAAGGAGGCATTCTAGTCTCCAGTAGTTAGTAGTCCACTCTAGCCTTAGCGAACTCATATACACTTCGCCGCTTCGAGATCGCTGGTTCCGTGGTTCATTTTGTTTTTTACTTTGCTCTAGACCGTACTTTCTGCTCTGCTTTTCTTAACTATTGAAATCCTACTTTTTGCCCCTCTTCTTTTCTCTTCTTCTCTCTTATCTTTTTTTGAAACTTGGACCTTGGACCTTTCACACTCGTTGCCTTGCAGAGAGGCTTGCAGCCCACCTTCATGTCGGGCATTACCAACCCGCATCCGAGTCCGAATGAAGAATATGCCGAATATCCTCTGCCAACCATTGAATTGCCCAATGTCGAGGATCGCCATCACCTCGAACGAGAGGCGACCGCCGATGTCCACCAATATGACTCGCTCGAGCCACCGGAACCGACACCTCGATCGCATCGAGTGCGCTTCCGTTCCATGAGTCTGAGGCGCAATGAGTCGCGCGATGTGACCGACGGCTCTGATCTGTCGCGCCCATTGTTGCCCGCCGACCTCAGCGAAGTGCCGCTGTCCGGAAGCATCACCCCGCCCGCCCCCACACATTCCAGGCACGGGTCTGGTCTGGCGAACATGCAGACCCTAGATGAAGATCAATCGGAGAAACACGATTTCGCCACCGACATCCATCGCACGACGTCTTCCAAGGACCGATTTAGAGCTGCTGGTCAGCTGCTCCGTCAGAAAACTGCACGGTTGACGGAACGCCTCGGTCGGCCACCGGATGAGGGCGAAGCGCTGAATGCGTCGTACATTCCGGACGATTTTGACAGTATCCCGCTGGAGCAGCTTCAAGCTCGCCGCGCTCGGCATGATGCGGATAGAGCACAAGCATTGGAGAACGGCGAGGAGCTGCATCAGCCTCCCGCCAGTGCCGAGGCGCATCGTCTCGTTCGCAGCATGACCATGGTTCAGGATCAGCTGCGCAAACGCAAACCGCAGAGCGCATACCAGCGGTCGGGCCAGACTACCCCCGAGGGTCTGATCAAAGACTTTGCGCAGCGCCGTCGGTCCAGTGGGTTCGGCGGTGGAAGTGGCATCTTGTCGCAACTGCTGAAGCTCCAAGCGACCACCACGGGCAGTTCCTCGCGCGCCGAGAGTGTGATTACCGATGACTCCGACAGCGACACGCAGGTGTCTTCGGGCACGACCACGCCCAAGAAGGGCTCCCGCTCTCCGACTATCACCCCATCCATGCCCACCTCTGGTTCCGCTACACCGCGCAAGGAAAAGCTCAAGTGGTACAAGAAACCGTCTCATCGCTCTACCTCCTCGTTGATCAATGCCTCGATGAACCTGAGCACTACCAGCTTGCCCGCCGTGGCTGATGTCACTCCCGGCGCGAAACGCAGAAAGGCCAAGCGCAAGACTCGCCTGGAGGATGAGATCCGTGTGACGGTACACATCGCAGAGATCATTGCGCGACAACGCTATATCATGCAACTGTGCCGTGCGCTCATGCGATACGGTGCCCCGACTCATCGTCTCGAAGAGTACATGCAGATGACGGCCCGTGTTCTGGAGGTTTCGGGTCAGTTCCTGTATCTACCGGGATGTATGATCATGTCCTTTGATGACCCGACCACCCGCACAGCTGAAGTCAAACTTGTGCGTATGGTGCAGGGTGTCGATCTTGGGCGACTGGCCGATACGCACAATGTCTACAAGAACGTTGTTCATGATTTGATCGGCGTCGAGGAGGCCACTCATGAGCTGGATGAGATCATGCAGCGCAAGCCCCGATTCAACAAATGGATCTTGGTGGTGATGTACGGCCTGGCTAGTTCCACTGTTGGTCCGTTCGCTTTTAGCGCACGACCGATTGACATGCCTCTGATTTTCTGTCTGGGCTGTTTAGTCGGTCTGATGCAGCACGTCTTGGCACCTAAATCAACATTGTATTCCAATGTCTTCGAGGTCACGGCTGCGGTTTTAACCTCATTCCTAGCCCGTGCGTTTGGCAGTATTAGGGTTACTCGGAATGGGCAATCCGAGGAGCTTTTCTGCTTCTCGGCTATGGCTCAGTCGTCTATCGCGTTGATCTTGCCTGGTTTCATGGTTCTGTGCAGCAGTCTGGAACTGCAATCTCACCAGATGATCGCTGGATCGATCCGCATGGTGTATGCCATTATCTACTCTCTGTTCTTGGGTTACGGTATTACGGTCGGAACTACGATATACGGTTTAATGGATGGAAACGCAACCTCCTCGTCAACATGTTCGGGTCTCGATGTCTACGGCTCAACGTACCTACGCCAATTCCCCTTCGTGGCCATCTACGCCGTCTTCCTCGCCATTGTCAATCACGGCAAGTGGAAGCAGATGCCTGTCATGGTCTTCATCGCTGTCTCCGGATACATTGCCAACTACTTCAGCACCACCAAGCTCGGGTCTCAATCCGAAGTCGCCAACACTGTCGGTGCTTTCACAATCGGTGTCTTGGGCAATCTCTACAGTCGATTATGGCACGGTCATGCAGCCACTGCCATTCTCCCCGGTATCTTTGTGCTCGTGCCATCTGGTCTCGCATCTAGTGGATCTTTGATTGCCGGAATCCGATACGCCGACGAGGTCCGACAGAATCTCAAAAATAACGGCACCAGTTCATCGACCAGCGTTCTTTCCGAAACCTCAGTGGCTAGTCTTGGATTTGGTATGATTCAAGTCGCCATTGGTATTACAGTCGGACTCTTCATTGCCGCCTTGGTTGTCTATCCATACGGCAAGAAGCGCACTGGCCTTTTCAGCTTCTAAGCATTTTTTGCCTTTTACATATTATTTCTGTTGTACATCTTTGATTTTCTTGTTTATTTTTTTATTTTTATCTTTTTACATCTCGGGTTCAGCGTTTTTAAGCGATTGAGATTTACTTTGTTGCATTTCAAAATTTTCGTGGGAAAGTCATTGAGCGATTTTAGATTTACACGATGTCCATACACTTGCTTCATAATGTCAGATACAGATACACATACAGATACAGATACAATACACATACCCATACTGGTACTCATTCACATGCATTCTCACATCCAGTCAGACTCAACCATCTAGACTCAACGCCTCTATCATCAACCGTAAGCCACCACGAAGCTGCCTCCCGCCTCCAGTCGGAACCTGCCGACCATGACACATCGGCACATCGCCAGTGCGCAAAAACAAAAAAAAAAAGTCTAACAAAGCAAAGGGACTCACCTAAACAACTACCAAACACCCTAAAGCAATCATGACCATTGAACAAACCAAGCCAAAAATGCGTCGCCCAGTCCAAACAGACATCATAACCTCAACGCGGGGCGGCGTAATCGAAAACCGCCACAGCGTCCACGCAGCAGTAACAAACACAAAAGGCGAGCTGCTATTCAGCGTCGGCGATCCCCATCGCCTCACCCTAGCCCGCTCAGCAGCAAAACCAGCCCAAGCACTAGCCATCCTCGAAACAGGCGCAGTCGACAAATACAATCTAGACGAAGGCGATCTGGCTTTCATGTGTGCGTCGAACAGCAGCGAAGAACGACACATCGCCCGGGCACGCAGTATGCTCCGGAAGGTCGGTGCCAGCGAGTCCCACCTTCAATGCGGGGGCCATGTTCCGCTTTCGGAGTCTGTTCATCGAGACTGGATTAAGCGGGATGTCGTGCCTGGCGCTGTGGGCAGTAATTGTGCTGGGAAGCATGTTGGTATGATTGCCGGTGCGATGGTTCTGGCGGGTGAGAAGGGGATGACGGGATATCATTTGCCGACGCATCCTGTTCAGGTTCATGTTCGTCGGGTTGTGGATGAAGTCTGTGGTCTTGGTCGTGGGGATGAATCGATCTGGGGTCTTGATGGCTGCAATCTCCCGGCTCCGGCTTTTGAGCTCCATTATCTGGCCCGTATGAATGCTGCGTTTGCCTCTGCTGCTGATTATGTGGCTGCGCATCCTGCGTCTGTGAGCACGGGTTCCAGGACGGATGCCATGAGTCGTGTCTTTAACGCTATGTGGCAGTATCCCGGACTGGTTGGTGGGGAGGGTCGTTTCTGCACTTTGCTCATGGAGGCGTATGGTGGGTTACTGATTGGGAAGCTTGGGGCGGACGGGTGTTATGGGATTGGAGTGCGGGAGTGTGAGGCAACGAGGAAGTTGGGGGTGGATGGGGCGCTGGGGATTTCGGTTAAAATTGAGGATGGCAATGTTGGGGTTCTTTATTCGGCTGTTATGGAGGTTTTGGTGCAGTTGGGTATTGGGGTTGGGGAATTTGAGGGTGGAATCCCTTTCGTGCTGAGGAAGTTCCATCATCAGAAGATTATCAATACGGTTGGCGTTGAGACGGGGGTTTTGACTCCTTGTTTGAAGGTGTTGGCTGTGAATTGAGGGAACAGTAAGTGATTCAGACTTGAGCCTAGTATCATTCAAAACTATATACATTCATAATTTCAGCCAAGACCGACATCGTTCTAAGATTCAGACATTTCTGCCAGTGTTGTGTGCAACACGATAGATGTCGGTATTCACAACCCTAACCTACAGGTGTCAATGCGTCGCTCGTCTGTATAAAAATACATCATATTCTATATTACGCCAAAAATAAATCTATCTTGTCTGTATATTTACATAAATCATGCGCATACGCGCTTAAGAGCTGCACGAGAACACTCCGCCAACGGTACCTTCATCGTAGGACTTGATCTATGACGGGTAAGCATTTGCACAAATGGAAGAGCCCAATATCGGGAGAGGTTGATGAAACTTACAATATCAACGACACTTGAATAGGTGCCAGCACCGAGAACAATCAGACCAATAATCAGGATAATGACGTTGACCACGCTGAGAAGGATAGTCTTGCTGACTGACGAGCTGTCCTGGCGGATGAACATGAACCACATGATAGCGGGGAAGTAGAAGGTGAATCCGGAAATGAAGAGGGACGAGATGAGCGACAAGAGATCACTGAAGAAAGGAATAACCTCCGCAACGACAAATTCAAGGATTGTCAAGAATGTGATCAAGGCCAGCCAGGTCATCCATCCCATCTTGGTGTTGATAAAGCGGATGTTGGAGTTCTTGAAAATCCGGCCGTGGACGAGCCGAGCCAACACAACAGTGTTGATAGAACCACTGATGAAGATAACTGGCAAGGCGATACCGAACGCAATTCGGCTGAGTAGACTACCGGCAGACAGCAGGGCAGGGCTCTGGACATCCTGGCCGACGAAGGCATACACAAGTGCGCCAGTCACAGTGTAGATGAAGATTTCAGCCAGACCGAGGGCCCACACGGACTTGGGGAAGTCAGTAGGCGTGTGCATTTCATCCATGAAAGAGAACTGGCACAGAGCGAAACTATAAGCGAAGATAATGTTGGAGAGGGCGATGAATGCCTCGGAAAAGCTGAGGTTTTCCTTTGGCCAAGCCGACCAGTCGACTGCTGCAAGGCCGGTACTGTTGCTAGCCTCAACGCCAGTTCCGATAATAGTGATTCCGATGGCGATGATAATGGAGGCGAAATCGATATATCCAAGAATAGCCATATCAGAGAAACTGGGTGGCACGGCAAATAGCAGCAGAATGACGGCGGACACGAAGCCGAAAATCACAGTACAGATGTTGCTTCCTGTGATGTTGACGAAGGCAATTGATCCAGTGAGACAGTGGGATCCCGCTGACAACAGCAGCTCCAAACACAACATGATGAAGACGATCTCATATCCCCATCGGCCAAACATCATTCTACCCGCTTCGGGGTAGTCCGTGATGTGAGGGTACTTGACTTTGACCTGGCCGATGATGTAGCTAGTGTAGACTGCGACAAGACCCAGACCCACGCAACAGATGACACCTGCCACCATGCCGAGGGTTGCAAATGTAGACGGGATGGAGAGAGATCCGAGAGCGACGGCCTCCACAATCAGGACGATTGTCAGTCGCTTCCATCCTAGCTTGTTGAACTTCTGGACGCCTGCTTCGTAAATCTGCTGCTCCTGGTCGGTCATGTCGGGCACCCCATCACCCGGGATCATCTTCTTCTCATTATTGATGGACATTGGAGATGAGTTACTCTGGGGGGGACAGTAACGTTACTCTGAGAATGGGGACAAAGAGGTTCAAGAAGGAAAGATGCTAGAGATGACAAAAAAAAATCGAAGAAATCGGACACGGGCCGAAAATAACTAAGATTTTACCATCCAAACGGGGGCTCGGTACGAATCATTCCCGAATCGGTCGGTGTACCGGACTTTGGCCGTTGCTTTTGGTACCTGAAGCCTTCTGGAAATTCCTCGTTCCTGCCAAATCAGGTTAGCGTGCCCTTGTTTTCACTTGGCGGACTCCACTTATAACGTAAAATATTCCACATGGAGTTGCCTCCTGGTATGTTTCACTGCAACTATTACAACTCTTGGTTATAAATTTCATGCTTCTTTTATCTTTTGCATCTGCTATCTCTGTCGGCCCGGATGCAAATTGTATACTTGACTCCACTTCCCTCGGCTTCGTGTTCCCCAGATAAAGTAAATATATGGCACGTATATAGATCATTGAACACTGGCAACATAACAGCATCCCGGTAAGACCCGATGAGTGTGTACTCTACGAGCTCTCCAATATACTGCAAGACCTGTCAGAAAAACTAACTTTGAACGGTCCAAGTACAACGCGTACATATCTTGTTGTCCAAGCGTGTCCACGGTCTATTCCTCACATGGCAAAGACGTGTAACTTGTCAAGATCTAGTCGTGGTCACTTTAAAGCTCTGCCAAGTCCTACCCGGTAGACACATTCCGATTCTGAACCCGAGCAGTTCGCGCAGGGCTTATTTTGCTTTCATTCCACTTTGCGTGATCGACCAAAGTCACAACTGCGGGTATGTGGGGCCCGATCTTGGAGGCAATTTGCTTCTGCTTTTGCGTGATAATAGGGGGATGGTAGGTGAGAGGCGCTGCAATTGTGCATCGATTGTTATGCGTTAGAAATTACAGGTTAACATATACAGATCAGGTGGAAAGTTAGCTTAGGATCGCAGATGCAATTTTAAACTGTTGTTTGCCCTACGAGGGATAAGCTTATGAGAAGCCGACGCTAGCGAATCTGTGGACGGTCTGTTCGCTTACAATCGGGATAAACAAATTTAGTCCGAGCTCTAAGGGGACAAACTGTGATCTTCGTGTTTGATTTGGTTTTTGGGGGGGGGTGACGCTCAACATGAAGTTATTACGAATAACTTACATCAAGTCGAAATTGAGTCAATGTTTATTGAAAGAGAACTTCCGCTAGAGGAAAATAACAAAGTCTTGCCCATCTCACCAAATTGTGGCCTGGGCGCAGGGCTCATCATTTGACTGTGCATGTATTGGCCACATTTCTATCACATTAGTGATGTGTAAACGCCTATTTAAGTCAAGTATGCGACTTATTAATGAACGGCTGGTTTGTTCATTTACATTGCCAACCTAACTTTCGAACATCGCATCTTTTGTCACATTATCCCAACAGTTCTGGTTTGTTTCGCATATATTTTTAATTTTGATTTATTGAAAGTGCTTTCAACGCCATCTAGTGTATCATGCGTCATTCAGGTGACGACTGGGCGCTTATAGCTAGTCTTTCCCACATGAATGCTTATTTGTCCAAGAGTGTGTCTGGTGTTGGCATTGTTAACTTCGTGGATGGCCAGCCTCAGTTTCAATATTTTCCTGAATATGAAGCATAGGCTCGGCATCTTTCAATAAAGAAACCATGCTTAGGGTACAAAATTGCCTCTTGGATATAGAACACTCGGGGTAACAGAGTGGCTGGTGTTTGCTAATTGGATCCCTCTTTCATTCAATAATTTCCCAAAACATACGTATTAAAAGTCTTGAACAAACACCTACACGTTATATCTTCTGCGAATTTGTAAAATATACAGCGACTTGGTCGTTTAATTCTGACATCTATAGCTCTATACATCTATTAACTCCGTCGTATGCTAACCGCCTCATGAAAAATTCTATTTAATCGACATCACAACGCACAGCGATTGATCTACTGGCAAACCAAGACACCGCGGTATCTCATCTTGCCATCGCGGAGAGTCTGCATGGCATTCTCGACACCCTCCGTGGTCATGGGGAAGGTCATGGTGGTAGGCTTGATGTCGTGGTCAGCAGCAAACTGAACCAGAGTGCGGAGGCTGTTGCGAGAGGCAACCAGAGAGCCCTGGATGCGGATACCCTTGATGTTCATGAACAGCATGGGGACTGGCGAGTGAGTGAAGTCGACGGTGAGAGGGTAGATGGATCCATGGACATCCATGAGAGGAATGAGACTGTGCAAATGTTAGCGTTAATCCTTTTCATGCGATTTTCGATAGAAACATACGAAGGATAGTCAACACAAGCACTTCCGCAGAGCAGGAGGTGGTTGACAGGCTTGAAGTCCTTCAGTTCCTGGCCATCACGGAAAACGTGGTACTCGGAGGCTCCGAAGCCAAAGGCCTCCTCGCGCTTGGCCTCTGAGGAAGAGAGAACAACAACATGACATCCCATGGCGGCGGCCAGCTTGATCGCAAGATGTCCGAGACCGCCAATGCCCATGACAGCAACACGGTCAGTGGGCTTGATGCCGTACGCGGTCAAGACAGTCCAGACAGTGGCACCAGCGCACATCAAAGGAGCGGCATCGGCGAGCTCATAGTTATCGGGGATAGGCACAACACAGCCAGCATCCCAGACGACACCGTGGCCGAAGGAGCCAAGGTCGTGGTCGTGTGTGCCGTACTCCTTCTTGTTCTCACAGTATTGGTCCCAGCCTGCGATCTGGATTAGTTGCGTGCTCTCTATGTTTCTTCAATGGGGGTTCCATACCGGTCAAACACTTTTGACAGGTACCACACACGTAGTGGGTGTATCCAAATCCAACACGAGCTCCGACCTTGACGTTTGTGACGCCGGGGCCAACCTGGCGGACAATACCAACACCCTCGTGGCCAAGGACTTGACCGGAGGTGAGGTAGTGCTCATCTGTGCCGCAAAGACCGGAGTGTGTGGTTTCAATGTAGACTTCGTTGTGCTGCAAGGTGCGCGTGGTCTTATCAGCCACGATCTTGCCCTCCTTGGAGCCGCGGAAGACGTCGAATGTAACGCTCATTGTGAGATAGGATGGATCTGTGTAGGTTGAAATGGTTGATTGAATAGATGAGAGAAAGACTGAAGCAAGAGATGGACTGGAAATTGCAACGGCGAAGCTCCCCTTTTAACCCACCAGCTACCAGCTTGGACATTTTTTTAAGCGATTTATCATCAGGACCTGGAGCCATGCCGTCTCTTCGTCGGGGTCAGGATTGCCAATGAAAATGTTTGTAAGGTGCGAGGGGTGGATCAAATCATCCAAACCCCATTAAAGTTGTTCTAGAGAATTCTGCAACGGGAGGGCCCCAGGATCCTCAAGCTCACGCAAAGCCGATCCTTCCGGGTCATTTTATGTCGGTCTAAGCCTCATTGGGAATCTCTCCGTTGCATAAGTCTCCACCGAACCAAGAGCAAACGGTACAATTGATCCTCCGAGTTAGGGCTGGTCGGCGACTTTTTCTGGTCGGGACTACTTCGGTTGGAACGGGGTCTCGATTCGGAATGCTTTGGGACTGTTTCAACCCGTTTTATGTCTCCGATATCTCTTAATCTTCCCGCGTTGATTTCTTCTTCAATCTCTGTCCAGGGCCTATCGACGTAGGTGGCGGTCTTAGTCATCCATTCTTCGATGGCCGTTGCGCTAACTGTAAACTCTAATTCCGAATCCGGCCATCGGATCAGACATTCAAAGGTGTTTGTTGAACGTATGATCGATGACTGAGGATCAAATCATACGATCAAGTTGCACGAAAATGATCGCTTTCGTCGAAGCGTGTTTCATCACAGGTCATGGTTTACTACGGCAAGGGTTGGGGTGACGAACATCTCAACCACAACGTTAGTAGATATACCCTTTGTAGAAAGATATTCAATTCACTGATAAGAAACATAACGTATACCAAAAAGCGGGCTAGATAGTCGAGACTTAATAGTCAGATGTGAGCTATATGCCTATAATGAAGACCTGGCATTTCCTGAGAACGTCGTTCCTCTTTGGCACAACAGTAATAACTTGATACTCAATGAACAGTAAAGGATACCCAAACCTGAAGTCAAGCTCTTGACAACAGGTGGCAGGATGGTTGGATAACACAATATGATCCACTTTCAATCCAATCCTGTCACTTCCGAGAAAGTGGGTTGCTATGCCGCTTGGTAGATCAGAGACCCCTATTCCGAGAGCATGGATCGGTGCCTGGAGCAAACTAGTGGCTAATCCCGCTGCGTTCCTTGTTTCTACTTTCACCCTTTTGGGGCATAGTACAACAGGCTTGTGTTTCTCCTATTTAACCTCCTTGGTTCTGAGAGATCGCCGATAATTATCCACACGGCTAATTCGGCTGTCAGAACTGAATCTACAAATTCCACCAAGGTTGCTCATATCACTTATAATTAGCCATATCTGTTAAAAGGGTTGGCAATACAAGGTGAAGACCCGTCCTATTGCTTTGCTTCCTTGAAAACCTCTGATCGTGATTCATCTATCTACTTCACTGCCATTGTCTGTCTGGACCAAATTTTCCATTGATTCGCTGGCGCTTCCTGGTCAAATCAAGTTTGGCTTGGTAGCGCTATGCTGCAGCATTGCAGATCCAGGTCTAGGCTGCATGATGCACCGTTGCATGCCGATTACGATCTAGATATAATTTAATGCAGTCATGTTCAAATTATGCTCTCTTTGCAGTAAAGATTATTTCCGACCGCATTTAGCTCATTCTCAATTATCTTGTCACCAAGTACAAAAGGAATCTATCCCATAATATTGCTCATATAAGGGGTGAACAGAATGGCCCTTTAGGAGTCGTCGTTTGGACTGGTATGATTGTTATTATTAAAAGCACGAGATTTTGGTGTTATACTTGTGTCAAAATGTGGTTTGCGATGTGGCGGTTCATAGACTTCCTGCAACGCTCGCACTCCACGGGGATTATATATTTCCATTGACCGCGAGGCACTGCAAGCAACCCGTGATTTTCTGAAAGAACCATGAGAAAACACGCTAATATTGGCTACAAAAAAATATCGAAAACCAAAATTTAAAAGGTATACAAAACGAATGCAAAATTAAAAAAAGGGGGGGGGAGAAGGGCTCAAAAGTCCAAATACAAAAAAATAGTTTCCCTGGGAATCGAACCCAGAACCTTTCCGGAACAGATGCTTGAAGCAATTGTTAACGGAAAATCATAACCGCTAGACCAGGAAACTGTTTGATGTAGGAAGTCACATTCTTTGACATTATGATCCAAAGACTGATTTATTGACGGATTATATAGTAAACCGCATTGTCTCTGTAGCCTCAGGAGAAATTTCCAGTAAATCGTATGCACGCAATTGAATCGGATTAGATACTGTATTTAATAACTTAATCCTCACTAAAGGACTAAAGCCCAGCCAAACTTACTAGCATGATCTCAGCGTCAATGAGTTCCAAAGTTGAGGTACTAATAGGAGTCTTTTCACGCAACACCTGTTTGTGGTTGAGATACATAGTTGAGGAAATTTCTATTTCTCTACGGTATTGTACACATATACATGACCCGCGTTGCATGGTTCGATTGTCTTGCGAAATTTCATAAATATATTTCAAACCCATATATCAATTCAACAATATATACCACATCAGGAAAGCAGACTATGTACAAAATGCAAGTGGGTATCCGGGGTATCGAGGACGCCGGCGTCCTATAATGGCAGACGGTTATGTTCATCCTCATCCTCATCCTTATGGGCTACCAACTGGTAAGGAGCAAGAGAGCGAGATCCTCGCAGGGATCGACGGTAAAAAGCAAAATAAACACCACAAACAAGGCATCCTAGCGCAACAATCACAATAGTCCATAAGGACCACGAATGGCTAGACGCCGAAGACCGTCCCGTTTCAGAAGCGGGTAATCTCTGGAGCAATTCCGTCACCCCAAGACTATCGCCATTTCCATGAATAGCGCGCAAGCGAAAGAAAGACTCCACCTCGGGAGCAAGATGAATCTCAGTCTCAAACCCGGACCGAGGAACCTGGTCAACAGCGCTGAAGGTCATATTGGACAAGCTTTCGCCGTCCCATGCCTCGACACGCCAGGCAGCTACCTCGGTCGCACCATTCCAGCTGACGAAGACACTGTCGGGAGTGAGTGTTGCGTCGGGTACTGATGTAGGATGACCGATCCAGTCGAATTTGAAAATGCGATACGAGACAACCCGGCCAAAGGTGAAGAAAGCCGAAGCGCCAAAGTGTACATCACATACTATTTCACCGTCGGGTGAGAACTCAGTGTAAGCAGCCGAGTGGCCCCAGCCCACGAGAACATTGCCAGTATCCAGCACTTGCAGGTTTCCCTGGGAAACGGCCATCAAGCCCTGCGGATGGTCATAGGACTGTGCGAGTGTCGCTTGCCGTGCATTCATATCAAGGTCAACTACCATTCCGCGGCTTACTGCGTCAGGGTGATCATTGGTATAGGCGGCATTATCGAATAGACTGAGGCGGTTTGGACCTTGCCAGCGGGCATCGTGTTGCCAAGCAAAGTCAGTAGCGGCACCATCAGAAGCATCGGCAAAGTCGTTTCTTTTTCCTCCTAAGGACCAGGAAACCTCGCCGGTTGTTCCGTCTATGCAGGCGATGGTATGAAGGTGTCGCATCGAAACCAAGTACCGGCCCTGGTCGTCTTTGTCCACGCTGTTGATATGGCAGTAGTCGTAAGCTGATGTGCGCCCAGTACCAGTGTTGCCGATTGGGTCGTAACTGTCGCTCGGGGAGAAATAGTCGGATACACGCCATTGGAACAGAAGTTCTCCTGTTTCAAGGTCGACTTCCTGGAAGACTCCGTCATACAGCCACCCCTGCTCAGGTCCGCCAACAGAGGTCAAGTCCATCACAATAGGGTCATAAATCATCAAAAGTGCGGTGTCGTTGGCGGTGATGTGGAAATCGTGCAAATCGCCGTCGTACATGCCGATTGGTGATACAACATATCGTTGGTTGTAGGTCGAGTCAAGCTACATACAAAGAGAATGGTTAGCATGTCGAGCTCGTAGCTAGCCAAGCCCGAAATGTATCTCACCATGTACCATAATCCCCGGCCATAATTATCATCCGTATCCCCTTGCCAGTAGGTCAGGAAATCCTCGCCCTTGTATCGCTGTACTTTAAAGTCTTGCGTCGTTCCCCAATTCCATTTCGTCCACACAAGTTCACCAGCAGAATCCAGGATCATAGGACCAGGGTGGGCGACAGAATCGCCGCGAGGCGCAAGGAATGTATATCTCGAATCGCATTGCGCCCCAGGTGGGGAAATTTCAATAATCGGCGATTCCTGGTCGAAGGAAACATAGTTTCGGTCCGGACCTAGCCCTTGGGCACCTAAGTCATACCAACTCAAGCCAGCGCGGAGACGCACTCTGAGAAGTTGTGGGACGGCGAGTAGATAGAAGATAACTGCGCCTCCGAGGGCAACAGCCAGTAAAGCGATCCATCGGATAGGAAGACGATCAAGGCGATTACCGCGGAGCCAGGAGCTCATGCGATGCAGGCCAGAAGAAGTCCACAAGAACATTGGCGCATCGCGGACGGGAACAAGGGATTCAACGGGAGGAACAGAAAGGAGACTTTAAGGGACATCATCTTCACGCTTGAACGGGTCAACGTTCGATCTCCGCTCACAGACTCCTTACTGGAGACTCTTGGCTGGAGACTCTTGGCTGCACAGACAGTGGAAACTCGGGAGTTGACGCGTATGTTGATTCGGTAGCGACGGCAGTCCCATAGTAGAATATTGGTCCGCCAAGCTTCTAGTGGATCGATGTTCCTTCGAGAATTGCGCGGCGGCGCCAACCAGAGACCACAGTCTCCGCTTGTTGGACAGTTCGGTAAATTGACTCGTGGCTGAATTTACCCCCGAACAGCATCGGCCGAACTGCGACGCCTAGTAGTCCACGCGTCCTCGTCATTGTGAGCGGGATGTGGCGCGATTGTGTCATCGGGAAATAGGGTTCCAATCAGATAAGGAGAAATGGGGATAAAAGTTCAACGGGAATACGTATAGCACTGTCGAACTGGACTCCGGATATGTTCAGGGTGTGTTCTACCGAAGTCCCACCGTGGATACTGGACAGTATCGTTCATTGTTCAACAGAACTGGCGATACGAACACGACGCTCCGCTCGGCACTCGGACTTAATATCTTCCTTCAGTTAGTCCTTCATTAAGTAGGGGGAAAGGTGACAATCTAATAAATGATCAAGTGAAATAGATGCCCCGCAATGCACCATAATCACTGATAAGTAAATATTATTTATAGACTATGCATTGGGGATCTGATTTTCCCCGGACGCGTTCATCATACATGACGCATCCTATTCTCTCTCTCTCCGGGTTACGCGAAGAGCTCGTGCTATGTTTTCTTATCTCCGCAAATCCCCTTGAGCCTATTGAATTTTTGAAATTGCATTGTGGGTGATGTCTCATCGGAAGAAGAAGAAAAATCTCTTGGCTTGCCGAGCTGTGAGACACCGGCATCTCTCGGCAGCTGGATCCGATGATGCCGAAGGTAGAGCGTGTAGTTGCTTGATTATAGATAGATAGTCAGTGATACAGATCCAACCTTCTCTGTGAGTTGGGTTTGCTGTCTCCGCTGCCGCTGCTGCCGCGCTTTGATAAGGGCACCCAGAGCCAGGCTCAATGAGCGAGCTTCAACCCGGGCTCAGACTCAGAGAGTTGCTTAGATTACTAGAGGTATCTAGTGCACAATCAATCTGTATTCGGACTATACCCAATAGAGCACTTTGTCCCCACAATACCATGTTCCCTGTAAGTTGACTTAACTAACGTTGCTTTTTCATAGCCCTTGATTCTCATCATGCTCCTATTCCCAGAGGAACACGATCTTGTTGTCTCGTTGCACTCTGAAAAATTGCACAGTCTTGTGTGATTATATGACGCTAGAAGGTATAAAGTCTACGTTTCTGTCGCGGGCGGAGAGAACAAGATGTATCGCATATTCGTATGTCTCGCGTCAGGGGATTACTGTCTTTTTTACAGACATGTTAGCTCTATGTTACAGACTCAGCCCCTTATATTACTGTAGATAGTTATCCCTTAGGTGTCCGAGTTTCTCGGGGTTATGCGCAAAATCCCCGCAGAACGTATTATATCCTGGATTGCCAACTTTAGAAGTAAATGTATCTGCAGACTGGTGTGTTCGGAGTGGTAGACATCCAAGGTTGACCTTGAAACATCGGGTTCAGACTGTATAACTTATCCAAGCATTACTGTGAAGTGCGGAGTATGAAGTGCTTTTCATTGCTACGAATATTCCGTGTTCATATCGATTTACCCTAATTTCTAGTCGACTTAACCTTCATCATTCAGTCTGAAAGGTTGTCTATCGACTAAGTACTATGATGTGAATAGACCACATCCTGCTCGCCCAAGCATATCTCCAAGGCGACCTCAAAAATATCCTAATCACCAGTAACGAAGCCAAACGAACGTCATCTACAAGGAGAAAAGCACACTTGGCACGTGATCAACAGGGATGCAGCTTACTCAGCCATAAATCTGCTTATATAACACAGGCGTGCTCAGATATACTGAGCAAAAAGCGGCAAGGGCCGAGCACTAAAACAGAAAGAAAACGCCGAAAAGTGGCAGGGGAAGTTCAGGGGAAGTGTGGTTGCATTATGCCCTCAGATAGCACTTGTTCTCTTGTGTACACGTATCCATGCATTTCGACCAAGGGTCAAGGAGTATGCACCCACGATTTTAGACGGCGCAATAGAGTTCGAATCACTACGGAGTCCTCACTACTCCGAAGGGATGGCGCGGGATGGCGCTCAATTGCGGAATTTAGCAAATAGTGGTGTTTCACATCATAAGTACACTTACGCAGGAATGTCGTCTACTCTAGCACACACGTCAGACCTGTTTACAATCCGGACACCAGAATCCAATCCACCGACGGAACTAATGCCACGAGGGAACAGGGGTAAGTGCAGGAATGCGGTCAGTGGCTGGCGAGGTAATAGGCGCTTTGTGGCCCAGACAGAGCTCATCAGACAGGGGTACATGTACAGCAGATGCTGCCAAGTCACTTAGGCCGTTATTGTCTCTGGCACACCCCGACTATTGAATAATCCACCCCACGGCGCATCGCAGAAATTGCACGTCGATCTATCCAAAACGAAGAGTCCGTGCTAGCTCAGGTTCCTACACTGTACCAGCATTTCTACAGGGCCAAACCTTTCAACGAGCTTGTTTCGGCCACAACTCCATCTGTGACGGGTCATCCCGAATGATGAGCCTGAAACGTTGGCTTGATTGGCCCTATTCTGTAATCTTTGACCCCGAGCGGATTGTGGGAGTGGGACTGTGTGCTGGCTGCAGGACGAGACATTTCTCATTTGTCGAGAAATCGGCGCCAGGCCCCACGGCAATCTAATTCGGTTCGAGCTATGCGTGTCTGAACTTTGTGAAGAGTGTGGCGGCGGAGTCGCCTTTCGCCTTCCCGAACCCCATGGAATGTGCAATTTGTGAGGCCAACCCGCCGGGGAAATAGTCTCCAAGGGGGCGTTTATAGCGCCTATAGACAATATCTGCACCTGGCAGATCTAAGGATACTGAGCAATGCACACCTCTCCATGCACATGCACGCCCAGACGCGACGATGCAAAGCACAGAATCAAGATAAACTTCAAGCTCCACTCATATGTGGTCCCCATTTAGCCCCGTATGATTGGTAGTTGTCTCCCTTCCCTCTGGCTTGCGATCTTCGCCTTCTCCCTTTCTCCTCCGCACACCACGCCATGCAGGACAAGGAGATGATGTCGCACGAGGTCGGCCTCGACGCGAATGCCCAAGATGACTGGGACATGCAGCGATTGGGCAAGACCCAGGAATTTAAGGTGCGACAGGTGTCGGAAAAAAGAATTGCGGACCAAGGGCTGATCGGCGGCAGAGAAATTTCCGATTTTATTCGATTCTAGGATTCACGACGACCTTGATGGCCACATGGGAGTCTATTCTACTGTGAGTTTGACCCAGGCGATTACGACTGGTATACTGCGACTGGTATATTGGGTTGCGACATGGAACAGCAGTAATAATGGAGAACGCGCAGTACGAGTACTTATGGTCTCATCGATGGCGGAAAAGCGGGCATGGTCTATGTATACATCGCGTCCTTTGTAGGCTTTTTCGCCGCGGTCGTGTCCATGGCTGAGATTGCGTCGATGTAAGTCCACGTCCAAACTTTGTGCGCATGGAACTTAACATTTCTTTAGCTCGCCAACATCCGGTGGTCAGTACCACTGGGTCAGTGAGTTTGCCTGGCCCAGGTACCAGCGATTCTTGAGTTATCTCACCGGTACGAGCCCACTTTATATCTCCGATCTGTGAAAGCGAATCGCGCGCTAATATCACACTAGGATGGCTTTCGGTTCTGGGGTGGCAGGCTGCTTTTGCGAGTATTTGCTACCTTTGCGGCACTCTGATCCAGGGTTTATTGGTCTTTAACTACTCAGACCCCTCCGGTTGGATGTATGGATATGAGCGCTGGCACGGTACTCTTCTGACCATCGCCATTGCCGCTGTCGGAACTATTGTCAACACTTGGGGCTATAAGATCCTGCCTCCTATGGAGGGCCTCATTCTCGCCATCCATCTCGGTGGGTTTGTCGCTGTTCTTGTTTTGATGTGGGTTATGTCCCCCGGAAAGGCCGCCGATGAAACCGTCTGGAAGGAATTCACCAACTCCGGTGGATGGTCAAGTATGGGACTGGCATGCTTGGTAGGCCAGCTTACTCCCATTTTCTCCTGGACAGGCCCGGATGCCGCGACTCACATGTGTAAGTTCACCATCTCTCTGCAAATGTTGGAACAAACCCCTAATCGTGAACAGCCGAGGAAATCCAAAATGCCGCCTTGATTGTTCCGTGGTGTATGGTCTCAACTGCTTTGATCAACGGTGCCCTCGGTTTCATCATGTTGGTTACTCTTCTATACAACATGGGTCCTTTGACAGACGCCATCCTTGAGCCGGCTAGTGGATTCTCTTTTCTCCCTGCAGTTCAACGCGCCACTGGCTCTATTCCCGCCACCAACGGCGTAGCCGCCATCATCCTCGTCCTCGAAGTCTGCAGTGCAATCGGAATTCTTGCAACCGTCTCCCGCCAGACCTTTGCTTTTGCCCGCGACGACGCTCTGCCATTCTCCAAGCAGCTCGCGCACATCAATCGACGAACTCAGATCCCCGTTTGCTCCGTGCTGGTCTCGACAATCATCACCGTGCTACTGAGCCTGATCAACATCGGATCTACTGCCGCCTTCAACGCCGTCGCATCCGTCATGATTGCAGCTCTCTTCACCACATATATTCTACCCATCGCCGCGTTCATCCGTGTTCGTCTTCAACCGGGCGGTATTCCCCCAGCGCGCTTTTCGCTTGGCTCGTTCGGTTTGGCCATTAATATCTTCTCCCTTGCATGGCTCTGCTTTGCCATTATTTTCACTTTCTTCCCAACTGCCAGCAACCCAACGCCCGTGTCTATGAATTGGTCTATTCTGGTCTTTGGTGCTGTGGTCATTTTCGCCATTATTCTATACCTCTTCCACGGCCGCCGTGTCTACAGGGCGCCTGTAACCCAGGTTCGCAAGGTTGACTAGAGCCGCGGGCCACTTTTTTTTTTAATTTTCTTTTGGAATATTTTGGACGGTTTTGATCATTTTGTTTTGGCCTGCTTGCATATATCCAACTTTTAGTACCTCGCTAATCGCGCGTACATATTGTCTACTTGGACAGGCCTTTCACATCTCATATTTATGATATTTAATCTAGCATTTGGATATATCGGTTTGGGAATGACTAGGATTTAGAGGACCGAGACAAAGGTTTTCCGTAGTCTATTTGTAGGAATTGATTTAATTCATGTAGTCCGCTGCCATGTTCAATATCTCATCTAACCCCCCGACACATTCCAACCCAAGGGATGCCAAGAAGTCAACGCCAGGCGTAGCGACAGGTTCATCCCTTATCAACTCAGGCCAGCGTCCAACATCAGATGTCTCAGAGGTACGCCGTGATTTCTGAATCAGCGGAGCATGATCTTGTTGATAGAAGTTGCGAATGATAGCCGGGATACTCAAATACTTAGATCGTTGAGTGACAGGCATGTCGTTGCAAGTATCTCTTCGTCCATGCATTCCCGAGATCAGCCTTCGTTCAGACGTCTTGCCCTGCTCATCAGCAAGCATCGCCTTTAACAACGAAACACCCCTTTTGGCGATCATATCCGACTGGCACTGAGACAATATTTCAATGCCGCCATCAATAAGCCGTCTATGCTCCGACGACTCGCGCTCTGGACCGGTTTGATGGAACAGATCTAGACATAGGATGATCTGCAGGCATTCATCAGCACACTCAAACCCTCCCAATATCGCAAAGCCACCTTCGAGAATAAAACCGAAATGATGCACTTACACTCGCCGTGACACTAAAAGCCTGATGTATCCAAAGCACAGGTCCCCCGTCCCGAACAGCCTCCATCTGCTCCTTGATGATCGTCCTCGAAGCCGCAACGCAAGTCTTCCGCGTAAATTCAAACATGGGATTGGAAAAGCTGGCACTAAGGAATTTGCGATGGATCATAATAACCTTGTGGGCTGAACTAATGGCCAGGCTGCGTCGGGCCCACGGGACATAGCATGGCCAGCTCGGATCCAGAGGAACATTCTGGAGATAGTACGGGAGATGCTTTGTGGCGAGGGTACGCATTTTGCGATCATATTTAAGAACTTGTTCGTATTTCGTGTAAGGGGTATTAGAGGCCGCGATGGCGTCTTGCAGATTCGGCATTAGGGCGGCGATGTCGTAGAAGAGACGCGAATAGCTGGTTGCTGTTGGAGTGTGTTCTGGGAGGATGGTCATGTCGTCGTCGCTATTTAGGGGTTTGGAGGTTGTGAACCCTTGATGAAGGAGATAGCTTTCTGTGAAGGGGATTGAGAACCAATCTTGGATGCAGAGTTGACACCAGACTCGTCGACCCAGTTCTCGAGTTACCACACCTTCAGTTATTTGGTTTGTCTCGTCTTCTTCTCCCAATTGATGGAGACCGAGACCTTGGGCGATGCGGACGGCGGAGGCGAGTAAGACTGATAGTCCGTTTGAGTATCCAAGCATATGTGCTGATATTGTGAGAGTAGCAACCGCCTGCACGGAGTAGATAGAATGATACGCCATATATTCTGCCTGTTGGAGGCACGTTGTTGTGGCTTTGAGCCAGCGCTTTGATAGGGTCTCTTGCTCTTCGCTGTGGAATCCCCAGCCTTGCGCGACGCTACGAGGCGCGCAAGTCATTGAACCGGTGAGTATGGCGAATAATAGAGCTATCCACTGTAAGTTTACCCCCTGGGCATCAATTTGACCATGATGCTCGTCGTAGAATTCGTTCAGCTCTTGCATAAATGTTGTGGCGTGTAATGCACCATGGTACCAGAGGAGACAGTTCATATGATATGTGACCAGTTGGAGAACCTTTGGCTGGGTTGGTAGTAGCATCTGGTATACCGATGAAGGCATATATCCAGGTGATCGTGTGTAGTCGACTTCATCTTCAACTGTCACGTCTCCGGGCGAGTGAGCTGCCTTGCTGTTTTGAATGATCGCATCATGATAAGTTGGATCTTTGCGACGCCCCCATGCTAGAAATTCAAGAATTGTCGCTGCGTCTTCCACCTCTCCTGTTGAATCTTCCGGATCCAGTTTTGAGGTTTCCACTGCTGCAGGTGAACATATCGTTGGTAATCTAGGTGTAGAAGTCGACCTGACTGTTGGCGTCGGCTGCTGAGTTTCTCTGCCCCTGGATTCTTCTAGAGCTGCTTCCAGTTGCTTGACTTGCGATTCAAGTCTTTGGATGATATCAAGTGCTCCAGCAGTCAGGCTGGTAAATGGTTCCTCAAGTCTACCAGTCTGTTCGATACTTGAAACCGGAGAACTCCGATCTCGCGGTCGAGTACACGAAGTGCCTTTTCTGGCGCAGTTTCGACATGGCAATATCTTGTCGCATTTGACCTTGCGACGTGTACATTCAACACAGGCTAGGCGCTTTCGATGTACCCCCGAGCTCATGATTGTTAAAAGAACAAAACATGGGGGATTCGGACAATCTGGGGTTCGGATAATATGAGTCGTTTGCCTATCACAAAGCGCATAATTCCATTAGGTAGAGACTAGTCAAACGGGCTGCTGCTATTGGCTTATTTCGGGCATATCGCTCAACCCCGACATTGGGGGGAATATCTATCGACACTGACAATGACCTGTTGTTATTATAGGGCTTACAGAACACTGAATATAACATATTTAATGTGTTATCATATGTCCGTAACTAACCAGACATGCAGTGGACAACACGCTCAACTAACCCCCTTCTGCCTTGATATTTCCTCAGTTTGCCAATCCTTATCAGCTCGGCCGAGGGCGGCCGAGCATGCAAGGCAGGCCATTTTTGGCCTCGGACGAGCTGAGATCACAGTAACTTGCCTATAAAGACCGTGACACGCTCCTGGATGCATCTCAGACACAAATACAATTACTTCCGACTTGTTCCTGTTAATGTCAACAAGATGTCCTCTCAAACCCGCTATGTCGACCGCGCTATTCCACGCATCTCCATGCACGACTTTGAAAGTCGCATCGATGAAATCACAAACCAACTGATTGATGCTGCCGAAAACGTGGGATTCTTTACCGTCATCAACCATGGCATCTCCAAAGAAGACATTGAAGCCATGTTCGACACCTCAAAGAGCATGTTCGATCTACCAGATAATGTGAAAGCAACGGTGCCCTGGAACGCAAACAACGTGGGTTGGGAGAAGAACTCACAAATCCGTCCGTCAACCGGCAAACCAGACAGCAAGGAATCCTACCAGCTGCAATTCGGCGAGAACATGAAAGACCTGTGGATCAGCGATATCGACCTCCCCGGCTTCCAATCGACCAGCCTGACCTTCATGCACCGGGTCCAAGGGGTTTCCGAGCGCCTAATGCGCTGCTTTGCACGGGGACTAGGATTTCCCGAAACATTCTTCATCGAATGCCACGGCATCACACGACCAAACTCTCAGACAACCATGCGCCTACTTCATTACTTTGCGCAGCCGGAGGTGTCGGACGGACAAGAATATCATCGCGCAGGGGCACATGCCGATTGGGACTTTTTGACTTTACTCTTTCAAAAGGAAGGGCAGAGTGGGCTGGAGATCTGTCCGGGGCGCGAGGTGGTCACTGAGTTCGGGATAGGGGATGAATGGACCAAAGTGGAGGCGAGCACCGAGGCGATTGTGTGTAATATTGGGGACTTACTCATGTCGTGGTCCGACGACAGGTTCAAGTCCACCTTCCATCGAGTTAAGGCGCCGTGTGAGCCCGGTGACTATTTTGGTGATCGGTACAGCATTGCTTATTTCAACCAACCCTGCAAGGATGCTTTGATCCAGGGGCCGTTGAAGAAGTATCCGATGGTCACCGGGGCACAGTTTACCGAAAGTGCGATGAAGAGGAATTTTGCTGCATTGCAGGAGAAGTTGAAGACGGTCGCGGCGGCTTGAACTTGATCTTTTGGGGGAATAGCGCATGGGCATCAAGTTTTTATCTGGCGTTCGTTAGGGTAGTTTTTGTTTCTTTGGTTTTCGCAAAGGGGCATCTCGCAAGGGGCTTTGGGCAGGAGTGTCGGATGTGAGTTACGGCTTGAGGTCAGAGTGAAGCCGTGGTAGAAATCAATGAACCTATTAGTTCTATAAATTTCCAAAGTCCCACCAGGTGGAAAATCCATCAATGTTGCCGAGGGCTGATTCTGAATCGGCGTATCCAACACTGTTTTCCAGGTCAACAAACTGCGAGGCTTCAGCCCAAAGCCAGGGAGTGTTAGTCATTAGACTATCAGCTGGGGCAAGTAGCTTTTCTCCTATGCCTAAGTCGGGCGAGTATTTTGCAGTAGAAACGCGTGGCAGATTCGGAGGCATGTGGGCGGCCTGGCCACCATCCGCGGTGTTCACAGTGATATTCGGAGACATGGCGACGATGACCTCTAGGGTGGATGTGGGGCTATCATCTGCCTCTTCTGTTGAAATGGTGGGAGTCAATGATGGATGTAGTAAGCCACCAGTAGACACTTCATGTGGCTTGGGTTTGCAATTAACCTGAAGAACATCCCACATCAGAGGGATGCTGAGATGAATTTTCTCAGGTTCCCAGTCATAATCGACATCTTCCGATCCAGTAGCAATTCGGGTCATCTTGTCCAAAGTTTGGTCCTGCAAATGTGAGCGCCTGTTCGGTAGTTGCATTTGAAAAAAGAAAAAAAAAAAAGAAAAGAGTCATACCAGGTTTGCACAGGCCGACGAGAAGCCCACAAAAGTCTTGAGGAACTTTCTGCATTTAGTAAAATCCACCTTGGACTTGTATTTCAATCGAGGATCCGCAGCGCAGCAATAATATAGATGTACTGTGGCCGCAATCGCAGCGGCGTGCCCAAAGAATGGATCAATGAGACGCACTTTCTTCTCCGAAACCATATCTATCATACGGACGAGCCAAGTGGCGTGTAAGAGAACCAGCTCTGAAGAACGCCTCCAAAAGGCATTAGGGATTGCGAGGTTGTCATTGTATTGCGATGCGACGATGTAGAGGAATGGGTGGTTGAGCACGGTCAGAATACAATGATAAGTAAATTGCAACTTGAGCCACGGAGTCCAGTAGTCTCGGTTCATTGCCAGCTCTTCTCCCGTGCGCTCGTAAAATTTGACAGAGTCGTATCGGTGACATTGGGAGAGTTTGTTCTCAATTTCTGTCAGATCCGAGAGCACCATGGAATACATCGAGTCATGTCTCCATGGCTCTTTTAGTCTGTTCCGAGCACAGTCTGAAACATATGTTCGGACTCTACTCCAGACCCAGCCGAAGTGAGCTGCTAGACTCCAGATTCCTATATCAGAGGAGGTTAGGCATCCGAGATCGTCGGTCGGTAGTGGTGGAGGCTTTGCTTCGCTCTCGCTTTGCATCATTCGGTCGCTACTTGATGAAACATAAAATGCGCGCAGGATTTCGGATGGAACACAAAGGAAACCATTCTGTTGTCCGTACGATTGCTCGAGACACTGGAGACTCCAAAACAAGCGCTTCTTGCGCTCTGTGATAGGACCTTCCCCAACATAAGTCGATTCGAGATCTAGCGTTGCTGACCGGCAGAGATGTAACGCAAGACCAAGATGGAAGCGACCGAGATGAATATTCCCATCTATACCAAAATCAATTCTTGCGACATAATGAAACAGCTGGGTCTTTTCCATACCTAAAAATGAAGAATAGGCGAGCAAACAAAGACTCTCAATTGTCTCGAGCTCGACCGTACCATTCGCCATACGAAGCATGACCAAGCTTCTTGCACTGTCGCCATAGTGCTCTAACTGATCTCTGTCTCTCGAGAATCTTGAGGTTAGCGCCAGCAGGCAACAGACAAGTTCCTCCGAAAGACAGCTTGGATCGGAGACCTCTTCCCGATTGAAACACCAAATTGGCTGACGATGGCAATATTCAAAGTAGAGGTCAATGGCTTTAGCGATTGCCGGCGATGTTGGCTGGGAAGCGGAGTCATCGTAGCCAAAACCGAGGAAGAAAGGGTCGGAGACAGGGTTAAGAGGTTCATTCGAAGGCGCGCGCGTTGGATACGATGTCTCTGAATTTCCATTCACTCCATGTGCACCCTCGCGCCCTTTTTCCAACTGAATGTCTTGTGTTGGTCTAGAGCCGCTGAGAATGAGATTGACTTTCTCCTCCAGGAAGGCGAGCCGATCGTCCTACGGGGGAAAGTTAGCAGCCAATTCATCCACTGCTTCTTGGGACATACTGATGGACCACCCCTTGAGCTTCTCGAGATCGATGTATACAGGCATGGTTGGTTCAGGCGTACACAGCTGGAACAAGAGGGTTTCTCGGCCGGGCAGCGGGTTTTCTTTCGTCTGTGGATGACATCAGGCCCACCCCAATAGATAAGCCGTTTCTCTCTTACCTGCAGTTGAGGCAGGCCTCGTGGGACCGTAATCTTCCACGAGCACTGTCTCGTGGCATCACCATTGGTATAAGAGTTATGAGAGGTGAGAGTTGAATATGGATATGGATATGAATATGAGTCTAGGAGAAAACGTAGCTAACAAAAGGGTTGGAGTTAAGCGGGGTTATGATCGCAGACAGCCATTGTAGCGCGTTACGGGAAAAACAGGCGGGGAAAAGGGTTTCGCTGCTCTTTGAACAGATAAGCAAAGAAAAGAAGATCGTAATCTCCCGAGGTCGGAGCTATAAGTAAAAAAAAGGTGAATGAGGGGACTCTGTTTCTCCGGGAACCCCTCCGATCTAGAACCTATGTAACCTATACTGGAATTGGTTAAAATGTCCAGTGGCAAAGGGCGAATTACTGTTTGCCTCTAATCACATGCACATCAAGAGTAGTTGCTATCTTTCTACTGTGAACGAGAGATAGTGATTGCTCCCAGGCTATAATAAGGTTGCTTGCATTGGCTAGTCTCTGATTAGTTCAAATCTCTAGATAGTGTCATCTGATCCGAACGATCGTATACTTGGTCGTGTGACGTGGACACCCAGAAAAGGATGGGGAAAATGAAAAAAAGGTTCATTAGATGCAAGGTGTCATTATCGTAAAAAACTATCAACATAAACGATGCGCAGGAGGAGATCACGAGAATCTATGCATAAGGGTTAATAGACTGCTGTCTCGGTGGCAGTCGCTGGTCCTGGTGCAGGGCCCGCTCCACAAGCTTTCCCTCCGCAGCACCCAGTAGGGGGACTCGAGAGTTTCGAGCAAAACTCCATATCCTCCTGACTGGTTTCTGCCTCAATGGGGAGTTTTTGCTGCGCAGGCCAGATCGGCTTCTGCGCCTCCTCTTCCCGTTTTTGGTGCTCCGTAACCAATCCGTAAACAGCGGTCTGGAAGTCGAGCGGGCCTTTTTCAAGCTGCGAAGAGATCTGGCCTTCATTGAGACTCTGCTGTGCTTCAGTGCAGAGATCATTGTCCTCGGACATGAGGCTTTGGTATACTTCGTTGATCTTCTCAAAGTCTTCCTCGTTGGAGCTCTTGTGTCGGAAAACCTCGTATCGCACCGCGCAGGAAGTGGGGCCTGTGGGCACCAAACGTTGCATGAAGAAAGAATGGGGTCTGCATGCACGGTCAGCAACGGATGTTTCACTCAAACAGGTGAATGTACGTACGAAACGGTCATGGTGGCATTGGGGAAGTAGTAAGTACTAGCAGCCCTCAGACTGTCCGGAACCTGCTCGGACTTGCTATCGGGGGAAGAGGTTTGACCCTGGTAGCGCTCATTGAGGATGTGTGAAAGGATCTTCCAATTGAACTCGGTGGTCGTTTCCCATGCGTTATCAAACTCATAGTCTTCGTAGTTGAACCCCTCGAGGCGGGCCTGCAGATCAAGATCTTTGGCGTCACCTGCAAAGGAAAATTCAGGAGTCTCGTCGGCATCCAAGTTCAACCAGATGAACCCATTGTCATCGATGTGCGTGTGGATTGGTAAGAGACCGTTCTTGCTCTTATCAAAGCCCTCCAGCTCCTGGTATCCAGGTGCCTTGGCGAGCTTGCCATTGAGTCCATAGGACCACCCGTGGTATTGGCAAGAGAAGATTCGGGAAGAACCACCATCCCCAGTCACTACTGGAAATGCGCGGTGTCGGCAGATGTTATGGAAGGCATTGACGTTTCCCTCGCGATCCTTGACAAGGATGAAGGCGTATCCAGCGATATTATATTTGATCCAGTCGCCAGTCTTGGCAAAACGCATTGTGTGTGTAGTGAGCAGCCATTTGCGACTGAAAATGGCGCGGCGCTCCAGCTCATACATCTCCGATGTGGAATACCATGACGCAGGCAAAGCGGACATGGTGACGTGAGAACTAGTTCGTGTCGTTGATATAGAGACCTTGATCAATTGAAGAATGAAACTTAAAGGTCGATTGTCTTGAAGTTTCGTACAGAACGGCAGATGAGACCCCTAATATAACCTACCTTATCTAGATCTGAATGAGGGCTATGAGCATGAGCTCATGATTCCCCATGGGGGGTGTGTCCAAAATGCACATATTCGCCGATCACAGGACCGGGACGGAGGCTCAGCCGTTCATCGCCGGATAGTTATGAAGACTAGTTAGACTGCTAAGATCTGTCGATCAGAGAGGGGTGCGTACGGTAGACGGATTGAACTACCGCGCTTGTAATACGCCACTCGGGTGACCGGCTTTCTACCGTGTGCTTCTGCATTGATGATAATACCGACATGCTGCAATGCGTTGGCGAAGGTCATATGGACTTTCCTACTATGCGCACAGTCTACGCAGTACTTTTGTCTCCCTTGGTTTGGTGACCGCGCAGGATCCAACTCAAAGCCGGGCTATAGGGACCTCGTTGAAATGGGACTGCTTCGGTCCGCCTCGTCATATCAGTGTGTATACATTGATCTGGTATGTCACTGCTTTGGTGGGTCATTTTTGGGGTATTGCATATGTTTCTATTGGAGTAACGATCTTCTCTACAATCCAATCCTTCTGGCATGTCCATCTCGTTCATTCCCAAGTCTACATTCAAGTCTCACCGATTTCCCCCCTCTGCCAACCTTTTTCTCTGCGATAGGTGGAAAGATGACCCCTCAATCAGCTTCGACTTTTCTATTCTTAGGTCTCGAATAATCCCATGGCTGTTCAGTCAAACAACAATCTGAGCCGATCACATGACCGGCTCGAACCATCAAAGGAAGGGATACGGAACTGGGAGATCCCCCCGTTATCTATTGAGGGACCAAGATCTGATTTGAAACAAGTATGATTTCATGTTACATTTAAAGGTGGAACCTCGCAAGATCGACATTTATCGGCGATGGTTTGTTGTCGTACGCGTCATTTCATTCTCCAATTGACGTGCCTGATTGGGGGTATACACGCCCACTGATCTGATAACAGTTTCAAACCGAACGTCAAGGAAGTGAATCCTCTGGGGTAATACATTTTGATTGAGTCTGCTATTCTTACTGCGTGAAAGCCAAGTCGAACAACACATCATACATAGGTTGATACCGCATTTGCAACAATCCCAGCATCCGTGCCACACACGACAGGGCGAATTAGTTCTAGAACTATAAACACGTATGTCCCGTAAGACGCCTTTGATTGCTTTTCTTTCAATTTCAACTAATAGATGCACCTGACAGCGCCATGTTTTATCTCCAACTCGTTGCTGCCGAGGGAGACCCGGTGCAGGTCCGGTGCAGGTCCGGCGCAGGCGCAGTGAAGCCATTCTGCGAAAATGGAGCGGGTTTCTCTATTGGGAATTGCATTCCAGACAAGGCTGTCCATGATCGCAGCAGACCTCTCGTAACTATATTGGCGATGTAAGGAAATTAATTTATTCTATAACAATGCAAACAAGTCAAATACCGGGGCTATAGTGTGCCTCGAGAATCTATCGAGCTGTCACTTCTCTCTTGGACTTCCATGCCCAAGTGACAGTCTAGTTGACTAGTACCTTCTCATGTCTTTCTATATAGTCCCAGTGCAGCTGATAAGATGATCCCCGGTACTCCTGCTTTTTGCTGGTCCGAGAACCTTCGTAATCCCCAACTTCAGGGACCCCAGAACACAGCTTTACGTGTATAGGATCGACTGACCCGTCGGGCCAACACAGATGACACGCCCATAAAGAGTATCACTGACCTCAAGCAGATTTGAACAATCCTCATTTACCCAAAAGTTATACTGTCGGATCGCAGATAGTCGCCACCACGGTTTCAAGTCCAACTCCCGCTCAATTGAGTTGCACGTATCCCCATCCTTCAGGGTATAAGTCTTGCACCCGAATGGGATACACAGCCTCGTAGCCCGGGGAATAGAGAAACAGTCGATAAGCGGCCAATTCATCACTCGAACAGCTGCCGAGGCAACCTTGAACTGCGCCGCGATGCTGTCGCACGTGTCTCCCGCTGAAGTGGTATATGAAAGACGGGTCGGGCAGTACCGGTCCCGTTCTACATATGGGTTTTCGAAGACCATGAGACTGGGGATGGCTGTTGGGAGGTTGAGGTTGCAAGCGCTGTTGATGTGTTCGAGGTACGATTTGTAGTTCTTGTCGTAGAGGGAGTAGGGCGATGATTGCATCATTTGGTGCCATTTCACGTTGCAGAAGGAGCAGAGTTCTCCGACGGGCATGTCATAGATGGAAGAGGTTGTGAAATCGTCCATCACATCTGCGCACATAACGTAAGTGAGCTCCATGTCTATACCATATGAGATGGATGGAGAGAGAAGAAGAACCTACCACCACAATATCTTCCTGTTCTCTCGTCCCTAAGACAAGTCTCGTTCCACCCAGCCCACAGCTGTCCACCCCGCATGGACGGAAAGAGCATCCTCTCCTCTAACGTCGCGCAATCGCGCTCGACGCTCTCAACCCACGCGGCGATGGACTCCCCACAGCGGCTGTCACAGACAAGGTCGCTCAGCGCTTCGCTTCCCAGACCTGAGCCCCGCCTCCGACGTCCAAGCTGCCGCTGTAGGGATCGCGTCTTCTTGTGACAGTGAATCCTCCGTGTCATGGATGCTTTACAAGCCGGGCTAAGCGGTTTGGCGTCTAGTTTGTCCACTTTGCTCCATAGTTGGAAGCCGCGGAATTCAAGTGGTTCATTCACGTCGGAAGTTTTCAGTGTATGTTGAGGTTGAAGGGCGAGCTCTGGCTGTCCAGTTATTTGGGCGACTGTAGCACCGCACAGCAGTATTGAAGCAGATAAAATATCAACGCCTCTCATCTTGACGTGATAACTCCGAGCGAATGCAAATTTAGGTCTTCGATATCGATGAACATGATATCATTCTCCGGAAATTGGAGAGTGGACGATCAAACCCCACGTGTGAATCAATCAGGGGGGTAAAGGGCTTTTTATCAGCCTCAACTCGAGTCCCACATGGATCGGAAGGCAACGAAGGGTATGGTTTGGCGCGCGCCGAGCCGCCAGCTTAAGCGAGATGAGAAATCTACACTTAGTTAATGCGCGATGATTCGCCCGAAAGCTCGGGTGGCTCGCCGCCAAGCCAATAGTTATATCCGCGAAGTATCTGTTCCGCAGCACAGCTACAGCCTCAAGTATTACTAGCCAGTTGTCGGTTGTTTGTATGCCAACTGCCCCAATGGCTCCTAATACTTTTTACTCTCCGATATCGATAGGTCTCCACTGCGGATAAGATTATAGAGAAACTCATGTTTGGAAGGGGCTAGGGTTAGAGCCATTCTTATGTTAGCCAACCACAGGTGATTGCAAATATCTTCTATTCCAAAGAAGAGGGAGTTTACATGGTGGGGGTACAGTGTACGGTCTTGAAATGTTACCGCGACGTTGCCACGTAGCCCATGTAAGAAATAGCATAATGAACCATATCAATTATCATTAAACCGCATTATAAATCATGAATGCTTCCGTAAGGATATAAGAAAATCATAAAACAACCCCTCACAGCGCCTTGAGCAAGTCCTGAATGAGCGGCAAGAAGCCGGTAACATCATCGATCAGGAGAGTAGTCTCATTGACGAACTTGGGTGTGAGAAGGTCACTAGCGTTATCCAACAGCGAGCCGATCTCGGAAATAGTAGCTGGCTTGAGCAGCTTCTTCACCTCGGGCATGACATCTGGCAGGTATCCAAGCAGATCCTTGAGAGAGCTGATGATGGACGGGGTTAGGAGGCCATCCGCGTGCTCGACCAGATCGGAGGTATCTCCAACGAAGGCGGGAGTGAGCAGGTTGGTTGCGTTTGTCACGATGTAGCCCAAGTCGGTGATAATGGTCGAGTTGAGGAGGGAGCGCCTCAGGTCTGGGACCAAGGGGACGACGTCGCCGAGGAGTTCCTTGAGGCCGGAGACCAGGGATGGCGAGAGGAGGTCGTCGGCGCTGTCGATGAGGCCGGTGGTCTCGTTGACGAACTTGGGGGTCAAGAGGTCGTTGGCATTTGTCAGCAGCGAGCCAATGGCCGAGATGGTGTTCTTGGTCAGAAGAGACTTGATCTCGGGAATCAAAGGCGTGATGTCGCCAAGCAGAGACTTCAGGTTGCTGACCAGGTCGGGGGTCAAGAGGCTGTCGGCCTCGCTGATCAGGCTGGAGGTCTCGTTCACGAACTTGGGGGTCAAGAGGTCCTCGGCATTGGTCAGGAGTCCAGTGATAGACTGGATCATGCCCTTTGTCAACAGCGACTTCAGCTCTGGAATCAGAGGAGTGATGTCGCCAAGCAGAGACTTCAGGCTGCTGACCAGGTCGGGGGTCAAGAGGCTGTCGGCGTTGTCGATCAGACTGGATGTCTCCTTGACGAACTTGTCGGTGAGCAGCTCGTTCGCGTTGCTCAGTAGGTTCTCAATCTCCTTGATTGTGTCGGCCTTGAGCAGACCCTTAAGCTCGGGCAGCAGAGGAGAAATCTGGGTCAACAGATCCTTGAGACCACTGACAACAGCCGGAGTCAAGAGATCGCTGGCCTCCTCAATCAAGCTAGAGGTCTGGTTCACGAAGTTCTCCGTCAAGAGACCATTGGCATTGCTGAGCAGAGTCTCAATCTCCTTGACATTGCCCTCAGTAAGAAGACCGCTGGCCTGGTTGATGAGAGGACCGGCCTGCGTGATGAGCTTGCTGGTAGTTGAGATGAAGGCAGGAGTAAGCAGCTTGTTGGCACCGGAAAGGAGGTTCTCAATGGCCTTGACATTGCCCTCGGTAAGAAGACCGCTAGCCTGGGTGATGAGAGGACCGGCCTTGGTGATAAGAGGACCAGCTTGGGTAATAAGCTTGCTCGTAGTTGAGATGAAGTCAGGAGTGAGCAGCTTGTTGGCACCGGACAGGAGGTTCTCGATAGCCTTGACATTGCCCTCGGTGAGAAGACCACTGGCATTGTCGATGAGAGGGCTGGCCTTGGAGATAAGAGGACCGGCCTGGGTGATAAGCTTGCTGGTAGTTGAGATGAAGTCAGGAGTGAGCAGCTTGTTGGCACCGGATAGGAGGTTCTCAATCTCCTTGACGTTCTCGTCGGTAAGGAGGCCACTAGCGTTATCGATGAGAGGGCTGGCCTTGCCAATAAGATTGGTGGTCTCGTCGACGAACTTCGCCGTGAGAAGCTTGTTGGCATTGTCAATCAAGGTATCGGTCTTCTGGACAAATCCGGCAGTGAGGAGGTTGTTGGCATTGTTGATCAAAGTCATAATCTCCTTGGTGTTCTGCGCGGTCAAGAGGTCGTTGGCATTGTCGATGAGGCCACCGACCTTCTTGGAGAAGTCAGCAGTCAAGAGATTGTTGGCATTGGCAACCAGACTGCGGATATCGGTGTCAACAGGAGGAGCAAGACTAGTAGACAAGTACTTGAAGGTGTTGGTGAGCTCGCTGAGGAAGCCAGGGTTCAGCAGGTTGCCAATACCGTCAGCGAGTTCCCCAAGGTCAGTACCGATATCTCCGAGCCCACTACCGCCGAGCAGGTTCTTGAGGGCGCCGGAAAGGGCATCGGAGGAAATGCTGCTAGATGAATCAGAGGAAGAGGTAGACTTGGTGCTGCCAGTGCCCTCAGAAGAGGCAGCAGCAGAGGTAGCGCTAGCCTGGGTGGTCTCTGCAGCGGAGTTACCAGTAGATCCAGTCGAAGCACCACCCCCGAGGAGAGTGTTCACACCATCCGCAACACCATTGACAACAGATTCGATGGGGTTAGACTGCTCCGCTGACGCGGTAGGTGCGTTCTTAGCAGAAGCAGTATTATCCTCCTGACTGGCAGCAACAGTGTTGGCGGCGGCAGCGGCAGCGGCAGTAGTAGGGTCCGCAGCAGGGGTATTAGCCGCCTGCTGGTTGGCCTGGTTTACTGCCTGCTGGGTGGTTGTAGCAGCAGTCTCAGCCTCATTGTTGGCATTGGCATTGGCGTTTGCATTCGCATTCGCATTGGAATTGGCATTGGAATTGGCAACAGGCGCAACAGTACCAGCAGCTGCAGAAGCTGCAGACGGGGTCTGTCCTGTCACGTTAACCGCGAACAGGAGCGCGGTGGTCAAAGCTGGCAAGAAACGCATGTTGTATTCTCCAAGCTACTTCTCCTTCTGATTGATATATTGTCGGGCCCGGTCCAATGGCCTCGATTCCGCAAACCTGTCGTTCAAAGGTTTGTTGCAACGGAAGAGCCTTCGGAGGATCAAAGAGCCATTGATGGAGCGGACGAGCTCTTTATTTGGGCTGTGGCTGCCGATCTTACAGCTAGACACGGGTCCATCATCGCAATGACACTAACATGGTTTTTTTCACTAGCTTGCTCTCCCGAGGAGATGGGGATCGACACCGAGGCAGATGGCTACCATGTGATGAGCAGGTCTCATCACAACTCCACAGTCTAGTGTAGAGGACGTGCCTGAGAGGTAGGTAGTGATCGACACTACTAGCTGCAGGGCCAAAAAAGCAAAGACATCTTGCTCCCGAGGTACGAAGCCAGGCACATGTGCGCTTTGGGCCAAATTGAGCCAAATTCAGCAGGGATGCAGGGCCTGTTGAGCTTCGGCGTATAGCGTATCACCCATTATGCGGGACTTCGGAGGCTAAAGCGTGCGGAAGCGGGGGTCTCCACAGAAACTTGGCTCTGCAGTGAATTGTCAGTGGTTGAGAGTCCACGAGCGAAGCTGAGCAAAAATGCAAAAATGAGGGGGCTCGGAGTTAGCCTCAAAGCGGTAAAGAGTGGCATTCCCCTTCCACTTCCCCAGTGTTTCCAACTCTTGTACAGTATCCAGACCCCGACGTCAGCGGAGACTGGTGAGCGAATCAATGGCGTGGAATTGGCTGCAATGTTATGAACCGGTTCCTGACTCAGGAGTACTGTACATCCCAAATTGAGGCTTGTTCAGGGGTCCAGCCATCCAGCTCCCTTCCTCTCTCTCTTTTTAGGACCTCGTTTCACCCTTCTACATCACGCATTGGTGTTTTGGTCAGGACTATCGCAATTAGGGCTGCCTATGTTCTATGTCGTATTGGAAAGTGAAACAAGGAAATGAGGATAGACGAGGCGATCCAGCTGCATCTAGTCGACCGAGTCACCACGGGCTATGAACCAATACAGATAGGATCGTCTTCTCGCTAAACCCCGAGTGGAAAGCTTAAGTGTTCATCGTTGCTTCATTTTGATCTGTCGTTTGATTTTGCTTGATGAGAGTGGAAGTCAATTGTGCCAAATTGTCTGAGATCTCAATTCCATCTACAGATGGCATATCTACTGTATACCATCGACAGATCTATACCAGACTCCTCCAAGAGGGACTCTTTGCGTCCGGGCCCCAACTACAATCCGTGAACGTCGTGAGATCAAGCCACCGGTTCGGAGCTTCTTCGTGATTGGCCAAATTTCCGTGAAGCAGATCCTTTCACTCTTTGTCCCCTTGGCTCAGTCCAAGCACCGCCAAGGCAAACTCCATACAAGAAATTCCCCGGACCGTTCCCAATCAATATTACCAGCGAATTACTACGTTAGGTCATAGCATCCACCATAATATGGCAAATTGCGGAATCACCAAATTGCCAAATTGGCCCCAGTAAACGTCCAAGGCGCAGTATCGGACATACGATCGCGGAGCCGCACCCTCCCAGCCTGCAGAACATCTAGCCCATTCACATCCAAAGACAATTCCAACTCTGTCCCCGAGTTGTTCAATCTAGTAGTCCATGGGGAAGCTGGAAGATCTCATTCCCCTTCCCCGGAAAATAAACCCCCACAGTAAAGCGGTAAACCATCCACACTCCCGTCTTTGACTGGAGCGAGCGGAGCTGCCCCAGACAATCCGCAGTGCAGTGAGCCAATTCCTCCCGAGCGGACTGCGGTCTTCTCCAGCGGAACCCCAGACACCCGCTTGGTTATGGTGCAGTGACGGGAATCCTCGGCCTAGTCCTGCGCCACAGTCGGGACAGGGGATGGTGGTATTCGCTTGAAGGAAATGATTGTTTATGACCTCATCATTGGGATCAGCCCGCATGACCTTTCCAGGTTACATTTTGTGCCGAGGGTCCAGTGGCTTTGATTGCTTGCGCTGCTGCAGACGCGCTTGTTACTCGTGAGATGACAAAGCCTCGCTGCTCGCGGGCCTAATTCCAGGCTAGCACATCTGATTCCGTCAGTGTTTAATTTATTCATGAATGAGGAGCTGTTAGCGAGGAGATTTTAGACTATTGTCTCAGATTGAGGAGTGTAGATCTGGGGAGACTGGGGTTGGGGGGTTATCACAAGATAGACTGCTCGGTCTTTTTGTTGTGGGAGACAAACTAGACGTTAATGAGATGGAGTTGGGCTCTGATGTCTCACATCGATATTAAATGGATCTACCGGTGGCTTGAGGGTTATAATATCGGACTTTATTATACAGCCGCTGGTGGCATCATCGCGAGCATCGGATTTCAATCTCCACCTCGGTCGCCTTCTCTTGGTCCATTCTTTTTAGGGAACCATAAAGTTTTGTGTTATTTGACGATGACATCGCGTGCAGTCTACACTAATGCAGGGCACCGACAGAGCAAACTGTGTCTAGAATTTGAAAGCAGGTGACATTTTCTATGGGCTAGTGACCAGCCATTGACATATTGCTTTTGTTCAGAAAGTATGGGCATGTACCTTGCAGCAGACAAAAGCAGATATGATGGCACACTATATCTGTGGTGTATTAGAATGTCAGCCATGAGAAGTGCAAGTCAATGCTGCAGTTAATTTTCGCAAGAAATATCATAATATCTTGCCTTTAGTTTGATATGGCCTGATCTTGCAAGATCAGCTCACCTTACTAGCAGCTTGTTCAATCGCACGAGGGATCCCGGGGATTCCCATTAGATACACCCGGAAGATTCTGAAAGCGAGCTTTCAGTTGTTCCAGACTATGTGCCTGATCAGCCAAGGTCAGTAGAAGTGCCTTGGGCTCATCTCCATGTTTTCGTTCATCTTAATTTGGAGAGAACGCGGAGCAATACCAAAGGAATTTGCACTCAACGTCATGTAGACCACTTGAGCGCTAATCTCTAGTCACGAGCAAGGCTCCTTGTTTGCCTTGACTTGCATTTCTGCCCTGTATGAGGATTTGAGAGCAATACAGCTTCTTTTGTGGCCGCATTCAATGGAAGCCCTAGAAATTGCACCCCCTTCGCGCATCTAGACCTACCATCTACTCTACCCTAGAGAAGCAAACTAAGCAAAGTGACCCCCTTGGAAGACTTTGTGTGACAAATAATCTAACATCCTTTTGTATCTCTCCTTCTATTGTACAAGCCAAGGGGAGGATCTAATTCCCACCTCGTCTCGCGAATAATATCCGTTTCCAGAACAATGAACGCGAATACTCCGGAGATATCCCATGAGGCCATACCCTAACCTCATACGACGAAGTACTTTCTCTCCAGCCTATGAAGATTAGCCCCTATATCCCTACGCAGTGTCTCACTGAAGATCATATCATGCATTACGAATCCTTCAACCAACAATCCCCAAGGCCAGTCTCGGCCGAAGAGCCTCTCACATTCCATCAGACTAATGATCTCCAATATCTCGGAGCCGAAAAAACCCCCCTCAAATCAAGGAAGATCACAGACCAGCACCAGGAAGTGCAGGATATATAGCCGACAACGACCGACCGAGGAGCACCCCCCTACTCCAACCCAACCACATAAAACGCAGATGACAGACGACAGATGACCCTATCATCTCACATCATACGAGCAGACCTCACCCCATCGAAGCCGAATCGATAGGACCAGAGAGAAAAGTAAGCCGGCAGGGGTTATCGGTGATGGACAGTCGAGACTCGGACACTGTGCCAGGCGGACAGCCGAGACACCTGGCAGCTTGAAGTCCACTACCGAGTGCTAAGGGCAGTTTGCTGGCGAGGCAGTCGCGATATGGCTGGAATGACCGAAAGTGGAAATATCAGATCTCGGATGTCGGATCTGGATATTGGATATTTGATATCAGATAGATCAGGAAACGGAGTAAGCTGAAACGGGGGAAAAAAAGGCAAATGCAGCTGGAAATGGACTCCACTGCGCCCCCAAACCGTTGCAAAAGTGGATCCGGGCAATCAGCAGTAATTTATATCTGCAAAGCACACTGGTCCGAGATAGATTGAGTTGCTTTATAGACCGGCTGCAGTACCCTGGACTAGTCTATACCGTCTCATCTATGGAGTACTAATAGAGAGGCCTACAGTAGGTGTGTATATCTAAGTCAGGGTGTGCAGTATGCACGTCAAGTAGAGTGAAGAAGGAGCCGGGGATATCTCGGCCGGCCGAAGCTGCGGCTCCACCAGAAAGAGCAAAAGAGAAGAGGCAAGAATAGCAGCCAGAGCAAGAACAGCACTAATAGGACAGTTGGGGGTTTGAAGACCGAGATACTCCGGGTAGATCGGATGCCCAAGCCCCTTGGCTTGGGCGTGTGTGTTCGGCGTCCAGGCCTGAAGTTCGATCATTTTCACCGGCCGAAGTATTGTTTTCCCTTTCCCTTTCCCTTTTTCTTTTTCCTTTTCCTTTCTCTTTCTTACATGGGCCGAGAACCTGCGCGTCAGTCTGTTCCCGGTTTTCGACTTTTCTTTCCATTCCAGGGACTGTATGACTTTGGACTTCTGGACTTCTTGACTACTTGGACTTTCCGACTTGACTACAGTACGGTGCGCGGTGTTCCGGCGACCCGCTAAGTGGGACTGTCGACTCTTGGAGGAAATAGATTTGTATAGCCCAAAAACAACGCTGACATCGCAGGAAATGCGCCGGTATTGTATATGCCCGATGTCAAGTCCGCCCCCAACGCCTGCGCAAAAACGAACAAAATGGATGTGAGATCACGATAAAAGGAAACAAGGTCATAGGGAGAAAGGGGAAGAAGCGATCAGACAATGGGTTCCCCGCCGCTCATGCTAGGGAATAACATTACGTCCGACACCCGGCCTAAGATATTCCGCATGTTCAGACCTTCGCTCGGTTGCATACGGGGTCCGGCCGATACGACAGGCACAAAGGCGGGCTTGGCTTCGAGGTGAGGAGGCGAGGGCAGGATGAGGGGGGAGTAGGTCTGGCTGGAGGTCGAAGAGGAGGTCGCAGTCTTGCGAGCGCGGAAGGCGTCGCGGATTTCGCGCAGCGCGCGGAGCGAAGAAGAAAGATGTTTGGCGGAGTCGGTGCGGCTGTTGTGGTTCTCGTCACCATCGGCATACACGTGGTCCGCGAGAACCATCTCCAGTCGGTCGATTAATTGCCAGGTACGGTCGCTGTCGTCATGGGTGACAAGTAAAAAGGCCGATGCGATACTGCGCTGCAGACTGATCCATGATCGGGAGCAGTGAGCGTTGATCTCGTGCAGCTCGACAAAGGCATCGACGGTGTTGATCAGGCTGTTGATACAGTCCTCACGGATAACAGCCCGACGATGATCGTCTAAATGCGCATGCGGATCCAGAGACACCCGACACAGGACAGAAAGGAGATATGACGAGTGCAGGCGCAGTTCAGTGCGCTCAATATGGTTGGCCAGAGTCAGGCAATGATCTCGATGCCTCAAATGAGGAGTCGTTTCTGTGAGCATGCGTTGGATCTGATGCTTGTATTCTCGAATTTCATGATATCGTGACTGCGAGGAACCAGGTAACATGCGAGAGCGCAAGACCTCCAATGACACCGATACAATGCGACAAAGGGTTTCAAAATATGACCGATGACCGGGCATTGACTTCGGGTCAAATGGAATTTCGGGTTGACTGACCATGGTGATAGATGGCCGGTCATAGGCAAGCGAGAAATGACTATTCTGGAAGGCCATTGCCCACCTGGATATTGTGAGCGCGAGGTCATCATGACAAGAAAAGGATAGGCTTACCAGACACGCCTTCGCACTGCTTGCTCTGTAATTGAGAACCCTGTCGATTCGACATGAAGTCCAAGTACAAGACACATGCGTTCCGTCATACCTGAGATTGGTTAGCAGGCCAATTCATTGACACGACATCGGAAGCACTTCACACATACCAAGTAACGTGTATGATGCGCCTGCATTCATGTTGTATGAAAGTACATTGCTAATAATGAGCAAAATCTGAATTACTTCTACAGTGGGCTGTGATACATAATTCAACATGCGAAGACACTGATATGCGCACGATACTTGGTAGAGTTAGCTTCAGACTCACGGTTCTTGTTCGGGATAGATGACTTACCGTATACCCATGAGGTCAACTCGCGGTCACTCTCTGGAATGTCCGACAATTGGCACCCTGATGCAAGAACCGCAAAAAGCAGACTGACGAAAGCCAAATCCATACCAAACGGTTTAACCAGACCATTGGCGTCGGGCTTATAAACACCTCCGGCTCGTCGTCGACCCTCGAGGAGCCGAGAAGTATGTCGTTCTAACTGCGGGATATCAGAAAGCACCGGATACAGCACCGCACCTATGTCTCGATAAAATGATAGGAATCTGGACCTCAAGATCAGCAAGCATCACAAAACAACCTAGGGACAGTACTCACTGAAGACACTGTGCATCGTCTGGAAGAACCGCGCATACGCCAGCAATATTGAAAGTATAAGGATCAGAAGACCATAAATCGACAAAAGGATACGCGGCCGACTCGTTTCCCAAAGCAAGCTCGGCGAGAAGATCATCCTGAGGTAGCGCCAGCGCCATGTCCTCCGACCTTTTCGATTTGTCCAAGATATCAACCAAAGCCGATCGCGACCCAATATGAACCGCACCCGTCTTCAACACATTCGCTCCATAAACACCTTCCGATCGGACGGATGCTCTTCGATCAACCTGGTCGATTTCCGCCGGCTTGCGAGTGGAGTGGGCCTGGAAAAGTGAATGCAGACTGCCCATAATCTGTTCCATTGCGACCATTTTGGCGTTGATCTCATCCCATTCCTCCTGCGAAATATCGATTATGTCCGGTAAATCTGGATCAGCGCTTTCCCATGTAGCCGGTTCGGGCCCGTATGAGGCATCCCGGGTGGGTGCTGATTGAGCGTACGGCGAGATCGTCGGGGAGACAAAAGTCGGTGGTTGTGAAGGTGTGGAGGAGGTCGTGACGGCGACGGACGGAAGAGGTAATTTCGCAGAGGGAGGACGACCGTAGGAGCAGGTGAAGTTGCGTTTGGTGCAATTGCTGCATGGAGACCCACGATCGCAGCGGACTTTACTCGCCCGACATGGCAGACAAGTCTTGCACTCGCGCGGTCGGCGACGTATAGGATAGGTCGGCATGATGTGGAATTTTCACTTCACAGCCGGAGCCCCGCGATCGACAAAACAAGAATGGAACAGGCTGCCTGCGGCAAGCGGAGAATAAGAGGGAGCGGCATAGGACGTAGACCGTAGAAAGAGAGAGTTTCTGAGAAATGGACAGCTCTTACTGGGCCGGACACCAATGGCGAATCGGTACAAAAGACTATCGGGGCTAACGGTGCCTATCACCAGCTAAAAAGGTCCAAGAGGTCCGAGTGCTGCCCCGGATTGACCACGCCGGCGGGTTTCTTCCCAGAACCGAGAAGAGGGTAAAGGACAGAAATGTGATGAGTCTCAAAAAAGACAAAAAAATCAAAATGGAGGAATTGAAAGGGGGAGGGGAGTGGATAAATGGGCGCTGGAGAGAGAGGAAAGGAGGAAGTTTGGAGATGAAGTGGATGATTTCATAACCAGCTTGAATCCTTGGTTCGATCTTACCAAAGCGGAAGTGACGGCCCCTGATCCTATAACGTTAACTTGAAGTATATAAGAACATGATCTTCCGTGCAGATATTGACGCAGATATTGACGGCTTGAACGGATTGGCCTCGGGTTGATGATTGCAATTAATACGGACAACTCTCATTGGGTGTTATGGTCCCCATAACCCCCCCATACGGGAAATCTCAAATCCAAAAAGATGCGGTCAAGATGCGTCAAGTCATAATTTTCTATCAAAAGGTATCACTGGGAACTGCTAATTACTGAGGATTTCTCGGACTGGAGTGAGGCGTGTAACTCAACATCCAAATGTCGAGCTGGGCCCCCAAACCATCGTGAAGCCTACTTCTTCTCGGAAATCTGGGGTACCACCCACCAATCATGCCATCGAGTCTTGGAGCCAACTTCAGGAACAACAACCTCCAAGTTGAGAGGGTGGGTCTCGGTCGAGGAGGTCGCGAGTGCCTTTTTGACCGCCTCAATGGTAAGGCTGGTACCAATACAGGCGCGCATGGTATCCTTGATATCACGCTTCCAATCCTCTTCAATGGCTACAGGAGCCGGCTGAGTCGGAGTGGAGGGGTCATCGATGAAGGCACCGTTAGCAAGGGTAGCCTCCCATGCCTTTCTAGCTTCAGTGATTGCCTTGGAGGCGCGTTCCAGGATCATTATGTCTGAATCGCCCTCGAGGGCTGCCTCGCGCTTGTATTCATCGTAAGGAACAAGCTCAGGCAACGTGATGGGGATAAATGGCTTCATGCGGATTTCGTAGCGGAGGCGGTCGCTAGAATAGGCCTGTGGAGAAGAGGCGGACGGGAGCACATTGTGTCGAGCCAGAACCACATATAATGCATGCAAGGCAATTGCAAAGGCATCGACCGCAATGATGTGGGTGGTCAGTCTCTCCAGAGCATGGAATGATTTGTGGAAGGCGGATGCCTTCTGAGAAGAGCCTCCGGTGCGTGTGCCAGCAGACATCAAGTCTCGCTTTCTTGCCGCGACCGTGAACGTGCGAATGCGATCAATGTGGCCAAGGTGAGTTGAGCAGATATGCGAGAGATACCAGTACATGCCCGGTAGCTCTTCTGGGGAATAGATCGAGAGCTCAAAGCCCATCTGAAGAATGAGTCGGAATTGAACAAGCTTTTGGTTGTATGCCCAACTGCTCAATGGGAAAGACCAAGTCGGCTCGCCGCCTTGGAATTGCAATGGTGGTTCTGCGCTCAAGGTACGAAGCTCAAGATCAAGTTCTTCAGCCTGTTATGATATTAGTATGATATCCGATGATCGAACAACATGTTAACTAACCTCAATTTGCAGATTATCCCAATCGACAATGGTATGGCAAATCGTCCGTCTGATACGACAACGGTTCATACAAGCGCATCGCACAGTATCCACGAAGGGTTGGGCGAATCTTTTTAAAAAGCCATCCATCTTCTGTGCAATCTGGAACCGAGGATCAGAGGGCATTTCGACGTCGTCGGTATTGGCCTCAAGTAGAATGCTAGCAGGCAATACGAGTTCCGCCAAGTCGTCATACAAGAAGTCCTTGACAGGCACAGCACCAAGAATGGTCATATTGCTGACAATCAATGCTTGAAGGAGACAGCGAATGTAGATCGAGGGTTGCGGCTTTCGGGAAAGCAAAGTCCAGACAGCAGTCTAATGCAATTGTCAGAATAAATCCATTTTCAAGCTTAAAAACACATACTTTGAAATTGCTGGGACCGCGGTAGTCAAGCATCTGCTGCATGTCTATCGCATCCTGGCACAATCGCTTCATGTGAGCGAAGGCATCATCATGGCTAATATTGACCATTGGACGAGGTGGCACAGTGCTCGCCAGCTTGCGCTGGATTTTTAAGCTGAATGCCTCCGGTACTGGCTTCCCTAGCGATACAGATTCGGTCAAGGAACCCAGATGAGCTATACATGACGCAAAATTTTCCGTCGACCTGGTTTCGAGAACCTCAAGGTCTTGAAACAATGCAGACAAGAGCTCGTGTCGGAAGAGTAACCTGCATCGGACGGCTTCTTTGAGCTTCTCATCAATGTCGGTCTGGTCTCCAACCCAGGCAACCGCCTGGTCCAGCAGACGGTGGAAGTGGGAAATGTGGAATGAAGATAGCAGGTTCCGGTTGTATAATTGACTGACAAAATCCTCCTCCTATATGGTCAATGCGATTAGCGACAGTCGAAATTGAAAATTGGTTGACTTACCTCATAATAATATTCAGTGGCCACCCGGGCGTGGACCAGGTCGCATGATTTAACCAGAGCAAGACAGTATGCTCGCAGCACAAGACTGACCCAAGGAGAATCACTTGGAACATGATCAAAACGAGCGTTCTCCATCGTTCGAGGTGCTGGCAACAATAATTTGTCGAGGTAGATGGACGTGAAGAGCGTTTGTGACAGAGGATGCCCCTTATGCCATGCCACCTACAATCAGATCAGCAACTGTAGCATCTCTAGGGACCTGGAACCTGGATATATTCCCACCTCATGGCACAGCAGCTGGTCCATCAAGCCCACAACCTCCTCTGGTGTCAATGGCTGTCGTACATCGTAGTCGTCTTCGAGCGCCTGCGCAAGATTTTCGCCGGGTGCAATATAGCCGCTATCCATTTTGGAGTCCATAATCTGTGTCAAATCGATCGCTGTCAGCGCCAGTCTGGTAAGTCTCACACCCAGTGAGAAAGCTGACGCACCTCCAGTGCGCCCACTGCTTCGAATAGCGTGAACATTTCATCTTTCACGAGCTGGCCACCATTTAGCTCTATTAAAAAAAGTGATTAGATACCGGTGACCTATTCCCGGGGTTAAGAGCTTACTTGATGCAGCGTCTGTGAATTCAGCGGTGATGTCGCGCGGGACCGCGGATTGAACCATCCGCGGACGGGAAACGCGAACCTCATTGTTCGGCAGCATCACGGAGAGAGATCAAAGGATCTGCAGTCCACAGGCGAAAGGATCCTCGCGAGGACAATTGATTTCGAGCTCCGCAGGACGTGCTCAAGGTAATTCGGTGAATCGAGGGGGAGGGCGGGGGACTGTGAGCGGAGGAAAAAGCGATTCGGGCAGTCGATAACCGGGTCCCTACGGTGACGTGCAACATCTAAAACATCACACTTGGGGCCGTACTCGGATGTTTTACAGCAACTATGTGACAAATTATATGTCGGGTAAAAACAAAGACGAGTGCGATTTCTAGGCTCTGTCCAACCAGACAGACCGGTATTGCTACACATGTACAGTTCAATGCTTCTCCGAGCCCAAAATTGGCCCAAATCCGTCACACTCGAGCCATCCATCTCTTCAGAGCTCCATTCTCTCGGTTCAAGGGTGAGAATAACTTATTTCTCAACAGCCTGGGCGACGGCGGCGTTGTTGGCCTGGGCGAGCGAGCGAACCTCACCCTGCTTGCCGTTCTGTTTATGACATCGAATCGTTAGCTGTGAATCTGACTGAAATAGAACTCAAGAGGTTCACTAACCTCCCACTTGGCGAAACGGATGTCCATCTGGCCGCGGCGCTCAGATGCGAGACGGGCCTCCTCCTTGAGAGAGCGGCGCACGGTGCGGGCGGCAATGGCCAGGTAGCGGTTGTAGCTAAAGTCGGAGTTAGCATTGAATAAGTTCGAAAGTCGTGTATCCATACGTCAAACCGGCGGCTTTCCAGGCAGCAGTCATTTTGAGGTAGATGGGAGGTGGATGGGTTGATTGAAGGGGGTAAAAACGGTTCGGGTGAGTTTGGAAACGTTCAACTCGGAGTATCGGGATGAGATCCATAATGCCAGATTCTACCGCCTTTGCTGTCACGTGCGAATAATATCACGTGCAAATGGTGTCACGTGTAAGAATGCCCCGGCGGGATTATGTTCTTCCGGATTTCGAGAGCCGCAACCTTATTTACTTCCCGAGCCCTAACGAGATCCTTGTCAGTTAGCGTCAACAGCCTTCAACGACAACCAACGACGCGGCCACCTTTGGATGGACATTTTTGCTTTCGTATCCTACTTGAAGCTGTCTGAATCTACGATACCGGAAGAACTAAGAAGCTTCACTAAATTAGGCGGCCACAAAGGCCTAATATCAAAATGCATCTGGTTCCCGCGAAAAAGGACTTCGAAGTATAGCGAGATGCTTGATAAGCTTAATCAACTAGAGACCCTTGAATGACCCCCGTACTAAAATATTCCATCAAATCCTGTTGTTTGGTGGCATGCGGAGCAAAATATCTCGCTGTAAATCAAATTCCAGAAAGCGAATGCGATATTCTGTTAGCTGGATCGTGCTGGATCAGAAAAGTGTCAATCGAAGCTGAGAATGCGCCTGTATTGTATGTAGCTCGCCTCAAGGTTGAACATCCCACAATCAAGTCCTGTCCAAGCGAATATCCCAGAGCTTACCCTCAGATCTGGTCAACTGACTAAAACCTCTCAACCTCCCCCTGGCATCAATAATTCGCTTAATCGATACTCCTTCCTCTTTCTTTCTCGCTCCCACAACACCCTCGAGTTCTCTTTATCGCGTATCTCACGCGTTCTATCGCGCGTATCTCATCATCTTCTTGGCGCTTCAACGCCAAGAGCTTGAAGTTGAAGCAACAGGTAAGTTACATTTCATGTCTTCATTCCCGCGCTTTCATTCCCATGCTCTCTTCTTTTGGCATCTTCGCATCTTGCACGTCTGTATCACCTCATTTGTTGGATCACACAGTCACCCTCAGGTATTCGGGTTTGCTCATGGCACCCGGGTATATCTACCACGCGTAGATCTTGTCGTGCTTGTCCACTCGCCTCATGCCCATCATTGCACATTTGAACTCCCATTCATGTATCATCACAGTTTGCATGTGATTTCATTTTCACATATCCAGCCCTTGGTCGAGCGAGCAGTTCCTGCAAGCTTGTGGTCAATCGCCTGATTGCGGCTCTCACTCAGTGGGCAAGCATCTCTTACAAGCTCATGATGAGCTGCTTTGATGACTGGTCTCTGGGGGTTCCAAGTCCACAATGTTATACTGAACCTTGCAAGCATGTGTATTCTCACTGCCTTGTTGAAGTTTCTTTTGGGTGGTCGAATAATGGAGCAAGAGACTGCATCTTATGCACTCTCTGTCATTGTCTAGACGCCTATACGCCAGTGGAACCGTGGCTGCCCAGAATACCTGTGCTTTGGAGTATCACTGTTCGTGTCTTGGTATCGCTATCGGTGTTTTGGCCTGATTGTCCATTTTTTTGTCTGTCCAGTCACAATACTTACCATCTTTTTTGGCCTCATGGTTTACCACCATATATCGACTATACAATTTGGGTGATCTTATCTTGGGCAATTGCTAACCATGTTTGCTACATTTAGATCAAAATTCACGAACCATTCACTATGGCTAGCAGCAAGAAGAAGAAAGCCAGCGACAAGAAGGTCGAAGATGGCACCAAGGCCGGTACCAAGGCCAGTACCAAGGCTGGCAACAAGGCTGGAACCAGGGTATACAAGGATACCAAGTCTGATCAGCTTCGTCTCGAGTATCAGAATGCGACCATGGCTGCCATGAACCAGGTGCAGCCGTTCAAGCAGACTGATCACATCAAGCAAGAGCAAGACGATGACGATTTCGGAGACTCTGAAGAGACAACTCCCACTGGTGATGTGGTTAACCAAAGTGATGACAGTAACTGGGACGATGAGGAGGAAGAGGATCATGGTCATGAGCGCAAGGCTCGCCCAAACCGCAAAAACCGCAGTCTCGTCAGATGGTCTGGTATGTATAGTTTTCTTTGGTCTCACTGTTTATTTGCGTCTTTTTCATGAATTGTTTCCGGTGTTGTTAAGTCTCGTTTGTGTATTGGGGAAGCTCTTGCATAAAGTCAAAATCCGAGTGTTGTGTTCTGGGAGCAGACATCGTGAAGTTGGGCTGACTTCAATCAAAAACAGACGACACTGATATCCACCTTCTCCTTTGCATCACTTACGTTTGCCAGAAGGACAAGGTCAAGCTCCCTTGGAAGCGCATCGCCGAAAAGATGTCTGAGCAAGTTCCCCACACCACTGAAGGCGCTATTAGCCAGCACCTGTCAAAGGTTCGCACTTCACGCCGTGGAGGAACTCTGGAGCCTCCTAGCCCAATCCGGAAGCCAAAGAGCGGATGCTACAGCACTGAGAAATCTGATTCCGTGCCTCCCAAGCAGCCTGTAAACAAGAAGTCCAAGAAGCGTGCTCGTGATACTTCTCCTAGCCCTCTCAAGAAACACAAGCGTGGCAAGAAGTCTACCGCCGCTAAGGACTCTGCTACTACTTATTCTCGCCTTGCAGGCAACGACAGCACAGGAAATACATACACTAGGTTAGTCAATTCAGTTCACGCTGGCTTGTTACGCTGTCCTTACTGGGATATGGACCGTGAGAAAGAAAATGACGAAGAACTGAACAATGCTAACAATAACATCCATGATAGTGAGATGGTCGATGATCGCAATGTGCTTCGTCTCAGTGTACCCTCCCTCTCCGCTGGCAACCTCAATGCCCACACCACCACTGGAAATACTGCCCGAATTCCTGCTAGCCAGTACTACGGCTCTGGATACATTGCTCCGGCTGACTTGCATGCGTCTGGTGCCCCCAATGCTGGGCATTTCACCGACTACCACACCGGCTATGGAAACTTGAACAACGGCAGCCTCTTGAACCAGCATGCCAACCCTTTCGTGGAGAGTGCTAACTACCTTGGCTACCCTCAGCTGGCTTGGCCCTCCACTCCTGCCACCTCTACCGCGGCCGAGGCCCCATTTGTCCCAAGTGGCGAGTACACCGCCGCTCTCTCCACCCTGGCGGGTTACGGACTCTTCCCGCCCATGGCTACTAACTCGGTGCCCTGGCACGAGACCCCAAGTACCCAGTACTGGGGATTGCCGGGGGATGAGGAGGAGGTCAACGAGGTTGACCAGCTCATGGGTCCCCGTGCCCCTGTTCCACGTGCTCCTGAGGAGATCACCTGGAAGCAGGAGGAGGATGAGGAGGAGTAATGACCTTGCGGTCAGGTGTTTCGTGGACTACGGTCCAAACTATCTTCATTTTTCTTTCTCTTTTTTTTTCTTTATTTCTATTTTCTTTGATACCAGATTCTCCTCTCTGCGGCCTAGTTTGGCTGCCACCCGGTGAGGGGTGGTAGACCTCACTAGGTCTGAACATGTATCTACCATTTGGCCCCCGTTGGGGCCAGTACATATCAGGCTGGGTAACCAGCCTGGCGGGGCACTTGTGCTCACGCATAATGGTATTTACCAAGAAACTTGCTCACTTCTCATCTCGTAGTCGCGTAGATTCAATTGAGAGGCCATCCATTAAGGTCAGCATTATTGTTACTGAACGGGAAGTAATGCGATTCTAAGAAGAAAGTAAACGATCACAGAAGCTGCAGTTATCGATCTGAATGGACTTACACATTGAGTAAGGTTCAACTACTCAGCTTTGCGGGTTCTTCATGTAACCTGAGTTCTGAAGGCTGAGGGCTCATCAAATTGAGTAGAAGCACTGTGGGTCAGCCAGTGTAGCCTTACAGTATTGCATGAAAATTGAAAATTTATCCTCGCTGCCCAGATGATCTTGTGGTGATGTCTTACTTAACTTAGTCTCAGTGGCATTTAGGGGCAAGAGATAGATGTAAGAAATTAAATCCAGATACCATAGGGTTTGCAGGCACATTCCTTAATGGATGGAATGGCGGATGGACTCCCAACTTATGTACCTGAATCCTGCATTCCATTTGAGCAAATCTTTTATTTCAGCATCTGCATGACTATAGATTTAGGACGGATTGATTGCCTAGATTTACATGTGATTTATGACAACCAACTTAACCGTTGTTTGAGAAGCATGTAGAAAGCCATTCGGTAACGGTACCGGATAATCAAACAGGGTTGACTTGGTTACAAAGAAAGGAAAACACTGAAAGGAAACTAGAGGTAAAAATCACAGGGAAATAACCCCAGCAATATTCTGGGCATGTTTTGTAAATTGCAATGGCAATTCGCTCTATCTTGCCGGGGTTGTTTGTTTAGGCCGAAAGTCGGAGTGAGTTCCCGAGGCATAGTTCACTTCACTTATAAGTGTGATGAAGGTGGAAGTGGTTTGGTCAACATAGGGTAATCTATATGATCCAGTTGGATTGACAGTAGCCTTCCAATTCCACACGATCTATCTCCACATATACCCTAATCTCCAAAATATAGCAAATCGGCTGTGTCATCAATTTTTGCACTGCCGTTCTCCCGGGATACCCTCGGGCCGTCACGTGACGTTCTAGCTGTTTCTGCCGCCAAGCTCTGGGGATCCGGGAAAATTTTCGAGACTTTGGCTTCATCTCTCCCCAGCTTTCTTCTTCCCTTTCATCTCTCCCAACCCCATCTTTGTCCTGGGTTGTTTTCATATTACTCTCTTCCTTAATTCCTTTTAATTTGTTTCCATAGCCATGCAGCGCGCTCTCTCCACCCGGACTTCCGTCCTCTCGGCCGCTTCCAAGCGCGCCGCCCCTTTCGCCCGCTCGACTCTCAACCTCCAGCAGCAGCGTTTTGCCCACAAGGTGCGTTCAATTGAGGATGAAACATCCATCAATTCCGATGATCGGCTTCGTCTTCCACCAATCCCGGAGACTTTCCCCCGTTCCATGCTAACAACAAGCAGGAGCTCAAGTTCGGCGTTGAGGCTCGTGCCAGCCTTCTCAAGGGTGTCGACACTCTTGCTAAGGCTGTTACCTCCACACTCGGTCCCAAGGGTCGCAATGTCCTCATTGACTCCCCCTACGGCTCCCCCAAGATCACCAAGGGTAAGCATTCCGTCTGCTTCCATTAAACATCCAAAGACTAACGAACAACGCAGACGGTGTGACCGTTGCCAAGGCCATTGTTCTTCAGGACAAGTTCGAGAACCTTGGTGCCCGCCTCCTCCAGGATGTCGCCTCCAAGACCAACGAGCTTGCTGGTGACGGTACCACCACCGCCACCGTCCTTGCCCGTGCCATCTTCTCCGAGACTGTCAAGAACGTTGCTGCCGGCTGCAACCCCATGGATCTCCGCCGCGGTATCCAGGCTGCCGTTGAGGCCGTTGTCGACTACCTCCAGGCCAACAAGCGTCCCATCACCACTGGTGAGGAGATTGCCCAGGTCGCTACCATCTCCGCCAACGGTGACACCCACGTCGGTAAGCTCATCTCCACCGCCATGGAGAAGGTCGGCAAGGAGGGTGTCATCACCGTCAAGGAGGGCAAGACCCTGGAGGACGAGCTCGAGGTCACTGAGGGTATGCGCTTCGACCGTGGTTACACCTCCCCCTACTTCATCACCGACCCCAAGTCCCAGAAGGTCGAGTTCGAGAAGCCCTTGATCCTCCTCTCCGAGAAGAAGATCTCCGCTGTCCAGGACATCCTTCCCGCCCTTGAGGCCTCTACCACTCTCCGCCGCCCTCTGGTCATCATCGCTGAGGACATTGAGGGTGAGGCTCTCGCCGTCTGCATCCTGAACAAGCTCCGTGGTCAGCTCCAGGTTGCCGCCGTCAAGGCCCCCGGCTTCGGTGATAACCGTAAGAGCATCCTTGGCGATCTCGCCGTTCTCACCAACGGTACCGTCTTCACTGACGAGCTTGACATCAAGCTCGAGAAGCTCACCCCCGACATGCTCGGTTCCACTGGTGCTATCACCATCACCAAGGAGGACACCATTGTTCTCAACGGTGAGGGCAGCAAGGACAACATCACTCAGCGTTGCGAGCAGATCCGTGGTGTTATGGCTGACCCCACCACCTCCGAGTACGAGAAGGAGAAGCTCCAGGAGCGTCTCGCCAAGCTCTCCGGCGGTGTTGCCGTCATCAAGGTCGGCGGTGCCTCCGAGGTCGAGGTCGGTGAGAAGAAGGACCGTGTCGTTGACGCCCTGAACGCCACCCGCGCTGCCGTTGAGGAGGGTATCCTCCCCGGTGGTGGTACCGCTCTCCTCAAGGCCTCCGCCAACGGCCTCGACAGCGTCAAGCCCGCCAACTTTGACCAGCAGCTCGGTGTCAGCATCATCAAGAGCGCCATCACCCGCCCTGCTCGCACCATTGTTGAGAACGCTGGTCTCGAGGGTTCCGTCATTGTCGGCAAGCTGACTGATGAGTTCGCCAAGGACTTCAACCGTGGCTACGACAGCTCCAAGAGCGAGTACGTTGACATGATCGCCGCCGGTATTGTCGATCCCCTAAAGGTTGTCCGCACCGCCCTGGTTGACGCCAGTGGTGTTGCCTCCCTCCTCGGTACCACCGAGGTCGCCATTGTCGAGGCCCCTGAGGAGAAGGGCCCCCCTGCTGGTGGCATGGGCGGTGGCATGGGTGGTATGGGTGGTATGGGCGGTATGGGCGGTGGCATGTTCTAAAGCCCCCCTGACCCTTTCGCGCCCCCCCCCCCCCCCCCCAACTTCGCCCTTTGAAGAATTACCCTCGAGCGTCTTTGCATCGTAGCCTGTTCTGATACTACTTGGATCTGTGTAATGTCTTTTCTTGTGTCTCTACTTGGTGTTGTTCTTTTTTATTTTTTTTCCCCTCCGTTTTGTTTTTTTTTATACCTGTATTCTCTTGGACTGTTCTCCCTCTCCCATCTCCCCTCTTGGAGCTTGAACCGAGTTCCCCATCTGTACCATATCATGTATAACCATCTATGAACTCCATCTGATGCACTTCCACACGACCCTTGCGAATTTAACCGAGTCCTGTGCCACCATTGGCTGGAAGTAGTCTCCGTCCCCGAGTACCGTAGCGGCATTTCATCGTCTTTGGCCTGTCGACTTGGTCTGATCGACATGAGATCCAAGGTTCGTTCTCCGATCCTTTCTCCGATCGTTTCTCTGTAATGCATGTCCATAGCTATTCCCATTCAGCCCCCTATCCCCAAAAGATGAAGCCTAAGCCTACCTCTACGCCTCCCAGCACAGCCTATGAACCACTCAGCCCTTCTCATTGGCCTCCCGGGTCGGCTATTTGCACCCACGGATCCCGTGCCAGCCATTTGGGCCCAGTTGAGTCTAGACTGGAAATGCTGGCATGAGGGGGAGTTTGCCCTTGATGTGCTGACCTGACGAAAATAAAGCCCGGACTAGTAAAGCCTACCTTGACGGGTGGGTATGGGGAAATCCCTCTCTTCTCACTCTCCTCAGAGGCATACAGTGCCCTCTTTTTCTGCCCTCTTTGTCTTGGCCCATTCGTGTGCCCCCCCAACACTACAGTACATGATCCCGTACGGCCCACCCTCCCTCTAGTCTCAATTCAGTCTCCATTCCCCAGTCTCCGGTCTCCGGTCCCCATCGCTAACCTCCACCAAGCCGCATTGCATGAAAAAAAAAACCACAAAGAAGGAAAAGAGAAACCTTAGACTCCAGATTGAAACCAAACCTCCTACCCACCCTCGATCATCTCGGTCGCCTTGATCGCCTTGATCGCCTTGATCGCCACAATGGCTACCATGGTGGACATGGCGCGGCCCGCACTGGTCAGCGATGCCGATCTGATGCAAGCGCGAGCAGCCCTCCAACACCAACAAAGCGCCGAGATCTCCGTCCCACGCGAATTCATCTCTCTCATCGTCGACGAACTCATCTATCGCCGCGAATCCCACTCCTCCATCGCCGCCATCGAGCACGAATGCACACATCTCCGCAAGGAACTCCGCAAACACACCCACATCAATGAAGCCTTCCAGAAGGAGCTCCGGGAGATCGGCGAGATCATCACGCAGGTTGCCCACGGCGACTTGTCGCAGCGCGCGCGGATGCATCCGCTCGAGATGTCGCCCGACATCGCCACCTTCAAGCAGACCATCAATACCATGATGGATCAGCTGCAGGTGTTTAGTCAGGAGGTGTCCAAGGTGGCGAGAGAGGTCGGCACCGAGGGCGTGCTGGGCGGCCAGGCTAAAATCGAGGGCATCCAGGGTATTTGGCATGAGCTGACGGTGAATGTGAATGCCATGGCCAACAACCTGACTACCCAGGTGCGGGATATCACGACCGTCACGACGGCCGTTGCCAAGGGTGATTTGCAGCGTAAGGTGCAGGCGGACTGCAAGGGCGAGATCTTGTTGTTGAAGAATATTATCAATTCGATGGTGGATCAGCTGAGGGAGTTTGCGTTTGAGGTCAGTCGCGTGGCGAGGGAGGTCGGCTCAGATGGTGTGCTGGGTGGTCAGGCGGTTGTCCATGGTGTCGAGGGCACGTGGAAGAATCTGACCGACAATGTGAATCGCATGGCAATGAATCTCACGCAGCAGGTGCGTGAGATTGCGGATGTGACGACGGCTGTGGCTCGGGGTGATCTGACGAAGAAGGTCACTGCAGATGCCAAGGGAGAGATTTTGGATCTCAAGCTGACGATCAATGCGATGGTTGATCGGTTGAATCAGTTCGTATTTGAGGTTAGTCGTGTTGCACGTGAAGTTGGGACGGACGGCACACTGGGTGGCCAGGCACAGGTCGAGAATGTGGAAGGTCGCTGGCGCGATTTGACCGACAACGTCAACACAATGGCTCAGAACCTCACGTTGCAGGTGCGGCAGATTTCAAATGTCACCCAGGCCATTGCGCGCGGTGACCTAAGTACCAAGATCGAAGTCCACGCCCAGGGTGAAATTTTGACTTTGAAAGAGACAATCAACAGTATGGTGGATGGACTAGGTGAATTTGCACGGGAACTCAAAGGCGTTGCGAGGGACGTAGGAGTCCGTGGCAAGCTAGGCGGACAGGCGAACGTTGCTAGGTCGCATGGAATATGGAGGTCCATCAGTGAAGATGTCAACACCATGGCCGATAACCTGACCTCGCAGGTTCGTGCCTTTGGAGAGATCACCGAGGCGGCGATGAGTGGTGATTTCACCAAGTTGATAACAGTCTCTGCATCGGGAGAGATGGATGATTTGAAACAGAAGATCAACAAGATGATCTCGAGTTTGCGGGACAGCATTCAACGCAATACTGCTGCGCGTGAAGCGGCTGAGTTGGCGAATCGAAGCAAGTCTGAATTCCTTGCGAATATGAGGTAGATCAACCCATCTCTGAAATGAATCGGTGATCCGAAATGCTGACTGCCATATATAGTCATGAGATCAGGACTCCGATGAATGGTATTATCGGACTCTCAAGTTTGGCACTCGACACCGATGAGCTCCAAGCTTCTGTGAGAGAAACACTCAAGATGGTCCATGGTCTTGCTATCAGCTTGTTGACTATCATTGATGATATTCTCGATATTTCAAAAATCGAGGCTAATCATATGATGATCGAAAAGATGCCTTTCAGCCTGGGGTCCACCGTGCTTAGTGTATTGAAAGCCCTCACTGTGGAAACCAACGAGAAGGCATTGGGCTTGGTGTATACCGTCGACGGAGAGGTACCCGACTTCCTCATCGGCGATGCTTATCGATTGCGTCAGGTCATGCTCAACCTAGTCAATAATGCCATCAAATTCACCGACAACGGTGATATCAGAGTGAACATCAAGCGAGTGGTGGACAACTTATGTGAGCCCGGCGAAACCGCATTCCAATTCTCGGTGTGTGACCCGGGAATCGGCATTGAAGCGAGCAAACTCGGTCTCATCTTCGATAAGTTCCAACAAGCAGATGGTTCAATGACACGACGGTTCGGTGGAACAGGCCTGGGCCTCGCCATTTCCAAACGCCTAGTCTCCCTCATGGGCGGAGATATCTGGGTGACCTCGACTGTAGACAAGGGCAGCACATTCTCCTTTACCTGCCGAGTGAAGGTCGCTCCACCTCCACCAAGCTTCGCAGACCAACTCCTTCCACACCGTGGCCGACGTGTTCTCTTCCTCGACCACGGCCTCGCCCGCAGCTTCCCGATCGCCCAGCTCCTAGTGGAACTCGGCCTGGACCCGCTCATAGTCACGGAAGAGCAGCTTGAAAGTGGCCAATTCCAAAGCGAGTGGGGTGGTGCCTTCGACGCTATCCTTGTCGAAAACCTCGAAATAGCAGCAAAGCTTCGCGCCGATTCAACATTCCAACCGATTCCACTAGTCGTCACAGCCCAAAATGTCAATCTCACACTACGGAAAGCTGGTGAACTAGGTATAGCCTCCTATATAACAGTTCCTTGCCGACCGATCGACCTCTGGAACGGAATTCTCCCAGCTCTAGGGAATCGCTCAACCCGCACACCGTCAGGATACACGCGCTCGTTGGCAATCCTCCTGGCAGAGGACAATGATGTCAACCAGAAAGTGGCGGTACGTATACTGGAAAAGTTCAATCACAACGTCACAGTCGTCGAAAACGGCCTGCAGGCTGTGAAGGAGGTCAAGCAACATCGCTACGATGTGATCCTCATGGACGTTCAAATGCCCGTCATGGGCGGGTTCGAAGCTACCGGTAATATCCGACAATATGAGAAGATGAATGCCTTGCCGCGTACGCCTATCATTGCATTGACGGCTCACGCTATGCTAGGGGATCGGGATAAGTGTATCCAGGCTGGCATGGATGATTACCTTTCCAAGCCGTTGGATGCGAGTCGCATGATGCAGACTATTCTGAAGTGCTCTGCGATGAATCTTTCCTCTTTGCCTGCGATTGAGGGCTGATGATATGTCTGTTCTATTGTTTGTGCTTTTGGCATTGACATCATTGACCGCACACTCATTCTTTCTTTCTCTCTGATCCCTGGATCCGTGTTTCTCCTTCGCTCTCCTCTGTGTTCAAATACCCCCTGTCATTAAATAGTTGATTATCAGTTTGCCTTTGATTTCCGGATGCTTTTTTTGTTTTTCAATATCTCGCCATCATTTCCATTGTTCATTATGGTTGGTGTTTGTTTCGCTCATGCAAAGTAACTGTAACCAGCCCGGTGTTTTCTGAACTCCTCTTCAGCTCGAAGACGTACCAACAATACAAAAGAATATATCTGCAATCATTTCACGAGCAATCTCTTAGAATAATCACTCCGATCCAGACATCCGCAAGTCCGATATCAACTGATCACAAAATCAGCGCTAACAAAAATCACGCACGCGCCTTTCCGACGACAACCCGCCCTTGCGATAACACCGATGCAACGCGCCACCAAGCGTCCACAGTCAGATATAAAACCACACACCCTGCTCAGACGGATAAAAATATCGCAGCAAAAGAAAGAAAAAGAAAAAATACAATTGAATAATCACCAACCATCTCAATTCCACCAAAATGCAACTCCACTTCCGCACAGCTACAACAGAAGATGTCCCCCAACTCAAAGCCCTAATTGAATCCGCCTTTCGCGCGCAAGACACCCGCCCAGGCTGGATCGACAACCTAGGCCTATCCAACACATTCACCATTGCCACTGAAGAATTAATCACAGTCCTCGCCAAAGCCGACAGTGAGATGCTGCTAGCATTTTCGGCGGAACATACCACTGCCTCTACAACCACGACCACAACCACAAATACCAGCACCAATACCAACACCGAAACACCCCTCATCGGCTCAGTCGGAGTCTCCAAACGCCCTGGAAACATAGGCCGTCTCTCCCTCCTCGCCGTGAACCCCATGTACGCGGCTGATGGCATTGGACGTCAGATCCTGGAGTACGGCGAGGAATATTGTATTCACGCTTGGGGCGTTGAGAAGCTTAGTCTGAATACACTGTCGGTTCGTCTGCAGCTTCGGGCTTGGTATGCTCGGCGTGGGTATGTCGAGACTGGGGAGACGGTGCCGTTTCCTATGAAGAGGGTTCCTGGGTTGGTGTTGCCGGATGGAATTCACATGGTTGAGTTTGAGAAGGGGGTTTGATTTTTGTGGGGTGATTGTCGTGTTTTTTTGTGTTTTTTTTATACTGGAGGTTACTATTGGGTTTTTGTCTCGGACTATGCATTCACGTACTGTATAACGTTGGTATAGATGGACATGATTTGGCATGATGAGCATAGTAACGGTGTTCTTCAGAGTTGGGGGATGGACACCTGATGGATCTTAAATCAATAAGACCTGAATAAGAAATAGACAAATATTCATTTGGCTTGAAGATGTGATGCCTAGATAGCAGGAGGCCAACCTTACCATTGAGTTATATTTCCTAGGCCAGAAACTTAGTCATCGAACAGGCAAGATGGCCGAGTTGGTCTAAGGCGTCAGGTTAAGGTCCACCTTAACTCCTACTGTTTCGGCAGTTTCCTGATCTACGTTTGTAGGCGTGGGTTCGAATCCCACTCTTGTCATTTCTTTTTTGCATCTTGATATTTTTACCTGAACTTCTACTATGCGGCTTTCATTCGACCTTGTACATTTAATTTTTGGCTACACCTTTCAAGCGTAGCCGGAATGGGAAATATATTATCAACTACTTCTATTTAGTAGGCTACGATAACTTTTGTGTTTATTTACCAGTCTTGGAATTTTGAATATGTTCATGGACGGAAATATATAAATTTCGCACAGGCATTCAACTCAACCAAACTGAAGAATGATTCAACCCTTACTTATTGAAGAACGGAGATAAGTTAATGTGTCTCATCCTTCCTCGTGTAGCTATAGTAGATAGACACGCGCACAATAGCAAGTCTCCCTGAACCTTAACAGTGATCAATTAACGAAAGAATCTGGTGCTTTTCTTTAACAAATCAACTTTATCCCGTCCATGACCACGGTACCAGAAATTGGGGACTCTAGTTCTACAGCCAAAGATCTCTTCGTATTTCATACGCCCGAGAAACACATCCAGAACTCCATATTTGAATCTGATGTACTTTCCAGTTCAAGAGATCGCAGGTAGTTGGAGAGAAATAGGCAGGTATCAATACTGGCGGTCAAGTAAACACACAGTCGCATTCTTATCATACAGAATAAAGGAGATTTTAAATATACACATGAGCACCAAGACATCCGAAACCCCACTACCAGATCCCGGTTGAGCTTGTCAGGCTTAGACCCCAAATCGGAACTCCCTGACTTTCTTCTGGTAGTAGTACGACGCCAATAAGCCAGTAGCCCCGAGCGCCAAAGGAATAGGAGCCTTAGCTCCAGTCTTGATGATCCTAGGGATTGCAGAACCAAGCAGGAGGACACTGTTTCCCAGTGCAAGCTCAGTGCCGTAATCACGGTTCTCCTTGATCAGATATCCTGGCATTTTGGTCAGCATTGATGAGACGATCGACTCTTGCCTCGAATGGCATACTGCTTTACGGGAACTTACCAGCATAGGCATATGAGACTCCAAGTCCAACGCCCGCGATCAAGGAGGGTGCTGAGCGGGTCTTGAGGTATCCAGCGATGCCGCCTACGGGCACTGTGATGGATAGTCAGCGACTGACAGTCGTTCCAGGCGCTAGATGGTGAACTTACAAAGGGCTGCAAGGGTGAAGGAGGGATGTTCGGCCATTTTGATAGTCAATATAACAGATGGTGAGGCAACTTATCTAGGGACAGTTCGGCCGCGAGTTCCCGGACTAACCCCCTTAAATAGTGAGGTCCAGGGGCCCTAGTCCACATATGGATGAGGCTCCATTATCATCGTATGACACGATTCTGATTGGTCACTGGACATGTGATACCCCACCTTCTAACTGTCCGCTTACTCATCGGGATCTGAACTGTTCAGTCAGTTAGTTGATTTAGATCTATAGTTGATTAAGAATAACATAGCTGGCTAAGAGCTCAATCCTCTTGAATCAGTGGTGGTAGATAAAAGTCAAGTATTCATTATCTCCCAGCGCATATACCTACCTAGGTAAAAAAAGAACCCTATCATCAATTCAAACGTAGAGGGTATAAACCAACCATGAGAGAACACATCAAGCAACATATGTACATCGAGATCAAACTTCACCAGCCCTTCTACTATGCTGATGCGCCACCTTCTTCTTTCCATTACCCATCCAAGCCCCCTCTCGAAGCGCTCCAGACCCGATACCATGCCGATCCTCTTGCCATCTCTGCCAAATATCCTCATCAAGCTGCATGTTCCTTTGTCCATAGCCTAGGTAATCATCAAACCGCTTCCGCAGACTCGAGTTCTCAGGAACGACCATGTCAGGCATTCTATGCGTAATCATCTCCCAACGCAAGGTTGTTTTCGCAGGGTGCAGGATAAACTCCTTGATAAGACCAATGCCGATCTTATGCGACTTGGTGACAGCTTCGCGAAGCTTTTCACTGAATGCCAGGAGCAAAGAGAGGAAAATGATTGCAAAGGAGGATGGTGCTATGGATATATGTGAGTCTGGGTATGGAGTTGGTTGGTGGGTCATGCATACCGGCTATCTCGAACATCTGGCCCAGAGTCGGGTTTGTAGCCTCGCCGCTCCATTCTCGGGCATTTATGCCGAAGAGGGATGTGAAGAATGATAGTGGGAGAAACCTTGTTTTTCTTAGTACTTTTTTTGTGATGTCCTGGAAGATATGGGAGACTCACACGACTGAGAAAATGGTAAATACCATTACTGCTCGCGACTGGGTTTGCGTCACTTCGGCTTGCCATCGGGCCATTTTGGCTTCGTCGACGTTTGCCTGTTTTTGCTTGAGATCAAGGAGCGTTTCGACCTGTTTGATTAGTATTTGGTATAGGGTAGTACTTGTAGAATTAGATGCTCACTGCTTTCTGTGCGAGATGACTGTTCTCTTTCATCTCGGTAATCTGAGAACGATATTCGTCGATTCGGGCTTGGGCTGTATCGAGGAAGACTTTGCCGTATCCTCTGCTGTCAAAGTACTTGGTCATGCTTTTGATTACCGTGTCTTGCTGATCAAGTAGCTTGAGTATTGTAGACAGCTCATCCTCAATATCTCGTAGCTCAAGTAGAACCGACAAATCTTCACGATTTCTCCTCGCAACTTGGCGCTCCCGGTAGTCTCGTTGAGCAGCAGTCATGATCTTTCCATCTTTAGTGCGATCATGGTCCGCCGGACGATTAGTGAATCCTCGATTACGGAAGCGCTTGAAGGATTTCGTGACCGACTCAGTCTGCTCGCGTTAGCAAATTCCAACTTCTGAGAGATAACCAGCAAGAGACTCACCAGAATACTGATCGACTCCTCAAAGATCCTCAAAACCTGCAAGTCATGATGCAAAGTCTTATCCAAAAGAACAGTAACAGCATGCAACATGATCAGCGCCGCTAAATCACCAGCCGTCTCAAATCTCCTAGCCAAATCTCCGTTCAACTCATTGTATATACTACTATGAAGATTCGACTGCTCAAACAACTTCCCTTCGGAAGTAGTGGCCTCCTGATTTGGAAAGAAGGTAACAACCGTCTTGGAATCAACAATCCAAAGCCAAAGTTGGTCAACCATCAATACATTACCATCCATGAACTCCCCATACTCCGATTCGTCACCTTCATCCTGCGTTGACTGTAGATACTGTCTGAGCTGATCGTCAATACGCGCCGGTCTACGTGTTCGCTTCCATAGCATCTGGTCATCATCGCGAGCAATCGTTGAGCGAAGATTCGGATAGCCAAATTGATCAAGAGTGCGTCTGAAGTGGATTGGTGGTTCGCAGCCTAGGTACGTCCATATCAATTGGGCTTCCAGGCTTGCTTTGGAGATTCGGCCTGGGACTGGGCGTGATCGGCCTTGTTGGAGTCGGTCTGCCACTACTTTTCGTCGTTGGATCAGATTGCGGTATGTGTCCCAGTGGAGCTGGTGAGTCAGTATATTGGTTGTGGTCTGGTGATGTGATACTCACATATGGAACCTTGTGGGGTATTTGTTAGTATCATCTTCGTGGAACTCGAATTAGTGAACATACATATAAAGCGAGCTGGGGATCGTCTGCATCGCCTGGGGTCCCCTGTGAAATATCCATTTGTCTGGAATGAATACACGCCGGCCGGACGAAGCGAGCATGAGGCTCGAGATGACGGGCTCTGTTGAGTCGGAGATACCAATTCTTGTCATTGATGAATTTTCTGAGACTGTAAAGCAGAGTCAGCGTTACATATCTTTTTAGGATGATATTTGAGGTCTTACAAGTTGGAGTCCTGACTATCCTGACACGCTCGTCGAATAACTTGCGATACCCAGCCGGTATGGGTATAGGGAACATGGATCCAGACCAACTTCTCCGTGTCAGGCTCTGGACGATCAAAACGCGGCACCGATCGAGGAATGTCCGGAGTCTCTGCGTTTTGGTTGATTCGGTCTCGATTAGATGTTGGAATAGTCAAGAATGCCGACTGCCTGGATGGTGATGTCGAACTTCTATTAATTGTTATTCTAGGGATACTTATACAAAGCGGAGTGTTTTCTTTCGAAAAATGGGAAAAAAGCGAAAAAAAAGTCTACTTACGAGGCAGGCCGTGAACTGTGCCCTTGAGAACTACTATCTGAGGCACTCCGCCGATGCGAATGAGAACGCGACCTCAGTGGAATAAGACCTAAGGCCTTCGTGATCGGATTCTTTTGTTTTCGATTTGGCGGTGGACTTTCAGCAGGTGGGCTATCAAAATAACCATCCATGGCCGCTTCAGTGATATGAATCCGGGGCGAAGGATGGGCAGCATCTTCAAAACTTTGACTATACGGAAGAGGAGGGCGCAGTGGACGTGATCCTTCATGATGCTCATGATGCTCAGTTTGATCTGACGCCGGAGAAATATAGGAGGAGCGTGGGCTGTCAAAACTGCTGATGGAGGAATCATCCAAGCCGCTGGGCTGGACTCGACCTAGTCTTTCCCTGAGACATGCTGATGGTCCCCGAGCGAGGTAGTCCTCTAATGAGACTTTAGTTGACCACAGCTTCAGTGGACTTTCCTCGCTGACGCCCAGCGCGGTGTCCTCGAAGAAACCGTTGATTTGGACCATTACTTTCTTTTCAACGCCCAAGGGTGTATCGTCTTCTTTTGATATTCTCACTGCAACGGTGACTGCTTCATTGAGCTCGGTCAAGAATATGTCCCGGGTTGAATCTTGACCATGGAAAGTTGCTGTCCCTGCATGGTTTGTTGCCATGGGTACTTCTTTCTCATGCTCGATGTCTAGTATTCCCGACCGAATCGAGGTAATGGGAACATGAAACTCCAAAATGCTGTTTGTCTCTGCGTCAATAACATGCATTGTCGAGTCAATCGTCTCAAGGAAAGACCAAATCTTCATGTCAGCGGAGAGGGTCTTAAACTGGTTAGAAAGATGCCATAGTCGTTCCTGTCGCGGCCGAAACTGTTCCCTCAGAGCCTGGGGGCTTTCGTGTTCCAGATGTAAGACATGGCGGATGCTTGCTGCATACTCATCAGCAGACAGATAGGTTGATCCCTGATGCGGTGTTGCAAAGAAGGCGATGCCGTGGCAGCTCGTAAGCAGGGAAGTCGGCTCGGCCCGTGATGCCAGAGCCAGGGCTGCTTTCACGACGAGGCCGCCGGTGCTGTGACAGATGAAAAATATTGGGCGCCGAGGACTCTGTTTTTGTGTGAGTATATAGATTCGATAGGATGACAAAGGGGACATACACTATGTCTGCGCTCACTCAGAAGTTGGTTCAGCAGGCGTTGACCTAGAGAGTCGATCTTGTCGTGTTCATTTAGTTCGCCATAGTTGTAGAAAAGGACTCGGGCGCGAGGAAGATGTTGCAACAGCTCCGTGTCTAACCAAGACGATTTGGCACCATGTGCTGTCCATGTCTTCCTATGATATGCGCCAATTGGCGGGACAGCAACAATGCTAACCCTGGTTAGTGAGATCTCCTTCTAAACGGACTGTATACATACTCGACGTTAGTTTCTCCCGCAACCGTGATATGCTCGAACCACGAGTGCCTATTTTCTGTTGGGGGTCTTGAAGTCATGTTTGTTGGAGGACATCTTCACATATTCACGAGAGTTGCGGGGAATAAAAGGCCAGGGGATTCTCAGCCTCATGGGGCCATGGCGGATGATCATCTACGCCCCGATCACACCCTCACCTAGGCTGTGCCTGGGTTTATGGGCTTGGAAGCCTGGGAAAATGGTAAATGAGTCAATAGAGATAGAGATGTCCATTAAGTATATGTACAGAAATGCGTCAAAATTTGCAAAAACCAAAAAGCCCCAAGTGCTACTCTATGAGCTGTATCAAAAACGCCAAAGCGACCGTAAGATCGCATGCAGTATAGTACAAGGCGCATGGGCGCGTATTTTATGCGTCCGAGTGTCGCCGTTCGTTGACCTCCCGAGCCATGCGCTTACCAAGTTCATATGTTGATATCATGATGGCGCAGGCCGGGGCAACTTTCAGGCATCGGGCTGTCCAGCCACGGAACAGACCGGCGGTGCCTTCTTCGTGGAAAATGTGCATGAGGAATTTCGGAAGGGAAAGCTGCTCGGGCGCCAGTTTGCCCGGGGGAAGCGCTGGTCGCGGGGGGCCAGTGGGAGCCCCGTCATCCATGTGTCGGAAGACTTGCTGTCGCGTCTTTCCGACATCAAAGGGGGTGGTTACGAGTGCTGCCAGGGACCCCGAAACAGCTCCAGAGATAAAGCTATCGAGAAATGCTTGAGTTGTGGTTTCTTGTGGTTTCTCGTCGGATTCGGTGAGATGTGGATAGCGCGCCGAGATCACAGTCTTCTTCACTTCCTCGTATCCCCACCAATACAAGCCCGAGAAGGGTACATCGCGCCACATTGTAAGCGTGAACCCGCGCCAGAGAGAGCTGTATCCCTTGGCTTGCGTCATGTGGTACAGATCCTGGATCGTGGTCTTGAAATGGTTCGCACCCGTACCCGGGGTTGCTTGAAGTCTTGTGCGGAACATTTCCAATGGACTGGTCGCTGCCGCTGCCGCGACTCGGGCGATAGAGCCTGCCACTAATGGCGCGCCGCTTTCTCCAAGTCGTTGCTTGATCGGACTGCGATCATCCGTGCGTAGCCAGTCGTATCCAGCGAAATAAATGACATTCGCCGGAATTCCCATCATCAGAGTCGGGCTTAGTCCTCGCCATAGTGTTAAGGTGCCTTCATTGCGTGCAATCTTCCGTAGCCCATCTAAGGTTGATGTGAATGTTCGTCGCTGCGTTTCCTCGATCGCACAATCCATCGCCGGGTGGGGTGTACTGCCTACTGCAGTCGCATGTGGTCCCAACATGCACATCTGGGCATCGTTTCCGACCCAGAATACTTCGCGACAGCAAGACGTGATGCCGAGGTTTGGAGGAAGGTTTTTCAACGTTTGTGTGGTGTGGGAGGTGTAGGGAGATGTGTTTTGTATTTGGGATTGCGATTGGAGGCGGACTCGGACGACATCGAGAGGCGTAACTGATCCTGTTAGTTTTTGAACGACCACGGGGTTGGGGGAGCTCTCGTACCTAGTAATCCGGTCAAGATATTTCCCGCCGTCGCAGAGAACATCCGCTGGCCCACTGTGATATCGTCATTTGGAGAGGGTGTCTGAGGGGCTATGGGAGTCCCCGTCCCTGATGTAGCGGCCATTGTTGTAGATTCGTCAAACTGAGAGGTCCATGACGGCCCTAGAGAGGCGTTGAGTTCGGTCTCCAACTCCGTCAGAGACGCTTGGGTTGGAACGTAATTCAATCCGGTCGGCATTCGATCAATCTGGATCAGATAAAACAAGAAAGAATCAAAGTGCACAGCAGAAAACGACAAACAAGACCAGAAACAAGAATGGGCGATGCGTCACCGGGAAAGGGAAGTTTTTCGGGGTTTGACGGGGTGGCGGCGGTCGGAGATAAGCCGTGGACAACTTCACTTCTGCAACTTGACGACTTGACAACTTCAATGGCGATCTGGAAAGGTTAGGAGTTGGATTCTATCTTCTTGTGCTTTCTCTTTTTTTATTTGAATCTCCGCAAGGTTGGCCTAAGTGGGCTTATCAATCTGATCTCCGAGGTCGGACCACCTCCCCGCCATGGAAGACAACGCCGAGCTCGAATCGTTCCGCCGACAGTGGCGCGAGGAGGTCTCGCGTCGATCGAAGCCCAAGGCCCCTCCTGCTGTGATTCCGGCCCCAACTGCCCCGCCTCCGACTCGTCTTCCGCCAACACGCCATGAGGCCTCTCACCGCAATGAGGTCGAGGAAGAGGGTCCTCCGCTGGCTTCCTTTGACCCAGAGGAGCTGGCCCAGCAGGTTGGAGAGCTGAAGGTGGAATCGCCAGAAGAAGATGATGATGACTTCTCTCGCCGTCGGGTCACGGAGCCGAAGTCTGCATTGGAGCACTTTGAACGAGCGGTCGAGAAGGAGGCCGAGGGCAATTTAGGAGACAGTCTATCACACTATCGGAAGGCATACAGAGTGAGTTCCGATGGACACAGCTGGGCATGATCTCCAAAAAGCTTACACTTTATAGTTGGATTCTACTGTCGATAAAACATATCGGAATAAACACTATGCACATGTCTGGAAAAAGCCGAATCAACCGGTGTCCACTACCACCCATACGGCAGCCCATCAACCCACGGAGACAGAGGCAGAGACCCTGCCAACACGTCAGTTGATTGCCTCTTTTGCACACCTACCAATCCCGCAGAGAGAACCTCTCGTTGAAGGCACACCTCCACCGCCCTGTCCGATCTCCACCGTCCCATCAGAGGTGATAGTAGAGATTCTCCGGTATGTGGCTTTGAATGATCCGTCAGTATTTGGACGGATGGCGCTGGTCTGCAAGCGATTGGCGTATCATTTCGCACACGAGCAGCACATTTGGAAACGCATCTGCCAAGGAAGAAAGTTTGGATTCCAGGGAATGCATTACGACTTTGCATGCGATCTACAAGGAAATCCCATTTACACGCTCAGTGATAGATATACTCCTTTCCCCAAGGACCAACCGATGGAAATTCCTGAGCCACTATCTTCATGGAGCCAAGTTTTTCAGGCTCTTCCTCGGATTCGGTATACTGGTGTTTATATCAGTACAGTGAACTACACCCGGCCCGGTGCTGCCGATGCCTACCAAAACACTTCATGGAACAGCCCTATTCATATCGTTACTTACTACCGCTACTTACGATTCTATCCTGACGGTTCAGTGGTGTCCCTGCTTACCTCAACGGAGCCCGTCGACGTGGTCCCATACTTCAGCAAGGAGAATGTAATTGCAGCACGCGCCCCGGCACAGAAAAAGCATCAACGCCGCCTATCAGACCATGGCCAATCGCTATCAGGAGCAACTGACTCAGTTCCCCCGGCTGCATTGAACACCTTAAAGAACGCCCTTCCAGGACGTTGGCACTTGGCCTTCCCCATCCCTGAATCAGACACGCCCACCGAAGCCTGGAAGCCACACTCATCAACAGATCAAAAGCCACTCTTAGGCGATGAACGCGATATCATTGTCGAGACTGAAGGCGTAGAATCCAAGTACATGTACACGATGCATCTCTCTTTGCGATCCTCGACAGTTCCCAAGGCTGCCTTGGCTGGACCAGCCCCACCCAATCCATCGAAGAATACTAAATTGTCCTGGAAGGGATTCTGGAGCTACAATAGATTGACGGATGACTGGGGCGAGTTCACTCTGCGCAATGACCGCGCTTATGTCTTCCGTCGGGTTCGTGGATGGGGTTTGGACTGAAATTATATGATTGATGACTCGATATGATTTGCATAACATATATAGGAGAAGATTAGATAGGCATCAATATATTATAAGGTTACAAGTGAAAAATAATTTTTTTCTAGGGCTCGAAAGTCAATACGTATGAAGTGAGAGCGAACCGACTTCTGACAAACAGTGGACCTGATTCGTCTCTTCAAGTAACCATCCTCCCTATACAAAGTTGCAAAAGTGGCTTTTTTTCGCCAACTATGTAGTATGAGGCACATAAGTGGTGACAGGCAGCTCCTATTGAACCTCGCATAATAAGAAGAACTCGATTTATTAGGAAAGGGAAAGTCCAAAAGAAAAGATTCTATTCACACAACAAGCAATTATATACAGTACAATCAGAACATACGCAACACGAATATTAAAGTGTCTAAGAACGCCAATTCAAAACTGCCTCGTCATCATCATCGACAACAACCACCATCCACACACCCACCTGCCCATTACTGGCAATGAGTGGCGTACAATGAACCCAACGATTCCGACCTTCTGGATTCGACCTTGTCACCCATTTGATTCTGGCGGTCACACTTCGACCAACCATCATGGCCTGGAGTAGATCATCTTTCACAGCCGAGGAACTACCAATACGCGATAGGAATGGTGATTGTAGCATTCCCGGGATTTGTAGGGAGGGCGATGTGAAAAGGATGCGGAGGGAAGGGTATGGGCGGACAAGGAGGTACTATCCATAGCGATGTATTAGTATTTTCTCGTAAATTATGCAGTCTCGCAACAATTGGGGCTCGTTGAATCTCACATTCTCATAAACACCTGCCAGAGACATCCGGAAGAAAGGCGATCTCATGTCGTGCAAGCGTATAGCTTCAGTCTCACTGTCGATAGATCCACCTCGTTGCAACCATGAGCGGGGATGTTTGGGTGATATGAGACCTTTCTGGGGTTGGAAGAGATGTCCACCGTGCTCTTGCACAGCAGACAGTTCCCGCGGACTAAATAGCTCGCTCAATTCCTGGAACTCGTCTTTCTCGTCTTTCGGTGGAACCTCTGGGACATTATCGTCGTCTTCTGCTGGATCGCGGTATTTGGCTTTGAGCTCTATTAAAGACTCCATTGAGGCTCCTTCCATTGCCAGTCCTGATACATCAATCTGGGCGCCGATGAAGTATTTCACGCGGCCATGGCTGTCGCATAGTGGTGCGCATTGGAGGAGGTTCATGAAGGGGGAGCCATCGCGGCGGCTAAATATGTTAGTGACTTGATCAGTGACTGAGTTCGAGGCACATACTAGTTCAAAAACATTTCAGAGTGATGTCGACCCGCCTGGATAGCTTCACGAAGACGGCGAACACTGTTCTTATTCGTCTTCGGTCCTTGTAAAAAGCGACAATTCCGGCCTAGGACATAGTCCATGCCGTACTGTGTTGTATTATGGAACTCTGTTGTTGTCAGCGCGATCCCTTAACCCTAATTTAGGAGATGCGCATACCCTCAGATGCGAAAATAATAGGATTATCTGGCCGCGAAGGATCTGTCAAACAGAAAACTTCCGCCAGCGCATTGGAAGTACTACGGAACTTCATGGGTAAAGTTCCGCGGACACGCTCTTCCACGATTTTACTCGTGATTGTGATTCCTCTGGATGTTATGAACGCAGGCAGCTCCTCGGCCGTCAGCGCAAGTAGCCCATCATGAACGCGCCGCTCCAGAACCTGGTTCGCCGTAACCCCAACTGTTTCTTCATCGGTATGCACTTCCGGGGGTGGTACATCGACCGAGAGACGGACGAGCGCATTGGCGTATTGAATCGCCTTGAGCGCCTTCGCCGCATTGAGGTAGTATGTCAGCGTTGATATGGAGCGCGGGCGTTCTTCAATCAGAAACTCGCGGAATTGCGCAAGATAGCGCGAGTTGTTCAGAATTGTAAGCATATGCTCTGCAGAAAACATCACGTCTGCGAGTCGCTCGAGCTTGTGGAGAGGCGCATCACCACCCTCGTAAGGTGCGATGAGATCGTAGGAGCCGTTCTCTTCGCTAACGGGATTGAATTCTTCGGCACCATCGTAAGGATTCATTTGTTGAAGGAGAGGAAGATCGTTCGTTGTCGCATGCCGGCGCATATTCTTGACGGACGCTTTTGGCGTCGGATATACCTCTTCCTCATGAATCGAGTCTAGATTCTTCAACCGACTTGGCGGCTGGGGAAAATCGTCCAGTAATTGGTCATTTCTATTCTGTTAGCTCCTGCGCGCATGTCTACACGCCAGTGCATGACTTACCGTGAACTTCTTCCTGACTCAGTAACCCATTCGTGGTATTCATCGGGCAGGGTCTCTGTGAATGAGCGCAACGACTCGGCGTCAGGGCTGGTAAGCCCATCGTGAAGATCCACAGGCGCCATCATTTGAATCAACGAAATCAAAAATCATGTCGCACACACCGGAAATGTGCAAAGCTTTTAAATATATGAGATTTCCGGGGTTGATGCATCGATTGATCTCCCCAGGGCGTTGACCCCCATACGAGGGGAGCCCGAGAGACACAATGGCTAGGAAAGCCAGATAAAAAAGACAAAAGACACAATGCCAATGTGGCAGGTCACAACATCTCATACAGTCTACATACAACTGCAGATCGATCGATCGATGGTTCGCGGCTCAACCTTCAGATCGGAGGCGATCCTTTACCAGTGATGCAATCGTGCAGCAAATCCTGACAAGGTTCGCTTGACGTTCGAGGATCGACAGCCTACTGAATGTTTGAGTTCCTTTGCCGGAATATGATACATCGAATTGCTCCATTGTGCGCAATTAGGCTACTGTATGGTTCGCGGTGCTGCTCTCCAGGAGCCCTGAGCGCGGAAGTGCCAACAAGATCCGCATTTGACATTTTTGGCTTGCGATCTGTCAACTTCGACTCAAATTTGCGGTCTTACAGTACAGAAGTTATCGGATCGTGTATCCACCATCGAATGCAAGGCACTGGCCGGTGATCCAACCAGAATCTTCACTGGCGAGGAACAGGGCCACACGGGCAATGTCTTTTGGTTCGCCCATTCATTCCCCTGAGTGGAAGAAGCGCATCCACCATTCCCAGGTATTCAGGGGAGACGAGTCGAGCCGCAGCGCTAAACATGGGTGTCTTGGTAACTATCAGTTGTCAGCATGTCCCAGGTTCGGTCCCTCGTGCACAACTCCTTACATCCAAGCGCGATCGCATCGCAGTGAATGCGATGTTTTGCATAATCAAGCGTGACGTTTCGTGTCAGTCCCAGCACAACAGCCTTGAATGCACAATATGCAGCTATTCGGGGCCAGCACGGGGGTATTTGGAATAGGAGTAGGCCACCAACGGCAGTTTTCAAGACCGACCAGGCCCATGACATATGAGATACTGACAATCAAGCTCAGGTCTCCAGTGGGGTGGGGAGCCTGCTTCCATCATTTGAGCTGTCGCATATTTCATACCCAGGAAAACACCTTTGGTGTTGATAGCAAAGGTCTGGTCAAACAGATCTTCGGAAATTTCATGGATCGTAACTGGTTGCATGGCCTCCACATTGATGCCGGCGTTATTCACCATGCTTTTTTAGACTATGAGCCACATCTGCTAGCTGGAAGTAATCTCCGCCACTCACATGTCTAGTTTCCCGTATTGCTTGACAGCTTCGGCGACCAGGGTCTCGACCTCCGCCGCCTTAGGCACATCGCATCAAAAGAATACGGCTTTTCCGTCACGCTCCTTAATCGGTGCATGTGTGGATATCTCAGGCGGCTGACCCGAACGTTCGGAATCAATATCAGGGCGCAGGTCGGCACAGATGAGCATGGCTCCGTGGTGTGCATAGAGGATAGCAATAGCGCGTCCAACCCCTGAAGCCACGCCAGTCACAACAGTGACTTTGTTAGCGAGCCGTTAGACAGGTAAACTGGCTGCATACTGTATACCATGGTGGAATATAGACTAGGCTTGTTGAGCCAGTGTAAAAGAGAACCTGGGGAAGTAGCAATGAAAAGAAGGTGAGTGCTAAATCAATTACGAAATTAGAAACCAAGCAGCTCATCAAAGCTCATGTCTAGGGTTCTCTCATGTCAAGAGGATCAACATCCCTCTCTCCCCCTATCTTTGTGTCGCAACACACTCCAGCAGCATGTTTTTGGGTCTAGTTGAAGATCGCGATGATCATTCATACAGTACATAAGTTATATTATATTATCTCTTGGCCACGCACCTAATCTTTTGTCTTGACTTGAACATATCAATCGAGTCCACATTTCTCCGCGGGTACAACGCTGTGATAGGTCTTACAATGTTGGTCCCGGAAAATAAGAAATAACCCTACTTGCCAATGATTCCTCTAGTCAGCTGAACCCAACGTGCGTCTACCCGTAGTTTGGCTTGGCTGTGTTGTATGGTTATTTTGTTTGGCTTGCAGCTGATATCTTCGCTTGTCCTTTTCCTAATATATCTGTATTAGGAAGTCGGTTATTATCTCTGACCCAAAGTAATTTGGCGATCATAATATGCACATATGACTGATGTGGTTTTTTCTAGGATTGTCTTTGTGTAACACGCATCATTAGGGGCCCAGGATCTTGATTCATACTGTGGTCTCATAGCAATGAGTAGCTGTCTTTTCTGGATCTGGCCGATCTAGAAAAGAAAAAAAATAACCCGTAACTTAGTTGAATGATTAAGGGAGGAACTTTGAAATAGAAGATAATTTAACGACCCATCCCCCAATTAGTGGCAATGAGAATAATATTGATAGAATGTTAACGTTAGGTACGCCTAGGTGTGTTGACACAGATAAGGCCTTATCGGCTTATCGATAAGGCAAAATTTTCGGAGAAGATGAGCGTCGCCCTTGACATTCCTTCGTGCCACACTTCAAAATGCCCGAGAAAGTCCGCACTGTCTTTGTTGACTCTGACGACGAAAAGGTCGTGTCTAAAAAGACTACAGCGCCACCTACCGAAGAGCCGGCGCGGAAGAAGAGGAGAGATAACAAGCGAAAGCGCGATGAGCCCGAGACCAATGGCGCTGTTCAAGAGAAACCAACTGAAGCCCCTGCGCCCGTGCAGGTAGAAAAGGCCGACAATACACCTGAAAAACCAGAAGAAAAACCCCAAACCAATGGCGCATCATCGAAATCAAAGCCGAAACACAAGACCAAATCCCTTACCGACACAAAAACCAACTTCATATCTCTACGAGAGAAGGCAAAGGCCCTTCTTGAGACCCGTCGCAATCTACCTATCTTCGCAAATGCCGATGAGATCCGCACCTACCTCCGCGAACAAGATGTGATGCTGCTGGTTGGTGAAACCGGTAGCGGAAAGAGTACCCAAATCCCACAGTTCCTGGTGGACGAGTTCTGGTGTCGGCCTGTGCCAACGCAAATCACACGCAATGGGAAGACAGATAAGAAGCAGATTGGAGGGTGTATTGCGATCACACAGCCTCGTCGTGTCGCTGCAATCTCACTGGCCCGGCGTGTAGCTGAGGAAATGGGCACACCACTTGGAAATCATTCGCCTGCTAGTAAGGTCGGGTACTCCGTGCGATTCGATACTTCGACATCGCCTAGTACTCGGGTGAAATTCTTGACAGAGGGAATGCTGCTCCAGGAAATGCTTCATGATCCATTTTTGACTAAATACAGCGCTATCGTTGTCGATGAGGTCCACGAACGAGGTATCAACGTGGATTTAGTGCTTGGATTCTTGCGCAATCTTGTGGCTAGCAAATTCGAAGGTCGTGGTGGTGTTCCGCTCAAGGTGGTAGTCATGAGTGCTACGGCGGACATGGAGAGTCTGACTGGATTTTTCCAAGAAGCATATAAGCTTCCTGAGCCAGCCCCGAAGTCCATCGAGAATGGAACAGAAGCCGATAAAATGGACACCTCTGATTCGAAAGAGATTGCCGCATGCCATATCAAGGGTCGGCAATTCCCTGTCAAGACGATCTATTCGCCCCAGCCAGTGCATGACTTTGTGGATGCAGCTCTAAAGGTCATTTTCCAGATTCATTGCAAGGAGCCGATGCCTGGTGATATCTTGGTCTTCCTGACCGGTCAGGAGACAGTGGAGGCCTTGGAACATTTGGTGAACGAGTATGCCTTGGGTATGGACCCGACGCTTCCCAAGATTCAAGTTCTACCTCTATTCGCCGCATTGCCACAGGCTGCTCAGCAGCGGGTGTTCATGCCAGCTCCACCACGCACACGAAAGGTCGTATTGTCCACCAATATTGCTGAGACTTCAGTCACTGTGTCAGGTGTGCGCTACGTCGTTGACTGTGGCAAGGCCAAGGTCAAGCAGTTCCGTACTCGACTTGGTTTGGACTCGCTCCTTGTCAAGCCCATCTCCAAATCAGCCGCCATCCAGCGAAAGGGCCGTGCCGGTCGTGAAGCTCCTGGACAATGCTTCCGGCTATACACTGAAAAAGACTATCTCGCCTTGGACGAGACCAATACCCCCGAAATTCTTCGATGCGATCTGAGCCAAGCGCTTCTGAACATGAAGGCGCGTGGTGTTGACGACATCGTTAAATTCCCATTCCTCACCCGGCCACCCCGCGAAGCCCTTGAGAAGGCTCTTCTCCAGCTTCTCAATATCGAGGCTCTGGAGGAGACAGGCACGATCAGTAACGTTGGTCAACAAATTGCCAAGTTGCCCTTGACACCAACCCTGGGTCGTGTCCTATTAGCAGCTGCCGAGAACGGACCAGAATGCTTGATTGATGTCATTGACATCATTTCCTGTCTGAGTGTCGAGAACATCTTCCTTAACACAACGTCCGAAGAAAAGAAAGAAGCTGCAGAGGCAGCACGTCGCGATCTCTACCGCCGAGAAGGTGACCATTTAACAATGCTGGCGACCGTGCGTGTCTACGCCGCTGAGCACTCTGACCGTAAGGCCTGGGCAGAGCGACATCTAGTCTCACACCGAGCAATGCAATCCGTTATGGTAAGAAGAACCCGCTACAATCCAAATCACACGGTCTAACAGGAAACAGGACGTCCGCAAACAACTCCGAATGCAGTGTCGGCAAGCAAAGCTCCTCTCTGGCGAACTTTCCAACTCTGTCTCTTCACACGATCCTTCTCCTATTCTCATCCTCCAAAGTTTCCTTGCAGGTTTTGCAACTAATACCGCCCGTCTCGTCCCCGACGGTAGCTACCGCACTATTGTCGGAAACCAGACGGTTGCTATTCACCCATCCAGTGTACTGTATGGAAAGAAGGTCGAGGCCATCCTGTACAATGAGTTCGTGTTCACCAACCGCAGTTATGCTCGTGGTGTCAGTGCTGTGCAGATGGACTGGGTCGGTGAAGCTCTGGTTGGGAAGGAGTGATTTTACTGTTTGATAGATGATGGATATATCATAGATTCATATATACCCCAATGCGATGATTTTTTCTCGGCATTATAGAATCCTTGTACGTATCAGGGCGCTTTTCGCCTGGGCACGGTTCCAAGGTGATCTCGTGAGGTCAGCTGATCACTACGTGATATCAACACTCGCCTCATCGAAGATCCCGAAGATTTATCGGGTGCCTTGAACTCACCTTTGATTCTGCTTCTGATCTCTATTGCAATGTTCCTGACGGGCCGACATTGTTCGAGGTTTTGCACAGCACTTGCCGATAAATCTACCAATAAAAACAAGATATGTGAACCGTACTCTAATTGTACATTAGCCTACGGGCACCAACATATCCAGGTGTGACTTCTCATCGGCGCCAATTTGACGGGTAAGCCGGCGAGCCAGGCCGACTAAAGGAATCCTACAGTACTATCTCTACACCGTATCAAGAGGGGCGTGCATGCTTTTTTTTCGTTAGCTCAAGCGACGTGGTCATGGTTGGTCTTGGCGTCAGACAGTCAACATGCGACACGGACAGGCGATGGGGTGATAGAGATGCGATATGGGACACCTCCCAGTATTCTCTACAGTGGACAGTGTGTTTCGTACCGTCGATATTAAGCAGATTGCCCATAAACAAGTAAATGTGACAGACGCTAACTCTATACGTCACATCGTCGATCCCGGTGACCCTAGTCTGATCAGCTGATACAGTGCCTTGATGCCATTCGATCATAATAAAAGACAACTCGCATGTAGCAAGAATCGGGTAATATAAGTGAATCAGAACAATCCGAAAGAAACAAGAGCGGGTAAACACGTCCGAGTGGTCTCATCGCCGGAACTTGCATCATCGGGCGATCACCGCCTTATCAGTTTATCTACGCATCACCACTCCTTGCTGGAACTCTTTGTTTCACTTTCCCCCCTGTGTTTACTCATGATTATATGGACTTATTGACTTGATCTTCTACCCCTCCCCTCCCATATCGCACAGTCTTGCTAGCCTCCTGGGCTGACGGTGAATCTCTGCGGAGAAGACCCACCGGATACGCTTATCACGCTATGGCTTTCCAGGTCCCAACACACGTCCCTCGACGTAGGACCTCATACTCTGCTCCCCAGCCTCCTCCGACTCTTGACATACCCCCTACCTCCCCAGACCAACGCGATGACGACACTGCCCAATGGGTGCTGTTCTCCCCAACCGCGCGTACACACACGACCTCGACCGATCGCACCCGCACCGCTGGTCCATCCAGAATAAGTGATTTTGGTTCATTTGCCGCAACTCCTTCAGCCAACGGTGTCGATGATGATGACGCGCTCGATGATCAACTAGACGAAGATGGCACCGAATTAGACAGCCTCGACGACGGACTGCACGCCTTCCGAGTTCCCTCTCTGGGACCAGCTTCCCCCACAAGGATGGAACAAGGCCCACCAGCGATGCTTCCAGCCCATGATGGACTTGGCAGCTTCCAAGCCTCGAGTCAGATGGTCCAAGATCAGCTCTGGCAACATGAACAATACAACCCACAGCGACAGTCTTACGCCCACCTTCAACGCCCACAGCATTCGAGTGTACAGAGGCATTTGGATACTGTTGAAGAGGGCGAGGCCGATGTTGAGCGACAAAGATGGCAAAGAATAGAAGAATGGCGTATGGATCAGAGCAAGGCTCTGCTCCAAGAGATTGAACGGGAGACCCGTCAGCGACGGAGTAGTCGTGTCAGCCGATCGAGTGTTCAGCGGTCTGTGGAGCATACACCGCAAGCGAGTATCTTCGACGAGTCCTCTCTATCAAAGGAACTATCGCTACCAGAGGCTGCCTCCGAAGACGACGAGTCTTTCTGGCGCCGTATAACACGAAAGGTAATTAGGGACCTGATCGGAATTGATGACTCCTTGCTGTCCGTGATCTTCGGGGAGTCGTTGCCGCTGGACGCGCAACCTCACGGTCAGGAAGAGCCACTCGATATGGAAACTGTGCTATCCCGCGAGCCGGAGCCAGAAAACAGCGATACGCCGATGTGGCAGAGTAATGTGCTCCAGAGGATTGCCCATGAGCTGGGTGTTCTTGTACATCAACTTTGTGAACACCCAGGTGCGTTTACTACATACTATCAGATGACAAAAGACATCTCCGCTGAATATGCGGGCATGTCCATCAACCGTCTGTCAGAGAGTGGTGTATCTCAGAAACCAGCCGAGTCTACTTTACAAAGCACTGGTGAGACTACTGGTGATTCTATGCCTTCACCTCATTTTATGCCCACACTTCGCGACCCCAACCGTGAACATGAAGCGCAATGGGGAATCGAAGACGACGACCCAATGGGATCCCACTCGATGCCTGATGTAGCACGAGCCCAAGAGGAACAGGAATATTGGGAACGTGGACTCGACGTGATGATGGTCTTCCGCTACCTGCGAAATCGATTTGGCCGCCATGGCTACATGCCAAATGAAGCCCAACCCCCTTCTCCATCCCGCCGACCCCAAGATGCATCCCGTCGAGCGGCCATCATTCGACACCACCATCCACTAGTTGCGCGTGCTCACACTCGCTCCCAGACCCAGACCCGCCGCACCTCACAGTACTCCGGTGTAACAGGCCCAACTGGTGTTTCCTCGCCCTTGTTACGTCCTCATCTCCGTCGCCCAACCTCCAGCTGCGCCAGCCAAAGCGCTAAACTCTCCGCTATCTCGAGCCGGCGGTCCATGACTGGTTCCAGCCGGAATTATTGGGATATCGGTGGGAGTGAAAGCAATAGTGCGATTGGTGTCGGTGTCGGGGCAGGTCTCGGCACCTGGGGCGAAGTGTGAAGGCTTTGTGTGATAAATGCATCGATCGGCGTCAGGAGATGACATTATGATACTTTCTTCGGGTGGACCTTTGATTGAGAACCTGTGTCGGCGTCTTCTTCCACGATTCTTTGAATGAGCTATGTTTTCTTTTACGACCTTTTCTTTATACCTATCTTTCCCATTGCGGTGTTCCGGGATCTTTTTATTTTCATTTTCGGCTTCACCATCTGTCAATATCCTGAATGTCTATTTATGCATCCAATCTTGTCAATTCAACTTGCATCCTACTTCGATAATGTGGAAGGTATCGCTCTAAATGTACTTATACAATCACCCTCCAGGGTCAGAATTGGATCATCTTATCATCCGTTGCCTTCGTGGCGGTCTGCATGTCTGACCCGATTCCTGCAACTGGCCACGTTATGCATGTTACATATCTCATGGTGACACACTCAGCACATAAAAGAAAACAAGTAAAATTTGCATCCTGCAAACACGTCTCATCCAACCCCAGATTCAAGCTACCCAACCAAATGCATTTCATATATGCATAATGAAATCACATCTGAACATCCGCCCCCCAGGGCAAATCCCCAGCAAAAGAAGTGATACCCTTACTCTCAGGCCTCTCTACATCGAAATCCCATCTATCAGGCACGTTCAGTCCGCCCCCAAGATGATGCCTGACAAAAAGCAAAGAAACGCCATCCCGATACAACCAAGCATCCTCTGTTCTCCGCTGCCATTTTTCAACAGTAGCTCTCATTTCCTCAAGAACAGACTGATAATCAGCCTCGCTCGCAAGGTTCCGCACTTCATCCGGGTCGGCCCGGATATCATATAGTTCCTCAGCAGGCCGGAAGAAATAATCTTTGAATGGCCTCGACCCGATCATCTTCGGGCTATTCTCTGCATTCCGGATTTCCTCCCATGTCAGTGAACCATAGATATCTGCTGCAAAGGGGAAATCCAGACGCCAGGCGATGTTGCGGTGATATTTGTACCGTCTGTTTCGCATCATGCGTGTTGGCCAGTAATTTGTTATTTCATGGAAAGTATGTGACCCGAAGATCTGACCCCAGGTCTCGAGCTCGGTTGTTTCGCTCAGAACGGGCAGGATTGACCGACCTGTTCGAGCTGGGTGGGAGGGACTAGAGTGTTTCGCCCAGTCGAGGAGTGTCGGCAGGACATCGACGTAGGAGACCATATTCGGATTCACGGTGCCAGCAGTTGACCCGGGACATTTCACGATGAACGGCAAACTCACACCAGCGTCGTAGAGCGTCGTTTTGGAATTGATAAATGGTGGCCCGTTGTCACTCATGAACAGAATGAGGGTATCCTCTGCCAATCCAGACTTCTTCAATCCATCAAGGACCATTCCAACACCCTGATCCAGTCTCGAGATAGACTGGTAGTATTTTGCAAACTCATAGCGCACACCAGGCAAATCATTTACAAAAGAGGGAATCTCGACTTCTTCAGGTCTATACTCCACTTTCTGCACGCGCGGATCATAAACCTGGTCATTGCCAAACCCAGACCTCGTCAGATCCCGGTGGGGATCAATGAAGCCGATGGTCAAGAAGAATGGCTGTTCATCTTCTGCACTCTTCTTGAAGAATGCCGAAGCCTGATCTGCGACTTGGGCCACATCACGACTGTCGCTTTCAGCGCGCATATCCCACGGATAAACGTTTGAAGGACCGACGTGCACCTTTCCAATTAGACCGGTTGCATAGCCTTGCGCTGAGAATAGTGCTGGGGCTGTTTCGACGTGGTCAAAAGTCGTGAAATGGTGTCGTCCATTGTGGAGTCCGTACTGGCCGTTCTGGTGCGTGTGTAGGCCTGTGTAGATTACTGAGCGGCTGGCACTGCAGGAGGCTGTTGAGGTGAAGGCTTGGGTGAATTTTGTGCCTTCAGATGCTAGCTGGTCTAGGTTTGGGGTTTGGATTGCGGTGTTGCCGTAGCATCCTAGTTGTTTGCCTAGATCATCGGCTATCATGAGGAGGATGTTGCGTTTGGTCATCTTGATTTGGGAGAGAATAAGCTTTGTTTTCTGCTGACTTTGAAGAGTCTCTACGGTAGATCATTTATACTTTAGTTTGGGATCGAGATGTTTCTTAACTAGTTTGGCTCTTGTCGGGTGTCGGCTTTGGTGTTTCTGAGTTGCGGCGGATGTCGCTTGGATATCGCATGGGATTTGCTTGGCTGCGAACCTCTACGCAAATCTAATCCTTGAAATCACGCGATAACTAGGCATATGATATAGTCATTCATAGCAGCCACCCCGATGAAACCCCATTTTGCCAACTAAAGATCCGCAAACAAGGTCTGAAAGATATGTCGTACCTAGCAAGTCCACTATCTAGATGTTGTTCAATTGCAGTGAATCAAAGGCAGAATAGATGTGCGAAAAGCACTGGGTCATCTCGACATTTCGCAGTTATTTTCACATGTCTCTTTCGGGTAATCATGATCTCTTCTTATTATGACAGTATAGCTGTGGTCTCTTAAACCTATCATAGAGCAAATGTGTATATCAATGTTCGAAATTATGCTAAAGAAATCATTATTTATGCTTTCGCCACGACATGAGCCGTGTTCGTCTTCCCACCACTCAGATCCTCCTTGGCCTGCTCAATATCAGCAGCAAAACGACTCGGTTCGGACCTTTTCTTAAACGCCCAAATACTCTGATGATTAAACAAGTCGTCTATCTCTTCCAGAGATTTTCCACTTGTCTCGGGAAACAAAAGAAAAACGTGTATAGCGGCAACAAGACAGAATGTTCCAAATATGCAGTAAACCTAGGTAGGGTTAGCAATGCATTAGTTACGCGGTTCATGGTGCATGACACTTGACTAACCTTCCACTGGATATTCTTGAACCCTGGCGGTGTAAAGAACGTTAAAGCAAAATTACAGGCCCAGTTGAAGAATGTTGCTAAGGAGACTGATTTGCTGCGGATATAGAGGGGAATGATCTCGGGTGGGTATGCCCTGGGAGAATGAAAAGTCAGCGTTGAAAAACTGGCATCTGGACAATTGAAGCATACCATCCTAAAGGTCTGCGCAATAGATCACGTTAGTTGTCATATTTTCAAGATTGTTCAAGACAAAAGACTTACCCCCAGGTGGGTGCATAGGTAGCAATGAACAAGTATGAACAGGCGATAATGGCCTTTGATGCTTTGCCATTGGTAACCTTCCAGGTGACTGTAGGGGATCCTTTGAGTCCTCCTGGAACATGGTACCCATACGAAGCCATAAGGCCTGCTTGAGTGAACTGCAGAATGGCCATTATACAGGCACCAACAATAAAAAGACGACGACGGGGAAGCTTGTCTATGAAGATCAATGCTGGAAGTGTCATGACAACATTGATGATATATTGAATTGATGCAGACAACAAGGCGTTGTTACCTTCGAGGCCGGCCATCTATAATTTGTCAAATTCGACTCAATGTTAGACAGTGCTAGCAAGATCGAGATGTACCTGGAAGATGTAAACGATATAGTACATCATGGCGTTTGTCCCGCTCAACTGAGACCAGACATGTGTAAAAATGCCGCAGTGCACGCGGATTATGTTTCGGGAATTGAATAGCTCCATCCAAGAAGAACTCTGATACTGACGCTCGAGTCTAACTTTAGATTAGTATTTAGTTGAGGCGCAGTAGGAATTTCTTCTTACTCAATCTTCTCACGAATTTCAGTCGTTTGAGCCAAGACAACTGGATCCAGAGTATCCCCCTTGGCATGTAATCTTGCGAGGACATCCACTGCCTCTTCCCATCTATCTTGCGTGGCAAGCCAGCGAGGTGATCGAGGCATCATTGGGAGACACAACATGAGGACTATTGCTGGAATCATTTGAACACCCCAGGGAATGCGGAATACTGCATTATTGGTCAAGTGGGATGTTCCAAAGGAGATGAAGTACATGATGAGAATCTGGAGTAGTGTCAGGCTAGCACAATTGGAAGACATGAACAACACATACACCCCATGTTATCATCCACTGTTGTAAGGAGAGAAGCCGGCCTCGCTGGTGCGGAAGACTGATCTCAGCAATCAAAATGGGACTATGCGATGTGTCAATTGAAGTGATCATATAAAACCCATTTAATGAGGCCTACCCTTGCGACGTGAGCATTCCAACACTGAATCCGTTGATAATGCGGGAAACGATGAGCATAGGGACATTTTGAACCGCGCACATCAGGGTTGAACCAATCAACCAAATCACGCATGCAATGAACAGCGAGTCACGACGACCGTATCGATCACTCGTCCAAGACGAAAAAAGCGATCCAAGAAGCGAGCCACCGGCCATGCTTGCGGTGATTCCACCCTGAGCAACAGCATTGGGCTTATGGAAATACTCTTTGTACTGATTAGTGCCGATAATGGCAGACATGCTTGACACATCAAAGCCTTGAATGAGACCGCCAATGGTTGTCAGCCCACTGACCAGATAGAGATTGTTCAGCTGAAGTGATTTGCCCATTTCAGCGACCTTGACAAGCAGGCTGGCAAGAAGAAAGCCAGACAAAGCAGTTTGCCTCGTTACTTGCCTGGGACCCCGGATTTTTATGTAGCTCCACCAGCTGCAATTCGATATTCCTCGTCCAATGAAATTGCGTCCGGAGCCGATATCCGGCGTTAACGAGGCCCGGTCAGGGTCCATTTCAAACGTCAGTTAGGACTGAGATGATGAGATCGCGAGGCATAAGCTAGGCCATGGGCTACATATGATCAAATAGAAGTCATTGGTTCAATACTGTTAAGCATTATGGTTCGGTTGCATGGTGATGTTATAAGTATAGTTCCAACATGCCCGAAAAGATGGCAACCACAAACTAAGTCTCATGGCCTATACTACAGTAGACAAGAGCAATAAGCCCCGATTTTACCCCAGATTCATATCAAACCCCAGCTCATCAATTGTCAGTTAAGCTTATTCTCATCTGGAGTCGTATTGCCGGGGGCCTCCGCTCTGAGCGAGATCCGCGCGAGATCCGATCCTCGCTTTCTTTTCTTTCTCCTGTATTCTGCAGTCTAGAGTCTAGGTGCATATACGGAAGTCGGCTCACCATGTTATCTTGGAGTGGAGATAGAGCATCTCCGGAGGATCCGACATCTCGCCCTGCGTCCGGCACTCGCAGGTCTCGATCAGGTTAGCTCCACCTGTCATTCTATGCCAAGAGATGTATGCAAGGGGACTGACAACATAGGCTGTTTCTTATGTCGAGCGCGCAAAGTGAAATGCGACGAGCGCTGGCCATCATGTCTGAATTGTGAACGTCTTAAACTGGAATGTCCTGGTCACCCTGGCCAGAATTCAGGATTGGCTGCCAGAGCTCTTAGGAATGCAAGACGGGATGAGACGCTGACACAGGCCGGTACAGCTCGTCATCGAGTGTCAAAGTCATGTCAGGCTTGTCGCTTGGCTAAAGCTCGGTGTTCAGGCGGCGATGTCTGCGTCCGATGCTCCCGCAGGGATCTGGAATGCTCATATAGTCCGGGTCGTTCGCAAGAGCTAAGAAGCGATTCCACCACCCAGGTTTATGCCCCTGCGCATAACAAACCTATTGGTTCTAATTTAGCGCCCGAATTTCTGCCGAAAAATCAATTTCCATCTCAGAAGACTCCAAAATGCGCAACTGGTCCTATATCGTGGTATGAATTCATCTTCGTGGCGTGATTCATCCCCAAACTAATCTGTGCAGGCTTCACACTGCCCAATTACCAGATAAAGATAGAATTTTGATATTGGTTGAGGAATATTTCGCACATGTTCATCCATTACGATGTTATGGTTTCGTGCATAAACCCTCATTCATGCGACGCTTAGATGAAGATTTTGAGGCTTGCTGCAATGATGAATCACTTCTTCACATTGTGTGTGCATTGGGAGCAAAGTCAGTTACAGTATTCTCATCCTGATGAATCAAATGGTTAACATCCAACAGATTTCTGGCGCTCGATAACCAAGATCAGTTTTCGCCCGAGTCAATACTGACAGCTGGCAACCAGTGGGCCAAAGTAGCCAAGGCTCGACTGTTTGTCGACTTGGACGATCTTTCCTTAGAGAAACTGATGGTCTGATAACTTCCTATCCCCCAACGAAGATTCGCACTAATGTGAAACAAGACTGCAATTCTTCTCTATGATCACGATCTTCGGATCGGAAGCTATGCCTCTGCGTTTATGCTTTCCGGGATGACTGCAAGGATGTCACAAGCATTGCAATTGAACCTTGAGAGCTCCTCCGACATACTTTGCAATGAGTCTGACTCTTCTTGCGCAGTGACTAATGAGTCCAAGCGACGTTTAATGTGGAGCTGCTATGTTATGGATAGTTGGGTTGGTAGTGGTGTTAACCAACTCACTCTTCTTGAAGATAAAGATCTCAAGATCCAACTTCCCTGTCATAGCCATAACTTTTCCCTGGGAACCGCTTGTGTTACCGAGACTTTGGATGAAGGAAAGGTTCTCGGCTTCATCCCGAGGGAACAGACTCCTTCACGGCCGGCCCAGAACATGGGAATTGAGGCCTATTTCATTCGCCTCGTAAGCAGCCGAAAGAAGGTTCTCCGGTAAGAGATTTCCTATTTGAGCTTCCAACTGAAAATAAGCTAATTGCATTTGGACAGTTACGTAAAGCATCTGGATACTTCCAAGCCGCCGTGGGAACCTGATTCCGAATTTCTGCAACTGACAACCGAATTTGCAAACTGGCGGCGATATTTACCACAGAGTCTGAAGTGGAATCCAGAGGCCATCTATGCCCGAAAAGAGTCATCGCAGTTGGGTGCCTTGACACTACTTTGGTGTACTTATTATCAAACCTTGTGTGATCTTTACCGGATTGGCATGCCAAATCTATTTCGCATTCGACGACATCATGTTTTTCCACCAGTTCAGCAAGGTTTTCTCGAAGATTGTCGTAAAGCTTGCTTTGACAATTCTCGCGAGCTCTCAAAGATTATCGCTGAAGCATCCCGGCATGGGATGAAAGCTCTGTCTGATACTTGGCTATGCATTGTTTCCCATGACAGTACAAAGGTCATGTTATATTTCCTCAAGCTGAATACACAGTCTCCCAATATTCTGAGTGCATTTGAAGTCGAGGAAACCATGGCTCTTGTCGAGAAGAACATGAAAGCCCTGAAGCAAATGAGGTCTTTGGTTGCAACAGCAGAGCATTGTGTAAGTTGCACTACCTGTTTTCGAAAAGACTTACTAACATCTGGCGTCAAGTATCTATCAGTTGTCAAAATGATGATTGCAGCAGGTCTCCATCCTCAACTTCCACATGCTCCCATAAGTGAGCGGGAGCCAGAGGCAAATGACCAAGGGTATGTTTCTCAATACATTGTTCCGAATAATGTACTAAGATTTTTTAGGTCCTCTACTCCTGGGTCCCCAATTCAAGAATCACCTGAAGCTGTCTTGAATCCCCTTGCAATTTATCGCATGGCACGCACAGCTTTGCATGGCAAAGATTCTCGAGCATCAACTTCCAATTCTTCCTCAACCACAAACACAAACTCGCCTAGATATTTACAGTCCAGCACGCGTCACAGATCTCGGCAGACTCCCGGACAGGAGCAAACACAAAGTCTAGAAAGATCTCAGATTGATGATAGGACGGACATGTTACCACCTTTCGACCCTGGTTCCTCTCCAATAAGACCTGATGATACGCCATTCACCTTCAATACTTTCCCACAATTTCCACCCCTCGGCACTGTTGGGTCGTGGGATCCTTCTGAAATGGCTATTATTAATATGCTTGACGATCGAACTACTCCTTGGTCTGCGGAATACTTGACTGATGGTCAGTCGGGGGTAGATCCGTTTCTGTTTCCATTTTAGACAATTTTGTCACATAATACCTCAATCAATTCCACGATTTTCCGATTTACTCCGTGTGTATATCGAGTTCGATACTTGAAATTAATAAATAGCACATTTATTTGTTCTCTTCCAATGTTACACTCAGACGAGTGTCACAGAAATAAAATCTTGGAATCAGCCTTAAGTGCACGATGTTAATGAGGATCAGTTTCCGATATTGGTCGGAATGGGCCACTTCATATTTCTCGCCAGGTTTTGCTAACCGAGACACGATTTTACAGAAATGCTCTTGTCCAAGCCCGGACTAGCAAAAGCCAAAAGCTTGGAAAAAATATTTACAATGGCAAGCAAGAGGGCCTCGTGCCCTGCATTAGCTCCATCTACAACGGAGTCCGGTACAATAGCTCTGTGTATCTTGCTGGAAACGGTAATGTCGATATAATGACTTCCACAGTCGCCACAAGGATTACCATAGAGAATGAAACAGCAGTGAGCGTGACTGTCGTCGGTCCCGATCATATTGAAGTGACCAGGGAAGCGATGAAAGAGATAATCATTGCCGCTGGCGTATTCGAAACCCCCAAACTTCTACTTCTTTCTGGCGTGGGACCGAGGCGTGAGCTCGCCCGTCATGGAATCAAACCTGTTATTATTTCTGAGCATGTGGGCGAGCATCTCCTTGATCATACCGTTCTTCCGCATGTATTACGACTCAAGGATGGGATGGGGTTGGACCATATTCTTCTTCGAGAGGGACCTCCACATGATGCTGCCGTGGAACAATACAAGAAATATCAAACAGGACCCCTGGCGAGTGGACTACTTGAGATGGTAGCTTTCTCACGTATTGATGAGCAACTCGAGAAGCATGCTAATCATCGAAGAGCCAAAGAGAACAATGGTGGGAAGGATCCATTGGGAGCTGGAGGCTAGCCACATTTCGAGATCGATTTTGTGGTCTGTGAAACACCGTCGGAGTCTTGAGACGATTGCTAATAGGATTGAAATAGCCTGTTTTCTGCGATGTATTCCAGTGGCATTTTCCTGTTCGCCCTGAGGGAGACTGGTTGACTGTCATTGTCCATCTTCTTCATCCCCAATCGAAGCATGGCTATGTGAGACTGAACTCGGTAGATCCAAGAGAACAGCCAGATATCAGCCTGAATTACTTTTCCGATGAAATGGACATCCTGGTTTGGAGAGAAGGTGTTTTGTTCGTGGATGACCTATTTCTCAATGGTGATGGGATGAAGGATATTATCCTGGAAGATTATCCGTGGCCCATGCCTCGGGACTCGAATGAGGAGATGGATCGCATGGTTTTTGATCGGTCGCAGACTGGCTATCGTGAGCACGCTGTTTGCTACAATGCGAATCGTGTTTGAGGCTGATTGTTCTAGATCCTTGTGGAACTACCAGGCTTTCTCCAGATATCGAACAAGGTGTTGTGGACTCGGAGCTGAGAGTTCATGGCATTAGGAATCTTCGGATTGTTGGTGCCTCGATTATTCCAGTAATCCCACTGTAGTATCCGAAATGCAGTTTATATGATTGGAGAAAAGGTGATTGGCAACCGTATGCTCTTCTCAACCTTGATTCTAATGGTTTTAGGGCGCCGATATTATCAAGATGGCTTATCCTGATCTTTACAGATGAGCTCAGAGGTGCTCGTTTAGGGAGGGGTATTAGTTTTGGTAAATGAAATTAGCAGAGTTTAGTACTTGATGATCCTGTGAATATTGGCTTGCATATAAACAAAACATCATTTGAAGTTAAATTAGCAAGATAACGGACGATTCCAGCGTGATATCAACCAAAACGACTCTTCCAACAATTGACATAGCCTTCTTTACTCCCATATAGACGACACAGTCTTCCAGACTTTGCTCTTTGCAATCTGGTTCTCTTTCTCGGCTTGTTCGAGTCTGGTCCACATCTCTGCATCTGCAGTCACCTCAGCCACGCCTGTAATCAAGTCCACCTCGGCTGAACCGGTCATCCAAGGATCGTTTCTTCCAGCAGTAACCTTGTGACCAAAGTAGATAGCCAGAAACAGGGGTATTCCCAAATATGTGGTCAAGAAGCCACTAGCAGTGAACTGACCGGGGTAGAAAACAGTAAAGCCATTGCACAGAAGTAAACAAACAAAGGCGACGAAGCAGATACGCGCAGCCCACGGCTGGAAGCGAGAGCTGTATGGTGCGGTGACACCCTGTAGCTCTGCAGCTTTCCTGAAGCGGAAGTAAACAAGGCAGCACAAAGTCCAAGAAATATACCCTGACGTATTTGTAAGGCTAACAAACCAATTAAATGCAACACCTGCCTGGGAGCTGCAATCAAGATATGCCAAAGGCGCAAAACAGCTGCTGGCAATAACAGCGTAGACAGGCAATCCATACCGGTTACACCTGGCAAAGATCTTTGGAGCATTGCCAGCCAGTGCGAGAGAGTATAATGCACGACTCGACATGAAAAGGTAGGAGTTTCCAGCCGACCATGCGCTAGTCAGGAGTCCTGCATTGATGATGGATGGCAAAGCCGGTATACCCGCGTTGCGAATGGCGATAACCCATGGAGACGAATTCGCGTTGCTAGTGCCAGACGTTAGACCTTGAGCATCTGACCGGCAGGTCACGCCAATTGCCAAAGATCCAAGAACATAAAAAAAGACAAGACGGTAGAAGTATCGACGTGATGCACTTGCTAGATTCTTGTGAGGGTTGCGCATCTCGCCAGATGTGTAGACCATCAGCTCTGGACCAAAGTAAAAAGAAAACCCGGAAAAAACCCAGACATATAGGAATGCAGTGAAACGACCGGAAGTGCCGTCCAGGAGATATGTTTTCACTGCACCAGGCTCATTCCAATAGCGGAATCCAAGACGGTCATGGTTCGGCCCTCCACCGAGCATAATCACAAGAGACAGGATTAACAGACCAATAATCACGACAACTTTGATTCCGGCAAACCAGAATTCTGTTTCCGCAAAGACACCCACAGGAAAAAAGTTGAGACCAACAACAACGACCAGTAGTACCGTAATCCACACTGCGATATGCACGTCATTCGGCCAGTAGTTGATTAAAATGCTTGCCGCAGTCAGCTCAAAGGCGACAATGATGGCGAATGAATAAAAGTATAGCCAGCCCATAGCAAATCCAAGAGATGGTGAGACGTATCGTCCCCCGAAGTAAGACATGGATGCTCCAGATACAGGCAAGTATGTGCTCATTTCAATCATAGCCGTAGTCACACCGTAGACGAGAATGGACGTCAGGCAATAGGCGACTAGAAGAAAACCAGGGCCACCTATTGACAGCGCTTGACCGGTGCCGAGAAAGAAGCCTGTACCAATGGCACTGCCAATTGCGATCATCTGAGCATGGCGGGACTTGATGTTTCGCTGTGTGCCTGCTTGTTCCACGAACTGTATGTTTGTTTCGAACATTTCCGCCTTGGAAATATCGAGCTCCGTAGGCTGATTAAACCCAGCTTTCTCAATATCCATTCCGGGCGAGTCTGACTTGATTTCCATAGCTGCTTCTACTAAAGATTTAATCCAATGATGAGGGTTTTTTTGCGAATAAAAGAGAATGAATGTGCTAGACCAGGTAGTATCTTTACCAAATTTCTTCTTTGAGGAGCCGTATCCTACGGTTTATGAGCCTTTCATCTGCCATGGCTTATCATCAATGCCCAAAGTCTATGGCTGGAGGAAAGAGTGACACTGGGCAAATCCCCCACGCCACCACCGATTGTGAGGATTCTCTCTCTTAGACTTGCCCCCATCTGATCCCTTTATCAGAGATAATCGGATCAATGGCTGTTGAGGGATAGCCTGAAGTTCAGAGAGGCCAAATACCAAAGAGGAAAGTGTCTTCGACACGTGATATAAAATGCGGAGAAGATAAGCAGAATGCTGATCAGTGGGTCTCGACTGCCTCAGAAGGTTGGACTCTGCATCACAGATAGTTCGAATGGCTGATGTTTCAGTTGCCAACAGGAAGGCTTTGCCGACGACTTCCAAGGGCTTATGGAGTGGTCGGAAAGATGTCCAATGTGGCCCCAATTCCCCTCGCTCACGATACCCCTCGATTTCAAGTCTATAAAGATCCACATCAGAAGCCAAAGCCAGACTAGCAAGAATAGGACGGAGCAACCTATCCAATCCAATCCAAAATGGGATCTTCCACAATCAAAGAGCAACAGTACGACATCCTCATCATCGGCGCTGGGCTGTCTGGTGTTTGTGCACTTCATAACCTTCGAGAACGCTTCCCGTCTTGGCGGGTGGGCGTGATTGAAGCAGCTGATAATGTCGGAGGCACATGGTATTGCAACCGATATCCTGGCGCGCGTGTCGATTCCGAGTCCCTCTCTTATGCATACTCTTGGGATAAGGAAGTATTGAACGAATGGCACTGGAAAGAATCATTCGCCCCCCAATCAGAGATCCACCGCTATATCGAGTATGTGTGTGACAAACATGATTTGCGAAAGAATATTCAGTTCAACACTCGAATTAAGACTGCCCAATGGCAAGACAGAAGTAACACCTGGCTATTTTGTGATGAAGCCGGCCACCACTATCGCTCCCGTTTCTTCATCAGTTGCATGGGATTCCTCTCTACCCCGACGCTTCCAGCTATTCCCGACATCGAGAAATTCAAAGGTGAGGCCTTCCACACATCACGTTGGCCACAAAACTTTGATCTGAAGCGTGACCTGGCCAACAAGCGGATCGGTGTGATCGGTACTGGTGCTACGGGAATTCAGACAATCACTGCAGTGTCAAAAGAACCAAGTATTAAATCTTTGAGTGTTTTCCAAAGAACAGCAAACTGGTCAGCGCCACTGCGAAATGAGCCCATCAGCATCGAGCAGATGGAACAACACCGCAAGGACTATGACTCCCTTTTCCAACTGTGCGCTGAGACTCCGGGATGCTTCATGCATCAAGCCGATCCACGCAAATCCCTAGAAGTATCCGAGTCAGAGCGCTTCAAGCTATGGGAAGAAATATACGCAAAGCCCGGTTTTGCCAAATGGCTCGGCACATTCAGCGACACATATACCGATCGCGAAGCGAATAGACTCTACTCCGACTTTATAGCAAGCAAGATTCGGGCAAGAGTGCATGACCCAAAGGTGGCCGACAGTTTGATTCCTAAGAATCATGGGTTCGGCACACGGCGGGTCCCTCTCGAAAGCGGATACTTTGAAGTTTATAACCAGCCGAACGTCAATCTTGTCGATCTGCAGAAAACACCCATTGAGAGAGTCACAGAGAAGGGCATCATCACAGCCGATGGCAAGCACCACGACCTGGACGTTTTGATCTATGCCACTGGGTTTGATGCTATCACTGGTGCATTCAGCTCAATTGACTGGGCTGGCAAGAATGGTCGTCCCCTTCTCGGCTCTAGCGATACCAAGGAAGGCGAACAGGCAATTTGGGTTGATCACCGCCCGCGTACCTATCTAGGCATGACGGCCAATTCTATGCCTAATATGTTTATGGTTCTCGGTCCTCATCAGCCGTTCGGTAACGCGCCTCGGACAATTGAGCACGCTGTCGATGTTATCTCGGACTTGCTTCAGTACTGCAAGGACAATAATTACTCTTACGTGGAGCCTACGCCAGAAGCTGTTGATGCTTGGACTGAGCACGTCGTCGAGTGCAGCAAGGGCGCTTTGTCGAATGAAGTCGATAGTTGGATGACTGGTGTTAATAAGAATGTTAAGGGTAAGACTGTTCGCAGTGTGGCTCGCTACTCTGGCAGTGCTGTAGAGTATCGCCGGAGATGCGCTCAGTCTAAGGCTGAAGGGTGGAAGGGTTTGGCATTTGATACACTTCCTAGTGCCACGGGTTCGAATTCAAAGCCTGCCATTGCCAGGCTTTGAATTATATCTTGTGAATAGTTAAACGTTTAATTTGATGACTTTTTTCATGATCTTGACATTAACTCTGTTTCGTCGTTATTCAGAGATGGATAAAGAGATATTGATATTGAAATTCCACGACTTCCTGGGAGATACCTCTACTCCCAAACAGATAGACAGCCTTGCCCTTGCAAAACCTTGACCTCTCTCAATCGGACCCAAGTCCAGCCAACAAACTTGCCGGAGGCGCAAAGAATGTAGTCCCCGTCAGCGGCTTGGAAAAGTCAAGAATACGATCGTGCAAGCCAGGCGGATCTCCAACAAACATATTCTCCAGCATCTTCTCAATAACCCACAAGCGACGCGTATAACCAATGAAGTAAGTCCCAAACTCACCGGAGCCCGGCGATCCAAACGGCATATTATCGCGCAGAATATCATGCTCGATTCCATTCTCATCCTCAATCGTATTCAGCGTCTTATGCGAGCGCTGTCCAGACTCGGCATCATCAAGCTCGACATTATCGATCTTTGTGCGACCGATGATCTTCTCCTGCTGCTCCGTCGAAAGATCCTTCCATCCAGGTAAATCGTGCGTGTATTTCTGCACGACGATATAACTCCCACCTGAAGCGGGACCATCTTCCTCCGCAACAAGAACTGAAGATGGCACGGCCGGCCCGACGGGGTTGGCTGTTCCATCCACGAATCCGAGCAAATCGCGTACATCGAAATAGCGGAAGCCGACTGTTTCGTCGATTACAGTGACTGCATCACCGAGTCTGTCCATCAACTGGCGCTCAAACTCGAAGCAGATGTCGCGACGTTCGGAGCGAATGTGAAAGAGCAAGTCCCCGGGCGTGGAGATGGCAGTGTGCTTTGCGCCTTTGATCTCCTTGAATGGATGTAGCTCGGCAGGCCGGGGAGGCCTGTGAGTTTATCCCAGATTCCACTTCCGATGCCAACAGTACAGGCAAATTGAGCGCCGAGATCTCGGATAGAGACGTTTTTGGCGAGGCTGTCTAGGCCGGATAATGTCGATTGCACGGTTTCAATTGCGTCGGGTTTGTTGGTTACTGATACCACGAGGAATGTGGCGCACTGTGTGAGCGGCGCGTCTACACGCTGTGGCTCTATTGGGACACGCTGGCTGCTCATTTTTGCTTGTGAGGATTTGCAGTGTGCGGACTGTGTCGAAACGCGTGATTGGCGTGGTGATAGGCTGATCTTCCGTGACTGGCTTTTGAGTTGTTGAAGCTCAATGCTGTTGGAGACTTTTGAGACGGATCGAAGAGCGCTTGGTGCTCCAAATCTTGGAATTAAACTCAAGCCCAAGCTATTGGATAGAAATGAGAAGAGCGGTCTTCCCACGGGGTTCATAACTCTCTTGGGAGGTAGGGATGATTGGAGTGAGGTTCTTGTACTTTGGTCAAGAACTGGGCTGACGTGAGAACACCAACTGCTTATTTCAAGCTCAAACTGATTGGCCAATTCCTAAGATCCGCTGTGTTCAAAAGGAGAATCATGAGAAAAAAACGGTTGTGCCGGATGTATAGAGGTGGTGAGGTCACACCCGACGGAACCGTCTAAGTGCATGTCTCAATGATTGATTTCTTACAAAAGAATCATACAATTGAATATTAAAGAGCATTGGTTGATTTCTTACTACAAGAACCATACAAATGAGTATTAAAGAGCAATGGTTGATTCTATAAAACAATTACCGCTGCGTATATCCACCATCCACGAACAAAGCAGTACCAGTAACAAAAGAACTTCTCCCACCAGCCAAGTACACAACTCCATCGGCAATCTCCTCTGGCTGACCCATACGCTCCATAGGCACGGCATTAGCGACCTTCTCCTTCATAGCCGCCAAGATCTGAGGTGACTTGGTCGTGAGAGGAGTCTCAGTATATCCGGGACAGATCGCATTAATACGCAATCCATCTTTCGCATAGTCCTCCGAAGCAGTCCTTGTAAGTCCAATAATAGCATGCTTGCTCGCCGTGTATGCAGTGGACAAAGCAATTCCAGCAATCCCCTGAATAGACGAGAAGTTGACAATCGAGCCTCGCTGCAAAGGCCGACCATTGATAGCAGACCGGATAGGCTCCTGCTTCAACATGATTTTGGCAGCCGCGCGCAAAACGAAGAAAGTTCCTGTCAGGTTGATGTTGAGGATGCGCTCCCAGTCGGACGTCTCGCAGAATGCGGCGCCCCCGGCGTGCTTCATGGCGATTCCGGCGGCGTTGACGACGTAGTCCAGTCGGCCGAAGGTTGTGGCGACTTCCTGTACAACTTCATTTACCCGGTTCTCGTCTGTGATGTTTGTGGGGTATATTTCAACTCGGCACGGCTTTGAGCTAGGTTGTTGTCTGAGGAGTTCTTCGATCTCGGCTTTCACGGCGGCCAGGGCTTCGGTGTTCAGGTCTAGCAGGGCAATTCCTGAGGCACCATCTCTGGCAAATGCCTTTGCACAGGCTCGGCCGATGCCCGAAGCTCCGCCGGTGATGAGTGCGATGCCAGGTACGTCCATTGTGAATGTGGGTGCTGTGGTGTGAGGACTTGTACGCAGAGCAAGAGCAAGGAGAACAACTGAGGATCTTGAAGGGATGAACCGGCATATTGACGGCCATCTCCAACACTAAATAGTCGCATGTAGGAGTTTCTCCTCTTCCCAGGCATACTTCGAATGTGGGGTTGTCGCGGATACTTGCCTAACTCGATGGCCTCGACCAACTGGCCCATTTCTACCCTACTTCACCGTGTTTACTTTCCTATTCTATATCTCTTGTGCATATTTGTGCCTTATTCACATGAGGGGTGTTTCCACCGATGAGATAGGGCAGGTCTGGTACTTTGTTGATGCGATTAACGTATAGGTATCGTACAGCAGTGACTAATTCTAAGGAAAGCTCGGTAGTTGACCAATTCACGATATCAGTAGTTAACTTTAGTTATTGTCGTGAAGTAATTCTACTGGTCTGCTTTCTTTCTACTCGTATTGGGTAGCGCTTATCTACAATCCCTTATTAGGACGCCGGAACAGTCATGGAGATTCTTTTAGAAGAAGATTTACGTCGAGATGAAAGAAAGATCATCTGAGTCCCCAATTGCTTCGTCCATATTTGTGTCATTCCTATAAATCTCCAAGTACCGATATGGTCAAGTGTTAGCTCTTGACCAATACCCATCCCCTCATCTTGCCGCATGTCTGCGTCGAACGATGAACTCCAAATCGCTCATCATGACATGTCTCAGACTTAGTTCGGTCCACCAGGGCCACTTCCACCATTACCTGCACCAGTGCCTCCGTTTCCACCGGTGCTAGAGCTGCCTCCACTGTTGGAGCTCGAAACACCTCCCTCGGCGGTAAGAAGGGAAGCATAGCTCGCACTATAGCTGGCAGAGGTGTCGATACCGACAGTGACCCACGAAAACAACCCATCTTCAACGGTATCACCCAGAAGAACATAGTTGAAGACCGGATCCGAGTCACTATTGACAGTCTCATCAGACAGAACGCGGTCGTTGGCATTAAGGGTGATAGCCACCGTATTCTCGCTATACGGAGACAGGGCCTCAACCTGAGTAATGAGGTCCTGGTCGTAGAACATCTGACCAGTATGGGCAATATTACCCCCAGTCAGGGTACCATTGGAAAGCACAGTTGCACCAACATGAGCGATGACATGAACATGCGTTGCGCGGCCACTATAATGACCAGGGAAAATAGTCTGGAATTGAGCCACACCATCAGAGTCTGTTGGCTGCAGACCTCGCAGGGCAGTGTTATCCAGGTTACTCGCGTCGTTTCCATTGCCGTTGCTGCTGTCTTGAACTCCGGAGTAGACACCAGTGGAATTGCAGTTCCAGACATCCCAGTAGAGGTCAACAATTGGCTCGCAGGTGTTGACATCGATGAATTGGGCATCCATCACTACTGGAACACCGGGCTCATCATCGACCAGGTCAGCCCGAATCAGCTCTCCCTTGACCCAGAAGGGGCCGACTTCCCCCTCCGGAGAGAGGATGCAAGTCACATCATCGGAGAAGAAGACATCTGACGAGGAGACTGCCGTGACACCAGTTATGTTAGACTGGTGAGAGGTTGCCAGAACGGTCGAGAGATCTCTGACCCTGAGGAAACCTGCCAATTGTCAGCATACATGTTGTGATAAACAGGGCCCTTTTCAGGACTTGCCGGAATCAGTGCTTTTCTTCGCATTCTTCTTGGCAATATCTCTTCGCCGAGAAGCTGCGCGGGCTTGAAGTTCACGATACTCGAGCTTGTCTGCACACGCTGCCAAGCTACGTCGGGAATGATGAAGAAAGCTTCGCTTCAAGGCTGGACTTGAGTGCTCTTCATGACCCGGATGAGCGACTGCAAGAGCAGCTATTCCAAGCATAACGAATTTGGAGAAGAAAACCATGGCTGTTGAAGTTATTTTACTTTCAATTGACGTTCTTGCTGATGGTGAAGAAATATCTCTCTTGCGGGATGAATCTCCCATCTTATATACATTTTTCCCTCACCATCCCACTTCTCCTTTGAGACTGCGGAACTTTTGATGCATCAATTGATTCTTGGGCCAAACCAACTTATTCTGCTCTTGCCAAGGCTCTTGGAGTGAAGTTGACTTGCCTTGGCTTCCTTTTGGTTGGCGGAAAGCTCCATGTCGTCCATACCCCAGGCACTATCCAGAGCTTGTAGGCGGGATTTTCAAAATTTGGCATTAGCGTATCCAGAAACCCATTTTGTTAGGAAAAATCCCCGAAAGTTCATGTGCAGCTGATCAAGAAAAGTCAAGGGTGTCAGTGATAGGTGCATTTTCTCCTGGCCTCAACATGGTCTTTCAAGCTCCGTACTCCCAAGTTCCCAGGGCCTGAACCAATGAAGACGAAGGTAATAGTCAGTGACGCGGCCCCCGCAACATTAGGAAATTTAGAGCTGTCCATGCAACTCCCTCCGTTGCCATTTAAGGAACGGATGCGGCCCGCGTGGAGATTTGAAAGGCGAGGCGAGGCTGTTGGATCGACAATGCCAAGGGAACTCTGCATGTTTCCTTATATGAGTGGAGTGTACTTTGTTGTATAGAGTCAAACGCTAGCGTGCATCTTACGCGGCCACACGTATGCTGAGCATGGTGCGCTATATTCAAATGCTTGGCTCTCTCAGCCATCATTCTTGATAGGTCCGGTGCCAAGATTTATAGCTTGGTATCTAGGGAATTAATTCAGTTGAAAGACTTTAGTCTGTTGTGGCTGTTAAGGCTATAACCGGCTTGGCATTGTTGGGAATCATGCGGAAATGTGAGTCGACAGGGAACAAGAGACTTGAAAGGTTGCTATGGTGGAATGAATGCAAGCTTTAAAATGCCATGAATGCCTTAATAGAGATACTGTAAAATATTCTGTTCATCATTGTAGCAAGAAGCTGAGATGGATTTGCTGGGGAAGGGCCAATCCGGAGACCCAGTAAGTGGTCCTGTTGATATACAAGAAAAAGACGCTAACGTTGATCATCGCTTCGTGAATTACAAATGTGACGTCAAAGGCACAGTACTCTTCATCAGATCCAACCAAGTGACACTCTTCCCATTGGCACAAGACTTTTCCTGCCATATCCTCTGGATATTATCCAAAGTATCGGTAAAACAAGAAAGACCACTCCGACATGCCGAGCTCTCAAACCAATTTGAGAATGACGCTTGAATAGACGAGTCCTCGGCTTCACATGCTGCGATGAAAGCAGGCCAGATGAAACCTGCTGAGCCGTGTACCACAGTAGAGTCTGCATGTTCGCACCGTAATAATCTATCCAAAACACCCACGACTTTGGTCTGCAGGATTGAGGCGTCCACGTCGTGGACTCGACGGTAGAAGTAAATTGCCAAAGCATTTTGCATTGCTTCCAGCATATTATCAACTATGTCTTGGTCGAGCTGAGAGCTGTTGTTCTCAGGCGCGAATGTGTTCCGGCTGGGAAGGTGGAGATTATTGATTGAGTCTTCCAGTGTCTTGGCTCGACCTATGAATTCCTTTAGACTGAGACATTTTCTTGTGTCATCTCCCTCAGCTGCGTCTTTCTCTTTCCCAAGTCGAATTACTTGAGATAAAAGGAAGATCCACTGTTCCGGAATACCGAATATCTCAGGATATAGCGTAGAAGACCAAAATCCCGGGCGTTCAAGATGCAAGTCGTTCTCACCCTCCTCTTGTCCGCGTACTCTCATCATCTCTTGGTTGAGGTTCTTCCACCCGGTGAGCCGGAATGAAAGACTGTCAAGACTATACATTCCCAACCCACTTGATTCAATCGCTGTGCGAATATGATGTCTCTGGGTTGAATTGGCGCCACAGATAAAGATGCTCTCGTGAATTATTCGCTCAAACGCATAGCAGTGATGAAGTAAACGGACCTTGCGAGATTTCTTGCGCTTCAGCCCTCTTAATCGAATGAACTTTTCTGCTTCAAGGAAGTAGCACTCTGTCTCACTCCTGTTGCCTGAAAAGGTAGAGACTTGTACCATAGTCAATAAAGCCATCAAGATAGACTTGTATTTGGCCACCTTGGGGACATCATAGGCAGTCATTAGCATCATCCGTGCATGCTTTCGAGCTTCTTGCTTATACATCATAGCCTTTTCAAGCCAGGTTTGAGACCGAGAAACTCCTCCCAAACTGAATGCACTAATGGCCAATGTTCCGTAGAATGCACAGAGACAGGCATGGCTCATTTCGTCGTTCAATGCCAATGCTGCAAGACAGTTTTTGGCATGAGGAATAAAAAGAACATGCCAAGGTGTTTTAGAGTGCCGGAGTGGGGTCATCAAGCTGATAACCGTTGATGCGTAATGTTTGAGAAGGAAGACAGCGTCGTGTGGTACGGATATCGTGGTGCTGGTGGAAGACAAGGAAGTTGGTGATGTTGCTTTATTGTAGTAAAGATCGGACATAAATCCTAGCTGCATATATTCTCGTGATTCTGTATGATCTTCCCCATGAGAATTTAACATGGCTTCCAAGACCCCTGGAGAAGGTGGACTGGGTACAGTTTCGGGTTGGTTGAAGATGAGGTGCATCAGGCCTTGCGACCATGGCGAAAGGGGTGGCGGCGGGGATAGCTCATAGTCATGATTAAAAGTGCTCATTTCTTGGGGAGAACTAAATTCTGTGTCTTCTGCTTGGTTCAAGCTCACGACTGGCTCGCAGCAGGACACAGGCAAAGGACCAGTGCTCCTCTCTTGATTAATTCTGAAAGCGCCAAACGGGCCTCGATGAATGTCAACATCCTCTGTGTAAGGTGTTTGTTCGCATTTTTCATCGATATGAGACAATATCTTCAGTGTTTGCTTGGGGGGAGCACTCGAAGTAAGCCATTCGCTCATTCGCTGACGGTCCTCCAGCGAGAGTAACGGTCGACGAAAGCGCATCCCATGATTACCAGAGGAACTCTCAAAGTCGAAGAAAATGTCTTTTTTGTATCCCTCACAGGCGATACCGAAATATTCACACATTGAACATGTGGGGCGTCGTTCGTCGCATTTGACATGCCGACTTCGACACTATTTGGAAGTTAGAGACCAGCCATAACTGAATACCATCAAACTCACTGTGCTGCATCCTGTGAAAGATCTCGTATGAGCATTCTCGTGTACACTTGCTCGAACAGACTTCATTTGGGGGAGATGAACAAGGAAAGCTGAGCCCTACTCAGATATTGCGGGGAATGGCCGAAGCTCCGATAGCGGAAACCTTCCTATTTGGTGGTGCGCGGATACTTGCCAACTCTTGGATATCAACTTGCAACTGAATTGGCAATGGCCGTCAACATTGGTGTCTAGCGCTGAATAAAGATATGATTTAGCCTACAGTGGAGATTCTCTATCTTATAAATATCACAATTCCGCCATGGCTTTGGTCACTGTCATTCTCGGAACACCACAGAGCATTCACAATGGCATCCTTTGAAGGAAAAGTGGTGAGTGAAGATTCCATCTGCCAAATTCATCCTCGCTGATAGGTGTTGGTTAGATTGCAATTACCGGTGCAGCCTCCGGCATGGGGCTTGCAACAGCGAAGCTCCTCGCATCTCGCGGCGCACTCATTTCGCTCGCTGATATCAACGAAAAAGCATTGGGAGAGGCAATTCAGTCATTAGCCAACCCTGAAAAGCATATTACCACCGCTATTGATGTGCGCAAGGGTCAGTCAGTGGAAGCATGGATCAAATCCACTGTCGAGAAGTTCGGCAAACTGGATGGAGCCGTGAACATGGCCGGAGTGATCACCTCAGCTGCCCCAATTACCGAGGAAACTGAAGCGAATTGGGACTTTACTTTTTCTGTGAACACCAAAGGCATCTTTCTCTGTTTGAAGGAGCAGTTAAAAGTAATGAAGGCCGGCGGTAGCATTGTACGTTTTTCGCAAACATTTAAGTACAACAGGACCATACTGACTTTCTCTACACAGGTCTCTGCAGCAAGCGTATTTGGTCAGATGGGAGCACCAGGGGTCTCTGCATACTGTGCCAGCAAAGCTGCGGTTATTGGATTGACGCAAACTGCAGCAAAGGAGAATCAGCACATTCGCGTTAACTGTGTTTCACCTGGTAAGCATTTTGAGTAAGAATAGTACTGGGATGAGCTTTAGGGACTAACTATCTCAGGCTCTGTCAATACTCCACTTTCTGCTAGTGAAGACCCCGAGGATGTAAAACGGGGTCTGCAGAAGACCGCGCAGAAGCGCCAGGCTGAGCCGATCGAAATTGCCAATGTCATTGCATTCCTCCTTAGCCCCGAAGCATCCTTTGTCACTGGGGCAGTGTACAATGTTGATGGAGGCTGGATGTGTTAGGTTTCAAGTAAAAAATGCAGGATCTCAATGTTTCATGTCACACAATAAAGATATAGACAAGCTTGCTGCACCATGAAGTTTTTCGAGATCTCTATCCCACAGCATGGAAATGAATATACCGTGATACTTCTGTGGGTTTTTTATATTTCTACTTTTTATCCTTTTGCCTACTTTTGGGGTCCTCGGGGTATCCAGGTAGATAATGTATGGATAGGAATTTTAAGGTGCTTATTGCCCCTGCTGTCAAATAGGAAGCCTAACTATTTTGCTCTTTAATTAGATAAAATAGAACCCTCAACACCTTGATTAGATATTAGATAGTTACTTAACTATCTACCGTATAGATGGGTTCTAATGCGAGGATGCCTCACGTGGTCTCGGTCTAAGCCTCCTGTATAAGCCTCCCAAGTGCAGTAGGCAGTGCCCACGTAGATAGCCAGGCAGGTGACTTCCCTGGGAACAAAACAAGTTACCGAGATATTATTCTCCTGTCTTTTCTCTGTGATTGAACGAAAACACGCACAACAAGTCAAGTCGAATTACCCCACCAGCAGTAAGCGCGCTAGGCGGGCTGACACTCTTCTTCACAGCGGAAAGCGTATATCCTCCCTCCCCTATCTGAACACTGCTTTTCCCAAATACTCCTTGGTAATGTTAGAGGGACGATGTCAGCCGCACTGATCGTCGGTCATAGCTTGAAGCCTGAGGTCCGCCTCGCTCAGGCTGTTTCGCAATTTGAAGCCGAGCTCTCAGATGAACACAAACCAAGCTTTCGGTCCTTGAGATCGAAGACAATTGGATCTCCTCCCAGTATTCAAGATGTCATGCAACTCACAGCGGAGATTGATCGCGCCTCGGAAAAGAGAAGGCGTTGCTTGGGGCCGCGACTGACCAACGTCCTGCAAGCCACCCAGCAATTTGCCGCACTTGGCGATGTTTTAGTCGGCGGATCTCAAAACATACTGGCCTGTGGTGTATGGACAGCAGTACGATTATCATTAAAGTTGATCGTCGACTTTACCTCTTACTTGGAGAAACTATCAAATGTCTTCATGATAGCTGGCCGTCTTGCGCCACGGCATGAAAAAATGGCTTTGTTGTATCCCCGATCAAGCGACTTGCAGTCTTCATTGTGCGAATATTTCATCGTTGTTGTACGCCTTTGTCATGAGATAACGGCTTTCGCGCGCAAGTCGACGTTCGGTAAATTGGCCGCTTCATTAAGTGACCCGGATCTCATTTCATACCAGTCGGACCTTGAGTCTTGGGGAAAGATGATCAAGGGGGAAGTGACATACTTGATGGCAAAGAGACTCGAAGATGAAGCCGACCTCAATTCACGATTTAGAGCAATGTCGACCAAATTTCACAAGTCGGGTGCTTATCAGCATGCAGTCCAGACAAAGCAGCGAGTGCTTGATCTCTGTTCTCAATACGACCACAGTGTCTCTTGGAAGCAGATTCGAAAAACAGGCAACACAAGCTTGTTTCGTGAAAGTCCTTTATACCGCGACTGGAAGTCGTTGCCCGTTGGTTCCACTCTTGTATACACTGGCAAGCTAGGATCTGGGAAGTCCGTTTTAATGGCAAACATAGTGGACGATATCTACATCGGGAATAAGAATGCGCCAGTTGCATATTTCTTCTGCAGGCATGATATCCTCGAGAGTCTCAATGCCCGGACAGTGGTTGGCTCTTTGGCTCGTCAACTGCTTGAGTCATTAACAGACTTCACTGCTGCCTCAGTAATTTTTGATAGAGATGCGACACGTGCCTCATTTGAAACATTTATCGACTTGGTGCATAGGTGTCTCGACTTCCGTCAGCATAATTGCTATATAATCGTGGATGGATTAGACGAACTCGACGATCACGAGACAGACAAGGTCATCAGTTTCTTACAGCGACTTCAAAGTGGGCTTGGTAAATTCCGGATATGTCTCTCCCTACGCGACTATCCTAAAGGATCTCCTTCAGCAAATGTGTTCTCGTGCTTATCTGGAGTGGCTATGGTGCCGATGCCTAGTAACACGGCAGAAATTGAAGAGTTCATCCAGTCGGATTTGGAAAATCGAATCGAGACCGGAAGACTCACAATCGGGAATCCCACTTTGATTCTGGAAATTCAAGACGCTCTATCGAGGGGGTCCGAAGGGATGTTTTTGTGGGTAGCACTTCAAATAGAGTCGCTATGCTCCATGGAGAGTGATGAGGAGATTCGCCATGCTCTTACCGACCTGCCGAGGGATCTTTCAGAGACCTTTGCTCGTGCATTGAAAGCGAGATCCGAAAACGCCCATCAAAAGAATATCTTTGCGATGCTGGCTGTGGCAAATAGGCCATTGATGGTGCAAGAATTACGGGAAGCCTTGTCTGTTGTTCCGGGTGATCTCGACTGGAAACCAGATAGACTTCTGAACAATATTTGGAGTACACTGGCTTCATGTGGAAGTCTGATCACGATTGATGAGGAGCAATTGACTGTGCATCTCGTTCACTCCAGCGTCAGGCAATTTCTTCTCGGCAAGCCTAGAAAGTCAACAGAAATGTTGGTCAATTCTGATGATGCTCATCGCATGATGGCAGAGGTCATAATTACCTATCTGAACTATAGCATGTTCGAAAGGCAAGTGTCCAAACAGGTACAATCTCAACTTCAAACAGGATCCTTGCCATATGAGGTCATTCGCTCAACTATAAATTCCTCAATGCGGGTTCAAAAGCTAGCAATCAGACTCCTGAGGTCCCGCAAAAATCCCAATTTTGATATTGGGAAGGTTGTGGCAGAGACTGCTCGTCAAAGTCATGACCACCAACAAATCTTCTACTTCCACAATTATGCAACTTCATGCATTTCGGCTCATGTCACGAGAGCTTCGGGTCTCATACAGGATATGCAGACTCTGTTTGCGCGGCTGCTGGGGCCAGTGTCGATTTTGAGACGCGAGATGACCGATGAAGACTACAACATGATTTTGGATTGGGCTCTAATGAAAGGATACATGCCCTTGGTCATGGTGCTGAGTAGGCCTAGGCTCGAAAATCCAGTCGTTGGAACAAGAGTACTGAATCGGGCAATCACTGATGATGATGATGCCATGATTCGATTTCTCTTGACTTCAGAAGAAGGTTATGTTCTGCCTTCGAGACTTGGTTTGGGGCCGAGCAGTCCCGAGCAGAATTCACTATTATTCGCTGTGCGAAGCGGTAGCAGTTCCACGATTGAAACTCTCCTCGCATCCGGCAAGTTTAACATCAATATCAAAGACTCTTCCGCAGACGGACGGACCCCTTTACATGAAGCCGTCGTCAGGGGGCTGGATCAGACCATTGCCCTACTTCGTCATGGTGCTGATTATAATATACCAGATGACAAGGGATATACAGCGCTCCACCTTGCGGCCATGCACGGACATTCGGACATTGTCAAGTACATGATTTATCTCGGTTCTGATCCCAACGATACGGATAGCCAGGGATTAACTTCCTTGCATTTGGCTGCCCTACATGGCAATTCCGATGTTGTGAGAGTACTTCTAGATAATCCGTCAACCGATGTTTCTTTACTGGATAGTGAAGGTCGCTCTGCTGGTGACTTGGCCGTGGGTAATACAAGCCTTGGCTTTGTCGCTGAGCTAGATCCTCGCCTGATTGCATCGATAAATAGGCATACGTCAGGTTTCAAACATAGATTTGGCGATGTGAGCTAGAGCAGTAATTTTGATATTCAATCCATCATACCCTTAGACTTCTTAGTTGAATGTATATGACCTTTTATTCTGGTTAATCGAAGTGACCTATTGAAAAACACGGGGTCGGGCCAGCCCTAGTGGCGAAAGTCATCCGAGGTCGGGAATCAACGTCTGCTTACGTAGTATATGACTCCAGTGGCTTTAATACGAGCATAACTACGAGTTCAAGAGTCAAGTGACAACTAGATGATTTGTATAAGAGCAGTTTTCTTCCGAGCAGATATCTTATTGTCATGATTCATAGTCCCCAACGCCAACATGCCTAGCGGATCCTGCCTTTGCCAAAACCTCAAATATGAGTTTACTGGAGCTCCAGAGGGAATGGTAAGACAATAAACTGTCTATAAATGTGTTCAACTCTGAGCTTGGCTTACAGGCTACCTGCCACTGCCTTTCCTGTCGAAAGATTAGCGGTGGCACGAATACGGTCAACTTCATGATACCAGAGAAGGATTTCAAAATCACAGCCGGAGAACCTAAGCGCTTCACTCATGCTCATGAAAATGGCATGAACGTCACTGTTCATTTCTGTGACAACTGTGGTGGTGCTATCTTCAAAACTGGCGATCGCGAAGGTTTTAGGGGAGTTGCTGTTGTTCAGGTTGGAACTTTGGACGACCCCAATGCATTCACGCTGACCAAGCCAACGATGGAGATGTGGACGAAGTATCGTGTCCCGTGGCTTTCACATCTTGAGGGGACTGCACAAATGATGGAGTTTTGACCTTGTTGAACAATCACTTCTTTCTTATTTCATTCTACACCTAACTTCTTTTGGCTCCATATCATGAGAGGAGCTTGCATCTGCTTCATAATGAGAATGAACTACTCTCCGTGTCAGCATTTTTATTCAAAAGTCAAGCACATTAGTCATGGGGTATACGGCCTCATAAGTACTTTCCCATCCCTTCAAAAGTGGCCAGAAATCGAGGCCCAAACAGAGCCAAAACATTATGTGCTCTCTTAATGGACGAATTGCGTATAGATACGCCATCCTCGGAAGTACTTGTAGAAAAATCGAAGCTGTTGCTTTTGCTCATTGCACTCATTAAACTCAGGACATGGAATCATGAATTATGCAGGTTCTCGGCACAGCATGATCAATATCAAAGGACATTGAACAGTCGTGTAGCCGAGGTAATTTTGTAGAATGCAAACAAATCAACGAACAGGTCTATGTCTTCAGATGCCAGGACAAATAACCGAATTGGGCAAGAAAAAAATAGGTAGAATAAATGAAATAGCCGTATGACGCCAGGACCAGCCAGGAAGAAAAAGCGGGTGGGTAAAACAACAGATCAAGAAATGCTTCAACAGGGCCAGAAACACATCATATCAATCCCCAAACCAAGGAGCGCAAAACAAATATTCCGATGACCCCAATTACATTTGGCGCAGACCCTCGGCAAGACGGCGCTTACCAAACTCCCAAGCATTCATGAGACCCTGTTCGGAGAGATCGATGTTCTTCATATTAGGCGCGTCCGCAGCGGGGGCACGGCTGACCCGAGAAGCGATCATGACGGGGTCTGTCTCGAGGATGATGCCGTCGTCGATGATTTCGTCAATAGTGAGGGAGACCAGGTCGTAGTTCTCGACAATGGTGCGCTTGTCAGTTGCGCCCCTAATTGAAACGAACACGTTAGAAGCTGTTGGTGAAATCACCACCACCGAATATCACAGTAACATACTTGAATAGAATTCCGAGAGCATCCCGTAGTGAGAGGACAACATTGTACAGCAGGACCTCGTTCTCGTCGGCGCTGCCAACAACGTAGAGCATGACGTCGCTCTCCATCTTGAAGACGACGATGCGGTTGTCGTACAGAATCACATCGCTTGAAGACTTGTTGGTCTTCTCGAGGAGGCCCTTCTCGAAAGCGCGCTGCTCCTTGACGGTGGGGTATGGGTTGGCGCCGGGGTAATTGGTCGAGTTGGGGGCAGCACCGGCGGGGGCATGTGGTGCTGAGTAGTACTTGGTGAAAATTCGGGAGCCATCGTCAGCGGACATGACGAGAACCGCGTTGACGGAGAAGAGGGACAGAGGGCCGGGCATGGTGATTTACTGTTTTGCAGAGCAATTGGTGAACTTCCACGAATGTTGATGCTGTCAACCGCCAATCTGGCCGGAGGCGGAGACGGATTAATGTTGTTCCACCTTTGTATAAGAGCTTCAACTATGTGAGCGAGACAGCACACTTGACATCAGTCATTATTTCTGGCTATTATATGATTCCAGGATATTGGCCTAAGGCTACTTCATGTTTGAGTTATTCATCACATTGATTTCACTAAATAGATACATGACCAGCCCTGGCTGGCTGATTGCAACAAGACCATACCGAATAAAGCATACATGAGAATGGGGACATGACATAAATTGATTGCGAGCAACGTAACTCAGACATGGGGAATAATATATGTATCGGGAAAAGCCATGATGTCCAGACTCCTTACGAAAACCATATTGATGGGGAAGGATTCAAATTGCGTCAAAAGAAACATGGAGACTCAGGGGATACATGAATCGTGCTATGTGCATCATAGAGGGTATGGGTATGTTAAAAATATGGTAAAGACCGATTTTCCGATCACATGAAATCATACTGCCTGAGGAACATGGCCTACTGGGGCGCAGGTTCTTCAGCATTGGCGCGGTTCAACCACGGAATCCAGCTCGCGCGGTTCGCCTTCTTGCGGGCCGCTTCTTCCTCTTCCTTGAGCCTGGTGGTCTCGCTGACAAGGCGCAGGGGGCGCAATTTATCCTGCTGCATGACGGCTCCAGTATAGTTGTTCATTCCGCCACTAGAACGAGGAGGACTGGAAGTGGCTCCGGTAGAGGCAGTCTCTCCGTGAGGGTCGCTCGTGATACTGGGAGAGCTGCTGTGACCGACCCGGTCTGGCTGGCTAGACATGGATGGAGCACGACTCATGCTAGAGATATAGCTGGCAGCTCCGGAGAACATGCTCTGGCGTGATCCAGGGCCCATGGCAGTCGGGCTGATGGGTCCGCCGGAGTTGCGTCCGCGATAAATTTGCCCGACAACATTAGCAGCGCCGGGGTCAACCTGCTCAGAGCGGCTGCGGCGATGGCTAGCTCTCATAGACTGGGTGCGGAATGGAATGCTTGGTGCGGTGTTAGGATTCTCGTTTGGGTTGTTCTGTGATGGGGTGGGAGGAGGCATCATGCTGGTTGGACGCGACCGGGGCTGAGTCGAAGGACGGGCAGGTTGACCGCCGACCACCGACTTGGCACGTTGCAAGAAAGATGAGTGTGCGTCATCCTTCTCTGGGGGGGTCGGGGGAAGGTCCTTGTCATTGCCTGACTTTGCGCCAGACTGATCTTCATTCCGGTCCAGGACATGTTCGAACCCATCGTGCATAAGAACTCGGCTTATAATACGCTCGATGTAGAGCGTAAGAGCTTTGTTCTGGTCTTTGAGAGCCTTGATATCTCCGTCTAGTTTAGGGTTGGAATCATTCTCAGGCGACTCGTCCACGGATTCTAGCTCGTCTGCCAAAGATCCCAGGCCACCAGACGATTCCTTTGATGGGTGGGCATCCCGCATGAACTCCCCCTTGGTGAAATCTCCGGTGAGAGTCTTCTCGCTGAGCAGGAGTTGGTAGCTTTCGTTGTCTTCCATCAAACGAGCGTTAGCCATGCGGGCCTCCAAGAGGTCTTTCTCTAGCTCACGCTGGCGGCCCCCGCCTGCATTCTCCATCTCAACAAGTTTGATCTGCGACTCGGCCAGTTCGAGGCGTAGGGACTCGATGACCTTATCTTTCTGCAGTAGAAGTGTAGAGTTGTTGCGGGAGGGGCTACGCTCGATGTGCGAGGAGGGTGCAAATTGGCCATCAACGTCTGGAGAAGATCGGTTGCGGAAGCTGGCTGTATAGAAGTTAGTCTCTGGTTGTTCATGACATACCGATCGCAAGAGTGGTGAGGTCTTACAGGATCGAGAGACTTGGGGACGGTCACCTTCTGCGTTCATACGCATATCCTTTTGCGCTACTGAATCCTTCAATCGTTGAATAGTTGCTTGCATCTCCTCCTCCCGGCTGGTCTGTTGCTCTTTCTCTTGCAACATGGCATTCCGCTCGGACTCGTGGTTCTGTTCCAAATCCCGGAGCTTACGGCCTTGGTCCCGGATTTCCGTGTTGAGTGTCTCAATCCGACTATCTCGCTCGTGGGCCTGATCCTCCAGCTTGCTTTGTTCGCTTATTGCTTCATCGAGGCGCATTTGCAAGACGCCTAGTTGTTTCTGGTATTGTTCGGAGGCCGTTTCAGCCTTTTGGAGCTGGGATCGTAGGTCCTCAATGAGGGCGGCATTCTGCGCCCGCGCCTCTTCTTCGGAGGGGTCATTGGAGACTCGTGGAACGTTCGACATGCTGAGGTTGGAGCGGCCAGGTTTTCTTGCAGCCGCGCGCGCAGAGACGGGAGTAGAGCCTCTTAAAGATGGGGAACGGTTGAGTCCGTTGGTTGCGGCACTGGGCGAGCGTGCATGCCCTCGTGTGGTGGACCCGTTGGTTGAGTGCGGATCTGCGGTTGATGATTTGCTGGAATTGCCGGGGGTTCCAGGCTTGCGAGGCGTTGCTGACATGGTGCAGGGTCCCAAGTCCGTAGACTCGAAAGTGTATAGAAAGAATGCCAGTAACCCTCAGTTTGCGCTTCAATTGGTGATCAGGAGAAGGGGAAGAAATTCAGGGTGCAGCGCAATCGGCGGTCAAAGCCTAGTGGACACCTTGTGGAGAGCGCTTGTATGGGCAGATTGAAGACCAGGAATGTGGTGAAAGCTGTCACAGATTGATTGCGTGCCACATGGTTGACAGAATAAGAGGGTTCATCGAACACAGACTCCGGATGAGGACTGGAATGAGAGAAAAGAACGATTGCAGACCTTAAAGCCAAAGGTGAGGAATGCGGATCCCTTACTCTGGTATTCTAAAAATACGCGTAACAAAGTCGGGGGCCGAATCAATACGAGAGTACTCCGTAGAACGACTCGGAACAATCGAAATCGACGAATGATACGATGAGGAATATATAGAGTGTCAGATCCGAGGGCCGTGGAAACGGTTCATTGTTTGACAATTACAACAAGGACTGAGTGTTGTGATATCCCTGAATGCCCGATACCAGCCTGTTTCAAGGATATTGATGCCTCAGGCGAAGAGGCTTGGCCGTCCGAGTAAGGTTTCCGGACTAACATACTTCCGTGTCCACCTTGAATCGAGATCTTCACTGCGCGCCAACTGCTTTCCCTTCAACAATCCAGGCCGGAGCGCACAATTGACCCCTATTTCGATACCGAACCGAAGTCCTCAGGAACTTCCGCGTAACGATGGCCCCCAACAAGTCCAAGAAGGGTTCCGACAATGTGAGAAGTTCTGTCGCATTTCTATCAAGCGCATAGACTGACCGTTCCATCTCAGGTCAACTCCAGACTCGCTCTGGTTATGAAGTCTGGTAAGGTTACCCTAGGCGCAAAGTCTACCATGAACACTTTGCGTTCGGGCAAGGCCAAGCTTGTTATCATTGCCGCGAATACTCCTCCGCTCCGGAAGTCTGAGCTCGAGTACTACGCCATGCTCGCCAAGACTCCTGTCCACCATTTCTCGGGGAACAACGTGAGTCATTCTTTTGAGGCAACAGTATTATAGGATTGCTAATCCAGGTTGCTTACAGATCGAGCTTGGTACCGCCTGCGGTAAGCTGTTCCGTTGCGCCACCATGGCTATCTTGGATGCCGGTGACTCAGACATCCTCACCAGCTCTGTTTAAGTGGTCGATGAGTGGAAGATAACGGAGTTGATATGTTCGCGACATATGCGTCGCAAGATCTTAAATGATTCTCGCCGCATATGAGATTAATACAAATCTACCCATGGACTAATCATATTGGCGCATGCGTAGTTCGAAAGGAGATCGTAGCTATCGTAGGCAAATCAAGGCTTCAAACGACACCACCACGTCATACAACTATTATTAAACATCCCTGTCGGATAACTAAACCATGCTGATAAAACTCGCCGCTGCGTATAGATGTTCCTCCGATAGTCCATTGGCCCAAAGCGGTAAGGCGGGGCATCACCTGATTGGTCCGTCTGGCCTAGGGTTAGGGCTTTGCCACCGGTTAGCACATTTGCTTGGAAATCAGGTAATCCCGTGACTGGCGGGCTCTTTTCTCTTTCTCTTTTCGAACCCTCGATACCACCGACAACCAACAACCAGTTCGCAGGAAGTGCATTCACCCCACCTCCAGCACTCAAAATGGCCCGTCGTCCCGCGAGATGTTACCGCTACTGCAAGAACAAGGTGCGTTTCGATTTGAAGGAGAGAGAATGATTTGTGTGGGTGATGGATGGACATCTCGGTTATGGGGAGTGAGCACCAAAGAGCACCACGCTTACCAACAATCACCTCGCCGTGGCTGGGATGTCGTCTATTGCAGAGGAGGATGGCAGAGAACTGGTCTATCGATTTCGGGGATCAACACTTTTTTGAAAGACCTGTTTGACTGACACGAACCGCCTTCTTAGCCCTACCCCAAGTCCCGGTTCAACCGTGGTGTTCCCGACCCTAAGATTCGTATCTTCGATCTTGGTCGTAAGAAGGCCAACGTGGACGACTTCCCCACCTGTGTCCACCTGGTCTCCAACGAGTACGAGCAGCTGTCCTCCGAGGCTCTCGAGGCCGCCCGTATTTGCGCCAACAAGTATGTTTCTCGTCCTGAATCGTCCATTCGCCTCCCATGAGCGTAAACTTATCATTTTTGTCTACAGGTACCTCGTGAAGATCGCCGGTAAGGAAGGTTTCCACCTCCGTGTCCGTGTCCACCCCTTCCACGTCGTCCGTATCAACAAGATGCTGTCGTGCGCTGGTGCCGATCGTCTGCAGACCGGTATGCGTGGTGCCTACGGAAAGCCCCAGGGTCTCGTTGCCCGTGTCAACATCGGCCAGATCATTCTGTCTGTCCGTACCCGTGACGCCCACCGCCCCACCGCTCTGGAGGCTCTCCGCCGCTCCATGTACAAGTTCCCCGGCCGCCAAAAGATCATTGTCTCCAAGAACTGGGGTTTCACCCCCGTTCGTCGCGAGGACTACGTTCAGCTCCGCGAGGAGGGCAAGCTCCGCCAGGACGGTGCCTACGTTCAGTTCCTCCGTGGCCACGGTCAGATCAAGGAGAACATGAAGCGTTTCCCCGGTGCTTTCGAGACTTCCGCTTAGATGTTGATGGGTCATTCCAGAATATGAATTCAGAACGACAAAAATACTTGAATGTGCTCTCTTTACCTGTCACACCTATTCTTGATATCAATCTCGTGCAATCGCAATGATGGAGTTATTCCATGGGTACTTTTTTACATGATTGCCTGTAGTTCCTTTCGTAAGAGTAGTCATTCGTATTTTGTCTCTACATCATTTGGACAAAAATGCAGATCTCATTTCGGCCCCAGTAAGACAGATCCTCGGCCTCGCGGGGGAAGCCTTGGAACGTCAGATCTGACACGCCTGGCACAAGCCTAGGCCCAATATCCGAGCGGACTCCGGAGATGCGTGAAAATGGGGCGATAAACTGGGTCACGTCACTTATGTCCACTCAGCCGGTGAAGAAATATATGCAGATGATTCCCAACAAGCACCTGGCTGCAATAGGTAAATCTACTTTTCAAGGTCCACTTAACATGGCCATATGCATGATTGAAAACAAGGAAGTCTTCGTTAAAGCTAGGAAACAGGAAAGTTTGCTATTTGTTCCAATGTGTGATCAAAATATATATATGAAGGTGACTTATCTGCACAGTCAACTAAACATGCACAAGCCCAAAATGATTAAAAATTATGAATGAAATTAACAACTATTTCCACCTTTTTAATAGAGACTATGTGGTTTTAGAAATATATACAGTTCCTTTATTTAGACGGCTTTGTCCCACAGCGTTCTTTGTGCAATTCTCCAGCAACTGCGGAAAAGAAAATTAGTACTCGCACTCAATACGGGAGTTCGACCTCCCAAACAAAACAGAGCATGTATACCTACGTGTGATATCATCTGGAGTACAAGCAGCCTTCAAGCAAGCACCAAGTGTATCCTTGAACGCCACACTGGGACAGGTGCAGTCGCTATCGACAGAAGAAGCACAGCCAGCAACGACAGCAGCTTCGGACATACACCGCAGCTAGTGAGATGAAAAGGCCCCGTCAGGTTCTGATTCGCATGGTATATATCTCACAATCGAACGAAGGGACTTACAAGACAGGGACTGGCATCATCAATTGTATCGGTAGTCTCGGCAACAGCCCACGAAAGGAAAGCGGCCAGAGGGAAGAAAATAGTGAGCTTCATTTTGATGAATATTTTGTATATTATCAGGTGCTGAAGCAAGGTACGATTCAATTGAAGTGTGGAAGATGCAGATACGAGGATGGGACGCAAGGAAATTGAGATCCCTATGGGCACTTTATTAATCGACGTAATTACGTAGGGGCAGAGATTGTATGCAACATTCTTGGAGTTTATCGCTGTTCCGCTGTAAACACAGTCGGTGTCTGGGGGATTGTCGGAATGAGGTATTGGAATGTGAGTTCAATCCGGTTGTTGGGATTGTTGATGTTACATCTCAAGTTGCAATCCTTGACGTATGTTCAGTTAGAATTCATACCTTATCTTATGGAATGGTATATTCCACCTATGGGTACACACACCTATGGGTGGCAATGGGGGATTGTACAGAAAAGTATGGCCAGGCCAAACTTTGAATTAAAGCACCGCCTAGGGGATGCTATGTCAAATGCGCCCTCTCAAATTCAAGGTCTGCTGTTCATAACAATCAACAATAGGAGTAATGCATCAGTAAATAATCGAAACTCTTGGTATCTCAATCGTGGACGTAGCATCTGTTGCGATTCCCTTCTCCTTTTTACTAACAGTATGTGTTTATGAAGACAATCATAAGTATTTGCCGACACCGAAGTGCTCCATCCGTTCGAGGCTTGAAAGGAACTCAGCTTGAATCTGAAATAGAACATCATTCGTTCATCATCCACTCAAACTGGGAGCATATGTGAGGCATGAATAATCCTCATACGCGGTGCATAGCAGTGGCGGCTAAATTTAGAACAGTCTAGGGACAGTCAGAGCATATACAAGGATAGGCAAGTCCTAGCATCAGCGTATGCAGTGCAAGAGAGGCGATAATTTTGAGGAATGCCTGAAACGATTGTAGTGGAAAGTTCTATTATTGTGGAAAAGACATGAGGAAAGATCCCACTGGAACTGTTCGATATAATATGTAGCTGCAGTCATAGAACAATAACGGAGAGCTATTGATTTGTGTGTGTGCAAGTGAGAGTGAAATGAACTTGATGGCAAGCCACCCATCAAGTACGACTGATGTCTCCTGTTTATTAGTTCGACCCATTAGGAAGGGATTTGCACAAGGTGGAACAGAGATATGTGAAACTGGACCATAATAGTATTGTTCTGGACAGGGCTTACTCACTGCTATACATGTAACAATAAGAAATATTCAGATCGCTTGGTATATGAGTCGTGTGTAAACCTTTGCCAGGTACACTGCTGTTAGGGCAAGATCGGAAGTAACACGAACAACATGGGCATCTCCATTAGTATAAGACTTGGCATTAGGATATCTTATTGCTAAATACAGGGAACATCACACTCTCATACATTAATGATAAGAACCGCCCTACTCGCCATATTTAGAGGGACGGATGTGAGCCACCAATATGATCGTCCCCCCGCCCTGGCCCTGAATACGGAGAAATAAGTGATTGAACATGTGGGGTACTGGGCTACATACCGGGCCAATATTATGCCTACTATCCCATTTACGACACAAGGGCTTAATATCTACCAACATGTAATGAATACCATGTCTTGGAATTAACATAAAACAAACAAAAAGATGTTGTTTGCGCATTGAGCCAATATGCCTCAAAAGTCAAAGAAAGGCAAAGGCCTACACGTGCATTGGCTCCTCGGAACAACTGGAATGTAACTGAAGACATTCTATGCATACAACAGACTTAGCCTGCTTTCTCGAGCGGGGATTTCCCGCGTCAGTACGTGTAAGAGGTGGCTCAGGCTTTAGCCCAGACATCTGGGCTCACCCACCGACATCATCGATCAACCAAACGTCACTCTTTTCAAGAAGAGTTTAGCTACCCCGCATCACGCAATGCTGGGTTGATTTTCGCCGGATTTGTATGTTGGCAATTGCTACAAGTTCGCTATAAGAAGGGGCGATGTGGCAGGATACGTACTTCTTCTAAGCCCTAATTCCAAGCCTTTCTGATCACAATTGACCCTTCTAAACCTCTCTACCTTTGAATTTTTCACCATGCACGCTCCAACCCCTACAAACAATCTCTACCTGGCTCAGGCCCGGGCCAGCACCGATAGCAAACATTGTATGGAGCTCTATGACAAATGGGCGGCGACCTACAATGCCGAGGTCGGCGACGAAGCTCAGAACTATGTTGCTCCTGCCCTCGTCGCTCAAGCAGCTCTGAAATTCTCATCGACATCGCATGGTGCTTCCAACAGTGTGATTCTCGATGCTGGCTGTGGAACCGGACTGGTTGGACAAGCCCTTGCCATTGCCAATGCAAAGACGATTGACGGCATTGACTTGTCCCCTGCCATGTTGGAGATTGCCAGACAGACTGGTGTCTACCGTGATCTATCCCAAGCTGACATGAATCGACCCATCGATAAGCCAGACGGAACCTACGACATTGTGTCCTGCGTTGGCACATTCACTCAAGGGCATGTTGGACCGGACCCGGCCTTAAGAGAACTGGTCCGAGTGACCAAGAACAATGGTATTGTCATTGCAACTATTCTTGATGAAATCTGGGTCTCTGGCGGCTTCAAGGCGGAGGTTGAGAAGTTGAAAGAAGAGGGCCTGGTGAATGTGGTCACCAATGAGCTCATAGACTATGTAAAGGGACACGGCGACAAAGCTGTGCTGGCTATCCTAGAAAAGAACCCTCGCGCCTGAACAACACAACACCCCAGCGACATGATCAACCCAAATGCAACTTGAACGAACGGATCGGCTTTTCAACATCCTCCCATGCGACACAAAAAGGTCTTCAACACCTTTCCAATGCAACAAAGAGATACCATTACAACGCACTTCCGGTAGCTTGCCCCGGTTATAATCCTTAGAAAATTATTGAAAGCAAATACAATTCCATAAATGTATCCGGACCTTTAGTTGGCTGATATTGTATAACTTACTCGGTGCTGAAAGGGATAGCAGCCTCAAGCAGCCATTGTTTCAGCTCAGGTCGTATGAAACATCAGCGAAATGTGTCTGATGGGATAAAGTGAAGCCAGAATACACGAGGCCTCAAGAAACCCAACAAAAACCACCAGAACATCCAACTGACCGCGAAAGATGGCCAAGATAGAAAGATACAGAAATTTCTCGTAGATCAGCATGGAAGGGCACCGACGCTAACTCGCTTTCCGACTCCGACTGTTCCTGCCCCGCATACGTCACCTCGAAAATTCCTCCTTCAACAACTACACTCATTATGAAGCAGAGATTCTCGTCCCTGGACGTGAAGGTGTGTTGAAATGCTTCATCACAGAGATATCATACTGACAGCCCTAGGTCATCACGCAGGAATTGGCCTCGGAGTTAGTCCACCTCCGTGTGTCCAACATCTACGACCTGTCCTCGGTACGTCCAACCCTTTGCTACGGAATGGACTGGACTAATTAATTTAGCGCATCTTTCTATTCAAACTCGCCAAACCGGACCATCGCCGCCAGCTCATCGTCGACTCCGGTTTCCGCACTCATGTGACTCAATACTCGCGCACAGCGGCCACAACGCCCTCTCCCTTCGTTACGCGATTTCGGAAATACCTGAAGTCGCGTCGCATCACCAGTATCACTCAAATAGGAACCGACCGCATCATCGACTTCTGTTTCAGTGATGGCGCATACCACATGTTCCTCGAATTCTTCGCCGGTGGTAATATCATCTTGACGGATCGCGATTACAACATTATCGGGCTGTTCAGACAGGTTGCCGCCGGAGAAGGTCAGGAGGAGATTAAGGTGGGACTCAAATATACCGTATCCAACAAGCAAAATTATGATGGCGTGCCGGATGTCACGACGGATCGCATTAGGCAGACACTAGAAAAGGCGCAAGAGCTCTTTTCTCAGGAGGGAAATGCACCCAAAAAGTCCAAGAAGAAGGGAACAGAGGTTTTGCGCAAAGCTTTGTCGCAAGGATTCCCTGAATATCCTCCCTTGCTGATGGACCATGTCTTTGCCGTCAAGGAATTCGACACTGCCACGCCACTGGACCAGGTCTTGGGGAATCCGGATCTTCTACAGAAAGTGAAGGAGGTGCTAGAAGAGGCACAGAGGATTTCTAAAAGTTTCGACTCTGGTGACAGCCACCCTGGATACATTGTCGCCAAGGAGGATTCCCGGCCTGCTCCTGAAGGAGAAGATTCAAAGTTAAGCCTGCTGTATGAGGACTTCCACCCATTCAAGCCTCGCCAGTTTGAAGATAAGCCGGGTATCAAAATTCTGGAGTTTGAGCGATTCAACGCTACGGTAGACGAGTATTTCTCGTCCCTGGAGTCGCAGCGACTCGAGTCGCGGCTGACCGAACGCGAGGCAGCGGCTAAGAAAAAGCTGGAATCCGTACGACAGGAGCACAAGAAGCGCATCGATGCTTTGAAAGACGCTCAAGAGCTTCATATCCGCAAGGCAGATGCTATCCAGGACAATGTTTACCGAGTCCAAGAGGCGATGGACGCTGTCAATGGACTGGTAGCTCAGGGAATGGACTGGGGAGAGATCGCACGTCTCATTGAGATGGAGCAGGAACGCGGCAACCCAGTAGCACAAGTCATCAAGCTCCCGCTTAAGCTGTACGAAAACACCGTCACCCTTCTCCTAGGGGAGGCTGGTGACGATGAGGATGACGAAGAAGATGTTTCTAGCAGCGAAGAATCAGAATCCGACTCGGAAGATGAAGAAGAGCAGGAGGCTGGACGTGCTGAGAGAGATTCCAAAGCATTGACCATCGACATTGACCTTGGTCTCAGTCCCTGGGCAAACGCATCACAATATTATGACCAAAAGAAGCAGGCATCGGAGAAAGCAGAGAGAACCGCCCAATCTTCGACAAAGGCGTTGAAGAGTCACGAGAAAAAGGTTACCACTGATCTCAAGAAGAATCTCAAGCAAGAAAAAGAGGTACTGCGACAGACTCGGACGCCATTTTGGTTCGAGAAATTCATCTTTTTCATTTCCTCTGAAGGCTATCTGGTCATCGGGTATGTAAAATTATCGACTTTGAGCTGTGACATACCCTAACTATTTATAGTGCTCGTGATGCCATGCAAAGTGAACTACTCTACCGCCGATACATGAACAAGGGCGATGTTTTTGTACATGCTGACCTAGAAGGTGCCACCCCAATGGTGGTTAAAAACCGAGCCGGTAGTGCCGATGCACCCATTTCTCCATCTACCCTCTCTCAAGCTGGAAACCTTTGTGTTGCAACATCATCTGCATGGGATTCCAAGGCCGTTATGTCTGCTTGGTGGGCACATGCTCACCAGGTATCGAAGATTGCAGACAATGGAAGTGGTATTTTGCCCACTGGATCTTTCCAGATCAAGGGGGAGAAGAACTTCTTGGCCCCGTCGCAGCTTGTTCTTGGGTTTGGTATCATGTTCCAAATCAGCAAGGAGAGTAGTGTTAAGAACCACAAGCAGCGCTTTGACGCGTTCGAAATTCCACAGATTGATGCTACACCGGCAGGACCAAATGCTGCTTCAGAACCGAAGGAAACGTCCACTGTGGCACAAGATGTGCCGGAGAAGGCACAGTCTACCTCGGAGCCTACTGCAGACACAGAAAAGGAAGCCGAAGTATCAGAAGATGAACAAGATGAAGACAACAAAGCAGCAACTCGTAACCCTCTTCAACGGGGTGACTCAGAGCTTCCAGCAACCCAGCCATCCCAAGAATCCGAATCTGAGCCCGAGTCTGAGCCCGAACCCTCAGAGGAGGTTGCAGAACCAGCTTCAGAGGGCGAAGAAGAAGCTGCATCAGCTACTCAGGCTACGATACAGGAGCCTGAAGAACCCAAGCTTACGGCTAAAGAGCGACGCACTCTGCGACAAGGCAAGCCTCTTGAGCGCGATCAAGAGCCAGCTGCCCCACGTATCGCCCCCACCCGAGGCAAGCGGGCGAAGGATAAGCGTGCAGCTGCTAAGTATGCTCATCAAGATGACGAGGAGCGAGAACTAGCTCTTCGCCTAGTGGGTGCCAACAAAAGCAAAGCCGCAAAGGCCACCCAGGCAGCCGAAGCCAAGGAGCAGCGCGAACGGGACGCCGAGGCGCAAAGGCAACGCCGACGGGCCCAGCATGAGCGTGCCGCTGAAGCAGAGCGTAAACGCCAGGCTGCATTCACTGAAACCGGAACAGACGATTACAACGAGGAGACTGCAGCAGCAGAGGCAGCAGATCTCGCTTGGATTCCTGCCTTGATAGGCACACCGACGACGGACGACGAGATCATTGCTGCTATTCCAGTCTGTGCTCCTTGGGGTGCACTTGGGCGCTACAAGTACAAGGTAAAGCTGCAGCCAGGTGCCGTGAAAAAGGGCAAGGCTGTCAAGGAGATCGTTGGTCGGTGGGTACACGAGACAACAACCGGCAAGGTCAAGAAGGAACATGCCGAAGACGCTGGAATTCCTCGTGTTGATGCGGAGCGTCTTCGCGCACAGGAGGGCGGTCTTATCAAGGGGTGGAAAGAATCAGAGATCATCAACACCATGCCTGTTGGCAAGGTGCGCATCATGACCCCAGGTGTTGGAGGTGGTGGCGGCGGTGATAAAGGTAAAGGTGGGAAGGGGGGAGGACCCAAAGGAGGCAAGGGAAAGAAGAAATGAGTCCAATGTATTAATACGAATGTATAGAGTACATAGATGAGATCCTCAATCCATGACGAGGTACCACAATGGCCATAGGTTCTTTGATCTACTATATAGGGCTATTGATTTACAGCCGATCTATATTGACCCTGGTCAAATACCGTAATCAGCCACAACCCCGCCCTAACAAGTTACTGATGTAGTTATTGCATATGCAACTCTTCTGTCTTTATATAAATATCGATAGTTCGCCGCTCTCATTAGGATCGTGTTGCGCTCATCGCCCATGCCCATCGTGCCCAACGGGATGAGTCATCCGACGTCATGGAATCGAATTTCTTCCGTTTGGCCTCTTATCGTCTCTGACGGCATTGTGCAGGATGTTAGACCGAATGGTTTAGAGACGATCTCTCCCAAACTCCATTAAGATACGAGATCGTTGCTGGAACTTGCCCCCCTCCTTTTTTGGCCCCCCAAACAGCGTGGACAAGTGCGTCATTGATCAAGGCTCTTCAAATTGCTGTTCACTCGCACTTTCGCCAGCCGCGCTCATCGCAGTTGTGCTAGATTTATAACCATGTCTTCAACCCAGACGCGAGTTCTTCCTGTCCAACGGCTGAGCCAAGGGCCCGGCGATCTCTCTCTGGCCGAATGGTGGGAGAAGGAACGCGGCCAACAAACACCTGAGTCCAAGGCCATCGAAGCCGCCGCCGAACTCCTCCGGTCGAGTGATCTCCCCGTCGCCTTTCCCACCGAGACAGTCTATGGCCTGGGTGCCGATGCCACACGCAGCGCCTCCGTCCAGGGAATCTACCGCGCAAAGCAGCGGCCCTCGGACAACCCATTGATTGTTCACGTTGACTCACTGGAAATGCTCGACCGTCTCCTCAACCCCACCGTCAAACACAATCCAGGATCGCCTCAGACGCCACGCATCGCCATTCCACCGATCTACAAGCCTCTGATCGAACGATTCTGGCCCGGCGCCCTGACTATCATTTTACACAACCCATCCGGCTCCGAGTTGGCGCCCGAGGTCACCTCCAAATTGACCACATTCGGCGTCCGCATGCCCTCTTCTCCCCTGGCGCGTCTCCTCATCCACGCCGCAGATCGCCCCCTCGCTGCGCCCTCCGCCAACGCCTCTACCAAACCATCCCCAACAACCGCACAGCATGTATACCACGATTTGCAAGGCCGCATCGATCTCATTCTAGACGGCGGACCCTGCGGCGTGGGCGTCGAGAGCACCGTAGTCGACGGGCTTACCAGCCCGCCGGCGATTCTGCGCCCCGGTGGAATCGGCATCGACGAGATCCGAGAATGTGAAGGCTGGGAAAACGTGGAAGTCGCTTACAGCGACGGAACTCTAGAAATGAAGGATATTCCGCGCGCACCGGGTATGAAGTACCGACACTATTCACCAAAAGCACGAGTCATTCTCTTCGAGCCTAAATCTACCATGAAAGGAGTCGCGAAGCATGTCCAAAAGGACCTGCAAGACAGTGCCATCGGCGCACACAAAATTGGCATCGTTCGTACGCGAAACTGGAAGCTGGGTCTGGATCTTGCTTCCGAGGACGAAGTCGCTCGTACTGCGCTAGCCGTTGACGCTCCTATTGAGAACCTCGTCAGCTTCCCGGTGCCAGTGCAAGAGAATGGTAATCCTAGCACCTGCACGAAGACGGCATACGACTACCACCTCGGCTCGGATGTAACTTCTATTGCGCATGGTCTGTTCTCCGCCCTGCGCGCGCTCGACGATCTTGATGTCGATGTCATTTATGTGGAAGGTGTATCAGACGATGAGGGCCACTTGTCTGCGGCTGTTATGAACCGACTCCGCAAGGCTGCTGGTGCCGAATTGCGGGTTTAGATGATTTACGATGATGCCAAGTGCGGGGTGCATAGATCTTCAATTTAGCTGTCAATATTAGAACGCATTCGTGCAGAAGTACATGAACGGGGCAATGAAACATCTCCTGGACTTACCACTTTAGGGCTACAGTGCCTTTGTCCTCTCGTTTTAGGGTTTGGGTTGCGATCTCGGGGACCGCCGACCCACGGACGAGGAAGGCTTATCCACCCGCTCTTCACGATAATCGGAAAAGGAGTCATAAAACGTCTCGGAGCAGGGTATAACTTGAGTCACCGGTGAAAAAAGACCGTTGCTATATATCTTGGTGTAGTCCAAGAAGTTCAACGAGAAAAAAAAGTTCGATCTCAAAATTCACCTGAACATAGCAACACCTCCCACTATGTGCCAATCCCCACTTCACGACTTCATCAAGGGCCTGCCAAAATGCGAGCACCACGTCCACCTTGAGGGCTGCTTAACCCCAGAACTGATCTTCGAACTGGCGGCGCGAAATGGCATCACCCTCCCAACAGACCCGGTCTACACCTCGGTCTCAACCCTAAGCAAACGATATGAACATTTCACCTCATTGGACGACTTCCTCCACTTCTACTTCGAAGGCATGGCTGTCCTCCGCAATGAGCAAGATTTTGCCGATCTAGCCTGGTCCTATTTCCAAAAGGCGCATTCAGACGGCGTCCACCACGCAGAAGTCTTCTTCGACCCGCAAGTCCACGAAGACCGCGGCATTCCCTACGAAACCATCGTCGGCGGATTCTCCAAGGGCTGCCAACGTGCGGAGAAAGAACTCGGCCTGTCAACGCGCCTGATTCTCTGCTTCGTGCGCCATCTCCCCGTTGACTCGGCCAAGGGTGTTTACGACGAATTACTTGCCTCCAAGCACTTCGAAGCTGGCGTCGTCCACGGTCTTGGATGGTCCTCCTCTGAGGTTGGTCCTGCAAAGGACATGTTCCGTGATATCTACGCCGATGCAAAGGAGAAGGGTATCCCGCTCACAGCCCATGCCGGCGAGGAAGGCGATCCCACTTACATCAGCACGGCGCTCGAGCTTGGTGCCACGCGCATTGATCATGGCATCCGGCTTGTGGAAGATGAGGAGTTGATGAAGCGCATTGCGCGCCAGGGAACTTTGCTGACTGTCTGCCCGTTGTCGAATGTGCGACTGCGCTGTGTGAAGTCTGTGAAGGAGGTTCCCATTCGGAAGTTCTTGGAGGCTGGTGTGAAATTCTCTATTAACAGTGATGATCCTGCTTACTTTGGTGGTTATATCTTGGATAACTACTGTGCCGTGCAGGAGGCCTTTGAGTTGAATGTTTTGGAGTGGAGGATCATTGCCGAGAATAGTGTCCAGGAGAGTTGGATCCCTGATGAGAGGAAAGCGGCTCTGTTGGAGAAGATTGAGGCTCACGTGAAGGAGTATATGTGAACTCTTTCTGCTTGATGTCCGGGTTGGGGGGTTATGGTTGGTGTATAGTATGATAGGATAGGGTGGGCGTGCATCTGATACCCTGTGTTTCAACAGCTTTGTATACCGTTTTCAACTGGAGTATATATGAAAAGCAAAAAATATGAAGATATGAATACATGAATAAATGCATAAAAAGATGTTGATTTAAAGTATTGACGAAGGTCTGACGAAGTAGATAGTAGATATGAATCCTCAGAAATCAGGCACTAGTTCCAAGTTATCTACTCCTCACTTGGCGACTCAACTTGCTGATACCCAACTGTAGCTTGCCTACACCACCGCAGTTGATGAGCCTAGTCACAACCAAAATATGCTGTAGCCTACTGAGGTCTACTTTTAAGTTCAAAGAACACCTCCGGACACTACGTCAATTTCACTCAGCGTCATCCATCGCATCGGTCTTTCCAACTCCTCAGCGCAAGGCTGGACAGCTTTACGCCTTGCCAAGAAACTGGGTCAATCAAAACACCCCCTGCACCCACAAAATGACAACTTCAACTACCTTGGACCGCTACAAACTGGTCTTCTTTGTCCCACCCTCTGACTTGGAGCCCTGCAAGGATGCAATCTTCGCAGCAGGTGGAGGATCTTTCCCAGGAGGAAAGTACACCAAATGCTGTTTTCAAACCACTGGCATGGGCCAATTTCTTCCAAATAAAGGTGCAGACCCGGCGGTCGGCGCAGTCGGTGTTGTTGAACACTGCGAGGAGGTCAAGGTTGAGATTATGTGCCTAGGTCGGTCTATTATGCTGAGGGCTGTTGATGCTTTGGTCTCAGCTCATCCGTACGAGGAGGTTGCTTATGAGGTTTATCGTATGGAGAATGTGTAGTTCGAGGGTGATACATCCATGGATGGGAGGCGGATGGTGCTGGTGAAGTATCGGTTAATGCCGAGATCTGTTCTTGTTAGGGGGCATATGGCCTGGTTAGTGATCACAATACATATTGGAATCACACCATTGGTTCACACAACCGATTCACACCATTGGCGTGGAAAATCCCATGTTTGTAAGAGGAGCAAGTTGCAGTTGCGATGTTCGATGTTGGATTGGTAAAGCGGGAGTAATCCTTCCACGCTGATTGGCCAGGGTCCGCCCGCAAAACGCCTCGTCAACTTGAACCTCGTTCTCTCCAACCTCCAACCTCATCGTCCTGCAATTGACCCTCGCATATCCACAGCGATGGCCTCCAAACTCTTCTCAGTCCCGCGGGTCGGCCGCCAGCTGATTCACCAGCTCCCCAAGCCCCAATACAGAGCCTTCTCCGCCGGCTCGCATCGGTTGAGCGACACCCTTTCGGTGGTGCGTATTCGAGCCCCTCCCAATTTCGCAATTGCGCCTCGGATTGAAGAGAAATAATTCCATGTACTGACTGTGCCCTTGTTCACCAGCACCGCAACAAGCCTCACAACAACCCGACCCTCCCGTTCAAGTTTTCCGACCAGAACCTCCAACTCGCCGATGAGATCCTCAAGCGCTACCCTCCCCAGTACAAGAAGGCCGCTGTTATGCCTCTGCTTGACCTTGGTCAGCGCCAGCACGGTTTCACCAGCATCAGCGTCATGAATGAAGTCGCTCGCATGCTCGAGATGCCCCCAATGCGCGTTTACGAGGTTGCGACCTTCTACACCATGTACAACCGCGAGCCCGTTGGCAAGTACTTTGTGCAGATCTGCACAACGGTAAGCAGCACAGACATAATTGGTTTCAGGCAATGTCTAACTTGATCAGACCCCATGCCAGCTTGGTGGCTGCGGTAGCGATTCTATCGTCAAGGCTATCAACGAGCACCTCGGAATCACCCCTGGCCACACCACCGAGGATGGCCTCTTCACATATATCGAGGTTGAGTGCCTCGGTGCTTGCGTCAACGCCCCCATGGTCCAGATCAATGACGACTACTACGAGGACCTGACTCCCGAGTCTATCAAGACTATCCTGACCGCACTCAAGGACTCTGCCGCCGCCACTGGTGCCGGCGCCAAGATTCCTGCCCCGGGCCCCGTCAGCGGGCGCGATACCTGCGAGAACAGCGCCGGTCTGACCAACCTGAACGAAGTTGTGTGGGATCCGGAGACGATGATGCGCAAGGACAACGCATTGGACGCGCAATAAGAGAGCCGAACAAGAAAGAGAAAAGAATGTATACCCTCTTCACATTGCCGTGGGTCAATTCCGGATGGGAGGGGATATTATAATGGTTGTGTTTTTTGAATTGGACGAGCAAAAGCCGCGCCTGGGTACCGTGGTCAACCATGGACAATAGAGGTTCCCGCGAACTCCCGGCGCCCTGAATGATAACCACTCTGAGGCGTCCTTTCTACCTGTTTTTTTTTGTCTGTCTACCTTGTACAGTACGTTTGTTCCTGGTCTTGGTGTGATCGGAGCCTGGATACAGATCTGGCCCAGTCGCTATGGGATATGGGGCCAATCGCATTTTCCTTAAGCTTTTCATTTCATTTTTATCATACTGAGCCTGTAGTTGCGCACACGTATATTTCGGCTTGACCTTATACAAGACCTATCCATCATCGAACTTACACGTACTACGAAATAAGTATGGCACATATCTGCGTCACAGAACTTTTGACGGCCAAAGAAAATGTATCAAAAGAATGGTACAAATGAAGCGATGAATCATCACATTGATTACCCTATGTTTAGTATAGCTTCGCGTAGAAGTGTCACTTTCGGTAGGCTGGTTGGCTTAGAAGCCTAGCTTTTCTGGCAAGCATCGTTTCAGCCCGCCAAAGTTGAGATCACGCGTAGCCATTGTATTACTAGAAGAGAGAGAGGGTTTTCGATCCATAGCGAATGATCAGCCTCAAATTTTGCAAGCCGCACCAGATCTATGGTGTTACATATGGTTGAAACTGCGCATCAGAAGAGACAATACCTCTCCACTGGGCATTCTCCATTGCATGATTTAGCTTCGCTGGGGTACATGTTGTCTTGTTTGTTCATTATTGGAGTGGTCTCTTTAAAAATAGCCTATTCTATAACTTAGAGAGGCTGAAAACGTGTATTTTATAGAAAGATGTCCTAAAATTATAGCAAGTTTTACTACGCTTTTGCCGGTATTAAAGGCCTGTTATATCAGGGCTCCTTTTCTATTTGAACTTGATTCGTTTAACTAGATCAAGTTAGCTAAAATGAGTCGTTCTTGGGTCTCTTTATATCATCATCTACGCCTTCTTTTGTGCTCACAAGTGAACACGACTTAAGAGCAAGACTACCGATAGAGCAGTCACTTTTTTCTAACCTTCCTACTCAGTCAAGCCTCTACACAACTTTACATAAGAAAAGAAAGTGCAGCAGAAAATCTCGATTTGCCAACTAAATGGCGCGCTCTGTTACTCGCCGAGCACTCTCTCCAGGCCGGGTGCCACCTGGAGAGAGTGCTCACACAACATTCCCATTCTCGTCCTCCACCCGCTTCCCCGAGCACCTAACATCGTTCGGGAGGAGGGCCTCCTCTTCCACGAGGCAGGCCACCCCCTCCCGCTCGACCAGCGTCCCATTGCCATTTGTGGCATTGCGCCGGGCGAAGATGTTCACCTCCACCGTCCCCCTCACCAGGAGATGGTAGACTTGTACGGTACGCTTCTGCCCGTACCGCCGGGCCCTGCCGATAGCTTGGGTCATTCCTGCCGCATATTCGGGCTGTGAAGCCACGAACAGAGGCGACAGGAAGACCACGTGGTTGGCACACTGGAGGTTTCTGAGCGTAGAGTGAGATTAATGTTAGCATAAATCTGTCAATAAAGTCAGTAGAAGGATGAATAAGAAGTAAGCTTACAGTCCAGCTGCCATTGCGCTGCCGAGGTTTAAGATCAGGGCCTTTGCCCGCGGGGACTGGGCCTTGCCCTTCTTTGCCTTTGGGCCCTCGATGAACTCATCAATCAACTTCATGTCCCTGTTGGTGATGATGGTTCGGTGCTCAACACCGGCCTTTTGAAGGGCACTCGACGTGATTGACATCAGCTGGCCAATCTGTGCGAAGACAAGGACTAGTTCATCCTCCGGGACGCTACGGACAATTTCGACAAGCTTGCTTAGTTTCGAACTATTGCTTGTTTGATCTTCCTCTAGAACTGATGGGCCAGATATGACCTTGGAGACTGCGGTCACCTTCCCGTCGCATTTGAGGCAGATACATTGCTTGGCCTCAAGGGAAGCTTGGGTGCAACCCTTGCAGAGGGAGTGTCCACAGGTTCGGAGAATGCCAATGTCAGCAAGATTGTCCTGCTGTTTAGCGCAGCCATTGCAAGGTGGGATAGTGAAGGCGTGGATGGCAAGCAACGCATTGTAGAAGCGGATCTCGCGATCGGATTCGATGGCCGACTTTAATGAACTCATGATATCGCTGGTCAATGTCTTGCTCATGGCGAGAGATGCTCGTTTGCGATCTCCATAAGAGGAGCCAGTAGTCTTTTTGATTTTCTTCCTGGATGGTTCTTCTGATTCATCATCGTCGGTACTTTCTGCGTCTGCGTCTGCAGATTTTCCATGACTAGTACTCTTCGCAACCGTTGCATTGAGAGCCTTTTCGAGTCTTTCATTGACCTTGGTGACGACGTTCTGGTGTTCCATGAGCACAATCCATTCTTCGTATGACTGTTGGCAATTGAACAAGAGATCTGAAACTCTGCTGTTGGCCTGCAAGTCTCCAATGTTTGACTTGGAGATAAATTCCGTCAATAACGAGAAGTTGAACGGGTTGTCGTCGCCGTTGTATCCTACCACAATTACCTGTCGACATAGGTTGTCGAGCTTCGCCCAGTTGGCTGTAGATCTGGCTACGTTGGTTTCCAACGTCACGCGACATTTTTCAATGTCCCACTGAGGCTTGCCAATCCGGGTCGTTGTGCAGCACATGATGAGGGCTTCCGGGGGAGACTGGCTTTTTGTAAGATGGTTGTTTAAAGGACCGTCGATGCGCTTTCGATTTTGCATCACTGCATCATACAAGATCTCGTATGCTTCATTCTCTTCAGGCGTTTGGTCAATGAGGACAATGTTGGTCTCGAGCGGGATGTGGTCGATCTCCGCGATGTTTTGACGTGCGAACTGGTCAAGGAATATTTGAGCATGCTGTTCACGAGTTCTGTACCATGCATTACTTCGAGGAACCTGGTACATCTGGAAAGCTTCTGCGGCAGTATGATTCTTCCGGATCATTTGCAGTCTCTTGTTCTGAGATATTCTGTCATTATCGCCATCGTCGTCAATGCCAAGGTCAAGGCCAAGATATCGCGCAATACTCTTGATATCAGCGAATTCACTGAGTCCGGGTGTTCCTGAGAGAATCCATTTGGAGCGTGCCTGCACTGACAGCAGGGACACCTGTCGTTCTTCCCCGGCATATGTGTACTCGTCGATGACCAAACGATTCCAATCGAAGGCGTGGATGAAAGCATTAACAGTGCGCCAGTCCTGTCCGGCACGAATGCCGAACGCTGTTGCATCATTTGCTGTGATGCTCGATTTGGGTGGAGGTTTGACATCTGAGACTGCTGATTTAGTAGACTGAGTCTTTTGTCGCTTTGCTTCTGGAATTTTCTTTTTCTGTTTGATTTTTCTTCTCTTGTGCTGGTTCGCATTCGCATCAAGATCACTGTCATCAACATCCGATGTATCAGAGTCTTCGTATCCAGAATCACCAGCGTTCAAAACTTCTTCGGAATTAAAAGATTGTTCAGTCTCGGTCATATGTGCTGTAGCGGCTGTAGATGTAGTTTCTACATTAAATTTGCCATTGGCTGCTTGTTCCTGAGCAGCTGCGAATGCTTTGCCTTTAAGGCGTTTGGAAGGCACGTATGTGAAATTTGCCTGTGCTGTTTGAACTGCCTGGCGTCTTGCTTTGATTTCTTTCAGTAATGCTTCAGGCCCTTCAGATCTCAAAATACCAACAAGTTCCCGAAGTGAAGTTCTGGCATTGTAGAACCAACTGTCAAAGTTACGGCCTGTTCCTCCACCTGATCTTGCTGGAGCTTGAGGTGTTCCGGTAAATTTTTGAAGCCGGTTGTAGTAGCTGTCGTTTGCCAAGATACTCCATGATAGGATAACGATATCGGCATCTTGGATATCTTGAATGGTAGTCTTGTTGATCGAGTCCAGTGCAAGGACCTTATACTTCTGTCCAAGGAATTTCTTGGTTTCCGCATGCCATTGCTTGAACACGTTATTTGGCACGATGATCAGGGTCGCTTTTGTGAGAATCAGCTCGTTGCTTTCATCCGGGATTCGATTGCAGTCTTTGGTGTACTGTGCATCAATCAAACCAAGAACAATTGCCGTCTTTCCATATCCAACCTCGTCAGCCAGCACGCCGCCGCGAACAATTTTGGGGACTGTTGCTTTGACTTCGGCACGCCAGGGCATCAAAGGAAGAATTGACTCTTCTACTTCTTCTTCCATAAAGGGCGCAATAGCCTCTGACTCTTGAGAAATCATCCAGCTTAGTGATTTCAACTGTTCATTGCGTAGAGAAAACAGGAAGTTGGGGGGTTGTGATGAAGGAGTATCTTTTGAATTGTCTAGCAATGTGAATTTGAGATCGATGTCTTGTTGACCCAACTGAGACTTCTGCATATCGTATGCATGGGGAAGGAGTCGCCAATGAGAGGTGATGTTTTCACGAAGTTCGAAGCCAACCAATTTTCCATGCGCTTGGTGCATCAGAGCTTGAACGTTGAGGGTGAAGCACAATTCGCCTTCTCCGTATTCATTGATTCTTCTAAAGACCACGAAAGGTGATGGTCGAGATTTAATAGCACGTTCATATGTAGCAGCATCCTGAGGGTTCTCATAAGGAGTAATTCGATCTTGGCTGTCCCGTCCCCAGAGGATATTGGGGAGAAGAGGATTGCAGATGTTGCAGTTCACACTCACATCATGCGCATGTTCCGGAATTTTGGAATATACAATTTCATTCCATTCCTTGAAGTCGGACCATCCAGCAATCTTTGGAAATAGCCAAGCGAGGCCCTTTAGCTCTCTCATTGATACCATGGGATCCCATGCTTGCCATTCAGGTGTTGCGTCGGGCAAGCTATGGATCATTGTTGGAACGGACAATGAAGTGAGGGGGATGTAAGCATTGTGACATTTTGAAGTTGTGATCTCGATCTGAGTTGCTTGTGGCAAGGCAAAGTAGGTTAGCCTTTCGAAATGGACATTCAACTTCATTTTTGGAGCTTTGGCCCAACGTCGACAGTAAGCATTGACTTTGCTTGGATCTTTTGAGGCATTCAAAGCTCTCCAAGTTGGGGATAACTCTGCGATGGTCATTCTTTGCTCATACCCAGGAAGGCGGCTGTGATCAAGAGAGAATACACAGGCATCGTCTTTGGGGAGGGTGAGCTTTTGCGTGTCAAGAAAGAGGTAAACAGTAGACTGGCTATCAGTGGCCTTCCTTCTGTACATTGCTCCAAGTGCTGTGCCACAATGAGGAAGAGCCTCGTAAAATCCTCGAATGTTGCAGTCAAGGTTCGCGAGATCGGTGTCTGGTGCATCAATGTAGAGATGAGTCCAGACTTGACTGTTAACGAAATTGGTGCCTTTCAGGCCACAATCTGCCTCGAACGATCGAACTTGCCGCTCTATTCCAGTGATATTGACAATGAATGCTGTGCTCGCGGGGCAACACACCTCCCAGTCACCCTCAATTAGTGACTCATTGTTCGGTCTCATGCGTGCGATTGGCTTTGCTAGCACTTCACGGATGGGACTTCTCAAGCTCGCAGACTCAGGTGGTTTTGCATACAAAAGCCACTGAATTGAGTCCGGTCCAATATCAAGATACAAGCTGGAGTATGGTCCTTGATAAATGACCCGCCAGTTCCTTCCACGCTTGACTTCTAGGAATTGGAAAACATTGGTGCAAATGGATTTGACAGTGTGCATGAAGTTGTCCCAGAATCCCGAGAGGGTTTTATCGGAGTAAAAGGATTTGAATGCTTCGAAATCTTGTTCACAAAATCCTGAAAATGTAAGCTTCATGGGAACAAGATCTTTGATATTTGCGATGAACTCTGATGGTTCAAGTCGACAGTCGTATTCACGTAGATATGAGTGCGTGGGGTTTCCGTAGCAGGAAATACAAGCGGAGTGTCCGCAAAGGGTGCAGGTGAAAATTGAGTCCTTGATGCCAGTCTGTCTCTCGCATGAACAACGCATGACGGTTCTTGCTGACAGTGTTTTGAGATCATGGTGGCTGACAGGGCGATTAGAAACGACCTCAAGGCTGCTCCTCACAAGGCTGTAATCTTTGGAGATCAGGAGCGGGATATCCTCGGTAACAGCAGACTCGGTCGATTCTTCATCACTGTCAAGAATTTTGCACGCAGCTATCAGACCCGCAAGCATCACTGCACAGACGACAGTGCTAGTCATTGCATTCCCAGCCATGTCCATTAAGTCGCCTTGGGATTCTCTGGTTAATAGCATTCGATCAAAGGGCAGCCCTTGTAGCGAAAGAGCCTCTGTGCCAGATACGGGTCCTCCACGGGTTGTCACGAACGGTATACCTTTTGGAGTCAGGCAACCAGCGATTCCAGATGCAGCAAGAGAGTCACGCCCTCGATCGACGCCCTGAGACAAGTCGATCCAACGCCTGTGTGAGATGACAGTTAACAAAATATCCATCAAATGAACGTGAGAGAATAGAGAGTACTTACTCTTTAAAGTTCATATCGTATCCGCTAACAATCCTCTTTAGAAAATTCATATCCACTGTTTCCCACACTCTCTCAGGCTGCGTTTTCATGAAACGATGCCAGAAGAAATCGGGTACCTTGAGCAGATTGACTCCAGGTTGGGACCGGGTGATTGGTCGTTCGTTGCCCAGTTCCAATTCATCACGATGGCGCTGATGACGAGATTGGTAATTCTGCCAGTTGATGTCGCTTCGGAACTCTAGACACGCCCTTTTCTCAATGGACTCGAGTCGGCGGTCGTCGTCGGATAACAAAAACATTCCAACAGGCGCACTTGCTCGTCGTTCAAAGGAGCGAACAAGCTCGCGAACTGTACGATCCAGTTTTTGAATATCAGCCTGGCACTTAAGATCTCCAAGGAGACCCGCCACTTGCAAACGACGCTTGTCAATGACCACCAAGTAACCACGTTCACGTGTCTGCGGAATGTAGTAGTGCTTTGTGTCGACTTTTAGGTCAACTGACATGTAGTCGAGACCCTCCCAGATTTTCTTCATCTGTGCCCATGGGGCATTGCGAACATTCTCCTGGATGATCAACCGGGGGCGATATTTCTCCGCATACCGTAACAGACCATCAAATGTGGCCCCGGACTCTCCATCTTGCTGCAGAGTCTTTTTGCGGTTATTCAGTGAAGAAAAGTCGACGCAGGCGGTTCCTGCAACCAATATGTCCAGGTTACCGGGGACCAATTCCGATGATCCATAAGCCGTTCGCCTAGAGAGCGAGGTTAGCTAATTCGAATGTCATTGAGAATGTGGAATTGCACTGACGCCGTGTCTCCTCCGAGTTCCGTGATGTCACGAAACAGGAGTGGGGGTCGGAAGTTTCGCTCAATGTATGATTGCTTGAACGGAACAATCTCACAGCTGAAGGCATGCGAGATACGAAGTTGCCGGTCTATACCTAGACCTGATAGGGAGTATTAGCAATTCATCTCAAAAAGCCACGAACCCGAGCAGAAATCAATAGGTCAGAGACACAAGGGTAAGGGCACAGAGAAAGACAGGTGAAGTTTGGGCAAGAAGGGGAAGCCCTGAATGCTCGGCGTCGCCAACCGGAGCGCCAACACCTTAAATCGTCGACAACCCTCAAATTGCCTATCAGGCTCTCTCTCATTGACACAACCAGTCAATCTCATCTCAGTCATACACGAAGTGAGTTCAACACGACAGGAAGATCATGATACTGAACCGGTGGTAGGAAATGATCGAGGTGCTTACCGGTTGAAATCATGTCCAGGGCCAGTAACGGGGCTTCCGTTCCTGAACACATCGTTGCCACACGAAGTGGCCGCTTACCAAGTTGACAGAGGACATCCAAAAATCCCCTTTCGAGGGCCTTGGACGCCATGTCAGCGAAGATATCTTCCAGCCTATGCAGAGGCGACAGATCACTGGCTAGATACCTGGTCGTGGTAATCAAGCATCCTCGACGCAGCTCTGGAATCTCTTCGACCACAGGGTCTTGCTCATCCATTGCCGGATCAGCCACCGACTGCTGTCGGTTTGTACCCTCCTGAAAAATGATGGCCGGAACCGGAGGAGTAGATGGGGGGTCAAGATCCGACATAATTGTGAAGAGAATGGAAAGATTCGGGACTTGATGCCCAACAAGTGAATTCTCACGAAGGAGACGTGTGGCAGGCAACACCAAAACAAACCAGGGACCAGGGGAGGATGAGATGATGCAAACAAGACTTTATTGACTACAGGCTCATCGACCTTAGCATGAGATGCTGGGAATGCAGGTCTTGAAAGAAGCATAGAATGAAAACAAGAGCAGCAGGAGGAAGAGGAACAGGGAGAGGAAGAGGAAGAGGAAAAGAGACTCGAGGGGGAAATGAGAGGAGACGAATGACTGGCGGCTGGGAGAGCTCACGCCCAATCAGGAAATGTTGACGCCAAACATACGGGTATGAAGCGACGGCAACATGTCAACAGCCATGACAGTACGGCGACAATACGGTGACACCAACTTCACATCGGCATCGCCGGCCGTATGCCTTCATGCGCCTATTGACTGAACTGATGCTGCATCTTTTCCCAGTCCCAAGTTGGTGTTCCAATGGCTCCATTGCTACATGTTAATACTCAAAACCCCCGCATAACAGTGAGCAGTAAGATATAGAACGATTCGTGAATATAGATAAGCTGCATGGCAGGTAAGTATATACTATGCCTCATCAATGGCCAGTTAGTGAGGTAGGGCTAGCGGAGCACGTGCAATACTTTCGGCGGCTGCATATCCGAATAGTCGAAGACCAAAACGAGAGCTAAATGTCGTTCAAGTCAATCGATGCCATTTGAGTACTTTAAATTATTTGACCCTGGTTCATGGCGTAGTCCTGGCTTTTTTTCTATTATTTTTGAAATCGGCCACACTCACTTGACAGGACCAAAACGATGAGCAAGGCTGGCTTCAAACGCAGTAACAGCCTTTTGGCGTAGGAACCCGGGCTCATTGAAGCTGCCAGGGAAAATCTGTGGTCAAGTTCGAAATTCTCGTGGAGAAATTGTGCCGATTTTAATGTCTAAGAAATTGAAAGGAAGAGTGCAGAGTCCCGATTGATTGTCATATTGTCATTTGAGAGTTGGGCTCTGATTAAGCTGATATGCAAATCTGTAGAAAAATAATCAACAAACTCCCTGCGCCATCCATTCGCCTAATGAAGTAGAATCGAAATTTGAAAGACATCATGAGCGCCGTTGGCTACGAAGTCGCAGCGATTAGATGCTCAATCTTCGTAGAGGAAGAATTTTGGGTCTTCATGCAAGCCACTACCGCATACCGCCTTGCATAAGCTGCTGGCGGAGCAACATGATCTGACTGCGTTCCATGGGACCGAGCGCATCAATCTGCGATTGTGGCATGCTTAGCACTTGTTGAAGAAGCTCTTCCTGGCCCTGCATCTGTGGAGCGGGTTGAGCAGGCGGGGGAGCGAAAGGAGTTCCCGTAACGGGCGGTGTAGATATCTGGCCCGGAACACCGTATGGCTGGAATTGCTGGGCTTGTTGAGGGGGAGGGGCTTGGGGTTGGGCTGCCTGTTCGACGATTGAACCGAGCAATTGGTATTCGACCAGGTTCATGAGAAGCAGAGCCTGGAAGATGGCGTAGGCGAGCTGGGGTGCTTGGCGCAACAATTCAGTGGCGCGAGCTGGGTCTGCAACAGCAAGAGACTTCATCTGAGTGAGGACATCAAGAAGTTGATTCGGGGGGAGAGATGCGAGGGTATGGGAGATGGCGTTCGGGCAGTCAATGTGTGGTGGCAGTTCAACGCCTGGCGGCAGAGGTGGCAGCGGAGCTGAGCCAGGAATTTGTTGCTGCTGTGTGGTATCTTGATTCATCATGGGCTGAGACTGTTGCGAATAGTCTGGAGGGATGGAGTCCTTCTCGTTGTTGTGAGGCCAGTCGACACGAATCTTACGGCCCATGACCTCATGGTCGTTGAGGTTGCGCACCGCTGAGGCAGCGGAGTCGGGGTCGGCGAAGTCGGCAAACCCATACCCCTTGGGCTTGCCAGTCTCGGGATTCATCATCAATCGGAATTTGGTGACGGTGCCGGCTGTGCTGAGGATATCTTTGACTTGCTCCTCAGTGAGGTCTGCAGCTGGATTAACATCGTGTGTGGAAGGCATCGTTTCAAGAGCACTCACTATAGGGGATGTTCCCCAGGAACACACTCTTCCCAGTTCGATCAGGCGCCATAATTGCAATACTAATCGGAAAATGAGTACGAATCTGAAAGTCGATGCGCGACAGAGGAGAGCTAATTCTGCCACCGCCGCAGCTTAACTTCACATCCACTGAGCGTCAGACCAAGTCCGCCCTCATCCATCTCCATTATCTCCCCACGCTTTTTCTCACATCATGTCTCAAAATCAACGAGAGGCCTGGGAGCGTCTACAGGTCATGCTGTCCCGGCGCAAGGCTGGCTTCGGCGGTGGCCTCCCCGGTGGTGGCCGTGGCGGTATGGGACTCGTCGGAACCCTCGTTTTGGCTGGTCTTGGTACCTACGTCGCTTCAAATGCCCTGTTCAACGGTATGACTTGATTCAATTCTAAGGAAGTTACGTCTCTAACTCGATTCTAGTCGACGGTGGTCACCGCGCGATCAAGTACTCTCGTCTAGGTGGTGTCAAGAAGGAGATCTACGCCGAAGGTAAGAAATCTATCTTGCCGCGAAAGAGAGCTATCTGACCTTGTTGAACTATTCTAGGAACTCACTTCCAGATTCCCTGGTTCGAAACACCGATCATCTACGATGTCCGCGCCAAGCCTCGCAACATTCCCTCTCTTACCGGCACCAAGGACTTGCAGATGGTGAACATCACTTGCCGTGTTCTATCCAGACCCCGCGTCGATGCTCTTCCCCAGATTTACCGCACACTTGGCCAAGACTTCGATGAGCGAGTGCTGCCCTCGATCGTCAACGAGGTGCTGAAGAGCGTTGTTGCTCAGTTCAACGCCAGTCAACTGATTACGCAGCGTGAGAACGTTGCCCGTCTGGTTCGGGAGAACCTTGCTCGCCGGGCTGCCCGGTTCAACATTGCTTTGGACGATGTGTCTCTGACGGTATGTTAAGATGCTCCAGGATTGAGCTAAACAAGTTCTAACAAGCTATTTTGTGCAGCATTTGACCTTCTCCCCCGAGTTCACTGCCGCCGTTGAGGCCAAGCAGGTCGCTCAGCAAGACGCTCAGCGTGCCGCATTCATGGTTGACAAGGCTCGTCAAGAGAAGCAGGCATTCATTGTTCGCGCACAGGGTGAGGCCCGCTCGGCTGAGCTCATTGGTGACGCCATCAAGAAGAGCAAGAGCTACATCGAGCTCCGCAAGATCGAGAACGCTCGTCACATTGCCCAGATCATCCAGGAGAACGGCGGCAAGAACAAGCTCTACCTTGATTCCCAAGGTTTGGGCTTGAACGTCAACGCAAACTCCGAGGAGGCCAAATAAACTCATTCCACTTCAAACTTAATGGCGCTGCTGCAAGGGATGTGAATTACTGTACAAATAGCTGGATTAACAATCATCCAAATGTTTTCTCTTCTCTAATATTTAAGTGGTTTCATCCTTTGTAAAATTAAAAGGTGTAGCTCTCGTTGGTCAACATATATTTTCTCCGCGCGGGGACGAAGGCGGCGAGGACATTTTTTTGTCACGGAGGGGCACGACTTTTAGTCTGATAGCATTTTTACATTCCACTAGCATTGCCAGATATAAATCAAATCCGTGAGTATTGACCAGAACTAATCGGACGGCATCCTTTGTTTCAAACACAAGAAACTTAATTGACAGCGATCAGACAATGCCCGAAGTCACCGACGACACCCCAATCCACCTCACAGAGGTCGACATCGACCTCGACGTGCAAGAGATCCTCCTCGCAGCCTCGCAACATGACATCCCTAAGCTGCGCGGCCTCCTTCGCACCCAGTCCCCTCTACCAGATGCAGCAAATGTCAAAGACAGCGAGTCAGGCTTCTCACCGCTGCACTCTGCGATCGCCGCCTGCGAGCTGGACAGCGACACCGAGGGCGCTCAGAACGGAGCCAGTGGCGCCGAAACTTCAGAGCTTAACCCTAAGGGCCTGGACAATGAGACTCTCAAGTCAGCAGTAGAGACAGTCAAGTTCCTACTGCAAGAAGGCGCTATCTGGAACGATCTCGACTCGAACAACGAAACACCCGGCTGTCTCGCTAGGCGCATCGGAGCTCTCGAGCTATACGGCCTCATCGTCGACGCAGGTGTGCGTGCAGAGCTTCTCATGAACCGCCTCGACGCGTACGAAGAGCTATCCGATGAAGACGATGAAGATGAAGAAAACGAGGAGAAGCAAGAGAACGATGATAACCAGGCTGAGACTGCCAACACAATCACCGAAACCGAGGCCGAGACAGCACCTGAACTCGTCGATGCTACGACCACCAACCCCGACGTGAACAACCCCCAATACCTGGAATCATCACTAAACATCCAAAACGACCGAATCCTAGACTCGGACCAGAACGGCGTCATGATGGCATGGGAAAGCGACATTATGCGCAAATCTGCCAAGGCACTCCTCCCAACTCCAGGCCTGAAAGTTCTGAACATCGGACACGGCATGGGTATCGTCGATGGATTTTTCCAAGAGCAGCAGCCTGCCTCGCACCACATTGTTGAAGCGCACGCGGACGTCGTTGCGGAGATGAAGCGTCGTGGCTGGGATTCTAAGCCTGGTGTTGTTATTCATCAGGGCCGTTGGCAAGATATTCTGCCTGGTCTTGTTGCCGCTGGGGAGACGTTTGATGCTATCTACTATGATACTTTTGCTGAATCTTATGCTGATTTCCGGGAGTTCTTCTCCGAGCAAGTCATCGGATTAATGGAGCAAGAGGGGCGGTGGGGATTCTTTAATGGCATGGGTGCCGATCGGCAGATCTCATATGATGTCTACCAGAAGGTGGCTGAGATGGATCTGTTCGAGGCTGGGTTTGATGTGCAGTGGGAGGAGATTGCAGTACCCAAATTGGAGGGTGAGTGGGAGGGTGTGCGGAGGGCTTACTGGGTTGTGGATGATTATAGATTGCCGCTGTGCAAGTTCATGGATTGAGGGATCTACCTGAAGCTACCGGAAAGTAGGATGGGACTTGGAAAAGAATCAAAGAAACAGACATTGGATGTCTATGACTGAATGCGACTGAATGCGGCGCTTGAAAATGCTAAGCAATGGCTGAAAGAAACTATGTACAAAATAACATCACATCACAATTGAATCAGATCCACCTGAGAGAAATCCGGAGGACTGCGACTGAATATCGTCCGACACTTGGCATCCAGCGCCTGGTATTCGTTACTGAGCCAGATGTGTTTGCTGAAGCGCTGGGTACGATAAACCTCGTCGTCACTCACACCCAAATCGTCACGCGGGATCCAGATCACTGGCCGCTTCGCGCGAAGTGCTTCGTGTTGGAAAGCACGCTGCACCAGCTGATCGCGCTCATCGGGTGTGAGATCCTCGAGTTCGTCATGGATGCCAGCAAAGAGAGCTTGGCCAACTGTGTTTGGAGCTGGTCCCTGATTCTCGGTATCGAGGGCCATCTTTTCCCGCATAGCTCGAATCGTTGGTGTTGAGCTTGGTGAGTTAAGCCCAAAATATTTAGATCGACGCTTGGATGCATTGCTTGCCCATGATGGACGTTTGTGCTCAAGCTTGGGCGTTGATAAAAGACTGCCTGAATCTTGTCGCTTCTGGTCTAAGCCATTGGTCTCCAAAGGTTTCAGCTCGATATCCCGAGCATCCTGTCCTTGCTGACGCTCTCGGCGTTCCTCCTGTTTGAGGGCGTGTTCAACATCATCAACCTCATCGTCATCCATAGCAAGCCCGAGGCGAGCGTGCTGGGCCCGGCGGAACTCATCATCGCGTTTGATCGCAGCTTCCTCCAAAGTGATCGGTAGGTAGCGAATCAGAGGACTGAAAGCATCGTTGAGGAGGAGCTGGTATCCAATCGTCAAGACGAGAATCACAACCATGCAAATACCCTGCCCTTTGCAGGCCACATTATCTTTGTCATCCCGAACCAAGAAGAACAAGCCAATCAAGCAGACCTCCATCACGTAGAGTCCGGTGAACAATTGATTAATGGCCTTGGGAAATAGAAGACCGCCAGTATCAAACCGGAATTTGGTGACATAGAGTGTGTTATATCGATAAACAAACCAGAATAGGCTGAAGGTGATGATATTGAAAACCAAAATCAAAGGCGCAATAACAGAGTAGATCAATCCTATAAAGTTTAGACGAATGCGTAGCAATAAAGTGGGAGCATGACTTACCAATGGAAGCGAGCGTGGTATAGACTGGGAAGAACGTGCCCCATTGCATCTGATTGAGGTTGGTTGTTCGAGCCCACTTCTTCCGAGCAGTTGAATCCAGAATAGGTGCCAGAATAAACCAGCTCACCAGGCCAAAGATTTGCACAAGAGCGCCAGCGCTCACGGACATGGCTTGCAGAATCATGTAAGAGAAGAAGTAGTTACTGGACTTGGGGATGTTTGAAGCCAAGAGTTCTGGCCAGCTCGTCACGTCGGTGATATTCTCGATGACTGTTGAGAAACTGGAGGCGATTGTAACAACCAAAAACAGCTGAACAAACAAGAAGGCAAAATAGTAGTTTTGTACAGTGAGTTCGACGGACATGCCTGTGAAAAGACCCTGCGTACGACTCAGGAAGCGAAGAGTAAGGGGGAGAAGTGCCATCAGGATCGCCAAACATAGCGCGGGAAGAATACCCTGGATAGCCGAAATGAACCAGTCTGGGAGCTTTCCAAGCCAGGCTAGCCATGGAAATGCGCCCTCAAGGTATGTCAATTGCGAGAGTAGACCAGTGAAAGCGACGGGGAAGGCCCATCCAACGACCATTGCACACACCAAGGTGAGTATACCAAACGTGCGAAGATAGCGCTCCCACCATTTGATGGACATGTTATCCCAAATGACATCGTCGGGGGAGATCTCAACAACTCGAGGTGCCATCTGCTTTGGAAGATGATGGCTGACGGCCTGACAGGCCATGTGAGCAGCAACCTGGTGATTGAATTGGACGAAGGCCGAGTTCATTAGAGGGAACCTCTCGGGATGCTGCTGATCGATTTCAATTTCCAAGTTCAAACGAGCGAGCTCTTTGCGACAATAATCGATTGTGTCGACCTTCTTTCCGAGTAGCCAGATTGAGGGCATCCAACTCCAGCCAAAGATAGGCAGACGCATGGTATCCCGATCTTTGGGTCGAATATACTCTTTCCACAGCGGCTCTCCATAATTCTCATTGTCGAAATTTTCGTTGTAGGCGACAGGATACTCTTCCCCATCAATCTTATCTCCCCTCTTTTTGACATCTAATTTGTCTTTTTCGTCGTTAGCAGCCTTGGTAAAACCACGGGGAGGTGCAACGGTAGCAGGAGTGTCAGGTGCAGTCAGTGGGTATTCATCAGGTTCCGGCGTACCCTGGGATTTCGTATGAGATGACATTCGTCTCCAAAATGGTGGTTTCGATGAAGACGATTTATCACTGAACTTGGTATCGTTGTGGCCTCGGTCAAGGGTTTCTGGCAGCTGCTGGGACCGAAGAGACTCTCCAGACGTCTTCTTAGTAGAAGCAGCACGATCGATTCCCGGAGTGTGCCCCCGGGGAGGAAGAATATCGTCTGTGGTGGCAACAAAGCCTCGCGTTTGCGTCAATGTCCCTTCAACACCATTTTCGGCTTTTTTGAAACCCCCAAGCACAGATTTGCCGAGTCTCCCAACACCTTGGCCAACGACTCCAGCAGCTGCAAGAGCAGGATCGAAAACTCGTCGAGGTCCATCCTGAGTTCGTTTGGCGTGTCCGTCTGTTGGGTCTTGGAGCATCTCTTGTAACGTGTGAGCGTCATGAGGATTGCCAGTGCTGACACCTGGACCCATGGCAATTTTGGAGGCTCTTTTGTCTGCTGCCTTCTTCTCCCGTTTCTCAGCACTTGTTGTTTTCTCGCCGGATTTCTTTGCCTCGACTTTGGCCTTCTTAAGTTGCGCCTCTTTGCATTTCGAGATCAAGTCTGTCTCGGCACTTTCAAGTTTAAGGGCAAGCTTGTTGCGCTCCTTCACTTTTTCATTCAGCTCGTCAAAGTTCCGATTGATCCAAATGTTTCTCACGCCTCCTGGGAAAACGTCGTATAATCTGTCAAGGGCATCCATATTAAGCCAATCTGGCGGGATGGAGGTGACCAGCACGGTGGTCGCAGAAGCACGAAGTCGATGTTGGGGAGAGGTTAGGTAGGCCTGTCGCAGGCGAATAAAGCCCCGAAGCTCATCAAAGAACACGGCACAGACATAAACGATGACAATGATAGCCATTACCAAATGAGCCCAATAGCGGCTCGTATGTTCAGGTGTGATATTTCCCCATGCCAATTGGTCCAGGCCAGTAACAGCCCATCGATCACCAGAAGTCCCATTCTTGAACGAGGTACCTTTACCGCCGGCGCGGTTGATCGGAAGTAAAACTGGAAGAATCAACAGCCCCAAAGGGAGAAAAATCTTCAGCAGCATGCGCAGATAGCGCAAGAAGAAGTATGCATCTAGCCCACATTTTTGGATGAACTCGGAGCTGGAGGTACGGAAAACAGGGCCAATCCAGTGGAACAGACCTGGCGGGGAAGGTGTGGTCCGTTCTCTATCTGGTACCAGATATGTTCGGGGTTGACTGAACACAAACTTGATGTGAGCAAGCAAAGTTTCAAAGGGGTGGAAATGGATATACCTACTATATACGAGTAAGTTTACCTTTCAGTAAAAGGAAAAGGAAGAATTCGACAACAAAGACCACGATAGCCGTTGCCAGCGAGGCCAAGAAGGTGGAAATCGAGACACCCTCTGCTGTTCGGCCATGGCCACCGCTGTGCTCCAGCGCTTCTTCCAAGCCCGAAACCATGACGATCAGCTCGGGTAGTGCCGATCAAACAAAGGGAGAAGTAAAGGAGTTAGGACACTGAAGGGGGTTCAGGAAAAATCACTGCCAGCATCACGAGGACTGTGTCGATATTAAGAGCAATATCTTGTCGTCTAGGATGTTTCCACAATAGCTGCTAAGGGAAAAAAATAACAAGGGAATCCACCACAAGGGGCTAATAAGGCGCCGTGGGATCTGCAGTGGGGGGTCTGTAGGGCCACAGAGGATATAGGATTCGCTGTTCAACAATGACACGAGTGGCGTGAAGATTGACCGTTCATTCAAGAATCAGGGATGGCAAACAAGGATTGGAGGGATCGTGAAAGCGCCGATCGGAAATAGAATGACATCAGGCGCTAGGTGAAACAGCCAAACAAGTCACAGCGGCTGCAGGGAGATTGGACGAAAGCAACGAAGCAAGCCTGCTTTGTGCCCCCCAAACGCCACTGGAAGAAATTATAGATTAAGTCCAGAAAACCAGCAAAGTATAGAGTCCCGAGTAGGGAGGTAGTAGAGATTCTGGTTGTGTGCAGGTCTCAACAACATCTACAATGAAAAGCTCCCAGGGCAAGAGCGGTGATTGGTGTGCGGCTACGGGGGTGGCGGGGCGCGAACCAGTCGATGCATACCAGCCACACTCATGTTATGTAATCACTATCATCCCCTGGAGGATCAGGTGATTTATTATATAAGTGTGGCTGTGTGAATACACGTCGTCCCAATCAGGAAACCACTTAACGCGCCCATCGCGTCGGCAGAAAGCGCGTTCCGCCCACAGCTTTTTGCTCTCCCTTTCTTCCCTCTACCCAACCATCAACATCCATCACCACCTTAATTCATACCCACAATGTCGTCACCAGCACAACGACGGAGGGGTCGTTCCTCCAAAAATGCTTCGTCGCCTGCTTCTTCGGCTCGACAGGAACCACCTAGCAGTCCGACTTTTCAAGCCACGCCCCGTGCCTCCAGACGGTTAATGGCCGAAGATGTCGCTCCTTCTTCATCGCCAATTTTTTTCCAATCGTCCCCCACCAAGGGCAACAACAATGCTGAGACTCCTGATGAGCGTATGGCCGACGCCAGCTCGACGGTGGACGATGGAGAAAGAACTCCCCGAGGAAATGCGGGGGTGAGAGGTATGAGTTTTTTATGCCGCTTCATTAATTTCATTTTGGGTCGTCAAATTGCTAACCCCGAGAAGACTCTTCCCCAATCAACTATATTCCAAGCTCCAGCCCAACCCGCGGCTTCGGTCGATCAGATATTCGCTCCGACATTCGCTCCGATGCCGTGAGCACAAGCAGTGGATTGTTTGTCTCCCCGTCCGGCCAGGGTCGACGCGGAGCTCCTCGTCGCAGTGATTTGCACTCGGGTGGCTTTGGATCTACCCCTGCTCGTCGCAATCGTCTGTTTGTCGATGGCAATGGCATGCCTGCGGCAGGTGAACCTCTCCCCCGCTCCGATGCCACTTTCTCGAATCTCAACCCCGGCACCTCCGAGGCCGAGGCTATGGCTGGTAACTCGACCCGCGTCATTTGGGGTACCAACATTTCGATCCAGGATTCCATGTCAGCATTTAAAAACTTCTTGTATAACTTCGCCACAAAGTATCGTCTCTGGGCTGACGGCGCTACCGAAGATGAGACCAGAATTATGGGCGAGGCAGCTGAGAGACGCGAGTACATTACCATGTTGAACGACTTAAGACGACTTGGTGTGACAACCTTTAACCTCGACATCGCAAACCTGAAGGCATACCCCTTGACTCGCAAGTTATGGCACCAGCTTGCTGCGTACCCACAAGAAATTATCCCTTTGATGGATCAGACTGTGAAGGATGTCATGGTCGACTTGGCCCTTAAGGAGATGGATGTTTTACGAACAGAGGCCCAGCGAGGAGTTCAGGGCCGTGACCGACGGGGCCAGTCTATCCTCACCTCAGATGGTGTTGTACCAAACGCAGATGTACCCGATCTGGTCGGGGAAGTGGAGGCAATGACCTTCAAGGTGCTTCCCTTTGGCTTGGACGAGACTGTGAACATGCGAGACCTCGACCCGGCTGATATGGACAAGCTCGTCAGCATTAAGGGTTTGGTCATCCGCGCTACTCCCATTATTCCTGACATGAAAGAGGCCTTCTTCCGCTGCAGTGCCTGTAGTTATGGCGTTCAAGTCGACATTGACCGTGGCAAGATTACCGAGCCCACGGTCTGCCCTCGCGATTCCTGCAAGGAGAAGAACTCTATGCAGCTTCTTCATAACCGTTGCTCTTTCTCCGACAAGCAAGTCATCAAGCTCCAGGAGACCCCAGACAACATTCCCGATGGACAGACTCCACATTCTGTATCTCTCTGTGTCTACGATGAGTTAGTGGACGTCTGTAAGGCTGGTGACCGTGTGGAGGTGACTGGTATCTTCCGCTGCAACCCCATGCGCGTTAGTGCTCGCCAGCGATCCCAAAAAGCTCTTTTCAAGACCTATATCGATGTTCTCCATGTTCAAAAGGTTGATCGTAAGAAGATGGGTATTGACATGTCTACCGTTGAACAAGAGATGTCTGAGCAGGCTGCGGATGCCGAACAGGGTCGCCACATCTCGGCTGAAGAAGAAGAAAAGATCAAGCGAACTGCGTCTCGTCCTGACATTTATGAGCTTCTCTCTCGTTCTCTAGCTCCTAGTGTATACGAAATGGACGACGTGAAGAAGGGTATCCTCCTTCAAATGTTCGGAGGTACCAACAAGACCTTCCAGAAGGGAGGTAACCCGCGCTATCGTGGTGATATCAACGTGCTTCTATGCGGTGATCCTTCGACATCCAAGTCGCAGCTGCTGCGCTACGTTCACAAGATTGCCCCCCGTGGTGTCTACACGAGTGGAAAGGGTTCTTCAGCTGTCGGTCTGACTGCATATGTTACTCGTGACCCTGAGACCAAGCAAATGGTTCTTGAATCCGGTGCTTTGGTTCTTTCTGATGGTGGTGTTTGCTGTATTGATGAGTTTGACAAGATGAACGAGGCTACACGGTCCGTCCTTCATGAAGTCATGGAACAACAGACTGTGTCTATCGCCAAGGCTGGTATTATCACAACTTTGAACGCTCGAACATCTATCCTGGCCTCTGCCAACCCCATCGGCAGTCGGTACAACCCTAAACTTGCTGTTCCTCAGAACATCGATCTGCCTCCTACCTTGCTTTCTCGTTTCGATTTGGTTTACCTGGTCCTCGATCGTGTGGATGAGACGGAGGATCGTCGCTTGGCCAAACACTTGGTCGGCATGTATTTGGAGGATAACCCCGAGAACGCCAGCTCTGAGGAGATTTTGGTAAGTTGACTTCTCTCCCAATATATGACACGCCCCTAACCCTCTGTCTAGCCCGTCGAATTCCTCACAGCCTACATCACATATGCCAAGACCAACTGCCACCCCGTGATCACCCCTGCCGCCGGTTCTGCTCTCACGGAGGCCTACGTCGCTATGCGCCAGCTGGGTGACGATATCCGTGCCCAAGAACGCCGTATCACTGCCACCACCCGTCAACTGGAGTCCATGATTCGACTGTCAGAAGCGCACGCTCGTATGCGCCTGTCCCCTGAAGTTACCGTCGGTGATGTCGAGGAGTCTGTTCGTCTCATTCGCTCCGCCATCAAGCAGGCGGCCACCGATGCCCGCACCGGTTTGATCGATATGGGTCTCTTGACTGAAGGCACCAGTTCTGCCGACCGTCGTCTGCGTGAGGATCTGAAGAGGGCTGTGCTCTCCCGCCTCGACGAGCGCGGTGGTGTGGCTGGTGGCTCCGTTCGCTGGACCGATCTCTTCCGGGATGTCAGCGAACAGAGCGACAACAAGCTCGACCACAGCCAGTTCACTGATGTGGTACGTACGCTGGAGACGGAAGGCTCTGTGAACGTGTTTGGTGAAGGTCCTCGCCGCAGCATTCGTCGGGCGGCGGCGAGTTTGTCCTAGGTGCCCGCGATGATACCATGATGCGATGATTCGGCTGCATGTCATCCCTGACCGTTGAGGGTGTTTTGGCGTTTGTTCTTTCATGTAGCACATTAGTATGAATAATGCTATGAGATTATCTCACCTGACTGCCCACTCTACCTTATGTGATGCTATGACCATCGCAATGTTGATCTTGACCGTCCGATTCGTGTCGAGGACCCCAACCTTAGTATTATACCAATCCTGTAACTCTTCATCATTAGTTGTGCTATAACATGATATAACAGTCTCATTAACCACCCCTCATGCACGTACTAGTAGACGCGAACCATAGCGTGGGGGCTGGATCGTCTGCAGGTCTCCTGCAAGGATAGCAGGAAATGCATGCTAGCAAGGGAGAGTTTAAGTGGCTGTCTACTGTACAGTGCTAGTCAGGGTATAGTTGGCAGCCATGTGTACTGTATAACAGAAGTCGAATAGATCGTATCGACGGTGTATCAACAATCAGGTAATCTATTTTGTTTATAGAAGTTTGTATGACTTGAAACCGAACTACACAACGGAGCCTGGCTGCGCACGTGCGCCCGTGACTGGCCAGATGTTGAACGTCATGTGCTGACTCAGCAGGTGTGTATTGAGGTTACAGTACAGGCAAGTTGGGAGATTCTGGCAGCATTGGTGAACTATAGAGGATATTGAGCATATGAAGAAGACCAGAACTAGCCCGAGAGACACTGTATTCGACCGATCTAACTTCCATCCCATGCCCACGCCCCTTCATAGCTATCGAGTGTAGAAGATCGAGTTGTATCACCAGTGGCCCCGTCACCCGCTAGTCATGGCGCTAACCGAGTTCGGGTCATGGCTTCGCCTTCGACAGTCGAGCTACAACCCTCCGGCTCATTTATTCTTATTTTTTTCGGCTGTCTTTTTTTTCCCTTCTTCGACATGAGCTTGGAATAATCGTTCTTCCTTTCCAATCTGTTCGCCCACTATGAGGTGAGTATTTGAAGCATGCCTCTTCTCCCATTTCAGTCCCCCCTCCCGCGTGCCGTACTAATTCATTTGTTCCGCAGGTTCGGTGAATATCTCCGCTCTTCCATGATCAAGGAGTTTTATCCGTACTACATTGCCTACGATGAGCTGAAGAAAGCCCTCAAGACGGACTTCGTCGACGAACCCACCTCCGATAACACCAAGCCCGCCCGCAAAGAATGGACCGAAGACGACGAGACCCACTTCGTCTCCCTGCTCGAGAGCGAGCTGGAGAAGGTCTTCCTCTTCCAGAAGCGCAAGAGTGAAGAGATCGTCAATCGCATCCAGGAGAGCGAGCTCGAGGTCTCTGATGTCGTCTCCCGACTGGAGAGCTCGGCTGACGGACGTCACTCAAGCATCGCTCGACCTTCCCGCCCGCAGCCTACGGACAGTGATTTCCTGCTGCTGGAGCAGACGCTGAGCGATATCATTGCTGATGTTCACGATCTGGCCAAGTTCACTCAATTGAACTACACGGGCTTCCAGAAGATTATCAAGAAGCATGATGTACGTTCCCTCTCAAATGAAACTGACCCAGCCTGCTAATAACCCCCTCCAGAAAGAGACAGAATGGTACCTGAAACCGGTTTTTGCTGCGCGCCTCAATGCCAAGCCTTTCTTCAAGGATAACTACGATGCTTTCGTGATCGAGTTGTCCAAGCTGTATGACCTGGTCCGAACCAAGGGTAACCCGGTCAAGGGTGATGCGGCTGCTGGTGGCACCCAACAAAACTTTGTGCGTCAAACCACTAAGTATTGGGTGCACCGGGACAATATTACCGAGCTGAAGCTAGTCATTCTTAAGCACCTACCGGTTCTGGTCTTCAACGCCAGCAAGGAGTTTGAGGAGAAGGATACTGCCATTTCCTCCATCTACTATGATAACACGGACACTTGGGAATTGTATCAGGGCCGTCTCAAGAAGACGGAAGGCGCTGAGGCTATTCGTCTGCGTTGGTATGGTGGCATGGAGAGCGACCAGATCTTCGTGGAGCGCAAGACTCACCGTGAGGACTGGACCGGAGAAAAGTCCGTCAAGGCACGTTTTGCGCTTAAAGAGAAGCACGTAAATGCTTATCTTGATGGTCGGATGACGGTCGAGCAAATATTTGACAAGATGCGCAAGGAAGGCAAGAAGAGCGCAGCAGAGATTGATGATCTCGAACAATTGGCGCGTGAGATCCAATACCGGGTCATCACTCGCCGCTTGGTACCTGTCACCCGAACCTTCTACCACCGGACCGCCTTCCAGCTGCCAGGTGACGCTCGTGTTCGAATCTCCCTCGACACGGAGCTGACCATGATCCGCGAGGATAACATGGACGGCCGCCGACGTGCGGGAAAGAACTGGCGTCGGATGGACATTGGAGTCGACTTCCCCTTCTCCCAATTGCCTCCCGAGGATATCGACAGATTCCCCTATGCCGTTTTGGAAGTCAAGTTGCAGACCCAGGCAGGCCAGGAGCCTCCCCAGTGGATCCGGGATTTGACTGCCAGCCACTTGGTTGAGGCTGTTCCCAAATTCAGCAAGTTCATTCATGGAACTGCCACCATGTTCCCCACTCGCATCAATCTGCTTCCCTTCTGGTTCCCCCAGATGGACGTTGACATTCGCAAACCTGTCACCCGTCGTTACGGTATCCACCGCCCGCTGGCGAGTACCTCTATCTCAGCCAACGACGAGGATTCAGATGATGACGAGACCCCCATTACCGAGGAGAGCACTCTGAACGGGAGCGGGCACCAAAATGGCCTCTTCGAGACCAACGGCAATGAACTCGACATCGAAGAGCGCATTGCTGCCCAGCCTCTGCCCGGTGATGAAGATTATCCCCTCTATGATTCCGATGACGAATCAGTCTACTCTGACGAGCTAGAAGAGGCTCGCCGCGTTGGAGGTGCCTACTACGCCCAGCAATTGGCCAAACACTATCTCTCTCGCACCGGTCACGCCCTTGCACAGGGTCTCATGGCCATCATCCCCCGGCCGCGCCCAACGTCCCTACCACCACCTGAACAGCGTGGAATTGCCGTCCTGGGTAACCGTCGCACATTCCAGCGTTTCCACGCTCCCGCCGGAAAGCGTAAGTCACCCAATCCCCCAAATTCCAAACGAAATATCAAAATCAAAAACAACTAACATAGTAAAACAGGAATCTTCGTCCCCGTCCGCGTCGAACCAAAAGTCTACTTCGCCGCCGAACGGACCTTCCTCTCCTGGCTCGAATTCTCCATCATCTTAGGCGGCATCGCCGCAACTCTCCTCAACTTCGGCACAGACAACGTTACCCTCGGTTCATCATGGGCCTTCACCGTCCTCGCCGCCGGTGCCCTGGTCTACAGTCTGTTCCTGTACATCTGGCGCGTGGACAAGATCCGCAAGCGTCGCGATGTCAAGCGCGTCTACTACGAGCGCTGGGGTCCGACTGTTGTCTCCATCGGTCTTGTCGTCATCATTCTTGTCAACTTTGGACTGCGGGTTCGCATGGGTGGCTTCATTGCACAGCCTGGGCATCAGAGACCCGGTGATGAGAGGCATGGCGGAGAACTGTGATTGACTCACACTTCCACCCTTACTTCTTACCCGTTGGCTGGACTGGTTGATAGATAGATTGATTGATTTGGACCAGTCCGGTCAAGTCTACCTGTCATTCCTGTCTCTGTCTGTGTTCGTTTCTTGCTATCATTGTTCATCCGTGTCCTTGTGTCTGTGTGCTTGCGCCCATAAGCGACTTTTCTGTTTAGTTCGATTTTGTATCTAGTGTGTTGGCGTTGGCTGGGGCGTTGGTCAGTGTATATCATGTATAATGTGCATGTCTGGATTTGCAAATATCAGATCTTATGAGTTTATTCCTGCTTTGGGTTCGTAGTTATGTGATTGAGTCAACATCTAAAGATGCGTGTGCATTGTCATTTAGTAGTCGATCAAATAGTCAGAGCGACAGTCCGAGATCTGGTGTACCTACCTAGGTAGGTTGTCTGGAGATCATTTACTTTGATACAACTACAACGAACTACTGTTATCTACGGAAATCCCTAGTTTCGATAGAAATATTGATCTCATTATCTTGGCTCCATAACTACAACAAGCCACAATGCCATGGCAAATCAGAAGCACTCAATAAATGATCCGTCGATATCCGCAAGTACGGCTTTGATCCGGTATTGCATACCCAAGGCAGGCAGAACAGGGGTTAGACAGGACGCAAATGAGGGAACAGGGGAAATCAGAAAGGAAAACCGAGACATAAGCCCATGGCAACAAGTAAAACAAAACAAATAAGCTATCCCTTCGTCTCAGAATCCACATGCTATCCAAGCCACATATCGTGCAATGGTCGACTAAGTACCGCGGATATTGATATCACCGATCACGGTATTGATATCCTTGAATTCGCAGCCTTCGCCAAAAGAGAGCGTGAGAGACTGCATGAGCTTGACCAGCATCTTTTGGAAGATGAGGAAGCGGATCCAGCGGTTTGCCTTGAGCTCCGCGGAGAGGTTGTTCCAAATCAAAGCACAAGCGATGTCGACCATGAGCACATACCATGAGTAGAGCTCATGGTCAGGTCTCAGAGGGTGGAAGTCCGGGTCGATGGCTCCGTAGACTCCATGCTGGAGCAGGAGAAGGACGATGGACAACTGCCAGATCTGGAAGTCGGTGTTGGCGTTGATAGCGAACCGCAATGGTGCCATGGGGACTGCGACTATCTGAGTCTGTAGAGCGTGAATATGGCGGAATATCTCGACTGCTGCAGCGCTGCGGGCTTGCTTTTCGGCGCAGCTGTAGGTTGTGTCGGGTTGGGGAGGCTCTGTATATGGCGTTGTTTGTTAGTGAAATCTTGGTATATCTAGACATGATGCCGGACGTGGAGGCATGATCTGGCATGAATGGTCTTTTGCTTCATACTTACCGTACTCGGAGTCCTCCGAATCGATTTCATCAGAACTCATATTGGCAGCAGTAGGGCTCGCGTTGGTAGCAGTGGGATCGGCGTTTCCAATAGCCTTGGAGTCGATCTTGATAGTGGGAATTCCCGCATTCGCAAAGTTGGGGCCAGTCTCCATCTCGTTCTCATCCCTATTGACAAAGAAGGCAGAGTAGTGAGCGGGAGAGGAGACCGGAGTATCCAAGTCGATGTCAAGATTCGGATTGCATATGTAAGAATCATCTCAAGAGAACGAAAGGGCCGGTGCCCTGACAGGTGCGAAGGGAAATAGATATAGCAAGACTTGAATGGATGTGATACTCACACTCAACGGTCTTCAAAGAAGACTTCCCAGTAGTGGTAACAGAAGAACCAAAAGAGTTAGGAGTAGCTGCCATGTCAGTGTCTTTGTAGAAACGAAACCGGGTTAGAAGAAGCCTTGTTCAATGTTGGGACTTGGGGATGGGAGATGATGTTCAATGTTGGTTATTGTCTCAAATAGTCAGTGTTGTCAGGAGTGAACGGAAGAACAGCTGCAAACAGGTGCCGACTGGAGCCCGGCAGGAAATTTGGGACGCTAAAGATCTTAAGTACTCACGCTGACCAGCAGGCTTCTTCGACGAAGCCATCATGGCAGCTGGTTGAGAGTTGTCAGTATCTCTTTTGGAAGTGAGAGGATGAGATGGTGTTGAGGTTGATTTTCTGAGAGACGAACACGAATGGTTGATGAAGGAGAGATAAATTGGACTCTGGGGAATGAAACTGATGAGAAGATAGGATAGAGACATACACTTCTTCTTGTATTTCTTATTGCGGTGAGACTTGGGGTTGGAAGGCATCATCGTGGCCGATGAAGAAAGTTGAGGTTGGTGAGAGAGAAGAAGAAGAAGAAAGAGGAAAGCAGATGAAAAGCAAAGTGAGAACAACTTATACAAGTCAGTATCATCTGCCACACAACATTCCAAGGCAACGCTTAGACTATTGAGAGCTAGCAGACCCTACATCCATAGACATGCCCTTTACATCGGATAGTCTCATACTCCGATGTCCTTGTTTGCTTACATACGTTTGGTTCTGCGTTTTGAGTACATGCATGGGTTGAGGATATAGTATACACAAAGCAGTATCCGTATATTGGGAAAGAGTCGGACAAAGAAGGAAACTGTATGAAGAGGCAGACAGACAACAGATAAATTTCCGGCAAACATTATACACATGGCATATGAGCAAATGCCAACTGAATTGGCTGGTGTAAACCATCACTATTCACCAGCTTCAAACAGCATCAACCCGCTCAACAGAAGCCAAAACAGATGTTTACGAGTCTCTACTCAATATTAAATTTCAAGTCATGACCCTGTTACAACACATCATAAGAAGCTCTATGAATCATGAATTAATTGTTCAACAAGGAACCCAGATGATGACTATGTACATGAGACGGAATATCTCGTCCTGAATCACCATTCTAAGTTCAAGGATCATAGTCCACAACGGGAATCGTGGTATCGTCCAGACTGACAGTGCCTGGAGCATCAATACCAGCATACTTGTTAAGCCATCCAAGAACCTGTTGGTGCCAGACAAGACTGTTTTCCTTGTTGAGGACCCTACACAGAGTTCGCGAGTCAGCTCTGGGGATAATCTTTAGGAATGGGATTGAACTCACCAGTGGTTCTCATCCGGGAAGTTCAGCAGCCGACTAGGGACACCCCGTTCTTGCAAGACATTGAACAAGGCCAGGCCCTCTGCGACAGGAAGACGATAGTCCTTGGAGCTATGGATGATGAGCTGTGGTGTATCAAATTGCAAGATGTGCTCCGGCGATGATGGATCCCAGCGGCGATAGTTGTCTCGGTTGGCCCAGAAAGTGCCGTTGAACTTGAAAGAGTCAATAAGATATGGAGAAGACCGAGAGGCAGATACTTACATCATGCTCGATGAACCACAATTCCTCAGTCGAGATTTTGGCATCGGCAACAAATGTTCCATCGTGGCTAACCAATCCCTTGAATTCACGACCAAGAGGGTTACCCTGGATCCAGTTGATCATGAAGCCGCCATAGCTGGCACCGGCGGCCACACCACGGTCTGTGTCGATGAAGTCGAAGTTGTCGCGAACATACTCCCAGCACTTGACCAAGTCATCATAAGGGTAACTACCTGCAGACGGTTAGTCTCGATCTAAGGACAATTGATGTAGACAGCATACCCCAGTTGTTTGCGATCATATCAGTGAGCTTATCACCAAATCCTGTGCTACCAGTAGGGTTGGGTGCAACAACCACATATCCTTGGTCAGCGAAGGCCTTATAGTTCCAACGACTGCTCCAGGAATCAGCCCAAGCACCCTGTGGGCCGCCGTGGATATAGAACAGCAGCGGGTATTTCTTTGACTTGTCAAAGCCGGGAGGATAAATAAGCCAAGATTGAATCTGATCGGTTAGCGCGATGTCCTTTCGAAACCCAATGAGAGACTTACATCAGTCCAGTTGCCCTTGTAGTGGAACTCATCAATATCAGCGGGGCTTAGCCCCTTCAGACCAGGGTCGACTGCATTGGCAGAGAAGAGAATCTTGGTGAGACCCTTGCCTGGTTTTGTGGTGTAAACTGTCCAGCTGGTCCAAATGGCAGTGCCTGATACCAAGACCTCACCGTTGGGCAGGTTATAGTATGCACTCACGGAGCCACCATTGGTGAAGTTCTTGGGCGTGAAGTCATCGCCAGCATTGGCAGGCAGCAAGAACAGCCTGGTGCGAGCATGGTCCTCAGTGTTTGCGAGGAGATTCTTTCCATCCGCAGACCATTTAACAGCGCTTGGTGAGCGGTCCCAGTCCTTAGCCAAAGCTGGAATCGTCTTTTTGGAGTCAATGGTGTAGACATAGAGAGTGCGGCGGTCCGACTCGTATGCGACATCCTTCATTTGCAGGTAGGCAATGCGGCGGCCATCCGGAGAGAAAGCAGGGCTGCTAGAATCACCCTTGATATCCTCCGGTGTACCCGGACTGTCCGGTCCATTAATCGCAACGGCCTTCTGAGAGCCATCATGGGGCACGAGATAAATATACGAAGCAGTGTTGTTTGCACGCGGTAGTTCAGGTGCCTTGCTTTTGAACGCGACCAACTTACCGTTGGGCGAGATGTCGTAGTCAGACGCATCGCCGAAAGGAGGGCTAGGTGATTCCAGATTCTTGACACCAGCAACGAGGTTCTTGAGAGATCCATCGGACGTGTAGCGAGTTGCCGCGCCTTGTCCGGCTCTCTTCTTCTTCAAAGATCCCGAGAAGACAGCATTGAATCTGGTCGTGAGCCAGGTGTCCCAGTGACGGGTGTAGATGCTGTCATAGATTCGCGCTGAGCTCAAAGGTGTCGCTGCAAGCTCCTCGTTGTAGGCAGTTCCATTGCCGTAAGACTCTCCGTAAACCAGGAAATTGATATCTCCAGATTTAGTAATGGCTGTCTTGAGGCCAGACAGCGGCGCCGGCAGCGATGCCGCCTTATAGGCACTAGATGAACGTTAGGGATATTTGGCTATATGTGAATGAGTATAGGAAAGCTCACGACTTGGTGAAATCAGAGGTATCCGAGACCCAAACCTCTACTCCTCCCGGGATGTCGGCGTTAGTGCCATTGATATACAACAGACCCGAATCAGTCGACCCAAGCCAGATCAACTCAGAGACATTGCTATCATTGGTGAGGGGAGTGGCCTTGCCAGACTCCAAGTCCAATAGACTCCACCACGAAGACGTTTTGTGTGTCTCAAAAGAGTACTGCGATGTAGAAAACAACGCAACTTCCTATACTTCGTTAGCAAAGTTGGCCAATAATGACTTCAAAATCCCAACTCACTCCAGATGGGTTAGGAATAGCTTCACTCCGTCTCGGAGCAGTGATAAGCTGTCTTTAGAGCCAATTAGTATGCATAAACAGACTAGTCAATCATTACTGACTCTGGAGTAAGTGCCACTGCAGATCGCACTATAGACCCGAGGGCCATCCATTGAGACGCGCGCATAACAGCAAAGAGATACGCAGATACACAGCTAAATATAATTGCATAGGAAACAAGCCGGGCAGAAAGCAGGACGAAGCCGGTATAAAAGCTGGGATTCGGCACGGGAGTAGCAGGCATAGGGGAGGCGGCAGTTTCCCGTTGAAGGGGGGGCATGTTACATTCCTCCGCTCTGCCAAGAGGAAAATATGCATGATGAACTTGTTGTCGGCAATTTCCAAGACGCTAAAAAAGTAATTTGCGAACAAAGAAAAGGTCGCTGCAGGGTCCGGCGGTAGTCCGCTTGCCTAGCCTGCAGCGCCAAGAGTCCTCCACGGGGGGATTCCGCTGATAAGCGGAGGGCAACATCTGATCAACAGGGGCATTGTTCGGCGAGTGTTCTGGAAAGGGATGGCACAGAGGGTAGTTAGGAATTTGATCGGTTGTTAATATTTGAGAGATCTTCGCAATGGTCAATACATTGGACTACGATGAGCCCTAATGATGCTTACGGTCCGAGCAATGGTGTGATGCTTGGAAGTGCAACTATAGATGAGACCCCAAGCATTATGATAGCCTTGGAACCAATGAATGCATTGCCGCTATATTACATCTGATGAAATCACTTCAATACTCAAAGTCATCATCCACCCCGCCCTTGCTGGTGCTCTCCTTAGTGACCGCTTCCTGCTTGCGGTACATCTCCGCCACAGCACGGGTAGTGGTGGCTTCGTCCGGTTTCTTGTCATCGCGGGATTTGATATACCGCGGGAAACGCAGAGAAACACCTTTACCACCACCAGTTGTACCTTCGAACTCGTCGGCAGCGGCTTGATAGCGGGGACTCAGAGTCAAATCAGCGGTCTTAACTTCCCAAACTAGTCGCGGCTCAAACCAGACATCTGGCTGATCCTTGGGTACAGTCGAGTGGGTGTAGAATGGTTTTGGGCGGTCGATCACCATTGGACTCAGGGTCGTGTGAAGCTCTTCAAGCAGTACCTCAGAGAATCCCGTGCCAATGTTGCAAATGGTTTCGTAAGTATCCTTGTTGGCGTTGTAGGCCGCGAGGAGAAATGCACCGAAGACAGAAGTGCGTTTACCACGTCCGTGGTAAGCACCTAGCACGACTAGATCGAGGGAGTCACCAACGCCGGCAAGGTAATCTTTCTTGACCTGTATGAAAGTTAGCAGTGATTCAAAATTTCAATATGCCAAAAGCCGTACCTTGAGCCAGTTGCGACTCCGCTTGCTAGGCTCGTAGCCACTCTCGTCTGTGTCCAGCATCTTCACCATGAGACCCTCACACGAGGCTTTGACACTGTCCTCAAGCATTTCCTGGATCTCGTCAAGTACATTTGTGTTGCCGTACTGTGCGAACTGGAACTCTCCCTCCACTGGCTGGAAGCATTCATGCATGAGTCGCCGACGTTCCCGAAGGGATTTCTTGACACATGGCTAAAAAAGGTCAGCGAGAAAGAAAGAAATTGAATATCGGGGATCGTACCTCTCCGTTGAAGAAGAGCAAATCGAATGCAAACACGCAGACTTTGACCGTAACTTCATCGGCCTTAACATCCTTGCGCTTACGAGTCATCAGTTGCTGGAATGGAAGAACCTTTTTGTTCACTGTATCCCAAGCAACGGTTTCACAATCAAGCACAAAGCTCTTCACATCATCTTTGACCCAACTGTCTAGCTTAGCTAAGACATCCGGATACTTCTTGGAAAGGTCTTCGGAGTTGCGGGAAAAGATTGAACTCAATCCTTTGCTGTCTTTTTGTAGTGTGTTTTTCGCTCCAGGGTATTGATGAATGGAGTCCGGGGACACGAAATGGATCTGGGCTCTCTCTCCATCATACTTGTACTCGCAGGTGAATTCTTTGCCTTCAAATCGGTCGAGAACCTCGGTGATGGATTTCGTAGGCTTCGCAAGCATGGGTTTGAGAGGAACACCGGGTGATAGTTTGCAAACTTCAGGTAGCTTGAAAAGACCATGTTCAAGGATAGCCGGAATGATCACCTCGTAAGCGGGAAGCTCACTGTAGACGGACTTGAAGATGTTTTCTCCTGCGACCATCTTCTCAGGTGAAGGGGTCTTCTCGCCGTTTACCTCGGCTTCATGGGCCTGGACTGCCCGGGCAACAGCAACGAGAACTGTCTTTTCTGCAAGTCCAAGTCTTAGCTTTCCTTCCAGGAAACGAATAATGAATTTGGCTTCGCTGGCGCCACCCTTGTCCTTGGTGATATCCACTCCTTTGCCAGCAGTAGCGGCGTCGGCTGCAGACAATAGTTTCTTGATACCAGATATTTTCTTATCTTGAGATCCGTGGCCCTGGACCTGGGCAATTGCCAGTAAGCCTTCGTGGACACCACGGACAGTCAAAGGCTTGGGCTTGAACATGGTGGGTTGGTTGCCGCGACTTTTAGCAGCAACCAGTCCCAAGTCTCCGATCTCCTTTTGGTCAGCTTTAATGATAGCGAGACTTCGGCCGGTACTTTCGCCAATAGCTTTCATGATTAGTGACTCTCCGATACCCAATTCAATTCCAGCATAGTCAGCAGCCAATTTATTTATCATTAGTTGGACGGTTGAAAGGAAATCCGCAGGGGTTAGGCGAAGGACCTGTCGAAGGAATAGGGAGCAATAGTCCGTTATCTCCAATCGCTTTCTGGTCATCTCAACCAGGGAGAAGGTGGTACATAAAGCGGCATAAGGAACTGGCTCTCCGGCTTTCCAGTCTGGGTATGGGTCTTTTCCACTGCCTTTCAATTTGGCCTGGAACTTCTCGATGGACTTTTTCTTGAGCTCCGGCTTGAGGTCTTCTTCCTCCTCGCTTTCTGAAGCCTCTTCTTCCTTGTTGACTTCATCGGTTCCTTGCTCTGGGCTTGTCACATCGACGGGTTTCTCTTCGTATGCAGTGGTAGCAGGGCTTGGGGACGGCGATTCAACTTTGGGTTTCGTAGCTTTGGACTTTTTGGGGGACGGCGTGCGACTTTTGACAGGCGAAGAGGCTGAAGCCTTTCTGCGGCGCTTGGAAACAGGCTGGACATCTGAATCATCGCTTTCTTCTGCATCGGGGCTCTTATCCCGCTTCAAGCCTTTTGCGGGGGCATCGGTAGGCGCTGTATCGGTGCCATCCTCCGGTTTTCGTTCCTCTATATCTTGCTCCAAATCATCCTCAGCAGCGCCGCTGCTTGCACGATTTCTTTTGTTGCCAAAAGCCAATGTGGTTTGCTTCTTGGGGGCTTGATTCGCGTTGGCATTTGAGCCAAAGAACCTCCTGTCATTGACAAAAGCGTTAATAAAATGGACAATAAAAGTAGCCAAGGTAGATTAGTAGAAAAGAACGCATGCGCCATTCATATATCTTGACCCACCCGATCGTCTGCTGTGAATTGCGAACGTACCCCAATGTAGCTTGCTTGGCGCTCTTTTTATCGGCCATTATTCGAAATGAATATGATTTCCCTAAATTCAAGTGGATATTGCGCTGAATGTGGTTGCAAGGCGAGGCCGAATGAAGCACCAAACACGTTGTGCTTGCGATTGAGAAAGCCGGGGCTGGTATTCGTCCTGTCCAGTTGGGCTGGGAGCGCGAAAGCTGTAGAAGCGCAATCTTAGAGGTTCGCAAATTCCGCATAGAAGTATCCCTCGCAGCCAGATAGGCACAGGTTCTTCAATATATAGACCGAGAAAGTCCAATCGATCCAGGCAACACTTAGGCAGCCGGAAGTCCTAACGCGTTGCGACGCGCTAGCAGTCAGTTCACGTGCAGGGTCATTTTACCCGATTGGGCCTAGCGGCCGTCTCACTATCCAGCTACACCGCCTGGTAACACTGGCAGAAAAGGGCGGTATATTCGCATCCCGCATTTTATCTATTACCAATAGTCCCGATATCATTCTGTTTACATTCATGCTTTCAATGCTTCTTCACTGATGCTGCCTTAACAAATATTTTCGAACTCGTACCTTGAGTTTTTGAGGACAACCTCCCTCAACTATAATGACAACCTCCGCTCAAGAAGCGTTTCAACTGGTACGGTTCTATGCTCTTGAAGCAGCTCCTCGTGGCACACAGCTGATCTTCAGATAGCTTCGGGATCCTTGCGTTTCGCTCAACGCAATTGCTCTCGGTTTTCGCAGTAATCAAGGATCCACCGCTGACGTTACTCGAGCGCTCGAGCCAGTATATACCTGTCTGAACACGCTTGCGGACGACGGAACGCTTAACTCCAAATTAGCCAATTACGTCTTTGAACCACTCTCTCATATATTCAACCAGACTCAAAGGCTATCCGCAAGATGTCTAGAGCTCGCAATTTGCTCGCTGCAGATATTGGTATCTCGTGGATGGAGTCACGATCTTTCGCCTGTGGTTGGCAAGCAACTCATAATCATGTGCACGTTGATTGTGGCTGGACCACCGGACAAAGCCCAGCAGCCATTAGTATCTGAAGAACTATGCATTGCTGGATTTGACTGCCTTGCTGAGCTTTTTAAAGCTTTGAGAGGTGACGTTGCCCAACAGACAATCTTTCACGAAATTGGCACGGCAACAATCGTCGACCAAACCGTCTACATCCTTCTTGAGGGTGTTGTAGATACAAGGTCCGATGAGATTTGTACGAAAGCCGCTCAGGCCCTTTACGATCTTTATGGCCGCATCACAGACCGCGTGGTCCTTGCCAGCATCATGCCACGAACCGTTTCGGCATTGACTAAAGTTCTGAGGCCAACAACCCAAATACGAAGATCATACAAGCTGCTTGAATTGTGCCTAAAAACCCTTACGCGCATCTTGAGAGCTGTTCTAAATGACAAAGACGCCGCTGATGTCGCCCCGCCCCCGTTGGGTAGCGAAAGAATACCCCTGGATGAATCATGGCTGAAGGCTACTACAACACAAATCAAATTGGCCTTGTTCAATGTCGTTCAAGTCCGTCGTCATGATCGAACTGAAGTTCAAGATGCCCTCTTAGAACTCTGCACGATGGTGATTGAACAGTGTCAGGAAACATTGTCAGACTCCATTCCTCTTATGGTCGAAACGATCGTTGTTCTGGCATACAAAGAGGATGAAGGAACGAATCATGCGTATCAACAGCTAACTCTTCTTGGCACTACCTATCCTTCCGTGCTGGAATCTCTGAAGGAATCACTGCACTCATGGCTGACATCATTTACTCGAGTCATGCAAGGCAACGACGAAAAGCACAAGCAGAGAGCACTTCGTCAAATTTCAACGGTTTTCCAAGTGTTGTCCGACGCTCAATCAGGATCGAATCTGCTTACCACTGGCTTAGCCTCCGGTCTGTGCGATAGTTTAGGTGCTGTCATCAAAGAAAGTACCAAGTCAACTCGACCATTGAACCCTGATGTGGCTCTCACGATCAGACAAAATGACTCACTTGTAACATCCGGAATATTCCCGTCTGTTGTTCTGGAGCACCAAAGTCAACAACAGACTCTCAAGGACCTTCGCTCGTTGATCGATCGGTTAAATCTATCTAAATATGGCATTGAAATTGCTGGATCCATTGTGAACCGCATTCAAGCAACTAGTGATCACACAATTGCACCATTCTGGCTAGCAATTACTTTTCTGCGGGATAGCACCACTGTTACCGCAAGTTTCGATGATTTCATCTCTCTTGATGCTGTGGAACAAACTTCCCCGTTACCTTCCCGCGGTGAGCTGATTGAAAAGATGTACCACATGTCATTGGAAGTTCTGAACGCACAGGAAGTAGTCGGTGCTCAAGGTGACTGGCGTGTATCAGCTCTTGCATTAGAGGCTGTGGCACTTCAAGCTCAACAAATCGGAAAAGCATTCCGACCTGAGCTCATGGATGCGCTGTATCCAGTACTGGAACTTATGGCAAGTCAGAACTCGGAACTCGAACAACATGCCATTATCTGCCTCAATATTTTGACCAAAGCTTGCAATTATGAAAACACAGGATCAATGATCATTGCAAATGCAGACTATTTGGTGAACGCAGTGGATGCAAAACTGCGCTTCAGTGGTCCCTCGCCCTTCCCGGCATCGGTTCTATGGATGATGTTGAATCTTTGTGGTGCCTCTTTGATCCCATACCTTGACGATGTGATTGAAACGATATTGAGACTCTTGGATGAGTATCACGGGTACCCTATCTACGCCCGGATTATGTTCCGAGTCCTGAAAGCAGTTGTGGATCAGGGAATTCGTAAACCTTCGATGCTTACGATCGACGAGGGCGGCAAGCCTGGTCCTCGTGATAACCGGAAAACTCTTTGCGAGCCTCTCTCCATCTCATCCGTGGTAGCCGATATCGCCAAACGAAAGGCCAAACGTGATGAGCGTGCCAACGCTGAACAAATAGATGCTGATGGAAATATCTCCCATCCCAAGAAGCCATGGGGTGAAACATACGACAAACCCAAACCCGAACCCTCAATTGAAGAGCTTCTCGACCAGGCTGAATCCGACGAGCCACTTCCACCCCCCAAAGAGCCAGAAGATGCGGAAAAGCCGCTTACCAAAACACACTCTCTTCTTCTACACATCGCCAAACAAATTCCATTGCATCTGACCTCACCCTCCCTTGAGCTGCGCAAAACCCTGCTCGACTTACTCACCGAGATGATCCCGGTACTTTCCCAGAACGAGAACAGTTTCTTGCCCTTAATAAACGACCTCTGGCCGGCCGTCGCACAGCGCGGAGCCCCTGATTCGGTTGGATCATTTACCCAAGCAGCATCAGTCCGACCCAGACGAGTTGGGTCTGCTGACACAGAAGAAAACGTATTGAAAGATATCTACGTCAACGAAGCAAGAGCCATAACAATAGGAAGCATGTGTATGGCCGCCGGGGACTTCATGGCCTCACGTGTCGAAGCGCACTTCCCATCATGGAACGCCTGGTACGAATCAAAGTGGGCGGCCATGACTCTTCGGGCCACAAATGGACAAACCCACTCGAAAGACCGTATCCTGCCACCTACCGAAGTCCAACTTAAAGGCTCCGCTCCAGATGTCGATACTGGCACTCGCATGAGTCTGAAGATTCCCTTTAACCCGCGTCTCACCTTCGACGACACATACCGCGGAGGCACTGACTTCACGGGAGACCATCGTCACTGGCGTTCAATGCTTCGTCTCTTCCTGGAGCTGCTTGAGTATGTTCGCTTGCCTGTCGAGATGGGAGACAAGATTTGCGAGCACCTTGTCGCGTGGGTGTCGCTCTTTGTCGGGGCGGGGTACTTTTTCCGCAAGATCAGGAATGAAGCCCCGGATATCAATCCGATGCTATATTCGGTTGAGAGAGCCATCTTGGCGATGGAGATCTATAACGCCGATCTGACGTGGTTCTTGTTCATGAAGCACCATCTCGATGAGAGCTATAGCCTGTCCGAAGTGACGGTCGAGGAGGACATCATGAATGTGGCATTGCGTGGTAAGGGTGAGGACCAGATTAAGGTTCGACTCGCGAAGATGAGGTTTTAGATCTTATCTCGAATTATCCTACTGGGTGAAATGAGAGGGCCGAAGAGAGCAGTTGAAGCTCACCTGGCCAGGATGTGTTGAGGTGTTTATTGTGATCGTTGATCACCTTGCATAGCGTGAGACATTATTCGGTTTATATGTACAACTAGTCAACATTCCTAACATTGATAACGAGAGGATGTCAAAAACCTTTTGGTTCCGTTGGATGTAGAGAGACCAGGTAATTGACTTGACCCTGTAGAGTGCTTGCGCAGTGTGTGGACGTACTTATAGATCCACGGTAAGTTACATGCCTAAGGCAAGTCAATCGTTAGGTGTTTAAGTGTGTCTACAAGGAAAGAATTGAGATGAGGCTATAATGATAATAATTGTCGATAAAGGAGTGGCGACTGGTTAAACCAAACGATAAGAACCCAACTCGATAGTTCACCACAGGTTGAGTACATCCAAAGAATATAAATTCCAGAATACAATCAAAAAGCAAACTAAGCGATAGAAAGCACGAGAAGAAGGAAGAGTCCCTTTCTACTCGCTGTCCTCATCACTGTCCTCCTCGTCACTCTCAGCGCTCTCGAGCCATTCAATGAAAGGCTTGGCAGCCTTGTGGATCTTCTTGCTAGTGGAGATGTCGACGTACTTCTTGCTGGTCTTGGCGCCCCAGGCCTTGAGAGTCTCCTCTGACACAAGGTCGTTCTGGTAGTAACCCAGCAGGATAGCAGGAATCTGGGCAACGAGGGCAGGGTGGTCCTGACCAACAAAGCGCTCGGTACCGCCGAGGAAAGCCTTCTCGTGACGCTCGGAGCTGATCATCTTCTTGAGGAGACCGGCACGGCTCTCAATCTGCTTGGCGATCTTCTCGTCGAAAATGCTCTGGGCAAGAACGGCACAGGTCTTGTGCTTAGTCTCAATGCCGAACTCCTTGGCTTTCAAGTAAATCTCGACATCGGAGACGTTGGTGACGCCGTTCTTCTCGGCAGCAGTCTCGATGATCCAGCTTCCCAGCTGCTCGTAGGAGGAGGGGCCGTCGGCACCCTCGTCGTCACCGTCCTCGATAACAAGAGCACGCTTAAGGTCATCGGGGAGATCCTTGGCACGAGCCTTCACGGCCTCCTCGGAAACGTCGACAGCCCACTCGTCATCCTTGATCTCGGCCTCAGCCTCGATAGCCTGGGCCTGGCGGGTCACCTCATCATCGCTGTAGGCCTCAGGGGCCTCATCGGCATCTTCACCGTTCTCGGAGTTGTTGCTGTCACCAGGGCTGGCATCCTCACCATTGGCGGACTTCTCCTTCTGGCGCTCACGGCGGGTCTTCTTCTTGTCCTTCTTGCCACCCTTGGGGTTGTTGCGGACAATGAAGGTGCTCAACTTCAGGCGAGGGTCAACATCAGAGCGCTGACCACAGGCCTTACAGTCCAGGGTGATCTTCTCATCCTTGATGGAAACATCGGTTTCGGGGTTCTTGCACTTCTTGCAAAGAACGAACTTGGAAATGAAGCCATCGAGGTAGTCCTGAAGCTTGGGAGCATCGTGGGAACCGTTGATGATCCAGCGTTCATCGGTGGGCTTGGCGTTAGCCTGGGCACCGAGTTCGAAGCCGAAGTACTTGATGAGGTAGGCAGGAGGACGGCTCAGAGACTTGGCGACGGAGTCCAGGTTGACAACAACGGTCTTGATACCGTTGCCCTTGCCTTCGACCTTGGCCATGAGCTTCTCCATCTTATAGCGATAGAAGGGATCAGTGACATCCCGGCGAATGTTGACAGTGGCCATGATGACGGTTTAATTGAACAATTGTTCACGAGAGAACGAGGGGTTTGCGAGAAAGGAGGCGGAGAGATCTTGATTTGAAATTTTGTTGATAAAACGACATGCGTGTCGATTCTGTTGTCGGGGTTGTGATGTAGGTCACAATGTTAGTTCAACCACAAGATCTGAGGTGTATGCTGCAAGGTTTCGACGCGCGAAACGATTGCAGCTTGGGCGGCAGGTAATGTTCGAAATTTTGGACGGAGGACGAATACATAGACAAGTTCGCAGGCGACTTCTCAATGTAGGGCTTTCTGAGAGCAGCTGAAGTTCTTTGGGGAATCCGAGTCCAAGGCCGGAGACCCGTTGGTGCGTGGCGGAAATTGATGTTGGCGATGCCTAACCAATAATAAACGTAGAGCGTAGAACTAGAAGTTCACGCGAAGAAGATGCAGGCTTCTGTGTGTAAAGCCTTCAGTGGGATGGATAGGTAGAAGAGAGAAGGCGTTGGAAGGTGGGAAACAAAAAGGATTTTAAACTGACAAATAAGGGTTATGTCAGCCGGCACGTGCCGGGCGAAACTCGGAAGTTGAACGAGAGATGCCGTGGACTCCGGAGTTGTTTGATATTGTTTCAGAGGAAGAGGAATCGATGGAATTGTAAAGAAGAATGCATGTTAACAATGGCATTGTCATGCAGCTTCGTCGTTGTGGTTTCGATAATGTCCCAACCGTGTAGTTGTAACCCCACCGCGGGCACACAAGCGGCAGGAATCTTCCTTCTGCAATGAAGAGGGCTTGAAGTGTTGTACGAGTATAGCCGGTCTCAAGTTGCCTTTTTAGTTCTTCAGCAGTTTTATTCTCTTTTATATTTGTCCGGACATCATGGTCGACCTCTCACTATATCTGGTGACGGACTCCACCCCGGCCATCCTCAAGGGCCGGGACCTCTGTACAGTTGTGGATCAGGCTCTGCAGGGAGGTGAGTGTAACCCAGTGCTGTGAGTACTTTGGAGCAGTCGCTCAATTGACCCTCTGCAGGCGTAACGGTTGTGCAATACCGGGACAAATCTAACGACACCGGAGTCCTGGTCAAGACTGCTCGGGAACTGCACCAGATCACCCAAAAGTACAATGTGCCGCTTCTGATTAATGACCGAGTGGATGTTGCTCTTGCCATGGGAGCTGAGGGTGTGCATCTCGGTCAAGATGATATGAGTAAGCTATCACGGCTTCATTTGAGATATTTATACTGATAATGTAAACCACAGAGTATGAGGAAGCCAAGAGACTCCTCCCCGAAAATGCCATCATTGGAATCAGTACCTCTTCAGTGGAAGAGGCCAAGAAGGCCATTGCAGATGGTGCTGACTATATTGGAATTGGTACAATGTTTGCCACCCCTACGTATGTCCTTATTCGACCCAATTTGAAGTCAGACTATATGGCCACTAACAATTCGCAGCAAAACAAACACCAAGTCAGTCATTGGAACTGCGGGCACTCAAGTTATCCTTGATGCCATCAGTGATTCTTCCGTGGGCACCGTTGCCATTGGCGGAATCAACCACTCTAATGTACAGAGAGTCATCTACCAGTCTCAGTCTCCAAAGAAGGCACTGGACGGAGTAGCCATCGTTAGTGCTATCATGGCGGCCGATGACCCCACGGCATCCGCCAAGCACTTCGCCGAACTCATCAAGAACCCTCCTCGCTTTGCCGTGGCCTCCGCTGCCCCCCGTGCTAATGAGGTCGAGACACTGTTGACCGAAGTCCCCCAAGTAGTCCGCAAGATGGTCGAAGTACACCCTCTAGTGCACAGCATGATCAACATTGTTGTAGCAAACTTTGTTGCTAACGTTGTTCTTTCGATGTAAGCACCTCTACCGAGCAAAATGTCTTCTTATGCTAATACCATCTAGTGGGGCATCCCCAATCATGTCCCCATATGGCGATGAAGCCACAGACCTGTGCAACCTTGATGGCGCACTCCTGATCAACATGGGAACTCTAACTAGCGACAGTGTTTCCAACTACCTCAAAGCCATCAAGGCATACAATGAGCGTGGTAACCCGGTCATCTACGACCCTGTCGGTGCCGCTGCTACCCACATTCGCCGCAATGCGGTTTCTCAACTCATGGCGGGTGGCTACTTTGATTTGATCAAGGGCAACGAGGGCGAGATTCGTCAGGCCTGGGGTAGCAGTGCTGTTCAGCAGCGCGGTGTGGACAGTGGACCAAGCACTCTGGACAGCAAGCAGAAGGCCACCCTGGCCCGAGACCTTGCTCGGAGAGAGCGTAAGTCAATTTCCAAGTATTCGTTCCTCATCTCTAACATGTCATAGGAAACGTTGTTCTCATGACCGGAGCCACAGACTATCTTAGCGACGGCGAGCGAGTCATCGCCGTCGAAAACGGTCACCCGTACCTTGGCCAGGTTACCGGAGTATGTATTCTTTCTCGCCATTCTTTATCGCAGACTAACATGAATCCCTAGACCGGTTGTGCCATCGGCACACTTGCCGGCTGCTTCCTCAGTGCCCATCGCTCGGACAGACTCCTCGCCGTGCTATCTGGTATTCTCATGTACGAGATCGCCGCTGAGAATGCAGCTGCCAGCGAGCATGTTCGTGGCCCCGGTAGCTTCGTGCCCGTATTCCTTGATGAATTGTATGCTATCCGCACTGCTGTGGCCAAGGGTGACGATAGCTGGTTTGCTGGCCGTGCTAAAGTGCACGAGATTAAGTTGTAGACCTAAATTGCCAGTCTAAATGTATAAAAAGTTGAATTCCTTCCCATTCCTCATTCAGATAAACGGAAAGTCCATTTCCCTCGGCTCCCCCCGCATCTCCGACTCCGATTCCCCGCGGCCGCTAACATCTCCTCTTACTTTCACCTTGGACTTCATTCTGTTCATACCATTCCCCCCGAATACCCCATTGAACAATCATGGCATCAATCTCGCGCGCATCGCGCATTCGTAAGAATCCCAACTCTACCTCGTCCCTCTTCATTACACAACTAACACAATAATCACAGGCAACCCCGCGCTATTGTACGCCAACCCCCAACCAATTACACCAAAAGGCTCCCCTCAAAACAAGCACTAACGACGACACAGCATCTGCGATATCCAAGAGAAATTCCGCGGAATCTACGAGTTCCCCAAACTGTACGAACAAGCCAGCCCCAACCCTAATCCCAACCCATAAACATACAATGCAAAGAAACCAATCTAACCCAACCCCCCACCCAAAAGCATCTCAACAACCCAAAAACTGCTCAAAGCAGCAACGGCGCTCCAAATCCCAGTCTACGTAACGACCCAAAACAGATCCAAACTTGGCAACACAGTGGCAGAGCTGCAGCCACACCTAACGGGCGCGAACATCCGCGCCGACGTGGACAAGACGCTTTTCTCGATGATCACTCCTGAGATCTCGAACTTGCTTCCGCAGACAGGTTCCGGCTCTGGCTCCGGCTCCGGCTCCGGGCATGCAAGTCAGGCGTTGGATGTGATTATCGTTGGGATAGAGACTCATATCTGTGTGACGCAGACCACGCTTGATTTGTTGGAGCGCGGACATCGGGTGTATGTTCTTGTGGATGGTGTTAGTAGTATGAATTCTGAGGAGAGGGGGATTGCTTTGGCTAGGCTGAGAGATGCGGGGGCTATCATTACGAGTAGTGAGAGTATTCTTTTTGAGATTATTGGGGATGCTGGGCATGAGCATTTTAGGGCTGTGAGTGGGTTGGTGAAGGAGAGTAAGGAGGAGACTAAGGGGGCTCTTGGGGCTTTTTCGAAAATTTAGGGTAGAGTCGTCGGTGTTCCTTAGGGATTGTCATGGTACGTTTGATACTAAGAAAGAGCAAATGTTTGGCATGGACCATGTAGATTAATTTGATCTTTTTTTTGGGTTTTTTGGGTTATCTTGTTATCTCCTGCACGCCATGCCTTGTTCTCAAATCAGACACGCAGAGATGGATTTCTCGCTTGGGCCGATGCAAATCCATTGTCAAAGACCCAGCACCTGCTCCTACTCCTGTGTCGCCATAACCTGTCGTTTCCCCTGATGTTGCGATTTTAAAGCATGCGTCATGGGGAATTTCTTCGTTGCTCGTCATGTGAAATCGTAAACCCGAACCCATTCAAGGTCCAGATGTCATCCCAAATCCCCAAGACAACGAATCCTAGTCTGTTTCATCTAGTTTGAACCTCGCTGGGCGGGATTGAGCCATCCAAACGCCGAAGCACCACCGACTGGGTTGAGGGCATCCACGTCGGAGGGGTTGGGTGGATTGGCGGCGTGGCAGTGTGGCTTTTCAGCAATGCCGTCTGTGGTGCTGCCAGGTAAGGAAGGGGTGGTGCGAGCGCTGGACTTGACAGTTCGGAAGACTTTCATCTCGCGTTTGTCGGGTATCTTGGTGGCCTTCTTTGTTTCCCGTCTCCACGAAGTCCAGGGGGGCATATTGTCCGTCTTGGGGGGTGCAGTGGTCTGGGCGTTCGTGGCAGTCTCGTGTGCTGCAGTTTCAGTGAGGTCATCGCCATTAGCGCGTGGCTTCTGGTGACCACCGTTTGCACTGATTGGGAGGCTGGCAGAGAAAGAGGTCGAGGATGGAATGTTAGAAAGGCCGTGAGGGGGACGAATGACACCAGGAGAGGCATGTCCATTAGTGTGGCTTTCTAGCTGATCCTGATTGCAGGCACTAGGAGAAGTGCAAAGTCTATTAAAGACAGTGTCCTTCTCAGGACGCACAAGAGGAACAGACACACGGTTGCGGTCATCATCCACCATGATCAACTTGTCGAGTGAGAAACAGATGTTTGCATTGTGAGCGCGCAACACGTCACTTCCAAGAATAATTTGAATGGTGTCGTCGGTGGGCTCAGCCTCGCGAACGATGAAGCGAACTGTAACAGCAGGAACTTGGTGGATAGGAGTACCAGGGCGCGAGGAGGCTTGATGGATAAGGGCCTCGGGAAGATAAACCGGGAGCTTGATATGTGATACATCATCTTCGTGCGTGATCAGATCTTCCATCCCAAGATTGCGAACCAAAGTAAGGCTCAACTGCGAGATGTAAGAGCCAGAGCAAACAGCAGCATAAAGTAAAGAGGAATTGGTGAAGTCGTCACTTATCCAGCAGCGAATGATAGAAGGCACAGGGCCAAGCAAGAAAAGAGCAGGCGGGGGGATCGTTGGAGAATCAAGCGAGATGAGACCAGACAGTCGGGTAGTGTTCAAGCGCAGGCTGTTAGTACGTGCAGAATGGAGAGAGTGGCCACCGTCGGACTGATGAGAAGAGGTCCGCTCAAGGAGGGGATGGCTGCTCAGGCCGCTGCCAGTCCGAATAGGTAGTTCGGTGCTGGTTCGATTGGTCTGGCCATATCCATGAATGGCGCTCTCATCAAAGCGAACGCTATTCGCACGAGAGGTGCCGCGCCGAGGCTCTTCGTCCACGTCAAACGCCACCGCGGAGGTAGTCATGGTGGAGTGATGACCTTGGTCAAATCCCTTGAAGGCGTCGGGAGGAGAATGAAAGGATGAGTCTGTGGAGAATTATTTAGTAAGTGGTGAAAGGAAGTGAGAGTTGGGATGCATTATTACCTGGAGCTGATGTGCCTACCGAACTCGGAAAAGGCGACGTCGGAGCCCAAGGGCTTCTTAGACGTGCATCCTCGTCTCTCCGGCGCTCCAGCTGGGCGATTCGTTCCCCTTGCGCAATATTCGATATCTGAAGGTCTTTCAGCTCCTCAAAGACACGCCAGATATCGTCCCGGGAGGCGAAAGGATACTGAGCATCCATCGCCTGTGAACTGAGTGATGAGGGGACTTTCAAAGATGAAAGAGTGCGGCAGTCGTATCAGATAGTATCACGGTACGTGTCTTCACTCCTAGTCTGGCAGTTTCAATTCAACTCCTCTATCCTCTCTCCTCCCTCCTGCGACTATCTGTGAGACGGCCCACCGGCCGTCCACCCTGTCTTTAAAGGACAAGTGTAAAACTCGATCAATCTGTGCGATGTGATGAGTGTTGGCGTGATAGTACCGATGGTCGAGCTTCACGATGGGGTGCCGGAGACAGTCTTCGGAGGTTCAATAATCGCGAAATGGAATTTGGTGACGTAGAGAAGGAACGCGCTGTCACGGGATCGAATGCGGAGAAGACGAGGTCGTAAAGTCTCGGCTTCAAGGTTGGAGATGTATGGAAGAAGTCGAAAGCTGAAGCTGGAGTTGGAGTCGGAAGTTGAAATTAAAGTTGAAGTTGGTAAATGGGGGAAGTGACCCAAGTTGGAGAGGAACGTGTGGACTGCGGAGAGGGGCTGGACCGCTTACTCCACTAACGGTTGTATACTTCTGTTTTTACTTGCACTCTGCTCATCATCAAATGATGTAGGATTATCATCTTGTTTCTCTAATTACTAGAAAGCAGTCTATTTCCCCAATTTCTTTATTTCGGGGCATCAAGCCATGACGGGAACACCATTGGCAGGTTATCGGGCATCTGATCAGGCCAATGAGCCTCAATCACCTTCATCACTTCATCATAAACAATGCGGTACCCAGCAGGAGTCAAATGTAATCCTATTAAAGTTAGCATAAGCCAAAATCCCCCAGCAGAATATGTATCCACGCACCATCAGTAAGAAGACTCGAAAGAGTCTCAGAATTCGGAGCATCACGAGAGCCCACCAAAGCCTGTCCCTCTTTCCACCCAGTAGCCTTCATAAATGCAGGCCAAAGATCCGCCACAGGGATATTAAGTTCGGCACCAACTTCCCGCGCAGCATCGGCATACAGTCTAGCCCCACTGGCCGTCCGGCTTGGGTGCGGAGAATCTTTTGCAGCATCAAAACTTTCCAGCTGATACTCATTAATGGGGGTGGGCTCATCAAGATGATCCGCGGATTCTGTGCGCGCGTTGCTGGGTGCTGAATAATGGTTCTCAGGTTTTGCTTAAATGTCTCCACAGGTACATGCTGGTCATGGCCGGGAACACAGGCATCATTGGCGCCGAAGAAGATTGTCTATCCGATTGTTCAATTGGCAATTCTGGGCGGGGATTTGGAATTGGACTGGTTTGGGTTGCTTACCATGAAGCGTACGGTGGCTGTTTCTGGGCGGGGGAAGAATTTATCAAAGACTTTGACAGCATGTGCGGTGGTATACCCGCTGGTTGGGTTTGTTAATACTCGGTCTAGACTGTTGAATGTTCGAAAAGCTTACGCAAGGCCACGGTTAACCACATCTAGTCTTCGGCTGTAGGCTAGTTGTCTATAAGCAAGGGCAGCGTACAATCTCTAGTTGTACACTTACATTCTTGAAGTGCGGCGTGGAAAGCGAAGCCTAGTTCTTGGTTGCAGGCCATCTGCGTGATGGAGTCGCCGAAGAGAATAAACTGGTCATATGGCTTGAACAAATCATCTTGAGCTTCTGAACCCATCTTGAATTGATTTTCTGGATCACAGGAAACAGCGGGGGAAGTGAGTGGGAGTTGGTGGGAGACGAGGCTTATAAGAGATAGGAAGTGGGGGTTTGCTCCGTGGACGAAAGGGAAATCAGTGGAGCTTCGCTTGACCTCAACACAACATTGGATAAGACATATATTGTAGTTATCCTATGTTCTGGACGAAGCAGTTCATCTAGAATTTATCCACCAATTGTTTATTCCGCTAGTATGTTTGCATGGGTTTGAGTTGATTTCCACCCCCGCACCAGGCTCGAGATAGTTAGGTGGAGGATAATATAAGACCCAAGTAGCGGCGAATGTCAGGGAGTCGTGATCTTTGAGACTATATCTATATACCTGCAACCATCGAGACTAACGAATTACTTAAAACCGGGTGGTCGATCACATCAACCAAAGCAGGGTAATGCCTATCGGAATATGCCCGACGAACCACACCCTAATTTCACCGAGGCTGTCCAGACTGGCCAGATCTATGCTCTATCTCGGGGTACACAGTGGTGCAAACCGATAACGCTCTCCAATATGAATGATTACCTGGGTTATATAGACATCCCTCATACACTTGAGCACCTGGGCAGGAATGTCGGGTTATGAAGCATGCCAAGAGATCAGCATTTCACAGCGATCGGATTGGATGCATGGATGATCCCTTTAGGCCGAACAATGCCCCAGGTAGAAAGATAGTCCCGATATTTCGAGATCATGAGCATCATGCGGTGATAATAGGGCTAGAATAGTCGGGCTAGAATAGTCGGGCCAAGTCATAATCGAGTTCAGATGACAGTCACTGGATCAGTCACTAAGCCATAGGGTATCCTACCCAAGGCCACTGGGGCATACTGTTAGCTGTGAGATTGGCCATGTCTCTATGCATGGACCCTGAGTCCCGAGCACAGGGTGAACAAGGTTGCCGAGCATGACATGACGCATCTCATCAAATCATGGGCAAGACATTCCTCACCGTTGACTCGGAGCTCTGAATTCGCCGCTCAAGGCGCTTTGCTTCGGGGGAGGATCGGCGGGAAACGCGGGGAGGGACGGAATGGCTTTGATATCTCCAATCCAGGGATCAAATCACAAGGGAAAGATGGGATGTTGAATACAGAATAAATTAAAGATGTGCAGTGGACAGAAGTTCGAGTCCAACGTCAACATGCACAGTAGCGGGTCAGACTGCACTTGCACCTGACGCGTCCACTATAGCGTCGATCACCTGTGTTCAAAGGGTTCCCGCTTTCCCTCACCTCCTCTGATCTACTCTTATCTCTCTTTTCTTTCTTTTCTTCCTCTTCAGGCTTAGAAAAGTGAGAGAAACGATATGCGTCCCGGTCAGTTCACCCCTTAATCTTGCCCGCGTGAGCTCGGTTCCTCCGCGTACACAACGTGGAAGGGAACATATTCCAACTACAGCTGAAACTGACCAGTCTCAGCCCCACTGCCTATCATTGAAGCATAAAGACTTCACGACATGCCCCGATCCCTCCCCAAAGCTAGCTCTGCCTCGTGCGAGCAAGAGGAGGTCGAAAACCCACATACCGCTCGAACAGCACCACCCTCCCCGACAACCTACAGACGAGCCCAAAGCTACCTTGCCGAACCGCACACCGGCTACCAATCACTCGATGCCCCACTAGAAATCACAGAAAATACAAGCCTTTTGGGCTCTGCCCAGGGGTCGGGCAGACGAGCTCCGCGGCGGTCATACACCAGCACCTCTGGTGCGTCGGTTTTGGGCACGGAGTCATTGCGGCACCTTCTGGCTTCCGGGAGTCTGCGTCGAACACGGAACCACAGTCGAGCTAACTCGGTCGGCAAACGGCTGAGCCGCCGGGGGAGTATTGACGACGAGAACAGACCGGGTAGTGCTCCGGCGTCCACCAAGGATAACCTCACTGCCTCATCATTCCTGGATGAGCGGACTTGGTATGATCAATTTACTTCTACCGACTGGGTGCACGATAGTATCGCCGATGGAGCTCGCCTCCGCCTTCTCCGCCAACGGAAAGACATCCGCGGCCGACTTCTGGCTGCGTTCGATGGTGCCCAAGGGTGGATCTTGGTTGCTCTGATTGGTTGTATTACAGCTGCCATCGCCTACTTCGTCGATATCACAGAAGGCGCACTTTTCGATCTGAAGGAGGGCTTCTGCACAACCCGCCCGTTCAGGGGTCGACGGGGGTGCTGCGCGGGTTTGGCCGTTTGTGATGGATGGCGGTCCTGGTCGAGCATCTTCCGGCCATCCAATACTGACAATATATGGATTGACTTCTTCATGTTTGTAGTATGGGTTGTAGCTTTGGCTCTTATTTCTTGCGCTTTGACTATGCTCACAAAGACCGTTGTTCCTTCTTCTATCTCTCTCGCTACACTTGATGAGAATCTGGGAGCCGACTCCCATGGCACGAAATCTGCGAATGGACTCGCAGCTTTGGCCTCGCCCCTATCAGAGCCAGAGACTAGTCCGCCGCCACATGGGAGCTTTCCGAATTACCCTCCGCGCCCGGCTATGATTTATTACTCTGCTGCTGGCAGTGGAGTTGCTGAAGTCAAGGTTATCAATAGTGGCTTTGTCCTTCATGGATATATGGGACTGAAGACATTGGTTGTCAAGACCATTGGTCTCATATTCAGTGTCTCCTCCGGGTTGAGTCTTGGTAAGGAAGGTCCATACGTTCATATTGCCACATGTGTTGGCAATATTTGCTGTCGTCTATTTGCCAAATATAACCAGAATGATGGGAAGCGACGTGAGGTGCTGAGTGCAAGTGCCGCCAGTGGCGTTGCTGTCGCTTTCGGTGCCCCCATTGGTGGTGTTCTCTTCAGTCTCGAAGAAGTCAGTTACTATTTCCCACCAAAGACACTCTTCCGGACCTTTTTCTGCTGCATTGCGGCGACTCTATCTCTGAAATTCCTCAATCCCTATGGTACTGGCAAAGTCGTCCTCTTCGAAGTTCGATACTTGTCTGATTGGGAGATCTTTGAGATTTTCGTCTTTATCTTCCTCGGTGTAATGGGAGGTGCAGCTGGCGCCCTTTTCATCAAAGCGTCAAGCTTGTGGGCACGATCTTTCCGACGTATCCCTGCGATCAAGCGGTGGCCAATGCTGGAAGTCTTCCTGGTTGCCCTCATTACAGGTATCGTCAGCTTTTGGAACCGATATACCAAGCTTCCTGTGACCGAACTACTATTCGAGCTAGCAAGTCCATGCGAGTCGGACGTGGAGAGTACCGGGCTTTGTCCCCGTGAAGAAGGCATTCTTGATATAGTCCAGTACCTCATGGTAGCCTTGATTATCAAAAGTGTTCTGACTATCATCACGTTCGGTATCAAGGTTCCTGCAGGTATTTACGTCCCGTCCATGGTTGTTGGTGGCCTGATGGGACGAATTGTTGGGCACTTAATTCAATACTGGGCTCTGATGCATCCGACCTTCTTCTTGTTCGACTCTTGTCCAGCTGTTGGTGGGATCGAGTCTTGTGTGACTCCAGGCGTCTACGCTCTTATTGCTGCTGGTGCAACTATGTGTGGTGTGACACGATTGTCTGTCACGCTAGCTGTCATTCTCTTTGAATTGACGGGAAGTCTCAATCATGTTCTACCGTTCTCTCTGGCAGTTCTCTGTGCCAAGTGGACGGCAGATGCTATTGAACCTCGCAGCATTTATGTAAGTTGTTCCTCTGCTATCTATCATGTCTTACCCGTACTGACTAAATAGGACCTCTTGACTGATATGAACTCCTACCCATTCCTCGACAGCAAGCTCCAGCCAACAACTGATGCTGAGCTGGGAGATATTGTCCGTCCAGTCCGGAAGAGCCGGGTCATCGACATCTCCGAATCACCATTCCTCTCTGCCATACAGCTTCGTTCAAAGCTGGAGCATCTGCTCATGGCTGGTGAACTGGACAGCGGGCTCCCAATCCTGCGTGACGGTGTCCTCACGGGCCTGATCCCGGCACCTGATCTCGAATACGCACTAGATAGCCTTGGCGAGGAAGAAGACAATACAATTTGTCTGATGGCCATGGATGCCTCTACCGCTGTCTACGATAGTGAGAATGATGAGGCTGAGCAGGTTGACTTTACTCGATATATCGATCCGGTGAGTTTGAAAGGTGCCTCTGGCTGTGATACCTTCTAACACGCTCCAATATAGGCTCCGATTGCTCTTGATGTACATTCTCCCATTGACCTAGTTTACCAATGCTTTGCCAAGCTTGGTCTTCGATATCTCTGTGTTACGCAAGGCGGCAAATATGCCGGCCTCGTGCACAAGAAGGCATTCGTCAAATTTATGAAGGAGACCAGTGAATAAGCCTTGTTATTCATCTGATCCACGATCGGTGGCTTCTTTTCTTCGCATTTGAGGGCGTTTCCTTTCCGAAGCATTTTGATTTCACTCGTTTCGCATAGCCTTGCATATTCTCTCACTTTACGTCTATATTCTGCGCATTTGAATTGCCTTGTCTCTCCTTTTCATGTGCATAGTTCTGCCATATGTCAGGTTGTGAAGACCAAATTATCATCGAACATATCTTATCAGCATCTGATCTATTGTTATGCTCACATATCCAACTAGAACAGGTTTTCCAGACTGAACCACCCCTAAACTTTCTCAAACCCAACCATCTGAACCTCAACATCTCCTTCACTCTTCCAACCCCCATCCACCTCCTCCCCAACCCACTCAGAAACCTCCGCAGAACTAGCAGTCCGCCACCCACTCTCCTCATCAAGCCGATCAACCGGGAAGAAAGTATCACAATCAAAAGACCCAATACCCCCATCAACACCCTTCCTAACAACATTCGTCATAACAACCCTCAAAGGCCGTCCCCTCAATCCACCCTTATCCTGCAACTGAATAGCAGCATTATAAATCTCCGCACCGCCAATAACAAAAACCTTCCCCAACACCCCCTTCTCCCCATACTCAACATCAAGCCGCTCCAAAGCCCGTTCAAGACTAGGAACGACAATCGCATCCGTCACCGGCTCAACCTTCTTCTCCTGCGCCCCTTCCTCCCTAACAGCAGCAGCTTCAGCCGCCTTCTTTGCAATCCTCTCCCTCCGCCCAACCAACTCCCCAAGAACCCCATCTCTAACAGAACCCGTCGTATCACGCGTAACAACAACACTAATCCGCTTCGCAAGCGGACGCAGCGAGGCAGGAACGGAATCATACGTCTTGCGGCCCATTATAATGGCATTGGTTTGGCCCGAGGCTGGTGGGCGCGATGTTACGCGCGCGAAAAATGTCATGTCTGTTTTTATGCGCGGCCAGGGGAGTGTTCCCTTCAGACCTATTCCCAGGCGTGTTGTTTCTTCTGTTGCGTGTCGGAGTGGGAGGGGCGTTGTTGCCACTATTAGGGTTAGGGGGTTTGGGTGTGGCATTTTGGCTGGTGGGTGTGGTGTTTGGATGGGATTGGATTGGATTGACTTGGTTGGGTTCGTGTGTGTAGGAGGGAGTGAGGTTGATGCGGTGTCGCGTGTCAAATGGTGAGGTGGGGGACTGGTCGCGTCGGGGAGAAATTGTTTATCGGCTTATCGCCCCGCATGGAGGCTTTCGCATAAGTTCAAGTTCAAGTTTAAGCCTTGGGTATAGGACTAGGAAGGCTTGGCTGATACGGTACAAGTCGTCGTTAAAGTGTGGGATTGAAAAGGTGCACAGACAGTAATGGTTACTCAATTAAAAGGAATGCAGATTGTTAAAGTGATATTCGTATCAAACAACCACATCATCTGAACGCCAGTCGTGACATACCCAGGGAAATATCCAGTATCAAGCCAAACTCCAAGCGGACTCAAGTGGTCCATGCAAATAACTCATGTCCCTCGCAAACAGCCTATCCCTCACCTCTCGACAGAGGGCATCAACAGCCCACCATCAATAGCCTTCTGCACAGCCTGCGCATCCTGCTCCAGCTTTTCTCTCCGCTGGACGTCGCGCTCATCTTCACCGAGTGTATCCAGCTTTCCGAAGAGCCATGTTTCTTTCATTGTTCGGGTTAGGCCGAGGAGGTCTTCCGCAGCGCGGATCTGGTCGTGGGATGTTAGCTTAGTTCTTGTTGCAGCTGGGACATAATCGATTCAATTCCTCAAGAAGATCGTGATTATGTTTAAACGCAGAAATGGAAGTCTTTGTATTGACTCACCAGTGCAGTCGATTCCACATCTAGCTGGTATGTTTCCACAGCCGTTGAGGTGTAGCTTAGGTTATCAACCTGGTTGAATTGTCAGTATATTGCTACCAAATTGCGATGAATCTGTTTGAGACAGGACACTGTAACTCACAGTGGCGGTAGCCATGATATTCTCAAATCGCTGTAGTAGTTGCGAAATATCGGTGTTGATGCGATCTGCCGGATACCTGGTATTAGCGGGTGTCAAGTAAACCACGGGGGGATCTCGCCAGAGGTGACTCAGAGTTTCATAGAAGGAAAACTCACTTTGTAACGCCTTAGCGGTAGGTTGGGACTCCATGGTTGGCTTCGTGGATTGAAGTCGAGACTTGATAGCAGGTGAGTCTTGTCGATAAGGATTAAGGCGGTGAGGTTGGAAGTATATCGAGAGATTCACTAGCGTGGAGAGCACCCGCGCGCACTTTCATTGGTGGGACCCGACTACTGTACAGTAGGGTCCTTCCTTGATATTTTTATATTACGTCTTCTTTGATGATAACTAACAGGTATGTAGTTCGTCTAGAGTTTAAAGACATTAAAGAAAGTATTGATTCGCTATGGTATCCTAAGTTATCCCCCGAGATCTTCTAACGCACGTATTTGCCCTTCAAAATCGTTAGTAGATGTAAAAAGAACCTATCAGATTCAATACGTACCATGAAGCGCTTGTGGAAATCGGAACGAAGGAGATCCTGTAAAGAAATAATCAGCATTGCTCTCAACACCAGAGCAAGATTAGGGCAATGCCTACGTTGACGAATTCCTTGCCATCTCGGTTCTCTGTGCCTCGAGCTTGGTTCTTGAACACAACGTCGTCGTCCCAGCGACGCTTCATGTTGAAGTCCTGCGAGTTGAGTAGAGGGTTTCCGCGGGCAATATCAACCTCACGCTGCTCCTCTTCCTCGGCGGCTCGTTCGCGCTCCTGCTACGTATTAGCCAGAGCCATGAAGATAAGTTCGACAAGTTCGACAACCGTACCTCTTTCTCTTTCTGCTCGAGACGTTCTCTCTTGATCTTCTCCAGCTCACGCATTAGCTCTGCTGCCTCGTCCTCATCATCGCTGAAATTGGTCAGTATGTATGCAGAAGGCAGAATATCCCGATTCGACCCACCTATCTTCGTCACTGCTGTCTTCTTCTGATCCATCCGAGTCGGCGTCTATATCACGCGACTCTTCCAATATGCGCCTCCGTTTCGCTTCTGGGTCCTCCTCTTGTAGTTCATCACTGGCATCTTCGGGTGCAGCCTCGAGCTGGCGCTTGGGGGCGGAGTCCGTGAGAGCTGGTGTATCGAGGGGAACGCCGTTCTTCTTAGCGAAGTGTGCAGCTTCAGCCTGGAGAAGCTCTGCGCGCAAGTCACGCGGGGCAGCATCTGCGTCGCCACCTTGTCCGGGTTGACTGAAATGCGTCAGTGAAGGTTACGGTAACCGCCAAGTAGGATATTCATACCGGGTCTTTAGGTGTGTATGGGCGGGAAGAAGTCTCTGGTGGTAAGCCGGCCCACGGAGAGCTTCTTTTCCTTGCGCCTGTTCAGTCAGTTAGTAGCTTATCTAGGGCGAAGGATGGTGAAAAAAAAGCTGTCGTACCGGATCGAACGTTGGTCTATGAGCTAGAAGATGTTAGACTGAGCTCCCAATTGAGGTGTCAGTGAAAGTCTTGATCTTACCTGTAGTCATGTTGGCGGGGGGTAAGTGAGAAATGAACTTCTGCGCTTCAACTCCGCGTTCAATATGGAAAGCCAACCTCTCCCCGAGGCGACGACCTCTCCCTTCACCGCCAACCAACAACGTACTCCCATTGGTTCTAATTTCGGACCAACTGTTCTTCCAGTGCGTTCTTTCAGACCGCCTTTGGCAGAACCGCCCAAAAAAGCAGCCAAGTTTGCTGCTCCCCGCGCTGAGGGCACCGCAAAGATGTCGAAGGAAGCTCAACTCTCCATTGCGGAGCGTGACTTCATTGTTGAGGCGCTCCGTGAAAATGTGCGGCTTGATGGCCGTCAGCCTACGGATTTTCGTCCCGTAGATATCTCATTCGGAGAAGAATATGGCCATGTGAAGCTGCAACTTGGCAAGACAAGGTGCGCACTACTCATTGACTCTGTGAACATTGCTCTTTCTGACCATATCTCCAGCCTTGTTGTTCGAATTTCTGCGGAGGTCACTAAGCCCCGCGACGAACGTCCGTTTGACGGACTGTTCAACATCAACCTGGAACTCACTTCCATGGGCTCTCCCGCCTGGGAGAATGGACGGTATGATAATTTTGGTTTCTATATCTTATGGTCTCTTTCTAACGACACCCTCTGCAGCTCGAATGACCTTGAGGCGTCTGCCACTAACACCCTTGACCGCGTCATTCGTCACTCCAACGCTCTCGATACCGAGTCTCTCTGCATCATTAAAGGCGTCAGCTGCTGGAGTATTCGTGCCGATGTGCATGTGCTTGACTACGATGGAAACCTTACTGATGCAGCCTGCATTGCCATCATGACCGGACTGCAACACTTCCGCCGGCCGGATGCTGTGGTCAAGGATGGCCGAGTCATTGTCTACGCAGTTGAGGAGCGTGTGCCTGTTGCCCTCAACATCACCCACAAGCCTCTTTCAATCACTTTTCACACTTTCAACGAGAGCAAGAGTGTCGTTATGGACGCTACCCTCAAGGAGGAGCAGGCATCTGAGGGAGACCTTATCATCGGACTCAACAGTGCCGGCGAGCTCTGCTACATGTCCAAGATGGAAGGTGGCCCAGTTGATCCTATGCTCATTGTTTCCCAGACCAGTCGAGCCTGGGAGAAGGTTAAGGAGCTCAACATCATTATCGAAAAGGTTCTTCGGACTGATCTGGCCAAGCGGGCCAAGGTTGGCATGGCTGATGAGTCGCGCGCTGAGAACGACCGGTTGATGGCAACCGAATGAACATGTAATACCACTTTGATGACCATGGGACCGGAGTCTAGTTTTAAGCCGATGCCCTGATATTTTTACCAAGCAAAGGCATTTTACCAATAAGAAATCATAGGAGATTTTGAATTCTTTCCATGCGAAGTTCACAGTATAGCACTGCTGCTTTTCCAGAAGTTCCAGATGCTGCACCATAGGTCAATCGGTGTCTGCATTTTCCCTGACAATGTTTCAAGTTAGCATATCTTGTATACAAAATCTTCAAACGCTGCATACCATTTTATTCAATTTTGGGCCTCTCTTTACTCAGCTCTTCTTCCCGAATAATGAGTGTCTTGAGTTGTCACTGTTTCAAACCGGTGGGCTAATCATGTAAGGATGTGAAAGGACTTGGGCGTTCTGTTGTAGCATGTGCACGGTAGAAAGAACAGCAATCTGGATGCCATTGTAGTCGCATATACTTATGTCGCAAATCAAAAACAAACGGTATATGTTGACTCCCATACGTGGTCAAAGATCAGACGGGTCTATCTATACCCACGTATGTCGTAGTTGGCGTTTCTTATATTGATGCCAAGAGGACCCCTATTCTTAGATCTGTTGCAGAATGGACACAGCCAAGTGATGTAACGACATATCCTGAATTGAATCCTAAAAAACACTTCCTACTAGCTATTTAATAATTAAAAGCAATCGAATATCCAGTAACTTACATCGTAGCTCGAATGTTGTGAAGCGCTTTACCGCCTAACGGGCCAAACATAGCTTAATTGTTGCCTTCACCCGCAAAGCCACCTCATTCCCGTCTCCCCTTTCATCTTTTTCAACTAGAATCAAAGCTCCTTTGATTTACTCTTCCTCGACAGACCTGGCGAATAGCTTTCTGTCGACTACGCTTCTTGATCAATGCCTCAGGGGCATCACTACTGCGCAACGTCAGTGAAGGTGTCAGCTTCCCCGCGGCGTCATGGCCAGCGGTAGGCCTCCAGGGTCGCATTCAGCCGCTGGTCGCGATGAAGACTTGCTGTTGGACTCCGGTCCCATATACAACAGTGGTCAAGGCCCGCCTGTGAATGACGAACACCTCCTAGAACGTTACAATATTGACGACTCCGACGAACCCTACTCGCAAACGCGCCCTTCGGTATCCTACGATAATTTTGTCGGATCGCGTGTACCGCCAGGTACAACGCTTCACAATGCTGGCCCCGGACCGGCGCATCCGCCTGTCAATCCGGGCTTGCATTCAAACGATCCCTACTCAAGCGGTTCCCGGGACCGAACCTACTCCCAGACTTCCGGATTGGGCAATTACCAGCGTTATTCCTTGGACGACGACCTCGACGATGCGCATTCCGGATACTATGATCTTGACGCCGATGACGACCGTATCAACCAGTCGCATGGTGTTCGAAGGGCAACTGAGCGCAACAGTATCCTCGGACTTGGGGGTGGCTTAATGGGCAAGGCAAAGTACATGTTTGGCATGGGGAATTCAAATCAATACTCGGAAATGGACCTCCCTTTGACAGAGGCTGGGGCAAGAAGGGCGACGGTCGATAGTGCTTCCAGTCACGCAGCGCCCCCGAAACCGCGAAAGAAGTTCAGCGCGTCAGATCTCAACATCTTCAAGCGGAGCAAAGCTGACCCTTCGACAATGGGACCGCGCATGATCCAACTCAACAATCCCCCGGCCAATGCTGTCCACAGGTTCGTCAGCAATCACGTTTCGACTGCCAAATACAACATCTTCACTTTCATCCCCAAGTTCCTCTTCGAACAATTCTCCAAATACGCCAACTTGTTCTTCTTGTTCACCGCCGTTCTACAACAAATTCCCAATGTGTCTCCGACAAATCAGTACACAACGATTGTTCCGCTCGCTATTGTTTTGGCGGTGTCCGCCATCAAGGAATTTGTGGAAGACTATAAGCGGAGGATGTCGGACAGAGGTCTCAACTATTCAAAAACCCAAGTCCTCAAGGGCTCTTCGTTCCACGAGACAACGTGGGTGGATGTTGTAGTGGGTGATGTGGTTCGCGTTGAGTCCGAACAGCCTTTCCCAGCCGACTTGGTGTTGTTGGCATCGTCCGAGCCAGAGGGTCTGTGCTATATTGAGACAGCAAACCTGGATGGCGAGACCAACTTGAAAATCAAGCAGGCCATTCCTGAGACTGCCCATCTGGTCAGTCCTAGTGACTTGAGTCGGTTGAGCGGCCGGGTTCGCTCTGAACAACCGAACAGCAGTTTGTATACCTACGAAGCTACTCTGACTATGAACGCCGGAGGCGGCGAGAAAGAGCTGCCACTAGCCCCTGACCAGCTCTTGCTTCGAGGTGCAACGCTTCGTAACACACCCTGGATTCATGGAATAGTTGTGTTCAGTGGTCATGAGACGAAGCTGATGCGTAACGCTACTGCAACTCCGATCAAACGAACTGCAGTTGAGCGAACTGTCAACATCCAGATCCTGATGCTGGTGAGCATTCTCATTGCTTTGAGTGTTGTCAGTTCCGTTGGTGATCTTGTAATTCGACAAACCCGATCCAATAAACTTGCTTATCTTGAATACGGAACAGTCCAGCCAGTGAAGCAGTTCTTCATGGATATTTTCACTTACTGGGTTCTGTACTCCAATTTGGTTCCAATCTCTCTGTTTGTGACTATTGAAATTGTCAAGTACTTCCAGGCTTTCCTCATCAATTCGGACCTCGATATCTACTATGACAAGACCGATACACCGGCCACTTGCCGCACGTCCTCCCTTGTCGAAGAACTTGGTCAGATTGAGTACATCTTCTCGGACAAAACAGGTACGCTTACTTGCAACATGATGGAGTTCAAACAAATATCTGTTGCTGGTATTCAATACGGTGACGATGTCCCCGAAGATCGGCGAGCTGCTATGGAAGATGACGGCGACGTTGGTATCCACGATTTTAAAACACTCAAGAGGAACATGCAATCGCACCCCAGCCAAAATGCCATTCGCGAACTGCTCACTCTTCTCGCCACCTGTCACACTGTCATCCCCGAGCGCAATGACAAGGATCCAAATGTGATCAAGTACCAAGCAGCCTCGCCCGATGAGGGAGCTTTGGTTGATGGAGCTGCCTCGCTTGGATATCGATTTACCAACCGAAGACCCAGATCTGTCATTTTCGAGGCCGAAGGACAGGAACTTGAATACGAACTGCTAGCAGTGTGCGAGTTCAACTCTACCCGAAAGCGAATGTCAACTATCTTCCGTTGTCCAGATGGAAAGGTCCGTATTTACACCAAGGGTGCTGATACCGTCATTCTTGAGCGATTGCACCCTGACAATCCTACTGTCGAAGCAACTCTTCAACATTTGGAAGAATATGCCTCGGATGGTCTGCGAACATTGTGTCTGGCTATGCGAGAGATCCCTGAAGATGAGTACCAGAAATGGTACCAGATCTTCGACAAGGCTGCCACGACTGTCGGTGGTAATCGTGCGGATGAACTGGACAAGGCGGCTGAGTTGATTGAGAAGGATCTCTATCTTCTTGGAGCCACAGCTATTGAGGATCGTTTGCAAGATGGTGTTCCGGATACTATTCACACGCTCCAGACTGCGGGTATCAAGATCTGGGTCCTGACTGGTGACCGACAGGAGACTGCCATCAACATTGGTATGTCTTGTAAGCTTATCTCGGAGGATATGACGCTTTTGATCATCAACGAGGAATCAGCAGAAGCTACCCGTGACAACTTACAAAAGAAATTGGATGCTGTCAAGAGTCAAATAGCTTCTGGTGATGCTGAGCCTTTGGCTTTGATTATCGACGGACGATCTTTGACATTTGCTTTGGAGAAGGATATGGAAAAGCTGTTCTTGGATCTCGCGGTCATTTGCAAAGCTGTTGTCTGCTGTCGTGTGTCTCCCCTTCAAAAGGCGTTGGTCGTCAAGCTTGTCAAGCGGCACTTGAAGTCTCTCCTCCTGGCTATTGGTGACGGTGCCAATGATGTGTCTATGATCCAAGCTGCCCACGTCGGTGTTGGTATCAGTGGTGTAGAAGGTCTTCAAGCAGCACGATCTGCCGATGTGGCAATTGCGCAGTTCCGGTTCCTTCGCAAGCTGCTCTTGGTTCACGGCGCGTGGAGTTACTCACGTATCAGTCGAGTCATTCTCTACTCTTATTACAAAAACATCACACTGTATATGACTCAATTCTGGGTAAGTCTGTCCTCTCCAACTATGTGAGGGCAATGTCTAACTTGCAACAGTATTCCTTCCAAAACGCTTTCTCTGGTGAAGTCATCTACGAGTCATGGACGCTCTCCTTTTACAACGTGCTCTTCACCGTCTTGCCTCCATTTGCTATGGGAATCTTTGATCAGTACATCTCCGCTCGCTTGCTGGACCGCTATCCTCAACTGTATCGCCTGGGACAAGAAGGACAGTTCTTCCGCAAGCACAGCTTCTGGGCCTGGATTTTGAACGGATTCTTCCACTCCCTTATTCTCTACATCCTATCTCAGTTGATCTACTTCTGGGATCTCCCGATGGCCGATGGTAAAGTTGCTGGTCACTGGGTATGGGGTGAGGCACTATACACTGCTGTTCTTGCTACTGTCCTCGGAAAGGCTGCTCTGATCACAAACGTGTGGACCAAATACACTTTCATCGCCATTCCTGGATCAATGTTGCTTTGGTTGATCTTCCTTCCGGCTTACGGTTACGCCGCCCCCGCCATTGGATTCTCCCGCGAATACTACGGCACAATCCCAGTTCTCTTCGAATCTCCCATCTTCTACTTGATGGCCGTTGTCCTCCCTGCCATCTGTCTCATGCGTGATTATGCATGGAAGTATGCCAAGCGAATGTACTATCCCCAGCAATATCACCATGTGCAGGAGATCCAGAAATACAACGTCCAGGACTATCGCCCGCGTATGGAGCAATTCCAAAAAGCCATTCGGAAAGTCCGCCAAGTACAGCGCATGCGCAAACAGCGTGGTTACGCCTTTTCCCAGGCTGACGATGGTGGTCAAATGCGTGTTCTCAACGCTTATGACACAACTCGCAGCCGTGGACGGTATGGTGAGATGGCCAGCTCTAGGCCTTTGGCGTGATGATTGGTTCGCCATGGCTTGAGCATTCTGCATTGCCAGTGGCCGTCATCTTCGACTTGATTTCCACCGCGCCGTTATCTTCTGCATCATTGCCAAGTAATTGGTAGATCTGTATCTATGTGTATCTTTTTATGTTTTCCCTTTCTCTTTGTTTCTTTTCTCTTCTTTTCTCCGGATTTGTTCTTGTAGCAGGTGTGGAGGCTGTGACATATTTTATCTTTCTGTTTGCTTGATGTGTCTCTAGGCGAGGTCTGAATTGGACATGATGATGCCTAGTCTCTGAACAGTGTAGATATCGAGTATATGTTGCAATGGGTCGGAGGTTGGGTTACGATGGCTTTATGTGTCGACGGTCTCGCCCATAGATTTAGGTAGTTGATGAACCATGGTGTTTTTTGATATGTTTTTCTTGAGCTTGTCTCGGTGTTACTCTCGCATTTTGCCCCACGACTACGATATAAGCTACTATGTGGTTCACGACCTCGGCGTTCAGACCAATTTATATAAAATCAAAATCGCTTATGATATAAATGTAAAGAGTTAATCAAGTTGAGAAAGTCTCACAGTGAATTTCTTCCAGATATTCCGACAGAGGATCCTCACTATATGGAACCCACCAGTTGACCTCCCGTCCCACTAATTCTAGACACTACAACTACACACTTGACTCCCAGACAAAGCTATTCCCTGATTGGTATTCATTCTGACCGTAGATGACAGGATTCTTTGAGATGAAGCATGATTGTACGCCAGGGTATTACCTAAGTCTCTGAAATTTCCACTTGTCTTCCTATTCCTGCAAAGTAGATCAAGAAACACCTAGAATGTTGGTCTTAAAGGTTGCGAAGCGCTCGATCATAGGCTGCCCTAATATGGTGGAACTAGGGCTGAGCCGAGTCCTTGTTATGTATAGTCCATTTGCTAGAGGCGATTTATTACCTTATCACAAGATATATGTTTTGACTTGATATCTAAATGACTGAGTCCTGCTGCTCGCATGAGGGGGTAGTCGCGATGTGCTTAGTTGTTGCGAATGGCATTGTAGGCAAAGGGTCGATCTAGGAATTTGTGCGTGAACGACAGTAACACTTGCGTGATTTTATATTCACAGATGATTCTGACTACTTATTTCATGGTGATAATGCCCAATTTCGGGTCTGAACTCATTCCATAGCGGTGATAAATACAAAGAACCTCTATCTTCACGATCTCTATATCTCTAGAAAACTCATGGGAGTTTTCTTTTCCAGAGCAGAATAATCAATTGTGCACATTATTAAGCAACTCAAAGCGCATAATCATAAAGATGTCGCTTATACCTTGCAAGCTGGGTCGCCCTTGCAATCGAGCTGGGACTTTTTTAGCTCTAGGTCCCCGCCAACCTATACCAGAAAATGACTCACGTAGCAGCATGGTGAAATAGCTCGAGGAATAAGAGGTTCATTTTGAGAAACCTCAGCGGCCGGAAGGGCAGCAGCATGCGCAGCAGCAGCAAGAAGGCTCATTGCGATGAAGAACTTCATGATTGGTATGGGAAGTCGAAGATGAAGCGAATTTTTTTGAGATGAGGCTGTTGAATGATTTGAGATAGAAGGGAAAGTAGGCAGAATAAATATACCAGTGACAGTTTCTGGTAGATTATTTAGAGCTGCTTGTCGGCATCACACCGAACTGATCGACAAAGAAGATTAACCTATTATGGGTCCTTGCTCCGCGATTTGTATTCCAATGAGGAAGGCCTTGTACATGTCTCAAATCGAAGTGGGGAGCTGCGTAGGTGGGTATACTAAAATGCTTCTGGAATCCAATCAACTTCTGTAAAAGAATCTGATACCGTAGGACCCTTGCCCACTTCTCCTTCAGGCTATGTCAACGAGCTGGGCTAAAGACTTCAATTCAGGATCAACCGCTTGGCTTCCCTTTCTTCTCGCTGTCATGATTTGATGATCGTATATATTGTCATATAATCGGGAATATCCCAATTGATTCGCTTTACTAAAAGATCATCGAGATCATACGATTTATGAGCTGTATCATGCTGATGAATAATGCACAGAGGCCTGCACATTTTATTAGGTTATTCCGTTGTAGTGATATCACCATCGGGGGATTTCTGGATTGGGAAGTCTGCGACGTCGATTTGAACTTCCGAGACTAATTATGGCTGCCTGCTTCCTAATCAAAACTCTAGGCCATAAGAACTTTGAAATTATGATTTAATAACGTATGGATTAATTTCAGCTGAGGCACTCGGAAATTGGCAAGAAGAGATGAAAAAGAGACACCAAAGCAGGACAAAAATGATATATGAAGCATGTTCAATCCAAGGCTTTCGTATCAATCAGCCTAATAAGCAATTAGTGAAAGATTTCGATGCCTAAATGTAAATCTGGAAAATATTTCATAACCTAACACGGAGCACGGGTCTCCTATAGGTGGCATTTTTAAGTATAAGACACTTTTACTTTGAACTTTTTTTCCCTTGGCCCGGGACTCACGCGGGTGAGACACGAGTTTGAACATTACCCCCAGCTCGTATATAGGTTGTTTAGTAGGATGAAAGCACTCGGCGCTCGACGAAGCATTCTGTGTCAGGTATAGACAATATTGAAAGGGTGAAATGAGAACACCCCGTCTCACTTATCCTAGCTGACCATATAAGCCCTGTGCATCCAACCTGACAGAGTTTCTTTGTGGTCCATTCTCACAATATAAGTAGATAAAGAAACCAAATGCTACAATGACTGGAGAAAAAGAACTCCATGAGGTATAAGGTCTAAGCCTCTTATCACTAGTTGCAGGTTGGTGCGCGGTCTGTCGACACCGACATTTGAAAGGTCTCATGGATCATCTGAGCGTCGAGAAATACGAATTGACGTGGCATCGAGTTATGTAAAATGCTTGATTTGATTGGTGGCATGAGTAGCAGTGGGCTTATCGTTGTTATATTCGGCCGGTTGGAGATTATTGTTGATCAGTATATTGCGGTTTATACGATCTCATGATATAGGACTCCAAAAGACTGAAGCCGAGCTCAGCCTCTAGGTAGCCTGCGTGTGTGGTTCGATCCGGCAGGCTTAGAAAAAAAAAACGTTCAAGAAAGACATTCGTTAGTTCTATATGATGGCTCCGAGCGGGGATGCAACAGGTGAGTATCGTATTTAGGATGTAAATTATAGAAAGAAAGCTAAAAATGCCATTCTAGTTTGAAGAGTGGCCCTCAAGAAATGCTCGTCACACATGCTGTTAAATATGATATCGTAATGTCTCTCGCGCACGAATCAAGCCGCTGAACTCATGTGTGAATTTGCTCTTTGTCTAGATTTATGTGAGATGATGACAGGATGAATTAGAAGCCGTCGAAAATGCAACGTGAGGTGAATTACACATGTAGTAGTTGCAACCTCTTACACGCTGATGATGTCCCTTTCATTTGAAGATTTGATATTTTTAATATCATTTTTTCCTGTTTTGCTCAGCACTTGCGGTATTGTCACTTTGAAAGGATTAAATTATCATTTTAGGGTACGGTAGATGTTCATGGAATTGAAATGAAAGTAAACAAGAAAGCGTAGATGCAGGTTTTGGTCCATAGATCTCAAGTCACCCGTGTATAGGATTCGGCAACTGAGAGGTTTAATGATATAATAGAGCAAATTAAGCTCAATTAGTATAACTGCAAGTGGAACGTAAATGTTATTAGATGACGTGGGAGACATTGGCCCCCAACCAACAGCGCATTCACAGACCAATAAGACCCACAACAGAGACCACACCAAAGGCAAAGGAAGCCTCATGAGAGGGTCAGTAGGGTTGACAATCAAGAAAGAGATCTGAGATCAAAAGCGAGGCAAGGAGGTGAAAACCTGATTTGCGCACAGTAGAAAGCCCCGAATGCACTTCGTGAACCACGGCGCTTGGGAGCAGCACCAGCGACGTGGCACCGGTAGAATAGAAAGTTACAGATGCGACTGTAACTCGTTTATGCAGATGGAGCTGTATTGGACGAGGGGTGTGGACTGTAAGGGTCAAAGGGTCTGATTATGCGCAGTGCTTCGCACTGTTGGCCATTATGTTCAGCCTCATGGGTACTGTACATGCACACATACCCCCTTGTGGCACTAAACGAACATGCCTACTTGGGTTAAATCTTAGTGGTGGGACCTTTCTAGTGCAGTTGGGCTGACTGAATATTCATGTATGGGTGCCACCAACAATGGGAAGTCATGCTGAGTGGAGGGGTTTATCGGGACACTGGTCATTTTATGCCTAGGCAAAGTAAACATATGCAGAATGTGCAGTGAGTGTGTAAATTGAGCCAGTGACTGCTTCATTGTATCCGCTGGTAGCTCGGGCTGGTACCTTCTATGCAGGATCCTAGACAGATACGTCCGGAGCTAGACAAGTTGAAGTGATTCTCAGCCTGTCAATGAGAGTCAAAGGTACCGATACTCTGGATAATGGAATCATATCCTTGGATTGAGTGGGGGCCGTCTACAGGACCAATACGCGTGTTGTGATGTCGCATTGTTGGATGTGCTGTGGCATGCATTGGTGCATTAGGGCAGCGATCAATCACGAGATCCCATTGGTCGGCCAGCGCCGCAGCGGTTACAGGTATCAATATCGCGCTGATCGCAGTGAGATGATTGGATGATTTCCTGCGGACTTTGCTAACATTAGCAACACTTAAAATGTGCTAATTTGTGTTTTCCATATTAAGAGGGAACCGATGCGGGGAGTCCTGATGTTGGTGACTCCTGAATTGGCCCTATATCACGGCCTGAGGGCCTGCAATCGCTCTGCACAATTCGGTTTTTCCACGAGGGGTCCATCTTCTGGACCACCTACCTTAAGATCAAACCCAATATTCATCATGGGTGTCATTCGTCTACCTCGTCCAACGGGCATCTATGTCCCCAATTCCCCCCGAACCCTCACCAATGATATGATCTCTCCGCCCCTTTCTCCTGAATTCAGTTTCGACTCTGAGACTATAATCCCCTCCATTCTCCCCGCCATGGAATATATTTCGTGTAAACTTCAACAACGAATGATGCATGTTACTCTTCTGGTGGGCCGCGGCAAGCCCTATCCGACCGGCCAACCCTCCGACCTAATGGTTATCCCCGTCACACCACTCGAGCCCCAATCTTCGCGACTTCTCGAAAGATCACTAGCCAAGGCATCAAGAAAGTTCTCCCTGGGTACCAGCTGGACCGACGCCCTCGGTCGTAGCCAGTACGAGCGAAAGGCAAACGAGTGTCTGGTTAAACAATCCATCCTCCAAAATGAAGTTGTCTTCAGCCAGGAAGGCCTGACCCTACTCAACATGGATCGCATTTATACATTTAAACGACGGATGTGTATCCTTTCGAGCAGACCATTCTCGCGCTCGGATCAGCCATCCATGACTTCCTGCATCCAGCTACTTCATCGCATCGTCGAAGATTATCAAGGTCGACCATTCAGCAAGGCCTTCTTTGACTGCTTCTATGAACAACTACATATCCCCGATGAGCAGCTGGCGGCTATTGCAACTGCATATAAGAGCATGTACAAGAAAGACGCCATCATCATTCCATCAGTTCCTGAGCCTGAGCGTATCCCCGAACGTCTGCCCATGCGCATCAAAATCCAACAAGTTCAAGCTGTCAAGATTGAGCAAGCTCCTAAGGTCAAAGTTATCGAAATTGAACAGACCCCCAAGATCAATGCTGTCAAGGCTGAGCCGCTTCCCAAGGTGAAGGCAATCAAAGCCGATCGACCCCGTGAGCATGTGAAGAGTGCTCGTGAATATGCCAAGAAGTCGCCTGTCATTCACACTGTTCGTGGTCGGAGACAGCCGCCGCCTTCAAAAATGAAATATCAGACGAGACGTGGACCGAAAACCCCCTTGTCGGCCTCCGATGTCACACCCATCACGAGAAATGAATGGAACATGATTAGCAAGGACGTTCGTCAACAGCCCAAAGTGACCAAGTGGATTCCGTCTCCAACTGTTATAGCTGTCGCTTGAATATGAACAGGCTTTCGCAAATGTTCAAGCACTTCTCTTTTGTGTTCAATTCTTGACACATCCACATCTGATGGCTCACCGGCCTGCACAGCTTGGCTGGGATGGTTGAACGAGGCTTTGAAGCTCAGAAGAGGATTCTTCTAGCATGTGTCGCTGGATCGCCTCTATGCTTCTTGCTCGTCTCAAATCATACGTGCTGAATCGTCCGAGCCATCTGGCAGAGAGCAGATGGACCAATGATCACACAAGCCATCTCCCTTCGGTACTATGAAGGATATCCAATATGGTGATGATGGTATGATACTCCGAACTTTCATAATTCTAATGAATGGGCTGTTCTCGGAAGATTGCCAAAGTGCCAGAATTCTATTCGTTGTCTATAATTCACAATCAATACATTTTAATCAACTCAACCAATCGGAGTGTTTAAACCCATGATCATACAAGTATACTGTACAGATCCAGTTGAGATTCCACCCGGATAAACTCACAAGCATCAGATCCCCACAGCCCTATGCAAAATTCGAATCTCAACGGAGACGAACGGGACTTTCAAGGTAATTTGCCGAGCGGCCATCACAGACCCGCTCAAATGCGGCCGGCAAACAACAGGCCAATCACAAGCACGGCCGAGGCCATCGAGTGGGTGTCAAATATCGGCATCGGAGAGGAGGGATTAGCACATTGCAACGCAGGCCATGAATAATAACGAGTCGACTATCAGTCGGGGCTCTCCGCTCCTCCGCTGCCCCGCCATATCACGTGCGGGGTCCGACAACTTTGCAGAGTTCGAACTTCTGTTTTTCTGTAAGTGAACTGGTGAAGTTGAGTCTGGGTCGGAGATTCCATAGTTTCCGAGGTGCTTGTGGAAACCTATCACGGACCTGTTTACTGCCATATTTTGTTGAAGCCTCTAGCAAGTAGACTGGCGCACTTGGCAACCAATCGGCCTTGGCGGGAAAGACGGCCGATAAAGGGAAAGTTTTCTCCATTCTGCAGGTCGACAGCAGGGATATATCTGCCCCTCTTCTGTGAATTCTTTTGGGGTGAGCTGCGTGCCATTATATAGGTCACGAAAGTTCACACCAGGAAAGTACCACTATTTTCAGTGACTACTGGAGATAGCATACCAACCATGTCTTCTTTCGAGGCACCTGCAGACTCACAGAGTCTAGACAGCGACCGGAAATGGAGTCTGCAGCCTCTTCTTCGCCATGCTGAGCGATCACACAGCAAAATACCCGGCATTAGAAAGATTCCTCTTCGGGCTATCGGAATCATCGCGTTCATCGCCTTGTTGAATATCATTGTCTGGGTTGCAGCTGCGATTGTATTGAGCTACCATCCATCGCTCGTGTCCACTGCGGCCTTGGCCTATTCTCTTGGATTGAGACATGCCTTCGACGCAGACCATATCTCTGCCATCGATCTCATGACCAGAAGACTGTTGGCAACTGGACAGAAGCCCGTTACTGTAGGAACTTTCTTCTCACTGGGACATTCAACAATTGTCATCATTACCTCTATCGTTGTTGCTGCGACGGCTGCTGCTGTCTCCTCGCGGTTTGACAGCTTCAGTACTATCGGTGGCATCATTGGTAGCTCTGTCAGTGCCGCGTTCTTGATTCTGCTTGGTATCATGAATGCGTACATCTTGTTCAAATTGATCAAGCAGATGCAGAAGGTTTTCAATCTTCCTGAAGATCAACAAGATGAGGCCTGGAAGATTGAGGGCGGTGGAATTCTCTTTTCAGTATTGAAAAAGATGTTTAAATTGATTGACAGGTATGTTTTATGCAGTATACCTCACACACGCGAAATACTAACCATTTCGTAGACCCTGGAAGATGTACCCTCTTGGAATCCTATTCGGTCTGGGTTTTGATACCTCGTCCGAGATCGCGCTCCTTGGAATTTCCTCCATTGAAGCCGCAAAGGGAACTTCATTCTGGGTGATTCTTATCCTCCCAGCCCTTTTCACTGGTAAGTTGGAACATTTTTTCAATGCCCAGAACTATTGGTGCTAACTAGATTCCTAGCTGGAATGTGTCTCCTTGACACAATTGACGGAGCTCTCATGTTCTCGCTCTACATCCAGCCTGCGGCAAACTTCCTCCCAGCGAAGCCATCAAGCACTTCTGATGCAGCTTCCGCGACGAGCGATGATGACGAGCTCCCGCAGTCCCGCAACAACCACCGCGACCCGGTTGCCTTCCTTTACTACTCAATCGTGCTCACAACGCTTACTGTCATTGTCGCAATCGTGATCGGTGTCATTCAACTGCTCACTTTGATTTTGAATGTCACTGATGCCACAGGCAAGTTCTGGGACGGAGTCCAGGTTGCCGGCGACTACTATGACGCTATTGGTGGCGGAATTTGTGGTTGCTTCATAATATTTGGTGGTTTGAGTGTTCTCATTTATAAGCCCTGGCGCAGGTGGATGGATCAGCGCCATGGCAAGAATTCTGTTAACGACGAGGAGAGGTATCGGGATGAGGATCCTGGTAACTACGGTGCTATTATCACTGAGACGGTCGGTGACGCTCCAAGCAAGAGCACCGAGGTTGTTGGAAAGGGAACTCCAGCTCAAGTTAATGAGAGAGAGACCGATGAGCCAAGACTTGAGGCGCATATCGTCTGATACGCCTTGGCTCTCACTTTTCATTTGCTGGTTATAGAATGGTTTCTCAGCGAAGGTCACAAGCAGACAAGCACCTTGAGACAGAACCCTTGAATTTTTTTGAAGGTTTCTATAGAATGATTGTAGATTAATTCTACGATTCTATATATTTTCCTCACCCAACTTCTACCTCTCCTTTTGGCCTTTTTTTTGCACATTTATAGTGGCCTCGGTATCATTACTAAATCGGATAGAGGGCCTCTCTTGTATAGCTCTCCGCAGACACGATCTTCAGTGAACTAAGGTTTGGATAGGGTACCCATCTTTGAACAATATGTATGAATTTTTGTTATTGCGACGGCGCATTCTTTCAAAATCGCGTATAAAAGTATTCTGCCTCAGGCAGGAATCAGGTGACGTCAATATAACTTTCGGGCAATCAACTCTCAGACTCGACACCCCTTGATATCTTCAATCCCCCGAGATATATTAACACATTAAAAACTGTGCTTTGAAGGTTACCGGGCCAAAAATCCTCTTTGATCTACTCTCAGGCATGAGCATCATGTCTGCTTTAGAGAAGGAACAGCCTGGAATTAATGACTAGCCCTGAACCAAAAGAAGCCCGCAAATAAAATGGTTGAAATGGACATATACAACAAGTATAGCTGAAAGCACCACTATGATCCAAGATCAAGACTCGTCCGCGGACGCCAAGACGAAGCCTGGTTCTCTATTCTCATCGTTGCCCTTGTTTTTCATTCTTCCAACGAACTTGTCTTTAGAGGCTTTAGACAAGGCAGAAGAACGATTGATGAAGCATGGCGGTAAAATCACGTATGAGATTTCTGAAGCCAAAATTATTCTTGGAACGGTTGGCCGTCCAAAACGTGCTGCGCTTGAATTACGCTCTCGAGGGGTCTGGACTGAGGAAGTTACTCCAGCGTCCAGTTCTGCCCCGAAATCTGCCGATACAATCCCCGAGCCTCCCAAAAAGCGTCAAAAGAAAGAAGAGACGCATGGTGGGGAAAACACACCAATCGAAATCATCGACCTTAGTACTGGGTCCGAGAGTGAAGAAGCTAAACCTCAAAATCACCATGTCCCGGCACCCTACCTAGCGAAACAGGAAGAGGTCGACGAGAAGACACTCACGGTTCTCAAGCTGGAATGGATGGATGCATCCATACAGGCTGGGAAGTGTATACCTCAAGATTCTTTCACAGTATATCGAGGACGAAAGATACCTACTCCCACCACAGGAAATATAAAAAAGTCCTGGGAAGCAAAGTCAAATCAAATCATTGAACGTGCAAAGAGAGATACTGGACTCCCATCTTCATCTACTCAAACACCTGGGCGCCACCACGCAAGACATGCCAAAGAACCATCGGGTACATCCTCCAGCCAGCTTTCTCCACCAAAACTTTACCGACAGACAACCTCCGAGAATGACGAGAAGGAGCCCCTTCCTCCTAAGCCGGATTGGGTCCGAGACCATATTCTCTTCGCGTGTCTGCGGTCTGCTCCCTTGCATCCGCCAAATAAAGAATTCATTTCACAACTGGTCAAAATTCGTCGCATTCGGGAACTCACGCTCGACCAGATTGGTGTTCGAGCTTATAGCACCTCTATCGCATCTCTAGCAGCATATCCACATGTGATACGTCGAGGAGATGAGATCTTGGCCTTGCCCGGGTGCGATGTGAAGATTGCGAATCTTTTTACTCAATGGCAACAGCATGGTGGATGTGAACATACCGATGACGATGGAAATGTCTCAGCAGCCGATGCTTTAGACTCAGATCCTGTGCTGTGCGTTCTGAATTTATTCTATCAGATCTGGGGCGTCGGTGCGAAGACCGCACGGGAGTTCTATTACCACCGAGGCTGGCGTGATCTTGATGATATCGTTGAGCATGGATGGAGCTCACTTTCTCGCGTACAGCAGATTGGACTCAAGTACTATGACGAGTTCCAAGAAGGTGTCTCGCGCGCCGACTCCGAATCCATTGCTAATATTATTCGAGATCATGCCAATCGCGTTCGACCCAAAGGGGATGGCAAAGTTGAGTGCGTTATCGTTGGCGGATACCGTCGTGGAAAGGAACAAAGCGGAGATGTGGATGTTATCTTGACTCACCGCGATGATACTGTGACAAAGAATCTGATTGTTGATGTTGTCGCTAGTCTTGAGAAAGACCAGTACATTACACACACTCTCGCGTTACATCTCACTTCATCACATCGAGAGCAACAGACTTTACCCTTGCATGTCGAAGGATCGAGGAATTTTGATACATTGGACAAGGCACTTGTTGTCTGGCAAGTTCCACACTTCAGCCCAGACTTGATAGAGGGGCAAAGAAAAAAGAACCCGAATCATCACCGTCGTGTTGACATCATTATCTCACCATGGCGCACTGTCGGCTGTGCTGTGCTAGGTTGGTCTGGTGATACAACCTTCCAGCGAGATCTGCGACGGTATGCGAAGAAAGCCCACTCTTGGAAATTTGACTCAAGTGGTGTACGAGCTCGTGATTCGAATGGACAGGTAGTAGATCTCGAATATGGAGGAGAGACATGGGAACAGCGTGAGAGGCTTGTTATGGAGCGTATTGGTATAGGCTGGAGAGCACCTCAGGAAAGATGCTCAGGATAGGTAGTTAAATTTTTGGGGCTGAGCTCTTTTCTTTGGATAGCATCACACTGTTGCGACTCAATTCCCAAAACCAAGTCCACTTTCATCCATCGCTTTGTAATTCCAGCAAGGCCGTCCTACTAGAATTTGTCATCGTTGAGGTTGGAATGTTTCGAGGATTTGTTGGGGCTGTTTGATGAGTCATGGCCTAACAAAGTTAGTCAACTTAACTAACTTAACCTGGAAGTTAACTATAAAGAAAAAGGCAGTCAGCTTATGTGTCTTCAAGTCAGTCTCCCTTCTACCGCGAATTTTATTCTACCAATATGGCTGTCGGCGGCTGTTCCTGCGGCCAGATCCGAATTGAATATAGTGGTCAGCCTATAGCGACGGTAAGTATAACTCAAGAGTTGTCAAGTTGTGGTTAACCCAAACTAAGCTGAGATGCCACTAGGGATTATGCCACTGCCTCGATTGTCGCAAAATTACTGGATCCCCCTATTCTTATAGCTTGATCATCAAGACTAATGAGTTGAAAGTCTCTGGGAATCCTAAAGAGCTCCCGAAAAAATCGGATAGTGGAAATAACATCAAGAACTATTTCTGCCCGGACTGTGGTGTGTATTGGAAGATTGAGATTTTCGTGAAGTCATCTAACATAAGAACTAGGTACACCGCTTTTTGGAAGGCAAATAAGTGACGCAGAACCTAACGGAGAACCTGACGGAGTGACAGTCCTCCGAGCGGGAATCTTAGATGATGTTGGAATCCTGGATGAACGGAAGCCCGACCTGGAGATTTACACAATAAGCCGACTAAAGTGGGTTACTCCCGTCGAGGGTGCTCATCAATTTAGCGGCATGTTTTCACAGTGATTTAGAGATGCGAAGGAGTGACAAGTACTACAGAGACTCTATTGGCACTAGAGATTCTTGGTCCGGGGGTAGATGAAGCGGGTATATAGTCTATCATAACAAGACTGAGAGAACATGCTAAGGCCGGGACATTCAGACACGCGCACTAGGGTCAAAAGCCTCGGTTAGTCCTAGATAGCCAGGGCAAGTGAGAAGACTTTCAAGCAATCCCTTGGCACCATTGATAGATTGTAATAAGCTCTATCTTCAAATATTGCTGTCTTCGGTGTATATTCTGACATATCGCTCTAAGCGTCAGCGTCAAAGTTTATTAAACGCTAGAATGTTCAGCAATGACCATATCATTGCCTTGTATCTCTAGCTTGATTATAACGACATACTTCTGGTCATTTCGAATCGATGAAGACCTGCACCATCGGCTACTCAAAAGGCTGTTATTCGTAAGCAAACGACCCCGCTGTGGTCGAGTCTCGTCTTATAGATGTTAATCGTTGATCTCTCTAACTCAAAGACACTCGCCTCAATATCTGATCTACGGTTAAGCAAAGCCTGGTAAGTGCAGGTGGAATAAAATGTTTGGAACGCTTCATTCATTTTAAGACTTTATTTTGTAGTGTTCAGTGCTTCGTGGTTCAAACTACAAATTTTGACTCTTGTTCGATCAATCTGCTCGTATTTGGCTACCCATTCAGATGTCAGGTCGCCTGGATGAAGTAGATGCAAGATCATCTCCTGTGTTGCTTTTCATCGCTATTATCATAGTAGATTTTCTCTATTGTAGATGGATATCGTTGAGGCCCATAGTAGGGTTTGAGGAAATTTTCTCGGCCACCAAGTGCATTTGAGACGGTTTTTCTTCTCAAGTTTTTGTGGAAGTCAAAGCATTCATTGGTCATTGGGGCCAGTATTTAGGCAAGATATTTCGTTGCCAGAATGTCGTCGGCAAATAGAGAATTACGAACCGTGATGCCAATTAGGGTCGACCGAGTCACGTTACTCTAGAATGAAGCAGACTGTGGACCTTACCTGTAAGTATGTAATGTTTCAGGAGTTCTTCACTTCATCCCTGTGTACCAAGGATAACACCAAAGCCCTAACTGTAATAGAAGATGATCTGGGAGCGAACCGCATGACACATGAGCTGTCAGGAGCAGACAATCCTGAATTAATTGAGTCGATTGACTGACTAACTGAGGCAAATCCCATTTACCCCAGACTCAGTCTTCCCCAGCTGTTATATTTCTGTTAGTAATACCCCGCGTCCATCTCAAAACCTTGCAGTAGCTTTGGAGTCACTTCGGCGTTTGCAATCGCCACTCCTCGATTCCTTCCAGAAAATTCCCAACCTCCCCCTGTCCAGATATTTCTATTCAAGTGAACCAGACGCGCGCAGACCACAGGGCCAAGAGAGATAAGTCATGATACGCGGGCACTTTCACCCAGTTCCTCAACGGTGATTGGCTCGAACAACGGCTGGTCAGCCTTGGCGCAGGCGCCCAGACTCTGGTTAGGCTTAGTGAGTGCCTGCCAAGCCTGATCCCGCCTTGGCCATCGCCTCGGTCTACTGGAAACCGCTTCGAACAGCCCCCTTTTGGGTGAAGGAAGTAGGGTCTGGCTGCAAGTCATCACCTGATTGACCGGGTGGCTGAGTCAAGGATGGTGGCGGGCGTTTTTTTTTTCTCATGGCTTGGTGGGACCACGGTTGGAAAGGCATTATATTGAGGTTAGTCTGATATTTTCAACCTAGTCTTGACATTAGGAAATTGTTGACTGGCTACATCTGCCACACATATAGAACGGCAAGTCAAACGCACCTACCAGTAGATAAGTTATGGATACTTCCGATGCAAAGCGCATTTCACCCCGCAGACTCTAAGCCTCCGGGGGCTTGGCGCCAATGTCTCCGCTTGGTGTAGTATTCCTCTTATCAACAAGCTTTGACAGTGGGAAATTAGACATGTCTATCATTCTCTCCTTACTGTATACAGTAGTCAGCTCTGTATACAGTAATAAGCTGTCCCAGATGTGCGTCTAGCCCAGCATGAAAGATGTAGAGCCTCAATCGAGGCTATGTTTGATTTCACGTGGTAGAGACACAGCCCTAGTTTGCCCTGTCACCCGAACACGAGCCTATTAAGTGCCTCGGCGATTGAAACCTTACAGAGCACATAAGCTAGAGACTGCCAAGCTACACTCTTGCGACCCTGCACGGCATCGCCGACTCCGCACGATGTTTACGGTACGGTAAAATTGTACCCCATAAAAAGAGCAATGAAAAGGCTTGGCTTCTCTCGTGCCTTATCTTATTTGATTTTGTTGCCCCATGCCCAGTAGATGAACAGGGTTTTGGTCCTATTTCTTATCTGTGTGCCCGGGTGCATTTCTTGGCTGTCGCGTACATAAGGACTGAGCCCCCCGGTCAGATTTCCCTCAGATTGTTTGCTCGATCTTACACATCACCTCTGAGGTCTCACTTTTACAAGTGACCCCTTTCTCGCATTAGATCCCGCCCCAAAGGCGTTGCAAACAAGATGGAGCCTCTCAAGTCTGAGGGTTTCACGGAAACTGGCATCACAAAGCAAATCAGTGGCGAGGATGTTGAGGTCCAACGTGGAGGCTTGGGTGATCCCAATCACGTTGAGCTGCAGCGTGCGCTGAAGGCGAGACACATTACTATGATTGGTATGTTTAGTTTTGATCCGGGGAAAGTAAATACTGACCACCACAGCCATCGGAGGTGCCATTGGTACTGGATTGATTATCGGAACTGGAGAAGCTCTTGCAAAGTAAGTGACTCTGTGCTCTGTCGATTTCTTTTGGGGAAAATAGGAAACTAATGAGACGCTTTCTAGGGCTGGCGTAAGTCTCAATTGTCTCAAGCCACTCGTGATACCTTCGTTAACTTGATTTATTACAGCCTGGCTCAATTCTAATCGCTTACGCCTGGGTTGGTTTCATCGTATACTTGGTCATGTGTGCTTTGGGAGAAATGGCTGCATGGCTTCCCTTGCCCTCTGGCTTTACTGGCTACGCTATTCGATTCGTGGATCCTGCGCTTGGCTTCACCTTGGGTTGGACGTACGTATTGACTGAAACTCCGAAGACACTTGACTGACCATATGTAGATACTGGTTTAAATACATCATCCTTTCGCCGAATCAAATGACAGCCGGAGCGTTGGTCATATCATACTGGATACCGTCAGAAAAGGTCAACCCTGGAGTATGGATTACAATCTTCCTGATTCTGGTCGTGGCTATCAATTACTTCGGTGTTAAATTCTTTGGAGAATTCGAGTTCTGGCTTTCCTCGTTCAAGGTCATCGTCATTCTCGGAATTATTCTCATGTCGTTCATCCTCATGCTGGGTGGTGGACCTACTCATGACCGAACTGGTTTCCGCTACTGGAAGAGCCCAGGCGCATTCAACCACTATATCATGGAAGGACCAACAGGTCAATTCCTGGCCTTCTGGTCGACAATGGTCTCAGCAACCTTTGCTTACCTCGGTACCGAACTGGTTGGAGTGACCGTTGGCGAAGCCCAAAACCCTCGCAAGACCATCCCTCGCGCTATCAAGTTGACCTTCTACCGAATCCTGGTCTTCTACGTGGTTAGTGTGCTCCTCGTCGGCACTCTCGTTCCCTACAACTCCGATCTTCTCGCATTCGCAACCTCCGGCAAAGTCAGCGGCCAAGCAGCCGCCTCGCCCTTCGTCGTCGCCATCAAACTAGCCAAGGTCCCAGTCCTGGACCACATCCTGAACGCCTGTATTCTACTCTTCGTCTTCTCAGCGGCCAACTCCGACCTCTATATCGCCACCCGTACCATCTACGGTCTCGCCCGTGAAAACAAAGCCCCCAAGATCTTTGCCCGCACCGATCGTCGCGGTGTCCCCGTTCCCGCCCTCGCAATCTCCTCGTTCATCGCCCTGCTCGCCTACATGAATGTCTCCAGTGACTCAAAGACAATCTTCAAGTACTTTGTCAACCTGGTCACCATCTTCGGTCTCCTAACCTGGATCTCGATTCTGGTCACCCACATCTACTTCGTGCGTGCCCGCAAGGCACAGGGCATCCCCGAAGAAAGCCTCGCATACAAGGCGCCCTTCGGTGCTGCTGGCTCCTACTTTGCCCTCGCTTTCTGTATTCTCATTGCTTTCACGAAGAACTATGATGTCTTTGTGCACAATCCCAAGAAATACGGTAACTTCGACTATAAGAACTTCATCACGGCCTACCTTGGTATTCCGCTCTACTTGATTCTCATCTTCGGCTACAAGTTCGTGACCAAGTGCAAGGGTGTCACTCCCGAGACTGCTGATCTGTTCACTGGAAAGGATGAGATTGATCGTGAGGAGGCAGCTTATCTTGCTGCGAAGGAGGCTGAGGCTGAGAAGCACGCTGATGCTGGCTGGTTTTACCAGAAGTTCGTCTCATGGCTGTTCTAATGTTGTGCGGAGATATTGAATGTTTTTTTTTTGCGTTGTGAAAATGGCCTGGCTTTCCATCCCGTTGCTTTTATCTCCTGGGCTTGGACATTCCTGTGATGCGTACAATTATGTATAGATCAGGGTTGATGATAATGACTTGTGATACCACTTCCCATTTCCGTAGAGATTAAGACGTGAAGACACGACGATCCCGCTAGGTCGGTTCCGGGTCGGACTATAGGGAGTGACTATCCTATACAGGACGGGAGCTGAAACAAAGTATCTACTTCATGCCTTCGAGAGTCTCTTCTGTACCATTGATAGGATTAGGGCTGTTTGGTAGAACTGGTAACTTCTACAGGGCAACGAGACATCTAGACGTTCATAAATAAAGAGATTGATTAGTGAGTATTCCTACTTCGAAAACGAATATTTCGAATCATGATCAATCATAAATCGCTTTTGTCTAAGAATATTGACGCTCTCAAAAGCAAAAAAAATGGTAGGACTAACCTAGGCGACGGCCATATCGAGCAGCCAGCCTATCCTTTAACTAATCCAGTCCGATAACCATAGCCCAATTGCAATGCAAAAAGTTCAAAAACGCAGACAGAAACATAGGCACAGGCGCAGAGAGATGCTCGCCAAAAGTTCTAAACCCAGACCGAACAGGTAACCGATCACGAAAACCGAAATGTCAGACGTCAACGTTAATGCAAGTGCGATAGAACATATTCACCAGAGGAAGAGAAAGAGCAAAAAGAGCAGAAATGAGAGGTAGGAAGGGGGTATAATAATCGTCAAGCAGAAGATCAAATCAGATGGTTTGGATGTACAAGAGAAGTAAAGGTGAGGTCGGCGGGAGGGTGGGTTTAAGCGCCTACGGTTTGTTCACGTAGGTTCTCTGACGAAGGAGTGTCCATGATTCGCTCGTTCAGTGAGGTTGAAGATTGGGAATGGGAGCTGCCCGGTTGTGGCGCGGAAAGGTAGCCCTTGTTGGGAATGGTTGTGGGTGACACGGGGCTACTGTCGGACTCTGTGTCGGGAATTGAGAAAGAGGTTATCACTTGAGAAGCTGGGCGCCCGATATCTTCTTCGGGTTGCTCTTCGCGTGCGTCTTTGAAATCGTTCTCATCATTGGTTTGCAAACTGAGACCGGTGGTGGTGCTCATGCTACGCAGGGAGTGTGGGCGTTCTGGGCTGCGCTCCGATATCAGCGACTCGCCGCTGCCAAGGATGGGTTCCGACGTTCTAGGCTCCTCATGAGGAGTAGGCTTTCGCAGCTTGAGACGCTCTTCAGGCGGTATGTTTTGCCATTCGGACCCGAATGTGACAATGGATGCCTTCTTTCCGTGGACAGTGAAGCTTGGGGCCTTGCGAGAGAGAACTTCGCCGTCACCAGAGGTTTGGCTTTCATCCTCCTGGCCAATGCTGGACACTGAGCCCCGGTTCTTCTTTGAATGGGAGTGGTGTCTGTGGGCATGAGAGTCACGTAACGTGCGGTGAAGGCTACGACGGACACGGCTCGATCTGTCGCCTGGAGTTGTATCCGTAGAACCCTCGGCTGGTTTCTCGGGGGTTGCAGTGGGCGCCACAGCATCATCCTCCTTGCGTGTATTCGGTGAACCACTCACGTCCAATAAACCAGCTTCCCTGAGGAGGCGCTCTTCGGTATCGTCAAAGCTGACAGGAGCAGTGAGTTTGGAAGCTCGCGACGCGAGACTAGCACCATCCCACTTGCTTCCACGACTAAGAACAGAAGCCTCCCGCTCAAGCTGAATGGTAGTAGGATCGGGAGAGTATGACTTGGCGCGTTCGGGAAGAGTAATGATAGAGCGACGACGACCAATGCGAGCAACATCGCCTGAAGTAGTCGATCCAGGAATACTTGGACGACGCAATTCTTCATTGGAGGGTTTGATGAGCAGTCCTGTGTCCGGTGTCTGGTCCGTAGGAATGACAGGATGCTCGGATGGGTCACGACTCGATGCGGTATGCAGAATGCTGCCAGCTCTCTCCACACTCGGCTCAGACTTTACAGATGGCCCGGAAAGGGACGCCATGCGTGCTGCATCAGACTGCGATGTCTCGGCAATGGATGATCCCACTATACTCGCTGCCTCTTCGTCTTCTCCTAGATCTCTGAGAAGGACTTGGCGGTAGCACTTGTTTCGCCAGATGTCTTGTCGCACCCATTTCAGTTTGGCGGACAGCCGGCCTGCAGCCATGATGACACCTTCTCTTGCCCGAGCGTGAACCGGAGTGAGAATTTGCAGATGCCGTGCATTTTGCAAAAGATCTTCCAGCTGCTTTTGTGAGACGAACAACTTTTCATTTGCTTCACGAATCTTGAGGCTCATCAACTCTCGTCGTGCCGCAATGAACCCAGCAACGATATCGGTATCAATGCTAGGAGAATCAGGCTCCAGATCGCCCGTCTGGGATAGTTCTGAGGACACAGAATCCAACCGTTGGCTTCTGCGATAGCGCTGGCCCTCGTAATTGGTGGCAATCATTCCCTTCGTGCGCACGCCGGTTGTCCTGAACGCTGCGGCATAATTGAGGTGCGCAAGCCAATCATTCATTTCAGGCTCACTCTGGGCAAGGAATGTCTCTTCCAACGCGTTGTGCCGAACGAACATGAATGCATGTTTATGCTTTTTGTAGCTCGAATCCAAAAGGGCCACAGCATCATTAGTCGACATGATGCCATCGGGCTTGAAGTCAGAAAGAGGCGGTCTGAACACGAGGGTTCCGCGGCGTCCATTCTTCACATAAGCCTCGTGTTGTGCCATGAGGGAACGAACCCACTGGACATTTCTAAAGAAGTAAAGTTGTGAGAAGGTGAGAATCGCGCCCCATTCTTGCCATGGCGATCTTGCCCGCTTCTTTTTGGGGTCCTTCCTCCAGAGGATTCCAACTTTAGCGACCTTGATATCAACCAAGCCGGGGTTGGAGTCCAGGGGATTGTCCAAACTAGATGGCATGAACGCATCGGGTCGAGATCGTAGAGAGATAATCTGCAAGATACCAGACTTGGTAAAAGCCTGGTGAAGGTTGTCCATATCTGGTGGGCCAGCGGTACCGAAATGATCGTATGTATCATCAAGATCCATAACATCCTTCAAACTCGGCCTAAGTGTTTCGAGTTTCCCATCCAAGATGAGGGTATAAGGATCGACAGGCTCTCGGCTGATCCGGCCGAGGTTTTCAGAACTGGTGGTTTTGAACAAAGCACGGCGAGGCTTCGCAAGGTGGCGATCACGAAGATTGGCGTCTTCAACATGAATGAATGGAGTATAAGAAATATTCTCATAGAAACACTCCAAGATGTCTTCGGCGATTCCTTCGCCACGACAATTCTTGACGTAGTCGGGCTTCTGCATCTTGCGTTTGTTGTTTTTGTTGAACACATCGGTGTGTAGAATTAGGATAGAAAATGCAATAAAGTATGCTTTATCAGGAGACACGAAAATACCAGGATTGCATTCGTGATAGCGGTCAGCAAATGCCTGCAGAAATCGATCAATCTGCTGAGTCTCTTTAGGAAGCTCAACTTCCATTAAAAGTTTTCGAATTGCCATGTCAATGGGATCACCAAAATACGAGAAGCCTCTCATGTACTTCCGCAGGCTGACTTTGTAGAACTCCTCATCCGATTGAGCAAGAACGCCGGCAATCATGCCGCGCGGAAGACACATTTCCAGTCGACTAAGATATGTCGCTGCGGTATCTGTCTCTTCTCGCTTGGGGACCGGAAATGATTCTGGTTTCGATACAGGCGTAGATGAGCCACCAGGAGAGCCTCGGGGTGCTGGAGGTGATGAATTCTGTCTCAATCGCTGTGTGATATTGAACATATCCCCAAAGCTTTTGCGGCCACTTGTCGACGTTGAGGTGCGCCCCGAAGATGCCAGATAGGTTGATGGAGTCAAGTCATCCTGGTTCTCGGCCAGCGATCCCATGGTAGACGACCGTCCTCGGTTCTTGAAGGATGAATTTGATCGGACGGAGCGGGCTGAATTGGTCGAATCATTTCGGAACAAGGGCGGTACGCTCGAGGCAGGAGCCAGCTGTACCGTGGATCGAGATGGTGACGGTAGAGGTGATATTTGATCCTGATTATCCGAATGCTCGGACTTTGGTGTATCTACCGGAGGGAATCTTGGTCCATCATCCGTCACTTGAGTCGATTGCGGGATTTTTGGAGGAAGAGGGAATAGAGGGCTTCGAGTTCGTTTCAAACGTGGCATACGGAATCGCTTTGTTGCTGTTGCACCCGGTGCATCGCGCGGGGAATTGGTTCGCGTCACTGTTTGGTCTCCATAGCTCTGATCTGACCGAGAGGACTCGGAGAAGCGAGGATCGATCACTGACGAGCGCTGTGAGTCGCTGTGATGATCCCGGTTCCCCCGAGACGTTGTTGACAGCCGCCCGGGCTCTTCCGGGATACTCTGGGCCGTTGCGAGAGCGGAGTCGGCAGCCTGAGAGTCGGCGGATCCCTGACCCCTCCGACGAGACTTGCCACTAGGTAGTTCCGTCGAAGACCGGGGCAACTCTTCCATAGATTGTTTGCGGGACGATGGAAGGAAGTTGAGCTTGGATCGTTGTTTCACAGGCTGGTCGAGCTCGTGGCTTGTCGGTGCGGTAGTAATGATCGTGGGAGCTGTGCCAAGACGAATGTCAGTTCTTCTGCATTAGTAGCATTGTTGATCAGTTGTCTTACGCGGTAGGGAAGGCACTGGCGGAGCATCTTGGCCCGCCTTGGTATAAGTCTTGGAGAGTTGGGGATCGGAGGCATGGCGGAGTCTCATGAAGCTGAATCGATTGCGGCGCAAGCTCGAAGTGTCCCCCGAGGAGGGACCAGCGAAGTTCGAATGAGGTAACCCCTCCCCCTCTGGTGCCTGACGACCCCGCGAAGGCGGGCCTGGTGTATTGATGGCGGGAGATCGAGGGATAGACTCCGATAATCTGGGTTCGGTGGCTGGAGGGAGCGGACGGGGTAGGTGTTCACTGCGACGGGACTGGTCTTCGATGGTGCTCTGTCGCTTGGAGCTACCATCAGCCACCAGTCTGAGGCCTTTCCAATGCATGGTCAAGTGTGTGACAGATTCGAAGACACATGAATCTCTAGATGGAGGACATGGTAAGCCCCGAACGTGAGGATCTGGAGGGTCTGAGGATCTGGTGGAGAGGGTCGTCAGCTCGCAAAAAGGGGAATGCGGGTAGGGAGGACCGACGTTCTAGATCCGTTGCTACTCCAGAACGCCACTTTTGGTGTTTTTCTTGTTTTTTTTTTCCTGATTTGCAGGATAAACTGAGGGAACAATCCAGAAAATAATCCCTAAGTTGGTATGAGGGGTAAGGCAGATAGATTTTAGGCAAAAGTCCAAGACTCCAAGACTCCAAGATATGATACCAAGATACCAAGCGACCTGACGCGACCTGAGCGCAGAGATAAAGAACAAAGTAGGGTTCAAGGGCATATAAACTTGGTCAAGTCATGTATGAAATATACAGACAGGGTGTGAATCATGAATCGTGAATCGTGAATAGTGCGTGAATAGCTTATAGATCTGTACTGTATGTAAGTTTCCGGATCTGGTCACTGACGTCGAGCATGTCATCCCCCGGATCTTTACTTTTCCTCTCGACTCGACTTGTGAGATACAAGGAATGGTGATCTGTGATCTGTGAACTGTGATTGTCGTGAACTGTCGTCTCTCGATATTATCCTCAACATCCAACGTCAAACTCGAAATGTCTCTTTAGCTATACTCTCATATCGCCTATCTCCCCTTCCCCTCCCTTCTCCGGACTCGAGCCACCGGCCTGTTTTCTCTCGACACACACACACACCACCCCCCCTCAATATGCGTCTTCTACTATCTCTCGTGGTAGTTGCAACCATCTGTCCGCTTATATCCGCGGTGCCCGCAGGTTCAAGTGTCACTCCACCACCGCCCCTCCAGCCTGTCCACCTCATTACTCATTCCGACCCACGCCGCCCATGGACGCGAGTGCGCGATTGGGTTATTGGTTCGATCTGGGGGATTGATCGCAAGCATTGTTCAAAGGATTCATCGCCGCCGGCAAACATCTACGCTCGATATGGCAGCGACGTAGTACTTCGGTTTAACTTGCGTCAGCCGGATGAGGCAGCCGCATTGTCATCCGCGTCGCAAGTGCTGTTCTTGGATATTTGGGCCATCACTTCAGAATTCGTGGATATTAGACTCGCAGAGGATATGGTAAGCTGGACTGCGAATCCCAATTGGTTCTCAAATTAATCGCTCTGTAGATACCCTCATTGCTCGACCTCCTCCCTACCACTCTCCGAACCTCCTACACTCCCCTCATAGATAACCTCGCCGAGAAGATCTACGCAACATATCCCGATAGCAACCGTCATGATGCGGATTTCGGGTCTGGGACTATGTCATCGGGGCCAAAGACATCCACCATCGGGGATCTATTTTTCGAAGAATACCAGCCATTATCGGTCATTACGCAATGGATGCGCTTGATGGCGTCAATGTTTTCCTCGCACGCGAAGATGACTAGTATTGGCGTTTCCTACGAGGGCCGCGAGATTCCAGCCCTGCGACTTGGCACGTCTGAAACAGAGTCCAACCCCGGGCCCCGCAAGACGATCGTCATCATGGGTGGCACCCACGCCAGAGAATGGATCAGCACATCCACAGTGACATACGTGGCATACAGCCTCATCACTCATTACGGATACTCCCCTGCCGTAACACGCTTGTTGCACGAGTACGACTGGATTCTAATCCCCACCCTCAACCCAGACGGATACGTCTACTCGTGGGAATCAGATCGTCTGTGGCGCAAGAACCGCCAACCAACTGGCCTACCATTGTGTCCCGGTGTGGACTTGGATCGAACGTGGGACTTTGAGTGGGATGGCGAGTCAACTCATTCAAACCCCTGCTCCGAGAACTACGCCGGAGCAGAGCCATTTGAAGCGCGGGAATCGGATCGTCTGGCGCAGTGGGCGCAAAATGAGACAGCTCACGGCCGCGCTGACATCGTCGGATTCATTGACCTGCACTCTTATTCTCAGCAGATCCTCTATCCGTACTCATACAGCTGCTCATCGGTACCTCCCACCCTGGAGAGTCTAGAGGAACTCGCCTTGGGTCTCGCCAAGTCTATTCGCCAGACCTCGCACGAGTTATATGACGTTACTTCGGCATGCGAGGGGATCTTAACCAATGGTGCAGCTGCTGGTGTCACTTCCGGTGGTAGTGCTCTGGACTGGTTCTACCATAAACTGCATGCCAAGTACTCTTATCAGATCAAACTTCGGGACCGGGGTAGCTATGGGTTCCTTTTGCCCTCAGAGCATATCGTTCCTACCGGAAAGGAAATCTTTAATTCGCTTTTGACCTTTGGAAAGTTCTTATGGGGTGAGGAAGTATCAGAGGCTTCCTTTGAGGATCTCATGACGGGTAGTCAAATGCCCCTGACAGATCAGGTATAAGTTAAGTTTGATTGTGGAAGCGTCCCTTTTTCATGACTGCATGTGGAACTACGAGCGAAGCCTTGTTTGTTTGTTTTTTTATTGTACCCTTCGTCCCGTTCTTTTCGGACACCTTGTATATGAGTTGATAATGACGAAAATTGATTGAGATATATCTGCATTATTTTCCGCTATATATTTTCCGCTTTTGACAAGAAATGATTCGCAGCAACCCTCAATAATCAAAAGACTAGTGACATTCTGGGAAGTGACGGCCAATAGAGGAAATATTTTATATGCACCATAAAACAATAACAACATTCGACGTAAGCGCAAGGTAATGCTTATTCGAGCTTGTTTGCCTGGAATGATACGTGATGTAAACATTGCCCTGCGACTTCAAAGCAAATCCCATAACTTCCATGTATGTGGTCTCTGGAGTAAATTGGGCTGCTCTCTTTTCTTTTTGGGTTGCTTGTTGTCTGCCTGTTCTATTCGCTTCGCTCGAACAATAGCCAGAAGTAACATGTCCTTTCACGTCATCTTACTGCCTACGTGCATATTCCTTGAGTATGAAAGACAGTATGGGGCAATGAAAAGCAAGAGAACCAAAATGACACCAAAACTTGAGACTTAAGTAGGGGCCACAAGGTACAATTGACTCGCTTAGGGCTTCTGTAAAGGCTGTCTAATGCTTTTAATAAGCTTTATATTCTCTATGATTACTTCAAGCAACTAATCATGGTACTTAAAATTATTTTTATATGTAATTAGGCTCTCATTACCAGCTTGAACATCCCAATTTTCTTCCCACTTTATGAAATATTCCGATGTTTCAATGCAATAGAGTGCCATCAAGGGCAAACGTAAGGCGGTAATGTTGACGGTGACCCAACCGACCAATCCAACCCCATCAACCAACAAAGAACCAGCAGAAAAAACCACCCCCAAACCCAATTACCTCATCCCAAGAGCTACCTTCCAAGGTTAATTTAACCCAAGCTCCTTCAAACGCAACTCCAATCTGAACTTCAACCCCTCAAAACGAGCCAAAAACACCACAATGGCGCACTCAAAACGAAACACCTCCCTCCCACACTTCACATCCTACGAACGAAGCCTCCTAAAAAACACCTGGGGCACGAAGCAAAGCAACATAGGCCGCGACAGCTTCCTCCCCTTCGCCTCATGCCGACTATGCCTGCAACCCGCGCGAACACCCGTCGTAGGCTGCGCCAGCAATGGCGACCTCTTTTGCCGCGAATGCGCAATCAACGACCTCCTCGCCCAAAGACAGGAAATCAAGCGCCTGGAGCGTGAGCGGGATGATGCGCGGAAGCGCATTGCCGAGGATGACGAGCGCACGCTGCGTGAGGTCAAGGAGAGGGATCTGAGAGATTTCGAGAGGGTTTCTATGGGGCTGGAGGCTAGGGCGGATGTTTTTGGGGCTAATGGGAAAGCGCCTGCGAATGAGGCTGTTGGTGGTGGTGCTGGTTTGGGGAGTAAGAGGAAGGCGGAGGAGGAGGAGAGTGAGGCGATGAAGAAGTTTAAGGCTAGGGAGGTTGTTGTTGATGGGAAGAGGAAGAGGGTTTTTGAGCTGGATGAGAAGGAGATGGCTCGGGTTGCTGGGGAGGAGAGGGAACGGCTGAAGAAGGAGTTGAAGATGGAGAAGGTATGTTTTGGTGGTGGTGATGGTGGTTTTTGGGCGGCCTTTCGCTAACCGTGTGGTGGGACAGTCTGAATCTAGCAAATCTGCTTTGCCTTCTTTCTGGGTGCCATCGCTCACGCCTGGCACGGATGCGAATGAGATTGCAGCCAGTAAGACTGTCAAGTTGACGCCAATTTGTCCCGGATCGACGGATGAGAGCCGGCATAGCTATTCGCTCAAGTCACTTGTTGAGGTTCATTTCACTGAGGAAAAGGCGTCTGATGGAACCGTGTCGAGGGTCTGTCCTAGCTGCAAGAAAAACTTGAGCAATGGGCTGAAAGCTATGCGTACGTGTGATCCAATTGATACAGGGTGGTTACAGCAAGCTAATAATTGCTTTCGCAGTCACGAAACCCTGTGGACATGTCATCTGCTCTCCGTGTGTTACAAAGTTTATGACGCCTTATGAACACCATACACCTGACCCTCATGCTTCAAAGGAGGAACAAGAAGCTGCTGCTACCTTACATGGGCAGGTCTTGTGTTTTGTGTGTGAAACAGATCTTACAGCACGTCCTTCGAAAAAAGACGAAGGCAGCGGGAGCAAGAAGTCCAAGAAGAAGGAGAAGGAGAAGGATGCCATCCAGCCCGGCCTGGTGCAAGTTAGTTCAGAGGGCACTGGCTTTGCTGGTAAGGGAGGAAATGTGGGTAAGAAGAGCGGAGTTGCCTTCCAGTGTTGAGCGCGGAAGAGAGAAGCGAAAGCGATGAGAAGGCACACGAATTTTCAATTGCGTGTAGATAAAATATCCTGATATTGCCGCCCGGAGCGGTTATTAACGCCCGAACCATGCAATTACTGTGTTCTAGATATACAAATTTGAAGCCATGCGAAGGGGTTTGCATACTTCTTTAGTTACGCTTCTTGGCGTTGTTGAACTCACGCACAGTGACCTGGCAAGCAACCTCCTGGCACAGACGACGGCGACGACTCAGGTCCAGGTTAGAGGCGAAGGTCAATCCAGAGGCACGCTCAACGGCCTCGATGGGGACTTCGAAGTCAGTCAGGCGCTTGTCGTTGGCAATGCGGGCATTGGGTAGCACAAAAGCGCCCAAGGCAACCTTGCTGGTGGGCAAGTTGAGGCCGTCCTCAGCGTAAATCACCTTGTAGAAGTGGGTGGGCACGGCAACGTTAGGTGGGTTGCCAATAACCTCGTAGTTGACGCGCCACTTTCCATCAGGATCCTTGTGGGGGAGATACAGAGGGCCAGTCACGATGCGAACAGATGGGTACTTCTTTGCGAGATCACGGCAGAAGGTCTCGAAGTGCGCCCAGTAATCGCGGTTGAATCCCTCGCCGACCTGGGGGCACATGTTGCTCAGAGTGAAAGTGTCGTTCATAGCCTCCTGGGACCATTTGGCGTCTGCTGCGGGGACTTGGTGGCCGCGGTCGTAGCCGGAGCGGAAGTAGTCTGCCAATTTGGCGCGGAACATCACCGGGATGTTAGTGTCCTCGGTGAAGGTGCTGTGCTTGCGATCGGCATTGTTCAAGGCCAGAGACTCAGGGGTTATGTGTTCGGCGACCCAGGAAGGGTTGCGCGTACGACGGTCGAAAGCGCCGTGCAGAACGAGGTTGGAGAGCTCGTCGGCGATTGGGCCTGAGAAGCCATATTGCGTGATTCCAGCGGGATTGACAGGACCAAGAGCGGCTTTGGCGGCTAGTACCGGTGCGGGGATTGCTGAAGGAGCTGCGATGGTGGCTGTGGTTGGGGTAGGAGGAATTTGTTGTTGCTGTTGCGATCTAGGTTTTCCATAGAGCAGGGCAGTGACTCCGGCACCAGTGGCGGCACTGGCGGCGGCGATGATGGCCAAGGTTGCTTTGGACATGATTGAATGTCCCCGAGGAATGTCGGGAGTTGGCCTGGTTGAGTCGAACGCAAGTCAACAATCTCAAAAAGAAACAAAACCGGAGAAAGTCACGGGCCAATCAGCGAGTCACATGTGAACTGGAGTATAACCTCAGATTTCTCCAGGGCTCAGAGCCTTTGATGTCTTTTATATCTTCCATGGTGTTGATTTCTTTCCTGGAAAGTTTCTGGTCAGCTGGACCTGGTCAGTTGCATTCAATAGACCACTTGTGTGCTCTCGAGGTCGATCATATGCAGGTCGGACTGGGTCAAGCCGTGTGGTATCACCCGATCACGAATTTCACCGTCTAGAAACATTTCTGAGCTACTTGTGCTTCATTATCAAGAGTGTCGACCGTGTCAACCGTGTTCACCGTACCAAGATGATCAACACCTCCCTTCAGAGACTCACGATGTCTTCCGGCTGTGATTTCCGGCCCCCTGCACCACAGCCATGAGGGGGAAAGTGAGAACCTTGGGGGCAAAGGAATGCACTGGCCTGCAACGCATACAGAAAATCCCCCCAATTCGATTCCAACATGGCTGCTCTCTGTTATCACTTTCCTGGGCGAGTTGAAAGTGAAGCTTGACCGCCAACCGCCAACCGCCGGCCGTTGAATGCAAATTACATCACCGTTTTCGTTTTCTCTAACTCCCACACGCCATGGCTGCCAACGACATCCGGGGATGGGTGATGAGCGCTGTCTCAGGCGTTGGTGAGAGTCGCCAATTTAAATGATTTGATTATTCACTAATTGTTCATAGCCTGCGTCCTCGGTTCGGCCATCATCTGTATTGATGTGTTGGTGCAGGTGCTATCCCACCGCAAGAGCTTCCAGATCGCCAACAGCAGTAACTTCCTGTCGGCTTCATTATGTCTCAGCGCCGGTGTGATGGTGAGTGTGGTCATCAAATTCAAGATTATATGGAACTAATGTCTCGCAGCTCTTCACTTCCCTCTATAGCATGCTGCCGAACTCGAAAGAGTACCTCACCCGCGCCGGCTTCTCTCCGTCTGTATCTGCATATATCTTGACGAGTCTTTTTGTTGCTGGTGTGGTGGTTATCCGTATCGTCTCCAATTTCATCCATCGGTTTATTCCTTCGCATGTCGTGGACTGCGCACATACCCACGGTGACCCGGAGAACGACCCCGAACGCGGGGAGAATCATGCTGAGGACGAACACTCGCATACACATAAGACTGGACTTACGGAGAGGACTCCACTGTTACGGCCTTCTGAACATCTGTCGTTCAAGTCAACACCGGCCGTGGTGCAACGGAGCCAACACATTGAGCCTACTTCCACACGGCGCGAAACCATGCGGGCAATGCTAACTCGCCGAATCACCTCTCTCATGGGTGGTGTCAAGCCTCTCTGCGATGAAAATGGGCCATGCTTCGGAGTCTCGCAAACATGCGGCCGCGAGTGTACCAAGATTCTCCCACCAGCTACTGTGGCCGCCACTGAGATTCCTCGCCCCAACCTACCTCATCGGCAGAGCATCTCTGCGCCATTGGAGTCTGAAATCCCTCATGCAGAAATTGATTTTGGCGTCAATGCCACCACCGGTGAACCTGAAGCGGGCTACTTCGATACCGTGGCTGCACATCATGACGTGCGCCCTTGCGTTGCATCCTCCTCTTCGTCTCAAACTCACGAACATGACTCTGAGCATTCGCATCACTCACATTCGGCACACCATCATCACGGTGAGTCAGACAGTCATGGGGATGATGTTGAATCTGGACGTCCCAAGTCTGCTGGTGGCAATCCTCACCACCACCATGTACCTCAAAATGCATTTCTCTCCATTGGACTACAAACGTCTCTCGCGATTGCTCTGCACAAGCTTCCTGAGGGATTTATCACATACGCTACCAACCATGCCAGCCCAACACTAGGGTTGACCGTGTTCCTAGCTCTTTTCATCCACAACATTGTGGAAGGCTTTGCCATGGCACTTCCACTTTATCTAGCCCTGAACTCCCGTTGGAAAGCGATGTTCTGGTCCAGCCTTCTTGGGGGCATCAGTCAGCCCGCTGGTGCTGGACTAGCTGCCCTGTGGATTTGGAGCACCGGCCAGCACGGTAGTGGCGATGCTACCGGCCCTTCGTGGGGTGTCTACGGTGGCATGTTTGCAGCCACCGCTGGAGTCATGACCTCTGTCGCTTTGCAACTTTTCAGCGAGGGACTAGGTCTCACTCACCACCGCGGCATGGGCATTGGCTTTGCCGTTGCAGGAATGGCGTTGATGGGACTGAGTTTTGCATTGACTGCTTGACCATGTTTGTTCTACTTTTCGTCTTCTGGTATTTGGTTCTGGCTGGCATCCATGGACATAGACAGTACATTTTGGTGTCTTGTGACTTTTATTACAGTGGCCGTGGTATGGCCTTGCACAACCTTTACAGTGTTCAAAGAATATTTTTACCGGGTCATTGCACATCATCATTATACATTCACTGTATGGCTGGAAGAATAAAAATAGGTGCATTGGGTATCGATCACACTGCTTTCTGTGAATCAAGAATAAATTATGAAGAGCATGTCACAAATAGACCCGCGTTGGCCATAAGGAAAGAAAACTAATTACATCGCCAAGGTAATACATAGTACCTTCTAATCATGCAGGCCCATGAGCTAAAATATATATCGCAAAAACAAGAAAGCTAGCATACATAGAGCAAGACTCAAGCCCACACAGGCTCGTCACCCGAATCTATTCCAGCCTCGATCCTATCAAAAGCAGCATCCAACTCTCGAGCATTTCTAAACCCTCCATGTTCAGTTTTCATCCAGCAACGCTCAATGATACCCCCAAAAAGGACACCTACAGTGGAAGGCAAATTCCATCGATCAGGCCATTGAGGAGGCATACGTATGTAAAGCCTCGAATTCCGCAAGAACAGGTTGACATCACATTTGTTGCCGGTCGAAATCTCGTAGAAAATAGCCCCCAGCAACGCAATATCCAACTTCATCGTGTAGCCAGCGTCATTCACATAATCCAGGCACGTGTTTGTCGGAAGCAAGGACGACTCCCCGAAATCACAGTACTGCAGCCTCAAATCGTCCGTGAGAAGAATATTTCGCGACCTGACATCGACCACCAAGACATTTCGGGAATGGATGTAGAGCATGCCGCGGGTCAGCTGGCGCATCCAGGCTTTCTTGATGTACACGGGTGGTGGGATGAGGGCTCTGTCGAGGAGGTTTCGTAGTGTGCCGGCTCGCATCAGCTCAAGCTCGCTGCTGAAAAAGGAAAAATTGATCCATTTCAGGACCTCTGGGCATGAGGTTCGATTGGCCAAGGGTTGGAGACGGACATAGATTAGTTGCTCGACACGAATTGTGTCAACGCTTTCGGCCACTTGTGCTCTCGTGGAGTCTGGATGGCGTAGAGGTAGTTTGATTGCGTTGCCGTCGTGTTTGATGACAACTGATGAACTGCCGTAGCCGACGATTGTTGGGTAGGGGATTCGGGCGCCTGTCAGATCGATGAATACCGGAGGGTCGCTCATGTCCATGAACATATGTGGTTCCGGCATTTTGGTCAGGTTGTCTTATGAAGCTGGGGATCGGGGGATGTATCATGGTGAAGCGATAGAATGATGAAATGGCTTGGGAAAGAAGGTTCCACGGTGGTACTTGAGGCAGGTAGGGCTTTTGCATAGCTAATGTCCGGTGGCTTCGGCCGAATGCTATACTCTAATTCTTAATTCAATTTTTGTGTTATACTGCAGTTCAGAAGTAGGCGTAGTATGTTTCGTAGCTGCGATATCAAACCCTAACTCACGTTACGGAAGGGTTCTATGACTGTGATTATGTATTTCTTCAGATACATTGAAGAAAGGCAAAATTAAAGTGCATATTTGTAATTCATTAATAAATAATTGGAGGTTCAGGTCTTGTCAGCTAAGTTATGGGAAAGTTTGCATCCATATGAGTGGAGCGTTACCTCTTTCGGACACTAACCCTAACGTAAATAGTTCTTATGGTATAAGCCTAAACTTCCCCACTAAATACTAAACTAATGACACAACTGTAGACAAAGTAATCATTACATTGAATAACTTTATGGACGTATACAATTTAGGTCCTCGTAAGTAAAAGCCAATATTGAACACCAACAGAACCAACCACAAAATTTACAACCCAAAGAGTATACTTAGAGTGCCTGGACCGAAATACGTCTCGGAGCACCATTGCCATACAAGCCAGCACCACTAGACTCACGAAGATGATTGTGGTGGACCTGTCCCTCCTCTTCCAGATCCTCAACGTCCAAACTGAAGCGGCGAGGCTTGGACCACATTCCAAATTGTTCACCACCATCGGCATTACCGATGCTCTGAATCTGGTCAGACTCAATGCCAAAGCGGGAGCCCAGCTGCTGGAACAGATCTGCATGAGCTGAGGCTCTGCGCGAAGTCTTATCAATACCCATACGGCCCTGAGCACGGCGGAGCAATTTCATGTGCTGCAAAGCAGTATCGGCGGCGCGGGCGTGGCCCTTTGCTTCTTTATCGCCAAGCAAGTCGTAAAGAATTCCCTCGTGGAGGGTAGCTGCCGATTGGTGGTTTTCCGATGCAGTGAACAAACCGGAGAGCAATTTGGTCATTTCCAGAGTGACGGGGTCACAGCTGCCCCAGACTTGACGCAGATTGTAGCAGATGTCGCGGCAAAGCTGAATGGCTGAGTCAACGTGGCCGCGGCAGAAGCGGGTTTCAACAAGGCGGCGGCCAATCCAGACGACCACGTCTGGTGTCCAGGTGCGCTGGACGATGCGGGAGGTCCAGAGCTGGGTGAGAATTCCCTCGAGTTCGTCGAACATGTCGTACTCTCCTAGGAGGGTAATAATGTCATTCAGGTCGTTGAATGGCAGATCCACCATGTCGATGCCGATGGACTTGGATGCTGCCATAATTTCCTGAAGGAGCAGCTTGGATTTGACTGACATGTCGAGGAAGGTCTTCTCGTCTGTGCACTTGGTGGCCTTGTGACCGCTCAAGTATAGACAAATCTGGGTGGCTGCCTTGATGCTGTTGTAGTTGTTCAGACTTTCGGTTAAGTGCATGAACGATTGCAGCACGCCTGTTAGGATAGTTGCATCCTGGAAACGGGAGGAATTGCACAACTCGCGGACACTGTCCGCTGTCTTGGTGAGAATCCTCATGTTATAGTTGTCATTGTGGATCTCACGCAGGCAGATCTGGTAGAACTGCTGCACGATCTGCTTATCGGAAACATTGGTAACCGATAGGTTGGAGCAGAAATATTCGTACAGCTTGTCCTTCGTATCTGCGGCGGCACGGACTCGCTTCTGTTCGGTCTGAAGGTTGTACAGAATATGACCGGTTATCAAAGTAGGAATGAAGTCGTGGCCAGTGAGGCTCTTGGAGAACTCCTGGTAAGTAGACATCTCACGAGTCATCTCGGTCATGATCTGGCTGTAAGTAGCGCGTCTACCGAAGGCTTCTTCAAAGCCAGCGACAAATACCGCGTCGCGTCGGTCATACAGAGCCATGGCGGAAGCTTCAGAGCTGTACACCACGCGGTGGCGCAATTCGTCAAGCATACTATTGCCGCCTTCAATGAATCCACATTCGAGATAGATTGAAGCAACCTTGCGAGCCCAGTCACTCATCTGCTCGGGGTCACCGCCAGCGTGTAATACGTCGGTAACAAAGGTGTGGAGAATCGCGTTGCCCTGTTGAACAGCAGTCGAAGTTCCCTGTCTGGAGTGGGCCATTGCGAGCTCACGCAACCAAGAAAGAGTAGTAGAAGAAAAGTATCCCTGTGTCTTCTTTGCTAGTTGGAACTCCTCTGTGTAGAGGTAGCGAGCATCACTGGTTGAATCATGCTTTCGAACATAGAGCTGTGCCAGCTTATGCTTGAGCGTAATTGGCAGTGGCTGTGTCATCTGATCAAGGCCCTTGGATGACTGGCTTTCATCAACCCATTCACTCGTCTGCAGAGGCTGCTTGTACAGCCTGATTGCCTCATCAATGTGAGAGTCGCTGCTCTCGCATAGCTCAGCAAACAGCAGGGTAGCGTTGAGCGTCTTCTGGCTGGTAGGGCCGTGCACATGGCGACAGGTCATGACATAGTCAGAAGCAACCTGGTATCGCTCGTTGAAATCGGAGCCATTGACATTTCGGGTGGTCAGAATAGACATGTACCCAAGATAGGTCTTCTCCAGCATGCGATCCACCAAAATCTGGTCAAAGGTGTGCTTCTTGTTATCCTCGACAACAAGGGTAGGCCAAAGTGAGCGATAGACACTCAAGGCAGAATCCCACTGCATTTCTCCCTCATAGAGAGCAATTAGAGCAATGGCGGCATCGATGCCCTCAGGGGCGATCTTGCCATCCCGAGAGGTGACGTTGTGGATACGCTGGTAAGTGCTCTTGGCCTCACCAGTCATCTCCAAGCGAGTTGCCAAAGCAGCCTCAAGGTACATGTTGTCAATAGTATGCGTGTGACTCTGTCCAAGGCGAGCTGTCAGGAAGTTACTGACGGTGTGGAGCAGACTCAACGCCTTGGTAAACTGATATGATGTCTCATAGAATTCGACCACAGCCTTGGCGACAGCTAGCACAGACGGAACTGGAACCTTGTCCGATGAAATCAAAGACCCGAATGCATTGTCGTAAACAGTTGTAGCCTGTTCCAGGTGCAGTCTGCGGAAGTGGCAGTAAGCCAAGATCAGGGCAAGATCTGCTGCAGGTGGTGCCAACTCAGTTGAGAATTTCTTGTACGATTTCGATTGCTCGACAGTTGGCCAGATATGCTGCAGAACAGCCATAGAGCATTCACTGGCCTGTGCCCAGTCTTCCTCGTAAATGTATATACTGGAGAGATTATGACACATGATCAAGGTGGTGACAGTCATGTTGCTCGAGCTTGCCGAAATGACATCCAGCAGCTCAACCAACAACTTTCGGTCTTTGACAGAGAGCGAAGATGCTCGCTCCGTTGAGACAGAGTTAGACATGCTTTGGGCAATCGTCAAGGCCAAAGCAGTTGAGTCCTCGGAGTATTCCTGATTAGTCTCCTTGTAGTATCGCCACATGAGCACTGACAGTGTGCGATCGAGACCCCACAGGTGCATCTCTTGTGTCTCGGTCCTCAGCAGGTGCACACGGTGCATCATTTCTGAGGAGTGGACACCGGTAACCTCAAGATCAGCGACCAATTCACGCATGATGACTTCGGCCTCGTCGTTTCGGCCGTGGCGGCGAAGGAACTGATAGTACAAGAGAGCCACATTGGCCTTTTTGTCCATCATGTCAACTGAATCAATGTCACGCGAGTTCAAACCAGCCCAAAGGCTAGAAAGTACGGCTTGAGCATGAGCAAATTCACCTTCCTGCTCGTACATCTGGGCCATGTAGAGAGTATAGTTGATGCGCCGCTCATCAGTGACTTCCATAGTGCGGATAACATTGTCATACTTGGTTCTAGCAATGTCTCGACTCATCTCATCGCTTCCGGTGCTAGAGAATTGTGCGGTCAAGAAGTCGGCAGTTTCGGAGGACTGGCGTGAGTTTGTACCGTACTTCTGGAGAACCTGCTGGTAGAAGTGCTTCGAGATGAGAAGGGCGGAGTTCTGGTCACTGCGGGACTTGTATAGGCCGACAATAATACCGAGATACTTCAAACGCTGATTGAATTCCACGCCAGTAATTTCCGTGTCGGTCAGGATCAAATATCTCATGATATCCTCCTGCTGGGTGGTCATGGTTCCTTTTTCGGAGAAGGTTTGGGTCATCATCTCAGAACACGTCAGAGTAACCGAGTATGACTGCCCAAGAAGTTCTTGGCTCAGCTTCCATGCTTCGTAGCAGTGCTCGTCAGCGTGACTGGCGTGAGCAAACTTAGCCACACGAGAGCTGAGAAGCAAGCTTTGCAGCAAGGCCATGTTCTTATCCCCAAGAACAACTCGGCGAATATCGCTTGCCAGTCGGTAGAGCTCTACGACACTGGAACGAGTGAACTGGGATTCGCGGCAAGTCAACTCCAAACGGGCAAAGAGAACTGTTGCTGGGAGGAGCTTTTTAAAGCCCGCGTCGAATTGGAATTCTCCGTCGTCGGTCACCAGAGGTGAGGACAGCAGGTGTGACAGCCAATAGCGTGCGGTGTACTCCAAAATAGCATACTTGTCGAAGAGGTGATTACGTTCCTCCATGCTCAACTTGTCCATAGAAATATCGACTTCTTCTTGGACGCTGAGCTGCACACTAGCCAGGCATCGAGTGAGCAAGTCGTAGTGGGCCTCTCTGAGATTAAGAGACCTGGATCCCGAGGACTTCGCCTGACTGATGACATGATCACGAATACAGGTGTGGGCAAAGGACACGACACCATCGCGAGTCATAACCAAGGGGCAGAGTGCATTCAGAGTGTCATGGCTTTCAGGTGGCTTACTAGACAGGAAACGAGGCCCCTTTGGATCCACATTCAAGAGCTGCTCAATTTCCTCGACTAACAAGGGTCGCTCGGCAGCTGCAAGCCAAGAGACAATATTGAGAGTTCCCTGCTGACTGAAGTCGACACTCGCGGAGTGGAAGTCAAGAAGCTCTGGCATCGACTGCGGCAAGTTTTGCACAGACTGAACAGCCTGACTCATGGTCTTTTGCTGCTTGGCGTAGGCTACAGCCATCTCCGCCCAGCTGAAAGAGCCCTGGGATCGTTTGACGATGGATCCCACAGCCGATTCAAGCTGATTGCCCTTGAGGGTGTCGAAATTTGCGCCAGACGCAAGCATCTTGTTCACATAGGCCGTAAGGTCTGTCTTGGTCTGAGAAGTCTGCATAGTACACTTTTGGACATTCCTAGAGCCCATTGTTGCGTTTAATGGTCGGGAGAAAGCGATCATCTTAGATCCAGCGTTTTGCTTCGCGAGAATATCGCAGAAGTGATCCAAGCAAGCCATAGCATCGGCATCACCTCCCTTGATTTGATCAATGCCATCGATCACAAACATGTACTGAATGTTGGAGGATAGACCAGTCCTGATACCCTTCCACAGAGACTCTTCGACTTCGTCATCGCCAGCTCCATCGATGGCACCTTGAGCGGCCTTGGCAACATCAACAAGAATTGCCTCCTGTGTTGGGATGTCACTGACGCAGTGATCCAACATCTGGTGAAGAACACCCTTCAGGATTCGCAGAGGCAGAGTAGCTACCGGGATGTCGGCCCCTAAAATTGGTCAGTGAATGTATATAACGAATGGAATCGACAAAACTCACGGATTGTGTACGGAATGACATTCCAGCTATCATGCTCAGCGGACTCCTGCAGTCTCTCGACAGTCCATTGAGCCATGGCACTCTTTCCAGAGCCAGCTCCACCTGTGATTAGCATGACAGGGGTGGTGGCAACAGTGAAGTCGTAAAGTGAATTGTTAAACCACTCAAACGAACCCTCCGCGAGAACATGGGAGCGAGAATCTAGGATGAACTGGAGAGGACGATCCTGTACTCCTAGGAATTGTCGCAAGCTACCCAGCTCAGGAGAAGAATAAATCTGGGAACTATTTTTCACGAGCTTGAAGGTATGCGAGTCAACAACGCAGTTCCAATGAGTGGAGTAGCGCTTGGCATAGGTCACAAAGGCTGCGTCAACGTTGCGGCCAATGACCTGGTCAGACTCCTTGCTCTTGAATCCCTCCACACAGCTCGTTGTCGTGCTACAGACCATTTCAAGCAGGTCAGCAAAGACTGCAGCAACCTCCGGCTGGAGCTCGGGCGATGACTTGTACGCAGTCTCGTACTGGAGAAGCAAATAGATGCCGACAGCAACGCGACCATATCGGCCAAAGACGCTTTCAAATACATCAGTGTTGTCAATGTCGGATTCCAAAAGGAGAATAGAGAATCCCCAAATGAGCATCGCAGCCTCGTTTGCAGCGGGTGCGAAGGCTCCAACAGACTCGCGGAGAGCGTCGACGGCATATGCCAGTCTGGAAGCCCATCTGAGACAGCAGTCGAGCTTGCTGCCATCGCGGGGCATCCAGCGGAGACGCTCAGAAGCAACAGCATCGAAGAAAGAGTCAACAGTAGGACTGCGGCGACTGATCTCATCGGAAGAAAGACCCAGCTGAGTCTTGCACTTCTGAGACACAGCCTGAACCTTCTCCTGGAGAACAGTAAGTTTGAAGCCACCGCTACTGAGCTGTCTCACAGTGCGCTTTGTAGCTGCACCATTCATACTGCCAGTGCCGGTACTACCGCTACCGAGACCGCTTCCAAGGGCAGTACTGGCCGCATTTTTGCTGGTCTCGCTGTAGGCGCCAGTCTTCTGGAGTCTTCCTCCGCCGACCATGGCCGCTTGGGTGGTCTGACCGTTGTCAGAAAACATGGACTTGTTTGTCTGGCTAGTAGTGGTAGAGCGCAAGCCACTGGTTTGGTCAATACCACTGATCGGGCCCATGTTGCTGGTCTGGCCCATGTCACTAGCCCGGCTCATGCCACCAGTGCTAGGATAAGCACTTTCAGTTGGTATGGCCGAGCTAAAGCCCTGACCAGTACTTTGGCCCAGAATTGCACCGGAGGTACTCTTCTTTGCGTGGCTTTCGCTTTCCATTTTCTTGCTACTTGTGGAATCAAAAGCACTGACAGTTGGTTGGAGCTGACTCTTTGGGCTCGTGGAAGCAAGAGTATTTGGATTGGCAAGATCTTTGCGAGGCATCTGATTGATTCCAGAAGTGGAGTAGCTCTTGCTTGACTGCTCTTTGGCGGTGGAAGACTTGCTGCTTGTTGCTTTGCTCATTCCGCCGCCGCCAATCGCCGCCGCAGCCATAGCTGCAAAGTCCTCGTCGCCTCCTGGTTGCTGCGAAGTCTTGGAACCCTGTGGACCAAGGGTCTTCTGGTTGGCAAGGGACTTGTCTTCGGTAGCAGAAGTTTTGTTGCTGGTTGCTTTACTCATGCCACCGCCGCCAATAGCCGCCGCAGCTATAGCTTCAACGTCCTCGCCAGCTCCTGGTTGCTGCGATTTCTTAGAGCCTTGTGGGCCAAGGGCTTTCTGGTTGGCAAGAGACTTTTTGGCCATGTCTTGTTCGCCGGATTTCTTGGAAAGACCCTTGCCGCCGGTTCCGTCATCGAAGACGTCGCCGCTGATATTTTCCTGGTCATGAAGCTCGTTCTGGATGTAGTCTTCGCTGAAGTCGTTCTCAGCATTTGCTCCCCTAGTCTTCAATTGACTGGAGCTGTCTGTGGCCTTGCTTGGTGCTGCGGCAGAGGCAAACTGAGAAGAGTTACGCTTGGGGGTGCTTGATTTTCCCCTGTCGTTGCTTGATTCTGCAGTGTCGGCTTGGGAAAAGCCTTGCTGGTCGGTGCTCGACTTTCCCTTGCCCTTGTTTGATTCTGCGGTGCCGGCTGTGGAGGAGCCTTGCTGGTCGCTGCTGAATCCAATGGTTTTACCCTTTTGGGCTTGGGTGCCGGTGTCCGCTTCGGTAAGACTCTTGCTGGTGATTCCTTCGTCTCTCTTCATGATAGTCTCTCGGCCAGTCTTATTGTGGAAGTTCTTTTCTTGGAATGTTCCTTTCTCGGTGATAGGGCCCTTGCGAATATCGTAGTTTGGTTCAAGCATACCGGCTGCGACACTGCCTCGGCGGTCCGAGTGGCTTTGGTGTTGCTCCTTCTGGTCGGATACTTGAGGCGACTCTGTTTCGGGCTTGTCTTTGGGGGCACTTTCTTTCCTGAGCCGAATGACGGGTGTGCCTGTGGTGTTCCGCTGGTCCTTGCTTGATTCACTCATTAAGGCTTGGTCGGATTGGTCCTGGCTGATTCCCTTGTTGATTTGCTGTCCAGTCTCCTTGGCATTTTCTTTGTTCATATCTGGTTTGTTGGCTCCGGTACTACTCGAAGCCCCGCCAGTATCGCCTTGGCTCATGGATCCCTTGGTCTGGCCTCCAGTAATGATCTCTTTGGCACCGTTGAAGTTGCCGTGGCTCATTTCATCTCTGATGGAAGCACTTTTGTCGAGTATCGTATCATGGCCGTCTCCATGACTGGCTCCCCCTTTGCTTCCGCCGCCCAGAGACAGTCGCTTGCTCAAACTCTTGGCAACTCTGGTTCCAATATTCTCGGCTTGTTCAGCCTCAGGTTTGGCGGTCATCTCATTGGCGGACATTTTGAATGGATTTGATGGATTGGTGCGTAAAAATATTAACAGTGAGTATGTTCGTACAAATTACAATAAGTCAAAATAATAGTATCATAAAAGTCGTGTCGATTGTGGTTGTCATGTGTGGTCAGTGGTCGTGAGAGGGGAAAAAAGAGCTGTGGCAGACAACGTCGGAACTATATAATATCAGTACATTTTCCCACTATCATTGCATCATGAATCGGATATGTCCGAGATGTGCATTTCATTTGTGGATGCACAAGGGTGAATGAACGTATGAGAGATCGAATATTCTTCTGCATTCTAGGACCAAGCTTCAATGCTGTCTGGATTTACAGGTCCACGAGGTCATTCCAGTAAGAGACGACGAGCTCGATGTCATTCACAGTACAGGATCAGAAGTCTATGATGCCGAACCCTGTGGAAGACAAGACGAGTGGACCACCCAGTATTTCATGTCTCCACATGAGCTTCAGAGCATCCTGCGATTTGGGGTCCATTTTTCTGATAGAATTGCAACCATTCCTCTTCATTGCATATGTCAATTGATATAGAAGACCAGTAATGAGAATCTCGTCGACATCTCGATCGCTTTTCTCTTGGATTTTGAAGAGCTGGGGGCTTCAACCTCCATCTTGAAATAATGGGGATTGACTTCGATGTCATCGCATTTGTGGGGTAAAGACACCGAGCTTGGAAACAATGAGTCTAAATTGAAAGATCAAAGCAAGAAATTCCCCTCAAGTGACGTCTAGACATTTCCTTGGAGTCTTCTGGGTCGTCAATTGTTTTCGCACCAAACGCAGGTCAAAGGAGTCCTGAGGTCGCGACTGGCCAACGTGCCCTTAGTCATCCGTTCCGCCCCCGGATAACCTTAATCCAACCTGTCGATCCATGGGTATTTCAGATGTGGGTAATCAATTATACCCCAGGACAAGTAGGAGTCGAGGAAAGATTCCGGCTGGTCCGGTGGTGATATCATCCTGGGTTGTGTGGGTGACGGCATGTCGATAACGGGAATATCCGCTGGTTATGTCATGACATTTGGTTTCGGGCAAGTTCCTTTCAAGAAACAAAGATAACGAGTTAGTTGAAAACTGCCTGGATAATCGACTGAGGAGATTAGGGTTATCTTGTTCCGCCACTTGCATTTGTACCGACTGATCCCTTTCTAAGCCAGTAGTCAATGCCCCGTGGTTCGCAGATCACAAGTTAGCATGCGAGAAAACATAGGTTTTCAAATGACATAGTTCTCCTCTGTTCCTCTAAATTGCCAAGGTAAATATACCATTTGAGTCTTCAAGAGCGAAAAAAAAAAAAAAAAAAAGTCGAGAAAAAGGGATTTCCGAGTAAATCAACTCATTGCTAAGGTCATACTGACGCAAATGAATACATGGTCGTAGGATCCTGGAAATAAATAGCCTGGATTTGATCTATGTAAATTCTCATGTCATCTAACGACTGCTTTCACCAGAATCGGAAATGTTACTTCGACAGGAGTTGAAATTATGCATGCAACTCCATAGACCCAGGGTGCCACGGCTTCTATGAGGAAAGCAGTCACGAGATACTAAAACTTCATATCGTATTGAAATAATGTTGGATTCTCCATTTCCGCCTTGTTTTGTTCGTTTTGTAATTACCATCATTCGAGGAGGGCGGGCTATTCATATTGATTATATTGAATTGGGTACGACAGAGCACAATGCCTACTATATGATACGCATCATCTTTGAACTAGATTCTCGATATAGGGAAAGAATCTGCCTTGAGATGCGAGAAATTGGGTATCAGACCTGACCTTTCTTTCTTTTTCTTTCTTTCCCCGTTTTTTTCTTTTGCCTTTTTTTCCTTCTTCCTGGCACTTAAATACTCCCTCCACCCAGCAAGTACTGTTCATTCAAGTCCAGCAGGGTAGTGAAATCGAAAAGATCCACAGATTGCTGCGTCCCTAAAGCTAGTATATCACGTGCAACAGCTTTAATCTTCTGCATAGTGGCCTTTGAAATAGCCCAGGTCCGGCCCATAGACCTCAGCACTCCAAGATTCAACGCAATTCGGTCACGGCCTGTCTCAGACATCTGACCAGACTTTACAACTGCAAGCTGAACAATGCTACTGAGTGCAAGAGCACAAGTGAGGAACGGTGTATGCTTCTCAACTGGCGAACTAATTGCAGCTAATGAAGTAATTTCCTTGGCCGCTCTGAGTGCTTTCGTCGTATGAGAATGGAGGGAGAAAGCGGACTCTCGATGTGATCCCTGCTGACTGCAGATGACATCTACGCTGACGGCAGAAGAACCCATGAGGCCAGAACGAGAAAGGTTCAGATGGATGGAGGCAATGTTGACAATCATGCAGGCCTGGAACATTATCTCATTAACCGAGCCGTCGTGCCGTATAAGTTCGGCCTTGGAGCTAGGTAGGTTGAGAAACCAACTGGATATGCGAGTGTCGATGGCCTCTATGAGGGTTTCATGGCTTCCGGTCATTTCACATATCATCATTGCGCAGTTCAGAATACGCACGGCGTCGATTCGATAAACATGTGATGAAAATTCGGGCTCTTCGTCGGCAAAAACGTGTGTGTCGAATTCGGCGATCGTTTGTGAATCTGTCGAAGTCAGGCCCTGATTTAAGGCTGCCTCTTCGCATGGAAGCGGCACTTCTAGGGCTTTGGTCGCTGTGCGGCAGGTATTCTGCACCCCGAAGGATTTCAGGAGTCCTTCAACGACGAAAAGCTCCCACCATGTGCGTCGTAAACATTCTGCTCTGATTGAATCATTGGGGCTCTCGGTCTCAGCAAAGGTAGACTTGTCCAGCCCAAGCTCAAAAGCCAAATCTATAGCTGCATTTAAGCATTTTTTTGATTCCACATGGTCGGCTCGCGAATGCAACACGATGGACAAGAGCAAAAGCGCTTGAACCTTGTTGACCGATGATCCTTCTTTCAAAACTGTCTCAACAATTTCGTTGCCATAAGTATGACTAGATGCGGATGACGTGAAATGAGCTGCGATAAATTTCACAACCAGTCTCACATAAGAAGGCAAGTGTGCCTCTTGGAAAATTTTCCATGGTGGAAGGATTGGATGGGCAGAGTGGAAGTAGGTATAGTAAATGGCAAACAAATAGCTATCATTTCTGGCAGACGGAGCGGAATCTGATGTCACGTCCTGTGGTGCTTGTCGAGTATTGGATGCCATTATCGCCGGTATATCTGCGAAATTGGGACTCGAAGCCTTGAGTTCTCGTGGATGGGATGTCGGTTGTTTAGATCGGAGACCGCATAGTAGATACGGACCTCCGGTGAGGTCTGTACTATTCACAGAAAGAATTTTATGATGTTCGAAGGGGAATTTGGATTGGACACGGCGTTTCGTCGAAGGCAGATCTATCATGAAGGCGGGAGAAAGTGCATAGATAGCACAAGATGATCAAGGATGAAAGATAGAATATTGCTCTGAGCCCCTTTTGTCAGTCTTGCTAAGCACAGCTCTCATTAATATCGAAACACACTGCCCGCTTTCATCAGAGGGGCATGTAGCGAGTTCTGTTGGACTTGAGGATGAGGCTTTGTGGTGAACATAGTCCGATGCCAAGAGTAGACGCCAACCATTTGCCAACTCATAAGAACACGAAAACTGATCGCTGTTCTAAAGCAACGTATGATGGGTGTGATTTGCTCATTTCGTGCATATATTAATTCTCTGGGGTCGAAGGATGCAACCGAGAAGTCCGGATTGGTGGCCGGACATCGGGGACCATATTGGAGCCCGGTCCCGCTGATGGAGGTGGCCAGTTGATAGATCCTGAAACACGCAATTACATATCCACCAACGGGGTCTGAGTCTTTAGTCTAGAACTACAGATAATGATAGACCTCAATTTGGTTCTAGATTCTCGTAGACATGGCAGAGTAATGGTGTGTGGTTAGATTGACTTTATCACGCTTACTCTCAGACACACATTAGACTCTGGATTTCAGGGGTCTGCTATAAAGCTTAATGAATATACTATCCCTGGTGAAACTAAAAATGCTTCTGGAATGATGTTTTGCAAATGCCTATCAGTTGTTCTGTTAAGAAGCCTTGCTCGACAAAACTTGGCGGTTTGTTGCAGGAAACAAGAAAATTGTAGCAAGTCAGATCAACATATTTCCATTCCATACTTTTAAAAAATCCAATTCTCAATGAGATCATTTGTTATGGAAAGGAATGAAGATTTGCTCAAATAAGTTATATGTACGTATGTCTAGTAGTTGACTTCCTTGCCCTAACGTTCTGGTGCCTTGTAACAGCAAAGGTTCAGTAACGGCGACAGCGATCCTGGTAACTTCCCTCCTCCATTTAGAGTTCAGCTTCTTTGTTAAAATATTATTTCCGCATAATCAGTTGGTGGCGTCTCACGGTGAGTAGATTCGGTCTTGCTAGTGACTATAATCTTCGAATCCGAAGGTATACCACCTGGATAATTCATCCCACCCATCAAGCTGACTCATGCAGCAGAAAATATCATGAAGTGAAATCAAAAATGAATAGGTCCGTGATTTTTCTCGAGATGCAGACATGAATAAATTGAAATGACCAGAAAATTTTCTACAAGATAAGTCTCAACAGTATAATGCTAAATGTGTCCACACAATATATCAACTAGGCCGGCTGGCCCAATGGCAAGGCGCTTGACTACGAATCAAGAGATTGCAGGTTCGACCCCTGCGTCGGTCAATAACTTTTTGTTTTTTTGTTATTCTTCATGGCCGTGACTAGAATCAAAGGCATTTTCTGGTCGGCAAAGGCTTTGTATCCCTTTTTTGACTTAATTAAGGGATAAATAAAGCTCGGTCGCCGCACGTGGCCAGTAGAAGCCTCCCTCCTAAATTTATTGAATTGCAAGCAAAACGACCATTGTAATTTTGTGGTTGAAGATTTCCCAAAGTATGAAATTATCAATTTCCAGTTTCAATTTGCATCGGCTACCACATGGCAAGACAATTTCACAGCACAAATGACAAGACGAAGTAAACGGCGACCAGCTGTGGGTCCGTTAATGTACTGACTGCACGTGGCCCCACATGTCTAAGAAGCGTGACGATGTAAGTCATATGTAGTCCCCGGGTTTTCAAGCAATGGCTACTTGTCTTTTGCACATTACTTGAATTTCCTTGAAGTGGTGACTCAGGGTAGAGAGGAAGCCCATAGTATGAGAAGTATGACCCAAATGTCCGGGGAGACGTCGTATAGCCATCTACCATAAGTGCTTTAACACGTCTACACTTACATTCTAGCGTTTCAGACAAGTATTATTCAAGGCACTTGGGAATGGGGAAAAGGGGTTGAGAAAAGAAAGGCCGAAATAGGACGGAAGCAAATGGCCAAGCAGTGTACTTGCCTCAGAATAGTTTTGTAGGGACTGTATGAAAATTCACGTCTATTTTCTGTCGATCTAAAAGCAAACTTCTCTGTGTGTACTGTACACATATTTGATGCAACCCAACAAGACCCCATGCATTCTCTTACACCGTTGAACCAGCAATCGGCGACTTTCTAGTCCACCGTTTCAGTCTAGCTTCAGAGTAATGCCGAAAACACCGAGAGAGCCACACGTGATAAACAAAGGCCCCCAGATTGCAGGGACGAATCGCCCTTGCAACAGGTTTCTCCGAGTGGTAACGTATCGGGCAAATGAATATCCAAATGACCAGATACTTATAGCCTGGCAAATGCGGCTAGCCACGCGATCACTCGTATTTCCAATTAAGATAGATGATCCCTGTTCTGTGACTGGAACATCTGCCCCGTTCGAAAGCTTTCCTGGGGAAACAGCTTGCACAGAGGGCTTAGGAGCAGTGATGTTCTCCTCGCGGGATTTGCGATTGAAGATGTTGTCGATGATGTCAAGTCGCGCGAGTGCAAGTGACATGGCAGCAAAAGCTAGTCCCATCCGGTTCCAGGAAAGAAAAGTCCGCTCGTTGGCCTGATGATCGCGTAATTGGGATCCATCATTGGCAACCGACTTCGGCATCAAGCGACGGAATATAGAGCGATTCATGTTGAACAATTTGTGTCTTTGTTGTGCCTAAAATAGGAAAGGTAATTTATGGAGAACTCCTTTTGTGAAAAGAAAAAGAAAAAAGGGCCAATGAGGGAGCGCAATTGAGGCAAACAATAGAAGGGGATTAGGGTTAGCTCGGCTGCATGAGGATCTAATTGCCGTGTGAAGCCACCCGGGGGCGGTGAACGGCGATCGCTATACCCACTCCCCGAGAAGCCCGGAACGGGGTCCTTGCTACTTTCCCCGTGTATACTAGTCTGGGAATGAGGCGCTAGTGTGTCAGATATAATTGAAGATATTTGGCGGGAATCAAGAATCCACGTGTGCTTTCCAAAAGCAAAAGCAAGCATGACTCCTGATCCTTGCCTGGCAAGTGAGATACAGGACCGCTTCTGATATATATCCGTGATTGCTGCGAATAAGATTGATCATATTAAAAAAGGGAGTGCAAAAGAAGTATGACTTGTATCGCAGTTAGCCATGCTGGCTATGTTACAGTCTGTGCAACCAAATGCTCCAACTATGAACCATACCAGTTTTCTCACCGAAAGCATGAGATATTCTAGCCTCACATCTTGTAGTTCGAATACAGCACAGGCGAATTTTGACGCCAACGCCTTAAGCGCCCTAAAGTCATCAAGACCATCAAACCCGCAATGCACGTCTCTCACTCAGAACCCATAATAAACACAAACTCAACCGATGATTCAGGAAGAATCCTAAAGCTCAGCATGTACGCCGCATTGAAGTACACAATAGAAGCAATCAGCCGGTCTCTATTGATGAGAGTGTAGTTTTGTTCTATTTTACCTTTTTGGTCGAGCCAACCCCATTCATAATCAATTTATTCGAAAGGTAGCAGTGGACTGCGAGCCTCCCCTTAGCCACATTGAGAGACTATCGTTGATCAGATAGTGCAAAATCTGTAGCATGAAATTAGCAAGCAGCCTTGTGACTCTATTCAGGTGGCAGAACGAATTGATGAAGCTATTTTGGGGGACGGAATGGCTATGTGTAAGAAGTTTTACCTGAGACTTATCTTGTGTTTTGGAGGAGATCACTAAGAGCGCGGTAGAAGTAAAAGTGGCTTAATCTCGCTTAATCCAGTACTCTATATAGATGTTTCTACTAATAATACCGTCATGGTTCGGCATGTCGTAGACACCAAAGCAAATGAGTGAAACTAGTCAGATGTTCAGATGTTGTAGACGGAGAGATCTTGTGTTGTGGCCATTTGTATCAATCTAACGAATACTTGTTGGAAATGACTTTGCCGAGAGAAATCAAGGTATAATCCGATTGACCGTGGCCTAAGCGCTGAGCCTTGTTGTCTCTAGGATACTCATATATTCATATAGGCCTTGGTTCTTCCAAGCCTTCGAAGGTTGGTGTTTGTGACTGATAAACTTTTGCATGCAACTCTACATCCGTTGTTTACTATATTTGATGAAATAGTTGATTATTGGGTTCTCTTGCCAAGGGCCGATATTGAATCCTTTCACAGATACACCGGGACCTCGTCAGTGGAGGAGCTAGATCATAAAATTGATGGAAATGTGTTTTATTTAGCTAATCGATATTTGCGTATGACATACTGGCACATTCATCATCCGTGGATGTAACGTATCTGACATTTCGTTGAATGATAGGATTTGTGAGGACGATACTGTCAGCATCTGATGTCTGGGATTGGTCCGTACGATTCGCTGTAATCCCTTACGACATCATAGTATTTGCTTACTTGCTTGGAATAAACTTGACGATACTATAATGATATCCTTAACCTCAATACTAGCCTCATGTTATATAAAAGGACACAATTTGCTCCTCAAAGATAGCCAGCCCAAACAGCAAGTAATAGATTTTTGAACTCATTCTGGGCGGTACAAACTTCGAGCATATTAGCCTCTACACTTCAGACTTACATTTTGTAGAATTATATTGGGAGACAGACGCCTGAGCGCTCATGGTTTAGGAATACTTGCAGACAAGTAGCGAGGCCAGGTAAGGCGTGCAGATGACAATCTGTTCCATTTGGCTATGATCGGTGACAAACCTCTTGAGGCCGTAAGCAAGCCGCATTGATATGAAATCATTCAAAGGTCTGTGCTTGAAGTGAGTCAGACTACATGGCCATTGGAATGTCGGGAAAGAGGCCTAGGCCTTCGTGGTAAGAGGCGGATGTCACGGAGGGGAAACCTAGAGAGCAGCAGAATCCTAGAATTTGAATTACACAGCCGGTGGGTGGTAGCACAAGCCAAACTCCCAGTCTGATATCGCAGAGATATACCTGGCTGAGCAAGTTTACTCCAACATCCAGATATCAAAGAGGTGCTGGCCCATTTCCCAGATCCTGGCTTTCAGATCATAAGTCGAGACAAAGTAGAAGAAGTGACCATTTCTGGATTGGAAATTCATTCATGGAACAGCCTATGTAACGAGTCGAAAGTGACTCTGAAGTCTGGCATGCGAGAAAAACCCGTAGACAGTCTCGCACCCAGCCACAGCCTTCCATCCTCAGACCGCCATGTAGATTCAACGATTTCCGTGATTCAACCCTCCATAACCCGTGCGTTACCAGCAAAAAAAGAAATTCAAGCGAAAACGAAGCATGATATCATCCGTCCAAGTACCAGCCGTAATCTGGTTGCTCTCGTTCGTTTGGGCCGTGGTCGTGTCGCGGTTATGCGAATATTTGTCTCAACATCGTGTAACTCGACTAGCCGATCGCGGCGCGGTTGGTTTTTTCAGGAACTTGAATAATTTATTGGCCGGGGTTGGGGTTCATCTGCAGTTGGATGTGTTAGCCTTTCGTGTCCTTCATATTCGGTATTCGTGGGTGTGTGGTGTGATTCGTTTGGAGTGTGTTCGGTTGTGTGGGTGGATGGATGAGTCAGTCGATATGTACCTTGCGCTTGCCACCGGTCATGGTAACGTTGACGAAACGGCGAGTGTAGAGAACACGCTTGTAGGCGCGACCCTTGGGGTTCTTCTTCTTCTCCTGGGGCTCGACCTGGATGCAAAATTGTCGTTAAAAGAACTGGTCGGAGAGAAAGAGGCCACGGGCGATCGTCGAGTGGCGGCGTTTTTGAGGGTGTCGAAAAGAACTCACCTTAGGAGTAGCAGCCTTGACCTTACCGGCACGGGCGAGAGAGCCGTGAACCTTACCCATGTTGGATGATTTTGATGAACGACAGGTAGAAGTGGTTTGGTGATGGAGCGATTCTTGTGTCTCGATAGGGTTGCAAAATTGGGAGTGCGACTGTGGGGCGGCTTAGCGAGCAACGTCGGTCCGGATTAACTGAGCCCGTGTGGGGTCATGTGACGTTGAGTCAGTGGATGAGGTAAGCCGGGGTTAAGAGACGGCTTCGGGGGTTCTCGGCTTCAGTTTTTCCGAAGTAAATGATTGCAAAGGGCAAGGAAAAGGGTGCATCCGTACACTAAATAGCGTCAAAGCATAAGATGACCGCCTTCATTGGCTCTATAAATTGATTCAAAGAAATATGAGTCAGTCTCATCTTGGACCCTATTGACAAATCGTATTAATCAACCAACTATGGGTACGTGACTGTGATTTCTGACATTATGTCTACTGTACAAGCCTCCACTGCCGTGGAATAAACTTAGAAATGTCCAGGATGGTGGCGCATCCAGCATGCAAATTTGTTCACAATTAGGCTCCCTTTGCTTTCTCTTTGGCGGCAGCCTCTTCCCGCTCCCTCTTTCTTGCCAAGAACCGCTCCTTTGCACTGGAGACTTCTCCCTCGGTCTTGCGACTGCGACTCTTCTCGGCCACTTCCCTTTGCTTTGCAGCCTCGGCCTCTTCTTCTTGCCGCGCACGCTCCTCCAGTTGGCTTGCGACCATGTCGGTCTGTCGCGCACGCTGAGCAGCACGGCCAGACTGGGGGCCTGCAGCACCTGGTCGTGCAGAGGGGCGTGGGGCGGCTTTGGGGGCAGATGAATGAACCTTGGGTTTCGGTGCCACATTTAGTCCAGCAGAAAGAAGTTGGCGCTTATCGACTACTTGACCCTCGTCGTTGACCACAATATGGGCACCCCGAGAATTGAGATCTTCTGCCCTTTGGGTATCCGTCTTTTCGTCCGGCTGTTTCGCTGTCTCCTCTTCCACCGCACCTGCTTTGACACGGCGGGCGGCTTCTTCTGAGGCCTTGACGACTTCCTCGTGCCGTTCCTCTCCTCGGGATAGCACATCTCGGTAGAAGCCGATCATACCGGAATTACCACTCTTCTTCCGGCGTTCCTCCTCTTCCTTCTCGCGACGCGCTTCTTCTTCTTCGACCTTGCGCATCTCTTCTTGTTGAGCCTTGTAAGCAGATGTGACAAACTTCTCCTTGTCTGCGAATTCGTCGCCTTCGGCCTCACGCTCCTTGGCAAGTTGACGATCACGAGCTCGTAACTGGACCCGCTTCCGTATTTCTGCGCTTTCCAGTAGGTTTTTCATATATTTCGGTACATCGCTCTTCGTTTCTGTTGCAGCCTTGGAAGGTTTGGAATGAAGACTCTCATAAACGGCATCGTAGGAGTATATAGATGGGTCGAGTTCTTCGGCTTCTTTGGCATGCTTTTTACTGCTATGCAAAGCCGAGAGATTAGTGTATTCATTGCCAGCACCTGACACTTGCTTCGGTTTCGCCTGGTTGAGGCCAAGGTTCATCTGGCCTTTTTGCTTCTCTTTCTCTTCGTCTTCATCTTCATCGTCGGCAAAGAGCGAGTTCTTGCTGAGTGGTTTGATAGAGGGCTTGGGTCCACTTCCTAGCTGCATTTTCCGTTTCAGTGGCGGTCCTGTGCTTGAAGGTGGCTTTGGTTTTGGGGCTGATTGCTCTAATCCTCCAATTGTGGAAACTTCAGTGGTGCCATTATCATTATGCTGGTCCTCATCCCCGGAGTCATCGTCGAATATATTCTTCTTGCGCTTCTGTCCCAGCGCGTTTCCTGGTTTCGGCGCCGCTTTCTTGTTCGCAAGATTCAATCCGATGGGCATGTTGGGTGGTGTGGTGAGATATCCGTAGTCCAAGCACTTCCACAGTTATGCGCACTTGGTTTAGACGCGACGTGAGTGTTTTGGACTCGGGTGATGCTTGTCGAGGTTAAAAAGTTGCGACAGCGATAGGCGATAAAGCAGTGTGGCTGGTTATCGGTCGGTCACGTGGGCTGGTTTTGCGGGGAGATTTCAAGCATACTTGAATGAGAATATGAAAGTCATTATGATTCTCGAGTATATCTCAATTGAGATAATATATAGTCAAGCTCTCTTGCTTTGAACTAGGGCAAATCAATGAATTAAAGGTTGTGGAAGCCAATTTGTCTTGCCAAACATGGAAATATATATATTCTCGAAACTCACAATCATGCATCTGAACAATAAAAAATATTTCTCTAAACTGCTCAATTTGGACAACCTAAATGGCCGACGAGACTTTATTTATCAAACATTCCATAGGATATCTATTATCAATGCCGATTCTGTACCAACGTTTGACAGACCGTATCACATATCACGTGACGACCAACTGCCAAGTAAACAGCCCCCATGATCTTGAGTTCAACTTAACCTTCAACTACCGCAATCGTCCCAAAATGTCCTACTATTTCACCATCCTGTCGCCAACCGACACACCCCTATTCAACATCGCTTTCGGTACATCCAAGGGAGGTGGTGATGGCATTGCCCGGTTCCGCTTCCCGGAGACCGCGCAGTACATGAACCAGTTCATCATCCACTCAAGTTTGGACATTTTGGAGGAGGCACAATGGACAAATGGTGGAATGTGAGTAAAGAAGACCTTCCATATCATTTGATCCCCGCACCACGCAAAAACGCACACCTAGCATTCTCCACAAGCTATGCGACTCGTGACCCCGGCTTTGCGATATCAAACATCTCGAACAATGCGTACCCCACACAAAACCACAGATCATAGAGCTAACACGCTTCAAAAGGTACCTCAAGCACATCGATACATACCCGCCAGCCGCAGCCTACATAACCGCATTTCTTACCCCAAGCGGCGCACGCTTTCTTCTCCTCCACCAACCCCCGCACCTCCCCTCCTCAACCAGCACAGGCAGTGGCCTCGGATCTTCATCATTGCTAGGCTCAGCCGGATCCACAACCCGGGCTTCATCAAGCTCCGTCGCCGCAAACCCTACTTCTCCGCAGACCGAAGAGGCAGTGCGACAATTTATGAATGAAGTTTATGAGAACTACGTCAAGACAGCGATGAGCCCATTCTATAAGCAGGGCATGGAAATCCGAAGTCCCGTTTTCCGGACGAGGGTTACGGCTGCCGGAAAAAAGTGGCTGTAAATGCTTTTGATGTCTTTTATCTTTTCGCTTTATTTCATGAGCGTGGCGTTTATGGGTCTGACTTCTTATCGGAGTCAATTGCATTAGATTTGTTGAAACCCGCTTTGCAAATACCAGAAAAAAGACGGGTAACCTGCAGGTTTAAGTCAAGCATCTACTGCAGTGAATAGTGTTTAATATCTTGAACTGACTGTACTCTCGTGATGCCCAAGAAGGTGGTAGATCAAGTAGCTAAATGCAGTACGATTTTTGATTCATAACCAAGCCTTGAGAGGCTGAAAAGAGAATGAACAGGTCATCCCCTAGAACCGAAAATCCTGTCCCGCTAAAAACATTCCCAAAGATAAAAATGACCCAAAGAGGTTGGTCTGCACGCTTCGCTTTCCTGCAATCTCAAAGAGTTGAATCCAATCCCAATACCAAACGCCGAGAAGATATTTCCCACCAGCAGCAGAACCAAAGCATTCCTGAAAATATTTTATCCGCTAAAATGACCAGAGCAAAGATATTCAGCCAACCATTTGAGGAGCCAGCTTCTTCATGGTGACGGCTTTGAAGTTATCAACTGCGTGGACTACGTCTTCCAATTTGGCAACGGTGCCAAAGATACCACCTTCCATCTTGACTGAATTGATAGTTCCGACGTGCAATGATTGCTCGCTGGCAGCAGTAGCATCGTCCAGAATAACACAGTCGAATCCGCGGTCGTTGGCTTCGCGCATCGTGGTCGACACACACACGTCCGTCGTCACACCTGCAATGACGAGGTTCTTGATTCCCTTGTTGCGAAGCAGAAGCTCGAAATCAGTGTGTGCAAATGCACCGCGGCCGGGCTTGTCAATTACCGGCTCGCCGGGGAGAGGATACAATTCGTCAATGGTATCATGACCCATTTCACCGCGGATGAGAAGGCGGCCCATGGGACCCGGGGAACCAATTCCCAGACCGGAAGCATTGTTACGGGAGCGAAAGGCTTCGCGACTTGACAGAGTTGATAGATCGGGTCGGTGACCTGATGTTTGTTAGCTATATTGTGTACGGCTGGGGGGGTTCATAACGTCAGTGGAGGCTGCTACTTACCCTCGCGAGTGTGATAAACCGGGAACCCACCGGAGCGGAAGGCCATGAGCAGTCGCTGGAGGCGAGGAATCAAAGCCTGAGTTGCGGAAATATCATAGCCCTGATATCCCATGTATCCCTCAGGCAAACAAACTAGAAACCTTGATTAGATATCCAAGTAATCCGATGAGAGTACTGTTCAGACACATACAGTCTTTCTGCATATCAATAATCACAAGCGCAGTGGTGTATGGAGTAAATGATGAATCGTGTGGCCAATCATATGGAATAGCAGGCACCTGGCCCTTGCGGACCTTATGCTGAGGCGCCTGTCGGGGTTTATCAACAATAGGGCCATGATTATGTGTCGCATTCATCACAGTCAATGTCCAGATACCAGGAGACCCGGCAGCAACAAGCATAAACGGACAATCCATCAGTCGCGAAGTTCTGCGCCGTTTACGAGTCTCCTCGGTGAGACCATTACGGGGCCGGTAGTGACCGCCACGATCACAGCGCAGCCAGACCTTAGCGGTGCGGCCCGGTTTTTTCTCAGTCGGCATGCTGGATGACTTGACGACGACGTTGTAGCCATGTTCCTTGCCATGGTTCTGGACTGCGGCGAGGAGAGTAGCTCTGATGGAATATGAGCTATCCATCCGAATTCAACACGGAAAGGACGAATGGAAGGGAGACCTACTTGTCAGGATATGTCCCTTCAGGAGGGGGCACCAATTGCATTGCCAGTTCTGGAATGTCTTGAAGGTCGCTCGGCGCATCGTCAAGGTTCAGATCGGTAGAATCGGCCATGGTGAACAGATCAGAGTAGGCCTTGGCCTAAGGTGATCTAGCTATAAGATAGGAGGGGTGAGTACGTGTCATACCATCATCGCAATGCCAGCTGGAAACAGACAAAGCTTGCGACAAGTAGATGGGGGTAAACAAGTGCGTGGAAGCAATCAGATGAGATCAGCGATCTAGGGAGTGTTGTGCGTGGGCATAGCACCGTGGGTGGTTATGGAGGCAAACAGATGCTCTGACAAGGGTAGAGGGGCTTCAAGAGATTGGGATGAAAGGGAATTGAGAAGTAAATAATGCCACCTACCTCTTCTATGCGAGACCCAGAAAATGGACACTGGGGATTGAATCCAGATCACGGGCTGAGGTCGATCAAGATCACTATTGCGGCCTAGCTTGCTGGCCTCAGGCAGGCGACTTCGTGTACGGTGTAAATGTCACGGAGATATGGCAATGTGATTGGACGAGGGACTCACCGCTATGATCACCGCCATCATCTCAGCGAAATCCGTCATGTAATTCGTGTTCAATATGCGATCTATCATCTCCCAATTGATAAATGCATAGGCTTCGCTCGCTCAGGCGAATTATAAAATAGGAGTGATTCTAGAATTCAAACAGAAACCGAAGGGTAAATTTGTCGAACTTACTGGACTATTATAAATGTACTACAGTAACAGCAGCATCTTTATTAAAGTCTTAACGGATGTCTATCATAATTGCAAATAACCTATGCTAGAGATGCTTGTATTTGAAGGAGATTATTGAATTGTTTAGGGGGTGGAATACTGATAGACAACACGGGAAGATGAGTGAGTGATAATGGGGGATCTAGAGCAATAAGCTTGGATCTGATCTTGGCATCTAGGTATATCGATCTACGCCGCCTCCAGGGCTGTAAAGGGATCTATCACATACTATGGTCTGTTCTGATGATTTTGTTTCCCAGTATAAACGCGATCTCATATTACATATGTCCTTTCTATGTATTCACTTTCCTTTTTCATTCTTCTAGTGACTGTAGATCTCAGGCAGTTCTTGAAACGTACGATCTAGAGTGTTCTGCCACCCCAATCCACCAATCAGCGTCCAATCGCGAAGGTCAGGTCGAGTAAACACAAAAGGCGGTGGACGTTGGGCAGCCAGATGGAGACTAGCGTTCTCCGGCCCCCCTGACGACCGATGTTGTGTTTCCCTCTCCGATCTAATCTATCCCGCTCTGCCTGCTTTGCCTTTGCAAGAGTGGCGGGAAGGTCATTGCATTCTTTTACTTCGACAAAAGTCTCTACTTTCTCTCTTGCGGAGGAACTACCACACCGATCCCTTGCGTCACCGCCTCGGCGAGGGGTTCTTATCAACGCACGGTTGTTGACATCGGCACGTTACGCAGCAATACGCAACACATGAGTCTTTGAGAGGGGCTGGTGCGATCTGCAGGGCAAGACAGCCTGCTGAATAGCCTTCAACGATCTCGGCCCTTTGGACGGCAAGCGTCGTCCAGACACCTTCCTTGCGACCGGTCGTATCGCTGCCCAACGCGTAAAGATGCCGGCCGTCGATGAGTCACCTTCCGAACGGAAGCATACGAGCAGTTCCTACAGGGATGAATTGGCGCATTACAAGGCTCAGTATGAGCAGCTTGAGGCGGAGCTTGCGGACTTCCAGTCCTCCAGCCGGGAGCTGGAGACGGAGATGGAGAAGGACATTGAGGCATCGGAAAAGCGTGAGCGACAACTGAAGGAGAAGGTTGATACATTACGGTATGAAGTTGATGAGTGGAAGGTATGTTTTTACGCGTTCATGGCCGACTCTGTCGCTTACTTCGACGCTAACACTCTGGCAGACCAAGTACAAGCAGTCCAAGACCGAGGGCAACACTGCTCAGAATAACTTGCAGAAAGAGATAACCACTCTGCGAGATGCAAACCGTACGCTACAGCTGAAGCTACGTGATATCGAAGTTGCCAATGATGACTACGAGCGACAAGCGCGGAACACCACTTCGTCCCTGGAGGACTTGGAGTCCAAGTACAACATTGGTATCGAGCGCGGAGTGTTACTCGAGGAAGAAATCCGAAACGGTGAACAAGAGCGCGAGCACTTGCGTATTGACAACCAGCGTCTCCGGGATGAGCTGTCTGATCTCAAGATTGAAGCTGAGATCGTTCAGGAGAGGCTCCGAAACACTGAGGGACATGGCTTCCGCCGCCGCAAGCCTACTCCTCTATATCGCAGCCCGTCAACTCCTCACTCATTAGAAATCTTTGACCGCTCCCCTGGTACCGCTACTTCTTCCCCAGTCTTTGCCACGCCCCCGGCTAAGTCATCCCTTGCGTCGGCCACTGCTACCCCACCTTCACCTCCAATCTCCGAGTCATCTGTGAACCTTCGGAAGTCAATCAATGCGACACCATCTTTCCCTCGACAGAGAGCTGCCGGACCTGAGCCGGTCAACTCTCGAACACTTCATGCGAGGCCCCAGCCGCGGACCACTCATTCTCGAACCCCCTCCCTCGCTTACAGCAACGGCGCATACAGCAATGGCCGCTCGACTCCATCCATGTCGATCTCGTCTCGCAACAGCCTGACGAGGATGAACAACTCACGACCACCGGCACTTCCAAAGTCAGGCTCGCTCTTCCAGATCCGTGGCCTGATTGGCAAGATGCAGAAGCTCGAGGAGCGAGTCCAGTCTGCCAAATCAAGGCTGCCTGCGCCCTCTGACACGTCTTCCCGTGGCTCCCCTCGTTCGGGGTCTGTTGTTAGTGAAAGCCCAGTCGCCTCGTCGATCACGGTCCGACGGAACTCCCGGAAGCGATTAAGCGGCAGCAGCCTGGGTTCCTCTGTGCGAGACAGCGAAGGCACCCCGTCCTACGTCCCACCAAGTCGTCAATCGTTCGGACGAACCGGTGAAAGCCGCCCAAGCAGTCGAACGAGTTACTCAAGCCGCAGCTCTTTTAGCCAAAGTGTGCATTCTGGGGTTCCCCCTAACGCCCGACCCGAAAGTCGATCCAGTCGCAACGGTGCCAAAACCCCGTTGGGCCACTATTCGACCAATCCCACCACGGAAAGCCGCCGTCCACGGTCCTCTCTCAGCAATCACGCTGGCCAACTCCCCAACATCGGTAGTATGTGCCTGATTGACGAGGACCGTGACATCTCCACCCCAACCACCTCCCGAACCTCCCAGGACATCCGTCGCCCTTCTGTCTCAGCCACTCCCACTCCCATCGTGAAGAAGCGGACCACCAGCGGTATACCAGCACCCCGAAGCTTCAAGACCAGCATCGGGCCTGGAACCATGCCCCCTCCCACCCGCACGACCCACGTCAGTGACCTGGGGGAGACCTTCTGATCTGCCATTCCTCCTCACGGAGCTTCCCTCGGGATATGGAGGTGGGTTGACTTCTGCTGTTTTTACATACTTGATCCTTGATTTCCCTTGCGATGCTTCGCGGCCCCCGCAGTCCAGGGCACATCCCTTGTACAGCTTTGCATGCTGGTGTGCCTCGACCAGCCAGGCCTGGTCCATTTTTAAGTGGCCCCCGGTGGATTCCCGGGCCCGTTCTAAGCTGTGTCTCAGCACTCGACTTTTCGTTCAATAATACCCATGATCGTTACGCTCATTTTGTTTTCTCGTACCCTGACCCAGTGGAGTGGGCTGGCCTTATCTTATAGTGGGGGGAGGGGAGGGGAACCCATGTGGCTGCATGAACCGTAGTGTACAGTTTACCTAGGTGCTGTAGATGTATGATGTTATCTGCTGGCGTCAAATCGCTGAAAGCACCCAACACTCCGTCATTACCCCTGCATCGGTGCTTGTATCAATCGTTGGGAATCTGACCTGGATCTGACCTGGATCTGACCTGAGTCCTGGGATGCCCTACCAGTTACATTCTGCCGTAACCCTATCAAACCGGGAACTGGGCCAAGGGATATGCTGTTGAATACTGCGCAGGGTCGGAATAGGCTTAGTGTCCGCGCCCTTGAGGTGACGGGAATCTAGATTTAATCAATTCGGTATTGACATTGTATAGTTCTAGCTATAACCTTCGTTCTCGCTATCGTTCTAGATCTCATATCATTCTACTTAATTCTAGTTATAGGCATAGGAGCTTGGATTTTGCGATCTGCGTCCATCTCACCATCCCCTGTGGTGCTTCACCGGGCTTCGGTCACCGAAACCCGGGATACAGACTATATAGAGGCAGTGTTCTATGAGACTCCGGAACAGAAGATCATCGTCCAGCTACAGTATTCGTTCAAATCAACTCTCGCAACTCTCCTAATTTCTTCAGTGGTTGGAATTGGTGGGAGTGGAACCGGGGCCCAACAAAGCCAGGGAGTTGGGGGAATCGCGGAAGTACCTCTCCATAGTAAACACTACGGCAAGGTACTTGGGTCCATTCGCAGTTGGGATCTCCACCTTGGTGGGAAACTCTTCATCCTCAGCATTTTTTTTCCTCTTCTTGAGCTCAGATTCCGAAATCTTTTGCATCTTCGATTAATTCTTTTACGGGTTTTGGTGGTCCCGGTGAGTAAATTGCAACCCTCCTTCCCCTTGTGCCTGATTTGCTCCGACTTGGCCGTTTGCGACCAATACTGCAGGCCAATTCCGCATTGGGCGCTATGTTTCCTCGAACCTGAGCGCTGACGAGAGCTTTTTTTTTCTTCTTGCAGATCTAACTCCGAATCTCATTTCTTCTACTCCTTTCTATCTCCCCCCCCCTCTCTTCCTTCCGAAACCACCAATCGGGCAATTCCCGCCACTTCCACTGTACATTACTTTTAATCGCACTCCGTACCCGGAGCTTTGACTTCTTCCCACTACTACCCGGGAGCTTGTCTTTAATCATGGGCATCACAAACGGCAATGGCAGCTCATTGGCAGCCAAACACAACCTCCCATCACATTTCATCGGCGGCAATGCCCTCGAATCAGCAAGCCCAAGTGCCGTGAAGGACTTTGTGGCTGCTCACGATGGTCACTCCGTCATCACATCGGTATGGCTTTGGTCTCCCCACGACTCCCCACGGTCATCCAACAGGACGAAGGAATCGGAAAATGGGATGGAATTGACATGATAAATAGGTGCTTATTGCCAACAACGGTATCGCTGCCGTCAAAGAGATCCGGTCAGTGCGGAAATGGGCCTACGAGACTTTTGGCAACGAGCGCGCCATCCAGTTTACTGTGATGGCCACGCCGGAAGATCTGCACGCCAACGCCGACTATATCCGTATGGCCGATCAATACGTCGAGGTTCCCGGTGGAACGAATAATAATAACTATGCCAACGTCGAGTTGATTGTCGATGTGGCGGAGCGCATGGATGTCCACGCCGTGTGGGCTGGATGGTAAGGACGCTTGATACAGCAATGGAGATGGATGTACTGACATGATTGTAGGGGTCACGCTTCCGAAAACCCTCGGTTACCCGAATCGCTGGCTGCGTCTCCCAAGAAGATCATTTTCATTGGACCCCCCGCGTCGGCGATGCGCTCACTGGGTGACAAGATTTCCTCCACCATTGTTGCACAGCACGCTGGTGTGCCGTGTATCCCCTGGTCTGGAACCGGTGTCGATGATGTGAAGCTCGATGAGAACGGAATCGTGACGGTCGAGGACGATGTCTATCACAAGGGTTGCACTTTCTCTCCCCAGGAAGGTCTGGCGAAGGCCAAGGAAATTGGCTTCCCCGTCATGATCAAGGCATCTGAAGGTGGTGGTGGTAAGGGTATCCGGAAGGTCGAGAGCGAGGAAGGGTTCGAAGCTCTTTACAATGCCGCCGCCAACGAGATTCCGGGTTCGCCTATCTTTATCATGAAGCTGGCTGGAAACGCCCGCCACCTGGAGGTTCAATTGCTGGCTGATCAGTACGGCAACAACATTTCTCTGTTCGGTCGTGATTGTTCCGTTCAGCGTCGTCACCAGAAGATTATCGAGGAGGCTCCTGTTACTATCGCCAAGCAGCCTACTTTCCAGGCTATGGAGCGCGCTGCTGTCAGCCTGGGTCGCTTGGTCGGATACGTCTCTGCCGGTACCGTTGAGTACTTGTACTCGCACTCTGATGACAAGTTCTACTTCCTTGAGTTGAACCCCCGTCTTCAGGTCGAGCATCCCACTACTGAGATGGTCTCCGGAGTCAACCTCCCCGCTGCCCAGCTCCAGATTGCCATGGGTATTCCTCTCCACCGCATTCGTGACATTCGTCTTCTCTACGGTGTCGACCCCAACACCTCCGCCGACATCGATTTCGACTTCTCCAGCGAGGAAAGCTACCAGACCCAGCGTCGTCCTCAGCCCAAGGGCCACACCACTGCCTGTCGTATCACCTCCGAGGATCCCGGTGAGGGTTTCAAGCCTTCCAGCGGTACCATGCACGAGCTGAACTTCCGTTCTTCCTCAAATGTCTGGGGTTACTTCTCTGTCGGTACTGCCGGTGGTATTCACAGTTTCTCCGACAGTCAGTTCGGTCACATCTTCGCCTACGGTGAGAACCGTTCTGCCTCGCGGAAGCACATGGTTGTTGCTCTCAAGGAATTGAGCATTCGTGGTGACTTCCGTACCACTGTCGAGTACTTGATCAAGCTTCTCGAGACTCCTGCCTTTGAGGACAACACCATCACCACCGGATGGTTGGACCAGCTTATTTCCAACAAGTTGACTGCCGAGCGTCCTGACCAGGTTGTTGCTATTATCTGTGGTGCTGTCACCAAGGCTCACCTCGCCAGCGAGGCTGGAATTGAGGAGTACCGCAACGGCCTTGGAAAGGGTCAGGTCCCCTCCAAGGATATCCTCAAGACTGTCTTCCCCGTTGATTTCATCTACGAGGGTGAGCGCTACAAGTTCACCGCTACCCGCGCCAGCTTGGACAGCTACCACCTCTTCATCAACGGCTCTAAGTGCTCTGTCGGTGTCCGTGCCCTTGCTGATGGTGGTCTCCTGGTTCTCCTCAGCGGACGCAGTCACAATGTCTACTGGAAGGAGGAGCCCGCTGCCACCCGTCTCAGTGTCGACGGCAAGACCTGTCTCCTTGAGCAGGAGAACGACCCCACTCAGCTCCGTACTCCCTCTCCCGGTAAGCTTGTTAAGTTCACTGTGGAGAACGGCGAGCACGTTCGCTCTGGCCAGGCTTACGCCGAGGTTGAGGTCATGAAGATGTACATGCCCCTCATTGCCCAAGAGGATGGTATCGTGCAGCTCATCAAGCAGCCCGGAGCCACCCTCGAGGCTGGTGATATTCTTGGAATCCTCGCTCTTGATGACCCCTCCCGCGTCAAGCACGCTCAGCCCTTCACTGGTCAGCTGCCCGAGCTTGGCTCCCCCGTTGTGGTTGGTACCAAGCCTCCTCAGCAGTTCTTCCTGTTGCACAGCATTCTGGAGAACATTCTCCGCGGTTTCGATAACCAAGTCATCATGGGTACCACCCTGAAGGAGTTGGTTGCGGTGCTACGTAACCCTGACCTGCCTTACGGCGAGTGGAACGCCCAGTCCTCTGCTCTGCACTCTCGTATGCCTCAGAAGCTGGATGCCTCGCTCCAGACTATTGTTGACAAGGCTAAGGCTCGCAAGGCTGAGTTCCCTGCCAAGCAGCTCCAGAAGACCATTGCTCGCTTCATTGAGGAGAACATCAACCCTGCCGATGCTGAGATCCTCAAGACTACCCTGTTGCCCTTGATCCAGGTCATCAACAAGTACCTCGATGGCCTCAAGTCCAATGAGTACAACGTCTTCATTGGCCTGCTTGAGCAGTACTACGAGGTTGAGAAGCTGTTCTCTACCCACAACTTCCGCGATGAGGATGTCATCCTGAAGCTTCGTGAGGAGAACAAGGAGGATATCACCGGAATTGTCCACACCGTCCTCTCCCACAGCCGTATTGGTTCCAAGAACAACCTGATCCTGGCCATCCTCGACATGTACCGCCCCAACCAGCCCAACGTGGAGAATGTTGGCAAGTACTTCAAGCCTGTCCTCAAGAAGCTGACCGAGCTCGAGTCTCGTTCCTCCGCCAAGGTTACTCTCAAGGCCCGTGAGGTTTTGATCCAGTGCGCCATGCCCTCTCTCGAGGAGCGTCTCTCCCAGATGGAGCACATTCTCAAGTCTTCCGTCGTTGAGTCTCGCTATGGTGAGACTGGCTGGGAGCACCGTGAGCCTGCTTTCGAGGTCCTCAAGGAAGTCGTTGACTCCAAGTACACCGTGTTCGATGTGTTGCCTCGCTTCTTCGTTCACTCTGACCCCTGGGTGACACTCGCGTCTCTGGAAGTCTACATCCGTCGTGCCTACCGCGCCTACACCCTCAAGGGCATTGACTACCACTCCAGCACTGAGCAGCCCTTCCTGTCCTGGGACTTCACTCTCGGCAAGCTTGGCCAGCCTGAGTTCGGCTCCCTTTCTTCCACCCAGCCCTCGGCTCCTGGTACCCCCATTGCCGAGACCAACCCCTTCAAGCGCATCAACTCCATCAGCGACATGTCCTACCTTGTCAACGATCCTGCCAGCGACCCCATTCGCAAGGGTGTTATCATTCCTGTGCAGTACTTGGAGGACGCCGAGGAGTACCTTTCCAAGGCCCTTGAGGCTTTCCCTCTCGGTGGCTCTGCCAAACGCCCCAGTGAGCACGGCCTGATTGCCAACCTTGAGGGCAAGCGCAAGCCCGTCCCCAAGCCCGAGACCGACAACGAGCTCACTGGTGTGTGCAACATTGCTATCCGCGACATTGAGGAGCAGGATGACAACGAAATTGTTGCCCAGATGAAGAAGATGCTTGTTGACTGCAAGGAAGAGCTTCTGGCCCGCCGTATCCGCCGTGTCACCTTCATCTGTGGCAAGGAGGGTGTTTACCCCGGCTACTTCACCTTCCGTGGTCCCCACTACGAGGAGGATCTGAGTATCCGTCACAGCGAGCCTGCTCTTGCTTTCCAGTTGGAGCTTGGCCGCCTGAACAAGTTCAACATCAAGCCAGTCTTCACTGAGAACCGCAACATCCACGTTTACGAGGCTATTGGCAAGGGTCCCGAGAACGACAAGGCTATTGACAAGCGCTACTTCATTCGCGCTGTCGTGCGTCCCGGTCGTCTCCGTGATGATATCCCCACTGCTGAGTACCTGATCTCGGAGGCTGACCGTTTGATGAACGACATCCTGGACGCTCTGGAGATTATTGGCAACAACAACTCCGATCTGAACCACATCTTCATCAACTTCTCCCCCGTTTTCAACCTCCAGCCCGTTGATGTCGAGCAGGCTCTCGCCGGTTTCCTCGACCGCTTCGGTCGCCGCCTGTGGCGTCTCCGTGTTACCGGTGCTGAGATCCGTATTCTCTGCACTGACCCGGCTACCGGCATGCCTTACCCCCTGCGTGTGATCATCAGCAACACCTACGGTTTCATCATCAACGTTGAGCTGTACATTGAGCGCAAGTCCGAGAAGGGTGAGTGGATCTTCCAGAGCATTGGTGGCACCACCAAGCTGGGTTCCATGCACATGCGTCCTGTTTCCACCCCCTACCCTACCAAGGAGTGGCTCCAGCCCAAGCGTTACAAGGCTCACTTGATGGGAACTCAGTACGTTTACGATTTCCCCGAGCTCTTCCGCCAGGCCTTCCAGAACAGCTGGACCAAGGTTGCCGAGAAGATTCCTTCTCTGTACGAGAAGCGTCCTCCTGTTGGCGAGTGCATTGACTACAGTGAACTTGTTCTCGATGACACCGACAGCCTTGTCGAGGTGTCTCGTGAGCCTGGCACCAACACCCACGGTATGGTCGGTTGGATTGTCACTGCCCGCACTCCCGAGTACCCCCGCGGTCGTCGTTTCATCATTGTGGCCAACGACATCACCTTCCAGATTGGTTCGTTCGGTCCCCAGGAAGACAAGTTCTTCCACAAGTGCACTGAGCTCGCCCGCAAGTTGGGTATTCCTCGCATCTACCTGTCTGCCAACTCCGGTGCTCGCATTGGTATGGCCGATGAGTTGATCCCTTACTTCTCCGTTGCCTGGAACAACCCCGAGAAGCCCGAGGCCGGCTTCAAGTACCTTTACCTTACCCCCGAGGTGAAGAAGCGCTTTGATGCCAGCAAGAAGAAGGAAGTCATTACCGAGGAGATCACTGATGAGGGTGAGATTCGTCACAAGATCACCACCGTCATTGGTGCCAAGGACGGTCTTGGTGTTGAGTGTCTGAAGGGCTCCGGTCTCATTGCCGGTGCTACTTCCAAGGCTTACGAGGACATCTTCACCATCACCCTGGTTACCTGCCGTTCCGTCGGTATTGGTGCCTACCTTGTTCGTCTTGGTCAGCGTGCCATCCAGGTTGAGGGCCAACCCATCATCCTGACTGGTGCTCCTGCCATCAACAAACTGCTTGGTCGTGAGGTTTACACTTCCAACTTGCAGCTCGGTGGCACCCAGATCATGTACAAGAACGGTGTTTCTCACATGACTGCCAACGACGACTTTGAGGGTGTCGAGAAGATTGTCGAATGGATGTCCTTTGTCCCCGATAAAAAGGGTGCTCCCATTCCCATCCGCGCCTTCTCTGACAACTGGGACCGTGACGTCGCTTTCTACCCTCCTCCCAAGCAGCCGTATGATGTCCGTCATCTTATCGGTGGTAAGGAGGATGCCGATGGCTTCCTGCCTGGTCTCTTCGACAAGGACTCTTTCGAGGAGGCCCTCGGTGGCTGGGCCCGCACTGTCGTCGTTGGTCGTGCCCGTCTTGGTGGTATCCCTATGGGTGTCATCGCCGTCGAGACTCGCTCCGTCGAGAACGTCACTCCTGCTGACCCCGCCAACCCCGACTCCATGGAGATGATCTCCAACGAGGCTGGTGGTGTCTGGTACCCTAACTCCGCCTACAAGACCGCCCAGGCCCTGCGTGACTTCAACAACGGAGAGCAGCTCCCCGTCATGATCCTCGCCAACTGGAGAGGTTTCTCGGGTGGTCAGCGTGACATGTACAACGAGGTCCTCAAGTACGGATCCTACATCGTCGACGCCCTTGTGAAGTACGAGCAGCCCGTTTTCGTCTACATTCCTCCCTACGGCGAGCTTCGCGGTGGATCCTGGGTCGTCGTCGACCCCACCATCAACCCAGACCAGATGGAGATGTACGCCGACGAAGACGCCCGTGGTGGTGTCCTCGAGCCAGAGGGTATTGTCGGCATCAAGTACCGCCGCGACAAGCAGCTAGACACCATGGCCCGCCTGGATGCAACCTACGGGGAGCTCCGCCGCGCCCTGGAAGACACCTCGCTCACCAAGGAGCAGCTCTCGGAGATCAAGACCAAGATGGCCGCCCGCGAGGAGCAGCTCCTGCCCGTGTACATGCAGATTGCCTTGCAATTCGCCGACCTGCACGACCGTGCCGGCCGCATGCAAGCCAAGAACGTCATCCGCAAGCCCCTGAAGTGGCAGAACGCCCGCCGCTTCTTCTACTGGCGTCTCCGCCGCCGTCTCAGCGAAGAGCTCATCGTCAAGCGCATGGTCGCTGCCTCTGCTTCCCCAGCCGACGGCGCAGACTGTTCCGCCCGTGCCACCCACCTCCGCACCCTGCACGCCTGGACTGGCTTCCTGGGCGAGGAACTCGAGCACGATGACCAGAAGGTTGCTTCTTGGTACGAGGAGAACAAGAAGCTCGTGCAGAACAAGGTTGACTCCCTCCGCACCGAGGGCGTTGCGTCTGAGGTTGCTCAGTTGCTCATTGGCAACAAGGAGGGTGGCCTCCGTGGTGTCCAGCAGGTTCTCTCCATGCTTCCTGTCGAGGAACGCGAGAACGTGCTCAAGTATCTCGGCTCTGCCTAGACTGAGTTGGAGTATCTATCATGACTTGATGTTTTTTCTTGTTTCGCTTTTCATAAGTTGTCACTACGTGTTTCTACTCATTATTGCATGGTGTTTTTGTTTTCAAGTTTCTGTCTTCTCTTTTGGACTGTCTAGGTGACGTTTTTCACTAGACATCTTTGGTTAGGGTTAGTTCTATCAATCTAAAATATGATAATCTACCTATTCCTGATATCCTCTATTGTATTCCGTATCGTAAAGTAGAAGCACGCTCAAATACAGACAGTTTTAAACACCCTCAATAAAACCATCCCTAGTCCCCTTCTATCAACATCAGCACATAAGTTAACTCATAACTTATCCAACCCACCCCGCGAAACAAAGACAAATATCATCAAAAGACCAACAACAGACCAACCCTCCAACAGATAATCAAGAATCAAAAATCAACAAACACCCCCAACCACCGGACCCTTCTCAGCCGTCACCCGATTCCAATCCCCCTTCTGCCCGGTCCAGTTCCTACGCAACTCGCGTTCCCGATCGCGAACCTTTTTGCTTTGCGAGCGACGGTGGGATCTGGATCTGGCTTGGCGGGATGATTGCGGCTGGTCTTCTTTTATTGCCGTGGGAGTAGACGTGGAAGTGAAGAAGCCTCTGAGCCATGCGAAGACCATTGTGGGGGGTTGGGGTTGCTGAAGTGGAGGATGGGGTTGCTTGGTTCTTTGCTGGTTCGTGGATGAAGGTGAGATGCTGAACCCTTGGATGGGACTGATGCCATCCTTTAAGTGTTGAGTCAGTTGCCACGGCTCAGGTGGGTTGGCTCGTGGGGGCTGAAATGGAGGAAATACTGTAGCGGGATCTGGTTCGATCTACATTCTATGATTGAGTTCTCCAATCGATACGAACATATGTGATTGGAGTTGAACTATACTCTACAGTCTACAGTACTGTACTCTACTGAATCTGACTCCATCAGACAAGCCCAAGTATACCAAGTCAGCCTCAAGCCACACGCTAATCCGCTTTAGTCTACTGCTGCCTAGCCTTTGAATGTCCCTTGATCTCCACCCCATCGACTGTACAAGCACGGCAGCAAGACCAGACCAAATCCAAATCCAGATCCAAATTCAGCATGGGAAATACAACCCCAGAGGCAGCCCCCGCCTACGAGGATCTCTTCCACGAGCGTCCTGGTGGTCGCACCGGCGTAAGTACCGTTACCGTGCATGTGGAGTCAGAGAGAACGCCAAGTTAACTAACGGTAAATCGAACTAAACAGTATGCGATGGTCGATCAAATAGACGATATCGATATCGATATCGAACAAGCCCACCAGCATCCAAATGGACAGTCGAGTACCCGCGATCCCGCCTCTATCCCTCTGTCAGCACCGAATGACCAGCATGCCCACTGTGCGGAGTGCGATCGTCAGCGTGAGCGGAGAGAACGGCGAGAGAGTGCGCAGAAGTCGTGTGGGATTGTTTCGCGGACGTTTATTCTCATTTTCTTGTTCTTGATGATTTTGGGGGTTGTGGGGATCCAGGCGTGGAAGGAGGTGAAGATTCGGGATGATTGAGGGGATGGTCATGGAATTTCCTTTCTTGAATTGTAGATTTTAGGTCCTATTCCATTCTTATGTAATTCGTTAATCGCTCATTTGACTTGTTTTTATTACTATTCCGATCCCTAGAGGGTGTATAAATCATAAGTATCATGAAATAGTGACTCTGGAGAAACATAGCAAGTCGGGTAGTGGAAAGGCAGATGAGTCCCTACTGTACATAGTGTGATGCTATATCAAAGAGCATCATCAGCGATCAAGTATCAAGAAAATGAATGGCATTAATGTCTGTTCCTATTCTTGCATGATGCTTACAATCGCCCTCTATCATGAAATGAGGACATCGATGCATGAGGCACTACTCGTACATATTACGTGAATCCTACAAGTCACGGGGTTCACCGCTGCAGTGTGCGGAAGAGTTAGAATGGCGCTTGAATGGCGCTTGAATCGTGGTCAGTTAGTTAGGGAATACAGTGCCGTAACAAAAGTATTTGGCCGGTGATACTTTAGGCCCCTAACCCACTTTTAATTACTGCTAAACCCCTCCGGATTTCATTCATTTCAATAGCTAGTATGCCATTAATCACACTAAAAAACATCTAAACCCCGATGAAGCATTGTGACTAACAGATGTTTGGATATCTCGTGTACAGTATATCGCGTATAAGTTATAACTAGCACGTTGAATCGCGAGATTTGGATGTCTACAGCAATTAGGGCATGCGGTCTATAGTAGAAGGCGGTATGGCAGAAAGTGGACCCCCGCGTTGCAAGAGGGGTGGGACGAGATCACGTGCTATAAATGATAATCACGTGATATCATCCTAACCCCCGACTAAATGGCTCAACGGTCATCTCCTCCGATCTCTGGAGTTGAGTCCGTCGGTTCAATCCCAGCCGTCGCCAAAAATATAAATGGGGCAAGCAACAAAAAAAAAAAAAGGGGGGAACCACGCGCCCAACCCCCAAAAATACCAAAAAAAGACTGGGGGGTTCTGGAACCACAACGAGCAGGACTCGACTGGTCCCCCCGGTACAAAAAAAGACCCGAACAAGGGCTGGGGTAATCCAGAGCCGGTACAAGTAAGACTTGGCCGGGCCCCTGGCCGCAAGACGCAGATTCATGAGCAAGAAACCCACTCACCAAGCCTCCAAAAAAGAAATCGAAAACAAGAAAAGATACGAGAAGGACAACAGCGGCCAAAGCCAATTAAATCTGAAATGATCAAAAAAGCAATAATCAAGTTGTATTTTTTGCTAACTTGAGATATTCAGATGTGCAGTGACGCAGCAAATGTTCCAACACCCTTGAACATATCACTATCTAGATCGCTTTTTAGTTCGCTTTTTAGATCGCTTTTTAGATCGCTTTCTATATCGCCTCTAATAAACCGAAGCGCAGGTTTCTACCACGTTAATTTTTGAACCCTCTTAGAAAAAAGCAAGTCAAAAGGAGTCGAAAATCGAAGTTTACACAGGCATATCTAAGAAATCCGAGGTATATGAACGCATTTGCTACGTGACCACCCTCGAATAATAACACATAGTAATACCGCCGAGGAAGGTATCAAGAAACAAGGTGATAATTCATCAAAGGTACTATATTGTTCTACAACGGCACTCACTCGTGATTTCCATAACGTGAACAGCCACAAACAAGCAAGCAGAACAACAATAAACCAAACCCCTATGCACTGTCCATGCAATTCCCAGTAGACAAGCAATTAATTCATCTGCGCAAACGCCCCCAAAGCCTCATGCAAAGTCCCAAACAACCCCCCATACCACATTCTAACAACATCCCACTCCTTCGCGGGCAAAGCACCATAAAACAAACGCAACCAACCACCCACAATAAAATCCGCATAAGTAGGCCTAGCGCCCAACAAGAACGGCCCCGTCTCATCCCTGCGATACATCTCCGCCAGCGTCTTCAAGGTGCCCTCCAACGACGCCAGCAACTCGGTCCTCTTCTCGCCCCGCGCCATCAGCGAGTCCCACGGCAGGCCGATCCTCTCCTCGAAGGTCTTCTTCGTCTCGTCGGCGCGCGCCGGGTCCAGAGGCAAGTAGCCGGCGATCAGCTGCGTGTGCGCGGTGAAGACGCCATCGACGTTCGTGTTGAAGCGCACGTAGGCGGGGATGGGGCCTTCGCTGGGGACGTCTGCTACGGCTATCGGGGCGAAGAGGTTGGGGTCCGGGGTGAAGTCGAAATCGAGGTCTTGCGGTGGGAAGAGGTCGCCGTGGCCGGAGGTGGGGTATTGCTTGTTGAGGTAGACGGCGATTTCGAAGGAGTCGCCGACTGTGGTGCTGGTTGTTGGGTCGGATACTACGGGGAGGGTGTGGTAGGGCGTGCCGTCGGCGAAGGTGCGGGATGCGGGGATGTTGAGGGGCGCGCGGACGGCGGGGATGTCGGGGAGCGGCACCCAGGTGGTTTTGTACGGGACTTTTTTGAAGTTGAGCGCGTAGCGGGTTTTCCAGGGGTTTGGGGAGCAGGAGGATTCTTCTGCTGGGGGGGCCAGGGCGATGTCGTAGAATGTTAGGGACATGGTGGTGGTGGTGGTGGTGGTGGTGGTGGTAGTGGTTGTAGTGGTTGTGGTCATGAAGTTTGGAGGAATTGAGGTAGGGAAATTGGAGGAATTGAGCAAGGGAAGCTGGAATGTAGATTGAATTGTGGTTCTGAGCTGTTCAAGGGCCCTTCTATATACAATTGTGATCGGAAGTAAAAAGTGGAGTGACGAGTTGAGTCATGTCGAGTCATGCTTGGATCTGAAACAGGGTCCTGGATTACGCATGGTGACTATGATACGAGTAATTCGGACAGAAGTGACCTCCCCTTACATGTTCTCTGCTCCATCGCCATGGGTTCTTTTCCCTCGCAGCCATTTCTGCTCTTACAATATGCCTACTACCTACCTGAGGGTAAGCTTGGAACGGTACGTCATTGCCAAGTCAACCCCAGGAAGCCAAGACCACGTTATAGATCGCATAGTTGGCTCAATTTGCTAAATCAACTCGATAATACATTATTTACATAGTAAATTCAAGCAAATTACCCGCATAATCTCGGGCAAAGAAGCGAGTAGGGTATTCTTTCCCCTGGGTACCTAGAGCAATGACGTATGAGCATATAGAAGCGCAGAAAGCACCACATCGAACAAACAACTTACCAGAGTCCTGCTCTCCGGGCTTATCAGCAGCCATGGGGGCTGCAGCACCACCCCGAACATGGTGGTCATAAATATTCTTCTTAATAGCCTCTAGGTCTTCCCGGGTGTCGAGCTTGAAGCATGGATGGCGGGTAGCCGTGGGATCAGTCGTACCGACCGAGACGTGTATTTGCTGTCCACTAGAACCAAGATTGAACCTGTCCAACGGGTTAGCCACACTCACTAGGGCCTACAGTCGGCTCCGGCATACCATAAGATAGTCCCGATCTGCAACTCAGGCACAGGGGCCGACACTAGACCAAGCGTGGTGCCGTAAAATTCTTTGGCATGATCCAAGGTCCCCTTGGGCATGGTCAGATTGACATGTGCGATTCCTGAAATCATATTGTCGACTAGTGAATACGGATGTGATGATAGTGCGAAGGGAAGCAAGATCCGATCCCCCCAGTATAACTTATATGGTTCAAGTCACGCGGGATTCAGTTTCCGCGTCGGATTTAGATAACTCGTGCGACGATTCACGAATGACTCAACGGGTAAGATAGACTGCAAAAATGGAAAAGTTTCCGGACCCTGAGGATATGGCCACATTTTATATGTGACCCCCACGGTAAGCCATCCCCCGCCAAAGGCCCGACTCGGCATTAGCCGATGCGAGATCGGCGTTTCTCCGGGGAAACCCTGAGCCGGCGATGGCCTCTGGTGTTGGATTTGGGTGTTTTGTTTCAGTGAAGTGATATTTTATGATACTTGACCCAGTTGGCGGCCGCCAGATTGCCAGAATTGGTGGCTACCAGGATCATCCCTGAAGGCTTGCGGGTTCTACGTGCTAGGAAGCATGCTTGTCAATTGCCGGGTTCTGGCTTGGGACGGTGTTTTTCAGCCCTGCTAACGTTCCGTTTATCGCCATTATCTATTTGCTTGGTCCTCTTTGATCATATCTGCTCCCTTTTCGGCTATCGCGTAGACCGTTGCTTGGATGTGGGCCCCGATCTGCAAGGGCATGATACTAGCATCGATAACCCTCAAGCCATGAACACCATATACCCGAAGCCGTTCGTCAACTACTCCAGCTTTGGCGCCCTGGTGTCCACCCATAGCGCAGGTACCGACGGCTGCGTGAGAATCAGTGAAGGTGATTTCAGGGGAGAGAGCAGAAAGAGAACGTACGATGCCAGTCAGTGATAGTATAATTAGAAACAAAAGCCTCGAATACGCTCTCCTCAGACTCGGATCCCTCTGCGGGTGGAGGAAAGACACAACCGCGCACAATCTGAGCTAAAGGCTCGGTCTGACAGATTCGATCGGCCCACCTTTGTGCCTGTGCCATGATTTTCCTATCAAGATGCCCAGCACCGAGGTAATACCGCGGGTCAATGATAGGGCTGTCGTCAACAGTGGTTCTAGTCTGGTTGCCTTTCGGAGGTAGATGGATTGATCCTCGCGAGAAAGGATATTGCAGCATTTGAAGCATCGTGGCATACTTTTTGCCGGGCTCGGAAGTGAAATATGGACTCCAGTTCCCAAGGTCGAAGAGAGACTCAATTTGACCGCGCATTTTGCCTGGCTCAAACTGGCTGGCTAGAAGGGCATCGGATGCATGGCCGCTTTCATTTGCAAGCTGTTGAGCTTCCTTGTATAGCTCGGCACATTCTTCGGAGGTCAGAATTTTTGAGAGAGGCGTGTAGGCCACAGAGCATGGCATCACAGTCCACGGTCCTGTCTGCGAAGCGTAATAGGCATGGTCCGCAGCAGTGTGTTGAATAGGGTCAGCGAGGATGTCATCACGAGTGGGGTATGTAGATGGTATTTCCATGATAGTAGCGGTCACTAGAGTTGTTAGCTAAGAAACGAGGTTGAGTCTGAACGTGCATACTCATATGATCCTGTAGATTCTCCCCAACGTTGGCATTGTGTACCTTCACCTCAATACCCGCAGCCTTTAATACGTCCCGTCTACCTATCCCCGACAGTTCCAGGAGTTGTGGAGATTGCACAGCTCCAGCACTGAGAATTATCTCTCGAGCAGTTGATATCTTTGCAACTTCTCCGCCACAACGAACGTGAACTCCCGTTGCCACCCATCTGCCCTCACCATCCAAATCAAGTACAATCTCCAAGACTGTGGCTTCAGTCAGAACATGCAAGTTCTTGCGCCCAGAGATTGGCGCATAGTACGCCGAAGCAGAATAGCTTCGCTCCTGACTCTTTGAATCCAACGAACAAACCATATTCCAGGCGCCACTGTTAGATCCTGCCAGACTATCAGGAACAGACTCAACACCCAGCTTATTGAGCGTATCATGCCAGTATTGATGCGCGATCCCATACTGCTTGACATGAGACGTCTGCACAGGACCACCAGTCCCATTGACCCGAGCATCAAAAGCAGACCTATAATACTCCTGATGCGCAGTGCTAGGAGGCTGGAAATTCTCACTGCGACGAAAGAACGGTCTACATTGCAAGTCAGTGCTCTGAGACCCAACAGAAATAAATCCACACCCAGCAGCGATGCATACAGCAGATCATCCCACCCCCAGCCTGCATTCCCCAATTCTCGCCAGGCATCATAATCATCACGATGGCCACGGTTCCACGCCATGTAGTTAAGCGCACTTGTACCACCTAGAACACGACCTCGCGGCCAGGGTAGCGACCTACCGCCGAGACCTGGCTGGGACGCTGTCTGGAACTGCCAGTCGTACTTGGACCCGATGGTTTCGCCATATCGGCCTGGTATGTTGATTGCGGCGTTGTCGGTGCTGTCTAGGGCTGATGGGCCGGCTTCGATGACTCCAACTTGGATTTCGGGATCTTCGCTTAGTCGCGCGGCGACTGCTAGGCCGGATGTTCCTCCGCCTACTATTATGTAGTCGAGTTGGAGGGTGGTGAAGTCTCTGAGGGTTGGAGTTTTCATTGTGTATGGTGAGGGGGCGGGGGTTGGGGAGGTCTTACGGGTGTCAAGGGAGGGAATATGTAAGTGGTCTATTTTGAGGCTCTGTGGCTATCATGGACCAAATTCGATATATATTGGTGCACTTTGTATCCTTGATTTTGTAAAATAGAAATCATGCTTTGAGAAAAGGAGAAGTGTGATATTTTGGAAGCATAAGTCGAGAATCAGATTCAGGAGGAAGGAAGCATGGCGAGAACTGAAGATATAGTCGCGAGGAATTCCAGTGAGATATTGCGCCTTTTTGTAATTACCTACTGATGCATGTATCTTTAGAAAATCAACAAATTATGCACCAAGAACTGCGAGAAGCTGTTACCCCGATCAGTTGGCAAACCTGCACCACAGCATGGCCAACCTCTCCACAAGCAGACTAATCATCTTACAATTTTGCCTTGGCTATACAGATCAACGATGCATTTCCATAGGTTGGAAGCTGCTTCGCCGAATCCGAGGAGATCAATGGTGCTATCTTAAAGATGATCTTTGCAATACCTCTGCAAGTAGCTAGCAGATTCTAATGAATTGCCTCTTGAAAAGAAAAGAAAGCTTACTAGGGCAATATTCATGAAGTATAAGTCACCTACCCGGGACCAAAAGCTTTCTAATGTTTTTCAACGCAGCTTTTAGACTCGCAGTGTCGAGCTTAAAACTGTCAGATATCATGGATCCACCAAGACATTGAATCTCACTCACATTGAAAGCAACGATAAGATCATTAAGATTCTCACTGAAGCCCTGTTGGTATGAGAGACGTTTATTTCACCGTCAAGCCTTCCACTGAGCAGATCACTTCTGCATTCAATGATTGACATTCGGGTAAGATGGCTCTAGCGTGGTCGGATAGCGAGGAATGAAGGAAGCAAGGGGCCAGGGTGATGAGCACTCAGGAGCACGGGTGCACCTGCTGTGCAGCTAATAATTGGTCTAGTTCCTTTTTATAGATGATAACTTAGAGCCATGCTACTGTTGTGTTACAAGACAGACTGAGATCCATCGAGGGAAAATGCGCTTTCGGAAGTATATAGACTTGATGAGTCCACCACTCAGAATTATTAAAACCAAAACTGCAGTGAACAAACTGCTTCCTACATAAAGTGACTCTACGCCTAATAGGGTAAGACGGACACATCTTCTCTTCTAACCAACCTTATATGCTCTCCTTTCCCATAGTCCTACTACCCCAAGTGGCCGATTTGCTCACAGCTTGCAATAATTCTCAGATCACTGCAATTGATTCTAATCCGGCATCAATGTCAACATGAAAAGAAGAAAGTCTGCTCGACTTCTCTGGCATGTGGAGAAACTACGTCATCGGGCGGTGGGGACAGACAAAATACTGCGACTCCCCACCATCGTCACTTGCTTCATTCAACATCCTCGGAATTGAAAAGCCAAGATGACTATCGGCGCACCTGCGGTGGATCCTCTTTCGATATTCCCCCCGGAGATTGTCCTCCAAATCCTGGAATTCGCACCCGTATCGGCCCTCGCGTCCCTGACTGCTACGTCGAAGGCCTGGCATCAGTTCATTGATTCCACCCATCAAGAAGCTATCTACAATTCGGACTCGAAGACCTCACAACCTGCTGGCGGTGCCCGAGACTTTTCGTTCCTCGAAAATACACACAGTTTTGCCAAAGTATTCGAGAACCCAGAGTCATGGAAGGATCTATGCAAGCGCCAGACGCAGCTTGCTCGAAACTGGGCGGATAAATGTCCCGTGAGCCAGGAGTCTGTGCTCCAAGTTGGAAATGATCCAGTCTGGCGATTCAAAGCCGATTTTAAGCGTCGATTTTTCGTTTCCACCTCTCACGCCGGAGGATTGAACGTCACTGATATGGACACGGGCGACATCTTATGGCGACTTCCCTCCGTGACGGTCGACCCTGACCATGGAGTCCGCAAATATGCCCACTTGGAGTATCAGGATGGAATGGCTGTGTTTGATAGTGAAGGAGATTCCGTAGAGGTCTGGCAGACAGATCAAGAAGGCGCCAAGCGCGGAGAGTTCCGCCACATTGCAACTCTGACTCATGATTGCCAGACCAGAGGCTTCCAATTGTCTCATTGGAATCTTTGTGTTGTGTCAAACAAGGGCCAGGGATTTGTTTACGACATGAAACAGCGGCCTCCGCAATTGATGACACACCTGAAGATCGAAAAAGATGGTATCGGGCATCTAGACCAGAGCAAGGACGCAGTGATCTATTCAATGGGAAAGAAGGGCTATTTTGCATACAACAAGGAAGCAGGTGCATTCCTGGGAAACTTGCAACCGTCCTTCTGCACTGACAAATATCACATTCGCCCTCCCCCGCCCATTTTCCCTTCTGCTGGTGCGACTCTGGCTGGTACTGCGAGACTCGGACCATCAAATGGATTCTTCCCACAGGACGCGCCAAACAAGGATGTGCTGGTCCCAATCAATGTCGAAAAGGGCCCTCTTCCTTCACCAAGTGACCCTGAACACGTGAGAAATGAAGAAGATGATTGGGGATCAGGTATGATCCGCGGCGATCTCTTTGTGGGAGTCTCTCGCGCTGGTCGTATCTTCATTTGCTCCAACTGGCGCAAGGCTGTCCAAGACCCAGCTAGTCTCGCGGCGAACAGCTCTATTCTTGAATGCGAGTCCGATGGTTCCAGCTTTGACTTCGGGGGCTGGCTATCCATCCGTAACCACCGAGTCATGTTCGAGATCCAGGACCGCATCTACATCGTTGCTCTTGATGACAACGACAAGATTCAGGACGTCAAGCACCCTGCCCGCGCTTCCTACTCGCTGGTTACCAGCTCTGCACCCCAACTTGCCGCTCCAATCAGTTACATGGCGTTGGCAGATGATGCTATCATGAGCACTTTTACTGTGAGTACTTATTGATCTAATATTCCAAGCAGTACATAAATGTCAGAACTTACACAGGATAACACAGATTCTTGGCTGGCGCAATCCCAGTGATATTCCCGCAGCCCCAGGTGCAAACCGGGCCCGTGTCTTCCCCACCAAGGCCATTCGCATCGTTAGCTTGGCTCCCGACCTCATCAACAAAGCTACTCCTTCATCATCAACCGAAGACACACAAAATCCCAGTCAGGACCCGCTCGGCCAAGGCACGTTTGACACGCAAGCTGGACTCATACAGTTGCTCAGCATGCTTCGCGAGGAGGCCTTGAATGACGCAGACTTTGAAGGATCTTTCGACGGCGAATCAGAAGAGTGGGAGAGCGTGGATGAAAACGACGAAGAAGAATATGATGATCATGATGATGATGATGAATCCGGTGATGAATCCGGAAATACGCATGCGCATGACAGTGCCTAGGTTTGACTTCTTTGAGCTTGAGTCAGAGCAAACATACCTGATGAGCGGGAACTAGGCTGGCATTGATCCTGTTGGTTTCCGAGCTTGTTACAATCGCTCATTCACTATGACTAACGTACGAAAAGGTTCTGCATCATCTATATCACTTACTTTTCTTGGACGCTTACATAGTATCTTCGGACTTGTTACTCGGCGAGTTGGATGACTCCGTTCAATGCGATCCATGGACCATACACGAATCAAACACCTGACTAGGTCGAAGCTTCAATGCACTGTAAACACACAACAACTGGTTAAATGAGGTATGTCTTGGGCTTAATAGGCACAGCGGAAGTCATAAATCTGTCTGCGGTATAACGAGACATTATACAATTTACCCTTTTTCATCCGTATGTGTACGTCTAGTGAGTCAACGAAAATGCATAGAAGCAGGAATATAAATTGTCTCTCAATCATTGTAACTCAATGAAGTGCATAAATGAATTGAGAGGAATGCTTTTTGTGCTGGTTATTAAACTCAAACATACAGTATTCGGGGAAGCACGATATGGATGAAAATAATGTCAATTGAAAGATACAGTGATAGTGATATCCATCTACTCTATGTGCTGTACTGACGAACGTGAGCCAACCCCCGACTGATTTCCAGATTCATTCCTCAGTAGTAGAGACAATGCGAAAATGTATGCTGAAAGGAAACTCAAAGCTTAATTGAGCAAGAAAAGCATTCGACATCAGTGGCGCAAAGTCCCGTATCCGGTTGTAAAGCTCCTTTTGCTTGTCTCCAGTACCACAAAGAACAGAGTGACACCGAGGAATGTCCTCAACGAAGGGATCTTCCTGGGTATCCTGGACGACCCAACGTCGCTGAAACCCCTGTGCAGCATCTCCGAAATCAGGCTGTGGATCGACCAAGACAAGCATGTCTTCCAGAGCGTCACAACAAGAAAGAAGATCGCAGAAATTGCAGGCTTGGTTTGCAGCTCTGTTTTCCTGCCACATGAGTGGAAAGGCCGACTCGGGGACCGCAACGCGCGGGAGACTGATTGGGATACCGGTCTCGTTCATGGTACCCTGGAGAGGAAACGGCCCGGCCAACTCTCCCGTGAATGCCTCGTGTACCAGTCTGATCATGCTGTTCAGGGTGAGGTACATGGTGTCGAATTTTGAATCGAAGGGTCTCACAACGACCAGACAGTCTCGTTTTGGGCAGTAGCGGAATTCGAAATCTTGTTCCTTGGCCCATTCAATGAATGCAGCACGTGCTTCGTGGTTGACGGAAGCTAGAGGTGATTTCACTTGCACTGGATCCAGGAGGTTCGGACGGAATATTCTGCGTTGGTAGTTTTGATGGTCCGGGGATTCTTGCCAACCGGCGTAATCTTCATCGGTCAGGTTCAATGCACGCCAGCATCCCGGTTTGAAAGTGAAGAAGGTGGGAGCATCTCTTTCTGGAAGGACATCGTGCCAAATTTGGAGACGTATCTCGGCAGGTAGTCGTGCGAACTGAGGGAACGCGGGAGATGGGGATGTTGTATACATGCTGATCGTCAGACCTGCGGGTGACCAAACGCGAGGGTCAGGGGTGTCTTCTTTGAAATGGAAAGATGGAAAGATGGAATGAGAGAGAGAGGGAGAGAGGGAGGGTGAGAAGAGGACAGAGTCAGGAGGAACTTGAATCACACGGTTTCACCTGATCAGGCTGAATTTCGAAAGGCTTGTGTATCTTGTGCAGTCGAACCCCCGAGTCTCCCTCGGTTCTCGGAACAGTACTCTAGTCCATATGGTAAATTAGCCGTGCCTACTTTAGGAAACCTCTGAAGAAGTGAAACCGAAACTTAGTTTATAGCCTCGCACCTCTCAAGAAGCTCGAAAGTTGAAATAAGTCACTAATTCATTCCGGCATAAAGAAACTCCATGGTCTATATAGAAGCTCTAATTTCAAAAGCACAAAAAGTCATTCCACGTAAGCAATTGGCGTATGAAGAAGACATCAGAATAATCATGCAAACATAACACATGAAATGAAGAGAACAGTGTGGTCATTGGCGGTCTATTTGGCGTTCCTTTGCAGATGCCCAGTCAATCGAATAACACATCCCTTCAATAGTCCGATTGAAGAGGAGAAGGCTTTCCCATGGTAGGCCCAGGAAGGTAACCATGCGCTTTATAGAATCGCCGATCACGAATACAAACAAAGCTCATAACACCTGACAAGGCACTGTAGTTCCAGCCGAGTTAGCAAATCAAGTCCATGAAATATAGAAGGAAATCACTTGCCAAATGAAAATCACTATCGTGGCTATGACTCCACCAAGGGCTCGGCTACTCTCGGTTGTTGATCCTTGAGTTCCCATGATAGTAAGAACAAATAATGCAAACCAGAATACAGTATCTATGATGTTGAGGATCATATAAGCCTTTGTGCTTCCCCATCGTTTCAGGCGATCCATGTGGCTAGTCATGATTTGATAGGCCATGAAAACGCCGGACTTGACACACTTTTCAGCATAGATTAGCTAATTGAACAAGCAGCAAGATTGATATAATCAATGAATCAGAGTATCATAAGTTACTGACAACGATAATGCCCCATATGTTAAGTCTCGTCTTCGGAGTGCCCTTGTCTGCCACGCGTGCAATGAGAAGGATGAAAATAATGGATAATAGAGCGCCGATGATGATGTGAAGCCGGAACTTGATCAAGGGGCTTCTCTCGAGAGCAAGATGCATGCTCATTGCATTTAAAAGGCTCGCCATATTTCAAAAGAGGTCAAGGCGAGTGTGTTGTAAAAGAACAGTAGATATAGTCCTTGGATTTCCAAGCACAGTCCGGAGAAGAAGCTTTGATTCGAAAGAGATGCATTTGTTTTTAGACAATTTAAAAGCCCCTCGTACTCGTAAAACTATCACTTTTAAACAGGCGGGATCATTTGAAGGCTTGAAACTATTGCCAACTATTGCTGGGGAGACCATCTGCACCGTCTCGCATTCGTACAGATACCCGAATCTGGAAATAGATCAACAAAGCCCTCATCTGTTGACGCCAAAACGAAACTCATCCAAACTCATCCCTCGGTTGTCGGACTACAATCTCGCAAGTTCTGACAGACCAGATGAACCATATCCTGCACTTCTTGTGTCGCTTCCGCCTGGGTCTTGGCTGCGTGAACCGGTCTCACCAACAACATATTGTGCTTGCCATGTTCCGCGGAGTACTTCCCGTGGGACCAGCCCTCAATTTTTTGTATCAAGGTGTCAACATGACCGTCTGCAATTTTACCCAGGCGGGATGTATGTCCGGGCTTGCCTCCTAAGCCATGTTCATATGTCGCGGAGTAGGTAACTCGGGCAGAGAACACTTCGGCTGTGAGTAGGCACAGCACGAAGACAAATCCAAGAAATATATTTGATCGATAGAACATTGCTGTATTTTGTGTAGTTTTATTAATAACTGTCAAGTATTCAGGCGTTATTATCTGTGTTAATGGGCGAGTAGCGCCGGGGGGTAGATCTTGCCTGTGCAGTAGTCTTTGACTATTACAGTTTCAGAGTCTCAATGATTTTCTTGCAATAACTCCGTTGTATTGAGCCCAAGGACTTTATTGAGCATCAAGATTGAAACTTCAATAGCAGACATAGCTGCTTTCATATAGCTTTGCACTTGGGCACCGTTAGCAACGAGGGAGCAAATAGTGAGGAACTACTTGCACTCGGGTATTTCATCTTCGGAGAATATCTTCAGTGTATGAAGTGCAAGATTATCCTGGCTTGTGCTCTGTTCGTCTGTGCGACTAAGTGTCTCATATCTCATTGGTGTTCTCTATTGCATTCAAGCATTATGCCTACCGAAAAAGCGAAACATTAAGTAATATCCTCACACAGAGTCCCTATTAACTGATCTATCGGAGAATAGAATGGTCCGGTTTCACCAGAGTACGACATCTCATCCCAGCTGATCAATACCGCCAAACTGTTGGTGTCACCCGTCTTTAAATTCGTTTTACTTGAGTACAATCCACTCCAGTATAAACCGCGAAACCAAGGTCTAGAATATGAGCTAATGGATTGCTGCATAAAATGCTAGCAATACATGTTGGTATTCTTGTTCTTTTGAAGACAAGCCTATTCAAATCTCAACACTCCAAGACTACGTGTGAATACTTAGTGAAATTTAAAATACATAAAGAGAATGAGCCAATACCTTCATCTGTATAGTAGAAATCCAAAATTCGAAGTCATAGGCACATGTATCGCAAATACTAAAGCAAAGCTCAACCATGAAAGAATATACAGAATCTATCCAATGACAGCCAGGCACCCGCGCCCCAGGATAACTATAAAATCCCACCTGCCTCCACGCGTGTATATTCTCCCACGTCAAGGACGATTAGACTTCAACTCAACACTGGACCGAGCAACAGGCAAGCCAACATCCCCAACAGCAGGAAGCAACCAGCCCGGATGGAAAGCATTAAAAACAACAACAGCAATAATCATCATGACCCCATCAAGTCCAGTAAAGTAAGATTCATGGGTAATGAGATACCCGTCCCACCCCTGCGCCAATTCCACAGTGCGGTAGATACTCCGGATATAGATACACACAACCGAGAGAGCCATCGCACCCATCAGCATAATGAACGACCCGGAAGCCGAGCGCAGATATCCAAGTCTCGTAATACGACGGAGGAAGTCACCTGCGAACCCGACGAAAATGGTAATCGAAACCAATTGGAAAACAATACCGGCGACCATGGTGTTCGTGCCAGGGGCCGTATCTCCACCGATCTTGTCCGATTCGGAAGATGCGATACCACCGCCGGCTGCTTGGACGACTAGTGAGATTATGTCACATGTGCAGAAGATCCAGAGGTATTGTTTCGGGGAGAGGAAGGAGGAGTCGCGGCCGAAGATCTGGATAAAGCGGCCGAGGAGGATGTAGATTCCTGCTGTGAAGAATGTCGGGGCTTGTTGTGGAACTGGTCAGATTTGGAGACGGAAATTGAATATATTAGTGTACTAACCGATGATCAAAGTTGAAATCTGGATCATGAATGCGGTCGAGTTATATGGACAATAAGAGGACCAGGTTCGGCCTGCCCAACCAAGGAGTTCGACTAAGACATGAAATTATTAGTATGTTTCAGCGGAACGATATTCGGACATATTCTTACCCAGACATCCGATAGCAAAGACACTGCACCACCATGTGCGCTTCCAGCAGAATTGAAAAGTATGTGCAACCATAGACAGACCGAACAGGACGCAGAATGCAATACCTGCTGCCTTTGTTGGAACATACCCGTACGAGGGATCTAGATCGCTTTTCAATGCAGTGCATCCCTGATTAATTTCAATGAGTTGTTGAATGGTATAAGTCATGTTGGAAAGCTCGGTATATAGAACGTGAAAGTGATGGCTTTGATTCGACGGAGTTGAGGGAGTGATGTGAGGAGAAGTATGTGATTTTGTTAAACAAATCAATTTGATAAAGTATCCCAGAACCTTTATAGACCAGCCTCTGCATAGCTCTTCGCCGGTGTCAACCTCGATAGAGAACTAAAAAAAGGTCCACGATGAAGGGAAACCTCGCTGCGCCTCATAGCCCATTTCGTATTTGAGACGCACTTTCTTGGCATCAAGCTACGATTCAGAGATCATGATCGTAATTCAATCTCTAATTGGGTGCTTCGTAGACCAAAGGATGCGTTGGTCAAATCTCATAGATGCAGCCTTGTCAAGACGGCCTATGATTGGTTGGATCGTAATTCATTTCCTAAATTGGTAGTATAAGATCAGTCAGCACGTAAGACCTCCCCTGATTGGCTGGCTCGTAATTTGATTGTAGATGCCTGAGCCTGGCATCCCGAAAGATGCTTAAATTTGGCTTACGGTGGCTTACGGCTTATGGACTAGGCAGCGATGAATGATGAGCTAGAACGCCTCATGGGAGAGCCTCCAGCGGAATTCCTTTTCGGGAATGCCCAAAATTCTAGTTAACCCTATCTATTGCCCCAAACTCTAGTTCAGCTTTGGCAGCTGCACACATTCAATACGGGTATCCCACGGTCCATGCAGTCCCTGGGGCTTCATCATTATTGTGACTGGACATGGGTCCAGGTAGGTTCCTTTCTCCGGAAATATCAGAGCTTCATACACCCGCTGGGAATCAAGGGGGATCCTTTCTTCTACGGGAAGATGGAGATAGGATTCCTCCTCTATCTCTAGTATTAGTTGTGAAATGGCATGCTGGCGCTCTCCTTGGCCCCAGAGTCCTTCTTTGGTGGGGTAATTTGATATGATTGCAATTGCCCGGCGTCGAATGGTTGGTTCTCGGCATCTCATTGCGGTCCAGTATATTGCTGGGATGACGGAAGCATCTAGAGAGAATATCTCAGCGGTCGCTTGCTTGGCTTGCGGCACACTCAGGGCGAGAATCTTCTCTCCGGCGGTCACGCTGGCTTCGAAGGATGCGAAATGCTGGTCGTAGACGGTCTCATTTCGTGCTAAGCAACTGAGAATCCATATGACCGAGGTATTGTGGTTGATTTGGAGGGCCAAGGGCGCACGAGGATCGGAAATTCCGACGCTTTTGGCTGGCTTTTGCATCATCGCTGTAAATGCTGTATTCCAGTTGGAGAATGCCTGGATCAGAATACGCTGCTCGTGCAATTGTTGCTGGTTGACTTCGTCGGATGGGGCAATCCTGTCGATACCGATGGGTCGGATCAATCCTAGGCCCCGATTCATAAGAATTGTCATAGAGTCTCGGGCTTCAGAAATATTGTCCAAGACAGGAATGTGGTTCGCGAATAATTCTGTTTCGGTTTGGACATGGAAGGGTATCAAAGGTCGACCGAAAAGAGGGAGCTGAATGCTCAAGCGGTGAAACGACTGACATAGTTCCTGGTCGATGGGGTCTTTGTTTGATTGTCTGGCCTTCTCTTTCTGCTGTCGAAAAAGTATTTGCATCCCACCCTGAATGTGATCTAAAACACTCGATGGACTTGACCTGAGCATTTCCAAGCACACAAACAACAGACAGGTGACAAGTAGCGAGTCATAGTCGGAGTTTTCAGGATTCGCCAACTTCTCTCGGAACTGGCTAATAGCCTTGGTATATTGCTGAAGCGCAAAGTCATCAGCGTCGTCTTGAGCACCGTTAGATCGATGGTGTTGCTCATACATCGCGCTAACAGCTGCAACGGCATGCCGGACAGTCGGCTCTCGATGACTGAGCTGTGGAAGGAACCGGCTCCATACTTCAGAAGTAAAGAACCCCGAAAGGGCTGGAGAGGTCTGTGTGCAGAATGTGTGGACATACTTCCTCTCTTCCCGTGAACCAGGGACAAGCACTAGTTGGTTATCAGGGCTGAGGGTTGGCCACGTAAAGTCGGGGCCGGCGACTCTCTGCCGAAGTTCCTTTTGGGACTGGGTGCTGTAACCATCACATTTACGCCCCGTCTTGGTGCATTGTATGCAATGGGGCTTTTCTTCACCGCACCGCAGATGGCGCATTTTGCAGGTGATGCAGCCATTCTTTGATTTCGAGCGGCCGGTTCTTCGATGCATTGTGAATCATGGGCAGCCAAGATACAAATTAAGCGATAGCGTTGATATCCTTGTGATGTTTTAACTTGTACTGAAGCTGGTCCGATGTCAGATTGTCACAAGCTGACACATGTGGCTTCCATGGGTTGGGGGCCAAATTGGCTCTGGATATATCCAATAGGCAGCCATTTACTCAGTCAATCTAAGGCATACAGATATTTTAACTGATCGTTGAAGCTCACATGGAACTTCAAGGTTTTTCAGAAATTTACATGATGTCTCTCCGCCTTACCGTAGAAAAATAGAGAGAAATAGTTCAATGGCTCCAGTTTCGGACTTCAAAATTAGGGCAAACTACTATAAGCCGCGAAATTGCTAAAAAAACCAACCCGAACATTTAATGCCCCTAAGAACTTGATCGCATTTAAGCTCATTTTGAGTATTGTATTTTATATCCAATTTGAAATACGTTTTATCATGTTTTAATTGTAGACAACCAGGGTACATAGTTTACGTAGGGGATTGCTAGCAGACTTAGGTATCTAAGTGCGCATTGATTATACACCCTTGGCAACAGTCGGGTTTCTTGTGGGCTGCTAGGCGAGAATTGGCGAGTCATTTGAATGGCGCATTAAAGGAATCATAAATGCTAATAAGCTGTGGAAGAAATATTGAATACTCTTCTAAAAGTACGTCTTCCGCGCTATACCCTACGCCAACGAGGGAGGAAACAACATCTAAATAGGTAGACACAAGACGAAATTGATCCATCATGGGATAAACACACAGCATAACAAAGAAAAAAACGCTTGACCGTGGGTATTATCGACAGAAAAAATCAACGCAATCATATCATAAGCACAAAATACCCCAATCAAGAAAACATAGATCACCAGTATATGCCAACATTATAAGCAACGCAAGGACTTAGGCAAGTTGTCTTTCGATACTGCGCGGTCCACTCATAAGAGATGGGGGAATTGGGGGAACAGGGCCACGGTACACAGGCCCACGGGCTTCACGCGAGCCAGGCGGAGGAGGAGGTGGCGGAGGGGGAGGACGACCATGACCAGGTTGGCCATGAGGATGAGGAAATTGATGTGGATAAGGAGGAACAGGTGGGCCGGGACTTCCACCTCCAGCACCAAGTGCTAGACGGCTAAAGTCACCGGGCAGCTGAGCTTGATATCTGTATTGGGCGTGCGGCGAGGTAGGATTGGGGTATGCCATTGACCTGCTTGGGTCGCCGGGGAGGGAGACAAGGGAGGCGTTGAGGGTGCGTGCGATGTCATCGAGGGTTACCTCCATTGGGGAGATGTAGGTTGTGTGTGTCTTTTCGGACCAGGCGAGGACGTGGCCGCAGACGCGACCGGTTGGGCGGTCGAAGACCCATGCGCCTGAGTCGCCGGGGGCTGTTGTCATTGTATGATTAGCATGATGTAACGCTACACGGTACAGGGGGATATGTGTGTTTGTGTCTTAGGTGTCGTAGTGCTGTTTGTTTACCAGCTTATAAGAAGGGAGACAGAAGACGGTGTGCAGAACAAAACGAACAAAGGGTATCTAATTAAGGATCGTATAGACATAAAAGTGGATCGGCGGAGTACCTCTTACCTCCAAAATTTCCATCGACGCAAAAGCTTGTCGAGAAAGAATGCCGGCCATGCAGCTTAACCAGTGTCATGGCCTTCGATATCTGGCCTGTTTGAAGCCCGCTTGTCCGGCCACAGCAATGAACGTGCAAACCACCTAGCTCCTCCATCCGGGCGACTTGATTTAGGAAAATGGGATGTGGTGGGATGGGCCGTCCTGGGCGGGCGACACTGGATCTGGTAGTGTCAAGAACGATATTGCGGGGGTCCATCCGAGCTTCATCAACTTTGATGAGGGCCCAATCAATTTCATGTTTGAGCCCCTTTCGAGTCCAACGACGTACTCCAGAGGAGGCGTGGATATAGCCAAGAGAGTGTGAGGCGAGGTGCTCATCATCTCGATCCTCTGGGGATGGAAAAAAGTCATCGTGCACGTCGTCGATAGCGGGTTGTGTGACGAGCAGCCGAGGTTCCTCGCCAGGTTCAATACCAGCAGTGTCGCCGATTGATGCAGCATCGTCATCGTCATCGTCCCCGCCAAGGGAGTCATCATCCGAAGATTCCTCATCTGAAAGCCAAGACTCATCATACCCAGACTCATGGCCTTGCGAAAATGATGCATCGTCCCCGTCCTCGATATCGGAAATTTCATATTCGAGATCCATACCAGGCTCGTCCACGGCATAGTTATGCATGAAGCCAGTGTCTTGTGTATTGGATGTATCGCGGGGCCAATTGCCTGCAGACCTTGATGGATCTTCTGAGTTCGAGTCTCCGGGATTATCACCTTGGCCTTCATCTTCGCTGGGTGCTTCCAACATGTGATGAACGGTTAAACCATATGGCAACCCATCGACGATGACAGCGCCACCATAGGAAACGGGGGTAGGTGCTCTTCGTTTTGAAAAGCGCCAATGGACGCTCCGCAAAGAGGTCGTTGTTGGTGACATGGGTTGAGCTCTCTCTGGCGAAAGGGAGTCGCATTCGACACATTGGGACGAGTCTTGGCCGGGCGGCGGCGTTTAGTACGAGGCACCTTGGATCTTTCGATATCGCCACGCAGCACAACCAAATCCCAATCATCTCGACCGAGAGAGAAGTGCTTATTCAAAGCGAATCGTACCTTCTTCACGCTAGCACAGGTGACACAGATTGTTGTTCTCGCACTTTCGGCAGACTCGCCAGTCATGGTAAGATTAACTGCACAAGACTCGGAAGAATCTTTCAGAATCTTCTGAAGGAGACGACTCAAGCGAGGCATCATATGGAAATTCCATTCCTGTAAGTGGTCATCTGGGATTTCCAAGTGTGGAAGCCTCTTGAGAGTGCGCTTCTTGGCAGGCTTCTCGACAGCCTTCTTCTCATTTGAAGGAGGAGTCCATTGCTCCTGAGGAATGCTAGGGAGCTTCTTGTCCAAGTTGGTCAAGTCATGCTTTGCTTTGTAGGCATTGACCTTTTCCTGGATAGTGAGGGGTTCAGGAATTTCGGGAGTTGGGACGAGTGCAAGAGGGAGACAGTCATCAAGCTCCTCTGCCCCAGGCGCAGAGAATATGTCAATGCGACAGCAAGACCATAGAATTTTGCAAATCGTATACATAAAATTCATCGAAAAGGAGAAAGTGCCGTCGGGTTCGGAAAGGTCAAGGACCGGGTAGTGGTAGATCTGAGGCACACGAAGACCAAGATCGGTCATTGGTTGCGTTGACAGATGAAAGTTAGGGGCATCAAGACATAGCTGAACAGCTTGAAGGTAGGCACCCCCGCACTTCGGGCCAAGCTTCTTGACGTAAAGATCTTCCACACGGTGCTTGAACCATGTACGATCATATTTCATTTTCCAGAGCCGACCAACAGGGGCCCATAATCCAATCTCCAAAAGGATGAGGCCAAGGGAGTATAGATCATAAGCCCAAGCGCCATCATCTTCTACCGATCTCTTATCTTCTGGATGACGATACATTGCAGAAGACAACGGCTCAGGTGTGGGTCCATCGCCAGAGTACCTTGCAAGAGAAGTTAGATAAGGACGACGAAGATCTGGTGCAAGCCCGCCCTCGTCATCACTAGCATCATCGCGGCCAGGGAAGAAGATGACGTTGCTGCTGTTGATATTACCATGTACGACGTTCTGACTTCTCAGGTGAAGAGTAGACATCAACAGATCGTAAGCCAATCGAAAGCGAGTGTCGAGGTTTGGGACTCGTTTCTCTCGGGAGTCTTCGGCTGAAGGAAGGAGAGCCAGTAATGTCTTGGGCTTTAGCTCTTTCAACAAATCACTGGGGTTCTGAAGGAATGGGAAATAGTCGACCGGCATCTGATAAAGGAAGGCATAGCGAGCATTGGGCTGGTCGATACAGTAACCCATGAATCGCATGAGACCTAGATGAGATATCCTGGCATTCTGCAGCAACTGTTCCAAAGACCGCTGAAGCTTTTCCAGTCGCGAACTCTTGGGGCTCATTTTTGCGTCCATCATTATGGGAATAAATTCGACCAGGACAGATACGTGCGACTCCTTTGTAGAGGCTAGAATTGGAGACGCAGAAGCGCTAAGGCGTCCAATGGCACGCGAATTGGAAGATGCCGCAACAGGTTCATATGGTGGAGGGCTGTTATCATGAGCGGCTCCATATAGTTGGAGAGCTGAGCGCTCAATAAGGAGACGGTTCGACGGGAGGAACGGATTAGAGGAATCGTGGTGTGTCGTAGACGGCGAGTAGGAGTAGGGGTCGAACAATTGCTTCGGGCTCTGTACTTTCTCTTTGGACTCACCAAATGCGCCGTGGGAAGAATCGTAAGGTGATGTGGGATTGGCGCGCAGCTTACGCTCCATCCTGCTTGACGACATACTCGAGGCCATCGTGCGGCGCGAGCGCGACAAGTCATATAGGGTATCAATGCATCCAGTGAGCTCGTTCAAGATTGTTTTTGAACGAGTGATGTCTTCCTCTGTCCATTGTGTCTTGAGTGACCGACTGCCAAGAGTGTCTTTTGAAGGGAGATCGATCTTTCGTTCTTTGGAGGGGAGTGGTAGCGCATCGACATGTTGTATTTGTTCGGCGTCGTTAAGGAGCTCTTGGATTGATGACATAACACTCTCGACAACATCGCTGAAGCCAGCTGCAGTCAGAGATTCGTCGATGTCATTGGGCTGAGCCGCGCTGGCATCGCTCCAATCTAGACCCCATGCCAACAAGCGATCTCTCTGTTTCTGGAAACTGCTATGAAGGGCGACAAGTTCGGGGTCGTCGACAGCCTTCGAGGCCGTTGTGACACTTTCACATGAGGTTTTCGTATCGGTATATAGCTTTGTGAGGCGTCGCTGGAGGAAGCCGCCACCTCCACCATGTAGGACTGACATGACGATTTTGGAGGGGGATTGATAAGGATCACAGATAGAGGTTAAGTTCGAGTGTCGCAAGACGGTGCAGAGAGCGCATTCAGGAAATCAGGAAAGCATTGTGAGAGTTGCAGAAGAGCACTCAATACGTTGAGAGGAGAAGTTGAAAAAACGTAGGTAGATTCAATGGGTGCCTTGAGGATGATGGCTGATAACCACCAACTGCGCATGAAGGGAATCCTGTTGCCTAACCAATGAGCGATCACGAGAGGCCCAGAGTGGGTCACGTGGCAGGCAACAACTAATAGCGCTGGTGTAGTCACCGTATGGTCACAGGAGCCTCACGACAGCCATCTACGGGCTATTAATTGTGGGGATTGGGTACCGTAAATGGTATTTTATACATATATCGTAATAAACTTTGACCTTGCAGTTGAGGAGCAGGATAGGTGTGTAGATCATGGGTCTATACTTAGCTTCATTCAGTGCTTCACTTTTGTCATACTTCTTCTCTTGGTTTCTTTAGCCTGGGTATGTTCATGACCGTATACTGTAGTTCACTAGTACAACAGATAGTCGATGCGAACACGAGGCCCCACTATACATGAGTAGTGCCTTCTTTTCATTTGAGTTGCATAGATTACATACAGCAATGGTAAGAGTAAATAAGGGAATAGTCCGAAACAACAAGCCATCTAGGCTGAACAATAATACATGTCTCCACTCGATCATCATGTCATGACCCGGCGCGATACACCGACATCTCGCGCACGCTTTTCGCTGAAATTGTGCAACCGCTCCCCAATAAGATAAACTTCATCCCGAATGTTAGTGCGCCAGATTGCCACTCTACGCATCACCAGATTGACTGACCACACAGACAGTATAATGAGGAGTGTAATAGGGTAGGCATAGCGGTATATGTTGGGCTGCACCTTGTCGTGGGTGTAGAACACGGTCCAACGGGCGATGAATCCGAAAGACAAGGGCAAAGTTATTGCTGCAGTCGTGAGAATGATGATCGGCAAGACCAGGGCCCGAGTGGCAAGCTTCACATTGGGTTTTAGCCAGCCATTTTGGAAGATTCCATTGAGAGCTGCAGCTGCCCAGGACTGAGGCTGCCATACGGTCAATTTTATGGCCATTTGAACATACAGCACTCCCAATGCCCAATCTTGAACGACATGAACGACATGCGACTTTCCATCGCCGAAGAGGGTGTGTGCCGGGATGAGAATGTACAATTCAGTCAAAAGGGCAAATAGCGACGGGAGTAAGACAACTGCAACTGCAGCAAGGTACAGAAGCTGGAGAACATGTATCACGAGGCCCAAGCTATTTTGGCCAGCCTGGCGAGGGGAATGGAAGTATGCACTTGTATGTTCTCGCACAAGCTGGAAAGCAGTGCGGGTGTGATAGACAAGGTAGGCGAACGCACCGACCACGCAGAGACCACTGGAAAAAGCATAAACATCGTTCACCGGAACTGGGCTGGAAGAGTACGACGTGATAATTTTCCGACCAATGATCAACGGGATAATAGTGATGCCTACTCCAGTGGTGGCGGCAAACAGCCAGATGAGGACGATGAAGGCAGCAATCCGAGTTCGGAAAGAAGGAGGTATGTAGACCTTGGTGAAATTGGTGCTGGATCGACCATGTAGCCCATCGGCAGGATCAATGTTCCCATCAACGCGCTCATTGTCCTCGGTGACTTCCAGGAAAACACGGGTGCCTTTAGGAATGCGGACCTGATCGGAAGCAGGGGCTCGCACATATCGGCCATCACGCAGGAAGTAGACGTCACGGTTCTCCTGTTCTGCTGCAGCCTGTTGCTCATCGCCGATAACAGGGTGTTCCCAGTCTCCCTTGCTTGCCGAGAGAAGACTCCACCAATTCTTCCTAACATGGTAGCCTTCTTCCTCAAAGTGTCGCTCAGGGAAGAAAAAGTTGCTGAGACGCAAGAAGTGGGCACACTTGTGGAACCACCAGTCATACAAATCATGTAGCCCGTCTGAGGGCTTGAATGATTGAATCGCCATTGGTAGCACGAAGTTATAGAAAAGCAGGTCAACCGGGAATTCGAGCATAGGAGCACTAGCCGACCAATGAATCGGAAGCACACCATCGAGTGCGAAGTGCAGTCCCCATACAACACCACCAAGGCACACGATGACCAATGCACCATAAACCAGAGCACTAAACCCAATCTTACGAAGCTGAGTAGCGATACTGCGCTCAAGGACATCGCGGATTGGGTGGAAGGTTGGATCATCGGGATCACGGATGAAATCTGTGGTCAAGTAATTAGTGTTGGTTTCAAATCCAGCATACTGGAAGTTTCAAACTTACAAAGAACACCGCTTCTCAGAATTTTTCGGCACATGGACACAAACAGCGCGAAATGGAACATATAACAAGTGCCAACAAACCAGTGGACGAAGAGTGATGTGAGTGGAGAAGCGACCGTGAAAGCAATCCGAGAGCTCACTGTAGTGTTGGAGAAGAGTGGGAGGAGAGCAAGGTCAAGAAGACTCCCGCAATACAGGGGGAAAACAATCATCTCGATGCCAATGATGAGGATGACTTTAATGACACCCCCAGCTTGAATCAGTACCTCGGCAAGTAGACCCTCAGCTCTTTGTCCACGATTGGCACCAGCCATTAGCCCGGTGATGCGTAGATAGAGAAGCCCAATCAATGATGCAAGCAGGTAGCCCATCAAAATAGCAATGGCACGATCTTTTGAGTCCCAAACAGCCAAGTCATAGTCGACTGGCACACTCGCAGAGGCGGCTTTGGCTGCACTTGCGTTCATCAACCGTTTCCCTGGCATAGCAAACAGGGGGGATCTGATGAAATTGTTAAACTGTTGCTGAACCTGCTGGAAAAATCCCGTAAAATAGGCAAGGTCAATATCAAAGGACAGTGCACCAGGAATTCCAAGAGTCATAATTCGGAGCGGGAAGTCATGCAAAATGAACTTCACGATAGCGAAGACTGATTGAAACAAAGCCACGAGGCGAGCTTGGTGTAATTTCAGTGCCTGGTGAGAGAGAACAGAGAACATGGGGATATCTGCTTCGTGGAAGATTAAGAACGCTTTTAGCACCTTGTTCAGACGCTGACTGCTCGCATCGATGAGAGAAAGGGATGCACTGGTGACAGACTTGTCCCGAGACAACCAATCCCCAATAGGAATGACAGTGCTCAAAGGACTGAGCAAGACTCTGAATACGAAGCTGAACCAGTACATGACATATCCAACGACGCCGATAAGAGTATCGAGAGCGACATCCGCGACGACTTCAACTGCGGTAATAGGAACACCGATGATGAGTTCGAGAGGATTGGCCAGTAACACAAGGGCAATCTTTCCCCAAAGGTATGGAAGCCAGATACCGATAGCAACTGTGAAGGCAATGAGAAGGGCACAGAAAACACCATTTTGGAAAAGTCCGAATATGGGTCCCTGCATGCCGATAAGGTCCATGATTCCTTCGAAATCATCTCCTTCGACTGCTTCCACATCGTTGGGGTCCATCCCAGCATCCAAATCCCCAGCCATGCCAGCATCTGCTGGCTCGCCGCCCTCAATCCGATTTGGCAAAGGCACAAATGGGTCTTCCAAAGCCGGATCCTGAACAATGTGCTCATCGTCCGCAGGAACTGGCTCTTCTCTGTCGTTGTCTGTAGGTGTAATGTCCCCCCAAAACCAATCAATGGCCCGTTCAGTAAATCCTTGTGGGAACTGATTATCCGCTTGTCGGTTGGGAGCAGGAGCGGTATCATCTCTGTTTGATGGTGCATGATCCGGGTTTGGGCCGGTAGGCTGAGCAGCGGTATCAGGGCGGGGGGCGTCAAAATCAGGACCCTCTGGAACTCTTGGCTCATCGATGTTGGGGCGATTGGAAGGGCCTGCTTCTTGTGCTCGTTGTTGATTGGGATTGACAGCGGTCATTGCGTTTGCAATCCAGTCCAAATCATTTCCCTGGGCTTCATCACGGATAATACGTAGCATTTCTTCCTGGTCTCCATTGGCACGAAGCATTATATCGCGGAAATTCAGGGCACGACGACCAGGGGCAAGATGTTCGCCTTCATCATCTGAGTTGTCAAGATCCATTGGTTGTACCAGCCTATCAAATTCCTCGTAATCAGGTTGCCCATTATCAGAATCACTCCAGGAAGGAGCTGGAGAAGGGGGGGCAAAACGGGGCAGCTCTTCTTCGTCCATGCCATGATGCCCGAATTCGTCAGCATGATCGTCTTCTTGGTGAGGGAAGACCGGCTCCGGCTGTCTCATTTGAGCTTCTTCATTTGGTCTATTGTTTGCAATGAGCTGGAGGGCTGCCTCGCGCTCCCCTTCAGCAATGTTCGCCATGGGTTGTTGTTGAACAACCCATTCGCGGATAAGGAAGAGTAAAATAAAGGCGACAACCACAATGAGAGTAATAAGCTGGCCTTCCAATGTGTCGACGACCATGTTATTAATCGTAGGATAGGGCGTCAAGTTGTTGAGAAATTTCACATCCGATAGCCATGACGGATAGCGGGGTTTGCTTGCACTGGTCGTCGAGTTGTTCGGGACGTTATCATTTCCGGTGGACGAGGTGAAGGCGGGCATGAACAAAGTGGGAATCACTTTTTTGATGAGAGTGAGCATAAGCGGCTCACCAGCAGCGAAATTGAGAATTGATGACTGCGCAGTGGGGGCAACGGTTGCGGAAGAGATAGCTGCATTAGATACAGTAGAACTGACCGAGTCTACTGCTGCAGTATTTGCCACACTGGAATTTGAGAACAGCTGTCCGAGGCCCTCTTGAGCAGCTTGTGCAGCTTGAGTTCGAGCAATTTCGCTCGCGGACCAGGGACCATCTGCAAGCCAGAAGAGGGCCCGCCAGATGGCGCGCATTGACCACGGAAGCCACCCCAGCCATACAAAGGCAACAAGAATAAACCGCAGCCAAGTAACCACGGTCCGGAAACATTGTATCAACGCTTGCTTTGCGAATAGAGGCGCGGGGAGGCTCTGGGGCATGTTCGGATCGTAAAGTTTGGTAAAGCGGAACGGCGTCTTGCAAAGCTCACAGTGTTTCTTCTGTGAATGTGATAGCCACTCAACCAGACAGATCTGGTGAACGAACTTTATGCTGCCGCTACATTTGCACGGATAGAACAATGGCTCCTCGTTCGTAGCTTCGCCATGGCAGATACGGCAAGTATCCAAGTCGTCGAACCCCTTTTCCCTCTCATCGAAAGCCGGATCGTTCATCACATCCGGGGATCCGGTGCCCGCAGCACGGAATTGATTGTCTGCGGATTCCATAGTTCGTAGGATTCGATCGCGTCGAGTCGACGGTGTTGATTAGATGTTCACCATGTTATGGAAGGAGACAAGGAGTAAACATGGGACGACCAATCCAGTTGGGCTGAATGAGCAGTCAGTAATGCAAGTACAGACTTGTTGGCAACCCACTAAGCATAGGGATCGGAGCTTGATAGTGGCGAAGCAATCAATTCAGCCTGGTCTTGACCCCATTGTGCTGACTCAGCTGATGTGCGCTGGCTGTAAGGCAAGTACGGTAATTTACAATGTGGAAGGTGGTAATGGGCGCACATCATGGTATCTGCAGTACAAGTGCCACCTATGACCTCACTGATATTCAACTGACACAGTTCCTGATTGTGTCATGTTGAAAGTGCTATATTTGATAGACTCAACCCTCCCTGTTTCCTTGTCCATAGACTCTTCGTTCAATACCCAGCTATTTTTCTCTGTCCATTGTCTTCCTAGCCTAGGTATGTATCTGACCGCGGCCCGTGAAAGTCGAGTGCCAAGACCGACGCGAGCATTCCGCCTGCAGATACTCATTTGCTTTGATTCATTCAGACTCGAGCTTTAATCGCCCAAAGCCACACATTTGAGCTGCGAACCTCTCTCCAATGCAGGTGTAATATCTTATTGAGCCGACATCTCAGCGCGTGGAAAGGGCAAGCCCTACGCAAATTACGGCGGTCGACCTCACGTATTTCAAGGAGATCGCTGGACTCGAAAAAGCCAGCCACAGTCAAGATGCTTGTGAAGGAAAATGGACACGTTGCGGAGACTACGGTCAAACCTAATGGGCGACAGGAGGTGAAGCCGCGCAGAAAGGGTTTCTTCCGGTGGACAATAGGACTCGTTGTGAGGTGAGTACCCGCACTGAGGACCACGACCACAGGACACATTCGACTAATGTCTGCTACTCTAGACTTTGCATCTGGTATGCCCTCTTAACTCCGTTCCTACAGTGCCCTTCCAATCTCGCAGAACTCACGGACTCTTCGCCGCGCGTCTGCAAGCCTTACCTGATCGGTCGTTCGCACATCGAACCCTATGTCACGCCATATTATGATACGTACGCCGCGCCTTACGTTGAGCAGGCTCGCCCCTATGTCAAGATCTTCAATGAACGAGTTTATGTCCCGACGTCGAAAGTTGCCAAATCTGGTTATGAGAAATACGGTGCGCCGGCATTTGAACAGGCCCAAATTTACGGCGCCGAGCAATGGCGGGTTCAAGTCACACCTCGAGTACAATCTGTTCGGGATAAGGTGAACCAACTCTATCTGGCTGAGGTGGACCCATATATCCAGCGAAGTGTAACTGTGGTCTCCCCGTACTATCAAAAGGCGAACTCCGCTGCGATGACTATCTACTGGGACCATCTGGTGCCTTTTTACACCCGCTCAAAGCCTTTTATCGGAAAGACTTATGCAACAAGTCAGGGAATTCTAACAACACATGTTGTGCCCGGTGCGCGCTATACCTGGTCCTCCGTGGTCTACTTTGCGAACAGCTCGCTATGGCCTCATGTCACAGGCCTGTACTCTGAGCAGGTAGAGCCTCAATTGGTCAAGATAGGCCAGCGGTTGGCGAGCTACAGAGAAGGCAAGCGCCTTCGTGCTGTTGTGGAGGAAGCTGACAGGTATTTTGAACCCTACCGTCACCTATAGAGTTCTTGATTTTGCTAACTATTATGTATAGCACCTCTTCGCTTCAGCCTGTTTACTCTAAGACGACGCAAACCGAGGAGCCAGCTCAGACCACGAGCACTATTTCTTCCACTTCTACAACCGAAGCCCCTGTTCAACCCACTCTCTCTGCAACAGAGCAAGCGCAGCAAGATCGTGTCAAGATTGAGTCGGATCTTGAGAGATGGCAGGCCAAGTTCTCTCTCGCAGCTGACAAGGGTATTGAGGACCTCGAAGAGCGCATCGAAGAAATCGTTTCCGCGCTCATTGCGAGCAGTGCAAAGAGTCACGGCCAGAGCCTTTCTACTGCGCTTCAATCAGTATCTGCCGAACAAATTTCTTCCATCAAAAGCCGTATCAACGCCCTGGCGGAATCAATGCCAGAGGAGGATGCCCCTGAGGTTGAGGAGTCGACAGGTGATCAGCTGGTCAAAGAAATCAGAACTTCCGCTATCTCTGTGAGAGATCGTGCTCATGCACTCAGGGAATGGTCCACCTCTTTCGACCAAGAACTTGTGCGTCGGGTGGGTGCTGCCGTTGACTCCACTCTAGCTGTCCTGGATAGCATCCGTGATCTAGGATTACAAGAGATCGGTATGCGCTGGGCATGGATGGATGGTGTCACCTACAAGGATTGGGCGAAATACCATGCCCTGAAGGCCCAACTCGAAGATTGGCGCAACGAGATCCAGGAGGTCGGCACACAACATAAGTCGGTGCCCGAGGCCAGAGCCGTGGCAAATGACATATTGGACAGCGGCATGCAAGAGGCCGAACAGGCTGCCAAGGAGCTTGTTAGACTCAAGGATGTGGGTCTCTGGAAGATTGCTGCTCGTGAAGTTAGTGACAACTTTGACACTCGAACCGATTCTCCGCCTCCGAGACCCAAGCCTCAGCAGGAGCCCGAAGAATCGGAACCTATCCCTGTTGATTCGGATCGCGATGAGACCTCTGAGGAGGCCTCTGAATCTGCTAGCCAGGAAGAAACCGCGTCAATCACGGATGATGCTATGGAGGACATGGATGAAACTCCGGAGACCGAATCTTCACACTCGGTTGTTGCCGAAGAAGAGGATCTTGATGATGATGTTGAATCCGTTATGGATGATGTTGTAATTGAGGATCAGCCTTCTGCGAGACCAGCCTTTGGTGTTGCAGCTGCTGAGGTCGACTCTTACCGAGAGCCCATCCTCGATGACGAGGATTCAGACACCTTGCATAACCTGGCGAACAAGGCTGGCGACACTTACGCCGAAGCAAGCAAAGCTGTGAGCGAGGCTATCTACGGTGCTTCTGTGACTCCTGGCGTTGGCGAGCAGGCAGCCTCATTCGCCAGTGACCAGTATTCTCATGCATGGTCTGCCGCATCTGAGGTTCTTTACGGAACTCCTTTGAGTCCCGCTGAAAAGGTTTCCAGTGCTGCTTCTGAAAAGTACACTGAGGCTGTAGCGGCGTAAGTAGTGTAGATTATCCAATATCCCTCTAAAATTACATTCATAATTGAATTATCACTAATCGAGTCTTGAATTACAGTGCCTCGTCCGTCATCTACGGTACTCCAACACCGGTCATTCAGTCTTTGGTAGGCGAGGCCAGCTCAGCATATGCTGACTCTACGGCTCAAGCCAAGATTCTCTATGACATCGCGAAGTCTCAGGTTCTTGGCCAGATGGCCCAGTCTAGCGCTCCCGCTCATTCCCAGCTCCTTGATTCTATTGAGGCAGCTTACTCAAAGTCGGTTAAATATGCTACCGAAGAGCTGGAGTCGAAGCTTCGCGCTGTTCGACCTACTCCCGCGCCATCCTCTGCAGGACCTCTAGCCCAGATCTCATTGATCGCCTCCTCACGCTTGCATCAGGGAATCAGCCTGGCCTCTGAGCAACTAGCTCAGGCACGGGCAACAGCATCGCCAACAACTGATTCTGGCTTCCAGCCCTATGTGCTCGATGCTCAGCGTCGATACTACGAGGCAGTCGGCTTAGCTCATGATCACTATACTGCCTTTGTTTCTACTGCATCCAATGCAGTTTACGGTCCCACGCCAACCCCGGCTCCTAGAAGTTTCCAGGGACTCATCGAGGAAGCCGGGTCTCAATATGAGCAAGTCTCTTCGTTGGCTTCCGCCAGCCTTGCCGCTGTTGTTGCTTCGGCCAGCTCCGTCATCTCTTCGGCCGACGATGGTAAAGCACAGGGTATCATTGATGACGCTTCTTCGCGATACAGCGCAGCAATTTCCGCGGCTTCTGCCTCTCTGTCGTTGGCATCCGCCTCGGCGAGCTCAGCGTTCTATGGAACCACCCCAGGGCCTCTAGAGTCTCTTTCCAGCCAAGCATCCGAGAACTGGGAGCATCTAATTTCCAAGGCTAGCGAGCAGATTTATGGTGCACCGACACCCTATCTTCAACAAGTGGCGAATAACCAGCGTGCGCACTTTGAAGCAGTGCAGCGAATTGTTTCGGATTTGATCGTTGACAAGCAGCCGTCTTTCACTGAGAGTGTTTTGAGCAAGCTTCAAGCTGCATACGAGACGCCTTACCCTACGGCCGCTGTTTCTTCTGCTTCTAGCTATATCAGTGAGACATATGAAACCGCATCATCGGCTGCTGCTGCGGCTATCTCCGATATGCCAAGCATGGAGGATATCATGCAGAATGCCAATGATCAATTGCACGCTGCTGTCGAAGCGGCCAGTGTCGGGATCTACGGAACTCCTAAGGGTTCTTTCGAACAGGCCACAGATGCTGCGGCCGACGCTTACTCGACAGCATCTGCTCAGGTGAGCAGCGCTGTATATGGCAAGGAATCTAGTTACATTGATGTCGCCAAAGACGCCATTGAGGATATCCAATCCAAGGCCAGTGCCGCCATCTATGGTGAAGAGCCCAACGCAGTTGAAAGCGCCACTGCCCGTCTCGCCGGTGCTGTTGAAAACGCCAAGTCCCAGTTGGCTGTTCTTGCAGCAAGCGCCAGCAGTGTTGCATCTGAGGCAGTTGAAACTGCTGCGTCACACGTGGAAGATGCTACAAGCAGTTTCAAGAATGCTGCATCGTCGCTCAAGGACGAATTGTGAAGAAGTGGGCTTTGTTGAATCACTCAAATCCTGTTACGGCATGCATCATGTATTTCTTTTTCTTTCCTCTTCTTTCGGACTCGAACAGTTTGCTCCGAAATTGATCTTCATGCCTTGGGCATGATCTTGTATGCGCGGCTTCCGACGCATTATTCCCCATATAGTTTGTCACGACGACTACATGCTCATGATCTGCAATATGCACAGTTTCTTATCTCCATTTCGGTCCTTTCTTGTTGTTTTGTTTTTCTGTCCTCGCTTCTTGATTCAAATACAAAGGATCTTGGAATGATTTATGCGTAGTACATAATCAATGGATGGGTTTTTGAAGCCTTGAGGCTGATATATATAACGTATTCAAAGACAATGTAGACTATACAATGGTACAATACCAGTGACGATTAACTCGCTTCTATGCTATCATATATGCTGTTCAATACTTCAAGGGTGACACTGTAAGCATCTACGTGTGAAGTTTCTTGAACAGGTCAACTTTTTGATCAGATGATATTGAGTCCCAATCTGACACGCACAATATCTATCGAGGTTGAAGTTACATATCTTACCGATTCAAGCCCAAATCACCTGTACTTCATAGTCGAACCCCTCTTTTCCTTCTTCAACTGCGTCTTGCTCTTGGGAGCATCACCCTGAGGTTCTTCGCCGCCACCACCCATTCCAGCGAATCCCTTCTTCACGCCCATGATAGTGGTATAGGCAGCGTAGGCGGAGTACAAAGGAATCACCACCCACAGCCACCAAGCCCGGTCATTGAAGAGACAGGCAGCAACGATACACCCTTGGGTCCAGTAAAGTACATCCCACATGTACTCCGTTAGACCGGTGGCATTGAGATCCTCGCCAGCGGAGCGCAAGGAACCGTCCTCGTTGTAACGAGGCCGGCCCACACGGTCCAGATAATATTCAATTGCAAGAGTGGGAACAGCCAAGAAGAAGTATGGCTTCAAGGAGCGAGGCCGTTGGAACATGAAGTGCAGCACAAGGAAAAGCAGGTGCAATGCCGCCGAGATCAGATGAGTGCGGTTGAGAATAGCGCCATTGCGGGTCGCCAGGGTTTTGGCAGCTTTCTGTGATAAAGTCAAATCGTGTTTATGCAGAGAGCAAAGCTGACAGAGAGTCTGCAGAAGCAAAGAACCACCGGGCATTGGGGTACATACCTGAGCCATGCTTGAATGCGATCACCAATTTCCTCACAAGATGATATGGATGAAGTTTTTCAGGATATGTGATGTCCCTGTTTACCGGCTAAGCAAACTTAATGCCTCAAAACCACTCAATATTGAAGAACGAGGCTGAAGGGAAAAGGAGGGGACACGCATGACAGCTGCAGTCCATCGGACGATTGTTGCCCTCCACGACCCTCGCCGCCCTCACCGCCCGGCAGAATCGACAAAGGCCTCTCGAGACCAAAATAACAAGAAAGAAAGGTTGAAGCTTCATACTTTCTGCCTCTTGAGAGCTGACATGTCCCTGCTCTGAGGTTTAGTTTTCTGGTTTTACCCAGAGAGATCTTACCTCGTGGCTGACTATCTAACTTGTCCTCATCCTACCATTTCCGGATTTGGTTTACATTCCTCACTCCAAGCCTGTCTTCCCGAGCCCAGTCAACGATAACCTGCATTCAGAGCAGTCCGTGGACCATTGGACTTGTCGCTGTCTCATGTCTTTCTGGCGTTGATGGACTGTTCGCTCGCGCTTCCAGAACTCACGTCAGAACTGACTCGATCGCGTCGTTGTTTCCTCCCCGCGTCTCGGAGGACATCTCCAAGGAAGGCGCTGGAGGTTGATGGGCCAACTACCCTCAAATCTCTCAATCGCATCACTACTTTGAACCTCGACAGATTCTCCCACGAACCGACCCTCGCGCGCTGTCGCATACCGTATTGCCCGACCCCTCACCATGGCCTTGTCCACGGGACATGTCGCCAGCCAGTTACGGCACCTCATCTACTACCAACTCGATAATAACCTAATTCGCAACGCGTTATTCCTGGCAGGTCGTCTTCATGCTTTCGAACCGCGATCCCACGAGGCGCAATATCTACTTGCGCTCTGTCACCTACACAATGGTGAAGTGAAGGCTGCATTTGATTGCAGCCAATCTTCGGGTTCTCTAGGCCTACACGCTGGTTGCGCTTATGTTTTCGCGCAAGCTTGCTTGGATCTAGAGAAATACTTGGACGGTGTTGCAGCTTTGGACCGCAGCAAGCATCTATGGGCAACTCAGAACCATTGGAGTAAGCCTCCGCAAGCTTGTCCATGTGATCGAAATGAGGGCTAATGAAATTACAGACAAGCACAGTGAAACACAGCGGCAACATCTCCCGGATGCTGCAGCCGTGTTTAGCTTACAGGGAAAGCTTTGGCATGCTCATAAAGATCTGAACAAGGCAGTTGACTGTTACGTTGAGGCACTCAAGCTGAACCCATTCATGTGGGACGCGTTCCTAGGACTTTGCGAAACAGGTATGTATTCATCTCAGATACTGGATTGAATTCTGTCTCATATGGTACCAGGCGTCAACATTCGAGTCCCCAACATCTATCAACTCAGCCCAGAACTTCTCGCAATGATATCCTCGTCACCAAATGAAAGTTCCGCAGTACCAGACAATATTCCCGCAGCAGAAGCCTTTCCTATGCAGCCTCCTGGTCACCCTGTATCAGATCCTTTCATGGTCCCCTCTTCCCGCGGCGACGGGGAAGGCACATTTGGAAGCTCCGCGCTTTTCGAAAAGTTCAATGGCAGCTCCGTTACTGTGGCGCAGCAAGTATTTCAAGATGGCATGGAAACACCCGGAGCACAGAGCAGTGGCTCTGAAGAGTTCCGCATAGCAAACGGGGTCACCGATCCGGAATCAGCATGGGATGCACCTATGGCCCCGGCCCGCAAAATACGCCCAGCTCAGACGATGAGCTTAGATCAAGCTGGACAAGCTCCACCCCGAATGCGCCCAACAGGAATCAGGCCCAAAAACAAAACAAGAACAGATCCAGAGGCGTATTCCGCTGGCACAATGGAAAGAGATCCGCCTCCACCTCCCAGGTTTGGTGAACGAAAGCGCACAGTCTCTGGGCAAGTTGCTCACCCCCTCCTCCATCACAACCGATTGAACCAGGTGCTCCTCAGCGTCGAAGCGTTCGCCTGTTTAATCAAATAAAGCCAACCACGAGCAAACTTTCTAACAGTACACTCCACAGTACACTTGCTGGAAAAGACGGCCGTGAAATGAAGAAGTTAAGAGCCCAGTCAAGAGGACGAATTGGAACTGTACCTACAGTGGGTCGTGTCGTGAGTGGTAACAGAAAGCCCATGGAAGCACCCGACAACGATGGCAAGGACCATCGTATTGGAACAATGCCGCCACAATCCTCGGTTCCTCCGTTACCAAAAAATGCCGAGAAAACAAAAGAGCTCGAGTCTTTGAACTGGCTTTTGGGACTATTCAATAAGCTTGCATGTGGGCATTTCGCATTGAGTCGTTACAAGTGTCAAGAGGCTATCCACCACTTCAATTTACTTTCTCAAGGTCAGCGCGAGACTTCATGGGTTCTTGCTCAACTTGGACGGGCTCAATTTGAGCAAGCGGGATACGCAGAAGCTGCCAAATATTTCAACAGGGTTCAAACGCTGGCGCCCTCTCGCCAAGAAGACATGGAAATCTACTCAACTGTGTTATGGCATCTGAAAAGCGATGTTGAATTAGCATACTTGGCACATCAATTACTCGAATCCGACCGTCTATCACCTCAGGCATGGTGTGCCATTGGCAACTCTTTCTCCCACCAACGAGATCATGACCAAGCCTTGAAATGTTTCAAGCGTGCAACCATGATTGACCCTGGTTTCGCCTATGCCTTCACTCTACAGGGACACGAGTATGTCGCCAACGAGGAATATGACAAGGCATTGGAGGCCTATCGAAACGGCATTAACGCCGACAATCGACACTACAACGCCTGGTACGGACTGGGAACAGTGTACGATAAAATGGGAAAACTTGACTTTGCTGAACAGCATTTCCGCAACGCCGCTAGTATCAATCCCACGAATGCGGTATTAATCTGCTGCATTGGTCTTGTTTTGGAGAAAATGAACAACCCCCAGGAAGCCCTGGTCCACTACGGTAGAGCCTCCACGTTGGCTCCACAATCAGTCTTGGCCCGGTTCCGCAAGGCACGAGTTCTAATGAAGCTGCACGAATTCAAATTCGCTATGGCAGAACTGAAGGTCCTCAAGGATATGGCGCCAGATGAGGCAAATGTGCATTATCTACTAGGAAAGCTGTATAAAGTGCTTCATGACAAGGCCAATGCTATCAAGCATTTCACTGCTGCCTTGAACTTGGATCCAAAGGTACGTTCAAAGCAAAGAACTATTTGTGACTTATGAATATCTCACTGACTCTCACTCATAGGCTGCACAATACATCAAGGACGCGATGGAATCCTTGGATGAAGATGAGATGGAGGATGAGGACATAGCGTAGACCTGTGATGGCCCAGGTCTTTCTGTTTTGTTCCCACATGGGAATGCTCTCTTATGAACTCGGCGTTTGAAGGCCTCTTTGCACAGCATCACTGTGGAGTTTTTCTTTTCCAGGTTTAAACATCTGGCATCAAGCATGGGGTTCTGTACATTAGTTGACGATTTTCTCTGGCACGGATGTGATGATGGGTGCTTGCATAATTCATTATTCTTCCATGCTTCTTCATGCATTTGGTCTCATGATTTTCCCTAGGCAAAATGTGACCTATTCCTTTAAGCCTAACATATTGAAGCTGCAAACTTTCCGCGTGACCTCGTCATCTGCACCAGGGCGGTGAGTCGGCCTCGGGGCAAAAAAACGATTCAACGCCGACTTGCTCTTCCCCACAGTCATGGCTCAGTGCATTTGAAGCTGTATCTCTTCCTTCTTTGTTCCTTGTTTTTCTCGAATTATACACCTGGGCTGGGGTGTTTGTTCTCTCTCCCGAAGTATGTCTCTTACTCGTCATTATAGTATCCGCTCTGACCACATGTTTTCCCCCCAGCATCGTCTCAACAAACCGTCACCATGTCGTTTGGCTCCTACATCGTTTCAGGCATTAGCTCCTTTGTGGTAGTAACAGCCTCCCTCTTCGCCCTCGGTCAGAAAGTTCCCCGTGCAGCCTTCGCTGCCCGGTGTCTCGCATCCTATGGCTCCCTCCTCGTCGCTGCCGCGTACGGCGTGGTGGTTTCAATTTGCCTGCGACTAGTTGGATATGGTCGTATCTCACAGTGGGCCACAGGGCGCAGCTTCAAGTGGTTGATGCGTTTTACCACCGGTGTCACGTTCGAGGTCATCGAGGGCGAGGAGTACCTCACTACCCGTCCGGCTGTCTTCCTTGGTAACCACCAAACTGAGCTGGATGTGTTGATGTTGGGCTGTATCTTCCCGCCTTACTGCAGTGTGACTGCTAAGAAGTCCCTGAAGAACATTCCCTTCCTGGGCTGGTTCATGGCCCTCTCTCGCACTGTCTTCATTGACCGTGCCAACCGCGAAACGGCCCTCAAGGCCTTTGATGGTGCCGCGGATGAAATGCGCAACCACCGCCAAAGTGTTTTCATCTTTGCTGAAGGTACTCGGAGTTACTCTGATGAGCCTACTCTTCTGCCCTTCAAGAAGGGTGCTTTCCATCTGGCCGTTAAGGCTGGTGTGCCAATCGTCCCTATCGTGGCGGAGAACTACTCCCACATTCTGTCACCTCGAGTGTGGCGATTCAATGCTGGAACTATCAAGATCAAAGGTCTGCCACTTCTCTGAGTTAAAAAAAATGAACCCCACTGATCATTTCTGATTAGTCTTGCCTCCAATCCTGACCAAGGATTTGACATCGGCCGACGTAGATCAACTGACAACCTCGACTCGGGACTCGATGCTCAGTACTCTGACTGAATTGTCTCAAGCTCAGAAGAAAAATGCCGATGCTTCCCACGCCAACGGTGTCTCTAGCGCCATTGAGATCTAAGCGCATTCAGATTGTGCTACGTCATAGGATTCTCCGCCTCGCTCGACATTCACCGGCTTGTCTCTCTTGGTTCAACCTGGCAATGGACATTTGGAACGAATTCCATATCAGCAAGAGACCATACCTAATCACCCGCCACGATTGGTTCTTCTAGAAGAGCACCTCGTCCTCCGCTCTCCGTCCAGTATATTCCTATTCAATTCTTCGGTACATACTCTCCAGTTCCTACCACAAGAACTCGAATTAGGGAAACCTTGAACTCTGAACTTGTTCCTATTACCTCTGCCCGCGGGTACTGGTATTACATTAGACCGCATCCTTTCGGGCATGGCGCTCTTTTCCCTTTTGCACCTTGACTGTATATATCTTTAGCAACAACGCATGACACGACCTGGCTTATTAGACTGAATCACGTTTTGCCTTTGCTTTTTGTAATCGACCACAATTTCCACAAGAGTTATTTCTACGTTCGCTTCAAGGATGAAGAACACAAACTCATTAATGCATCTCATGAATCCTTCCAAGTTCTATTTTTCTATTACAGGCATCCGATTACGCTATTTAAGATTTTGCTGACCCGAAGCCCTCCAGAAAGCATTCAAGCAACGGTAGCTTTTTCAAAGACCTTCCTGATCTCCTGGACCTTTTTGCCCTCAGCCAACAACAATCCAACCAAGATACGCGACTGCTGAGGATTGAACAACCCACTGGCAATCTGAGTCTTGCTGTTCTCTCCCGTGATATCAGCAGTAGGAACCTCCCCGTTAACCGTGCGATGACTCAGAACAACCGGAATATCATGCTTAGCAACAACATCGTTGATAGCATCACCAAAGTCAGTGGAAATACCACCAGCGCCCTCGCCAGCAACCACAATGCCCTTGGCACCATTCTCAACGGCACTGTATAACGAATCGGCACGCATATCCTCATAAGCATAGAGAATATCAACCCTAGGAACAGAATCCACATCCGAAACATCAACAGCATGCTTCGCATTCGGCTGCACAGCAGGGTAATAGAAATACGGCGTGTTGGAAACGATAGTTCCCAGACTCCCCTGCTCATACGCCTTGAACGTATCAACAGTATTAGCATTCGTCTTCGTCGCAAAGAAAGCGGAAACGATCCGGTCATTCAGCACAACGAGCGCACCACGCCCCGTGGCGTCCTCATCGGCAGCAACAGTCACACCCTGCAGCAGGTTCATTGGGCCGTCGGCGGAAATGGCCGTGGAAGGACGCATCGAGCCCACGAAGACGATGGGCTTGTCGCAGTTTACGGTTGCGTCAATGAAGAAGGCTGATTCTTCCAGGGTGTCTGTGCCGTGTGTGATTACGGCGCCGGACATGGTGGGGTCATCGCAGACGGTTGTTTGGAGAGTGTGGGTTAGATTTAGGAGGAGGGTTGAGGAGACATCGCCACTGTTGACGTTTGTCGCTTGGACGGCGGCCACATTGGCGACTTTGCTGATCTCTGGGATTCCGCTTAGCAGCTTGGTGATTGACAATGCGCCAGATTCGTAGCCTGCTGTGGCGGTTTTGTCGTCGCTTGTGCCGGCAATGGTGCCGCCTGTAGTAATATTAGCTAGATGTATTGGTGTATCATAGGGATGATATGTACCTGTCGCTAGAAGGGTGATATTGGGCAGCGAAGTATTGAAGTTATTAAACTTCAACCCGTTCGAGTTGGTATATGACGTGTTGTTAGATGCTCGGGCTTGGATCAAGGAAGAGGCATAGCCCGTGGCAGCCAAAGCTGAGACAAGGCATGTATTGAAATGAAAGCCCATGTTGAAATTATGGTCTTCTTGCCAAATGAGGTCAGAAGCTGTAAACTGAAGAAATGTATGAATATGGAAGTCGGCCTGGATGGCGATTTATATAGATCGGAATCCAACGCATGACTCGATTTCTCCAGTTCCGAGCCGGATTCTAGACATCTTGGTATGCTCGATATACTTTTCTTGGCTCTTGACTATACTATTTTGCCTGGATTTTAACCTAGGGCCTCGAATCATAGAGTAGGGTGATCGTCGTTCTTCGGGAACGGCCGGATTAGAGTAGAATTACGTTGCTCGAGATTTACTTGATTGGCTATAGACATATTCCAGAAGAATAGAACATGAAAAATCACATACCTAATCCTCACCTGCGGTCTCTTTACTTCAATATCTACAAACGAGGGCATTGTTTCTCTCCTTGACAGAGTAGTCCCTCGATCCTTTACATCGCCCAAGCCCCATCATCAACAGAAAAAAGGCCTCAATGACTAACATTAATCATGGCATTCTTGGCGAGGACCTAAGAGAGGCCGCGGCCTCCGAGCCCCAAGACCGGCCAAGTATATAAAGTCCGGAATCATCGGCCCATATTCGGACAAATAAACTCGGGGCAAAACCCGCACTTTTGATTCGCTGTTGTGCCTGACGATCATCGAATTACCCCAAATATGATCGAAACATAAAGTAATTCATCCAGTGGACCTCCCCCGAGCAGTGGAAATCCCGCAAACGCCCCATTTTTGCGCCGTCTAACTGGGGTGGTTGTGCTGATCTCGATTGTCGCATTTCACATCCATATTGCAGGTGATTATATACAGTTGACATCTACAATATAGCTGCCTGTTGAAATTGATGGCTTGAGATCACCGGCTTGTTTACTGAAACGTACTATAGTGTCAGCGTTGTGGATCCTGTTACACATCGAACACATCGACTTGTATACATAGGTATGACGTGAAGTCCACCAAAGTGCTATGATCTCTCTGCGATGCTACGTAATGCGATGTGGGGAGCATGAAACAGAAATAATGAGATGAGATTTCTGCCATGTTCAGCAAGGAACTGGAGTAATACAAAGTTGCCAACAAGCATGGCCAAATAATTCCGACAGAGGATGCGTTGAAAATGCCCAGGGGAATCATTGCGTCGAAAAACCGCTCAGATATCGAATATGCAATATGCTGGGAAATGCATCAGTTAAGCACAAGTCATGTCTCATACGTAGTTGAGATCCGGAGAAGCCGTTGATTCCACGGTTGGGGTGGGTTCGTTTCTAAGAATTGAATATTAGCAACTGATCCTAGTGAGAATAAGACAAACTTGGAGTATGAGCGTACGTGAAGAGTGATTGTGGGCTCTGGAAGTGAACACAACGGCCCTCGGCACAGGGTCGAATGTCAACGTCAATATCGACTTCTTGCATGGGCAGCCAAGGGTCGCTGATTGCGGACTGCACGCGCCAGGGGTCCCGCTCGCCAACTTTTCGAACTGCTGATGGCTCAATTCGCATATCCTTTGTTCCATGCCGATCGGATAGCTCGATGTATCCTGGCAAGTGGTGATCGCCGTCATTTTGGACTTGTCTAGAAACGGTACCAATGCTGGACCCAGCCGCGGCAGTGGCCACAATGAAGTCTGTCTCAAAGGCGGATAGTTGAACGCGCACATGTTGGACGGGTTTTCCCTTTAGGGTAATTTGAATATCCGTGTATGGTGCACCCCAGTTCTGAACCGAAGGAGCAATAAAGGTTGACTGATCGACGGGACTGGGTTCACAGAGAGGGTACTCGGTGACACCACGCTTGGAAACAGGCTCCGGGGGAATGACGTTTGAGAACCGTAGGTCGCGTACCCAGGTGGCTAGAAGGCCATCGCCAGTCATCTTCAAATATGCCTCTTTCAAAGCCCAGACTGAATAGAAGAGGCGCATCCCGTAAAGAGCTAGGCTTTCCTCGGTATCGCTTCTCACGTCGCTTGTATTGATACCACGCTGGCGAGCCAATTCAAGAGTTGCACGAGGGTTCTTGATGGTGTCCAATTCACGCGCTGAGAGAACCTCAGAGAAGATATCCACGAAAGATGCCAGAGCTGCAAGGGTCTTGGGAGGTCGGTCAGACCGGCGACGACTGGGCTCGTCAACGCAGGCGATATCTATTCCGACTCGGGGTGGATATGGGATACTTTGGACATTGCTCTCCGGTGCACGGGTCCCTGCAAGGACAGTGAGAGAGGCCTGGTGACTGACATTGAACTCCACGCTCGAGTCGTAATATGGTCGGTTCTCTGGAATAGGAGTACGACTGATCACAATATCCTTCCAGGATGTGCCAGTGGCCTGGTGAACAAAGAAGTACTTCAAAAGTTGAGACGCCAGGGACATGCGCTTATCCGACAAGTGGTGGTACTTTACGACGGCATCTCGGTCGGATTGAGTCAGGGTTTCGAGCAGAGGAAGACTGAGCGCCATATCATCCCAGCGCCGAGTGTCCATGTACCATCGCACCAAGGTTGGCTTCGAGGCTAGGGAGCTGTCGACCTTGTCTGAATCGAGAGGTATGGAGATGTCCTCTTGCCTAATCGCGTTGATTGCCATTTTGGTCTATTGAATTAGCCAATTTATTCTTTTCATCTAAGCAAGCTGGTCAGAACTCACAGCTGCCGGATAGGCCATCTGCAAGAGACGATCATAATCCTGAGGCCGCATATGTCCCTCGACCGTCGAGGGAACCCCGCGCCACATCCTTATCGATCTTATCAGCACGTGTGCCGATAAGAGCTCTGTAACAGGCAGGCGGTGATCGTCGTGAGAACGTTGAATGAACTGTGAGGGCGTAAAGGGAGGCTCTGTGGAGGTGAAGAGCGTGTGAGCTAGATACGGAATGAGAGATTGTCTCTTCATGGTATGCGATTGAATAGGACTTGGGCGTTTAGGGAATGCATTTCTTTCTCCAGATCAACTGCACAACTGTCTGGTATAAATGAACAGTACCATGAACCAATTAACATCTTTCAAATCTCCATTCATGGGCACACAAGTATCTGTAGAGTCTACCCCATCCTGGTTGATTCTGTTTGCCAAGTACGTCGATTACAATATTGGTTTGGCAGAATATTCTATATTGTGGCGGTGGATCTTGGTCACGTGGTGATAAGTTTCCCGCCGGAAAGTCAAAATCACGTGTAATCAAGAGTCATCGCAACAGGTGAAGCAAACCAGAACTTGCCACTTACATACAATGACAATTACCGTTGGAGTTCTTGCCCTTCAAGGCGCATTCTTTGAACATGTTCAATTACTGAAGAAAGCAGCCGAACAAGCCCCTCCATCAGAATGGCAGTTCATCGAAGTACGAACGCCACTGGAGCTATCAACATGCGACGGACTTGTCTTGCCCGGAGGTGAGAGTACCACAATGTCTTTAGTCGCAGCAAGATCGAATATGTTGGAGCCATTGCGAGACTTTGTGAAGTAGGTATTCCCGGCCATCTTACGCGAATTCAATCTAATGCGTTCCGTGTACAGGGTGGATCGCAAACCAACGTGGGGTACATGCGCCGGCCTCATTCTCCTTGCCGAATCGGCCAACAAGACAAAGAAGGGTGGACAGGAGCTGATCGGTGGTCTCGATGTAAGAGTGAACCGGAATCACTTCGGTCGACAGACAGACAGCTTCCAGGGACCGTTGGATCTCCCCTTTCTGGGAGAGGACGCTGCGCCATTCCCAGCTGTCTTCATTCGAGCACCGATTGTTGAAAAGATCCTACCGCACCATAAGGGCATTCAGCAAGAAGAGATCGGACTCGAAGAGACTGTTGTTGCACCATCTCGACAAGCACGCGACTCAGTTGCGGAAGCAGCAACAGCCGACCATGTCGAGGTACTCGCCACGTTGCTGGGCCCTGCAGCTCGCAACGCCACTCAAAATCGAGACATCAACCCTGATGAGGAAGTTGGCGATATTGTTGCAGTGCGACAGGGCAATGTGTTTGGCACCAGCTTTCACCCGGAGTTGACGGGCGACGCAAGAATTCATGCTTGGTGGTTGCGGGAGGTACAGTCGGCCGTGTTGAAGCGAAAGAAATTGGGACAATAGATGAGACAGTAGACCAAATAAGTGTAAATAGGGTATTTGATGAATAGACATTTCCTGTTTTTGCTAATTGGTTCACGACAAGTGGGATAACGCCATTGCTTTGTTGTCCTGGTACTGTTTCATTATGCACTAACCTACCTCCCAGCGCCATACTCATCTTCCTCACGCTGGCGCTGCTCGTCATAGGCGCGACCATATCCACCACGGCCCGGATCGTATTCCTCGCGGTATTCGTCGCGCACTTGTCCACCTGACTTGCCGCGTCTATAAAAAAAGTCAGCCATTACTACTTCGTCAACCACGTTTTGAAAGTCCGCATACCCAAATTGCCGACCTTCCTCGAATCCAGGATCGAGATCTGCGCGAATAATTCGCTCATCCAGCTTGGTACCACCGATGTATTTCAAGCAGTCCAGCGCATCCTGGTGTGTATAGTATTCGACAAAGCAGAATCCGCAGGGTGTCTTGTTGAATCGGTCCAAGCCCATCACTAGGCGCTTGATTTCACCGCACCTAAAAGTCGAGATTAGACCTCGGTCTAGAATGAAAAAGGCGCGTGAACTGACTTGGAGAAGAGCTCATGGATCTGTTCCTCGGTGGTGTAGAAGGAACTGAATTGGTCAATGGTGTCCGATCCTTTCAAGTCTGTTGGGTGCATGCATACAGGTTTCCCACATAGAGAGTAGTCGCATTCTTCAGCTTGTCATCGGGCTCCTCGGGCTTCTCATCTTCACGGTCATTATATCTGCGACGCTTGTTCTGTATGTCGTTTAGCAACTTGAGCCTGTTCTGATTGCCTCATAGAGCGCAACGTCGGAAGGGCCGAAACCAACCTTACTGACATAGTAGGCACTTGGCCTATCTAGGCGATCCACTGTGTTAATAGCAAGCAAACTCATCACGAAAATGTAATGAAGGTTGAGTAGAGGAGAAGAAAGAAGGGTGACGGGAAGTCGGAGCAAAGAAGCTCGGAGCTCTCAAAAGATCTTGGCGCGGCAAGAATTCCACTCCGCATCAACAACTCTTTCACCTACTTCTTTCTACCTGGCTCCCATCTTACTACCTGGGATGTTCTGACCGGTTTAAGAGCTACAGACCATATTGTTTCTTTCACATCTACCCACAATGCCAAAGGTCAGCAGCTATGCGCCAGCCTGGCTGTGCCGGCCGTCACCTGGCGCAAACTTCCTGACCACCAACTCCTCTCAGAGCCCAGCGGAGGACATTAAGAACAAATCGAAGCCATCTGACAATGGTCCCAACCGGACCATTGCTAGGAGAGGAAACGAGGTTTTCGCTGTGGTTGATAACGAGATCCGCTGGTCAAACCTTGCGCGCCTCAAAGATCAATGGCAACAGCAAAATAAGCAAAAGAAGGGATCTGCTAGCGCTGGAGATATCACTGATTTAAATTCGACTTCTTACAGGGTACGTATTGACTGCGACAGCTTTCATAGGTCCACCATTTGGTCATGTCCAATCGCGACTAACATCTTCCGCAGGTTTTGGCCGTCCCTGTATATGGATTGATCAAACAAATCATTCCTTCCCCGAACGGAGCATTCCTTGCAATTATCACCGAACACACTGTTCACATTTCGGTCCTCCCCGACGCTTCGCACCTGTCATCATCTGACTCTACTCCCCTTCGTCTGAAGACATACCAGTTGGGCCCGACCACTCATGTTATTCCCGAGGCGCCCGTTGTGTCTGCGTTATGGCATCCCTTGGGTCTGCACAGCAATCTCAGCGGTTGCATCGTTACCATCACCGCTGACGCCGCGGTGCGCGTGTGGGAACTGGACCGCAACAACCACTGGTCCTTTGACCAGCCAACCCTGGCAATCGATTTGAAGAAGCTTGTCGATGGAACTTCGTGTGATCAAGACTTTGCGCCTTCAGGCTTTGGCAAGAACAAGGGATTTTCTGCTGATCTCATTGATATGGAGGTCGCCTCGGCTTGTTTTGCAGGCAGTGGGGAAGAAAAAGAGGACGCATGGGCGCCAATGACCCTGTGGGTAGCCATGAGACCCGGTGACCTCTATGCGCTGTGCCCTCTTCTGCCTACAAAGTGGCAAGCTCCATCAACAACAATCCCCTCCCTCTCTTCAGCGATTGTTCCGAAGTTGACTGCCTTGGAGCAGGATCCTGAGGAATTCGACGAGGAGCTGACTGCATGTCGGCAGCAGTACGATTGGCTCAGTGAGCTTGATGGACAAGAGCCATTGGGTCTGCCTGCTGGCGCCGAAACCCTCCAAGGCGCCGAAGTTTTCACTCGCCCCGCCAACCCTAGTGCTATTCCTAGATTGCAAGGGCCTTTCCGATTCGATACTGGTGATGAGCTTGACGACCTAGACCTTTGTGACCTTCTTGTTATTGCTGCTAGACTGGATGTTGATGATCTTATGATGGGCGAGGAAGAAGAATTGGCCGTGGATGCCAGCGAACAGGATAAGCTCTCAGCCACTGTTCTGTCTCTGTCTAGTGGAAACGGCCGAGTTCATATTTGTCTGGAACTTGACGGTGTTGAGGGACAGTGGCTCCCCAAGGCCCAAAAGAACGCCTTTCGGACACCTCTTTCAGAGCCATCTGATCTTGTCCTAGTCGAATCCTTGGATACTGTTAAGGCTGGAGAGACCGCTATCTGGCCCACTTTCACCAAGGATGTCCACTCTCGATACACCTTCTTTGTCACGACCGCAACTAATGTGATATCTCTATCTTTGACCGCGTGGGCACAGAGACTGGAAGCCGAGTTGAAGGCGGAAGACTCTGCTGGCTCTGCTTTCCGTCTGCAGGTTCTCTGCGACGGAAATGTCTGTCAGAGAGAAAAGATTTTGCAGGTCTCAGAAGCCGATGTCACATCGAAGTTTGAACACCTCGCGCAGTCACTTGTCTTTTATGACTTTGACCTTGGCTACTTGCTTCTCACTTCGCTCCCATCAAACCCATATGCAGCGGTGATGGATTCACCAGAAGATGCTCTCGCTGCGGAACTTGAGAGGCAGCTTTCTGACAGAATGGCAACAAAGTCAACCTCAGCCGTTCTGCCCCCTCGCCGTGCGCCGTATCAAGTTCCCGCCGTTTTCTACTCCGAATGCCCACTGAACTCATTTGTTGAAAAGCACGTCCCACATCGCCAACGTCATACCCTCAAGGAGCAAGTACGCCTGTCTCCTGCAACATTGGACCTTGTGGCTACTGCTCACCGTGTTCTCTCCGCGCATACGAACGCTCTTGAGAGAGCTGCCTCAGATTTGTTCCGCCGATGCGAACGTCTACAGGGCGAGATGCAGGACCAATTGAAGCAAATTTCAGATGTTGCGGAGCGCGTCAAGGGCGTCACCAGTGAGATTGGAGAAGATGGACACCGCATAGAAGGCGTCCGAACCGGAGAAGCTCTGGACAGGAGACTGCAGGCCGCTAAGGATAAGCAAGATCAATTGCAGTCCCGATATGAAGCGTTGCGCAAGAAGGTTTTGAACTCTGGAGGTCGTCCCCTGAGTGAAAGGGAGAAGGCCTGGGTTACCGAAGTCAAAACCTTATCTGGATCCTTGCAGCCTGGTGAGGAGGAAGACCAAGATGACCAAGATCAAGATTTGGTACCGCGCTTGGAGACCGTACGTTTTTCTCTCGCGTCCTTTATTTTACCACGCTCGCTGACATGTTATATAGGTCAAACGTCTTGCATTGGATCTTATCGCCCAAACGAAGACTATTGCCGCCAAGTCGCCATCTCGTGGCGAGCCTGGAAGTCCAAACTCTCCAGTTGGTGCCCACCCCAAGGTTCCCCAACGCCTGCAACGTGCCAAGGTTGCAGATGCTATGAGAATGGTTGAACGGGAGTATGTTTATCTCGATTCCTATGGTTGAATCTACAACTGACTCTATTCTAGATCCGCCGTTATCGATGCGATTACCGCACGTTTGGAACGACTCAACACTAGCTTATGAACTTCCCAGCGATCTCTTTTTACGAAATTTTTGAGGTTCCTGCATCTCATTGTAGGAATACTTTGCTGGAATATCTTTTGAGCAATGATTTCAACTTCAGAACGAGCTGTATTAGTTTCAGGATGTAGTTTCTTATCCTTCTCCTGTTCGAGTTACAAGTAGTTTAACAAAGTATTCTCATCCTCATCCTCATCCTCAACGGTATACCAATCTGTGCTCACACGTTCAGCGCGATAGTCCTTCTCGACTATCTCCAGCTTCACTGGATCACACACTCTAGAGCAATCAAAATTGTTCTCCTTCATCACAAGACACCGATGTACCCACCCTAGATCCAAATCCAGGTCCAACTGCGGTGTAGCAGGTCGCTCAGGCGAAGTGCGTAAAACAGATTTATCATTAGCACCATGTTGTAGCTTACCTTTGGTTCTGTCTTTGGAATAGGACCTACCATCTTGAGCTTCTGTTGTCTTCTGTTTTATTCGGTCGGCGTAATCACATTCAGGTTCTTTGGCTAGTCGCTTGTCGCCTCGTTTCCAGCAGTCTTTACATGGCGCCATATGGTTGTATAGTCTAATCATTCTTTGGCCTAGACATTGGTTCATGTCTAGGCATTTCCATGGGTCTTCATCCCAGATGCAGCCGCATATTGTGTATGCTCGGGCCCAGAAGATGCACATGCTGGGTAGTTTTGCTTGATGGTTCTGCTCGTTAGTGACCTATTGGTACTATATATCCTGGTCAGGTTGAGGTTGCTGATAAGAGGGACTTATATGTCTTTGTGGAGGGGTTCGAGAAGGATTTTAAAGACAATTATAGCAGTCTTTGGGTCACCATAGACTGGTGAAAGGGAACGTGAAACAATGCAAGACAATGGAAAGAAGCTAAAACAAGAAGCATAATTATAGAACAATGGCTTTCTTGGGGCTGTAACTTTTTATATTAATTTTCTTGAGTGTTGTGAGATTGTAGCAATCTTCCTTGGAGGATCATCCAAATTAGGGTTCCGGATGCACATGACTGTTGGCGGCATCCCAAAAAAATGAACAATTTAATTGAAGAAGTAGGATAGTAAAGCGCAGTAAGTATGCTTTAATGGTTCCATTTAGTCTACTGTTTATCCGGGGTGGTACCTAGAGGTAAATGAAGGATAATGAATGTTTGTTTGTTGCAAATCAAATTGGTATCACACTGACTCCCATGAACGCTATCAAGTCATGCCGCGTACAAAAGAAGTCAAAAGAAAAGACGAAATCCAGACAGTACGACACAATGATGTTCCTAGTGCAGGATCCTCATGTGCGTGTGTACCTGTACCCATATCCGGACCAAGCCAGTTCAACCCATGGTCAATTTCGCATGCATATAACTTTTTTTCTCCAGGGCCGTGACTCATGAACCGTTTAAATGATCATGAAGGGAGTTACTTATGTTTGGAAGTCGTCTTCACATACGAAGGGAGTCAGGACTGCGGATGTGGAAAGTCTCAGCAAGCTCTTCGGCATCCTCAACACGATCGTGAATCATCAAGAACAAATCGTCAATAACCTCCTCCCATGTGGGCATAAGCAGGCCATTCAGGCAGTTCTCCCACTCCCACATGTGAGCAGTGAACTCGCCATCAAACCACTTGCGCCACTTGCAGTACTCCTCTTTGTTGTGATTCATCAGACGGCAGGCGAGGTGATCGGTAGCCATGCGAGCTCCACGCCACTCCTGGAAGGCACCAGACATCAAAATATGAATTTTCTCCGTGTAGTCAGCAGTGAAACGAGAGTAAGCAAGCTCGTCGACGCAGAAGCGCAGGGCTTCACGGGGGATCTTGGTCGAGACAGAGAGGGTGGGGTCGATATGGTTCCAGATCTCCTTCCACTCAAGAAGGCGCTTGATGGAGCTGACATGCATCTGGTACATGAGGCCGGCCTTTCGGGGGCACATCTCGAAGAATCGGTTGTTGCGAATGAGCATCAACTGCTTCATGAGCATGATGGTGAAGCTGACTTTGACGCGAATATCATCGAGCCCACTGCGGACCTCGGGAGGGATGCGAATCGATGCAGGCGGAGTGAAGTCCTTTTCGTTAAAACGGTAGTTGAGAATCGATGCGGTTTCATTGAGACTAAGCATGATGTTACGTTTAGTTCTCAGAGTCTCGAAATCAGAAGGCATGATGCGATGCGATGTTTGATGTAGATGATGCCACAAGCAAGTAGGGGAATTTGAAAGAGAAATGGGAAGAGAAGCAAGTAAGAGACCTGGGACTCATGGGGAGGTTGCTGTTGAATATTTGGTCCTAGAGGGAGAGTGTCTACTTGAGTGACGATACCATGGTCGTTGTAAACTCTGACTTCGATATCTGCATATAGCCTTAGTACCTTGATAGCATTGTTCCTTTGTGGTTAACACATTTTATTCATGGGTACAAAAGCCCTGGTTTCCATTGTTGACCCGTTTGGGAATCTGAGGCGCAATATACGATCCCTTACTCGCGTAATAGTATTGTTGATTTAGTGTGACCGTTTCTGTAAACGAGTCAGTCCGGGTGGTCTCATTACTCTCTGCGAGAGATATTGCGAAATCTGCTATTCTGGTATTAATGCCATTCGTTCAATGTTGATCAGTCTGGGTTCCATTTCTAAGGATGAGATCGCTGCGAAGTGTGGAGTGACACACTGACAGGTTAAGACTAGAATTTTGGCTTTCCTCGCAGTAATTCTTGATTGGCTTGTTTTTCTGACAGAAAGGCAGTCCTACAGTGGTGCACTTTACGTCACTGTTTATGTTGAGTATTCAGGGAACAAAGAGAGGCAATCACGTTTTTCATTCTTCGTGGTCTATTTCTTTTCAATTAATTCTCAAGATATACGACCAAGAGTCATCAAGGCATAGATGCTTTTGAAAATTTTTGCCGGCCCATAACTTCAATCGACAGGCTTATTGAACACTGTTGATCGAGAAAATGTTAGTTACCGGGGATCAGTAAGGAGTAATGTCAGAAAACAAAGCATACCGTTCGATGAGGTGCACTCCAGAAGCTGTCTCCACGATTCCGCTAACCTGGCCAGGCTGCAAGGCAAAAGCGGCATCTTCAAACTCCTTCTGCATCTCGCTACGACCAAAGAAGCCACTTCAGATCATTAGTATCAGGTACAGGAGAGAGGATCGGCTTGAATACTCACAGGTCTCCCTTCTTGCGAGCACTGCTGCAGTCGGACTCGGAGACTGCAAGGTCACCGAGGGAGATCTCTCCGGACTGGATTCGCTGCTCGTGGCCCTTCAAGATCTCGATTGCCTCCTCTTTTGTGCGAGTTATATCTGCCTCCTTCCAGCTGCTGGGCCGACGGCTGTCACGGTGCTTGACGAGCAAGTGGCTGCAGCGAATCTTGCCCTCGCCTTCGCCTGAGGCATCAGGGCGGGATGCGGGGGTGTGGTTTTGCGCCATGTAAAGTTTGAGTTTATCAGTATCTGTCTCCGCAGGTGGTTCCCAACGCGATTCCTTTGTGGAGGGGTTGAAATAGTAGGGAAGGTTCTTGGAGTTGGAATGGCGAACTTCCCATCCTGCTGGAAGTCCGGTGTCGGCCTGTTTATATGATCAGCGGTATACTCAGGTAGAAATGATCGGACGGTCCCACCATTGTGAAAAATTGTGATTTATAAAGAGGAAAGGTTTGTATTGAAGCTTAGAGTGAGCTATTGTAGGAAACTGCGGGGGATATGATGCACGAGTGCAAACCGGGCAAACTAAGATGACACTAAGCGCTTTTAGTATAGGCAGGAATACCGCCTTTGTCACCGCCTTTGTGTGAATCTCGAGTAAGTTAGCTAGAATTTTGGCCTTGAGAATGAGGCTGATGAAATTCTGAAACATGCCTTGACTGAACAATTCCATTAACTGAGAAATAAATGTCTGATTTGAAGACTATTACCAAAGATTTCGCAATGTAATGAATAGATTCTATTCTGCCGGAATAACAGCTTTATCTAATTGGCCGCGGCAGAACCTCAGTCTATTCCCAAATCAGGTTAGCGCATCTCGGCCAATCGACGCCTACGAGTTGACAGTCTTTTATGTGACTCTCAGTCTTGCTCGATATCTTTTATATTCTCCTTCAGCTCTTCGCCCATAGTGACCCTCCATATCAGAGCTTTGCCCACTGATTCTACAACTACCCAAAATGTCCAGCCCTTCACCCTCCGCCGGTGGCGACACGAAGCAAGCCGACCAGATTCATTTCAAGTTCTGTCGCGAATGGTACGTTTTCTTGAGCTAAACTTCAAATGACCCATTATGAATGAAGACTTACTAAATTTCTCAATAGCTCCAACTTACTGTACCCCAAGGAAGACCGCGTGACCAACCAGCTGATGTTCACCTGCCGAACCTGCCATGTCGGCGAGCCCGCTTCCTCATACTGTGTCTATCAAAACAAGCTCCACAGCCAAGTCGGTGATACTGCCGGTGTCACCCAGGATGTTGGCTCCGATCCCACGGTTTGTCTCCCTGGTTTCTGTACCTTATGCGGCGACGAGATCACATGTTCTGTCTGCGGCCCGGACCCTGAAACGGCGCATATCATGGACGACCCAACCAGCTTGGACTCCTCAGACACCGACTCCTGGCCTGGTTCCAGTCACTTTGACACTTCCTGTGGATTCAGTGGCTAACGTTTGATTTTCCTCGATTGCAGCTTCCCCGTGCCAACAAGCTTTGCCCAAGCTGCGGTGAAACGGAAGCCGTTTTCTTCCAGTCCCAACAACGTTCTGCTGAAACTGGAATGGTGAGTCTTGGTTCTGCTTTGATATCCACAGAGACCCAGCGCTGACCGTGTCGCTTCCGTTCCTCAGAAACTCTACTACGTCTGTTGTGCATGCGGTAACGTCTACATGTGATGTCCTCTTACGATACGATCTACGCGATCCCCGATACCCTTGATTGGTTCTTTTATTATTGATTTCTGCGAGTTTCCGAGTGAAGATGCATACCGGAGTTTGGCGATCGACAATCTAAAAAGCATATACTGACTTCGAACGCGGCCTTGATATGATGCGGGTTGCTATTGATACATAGAATTGAAATTAAACAATCTGCCAAAGAAAAAGAATACAGCGCTCTCCAAATGTAGAATCTCATGTAATAAATCTTACACATGCACCGGTGCCAATGACAAGATCTTGGACCACTGCTTCTTCCGTAGCTCTTGGCCAACGACTCCTGCACAAAACGTCAGTATCCAAAATAGAGATTCAAGGCTGACTGTGAGCCTCTAGAAGCACTGACCGTTCATTCTTGTTCCAATCGGGTCTCCAGACTTGTTGACCAACACACAGGCATTATCACCGAAGCGGACGAGGGAACCATCAGGACGCTGCAATTCCTTCTTCACGCGGACAACAACGGCATGTCGAATATCACCACGGCGAACCTTGTTCGCAAGGGAAGCGGTGGTGCTGGCTTCGGAGCCTGCGGATCTCTGCTTCTGAACGACCACAACAATCCGATCACCTAATGCGCCAGAAATGTTAGCTTTCAAGCCAATTTCTTTCGCAATCCATGCAAGCTCGACTATCGCGGAGACTGACCGATTGTCGCGGGCCGCTTCTTCTTGAGCACGTTCACGCACTCGACGATCGAGGCGCCGGAGTTGTCAATGCAACTTAATAGTGTCTAGCGGAGTGTCAGTTCTGCATGCTCGGTCGAAAGGTCTATCTCCGTACCTTTAGCTGAATCATTGTGGTTGACTGGTTTACCGTTGTTGCTTCGTCCACAATTTGTTCTTGCGGTCGGAGAGAGGTTTCCCCGGACAGTAAGTTTATCCGGGCCTATCTGCTTGTATAAAACTATATACACTTCAACTATTGCTAGGACTCGAGTCTTGAATATTGAGCATTCAATTTTTGAAACGAAAGGAATGTTAGAATATTCGAAATAAGTATAACCAACTTGGTCTGGCTAAAAATATCCTATTGCACGGCATCCCAATTGATATCAGGACTAATTTCTCATTTCCCGCATGTACGTATGAAGTTTACTGGTATTCGATGGTACAGCCAGCTTCTCTTGCCCAAATCTGTATCTAGTTCATGTCAGAAATTGGTTCGGCCTGGCGGTTGCTTGTACGTTCATCGGGAGATCTGAATCGAACTATATATATTTGGACCAAGATGAATACGACAGAGCAGTATATCTTCCTCATTGTTGCCTCTTAAATGCAAAGTTATGGTATCATATATTTACAAAAACTAGCCCCTAATTGGCCAAAGAAAAAAAAAAAAGCTCATGGTTCAACATAGTGCAAAAAGAGGCCTGTTGAAGATCGACCAAGAAGATTCGCGTGATGCAGGAGGCATGGTGCATTGTGCATACAGGTACAAGGTGACTTGAACGCGTAAATGGCACACAGCCAAGGCAAGGGACCTAATGAATCTATAAAAATAACATTGATGGCCTGTTGTCACAACATCAGATGGGGGAAGGGCAAGGAAAAGGCGGCCAAGTCATTTCCGAGTGTTGGTTCCGCCCCTAAAACCAAGCCTCGTTGCGAGAGGGCCTCTCTCCCTGGTCTCAATGGCGACAACTTTCCTCTGATCCTTTCAGTCACTCATTTTTATCATTATTGTTCTGGATCTGACAGCATTCCTTGAACGTTTTCTCCCTTCCCTGGAACTTTTGCAGGTCTCCGCAGGTCTCCGCTGTTCAGCTGCCCTTTCGCACCCATTCTGCATTGCATAACACCACTTGCCTGCTACCACTCTGATCTTCGGCGGTGACTAGCTATTTCACACGCCAGCAATGCCTCCAAAGCGAGCGCGTAACACCTCGCCAGCGGCAGAGCGTCGCGAGCGCCTGACCCTGGCCAAACTGGCCAGCTATGACGATGTCGCAACTGATGCGCTGGTGGATCACGTACGCCCTATGCCCGCAATAAGATAAAGAACATCGAAAGCTGACACGAGCTTCTTTCAGGCTTACTTCTGGACCACCACACGCAAGAACCGCACCAAATACAGTCCTGCCCGCGGTATCCACGACGACGATATTGGGCGCATTCTTCTCCACGATGTTATTGTCGACAGAGATATCACAAGTGCCGAGCGCCAGCTGCTGGAGATCTCAGGACTCAAGAAATATCTGACAAATCTCCGCAGTCCTCGCGAAAAGGAATGGTTTCGCCGCCACCTCCGCAAATACATCCAAATGTATCTCCCTGACTGCCCGTTCGAGGTCACCACCACCAACCGATACATTATCACGCAACATGAGGCTGCAATCTGTGCCCGCAGATTTATTAAGAAAGGCGAAGAGATCAAATACTTGAGCGGAACCCTCGTGTCCATGACTCATGAAGAAGAGACGGACCTTGGCCTAACGCGCAAAGACTTCAGTATCGTCATGTCTAGTCGTCGTAAAACCCCATCTTTCTTCTTGGGACCCGCTCGCTTTGCGAATCATGACTGTGATGCCAATGGTAGTTTGGCAACGCGTGGAAACGAGGGCATGTCTGTTCTAGCCATGCGCGACATCTACGAGGGAGAAGAGATCACGGTATCTTACGGCGAAGATTATTTTGGCATTGATAACTGTGAATGCCTGTGCTCCACCTGCGAACGAGCGATTCGAAATGGCTGGTCTTTACAAATTGATTCGGACCAGGACAGCAAAGAATCTAGCCCAGTTTCGACTGAAGCCACTCCCGTCGAGGATGCTACTGGAAGTAGGAAACGCCGCCATAGCTCTGAGACAGAGTCTGATTCTTCTTCAATCGTGTCATGTTCTACCCCGCGAAAGCGAGCAAAGTTCCAGCGACAAGTGTCTAAACTGCGAAAAGAGATATCCGCTTCTGAGCTCGCTGGTGAAGCAGCCTCAGCCTCAGAGTCAGACTTCATCACCCCAGACACGGAACTTGTCCCAACTCCTATTTTGACCGGCGATATACCGAAGGCATCCAAATTGAGACAGGAGCTCACAGACCTCACTCCAGAACCCACTCCAATAGACTCACCACTCCCACCACTAGCCACAGAACCTGAGCAACAAAGCACGTCTTTAACAGAAGACTCAAATCAGTCCCAAATCTTGCAGGCTGCCCTTCCTGAATCTCCCGACTCTAACGCCGATGAGTCTCCACGGTCGTTGACGTCAACCACACCGACAACCATAGGTGACATCGGATTGAGAATTAAGACCGAGGAGACCGGAGACTTGAACCAGAAAGAGCCCGCAGCATCAAATGGTAAGGATCATGCCGATATCCCAGCCGAGGGTCAGCTCGACCTCATGACTCCTCCGAAGGACACGTTCCCAAAGGAGGAACAGCCAAACTTATCGGAATCCCTTGAAGTAGATGAGACGAGTCCCGAAAAGCCCAAAACTCGGAAGAAACGGAGCAGGCGCCGATTCATAGTTGACTCTGTGGAAAGCGACGCTCAGATTGCCCGAGTTCCTGGTGACTATACCAAGACATCGCGGCTGCTTGCTCAGAGATATGACCGCTGGGTGGAGTGTCAAACCTGTGACGATTGGTTCGTTCAGTCGAACTCATACTTAACACGACGCGAATGCCCTCGTTGCGAGCGCCACTCCAAGTTGTACGGATTCCAATGGCCAAACACCGATAAGAGCCCGGATGGCGACGACCGAGTCATGGATCACCGTACTGTCCATCGATTTTTGTCCCCTGACGCTCAATCCCGCGTCAGTCGCCGAGGACGGGGTGTCAGTTTTGGCGTTACTCCGACACCGGAATTGTCTGATACACACACACCCGAAGCAGAGACTAGCGACGCAATCGAGACTCGTCGCGATGCTCGGGCAAGTCGGCGTCGCACTCGAGAACTTCGGATGACTATGTAAAGGAAGGCATTGGATCTACGACAAGAGGAGCGAAGGCGGAGTTACTGTTCCTGAGGAACACATTTGGGGAAACTTTGTCCTTACGTATTATATATAGCGTGATTGCGATTGGATTCGGTTTTTTGATTCCTTATGAGGGTGCATTTTCAGGGTTGGAAGTTGAGGCTTTGCATGGGAATTCCGGTGGAGGCGTTGGTCATGAACATATCTAGCATATGCACCATTCTATAGCTATAATCTATGCCATCAAGCACTACAAATTTATCGGGATGTTCAACCCCGAACGAACAAGAACACTGCATATCCTTCCCCCCGCATTTACTCTCCGCGGGCAGTTCGAACAATAACTGCACCAATGAGCTGCCCTCAGACTGGCCGTTGACATCGTCTGCTTGGAAATGACTAGGACTGATTGACAGGAATGCAGGGACCTTCGGAGGGTTCTCTGCCGAATTTGATTCTCTTGCCCAATAGCATGAGGATACTCTCTCGCCCAGACAGACTATATATGGCATCCATTCCGCAGACAAATGACGACAGATAGCCTGAAAAAAATAGTTCTACTGAGACCTACAGACCTTGAAAATGAGATTATACTCACTCATTCTTTCTGTTATTAGCCTGGGTACTACTGCTAACGCAGCATACGACAACCCTCTCGTGAACCTCGACTATGGGTCCTTCCAAGGCCAGTATGACAGCCAATATAACCTCTCATATTTCCGCAAGATCCCATTCGCGTCACCACCAACAGGAGAGAATCGATTCCGTGCACCTCAGCCTCCACAAAAGATCACTGGAGGCAGCTATGATACAAACCAAGACTTCGACATGTGTCCCCAGCGCACAGTCAACGGAAGCGAAGATTGTCTGTATCTTGGCCTTTTCTCACGGCCGTGGGATCTATCAAAGGAAACAAAGCGACCAGTCCTGGTAGTGTACTACGGCGGAGCCTTCATCCAAGGTAGCGCGGCGTTCACCATGCCACCATCCTCATACCCAATTCTGAACGTGAGCAATCTAAACGACTACGTGGTGATTTATTCAAACTACCGCGTCAATGCATTTGGCTTCCTTCCAGGAAACGCAATCAAAGAATCATCAACCTCAGACCTAAACGCAGGCCTACTGGACCAGCAATACGTCCTGAAATGGGTCCAGAGCCACATCCACAGCTTCGGGGGCGATCCCAAGAATGTAACAATCTGGGGCCAATCAGCCGGGGCAGGATCAGTCGTAGCCCAAGTTCTCGCCAACGGACGAAATGGCCAACCCAAGCTTTTCTCCAAAGCCCTTGCCAGCTCGCCCTTCTGGCCGAAGACATATGCTTACAACGCACCGCAAGCAGAGGCGATATACACCCAATTTGTCAACTTAACGGGCTGTGACGGACTCAAAAAAGGCGCCGAAACAGTTTCCTGTCTCAAATCCGTCGACGTGCAGACCATCCGCGATGCAAATCTCGTCATTGCCGCTAGCCACACCTGGACAACGAGCTCCTACACCTGGGCACCCGTGATAGACGGGACCTTCCTCACAGAGACACTTACAGAAACAGTCAACAGCAATTCTCTGAACACGGAGTTCGTGTGGGGTATGTATAACAGCCACGAGGGTCAGAATTTTGTACCGTCAGGTCTTGACAGCGCTGTCTCTGTGAATGGATTTAATTCCTCAATTCAGAGCTTTCACGGCTGGCTTGCGGGATTCGTGCCTGGGTTATCGGTGAAACAGATCAAAAAGGTCGAGTCTGTTTATTATCCTGCTGTTGGGAGCACGGAAACTATTGCGCAATACAATACTTCGCTTGTTAGGGCTGGGTTGGTTTATCGTGATGTTGTGCTCGCTTGCCCGGCTTATTGGATTGCTTCGGCTGCTAAGAGAAAAGGATACCTTGGGGAGTATACCATTTCGCCGGCTACGCATGGGAGTGATACGATTTATGTGTGTTCCCATTCCCCCATGTGCTTCCGTTTCGATGGATGTTTGGCTTGGAGACTCTGGCTAATTTGGCTATTCGCAGTGGAATCGTGTCAATGCTGTTCAACAGACAAACCCCGTCGTTTATGAGGGATATGCTGGGGCCTTTGCGAGTTTCTTCCAGACTGGTGATCCGAATGCGCACAAGGTGACGAACGCTTCACAGCCGGGTGTACCAGAGCTTCAGCGTACAAACAAGGAGTTTGTGATTGTAGATGATGGGATGGAAAATGTGAAGCTGGACGGACTGAAGAAGAGATGTGATTTCTGGAGAGAGCTGGCGAAGGAGGTACCAGTGTGAGGGACGACTAGAAAGGACGCTATTGACGAGTCTGTCAGTGATGACAAGTGGTATTATGGACAAGAGGAGAATGAATTAGGTCGTTATATATGGTTGCATATTGTACAGAGTGCCAATGATCCAATGACTATTGCAATGACAATGACAATGGGTATAACCGTTTTCCAGATCCCAAGAATCAAAACCTTAATATACGCCGCGTATGATACAAAATTTATACAATGAGATAGACATAGACATATATGCAAAGGTGCATCTAGATCAGTGCCTGTCCGCGGTACATACCCTCGCGGACTTCGCGGACAACGTCCTTGCGGTCCTTCTTGCCGACCAAGACGACACCACGACCACGCTTACCCATTCGGCCGAGACGACCCAGTCTGTGAATGAAGTCGATGGTAGTGTGGGGCACGTGGTACAGCACAACCGTCTTCACAGCGAGGGTGTCGATACCACGGGAGGCAATGTCCGTGGTCACGAGAACCTTGGTATCGGCAAGTTTGCGGATGGGCTCTTTGCGATCAGGAAGCTCGAAGGGAATGCTCTTGGAAGCACGGGCGCTCTTCTTCTGGAGCATGATCTCCTCGGCGGTTGGAGGGAGCTTGACTTCGGTGAACTCGGCAAGGGTTTGTTCTTGCTTTCGGGAGTCGGTGTCACGAGACAGAGAAACGGCGTCAATACCCTTTGTGCGTAGGAATTGAGCGACGTCATCTGCCTCCTCGCGCTGGTTGACGAATACGATGATCTTCTTGACCTTTGGGTCCATGTATGCGTTAAGGGGTCCCCATGTCTCGGTTTGGTCGGATCTCTCGCCTGCCTTTCCGATGGACCAGATGACATCGGCACACGCAAGATCTCGGTTACCGCGGTACGGCTCTTTTTCAATGTCTACGACACCAAGCTGGACACGACGAGGAACAGCGTGAAGGTTGGGAGTTGTGAGTCGTTTGATATCAGGGTAGCGCTTGCGCAGCTGATTGTCGAGACTGCGGGGAATAGTGGCCGAGCAAAGGATCAGTTTCTTGAGGGATGGTGTGACCTTGGAGATGATCTCGGTGGTTGTTGGGATGAATGACTTGTCCATCAGAGAATCGGCTTCGTCGAGAACGAGGTGAGTGACTCGGCTGAGGATATTGGGATTCGTTTTCGCAACGGATCCAAGGAGATGAGGGGTTGAAACAAGGATATCGACGCCAGCGGGGTTGAAGATGGCATTCTTAATTCGACGAGGGGTGAAGGTTGCTGCGATGGCACCGGGGCGGTACTTAACCGCATGAGCCAATTCCTTAAGTTTGGCACCGACTTGAGATACCAGCTCAGAAGTTGGGACAAGGATGATGGCACGGGGACGAGCGGCATTCGTCATAGGCGGCTCCTCGGGCTCTAGGTCGAACGTCTTGTTCTTCATTCTCTCCTCCCGCTCAATTGCCTTTTGTTCTTCAATGATCTTGTCTTCCTCCGCTTCACGTGCCTCAGCACGCTTGATAGCATCGACAACTGGGAGCATGTACGCGAGAGTCTTGCCTGAGCCAGTCTCTGCCGCCAAGAGGAACTGGTCGTACGTGTACTCTTCTTCATCCGCCTTCTTTGCGTGCCTCCTTTTCCTAGGCTCTTCTTTAAGAAGCTCGGGAATCGCGAGTCGTTGAATAGGGGTAGGTTGGATATCGGTGAGACCAGGCAGAGCCTGAACAAAGATCGATTGCCGCACTGCTGGAAGGAGAGGGAAGTGGTCGAAACTGTCGAGATTGGCAAGCTTGGCTTTGACGGCAGCGCGCTTGCCGTAATTGATAGGTGATAGCATTGTTTGCATCTTCAACGCCTTGTACAGCGGGCTGTCCTTCTTCTCTACCTTGCCCTCCTCCCCTGAACGTTTGAGGGCCGCCTGCGATCGTGATCGCGGCGTGTCCCGAATCCGGGCTACCGTCTGATTCATCGAAGCAAAAGGCCCGGCGCGTGATCGAGTCGAACGGGGCTTGTCAGACGGAGGCATTGATTGCCTAGAGACGTTGGGCGAGAGGGCCATACGAGCAGCCTTGCGACGCACTCGAACAGAGGCCATACCTCGCGTGGTTTGCCATAATGTCGACACAATGGATGGGAGGAGAGTGGCTCTGGTTTGGCATGCCAAACATATCGAAGATGGTACTGGCAAAGGCATTCTGTCGAAAAACTAGCAATGAACTCGAAACCCCAAAGACTCAGTGACGAAGAGGCCAGAACCGGATCAAATGTTTTTTTGCGGTGATCTAATACGCTATCCCCTTCCGAGCCTAGCGCAGATCACAGACCTGACGTAATCGGGCTGAGTCAGCCGTTTCAGCTTGCTTGGGCCCCGCGGTTGCCCGAGCGACTGCCGCGACAACACTCTCTGCTTGGGGTAACAATCCACTTCAATAGAGTCAGACATATCAGGTTTCGCTTCTCTTCTTCACCTCTTTCTTTGTTTTTTTTCTATTGCCTGGCTCTCTTGGTTCATTTCAGTCAACGTTTGTATCCCTTCGTTATCCCCTTTTTCGCCTTAACCATTGTGGACACTCAATTCGAGTTTGTTTTGGCCCTTTGAAGCAGCATTCCTGCTACGATCGACACGACTTTACGCTTTACCAGCGAATGTATCAGGGCTAACAAAGTCCCACACGACTTCTGGTATCTATTAACCAAGGTATGGTACCTGTCCTGGCGCGGTTGAGCCTTGCCCTTTGTCATCAGTCGCGAACCCACTCGCCGATCTGGACGTAATGAACAAGCACTGACACATCTCAGATATCTGTCTTGGTATTCTATTACGATAACACACCTGATACCCACCCACAGTCAGTATGGGTAACGGATCTGGCCAGCGGCCGCTTTCCGAAGTGAGTCCCATGGCCCAGAGGCGCAACTCGCCAAGCTGGAACCAAGTTACCAAGGTACTTCGCGATGTTGATGTCGCGTGTTTTAATATGCTAACTATCATATTAGATGCCTAACGGCGAATCGCCCTCCTACGACGTCTCCTCTCTGAACAGCAAAGCCTCGCCGCGTCTGTTTTGGAAAGGCCGCGAGTCCCCGTCGTCTTTCTCCAAGGGGGGTGAAAACACAAAGCCATACGACCCAGAGGGATCATATTTCCCAACCAGACGCCCATCGCTTGAGAATTTGAAGCGTGTCTCGAAGGTGAAGAACCATAGCATGTTCCTGGAAGGTGGCACAGAGTATGACCCAGCCGCGGTCGCTGTCCCTCAGAGGCCACTGGCACGCGAACACTCACCGCAACGTGACAGCCAGGTGGACGTCGCCAAGTCCCAGTTCGAGGATGAAGATGACAACTACATCCCTCGACCACATTCCCCAAGCAAAGATCAAGCATCCCCAAGCAAATCGTCCCTCTCGAAGGGGAGTCGATATGGCAAAGGATTTGATCCTCAAAATGATATCTGGTCCGAATATGGCAGCGCTGGGCATCGCCACGCCAAGAGTGTCACATTTGATCATGCCCCCCCTCAAATCAATGAATATGTCATGACAACACCCGACCCATCTTCAATTGCATCTGAATCTCGGGAAAACAGTTATGAGTCGGAGGAAGAGGATTGTGATGTCAGCTTTGACCACGAATCCTCTTTTGAGCGTGATGATAGCTTCGATGCCTCGCTAGAAGACATTGAAAAGACTCCTGTAGTATTGCCGGAGGACTGGCGATTCATGAGCTCTAGCACGGACGACGAGGGTGATGTGTTCACCGAGCATGTTGAGAGCCGCAACACCGAGGACCGAGAAGTCTCTCGTGAGAGAGACACATCCGCTCACAAGCGTGTTGAATCTTTGGACTCCAATGGCGAGCGTCGCCCCCTCCCACCCCTGCCATCCGTCAACCGCCTTTCAGTTGCGCGGCCCTCTTCACCTGGGAAATTGGGTGCCGCATTTGAACTTGGAAGCAATGGCCAAAGAAACCTTCCTGCACCCCCGGCCGCTGCTTCACATAACAAGTCTGATATCGGCAATGCTGTGTCCCTGGAGGATCGGCTTCGCCTTATGATGCTGCATGAGAAACAAGAAAACAACGAGACCCACGAAGACCATGCTGAGAATACCGAAAAGCCGCAGGAGAAAATGGTCACTGCACCGGAGCCTGCATCGAAAACGGATGATGATGAGGAAGAAGAAGACCCTAAGGAGAACTTTTTCTCGCCTCCCCGAATTTCGCGTGACTCAATCCTGCGAGACATGCGCAAGGGCGATAACTACGATGACGACGATAGCTTTGACGCATCTTCTCAAATCGATTCTAGTCCTCGAAATTACGAAAATTATGACCCCGATGTCCCCATTCCATCATTGGAAACTGATGATGATGATGACTCCTCAAGCGTGATCATCAAGCAGGAGGAGAACGACGAGGACATGTACTCTATCTCAGGTTACTACCAGAGCTCGTCAGACAACAGTCTGTCTTCCCACGAGCAGCGAGCCAAGTACGACGAGGACAGCAACTACTCCCTCCGCTCCGCCGCAGAAGCGGCTGACCGCGCCCACAACGAAAATAATAGTCAGGGTTCTGGCCAAAGCACCCCGACTGCTGAGGAGAAGGCCATTCCTGAACAATCTATCCAAACTGCCGAAAAAAATCTTGAGCAAGAACGAGAAACTCTCTCCGAAAACCAGCACTTGGATATGGCTTCAATCCGGCAATCTCTTGGGCGTCCCGTCACCCCTGAGATGCACGATGACCAAGCCTCAGAGCCTTCAACTCCAGACTCCGTGATTCGCCACCCCATTGAGGATGACGAGGAATACGAGCAAGAGAGTGAAGAAGAGCAGCACCCGGAAGAGGATCATGAGGAGCGCGAGGAGGATATAGAGAGCTCCTCGGATGAGGCTGTCCCAGAGCCTGTGGCCACCATCAGGGCTCCTGGTGCTGGCCTCAAGACCCGGCCCTCATTGACCCCGGCTGATATGCAGTCTATGGCCGCCACCCGCCGTAAAATCAGTGGTCAACACATTCCCCCAGTTCCCCCACTGACCAAGCAGACTTCGCACGAGTCGGATTCCTCTGATCATGCAAGCAAGGATACTGATTCGCCGCCCAAATTGGCTCTTCCTATGGATTTCAATCAACGCCAAAGCAGCCTCATGCAATTGGACATCCCGTTCAGCATCCAAGAAGAAAGCCTTGGCTCCGGATTGAACAAGGAGTTTGATCGTGTTATCGAATCCCAAAAGGTAGCGTTCCACGCACTTACCCCAATTCCCCGTCTTGCTCCTTCCCAGGACTACCCCCAAGATTCTGTTACCCGAGGATCTCGTTTCAACCCAACTAACTCTTGCTTCCCCGTACAGCGAGGTTATCTCATGAGACAAAATACCAAAGTCATCATTGCTAGCAGCCGAAACGAGGAAGAACCTATGCCTTCTCTCCAAGAGACCCCGCAGGACACGCGTGGTACGAGGTCTGCTGGTTCTTCTCCCCGCAAGCCTAGCCAGCAAACTTGGACCACCGAGCCTTGGAATGGATCAGCTCGACGTTCCAGCATCAAGCCCCCCACTGGGATTCCGAAGAAGAAGCCAGTTCCTGGCGTGGGCCCGGTTCCCCCCTTCCAGGTCAGGCTAGTAACGTCCAAGAAGCTCCTGCCACCATTGAAGAAAATGAACCCATCCCCACTGAGCCATTCGAAGATGGTGAAGAGCGTGGTCGCCTGTTCGTGAAGGTTGTTGGGCTCAAGTACTTAGACATGCCTCTTCCGCGAGGTGAGACCCTTGTTGACATCCATGACGAAGGTCCCTTAGACTAACAACATTGATAGGTGAACGTTCATACTTTGCCCTCACCTTGGATAACGGGCTACACTGTGTCACTACGTCTTGGCTGGAGATGGGCAAGACAGCTCCTATCGGACAGGAGTTCGAGCTTATCGTTCAGAACGACCTTGAGTTCCAGTTGACTTTGCAGATGAAGATTGACGAAGACAAGTTCCACACACCTGAGCCAACGGCATCCCCATCACGTCAAAAAGCCTCCGCCCTCAGCCGGGTGTTTGCTTCTCCTCGTCGTCGCAAGGAGCTCGACATGAAGCAGCAAATGCAATCTCAGCAGCAGAAAGCCAAAGATGTCAATGCTCCTGTTTACGATCGTCTTCGCAACCTGGTTGCTCGTGATGGTAGCTTCGGCCGCGCTTATGTTGCCCTCAGCGACCATGAACAAGAAGCCTTTGGCCGTCCTCACATTGTTGACGTGGCTTGCTTCAATGAATGGGCCGTTGAAGATCAAATCAGCAGTATTAAGAGTAAGAAAAGTGCTACTAGCGTTAACGCTCAGCGCCGACCACCATACAAGATTGGTAAATTGGAAGTGCAACTCCTCTTTGTGCCCAAGCCGAAGGGTAGCAAGGATGAGGACATGCCGAAGAGTATGAATGCTTGCATTCGGGAAATGCGAGACGCAGAGAGCGTTGCAGCTCGGTCCTGGGAAGGTTTCCTGTCCCAACAAGGTGGCGATTGCCCAGTAAGTTTTGTTTCTCCATTCACCATTGAACCCCAACTAACTGAAAATAGTTCTGGCGCCGTCGCTTCTTCAAGCTTCAGGGTTCTAAGTTGACAGCGTACCATGAAACAACGCGCCAGCCTCGAGCCACTATCAACCTTGCCAAGGCCTCCAAGCTCATTGATGACCGGTCTTCCCTCCTCCAGAAAGAGACTAGCACCAGGAATGGGGGTCGACGAAAGTCTGCCTTTGCCGAGGAAGAAGATGGCTATATGTTTGTTGAAGAAGGTTTCCGGATCCGCTTCGGAAATGGTGAAGTGATTGACTTCTACGCCGACAGCGCCGCAGACAAAGAAGGCTGGCTCCGAGTCATGTCCGAGGCCGTTGGGAAGGGATCCACCTCCGGAAATGGGGCAATCAAGCCCTGGGCCGACCTTGTGCTCAAGCGTGAGCGCAGCATGATGGCCAAGCAAGAAAATTCCCGACCTAGCAGCGGGGTATCTCGGCCCAGCAGCAGTATTCCAGTAGCACCCTCATCGCCTTCTCGGAACAGGACCAGTGCGATGACAGGTCCGCCTTCTTCTGCAGGATCTGGGGCGCCGGCGTCCCAGCCTCCTCGTTCTCGGCACAAACATACGTATTCTCAACCGGAGATGGGCAGTGCCGATGCACGTCGACAGAAAACTCGCTCTCTCATGTTCTAGTCCTTGAGCCTGAGTTTATGATCGCACACGCCAACCGTTCACTTCTTTTGTCCATGATGTTGAGTTGTCTATGCCTTTTATTTACGTGCTGAATGTCTCTGTTTTCCTTTTGCATTTTCGTTCTGAGCTGCTCATTTCGCGATTGCGTTTCCGTTTCTTTGCGTTTTTTTCTGGTGTCGTCGGTGTATGATGCAATCTTTTTTGGTTTCCTTCCTTTGTCTGATTATCCTTTTGCAAGAATTGTTTCAAGCCAATCGACAAAAGGCCTGTTTGCGGCGTGAGCCATAGGGCAACTGTACGATTTGAAGACCGCATCGCACAAATGATTCCCTCCTGATACTCGTCATTGCTTGTCTTTTGCTGTACCTTAATGATACATACGTTTTTTCTTTCCTTTCTTGAGTTTATAATTCGGTTTACACATTTCATTACTGGTGTTGAAGCGTATCCATTAGGTTCCAAATCGGTCAGCTAGCACTGCGAAGCTTGATTACTACATTTGTATGTCCAAATCTTCCGCTGCTAGCAGCCTTAAGTCATTGGAATCGAGTTCTACTGAGACCTTGACATGTAGGGTCTCTGTTTCTGAGTTTCTGAGTTTCTGCGTTGGTCATTCCGGGTGGATGTGCATGCCTCGTAAGTTCTATAGTAGGATGAAACACATGCAACGCAGACAGTTTGAGTTCACACAACATAACCTCGAATGAGTCTCGTCTTTATGAATTAAACACCTAGAAATGGTCTCATAGCAGAGCCGAATGAGGAAAATAGGGTATCATTCGAACCAAGCTCCCTCGTATGGAGTCTGTGGATATCATCGAATAATCCTCCGGGATTATGAATTCCACCAGACAACCACTATTAATAATGATACGATCACATGGATCCTTTGCAGACCATCAAACCGCCTATTTATCAGCATTTCTCCATGTCATACGAATATTGCGTGCTGTTCTGACAAATGGACTTCACCCCCGCAAACTGTACTATATAACCATCAGAATCTCCGTTGCAATCACATCCCAGATATCATCCACATAATTCGCATTTTAAGCATTCAATATGGCCTCCGCCGCTGTTCAACTTCCTGGCTCTCACGGGGCCTCGCTTACTGAGAAGCCTCAAATCCCTGTTACCGAGAAGCCTCACCATGTCCAGACCACGCTGAACTTTCTGAAAGAGAACGAAGACGGCTCACCCCCGGCACCAACATACGCCGATAGACCCGAGACTTATGACAGACCGGTGACTACTCTCCCCGCTACCATCCACGACATCAGTGGCCATGAACTGGACTATACGCTGGATGGCCACGGATTCCAGCTATACTACCACGAAAGCCAAGAGAAAGACTTCCTAGACAACGAGAAGATCAAGCAAGAGTATTACCCCGAGACCGAGCAACTACTCAAAGACGCGTACGCAAACAGACCCCCAAATCCCAATCCCAAGCCCCAACTGACTCCCCCAGCACTGGCGCCTCCCGCATCTTCATCTTCGACCACACCATCCGCCGCGCATCCAACGACAACAGCCGCGGGGCCAAGCTCCGCGGTCCAGTCCAGCGCGTCCATATCGACCAGTCCTACACCGCCGCCAAAAGCAGAGTCCCCTTCCACCTCCCCGAAGACGCCCCCGAGCTTCTCAAGGGCCGATACCAGATTATCAACGTCTGGCGTCCAATCAAGACGATCCTGAAAGACCCGCTGGCCGTCGCAGACGCAAACTCCGTTCCGGATAGTGACCTCGTCCCCGTTAAGCTGATATACCCTAATCGCGAGGGCGAGACGTATACCGTCAAGCCGGATCCTGAGATCAAGTGGTACTACCGCTATGGGCAGACTCCTGATCTGGTGACTTTGATCAAGTGCTTTGACTCGAAGACCGATGGACGGGCTCGGCGTGTGCCTCATACTGCTTTTGTTAATCCGGAGACGGAGAATGAGCCTGGAAGGGAGAGTATTGAGGTTCGCGCTTTGGTTTTCCATGAGGATGATCTGGAGTGATTTTGATGGTGGTGTGGTGTATTGGCATGAGGTGCGGCATGCTATTTGTTTTAGTAGCAGACTGGCAGATTGTTGGTTAAGTATCAAATTGACAAATTGTATTTGATGTTTCGTGAGAGAATTCAAGATCAATCCGATGAACTGTATAAGAGTTTATTGCGTCGTTATGAGGAGAGAGATATGATTTATAGTGAGTCACAGTCGAATTAGTTTATGTCTAAATCATGGGCGTGATGGAGTTGATATGTGACAAGCCGCCTCGGAGAATAAGGACATGCACTAACAGAGACTAGAGCTCTAGCGCCAGTATTTCAGGGACCAAGCAAGTGATCAGCGTATATAAAAATCAGTGTTGAGCATCTTTAACCAATTTATAAGACTTGGAGGCGTTCTTAGGAGATTTAGGTAACGAGTAGAAAGTGGCAACAGACAAGCAGTAACGATCAAGAAAAGCCAAGACTGACCGGAATTTATGCTTTCTAAATGAAGGTATTATATACTGTATGGTCTAAACTAAAAACTCCCAATATGCCCGGTGTAATATCCAATGCCTCAGCACATTATTGATCGGCCACGGCCCGTTTCCAAGCGCCGAGAACCTTGCTCCAGTACTGCTCAGGATGCATTCTCATATGGCCAACATGCGATGAACCCTCAAACATCTCCAGATCAACCGGCCAGCCCAACGCCTTCACACCAGCAACATTCTCCTCCAGATCCTTCCATCCAATAATTTCATCTTCCTTGGAATACAGATACAACCTGTGAGAATCGGTCGACGTGATGCTCTTATCATTCATCACGCGGTTCGCCCAAACACCCGACGGCTCCGAGCCACGCAGACGCTCCCAGGCCCAATTCGCCCACAGGAAGATATACCACAGTCCCTGGGTGATGATAGCGGGCCAGGGGAAGAATTTCGCCGTGCCAACGGCCATCGCGTGGGACCAACGCCCAACCTGAGAAGCAAAGTCCAGACTTCCCGGAGTCGAGTCACAAATCAAGAGCTTGTGGGGGAAAGTCTTGTCGGTGCCGTGTCGGCGCTGGTATCCGACAACAGCGGCCGCGGCGAAGATCGCGCCCGTGTTAGACATGGCATGGATGAGAACGCGCTCGTCCTCACCGCCACTTCCCGTGGGTGTCGGGAAGAGGGTGTCGACGACTGGCATCATCGCTTGGATTCTGGCTTCTTCTTGTTGGTTTGAGGCTTGAAGAGTCCCGGATAGGATTACGATGATCCGGGAGGATGGGAAGAGTTCATGGAAGCCGTCGGAATACTTGGTGACATGCTTGGGCATGCCGTCGCCCCAGCCGGAGATGATGATTGTTGTGGGCTCATCTGCAGGCACTGGTTTGCTCTTCTCGTTGCCATTGCGCAGGTATACTCGATCAGATATCGGGGTGAAGCCTGGGAAAGGGATTGGTCGGGGACCCATCGTGCAGATATAGTGGAGATGCTGGGACTTTGTTTAGGAGATCTTAATTGAGGCGTAGTCTTGACAGTTAAATAGTTCCAGTGCTACTTTTCTACTTATAAACCAAATCCCTTTTTAAAAAAAACTCCATCGGTGGCTGGCCCGTTGCGGGAATACGACCGGGGAACCAGCAAGATTGGCTGGGAAGCCATATGGTTGGGAACTGATCATATGCGCCAATCTCTTCAAAGCAAGTGGATCGTTGGGAAGAATCAAATGGCCCCTGGCGAATGAAATTAAACAGTTCTCTTGGAACGAACCTCGGCATCTTCATCGTTGTTTACTCATCAGCTGCTTTCACTGCCTGAGGCATCAATAAATTCATCGGCACAATGAAAAGAAGAAAATATTCATCAGAGTGGCATTTCTATGATGAAGTCCTATCCAAGGAACTCTACGAATTTATTTCAAGGCATGACTATCAAGTGATCCATGCCGTAAGAACAACCAACGTGCTAACAGCAGTCGATCTTCCCTTGAGATCTATAAACCATGGGTTAGTATGCTGGTGTAAAATGCAAAAGCAAGCAGGAGAATCCAAAAGACTTACTTGCAACTACTGCGTTCCTCTGTGCACTCTTGTAAAGTCCATATGCTCCACTGCCACCTGTCCACAGAGTGACCTCCTTATCGACCTTGGCTTGAATGAACGTTTGAAGATTGTCATTCAACTCCTCAAAGAACCGTTCATACCAGGTCTTGTGCAAAGAGGCAAAAGAAATGGATGCACCGGGCCCAGTCATCTTGGAGTTGGTTTGAGCAGCGGTGTCTAGGGCTTTGAAGATCTGTTGCTGTACGTCGTAGGCGTGTTTCAAAGCGGCTTGTGCCTATTCGATTTTGTTAGCAGGGGATTTCCTCGGATCATTTATATAGTCTCAGTAACAAGGCTATCTCTTACATCAGGTGAGTTCATATACTATCAAACATATTGGTCAGCTATTAGCTTAATGGAGTTGCGTCAAACCCTGCTTACCGGTACCAGAGACTGGTCGAGGTTATTCAAAAACCCGAGTCTCGTTGATGGAGCTGCTGCGTTCCATCGCTTATCACTGATAATGTTTGTATGGATAGCCCACATCTATGGGATAAGTTAGCGCAATTGACGGAGTGACTGAGCAAGTATCTCTACCGATGTCTTCAACGAGTTGGTCTGAGCATCACAGATCATCATGTTATCGTAGTCTGCATTAGATCCTCTGCTACCAAGTGCGTGGTAGATTGCACTGATTGAGTTAGTTTTAATGCGTAACTCGTAATAACACAAGTTAGATGGGGGATTTACTCAATAGGCGTGTCGCCCACTAAACCTGCTGGCATTGCAACACCAAGGTTTGCCCACGTCCAATGAACATAGCCGTTGTCGCCGAAGACTAAATCAATTGTAAGTATAATGTCAGAATAGATATTATGCAGAAAGAAGTTCACTGACCGTCTTCCCAGTTATATCCGCTTGTAACGCCAGTTAGAGCCGTTCCGTCTGGATATTTACTGTCAATCATTGATTGTGCAAACTGAGCCGGAGTCTGGAGCTCAGTGACATGCTCCGAGACATATTTGCCTATGTATCGAGTCAGAAATCCAGGGTTTCACACAACCTACACCAAAAGAACTTACGGGCCAATTGTCTTGCTTGAAAAGCAGCAGCATTCTTAATGCAAATCTTAGCCACCTTGCCACCACCATTTGCCCAGAACTTTCTTCCTCTGCCTGCCAAATCTGCGACAGTATAGTACGTTGAAGCCAAAAATTTAGTTCGTTTGTTGTTCGGCAACTTGACAACTGATGTGCGTGCGCGAGGCACGATGCTTGAAGGTTCGGCATATGGATTGTGACGGAAGGTACCAGCATACTCCCATGAGAGTCGCACTTCACTGAGCAAAGCCTCAACCTCGGGAAGCTCAGGCTCAAGGGCATAGAAGCAGTCATCTGGTGAAAGGCAGACTTGTGGAAGTGTGTGGTTGTTCAAGCCGTGTGAACGGTCCCAGCGACGGTCGACTCGCAGACTGGCCAATTCTTGAATAACGCTGAGTCCGCGCTTCATGTCATCTGGGGAAGCATCGTTGGGGACAATGAATACGTCTTCCTCATACCTATGGTCTGTGAGAACTCATCATTCAAACGTGTTGAGAGGATTTCTTACCACCAAAGCTCTAAAATATCTGCTGGGTTACCGTCCTCGTCATAGTTGCCTTCACCTGCGGAGATACTAAGGACGTAGTCTCCATCTGTGCTCTCGCAGAAGTTGAGATCGCTGTCATCGTCAGGCTGATATTGTTAGTTCAGAACTATTAAATTTGGCGTGGTATACTTGCCACATCTTCTAGAGGTGCATCACAACAGTAGAAAGCTGACCCAGTGGAGCAGAAGCTGGTTTGAGACGGATCTTGGGCAATGATCTTTGAACAGTCAGTCTTCACTACCAATGATATTATTTGCAGTGTTACTGACCTGCTTGCCGGCTGGACAGCCAGTAGGGCAAGTAAACGGATGAAGCCATGGTTGCTCTTTTGAAGTCCTGAAAGACCAATCAGTCGTAGTACTTCCAAGTGAAGAAGATATGAGCCTACCATCCACATCCAGTGAAGGGAGGAGGACTGGTGCAGCAGAATGACTTATATCCCGAGTAGCAATAGGATTCTCCGCCTGCACCGACATTATCAAATGTCTCCTCATAACGATCGGATTCATCGCATCCATAGTGTTGTCCAACACGGCCATTCTTTCCACAAAATGGTGCTGATCCTTCCCACTCTGTGTCGTAGTTAGCATTCACTACATCAAAGTAAACTCTGGGACCTTGACGGCGATACTCACTGCACTGGCTAATACCAGCATCCGACTTTGTCGATGTACAGCACAACACTTTATGCCCAGTCCAGCAGAGTTCTCCTGTAGCGCTAGTGTCCGATGACACCTGAACTTCACCCTCATGACACTGACCTTTACAGAAAGGGGCCGATCCACGCCATTCGCATGTGGGCATTTCCTGGTCCTTAGGACAGCAATAGTTACGGGTCTGGTCTTTTGGACATCCAGTGTAGATACCCGCGTTACCACGGTTCTTACCATCACTGCGTTGGGCAGGGCTGGAGTTGGCAGGACAGTCTTTTCCACATTCACCCCAAATGCAGGTAGACAGAACGTCTTCCTGTTTGGTGCTCGCTCCGCCGCCGAAAAGACTTAACTGGGACAAGCCATTGTTCTTCATGTAGGCTTGCGCGGCTGTGCCTGCTACGTCGTCGGTCGAGACTGCCCACACCATTGTCCCTCCGAGGCACTTACCATTTGCATAGTCTGTTTTGATCTTCAAGGTCTCTGAATCGTCGTATGATACCCATTGATTTGTGTCCCAGACGATCTGTTTGACTCCTGCAACGCTGTCGAGTGTGGGCGTTGCACCTGCAGCTATAAGATCTTGGATCTCAGAGTACATGAGGGTCTATTTGGAATCATTGTTAGCATATTAGCTTAAAGAATGGAATCTTTCAGATCATACTCCTGCACTAGCTGAGCATGCTCCAGGATTGCCACCGCCGCTGAATGGACAGCCCGGTGAGGTACAACTTGGATCTGTGAGTGTGAAACTCCGTCCATAGAATCCCAAGCCCATCACAATTTTGTCAGGGTCAATCTGAAAAAGATAATTAGCTATACACGATGAAACAAGAGGATGGTATACTTACGCTGTTTCTCCAGAATAGATCCATGGTCAAATTGATTTCCGTAAGATTGGTGTGTGCATTGACAACAGGTCCAATGAACTTGTCCGTAGAATCCCATGTGCCATGAAGATCATAGGTCATGACATTAAACCAGTCTACAACACTCGCCAATGACACGATGTCAAAGTTCTGCAGGTACCTAGTTATCGGTAAGCATAGTGATGAATATATAGCCAGAATATACTTACCAATAGCTCGAAGGAAGAGTGATTGTCACTCCATAGTTGTGACCACTTCCACCCAGAGCCGAGCGAAGGTTTTTCAAGAATGAAACATAATTCTGATAATCTGCTGGTCTGCCAGATCTTTCAGGTGCTACGGGATACTCCCAATCAATATCAACACCATCAAAGCCATATGTCTGCATGAATGACAGCAAAGAGCTGAAGAAAGCAGACTGGGCAGTTGTAGATGCAGCCAGATCAGAGAACGTGGTGGCAGTGGACTGATCTGGGTCATTCATAGACCAACCTCCGATAGAGATCCAAACCTGAAGACCTGGGTTTGCGGCCTTTAGTCCAGTCAGACGGGGATACAGCTCAACATCTGCCTCGCTCATCGGGGCAACTTGGAACGACACTGGGTCTATGAACGCAAATGCAAAGTTCAAGTGAGTGTACGCGCCGACAGGGAGCTGTTCCGGTGTCACTTGGTTCTATTTAGTGGGAATCGCAACATGTCATGAAGTTGAATAGAACTTACTGCCATGGCAGGCCCGAGTAATCGACCATCCTTCGTAATATCCTGAGTGGTTTAGTAGAAGTATCAACTAGGTAGCCAACTCCACGTACCAATAGATCGCTTGTTGGAACTGATTTTGTCAGAAATCTTCTTTTAGCCAAACGTTGGGTTCACTGACCTGTTTCCTGAGCATGATGGCTCTGTAACTTTATTATCACCGCAGAACTCTGCAGTCGTACCACAGAAACCAAACTTGCTACAGCAGACATTGAGAGGACACTTCTCGCTCCCAGACCACTGCGTCCCCCATCCAGGGTCACATTCACTGTAAGAGATCAGATTTAATACGGTAGCCAATGGGTGAAGGGCTCTCACCTTTTCGCATCACACTCGGAGATACAGCTGTCACCGCAAAAGTCAGGGCCCATTCCACACACACCCGAACTGCTACAACATCCAAGTTTGCATGGCTTTGTTGGAGAGCTAAGTCAAGTTAGTCGCTACCAAGGAACCATCCTCTACATAATGAGGCACGTACCAGGTATAATCCTCCAAAGAATCAGGATCTTGCGAGCTCAGCCCCAAAACCGAGACGAAAAGCAGCGCAAAAGCAGCTGCGATCTTCATCTTCGCGATTTTCAAACAGTTGAAGAATACTTCCTCGTCCAGAATCACCGGGAAGAGCGAGGGACCCTTTTCATTGTCGACTGACTCGAGTCAACCGCTCTACTCCGATGCAATTTACACATACTGCACCTCATGCAGTAGCCACGGCTCCATCGCCGTCAAGTGATAACACCAAAGAGGGCATGCTCCGTGAGAGAAAGCATCTTGGCGATCTGGAAGTGGAAACTGGTGATTGCTTCGGAGGCGTCGGACGAGATAAACAAGGGTCCTCCAAAGGACAATGTAACCCACCTTGATCGGATGAGTTTTAGTGCTCGGTTAGTGATCTATCGGTGTTTAAGATTTTGTCGTGCATAATTTCCACCTCTGCAGTCAGCCGCATTAGCTTCCTCTCCTTAGCCTATTTAGGGTTCTTCGCCCCTGAGGCTTGTTGCAATGAAGCACTAGCGGATGCAGGTGCGACTAGCTGAGCCCCGCTCGGCAGTAGGGGCATTTGAAGGCAAATGATCATATCTTGTCGGTAAATGGAGGGCAGAGTATTGAAGGTCGCCTCTCATCCCATAGATTTCTTTCCCTCGCTTCTATGACATTGATCAGAACGAGATTTACAATGGCCATGCAATTCATGTTGGACAGACTCTCAGTTCTCTTCTTGTCCCTGACTCTTCTTGGATATGCACGAGCTGATCTAGTCGTCTTTGAGGCGGGTCTAATTGCCAATAGCAGTAATGTTGCTCTGGCAGGAACTCTTTCGCAGGCGTGCATCACTGCGATGGAAGAGACTGTGACTTGCGATCCGTACTTGCGAGCTCAAATCATGAGCGATGATTTCGCCTACCTTGACCCATCGGTGCGCGACATAATGTGTACCTCTGCTTGTGGCCAGTCCCTAGCAACCTACCACGCCGATGTCGAGAGCGCCTGCGCAAGCAGTCCCCAGCCATGGGATAATACGCCGGCGACGTTTTATGGTGATCAGATCTGGGCTCAATACAATATCTCATGTTTCAAGGATTCAGCTGGAAATTACTGCCAAAGTAGGGTTGAGAACTAAGCTCGAAACTTGATCTTCGGCTAACGTTGAGCAGATGTCCTCGCCAATCTGACCGTTCCAGATAGTGATACTTCCATGGCAGGACTGACGAGCTCGATAGTATGCTCAGAATGTCTCCTTCTACTGGGGCAGACTATCCAGTCGACGCCGTTCAGCAATTATGACAGTGTCATAGCCAGTGAATGGGCGGCCATCCAGGCAACCTGCGGCGTGTCCTTCCCAACAGAGGTACAGCCAGTGGCTAGCAACCAAACAGACCTGCCTGGGTATGCACCAGCGGGGTATGACACGGCCAAGTGTGCTTCAGGCAAGACATACACGGTCGTGTCTGGTGATGATTGTGGAAAAATTGCCTCGAGCCAGGGTGTTCCTCGTGGATCTCTGATCGCGATCAACAACATCCTCCCGACCTGTTCTGATCTTTGGAGTGAGTAAATCTGTAGCGCACATGAGACTCGGGACCCTCCAAGTTGACAGTTTCATAGTCGGACAAACGCTCTGCCTACCGGATACTTGTGAACTGTACACAATCCAGTCCGGGGATACCTGCATGGCCATTGTGAATGCCAATGATATCACACTAATCCAACTTCTCTCGTGGAATTCGTTCATTAATGCCGGATGTTCCAACCTTCTAGCAGGCGATCAACTCTGTATCCAGCAGCCTGGCCCTGTCTGGACAGGCACCACGATCGCTGGCGCAACCGCCACCAAGACTGGCATTTATGCAACTGAGACTGTCGCTGCACCTGGATCAGTAGCTCATGATACAACAACATCATGTGGAAAGTAAGACCCAACACCCCGTTATCCTGCGTATCAGATGTTCCTGTACTAAAAGAAATCATTAGATACTACCAAGTCAACGACGGCGATTACTGCCAGCTCATCGCTCTCAATTTCACAATCACAGCTACCTTGTTCCAACAGATTAACCCATCCATTGACGACGGATGCACCAATCTCGTCCCAGGACTATACTACTGCGTCCTCCCTACGTCAGACTGGAACGCGACATCAACTACAACAACCTCCACATACGTGACAGCCCCGGCGCCGACATCCACGGGCGCAACTGAGAATTGCTACGAGGTGAGCTCACGTTGTCAATTAACTTACCTTGGGTTCATGCTAAGTACAGATTTAGTGGTACGTTGTAAAGTCTGGCGACTACTGCGCGCTGATCGAGGCTGTGTATGGAATTACCATGGCCCAGCTTCAACTGTGGAATCCTGAATTACTGGATGATTGTTCGAATTTGAGGCTTGATGATGCGTATTGCATTAACGGGGATGCTGGGGGATCTAGTTCGGCACCGGTGCGAGCGCGGGCTTGGCCTACTGCTGCAGGGGCTCATCTTCATAGTCATCAGAAGAGGGGTTGGTGATGATTCATTTAGTTGTGAGTCATGGTATCACTAGTAATTTTAGGCGAGACAATCGGAGATTAGTTGTCCTTTGTGGCTGTTGGAAATGTTGCAGGCATCTCCCAGAAATATATGTCTCGGGTGGCTGAATTTACAAGTAACCGCCCACTTCTTTCATCTCACTAGCTCTTCTTTCCTTTTCTTTTCACAGCACTTGTTAGAAACATAATGTCCAACAATGACATTTTGAGTTATCTCCCACCTGGCTGGACAGACGAAACATATCAGAACAACAGAGATGCCGACACTGCCGCCCTATCAGACGAGGTACGCCCGGTTAAAGCTGGATCCTAGCACCTCAATTTTGGCCTGCGCCCTCCCCCCAACCAACAAAATACTAACAGACCAATCCAGGAACTCCAAAAACTAATGGATCGCCGCGCTGCAGAGACAAAAATAATCAGCGCGCAAAACCTCGCCCGAATCAACGAAAAGCGCATCGCGCGCGGGGCAGCACCCATCCAACCACCATCCCCAACCCCAGAGCCAGAGCCAGAACAGGACACAGAACCCACAACTCAACATGCAACCCAAGACCTTACCCTGGAGAACCTCCAAACCCTAGTAGAAACAATCGAAGCCGAAAACTGGACAGACGTCGGCTTCATAATGTTCCGCACCGACTACAGCAACGAAGACCTGTGGAACGAATTCCTAGAAAAGTTCAACGAAGTCCTAGACGCCGGGATCGAAGATGCACCAGCTGAATCTGGGTTCGCGCGCGTGGCAGATTGTGTCTTTATGAAGATTGTAGATGATGATTCGTTGGCGAATGAGTCCGCCGAGCGTGTTGCGTTTGCTTATCGCCTTTGCGCGGAGGATATGGAGGAGGATGATCCTGAGGATAGGCTTGCGCCTGGATTGCATACACGTATGTGTCTTTTTGTTGATGGGGAGTGTATGCGATCTGTTGTTGGGTCTGGGTCTGGGTCTGCGGACGGGCTTGCTTTTGTGAAGGCTGTTGATGTCATGCTTGGACTGGATGGGAGTGGAGATGATGGGGAGGTTCCTTATTCTGGGGTCTTGAGGGTTGCGGTGAGGTCTTTGATTACGAAGTTTTATCCTGCTTTGCTTGCCTGTGCCGAGACTGTGGATTTGGTGCCCGCTGATGAGGGGGTTTGGGATGGGGTGCAAGTTGGGGCTTTTGATGCAGAAAGAGAGGCTAGGAGAATAGATAGGTTGCTGAGTTGAATGCGATGAAGGGATGTATGGTATTAAGACATCATCAGGCTCATCAATGTGAACCTTTACACAATATGATTGGAATGTTTGAAATAAAAAGATAAGTAAAGAAGAGACTACTGGAACTAGCAGCCTGTAAGCTTTTGATGAACATTTGCCTCACTTTTAGATGCAGGCATGGTGGTGTTGAAATTATTTTGCTAATAGATATTAGAATCGCAATATTCGATTGAACCAAGCCGTAGATTGCATGTCAATCTGGATCAGAATAATGACAGATAAGACTAATGTCGTAAGAATAATCTAGCCATGAAAGATTAGTATCAGCTTCAAGCTTTACAAGGTTATTATACGATCAAACTTACTATGAAAAGAAAGATTCCTACCGAATTCATCTCCCACCCACCTGCATGCACTTTACCCCGGGAAATAGCATTTTGTTGTCTCCAAAATCGAAAAGCGCCGATCAAGGCAACCAACACAGCAACAAAGTGGCAAGCGACCGAGAGTGGAATGCCAACCGAGTGGAATGATAAGCGATGAACTTCAGTGTTGGGCCGTTGCAGGCGGAACAGTTGAGCGATAAGCACACCCTGCATCGCAATAACAGTGGATGTACGAATATAGGCCAGAAAGGTTCGTTCCAGAGCTAGGAGGAAGTCAGTCATGTTTCATTCTTTGCGAGGTCATGGGAATGTGACAGATCGGGAGACGTGGAAAGACCACATCTACAAAGCGATCAAGGAATCGAGGCCGACTGTCTCCCAAATAGACAGGCTACCAGGAATTGAAGTAGGGATACTAACCAAAATGATCACGATTGCTCTTTTGGGCAACGGTCAAAATAACATGCCGGCCCCAGAACCGCTTGATCTGACTCCACAGACTCTTGCCAGCTTCACCTCCATGAGCGCTGACGCGAGAAGTCGTACGACGTGAGGTCGTCACCCGATACTCATCTCCAGATGAAGCCGAGGGGTCAGAGTAGTCCAGTTGATTGTCTTCGTGCGTTTGGATTTGGTGAAGCTCCAACGCCTCCCGATCGTCGCGACGAGCGGATATCGGGCGGGAGTCGGTCAAAACTGCATTCGGCGGTTCTCCAGGAACGAAGTTGTTCGAAGAGGTTTCGGTCATGGTGAATTGAGGCAAGGGATGGACGATGGCATTGCATTGCAGGAGAGATGTCTGAATTGTAGGAAGTCGCGGTCAAGCGTCAAGGAGATTCTTGTTTTCCCCACGGATCGGCCCCAGCCGAACGTCAAGGCCCCGCTCTCCATCTGGGGTTGTGTTGACTGTTGAGCCATGATTTGGGTCTATCGTGCAGAGATATACTGGCATTGAATGACAAGTAAGAGATTCTTCTCTGTTTATAGATCTTTAGTTGACTCCACAGCCATCGCGTGAACCCTTGCAGTTTAATTTGATCCTGGCCAATCACACGCCGTAGAATAGCGATTGCACCATATCTGACTACGATGTTGGAATGTGCTGCCAATGGAATCGACCGATTTTACTGTCAAGCTTCTTTTGTAGACTGTTGATATTCAGTCTCCACCTATTTATGGGTCTCCCGTTTATACTCTGCCACTCTGAAACGGACATGGATGGCGCCAAGGCCTATTCTCCAGCTGACTTGGAGGTCCTCATAGTATTCTGAGTATTTTATGATATTTCAGTCGAAATAGCTCCTCTAGCATGAACATGTTTCCAATTACTCAGTCATCGATTAATCCTGTTCATAGGGGTTTCAACCACTGGAGAAAATGGACCCCTTAGATATCATTCACATAGGAGCACTGTTGGTATATCGATAGTGAGAATATCTGTTGACTATCTTGAACCAGTTCTTCACCAGCACATGCCGTATCTATTTTCCCATACGTTTTGTCTCTGTCTACTACTCTACATACATCCTGGAATCGATTGGCTCTCGGATCTCGGCTCAATGCCGATCACGTGGTAGGTCCATATCGGTAGTTGCTGCCTTGCGGCCTGAATATCCCTTCAACCAGCCCGTAACCAGCATAAACAGCTGATCGGAACAGATGGAGGTACTGGACGGACCAGTTCTCATTGGACCATGTCTCAATCCCATGAAGTCACCTATACTACTGCCCCTCATACTTACATTCGGTACCAACCTGGGCCCCGAACAGAGCACCAAAAAAGGAAATCTTATCCATAGTCAACGAATGAGCTCTTAACGGAGCCTCCAAGTCGATCATGATTGCTCAGAGTAGCTCAATTATCGCCCATGAACGTGGAGCAATAGACTGCCTCTCCAATCCCATTCCGGGAAATAGGAACTCGGAACTGTGAGAGGGCCATGACAGAGCTGCTCGGCCTTATATCACCGGAACCCGTGCGGGGCATGGCCTCATTATCAGTTTGACGATATCACCGTATCGCTTCTGTGGGGTGCGGGGAGTTAACAAGGTACAGACGGTGCTTTTATCCAAGGTATACAAATAGAAAGCTTCGCCCGCTCCATTGACTCACCATATTACTTGTCATCTATACACCTTGGAATGTCCCTTTCACAACGCGTTGTCATTATCGGTGCCGGCATCGTCGGCACAAACCTTGCCGATGAACTGGTCTCCAGAGGATGGACAGATATCACCGTTGTCGAGCAGGGCCCGCTGAACATGCCTGGCGGGTCGACGTCACATGCCCCCGGCCTCGTCTTCCAGACCAATACCTCAAAAACCATGACACACCTCGCACGCTACACGGTGGAGAAGCTTTTATCGATAGAGCAGGATGGACAAAAGTGTTTCAACCAGGTGGGTGGGCTTGAGGTTGCCACCACACCAGCGAGACTTGAGGAGCTCAAGCGTAAGCTCGGATATGCCTCCGCGTGGGGGATCGAGGCTCGTCTGGTGAGCGCCGAAGAGTGCTTCAAAATGTACCCTCATCTAAACCGCGGTATGGTGCTGGGAGGATTGCACATTCCCAGCGACGGCCTTGCACTAGCAGCTCGTGCCACACGGCTCCTCATTGAGCGCACGAGAAAGGCGGGCGTCAAGTACCTTGAACACACACCAGTTACCGCCATTGAGCGCGCAGGGCCTCGCGTGACTGGAGTGACTACTTCCAGGGGAAGCATCCCAGCAGACATCGTGGTCTCCTGCGCCGGTTTCTGGGGTGTTGAGCTAGGAGCCATGGTAGGCGTGCAGATTCCTTTATTGCCACTGGCACACCAATATGCGAAGACAACCGCTGTCCCTGCTCTCGCCGGACGTGAAATAAACTCCCAGATCAACGGCATGAATGCTACTCTTCCAATTCTCCGACACCAAGACCAGGACCTTTACTATCGCGAACACGGTGAACAGTATGGTATTGGATATTACGGACACCGTCCCATGCCCGTTGTTGCTTCATCATTGGGCCTCACTCCAAAGCACGTCGACGAGCACAACATGCCCTCTCGTCTCGAATTCACAAAAGAAGACTTCGACCCAGCCTGGAAGGAAACACAATCTCTTCTTCCTATGCTTCAAGAAACCGAGATCGCCGACGGCTTCAACGGTGTATTCTCATTCACCCCGGATGGAGGTCCGATTCTCGGCCAACCATCCCATCTCGACGGCTTCTATGTAGCTGAAGCGGTGTGGGTCACCCATTCAGCAGGTGTCGCCCGAGCTCTGGCTCAGATCCTCACAACTGGACACTCTGATATTGATGTCTCAGAATGTGAGCTATCCCGCTTCGAGGAAGTTCAGCTCAGTCCCGAATATGTGAGCGAGACATCGCAGCAGAACTTTGTTGAGATATATGATATTCTTCACCCGCTTCAACCGCGTGAGTCTCCTCGCAAGCTCCGTGTCAGTCCTTTCCACGCCCGCCAGCAAGAGCTCGGAGCATTTTTCTTAGAAACCGGTGGATGGGAGAGACCATGGTGGTATGAAGCGAACAAAGAACTAGTCAAGGCTCTCCCGGCATCATGGAAACCCGTCGACAGAGACGCTTGGTCAGCCCAATTCCACTCACCCATTTCTGCAGCCGAGGCGTGGAAGACACGAAATGCAGTTGCCATGTTTGATATGACTTCTTTCCATCGATTTGAGATCTCCGGTCCTGGGGCCGTTCAATTACTCCAACGGTTGACTACCGGTGACATGACCGCCAAGCCAGGCAGCGTCACCTACACTCTTCTGCTCAATAACAACGGTGGTATTCGCGGCGATATCTTCGTATCGAGACTACAAGAGGATGTTTTCCAAATCGGCGCAAACAGTGCCACCGAACTCGCCTATCTAGAAAGAGAGGCGCGCCTCCAAGGCACGCACGCCAGCCAATGGGCTCAAGTCCGCGATATCACGGGAAGCACATGCTGCATTGGTCTTTGGGGTCCGCGCGCACGGGAAGTCATCGAGGGAATCAGCGTAGATGATTTCTCTAACAAAGGCCTACCCTATTTCGGCGTGAAGAAGACCATTCTGGCCGGTATCCCGGTAACAATTATCCGCAAATCATACGTTGGGGAGCTAGGCTGGGAAATCCAAACTAGCGCCGAATACGGCCAGCGACTCTGGGACACGATCTGGCAAGCAGGGAAATTGCACGGCCTAATCGCTGGTGGTCGTAGTGCTTTCAACTCGCTCCGACTTGAAAAGGGGTATCGGATCTACGGTGCGGATATGACGACCGAGCACAACCCCTTCGAAGCCGGAGTCGCCTACGCTATCGACTCGAAGAAAACCGACAACTTCGTCGGCAAGGATGCTATACAGCGTCTCTCAACACAGACACCTACCCGCCGTCTTCGGCCGCTGACTATCGATGATGGTCGTTCCATCGTCCTGGGCAAGGAACCTGTCTTCTATAACGACAAGGCTGTCGGCTATGTCACAAGTGCTGGATTCGGGTACACGATTGGCCAGCCTGTTGCCTATGCTTGGCTTCCTGGTACCGTGAACGACGGCGAAGGTGTGGAGATTGAATACTTCGGCAAGAGGATTCGGGCGACGGTTTCGACAGAGCCGCTATATGATTCCGAAATGAGTCGTCTCACTCAGGATGCGACGGCTGTTTCGCCGGGATCTCGGAATGCTTTCAGATCCAGACTTTAATTGCATTTCTTGGCTTGGCTATCATGAGACATGATTATGATTTTTTTCTTCGGAGAATTGCCACCACCGATGGATCTTGGGTGGGCATTACTTCTATATGGAGGAATTTAGTTGGACTTAAAGGGATTTTATGAACGTTTTGTTATGATCACGTCGTGCTGAATGATGAAATGAATGTCTTTTTTTCTTTTATTTGGTGCACGATGGCCGTCAAGTGCCCGTGAATTAAGTAAGAACGGTAATGATAGTATTCTAGAAGACTACAGTGTGATTCCACCGAAATCCATCTGCCTAGCGTAACGGCTTCATTTATGTTTCTTGGTATACTCGGCCGGATCCTTCCTCAATCGGCCATTGGCTTGGCGCACGTGGAAAATTCTACCGTGCTGCGAGCCACACGCAACTTTAAGTCCACAGACGCTCTTAAGAATACTTGTACAATTCCGGAAAGCCGGGTCAAGAGCAGGGCTTGTGGTTATGCAGGTTCTGGCGTGTTCAGGCAGACGCCACCGAGCCACCGAGCCACCGAACCACAGATATCGGCAAGAATTTTTATCAGATCCAACCACACAACCAAACTTTTCCAAAAGTATCAAGAAAACCAATACCTGAACAGGCGCAACAGCCGAGATGCCATGTCAAAGCTCCAACCAAAACGCGGATCTTAAAGAAAAACCAATCAATCGCGTCTATATACTGCAACAGGAACAACCCCCGTGAACAGACCTAAAAGGCATAGGAGGGCCGGGCGTAATTCGGCAAATCCCGCAGTCACCCCATACAGCATGCAGTCTAGAGCGAGATCCGAGTGGAAGGATGCGGTGGGATACGAGATGGGTCCTGCATTTGTGCATTCTGACTGGCTGAGACTCTAAGCTCCCAAGACCCTTGTGGGAGGCAACTCCCCAAATGGGGTAAGTCGTGACTTTCTCAGCCCATCAGATAAGATTGCCTGTTTTTTTTTTTTTTGGTTTTTTTTTTTTCCTGTGCGACTCTTGGCTGAGAATATTTTTCTTGTCTGCTCGCGTGGTCGAGTCTTTCTCCTCTTTTATATTCTCGTTAGTTCGTCTTTGAGGATTTGAGTGTTGGAGACATCTCATCATGGCGGTTACTGAGATTGCCGATCCTCATTATACGGGGTCTGAGAAGAACCCCCACAGCCAGACTGCTCCTGTCAACCCCCAGACCAACTTGCTGGGTCAGGGGAGTCCTGGTGTTCGCCGGATCGAGGTTATCAATGAGAACTTCAGACTGGTTGATCGCGTGTGTCTGTTTCTGTCGATTTTCTTGATCGCTTATGTGTACGGCCTGGATGGAACTGTTCGCTATACTTACCAGGTCAGTACTCCCCGGTTCATGGATCGTCACAGAAAAGAAATCTGTACTAACAGGCTTTATGTTTTAATAGCCATATGCTACCCAAAGTTATGGCCAACACAGTCTACTCGCAACCATCAATGTCCTACGCGCTGTCATCGCCGCTGCCGCACAGGTGAGCAAACACCAATCCGGAGAATATATGGCAAAATCTGACTTCATTATTCCAGCCTACTGCAGCCAAGATTGCAGATGTTTTCGGTAGAGCAGAGCTGATCTTGGTCTCTATCGTTTTCTATACCATTGGAACAGTTGTTGAGGCATGCGCTAAGAACGTGGAGACATTCTGTGCCGGCGCTGTCATCTACCAGGTACTAAGCGCCTATCTCATTTCTCTCAACAGATGCTGACTCGTTCTAGATTGGGTATACTTGTATGATGCTTCTTGTCGAGGTCTTGATTGCCGACGTGACGTCCACTCGATCACGTCTTCTTTTCTCCTACATCCCCGGTCTGCCATTCATCGTAAGTTTCGCATCACCCAAATCCCATGAGCATTGAAGAAGCCAGCTTAATGACAACCCCTAGATCAACACCTGGATCAGCGGTAACTTGACTACCTCAGTGCTGAAGGTGACAACATGGCAATGGGGCATCGGAATGTTCGCAATTATCTTCCCCGTGTGCGCCATGCCCCTGTTGGCGGTTTTGGTTATTGTTGCTCGACGCACAAGGAAGAGTGGAGCTTTGGAATCCTATAAGAGCTCGTTTGAGCTTCTTGGTGGGCAGAAATTAGCTTCTGAGCTCTTTTGGCACTTGGATGTTATTGGGAATATCTTGCTCATCGGTATGCTGGCTTGTATTCTTGTTCCATTCACTCTTGCTGGTGGTGTGACGTCGCAATGGAAGACTGCTAAGGTCATTGCACCTCTTGTTGTGGGCTTTTGTTTGATTCCTGCTTGGGTTTACTGGGAGCGGACTTGCAAATATCCCATGTTGCCTTTCAAGGTTGGTTTAAACACACGATAGAGCTTTTTTTGGGTTCATGGCTAAATTGTTGACAGCTTCTTCGAGACCGCGCTGTTTGGGGTTCGATTGGTATTGCTGTTATGCTTAACACCGGTATGTTCATTCTTGATTCTCACAAAGTGCATCTCTAATCTCCTGCTATCCAGCATGGTACTTGCAGGGAGACTTCTTGTACACAGTTCTCATCGTCAGCTTCGACGAAACAGTCACCAGCGCAACTCGAATCACCTCTCTCTACAGCTTCGCTTCCGTTCTCACTGGTGTCTTCATTGGATTCGTGGTCCTGAAACTGCGCCAGTTGAAGCCCTTCATCGTCTCCGGCACGGTCCTCTTCATGGTTGCCTTTGGTATTCTCATTTACTTCCGTGGAGGTGCCGCAGGCTCTAGTCACTCTGGCGTTATTGGTGCCCAAGTCTTGCTGGGTATTGGTAAGTGACATACCATCCAATCCACACACCCCATCCCCATCAATGAAAGTACATCAGTCTAACAATCTCCCAGCTGGCGGTATGTTCCCATACCCAGCGCAAGCCAGTATCCAAGTCGCGACCAAGCACGAACGTGAGTCCCCACCCATCCATTGCTTCAGATCCAACCCTCAATGCAAAATGCAATACCTATACTGACATCCAAATCCTAGACCTTGCCGTTATCACTGGTATCTACCTAGCATCCTACAACATCGGCAGCGCGCTAGGAAACACCATCTCCGGCGCAATCTGGAACCAAGTCCTTCCCAATGAACTGATCCGCCACGTCGGCAACGAAACCCTCGCCGCCGAAATCTACGCCGCCCCTCTCGCCTTCGCTGTCGCTAATCCGGTTGGGACTCCCGACCGTGACCATGCTATTCTCGCCTATAAGCAGACTCAGCGTCTGCTTTGCATCACGGGTATTTGTCTGACTGTGCCTTTGATTGCGTTTGCTTTGTGTATTCGTAACCCAACTCTTACCAAGGAACAGACTTTGGCGAAGGCTGAGGAGAGTAGCAGTGATTCTGAGTGATTATGCTGCTTGTGGGCAATGTTGGATCGGGATCACTTTTGTATAACTTATTTATTGTCGTTCTAATGTCTTATGAGACAAAATGTAGTTAATGGTCTGATGTATGACGTATGTGAGACATTTTTGAACTTGAGCTCGGATGTTTTTCAAATAGTTCTACGTGGAGAATATGCAGACTACAGTCTGCAATGCTACTCAATTGCCTCTGGTCGCCAGTTGATATCCAGGGTCCAATATATACTTTTTCTCTTTCCGTATCCATGAATTTACGTGGTCAGATGGCCTTCATCTCATTGAGATCAGTTTACTCCTTTGGCAAGCAAGGGGTACAAATGTGAGACTACGAGGGCTAGTCGGCTCGGAGCCTTGAACGACCGACGGCGAAACCCAAATTGGCTGAAGAAGCCCGCTAATAAACGCGGTGCAAACATGACCCAATCACAGAATTGCAATGCATTGACTTCTCCATTTCGGCGATGCACAGAGACAAAGACCGATCGGACTTGGTTGAGGCCGAATGCCCACTTTGACATGGTTCCATTAGGAAAAGCGCATGTACCCACCTCCCCAATGGAGACTTGGACGTAGCGTGGCCGCCTGAACCCGCGAGAATGGCAACCCTAACTCGAAACATAGCCTAAAGCAGGGATGATCTACAGTTGAATCAATTTAAAAGGATTGCGCCATCCATCTCCAGAATGAAGCCATCTCGTCTTCATCTCGTTGCCCCAAACCAGCTTTAAGCTTAAACCTTATTCCAGGGGTTCGAAGTATAGAACAGTAAACCCCAAACAATGGCCATCAAACCACCCCAGAATGAAACCAACCGCCTACTACTCGTCAGCGTGCCCCGCACAGCCTCAAACCTCCTCCTAAAAGTCCTCAACATCGCCAACCAACCCAACGTCCTAAGCAGCCCCAAAGGCGGCTACTTCTTCCTCGACGCCTTCCTAGCCACCGGACAAAAAGGCCGACTAGACAAGGCCCTTGCGCAATGGACCGAAACCGACAAACACGAAGTCCAAAATGCCTTCCAAGCCAGCATCGACACCCTAGAAGCCTACTCCGCTCGCGCTTGCGCCGAGAACAAAATCCTGTTCGCCAAAGAACACGCCTTCTGGATCACCAACCCCGGCGTCTTCACCAGCATGCGCCACGGAGGCGACGAAGAAGAGGATAAAAAGTCCTTCCACATCACCTTGCCGGAGAGCTATGGCGCGCCGACCTTCTCGGCGCACAATGATACCATTCTTCCGGATCAGTATCTGCGCACATGGAAGATGGCGTTCATCATCCGCCACCCGGCCCTGGCGTGGCCTTCTCTGTACCGCGCTATGCAGAATCTCTCGACGGTGGGCATCATCGATGAAGACGGGGTTGAAGGCGTCAGTGCGTCGAACATGAGTATGACGTGGACGCGTCGGCTCTTCGATTGGGCGATGGAGCAGCCGGATGCGCCTACTCAGCCCTTGGTCATCGACGCTAATGATGTTATTCACAATCCGGCTGCTGTTTTGCGGTTCTGTGAGCTTGCTGGGCTTGATCCTGCCTGTGTACAGTTTGAGTGGGGGGCTGGTGGAAAGAAGTTGGAGAATGTGGCTGTGGGTGGTGATGGTGCGATGGATGCGGATACGCTGAAGAGGGAGGAGACGGCTGCTGCTGTTATGTTGGCTACGCTTGAGAAGTCTTCTGGTGTTATTAAGGACAAGCAACCTTCCGATGTTGACGTTGAGGTTGAGGTTGCGAAGTGGAAGGTAGAGTTTGGGGATAAGGTTGCTGCTATGCTGGAGAAGGCTACGAGGGATTCTATGGATGATTATGAGTATTTGAAGGCTCGGAGGGTTATGGTCTAGATTGGGATCATCCGTAGTACTCACAAGCTGAAGATGGGTGTTATAGTGTGTATATAGATTGATGTATATGATGCTCTCTTTATTACGCAGTGATCTTCTAGATTAATCTTGGTATCTCAGGTAGACTTGCTGGCTGGCCTCTTTGATAATGTCCCAATTCATGTTGTGTTGGATACCTGCTTCCGGTTCACAGCGTGTGGTGGAGCCTGTGCGACAGCCGTTAGAGGGGCCTATGGAGCACCCTGTTGTGGAGGGGTTGAAAACCGGGGGTGGAAGGCGCAGCACCATGATGAGCTAGTTGAAGTGGGGTGTGATGAAAAGGATTGATGCAGCGAGGATGGACAGCCTGTATGAGGATCTGCCGGGTGGAGGTGCTGAAGAAACGGATGTGAGAGAGGCCCGTGGAGTAGGAGAGGGAGAGAAATGAGGTAGTTTCCCCTCCGAAGATGAGTCACCGGAGGAATAAACAGAGATGGGTTATATAAGGCATGATGGATATTAAGAGAGAGAGGTGGGTGACGAAGAGAAGTAGGAGAGTTAGGAAGAAGATGGCCCTTCTTTTACCTAGGATATACTTGGTTAAGAAGAGCACCTCACAAAGAAGACATGAAAAAAGACGGCAAACAAAACCCTTTCTTCGTCAATAGCAAACGAGCTTCTCTTTTTTGATAGCAATTATGACCTCTTTTTTACCATGACACCTACTATAAGCTATACTAACGACAAATATCAATTTCTACCTTATACAACTCTATAAAGAGCTTTCAAATAGACCTTACTCGAGCCCTTATATCGCAAAAGCTTATTTTAACCACTAAAAGCTTACTTCGACTATATCTTTAATAAATATAGATAGTTTATCCAAGGCTGATAGTAAGCTATTCACTAGTCGCTCCGTGATACAAAATATCTCTTTATTTTACTCTTTATAACGACATCGTATAATACGGCTGCCGATAGGGCTATTCGTATTATTTACCTTTCCCCTACTTATATTTTCCTACTACGTTTTTAACTCGAAGGAGGTTTTAAAGGAGCAATTATAACATTCAGATCCCAGTGACGTGGTCTCTAAGGAGGGGGGTATTGTTAGGACCACCACCGACTAAGGCTGTTAAAGCCTTGATACATGACAATATAGAACGAGTATCGAGTCCTCATATTTGATTAGAGATACTAGGTCAGGACGTTATGCTCACATGGATATGGAACTATACGGGGAAATTAAGGACGGAATTCCGTTTTAGTCTGTCAGATTCAAGAGATAGCAAGATGTGTTTTCTGGAAACTCGTTAACAGAGTTGCATGCCCGATTCAGAATCTCTTTAAGTAACTTTGAAGTCAAGTCCTGATTACAGCTATAGATGCTGACTAGGCCACTTGAAATACATAGTGGAAGGTAGAGCTGCGTATGAACTCCAGGTATATACAATTCTGTGTATATACCCGCTGCATGACGTGCAAAAACCTCAAGACGACGGTGACTTAATCCCCACGGGCACTCAAGAAGTAGAGGCAACTGTGCTGAGAGGGAACCCTATAGTATGACATGGTTTCACCAAGTCCTACACGCAGCCGTGAGTAGAAAAAGGGCGATTTGAGAACTGAATTATGGGAATAGAAACATACCGACGTGGAAGCAGATGCTGGATTTTTGTATCCCAATTCTCCAATGCTGTCACCGCCACAACAGAGTCATCAAAACCCTCAAAATTGACGGACCCGACCTTTCCTCAGGTCGGACTTGAAGACCCATAAGCCGCGAAACAGCTTCCCGTGCGACGTAAACACCGTAACTGGTGTCCACGCAAGTCCGCCACGGAGTTTCGACAAAAGGCCCAACCAAGCCGAGATTAACAACCGATTCTGGCGTAATGCCCGGACGGTCTTTGAGGGATCTGGTCAACAGTGTCGAGCTCATTCTCGGCATGGCGCGAGGGATGGTAATAGAGCGCTGTAAGACTTCCGAGGCCAATTCGTCGGGAATATCAAGATGATGCAGAATCTCGCACAAGATTTCAAACCCGGAACAGGACAGCAGAGACTTGTCGAAACAATCGCCCTCCTTTTCGGGAAAGAGCGCAAATCCCCAGAGGACGCGGACATCTTGCGACTGGTGAGCAAAAACGGGCTGGAGAGGGAGACAAAGCCTCACTCCCCAGCTACTTTTATTCATGAGAATGATTGTGCCGGCGTGAGATTTGCTTTGCAGTAGAGATTGAAGGTAGTCAAAAAACTCGACATGCTCGGTTGTGATTGTGAAGGATTCCAGCATAGATTCCGATTTGCGGGTGCAAAATGTGTAGGGGTTGCCATGATCGGGATACCTATTTCCAGCTTCGAGCCATAGTGCCCAGTTGGCGTCGAGTTGGTCTCTTGCTTCGATTGAATCCCAAGCGGGCGGCGTATTATTGTTTCCAATTGAAGATCCAGATACAGTTGAGCCCGGTGTACCGATGACAATATCGCTAGGCCCTAGAAAGTATTTGAAGTCAAGGCCGTGCTGGGAAACGGCTAACCTAGTAATTATATGACGGTGTTGGTTGACGGTGGTTTCAACATTCCTGACTTTGACCCCGAACTGAAAGTCCACGCCTTGGCTCTGGAGGAAGAAATATATCGGAACATATATAGCCTCGTATTGATACCGGCCGGTGAAATCCAGGCAGGTCAAAATACTCAAGCTGTGGAAGCCGGATAAATATTGCTTGACAGCGCGTCTAAATTCTATCGCACTGTGCCAAGGTTGGAAACCGAATCTTATAGTTTGTAATCCTAAAGTCAGAACACGACGTGAGTCCAGCAGGAAGACAAGAGGAGCTCACTGAGTGGACCATATTGTCCAAAATGTACTTTGAAAAAAGCTGTCTCGAAAAAAACAGCGGATCTCCTTTTTTTGAAGGCTTTTCTCCCCCTTCATAAGGAGACGCATCAAATGCAATCGATCTCTCCAACTTATGCTCAGCCTATTTGTAGACAGAGGCTTAAACCCATGTTCAGTTTGAGCGACAAAAGATGTCCCTTGACTTGAATGTAAGGCGAGATTCTTTTCCTCTTCTTGGATGTAATGCAGATGAGACTGGCCTTCCACAGCAGATGGTACCATATCAAGAATCCTATTCAATTCCTTCCCGGCAGGAATAGGAAGACACCCTGCAAACTGATCATATCCATCATGCGCACTTCTCTCTTGGTGCATTGCTTGCTGCATGGACAAGTGTTCATCGAGGACATGCACAGCAGAAGGACGTAAATGGGCAAGCTGGATCAGATACACTGCTGATGCTAAGGAAGAAGTCCCACTCCCAATAATCCAGGCCTCAGTTGCTTCTGGCACCCGTCGGTCGCGTCTTGCTGGATTAGCCATAAGAGCTATCTGTGGACGAAGCAGATTCGAGGGTGATTGAAGTTCTACTCATGTCGAGCATCAACGGCAGAATATGTATAACGATGAGGTCACAGGATAGTGGCAATACGAGGTGGTCAAGCCCTCCAGTCATACAAGTCGACAGACTGTTGTCTCTGGCCACCCAGTTTTGGGGAAGCCATGGCTCACCTCTACATATCAGGGCCGTCTGGAACAGAGGAGACCTACAACAAATGCTGATTTCAATGTCTGCCCACTTATTCAATGCTGAGTACAATATATCTCTACAGACAACTACACTTCTTCACGTAGTTGAGAGTCTCAAGGGCGCTGTCTAGTATACATGACGTCATTTACAATATTGCTGCAGTTCCTTACCCTGAGGCGAGACAACTGATATTTTCAGATGACTTTCAAGAAAAGGAGAACAAGAGAGTAAATTAATCAGAAAGTCTGACGCTATTAATCATTGAACCACTTGTATTATATGGACCGAGTGGAAACACCCGTGGATGCATGAGGTTAGAAGAACATGGGTAAATTCATTCTATACATATCTCCTCAATACGCGTTGAAGCATATCACAAAGTCTCAAACAAGTCAGAATGGTGATTTACCGGTGGGCAGTACTCGAACTCCAAGCAGTCTCCAACAACCAAAACACAGCTCTGAGTAGCTGGATTAAATCGCTGGTCATCTGGACATTGCGGACCATCGCCGGAGACACACTTCTTGAGGTCCTCGTCAAACACCATTCCGGGGTCATCGCATACAGGCTTGGACTCCGCCACGCAGGTCCCCTTGGCCTGGTTGAAGGACTTTCCAACACCACAATCAGGCACATCTGGAGATCGACAATCCTCGCCATCCCAGTACGTGTTGCTTTCTTCCGGACACTTTGGAGGACCGGGGTGGACACATTGGCCATCACGTAGCTCGAGTTCTCCACAATCACCGGGAATGTCTGAGACACACTCGCCATCCTTTTCGTGATATCCAGAGCCACAGTCGGTCTTGTCCTTCTTCCGACACTTGCTTTCAGGCCTGAACCACTCATATCCTTCTTGAGTGCACTGAGGATATTCACGGCTGACGCAGCGGCCCTGGCGATAGTCGGTACCTTCTGGGCACTGGGCCTCTCCGACGAAACACTCGCCTTTACGGAAGATGCCTTTTTCGCAAGTAGGCTGCTTACGAGAAATACAGTCACCTTCCGTAGTCAAGGTCAATGGATGCGTGCACTTTGGTGTTGAGGAAGAGACACATCGGCCGCCAACATAGTTGAATCCGTCCTGACAATAAGGTGTCTCTCCGGTCAAACATGTGTTGCCGTTATGCACGCCAGAGGGGCAGTGAGGCATGTCGTCAACAACACAATGTCCCTTTCCATCGAACTTTGCCCGTGGGATGGAGCACAGAGGACCAAGATCGCTGATACACCGATCCTCCTCGAAGTGGCTGCCCTGGGGGCATTTCAATGGCACAGTAGAAACACATTCCCCATTGATTAATTTCGTGTCATCCGGACAACGTGGCGCCTGCGTAGATACACATCGATTGAGATTATCTCTCTCGTAACCATCGCTGCATTTTGGTTGCTCTTTGAACACACACTTTCCGCCCTTGAGATCGGCGTCCGGCTGACAGACAGCAGGCAGGGGCTTGAGTTTGCATTTGTTGCCGGATGGGGTCCATCCAGGAAGACAACCGTCTGCACCGGCCTCTGAAACACAGGAAACACCATCCCAGCTGGAACCCGTAGGGCAGCATTGGGATGTGCCGGCCGACGGGTTGAAAGAAAGATCATAGCCATCCGTACACTTGGGGCCATCTGGTGAAATGCAGTTCTTTCCATCCACCTTCAGTGATGGATCTTCGCAGGTCGGCGGAGAACGAGAGACACACTTTCCAATATCAGGCACAAGATTCTCATCCTTTCCACAACTGGGACCGACGTCAGACACACAGACTCCGTTCTTTGGGCGAGTGTTGGGAATCGGACATCCGTTGCTGACGGAGGAGACACAGAGCCCCAGTTTTGGGTCATATACAGTCCCGTGGGAGCACTCAGGCGGCGTTTTGCTAACACAAAATCCATCGATGTACTCGCTGCCTTCGCCGCACTGTGGTCCTTGGGAGCTGACACAAGCCCCGTCTTGGAAATGATCGGTGCCACTGCATTGGGGCTGGATCTTCGAAACGCAGAGATCGCCTTCTTGCTTCAGGTCACCATCGCATGTAGCGCCTCGGGGATCAACACAGCTCCTCCCCTTGAGTTTCAAGCCACCAGGACAATTGGGAGGAGATTCCGTGATACACAAGCCATCCGGGCTGACCTTTTGGTCCTTTTCGCATCGGGGAGCAATTCTGGAAACACACTTGCCGTCTTCGAGAGACGAGTCGCCGGGACATGAAGCGGATCCCAGAACACACGTCTTTCCGTCGAAAGTTGTCCCACGCGGACAGCACTTGGTACCGCCTGAGCTTGGATCCAGGGAAGGGGTGATGTCGTCTAAGCTCAGCTTACTCCATTTTGGAGAGAAGCCATGCATTTGTTGCTGGGTGGCGGCATTTGCAAAAGAGGATGCCAGCACAAGGGCCAACACCGTTTTCAAAAGTGCCATGTTGGATTTGATAAATGGAGGAAGGCGCTGGTAGGATCAACTTGGTTTGAAGCCGTTCTTAAGTACCTATGAGTCTGCACCCTCGGTTCAGCTGAAACTATTACCGCGGATGAACTATACAGCAGCTCGCCTGGATGATGGCACGTCCCCACTCGTCTGAATAACCTGATAATCGCTCGTTACTGGTGCGGGAATTTCTATACACAATGCGAACATACCACTGGCCTGCCAAAATCTCCTTTCTTGCCACCATTTCTGTCAAATACATGGCGATCACTTTGAGAATTCATGGCACAAGCAACGATCGTTTGATGTCTCCGACGAGGCCAGTGCCAGGATGCGTTGCCGGTGGATTCTGAATATCTCTGAGCTCTTCTGCAACCACATGGTACTATATCCCGATAGGAAGATTCACAGGTCGATCCTAGTTCCCAACAGCTGCCAAGCACAACAAGGCAACCAAAGTGAGGCGAAGTCCAGTTGCTATGCGTTATTATTCAAAATATTTGATCGGAGAATAGCCAGCATGGATACGAACAAGGTACAGTGCGTTGCATACGCCAAATGCACTAGATCTGATCGGCTACAGCATCACCAAGTATAGAGGACGCCATACAGTAGCGATGAAGTAATGCATGAAGTTACGAACTTGAACAATTGGCTGTTTTTGGCATGATCGCCATGAGTTCTATGCAAGTACATGCTAGCGAGGTGTCAGTGAACTGAGAGTTCATCCACAACGATCTGCTGGTTCATGCACCATGACGTCTGAATAGACGATCCCTCAGTTCGTCTTGGATCAGCCGGAAATCTCCGCAAATGAAGATCAAAATGCCCTGACGGTCCGAGCCATTCGGTCCAATCACTTTTATCTTCCGTATTTGTCAACCTTCATGTGCGGCTGAACCTGCATCTACATCTGCATCTGCATCACAGAGGCGTTTCGCCCACGCAGGAAAGATCCGCAGATTCTGACATCGTTGAATATCAACTGGTGAATACAACTATTCAGAATAAACAGGCAAGTTTACCGAACCCCATCGCCACATAAGAGCCATGAAGCTATAAATGTAAAGAGACATTGAGTGAGGGATAATACTTGCGTTTGCAGTCAGGAGAGTATCACCAATATCAATCTTCCGACTGCCAAGCATGTTATCAATCACTTTTCAATCCATTATCCTGGTGCTTCTGGGTGGCAGAGCCGTGAGTCAACATGCTGCGGCTTCCCAATGCCTTACCTCGCACCTTTCGAAAGATCAAAGCTGGAAGTCATGCTGCGATGGACCAAGCACTGGCACAATCGACTTGGGGGGAAACACCTTCGACTACACCTGCAACTCCTTCCTGAGCCCCCAAGAAGAATTCGCAGGCCTTGGCTTCTACAATGCGTACGAATGCGCCAACGCCTGTGTGGAGAGCGATAAGTGCCAATCAGCATTTTGGGATTCCAAGAATAACAAATGCTTTTCTGCCCCTTCGCACAGCCAAAAGATCACTACGGATAAGTACTTTACCATTCAAAATCGACGACCGAGTGCGAATCAGTCGCCAAACACGCCTACAGACTGCCAAAATGAAGTCGATCAAGCCAAGGCAGACTGCCAGACTACGGAGAGAGAAAGATGTGACAAACGTCTTGCCGATCAAGAGCAGTTGCTGCGGGAACAACTAGACCATAGGTCGACAGAGATGTGCAACGAGGAAAAAAAGAAGTTGACCAAACAATTTGAAGAAGATCAAGCTGCTCGGGAAGAAAAGAACCGACGGGCCATTCAAGAGCTGGAAGACCAGGTTTCTCAACTCAAGAACAAGAACAAGGACAAGGACCAAAAACCTGAACCCACACCGGGCCCTGGCGGTACCAAAGGCGATCAAATTGAACCTAGAACACCTGGGCCTACAGGTACTCCAGGGTCCAAGGTTCCTTCAGAAAACGAATGGAAATGTCCTGAGCAAGACGGCAAGGAATACACTGTGCTGGGAGTTACATACCGTGTCTTTTGCGAGTCCCAGCCCAGCGGCCAAGTAATGACCGGCGGCAGGCTCAATACGAAGCATCCAGAATTCTTGATGGCAATGTGCTCTGTCGACAGCAACTGTCAAGGCATCAGAGCCAAGAGCAGCAGTGCCGAACTAGTGCGCGATTATGAATTCCCTCCCAAGCAAAAGTCCAAATTCAGTGGGTGGTGGAGCATTGTTCCCGTCAGTCGAAAAACCGAGAACAGTGCCATTGTTCCTGATCTGTTCAGTCAGTCTACCACTGCTCCAAGAGCTGCCAAGGAAGCGAAGTGTCCCTCGATTGATGGCCAAAGTCTCGTTGTCGGAGGAGATGAGTTCCAGGTCAATTGTCGGGGTATGTATTGGCCTCGGACAACGATTCCTGCCCGGATAGCGGTCTCCTTTCGACAGTGTCTGGTCATGTGTACTATTGTTGAGTGGTGTCAGGGTCTGTGGTATGTAGATAGCTGTTGGCTCAGTTCTCAACATGAGGTGTTGGAGAAGAGTACACCAAGGAACCAGTTGTCCTCTTCTTATGTGGCAATGCTCACGGTGCCACGGATCTCTGGTGATCAGAAGAGTCCTTAGCTCTGAACAGTCTGTTTTTCGACGTGAAGCTTGATGAAAATGTTACAAAGAATGATTTGGTTGACAATTGCCCATCCTCAGTTGCAATCCATAATATCCTCTATATTTTGGTCCTCCGAGTATGCATAATAGTAAACAAATATTGATGGAAGCTTAGAAGCAGCCTTTTCAGTCCTACAATTTAAATTCCCCTGAGGCGTCTGGAATGTTAAAAATCTCAGCATTGAAGTACCAATAGATTCAGACAAATCAGCCATACAAATGATATAACTTTCACATCCTTTATCTTAACAAACATCTGCGAATATTAATTCTACTGTACTCAATCCATCTCGTCGTAGACCCAGTCTTCATGACAGCGGTATGAAACAAAAAGGGAAAGACCAAAAAAAGTAAACATGCAGCATCGGAATCAAGATCCCAACCAATAACTTTTAAGTGCTCGAATCCCCCAAGATCAGCGCCAACCGGACTAAAATTTGCCTGTGCACCATGTGGCTAAAAGAATTGCATTGCTGGAAAAGCAGACCTGCATGACCGGTTTGACAAGTTCCGTCGTGCAGCTGAAAGTACATACTGTGCTGTACTGCATCTCTCAAAAGCCAAATCAGACAAACCACCCACACTGATTGGCAGCTCGAAATTCACAAATCGCTGACGAACTCCAAGCGCCACCGTGATATAATCGTGCATATGTCTCGGATCGACTCCACCAACCATTATGCCAGCATACAGTGCAGTAAAAGACGCAGTCCAAAGATCTCAGCTGATGTCCTTGTAAAAACAAATCTTTTGCTTGGCCTAAGAACTGCCTATCCCCAATAGTAGATCCTTCACCACTGTCGATCCTGTGGGCCTAGCTGTGCATACTCTACAAGACTTCATCTCAGTGGCTCTGATTATTCAATTGGGAAAGTTGGCCGGGATAGAACTAGATTCCATGCGGGCGTCTTCTGCAATCACATCTACTTGTGACATATCAGCTTGGATGTGCATTGTCACACTCGTGGTAGGAATGGGGTTTATTCAAACCTATGGGGGATTTAATCATCACGCTTGACGATCGGTGTCCAATGCACGAGGCAATTCCAAATCGATGGTTTGCACGCACCGGGCTGAGCGGACTCAGCTGCGCTCTTTGACTTCATGTGTGATTCAGGTTTGAATTCCACGTCATGGAGATTTCAATCACATTGTCTTGAGCTATAGCTTGCTAGGAGAGATCCGACACAGAAGATCTGTCCGTCGCAGAGAGTTATAAATGCTGCCTGCCGACCATGGTGATGAATTCAGATTATTCTCTTTCTCTTCAGAGTAACACTTCACAACATTCCAAGAAATATTGCTCGCAGCACTCTGCCACATTCATCCAAGATGGTTTTCTACGCATACGCGGCGTCAGTATGGCTCACTGGTCTTGACTCGTCGAGTCTGATATCTCATACTAAAGATTCCGAACCTAGAAAACCGACATGAACGCCCGGTTCGTTATCACAGCACCATCAGTTGAGGCTGTGGATGAGTGGTTTCTCGACGCCCGAGCCGATGGACTCGAGGCCACAAGACATAGCCCAGAGTTCTACACGTACAAATATGACGTGGCTCAATGGATCTTTTCCTGGAGTGTTGGATCCGGAACAGAGGCAACCAAGTCCAGCAGGAACAAAGTCTTCTTTACTCGGTTCAATGACGCTGGGGGCATGTTTCAGTCCATGATTCCGAATCAGGTCGCGCCCAACCATATTTCCGGCAACACGTAAGTTCCCGAGGAACTAATTTATATTATTTGGTTCCGCTACTGATGACAATATCAGCTTCTACATTCGATCCAAGACCAAGCCTAATGTGTTCTGGAATGTCGACGGTGGCATCGTCTATGCTACGCAGCTCGCCCGCACCAAATTCAGAATCTCCATTCAAGGTGGATCAAAGGGCGATGTGATGATCCCGAAACATGATATTACGATCAGTGCACTTTTTAATAATCCATTGAGGGAATATACCGTTTACTGGAGTCCGGATAACAGTCTGAAGACTGAATTGGCGGATGTCGGTGGCGGCGCTCTGGTCCCAGGGCCCGGAGGCCAATATCCAGGACAGGGTTACCCGGGCTGGCAGACCAGTACTTTCAAGTTTGGCGTCTTTAAGAACAGCTTCCTTCCTCTTGGGAAGGATAGTGAGCTTGATGATGCTAAGTTGGCCTTTTACCAGGATGCTGGTGAGGAGTGGGAACTTGTTTCCTGAACAGATTACTTGTTGGGTTTGCTATTTGTATTTGGTGAGAGTTTGTTTATTGTTTGGATTTTGTCGGTTCTCTGTCTAAGATCTGTCTTTGACAGGTAGTCGATTTATGGGGTCTCGTTGGGCTTTTGCCGTTGCTGGGCTTCTTAATTTGTTTGTCTGGTCTCGTCTCAGTCTTTTCCAGTCTGTTAGGCTCTTTCGGGTATCTTATCATGTTGTCATTCTTTAGAAAACCAATTTATCCAGTGCTTATTTGTCATGTGCATCCATGTTTCGGAGATACTGGTGTCTGTGTTTTCGTCGGTGTTGAGTACTGTCATTAGGATTCTAGTGAGCATTCTGGGCCAATTCTACACCAGAAAACACTTGTTGAAAGACATTGAAGGCCTCTATCATGTATTTACCTGTAATTAAAGTCAATGTCATGGGCATATATTCTATAAAAATCTTCAATGTTTCTCAAAAAGGCCCAACCATATCCCTAACTCAACACCAAACTGCCCAGGCTGATCAAGCATACTAAGGTGCCCAGCATTCTCAATAACAACAACCTCCTTAGCCCTCAGAGCACTCCCTAATCTCCCAGCACTCTCCACGGGAATCCACAGATCCTCAGCCCCCCAAATAACCTTAACAGGCACATTGCCCCCAACTTCACCATACCTCCCTTCAACAGCGTCCGTAGACCTCAAGTTCGCCTGACACAGCTCTCTCAGAAAACCCACTCTACCCCCCTCTCTCATCCAAGGCGCCTTCAACATACCCATAACCTCCTTCGACAATTCATAAAACGCAGCATTGCGAATATAACTCTCCAAGATCCCCTCAAACGCCATATCAGGAAGCCGCTCAAAGTAACCAGGATCATCGGCAACGACGTCGAAAAGCGACTGACCGAATGGTCCTATGGCAACCACGTCGATCAGACACAGACTTGCGTACTGGCAGTCGTGGAGCAGGTGCGCTCGTAGGCTGACCAAGCCTGCGTTATCGTGAGCTACTATGTTGGCTTTTTGGCTGGGCCAGTCGCGCTGCCAGGACTTGAAGAGCGCGGCGAAGACTTCGGATTGGCGCGCCAGATCGGAGTCTAGTTCCTCTGCTTTGCTGGTTGTTCCTGTTCCTGTTCCTGGTAGGCGTTGTTCAGGAGGCGAGTCCCCGAAGCCCGGTCTGTCGAACAGATAGACGTGGAAATTACGAGAGAGAGATATCGCAAACGGCACCCAGAGTCTGTAGGACCACGGCGTGCCGTGGATGAAGATCAGTGGTGGCAATGTTGGGTTGCCTAGTGAACGCCATTGGACTCTGAAGCTATGAGTTGAATTTTGATATTCGAATCTCTGGCTCAGGGAGGTGGCCTCGTTGCTGTATACTGAAGTCATGCTTTGTGTACAGCATGGGTCTTTGATCGAATGAATAAATATATGGGGGTTGTTGGTTTGGGAAGTGCCAGCAAGGGTGAATATGAACCGGGAAACCGTGAAATCACACCGCTCTTTCAGGATTATCGTCACTGGGGAATAGTAGGGGTTTCGAGATTATGAACTTGCATCTGAGCCTATCGGCTGAGGCTTTGCGTGACTGACGTCGTTTTCTGCCATTTCTTTGTTCGCTGGCATGACACCCCGGGTTTACCACTAATCCCTATGGGGAAAGATGTATAAGTTGTTCGTTGATCGCTGTACGTATGTGACTGTTGATATATCTAATCCTCTGTTTATGCAAAGTCATAGCATGGTAACGTACTAGCACAATTCTCTCGTTTGGGGCGGTTCTGCGTGTGGACCCGACCGTTGGCGACGATCGAAGACATGGACGATCATCCATACTGTAGCTGGGAAGATCTCTTATGATCTGCACATAACGTTATGCTATAGTACTATTTATGTCATTTAGTGAGGGTACACTGATAGTTGGTCACTGGCCCGAATGGAGTATATAAGAGAGTACAGCATCCATGTCATACTGATCGGGCTGACCATCCAAGTTCACTATAAGTGATTTACCTCTATTTACTCCTGTTCAGGGCCAAGAATGATGAAACTAACGTAGAAATTGTACTGTCTATAAGAACCTCTAAAGAAATTACAATTCAAATTAATATATTTGACATACAAGATGAATTATACACAAGAAACACGCAAGCCCAATGGCCCAGCCATCAGGATGAAATGCGAGCATACTCCTTAATAGGAGGCTCCTCACCAGAATCCTCACCCTTGTAAGAAAGCGCCTCAATAACATTATAAACATAAGCCTCGACCTCCGTACCAAGCACATCAGTCAAGTCAAGCCCAGGAGCAACAAGCCGGTTGCACACGGTATCCAAGTCAACGCGAGCCAGATCCGCAGGACCATCATGCACCAGCGCATCGGCAAACAGCGCATAAACCAACGCATTGAACAACAGCGGATCATGGGTATACAGCGAACCAGCCGGCTTGCCCGGACAAGCGAGCTGAATCTGCGTGTTAGTGACGCCCACGCCGCGCACATCATTCAGACGCGCCGAGGCCTCGGGACCACTTTGCGGAGAAACCAGCTCGTCAATGCCTGAGTAGACACTTGTCGTGGGGACGTATGCCGAGTCGCCGTCGCCGGCGCGCAGCGTCGTGATCAAGTTGGAGTTGTAGCTTTGCTGGCGGAGGGCCGGCTTGCACACGGGGTTCGGGACCACGCATGGGATTTCTAAAAGGGTGCCGTGGAACTCGCCGCTGATGGAGAGGAAGTCCGAGACGGACGCCCATGTCGAGGGCCAGTACTTCAGCGCCCACTGCACGTCGATGCTGCCCTGGGACCAGGCTAGCACGCCGATCTGGGCGTTGTCGCAGATTCCGGCGATGTAGTTGATCGCGTAGGCAATGTACTCTGCTGTTACCTGGATGTCGCCGAGGGTGTTGCCGGGGATGTTGAGCCAGACTGGATCGGCAAAGTCGCTTGCTGTGAATAGTTTCTCGTAGTTGAAGTAGTACGTGGTACCGGCAGGATTGGCCGTGCCTGGGACGAGCAGGACTGGGCGTTTGCCATTGGCACCATATTGGAATCCCTCGGGGATGTGGATTGATGATCGGAGGGACTCCTCGCTGATATCGTAGGGTGCATCGCCGGCAGCCTTTTTGGGGAATATCGTGCTGATGGGTTCCTTGGTGTTGTTGTTGGCCATGGAATTCAACGACTCGGCTGTTAGGCCCTGCACGAGGTCGAGAATGTTTTTCGGTGCCAGGCCGTTCTTGACGACATCGATGGCTACCCCAATGAGACCCACTTCACTTGCATTGCGGACATTTCCTAGAGAACCCAGGGCCTCTTCGATGGTTGTGACGGGATCGATCTTGCCATTCTGGACATCACCCAGTGCAGACACTAGTAGCGCTAGATCTTGTGTGATGCCTTGTCCCAGGTAGGCGACACCCTCAATGGTGCTCGTGAGAATTGATAGCACGTCTGACAATCCGCGGGTCTCTAGTGACGAGGTAGCTGGCGAGACAGTCGCTGGCGAGGCCACAGCCGACGAGAGCAGTGGAAACAGCCACGCTGTTGTTGAAATGTACATGTTCACGGTGCATGTGAAAGATAGAACGTACCGCTCGAAAAGTCAAGACAACCACATTGGCCCCTGGGCCCCCATGGGTGGAACTGAGATCTCGGCTTTGAGTTCGGTCCGCAACCTTGGATTTCCAACTTCAGTTCGGAGTTGCTACGGCCAACCTCCGTCCAGACCCGGCAATTGCCTCGAGTTTGCTTATTGCCCGGGCTTTCCATTGGCTATTCTACATACTATTGCATGGATGGTTCCAATGGTTCTTCCATCTACGATTGTTGCTAAACATATCAGCTCTCCAGTCGAGACAATTGCTACTGCTCCCTATTTTGCGACTTGAATCATCCTTGCCGCAGAATTGCCGGTCACTGGGCTAGGGCCTTGGAATACTTTGCTAGTCTGCTAGTGTTGGCCAGCTGAAGCACCAAATGCCTAGATGCAAACTGTTCTGCCCACTCAGACCAGACCCTGTGGACCCAGGAACTCTGTGCAATGGGAAATTTTCACCATGGCCACCGATGGGGTATACATCGTGCAGATCGTCATATCACTATTGGTTTATTTTTAGGATTGATTTTACGACTTTATCGTATGCCATTCTCATGATATTACTCTGTATTCCTGGGTCAGTTCGAATGGAGCAACTAGATGATTCACAGAGCTCAGCCATCCTCTCACGAAGGAACTGCATTAGCTCTGGGGTTCCATCTAATGATCAGATCGCAGAAGAGAACAAGGTTTGTTGGGCGTCAGCCATAACCTTATTTACCGCACTTTGCCGCTTCCTGCGTATGCAAGGATTGTTTGGTACGAGATCTTGGTACTGTTTGTTGACTTTCATTTAGCTGCAATTGTGTGATTGCTGGTTGTCCTAGAGACATACGAGTCTGCTCATGTTAGCACCGGGAGAAGGAAGAATCAATCAGATCTCGAGTGTTCATGTTGAGTTGACACACCTGAGCTAGGGCCAATCAACATACCGCAATTCGGTGTACTTACAAGCTACTGTACAATATCACGCCGGGTGGCGTCAGTGGCTTATTGAGACTCCTTTTCATGTTTAAACCGATGTCGCTAAATTCGATGTCAATACAAGTTCTTCTAGGGGTTTTGACAATGCTTTATCCCTTTGAAATTCCCATCATCATTGTGGCAGCGATGATTACTGCCTTACTCCAAACTAACCTACGAGATAGATAGGGTGTACTCATATGTGGACTTCTGAGCCGAACACCTCTGCCCAGGTGAAGTGATTGAATCACGCCATGGCCGACCGCATAGTACACAAATCTAGTCATCACCAGCCCCCTGTCTTCTCATTCCGAAACCTCATCCCAACCGACATCTTTCACTCAGCCAAGTAAAATGACAAGTCAGCGGCCGCATCTCTCTCCCATTCAAGTTCCCCATTTCCGAGATACGAAAAGGGATCCGAAGTAGTATATCGGATATCAAAGTCCTCGCCCAGAATATCCTTGACAGCCTCTACAGATCCACGAGTCAACTCTTGTACAAAGATCTATTCACAATCTGTGAGCCACTGACCTTTGAAATGAATGACACTGCCCGGGTACATGGCCGTGACAGCATGTTCATTGTTATACCAAGCCTTGCAGTCCTTGCTCCACACCGTGTTTCTCAAGTTGGCCTGTGCACGTCGATTATAGGCTCGAACTGCAGAATCGTTGACAACGATGGATCTGTTGCACGGTTAATTTATTATGAGGTACAGGAGAATCAACCTACTTGATATCTTCACGGGTGATCTTCTGAACCCATTTAAGCATGTATTCGGCACTCCATGCCAACATCTGAGGAACGCTTCCATGGCCAATGGGGCAATTGGGACCCGCAAAAATAAAGTAATTGGGCATTCCCGCGGCACAGATAGAAAAGTAAGCCTCGGGGGGCTTCTTCCATTCCCAGTCTAGCCGTCGACCATCTCGGCCGACTAACTCCCATCCAGGAATAAAAGTAATGTCAGACCCGGTCGCACAGACAATGAGATCAAACTCTTCTTCTACGGCTGTAGTCCGAATCCCGCTCTTAGTGATCTCGTGAATAACTTCAAAACACCACTCTGCATTAGGCTGCTGCATAGCCTCGAGATATCCATCACCAGGGCTAAGTCGACGACATCCAATCTCGAATTTCGGGACGAGCTTCTCGATCAGATGTGGATTTTCAGTGAGCCGCTGTCGCATGAGTCCGTCAACCCCGGTAGCTCACATACGGTTATGCTCCGAGCCGGAGAGCATCAGTCGGTAGACCGTGTTCACACTTGCGGTAACTTATTAGCAACGCAGAAGCCTAGCACTGTCAGATTCGACATACGAGTTCTCAATGGTTTTCCTGTATGCCAAAAAGCTTTCAGGGTCGTTCCGAAACTTCAGCCTCTCCTCCTCGGTATACTCAAAGTTGGTGCCCATGCCGTCCTTGGTGATATCAGGGCACAGGTTGACCGAAACCCAAGTTGGGCGACGGATATAGTTGACAATCCTCGCCGCTCTTGGTTGAATCGCCGGCACGACTTGGATCCCAGATGAGCCGTTCCCAATAACGGCAACCCTCTTGTCGGACCAGTCGTAGGACTTGTCCCATACAGCCGTGTGCACGAGCTTGCCAGAGAACAGATCCAGGCCCTTGATATCGGGCATTTTCCAGCGATTGAGAATCCCAGACCCATCAATCAAGATATCTGCTTCGTCGTGGATGACTTTTCCGTCAATCTGTTCCAACTCGAGAGCCCACTTCCCCTGGTCTTCATTCCAGACGGACTTGGTCACTCTCGTATTGAACACAACCCGATCTTTCAGTCCGTATTTCTCTGCCATATTCAAAATATATTGCTCAATCTCTTCCCCGCCGACATAGCATCTAGACCAAGCAGGATTCGGCTCAAAGGGGAAGATATAGCTGTGAGCTGGCACATCACATCCAGCTCCCGGATACACATTATCCAGTCATGTGCCGCCGACTTCGCTATTCTTTTCGTAAATCGTGAGATCCACAAAGTCGAGCGGCTGCTCGTGTTTGAGCTTGTGCGCCAGGATGAGGCCGGAGAATCCAGCGCCAATGCAGACTACCCGCAGTCACCGGGTCTTGAAGACGTACTGGTTGGGGTTGACCTGGATTGGGTCACTTTGGGGATTTTCATTGGATGGCATTGTGGCTGTCTGTGTTTATATTTGTAGATTCTGGATTGGGTGTGTTGCTCTGTCGTGACAGACATTGGCTCTTTTATCTGTTGCGCCTTAGGGGTCTCACTAAGAAGTCTAGCGTGCGCATTTGATATGCCGAGGCCATGCGTTTTCCGTGTTTGGATCGGACAGCTTGAGGCCGTTTTATTGTTGTATGCGACGGTCGCAGATTGGTTCAATGTTGTCTCCGCAGACTGGGGTGCGAGTCATGTTGTGGGCCTGTTGTCGACCTTTACAGATTTTGATAAATCAGCTTCGGTTTCGGGTTTACTGCACGAATGGTTGATTTGTCTCATGCTCTTCTTTGACATTACTTTCCAGGGTAGAAATTGGTACATAGCCACTTTGCCGGGTGTCTGACTGGTGAGTTTGTAGGAGGACAACATGGCCTGGGAATATATGTTGGATTGTGGCCCTTTATGACTTGGCGACAGTGATCTAGCTGTTATTCCTCTCATCAAGCCATCTGTATTCTTATTCTACCTCGCTGTTCTGGTTTGTTGTCGGCCAGTGTCGTATTATTGGAGTCGACACGCTGATGTCACCGGGGAAGTGCATGTTCGATCTTTATGCATTTTGCACTGGGAATTTTGCGGTAGATTTGACCACCAATGTTATTGTCTTACGAGTTCTGGCCCCTATGGAATGGAACCTACAGATCATTGCTAGCCAATTCTTGGCAGGTCTCATTATCATGAGCTAATATTTGACATTCACGCGCCCGCAAGTGAGAAGGTAACATAGGATTGGAATAAAGTAGCGTGCTGAGTTTCATAAGCCAATACAAAGGTTTTACTCAAACAGACAAAAGATAAACTGTATCCTGTACGAACGATTCCCACACTCACAGGTCTTCCAGGGAGCTATCAGTAGTAGTAGAGTCATCATCAACAAGAGTAGGGGCAGTCGAGCCCAAAAAGTTCTCATCAGACTCAACCTCATCCGACCAAATCTCATCAGACTCCTCGTTTTCAGGCGGGTACTGCCTGGTCGCAACATACTCAATAAATTCCTGGTACACACGGTCCATCCAGCCCTCAGCACCATGATTGATGAAACGGTTGGTATCCAGAAATTCCCAGCCGAATCTCGTATCCTTGACAGCAGTGTTGAAGACAAGCCACTCAGACGACGAATGGACAAAGCAAGGCTGGGAACGAATGATACTCAAGGCCTGACAGAAGCAGTGGACGAAGACGGCGGGGTCCTCGTTGTCGGAGAAGCGCATCTGAGACCAGTCGTGGTACATGGCACGCACTATGTCGAAGTTGGGTTGCGGCTTGCCGTAGAGGTTTTCCAGCTGGAGGAAGGCCTGGCGGGAGCTGGTAATGCCGAGGATTATGCCGAATGGGATGGTGGAGGTCGAGGCGCGGATTGCTTTGAGGCCTAGGTTGTTGGCGCGGTTCCAGATCTCCAGCGTGATGGCATCGTCGGCTTGCTGGGGAGCGAGGTCGGTTGTGAGGCTGTTGGTGTTTTCTATGATTTGGTCTTCGGTCGATGCGTTGACGGGGTCGTTGTTGTTGGTTGTGAGTTTGGTGGTTGCCACTTCCATCGATGGGACTCGATTCCTGGCATCGGGACAGATAGCAATGCCTTCGATTACATCCCAGGCGTAGCGATCAATCGTCGACAGCTCGTCACGAAGACCGTTCTTCCATGGGGTCCAGTCGAGGTTGCCAGAGAGACTGGGGAAGGTCTGGGATTCCATGTTGATGGTTCTTGTACGAGGTAGCAATAGAGGTGTCATGGTCTTGTTGTCGAAGAGGGAGAGCGAATAAAAGACAATGCTGTGCGTGGAGATTGCTAGCAGAAGCAAAGCTTGGATTCAAGAAGACAAAACAGGCAACGCTGGAGCTGGAGAATAGAAGCAGACGCAATCAAGGCAGGCAAAACAAATAGATTCATTACCAGAGGCGAGCTCCCAAACAAAACATTGTCCTCAATTCTATTTCTCTGATACCAACCAACCACATGCTTCAAGTCCAGCAGTCCCAGTCTCGTTGTTCTCCAATCAGATCCATTGGCCATTGGCTGGTAGGGCACTATTGTCCACCCACATGGCGAATGCCATAGAAGGTCGAACAATATGAGAATTCTAAGGAATGACGAGTCTCTCATACTCAATTTCATTGGCTCCAGGTTGTCTATTCTGCGAGCAACTGCAATAGAATCACTGTTGGCGGATGTCAGTGGACATCAGCATCGAGGTGCATCGCATTAATCTTCAGCCTCATGCAACAAGACCGTTGGGATTGTCATTTCAAATCCAAACACACAGTTCCTATTGGCTCTTTAGCCGATTCTCGTATTAAGTCAATAACTCGGCTTATCTCTGTGTTGTCGTGCGGCTGAGCCTAGTCAGACGTGGCGCGGATCCCAAATCATCCCGGTTCCGCCATTGGCACTTATATATACCAAGCCCACATCTATTAGACGTATCTTCGGAAACCAATTTTGCAATCCAAGATGATTGAAAGCCGAGTAGAAATTGCAGCAACACCTTCAAGGGTGCGAGAGATTGTAGGTGCGAGGATGCGCGGGAGAGCACTCGAGGCCTATGCGCTAACATAAGCCATATCCAGTTTCTCGACTTTTCGAAATATTCGGAATGGCACAGCAGCTTTATCGCTTCTATTGAGACTGGAAAAGCTGACCAGCCATCGTATTCTCTTCAGCCGGGGGATGAGGTTAAATGTGATATCTTTGACACCAAGTTTACGGCGGTCATTACGGTACGGAGAACTGTGCAATCGGTCCCCGTTGGGTGATTCACTGCCTGGATAAAGGAGACTAATGCTGTTCAACAGGAGAACTCGGAGAAATTGTTCCAGTGGCAAGGTCCGCGGATGTATGGTATTGCTGGTCTTCACGGTTTTCACTTCGAACCAGCCAATAACGGAGTATCGACGACTTTCATACAAACAGAGACATTTTCAGGGCCTCTTGCTTTTTTGATGTCGCCTTACTTGCTTGGCCGTATGGTAATCGGGAGGATGAAGGGGTTTGATTCGGATCTTAAACTTCGCGCGCAGACTTGATATTTTGATGTTTCCTGGTGGATTGTCAGAGGTGAACAATTCGGTGAACCCTTGGTCTATCATCTTCTTCTAAAATAAATACGGTATGCTTGTTCAGAAGTTCCATTATAATATCACTGAAAAAGCGAGAGCAAGAAGATGTGGAGTTTGGCATGGGAGCAAGATGTATTCCTAAAGTATATTTTTAGAGCCTCTCCTCGTTTGCTCAGCACACACTCCAATGAATATCTATTTTGAGTGTAAAGTGAGGTCCTGCAAATCCCCATGTTTCCGATATTACATTGGCATTGATATACAGTGAAGGATACAAGAAGTATTGTTCATATGATACAAGCAACTAGGCAGAAACCAGAGTTACTAACTTATTTGTTTTATTCCTAAAAAACAAGGAAACAAGAACATGAGCATGGAGTAGATAAGTGAGTAACCAGACCTTCTCACCCCTCAGCAATGCATAATGCAAGGCCACTAAGATGGTGAACATGCAAGCTCAATATCGGACCCATCATCTATCTGCCTTGTATTATTTTTGGCGCCAGCGCCCATATTTTATTTTGTATTTCGTTAAACATCTTCAAACTCCTCGTCATCTTCATCCGATTCCTCGGCCTCCTTCTTAGCCTCAGGCTCGGCATCGGGATCAGGCTTGATCTCCGGCTCGGTCTTGATCTTCTTTGCAGCAGGGCCATCGTCAGCAGGGGTGGATGGTGTACCAACAGAGGACTGAGGAGCACTAGATCCGGAATCGAGTTCTCGCTTGATGCCAGCGCCACCGAACGAGCCGCTGGGAGCACTTGTAGGGCCCCCATTCATGGCAGGGGTACTCGGTCCACTTGGGCCGGAAACCTCAACATCTTCGAATTCGTCGTCAGAGTCATCCTCTGCACTGCTGGCATCTTCTTGGGCTTGAAGTGCCTTTTCACGTTCCATCTCAGCATAGTAAGCGGCAACCTTGTCGTCCAGGGCATCCAGATTGGGCTTCTCGTCTTCAGCAAGCTCGGGCTTCACCAAGTTGCCACCATCGGTCTTGGTCTGTCCATTTGCGGGGGTTGAGTTCACAGTCGAATGGGTATGCCAAACTGGAAGAGCATTTTGCTTCTCCACGGCTGCCTTCCGAGCAGCCTCATCAGCTTGTTCGGCGGCACTCTTTTCTTCGCTCGAGGTGAGCGAGATCTCCAATGCAGCTGCATCAGTCTTGGCATTGGGACGTGTGATATCTTGTGCCTTGGGAGGAACAACAATAGCGGCACGGACGGGGTGCGTGCTCTGGTTTCGAGGGACTTCCACCTTGTGATCCCAAGCAGTTTCAAAGTCATTGGCCGGGATTTCAACGGTGTCAATCTGCTTCAGTAGCTTCAGCATATTATCAAGTTGGGCCATCAGCTTGCTGTTCTTCTCGTGACCCGTCCGATCGATTCCCTCGACGCCCTTGACATCCTCGGTTCGTTCCAGGACTGCACCACAATTCTGGCATTCGAATCCTTCATCTCCAACCAGACTCAGCACGTCTAATTCAGTCCACTCGGTTCCACATCGGAGACAGATGTATTCCTTGCGCTCTTCACTGGGTGTGTATTGCGCTTTGATGTTGGACGTCAACTTGGAGACCTTGTATTTGATCGCATCAACAACCGGATGCAGAGGAATGTAGTAGTACTCGCGGTTCACAGGACGAGTAGACCCATCGCGGATCTCGGCGCGAGTGCTCCTATATTCAACAAAAATTTCAAATCAGCTCAGCTTCGTTTTGCCATGCAATATGCATGCCAATGGCCAGTGGTTCATACACTGCGATCAGCCGGTCTTCGCGCAGCTTGGCGCAAAGCTTGCGGAGGTCCTTTTGTTGCATTCCCATCAAGAAAGCTAGATCCTCAGCGTGGAGACTATGGAGGTCAGTACATAGGTTATTGAGCGTCGCTCCGAAAGACCAGCATACACTGAGTGTAGGAAGAGCGCATCGACGACCAGAATGTGGCGGGTCTCATAGAAGGCGCGCGCCACAGTCCGGATGAGGGTATTCGCAAGATCCATAGCGGTGGTGGGAAAGGTGTCCGATGTGGAGGATCGAGGTCAAAAAGTTATGCGGGTGAGGACCGAAGAGAGCGCAAGGCTTCAACTCGCAGGGTGTAATTCAAATTTGAACAGAATGAGCATGCTTTGATCTCCGAAAAGATACAAAGTAAAAGGAGTGACTGAGAGAAGGGCGCGCCGGGGCTCTAAAAGCGCCAAGTCTGTTGAGTGAAGGAACAATGGGTGCAATTGAGGCTGGAAGCTTCATGTCACATGCAAAAGGATTGACGCCTGAGGCAACAACCCTAGCCTATCTAAGCTTAGACTCTTGAACACCACGCTAGGCCCAGATAGGACTAGGGGCGATATGGAAAAGACGAGCCGCGGAGACGAGGGCAAATTCCCCAAGTCATTTTCATGCGTCCCTCAATTGTCAGGCAGAACCTCTCTGGGATCCTTCCGACTCGAATCCCAACTTTCGTCAGCTCAGTTCGACGCAGCACCCGAAGTTTTGCTCTCAGCTACCCGCTCTCCTACACTCGTTTAGAAGAAACGAGATCTCGCGCCGACCTACTGAAGATCTTTGAGCGGATACAATGGCCGCAAACCCGTCAAGAGGAGGAGGAGGTGCTGGAAGGCGTCAGAAGCGCGATATGGGACGAGCCGAGTGGGCGTATGTTGCATCAATTGGACTCTCCGTTCATTACATGGTCAGCTAACTAATTCTTAAGTCGCCAAGGCATAGATAAGAGAGAGCGCCAGACGCAACAAATGGAAGCTAAGCGTCGCCGAATTGAAAATGGTGAAGAGATTACTCTGCCCATCTACGCGACCGAGTTCACCAAAGAGGAAATCGACGGAGAGGAGCGGCGCCCTAAGAAGAAGGTGGCCGTGTTGATTGGATACTCCGGAACTGGATACTCGGGCATGCAGCTGTATGTATACGCTCGTCTATCATATTATGTTCTTTTGCTGACAATGTGAGTAGGAACGAGAACCAGCGCACCATTGAAGGTGACCTGTTCGCTGCCTTTGTCAAGGCCGGCGCAATCTCCAAGGCCAATGCGGCTGATCCTAAGAAGTCTTCCTTCGTCCGTTGTGCGCGCACAGATAAGGGTGTGCATGCTGCCGGAAATGTTGTTTCTTTGAAAATGATTGTCGAGGATGAGGACATCATGCAGCGGATCAATGAGCACCTCGGTCCCCAGATTCGCGTCTGGGGCTACGAGGTCACAGCGAAGAGCTTCAGCTGCTACCAGATGTGTGATTCCCGTGTATATGAATACCTGATGCCGAGTCACTGTCTGCTACCCCCTCACCCCAGCACTTATCTCGGCCAGAAGATCACTGAGCTCGCCGAGAAAGCTGGCGACCTAGACAATGTCAAGGCCCGACAGGAGGATGTCACCGGCTACTGGGAAGAAGTGGACGAGAAGTACATCAAGCCCATCTTGGCCAACGTGCCCGAGGACGTGCGCCAAATTGTCGAAAAGTCGCTCTACATCGACGACTCCCGTGAAGCCCTGCAAGCCACCGAAGAAACCAAAGAGCCTCTGGAAGCAACCACAGAGACCACCGAAAAGCCCACCGAGAAATCCACAGAAGAGCCCAAAGAAAAGAAACCCTTCGTAATGGACGACCGCCAGAGACTCATCATCGACACCGTCAAAGCCGTCAAAGCAGCCTACCTTACAGCCCGCCGAGCCTACCGCGCCCCTGCGTCGCGCATCGCCCGGCTGCAAGACGCACTCACCCAGTACGTCGGAACAAAGAACTTCCACAACTACACAATCCAAAAGACACACAGCGACCCCTCGGCCAAGCGCCACATCAAGAGCTTCGACGTCAACACGTCGCCAATCATCATCGACGGCACAGAATGGCTCAGCCTAAAGGTCCACGGACAAAGCTTCATGATGCACCAGATCCGCAAGATGGTCGCAATGGCCACCTTGATCGTGCGCGCTGGCTGCACCCCCGATCGTATCGCCGAGACATACGGCCCCGACCGTATTGCGATTCCCAAGGCGCCAGGTCTGGGTCTCTTGCTTGAGCGGCCTATCTTCGGCGCATATAATACCAAGGCGAAGGCTCTTGAGCGCGAGCCTATCCATTTCGATAAATATACCAAGGAAATGGATGAGTTCAAGCAGCGGGAGATTTATGATCGGATTTTCAGGGAGGAGCAGGAGAGCGCTGGGTATGTTATATCTTCCCCCCTTATCCCTTTCCCGGATGTCAACGCAGTACCGGAGAGAAATCAATTATACTGACTTGTTTTTGCAGATTCGGTTCTTTCTTCAACCATATCGATCACTATCCCGCTGATTACTTCCTCTATGTCACCTCTGGGGGTATCGCCGCGTCTAAGCTTGCCACTGCACCCGCTGCTGCATCGGGCTCTAAGGGTGGCACCAAGGCCCAGAAGGAGGCGCTCGCTGCTGTGGAGGGTCTATCAGAAGACGAGGCTGCTCCTGCTCAAGGAGAGGAGGAGGGATAGAGTTTGATAGAAAGTCATATAAAAATTCATCTCGACGTTCCATTCAAGGAAATAAAATCACCAGGGTCTGTGGACCTTGTCCGATGTCATCTCATCTTATATCTCTCTTCTCCATCCCCCAAGGAACCATAGATAAAGCACCAGATCAGCAATGCTTAATTCATCCTGGAAACAGCCAGCTACTATAGATAGTTATGCCATGCGCAAAGCAGGAACTGGCCCATAAAAGCGACCATTCCATGGATAAAATAACCCTGCACCTGCTCATCGCGAGCCAGGAGAAGAAAAATAACGGTAAACGCCAGATTTAATCATATGTGGAGGAGCAAAGAAAGCAAAATTCAAAGCAAAAGTTCGTTAAATCCGTAACTTATGTGAAACCCCCATTCCGAGTCACCACCCTATCCCCATCATCACCAGCACTGATTGATCCCGATCCCATATGACGCTCGCTGAATCCGTTGACAACGCAAAAACGCATGAGAATAAGACAAGAAAGGAAATGAAATGAGAAATCACGCATTCTTTAGGAGCATGCATTTCTTAGGGGCTTCCTGCGACTCCGACTTCGGAATCACTGGCCATTGCTGAATTCGCTTCCCATTCCTCAGGAGAAGGTACGTCTGATTCTGAGGGCTTGGGTTAGACTCATTTCATGAGGGTCACTGACTTAGAAGTCATGTACGTACCGGACGCTTGGTCGTCAGCGAAATCTTCCATGGTCAAGGTTTCAAGAAGCATTATGAGATCTGAAGTAAAGGTCATGTTAACAACGTTGTACGGAGGGGAGAGAAAAAGGTGCTTAAAAGCATGGTTGACACATACCTTTGGCCTCCGTGACAATTTGCTGGTCCTCCTCGCTGTCGGTAAAGTATTTGCCCAAGCAATAGTTCATCACTGCAACAATACGCTCGACCTGTCTATCGTCGACACGACGAGGCGGGTCCTTCACGAATGCCGTCTTGATCCTATCGATGCAGGCGCGGACCAGTCCTCTGCCAATAACAGGGCGTCGCTTTTCAAGGGGATTGTTGGTCTCTGGACTATGATCCGTTTCGTCGTTCTCTTCGCTTTCATCAGAGGTGGATTCCTCGTTGCCCTCAATGAAAACCCAGACACTGAGGATGTTCTGCATGCTAATGCGAACATTCTCATTCCTGTCGATGAGCAAAGTGGGAGCCCATGTTGGAATCATAGTGAAGACAATCTCAGCGAATGCCTCGCCGCTCAACTTGAGTCGCTCGTTGGTACTCTGACACAAAGTGATGAAGAATGTAATGTGCTCCTGACCACCGCTGCTATCAATGCTCTCCACGCCGTTAGCGACCCAGGTAATCATGTCAATGACTCGCTGCTTGCTAGGGCAGTGCTGACAGAAAACCACTGCGGCCTCGAGGAAGGCTGTACATTGGATGGCAGGCTCAATCCTCAGTCCGTTCTCAATCGCTTTTTGAATCGAAGGGAGGAGGCCTGCGGCGGGTTCTCCTTCCAACAAGGTTGCAAGGATTGAACGAGCGGTCTGGGTCTTTGAAAGGGTCTCATGTCTGAAAATTTGCCTCACAATGCCAAGTGAGCCATCCTTCTCGATCGACTTCATGAGTTCCATCTCAAAAGGCCTCAGGGACATTTTGTCGTTGGAGATAGTGCGTGGCTCGCTACGACCGACGGGCTCAAGAGACAGATCCATGTGTTTCAAAAAGATATGGAACAGCGATAGCATGTTCAGGTAGGTAAACCGACGGCCCTTCTCAAATAGACGTGCGTAGTTGGGGAAATTGGCCCTCATCCTTTTCTTGTCATCCTCGTCGAACCAGAGGATTTGCAGGCAGACAACGAACAGATGTTTATCAGCGAGATGATTAACAACCCAAGGTCCGTAACTGCACAACCTGACAAAGAAACCAAAGTAATCCTCCCACACCCGCGAAATGCTCTGGACGCTGGGCCAGACCTCAATCAGCATGGGTACGAGACGTATAATGGCTTCTTCAAAGGTGTTGCGCCAGAAAGCCAGCTCACCCTCTTCACGATTGGGGTCTTTTGACAACGTGTAAAGGTGCTTGATGGCAAATGAGATCAACAGGATTTCCTTGTGCCGAACCTCTGGCTGGGGCATCTTGGTCATGAGATTGCGGATTGGCGATGTGCGGTCGAACATCCAGTCAAGAGTAGAGCGGGCGGCGTTGGGGCTTCCACTGATCATGGCAATGAGTACAGTGAACAATTCTTGATGTCCCTGAAGGTCCTTTGTTCTTGAGACCATTTGTTCGAATGTGTCCATGCCGACATTAACAGCTAACGTCTCTGCCAAGCTCTTGTTGGGATTATCTTCAGGTATGCTAGAGAGGCGTTGAAGCAAACTCTCGACGAAAAAGGCATACTGGGGATCAAGAAGGCAGTAGGTCCGAATGAGAAGTTCGTTGTCCATAGCAATGTGATTGCTGATCGGAACAGAGACAGGAACATGCACCGGGCTTTGGGACTTTGTAGGCTTGTACACAGATCTGGATTCATCCATAGTCGAAACACGCTGATAGAAAAGCATGTATGCATTCCAGACCTTGTTCTTGGGCTCGCCATTGTACTGCATCTGCTCGCTGGGGCCGCCAAAGCAGTGGTCCGCGATTGAACTTGGGTCGAATCTGGAGACATCCGAGTCATTGAACTCCACCCAAGAGGCTTCTCCGCCGGATGAAGGTCGCTCAAGGGTGTAAGTGTAGTAATGCCCTGATTCGGCAGTACCCGTGTGGACAAGGACACCAGTCAATTCAAACCAATCCGATTGGACAGGCTGCTCGGGATCAGACAGATGCTCGACCGTGTATGGAGTCATGTCAATATGACGTGCGAACATGAATTCATCGTCGATCTTGCTCCTCAGCATAGTCACCATATCAAAGTCGAACCGTTTGAGGTGGAAAATCAGATTGTCGGGAACGTCTTTCAAGCATGCTCGCTTCACAGCATTCACATGATTATCGCATGAAGTGCAGAAGTATTTGTTATCGCCTTGCATGACCTCACCAGCGACGTAAGCGCGTAAACTTTCTTCGAGGCTTGCTTTGCCCTTGATTTCGCACTGGATGGCTGAGAATGGCTCAAGCCTTTCGGATATGTGAGGGCATTCCATCGATTTGATCTGCTGAACCAATTGACCACCGTAGAACGAACGGAATTTCTTTTTGCTTTCCGTATCGAGAACCTGAGACTCCCAACGATCAAAGAGAAGGTTGTAAAACTCATCGACATCCATCTGGATGGTCACATCAATGGGTTCATTGTCAAAGGTCCGAATACTGTCAACGAAGTCCTGCGGCTCGATGCTCTTTCTCCAGGTCTCCTGCATCCACGTGAACAATTTTTGGGTCTCAAAGAGTAGCTTCTGAGATTCTGAATCCGCAATGTGAAGCTTCAAGATGAAATCTCGGAACTCAATATTCATGAACAATTGTGTCATCAATGAATTGAGGTAGCAAGTATTTGAAAGATTTCTCAAACCAGCGTAGCCCTCTGGGGAACGAATCATCGCCGATCGATCGAAAGCCCAGTCGAAGTGAATGACGTCTCGTGGGACAGTTGTGCTTAGGCTTTCCATGATCCGGAGGTAAGTCTCGTCGCTTTGCTTGCATAACAAATTGACAACACTGTAGAGACTTTGGCGGGTGCCGCTATTCATGACTGGGGTTTGAGCTTCTAACTTGTCGTCTGGCTCCGGTGAGAGGTCTGGGAACAGGTACTTCGACAAAATTTGCTCTGCAATGTCCAACGTGTCCAAATGGACATTGGCAGCATTGGCCAGCTTGAGGCACCATTCTAGCAGAGAAGAGAACCCAATAATCAAGTTATCAACTGGCTCGCGTCCAATGAACTCTTCAGTCTGGTGCGAGAGCATGAACGAGCTCCAGTGTTTGAGATAGTCATTGAAGATCAGATCGCATGGTGACTTTTGAGCGATGGTGCGGAACATCCACAGAGCAGCAATGAAGAATTCCTCAGACTGGTTGGCATAAAGAGGAGTTTTGGGAATTACCTGTACCAGTGAGTTCCAGAGCGTAGCAAGTATATCAATTCGTAGGGGATTTTCGGTAGACTTTTCAGCGTCCTCGGCAGATGTACTTGACGGCAACTTGGACGGTTTCAAAGGGCCGCAAATTATCTTGATGCGTTCCAAGACCTCAACCCGTATAGGCTTTCGGCTATCGACGAGGAGCAATGAGAGAATCAATCCGTCGAATTCGGCATTCTCTTTGACGGCATTCCAGATGTGTTGATCACGCACTGAACCATCAAGCAAAACCGCAAAACAGCAGCAGACCAACTTCGGAAGACAAAGTACCTTCCGTGAATCAGGAGAGTCTTCTAATCCGAAGTCAATCATCTTGCATAGGCGCTGAACCAAAGAGCTTGGCTCGGCAACCAAAATGGCATTGGCATCAGCCGAACGGTAAACAGAAAATGCGAAGAGAAGACACTCGACGGCTTTTGTAGCGAGCAAATAGCCGATCGGGTCTCCATTCATAGACTGAAGCAATTCATCGCCCGTCAACAAGGTAACTAAAACTTCGATGCTGTGAGATACAAGGTCACATCGCGGAGGTGTCTCCAAGGCCTCCTCGTGCAAACAACTTGACAGTGTATTGAGGGAGTAAAGGGCCTTGAACGGCTTTTGCAGGGGGAACATGTCTTTTTCGGTATTGTCAATAGACCGGACCATATTGACAGCTTGTTCTTGGGGTGGGAAGACGACCAGAAAGTCAAAGATCTGCCGAGCCAAGTGGTCCTTCAATTCGAGCAGATCATAGAACTCATCGAAATGTTTCAGAACTTCGCTGTCGACGGATGTCAAGGATTGACTCCGACCAGCCCAAGGAAGCTCGTGGGCATTGGGTGCTTTCCGTACAATGAGCAAACCGGAAGGAAGCTTCAGATTTTGCACAAGGGCATTGGGATCCTGAAGCAACTCCACCTTCTGCCCACCGATGATAGTGGTCAGCTTGGAAAAGCGACTCAGCTGTACAAGGCGTTCAACAAGTTCTGCAGCCGTCGAGAGAGAACCAATTTGCATGGTATCAATCTTAGTTGAAGAGTTGCCACCAAAGCATTGATATTGGATGCTAATGGGCTCGCCTTTCAATGGGCGCTCAGGAATGCGGGGGGAGTGCCACGGGGAGAGTTGTACTGCGGCCTGGCGCGCAATCCATGCAGCAATTGACGGAGGAAAAGCAGTGAACGACTGAACATGAGTTCTTCTCCCCCAAGATCTTGAATCGAGGTATCAACTTCCATGGAAGAATCTCCGGTGGGTGTTCCATTGGAAGAGGGTCTCAATGCCGCCGCCGCGGACTTCAGTTGATCCACGCAGCGGCCAACTAGAGCGATATGGGTTGCCTCAATAGCCGAGCGCGGAGCCCTACGGATGATCCCATGGTCTAGATAGACATTGATGGCGAACTTGATTGCATCGCCTTCGATTGTGTTTGGCGGTGCAGTCAGAATGAAATTCCAGATCCGATCCATCCCAAGGATAGAGATCACTTCATCTTCACCAGCCGTGGGAGGCATGTTGACCTGAATTTGATAATTAAGTGATTGTTGGGCAAACCACAAAACTTCATGCGAATAATCGACGGGCAAGAGGCTGGGAAGATACTCATGGATGCAACGCTCCAGGAACGTATTCTCTTGGACACTGCGGTTGGCAACATCAACCATTGTCCTCCAAATCATTTGACGCTCTTCCAAAGTCAGATTCTTGGATAGGAGAACTTCATTCCAAAGCATGTTGCCCAGGTCGGATGTGATCGTCTCTGGTGCCATATCGATCAGGCGCCTCAGGATTTCCACCCTAGAGGGGAAACCGTGACCAAAAGCCAGACCCTCGCGCTCGCGCTGGTCTTTATTCACAAAATTGTGAAGTTCTTTGATCACCAGTCGGGTCAAGTCGAAATCATTTGCAAGCTTCCAGATCTCCGGTGCATCATCGAAGGGCACCAGGGCGTTCAGTACCTGAATACTTCCTGCGCTGGACGAATTCATATCGGCAATATCTTGGATGCAGCGTTCGTATGTCTCCACTTTATCTAATTCATTCAGGCCTGCCTTCATGAACTGACCCAGCTGTTCGCTGCCGAACGACTGCATAAATTCCCTCTGGTCGATGGCTATGTGTGATGCACCGGAGCCCTCTCGAATCAGTCGAACACAGAGTTTCAGTGGAACCGCGTCTACATGTGCCAGTTCTGGCTCCCCACGGTCGGGAGGTCGTTCCCGCATGCGTGGCACAAGCTCGTCGCAAAGCTCCATTATGCGGCTGTCAAACCGCTCTAAGGGCAATTCGAGTAACTTGGAACACACATATAGCAATGGGGCAGATCTGCAAGAATGAATGGGGAGCGTTCGCGAAAGCATTTTGATAACTTCGGAAACAGTTCTATCATCTTGACTTTCTGTGATGGTCTTCCAGATCATATCCGAGTCCGCATCGGTGTACGTATCGGTCATGATCAAGAATCCAAAGATGTTGCTTGTGCGGGCGAGCAATTGGGGGTGGGAGTCGATACCCACCAGATAATCGAGTATCTTGTGGTCACGGAGCAACTTTACCAAATACCTCATAAGCACGATTGCAGAATCCGAAGAGGTGGCAGTTGTATTCTGAGTCCAAATGCTGACCAGATCCGATTGCATTGTCTCAACGCCGTGGACTCGAAGCTCCATGCGACCTTCCATGAGGTGTTTCTTCATTGCATCAAATTTCCATGCCCAAGTGACAGCCATCACCCGATGGGGTTCAGGAAGATCCGCGGGGAATTCGAGCCCCAGGTTCTTGGAAAGTTGGTCCACAAATTGGTCATCGGCGGAGCAAATGAAATTGTACGCACGGAAGACTGATCGGATGAGATTGTCACTCACATCGCTTGTAGCTAGTGGTGATTTCTTGGTGACATACTTCTCATGTTGTGTAGCAAGGGCTCGAGTTGTATTGAAGAAGTCTTGCAAGCCGGGTGACGCGGATGCGGAGTCAGCTGTAGAGTCAGAGACACCAGTCCAAGTCTGATCCAGATCGACTCCAAGTAAGGTGTTGATGCACATCATGATTTGTGGTAGGTGCTGAACAAGTGTAGGTTGCGTCGGAACAAGAGAAAGAACGATGGCAGCATAATCAAGCAGCTGGCGCGATGCATTGAATGGGGGTTGCGCAATGTCATCTTTCACTGAGAGAAGGAATTGGTGCATATCAATCCGACATTGCGCATCCATAGTACGGTAAAGTGGAAGGTTGGAAACATGTAGCAACCAAGGGAAGCCAGCAAGGTAACGTCTAGAGGTAATGGGGACACCTTCCAGATCTTCATCGGCTTGTATCAAACTCAGAGATTGGGTGTCTATGTGAACGAAGTGAAAGACTAGGCGGGCGTAGTCGAGCAGAAGTTCTTCGAGAAACACCAGAGGGTCGTCGTTATTGTCTAATTGCAGCATGCGCTGTCTGCGCATAAGACGATCCATGATCCATGGGAAGTTTTCCCAAAATTCCGTGTCATCCATGAAGGCCTCCAGCGTTACTCGGTCGAGGTTCTTCACGCAAGTACTTAGCCATTGTTTCGTTGCAGCCAGTGCGATGCCTTCGCGTACGTGTCCTGCTAGAATATTAGTTCGTGTCATACCATATGCGATAGGGATGCCGCTCACCATGTTCTATCATGTCACCAATCCCCTTCAAGTTGTCTCGGGCTCTCATGTCTTCGTGTAGCTTGGGGAAAGCGTCGGCTAGAGATTCGTTATCTTGTGCCTCGACTTCCATGTCGCCTTGGTCGTTAATAGCCTCAGCAATAGGTTTCCAGTTGGAATGGTTCGATTCTTGGTTCATATCTTCGAGGTCGGCAACTTCGATTTGAGGAGAGCCCTGGGAGGATGAAGAGTGTATGGATATGACATTGGCGGATGCGGCATCGGAGTCGACTTGGAGCTCCGAGGCATTGTCTGGAAGCTCAGATTCGGTGGAAGGAAGCTCAAGGGCGGCAGGGGAGGGAGGAGATTTCATGTTAATGGTGACTTTGCTCGCGGGGCGAGCTGGATCTTCGTCCATTTCCGAGGCAGGCACGGATGACGGACGAGACATTTCGTCGACGGACAAAGACTCGCTCGCACGACTTCCACTGTCGAGGCGCGGACGCTTCCGGGTCGCTTGAGGATCAAGATCCTCCATGGAGTCGCGTACTTTGTCTTCGCTCAAGGGAGTGTCAGGTGTGGGGTGGTAGCTATCTGGCGGGGATACTGCCATGACATTTTCTGCCGGGGCAATGGTAATAAGAAAGGGATGTAGAATGGGAAAGGAAGAAGAGAAGAAAAGGGTGAGGTCAACGACGTCAAAGACGCGCGAGAAAAAGAGAAGCGAGGCAGTGAGCAAATGAAGTTGGATCAGTTAAAGCGGTCGACAGCTTTTTTGGGGGGACGCGCCAGAACCAGTGACGTTGCGCTGAGAACCAGGATCGGCACCTTAACAAAGCACTCCGCATGAAGATTTGATTGCTCAAGTGAGAGTCAGTGAAATGAATTTCAAGCTGGAGGGACTTTATGCGCTTCCCATTTCATCATTAACTCACTGCACTAAGTGGCGCTAATGTCAAATGAGCCGTGGCAGCGCTTATGCGATATGCATTGCTCTGCCTAGCATAAGCTAGACTCTATACGTGGATCGCAGTGGGATTGCGCTCGATTTCATTCAATCCATTCTCTCTATATTCTTGAATGGGCTAGGCGTGCATGGCATATATGTTACGCAGCAATTTCATTGATATAAGTCTTTATAGATGCAAACCGATCTTCCGTCGAATGCAAGATCCCATCCTCATGCGACTAGAGAGAACCTTTACTCTGTCATGATCGTTTCAATCCGACGAATGATTCTAGCTGGATTTCCAGCCGCGACGTGGAAAGCAGGAACATCCTATGCATGTTAGTATATGGCTGTCGATTGCGTTCTAGTCATGTCGATATAACATCCAAACACTAGTAGCACATACCTTCGTCACCACACTTCCAGCTCCAATGGTGGCACCCTTTCCAATCGTCACTCCAGCAAGTACAATCACATTCCCTCCCAGCCAGCAGTCTTCTCCAATATGAATGGGCTTTCCCAGCTCAGGGCCCTCGGTTCCATTTCGTACAGCAGGATCGAGAGGATGAGTTCCTGAAAATAAACTCACATTCGGACCTAGCATGGTACGGGCACCAATGGTAATAGGACAAGTATCAATGAACACACAGTTGAAGTTGATAAACACACCATCTCCAAGTTTCAGGTTGAATCCATAGTCTATCTTGACGGGTGCTTCCACCCAGGGCTCATTTTGAAATAGTTCATCATCTGCGGCAGCATCATCTAGCTGTGGGGGTAGAGCAGTCTTGTCTTCGGTGATGCTATACAACAATTTAGTATTCAGTAGGATATGATAGACAGCCATCACATATTTCCACAAACCAATGCAGACAACACTACTCACTCTCTCCACATTTCCACCAATCTCCGACGAGGCACTTCGTCCGAGTTATTATAGCGATTACAAGCCCATTTGCAGCGGGTCCGAGCTGCAATCAGATCTGGAGTGAAGGCACGATAGAGCTCCCCGCGGAGCATTTTCTCTCTTTCGGTCGACATGATGCAAAATCAAGAAATAAGGAGAGCAAGAAGTAGAGAGTAAATAAAAGGACATTTCGATCCGAACTACACTAGGCACGCGGAGTGATGTGTCATGCTCGGGAACAATAGTAGACGCTAAGATTGTTAAGATTGTTCTCCAACAATGAAACGTCCAGTACTGTATAAATGGTCTTTCGTCGCCGCCAAATCTTTCTCTTAACAAACTCCCCCAGTCTATACCAGACCTCCCAATCTCGATCCTCCAATTGACTCCAACCCCCAAAAAATGCCAGCAAAAACAACCGGCTCCGAGCCAACACCAACCACAACCACAACACAAAGCAACACACGCTCCAGCGAACCAGGCTGGCACCCAAGACACACACGCAGCACCAGCGCAGCAAGCTCCAGCTCCAACATGTCCAACCCCTTATCCACCACCTCTGACTCCTCCGAATCCTCCTCCACCCCCGAAATCGACCTGGCAAACTACCCCACAGGCAAAATGTCCCTCGGCGGCATCTCCCTGCGCGCAATGCTCCTAGGAACAGCTCTAGGCCTATCAAGCAGCCTGGCCGTCCTCCTATCAGCAACAACCACCACCCCGCTCTGGCGCGTCCCCTTCTTCATCGCCGCGCTGAGTCTGTTTCATTTCCTCGAGTTCTGGGTAACGGCACAATACAACACACGCTACGCCACAGTCTCTGCGTTCCTCTTGTCCTCGAATGGATGGGCGTATAATGTTGCGCATGGCTCGGCTGTTGTGGAGTGTTTGGTATCGCATACTTTCTGGCCGGGCCAGTCGAGCATCGCGCGCATGCTTTCGGTGTCGGTCCCGGGGTCGATCTTTGGTGGGCAGGTCTCTCTTTTGTTAGTTGGAGGGTTTGTGTTGCTGCTTGTTGGGCAGGTGGTTAGGACGATTGCTATGGCGCAGGCTGGGGGCAATTTCAATCATCATGTGCAGAGTCGGAGGCAGGAGGGCCATGTCCTTGTTCAGGAGGGGCTTTATCGGGTTCTTAGACATCCGAGTTACTTTGGGTTCTTTTGGTGGGGGCTTGGGACGCAGTTGGTTCTTGGGAATGTTGTTTGTTTTGTCGGGTATTCGCTGGTGCTTTGGAGGTTCTTTTCCAGTCGGATTAAGCGTGAGTACACTGATCTTTTTTTTTTCATTCGAAAGAGTTGATTGCTGACTAGTTCTTTTCTCTGCAGGTGAGGAAGCTTACTTGATTTCTTTCTTTGGCGATGCGTATATCCAGTACAGGAAGGATACACCCGTGGGCATCCCTGGTATTTGATTATTTACGGCTTTAACATATGTCTTTCGAGTAAATACGATGGTCTTTGAATACTGACAGAGCTGGACTCAATTGATTGGAATTCTGGTATATGGTATAGGACATCATCCACCCGTAGGTATGGTGGCTCGATCCCTGGGCTCGTACATTGTCATTATTATAGCTTACTCTCAGGTGCAACACTACCGACAGCACCACTCATGTAAGGCCCACTCTCATCCGACTCACTGGGGGCAGTCTCGGCTCCGAAGAGGACAAGTTCACGTCCCCCCTCGGTGCTCCACCAAGTGACACAGCAGTGAGCACGGTCGACATCCATCTCGCCTCCAGCTAAAGCTTCCCAGAACCGATCAATACATGTATGCCGCATGTTGCGGTCAGCAATTGCATTGATTAGTTGTGCCGCCAGGGGAAGCCACTCCTTCAGATCGTCAACTCGGAGGAAGGAAAGAGAATCAATGAGAGCAAGAGTCAAGACGGCTTGTTCGGAGAGAGGTGGACCTTGACTTAAATCGGGATTTGTACCCTGGGCCGGGAGAAGTGTGGAGGAAGCCTTGAGAGCGCGGTCATGAACGACTTCAAGTAGAATGGATGGCAAAAGAGGTTGGCTGTTCGCTAATGGTGAAGGAGGTGCTGTGATCTGGATGACGGTCTTGAACGCGAGACGGAATTGACGAGCAGAAAGGTTGTGCGGGAAGACCTGCAGGTAATTAGAAGCTTGTTGCCATGCATGAAATGGGTGATACTTACAGCAAATAGGTTATCAATATAGAAGGGGAGGTGCTTTGCTGCTAGTTCCGAGTTATGAGGAATGGCGAAGACGACAAGCACCAGGCTGTGGGCAGCTTCGAAGATTTCCAGAAGAAGGTGGTTTGCACCAGCTGCAAGATATGGGAATGCAGCCGATAGGAGTAGCTCCTCGTTAAGCACAGGCGATAGAACAAGAGGGAAATGCTCCGCGGCATTCAAAAAAAAGAGGTCCAGGCACCGTTCGACTGGATGAGCTGGAATTTGTCCAATCTCGCTGGGTTTGATACTTCGCAAGAAGTTCTCAGCGAGATCTGGGTATTGGGAAAGGATATCGATAGCTGCCAGCAAGACAAATGTCTGTTGCGACGAGGCATTCTGACCGATCCGAGAAGAGATGAAGTACATGTTGCGAAGAATATGAAGTGCTTGCATCGAAAGATATGGTGCACCTAAAGTAGAATATAAGTATGCAGCTGAAAGAAACGGACTAAGAATGACTTACTACTGTTGGCAGCGAGAGCCGGGTCATTAATAGTTCTCCCCAACACAGCTCTGAGTGCGATGACCACTGAGTATAAGCAATTGCGCAACATTTGCCAAAGCGCGGGAAGTGTTTTCTCGCGTGATTCTGCATCGAGGAACTCAGCTTCCTCTGCAACATCAATTTCAGACAATTTGTTTTGCCGCCATTGTACCATCAGGGTTCGAACAAAGTCAGCCAGCTGATCAACTGTGTGGGCAACGATCCTTGGATCGCGCGCATTATCAATAGAATGTGCAATCAGACGAGAAAGAGGACCTAATGTCGACACAAGCGGACGTGCAGCCATTGCCGACACAATACTAAAGGTCGGGGAATTGGCCGACCATCGAAATTGTTTACCGGGAGCCTCGACGACATCTTGATCAATAGATCCTAAGAAGTATCCACCCTCAAGACCCTCCGAAGACAAGTAAGCCGATTGAATCATTGCCGGAAGCAAACGATCATAATCAATCTTGCTTCTCTCAAGATCTGACAGGAGCTCGAATGTATAATTCAGCACCATGGTGATACACTGCGCATCGATCCCAGCGTCGGGACTCAATTCCTCCAACGCAAGTTGTGCAGCAGTCGCAAGCGCAGACTCAAGCTTGATTCGAATATTCCGTGGTAAGCCCTGACGATTCTGGCCCTCGAATCCCATCAGGATACCACCAAGCAAGAGGGTATGCCGCCATCGCGGGGACTTATCATCGGCGCCCTCCGCAATAGCCTTAACCCAAGCATCACACTCGATTTTCCGATTCCGTCCGTAGGGTATCCGTGGCTCATCAGTGGTGTCATTCTGCAAGACGGCAATAGCAGCAGTATTGAAGACGCTCAGGATCTTGCGGCAAGCATGAAGGTCGACTGGTTGACTCCAAAGCGAAGGAGCGGTAAGAAGTTGCGATGCGAGAAGTGTCAGATTCAACGGGTTCCCTAGCATAGACAGGAAGCTTGTAACTGTAGGTAGGAGACTGGTGATATAATTAACGTCACATTCACCGTCACGCCCGAGTCCGCGGTCGGAGTTGATAGATAGTACTCACCCAGCAGCATCTTGGAAGCTAGAAGTCGCCTGTAGCGACCGCAGCAGCGTGGCCAAGGAACGTTCCGTCGCCATTGAGAACCAAGCACTAAACAATCAAAATGATACAATGCGCCTAGAGCAGTCAGAGGCTCACATCGCTCAGGGAGGTGAGATGATCAACCGCGGAGAACCCCAGACGCAGCCGAGGTCCGGGTCCGGGCAAACGGTGCAAACAAGCGTCGTCACTGGACTTTCCTTTTCACGCGCTCATCATTTTACAAGTTGAAGCTCATATACGAATACTCAGGCAGCTTGGTTGACCTTTTTCAGTAATGTTTTTATGATCATTAGCAGCAGAAACTGCGCGGCCGCATCTCCATGGCTAATAATCGCGTTCCGATCAACTACGAAGTGCCGGCGTTTCCTTCCTTGTACGATCCCCTTCCGTCGCATCATCATGAGGCCTACTATCTATACTACACGACCGATATTTGGCGCTTCACAATGCTCTGGACACTTGTGTTTTACGCCGCGACTCATCTGACGGTTGCTGCTTGCGCGGTACTGACACATTGCCGCAATTGGAGGTTGATTTGGATTGTACCTGTGGTTTACAGCTTCATTGCGGGGCTACAGGGGCTTTTCGCTGGCAGTATAGTCGGTGTTGTGTAAGTCTTTCGTGTAGACCTTGCAGAGATGTTGGCTGACTTTAGTTTGGTAGCCTCGGGGCAGTGTATGAAGCAGGCAATTTCAGGATGTCGACTTGGTTACCGATGGTATGGGGTGGTGTTAATGTCATGGTGTTGGTTGTCACCAGTTTCCCAATGCAAGGCGGTCTTTGAAAGCCAGCAGAGGCTATGTTGATTCGACAAATACCCGACAAATCGCGGTCTACAGTCTTCAAATTCAATGCGAGACAACGCATATACGGATTCGCAGAATACTCAGCACAATTAACCCATTAGAATTCGAAATATCCGGACACCTATAATACAGCTGGGAAATAATATCTCAAATGCGCCGTTACCCGCGTCAAGATGGCCATGCTATGAGTCCTTTACGCCAAAGCAAATCAATCGTGCATTGCAAACCATAATCGTCTTCCACTATCTCCAATTTCCATCAGGCATGCCGCCGCCCTGCAACCCAGGCAAACCTCCAAAGCCAGGGAAACCGGGATTCTGAGCCATGGCCTGGAGATTGAGATTGGGCGGCATAGGGAAACCCTGGAGCTGCTTTTGCAACTGTACCAAGTCCATCTGTGGCATTCCTTGAGGCATACCCGGTGGCATACCTGGAGGAGGGGGGAAGGGCATTGGCGGGTTAGGGGTGTTGGACTGCGAATGCGCCTGTTGAGTGGACATGAGTGCGGCCAACCGACCGGGATCCATCCCACCCATAGCACCAGCCGCTCCGGGTGGAGGAGGCTGAGCTCCGCCGATACCAGGCAGCAGACCTGGAACATCTGGCGGACCGCTAGGTGCACTTTGAATGCCGGGCAGAACAGGGGGGCCGCCAGGTCGTCGCTGGTCAACAAGACTATCAGCTTCGTCTTGCATCTCTTGTTCCTCTTCTTCGCGCATCTGTTTACGACCGAAGCCACGGTTCCATGTGCCTTGGGCTTCGGCGGCTTCTTCACCGATGTGGAATCGGTCTTTCATGTAACTAGTCTCACCAGGTCGAGTCCGGGACCAGAATCGAGTAAAGTTATCTTTAGATCCCGAGGCCAGAATATGGCCTAGAGGGTGCCAGTCTAATGACCAAATCGTAGCCCCATGGGCGTATTGAATCTTGTGAGCTGGGTAGATCACTTGAGCAGGTGTGTTCGCCGGGTCTGGGCTATCGTAAGGGGCCACAGTGGGGATGACACCACTGGGCAGGTTGGGCTCATCAAGGAGATAATGGTAAAGTGATCCATCCTCAGCACCAGTCGAGATGAGATTGCTATGAATGGGGTGCCATGTCAAGGAAGAAACCGGCTTCTCGTGGCCCCGTAGAATGCAAATATCGCGCATCATCCGCAGATCGAATACCCGTGCCGTTTGATCACGAGAGGAGGTGGCAAGTAAGTTACTGTTGACCCGCGAAAATCGTGTAGATGTAACGGTATTCTTGTGGCTGTGAAGTGTCGTCAAACAGCGGGCGGTACGCGGATCCCAGAACTTGACCTGGTGATCCTTAGAGCCAGAAACAAGTAGACCTTTCGTAGGGTGCCAATCACAGGATTTGACATCCCAGTTATGACCGGTAAGAGTCGTGTCAGCTGTGCGAGTCGTAAAGTCGAAGATCTTGAGGGTTGTGTCGTCGGACGCTGAAAGGAACTTGGTATCGCTGGGTGCCCACGCCAGATCGCGGACAGCATCGTGATGCGCATCATCAATCGTTTCAACGTTGTTGAAGTTTGGTCTCCAGTACTTGATATCACCTCGTTGGCCACCGGAAATCAACCAGTCTTGACTATGAGCCCATGCAAGCGATGTCACGCCAGCTTGTATTTGATCGTAGTGAGCCTATAACACGAGACCGACCCTGTTAGCAAGATTCCTCTTCCAAGACACTTTGTAACACGCACGTCCATGACCGTCTCGAAGTTGAACGCCGTTCCGTTCCATAACATAAACTCTCCGGTATGGCCACCGGTCAACAGTCGCCTTCCCTCCGGGGTCCATCGCACGACCACAATGGGCTTCTTAGATTTTCCGATAGACTGGTGCAAGTGTCGCACAGGGATCGTATCGACAGCAGAGTAGGGTCGCGCCATCGGGGGGAGAACCTAGCAAGTCAGTCTCTTTGGTTCGGAGTCAGAACCAGCTCAACATACATCAACTGCAAAGCTTGGGCTCGGTCGCTCCGTCTCTAATCGATGTCCTCCCTTGTAGCGCGGCTGGCGAGTGCGCATCCATTGTACCATCGACGAGCCATAATCCGTGACGAGTCCTGGAAGAGCGCGTTAGCAGGACAACTCCGAAAGAAGGCATTGCACGTACGCGGCCGTCGCGGTCCGACTGGACCTTCGAAATTCTTGTTAAACTTTCCAAATTGGCCATCACCTCCGTGCTCATCATAATAAGCCATAACGAAGCGTGTCGAAGATGAACTGAGGAAAGCTCTCAAAGAAAAAAGCGGAGGGAGCTCGGGATCCCTTCTGGCAGTATACGCTGATTGGCCCTGCGCTCTGATACCTGCACCCCCGCCATATTCTATTGACGTTGGGATCTGGACTTTTGTCTTTCTGACTTTCGTTTTCTTTTCTTTTCTCTGTTATGGATAATTGTCATTGTGCCCTGGAGATCTGCTGGTTCTAGGATTTCATATCGTTCGATTCGGTTTGCTCGGAGCTTAGCTTGGGCCTTCGACTCTCCTCAACTTCGCCAACGGTTAACCGCCAAGGTTGCAAGGGTGTCCAAATGGCGTCTCAGACTGAAGCTATCACGACCGCCCGTGAAGAGTCTTTCAATTCTAACAATGGTGTTGTTTCGGGATCCGAGGCGCCGCCAGCAAAGTCCAAACGCAGTAAATATCGCCATGTAGCTGCGTATCACTCAAAGCTACAACATTCCAGTCTCAGTCGAGATGCGGAGGCGACGCCCAGCTTTTTGGGCTTCAGAAACTTGATGGTTCTGGTCCTCGGTACGATTGATCGCGAGAAACCATGCATATGCAGCGTGCTGATCTCAAACAGTGGCGATGAATCTACGACTAATTATTGAGAACTTCATGAAAGTGAGTCAATCAACCGCTCAACATCACGATCTGGGCTAATACACAGGTAGTATGGAGTTCTGATCTGTATCAAATGCCATGACTATCGCAAACAAGATCTCGTCCTCGGCTCTATACTGTACGCATCGGTGCCCTGCCACCTGCTCGTGGCTTACATCATCGAGCTGTCAGCGGCGAGGGCAGCGAAAGAAACAGTAGGTCGCCAGAAGAAGACAGAAAAAGAGAAAGAACACGATCAGAAAGTGTTTCAGTCAACTTGGCCCTACACTGCGTTCCTACACACGCTAAATGCCACCCTGTGTCTTGCAGTGACCAGCTTCGTGGTGTACTTCTACATTCACCACCCAGGTATTGGAACACTTTGCCAACTTCATGCTATTATTGTCTGGTTGAAGAACTGTTCTTACGCATTCACAAACCGAGACCTCCGTCTCGCGCTGCTCAACCCCGCCGCTGACCCCGGCTTACCTGATATCTATTCCTCATGCCCATACCCGAGGAACATCACCATCAAGAACCTGGCCTACTTCTGGCTCGCGCCCACACTAGTCTACCAACCCGTCTACCCGCGCACCCCATCCATCAGATGGTCTTTCGTCGCGAAGCGTCTAGCGGAATTCGTCGGCCTGGCCATGTTCATCTGGCTCTTGTCCGCGCAGTACGCTGCGCCTGTGCTGCGCAACTCAATTGATAAGATCGCTGTCATGGACATTGCCTCGATTCTAGAGCGAGTGATGAAATTGTCGACCATTTCCCTGATTATCTGGCTCGCGGGATTCTTCGCATTATTCCAAGCCCTGCTCAACGCCCTGGCTGAGGTCATGCAATTCGGTGATCGGGAGTTCTACACCGACTGGTGGAATAGCTCCAGCTTGGGTGTTTATTGGCGATCATGGAATCGACCGGTCTACCTTTTCATGAAGAGACATGTTTTCTCGCCGCTGGTTGGTCGTGGCTGGAGTCCCTTGGCAGCTAGTGGCATGGTATTCACCTTGTCTGCTGTTTTGCATGAAATGCTTGTCGGCATTCCCACACATAATTTCATCGGTATGTTCTTCTCTACACAGCCTTCTTGGCACTGTTCACCGGCGGATGCTAACCATGCCAGGCGTTGCTTTCTTTGGAATGATGTTCCAATTGCCCTTAATCGCCCTCACTGCTCCATTGGATAAGGTGAAAGGGGCTCAGGGTAAGGTCATTGGCAATTGTATCTTCTGGGTTAGTTTCTGTCTTGTTGGTCAGCCGCTTGGGGCGCTGTTATACTTCTTCGCCTGGCAGGCCAAGTATGGCAGCGTGAGTCGCATGCGCCCTGATATGCCAACTGTAGTTTGAGATTGTGGTTGTCCATCTTGATCTCTTTGCTGCCTCGGATTTTTTTGATCTGGACCCGATGTTAGTACAACCGCAGTATGATCGTACACATTCAATCTGCTGGTTTTTAGACGCCTGATAATAATCCAGTCTATAGCGCTACCTTTTCTTTTGGTCTGGGCGAGCACGATGCGATCCTTCTTTTGATTTAGGAATGGCAGCACAGTAGATCCTGAAAAGGATACGTATGTATCTCGACGCATACCCCAATGCAATACACTCCCCTATCAACCCATACTCACTTGGTCCGCGTAAACAGAGACGTGGCACGGACCAAAACGGACGGGCAAAAAGATGCCCCGACGGAAGCTGGAGCCCCCGTTAACTCCGATCTCCGCATATAAAGCCAGGTACCAAGCACACCAAAACGCCATCAATTCACATCACATCTCTCCAATCATGGTCGCAATCATTGTTCCTGGCAACTACGGGTATGTGATCACCACACTGCAAAGCTGTGATATACTAACGCGCACAGTGCCGTCATCGCCGTCGCTCTCGGTGCTATCCCTGTCCTCGGCTTCGTCCATGGCATCGTCACTGGCAGCCAGCGCAAGGCTGCTAAGGTTCCCTACCCGCACAGCTATGCCACTATTGAGCAGTGCAAGGAAAACGTATGTACAAATGATTCCCATTGGCCTTTTTCCTCCCCTCCCCTTCGTGTTCCGGAATGCCCTACATTCTACATACTATTCCCTTCACATCCATCCAGACCCAGCGCCCAGATAAACAGGAGTCAAACTAACATCCCACAGCCCCAAGCTGATAAATTCAACTGCGCTCAACGCGCCCACGCAAACTTCCTCGAGAACGCTCCCCAGACAATGTTCTTCACCTTGGTCGCAGGTCTGAAGTACCCCCAGCTCGCTGCTGGCCTGGGCGCTTTGTGGGTTGCCCTCCGTATTGTCTTCCTCCATGGCTATGTCTACAGTGGCCAGGCACAGGGCAAGGGTCGCATGCGTGGTAGTCTCTTCTGGCTGGTGCAGGGTGCGCTCTGGGGATTGAGTGTATTCGGCGTTGGAAAGGAGTTGCTTGACTTTTAGGCTGTCTGCTAGCCATTAGGCTGTATTTCTAGGAAAGACACTCTACGAAACATCAACATTAATATAAAAATTAATCCGATGTTCAAGATGAACATGAACATGAACATGAATACTACTTCGTATGAACGCTTGGAATCCATTCGCGGGGTGGCGGGTCCACTGGCAGAAAAAGTTCCCTTGAAACTGCTTCATTGCCCTTTTTTCTCTTAGACTTGACTCAATTATACTCTGAACGGGGGATTCGTTGACCTACGTAGACACCAATCTCATTTCCGCGCTCAATTCCTCATTCCACAGCCTCTTCTTCACCTTCCCTCTCACCCCCGCCAACCCCGCCATGTCGTCCAAGTCGCAATTGACCTATGGCGCCCGCGCCAGCTCGCACCCCAACCCCCTCGCCCGCAAGCTCTTCCAAGTCGCCGAAGAGAAGAAGAGCAATGTGACCGTCTCAGCCGATGTCACCACGACCCAGGAGCTCCTCGATCTCGCCGACCGTACGTGACCGCATTCCACTCCCACCCTCCCAACCCACAACCCACTAACAAGGAACCAGGCCTGGGCCCCTACATCGCCGTGATCAAGACACACATCGACATCCTCTCCGACTTCAGCCAAGCCACAATTGACGGCCTCAATGCGCTAGCAGCCAAGCACAACTTCCTCATCTTCGAAGACCGCAAATTCATCGACATCGGCAACACAGTCCAAAAGCAATACCACAACGGAACCCTCCGCATCTCAGAATGGGCCCACATCATCAACTGCTCCGTCCTACCCGGCGAAGGCATCGTCGAGGCCCTCGCGCAAACCGCCCAAGCGTCCGACTTCCCCTACGGCAGTGAGCGCGGCCTCCTCATCCTCGCCGAGATGACCTCCAAGGGCTCCCTCGCTACAGGCGCCTACACCTCGGCCTCAGTCGACATCGCCCGTAAATACCCCAGCTTCGTCCTGGGCTTTGTGTCCACCCGCTCGCTTGGCGAGGTCGAGGCTGAAGTGAAGCCCGTGGACGGTGAGGACTTTGTTGTCTTTACTACTGGTGTCAATCTCTCTTCCAAGGGCGATAAACTTGGTCAGCAGTACCAGACCCCTCAGTCGGCTATTGGCCGTGGTGCTGACTTTATCATCTCTGGTCGGGGTATCTATGCTGCTGCTGATCCTGTTGAGGCCGCTCGTCAGTACCAGCAGCAGGGCTGGGAGGCGTATCTTGCCCGTGTTGGGGGTCAGTAGGTGTATCCACGTTCCATATATATCATATCATATATGTAGGTGATTTCTTATGCATCATGAAAATCCTATTTTTGATGGCGTGCTGTGGAAAGTCTGTTTTGCTCTTGCGTTTGCGATATCCTCTGCCCCGGGTGTGTGTGTGTGTGGTTCTTGGGCGCGCACACCTATGTCATGGATCTACACCGTCCACGAGTCTCCTGCAAGGGATTTACCACATGTGAGGAAGTAAGGAGATGAGCTCTTGATCGGCGATTTCCCACGCGTGTAAAGAAAGGTAAAAAACGGAGGGTCCATGTTTCACATCGAACATAAACTTGGAGTTCGATCCTCGCCAAGGATGAATCATGCCATGATAAGCTCCAAGAACTGATCGTAATAGTCAAGCCCAGATAAGAAAAGTGTTACATAGAGAAGCTAAGCCAAGCACTGTGACTTCGTAAACTGCAAAGTTATCCCGAGAGATAAGCGTTAAGGCTCGGAAGCTACGGGGCCGCCACCCGTGGTTGTATAGCGGGTATGCTGGACTGTAGCCGCAAACATCATACCTTTTCATTGACGTAGGATCCCCAGAGTATTAACTTCATATATGCTGTGCATATCCTTCACCGACATCAAAATCTCTCTTCGAACTTTGGACAGTACAGGGGAGTTCCCGGGAGACTGCCGATCCTCACACCCCCTCTCCCAACGACCCAATGAGAACATCCACGACTAACCCCAGATTCTTATCGACTCCACTGTAGATGATGATAGTCGATGATAGGCAGCTCAACTTGGAGATAACAGGTCCATGTGCAGTCCCTCGGCCTTCTCACCGTTTGGGACCTTATTTAGACAGCTCCCCGCTCCTCTTTTTCCTCTTTCTACACAGAGTATCGGGGAACTCACGTTATACTTAAGTTATAACCTTGAGCGTTTGCGATATCTCCCGCGACTAGACTGAGCAGGTCTATTCCATACAGTCTCTGGACTTGACCTCCATCTCTGAAACCTACCTTCCAACGGTCTACCTCCTCTCCACGCTATACATTGTACACAAACATTCACTATGGCCGAAGAAAAGTCAATCGGCATGTCTTCGGGCATAGACCCAGCCCTCGACATTGAACGGAGCAAAGCCATCGACCCAACAATGGAGAAACACTCCCACAACGCAGACGAGGCGATGAAAGCCTTCGACGAGATGCAAGGCGAAGCCATCGAACTGGACGAAGCGACAAACAAGCGTCTCTTGAAGATTATCGATTGGCACATGATGCCTATCATGTGTTGCATTTACGGCATGAATTATTTGGATAGTATGTGTTCCCCGCATCTATAAATCTTGGAAATTACAGACGGAGACGGAAGCGGAGGTGGCGTTCTCGTGGCTAGAGTTGAGGGACTCGGCCAATTCCTCTTGACTTTTAGGATTGGAGTGGATTGATGCTAATGTTTTTTATGTGTCGTTTAGAGACGACGCTTTCGTATGCTAGCGTTATGGGTATTAAGGAGGATCTGGATCTCCATGGGGATCAGTATCAGTGGCTTGGGAGCTTGTTTTATTTTGGTTTGTCTTCTTCTTGCTTGATGTAGATTGTGTGATTATCCAGTTCTTATTAACTTCTACATAGGATACCTTGCGTGGGAATATCCAACTAACCGCCTTCTTCAACGTCTCCCTCTGGGAAAATATTCTGCGGCGTGTATCCTGATCTGGGGACTGATTCTTTGCTGTTTCGCCGGCGTGAAGAGTTTCTCCGGTGCTGTGGCTATTCGATTCATGCTCGGTGTTTTTGAGGCGGCTGTGACGCCTGGTTTTGCTCTTTTGACTTCTCAGGTATGGTTCCTTTTTCTTCTCCATCTTCATCTATATCCAATCCAAATCACCAATACTAACATGTCCTCTAGTGGTACACCAAGTCAGAACAAGGAAGCCGAGTCAACATCTGGTTCTCCTTTAACGGCGTCGGTCAAATCCTCGGCGGAGTAGTAGCCTACGGCATCGCCGTCGGAGCCGAAAAGCACGGCTCAGCAATCGACCCCTGGAAAATTGTCTTCCTAGTAACTGGCCTGCTGACCATTGTGCTGGGCTTCGTCTTCCTGTGGATCATCCCCGATAACCAGCTCAATGCGCGCTGGTTGAAGAAGGAGGATCGCATTCTGGCAGTTGCCCGGGTCAGGGTTAATCAACAGGGTATTGGCAACAAGCATTTCAAGATGTATCAGGTCAAGGAGGCTTTGCTGGACCCTATGACTTGGGCTTTCTTCTTCTATGCTCTGATTGCTGATATCCCGAATGGTGGTATTACCAATTTCTTTAGTCAGTTGGTGAGTGGTACCTCGCTATGATCTGTGATCTATGACTGGATGGGGATGATGCTCACACCATCTAGATCAAAAGCTTCGGCTACGACGAGAAACAGAGTCTGATTTTGGGTGTTCCCGGCGGCGCTGTGGAGGTTGTTGCTTTGCTTCTCAACGGCTGGGTCGGCCATGTCACTGGCCAACGTATCCTTGCCAGTTTGGGCGGTCTTGTCGCCTCGATCGTGGGCATGCTGCTGATTGTTGCGCTGCCCCTGTCTAATGATGTCGGTCGCTTGATCGGATACTATCTCACCCAGGCTAGCCCGACGCCATTTGTCGCACTGTTATCTCTCATTTCTTCGAATGTGGCGGGATACACGAAGAAGACGACTGTGGCTGCCTTGTATCTGATTGGATATTGTGCAGGAAATATCATCGGTAAGTGGATCTAGAATCACAATCCCACGCCGTCACGTCCAGTCAAGTGGATTGTGGGAATATAGTGACTGACATGCCTATAGGCCCGCAGACATTTCGTCCTAAGGATGGACCCCGCTATGTCCCCGCTGAAATCACCATTATTGTTTGCTGGGGGGTGTGTCTGTTCCTGCTGGTCGGGGTGTGGCTGTGGTATCGTCGGGAGAACAAGCGCAAGATGCTGTTCATTGCCCGACCTGAGTATGTGAGACTGGAGAATCAAGAGTGAGTCTTTCCTTACTTTGACTTTGCGATATCGGCGGCTAACTCCCTGCAGGTGGCTTGATTTGACAGACCGGGAGAACCCCGAGTTCATGTATTCCCTGTAACTCCGCCTGTTCCAGGTCTAGTGAGCATTCAGTATTGAGTATTGAGTATTGAGTACTTAGGTTAATTATTATTTGCTGGTCAAATGAAATCTAGACTCCACCAAGGTATGACGCGGTGTAGATGTTGAGTTTTCCCAACTAAAAAGGTTAGGGTCTGTTAGGGTCTGTTAGGGTCTTTTAGGTCCCTCCAAACAAGATTTAGGGCCTTGACACGCTACGGTAAGACATGATCGTCAACACTGAGTTTATCTTTTTTACAAATGACAAATGTGCCCTAAACTATCGAGGGGTTGTTGGGAGGCTTTTAGTGCTTACATTTGGACCGGAGCAGTGTTTCTATAGTATTCTAGATTGCCCAATATATTAACAGAGGGGTGTAAGACGCCTAATAGACTCGCTTCAGTCCGAGAACGAGCCCCTGCATCCACTGCAGGGGAAGGGCCGATCCTGGCTAGACACCACACTTAAACGCCGAACCCCTAGAGAAGCGGTGTGGGCAACAAATACACGACGTGCTGCTCTTGGGATTCTGGACTCTGGACTCTTTCCTTTTCATCCTCGATTCTCTATTCTCTATTCTTTCCGACCTCTTTCTTTTCTTTTCTCGACTCCTCCCAAATGGAGTACTTAAATTAACCCTAATCTACACCCCTGCCCTGCAGGTGAAACCTGTGACCGTGCTCGGTCTATAGACATTCCTCATGTCTTCCGTCACATGCCTCGTCCACATGAAGCCTCGTCTAGACTTAAGCATCAAGACTTGCCCGCCCATCGTGACAGAGCTTCCACAATGTGTTCAGTCCAAATCCGCTTCACCATCGCCATCTGAGATGTCTCCAAAAGTGAAGCGGATCGACCCGCCAAGTACAGGTACAAATCCAGCTTCAACTCCAAACAGAGGTCCAGGCCCAGGCACGGGTGCCAAGTCGCCGACCTCACCAACACAAATGAAGCGTAGTCAAAGGGAAACAGCATCAAGACCAGCTTCCGCTACAAACCCCAGCAGCCACAGTCAAGGAAAGAGCCAGAGTCACTCGCGCTCTGCATCTCGCAGTACGGTGCGATCAAGTCCAAACAGTCGACGGAGTTCCTTACACTCAGCCCGTCGGACTGCCCCAAATACAGCCATCGTACCAGTCCCCACCACGAGGACTTCACCCCAAGAACGGCGGGAATCACTTATAGCTCTACATCGAGAATCATGTCGACTATTCCAAGACGAGGCCACAAAGGACCCAGCAGAAGTACATATAAATACACCTACATACACAAATACACATACAAGACTACGCCAGCCATCCCTGCATCGACGAGCATCATCCACAATCTATACACGCCGCTCCTCACGCGCATCAACCGACAAAGAAACCTCAGAACCATCTTCCCCGATCGCACCATCTGCCTCATTTGCCAGCTTCCGTTTCGAGTCTGAGACCGAGACTGCTCCACCCTTCCTGACTTCCAGAGACAGATCCAATACCATGCCATGCCAGGGTACTAAGACTGTCATCCCATCAAACCACTACCACAGTCCATCCACTTCATCAATCCACGCCCCGGCCACGGTAATGGAATGGACATCGCCCTCGACTCGTCGACGCGAGTACGAGAAAATCGATCGAGCAAGTAGCGGCATGCGCGGTCTCTGGAGACGCGTTGCGCCTCGCTGTTTCCAGACTCGGGAATCGAGAATGCTTTTCTTCGAAGAGGGAAAGCCCGAGCGGGAAGGAAGTGTGCGGCGGTTTCGCATGGACATTCCCGAAGATGAGGCAGAAACTGGACCTAATGAATCGACCAAGGAACCGCTTTCTCCAACGGGGAAATCACAGGTTCAGCTTCTGGACTATCTGAGTCGGCACACGAGCCCGACTTCGAATGCGCCCTCGAATCCGGCTTGTTCTTCATCTGAGGGTCGACGACGCTGGGCGTGTCTGCGTTCTAAGACTTCCCCGTTGCCTAACGCGTAGAGTTCTATTCTATTCTCTACTCTATTCCCTTTCTGATATTTCTTATCATCATCACCGTCACCGTCATCCTCGCCATCATCGTCCTCGCCGTTCGTTCAATAATTGATTGATACACACATGCATGTACATACATCACGCGCAAGCCAGCACAGGTGCTACTTGCCTCTTGTCAATACCCCTATTGCGCTCGCTCTCACCCTATTCCCTATGATACCATGATTCCCGATTCCAGAGTGATGATCCAATATCGCATTGCACACACAGCCTCAGCATTAGCATCAGCATCAGAGTGGCCTACCTTGCATTGAGTGGCCTGAGGGTCACTTACTTCTAGTTTTCGTTTTTGTTCTTATTCTTACATTAGTATCATATTTACCACATTTCTTTTGAGCATTTACAATTGTGTTTGCATTTTTTCCGCTCGCTGAGACTACATACCCCGTTCTTTCTTGGATTGCTGTATATAGCTTGACGTGGTAAATATATGTTGATCTGCCACAAGTTTAAATTTTTGGTACAAGTGAAAGAAATGAATTGATTTAAAATGCTTCTCAAGAAAGAATATATATAATCTCAAGGTTGCGATCTGGATATCAACATTTAGGACAGTGACAGTGGTTTAGACCTTCATGTTCAGCGCTGAAGATATCAACAATCATATGAGCACGAACCAGACATCCATCAGGTGGAACAAAATTGCCAATAAATCGATATAGTTCATTTCATAAAACAACATTACGCCAAACCCTTAAGGGGCCAAATGCACAAGCGCCGGGTATATCAAAGACAAAAACCCAAAATGCTTTTCTTTTCTCTTTTTCCATTGGAGACCAATTCAACAATATCGATCACAGAAGATCAAAGTCATCCAGCTTCTCACGGTAGCGGAGAATATTGCGCTTGATCTTACTGGAATCAACCCAGGTGACAAAGTCCTCCATATTACGCGTGACCAGGAAAGCAGGATCATTGACGACCTCAGTTCCGACACGGACGTGGCCCTGTTCGACGAATGTGGCGGCCTAGACACAACCAGTCAGCATTTTACTTTCTATCCATGTGATGTTCAAGTCAAGCTCTCAAGCTTTCAACCCAACAACCCACAGCACAAGACAGGACAACTCACAGCCTTGATCGTCTCAACCATACCCGAGCGCACCATGAAAACAGCCAACCGTCTGCGGCAAAGTGCAGAGACGGTGACTTCGCGCTCAACCTTCGACAAGCCGGCGCCCTGCTCGCGCGATTGCTTGAGGATTCCCATGCGCCACAGTTTCTCTAGGAGCTCGGACTCAAGCTTCTTGCGCAGCGGGTCGGTTTCCGGGTCCAGTTGGGAGAGCTTGTGCGCGAGCTGGCGGAGCGATCCGCAGAGTGCGTTGTATTTCTTGTAGTCCATGGGATCTTGGAGGAGGTATCGTTGGCGGACTTGGTGTTCGCGGTGGCCGCCATCGGACTTGTAGTTGTGGAAGTCGACCTTTCGGAGGAGCCTGGTGTGGTCTTGTTAGCAAATTGTCTTTGATGGGCATGTGAAGCTTTCGGCATGTTGGATGGGGTCGGTTTGAGATTTCTGATGGATTGGTTGGATTGTTAGGGGAGACGTACTTCTTCTCGTGGTGCTTGAGTTCGCGGACCATTTTGGCGGTTGTATCAGGTTACTGAGATCAGCCGACTTGAGTAGTGAGGCAGATGTTGAGCTGGTAAAGACTGTCGTCCGTGGAGATGGTTGCGATAACAAAAAAATTGGTTATCAAAGCGGTGAGAATTGTTCGGGCAGGACTTAGTGACAGGTGCTCACCGCCCGCCCCCGGGCTTCGGTCATCCACGGCAATCACGTCTACGCTGTTGACACTGGGCTTGTGTACAAGATGGAGAATCAGGAAGATGTTCCGGGTAAACACTATGGTCGCCCGAGGGTTGATTTGGAGCCCTATAAAGCCGAGGTCATTGCCTTGCACGAGAAAAAGATGAAAGGTGACGACATCTGCAAGCATCTAAAGCAACAACATGATATCCAAATCTCCCCGCGCACCCTCACCAAGCGTCTACAGCATTGGGGAGTGAAAAAGAAGATGGAACACTTCTCTTCCAATGAGGTGCTTCATGCGCGGATCAAGAATCTTTTCTTCGATGTTGGTCTGGGCGATTCGGAGATCCTCACTGTTCTAAATGGCGAGGGCTACGATATCTCACTTCGTACCCTCCGAAGACTTCGTCATCAGCTAGGAATCCGTCTTCGTCTTGACTCGCCAACCGGGCAACAGGAGCAAGTCCAGGAGATCCTTGAAGCCTTGGTTGAGGAGATGGACAAGGGAACCATTGAAGGATATGGCAAGGAACTACTGCATAATCATTTCCGCAGCAAGGGATATGTCTTTGCTAGAGATCGCCTGTACAATGTCTACCGTATGCTCCGTCCAGACAATGTCGAACGCCGCACGAGTGATGCCCCGCGCCGAGTTCCTCCGCCAAAGATTCTAGCTGGTCCTAACTTGACTTGGCACGTGAACAGTTATTCAAAGCTGGCTAATTTTGGGTTTCGAATTCATGCAGAGATTGATTCATTTTCTCGCTATGTTCTCTGGCTCAATGTTGGTGTTGGTGCTCACTCTGCCGTGAGCGTCCTGAAGCATCATACTGATGCCGTCTCTTCCAAGAGCCTTCAACCGCGCATACTCCGATCCGATTTAGAATCTGAGGTGCCTCTTCTGGCAGATGCCCATCTTAATCTCCGTCGCGCTTCTGAACCAGATGTGGAACGAGAACAATGCTGTGCTCCTGGGCGAGCCACAGACACCCATCGCATTGAGTCCTGGTGGGCCCAGCTTGCCAAGTCGGTGGTGACCCTTTACTATGTAAGTTGGATGTTCATTGCGAATGCTCATGTTACTAATAAACCCAGAACTATTTCCGCCAACTCCACACAGAAGGACTATTCTCAAGTTCAATACTAGCGGACCAAGTATCCCTCCTGGCAATCTATATGCCAATTCTCCGCAGTCATATAAACTCCTACGTTCAAACCTGGAACGTTCACAACATCCGCAAACAAAAGGACCACCCAGAACGTGCGCCAGGAAAACCATACATGAACTACCACCACCCACCAAAAGGAGTCGAAAACTTCGGCCTACCAATCGACCAGCCCACCCTGCAACTACTCCAAGAAAGCCACAGAGATGTTGATCCAGAGCAATATCTTCCACCGGATACACTCCGGTGGTGTATGACGCAACTTCAAGAGTTGGAATTCGATCCGTATAGCCCGCCTGCCCGGTTGCCTGGAGACCTTCAGCCATTCCGGTCAGTATATCTTGATCTCCGGGAGAGAGCGTGGCGGCATGAACGTTCCGGGGCACAGCCCCAGTTGGCACTCTGTGAAACTCCTGGTCAGGGATTACAGGGATATGCCCCTTCACGATAAACTTCTGACGAATGTAATGGATAATGTCTGTGACGTGTTGGGTTTGGAGCGAAGCTTTTATTTTTAGAACAGGCATGGTTAGCTACTTAGCTTTAAAGGAGTCTATGGTAAACATTGAAGCTGAAAGTGAATATTAAAGATATGCAGAAATCTTCCAAGGTAGTTCTGTTGATAGTTAAGTAAAAATGCAGCAAGAATAATGAATCACACAGGCCGCATTAACGTAAAAAGATAGAATACAAAATAATAAACTCCCAGAAACGCCAGGAACCAGAAATAAAACAACAAATCAAATATGAAAAGGATGTCAAGCAGTGCCATTGATAAGCCGTGTCCTTCCAGCAATTCTCTCACTCAAAGCCCTAATATTCTCAGCCCCCATGATATCCAACAGCGAGACCTCAGCCTGAAGCTCTCTAGTAATCCACGAGCGGAACTCCATAGCGACAAGTGAATCAATACTGCCAAAGCCAAAGCGTTGAACATCAATTTCCGAGGCAGGAATGGCAAGTAAAGCAGCAAGCCGATCAACAATTCCGTTCGAAATCACGGTGACGACACTCTCAGGACTAGAAGCGGTTCGCAGGAGCACAGCAGTACTGACAGTCCTCTGCTCAGACGTTTCACCGCTCTTAGCCTTGGCTGCATCACGGAAGTGTGTGAACATTGAGTAGTTGAGGTATGCAGGCGCCGGCACACCGTTTTGGCGACACATCTCTGCGGTGGGAAGACCAAGGACAAGCTGAGACCGAGGAGGCGAACCGTGAGCTGATGTTTCATCGTTCCGGGGATCAATGAGGAATTCCACAGCTGCGTGTACTTCATCCTCACTCAGAAGCTCGAATAATGGTGCCGTGTTGGTGCGAATCGTATCCCTGTTTTCGGCTACCCAGCCCACATTGGACACACTCCCCAAATTGAGGCTGGACGCTTTCAGGCCCTGTGAGACTCGGTGGGCGGCCAGTGAATCTTGGAAAGTGTTTCCTGCTGCGTAGTTTGATTGTCCGCGGTTACCGAAGATGCCTGCGACGGAGGACAGCATCACGAAAAAGTCCATGTCTTTGGGAAGGGTCTTGTGTAGGTTCCAGGAGCCTTGGACTTTGGGTTTGATGGCTGCTTGCCAGTCTTCGTATGAGAGGCATTCGAAGGCGCAATCCTGGGGATATGTTAGCTTCTTGTTAGATTAGTCTCGTGTTGACTTACTCGTAAGACCATGGAGGCTTGGATGCATCCTTTGATGGGAGGTAGATTGGGAAATGTTGATTCGGATAATGCTTCGAGAGTTCCGGCATCTGAAACATCACATGCGAAAGAATGGACTATGCAGCCCATGTTGGTGAGGTCGGTGAGCATTTTCACTTTCTCTGGTGTTGATGCCGATGAGCGAGAGAGGAAGATTAGATTCCTTGCACCGCGAGATGCCATCCATCGTGTAAGACTGCGGCCTAAGCCACCATACCCACCGGCGAGAACGTAAGAGGCATTTGAATCGAATTGATATGGTGTTGGTGGTTGTGGGATGACAGGAATAAGGGTCGTTGGGTTGAGAGTGAAGACGATGCTTCCCCCTTTGCCACTGTTCCGGGCTTGGATGCCTTCCTTGATTTGTGAAAAGTCCATGACAGTCACAGATTGAATTTCTTTAGTTGAGCCATTAGAGTAAGATTCAAGACAAGAATAGAGTCGGTCTGAAAGCCGAAGAGCAACATCCCCTCCACGTTGAGCCATCAGAGGTATGTTCACCCTGCGTATGCTGGCACATTGGGGAAGTGAAGCCAGATCAACTGTAGTTCTTGCATCTTGCTCTGAACCTGTGAACTGGAAGATCGTTCCGAATGGAGAAAGACATTTCAATGTTTCTTGGAACGCCTCGCCGGATGGAGTGTTGTAACTAAACATAACTCCCTTGCCATTGGTGCATCGTATAACAACCTTTGAAAATGAGGAGTCTCGATTAGAGAAAATCTGATGCTCGGGGATCTCATATTGCGAAGAAATGACTATGCGGTCATGAACTGTTGCAACACAGACATATACCACAGCTCCATAATCAAGCGCACCTTGAATGACCGCTCGACTAGCAGGTGCCATACCATCATGGACTAACACGGCGCATCGGAGATTTGGATCGGAAGGATTTCCTGACGCGTGGATTTCTGATTGATTCAAAGCAAATTCCGCTGTCAAGAGCGCAACAGGCAGACTGGCGGCAGTCTCAAATGTGATGTTGGTAGGAATTTTGGCCACCAAACCCTGATCAACTCGGATATTCGTTCGAAAGCAGTCGTAATTGTTGGCAGAGATACATGCAACTCGATCGCCTAAGCTGAGGTCGATCACAGAACACCCGATTCTCGTCACGAACCCGGCAACTTCATTAGAGAAAACTTTGGAAAGACCAGCTGAGCTGAGACCCACTGCCTGCGTATAGATCTCGACTTCATTAGCACCCATCGGGGCTTCATGTTGCTGATCGATGACCCAGCCAAAGTCTCCGGTCTCTGACTCCTGCAACTGAATAGGTTGATCGATGTGACCGATTCGTTGGAGGCTAGGCCTTGGCCCAGATGATTGGCTGGCAAGGAACTGATCTGCAATATCGGACTCCTGTAAGCGGCCGATATGGGTTATACCATCGCGTATCAGATACTCAGCGTGACGGTCAATACCAGGTGTGTCCACAAATTGGTGCTTCACAATCTCGCCTATTTTCTGATCCAGTGTTGTATTTAGGCAGATGTTGTCGTCTGCCACTGTCAAAATGACAATATTGGAGCCGTCTGCATCTCGCTCCCAACGCAAGGATCGGAGAAGACCTAGGCTCATGCTTGAATGCAGTCGAGATTGACTATCAATTTTCACCCACAATATATTATGGCATTTGGTCAAGATTTCCTTCAGTGTTTCGAATTTTGATGCACTTGTATCTTCGAGATAGTCGAAATCCAGGTCAAGTAGTGAGATGCAAAGGCAATCTGGCTTCAAGTTATTCTTGACCTCTGAGGGATCCAAGAGGAGAACATTGGTGTATCCTACTCCACGGAGCCGGGATTCAAGAGGCTCATACATGCTCTTGGGATATGCACCACTCGTCATGATGATAACATCACCAAGTGAGTTCCCTTCGGACGCTTTGACAGCAGAAGTGACAGCAGAAGAAACCAAAATACTCTGCCAAGTCAGGTCTGGATCATGAGAGCTAGGATACTCGATGTCAATGCCAGAGAATCCCGATGCCCGTAGGAGTGAATACCATTCAGTGGAGGCAATATAAGGACACAACCTTCTGTTAGGCTCATCACCAAGCCACCAACCAGGAAGCTGCCCGAAAACCAGCGGATACCAGAGGAAGTCTTGTCTGATACCTTCCTGCATGATAAGCTGACCCCCTGGGCGAAGCAGAGACCGAAGATTTTGCAAAGTGGCTTGCAAGTTGGCCGTGGCGTGGATGACATTTCCAGCTAAAATCAAGTCATACTTCTCTAGTTGCAGCCCTTGATCGACTGGATTTCTCTCAATATTGAGTGATTGAAAATCCATGACATTCGCCCATGGCTGGAATCGTTGCTTAGCCTTTTCGAAAAAGCCAGATGAGATGTCGGTGAATGTGTAGCTGGCTACGCTGCCCTTGTCCCTCCCAGGGTCTGGGCACAAGATGGCAAGAACCTCGGCAGTGAAGCTACCAGTACCACCACCAATCTCAAGGATCTTCAATTCTGAATGTTGATGACGAAGTAGAGACAAGTGACTTTGAAGATGTTGAGGTAGGTTATAGAGATGGAGACCTTCCTTATAGACTTGCTCCATCACATCGTCTTGACCGAACATGAGATGCAGTGGATCAACCTCTTGTCTGATAACCTTGACAATATTTCGGCCCATTCGGGCAGTGATGGCTCCTTCAGCACTGTGTGATTCGATTTGGTTGTCAATGGCTTCCCTCAAAGCAGGATCCTGTGCAACCTGCTGGAATTCTTTGTAGGGAAGATGGATAATTTCGTTGGACTCGAGTAGCTGTTGATAAAATTTCATCCAATCAACAAATCTTCGCATATGATTATCCAGCTTCATGAAATCGACATTCTTGAGCTCGGTGAGTGCATCAGTCACATAGATCATTGTGGCAAGCTGGAGCTGCTTCACCCAGTGTTTAGCTTCCTCGTCATTAATAGATGCAAGAGTTGTCAAGCCACAAGCGGAGTCGGAATCAAGAAAGTGCACGTCAGGTTTCCATTCAATCGTGGTGCATAGCTTTCGCTCACCAGTTTGAGAAACGCTGCTTTCAAGGGGAGTGAGCTCAATACCATCCATGCGGATACGTGGTATACTTGACTGCGCATCTAAAATCCTAATTTGACCCTCAAACTTCTGGGACTTCAATGCAGATATAGAAGCGTGTCCTGTGAATATGTGCGATGGGGCTGAGTTCAGACCTGCCGACACCCAGACATCGCGAATAAAGGTTGGCAACCTGATTTGGTCTAGGCTGGAATTTCCTGTATAGTCAATCACAGCTGCAATCATGAGGTGGATCATGCTATCCATTGTGGCAGGATGGATTAAATGAGAATGCAGGAACTGTTTTGGCATGTGCTGCGCGATATCTGGAATGATCACTGACCCAACAACAGACCCAATGGCTGACCTGAGACCAAGGCCACTGCCATGGACCTCTGAAAGATTCTGGAACAATGGGCCAAAAGCCAGTCCAGATCTGTGAAGGTTACTGTAAATGGATTTGAAGTTGAGAGGATTGTTGCAGACTTGATTTGCATGTGCGAGATCATCTTTCCAAGCCTTTATCTCTTCTGCTGCCTCGCGACCAACGTCAATTGAATCAGGTGCTGATTCGTGCTCAACCATGATCTGGCCAGTGCAATGCTCTGTCCACTCATCGCTTGAAGTATTGTAGGACGTTATATGGAAGTGTCGCCATACTTTTGATGTAGATGGAAAATCGTCAACGGTGGCCATTGATAGAGACACTTCAATCCCTTCTTTTGTATCAGGGACAATCAATGCTCTTTTCATCGAGACTCGTCGGAGATGGAATCCGGTGATCTTCGCTTGTGTCTTTTCATCACCAGCCAGTTGACGCGATGCTTCGATGGCCATGATAAGATAGCCCACGCCGGGATAAACATGGTTTCCTGTAACCACATGGTCTCTCAACCAAGGATTCTCGTCTATTCTGATAAAATGCCTCCATCTAGGGGCAATTGGATTCCAATCTGTGCTTGGAGCACCAAAGAGGTCATGACGTGGGAACTTCCTTGTTCGCAAATTCCTGCTCAACCGACTCTCATAAAGGATCTTCTCTGTATGCTTGAAGCTGTATGGTGGTAGTTCCACCAACAGCCGAGATTCTCTTGTTGGTGATTGGGAAGCTTTGTTCACGGCATGGAAATCCAACTCATAGCCGTTGGCAGATAAGCAGCCCACAGTAGTGAGGATGTTGTTCAAGCTTTGATCTGTTCGCTTGAGCAGACTTGAATACTTGTATTCCAGTTTGGGGCTATCCGAAATGAGAGATTCCTTGATTGCACTTTGCAGAGTTGAGTGAGGTCCTATTTCCACTAGGAAGCGTAAGAGATTTGAGTCGCTTAAACCAGCATATGCATTGGATTGAGATGTCATTTCAGCCAAGCCGGTGGTGAAAAGGACAGGAGATACCATATTTTCGACCCAATATTGACCAAGCAGTTGATGCTCTCTGAGTTCCTTTCCAGTCACAGTAGAAAACATCTGCACTGGATGAGGGGCTGCCAATCGCCTTCCGTGGAGAAGCGTTCCCATTAAGCGGAGATAGTCGTCAGCGATAGCTTGCATGTGAGCTGAGTGATAGGCATTCTTGACATTCAACTTTCGAGCAAAGACCGCGTCGTCGTCAAGAAGATCTTTGAGGCAGTCAATCAAAGCCTCGTCTCCGGAAACAGTATTGTTCTTGGGACTATTTTGACAAGCAATGACGAGCTCCCCAGTCAGGTCTTTCCGTACAGACTTCAAATATGGCTCCAGTCGCTGCACAGAGAGACCCACTGCCATCATTGCTCCGTTCGCCGATAGTTGCTTAGATGACACATATCCACGGAGGTATGCGACTTTCCAAGCAGCTTCTCGGGATAGCTTTCCGGAACAGTAAGCAGCTGCTATCTCACCAGATGAGTGGCCTATCACTTGTGTTGGGAAGATGCCCCAGCTGGCTAGAAGGTCTACAAGAGCAACCTGTAGGGCTGTACACAGCGGATGAGCAACTTCTGGTAAGTTGACTCGGAGTGATGTTCGTTCGGTCAGGAGCTCATCTGATAATGTTAGCGCAGGAAGGAAAAGGTAGAGTAAAGGTCTGCTCACGTAGTAGTGACCAGGGGCTACCTAATCGACGAATATAGTCAGAAGCCTCTTCCAGAGATTCACGGAAAATAGGATATATCATGAGCTCTCTCCCCATGGCCTGATACTGAGCACCTTGACCGGTGAAGACAAATTGAACAATCGGCGTTTGGGTAGTTCTGATAGGTCTGGTATAATTGCATCCTGACAGGCTCCATGCAAGCTCTTTGATAGAAGAGGCCATGACATAACTCTTCCAGTAGAAATGGGATCTTTTCTTGGAAAGAGTGAAGGAAAGATCGTCAAGAAGTTGTACGTGGAGGCCCGACTGCTGCATCTTGCGCTTAAGGTACTTGGAAAGAGCATCAGCATTCCGCTTGACCCCATCTTCATCGAAGGCAGAGACCACGAATATCTTCTTTTGTTCGCCCACGTTTGTGTGGCCAGTGGGGGTATAAGTGGCTGATGAGCAGAAGTCGTCTGTTGATGGGGTGTCAATAAGTACGTATTCCTGTCCTGATTGATCACTTTCTTCTGCACTTTCCGAGAAAGTATGGTCCGTTTCTTTGTTATTGTTGTTGAAAATAGCTAAGACTTGGCGCTTGATGTTTTGTTTTGTTGGGACAACTGGAGCAGTGCAGTGAGCTCCTGTCAGTCGACGATCATTGAGATAATTGTAGGCGTCATCGAGAATGCAATGGGCATTGGTGCCACCGATACCGAATGAATTAACAGATACTCTTCGTAGCCCCTGGGAGGGCCATGGAATATTCTCAGTGGGGAAAGAAATCCCCCATTCTGTCGCAGGGATCTTTGGGTTGACTTGCTTCATGTCATAGTTCGGCGTGATTATGCCGGATTCGAGGGTTAGGATAGCCTTGATAATACCTGCTACTCCGGAGCCTCCTTCCAGATGTCCAATGGAAGATTTAATGGCCCCAATATAGAGCGGAGTATCTCTCCGGCACTTGAATGCGCGTGCAAGAGCGCCGGCCTCAATTGGATCTCCGGTGCTTGTTCCCGTACCATGGGCTTCGACAAATCTCGTAGCCTCAACATCAAGGCCGGCTCTCCAGTAGACCTCGCGAATAAGTCTTTCTTGGGCTTCCGAACTGGGCACTGTGATTCCTGATGTGCGGCCATCCTGGTTGACTCCTGTTTCACGAATGACTGCGCGAATAGAGTCACCATCCCGAATTGCAGAATGGAGGGGTTTTAAAACAACTGTTCCGACCCCCTCCCCTCTTGCATATCCTTCAGCCCGTGAGTCAAAGCTAAAGGAGCGCCCTTGAGGTCCTAGAAGACCATGGTGACTCATGCCGATGGTTTCCACCGGGTTCTTGAGAATGCTCACGCCGCTCACGATGGCCTATTTATCGTTGCATTTTAGTAAAACGTCGTTTGTATTCAATGAACTTAGGAGTTACGTACCATGTCGGTCTCTCGAGACCTGAGACTCTGCACAGCGAGATGTAATGCCACCAAGCTACTAGAACAAGCAGTGTCTATAGTCATACTTGGTCCTTTGAAGTCAAAAAACCAGCTGACACGGTTTGACAGGATTGCGTTTGTGACACCAGTGGGTTTGTATTTAAGAGACGTCTCAGGGTCCGAGTTGAGGATACCGAGGTAGTCATGATTGAACCCGCTGACAAAAACAGAGGTATTGGATCCAACAGCACTGGACATGGGAATACCTGCGTTTTCCAAAGCATGGTACACATTTTCCATAACCAACCGCTGCTGAGGGTCTAGACTCAAGAGTTCACTTTTTGTGATATTGAAGAACGACGCATCAAAGTAGGCGGGGTCTTCGAAGAGATAATTCCCTCCTTGAACTTGAAACTAGATACCAGATATTAGTTGTTGGTCCTGGGGAGAGATTGAAGCAGTGACAACATACCGTTCCTCCGTGTTCGGGGTCAGGGTGGTAAAAGGCATCTGAATTGAACCTCTCTCTGGGTATCGATGACCATGTTGAGCGGGATTCTAGAAGCAGCTCCCATAGATCTTGAGTATTTGAGGCTTGTTGGGGGAATCGGTTTGCAAGACCGACAATAGCAATGGGCTCCAGGGCATCAGGAACAATGGGTTGGTCACTGACATCACTGTCTATTGACGAAGGACGCATCTTGATTGACGCTGAAATGTATAGATGTTGAAATTGTATGGGGTATGAAAATCAGATAGAGGAAGGGGTATGCTATAGAAAGTGGACGTAGGACTGGGATGACGTTTGATGTTGGAACTGGATGACTTTCAAGTTCCCTGGGCCTCACTACCATGCGGACCAGCCTTATATGTAGTCGTAGAATCGTCCAAGCGTCGACAATTGCGATTCCCCAAAGAGACGGTATCTGCGTATGGGCTCCGAATTCACCGATCTCCGAGTCAGTCTGGCCCCCTGTAGCATGATCTTCCAAGGAGGCGTTCATGCGCAACGAATGCCTCACGTGCAAATACAAACTAACCTCCGATGCTTACAACAATTCTCAAAAAGAAAGTATTTTGATGTATTCATGTAATAATGTGGATCCGTTATTTCGAATCTCCCAATCAAATCACCAAGGTAACTGGGAAATTTCCGCTTGTCGCGTGTTCCCCATACATGCCCTTGTATAACGTTGTATAGATCCATGTGCATCTAGCTACATCTCCTGCGGTTGATATGTACCAAAATTGCCAATCTACAGGTCCGGATGCAAGGTCAACATTTCCGAGGTGATTTTGTGGAGAGACGTATGATTGCCGTTAATGTCTAGAACCCAACTGCAGGTCAACGTTTGTCGATCGCTGTTAATCCAGGGGTTCCAACGCTTAATGTTTGGATTCATCTTTAGCTAGATGTCTGATACAAGAAACCTCCTGATGAGGTCTAACTTTGGTATTGCTCTGTGTTTGCGCTGAATTCTCTACGGAACCACCTTGGGCTATAGGCGGTAATCTTGCAGAAGATCGGCCGTTATAAATTAATTGACATAGTGATTCTCTTCGTCTTTCATGACCCTGTAGCTTGCTAATTTTCGTAACTATATTACATTGAATTTAGCAATCAAACAAAGAGATAATTGCTGAATGATAAGTCCAATTACCCTAACAACCCTGCTGGAACACAACAACACCCCTGCTAGTACATTGTGCGACCAACCTTTGCGCCATACCACGTCCATCAAAAAGTCATGAATCAGGTCATGTAGTCAAAAGGCGTCAAATAGCGAATCTCCACCCGCCACGCTCGATCGACGCTATGTTTGTACTATGAACCCCCTCTTGGCTTCAGGGTATCATTGGTTAAGTCAACAGAATAACGCCTTGAACCGTGCTCTAAAACCATGATTTAGGGGCTCCACTGTTTTCCGGACTGCCGTCAAAGAAACCCCGGCTCTTGCATATAGGTCCTGCTGTATGCCAACAAGAGTTATTCGGTACGAACTGCCTTTGATCGACGGTTCAAGTCAACGTCATGAGTCCCAATAGGCTGGCTATTCGTGCCTGTTTATTTGGAAAAGTATATCCGGATCAATTATACCTCGTTCCACCATCCTAGAATTGGGCTGCATTCTACCCCTGCCCATACTTCCTGCCGACGTCTGTATTTCCTTGATTCAAGAGGCTCTTGGTTCAACGTGGACCATTCACATTGGTTGTTTAGATGTCGGCACCCCGGATCTTGGAATTCCCCATTTTTGGAATCCCGATTGTACACCATGCACGATGTCGATGAGCAGGTAGGTTCTTTGGGCCGTATCTAGATTAGCAGATCGAAGGTATCATCAACAACGAGCTTCTTTGTTAACCAGATGGCCCTTTTAGCCGCCGCGCGTTGTATCCTAGTCTTGGAAGTACCTTCACGTCATGTTTAGTTTGCGCCAGGGGAATCACAATCTAACCTGGTCAGTCTTTCATTACTAGCTACGTTCAGCCGAACTATCATACTTGCCGAGATGGTTTATTTAAAATACAGAGTGGGTCTGTAGAGATGATATCGTTTGAACAATCTGGTTTCTTATTGCACTTTCTTTATTGCTATCATGGGTTTCTTTACGAGTCAGGATTTCCTCAGGGAAAGAGAAAGTACGTGACGATGAGTATGATATCCGTTGAAAGGGAGCTCAATTCTATTGTGTAAGTGGAAATTGGAAGTTATGGTCTCAGTGTAACTCACTATTATGAATATCTCAATATGATGGCTTACCAGCAACATGTAGAATACAGAACTTTACAGAGATAATATAGCCTACCTGGAACCAATACAAGCACATGGAGGCATCACAAACTCCAAAAAAAGCTTCAACAAATGAGCATCCAGAGCACAAAAATGCCATTAAAGACGGAGTTTACGTACACCCATCTCATACTTCCAATCTCCAGAGTCCGCACCTGCGAAGCAGAGAAGCTTCCAGACAACTACACCCGGCTCAAGAAACCACCAATCCGTCATATACCCGGCGTCGCCGCCCCAATCATTGATGTTTAGATTCTAATAAGATATGATCAAGATCTCGATCCGAAATGACGGTCAAGAAGAACACGTTGGCAAGTCTAGTCGAACATAGAGCAACAATCCCGCGCTAGTTTTAACCGCCTGCCATACCCCTGCCATACCCCTGTCAAAATCCCGGCTGAATCCCTGCTAGCAGCTAATTTCAGTTAGACGCAGCTGAACCCAAGCCAAAATGACAGTTAGTTAGATCTGGCTTATGCGTGATACAAGCAATCTCTCCACCCTTTCTTTGTTTACCAACCCACCGCCACCGCGCCCCGGAATCGTATTAATGCATTGCGATCAAACGGTGTTAGTTTGTTACAAACATCTGGCTAGCTGTGCATTGGCGCAGCTGAGGCTTTGAGAATTAGTTTGGAAGCTTCTTGGTTTCAGAGGTTTGCGCGGCTCGGGCGATATATATCCACGTGCTAAAGCGAGCCACCAAAGTTAGGGCGGGGGTCAGGCGCTGCGATGGGATTGGAGACGACGCTAAACTGAGTTTGCCACTGCATTTGTTAGGTCGGTAATCGGTTCCGAATTATGTTTAATTGAGAGCTCATGTTAGGTTTTGGGGGAACGCCAGCATGCAGCCGCTTGGGAGGTTTCCCCTGTTTCCAAGCGGCAGACTTTCTACCCCTTTCCTGGCCTTTCCCACTGAGATTTTTGGTGTTTCAGTGCTGGATTACCTGCAAAAGTAGCTCATATTATTGACACCTATGCTGCCTATTTGTATCTGTCCAAATGCCATCGGTGTTATCCAAAGTGCTGATAGCCCGGCATGAAGATAGATAGTGAACTATGCAACTAGCAATATAGAGGCCGGGGCGAAGAATTTGGTTCGCATGGCGCTGAATGTCTTGTACAGTTTTGGCCAAGGTCTATGTTATATGCTCACATACTACCAGGTCTAATAGTCCAGCCCAGATCACAAATGCACGCTAGCATCAACAGTATACAAGATAAAAGAGGAAGAGGGAATCAAGAATCTATAAATCACAACTCATCCTTGCCCTCAGGAGAGTAAACAGGCCGCCCACTATCCTGAGCCAAATCAACACCGATCTTCTTGCGCCACTTCTCCCAAAGCGAATGGAAGTCCTTCTCCATCCCACTTTCCATCTGATCCGGCAAAACAACAGTATACTCAACATAGAGATTGCCAGGCTCATCGCTGCCCTCGTGGTGATCATGCAAATGGGCATCAGAGTAGTACGGCATACCCTCCCCAGTCACAGTCTCAACAGCCAACGGCTGCACAACCTGACCACGACCGCGACCAAGTCTAACAACATGCCCATCAAGATGCGTAACATCCCTAGTCCACCCACCCATCCAAGCCTCCCTCAAACTAAGTGTCTCCTTCCAGAACAAGTCCTTCCCCTTTCTCCGGAAGAAAGTCCCATCAGTCCTTTCCTCCTCCGAAACACCCATCTCAGCCTCCTTCTCATCAAGAATAACAACCAAGTCCCCAGCAATCCAATCAGGACTCTCATCGCCTTCATTCTCAAAGACAAGTCTAGTCCCCCGATCCATCCCAGGCTCAATACTAGCACTGGTCTCAATCTCCTTCCGCACAACCCGGTTACCCGCACAAACAGGGCAAGGATTCTTAATCTTCTTTCCCTTGCCCCCACACGCATCACAAGCCATCTGAACCTGCTGGAACATGCCAGGCGCAAGCATGTGTTTCTGGATGACCATTCCGCGCCCGGAACAACGGTCACAAGTGTGCACCTGCTGGTCCTTCGATCCGGTGCCCTCGCACGAATCGCAGATCTGCTGCTTCTCCACGAGGAAGTTGATCTCGCGGCCTGTGTAGAAATCGCGCAGTGGGAGCGCCGCGCGGACTTCCATGTCCGGTCCGCGTCGGTGGCCTGGTGCGTGGCCCGAGTGTCCGCCGCCGCCGAAGAAGCGTGAGAAGAGATCGAAGGGGTCGTGGCTTCCGCCGGCGGTTTCGCCTTTGCGGTGTTGCTCTACTCCTTCGTGGCCGTATTGGTCGTAGACTTTGCGGAGGGTATTTGTGGATAGAACATCGTATGCGTCGGCGATTTCGACGAACTTTTCGCGGGCTGAGTCGTCACCGCTGGATTGGGGATGGAGGTTAGTTTCGATTGCGAGATGTGGGGAGAAAGTAGGTGGTATTGGGGGTGGGTGTTCACTCACGGGTTCTTATCTGGGTGGTATTTCTTGCTGAGAGTTCGGTATGCCTTCTTGATATCTTTTTCTGAGGCGGACTTCGCTAGTCCTAGGACTTTGTAGTAGTCCTCTGCGGCAATGACGACGACGGAGAATAGCACGACGGCTAGCGCAACTAGGAATCGTAATAGTTGCATTTTGGCGAATTGGGCTGCGCGCACAGCTTGTGTACTCTAGGAGCTGAATCTGGTTTTGCGATGCTTGCCGTATTGTGGCTTTGTTGTATTGGCCTTCGGCTCTGCTAAAAGCTTCGATCCACCTGTCGGAGCTGTAGGTCGCAGTTTTGTTTTGGTGGTGGAGTGGTCGGTAGTTTTTTGTTTATGGGGTCGGCATGGAGTGCTTTGGCTACACTAGATTGAGTGTAAACCGAGCCGTTGAACTTGAAGAATTGAAAGGTTGAAAGTGGGTGTTAGCTCCGCATGCTGATAGCTGGATCTACTTTGATATGTGGCCTGAGAGGAACAATGTTCAGCCGGGTCACGTGTATAGATAGTATAGATAGGAAGACATGAGCTGAGATATGTATAGAGAGCAAATTAATTTATATCTTGGTATGAAGTTCACCGTCGGAGATTAAACTGAGTATTATATTGAGTTCATCTGTGGTACAGCTTTGAGTGTTTGTTACATGTGCGTGTAATCATTTTCATTTCATAGACATGTCCATATCGTGAATCATGGGAGATCCTTCGCAGTTTACGTTTACCAACCAGATAGATCTCCACCAACATAAAATTAACAAGCAATAAATCACGTCAATTGCCATCTCAGTGCCTTCCAGCGACATCAAAGATATCGTTTCGCCATGTATGGCCCAGTCCACGCGTCTCATCTCCATCATCAATAGCCTCCTGCGCACCAATCGCCTCATCATTCCAGGTTTTGACAATACTTCCTGGAGCATAAACACCCTCAAAAGGCCCAGTCTTCAATGGAGAAAGCCCAATTCTAGCCTCGACATCTGAGTCGGCAGGTTTAAGGCGTGCAAGGACAGCTCTTATGAACGAAGCCAGATCCTGCGGATTAGCAATACGCGCAGCACGCAGCCGTTCTCTTGCAAATACTAGCTCCCGATTCAACGCAAACGCTGCAGCAACAATCTCCTCTGCGATCTTTTTCTCCAAAACACGACGGACAAGATGTTTCAGGAATGGTTTCGTCAGCCAGAGCAAGAACCTCCATTTGCTACGCTTGACTTGGTAATCAAGCTTGTGAATGTGCACATGCACGCCGCGTAGTGAGAAGATTTGATCAAGACGGCCGCGCCCCACTTCAACGTCGAGCGAGATGTCAATTCCACGGCGGTCAAGATAGAAGCTGGCGATGCCTTCGTCTCTAAGATGGAAGAGACCTGTATGTGTGCGGAACCAGTAGCCAAAATCTTGGGCACTGATGTTTAGGCCTTGGACTGTTACCGTGAAGGCTGTTTTCATGAGCGTCTCCGTGCGCTTGGAGTGGGTCTTTACGATGTCAATGTCGTTTCGAGTGAGAATGTGCATGCGATAAGGCAGGAAAGAGGAGAAGTTCACTGTGTGGCCTGGTTCGAGAATTAGATTTTCAAGGAGTAAATCCATTTCCGGGGCAGATATTTCAAGTCGTGGAATTGGCACGTATTGGATTAATCGAAGGAAGACTGGGAGGAAGACATTCACTATGTCGGCTGGGAGGTCGGTTTGTTTATCGTTGTAGGCAGTCCAAGCATGCTGGTATACTTTCTTGGTGGCATTGATTAACTTGTATACGACGGGGTCCTCGGGTACACTGCTTAATGTTCGTTTCGCTTGTGCTAGGAAATCGTCCATATCCTTGCGTAGACTCGACTCGAAGCCGACTTTCTCGGATTGCTGCTTGAGCTCATCTAGCTTCTCTGGCGCGGAATCAAAAAAGGCTGGGTCGGTAAGCATGTCCTGCAATGAGGTCCCGACCTCTCCTAGTAGACCATCGAATTCCGGGTCTTTATTCGCATGGCGGAGGACATCATGGAACTGCTGCTGAAGCTGGTCCCATTCCTTGGGATCTCCAAAAGAGCGCAAGAGGACCCAGAATTCGTCGACAGCTCGCTTTAAATCGGTATTAACATCAAAGTCTTCTTGAGTGACAGAGGTGGATTCCTCTGCAGCGTCGGCGTAGATTTTAGCATAGCGCTTGAGCAATTCAGCCAATGTCGAGACCGAGTCAGAGTAGTCAGTTCTCTCGCGAAGCCTGGTAACGGCTTGCTTCAATCGGAATAATAAAGTATCCCTCTCACGGCCCGAGAGATGTTCCTTGGCACTCTGCACAGCATCATGGCCTGTATGCACAGCACCATCCCCGACAGCATCTGCGATATGTGCGATTTCCTCCCTCACCTCATGCGCAGACAATTCATGACCAGAATCAGCCCCTGCGCCATTCAGCGCCTTTGCCTCCTCATCGGAAGGCTTGACCTGCTTTGCAGCAACTTTTGAAGATTCAGCAAGTGACTCGGCCGTATCAGCAAAGATTTGCCGCCCAACAGTCACAACATCATCAACAAAAAGTCGGAAATCGGCATTAGTCAAGAGTAGGCTCCCAACGGTACGGAAACTATCATAAGCTTTAAAGTAGTGTCAGCGAATGACCATCCATGGTGCAACCCACGCCAAGCCCCCCGACGCTGGAGAGACGTATGTGCTAAGGTAGAGCGACCCACCAGCTTTAGTATCAGCCCGCGCCTTCACGAGGGCAGCCTGCTGCGAAACCCTCCCACTATCCACTGAGACCCGCGAACGGGCCAGGCGCCACAGGAATTCCTGGAGTTGATCGTCGTTGTTCTTCGCGGCGAGGAACTCGATGAAGGTCTGGATCCACAGTCGAGTATCCCGCACTAGCTGGCGACCGACGCTACCAATATCCTTGTTGGCGAGATTCAGGACGTCGGATGCCAGAAGGGTGCGCACATTGCTGATTGTTTGTTCGGTTGTTGGCATATACCCTTCAGAGAGGGCGCGGAGCATCTGGTAGCTGTGTAGCTTCTGGTGGAGGCGGCGCTGACGGGAGGTGTCGTCCTCGTACCGTGGGAGCAGGGGTTCTGTTTCAGTGGGCATTTTTGGAATCAGCCCAATGGGCAGCTTTGTGGCAGGCTCAAGATGGAATGCTTTGTGGTGTGATTTGAATGCGATGATACAGTACTGGTGGTGATGTTGGTTCGGAGCTTGGGCTAGGGAGAACCTGTTTCGGGCACATGACGACACCTGATGTTACGCTAATGTTTTGTTCTTGTATACCACAGGTATTTGACCTCTACAACAATTCAATTCCACTCCATTGAAGATATTTCATATGGAATGGATACAATTAGGGATGCAGTATGGACCAGGAGCTGTCTACTGCTAACGTAGCTCGCATAGCTCGGGTGATCGTCTGGGGAGAGCTATGGAGTTCAACCATTGGGCCAGGGCTCCATCGTCTAGACCAGGGCTTACACTAAAATATTCATTAAATTAGTTCACATATCAAATAATGTCCTTTTGGAGAAAAAAAAAAAAGAAACAATCGGTAACACTACAGTGCATTCTGAGGCATTTTCTGACATATGATCTCATTCCAAGGGAGTTTACGTATAGCTTCACCTCCTTGCATCTCCCACGCGACACTCACAGGCCAAGCCCTGACAAGCCTTTCCCAACGTTGGGAAGTGCTGGGACAACCCTAACGAATCCACTTGAATTATGCACTGTACGCCGTAAACCAGAGTCTGAGAATTATTAATAGAAGACTCGCACAACGGACAAGGGGTCCAATCAGTGTGAGGCAAATCCCTAGATTCCGTGAGCTGATGTGGCCAGTGGATGCTGTTCCAGCCCTAGAAAGGGAACTCCGAATGGGAGCAAGAAAAAAAATTGAAATGTGGCCGTACTGGATATATACCCCTGGAGGGGGCCCGTCGGCGGCTGAGGCCATTCACGGAGCAGATATCACCAACACGGCGGATTCGAAACACCCCCAAAGCACTCACCGGTGAGGACACGACCGGCTGGTTTTCCTATCGAGGCTATGTAGGCGACTCCATCAGCGGCAGTCTCCGTCGCCGACCGCCGAATATATTTTCCCGCGATCTTCTAGAAGGCAAAGAGGGAAAAAAGGGCAGAACAGACTAACCACTCCACTTCGGCACTATCTGCGGCTCTGGAAGCTCGTAGCTGTGGAGTCGAAGGCGCCAGATCCATGGCGGTCCCTCCCCGGCTATAACGTCCAATCAGAGGGAGCCAAAGAGGATTCACAGTTCTACACGTAAATGTCAGCACTCATACAGGGAGATATACTCCGAATGCCCATTTTCGTATGCATCACACACGTCAAGACTCTCAACCCTTCAGACTCACCTGTACGGCGTAGTTATTAGCTATTCCGCATAAATCCCGCACCGGTACGTAGCGAGAACGTAACTCAGAGACCAATCCCTGTGATGTCTCATGTCCAATATTCAACTGATCTCCGCATTGTCGGAGTCGGCGTCTCCACCCTCCCCTTGCTCTCTCCAAAAAAATGGGAAAAAAAAAGCATTGGATCCAGATTCCTCACTCTTTCACGCACAACGGTTCGCTGTCATCACCGAAGACCATACCCACATGGGTCCCTTCCGTAACCCCCCCGAGTCTTCCCGATCTCGAATCATGACTCTTTTGTTACTATACGTCGCCGTGTGTCCCGGTTAATTATCTGGTTCTTTTCCCATTCGGAATGCTTGCTTCCCAGGGGAAATTTAATATGTTGCGAGTACATAAAAACTGCTCGACGTCTGCTCCCAGATCTTTTTTTTCTTCATACATTTCCACCTCGAACTTGAGTAAGCAACCTCAGTCGATCACAATGGCTCGATACCCTCAAGTTTCTACTCAACAAGCCCGGCCGGTGCATGCCACCCCGGCGCCCTTTGTCAACCACGCCTCGCCAGCGTAAGTCGATTGCGACAAGATGCGACGACGCCATCACTGACCTTCGTATAGTGACGCCAATTACGATACCGCCAACCCGTCATACATTCGCAAGTACCTGCGCACCTACGGCCTCACTCCTCCTCGCGCCGAGGGCTACGAGACCCAAAAGACACGATGCCTGGCTCAGCTGGGTCTGAAGAACACCCCCATCGACAAATTCCTCTACCTCAGCACCCTGCGCAAGAACAATGTGCACCTTTTCTACCGTCTCGTGACCGACCATCTCCGGGTACGTTGAACTGCACGTGACTGGACCGGGGGCAGAACTAATATCCCTGCAGGAAATGACGCCTCTGATCTACACCCCCGTGGTTGGCGAGGCCTGCCAACGCTGGTCTGAGATCTACCAGCAGCCCGAAGGTAAATTGCATTTCCCCGCACGAATAAGATACGAATTCGACACGAATTAGAACCGGAGCTAACGAGTCTGCAGGAATGTACCTGAGCTGGGAGGATCGTGGAAACCTCGCTTCCGTCATTGCCAATTGGCCCCAGCCCAATGTTGAGATCACATGTATCACCGATGGCTCCCGCATTCTCGGCCTGGGTGATCTTGGTATCAACGGCATGGGTATCCCCATTGGCAAGCTTGCTCTATACACCGCCTGTGCGGGTATTCGTCCCGAGGCCACCCTGCCTCTGACTCTCGATCTGGGCACTGGTAACAAGGCCCTCCGGGAAGACCCGTTGTACATGGGTAGCCGTCGTGACAAGATCTCCCCCGAGGAGGAGCGGGAGTTCTTGGACGAGTTGATGGCTGCTCTCACTGAGCGCTGGCCCGGGTAAGTGACTCATCTTCACATGCATCTCGGGTGATCTTCAGTTCTAACAAAGCTTCTAGTATCGTCATCCAATTCGAGGATTTCAAGAACCCCTTCCCCGCTCTCGAGCGTTACCGTGATCTATACACCTGCTTCAACGATGACATCCAGGGTACTGGTGCTGTCATCCTGGGCGGTGTCATCAACGCTGTCAAGCGCGCCGGTTTGCCCTGCAAGGAGCACCGCGCTGTCTTCTTCGGAGCCGGTAGCGCCGGTGTCGGTGTTGCCCGTCAGATCGTCGAGTTCTTCATGCGCGAAGGCATGACCGAGGATGAGGCCCGCAACTGCTTCTACCTCGTCGACACCAAGGGTCTCGTCACTGCTGACCGCGGTGACAAGCTCGCTGACCACAAGGTCTACTTCGCTCGCCAGGACAACAATGGCGAGCAGTTCAAGACCCTCGAAGAGGTTGTTGACCACGTCAAGCCCTCCATCCTGATGGGTCTCTCCACCATGGGCGGTGTCTTCACCCCCGAGATCCTCCGCAAGATGGCTGACTGGAACACCGCTCCCCTCATCTTCCCCCTCTCCAACCCCCTCCTCCAAGTCCGAGTGTGACTTCGAGACCGCTGTCAAGAACACTGATGGTCGCTGCCTCTTCGCCTCCGGCTCTCCCTTCCCCAACTGTACCTTCACCAACTCCGCTGGCGAGACCCGCACCTACTACCCCGGTCAGGGTAACAACATGTATGTCTTCCCCGGTATCGGCCTCGGTAGCATCCTGTCCAAGGCCGTCCGTGTCACCGACAGCATGATCTACGCCTCCGGTGATGCCCTCTCTCAAGCTCTCACCCCTGAGGAGCTCGAGCGTGGTCTCCTCTACCCTGACATCACTCGCATCCGCGAGGTCAGCATCGTCGTCACTCGCAAGGTGATGCGCGCCGCCCAGGAGGACAAGGTCGACCGGGAGACTGCGCTCCGTACCATGAACGACATCGAGTTGGACAACTGGATCAAGGCCCGCATGTACGATCCTCACACTGAGGTCCGCGCTCTCGAGCGTGAGGTCGGTCACTTGCTCTCCAGCCTCGGCACAATTTCGCCCCCCATCACGGCGAACGGCTCCCCCACCGAGGAGAAGAATGCCAAGCTGTAAGGTGTGCATGTTTTCTTCTGTACTCAAAATTGCTCTTCATCATCTGTGGCGCTTGCATTGGTTTCACATTTTTGTCCTTGAACACGAAAACACTTGTTCTAATCACGGTCAGCGACTAGGATCTCTGCGTGATGGACTGACTTGACCTTTTTGTCGTCTTTTACTTTCTGGCTTCGAGCGCGCTCTTCTTGTTCCTTTTTTCATCCTTCTCCTCTGCTTTTCGGGATTGGACACGACATTTGTTGCCCCTTTTTTTCTTCTGATTGAATACCCATTACCTATTTGCTTTTCGGTCCCTTGGAGGGCTTTGCATTGTGGGAATAGTTAGGAAATAACTTTGCCATATGAATGAACACATACTATTTAACTCTTCTTCTTGGTAATCAGTAACGACTAAGTATTACTCTGTATATTCTGTAGACTGGAAATACGTTCATCCTTTTTTTCATCCGTGCTTTCACGTGGCAAGCGGATGAACCCAACTCCCCGAAAGTTTACTGGGCTCCACACCCAGACGCACATCTCGTAGGCCTCGCCTGTCCCCACATAGTTAAAGCTTCAATGCCTCTCATTCGTGCTTGCGCTCGGGGACATCAATCTCTCCGGGGAATCTTGATTACTAAGGATCTCCGGCCGAGGTAGATGCAATTTTCATGTTGAAGACTTCAATTGTGCTTCGAGGGGCTTCTATCCTTGATTTAGGGCTTAATCAGTGATCTATATATTAGCCGGTGAGTATCAAATTCCTAGTGACTATTTCAAACACTTCATTGACCCGAATTGTAGGTTTTTTGTTGAAATTGATTGTCTTGGGATTCCCTCCTCACGACATATAGTACCTTGCATCCTCTATTGGGGTATAGTATACTTTCTCCAAGTACACGGCAAAGACAGTATATCGCATATCGAATCGTGCAAACAAGAAAAGCTCCATCATGCCGTCCCCTCTTGCAGACCCCGTCAAGCTGCCATGTGGACTTGTTTTACCAAACAGATTGAGCAAGGCGAGCACATACTTCTCATACCTCCCTTCGGAAAGCCCAATACTAACAGAATTGCCAGGCCGCCATGGCCGAGCTCATGGCTAAGAAGAATCAACCCACAGACCCCCTCCTCGACGCCTACACTCAATGGTCCGAAGGTGGATGGGGTAGCATCCTAACAGGTAAGTCATCGCCCAACTATAAAGTCAACCTACCTCATACAACAAATCCCAACCTGACAACTCCAAACAGGAAACGTACAGGTAGACGTAAACCACATGGGCAGCCCCTTCGACCCAGCTCTACACGCCGAATACAAAGGCCCAGAAAGCAACAGCAGCCTAGTATCGGAATGGAAGAAATACGCAGACGCAACCCAGAAACACGGCACACCGGCGATAGTGCAAATCTGCCACCCAGGACGCCAGTCGTTCCGCGTGGCCGGTTACCGTGGTATGTTCGCGCCGACTCTAGCGCCGTCTGCGGTGCCTATTAAGGTTGGCGATGGTTTGCTTGAGAGGATGGTTAGCTGTCTTGCTTGGTCGCAGCCTAAGGAGATGACCCACGCCGATATCGAGCGTGTCATCAGGCAATTCGTTGACACGGCTCGGCTCATGGCTGATGCTGGGTTTTCTGGGGTTGAGCTGCATGGTGCGCATGGATATCTGATTGGTATGTTCTTTTTCTACTCTTTCTTTCTCTTTCTCTTTCTCTTTTTTCCCACAGGGGACTAGAAATCACGGTGACTGACACAATCTAGATCAATTCCTCAACAGCAAAGTATGAAACACCACCACCAACACCCCAACATATCAAAAGACTAAAACCAAACTAACAACCCCAGACCAACCTCCGAACAGACGCCTACGGTGGCACGCCCTCCAAGCGCGCCAGATTCGTCCTCGACATCCTGACCGAAACCCGCAAAGTCGTCCCCTCGACCTTCTGCATCGGCATAAAACTAAACTCAGCCGACCACAGCTCCGCCAGCTTCGAAGAAACAATGACTCAAATCGCCCTGCTAGCCGAAGCCGGCATCGACTTTATGGAAATCAGCGGCGGAAGCTACGAAGATCCCAAGATGATGGGCTATGCCAAAACAGACACATCGGTAACTGAAAAGCCCAAATCCGAACGCACGGCTGCGCGCGAGGCCTTCTTCCTTGAATTCTCGAAGGAGGTCCGGAAGCGCCATCCTGGTCTGGTGCTTATGTTGACTGGTGGGTTCCGGACACGGGCTGGTGCCGAGTCGGCTATTCTCGATGGGGCTTGTGATCTTGTTGGCATTGGAAGGCCTGCGGCTATTGATCCGAAGTTCCCGTTGCTTTTGTTGGATGAGAGTGTTGCTGAGGGGGATGCTGTGCTGCCTTTGAATAAGGCGCCTGTTCCTTGGTATACGCGCTTTTTGCCGCTGCATCTTGTTGGGGCTGGGGCTGAGAGTGTGAGTTTTCGTTCTCTTTTTTTCTTTTATTTTTTGAGTTCTGTTTTTGAGTGTATGCGGTTGCTGACTTTGGTTCGGATAGACTTATTACGCTGGTCAGATTCAGCGCTTGGCTAAGGGTATTGCTACTATGGTGCCGCCCTTGTGAATTGTTGTATAGTGTCTGTTGGTTGTCTTGGTATTTGTTTTAATAGATTGACTTGGGTTCTTTGGTGTTTTTGTATACTTACATTGCTGAATGTATCAGGCTTTTCGTATTTACCTCGCTGATAATCATAACTTCTTAATGTGAAGAAAGAATTGGACACCTGTTAGCGAAATTTCTCACCGAATTTTAGCTGACTGAAGGAGGTGGAGCTGTAATCTACGCGCAGCGAGTACCTCACTCGTCACTCTACTTGCTTGGTGTGGAGCTGATATTGAGGATGACACAAGCCTGCTGGCCCATATCTATACTTCGATGACATGCGCTATCTGCCTATTGTGTTTGCCTCATCCCCGATTCAATTGACCTAGCACTAGGTATGCCCACTTCCTATCCCACTGTTCCGACGCCTCATCAGAACCGAAGGTGCTCTATGTCTCCCAGATTCTTAGTGTAATGCTGGACTCAGGGTCAAGAGATCGACATGGCTTTTATTCAATGAGAATATGATGGCATGAGATGTGAGTGATCAAGAATCAGTTATTGAAAATTCATCCATTCAGTATCTACACTATATTATTTCTTCTCGACGTCATTTCGAAGTAGTGTTTGCCTTGGTTGTTTCTACATTATTTGTTGACATCTTCTACCGGACCCTAGGTTCTCTATTGGGATCTTCATTACTTAGTGGACTACCCTCTCCCTTTACACTTGTATTCTAGTGAAATGGCTTAGTTCATGGGATCATAGGAAGAAATAGACTTTCATTGGGGTTACTCTATTGTATTCTGTATACTCAATCTGAACATCAGGCTGGCTTGATAGCACTGACTTCCAAGACAAAGTCTGACACTCCAGCTCGACAGTAGAAGGGGAGAGTGGTGCTAACAACATGAAAAGGACTATTTGGAGAGTAGACTGTCAGTAAGTCTTTCTTTCCATTGTCTACTAGTTCGCCCACATCGGTAAAGTTGTTTTTGGCTAGACCCAGCTTAAACGATTTGGTATACTGTATGGAACGACCTGGGGCATTTTACTGGGCCGCTCAAGAATTGATCTACGCCAAGGCCTTGGCGGTGGGGCCAGAAACGAGTTGTCGAATGTGTGTTGGTCAAGCCGATATCATAATGACTGAACGTATGGGTAACTTATACCTCGATTGTACAGACGGGCGAAAGTCGTGCGATTCTGGGAGTGAAGCACCCAATCGCTAATATAACCGCCGTCAATGTGTAGTTAGTTAGTTACCGAGCGGGAGCTAACCTCAAACGAATGGGAGGGCGGTCGTCGAACATGAATACTAGGTTTGACTGGACCTCGCGTGAAAAGTTGGTGGCAGACTTTACAATCCCTAAAAGGGATACAAGTGTGAGATAGCTATATGAATGGGTGGTCATTGACCTGACGTTTTTGCAAGTGCAAGAATATCATTTGTTGTGGACTAGCGGGGTCGCACGATCTGTGGCCCTGAAGTACAGGGGAGGGACGGGAAAAGGTCTCTAGCCACGTCCTTCAGGTTGATAGTATCGCCTTTAGTCATTGGCCAGTCGCATGGTGCTAGTCGAAGAGGCTGAGTGTTAGCCTTTAGGTATGTAACCTCAATCGGGCCCCGCGGCCCCTTTGTTACGTTGCAGCATTCCGATGGCGTTCGAATGGCTTATATCTCCGGTTTGGCCCCAGCGCTACTGTCTGAAGCCCCTCACGACGAAGAATCAACACCAATAAAGTCCAATCCCCATTCGCCACGACTCCAGAACACATTTAGTTCTATGTGATCCTGCTTCTTTGGGTCACATGGCCGTCATGTATTTAGATCCTTCAGACCTCAGATAGATCCTGGCTCCCTAGAACTCCCTTGAATCTATCTTTTATTTTCTGCTTCTGCTCTCTCTGGAGCACATCTCAACCAGCAGGCATGAACAACGAAACTCAAATCCCTGTCTCTGATTGCAGCGGGCTGGTCGATCTCGAGGGACCCCCTGCTAGCGCGTGGTCACCGACCATGTTCATCAATGACCAGTTGGGATGGGACGAACTGCTGCAAGATATCCCCGAGCAGCCCAGTTCCCTGGAAACAGAAAGGATAGAAGGACGTCTGATCAAAACACCCTGCCAATGCTTTAGTCTGGCGCTCCAAACGATAAAGAAATTGGATCGATATCACAACCTTGACGCCCACGCAGTTGATAGTGTGCTGGGCGTGACTCAAGAAGCCGTTAAGATTTGCCGCCACTTCTACGATTGCGTGGCCAGTTGCCACCATAGCAATATTCTCCTGCATGTCACCATATTGCAACTGCTAGACACGCATTACGCGTCAATAGGCAGCTGGCTAATGTCGACTGCGGAAGCCAAGGATCAGAAACTCGATGTGGAAGTGGGCATTGGCGCGTTCCACTTAAAGGCCAGGCTGCACTCCATCGTGGGAAGAGCAATCCTTAGTTCGGAAATTATGGGAACAGCCAACTGCGCCATGAAGCTCTTTGAATTATTTCGAGTCTATGCATTCGAGAGTTCGATGGAGGAGTTGAAATGCCAGCGGGACTTACTGCAATCCCTTACCACGAGCCTGTATCAGAGTGCAAACGACATGTCTTTTTTAGGTTGCACGCCTGATCCTCTTCCGTCTTCCCTTACAGCAGATTCCTCATGATTGGGTAAACATGGTGCGATCGCGACTCGGAAGAAATGACCTTTTGACTATGGCCACCAAACAGCCTCAATATCGAATGTACATAGGGGCACAAGGAAAAGAGAAGGGAACGCAAAAGAAACAAGTGTTTGTCATTTCCACCCAGTTCAAAAGAAGCATTTTGTCAAACAACGCAAATAAAACATTTTGAAGATGCACGACGCTAGACGCCAGCATGCGCAAGAACGCATGTTTATCATTACGCACTAGCTAAAGAATCTATTTTTTATGAACTCAAGCTGATGAATCTTATTTTAATGAGACTCAGCAATATCTTCAACGCATCATTTCTCCCCAACACGCTGTTTAAACTTTCGCACACTCCACGGGCTCTCTTCATCTCCGAACCAAGGATTGCATGGACAATGCTTGGAACGCATGTCTGGTCAAAGATCTCGATGCCCCCGATCTTGATATTCAGCAATGTAGACGCATTATTGTCACTTATTTCAGACGAGATGATCTCATAGCATCTGACGAGTCGCTGTAAGATAGTAGTACAGAGCATTGATATCACTGGCCCTGAACAGGCGCGGCACCGACTGACTGTGTCACAAAATGTAAGGCCACTGTGCGCCGTAGACATAATTAAGTTCAGGTTTATGGGGGTTTGGATCGAGACTTCTATGTGGGACAAGGTGGATAATGCCGTCGAAAGGCATGAACACAATGTATTGGACTCTTCGTGAGAAGTGGCAGTCGGTTTGCATCGTGATCGGCTTCTGTTACTCATCTGTGATGCGTGACTGTCTGTGTACAATGGCATCAAGCCGCTGTACTGGGGGTCATGTGGCATGGTAGACCACGTCAACGGGTCTGTTTCGAGAACCTCAGTAGACACAATGTCACCGCTAGCATTGTCACTGCTCTCTTGCGAGTTCGCTTCGCGTGTTTTAAGTTCTGCTAAGCGCTTGGTCAACCGGGCCTTATCAGTAACGAGGTTTGAGTACTTACTAACTATCCTGTCCCTAACCGCGGGGACAATCAATGTCGCTTGGTGACTGCATTGCGGGTTATCTATTGTCGTCAGCTTCTATGAACACAAATTCCAATATTATAACCTGGGGGCTGATCTGGGGGCTGACCTGGTGAATGATCCAACATCTCGGAAAAACGCCGTTTCTTCCTCGGAGTCTCTGGAGTTGGAAGGCCCGTTTGTTCTTGACGCTCCGAAGAGAAGCTAAACGTACAGGTGTTGTTGTTATTGAGACATCTCTGACAGTGATCCCCATCCCGAACACATTTCAGTTTGAATCGATAACACTGATCACATGCCGAAGCACTGAATCCAGGTTTGATTCCTCTGCATGACGAGGATGACAAGGGAACTGATGTTGTCACAGAAAGCCCGACATCACAATCTTGCCTTCTTGCAGCCGAGTGAGGATTATTGACGGTAATGGTGTTGTTGGAACCTAAAGATAGACCAGTCAGTGGTTAGATGGAAGAAGCCTTGATATTGAAAGAGACGACGTGAACTCTCACCAACTTGATCAATGGCCGACTCCTGACCATTAGATATTGGCCGACTGTTGTCATCTCCATTATGATTCCGCTGAGCCTTGAGATTTTGGAGTCTCTTCTTAGGCCTGCCCATGAATTTCCCAAAACTATATGTGCACGGCGTAGAAGACTTGACGCAGCGTTGACAGCGGGGCAGTTCTCTGGTGCATTTCTGCTTTGTGCGATGACACTGGTCACATGCATTCGTTTCCAACTGAGCATTGGAATTATGATTCATTGCGATCCCGGATTTCAAGGCCGTTTGCAGAAGAAAAAAGAATTGTTGACGATATGAGACCATTCTAACAATCTAAGCAGCCCACACAACATATACTATAGTGAGCCAAAGTTGGCGACATTGCCCCGCAGATTAGGCACCGAATCATGATTTCGCTCGGAATCCATAGTTGAATCTACTGCTTTCCCCTCTCTGTATTGCATCCCTATCGGATCTTCAGCTGACCCGCGGGCCCCATCTCCTGCCATGTAACCTGTAACCCATTCAAGACTTCCATTGTAGATCCCTAGACAGGGATATGCCCACGTGATAATGCTTGAATGCAATTCGTTATCCTCCAAGACATTTGCCATGCCACAATCAATGGCCACAATCGGAACAAGCAAGCAACGACTGGTCCATACAACATAGTCCCGCTCATTAAGGGTTATTCCGACTACCCTGGGTTGGATTTAGGGCGCCTGAAAGGCACGGAATAGCTTCTAGGGCATTCTGCAGGGAATACGTACGCCCCAGCCTATAGAATATTGTTGGCAGCGATTGCGTGACCCTAGGCGTGACACGACATGCTTAGATTTATGCGCTATACAAGCTTTCGGGGGCCGTTTTTATTCCGGTCCCCTCGTCTTATCAGCGGGGTATCTGGGCCTCCACACCGCTTCCTGGTCTCGATGCACTACACCGGGATCTGGAACCGACAGGATTATGCCATACAAAAATACTCGAGTATCTAGGAACCATTGATTGATAGAGCTTAGAAGCTTTACCAAGTAGTAAAGGATGATAGAGGTTAGAATTCTTACCAAGTGATGGAGGACAAGTCAACAGTGTGGACCCTTATAGTAAATGCGCAGACTATAAGGGCTGCAGTGCAGGTAAATACGGGCACGGATACACTTTAGCGGGGCTCGGGTAGAGGTGGGGGCCGCAGCTGGAAAATCCTTGGTAAAGAATCCTGGAGTGGGGGACGATCTGCTTTCAATCTATTCTATGGAGATCATATTCTCCCAGCGCTTAGCGAACATGATTGAAGTCTCGTCAACCAATCTCCAACAAAGATCTGCAATCCACCACACAACGGGGGTGACACAGACAGCTGCGAGCGCAAATCCGGCCCCATACCGCAGAGCCGTGTGATCCCCAGTCACTGCGCACATGAACGGAACCACGCTCCACCCCCATGCGGCAAGTATCGGCCAGTGGACCATGTAGAGGGAGAAGGATATTTTCCCCAGGTAGTCCGCGGGGGAGGTGCGAAACATGGCCTGCACGATGGGAAGGTGATCGATCGCTAGTACCACGAGTGCAGCTCCAATGGTATAGACGTTGGAATTCCAGGGAATGATTCGTGAAATCGTTCGATATCCAATGCTTGAGGACCCATATGCACCACGGGTATGGGGAATAGAGCACATCCAGATACCCAAAAGAAGGACGAAGGACCAGAGACCCACTGATAGACATTTCCAGAGATTAGAGGCAGACCTGGGATCTTTGTGGGGCGGGTGCAGGTGTCGACGGAGGTGGAACTCGGCCAAGGCCATACCGACGAGAAAGCACGAGATCTCCTTGCGCATGCACCACGCAGAAAGCATAATCAAGAAAAATAGCGTGATTAGGCGCACTGCAGGTCGGACTTTGCTCGAAGACACGATGAAAATGAACAGCAGGAATGAGCACCACAACTCCTGCGGGATAGTATACAATGGGACTGCATACTCCGATGCGCTCACATTTGGGAGTGGACGCAGCCACTCGTCTGGGTAAATTAACCGGCCCAGGACATACTCCACCCAATCAAGGAACTGGAGAGCAAAGTTGGGTTGTCGGATGGGGCCGTTCCAGTCCATGTCGATGGGGCTATCATAGTGAGATTGATATAGGCTGAATCGAACGCCGATCATGACGATAAATGTAACTGCTGTTGGAGGGAGAATCAATCGAATGGGGCGGCGGAGGGCAGCTGAAAACATCAGCTGGTGAAGACGCTCCCAATCCCGATCGTATATGGCTCGCAGGGGGCCAATCGAGAGAGAAAATCCAGAGATGATGAAGAATATTGATACCATCACGCTGCCGGAATATAAAAGCCGGATTCCAGGTAACTGGTAGAATTTTGGATGCTCTCCATACTCGTCGAGGAGTTTAGGATAGAATCGCATCAAGAAGTGCTCTGCAAAAACAGCCAGACAAGCGACTCCACGAAGACCAGTTAGATAACTGGTACTGCCCCAGCATCTTGTTGGTGCGGAACTCACACCAAAGTAGGCAGAGATGGGACTCGGCAACAGGAACAGACCAATTTCTCTAGATTTCAGTAGTAATTGGCGACCTTTTGTGGTAGTTGTAGACATGGACACATCAATTCCATAAGCTGGCATGTTATGGAGACTTTCTTGATCTTCATTATTCAAGGCCATTCTTTTACGCAGAGACTCAAAGAATCGATCTCAATGTCTCAGGTGTTACGTGGTCCGGACCATAACACAAACAAAGACGTTGAAGCGCAAAATAAGCTGAAAGAGACCCATCCGATGCAACATGCAGGATATACCTGGGCACCGACTGGTTGGACAAGGCAGATGAAGGTCCGGTGGACTTGGGCCAAGAGCTGCACTTGTTCCGCTCCGAAAGTTGAAACATTCGGAACAGACATCACTTTCGGAGGCTTTCACGCTAGAGCCAACAAACATCATTTCTCGTCAACATGCTAAAGGAAAATGGTGCTATCAGGTCCGCGAACGTGACTGGTCTTGTTGGCAGTGACATTCGGCATAGGCATAGGCATACTCTTCGGTCTATATATTGTTATCGGCACCATCATAAACACCTCTCTTTGATCTTTCTCCCGTGATCAACATCTGTTTGCACATGTGAATTGACCCCGACGGCCTTACCAAGATGAAGATTAGTTCTCTCGTTACTTTTGCGTCGATCGCGACTACGATCGCCGCCTTCCCACTCAATATTCCCAGTATGCTCACTCTGAATGTCCAATAAGTTTCAGTAATTTGAACACCTCCTAATACTATGTTTAGATAAACGCTCCATTGCTGAAGTCGATCGACGGGAGGTGCCATACTTTAAGTCGCCAATTATCCCACTGGTCGATAAGCGCGAGCCATCTAAGGAGAAGGTCGACAAGCGCGAGCCTAGCAAAGAGAAGGTCGACAAGCGCGAGCCCAGCAAGGAGAAGGTTGACAAGCGTGAGCCCAGCAAAGAGAAGGTTGATAAGCGCGAGCCTAGCAAAGAGAAGGTCGACAAGCGCGAGCCCAGCAAGGAGAAGGTCGACAAGCGCGAGCCCAGCAAGGAGAAGGTTGACAAGCGTGAGCCCAGCAAAGAGAAGGTCGACAAGCGCGAGCCCAGCAAGGAGAAGGTTGATAAGCGCGAGCCATCTAAGGAGAAGGTCGACAAGCGTGAACCCAGCAAAGAGAAGGTTGACAAGCGCGAGCCATCTAAGGAGAAGGTCGACAAGCGTGAACCCAGCAAAGAGAAGGTTGACAAGCGCGAGCCATCTAAGGAGAAGGTCGACAAGCGTGAACCCAGCAAAGAGAAGGTTGACAAGCGCGAGCCTAGCAAGGAGAAGGTTGACAAGCGTGAACCATCTAAGGAGAAGGTTGACAAGCGTGAACCCAGCAAAGAGAAGGTTGACAAGCGCGAGCCATCTAAGGAGAAGGTCGACAAGCGTGAACCCAGCAAAGAGAAGGTTGACAAGCGCGAGCCTAGCAAGGAGAAGGTTGACAAGCGTGAACCATCTAAGGAGAAGGTTGACAAGCGTGAACCCAGCAAAGAGAAGGTTGACAAGCGCGAGCCATCTAAGGAGAAGGTCGACAAGCGTGAACCCAGCAAGGAAAAGGTCGACAAGCGTGAGCCATCTAAGGAGAAGGTTGATAAGCGCGAGCCATCTAAGGAGAAGGTCGACAAGCGTGAACCTAGCAAAGAGAAGGTTGATAAGCGTGAGCCCAGCAAGGAGAAGGTCGACTAGGCTTTTCAAGTTGATGGATGCAATGAATTTCAGAGACGATGTACCATTGACCAGCCCTGTGGTGATATCTGGTGGTCAATTCTAGATAAGAGACAACATCTGTGAGCTCGAGCTGTACTAAGCATTCACAATGAGCCAAATTGCATGCAACTTTTCACACATCTTTATATCAAATTACTACGATAATTTTATTACGGCTATGGTGGGGAGGCCTTTCGTGCTTAAATTTGAAGAGTTATATGAGGAGCAATTAATTAATGTTGCATTTTGAACCGTCTTTCTACTTCAATATCTGGACGAGAGGCGATATTTCTCTATTCTGTTCGTCAGTATCATATTCAAAGATATGAGATACTATAAAATCTGCAGAGAAAAAAAATCCAAAGAGTGAAGTTATCTTTTTGGGCATCTAAAACACCATTCTCGCAAATATGCCGACTCTCTTGCTCCAAATTAACCAATCAATGGCCTCTACTATGGTCCGAATTTGGCCACTGGAAGAGGAAGAAGCCCCGATTTTGCCCATTCTGGTAAGCTCCCACTCTGTCTATACTTCGCACGGAGAAGCCACCTTGACCCGAAGCATATAGTTTCCGTTTTGATTTTATTTCTGCTTGGCAGGAACTTGTTTCGGTTTTCAGAATGTGTGAGTTTCACTCTGTTCCTCGATAACCCAATGCTCACAACAGCGTTGCAGCGCCATACTATGATTCTGGCCCCTCATCGCCCTCAGAATCGTCATCCAGATCGGAATATGATCGGGTACCTTTGGTCGAAGAGAACAATCCATTGAACGAAAAAGGGGAGTGTGATTTAGACCTCCCATCAAGTTTTCAGCCGAGTACCGCGAAGGAGATCTGGACGCGGATTGTGGAAACACCAAGGGCGCTCGTGGTTGCTACATGTTTCGCGACCACAGTTCTTCTTCTGATCGTTATCACCAGTTTCACCGTTCACAAACCGGGATCCTATGTTCGCATGTACACATTATCCCAGCAGAACGCTCTCCAGCCGGAATACCGAGACTCATTCGGTGGCCCTATGGAGCTTGGGGGTACATACCGCTGCGGCAGCTACCCCAGCGAAGCAAAATCATTGGGATGCGTGTTTGACCTCATGAATTTTGGTTGGACGGCACCCGAGTGTTATTATGAGGAAATATCTACCGCAGGGATAGCTAAAGGCCCGTACAAATTTTACTTGGATGAGGATCTCACTGTGGAAATTCCACAAGATGTCGCCCTGTCAGGTCGTGTGGTTGATGTGTATACAACGCGTCACTACCACCGAGAGCACTGCATATGGTCGCAGGCTGTGCTGGCACTAGCGATGAAAGATGACAATGTTTTGATTCCACAGGTAATTGCCCAGCAGAACCATACGGCACATTGTCAGCATTACGTCGAGGAATCTCAAGGGAAGCCTATGGAGAAAGTCGACACCTGGACACGTGTTGTCTATAATTCTTGTATCAAATTGTCCGAAGCCGATCTCCTCATCGTTGTTTGAATGGAAGCAGAATTGTTGTTATAGAAAGGGCAAAATAAATTAAATAAAACTGATAGAGCTCTCAATTCAATGGGTGATCTATATGTAGAGCAAGGAACACAAAATCATTCACAGGGAACCTTTAGAAGGCTCACGGACGAGGAAGTAATGAACCATAGGCTCAGTTCCACCATACTGGGAATAATCGGTCGACACGGTTTCTACCAGCTTGAATCCGAGATTGAGATATAGCTTCAAGGCAGCCGGCTCCGACATGACATAGGTCTTGATTGCGTGCTGGTCTGCGATCTCAAGCCCGCTCTGCACGAGCATGCTGCCAATTCCCCGCCGCCAGAACACAGGGTCTGTCGTCAAGTAATCCAGCACTAGAGCGGTATATCAGTTACAACAGCTACTGCTAATCATTGGTTGAGTTTAGCTTACTCAGAAACGGACCATCTCGCATAATTCGCGCATCGACCGCTTCCAGGGGCGCGCTGCGGTAACTCATCATTGATCCACCCTTCATGCCAATCGGACGACCGTTTTTGGTGCACGCCAGATATTGCTCCTCGTAGACTGCGCGGTCCGCTGGAGTTGCCTCCGCAACTTGAGCTTCCAGCCAGACATCGTTACTCTTTGCCAGAATGGTAGGTAGAATCCATCGAGCGTACCCAACAACTTGGCTGGTCTCGCGATCGATTACCTTTTGGTGCCGTTTTGTATCCCTTCCAGTCACTAAGTTCCAGGGAACCCGGTCTGTAGCTTTGGCTATGATGTCTTCCGGGGACGGGTCCTCCCACAGATGAGCCCAGTGGGGATCTGTGAGACGGGCGCCCATCATGGTCGCCGCAAGGCCCGGGGCGTCAGCAGGGAAACAAGGCTGAATCACAAATGACATGCTGGGCAGTGGCTGAAGGAGGGAGGAGTTCACTCTGCGGGTGTTGTCGGTCTCTCAATGGAGGGAAAGGTGGATTGGCTGGTGAAAGAGAGGGCTTCCATTGTCCGATAGATTTCGGGGCTATCTGCGTGCGGGGGTCCAGATTCGGCGACCCCAGCGGACGGACATGCTCAGGTGAATCTCGGCTACTAGTCTTATAGATCAAAAAGATCACTTAGCATGATACATTCTGCCTCTCTGTTTGACAGCATTAGCGACTGCATCCATGGCTGCCGAGATACGACCATTTACCAAAAGACTGCATGGCTGTACGGACTACCTTCCTCTCACCGCGAAATTTGAACGCGAACTAACCTCAATCAATTCTTCAGGGTTCCTCAGCCGCAGCTTGTCACGACTGGAAGAGGGCCCAGATGAGGCCGAAAAACCATTCGTGAGCAAGCGATCCAGCATGGACGATTCGAGCGACGAGGAGAATCTCAGCCTGCCAGTCGTGCGCAAACGCTCATATTGTCGCCCCAGAGCTTCGATAGTGGGTATAGCCTGTTTCGTCTTACTAGGAATGATTACTTTCGCCGTCTTGGTGACCGACAGCCGTAGCGGCAAAGTGCCTGATTCCCGTCCACCACAGGCTCAGGGCGGATCAGTCGTCACAGCGCACTGCGGTACTACACCCGAAGAAGCCAAAGCTCGCGGATGCTTCTGGGATATCATGAGCTTTGGCTGGATGCATCCTTCATGTTTTGATCGCGAGGAGTCCGCCCGTTGGGAGGCGCAATATGGGCCCTGGGAATGGTACTCGGAGCGGCCGGGCAACGAGACGGACTTGGTGCCACTCAAGGCGGAAGAATTGCCATATTCACCTGTTGTGTGGACAACGCAGGGCTACCATGTTCAACATTGTCTCTACGTTCTTAAGATGATCCACATGGCGGCTTTGATAGAGGCGTCGGTTTCTAACGAGGGGATTGAACTTGGTCATACGGACCATTGCACAAAACTTATCGGCAATCCAGAGTTGGTGGATTATGCGGACGTCAACACACGGGTTCATTTGCTCTTTGTTCAATGCGTCTCTTTAACATAAATCTATAAGAATGGGGGATGAAATGTGTCTTACTCTCGCATGATATCTCTAACCCCTATGACGGCGAATAAATGGAAATACGATATTCATTCTTTAACATGATTCTTCTCCGATTCCGCGATTACGCACTGAAATTTTAAATTCAATTATTTTCTCTCTCAAGTAAACCAAACTGTCATAAGATGGTGATTCTGTGGCCAGGCGTTCAGTTTCGGACTTTCCCAGGTTTGTCCCACTTTCGGCCCCATGTGAGAATCGGACTCGAAAAAAGCCCCGGACTTTTGGCTGACACCGGAACTATCTTCCAACAGAGTAGACAAGACGAGGAAATGAGACAAAATCGTATGTCCCGCAAAAAGCATGTTGTGGGTCGTGTACAGAGAAATGTAGCCGTGGGTGAACACAACACAACATTCCCTGGGAGTCACTACCGTTGCGTCCAAGTACTTCTCCGTTGCCTTGTGCATTCATCTATACCACTCCAACTCGTCTATTGCTTCACTTTTTATTCAGAGGGTGTTTCGATTCTAGAACCACATTCTCACCATGGCCTATCCAGGGAAATCAAAATACTCTGTACTCAACTCCTCTGACGCCGACCTTGACTCAGTACCGACACCAGCTCGCAAATCATCTTTCTCGCTCATTTCATTGCTCCTGCAAATAGCAACATTCGTTAGCTCTCTCACTCTCTTGGCTCTCTTTCTCTATAGCCCAAGAGCTTCATCCTCAGCCATATCGTCTCCCAGCACTGTGCTGCCCGTGGGCATGAGCCGGGTGAATCCCAGCACAGCACATCAACTCCAACCTTGTGGAAACGACGCAGCCACAGCGCGTGCCAACGGCTGTATCTTTGACCTTCTGACCCTGGCTTGGTTGGCACCTGAATGCTACGATGCGGACCTGAGCGCAGAATTCCTCGAGGATGCCTCGGAGACATTCTACTATGATGAGGATGCACAGCGCCCAATTGAAAGCTACGAAGTGTTGTCAGAACGTCCGCTGGGCGAATTTAGCTGGACAACACGCAAGTATCATATCTATCATTGTTCGTATGGGTGGCGATTGATGCACCGGGCCTTGGAAAGAGGTGGCATGGTGGAGAGCGGGCTAAGTAGTTATCATCATACGGAACATTGTACAGGTGCCTTGATGAACACTTCGGTGCCGATGGATGCGGTTATTACTCGGGTGGAGATATCTTATCCGGACTGTTGATAAGAGATTTCAATACTATATTTCCATCCGCTGTGGAATGTTGTGCAAGCTGTAGTGTGGTATAATCGATTGTTAGAAAAGATGACTTATAGTATGTTATCGAAGATATACCTTAAGGCTGATCATCCAAAATGACAGTGCTTTTCTGCTGAGTCTGTCGGCTCGCATAATATACAAGAGGTTACAGGTGAAACTATGCGATTTTTATGTTTTTATCAAAGAAACCGTTGAAGCCTTTAAATCAATTCTGGATACATTTTCATTTTCCACTCAACTAGATACCACGACCTAGATAAGCAGCACAAGCAGCTGCCACCACTCCGCATCGCAACACCCACGCCAGCGTCACTGTTGGTCCGAGATTGAGTGAGGTGGAAATTGCAAATATAAGACTACTGATAATGGCGGAGCAGATTTGCGGTAAGGAGATGGCAATGTTATGGACCCCCATCGTTGTAGCCGCCATTGACCGCGCCGGACCGGGTGAATGATTCGATGAGAATTGTTGCTTCTCAGCATCAATTTCATCATTTGTAGTAAACGAGCCAGAAGAAGAGGCAGCTTCCGGTACCCTCGTGGAGTGATCACGATACAAGGGGTTTGGGATGGACTCTTTAGCAATTTCTGCCCCGATGATCGCGAAAGGTGCCCATTGCGTGAGACCCCAAGAGATACCGAGGATAGCAACAAATACCACAGATGAGATGAAGTCTTCTCCCACAGTCAACCCAAAGAGACTTATTGAAGACAGAACGTGAGAAACCATCCACGCGCGAGGGAGGGTCAAGTTCCTCTTGATGCGACCCCATACATTCCCTATATCAGTCACGTCTCGTGTTCTATCGCCTGGATTGTCGTGAATTAGGTACGGAAGAGTAAAGTTGGTTATCAGTGCGACACATGAGAATAAGACCAATGCTAATGTGCCATGTCTTATGGATTCTTCATGCAGTGCATTATAGAAATGGTTGGAAGGAGGCCCCATTTTTATTAGGAGAAGGTTGGATTTGTCTATGAAGAATTTATGGTTAGATAAGGGTGCAGCATAAGGAGCTCAACTTACAAATTTTGCTCAGGTATCTGTGGTTTTGAAAATTAGTTATGAGATTTTTCCTGATCGACAGGGAACATACGTTACGCCATAAAACAGAAAAGGAAACCAAGCCAGCCAAGAGAAGAATTGAACTAGGCAAACTGTCTTCACTGTTGGAGGAAGATCTATTGCTGTTTTCTGAATTTCCCAGAACACTCGCCAAGCGCGGATCTTCTTCTGGGGCGAGGGAGTTGTTGCTAGACTTCGCTCTTTCGTAAAGTAGCAGGTAATCGCCACGGTACTCCCGAGGCATAGGGAGGCAATCAGACAGAGACCTTTGAATTGTATATTCTCGACCAACCCAGGCACACTTGGAATAGGCATTTTCAGGAACCCAGCGCCATAGCCGACCAAGTTGCCGAGGAGAACGATGCAGCTGGTAAATGTGCCAACTTCAGCCTGTTGCGTATCTGGACAGCAATCCACAGCGAGGGCTCTGAGGCCAGCTTGAACTGGCTGGAGCGAGATATTTAATACCCAGATCCAGAAAACTGCCAGCAGTTTGGTGATTAAACTAGGGGCACGGTTATACGGATTGACACCCAGCACGGAGCAAGTCAGCCGCATTGTCTCACTGGTCCATGCCAGCATATTGATGGAAACTACTGCAACCATAGTTCCATATATAATATATGGTCTTCGCCGGCCCCATCGGTGAGTACATGTATCACTTTTGTATCCGATGAATGGTTGGAGGAGAGTGCCGCATACTGGGCCAGACAGCCAGACCAGAGAAACAAGTGACGGTACAAGTCCAAGGGAGAGAAGAAACGGCTGTAAAGGATTAAAAAAGCCCATATCGAAGTCTCTATCAAGCAGTCCACTTACTGAGCCTGCCGCCATAACAGTCACCCAGGTCACTTGTAGACTAGACTTTAATTAGCAATAGTCGGACAGCACGGAATAGTCTCGCACCCTCCCATGCTTATTGCCAGACGGAATAATTCTCCCTTTCCCAATGGCCTTTTGACTTGGTTTCCAACAGCCCCGTCATTTTGCGATTCTGAACTTGTGACTGGCTCGTAGAGGTGGCTCATAATTACGACCTGGGCAATGCGAAGGCGAAATCAGAAAGGCGAATCCGGATACGTGAACAGTATCTCTCGTTATAGGAGAGAGTGATATTTTTTTCTCTTGATGCAAACGACATGTTCATTTTCTAGTGTCCTCTTACTTGAATTCTCATCTTTCCTACTGAGGTGCACATTCGGACCGCCAAAATCGGAGGAGCGAGAGTTCGGCTTCCGCTTCCCGCAAACTGCCGCGTCACCCTGGGTGGGGGCTTGACGAATCAAAGCTAAGCACTTTTCAACAGCGTCAACGACAATCAAGGGCTTTGCTTTGCAACTTTATCTTCAGCTGGAGAATACAGCGTGTGGAGCGCCTACATTCATGCATCATGCCCTGGCCGTGGCATTTTGTAGACCTCAGCTCCGATGAAAAAGACCACCGGCGACGCCTGCTAGACCAATACGCACTCTATTCCCAACTATCTATCCTAGTCCTAGCTTTGGGTTATCGAGTCTACCGGCTCAGCACATGGTTATTGGGTGAGAAACAGAGGCTCCATGTCGCGTACACTGCTCTTGGGCAGTCACCGGTCGGCATAGAACCAGCCAGAGGCTGGTCTAGGGCCGCTGCCAGGCGATGGTGGTCTGCCATATGGTGGTTAAATAGTGAAATTTCCCCCAATGTGGGATTAATAGGACGCTGGATTGCTGCAGTCGCCTGGACTCTGTGGCTGCTGTTTCTGTCCGTCAATCAGACCGGTGATGGTAAGCAATTGTTTTCGTGAGTTGGTCTGTTGGGTGCTCAAATGACCATTTCCCAGACTATTTACATGTCACGAAACGCCTTGGAAGTATTGCTGCAGCCCAACTTCCTATTCATTATATGTTGTCTATGCGGAATCGCTATTCGCCCTTGGCAGTGATTTTCGGCACTTCTCACGAACACCTCATCCACTGGCATCAAATATGTGGCCGAATCATTATGATCCTGATTGTTCTTCATGCTGCATTATATATGAATTATTTTGTCCAGACTGAAAACTTTGTGGGACGCCTGCAGAGTCTTCCATCTGTGACAGGACTAATATGCTTGGTCTTGATGTTCGTGCTTGCAATCACAAGTATCGAGAAATGCCGACAATGGAGCTACAGAGCCTTTTACTTCTGCCATCTAGCGATCGGGCTGGCAATATTGCCCATTCTCTTCTTTCATACTCATCACCTCCGGCTTTATATGATCGAGACCCTGGCACTGTTCATTTCCGATCGAATCCTCCGACGAATCGACACCATCACCGACTCGGCAACAATCACTCAGATCCCCGCTACGGACTTGCTAAAAGTCCAGGTTCAGATTCCACCGTCTAAACAATCTCGCTTCCAAGCTAAGCCTGGCCAACACATCTATATGTGCATTTCCTCCGGGAGCGAATGTAGTGGTGGAAACCGCTTACTATCGAACCCGTTCACAGTTGCCGCTGTCTCCGCAGGCGAGATCGCACTATTTCTGCGAACTCGTCAGGGTCCCACAACACAAACTTTGTTGACCTTTGCGGACCGATTCAAGACCCAACCTCGAATCCGCATCGAAGGGCCCTACGGGACTCCCGTTCCCATCGCAAATATCGCCGCGAAATTCGACCGCATCCTCCTCGTGGCTGGCGGAATAGGAGCGACATTTATCCTACCTGTCTACCGGGGGTTGCGTGAATACCTCGATGACGAAGGCGGCGGCCACAAACACCTCAACTTTACATGGGCGTTGAGATCTACAGCAGAGGTTGCTTGGGCTACAGACCTCGAAGATCAAACCTTTGCAGACGATCCCGAGGTTCACATTTACTTGACTCGACAAGTTTCCTCAGAGCATTCCTCGCGCAATTCCTTCTCTCAAGGAATCGAGATGGGTGAAGTGCAGACTCCGGATGGCTTAGTCGGCGGATTCAAGACACTCATGGGACGGCCAAATCTCAGGGAAATCGTGGACCAAACATTCAGCTATCATGGCGATGAGAGTGTGGCAGTCTTCTTCTGTGGACCACACGACATGGCGCGTGAGCTACGGGCCCATGTGGGCAGATGGGTGGCCAAGGGACGATTTGTATTCTGGCATCAAGAGAGTTTTGGATCTTAATTTATCTAGTGTAGTAGGGACTGCTGACGGTTTCTTGGTACGTGGCGGTACGGCCGCGAGCAAAGAAGTCGGTTCTTATTATTGTTCAAGCTTTTGACGTATAGACATCCTTACCGATATCCAGGGTTTCCTACTTTACAACTTTTGTCATAATTGCTATTATCTTAGCTCGCTAATCGCCGCCGAACGGATTTAGCAGTAGCTGCCTAGTAAGGCTATCGACACTCTTAACGAATTTAAGTATACCGGGTTAGATCTTACCGCCCGCCATTCTTAAAGTAGTCTAGGATCAATTAGGCATCATGTTGGTTTGCTAGAACGCGTTTTAGTGTGGTACCGTCGTCAGAGTTTTTCTCGGACCCCCTCTGAAAGGGTAGGCTAAGTGCTCCCATGTAATCTTTTGACGCATTTTGGACACGGTGCGGCTCACTAGTGAATTTCGTTTAGCGCTAGTGCTGACCCTGTTGGCGCCTTGGACCCTGCGAGTCATTCCGCGATCTTAACCTAGGTAGGTTAGTCAAGAACTGATAATATGACAGCCTTGGACCTTTTCGACTCTCTTCTCATTTATATGACCACGTTGCCCTCTTAATCACATTCTTGACATGATGTCGCGAACCACTGAAGATACCCCGCTGCTGTCGGATCCCACAGCCAATGAATTAGGATCCCCGACGGATGAACGATACGATCCGATTGTGGAAAGACATCAACAACGATGCGCCAAAACAATCTTCATTTTGACGTGGAGCTCGGCACTGCTCGCAGTCTTCATCCTTGTTCTGGACATGACCATCATCTGCGTACATCTTGTCCAATTCGGCAGCCTTAGATCCTGGGGACCAGAGTTTGCTCTAATTGGCACCTTCTTCACTGTATGATTTGATCTCACACGAGTATATACTCCTGGCCTGAAAAGTAGACTGCTAACCGCAATTACAACAGCTCCTGGGCGCCGGATTTATCTCGTTCCTTAATCTGGCTCGTTTGTATCTCTGGAACCGACCTATCTGGCTATGGTTGAACCTAGTCCTGGACCTCGCTATCGTCTTTTATTCATTCGGGTTTGGAATGTTAGGGTCAGGAATCGGTGACCTAGGATCATGGGGCGCAGATATACTCATATGGTTCATCCGTATCACCCAGGTCGTATGCTGGTTGGTTGTGGTGTTCGGGTCAGTCAATAACAATCCCACTACTCTTCCCTTTAATACATACCAATACTGACTGGACATCTAGACTGATTCACTTGGCTCTGTTCTTCGTGCGATGCTTCCTGTCCTTCAGCTACCGGCCCTGGCGTGAATATCGTAACTGGACGTTGCCCCGTGGGCGCTTAAGTATTGAGTTCAAGGTGCAATTCCTTCGACAGTCAGACAATTCCGAGGCTTCGCCCGATGCTACTACCTCTGGCACCGGAATCCAGGCAGAAGTGGCGGCGCAGAGTGTTTGAGAGGGTGCATTGTCAGTGTACACCCGATCAGTCATAGCAACTGAAATTAAGCCCATCCATGTTAGCTCTTCAATAGATCAACTATACATAGGCGATACAACGTTCCATTTCAAATATATTTCCTGGATGCGATTAATATTCACGAAAGACTTACGCACCCACCGAATGAGTATCTTTACTCCGACTTATTAAAGAGCTACCTCTCTACTTTGCAGTGCGAACTTGGAAAATGCACATGGCAAAACCGAACGGGCAGAATCGTAACCATGTGGATCAAAGTTTGAGGTAAAAGATATCTGCTTTGATTGGCTGAGTCGTACGGCAGAAAGGCTGTAAGCAATTGGAACAGGCAGAAGCCATATTTTATGCCCTAGGCCTGACATAGACTCTCTGGCAGGATCACATGGGAACAAACCTACGGTAGTACAGGCTACCGAAGAGATGACAGATCAAATCATTAAGACAGGAAGAACTTATCCGAGACTGCAACTGACCGGAGATAATTTGGATCCAAATTTTCCCATGGTGCTATAATGAATAGAACCCGATTTTAATAATTTCTATCGGCCGTTAAAACTTGCAAGGCTGATATCCTATCTAAAAAGCATGTAGTTCTAATTGTCGATCAGAAACCTAAAGCGTTGCCTATATTACATATGTCTAGTCTTGATGCACTTTAGTTTCACTGAAACAATATCGTAAAGTGCATACTAAATCTAGTATATAAGCTTTTGATCTTCCTCTTCAACAGGGAACAGCCGCAACCTGTTCACGTCTTCTTGCTCTTTCAACTCCCCCAGTTGCCGTTTTAGTGCATCATTCCCTTGAAGTAAAGACTCAATCCACAATGCAGCTTCCTCAAGAACATATTTCCTCGTGTAAGAGTGCTTCTCCAACCCCGGAACAAGCTGACACAAACTTTTATATCTTTCCCCAATAATTTCCCTGCGTTTCTTTTCTGATCGACAATGGCACAATTTCTGCCCTGGCTTTTGAACGCACTTCCTCTTTTTCTGCCCTGGCTTGTTTTCCAATTTTATACAACTCGCTCGTCGAGTACATGTGTTTTCTGGCGAGGGAGCCTGTTCTTGGCCTGGTGAGGACGACAAGGATGGTGTTTCGGAGAGTCTTTCGTTTGTTGGAACTATCGAAGGCTGAAACATGGGAAGGGTGAACCCGTTTAAACCCAAGGGATCGGTCGGTTCTTTTAGAGGAGCCTGGATTGGCAGGGATGTTGGAGATTCGGAAAGGTCAAACTCTATATCGACACTGGTACAGAAGCTAGCCATGTTTCGCATCAGGTTCTGCACGAGGCGCTCTTCTGTCCAAGTACCGACGGGAGAGGAGAATCCGTGATAACAAAAACTTGGGTCAGATCCCCACTGGAGACCATCTTCAGCTGGTAATCGGGTTTGAGATGGCCTTCGGGGCTTTTCGACCTGCCATGGGCAGGATGCAGAGAGGGCATGATGGTCCATATGAACCAGGGGATTTTCGTATTGCATTTCGAGTCCCGGTAGATGGACGACTCCGGTGGGATGTAGTTTATGCCGTGAGATTTGACGCGATATGATGCGCTGCGCAAGATTGAGTGGTTGGAATGGGGTGGGCTCAATGTTCTGCTATTGACTGGTATAGTTCAAACAGAAGCGTCGGGGATTTCCAAGTCTGGAATGCAGTGTTGAACAGTGGCTTGCTGCAATGTAAGAAGATCACAAGTATGATTCCACTTACTTTTATCTGGGCGACCTTTGCATTATGACGAGGGTGTTCATCAACCCCGGAATGCACCCGGACTCCAAGGTCACCCCCGGGTGTGTTCCGGGGATCCACCACATGACGTCCCCTGAGGCTTCCAAGTGAGTCCGGAATTTCAGCCAGTCAGCTTACTGACCACAAACTCAAGTTAATGAACATGGCGCTTGGCCTTATTTCCCCGTACTTTCCCCACCAAATTAGTCTTTTCTCTAGATAGGGAATACTTGCGATTATAAAGGGTTGGCCCGCACGTGACTGCCATCCGGCTGTGTTCCGGGATTGTTCTGCCCCTGATGCATGCCCACGTTCGGTCACCACCCGGAATGCCAATCGTGCATATCGCTGTGGGTCATCACATATAACTTCGTCATAGGATTGATTGGACAAGGAACAGAACAGATGCCTTCTAAAGGTGGAATTGCAAAACGGGAGACACCTCGTCGACGCAAGATCGCTCTCGCCTGCGAGTCATGTCGTGATAAAAAGGTCCGATGTGATGGAGCAAAGCCTATATGTGGTCCATGTGTTCGACGCTCTTTCACGGTGGAGCAATGCGTCTATAAATTGGATAATGCTCGATCTGCCAGCAATGACGAGTATTTGAAAATTCTCCATGATCGCATTCGCGATCTTGAAGATGCATGCGCAAGAGGTGGCGTTGATGTACCGCCGGGATTAGTCCAACATGGAGATGATAGGGCATCCGAAAGACCAGAGAGTCATTTGGGACAAGGTATGGATTTGGATCCACTAGATGCACAGTCCAGAACTTCTGTTGCTGCTGAAGGGCTTCTGGGACTAGGTTCTACGCCGGTGTTGCCTGTACAGAGTCCTCTGACTTCAACACCTACATTTCAGCCGCCGCAATATAACGCACAAAGAAGTCAATCGGTAGTAGAACAAAGCTACAGAGCTCCGCATGCCTCTTATTTTTCTCCTGGCTCTGTTCGGCCGCGAGAATCAAGTATTTACCATTCCCCGGCTGTCAACTCACATGGTAATGTCACTGCTATGGGTGCAATATCAGTTGCAGAGGATGCAGAGGATACAGATTCGCCCGGGGAGCAGCAGTACTATGGTAACTCCTCGGTGGCCTCTTTCCTGCGTCTTGCCGGAGAGGCAATGCCTCTGCAGTCATACATGTCAGCTGTGCGAAACAGCAAAACCGAACCAGCCAGATCGCAGGGCCCAGACACCGGGGTTTGGAGAGATTTAGGCCATCCATCAGCCGAGCTTCGGTTTGACGACTTCTCTCTACCGCCTCGGGATCTCGCAGATCATCTCCTTGAATGCTACTGGGAAAGAGTTCACTGCCTATTTCCATTCTTTCATAGGCCTAGCTTTGAGCGTGCCTACGAAAATCTATGGGGCTCGAATAAGGCACCGAAACCTGAACTACCACAGCTCAATATTGGTCTTGGAGGTGCTTCTGATTACGGTCCCAATTCAATGGTCTTTCACTGTGCGCTCAATGTCATATTTGCTCTTGGTTGTCATTTTTCCGATATCCCGGCCGCAGAGCGAGAGGCAGCAGTATACTCCTTCTTTCTCCGTTCAAAGCGGTTTGTCGGTCTTGATCTCCTAGACATAGGTACAATCGGCGTTGTTCAAACACTGGTACTGGTTTCTCTTCTACTTCAAAGCACGCCATACCCAAATCGATGCTGGAACGCAATTGGGCTGGCGTGTCGAGCGGCTCAAGGACTGGGCTTACATGAGACAACGACCCAAACTTCGACCAAGCCGTTAGAAACTGAAATTCGGCGTCGAACATGGCATACTTGTGTCATCATGGACATGTTAGTGAACCTGTGGCACCATAACCTTCATTTTACATGTCTAACATTCAAAACAGGATCGTGAGCATGACCCACGGTAGACCTAGCATGACCTCTCATCTCGCACCAGTGCCATTGCCCGTTATGGAGTCTGATATACAAGCGGACGATCCCTGCGAGCTCAGTGGCCAGGCTTGTGACCACAAAATGGGCTATATGACATTTTATGTTTCAAGTATTGAGCTCTACAAAATCCTCGAATCTATTCTATCCGAGGTCTATAACGCTTGGCAGAGCCGATCAAGTAATACTCGCACTTCGTCACCGCGGGGTGCTAAGCACTGCAGCTTGGATGTGCTAATGGAACTCGAGGACAAACTTGCTGCATTTGAAGCAAATGTCCCCAATCCATTGAACTGGACAGATGAGCAAACGCAACAGCGTACAGCTGGCACTCAATCTGCGATATTCAAGCGCCAGCAAAACGTTTTGCGCACCAGGTATCATACTTTCCAAATATATCAGTTCTTTACCTCTAACAAGTTATAGATTTATACACTTACGACTTCTCTTATACCGTCCTATGTTCACTCAACTTTGCTCCGAGGAGCGAACAGGATCATCGCGTCGCTCTGATACTCAGACTGGAGACAGAGGCGGCGCACTAACTCCAGACAAAAACATCATATATTCATCTGTGTTCTCCAAATGTGCCGCTTGTTGTGTGATGGCCGCTATGGACTTAGTTTCCCTTGTCCACGAGACATATCGAACCACAGTGACTGACACATGGTGGTACAACGGTTTTTGTCAGTTTTCATCCCGCCTAGATCACCCTTTTTATCTTACTGACATATTGAAGATACCTCTACTGCAGGCTTTATTCTACTCATGTCAATTTCCTGCCATTCAATCCGAGAACAACTCGACATCAAAAAGGTTGACGAGAGTTGGCGCAAGTGCGAAGAGATTCTGGCATTTATGGCGATTTTCAGCCAGTCTGCTCGGAACTCTTTACAATTTTTGCAAGTAACGCATCAGCATATCTCACAAAACTACTCTTGTATTTTCCCCTAGTGCCGGTTGTGGATTTTCATACGCTGACATGTTAATAGCAACTGGGCGACCCGGTGACACCACCCCTCTGGCTCTAACTCAACTGCAGCAGAAAGGACATCAGCAAGTAAACCGACCTGATTTGCCAGTTCAGCCTGCGGAGCCAATTAACATGGAGCATGATACCCGCCAGGAGTCCAATAACACAGATTTCAGTATTTTCACGGCTTGGGATGAGATGGGCTTAGGTCAAGAGGAGTTTGGCTTTCTTGGAAGATTTGATTTGCCAGATCTTGCAAGCTGGTTTACCGATGTTCCTTAAGTCTAAGGGATTATCCAGTCGGGGTTTGGTTTGCTATCGTACAGCAGATCGAATCTCTATAACGTTGATGAGATCTCCTTCTTTTGCTAGATGATGTTCTTTTCAAGCCACATCACATATTCTCAGAATCAAGCTATCTAGTCGCTTCTCTGCTTCTTCGTTCGACCTTTGAATCCCCAAGCAATCTGATTCGCCATCTTGACATCCACCCCGAGGTCGTCAGCAAATGAATACACCAAGCCCGGATTCTTCTGAAACCAACGCCCACACATAATCACATCCAACCCATCATCAATGAGCTTCTGCGCAAGCTCGGCAGTCCGAATACCCCCAACAGCAGAGACAATCATGCTATTACCAACAGCCCTTTTGATCTCAAGCGCAAATGGCGCCTGGTATCCAGGACCAGATTTGATACTCGTTCCCTGAAGCGGATGAATCCCACCAGAACTGACATCCAAAAAGTCAACCCCGCGACTTGCAAGGATAGGAGCAAGTTTGACACTATCAGCAACAGTCCAACTCTCAGGGAACTCATCAGTCATATCATCAAACCAGTCCGTCGCACTGAGGCGTACAAACAAGGGCATGGTCCCCGGAATCACAGCCCGAACCAAATCAACAATCTCCAACGTCAACCGCGTCCTGTTCTCCCAACTGCCGCCATACGCATCGATCCGCCTATTACTAATCGGACTCAAAAACTGATGAATGAGATACCCATGCGCAGCGTGGATCTCAACAACATCAAACCCAGCTCTGACAGCCCTCACCGCCGCCGCAACAAACGCCTCCTTGAATTCCTGGATTTGAGCAAGACTCATCTCCCGCGGCTGCGGGTAAACATCATTGAACGGGACAGCAGAAGGCGCAACAACATCCTCAGGCCAGCCATCAATATCGGCCGTCGCAGTCGCATTCATAGACACAAATGGCGCAACGGTACTAGCCTTGCGACCGGCATGACTGAGTTGAACACCAATTTTCTGGTCTTGGCTGTGCGCAAAGTCGATAATGCGCTTCAGCGGTTCAATCTGTCCGTCTTCCCATAGTCCGATGTCCTGTGGTGTGATTCGACCTTCTTTCTGGACGGCGGTCGATTCCATCAAGGCTAGTCCGGGTCCGCGCTGGATGATGCCGCCAAGATGCGTGAGGTGCCAGTCTGTGGCGTACCCGTTTTCCGCCGAGTATTGGCATAGTGGTGCGAGGAAGATGCGGTTTTGGAATGTGACGCCTCGTACTGTCAGCGGGTCGAAGAGCTTGGGTGGGTTTTCGATGGTTGCTGTGCCGGATGGTGGTCTCTGGGCTGGGGTGTAGTATGGTACTCCCGGTGCGGGAAGATTATCAAGGATATTGCCTGCAGTCATGGTTTGGAATTGTGAAACTGTCAGGGTTTGGTTTTGTTTTGTTGCGTGGAGGCTATGTGTTGTGAATTATATATCTCATCTCGGGCTTGAATGCGAACGCCGACTTGCAAGCAAAAAAGATTCTATTGCATGTATCACATTACAGAACCAATTCATTGTTTCGCCTCAATCATTTACGGGAGATTGAGAATACGCCGAATGCAAGAAAAGAAGAAATTGTCTCGGGATCCTGACTTTTTGCCGATGGCTAACACATAGGATCATCTTGTCCCTTTCATACTCTCTACCAGATAACTTGTCAACTAATCTCACTACTCTGTGCGTGAATACCAATAAAGTGTTCTAATTTAAAAAAGCTCATTTAAAACATACAATCGAGGGATATCACAAAACAAAACTCCTCACTGCCGAGCGTTATTAACCAAAAGCTCAATCCCTTCCGGCCAGCCAGAAGAATTCGCCATATCCAAGACCGTCGTACCCATCTCATCTTTCTGAGCAAGATCAACCAGACCCCCCTTCTCAATCAAAAGCCGCAACAACTGCAGGTCACGGTCCTCAATCGCCTGCATGATAGCGTTCCAGTCACGGTAGCATTTATTCGGATCAGCGCCCCGCTCAAGAAGCAACTCGATCATGGCAAAGTCACCATCATCGCATCTCCGAATGGCCTTGACGAGCGGCAAATGCTCACCAGGAGCATTAGGATCGGCGCCCGCCTCGTCCAGAAGGTAACGCACAATCAGCCAATGGCGCTCCCGCAGCGCAGTCGTGAGCGGCGAGAACACGCCGCCGTTCTTCCACTCCACGCTAGCACCCGCGGCAATGAGTAATTTCACGTTCTCTAGTTGATTTGCCTGCACGGCCTTTTCCATGACACCCTTGTGGGCGGCTAGATCGGTTATGCGGGGCAAAATCAGCCGCAGCATGCTCGGCGCCTGCGTCGCCATGTATATCGGCCAGTCTTTGCCGCGCAGGTTGGCATCCGCGCCGTTTGCGAGCAACCATTCTAGCATTTCGGGCCGGTTCTTGCGGATGGCTGTCGTAACGGCTGTGTGGCCTTGCTCGTTGCGGTCGTTTGGGTTGGCGCCTGCTTCGCTGACGAGCCAGTGCAGAGCCTCCGTGTGGTTCTCCTGTACGGCGCACTCGACGATACCGGGTGGTTTGCGCAGGTCTGCACCGGCTGCCACTAGGTCTGGCAGGAAATGGAGGCGTTTGTGGGTAATGCACTTCCACGCTGGGTATTCGGATGCCATTAGATTAGGGTCAGCGCCGTGATGAAGTAGCAGGGCGAGGATGTCTGGGCGGTCATCCCGGATGGACGAGCAAAGGGGAGTGTATATTCCATCTTTCTTGGAATTGGGGTCCATGCCAGCCTGCAGCAGGACGCGCACAGCGTCGATATTGTTGACGCTTGTTGCTTGCTCCATGAGACCGGGAGTCTTTTTGATGTCAGCTCCGCGCGCGAGCAGGATGCGCAGGCAGCCTGGTCGGTGGACGGCGGACCAGAGGACGTGTTCGGGTCCCGGTAGATTTGGGTTCGCGTCTTGGTTTAATAGGGTTGTCACGATGAATGGCTGGTCGCTTTGCACGGCTTCGCATAGTGCTGTCTTGCCGTAATCGTCTTTGCGATTCGGGTCGCATCCGGAATTGAGCAAGGTTTCGATGGCCTGCTGCGGTGCTCGCTTACGAATTGCTTCGATTAATAAAGTTGTACCATTGCGAGTTTCGTCTTTGATATCGACGCCGTGCGCAAGCAGAGTCTGCGTGAGCCTGGCGCTGGCAGAGTCCGTATCTGAATGATTGTAATTCTGCAGGCTAATCTCCTCAGCAGAAGCCGTTGAATCGGTTTTGGTCGGTCGTCGCGGCAGTGTCCGGTGCTCGAAGTAGGAATTCTTTTCGGAATCACGTCCAGACTGGGTATTTAGGAAGCCGTTCAAAGACAAGACAGAAGACATATCATCCGTTATGACGTCTGGTTCTTGGCGAATGCTTGGGTTGACTCGGGAAGCAGCAAAGGATTCCTTTGGAGGAACGGATGGTGCCGATCGCATGGAATCAGGCGAACGGCTTTTGAATGATGATGCGGATCGCTCATTTTCGAAGGACTGCGTCTTGTTTATGCCCATCACGGAGCGGCCTTTGGACACGCGATCGAGCGCTGCGGCCAGACCAGCGTATCCAATGCCCACAGACTCCTCCGGATGTGCGTCTCCCAGGGACCAGTGGAAGGCCATGCCACTGATCTGAAGGGTCTCCGTGGTCTTCTTCAGCGACTCATGAATCCGATTGAGGTCATGGCTTGGCCGATGCCATCCTCGCTGAATCTTCCCCAGTGTTCCGCGATGTTCATACTGAACAAGTTTCAAAATGACCTTGTCGAGTTGTTGAAAGTCGCGGTACGTGGAGACGAATTTCTTCTCCACCTCTTCAATTATCACATCGGGTAGGGCGCGATTGGCGCCGGCTAGTTCAGTCACTCCGGCTTCAATAGCCCACAACGTGCGACAGGTATCGAGGAAGGTATGGGACAGTTCGCGAAATCCGTCAGGGAGGTCTTTGGTGGTGCTAAGGTAATTGAGCATGTGCACAGAGATCTGGTTGCCTAATTGCGTGGCCAGAGCCGAGACGCTGCAAATGGTTTCCTCTGGCGTGGCCGGCATGATTGCAGTGAGAGATTCACCTGGACGGAGGGGAGGAGATAAATAAAAGAGTCATGGAAGGACAGACTGCCCGTAAACAGCCCACGCGAACATGGGGGCAATCTGACCCGGTCAAAGTTAGGGCCAAATCCTCCATCTATAAAGTGGGGCCCGGTTTCCACATTAGGTTTAACGCTTGGCGGAAAAATGGCCGGCAATCTCGATCTGGGGCGTAAACCATGGCATTGTTCTGTTTAGGGGCTGCTGGACCCATGGTTCGACTGAGTCAATGCGGTCGGATCGGAGCTCAGAAATTCACTTTGGGTATCAATAGCCTGAATTCACCCAAACATGAGGTCTGTAACAGTATGTCCTACACGTTTGACATCAAACATTGGAAAAAAACAAGGAATTCGTCTTGTTCGACATCCTCGCCGAGGCGCCTAAAAAGCAGACTTCCGCTTAGTCTTCAACCTCCAATGCGAGAAAGGAATGTGGGTCCGGATAAATGAATTCTCGCTTGCTGCTGTTCAAGCACATACATATGCCGTACAGCCCGCAGAGGGGACTGATACAGTCGAACCCACTTCAGACATTGACAGCAGCCTCAGACACGTGGGAAGATCTTTACTTCTGGAGTCAATATAAGATACCCTCACGTTCCACTCCCGTACAGGAAGATCAGGATCCCGCTCACAGGGCCTATTTGGGTTTGGCGTCATGCTGCGCCCCGCTTAGCTTGCCATTGAGTTTACGAAAATTTGAAGCCTTAACAAGTATCCAGGATGTTTCACACTTGTTTCTCTCTGTTTTGCCTCCCTGGATGGTTTCGAGTGTGATTCGAGTCTGAATATTGAGAACAGCTTCGTCGCAGAACTTGAGACGCACGTTTCGCAGTCGGATTTTGACTTTGTCTGTTTCACAAGTGTATCGTGTTATCAAGCTTGGTGTTTTCAGCCAGCCATGATGTGGAGTAAACAGAATGTAGCTGGACCCAGGTTCTGAGACAACGATTTTTGAGTTTGTGCAATAGATAACTGATGCCCCACTAGTCGTCAGCTGATTATGAGGAATGTGTGGTATAGAAATTATTCGAGTCTTGATGCGCTTGATTAAAGATTTCATGCCTGAGCGAGAGACTATATTTCATGAGGAAGTATGAAGATATCACTCACGACATGATCGCGGGGGCACTGTGCTCAAGTGGCTAGCTGTCGGTCCTATATTGCGGCAGTAGAGTGTAGCTGGCTATCTATTGTTCTAGAGCTTGGGCCAATTTTGCCAGATTCAAAAGGGAAATGCATTTTGCCACGTGATTATGATGTGTCCTTGGTTGCCAGTTGATATTTCACGGTATCGCCTACTTGGTTCTATGTAGAATAAGCGTCTGTTGACTGGGGATTATGATCATGACAATGAAGTTGTTCAAGATGGACAACTTGGCCCAGTTAGTATGAAGAATGTGTCCAAAATCACGTTTTATATTGCAACTGAAGAACACAAGGCTGAAACCCTTTTCAAGGTGGCGTATTAAGCCGACCCTGTAAGCACAGATCTCAATGTGGCTAAGCGAAACTACACCAGGGCCTATCTCATCCACAATCAAGGTGGCAATCACTCAACTCCGGACTTTGGGGAATTATAATATGAATCTTGTTCGTGCACAATCTTTTAAGTAGGCCATACTGTCTGGTGTCAGTGTAATTAAATCAGAAATTAGTAAACCACACCCGATTTCACTCAAAGTCATCAGTAGTTCTCACCAGGCTGGTATCCACCTCTAGCTTTGATAGCCTATATTGGGTTAAATTCGAGTTTAGGGCATCGAGGGCGAGTATGTTATTAAGTATTGACTGACATATTTACCTTAATCGACTATGATAGACGAAATATCTTTTATTATACAATACTCGCACTTGCATCTCATGAAATAAATGGATTCGCCGAAACATGATTTATAAACATTGATATCATAACAAAAAGTACTACTAATCAAGACACCATACATAACGATCGTTATACTGAGCAAAGAACAATGGAAGCACTCAACAGAGAGCGTCAATACCTGCCCGCTTCACATGGTTGATGATAGTACTGCAAGATTCGTGAAAGCGCGCCTCAGTGATGTTGACCTGGGGATCACTGACAGCATACAGCTCCCTTTCCTTCAGATCAATAAAAGCCTCAAGCGCTAAAACGGTTGATAACTCCCGAAGCATAAGACAGAGAGCAAGATACGGCGTAAACATGGCACCGCGAGCATTTGCGACAGAGAAGTTATCCTCCAGAGCCGAGATAAAGTCGCTGGTATTATCGAAATCGGCCCGTCGGGTATTGAGAAATCTCATCATAGCAGGTTTCAAAGCTCTATGATGCTTCCCGCTGAAGTGCTTCTTGGTATTCGCCATAAAGGCATCTGCCAGGTACACATCATTGCCGTAGCCACGAATCTCAAGATAGAACTCGTTGCTTACGCTCAGTTCGAGCCATTTGGCGACCTGGCATGACAGCTCGTGCCATTGCTGTCGGGTGGGATCACTGCGCGATGGGCGGGGAAGACTTGCGTCGATCAAGAGGTGGAGATTGTGGTCTGTCAAGATGTTCACCACTTCGTCGTACCAGTCGTCGAAGTCCTCTGCATCCTCCAGGCGGGGCGAGATCTTGGGCAACACGACCGGGTCAACATCGGGTAAACCTGTGGCCTGATCGACTGTCACTTGATACCAGTTCCGGTCGCGTGAGGCGCCTGGACTGCCGAGGCTCCCGTTTGTTCCGTTGGCATGGGGTGGAGTGAACATGGTCTGAGACTCGCGCCCAGAACGCTGAACGTTTTCAGATGGAATTGTGGCGACGGATACAGGTACTTCTTATTTGACAGGCTGCTATTTGCGATGTCTTGTAATTGAACAGCGGGGGATGGGATTGGAGAGACTTGAAATGAGCATTCAATTTTTTGGGGAACTGATTTAACGTGATCAGGTGGCTGAAACGTGACAAATTGGGATGGCTGGAGATCGGGATTGTGCCACCGAAAACCCAACTTCGCGGGGAGAAGTCGACAGGTTCAAAACTTGCGCTACGTGTTAAATTTCAAGGGCCGTACATTGAATGATGAAGCTCGCTTAGGCATCACAGTGGAATACTGTAGTGCTCCCCTGGTAAACTTCATTCTTTCGCGCTTTCTCAATGAAAACTCAACGTTTTCAACTGATAACATCACGAATGCTCGTTGTTCCCAGGAAATCCAAGTGCAGCGCGAGGTGCTAGAGTGGGCCCTCGACGCGTAATTTCATACAGTAAGTTTACAGTCATCACAGCGTATAACCGACTATTTTTAGCAAATGGTGCGTCCTTTGAACATATCAAGCTTGATCCTGGAGTCGAATTTGGTGTGCAGAGGACGGACATGTATATACTTCAGAGTGTCTTTATCCCTCGCAGGTCTGACTCCTGAATTAATGGTAGTTTGCCTACCGAGCTTGATTTTCGTAAGACTCCACTTCTGCAGCCTATTTTGATTCGCTGTCTATCAGCTATTGCCTATATTTCATACTGCCGTGCAAGCTATGTTTCCATTCGGCAAGTTCAACCTTCTGCGCCTGCCATCTCATGGTCAATACACATAAGGCTGGTTCCTCGCTTTGGCGCCAGATAGCGGGTAGACCCGCACCTAACGCCCATGGAACAGGATGCCCAATGGAGCTAATCGACGTTTCATCTTGTAGATCTTCTAACGGGGGAAACTGTCAGCAGTAGTAAATTCACACAAATCAATGCCTCATTCAATTATTCGAATTTGAGGTTAGGGAATTTGTCGATTGCAGACCGGATCAAAAGTCTTCAGAAGCGTCCTCGTCACCGTCTGCTTCACAATTAAAATACTCGCTGGTGGGTTGTGAATGTTCTTCTGGCTTGAACAGGTTATTGAAAATCACAACTTGTACATCTTTTGAGCGGAATTAGCGAGAAGACGAATGCTAGCTATATCAAGGCAAATCTCTATGAGCTATGACCCAGGATACCGCCAGTATTGAAATTGAACCGATGATCAAAACAAAGGCCACTTGCCCAATATTAGACACATTGGAAAGACTCCTCTCCCTAATGAATTCCACACTCCTGGGCACAGAATTCTCGGCAAATCTCTCGATCTGTTCATATTAGCGACCAAACCCCGCCTAATCTGATTCGTAAACCACTAACCTCTTCACATGCAAGGCGAATAGATAGAAAATTCGGATCGTTAGGGTCACTCTTCTGTTGAATCCGCTGAGCATAACGACAAAAAATGCTCTTCACACTGTCAAGGTCTTTACTTGACTGAATCATCAACTGCAACGCATCTCCCTTCGTGATCTTGACATTTCGATGAAATATTGCTGTATTCCGAAAACACAACTCAAGAGTAGCCAAAGCCATAGCTTGTGGAATCGCGCAGAAGTTGAACACGCTTTGCTCGTGCAAGCCTGCAAGATAGGAAACACAATCACGGACATGTTCCAGAGCATTCAATATCATCTCAGAGCTGCAATTAAGCGCATTCTCGGTGTATTTGGGGTCGAATAGGTCTTCAAATTGATCAACATGCTTAGACCAGATTTCTTTTGGCCAGAATCGACGGCCGTCGTCGAAGTCTTCACGTAAGTCTCGGATAATGTTGTTCTTTTGCAACAGCAGTCCCATGGATCTGTACAGGGAGTGGTTCATCAGGATTGGATCAGCTAACTCGGCCTGAAGGAACAGCTGCGTCAGACCTTCGCCAACGATCCCGGCTACATGCCAGCAATAGAGATTGTATTCCTCAATAGTGCCGACGCTGATGTCACCTCTCGCAGCCTTTCGCGCGAAATCGCTCATGCCGTTTCCCATCTTCTCGGTGACATCCTTGATGATCGTTTGGTAGGGCTCGTTCAATTTCTTAAACTCAACAATCACACTGTCAAAGTGAACCAACAGTTCACGGTCCTTTTCTTCGGGACGATTGCCGGTAAATGTCCAGCCAGTATGATCCAAGTGGTCTTTGAAGTTTCGTAGGAGCGGTTCCTTTATATCGAGAGGGATTGAGGTGTCGTCTTCAATTGTATCGAGCCCGCGAAGTATCAGGTAGAATACACACACGGGAAGTAGTAATTCAGGATGAAGCTCTTTGACCACAGCGCTGAAGCTGCGACCGGTTCGATCCAAGAAATCAAAGCAGATTTTGGCTGTCGATGACTCTTGGGCTTTGTGTCTCTTATGAACAGGACTTTGACGTAGTTTCCTGCAGATGATATCAGCGCGGACTAGATAGAAATCATCGGAGGTTTAAACCACGTTGTAGACTTGCCAGTTGACCAACACTCCCAGCTGCTTTGGATGAAGCGCAAAGTAAAGAGCGTCCGATGCAAACCTCATGATTATAGGGGAAAAGCGCTCGTACGTAGTAGGAGACTAAAACTTCGCCCTTGCCCCTGAGATATCATATACGTGCAGTCAACTTGACCAGGAATTGGGTGTAGATTGTTGCCCGAATCCCGATCGCCCGTTTTGTCCGCGCGAAGATCTTCTGGCAACCATTATTTATCTTAAATCGGATTTCGGGAATTAAACAAACGCTCATAGAGCAGTCTAAATCACACGGACTGGTTCTTTAGCATCTTCCAGTAATCACTGCCACAATTCGGTGTATTTTCATAGGGTGAACCGGTCCTGAATCTTTATCCACTTTCCTGAGGATGTCTAGCTAAGCTCGGAGTTTCTGCTTGATGTGATAGGGTAAAAGATATTGTGTATTAAACCTGTAACTGCTCCGCATTTAGCCGCAATTAAATTTGAATGCCCGTCTAGTAAACGAGTGCTCTCCGTCGAAGAGAGCCTTCGTCGACGATTCATCGTGTCGAACAGTCTTCCCGCCTTGAGCCTTGATCGAATCCATCCTCATTAAAAGTAGAGAGCAAAAGGGAACGGCGCACAAAGAAGAACCAAGCCAGCTGGAATCATGAGAGCCCACCGAATACCTAACTGACTGAACGCCTGACGCACCAGCAACGGAGCCAGCGCACCACAAATAGCCCGTGCACAAATACACACGGTCAAAGAAGGAGCCGCAAAAGCAGCATAAGAGTCAACCAAATAGTTGGTCGATCCGATGGTAATCAACACCACTCCAAATCCAAATGGAACGCCAGCCGCAATGCTCCACGCCCAGTGAATATCAGGACTGCTGGTCCACGCAAACCAGAATAGTCCCACAGCGAGAGCAACATTGCCAATACAGCAACCTGGTAAGCGGGCATCCGTGGGAGCGGGTTCCGGGTACAGATGCTTCAGTAATCTGACATATTGTCGATTATGCCAAATTTGATATACAACGAACCATAGAGTTATAACCACCAAGCCGATGAAGGATAGCCCACTCATGCCGGGGGTTCACCCACGGGCTGGTTCATATAGGATTAGGAAGGCCGCGAAGGTCAAGTATAGTGTTCCGAAAACTAGAGCTTGATATAGGGCAAGGAGCAGAATGATGAGCTCATTACAGGCGAGCTGAAATGGTTGAAATGCAGATAGCGAGCAAAAGCGAGTGGTTGAGATGTTGACGTTGGCAATTCCGGATACGTATATCTTGTCGGTCAGTTCAGTAAGTCGCTGAGCTCGGAGGCGGAGCAAAACTGGACTGTAAGTCTCCAGAAGCGCGATTAATAGGACTACACAGGCAAACCCCGAAATGATTGCGTTGAGTTCCATGATGCCTCTCCAGCCCGTCGCCTCAGCTACAAAGCCTCCAATCAGGGGTCCCATTGCGAGAGCGAAAAGAGGCACGAGTGCGTAGACTGTAATGGCCAAGCCTCGTTGCTTTGCAGGGAAGATATCTGCAATTACGGCTCCAGAATTTGTTAATGGTGCCGCACCGAATGTGCCACTACATAAACGTAATAGCAGTATCCAAGTCACACTTGGGGCAAAACAGATAGCGATATTGAAGACGACATATCCTGTCGTCGAGAGAATAAAAATCGGTCGACGTCCATACTGTTCTATTGTGAAGTAATCAGTGAGTGTAATAAGGTGCTACTTCGTCGGAGCATACCTCATGCTGGGGCCCAGGTGACAGGGCCCAGCGTGAAGCCGACCAAGAAGAGGCTTAATTCCAGTGTGGCAATATCCTCACTTTCACCGAGTTCTTGGACAATCTGTGGGATGCCAATTGCGTAGGAGCTAGAGATGAAAGCTACAGAGAACGTCATAACCCCGGAAATGCAGCATAACATCCATCGAAATTGGCATGACCACTGTAGTGGATCGTGGGGGTCATCGCTCCCGAAAGTGAACCGGTAGGGCTTTTCGACTATACCCTCGCCGGGATAGTCGTATGCACTCATTTTATCGCTCAACGTTCTATTTTTTTGGTTGATCTAAGCTTTGTATAAAGATGAAAGATCTTGTAAGAGTGGAGCATAAGCTTTGTCAAGCGCCACGGGCCGAAAAACTTGAAAGCTTGTGAAATAATTGTCCGAAAGCCGAGTAGCAGGGAATCAGTCTGAGCTATGCTTCGGTTCATTCTTATCAGTATGGCAACTCAAAAGACAATCATAACATGCCCATTCGAAGCGAAAGATCTTAACCCCGAAAACTCCGGTTAGGTCCGCCTAGGCCCGTTAAGTCCCGGGATCAGTCGATCTCCGGTGAAGCTCAAACCCTCCGATTTCTTTGTTTCAAAATGACCCGAGCAGGGATGGTTCCAAGAATTCTGGGAAAACTGCTTGTATTTAATATGATTACGCGCTGAGATGTTGGTGGCGTTAAGCGCGCCAGTCTTGCGACCAAGCGAAAGGTGCACTCTAATCATACATATAAAAGATCCGACTCCATTTGGTTGAATACTTGAACTTTAGTAAGGGCATAACTGCTTCCTATTCACTACTCCACTTAACCATCACAATATGAACCGATCCCTTTGGCAAGACAAGGCAGGTGAGCCAGGAGTCATCCGAGAGACTCCAGTCCCTTCCGAGATTGCCGATGAAGAGATCGTGGTCAAAGTCCATGCCTGGGCAATGAACCCAGCAGATTTCATGGTCCAGGATATTTCTCTGCCATTCATCACATATCCCCTCATTTTGGGCGAGGATATCGCCGGCACCGTTGAAAGTATCGGATCAGCAGCCGCTACCAAATTCAAACCCGGTGATCGGATTCTCGGTCTAGCCCTCGGTGCAGCCGTGGCAAAGCCTGAGCAGGGCGCGTTCCAGGAATATGTGGTCCTCGATTGCAACATGGCGTGCAAGATCCCAGATAGTCTGTCTTTTACCGATGCATCTGTCTTCCCACTGTGTATTGCGACTGCTGCGCAAGGCTTGTTCTCCAAGGAATATCTCGGACTCCCGTTCCCCTCGACCACCACCGCCTCGACCAACAGAGGCACATCCATTCTCATCTGGGGCGGCAGCTCAGGTGTCGGCAGCAATGCCATCCAGCTCTGCAAGGCGGCCGGCTTTGAGGTTATCACAACATGCTCGGCTCGCAATGTTGAGTATGTTAAAGGCCTTGGTGTAGATAAGGTCTTTGACTACACCGATGAGCACGCTATCGATCAAATCATCGCTGAGATAGACAAGGGCGAGTGCGTTGGTATTCTCCAAGCGGCGGGTGATCCTAGTCCCTCCTGTCAGGTCGCACACAAGTCCAAGCAGACATTGCGGGTAGCTGCGACCAACCCTGTTCCCGAGGGCGCCGCCCTGGATGATGTTGAGCCCAAGATGATATTTGCCTCTGGAGGTGCTGTCATTTATCATGAAACCAACCCGGCTACTTTTGCGGGTTATTTGCCCGAAGCTCTGTCCAATGGCACTTACAAGGTTGCTCCAACTCCAGAGACTGTACCAACCAAAGGACTTGAAGGGATTCAGACGGCTTTGGATATTCTCAAGAAGGGCGTCTCGGCAAAGAAGCTGGTAACACTGGCAAATTAGACTGTTAAACTGTCTCTTTGTGCTTTTGTTTCTTTTTATGCAACTCTGCTATAATTTTCAGATAGCACCGTGAAAGATTGGGCACAGACCAGGCTTTTAATTAACTTTCATCAATCAATAGTAGCATGCCATATTGAGAGATTCTTTCTTCGGAAAGTCCTGGTATTCTTTAAGTGCGTGATGTAAGGAATAACTTAACTTATATGATTAAAACATGATTTTCTTTCGAATTGTCCTGAATAATGACCCTATACTAGAGTTTGTAAAAGTCCATCCAAGACCTTGCCTGTGGGTGAGTTGCGAGGTGTCCCCGACAGCCCGCAGCCCGAGGGTCTGTGGATGTTCATGGGTTACCGAGATTCCAACGAGAGAGCGGCTCGATTCCGCATCAACACAACAGCAGACGAATGTCATCACGAGTAATGCTGTTCATGCCACCCACAGCATCACTGAGTCTGCTAAACACATACGCTCGGCCTTTTCCCCAGATGGGTTCCTGATGATGCTAGAGATGACAGAGAATATTCCTTTTATTGATATCATCTTCGGGCTTTTCGAGGGATGGTGGTTATTCGATGATGGGCGGTGCCATGCCATTGCTCCGCCATCCCGATGGGAGCGTGATTTGCAGTCAGGCGACTTTGGTCATGTAGAATGGACAGATGGTAGCCTTCCCGAGAACGAAATTCAAATGGTCATAATTGCCATGGCCAGTGGACCTCCTCATGAGCACCTTCCTAAACCTCTTCCCAACGTCAAGTCCAGTGAGGTGGGCACTGATGAGGTTCGTGAGGTGGAAGTGGCCAAATACGTTGAGACCTACAGACAAGGCTTTGAAGCGCCCTCTCCAAGCTACGAGATTTCATCAATTGACTACCCCCGGGGCCACTGCATTGTTCTCACCGGCGCGACAGGCAGCCTTGGATCTCACCTGATGGAGAAGTTGATTCAACAGAGCGATGTTCGGCACGTCGTGTGTGTCAACCGTCATAGCAGTACACCTGTCGCAACACGTCAGCAACAAGCTCTATCGTCGAGGGGTATCACTTTGTCCGCATCGGATCATTCCAAGCTTCGCTTCATTGAGACCGACACGTCGAAGCCCCAATTAGGTGTTTCAACCGCGGAGTACGAATGGCTTACACAGAATACCACGCATATCATTCACAATGCCTGGCCCATGTGCGGAAAACTGCCTGTTAAGTCATTTACAGCACAGTTCGAATCATTGCGGCAGTTAATTAATCTCACACGGGACATTGCCTCCCAACGTCCGAAGGACTTCCAGGTGGGATTACAACTTATCTCGTCGATTGGTGTCGTTGGCCACTATCCCCTATGGAGCAATGGGATACACGTTCCTGAGGAGCGGATGGAGATCAATTCCGTGCTTGGTAATGGGTACTGCGAAGCAAAATACGTCTGTGAGCGCATGCTCGATGCAACCCTGCACCGCTATCCGCAGCATTTCCGGGTCATGACAGCGCGGCTTGGCCAGATCGCTGGCTCAGAAACCAGCGGGTACTGGAATCCCATTGAGCATCTTTCATACCTGGTCAAATCGTCCCAGTCATTGCACATTCTTCCCAGCTTTGAGGGTACACTATCTTGGGTTCCCGTCAATCATGTAGCGGGGACATTGAAGGATCTTATTATGGCAAACGGTGCTCCGCATCCTTTCTACCGTATCGACAACCCGCTTGGTCAGTCATGGGCTGATATGATCCATGTATTGGCTGATGCGTTGGATATCCCCAATGAGAATATCATTTCATTTGACCGTTGGATCCAACAAGTTCGTCGACCCCCGTTAGCCGTAGAAACGGAGAACCCGGCGGGACGTCTCGTCGATTTCTTGGATGATCACTTTTTACGCATGTCCTGCGGTGGCTTGTTGTTGGATACTACCCATACCCAGGAACACTCTCCAACGTTCGCTAAACAGGGACCCGTCAGTGCTGATGTGGCTAGAAAGTATATTCAAGCTTGGGAGGATGTGGTATTTCTTCATTCCTGAATCTGAGAAACGGTTATGGTTCTTTCCGTTCGATGCTTCCATATCATATTTCGACGTAAAAAGAGTTCATTGTGTTGAAAATTTAAATTTGAATTTGAATTTCATTATCTCCTTTTGGCTCGAACATGTTGATTGAATATTCGTACTTTATCTGCGCCTGCTGTAGAAAAGCCAAAACGTAATGCAAAATTTGATTCTCGGTGCAGCTTTTACATGAATTCATCTTAATATTCGTATAAAGAAATTCCTTCTCTCGGTCGATGAGCCTGCAAGTATCATGCTTGGCTCCTAAATTACGTCTCGCAGGACTACCCTGAGATTGATTTAAAAATTAAGCACTATTCGACCCGGGGGCTATGTACAGGGCTTAGATTGTCACTTGAATGTCAGTTCAGTTACGAGATGGTAAAAAATGACTCAGTCGGATAACATATGTGGAACAAATTCAGTGAAATTGAAACTACAAGTAACTTGAAATAAATTGCAATACTATCTATCGACAGAGCAGTACATGGAATGCCAGTTCGTCACAGCTTTAGCCTGTATCGCTGCAACCACTGTTGTTGCAATAGTTAGCGATGACCTTACAGCTGTTGGATATCTTGGCCGATCCACATCGCTTGATGCCATGGTCGTCATAGAGATCGGCGAATCTAGAAAGGATAGAAATCAGTAAAGTTGCGCAAAGCATTGAAGAAAAACCAATCAACTTACAATGTCTTGAGCTGCTTTCCGTTCAAATTGATGTAATCATCATCTGAGTCACACTTGTACTCAGCGATACAGCCATATCCAACGGAATTTTTATAATGTCTCTTGGTGTGACCGATGTAGACGTCATCATCGTCGTATTTGTCGTAAGCCTTCTCACACCAGCTCTTCATATCACCACCAATGCCAGTTCCACAGATGCTGGAGCCCTTAGGACTCCAGTCGGACGGCTTTGGTGTGTCGGCGGTTTTGGTGCTGGTTGTGGGCTTGCCGGCGGGATAAGTCTCCGTCAATACGGACTTTGGATCGACATTCAGGTGGCTTGTTATTTGAGTTGGCCAGATAACTAGCACATCGTGGGTCATTGTGGATGTAGTAGGACCGAATGACGGCGCATCCTCGGTTGTGGTAGGGTTGGCTGGGATTTTGGTGTACCCGCATTCATCGCCTTTGGTTCGGGTTACGAGCATTGTCTCGATCGTTCCAGATGTGCAGATGCATGATTCTGGGCTACCTGGTTCTTGTCTAAAGTTCGTGTTGTTAGATGGTTCTGACTTTTTTATTCTGTTTGACTGGATCTGTTCTTACCTTAGACGACAAATGGACGTCTCAGCCTTCTTAGTTGTTGTGGAGAATGTTGTCGGTGTGGAGGTGATGGTGTCGGACGTTTTATCAGTTGTGGCCTTTTTATCTGTCGTGGTTGTTGCACCGGTTGTTGCATCGGTTGTTGAAGTCGAAGTCGAAGTCGATGATGAAGTCGTGGTAGTTTTCTCTGATTCAGAAACAGTTGAAATAACGTACGAGAAACAAAGGTTGATCGCAGCTTCAGATGTGGTAGTCGAGGTAGAAGATGTGGAGGTCTTCGTCGAGGTGGTTTTGTCGTCGGTTGTGGTTGTCGTTTTACTATCATCTGTTGTGGTCGTCTTCTTGTTATCATCTGTGGTGGTATCATCATCAGGATCATCGTCAGAGGGGTCGTCAGATCCCGAGCCTGAAGGACTTTTAGGTGCTGAAGGAGGAGGACTGGGTCCCCCGGGTGCAGGGTTTCCAGATGGAACCCAGCCACCACCAAGACCCCAGTTCTTAAGCGTTGGACACAGTATTGGGACAATACAACCACCACTACCTCCCCCTCCGGAGTTTGTTGCTCCGCCGCAAAGACTACTTAATGCTTTCGCACAGCCCCATGCAAGGGTTGGCTTGGAGCCCTTCGAGGTAGTGACGGAGGTAGCTGTAAAGATGACACTACTCGTGTCTTTACCTTTGGTGATATGAATGGTCTGGTAACTTTGTTAGTCTTTTGAATGGCAAAATGAGGGTAAGTGTTGCATGGGTACTCACTGTTTGAGGGATGAGCAAAGCCTCGGTTGTGGTATGGCCGCCAGTTGTGATAGGTACCATAGATGATACAACCGTTGAATCAGGGTTGGACGATGAGGATTCAGTAACAGTTGGGGATCGTGTTTGTTCGGGCGTACTTGAAGGTGAAGCAGAGCGTGATTCAGTTCCATCTTGGGAGCTCGTGATTTCCGATTGAGTGGGTTCTGGGGTCCGCGAATGACTTGGCGATTCTGTCTTTTGAGATGCATTGGACGACTTAGGAGAACTTGAACCGGTTTCCTCTTGGGAGCTTTCAGCACTAGATTGACTCGACTGAGGACTTCCTGATGGGCTTGATGACTGTGTCTGCTCGGGCTTCTTTGAAGTCGTAGTGGACTTTGATTGAATTCCGACTTGGGAAGTTCCAGTACTAGATTTAATTGCCTCGGGGCTTCCCGATGGGCTCATGGAAGCTTCCGCGGAGTTTGATTTTCCAGCACCCTGGGAGGATGAAATCTCAGATGAAGTACGCTTGGTACTCTCTGAACGGCTCTGATCCTTGGAACTTTTGCTCGCAGTTTCCGGTTGAGCTTGGGTACTGGGAGTATTGTAAGGGGTCGTTGTTGGACTTTGATTCCCTGGCGCAGAATTTGTAGGGTGATCAGATGAACTGAAGCCGGAATTGGGGGTATTTGATGACTTGGGCGAGTTTGATAGACTCTCAAGAGACTCAGTTGACTGTCTGCCCTGACTGCCTGCACTGGGAGAGGCTGATGGGCCCTGGCTGGACGCCAATGATCCCCGGGAACTAGGGTAGACAGACGAAGAAGGTGTAGAAGTGGATTGGGTATCTTCACGAATCCATAAAAGCTTGGTGACAGTCTCTTCCTGAGACATATCTGCCTCATTTGCGCGAACTTTTGATAACTGTTAGTTCATTCTTTTGCTGAGGATAAGCTACGAGACCAACCTGCATGGCCGCCCTTCAAAACAGCATTCGTAGCTTGAACGGGGTATGTCAACGCAAGCGTCGCCGCTAGGATACTTCCAACAGAAAGCTTCATTGTGTTGACTTCGGACTTGATGATTGACTGTCAGAGGGTCATTGTTCAAAGGTCTTATATGGTGGCTCCCCGATTGCTCCAGGGAAATGTCCTATCCGGTTATGTCGCCCAGTACGCATAGTTTCATGTAGATCAAGATATCCAACCAATCAGACAACTTTGTAAAAGAAAAGGCCCCGATACAGATCTCGAGGCTCTGAAGATGGAACTATTTTTGGCCATGTTTGGCCCCATTGGCCCCAATCCATAGTCCACTGGTTTTCAGCTTCTTAATTGGAAAGCTTGTTATCCCGCACTGCTTCTGTATTGCTCAATCTGGAATGAATTAATAATTTGAATTATAGAAATAATTACTATACCTTGAAAGTGGCGGGGGCAGAGGGCTTCAAAAACTTACGTTTGACGGTCTGGACTATACTTCACCCTCGCCAGCCCCTTAATTGCACTGCAATCTCTTGCCTGATGTGGATATTTGAATGGTGAACATTTTAGCTTACAATGACCATTGATGGCCTGGTTAGATCACTAATTAGAGGTCCTCTAATTTTGCTTTCGCTTGCTCTTTTTCCAATTCTGGGCTCGCCGGGTACAGGACGTTTGATATCTTGCTAGTTAATTATAGATTTGAGCTAATAGATAGCCATTAAGAATCAAATCGGAGTTCTGTGGATATCATTATCTTACATGACTTCTTTTTTGCAGGTAATTTTGCAGCGCGTGTAGGCAGGATCCCAACAACCATCGGCAGAGCTGTGGGGGCAATGGGGCCCCTGGCCCCCTGTCAGGCACACCCGACCATGCATGACATACAGGGGCCATTGGCCGGGTTGGCCCCCCATCAATGCAGCTCTAACCGATGATCTGCAAGTTCTGGGGGCCAAAATATCCTCGAAATAGAAACTCCACGAGGTTTGGTATTTAACATATCTAGCTGCCTTTGAAGTCAAGTCACTAACAGAATATTCAACAATCACTATTGAAGCCATCTGGTTCTGTTTGTTCAATCAACCCCTTCTGGCAGCATTAGCCAATTCTTTTTCAATCCTCCTCTCGAAATCTCAAGCACAGTCCTTGTCAGAATGCTCTCCAAAATCCTATCAGTTCTCTTCTTGCTAGGGCTGATAGGCAATGTTCTGGCAATCAACTCCCTTGGTGTGGTAAGGGACACTTCTATGGGCAATAAAGTCAAGGCATTCAGCTCAAAGTGTACCGTCAAAACCAAACCAGAGGATGCAGAGTTTCTGTTAATGATCAAAACCGCCTGGCAAGAAATGAACTCTTCATTCACCGGCAACGAAAAACGAAGACGTAACGAGATTCCATTTGCAATGATTGGACTCTCTATCGATGATGAACTCTACTTTTCTTCTTCTGTCAAGGCAGGCAGTAATGAAATTGTCTATCAAACGTCGACGATCAAAGGTGGAACCGGCGAGTTGAAGAAGCTTCCAAGCAGATACGCTGAGGTCACCGAGGCTCTGACAAACTGTACCAGAGACAATCCGGGCAAAGGAACTCAGCACGGCAACTCAGCGGCTTGTGGCGAGATCATGTCCACCATCCTGTGGATGCATGACCACGAGGGCAAAATTCCACGTGCCTACAAACCCAAGGTCGCTGCCTGGTCTCCGTACGGCTATCTTCCTCCTTGCTCTTCGAAGGAAGGCGATATCACGTGGGGGTGCCACCAATGGACGGCAAAGATGGGATATACGGTGGTTGGCAACCTGACGCTTCCTAACCAATTCACTCAACCAGAGAAGTGCGAAAGTCTCTCGTTGAATACTTGTTTGAAAATTGATGAAGAGTCCGAAAATGGCAAAGGCAAAGTCAAAGGTAAAGGCAAACAGTGAGACAAATTAGCAAAATGGGGATAATACCGTATGGACAAAGCATCCTTTCTTTTTACCTGAGCTCTCTGTTAGATCCCCTATCAAGAGGAGGCTCATGCATATCATAAACCTTGGAATGTGATACTTTTCATTCTTTTATGAGCTGTGTTCATGTTCCCGGAGCTTTTTCTCTTCGTCGTGTCATTGTGTAGATATGTTTTCTCCAGACCTAGTTTCTTCCATTTAAACTACTTCGACAATTCGTACTTATTTGAATACCAGGCTGTTCATTCAACTACCTTACAGACTCGTTTCCGTGACACAAGCAATATGCAAGAATTTTGTATGCTTTCTTTGTTTCCTACATCGGCACAACACTTAGTAATTTAATGGCCTCCCAGCTCAGTCGACAGCCCTACAATTTGACTGTCTACAGTTCGTTGAAATATAAATCAGTTGAATGATAGCCGAATCAATATCATTCTCAACGTTTCATATATCGACAATCCTTATGGGATGCTTCATGGAATTCTCTATGCACCGTCCAAAGTCCTGGCGAAACATTAGATATAACACTGCTGATGTCAATATCCAACCCAAGCTCTGCACTCAGATTTCGAAGCTCTTTAGCATTGTCTTCGTTCCATTCGCGCCCTTTACCCATAGAGAAACTACGGAACATAATTGTATCCAGCAGCGGTGTCGTGGATTTTGCAGATGGGAGATAATCCTGAACAGCTTCCGTGACTATCTCATCTTCCAACTCAAAATCTTCCGAGTGAATCAATTGATCTCGGATAGCTAGTTTCTGAAGCGTTGGCGGCAAAACCTCAGAAATGGGAGGTGCATCGTCAATAGTCCAGCCGAGAAGCATGACGGATGGAACTTCTGCCGATTTAAGGCGCTGAAACTGCTTCAGAATTCCTATACATTGCTTGAAATTTTCCTCTGGAGTTCTATTGTCGCGGTTGTGAGAACTCCACACACTGGGGTAGTAAAGCGGGCAAAGCTCCATGCCAACTGACAGGTCTTCGAGTGTATCCTTCACACTCATCAGCCCTTCAATCAGCACACCAGGCTCTTTGAGAGGTGGTCTGGCAGATGCTTCACTCCAGCCGAGCTCTCTGTCCTGTGACGGGTATACAAGTCCCAGATGAAGGCTCTTCAACGAGGACAGGTGCAACAGAAGATCTCTGGCTTCGCCCTCTTCGATGGGACATTCAGCCAGCACAAGCCTCTGGAGCTGGGGTAGGCTTTTTAGCTTGCTCGATCCAGCAGGTTTGGACAATTCATCTTTGACGCCTTCTAGACTTTGGAGCCAGATCTCCAAAGATTTCAGAGCAGGCAAATAGAACCAGCCTGCGAATTGCTCCGAGTCACATGGAGGAAATGCATCGATAAATTTCGCACCAAGCTCATGGAACTCTCGAGATTGAGGAACATTCATGCCATACTCGACGATTGACAGTTCAGCAAATCGAGACAAGGAGCCTTCAGGCGCTGAGAGAAGAGCATGTCGTACCATCAATCCGGGGAACCCTGACTGCCACACGAAAGTGTAGTCTAGCTCCAGCGACTTCAAATTGTGAAGCTGAGAAAGAATAACTGCCACGAAGGCGTATGGATCGCCTTTTTCCAGCGCACAGATCCATTTGGCGAGTGATGGAAACTGTGCCTTGGTGACGATATCTTTTGCCACGTTGACTTCTTTCTCGAATAGAGACGAGAGTTGGTTCCAGTCTCCATCGATCTGCGGCGGATTCCATTTTTGTATCTGCATTTCTGCCGGATACTCCAGTTTGGAAGGGATCATGCTAACATGATGAATTTGAGATGCGAGATCTGGACGCTCATGAATCACTTTTAATAGGCTCAGCACCCGTTTCAGAGGTGGTTTGATCCAGTCGATCTTGACATGACGATATAATGAGCTTTCCGAGGAGACTTGTAGGTCTCGCGACGTGGCCACTACAGATGCGGTGTCAGATGGAGATATTTGATCCAGAATTTGCACCCAACAATCTTGAGGCAGATCTTGTAGTGCGCTGGAGAGAATTAACGCATGATTCTCTTGAGTGAAGGAATTTAGATATACTCACTTCCGTGTTGATGTTGATTCTCCCATGGTGGACTTCTGAGAAGTGTATGGGAAGGGAATCTGTTTAAAGAAGAACGTTGACAATTTCCAAGATGAAATCTGATAACTCTTAAAGGTCTGGCTGAGCATTCTCTTCGTAAGAAGGAATAAGTGCGAGAAGTCTTGTTTTCTTAATTTGGGATTGGGGGCTGAGGCGGACCGGGGGCCGAAACGTCATTTTGGCCCCTGTCGATCGGATGCTTGTTTGAAACTTCTATTGCGCTGTCAAATATATTTAGAACTTCTTTTGAGCGAACTGCAGTCTGTTGTTGAAGCGGCAATGTATGGAGAAGTTTGAAATAGAGCTTCGAGTTCAGCAAACAGTGCAAACATGTCAGTGATACGGAGTGGTTTTCGCCAGCTCAAAGGCTGGGTTCTGACAGATAGACCGCAGCTCGAACCTCATTCAGAACCTCGTACCGCGATCGATCTACTATTATCTATCTAAATATACCTCTGTCGTATTATTTTCCCAGCCCGGAAGGACCGAGATGGGAGAGTTGTTCATTTATATATAAAGCACAGGCCCGTATATATAAACAGTTCAGAGATTTTCCCTGTCTAAAACATCGACCGAACCTATATTTTACCATATTGCTTTATAGAATTACAATATGTTCGACCACAGCGATATCGAGAAGCTATAGTAAGATAGCATCGCTTCTGATGAGGCTGGCAGGGCTGCTAGGCATTGCAGGAGAAGGGTGAGGAATCGTCTTAGACTTAACACAGCGACGTCGCAGTGGAAGCTTAATTGTCTTACAGTTCGAGTATTCGATATAAAAAAGGAGAAGAGGATGTCACGTTATTCTAATAAATAAGCTGATTCAAAATTAGAATTGTAACTAAAAATAAAGGTTACAATAGAATTGAACTGGGGCTTACTAGGGTCGGGTCCGGGGAGTTCGACCCGACTTTGTTCTCCTTTACACAGACTCACCGACCCCATTTGGGTGATAAAAATGCAGGCAACAGTAAACGGTGCCAGTTTTGGATCCCGGGGCACTTTATTACTAGGGCATGGTCCGTGCCACCCTTTTTCCCCATACAAAGTGGGCCACTTTTCCAAAACTTTTTGTGTTTTTCTGCGGACTTGGTCGTTTTGAGAGTCAAGTCTCATTTGACGGGGCAACCCCGGCTTCCCGGTGCCCTCCCCAGCCCGGTGGGGTGTCCCCCCAGATGTGCACGCCATGGGGCTCCCTCCCCCAATGCTCAGGCATGCGTTCTTAGCCTTGCTCATTCCATGGGGTCTTCCCAAGGGATTTCTCGGACAACCCCGCCAACTGGCCAGTAAGTCGACATCGCCCGGGGCGTACCATCTCCCTGTCCCCTGGCGCTCTTATCTCTGCAGAAGTCCAGTGAGATAAAGATAGTTTCCATTGAAAATGGTTAAGTAAGTCTGACGCAGAGAATAAAAAACTAGAAATCAAATTGATACCGTGCAACCTCAGGTCTGTGTTGTGGAATGATGTAGCAAATATTTCAACCCCCTTGGATCTATTCAAATTTCCCAAGGGTTCCTAAAAGTTCACCGACCCATGAGTCATCGTCATTGTCAGCATGCTGATAATTTTATGCGTGATTGAAATCGATGAATGACTCATTCTACAAATAATCATTTGAACTGAGATTGAAACTTCATACACGCGGCATTTGCAATCGAAAATGGCGCCAGGTCCATCTATACCTTTTGAAGTAAAATACGCCAATGCATCCGACCTAAGTACACTAGTGAGCATCGAAATTCGCTCTTTTCCCTCGTCCAATTATATGCGCAGCACATACGAGGGATGCAATCCATTGGCAGTTCATAAATTCAAAACAGTCTCTTCCCTCGAGTATTTCGCTAAACCCGAATGCCATATTCTAGCGGGTGTCAACTCTAACACCGGTGATATTGTCGCATACAGCCGCTGGCATATACCGGCTATTTACGAGGTTGAAAGAGCCGGGGACACAATTCTGAGCAACGATGCGCAAGCGCAAATGCAGAATATGTGGGCGTATGCCCCAAAGCTGAACAAGGGTACCTACACGTTTTATGAGGAAATGATAAAACGTAGTAGGAGCATACATCTTAAGGAAACTGATATTGGTTCGTCAATCCATTTTGCCACTCGACTTATAAACTATACAATACGGACTGCTGAAATGCTGCTAGTCCTTGGGCTACTATGTGTCTTACCAGAGTATCAAAGAATTGGGCTAGGAACTGCATTTCTGAAATGGGGTATCAAGAAAGCAGATGCCAGTAACGCCCGTATTTACCTGGAAGCTACGATGGAAGGTGTGCCAGCGTATTCAAAGCACGGGTGGAAGATTGTCGAGGAAATACAGCTGGATTATACGGAGCGTGGGGGACGGGGAAGTCAGAAGTTTGCATTGATGATCAGAGAGCCCCAGGGAACAGCGGTTTGACATAAGCTTTTGTCCTCATTGTCTGTGTATCGCTTCGATTATTGAGCTTTGGAGTCTCCGTGCATCCCTAGTCAATTTGTTATATTATACCAGCCCAGACTCTGATAATTGCATATCGATCTCTTTGGTCCGTTTGACGTGCTTATTTACCCGGTGATTTATGAAATTCACTACAGCCCAGTTTCCAATGAGAGTAATTATTTTGAGACAGTAAAATAGTAAGATCACTTATTTTAGCTATGAGAGGTGTGTGTGTGCTATAGCGCCGCCGTAGGGAATCGAACCCACGCCGCTCCCCAGACGAACAAGGTTTCCGGTTCATTAGCGTCGAAATCTAAGGGTCCTTAGAACGCCACCACTGAGACAAGGCTTAAGGATGCTCTAGCCTACATCATGGAGATCAAAAACTTATTTCTCCAATCGTAGAATAGCGTCCTCACGATGATCCTGCAGGTAAAAAGAGAAGCCCAACGCGGGGGTCGAACCCGCAGCCTTTAGATTAGACTAGGGGGATTGATTAGTGAGAATTCTCTTAAGAAGAGCTGTGATTGATACTCACAGTCTAACGCGCTACCATTGCGCCAGCCGGGCGGTGTAGAGAGTCTAGATAGGAAGGTGCATACATGGAGTTTATAGGCTCAGTAATGAGGTTAGTGTTTGAATGACTAGATTTAGGCTGACTTATCGCCTGCTTTTAGGCCTCGCGTTACAGTGTATATGATACCGAATTTGAATTGCGGGATGGCACGACCGCTGCACTGATCCTGGTAGCGTAGCCAGAGTAGAACGTCATAGCACCGGCTTTATGGTAGTTATCGGTAAGTGGTGTTTTTAGTGAACGCACCGTTCTCACTGGGCGAAGTTTCGCACTTAAGGTTACAAGATGGTATCTACGGATTTTCCTCCAAAGCTGCTACCTTACTCATCTAAGTTTTGGGCCCCAATCCAAGCTCCTTGGCGTCTTAGCTCCCAAGGCAAAAAACCCTGTAGATAAATGACACCGTGTCCAGAGAACAAGTTGAGTAACAGTCGTACATGTCTCACATTATTTAACTTACCGTTACTTCAGTCCGGCTTGCTGTGTTTCTCTATTTTTCAAATTAACCACTCCATGCCCTTCACTCTACTTCAACACACACACGTCAACCGTCATGACTGATATCAAACTTTTCTACCATCCAGGCGCATGCTCCCTGGCTCCACACATCCTCCTTCAAGAATCTGGAGTCCAATTCCACACCCAAAAAGAAACCATCGGCCAATTCTCACCAGAACTCTTAGCTCTAAACCCCAAAGCTCGCGTCCCCGTTCTGAAAATCGACAATGCCACTATAACCGAGAATCTGGCCATCATGACCGCCATCTCCAATCTGGTCCCCGAGAAACAATTCCTAGGTGCGCCTGATACACTAGAAACCGTCCGGGTCGCCGAGTGGATAGCCTGGCTCTCGGGGACGCTGCATGGAAATGCATTCGGCTTGCTCTTTAGGCCTGCTCGATTTACGGATGATGAAAGCTGTTTTGACTCTCTCAAGCAAAAGGGGCGGGAACTTGTGCGGGAGTGCTTTGAGAGCATAGAGAAGAAGTTGGTTGGTGTTCATGCTGTTGGGGAGAGATTTACGGCGGTCGATGCTTACCTCCTTGTGTTTTATCGCTGGGGTGGCGAGGTTGGGTTCGATATGAAGATGTTGTATCCCAAGTATGCGGCATTGGCAACGGAGGTGTTGGCAAGGCCGTCGGCTGTTTCGGCACTTGCTGCGGAAGGGCTGAAATCTAACTAAACCTTAAAATAACTTGATGATTAGGTCAAAATTCTTGTAATTAGAGCGTTCAAATAAGGAGTAAGTGCATAGGTTGGCGTGACTTACTGTAGATCATATTCACCCGGATTGCCGCATCTATAGCGCACTCACTCTTATCACCCTCAGTCGCATCACGGTACAGCAGCGCTCACATGTGTCGGACCTAGGCGGCATGCGCTGGATTATTGAGAACATCAAAGCTGCATGCTAGCAGATTAATAGTTCAGCAAACCAGAAGTTTGCTCGGCTCAGTTTCCGACTCATTGCCGACGAAGCAGCGTAGTAAGCAGTGCGCCCCCATGAACATGCAGACCGCCGTATCCAATGATGTCAGATTAGACCACATGCTGATAATAAATCTACCTTGTCTAGAACGATATAGGCACCAGCGGTCATCCAGCGGCCATCCAGCGATTACCGGCGCTTCGGTTAATTGATCCATGGAAAGTATGCCGCGCCGATCTCCCGGCTTAGCCGCATCCGCTATACTTTCCTCTCAGCCCTATACAATCCCAGTGCAATTTTCCACCCACGCTAATCTGCCTAGTCATATGAGCTTGATTTCGGCTGAATTAGATCCGAAAAATCAGGATCCAGAACAAAGAAAAAAAAAGACTCCAGAGAACCCAGAGCTTGCCAATTTTGAATTCCGGCCCGGCTCCATTGACAGAGCCTCGATATTTAGTTACGATCGAAGAACGCCTCCATTTCACTTCTCGCAACTATATCAATCTCCAAAAAGGCCCACTCAGGTTTTGCAATTATCCTTCAGGCCTAATGCAGCCATTTTCTACCCATATTTCATTTGCAGCACTTTTCTTCGCGTCGTTTGCGATTGCGCACGGCGAAGATGGATCGATGGACATGGACATGGGTATGAGCATGCCTATGCAAACAGCTCATAGTACAGCTTCGTCAACACCAGTCATCCCATTGAATAGTCACTGTGAGAGTCCCATGAGCTACTTCGCTTGTGGCAAGCACTCCAGTACCATCATGGCGCATATTGCGCTCATGGTCGTGGCCTGGTGCTTTGTGCTCCCTGCAGGTAAGCGATCGTCAGCCAAGTACTTGTATTACAATTAACCTGATTTCAAACAGCGGTTATGCTCAGCATCGCGCGCTCGCGACTTGCGCTGCCGTCGCAATTCCTGTTCCTGGTCTTAAGTGCTGTCGGTCTGCTCTTCGGAATGATCTATAAAAGTCAAACACCGGATCTGTATGAGAACAATGCTCATGGAAAGATTGGCTGGATTGCGACTTGTATGATCAGCGCACAGGTCGCCCTAGCCTTGATTTTCTCGTATGACGGTCGGGGTGCGTCAAAGTTACAGCCTACTTCCTTTGAGCGCGCAGCATTATTGCCTGTCGCTACAAGAGAGCATGAGAGCCCTGACCCGACTGGTGCAATTTGTGAGAACCGCTGGTCTCGCGATAGTGGCCAGGGAACTGACTGCGGCTCATTCATCCAGAGTCCCGGGTTGTCATCTTGCGAAGTCCAATCTGAGTATGAGGGTTTTGATATACCAGAAGAGTCTCCAGTGGATTCATCAGAGGTTTCTGGTCTACGTGCTTGGCTCTGTCGCTCCGTTTTCGGTCGCCTTGTCTCGAGACGCGCACCTAGTATAGACTCGAACTGTATCCTGTGTATTATCAACGGCGCGCAAAATTTGATTGGCCGTATTATCCTGCCTGTTGGCTTTGTCGCCATTGTGACAGGCGCGGTCACCTACGGGGGTATTTTCCGTGGCAAGGACATATTCAACGGCCTGGCGCATTTCATCAAGGGTGGGATCTTCTTCTGGTATGGAATTCTCACCCTCGGGCGCTTTATCGGAGCATGGGCGGATTTAGGTTGGGCTTGGAACAAGAAGCCCCCGGCGTCAATTGTCGGTTGGAAGGCTAAGGTTCCGTCTGGCGAGTTTGTCGAGTCCTTTGTGATCTGGTTATATGGTATCACCAACGTCTTCCTGGAGCATCTGTCCAACCCGGGCGGCGAATGGTCTGCGGCTGATATGGAGCATGTCTCCATCTCCATCATGTTTTTCGGCGGTGGGTTGGTTGGCATGCTGTTCGAGTCCCGCCGTATTCGCGACACGCTCAACGATACTATCCTCCGGCCCCCTCCCCACGGCTCTCGCAACGAAAAGCGGCAGCCTCCTAAGTCGCAGGGCGTGCCACTTAACCCGATGCCGGCACTTATCATCCTACTTTTAGGCTTGATGATGGGATCGCATCACCAGGACAGCATGAAATCGACTATGGTCCACAAGCAGTGGGGGAACTTGCTGGTCGGCTTTGCGCTTGCTCGTGGAATGACTTATGTCTTGCTCTTCTTGCGCCCCCAGAACTCCTACCTCCCTGCTCGGCCGCCGACGGAGATCGTGTCTGGCTTCTGTCTCATCGCTGGCGGATTGATCTTCATGCTGAGTGTAAGTGGATCTGATAGAAACCCATCTGAATTTTCTACTAACGGTCATTTCCTCACAGACCCGCAACGTCATTGAAGCTATGGAATTCTATGAACTGGATGCTATGTTCACCTTTACCGTTGCCATGGGCTTCACAGCTTTCATCATGTCTCTGGTGGTCCTGAACATCGCACTCAAGGCATGGGCAGTACAGCGCGAACAACGGCCGCAGCGTAACGCAAGCTTCGTCTTGGAAAGTCAGAATACATTCTTTTAGGGTTTTCTTGCGGCCCCTTGAATAGCGAACTAAAGGGCCGCTTAACGATAGGCACGCAAAGGCAACTAACAACGCGTGCTATGTATGACTATAGAAGGAAAGAGACAATATTTACTAAGATTATGTTATTTATCAAGATAGAGCCTCCACAGGGTCGGCTTTGGGTTCGCGCTGATGTCTATTGAAGTTGAAAAGTTCGTAAGTTATGTTCACTTTTTCAAATTTAATCGAATTTCAAGTTTCTTATACCAAACCTACAGGAAGAAAAGAATACAGCGCATGCAAGTTGTCTGCAGGCGTATATTCAGGCCTAGAGATAAATCCATCTGAGAGAATACAGAAAAACAAGATGACCGAGGGAAAGGTACAGGCTAATGGTTAAGAGAGAGCCGCATTCAAATCACATAGCGAGGAAACATTATGGAAATTTGCGGAAGACTGCAACAGCGGTCACGAATGAATATTCAATAAAATGCACCGGAATAATCCTTATACATCAGATAGAGCAGTCCTTTTTTCCTCTTCCAATGTTTTCGTTATCTCTGGGCAATCATCTATCCACCCAATGTAAGCAATTGCTACATCGAAGTCTTCACAAAATTCACTGTAGCCCATTTACCATTAATTATTAAAAGATATTGACAATTATATAGCAAGCCGCCGACTGTTTTGTAAAGTCTGTCAGTAGGGCATTCGCGACTCTGCACAAACAAATGAACCTTTACCTGTAAATCTTACATTCGTAGGCCTCAAAAGGGCCCTCCTTAGGCTTGGAAATTAAGATCATTTTCATCACTTTGAACGAACGCTGGCCGATGCCGACGTAGCCAGCTTTGTACATGTGCACGCGCACGATATTGTGCCTTGATATCTTGAATATGCTCGTTCAAAAAATGTAGGGAAAGAACAACCGTAAACGCGACTATCATCAATGCGATTTGCACGCTGTTGTGCATCATGACGATGGAATCGTGAATTTGAAATGCTGTTGAAAATTGCGATTAATTGTTCCTTCGCCATGAGAACCCGGATTTCGGTTACTAAATAGGCAGACAGATAAGGAACTCCGGTGGATATCGCTCTGTTATGCATATATACGCTTTCGGATAGCGCGGTAAGTTCATGTTGCCCACTGCGGGCCTGGTTCTATGTTTTTTTTGGTAGCAAAATACCCTCGTCACTCTAGCTCCACTCCAAAGTCTATCTTGCGAGGATGCTATAGGGTAGTGTCTTGAGTGTAGCGATTGCCGTAGTATCCGGCGATCATCCAGCGCCCATCCAGCGCTTATCCAGCGAAATTTCGGCGAAATTTCAGCGCGCGCGAAGCGGATGTCGCGACTTTCCAACGAAGATGGACAGCTAAATTTTCGATTCGATTTTGTAGAAATGATGCTACTGTTCCATTCTGCACTTTACTCAGCGATCGCTGCGAGCAACTTGTGCCTCGGCTTTGGGAGAAAAAAACAACCACTCCATATGACGACAATTGCCACTTTTGGTACCGCATATAACTGTTTAATGTTTGAACCTTTAGGCAGACATAATCGGTTTGCCGAGCTAAACTCCGAGCCACAGCCAATAATGTTTGCTGTCGGTATTCGGACAACCAGTCATACCGGCCTCCGTGCACATATAGATCAACTATTTCGCACTTTTACGGGTCTGATATTTTACCATCCTGGCCCCGAACGCTCCACCTTTTGATGCAGGGTAATTCATCTCCTCTTTTTACTTGCGAAACACGAGGTACTCCCCCGGCCTACAAGGCCCATAAAAGCCCCTCATTTGGAAACGACTTGGCGGCGCCTGACAGTCTGTTCAACTACTTTGTCGCATATTGTCCCACGACCCAATTCTCTACCCTATCACTATCATGAGGCGTGGTCCTTTGATATTTCTCCTCATCGCCCTTCTTATTTTCTCGTTCGCAATTCGCAGTGTCTGGACCCTTTTGTCGCTGCTCGTGGAGGACGCCGCTATCGACGCGATTGACCATGCTGAGTTGCGCTCGCCGAACGCTACCTTGATTGAGACGCGACCTCAGATAATCCCAAAGATTATTCACCAGACTTATAAAAATGAGACTATTCCCCAGGTCTGGGTAGAGGCCCAGCAGAGCTGTATTGACCTGCACCCCGACTACGAATATATGGTACGTCTATGCATTAAGGTTGACACCACACCTTTTGCGATTTAATTTGCAATATAATCTTTGAGATCAATAAGCTGTTTCGCTTTCGAAAAAAAAAAAGATTTATATCTTCTATTTGAACACTGCTAACAGCTTTATCAGCTGTGGACGGATGAAAACTCGCGCGAGTTTATCGCCGCCGAATATCCCTGGTTCCTCGAGACTTTTGATGGCTATGAGTACCCTATCCAGCGCGCGGACTCTATCCGTTATTTCGTTCTAGCATTTTACGGTGGAACCTACATCGATCTAGACGACGTACGTATTTTACTCCATGAAATGTTTAGTCCGCATTTCTAACAACTTACAGGGCTGTAATCGTCGCTTAGATCTCCTACTGACTTATCCGGCGTGGGTACGCCGTACTGTGCCCACTGGCATCTCAAACGACGCCATGGGATCTATACCCCAACATCCCTTTTTTCTACATGTGATCAAGACCCTACAGCAATACGAGCGCCACTGGCTCCTCCCGTACATCACCATCATGTACTCGACTGGTCCGCTGTTTCTATCAGTTATTTGGAAAGAGTACATGCAAGACCACCCCAGCGAATCGAACCGTGTTCGGGTTCTCATGCAGGGCGACTACATGAAAAACTCCTGGAGTTTCTTCCTCCACCATACCGGTAATAGTTGGCACGGAAATGACGCGCATTTGATCTTCTGGGTGAGTTTGGAAGAAAAATAATATTAGATTGTGCACCAATGCTAACAACATAAAAAGATGGGCCGACACTGGATGTTTCTCACATTCTGTGGCTTACTCTTGGTCACTGTCGTCGGCTTTTGCTGCATCTGGACCTACAGCCGTGTCACGCTCCCGGAGACTCAGTACCACTACACGAAAGTTCCGCCCCTCAAAAGTCCCTCCCGCCTCTCATCCTCACCCACGCGGTGTGCTCGACGAGTGATGTTTACTCTGCTGCAGAGGGTAAACGTCAAAGAAGACGAAGAATCAGGCGGAGCCACCGAAACCTCGTATGACCTTGGTTTTCGTAGCGACTAAGGTAGTAGCAGGGCTTTGTATACAGTCAACTCTCGCTTACGGCAAGCGTAGTATTTGCATTTGTCCGTTTCCTGCACGGGTTTTGAAAGGACAGGTCCACTTTCATGCATTTAAACATAGAGCATAGATCGCTCATTTGCTACACATTCAAGGTATAGAGAATGTTTTGGACCGATTGATAATAATGGATAATTAGAGAATAATATATTTAGTCATCACAGCTCTATCTTTCAGTGTAAAATGAGTTCTATCCTGAGTTGCATGTCTACGTTAAACGACACTACTGTACAGTATACTGTCAAGTTCCACATTCTCCACGCGCAGTGGGTATATCCACTCTTATGCATTTTTCTTTATAATCTTGGTTGAGGATTACATTGGTTCTTCAAATAGTACACGAATTGAAAACACACAAAAAAACTAACACCTTCTTTGAACCACTTGAAATCATAGATCGAAGCTAGGCGGTAAATTCGATAATAGGCGTCAAAAATGATAAGGGACACTTAGCACACGTAAGCCCCTTGTAGAAGAGGAGAAATCATGTTAGTGAACATGAAAGGAATATTCCATTCAGATGATGATTAGATATTTGTTTCTATCACAGGTCTATCGAAACAACGTCGGCGTGTTTGTGTCACATGATCAGGACAGTCCGGATGTGACACGTGATTCCCGCCCCGAGTGAGCTGATTCGGTCTTGGCATTGTCAGTTCATCGCCGTCCGATATCAATGGAAGGGGTTGGGTTAGGCAACACCATTTAAGTGCTGGGAACTAGTGGGTGTAAATCTGGCGCTCGGCTAGACATCCGGCTTTTTTCTTTTGACTTCAGTATTTGTCTGGGGTTCGATACGAAGATTGCAGAAATTGGACACCAAATTGTACGCCATTTGCTCTATCGCAATGGAGAATGCTCATCCTCGCCCGCATGAGAATTCGCCATCTCATATCAAGCCACGCCGGGCTGGTGTACCTTGTGTCAGATGTCGCCAGATGAAGGTAAGAACATGGTGCTCTTGTGTGCTTCTCGTTGAAGTCGACGCCGCCAACTTGCAGGCTAACTCACATCTAAAGGTGAAATGTAATGCTAGTCAAAAATTCCCTGCACCTTGCTCCGCCTGCGAAAAGGCAGGTGACCCATGTTCTGTTGACCCTTGGTTCAAGAGGAAGTCTAAGAGAAGGTAATAGCGGCCCAATGTCCATTATTCTTATGCCGCATTTTCACTCTAATCGAACTTAGTCTGAAAGCCCGCCAAGGATATGAAGGCGACCCTGCATATAGGACGCCCCATTCTGAGGGATCAGGTACTGGGCCGATTGACATGTCGTCGAGGCCGGATGGTCCTTTACCTGCCTCTGATACTTCTGTCGCAGGCATAACTGCCGAACTACGCATCGGCGGGAAGAGATCTACCCGATTCACTCATGAGGCTACCGGTCTCAACCTCACATCCAATGTTGTGGCAGAACTGCTAGAAGAGTACGGCAAGCTGGTTCTGTTTTCACGTTAAACCTGCTCACGACCCTTTAGGTATTATTCTCATATCCACCCAAGGTTCCCGCTGTTGCTTGACCCTGCCACAATCATTGATAGCTATGAAAAAATCCCCTTGCTGTTTTGGAGCGTGTTGGCCGTTTCAAGCAAAGACTCAGAGAAATATGCATCTGACTACCCCCGGCTACAAATTCTTTCAAAGCAATTGGTAGCGGACATCCTCCTCAGCGGTACTCGGTCTATCTATCTTGTTCAAGCTTTGCTTCTACTCTGCGTTTGGTCTTTTCCTCATGAAGACATGAACAAGGAGCCGTTTTCAATGTACTCTGCAGTCGCCATTTCTATGGCGCGGTCTCTTGGTTTGCATCGTCCACAATATCCCTTTCTTTTATTTGCGGCAAAGGCATCGGATATCGGAACAGTGGAAACTCGGACGTCAACATGGCTGGCTTGTTTCATCGTGGATCAATGGTATGTTTACTCCTGGGCCGTTCATGAGCTCGCTGATTACTTCGTAGGCATACTGCAAGATTTGGGGTGCCGGCTTCCATCAAGATCGACCATACAGTCCTTCACGCTTTGAATGATTCAACAATTGGTGTACCAGCGACAATGAAAATTCAACTCCACATCGCCCTCGTCACCTCAAAGATTTCGGCTGCCCTGGGAGAATGCGAGACTTCGGCCACCGGGCTTACACCGAACCCCCTTCCGCTTTTGCGGGTTTTTGAAACGGAACTTTCTATGATACAAAACAGATATGCGTGTGAATGGTCTCCTGCCGAGGAAGTATCTTTGCTTGATGCGCGACTCAGCCTGTACTCTTATGTTCTCGACCAGAAAAAGACCGAGGTCCTGAACAACGTGCATCCAGAGAATGAACTCATCACCCAGGGCAGCGCCACGGCGAGACAGCTCCTCGTCGTGCTGAATACATTTCCCGACGCACTGAGCAAAGGAACATTTCATGTTTTCCGCTCTGCAAGCTACGCAATATTTTTCCTTTTGCGCATTCTTGGGACAGCACCCAGTGAGTGTTTCGATGAGACGGGTGTCAGAGCCATTATCAAACAAACTTTTACGTTGATGAGGGACATGTCTCAGACAGCGAATGACAGGCGGTCTCAATGCTTCCGAGTATGCAGAATCATTGAAAACATGATTAGCTACGAAGACTGGGACAAAGACACGCCGTTTTTAGGGAAAGCCGTGTCATTCATGGCTAATAACTATGTCGCAGACGTTGCCGCCAGGGGCATGATTAAAGCAAACATGCGGCATGCAGCTGCACAAACCGAACGCGATTCTCGGGAAACCGTGGCAGCAGGAGATCCGCCAGAGGTGGAAACAAATTTTGACCTCGATTTCGCGATGATATGGGATCCGATGCAGTGGAATGCGAATTTGCAGGATGCTGATGACCTACTATTTCTCAGTGATAATATAGGTGGAACCTCATAATTAAATATTATTCCTAGCAGTGAATACTTAGCCGGGTAACAGATACGTAGTAGAGTGAGGCTTTAGCTTTTGGCCTAGTTAGTCGTGTTATGTCCTCCGCTCGATCAGAAAGCAATAGCTAGCCAGTTGTCGCTTGATTCTGGAACAATTCTCCAAAGCTTAACGTGACTTCATCAGATTGTGTCGAAGAAAGGACGTTAGCTAGGTGAGCAACAATCAATACGTAAGCAATGGCAGACTCCCATTACCTACAAAACAGTCAAGAGACAAAGAAAAAAAAAGAAATGAACCTATTTCGCGGAACTTTTAGGCTTCCGACGCTTATCGCGTACAAGGACTTCCGCAGACCCGCTCGCTCCATGGGAGCGGCGGGAAGTTTCGAACAAAGCAGAAGCGGCAATGAGATCGCTGAGCTTATGGTATCCAAAAGTACGAGAATCGAAATCCGGATACTTCTTTGTCAGGAGCTGACCGACGTTACAGAGTCGAGCCCATCCATCGTCATCGGAGGCTGTCTCCACCGTCGTTCGTAGCTTACTGGATAAACTGGCATCTTTTTGAGCCAGTGAGGCTAGCGAATGCTTTCCAGACACGATAGCGCTGTCAGCATGCGGCACAAGTTCCTCAAGATGCTTGAGATTCTCAGTATAAATGAATTTATCGCAGGCAGCGACGAATGGCTTAGGCGTCTGTAGCTCTCCGACTCCATACACCGTCAGTCCTGCCTCGCGGATACGAGCGGCTAACCGGGTGAAGTCACTGTCGCTTGAAACAAGACAAAACCCATCATACCGGCCAGCGTAGAGCAGATCCATTGCATCGATGATCATAGCGGAATCGGTCGCATTCTTGCTATGGGTATAAGCGAATTGTTGGATTGGTTGGATTGATAGTTCAAGGAGCGTATTTTTCCAGCCCTGTAGATTAGAGCTACTCCAGTCTCCATACGCCCGCTTCACATGAGGTGTGCCATATTTTGCAGTTTCGGCCAGTAGAAGATTGACCACGGAGTACTGTGCATTGTCCGCATCAATAAGCAATGCAAGTTCAGGAATATTGTCACCGGCCATGACCGTGGATTTTTATGACTTGAGACAATCAGATTACTGACAGTTAGGGAACGTCATGTACACGACATAGTGTCGAGCATTGCTACTATCACGTGAATCCATCTTCAAATTAGGTCTTCAAAGGCATAAGCCATGACGGCGTTGCCTCGTGATGCATCATCCGCGGGGTGGCGCATGTACTGCACCTGGGCATAGTGCCATATCATGTAATCCATTTGAAAATGATACAGATATGAAAACACAGTTTCGAACAATTCTTAACATCTTCCTATCTTTTGACAATCAGCTTCGAGGATCAACATGTTCAGATGGTGGCCTACTAGCTTAGGATGCGATGCTATGGTGCTTCACGCATTAGTAGACCTTGGAGGTTGAGGTAGCAACATCTAATCAAGCTGGCGGGGCATCTCCACCTCCTCGCTGGTTTAACGAGTGACGCCCACAGCGACGTAGTTTCTGTAAAACACCTGGACATAGGTAGAAGGATTCATAGGACACCCCTGTTTCCGAACTCCCGTTGTATGGTGTGGATATAGTTCGATAAATTCTCAGCTTCGAAGGCACTGGATTGAGAAGCTAAATGTTTCTTTCGACTCTGTTTAAGCATTTGATAGATACCAGCAACATATATTGATGTTACCCGGAGTATATATTTGGTTCAGCTTGATGGAATCGGACTATACCTTGCAAGAACGAGCCATGAGATAACCCCGGGGCGGATCTACTAGATTAAGCGACCTAGTTACAAATGACCAAGTCCTTGTAACTTAGATCTAAATTTACATCATCGATGTCGACGATACCTTAGCTGGCGGGGCGTATAGGGTGATGTAGATGAGGATAGGGCTCTGGATGGAATTGAAAGGTCCAAAGAGGCTGGTACTGAATATAATTTCTAATTTCTAATTTCTAATTCAAACAACACAATGATAAAAATCATCTTGATTACTTACGAGACAGCATTGCAACTTCCATGCGAAAAGTAGCGTCTTGTGTGACGAGATCTTGACGACAAACACGCCGAGCAATGGCATGCATCATTTCGATGATGTGGATCATCACTTCTAGAAACGTTTGACTGTTTGGAGGTCAAATATCTTGGCCTCATAGCCTGACTTGTTGCTTTCCAGCAGGTGAAGACCAATTCTTTGCCGATGATCAAATCTGTCACCGACTATCTCTATATATGAATTTTCTTTTGGTGTACATAACGCCAAAGAATTGATGCACGTAAAATGAAAAATGCCTCTGCTATCCCCAAATATTTCAGAGAAATCAGTGCTTAAAACCTCTCCCCCGTAGAGATTGAGGTCCTCCTGGCAATGTCCAGCATTGAGCTAGCAGCTCATCAACTCAAACTCCATCCATGGCTCCAGCAACGAGAGTCTACCAAGACGCTCAGAGATAAATAGATACATATGCGTCAGTATTTGCCTGTGGACAACTAAAGTATACTCTATGGTGGCTGTGGTAACGTTGACAGTGTATTGTATCATCAACAGTTAAACTCACAATACCGATGCGTCTGAGCCGACAATCGAAAGTTGTTACTATACAGAGGTACCTAGAGAGTAGGCCAAGTTGAGAAAAAAGTTCCAGTAAGAAACAGTTCAATCATCGGTCTGATCATCACACCGGTTTCCACAAATTTGACAAATATATTTCTCAAAGAAGAAACAAGCAAGTCTCCCGCCATGCTCTATACATTTAATTGCCGTGCCGTGTCTCAGGCTGCAGTATATCTTCATCCTCCGAACGGAAACAACAGCGATGATCTCAAGTTCCCCACCAGGGACAATGTAGGAGTTAACGGGGATATGCCACACAGCCCACTCTGATCTGACTCGTCTGAAAGCAAGCAGTCGACAGAAATGACTCGTTCTTCGAAGCAATTGCAGAGCTCATAGCACGTGGAGTCGAGTCTTTACGGGGCCGTTTTCACTTTCTTCTCCTATGGTCCATCATGGCATTTGCCTTGGAACCTTGGCTATATGCCAATCCACAACATCCCTATCCTTTGAGAACGTGGCACCTCTTGGAGTCTGTGGCAGATGTTAGGATGCTGTTGAGAGACCAATTCACATCCCGGCGACCAGCGGAGGGGTGGAGTGAGCCGATTTGAGAATTTTCAGTCACTAGGCACAAATTTTGTCAGGCTCCCTTGGCTTGATGGAATAGCTGATCAGCATCTGGAAGCACAGTCGGCCTCTAAACTCTCTTGCAAGGTGGAATTTGTCATTCGTAGTATATAATTGGGTCTTATCTGCACAATGGAATCATACGTGATCAGAGCCTTTTTGAAATAGAATTCAGTTACTATAGCTGTGCAAATTGTCCACATGGGTTTCACCAGAAATGTCGCGGCTGTGGCTGCTTTTGTCTCTCTTGTGTCTGCACAGAAAGTTCTCCCTGTCGATGAGATTCCTTTCATTGGAGCAAATGTGTTCGAGGTGAGCGATGCCGCGCTCATCAACTACACCTTGTCCTACAAGCCTCCTTTTGAAGCATCTCAGTACGATGGATACTATTACTGGTCGGTCAACAATCAGACCGTCAGTACTGCGAACTTCACCGGGCACGATACTGCACAGGGCTACAACGTCCCTGATGGCTCCTATACCATGTACCCTTACTTTCAAGTAGGAGAGGGGAGCCCCAAGCCTATCAACAAGACCAAGCTCTTCGGTGAATGCGAGAACAAACAAGTTGAGCAGCGCAAGCATCCTCGGGATCTATGCTCCGCTGAAAAGCCATGCACTGGCAATTTCAAGAAGATCCTGCACATTGTCTTCGAGAACGAAGTGTATGGCTGGACCATGAGTGATCCCTACTGGAAGCTTCTGAGCACCAAGGGCAAGCTTTTGAGCAACAGCCACGGAATCACACATCCATCCCTGCCCAACTATGCCGCCATCCTGGCAGGTGACTTTTTCGGCATGGCGAATGAAGACTTCTACAACGTCAACTCCACAACTATCTACGACCTGCTAGACGCTGAAAATGTCAGCTATGCCACCTACAGCGAGTGGTACAGCCCAGCCGTCACCCACCGCGGAGACAAAGACTGCAACAACTACATCTTCAACGGCCCGATTGACAACACCAACCCAGACTGGAATTCGCAGGTATACCGACGCCTAGACGTTCCCGCTCTGCTATTCAGCACCTACACCTCCAGCTACGAGCGCTGCACCAAGATGTACGATGCCAACAAAACCTTCCCCGAACACGTCAAATCACACACACTCCCCGAGTACACCTTCTACGTTCCTGACATGCTTCACAACGGCCACGACCCCATGTCGGACAGCGACTACGTGCACCAGCCCCAGACCAGCGGCTCGTGGTTCAACTCCTGGCTAGACCTGTATCTGCCTGACCTGGAGGCGCAGGGTACCCTTGTGGTCCTGACCTTCGACGAGGCTACCTGGGAAAACGACGATGACTATATCCCCAATAACGATAATCATATGGTCACTATGCTATTCGGTGCTGGGGTTACCCCCAATACCACGGATGATACCTATATCACCCATTATGGGTTCATGCGTGGGGCTATCCAGAACTTTGGTCTGGGTTCTCTCGGGCGGAACGATACCAATGCTACTAATGGTAATCTGTATGATCTGGTGTACTAGATCGTGTTGGTTGAGGGTTGACCTGTCGTCAGTCAGCTTGGAGACATGCGGATGTGGATGGTCAGCGCTAAATGTGAAATGGAGATGGCTAAGGGTAGAGAAGGGGGAGTGGAGGAGTGGAAGGGTAGATAGATCGAACAGTGGTAGATAGAAATAGAGGTTGATTGAATGCGAATACGTGAAAATTGTTGGAGCTGGAGAATGTGCCTTCTTTTCCTTTCTTCTCTTCTTCCTCGTATACTTCTAGAAGCACCCGATCAGGCTGGACGATTGCGGCAATAATCACCGGGCGATAATGTTATGTGGCTTGCCATCGCGAACTCTGGATATCACGGATAGATGTTAGCGGGAACACCTAGAACCCTTACGAAGGCTGAGGTTCGCAGGGCACGTGTAGGAGGGCACGTGTAGCAGGGCACGTGCTGCAAGTTGGTGGCAGTTCATGTTCGGCTTCATCCCCACTTAAGCCTAGCCCGAGTGTTTTCATTCTATTAATTTTGCTAATTCGACTAATGGCCATCAGTTGTTGTTAATTCCATCGCAAACTCCGAACCGGGATCCATGCATTGGCCAGGCATCAGCAAAACACGAGAAATCCGTACTGTAGGGTTTCCCCAAAGCCGTGCGCACGAGTCAGAGTCTCAGCCAGTCGGAGCGAGTGAGACCAGGGCAAAGCGTGGTTCATCTCCCGATATTGACGGGTGCTCAGAACGCTCGGAGCGCCCGCCCCTTTCGGTTCGACGCGCGGTCGCAAGGAATAGCCAATGGAAATGCCCAAATTGCACACTCATGCCATCGCCCGCTCAAACTGAACGTTCTATAGCACCTTCGAAGCCGGGCGCTGACTTCGGTGCATGGGGCGGACCCAGCTCCACCGAATGAAAAAAAAGGGAACCATGTGCGTGGTGGTAGTGGTACGCCAGGGCTTGCCGCTAGTTCGTTCTTGGTTTTACGGCGGAACGGACGAGGACCTGTCATCTTCCGCGCCCTGAGGGTATGCTCGCGAGCTCTCTTCTTATAAGCCAGCCAAGCAAAGCTTTGCTTGGCTTGGCGTTGCTTAGGTTGCTTGTTTCTTACTTGCGACTTGGCTAGTAGAGATTACCACTCTACCACTCTCGCGTGTCGCAAGGAAACGATGGATTCTGTTATAATATAGTTGGGGTCCTCGCCAGGAGATGGCTGTTCAGACTTGTCCTCTCCTTCACACTCCTTGGTGCTTTTTCTGGTACCCTTCCTGACTCCTAGATCCGACGCGATCTACTTGGGACATAATGGCAGACAAGCACAACCTCAACTCCGTCTCCACGGAGGACATGGATGATCATGAGAGAGCCGCTTTCAATGAGATCATCCGTCCCAGTGACAGTTACCTCGCTGATGGTACCTACTGGGCTGATCTGCCGGTCGGCGAGCGCGTCAAGTTCTGTCTCGAGCAGGACCGCATCGAGACCCGTAAGGAGATGGCCTGGCTCTGGGATATGTTCAAGAAGGACCCCTTGGCCCCTCTTGCCTACTACTTCAAGAACAGTGTGCTGCCTGGTGCTGGTCTTGGTCTGGAAGGGTGAGTTATATCATGGAGGCCTTGTGGAATGAAACTGGGCTAACTAGCATTGCTCTCTAGTTATGTGCTCTTCTCTATTAGCAACGTCACCCCCCTGTTCAAGGCCTCATACAAGGACTGTTGGTCGACTGGCAAGGTTTGCAACCCTAACTGGATTGCCGCCGTCAACTACCTGGAGGTCGTTGGTATTCTTATCGGTCAGATTCTCGTTGGTCTTCTTGGTGACTGGTAAGCATGCTTCCTGCTATCCCTTCTCTCTGAACACTCTTTTATCTATCTCCCTGCTTGCTCCATCTCCATTTTATCTTCTACTTGGTAACATATGCTAACTATTTTCACAGGATTGGCCGTCGCTGGGGTCTCATCCAGGATGCAGTCATCATGTTCGTTGGTCTCCTTATGCTCACAGCCGCTTGGGGTATGACCCTCAACGGTTGGGTCATCTGTTACGCCTGGTCTCTCTTCTTCTACAGTATCGGAGTCGGTGGTGAATATCCCATGACCGCTACTATTGGAATGGAGAACGGTATCGGGTCTGGCAAGGTCAACGCCTCCCAGGATCGCTTGCACCGCGGCCGCTCCGTGGTCAGCGCCTTCCTGATGCAAGGTTGGGGTCAGTTTGCCAACCAGGTTATCCTGATTCTGTTGCTTCTCATCTTCCACCACGGAAGCGGAACTCCCCCTATCTCCACCACCACCACTAACTGGACATACCGTGTCTCCTTTGCCATTCCTGCCATCGGAACCCTCTGGCTTGTCTACTACCGTGCCTACCACGTGAAGGCCGCTGCTGCTAGCAAGCAGCTTGATGCCCAGAAGAAGAAGGCCTCAGTCACTGGCTACGACACTCAGTCATTGAAGTTGACCTTCAAACATTTCAGCCCTCGTCTGTTTGCTACCGCTGGTGGTTGGTTTGCCAACGACGTCTTCTTCTACGGAAACAAGCTTTTCCAGAGCAAGTTCATCGCTGTTATCAGCCCTGAGTCTAAGTCTCTGATGACCAACTGGACCTGGAACTTGGTCAACATTACCGCCGCCTTGGGCGGTTACTACTGCGCTTCATGGTTCGTCGATAATAAGCTCTACGGCCGTAAGTGGATGCAGATCGTCGGGTTCATGATGTGTTTCATTCTTTTCGTCATCCCCGCCTTCCTCCTCAAATACTACGAGTCCTCCGCCCACATCCATTCCTTCCAGGCGATGTACTTCCTCAGTTCATTCTTCAACCAGTTCGGCCCTAACTGCACCACCTTCCTCGTCGCCGCCGAGGTCTTCCCCACCCCAATCCGTGGCACTGCCCACGGTATCTCCGCCGCCGCAGGAAAGCTCGGTGCTCTCGTCATCGCCGTCGTCGGATCCTACACCACCACCCAGCAACAATTCTACATTGTCCCCTGGTTCGGTCTGGCCGGTGTGCTCGTCACCTATCTCTTCCTGCCTGATACCACCGGCCTCGATCTCCGCGAACAGGAACGCCGCTGGTTGCACATCCGTCAAGGCCGCGAGCACGAGTACCACGGCCCCGCCATCCACCGCAAGCATCTGTCTGTCTGGGAGCGCTGGATGGGCAAGGGCAAGTACTACGACGCCGACCTTGACTACCAGAGCAAGGTCAAGGAGTTCCGCGCTGAGTGGGAGTCCGCTATGGCCGTTCGTGGCGAGGAGAAGGACGCTCTCTTCGATCTGGATGACGTTGATGAGACCATTCTCCAGGGCTCTCTGCACACATACTTTGAGCGCACAAGCCCCATGATCCGCGGCATGGAGAAGACCGAGATTGAGCCTACTGCCCTTCCCGTTGGTGGGCACGATGAGCAGGAGACTCTCCGTCGGGAGTAAATTGTGAAACCTGTTTCCGCAGACAAGGGATCAATCAAGGTATGTGAATCCTGCCCGTGACTGGTCTGCCTCAAAGCTAATTTCTTCTATTTTTACAGTGTTCCGATATCTCATGTTTGACTGGTGTTTTATGCTACAGATCCTAGAATGTGACGGATACATCCAGGGAAACAAGGGTAGAAAAGAGACACGGCTGTCAGCAGGGTCGCAGCTGATGCTTCAATAAGTATATACCGGTGCCTTCTTTCATTAGGCAATCCGATTGTACAGCATAGTCAAGTTAATATATGTAATCTCCAACTGCAGTCCTAGCAGTTTAATAACGTACCTGCCAAGTTCCGACTTCTCACAAGAATTACAAGTTCAACGAATGTTTGCATAAATCCCGGCCAAAGATCAAGACGGTAAGCTTCGAGACTTGCGAGAGACTGTACGTATATTTGGTAATGTCTACGAATCATAAATTCTCGGTGTGTTATGGACAAAATCCGATAAAGTTTCATTTTCTAAGCTCCAAATGATCTCCTTCTTTCTGTACGCGCTTTATTTAGTACTGTGGTTTTCACGGAGTTGGTTGAGGCTGAAACCCCAATTGAACCCGGAACTCCGGGCTCTGGGATTGCATTCGAACACGAAATGTATAACAACTATTAAAGTATAGCTAAAGGAAATATTTGCGCAGTACCTCAAACTCCCCATTCATCCATTCAAGTCAACAATGGTTCCTCTGCTTATATATGGTGCAACGGGCTACACTGGCCGCATGGCCAGTGAACAAGCCAAAAGCACCGGTTTAGACTTCGCACTAGCCGGCAGGACAGAGTCAAAGCTAAAGGATTTAGCATCTCGACTGGAAGTCTCTTACTACGTATTTGACCTGAGCGAAAAAGTCATCCTCGATTCAATGTTGAAAAACACCCATGCCATCCTCAACTGCGCCGGTCCTTTCATCCAAACCGCCAAGCCACTCATGGAAGCATGCCTCCGGAACAAAACACACTATCTCGACATCTCAGCCGAGCTCGCTACCTACCAACAGGCACAATTGTATGACAATGCCGCCCAGAGAGCCGGCATCATGCTTCTGCCAGGCTGTGGTGGGAGCGTTGCCATGCTGGGTTGTCTCGCTAGCCATGTGATCGACCAAGTCAACGATCCCCAGACAATCGATATCGCCCTTCATGTGGCTGGGTCCATGTCGCGAGGATCTGCTATCAGTGCATCGAGTATGACAGCCGGCTGTCTCCAGCTTGTGGACGGAAGATTGGTTGAACAAGACATGAACCAAACAGCTGGTTTTGATTTTGGGGACGGTAATGGAAATGTGGAGTCATTCCCGGTGACGCTGCCTGATCTTTTGACTATTGGGAAGGCGTCTAATATCGCTAATATCCGGGCTTTTGTCCATGTCTCTGGTGATGCGTTTTCAAAGGGCGACATTGAACTACTTTCTGATGGCCCGACGGCTGCAGAGAGGGGCGCAGCCCCGTATCATGCCGTGGCTATTGTGACTTCAAAAGAAGGGGTCGCAAAGCGAGCAGCTTTGCATACTCTCAATGGATATACCTTTACTTGTTTGGCTTCAGTAGAAGCCGCAAGGCGTGTGTTGGAAAACGAGACCAAAATGGGGTTTCAAACGCCGGTGGTGGTTTTTGGAAAGGACTTTCTTCGTGCCATACCAAGTACTGAGATCAATGATCTCCAACTGGGATCTCGTTAGAAGGAAATCGCTAAAAGGCGACTCATGTGTTCTTGGCTGTGTAGTTTCACGGAACATCTAGTTAAAAATTCAATATGCCGACCTTTCCTCAAAATCGCAACTCAAGAGCAGCACATAAATTTCAAATAAATTTCACAATTTTAATATATCATTCAATTCAAGTAAAGCTTCTCAACTATTCCACGTTCTCAATTCTCACAAACCCCATCTAGAATCCAATCAAACATTTGTAAACTCAGCTAGATAATCCAGCTTCCCTATCTCGACCCCTTTAAGCCTCAAAATGCCATACGCAGTCACAAGATGAAAATAGAAATTCGGGATAGAAAACCTCACCGAATAATCCTCTAGCGTATATTGGAAAGAATTCCTACCAATCGGCGCAGTGAAAGTTTGCCCCTCCCTGATAGCAATATTTCTCGGATCAACGTCATTCAGCTCAACGAGATATCTCTCAATGCGGCTGAAAAGCTGCTCATAGATCTCGTCCGGTGGGTATTGAGGTGGAGGGTCTATGAAGGCTGCACGGCCGAGGGCCTTGCCGACGTTGTTTGTAGCAGACACTATTTGGAAGGATAGCGGTTTCATATCTTCGGCGAGGCTGGCATTGAGAAGTTCGTCGAGGGGAATGTTGTTCTGCTTTGCATGCTCCTCGCCCTTTTTGAGAATGAAATGAAGAGTATTGAGGCCTCGGATGAAAGTAGTGATCGTGTAGTTGTAAAACGGCGAGGTCATTTTGATGGGGGCTGTAGGCTCTTTGATTGAGAAGAAAGGGGTTGCCAGAAGGATAAAGAAAAGTTTATATGTGATTCAAGTGTCTGACTCTGTCGCCAATTCTTTGATAATATGATACAATGTATCAGTGGAAGTAAACGTCTCATCTTCACTATGCCGGAAGAGCTATTCGGAACTCGGAGTTCCAGTTGCAGCTGGTGAGATAATATCTCATTTGCCTACACTGGAAATTGGCTCGGTAAGCTCAACTGGAGATTTGTAATTGCTGAACTGTCTCTAATGAGAATTTGTCAGATGAAACGATTTATATGATGGCTTGAGCAGCTAGTTTTAGTATATAAAGCGGGCAATTTGCATCTTCGATTCGAACTTCTCATCACCTTTGATCATATTGCAAGTTCGATTTCTTCATTGTCTCAGAAAGTTCGCTATCCTTTCAATAATCTTTCACTTTACCTCTCCTCCTTCAAGAGAATCATCAACATAATGGCAGCAGCCACATCCGACCACGAGCTCATCAGGAACGCAATTGCCGGTGTCGCCATCACATTCGATATGAAGCAATTTCAGGACCTGGGAAAATTCTTCACTGATGATTGTGTGGCCGACTATACGGGCTCACTCGGCCTGATGAAGGGAGTCGATGCTGTGGCCGAGGGCATTCAGAACGCAATTGGACATCTGAGCACCTTCCATGGTTTGACGACCCAAGCTATACACCTCACGGGAGATGGTACTGCAGAGGCTACCACTTACTGTGCGGCTGGTCATTTTTTAGGTGACAAGTCATTCCTCGCGGAAGCCCGGTACTTTGACAAGCTTGTGAGAGTCGTTGAGGGAGACAGTGTCAAGTGGAAAATTTCATACCGTCTGACCACTATGATGGGTGTTCCGCGGGGTGATGTTTCTATCTTCCAGATGGACTTGGATAGGTGGGCTGACAGCCTGAAGGGTTAGATGATGTTGTCCCTGTTTCAAGGGTGTGTATCTGAGTGTGAACAGACTTTCTAGGTGGTGGTAGTGGTTTCTTTGTCCTCTGTCTTGTTGGAATCAAAGAAGTAGTAATCAATGGCTTTGCTTCAAGGCAGTTCTAGTTACCAGTCGGTATAGCTTCAAGCAATTACATGGACGATTGAGAATTTGCCTGAATAAGCGATTGATTCAGGTACCCATAGGTTTCTGAGGCTCGTGATTCTAGGGAACAATCGACTGTATCGGGGTTCCGGTTACCTGGTGGGCTTATTACCTATAATCAAGTTTTGCATCCCTGATTCGAAATTGGCATTCTTAAAAAGATATCAAAGACCCTCGGCGGCGCTGAGCTCGGAGTTCCGTGCTGCTTAGTAAACGGGGATGGCTTCATGTTCCAACCCATGGACCTTGGATTTCCTCGGCAAATATCAAAGCGCCACATATCATCGGAGGTTTGGACCTGTTCATGTTCAGTGGAAATCAATAAAATAAGTGGAACATAAATTCTGACTTCCAAATAAAGTGATTCATGTTCCATTGGGTCTCATTAGATTTACTATTAGGTTCACAGAGCATCAAAAAGCCTAGTATCAGGGTTACTCCAAAAAGTCCCAGACAGATTCTCCAACGTCTCAAAGTCAGGCATCCACAACGGATCACTTTCATCCTGATCAATCCACGGCGCCAACTGCAACGCCATCCTAACAGCATGCTCCGAATCATCATCTGCGCTGACCTGCGTCGTAATACCCGGATCAGGCGCCAACCCGGTCGGATTGACTGACGGGAACTTATCACTGCTAGGCATACCAGGGAGAGTAGTATTCCAGTTGATTCCATGCTGCGCAGTCATCAACTCAGCCATCCCGGCATTACGAGCAGTCTCGTTGCCCTGCAGCTTTTCCATGGCGGCGTTGACAAGAAGTTCGAACGCATCGCGATATTTCTTCACCCATGCTGCACGCTCGCCCATGACGAAAAGAACGGTTGAGCAGGCGCGGATGTCGTTGCTCATGCGGACGGACCAGACCTGGTCTGTGTGTGTCCATAGAGCATAGAGAAGGGTAATCCCTGCCATGAAGACGGTTTGCACGGCGAGGAAGGAGTGGCCGTATTCCAGGGTTTGGTGGAGGCGTTTGTGAGATTGGCAGATATTTCCTGCGGCGCGGAGGCAGATGTGATAGTACGGGTCGGTTATTGGGAGGAGAGGGAGGAAGGGCTGGATCAGTAGCCGTACGGCTCTGTTATAGTGAAGCATTGGGTAATCCAAGTCTGGACCGCTGAATCGCAGTAGGGCTGATTCTTTCCATTCTTCGAGTTCGAGATATAAGGGGTCCATTTTCGGTCGGAGGGAAGATAGAGGCTTGTCAGCGCGATAAATTTTGTGTTGAATGCGCGAATCAATGCGACGGACTTTGAAGAGATAAATTGCAAACGTCATGGAAGTGGTTTTATTCGGATCTTGCGGTGCTGCTAGTATTGTTGGATCTTCAACGTCATCATCCACGTCCAGTGGTAAATCAAGGTCAATGTGACGGTCGGTGATGCTGAATGGCCGGCCTAGAGACATTGAAACTACTCTTTCGAGGTAATAAACCGTCCAGAATAGCCTTCGGCGCATTTGTGTTGTGAAGGGGTCCATGTTGATCTCATTTGCCTTTCGGTGGAGACCAAGGTCAATGGCAGTGCGCATTGCAAGTCCGATCATATACCACAGTCCATGACTAGATGCAGTTCGGAGGTGATACACGACAAGTAGAACCATCGCTTCGATGTTTTCAATGGATCTCGCTTCACACATTGAGTGAACATGCTGCAGGGCAGTACTATAATACCGCTAAGGACAGTTTTAGCGTTTGGTCATCTTTTCTTGCAAATAGTACTCACTTCGGGTGCTGTATATGCGTATTTTTCACTCAATTGAAGCATTGTTGCTCCGATTGCATATATCATGTTGAGTTTGAAGATAGCGAATCGATCAGACTGAGTAAGATCTTCACGTTTGGTCTTAGCCAGTCGCCATCGATCTTCGTGAATTTGCCAGACTTGCTTCTGGTTGATGAATGGGTACCTTGAATGTAGTCGGGTGAAATATGTGTCCAGGATTCGTGCCCCCAATTCATTAGTAGGTGGCTCGACATTTGCTGGCACGAGCTGATCTCGAATCCGAGGAGTGGATGGCTGCTCGGATGGCCCATGTACTCTAGTTGTTGGGTTCTGAGATTTGTTGCCGTTCGTGTTTGTGTTTGTCTGATTTGGTTGCATTCTTGTGATAAATTGGTTCCAGACACTTGTCTGGACCATCTCCCCCAAGTTATTAGCAAGAGAAAACCCAGAGCTGGCTCCTACGTAGGCTGGAGCTTCAGAGGAGCTCAGGGCAAGCAGGCCAACAATTTCCCCGACGGGGTTATTGTCCAGACCCGAAGTAGCTGTCTGTGGCGTTGCATGGCTCCCTTGCGGGGAGAGCAGCGTGGGCGCAGCAGTCGCAACCCCAGTATTTGGATCAGGAACTGCTTGCTCGGACTGATTCAGTTTGCGCTCCAGGAATGCCACACGTTCTTCCAGCACGCGAGTGTAACTACACTATTAGCGCCCGATCTTCAGCTATTTAATGCATCGGAGACTTACTCATTTTGGCGGTCAGTATCCTCTCGCACGCTGGACTTGTCGCACACGACCCCCGCTTTCAAACAGTTCGAGCAGGTCGGATATTCATTGTCGCACTGGTTCAGTGTAAGACACTTTATTACTGACGAAAGAAAAAACAACCTCAAACTCACTCTTTGCTTCCGCGTCTTGCATCGAGTGCAAGCGGTCCGGCCACGCTTCCGCGGATTATGATCTCGTGACGCAGGGCTGGTCTGCCGTGAAGACCCAGGGCTATGCCCAGGCGCATACATTCTGCATTCTCTGAAGTACAGAGGTTTGAAGTTCAAGGCTCTTCGCAGTGGGCGCCTATTATCGCGTGAAGTGAGGTTGCATTAGAGAAGATGCGGTTAGATCGGAACGCCAAGAGAATCCAGGGTTCAGCGGCATTGCGACTGTTATGTTTTTTTACCTTACCTTCACTCGAGTTTCATTTTATTTTTTCTATTTGTTGTTTAGCGGACTAATCTCAAGTGACTTCTTTTCAAACCGCCACAGATATCTGCCTGTGGCTCCTCTTTCGAGTCAGTTTCCAAAAGATCCTACTGTGACCCAAGCAAACCTCATCACAAGTTCAGCCAGACGATTAGGTGAACTTCTGATTCCCTTTCAACTCTAAAGGGTTCTCTAGATAAATTTTAACTTGACGTTATTGGGACGATTTCCGAGAGCACGCGAGGTAATATTCAACGTGGCAACATCCCTAGGCTTCAACAATAATCCTCTGCGAGGGCATAACGATCACTGCTTTATACTGCATTCCCAAAAGATACACAATGTGGGCAGCACCATTTGACTTGCTGGATAAAGTCCTATGGAATCTTGTCCAAGGACCTCACGAACGAAGCGTGAAAAAATATCTGAATGAAGCTACTCAAGGTCAGCCGCAACCAATCTCTCGGCATATGAGGCACGAACCCCTGAGCTAACTAGAGAAACATGGAATAGAATCTGTTGTAAAAGATTTTCAGGAGACGTTGAACTCAAGGTCGAGCTATGTTTGGTATCTGACCTCTGCATTTGACACGCATGCGTACGGCCCTGATAAAAAATGTAAGCCGGGACTATTGACCGCCTGGTACGTATGAATTTACGTGCAGCTAACCATGAATTTAGACTGGGATGAACAAAGTCTTCGAAAATATATAGATAGTTCACACCGTGGCCTTATCACTTCAGATACCTCGCTCCTGCTCTTGTGGAGATGCTTCCGCTTCTATGCATTCTATCCTTTCCCGCCGGATATTACCAATAGCACAGTTGATTACGACGCGTTTAAGCGTGCCGTAATACTACTTGGCGTTCAAGGCTGTGATATGGTAGGCATGGTGGATGATGGAGGTTGGCACTGGCGATCTGATGATGGCTATATTCCACGAACAAACCTCCAACGCATGCTAAGGAGTGTTGGCCATATAGAAAGTATCGATGAGAAAGACTGTCAAATCGAGGCAGGATTCAATCCAATCATCGATGAAACAATGGACGTTCTGAAAACGACTGCGCCTTTTCGAATGCACTGCGGTCCCTGGGCAGATCAGCTCGACCCTGTTGCGCGGAGGCTACTCGGGGAGTCTACAAAGACCCAGTCACAAGTTTCATGGGAGGAATTCTCGGATTTACTAAGCTTGGTACTGCGTTTAAGACTTCTTGATACTAAAAGGGCTTTTGGTCTCCATTTTGGCGAATTTGGAGGCCCAGCTCCGGCAAAAGAAACCGCGAAAAAGATTGTTGATGGACTTAGAGAGGGTCTTGTCGGAGACAATATAACTATGAAATACTATGACAAAATACTTGAAGTCTTGGTATGTATCAGATGTTCTGGACTCTCAACATGGCTGACCTTTTCTAGCCCGATCTGCACGATCAGTTCCATCAGTTCTGGGCAGTCCTATTTCAACCGCAGATGTAAATTAATGGAGAAGCCTCCGAAGAAAAAGGAACCCATACGAGATGAGAGCATTTCTTACAACCTATGACATTAATGTGCTCTGCACAACTTTCGAATTCAAGCTAAAATACTTTAATGAATATTGTAATGCATGTCTAATTAATAAAAGGTATTTTGGTATGATACTCCAGGTATGCAAAATGAAAAATGCAAAAATCAGAAACAATATCGAAATTGTTACTTTTTGTGTTGTTGCTCCCCTTGTGCCTCAGTGCTTTTGTCTCTCTTCGACTTCTTCGAGGTTTGGCTCTGCGCGGGAAGGTGGCATCGATGATTCGGCAAGTGTTGAGATAGATGGACGCTTTTCAATATGCTCGGGTGTTTGATGATGAGCCTCCTCTTCCAAGGGCTGCTCAGGAATAGCAGCCTCAGCATCCCTCTCCGCTTGTGCTTGTCTCTTTTCTTCCTCGATCTCTTCTGGCTCCTTGGGCCGTTCCAGGCCTCTATCACGGATGAAGAAACATGCCAGGAAACAGATGCCAATCAACGGGACCTGTAGAATAAAGACTGAATGAGATGCCTTGCTATAAGCCAGCAAGATTTGAGCCCATTCAACGGCACTGAGTTCCGATTTTGAAGGAAGCGAATATGAAGATTCGGCCAGGTATGAAAACTTTGCGGGTAAGTTAGACCGAAGAGTCGCTTGAAGAAGAGCAGCGGATACGGCGAGACCACAAGCACCTCCCAGACAACGGAAGAAGTTGCGATTCGCGATTACAACTGCTCTTTGAGACTTTGTGCAGTGAGCCTGCAGAGCGACGAGAGTGGGTTGGAAGGTGAAACCGATTCCACTACCCATGATTGCCACGATGACTGCAATCACAGCAGGATGGGTCTGATCGCCAAATAGGAGCATTAGACCGGAGCCCCTATCAAATTTAACAATGAGTATGCGGATGACACAATGCTGGGATTTATCAACTTACAGAGTCCACAAGCCAAATCCTATCCAGATGATCTCTCCATAGCGTTTCATACGTGAGATGTATTGGCCTGATGTAATGGAGAAGATGGACTGCGCTGCAACCATTGGACATGTCAGGGCAGCGGAGACAATGGGCGACCAGCCACGGGCGTTCTGGTAGTACAGTGGGAGGTAATAGAGGTTTGCTTGGTATACTGCACCAAACAAAAAGCTCTGCAGGAAGATTGCAGAGACGACTTTATTCTTGAAAAAAACAACTAATATCATGTTAGCGATGTTCACGTTGAGCTTAGAAGGCAAACATACTTGGCAGCATCGGCAGTGTGGCCACTTTCCATTCAATGAACAGAAACGCGATAAATGCACAACCTCCAATCACCAGCATACTGATGACCATCGGTGAGTCCCATGGGAAATATGATCCACCTCCTGAAATAGGAATCAACACAAAGATGATTCCAATTGAAGATGCCAGAATGCCGAACCAATCGATACGGGCAATGTTCTTCCGGAAGCTATCTTTATGCGCATTGTTCGGGATGAGGAAATATCCCACAACGGCAGAGCAAGCAGCCAATGGAGAGATCAGCCAGAAAAAGCCACGCCATGTTGAACGCATAATGAATGCAGCGGCTAGGAAAGGTCCGATGATATTTCCAAGACCTAGAGACGCACCCAGAATTCCCTGGTACTTGCCTCTCTTCTCTAACGTAACAATATCGGATACTATAATCATCGTCAAAGAGGTGACACCACCGCCGGCTACACCAGCCAAGCCTCGGAAGACGTAGAACATGGCTGGGTTCACAGACAGACCACAGAGTAGATCTGCGATACAAAGTAACACCAGCGCGGAGATGTATACAATCTTTCGACCGAAGATATCTGACAGTCGGCCGTAAAGCACAGTAAACATAGTATTTGCAATCAGGGACGAAGTTCCAGCCCATGAGATAGTATTTTCGGCATTCAATTCGCGCGAAATCGTCGGTAATGTCACACTGATACCATTCTGGTCCACCATGCAAATAAGTAATGAGATTGCCAGGCCTGTGAAGACCACCATTAGCTGCCCAAATGGTAGAATATTGGTTTGATCGTGTAAGGCCTTTTCGGCCTCTCGTTGTCGATTCATAGCTGGAAGGATGACAGCGCCAAGCTGGCCCACTGTGGATTTCTGGAAGATGTTCGAGAAGCTTGTCTGAGACCCATTAACTTCAGACCCGGCGCAGACGAATCTTTTGTAAAGAGATGTGAATCAAAGTTGCAATGGGTTGGGTGGGCTGTAGTGCATACGTATATGCCGAATGTTGTTTGACAAAGCCCCACGGTGACAGAGTGTCGTATAAGAGTCATTGGATCGATAATAAAAGTTTTTTCCATGAAAGCAGGAATTAGTCTCTTTCGCTCCATCGGCGACTGAGTGCTGGCTATCGATTGGAGGTTGAGCGCCGTTGTGTGGGTGTTGCGTCGGATGCAGGTCCGACACGGTAAAAAGCCATGTTTTCGGCTTGCTTTTTGACCCAAGATTACACCGAAGAGCATGGATTTAGAGATTTGTCGGCTCAATTCCGCTCTATCTTTCCTTTGCGGTTGGTGCAACAAGTTAGCAGGTGGATCCGCCACTCGGACTGCCGATCGGACCTCCGATGGCTGACTCATTGCCGGTCTGAGATACCGGATTGGGATATTGTAGTGTTGATCGTCGGAGGGTCCGATATCTAGAGCCTCTGTCATACTACATAAACAAGTATCAGTAATTTATCCGGGCTGAGATTGTTTTAATAGAAGATATACTGCATAGATCCTTCATATTGATCTAGGTTCCTATCTGATTTCACCTGGTACCATCTCATCTTACCCAAAAAGTCACCCCGGTACATACCAGATTGCACTAGCAAGCCATGCTTGATATCGACTTTCTCACAATTTACTTTCAGGGACCCGTGTAGTTCACTTTTCCAACTGTCATAGTATTGATTTTCGGTCTCCATGGGACTTTTTGATCCAATTAACTCGGAAATGAGACGACCAACACACTCGTAGGAGGACCTGGCAGGGAGCCGCTTTTCAAACTAAAAGAGGTCTTGGGTTAGCAGAATCTCATCAGTTTTGTATTTGAAATATTCCAGCCGAGCGGTGTATAAGAAGCAGGCTCACCAAAGATTTAGAGGGCAAAGGCTATTAGTATTCTCGATTCATTCATTGATAGAGATAAACCAGATGGAAAAGATAATTCACCTTCAAGAATCCAACCCTAGCTTGAAACCCGCCAATCAAGTTAAAATCAACTCCTTATTAAAATGGAGACATTGGTACTAATTAACACACTGCCAACGACTCCCAATACAGTCGGAGTCCATATTTTTGAGCTTCGCCCATGGCGTCTGGTGTTAGTATCTCAGGCAAATTATTATGGATAGCCCTTCTTCTTGAACTAGGAATGAAAGCCCTGAAACAGAGAGAACAGTCAAAATCAGAGGGATAACCGTGGACATTCAACACAGCAAAATTCTGGAACAATCCCAAAAAAGTCGGCACCATCTCAATTTGCATACTTCCAGCAATGCCATCCTCGCAGCCCCGATTTTCTGCTATATGATCCCCTCCAAGAACGGTATTCAGCAACGACTGCATTCACGCAGTAGTTTCGGTGTTGACAAGGATGATACAGTCTAGCTATCTATAGTCGCCCTTTTTTAAATATTTCCAAAACAGACCGTTATTCCAGTTCCCAGCGATCCGTTGGCTCTCAGTAAATTCCACCACTCTGAACTTTTCCAATCGGACTGATCTATCAGGCGGAAAGAATACGAGCAATAAATATGCAGTGGGATCGTCGGAGTTACGTGGCTTTTTTTGTGCTTGAGCGGAATCTTGCAGGTGTTTCGTGGAGTTTCCGAGTGCATATTTTCTAATTTTGAGGTACTTGGGATTCTCGGGCCCCGATTGTCGAGGGGGTCAGTATGCATGTTTATAACATGTGGTAGATTAAGTTCTGATGAGGACTTTGAGCTAGATACAAGCAAAAATAGATGAATCAGGACTTGTGTGTATCTTGTGTTTTGTTCAGTCTAGCGAGAGAGAAATGAGGCATCATATTAAATTAGCGATCTGCACTGTAGCAAAGATGCAGCTCGGGTTAGGCGGGGGTGCATCGGCTATTATATCAAATCGTACAATTTCACGAGGAATAAGTCGCTTGTGATCGAGGGGTTTCAGTTACTGTAGCAAGGCTTAGTGGCATATGGCTTCGGTAACTATTAAGTTTCCAAGGAAATATCCATTTCTGAAAGTCTATTTTAAATCATGGTTCTCCAACGTGACTCGTTAGGCTTGTAACGATAGTTATCTTGATATGATCCAGTCCTGGTTCATGCCAGATATTACCTCCCCTCCATAGAGTAAAATCAGATTGTATAGCCACCTAGCGATTTAAGCTGGTCAAAGATCCTGCATGAGACTCATCAAGAACTACCTTAAAGCATGGAGGTGTCACTGCATACTCCGAATCGGGCATCAATCATTGCATTGCCGCTTCAACGCTTCTTCGTATTTGTAAAGAAAGTAAATCAGACATTGGGACATTGATTATAGTGCATGATCTTGCATAGCGAGGAATAAGTCAGCTGGCCCTATCTACACAGGCTGCAACGTAGCAAGATAGAATTCTCGTCAACCGTATTTCCCGGTCTGAGTCACGTCATTTCACCTTTCGCCGTTCACCTTTCACCTTTCATCTTGGCATCCTACCCTGTATACGATTTGTTAGGTGTGCGTCGATCCAATGGGAACTCCCAGGCCACCAGTAGCCCAACTATTCTGGATTGTTGGTGTGGTAGCGGCATTGACATCATATCTTGCATCTTCAGCGACTGCATTGTTATTACCTACTCCATTCTGGGGAGCTGGTACAGGATGTCGCGTGACATGACTTGGTGCAGCGTGGTGAGGCATGTAGTTGGCACCGGTAACATTGCCCTGGTTCGGGAAGAAGCTTTGATTCAGGGACCCGCAGGTCGTGCAGGTGAACTCAATCTTGAAGTTCGTAAGAATCATCTGGGGTATCTCTGAGTGGTCACTTCGCTGAGTGTAGGGCTGGTCTTTCGGTTGTGTCGCTACTGCTACTGGCAAGGGGCCAGTGGTTTCATAGTCGGCTCCCGATTGTGATAGATCCATTGGGTGTGGATTTGGGCGGAGTAATGACGGATTGGGCATGTGAGGGTGCTGTACTTGAGGTGGAGGTGGCAAGGATTGTTGGCCAGGAGGTGGTCCGGGTAAAATGTTACTTGGTCCTTCACTCGATTGAATATTTTCATCGTCAATCAGTGAAGGGAGATTATCTGGTAGCCACCGATTCTCAGACATCTCCCTGAAGACCTGTGCCACTTCTCCTTGAGACTCCGACGGAGATTGCTCTGGCGACTGCTGTTCTCCAGCACTCATGTCAAGATCAAGGGGCTGTTCACCCTGACTATCGGAGTGTCGTGGCTGGAGCTTGGTAAGTGCTCGCTGTGCCTGTCGCATCGAGATCTCATATCCATGGTAGCGTTTCACGGCATCCACAACATCTTGAGCCTTGATCTTCGATTTCATATCGAACAGCTTAGGGATCTCACTCAGCAGGAATCGCACGTGTGATGCTTCCGAGCGGGCAGGTGTGGCAGAAGGAGACTCTGCACCGCGAGGGCAACTATGGCTATCCTGGAGACTGGTGATATAGGTCGCGTTCTTGTTTGAACGGCAAACCACCCGGAAAAAGCAATTGGCAGAGGATCGACAACCAATGACCACGCTCTTCTTGTTGCTCCGAGCTACACGGAGCTCCCAGTGCTGTCTGACCGATATGCTCCGTATCGTTGTTTTAAAGTCCTCCAGCGAGGAGAATCGCTGGCCCACATGGAGCCCCGAGTGCATATCAGTCATAGTGAGGCAGCAGCAAGTACAGAAGGCGCAAAAAGGGCAACTAGTACCGCAGTCGCAGACTGAGCGACAAGCCCCATTAGGTCACGCGCTGGATATAGCTTTGGTCGAGCTCAGCAAGGTGGAAGTCGAAATGCGGAGACTGGCGTGACCCTAAGCAAGCACCCGATCAATCTGCGTATTCGCGCTCTGAGCATTAGCTAGCCCTTGAAGGCCCATAGACAAGACTAAAAGAGCGAATTTGTCAAACCAAAAAACAATTGCTTGGGGGACTGAAAGTTGATTGTTGGAAACCGTAACCCCCAGATTAATAAAAGGCGGAGTCAAAAGTGCTAGACCGCTCGCCATTTGCTTTTCTCATCTTTTTCCGCGATCGACGCTTGAAGCTGCGCAGAACGACTGGGGTTTTTTTGCCTTCAGTCTTTGATTCTGCGCTTTGTGGAATCACAATCTACAATTACATCTCCAGAATGGCTTCCTACGGCCTTTTGGGCCAGCCAGAAGAAGGTCAGTCTCCTCCCAACTCGGTCTCCCAACTCGAGATTAACATTCCCGATCGTAGATGCCCTTCACAAGTCGCGCCTCTTGAATGTTGAAGAAAAGCCATTCAAGCGTATCTCCAAGCGCCTGCTGAATCCCGAATCCCTGATCGTAACGCAAGCCTCCCTCCCCCTCACTCCTCCGCCCGAAGACGCCAACGCCGACGCCAACGCGACCATCGAAACAGAAAAACAGAAAAAGCTCAATGAATGGCGCCACTTCCGCGAAGATGTCTCTCTCGACTTCGCCGCCTTCGAGGGCAGCATCGCGCGCGTCCAATTCCTCTTAACTAGCAACGAACAAGAACGTGAGCGCTACGCCACCGAACGAGTCCAGATCCTATCGACAATGCAATCTGTTCGGGATAGCACCGCCGACCTTCGGACTCAGCTTGAGGAGGCACAGCGACTCCTCTCTTTGCGGAAGACCTACGATGGACTGGCCGATAAGATTACCAGTAACCGCCTGCTCAAGCCGCGCGAGGACCAGCAGTCGAACCTTCACAAGTTGCGGACGGAAATTGCAGATCTGGAGAAGGAGAGCAAGGACTACGCCAAGACATGGGCTGAACGGCGCGAGCAGTTCGGTCGTATTGTCGAAGAGGGCATGCAGCTCCGTCGTCTAATTCGCTATGAGAAGGAGGAGGTCGAGCGTCTGGAGGGTATGCAGGATGGTGAAGATAATGACGAGGGCGATCTTGCGTCTAAGGGAAAAGCCAGCAATGTGAATACCCCCGGTGCGGACAGCGATGCCTTGACTCCGTCGGGAAATAGCCAGGATGAAGGTGGCCGGCTATCTGCGCTGCAGGCTGAAAGATTGTCTGGTAATACGGGCGCGGCTTCGCCTCTGCGCCAGGTCATCAGTGCACAGGGTGATAGCGCAGACGATACCAATATGATCGATGAAGGCGAGGTCTCTGCGGACTCTGAGGGCGAATTATCGGAACTTGAGGAGGGAGAGGAACTCCCTGATGGCATGTACAATGAGAAGATGGATACCACTTAGTGCAGTTTGCTCTGCACATACATTACTAGCAAGGAGTTTGGACCGGGGCGTTGGGCATGGTCTTAATTTACATTCATTGATATTTTGAAGCTTTCATCTGGGTATTTTGTAGAAATTCGTGTAGGCGTTTCCATTAAGAGATCTCTCGCTCGGCAACCTTAGCTTGCGCAATGGCTTCTTTGGCCGCGGTGATGTGCGCCACGTTGCTGTCGAGGCCCTTCTTGCCTTCTTCGGTCTATATAGCGGTTAAATATTGCCAATTGGGTAATAATCCGTCTGGTACTCACGATTAAAGCTTGCAAGTTGGAGACAGTCTGGACAATCTGCTTCTTCAAGCTGGGCAAGACCTTCCTGGTCTCCTCGAGTGCGGCATGCTGGATCAAAATTAGTATCGATGAACAGACCAACACAGAGTACGCCATCCAATTGTAAGACATCCTTCTAAATGATACATACCTCCTGCTTGAGGGTGTACTCGCGGTTCTCATCATCGCCACCAGTCTCGGCCTCGAGCTTCTGGATGCGCTCGGTCTGCTGCTGGAGCTCCTTGTGGTAGGAGGCCTCCTCCTTGACCAGGCGGATCACGGAGGATGTGACAATTTCTAGCTGTGAGCGAGGGGCCATTTTTGATATTTGAATTGAATCGAATTGGAGATCCAGCTCTTTGATATGCCCCTCGATGATGTTATGGGGGTAATGTTTGTGGTGTTTGTCTGGGGCACGTGATAGCTAAACTGTATGACTGATTGGACGAGAATGAAGCATACTACTGTACAGTAATCATTATGCAGGCCTGTGAGTGGTCAGCTTGGGGGTTTTGGTTGTGGTTTCCGACCAACCAAGCTAGATGAGATCACCAAAATAGCTACAGATGAGTCGATCGGGGGATTTCATCCTGTAACCAACTGATGTAGTAAGCTTTAGATTAGACAGGGAGGTATCTGTTGTACCGAATATCAAAACGACCACCCTACCAAATACACTACGGTAGAAACAAGAGAATCGATACAAGGAAGACCAGGTGGCCAATAAGCGGCCACCGAGAGATCATCCGCTATAAAGACTGCGGGTCATCCTCACTTTCTCATCTTCGAATCTTCACATATCCTCTTGATATACTTCTTTTGTTCCATTTTTGTCTCATTTAGTATTTGGCTACGACATTTTCTATGCAGCCCTTGCTGCACCGCTCATTTCGGTCGAGTCCTCTTCCGTTATAAGCAATGCCAGCCCGATCTCTCTTGCGCCTAGCTACGGCTATGGCAATTCGTCATGTTAAAGGTATGTTGTCTAAAGCGACCGGAAAGAGAATACTCTTCGCATATTGGGTGCACCTGGCCCGATCCCAGACCTGACGATGTGACTGTCTTTGCTTGAACGTTGCTAAGCTTTGAGTCACATTGGTCGCATTTTGAGCAAACGCTTAACACAAAGAAATTATTTGCTGACGCTGTTCATTTCTCCACTATACAGTTCTTGATAATTTGGGCAGTCTTCCTTATGTCCTTGCACGTCCTATCCTCCTCAAAGTCGACAACCCCCAAAAATTGGTACGTCATAACCCCTGTTCTGGCGCGCAATGTTTGCTAACGCCTTCTTTGTCTCTTAGCATGCCCTCGAACTCGCATCCCCCCAGTTCGCAGAACACGACAAAGAATTATGGATCGAATTTATAAAGCGCGATATCCCCAGCTGGGACCAATACGAATTACCGGAGGAATCCAACGACTGGTATCAAGTGTACTGTGATCTCGGCGAACAAGTTGAGCGATCTCTCGAAGCCGACGCCGAAAAGATGAAGATGGCCCTCGACGGAATCACCAACCAGCGCGCCCGTCTCACCCCCAAGATCCTCCCCCAAGGCAAAAGCCTACGCATGGCCGGAGCACGACCGAGTACAAAACAACGCTATGCATCCTGGGATCGCAAAATGGGCGGCATCAAACCCGTCCACGACCCAGCAGGATGGGTCTTCAACGCCCCAAACCCTTCCAGAGACGGGGTCTCCAAGAAAAGGAGCATATTTGCACCACAAAGGCGCAACAACGCGCTGTCCGTCCCCAGCAATAAACTCAACAACCGGGCTTCACAGGTTACATATGCCCCGCAATCCCTAATCGAAGATCATCGCCGCCCCGAACCTGCGCCAGCATCGAGGATGAATGGTAACCCGGCCATGATCGGGTCCCGGCAACCCCCCGCTCCATCCAACAACCACCCCTTGCCGCCAGTCCGAGGAGTCAGAGAGGACCGACTCCGGGCCTTGACTTCGGGCAAGCCACCTCCGCCGTCAACTCCCAAGAAGGCCTTGGTGAGAGCCGACCTCAAGCGTCCTGCCTCTCCTCCTCTGTCTGCCAGCAAGGCACCTGCCCCTTCTCACGACTCTTCCTCCTCGTCCTCCGTCCCGTCGTCATCCGGGCCTCCTGCTCCTCGTCCCGCCGTCATGCGTCGACGTCAGGAGCCAAGTATATTTATGCCAGCTAAGCGAAAGCGAGTGTCTTGATGTAATGATTTTGGTTCTCATATATTGTTTGCTTTTTTCTTACATCTTTTGTCCTTTCCGTGTGGAGGCGTTATATTCCGGTGCGCAGGCGTGCCTTTTTGTATATTTATCTGCATTTTTTATGGCGCTGGGGGACATTCCTTTATGGGAGCGTGGGAGTCTGGATTTCTCCATTATCGAGGTCGGGCGATCTGACTTCAGAAATATTGCATCGACGATTGGGTCGTCTTACTTGACTCTCACTTCACTTTACCTTCATTCTACTATAAGTTAATTTTGAAAAAATGACTTGAGCAATGAGCTCAATAACAGCAGATTATTCTTTTTCTTGCCTTTTCTTGCTTATAACAAGCCCGAACATCATACAGTCTGTTTCATAACATGTCTGATGTGTGGCTCAAATCTCATCTGTTTGATACCCTTTTGGTGTCCTCTAGCCGGCTAAAGCTTTGTAGATGTTAGACATCAAAAGTCTGTCGAAATCCAGTGATTATAATTAATTAATCAATCAAACCTCCGGAGCGCCAAATATGCAGCCTATCGCCAGTCAAGGGCAAACTGGACCATCCCATTTGCCGATAATATCAAGAAAGGACCCAGTCAGGCCTCCAAATGTACAGCACAAATATTAATCAACATATTCTCATTGCTGTAACAAAGTATGGTATCTAAAAAAAGCAGGATGGTTCAAAGAGATCCTCCACGGAGGGCAAGCACGAGATGGAGCGTGGCGCCGCCCTCGAGGTTGTATTCTGCAGCCGTCTTGTCATCCGCCCTAGTCATCCAAAATAGTCAGCAACATTTTCCTTGGAAGAATGCCAAAAAGGAAGCTCAGAGACATGCTTCACTCTCCGGGTATGTGTCTTACATTTGCTTTCCGCCAAAGATAAGTCGTTGCTGGACAGGGGGGATTCCCTCGCGCTCCTCGACACGCTCCTTTATCCGAGAGACCTAAATAGAACCAATCGTGTCAGTCAAAGCGAAATGGCAGGTGCATGTTCAGGTCTTTCTTTATAGCTTTGCCGGGGTCGGAGGAAGGGACGAGTCCCGTGCGGGGGAAGCCGAAACACGTTCAAGTAGGGAGGCAGCGTACCTTGTAGTCGGGCTCGATGTCCAGGTCAATCTCCTTGCCTGTGAGTGTGCGGACTCTGTGGACGAGAAATGTTAGCGCGGTGCGTTGCGGTGGTCGTGGCGATGATCTCTCTGTTGGGGTCATGCGATGACGCATCGGGGGGTACGGCGGTTCCGGAGCTAGGTCACGTACTTGATCAACATTTTGGAAGACTGTGTGGCTGTGTCCTTTGAGGTAGAAACGTAAAACGGCGAAGATTGGGTTTAGTTGGAGATATGGACGAGCTGGTGAATTGGCAGAGAAGATGTGAGTCGGCGGGGGTTGGTGGGGCTGGTGGCCTTGTGGCCTGATTGTGTCGGAGCCTCACTCTTTTGTTCGCGTGCAAATTAATAATTAGATGTGATTATCATAGCAAGCTTATGCGCCCATGTCAAGCCATGGCTGCTATGAGTAAAATTCTGGTTTTTAGTGGTGATATTGCTGAAATTCATATGTGAGCAAAGGTTTCCCCGGATTCTAGCAAAATATATATCCATACACTCAAATGGGACTACTAAGTTGACATTAAATTTGAAATATCAAAATAGAAAATGAAACCTGACGATGAAAATAAAAGACAAGGAACTTTTGTGTCTTTTGTTCTGCATTAATCTGAAAGACAAAGAGGAATATATTGACCTGCTGTTCTGTATACTTCGACCGCTCGGCTTTCGCCTGCGGTCTGACTTTTCTACCCCGACTACCCCGCTGAAACAATTCACCACTCAAATCTACTTGAACTCAATCAAAACATTGTCAAGATGACCATTGGATCAGTGCCAGTGGCACCTCCGAATCCATTCCAGGGATTAATCGATCACCGCAATAACGATGCAGTAAGGGCGAGTCTCTTCCAACAAAGAAGCACTGACCAACCAATCAGCACCAATTGCAAATTGCCTATACCATTCATAGATCAAACAGAAATCGAGTCTTCCGAAACCAGCTCCTGCAAGCTGATTTCTGTGACTGGAAAGACGACGAAATCTTACGCCAGGTCCTCGAAGCAGAGAAAGCATCGACAGGCTTTGTCGACCCAAGACACAACATTGCTTTCTGGGCACGACCGCCTCAGCATATTCGAGACTTAATCTACAATATCCAGCAGGAGCTTGCTCCCTTAGCTGGACCAGGTAATAGTCATATAGAACCCCGCACAAGCAACATACTAACTTGACTACTGTCAGGCCTCTGGCTCGTCCCACCAGACTACCTGCACATGACCACACTCGAAATCAGATCGGAACTGACAGGCCCTGAGGTCAATGAGATCTGCTCTTCTCTTGAACAGAGTGGGTCTCTCCAAGAGCTGATAAACTACACCCTTACCCACAGGGCGCGGCTAGTCAAGCCAATAGTTAGCATTGACACTTCTGCTGTTGCCTTGAGCTTTTTACCAGCTGCTGCCGATGGAACAAGTAGTACGTATGGTGGGAAAGATGATACATTCACATATCACCACCTGCGGCGTGATCTCTACGACATCGTGACTCGTTCTGGCTGTCCAATTTCAGCTCGATACACACTTCCATCTGCACACGTCACTATTGCTCGTTTTGTTCAGCCTGATGGCTCCAAAACGGACTCCAGGGTAAATGAAAATTACGCTGCAAACCTCGTTTCTAAGATCGACGATATCAATGAGAGGCTCGACTCAAGTGACGGTGCGGTCAAGGGAGACTGGGTCATTGGACATGAGAAGGGGTTGGAATTGATGAAAGGCCGGACATGGTTTGGAAAGGGAGACAGTGTGGCACTTGGAAAAGGGTTCTCATAGAGACACATACAGATAGACATAGAAACAGCTCTAATAAACGGAGTCCATCGAAAACATTGAAAAATGATGTCAAGTATGCCTCAGGCAACAAGGGCCTGATGACTCATCCACACTTGGCGATTTGCCTAAAGCGGCTAGCGCCCACCCGATAGGGCCTAAGCGAGCACAATCCCACAACCCAACAATCGATCTTGCTCTCCTCCGACAAGCGACAATCCAACGACCACCACCCAGCTATCCGGCCAAGTCAGTCAAAATGGTAAGGAAACCCTTTCAGGATAATGTCATATTCTGTTCCGAAGTCCCTCGAAGTTCCCACCGGAGATATTGTGTGCGATCCAACTGTGCGGTCCAAATTGTGCGGCCAAGCTCGAAATCGTCGAAAACCACCGACCGCCACGAATTGCTATATCACCCGCCACCCAGACGTCTACTTTTTACCGGAACTCTGCAATATGATTCAGAAAAGTCGACAGTGAACTGAACAGGGGTGGCGAAACCTCTAAACAACATTTCGTGATGGGACTGGGGGATCCAAAAGCCGATGGAAATGGTGCACAACCTGATTCTTCGAATCTTCGTTTGCCCACTACGTCCGCTTTGCAATGAACACACAACTTGATTCGACGGGCCAATATCTCCGCGAATGCAATCTCGAACCGGACTTCGAACACGAACCTGACATCCATTCGCACAATCATTTCAAAAAAACAAATGCTCATGACATCTCCGTATAGGTCAACATCCCCAAAACCCGCCGGACGTACTGCAAGTCCAAGGAGTGCCACAAGCACACCCAGCACAAGGTCACCCAGTACAAGGCTGGCAAGGTACGTTTGCCCTCACCACAGCGGCCGACACCCACGAGTCACAATACTGATTCGAATTTCTGGAAATAGGCCTCCCTTTTCGCTCAGGGTAAGCGCCGTTACGACCGGAAGCAGAGTGGTTACGGTGGTCAGACCAAGCCTGTCTTCCACAAGAAGGCTAAGACCACCAAGAAGGTTGTCCTGCGTCTTGAGTGCACTGCCTGCAAGGCCAAGAAGCAGCTCGCCCTGAAGCGTTGCAAGCACTTCGAGCTGGGGTATGTTGATCCCCATGATTTGGACTGGTTGTTCCATGCTAACCTGACTTCTTCTACAGTGGTGACAAGAAGACCAAGGGTGCTGCCCTCGTTTTCTAAGTGCAATTTCCTTGTTCGGCTTCTGGGTTTCCTGCATTGCACAACGTGTTTCGCTGTTGCGGAGCATCTATGACATTGGCAATGGAAAAATGAAATAGGAATTCAACTACTCAAAAACACCATCTATGACTACCGGATACGAGTCTATTGAATGATTATTCTCTTTCGATGTAGAGCTGCCTTTGGTTGCACGTAGTCATATTTTTTCGCATCACCTGTCGCTCTTTCTTTTTCCCAGTGTCCTCCGGAGCTGGTATGTGGGTTGACCACATCAGCCAAGGATCACTGTCTCTTCATGGGGCCCACTGTTGATGGGCTTGAATGTTGCGCTACCTTTGCGTATCCTTTGTTTAATTGGACATTTGATTTAGAGATCCGCCTATCCCAACATGCAGGGTCCATATAGATTGATGGCTATGCGTGCCTTGAATTTGAACCCGTCATCTACCCCATCGCCTATCTTGGTTTTTACAATCATCCTCCAATGAGTCCCAAATACACAGAACAAGACATTCGCACTCGTCCAGCTGTCACCCATGTTCAGCTTCGTCGGCCACTCAACCAAAGGACAGTATGCAGTAACATCTCATCGGCCCAGTACCAACACTTCATCCAACGTAACATGATCTGTCCTACTTATCGGTGCCTCTCCGATCTCTACACTCTTGATCCTAGAGCGCCACCATTCTACATTTCGCCTGCAAAACTCAGAATCTCATGGCTTAAACCAAGACACACCCAAAGCAGGATCTATCCATGACCAGTAGAGATTCCCGTCGGACTAAGCAAGCCCGAAGAGGCGAGATAAACCAGAAAAGATCCCCCGGAAAGTGGCAAATCCCCCAAGACACAACAGGATTGGACCGGAATGAAGCAGAAAGTCCTATCAAACCCGCATTCCGCAGATCCAACCCCCGCATTCCGGGGAATACGAACAAAACACCCCCCCAAATGCCCAGGGAACAAGGTTAAAAGGCTGCCAACATCAACTCGACACAGTGGAGACTCGTATACACGATTTCCTGGCATCCCACTGGTCTTCCCCGCTTCCCCAGATCATTTCCTCTCGGGACTTCTCCGACCTTGTCTTTTCAGCTTTCGCTCTGAGACGCGTTTCTATCCTCGGCTCGGACGTACCCCGGTGTGCTCTGATCAGACCATTTCCTGGGGTAAGATCTGGGGTTCTATAAGCGTTGGCCTTGCTGCTGTTTTTGTTGCATTGATATATCTGCAAAGATACTTTCCTATTAATATTTCTTATTGGCTTGGAAGTTGAAGGATCGCATCCTTATTTCCTGACCAAGATGGCTATGTGGTATGCGCTTGGTATTGCGTTCTTCGCTGCCATCGGCACTTTCTTATTTGTCCGTTGTCTCTCTTTTCTGATTCTATCGATAGGGAAGTGGATTTTAATGCAATTTCTTAGGGCTTTGATACTGGCATTGCCACGACAAGTGAGTTCCATCAACCATTTATCACACACTCAAACTAACACCCTCAAAGCGATCGCACACCAAAGCTGGATTGATTACATGCAAGCGCCCTCCAAGGGCCTAACAGGAGCAGTATGTTCCAATCCCCAGCCATCACCAGCCCCATCCTAACGAATCCAGGTGGTCGCAGTCTACATCGCCGGCGAAGCCTGCGGAGCCCTAACACAGACCTTCATCGGCGACAAACTCGGCCGAATCCGCTTCATGCAGCTCATGTGCATCATAGTCACAATAGGCACAGTAATCCAGACAGCCTCCGTCAACATCGGCATGTTCCTCGCCGGCCGCGTTTTAGCAGGCTATGCCGTCGGCGGCCTGGTGGCCACAGTGCCAATTTACCTGAGCGAGATCTCGGACCCGCGGTACCGCGGCCTGATCGGTGGTATCTCGGGCTGTGGCATTTCCTTCGGAACCATGATGTCCAATTGGGTGGGCTATGCTTGCAGCTATGCGCCGTACGGGCCTGTGCAGTGGCGGCTTCCGCTGGGGATCCAGATTCCTTGGGGCATTATTATGTTTATTGGGCTTTCTACGTTCATGCCTAATTCACCGAGGCAGTTGATTCGTGTTGGGAAGATCGATCTGGCTAGGTCTGAGTTTGCGAGGATTCGTCGGGGGTTGGTTCTTGTCGAGATGGAGGAGGAGTTTGGGTTGATGAAGGCTCAGATTGAGTATGAGATGGAGAGGGAGATTACTTCTTATCGGGAGATCTTTAAGTTGTTTAGGCGTCGGGTTCTTGTGTGAGTGATTGTTCTTCATCCTCAGTTGCTTTCTTGCATGTGACTAACTGGCTTGTAGGTCTATTGCTGTGCAGACTATGACTAGCTTGACGGGTGTCAATGTTATTCAGTATTATCAGAGTGAGTGTTGGCAGTCTGTGGATTGATTGAAGGATGAATAGATACTAACATCGACCTTTTTTTCCCCCTACAGCTATCCTATACAAAGGTCTAGGAATCGGATCCCACACTATCCTCGCTCTAGCTGCAGTGTACGGCACTGTCGCGTTCATTTCCAACTCGCTCACCACTAAATATATGACTGACCAGTGGGGTCGCCGAAAGTATGTTTTTTCCTTTGGTTGTTCGTTTATGGACACTAACAGTCTCAAGAATGCTTATCACCGGCTTGGCCGGTATTGTCTTAATTGAAATCTACGCCGCTGTGATGCAGCGACAATTCCAGCATACGGATAATCGCATTGGACAAGGATTCGCCATTCTCGGAATCTATCTCTTTGTGGTTTGCTACTGTAAGTTGACTGACCGACTACGATGTCTCACGGGACTGCCGCTAACAAGATTACTAGACGGTATGCTTAACAGTACTACTTGGCTATACGGCGCCGAGGTCCTCCCTATTGCTCTACGTAGTAAGGTCATGGGTCTCGCAGCCGCATCTCATTTCATTGTCAATGTTGCAGGTAAGTCATCTATTGATCGATATTGTGATTGGATCAGAATTTCAGCTAACTTGTCTTCCCGAACCAGTCACCGAGGCCGGACCCAGTGCATTTGCTAACATTGGCGAGAATTACTACTATGTCTTTGTGGCATGCTCCTCATTCTTCCTGGTCATCGCCTACTTCTTCTTCCCGTATGTCATGAAATCCCATCTGTCAAGACCAACACTAATCCACGATTGACAGAGAAACAAAGCAAAAGACCCTGGAAGAAGTGGCAGCCGCATTTGGCGACCGTGTCGTCGATCAAGATGACAGCCCCAAACGTGCAGCTAGCGTAGTCGGCAAAGCACAACACGTGGAATCAACACAGGTGGTCTAGACACTCAACTCCTTGCCTCCATCCTATCCACATAGGCCCCAAAGCAGCAGAATATACAGTTTACAATCCCACGTCAAATCAGTTTCAGGTTCCAATTCTACTAGCGCCGCAAACCGGGGTAGCATTGGCCAAACCCATCCGGTGAAAACTTCACAGTATAGTATGTCAACGTGTAGATCCAAACCATGGTACATGTCCCTTGGCTGCGTAACAGAACTTTATATTATGGACACCCTCTCCTTGAAACAACATCCCCAATAAAATGCACTACATGCATCGGATATGCGTCAGGGGGAAGTCCGAGGAATTTCGAATTTCCAGACGCCTTCTATGCACCGTCTGTGATGTATCCAGCGCATCAGCCCGTGCCCATGGGACCTCCCCATGGGACCCCCCTTGTTGGAGCGTGCATGGCCTTGCCGACATACATGTAAGTTATCTGGAGTCAAAGTACTATACCCAGATTGGGTGTCCACCTAGCCCGTGCGATGCTCCACGGAATGTAATGCAGAATCAACCCCGAGTACCGAGTCCCGAGAACATGCACTAACGTTAGTCCATGCAGCAATAAATCATGCTTTCCTCAACGGAAGTGTGGTCTTCGTATTAGTGGAGCCCTATCTACTGATATCTACAAATGCCGATGCCAAAATTAACGAGGCTCCATAGTAAACTATAAATAATAGTCTTGATCGTTTCAAGCCATTTTCACCGCGTATTCGGATGACTGATGATTAGGTACTGTAGGTAGCATAGCATCCATTCGCCCGCATTGAGATTTCCATCTGTTGGGGGCGGACCCGGGCTAGTAGCTTCTAGGTGAATCCTGTTTGCGCTGATCTGGGATTGCTCATCGCCGATCTCATGTCTTCGAGATGCGACAGGGACCCCTAACGCGTCACATCCGAATTCCTCCCAAAGCCGATGCATGGTTTTCGGAAGTCCCCCCTTCCATTGCCACGCGACAGGATGATCTTTCGATGATCAGCCTGCACGACAAAGTTTAATGCCAACTGGGGGCTCACCCATGGAAAAGCAAAACGCAAAATGTAAAAAAGCAAAAAGCAAAAAAGCAACTAGAAACATGCCGTGCCCCCTCCCAAAGCCAAATGATAGCCAAATAAAACGCCCTAAAAAGGTAAAAAAGCAAAACGGTCACTGAATATTTGCCTTTTTTTTCTCCGGGGCAATCACTCCTCGGAAACATGGAACAGAAACTTTTGCTGTCTGTGTCGGTGTGGATATCTGCGCAGACGGGGAGGAGGTTGTTTTGCCACTTTGTACTTTGTACATTCTGACAGATCCCAGCTCGAGGTTGATGACATGAGTTCGGGCTTCATTCGGGGATTTCACCAAAATCTCTTTCCTTCACGAATTTTACCAGGTTCCTGGAAATCCACGAATAGCGCACCAGGCGTCTATATTTCCCTGTGTGGTTACGGGGGGATCCCAACAGCCAGGAACAGGGGTCCGAGCCCGCTAATGAGACGATAGTTTACACAATGGAGTCGATCGTGCCATGTGGAAATTGAGAGCCTCAGTGGAATTTTTGGCGATCTCAGTGATGTTCAGGGAGATCAATCTGAGATCATGACTGTACTCTATATACAGTACACTGTAGCCCGTGAAAAGATCCAAAATATAAGCTCCGGACAGAGCCGGATATACCCATGGGTTCCCGTATACTGTAACTTCTCAGGTAAACAAGACTTGAGCTGTCGACTCAAGCCTGTTCCACTGACGTCTCCGGGGAACTGGTAACCCTACAAACTCAATTAGATTTTTTTTTTTCATGTCGGCTCAACACTAGATGACCATGTATTGCAGGGCGCTCAGGAGGGATTGGCAGATGTGGCTCAGTCGGAGAGAATAGCCTGAGCCAATCAGCATCCATTCTGCAGCTGAGACGGGGGTCTCGGGCCCAAGATTTCAAATGAACAACTCACGCAAGGAGCGATCGGCACCTTCTGGAGTGGCTTGGGCCTTGTGGCAACGGCAAGCCGGCACTTCCCTTATTAATTCATTCCTGCACCTGCCGCTTCTGAGAGATATAGTAAGCATTATAATATCCTGCATAACCACCTACGACATTGCTTCATCCCTTGTAAAAAAAAATAATAGAAAAAAAAAAAAAAAAAAAGGAATCTCCGACCAAGCAGCCGAAATTCGGGTTGACAGGGCCTGAGCAACGTTCTATCCATGGATCCAGAGCATAAAAACCAATACTAACACGGTGTTGAGACTAAACAGCCTGACAGAGTTTCCACTCTAGACCCCATTCTGCATAGTCTCATCGGAAGTGCCACTCCACGTTGTAACAAGATCCGCAAAGGACCCATTCCGAAGAACACATCGCTTCCTTCTAGAAGGGCCATGCATCGGAGATCTCCTACACTATGTCATCCAACAGGGTGCATTGTGCCCAGCGTGTCCGAATCGATTATTAAAATCATTTTTATTGTTGGTCTTGGCTGCTGGCTGCCACTGGAAGACAGGGGCAAACCCATTATGCGGCGTTCAGCTGTCGGGTAAACGTTGGAAAAGGGTTGCCTTTTAATAATTATTATTTTTGGGGGGAGAATTATGAAATCCAAGCTATAGAGAAAGGGAAAACTATTGAGAGACTCTTTTAAAATGCCATCGTCCCCTGGTCCACAACGCTTGATTTATTGTTTTGTTCCTCCGCAATATCTGGAAATCCATGGGCCCAACCTGAACCCAACAACCCATCGATCCACAACATTGTATCGAGTACCAAATTCTTGAGCTCATTCAAAGGGCAATCTGGTCCATGTGCCCTTGACCATCTCCGGACTCCACATTCTGCTCCGAAAGAACAATCCGCAGTGTGCGGCAGTCGATTTCCGTTCTTTATATATCCTATACTACCCGCGCAACCACATGGCCTCATCATCCCGCTCAACAGGCAAACGCCTCCCAATCAGCTGCCAGGCCTGTCGAACACGCAAGATCCGATGCTCCCGCGATGGCAGACCGTGTCAGACCTGTGTCCGCCGTGGTCTCGGCGCCGAAGACTGCATCTACCTCGGCCAGCCCCGGCTCTCAGCTGAGCAATCCTCCCCAGGCGACAGCGCCGTGCAAACCGAATTGCTAGCACGAATCAGAAACTTGGAAGCCCTACTCCAAAAACAAATGGCGTCTCAAGCTGGAACACCCACCGGTGGCGCCGTTTCGCCACTGGGTGGGACGAGTGCTGCTGGCAGCTTCGACGGCTCTGATATCGGCCCCAATTTCGAGACATGGGACTCGATAGGTCCTATGCTGGGTAATGTGGGCTCGTTGCATACATCGCCTTCCGGACATGTCCGTTATGTCCCTTTTGCTTCGCAGTGGGAATCGATTGTTGCTAAGAGCCCGGCGGCGGACTGTTTACGGAATCTGGATACGGGTATCGCGGAAGATGACGATGACCTGCAGATTCCACTTGTTAGGAATGGGACTGTTTCGAGGGCTGAGTTGCTGGGTGTTCTTCCGCCTGGGAGGTACTGTGATACGCTGAAGGATGTGTATTTCCAGGTTTTTTCCACGGTATGTGATTTGAAGAGGTTGACCGGGCATTGGCTAATTGATTGATAGGTCTTTCACATTCTCCATGACTTGACATTCGAGGCGGAATATCAGCAGTTCTGCCATGATCCTGGCAGTGTCTCAACATCATGGCTGGCGTTGCTATTTGCGATTCTTGCTATAGCGGTAAGCGCCCTCGACGACGATCACCCCCTTTTGGCAGATCTAGGGCGCGAGAGAACTGTTAGTCGGAATATTAAGGCACTCTCGGCACGATATCGATCTGCTGCGCTGCGATGTCTAGCTGCAGATGGTGTCATGTCTCGGCATTCCATCAACTCCTTACAAGCTTTAGTACTTATCAGCTACGCACGGCTGAACCGAGGTCTTCCTGTTTGGACATTGCTCGGATTTACACAGCATGTTGCTATTTCGATGGGTTGTCACCTCGATCCAGAGCGTTTTGCCCTAGGTCCCATCGAACGCGAGGAACGCCGACGGGTCTGGGCCGGACTGATGATGCTTTACACTATCCAAAACACATCGTTTGGCAGTCCTGACCAGCAAATGTTATCGCAAGACGTGAAAATGCCCGCAGACATCGACGACGTCGACCTCTTGACTGGATCCAATACTAGATTGGCACCGTCACCCTCAATATCTCGCCCAACACAAATGACCTATCTCCTCTTCAATTACCGCCTCTACAAGATCACTTCTAAAATCACCGAGTCAATATTCAGCTATCCCCACGCCTCACAATTCACAGTATCGAACCTCGAAGCCGAACTAATATCCGTACGAGAATTGTGCGATTCCCGCTACCAGGTTGACTCGGAACCTCTGCCCATTCATCACCAGGCAAACCTCCACATTCTTTATAGCCAAATCCACCAACTGGTCCTCCTCCTCTTCCGTCCGAGTCTCTGCCGCTATCTACAAGGCGAAATTACACCCGAAACCTGCGCCGCAAGAGCAAAATGCATCGCTTCCGCAAAAGCCTTGCTTTCGATTTTCCAAGCCCTCCTCGAATCGCCACAATTCAAACCATACAAATGGTATACCAGCGGCCTAGGAAGCTTCCACGCTTTCCACGCTGCAGTGACCCTGGCAGTAATGCTCCTCGTCCCAGAGAGCCTGGCCGAATATGACGAAATGAAAGAGCTTCTCGACCGAGCACTCGACTCATTCGCTTCCCTCTCAGTCCGCAGTGTCTTCTGCAGCAAAGCTGTACCCATTCTCCGACAAATTCTGTAAGTTCCAGCCACATTTCCAACCCCAATCCACAAAAGCAATCAACTAATATTCAAACCAGCGACGTCGCAAGCACAAACCACAACAACCAAAAGTCCCACTTCCAATCTCACTCCCAAATCCATCTCCAAGCCCAAGCCCAAGCTCAAGCCCAAGTCCAAGCCCAAGTCCAGGCCCAAAGTCAAACCCCAATCCAAATGCACAACCAAATGCACAACCCCCTCCTCACAACACCGATCTCCACCCTCTCAGCCCTCTCCCCATCGATCCCAATGCAAGACACATACGTCTTACCACACCAACAACAACACCCACACCCACAATCCCACTCCAACTCCGGCTCCCCAGTCCCAACAGTGGTATCCTCAGCCAGCGAACCAATCATGCATTCCAGTTTCGGCACCCAGCTTCACCCCCAGAATTGGATGGGTCCAACCTCTGTGCCGTGGGACGCATTGGGCACTGTGGTGGGGGGTTATGCATTTGATGCCAGATCTTAGGGGTCAGACTATTGATATTGATACCCAGGGGCCATGCTTCTACCAGACACCCTCAATCTTGGCTATGAGTCATGTGTGCTATGAACTGATGAGATCAAAAATATTTCTTTCGTATTCGACGCTTCTATACAGACTATTTCAGATAATATTTATTCTATATTCATTTCTTTCAAGTTATCATTGATACACAGACAAGCCCGATTATATCAAATTATTCTATGACATTCCCTTGCTAACAAGGGTGATGTGTAAATATTCGCTCAAGTCGACCTTTCCTTCCCTGAATGAACTCCAGCGCAGATCATTTTAGCGTCGAAATTATCCACACAGACATGCAATAATATCTCGATAGACTCATCAAGTAAAGTGTCAGATCCACAAAGTCAGCGTGAACCAACACAACAATCCATCTAATATCAATATCCCCTCCCATCTAACCTATTTCCCCTCACCATCCACAAAATCAGGATGTCCCCCAAACTTTCTCATCATAACAGCCAACCCCAGGCCCTCCGCCCCATCACCAGGCACGCGACACTCAACAACATCAACACCCATCATCTTCTCGTAAAACGGCACAGAGCGCTCCCAATCCCCAGTGAAGAGAAGTGACCTCCTCAGATACGGCATACCCTCAATAACCTCCTGGACACAACCAACCAGCCACTTACCAAGTCCGCTACCCTGGTAAGACGGCAGAATGAACACGTCGGTGAGGTAGATGAACGTCGTGGAATCTGTGATGCATCGTGCGATTCCGATGAATTCTCGGGTTTCGAGACCTGCGCTGTTTGGGGAACGGTGGTAGAGACCGAAACAGAGGGAGTTTTGGAGTGTTGCTTGCATGGCTTCTTCGGGCATTGGTTTTGCCCAGTAGACCTCTTTGCTGGCGAACCAGGTATTTAGCGTCTGGACTGGGATGAGGTTTGGATTCATTGAGATTTCGTATTCGTCTTTTGTCCAGGTTTTGTGCTGGAGTGGTGGGTTTGTCATTTTGATTTTCTTTTTGGCTTGAGGCTTGTTCATGTTAGATGGGGTGGTGGATGTCGGAGTAGAGGCGCATACATTGTTCAGGTTTCTTCAGTGATCTAGCTGTAATTGACGAGGGTGTTGAGAGTCTTTTGGTCTATGTATACGTTTTGTACAGGTGTGGTTTTGGAGTGCATCCGGTTTATATGCTCGGGTCTGACCAATGACTCAGAAGCGGCCCGCGTCAACTTTGAACGGTGGATTACCATCTACACTGTTATCTTGCCCGGCATGTGGGTTGAATCCTGGGTTGACTCATTGCACGAAGCTTGGCGATTGTGCATGTCCTTGCATTGCAACGTTCTCAGCCGGGTTGAACCATACGCGATGAACACCGAAAGAATAATAGGACACAATGCCAAAAATATGATTAAAGAACATAACACATCATACACTGGTAGATAAATAGATCCAAGCCGCGCTACTCATAAAAGACCAAACATCTTACCTCAATACTCTGCCGAGCCGGGGCCTCAGCCGGAGTCTGCGGATCAACAAAAGCAGTATGGCAAGTCGCATGAGCGATATCCGTCCGTCCATCCGTCATAGTATGGCTCCGAGAATCAAAGCACTTGATCAACATCACCTCCTCGGGCGTCATATCCTTAGCATAGAAGAATCGATGATTCTCATTCGGCGCAATACCATACGTTTCCCCCTTGACCTCATAGCCGTCAGTCGAGAATGCCGATTCAGGATTCGGCGCCACTTCCCCGGATGCTTGATCCTTCGGATATAGAAGGTCGACTTTGACATAGTCCGAGGCATGGGTGCTCCGCCAATCGATAACCGCAAGCGGGAAATCATAGGCCGGGTTTTCGATCGGTCGCCACACATTGATAATCTGATAGCGGCCTTTCAATAATTCTTCTGCTTCGTTTTCAGGCACGTGGCGGCGCACACGCACTTCTGCCGCGCCGGGGGTTTGGTCGACGTGGACCTGCTGGACTGGGGCTCGTGCTGATCCCGGTGTTCGGCGTCGGATGGTATGGTCGAAGATGACGACCTTTTTCACGCCATGGAGCTTCTTTCGAAGGAGGTCTTCTACTTCGCTGTAGTAGCCCTTCTTTACTTCCGTGTCGTCTGTAAAAGCCGTTTCTTGGGCTTGTTCATTGTACACGGCGAATCCGGCGTTGTCTACTGAGAATTCAGACTCGTGGCCGCGGATGTTCTGCACGGAGCGCTGGTGACTGGAGAGTTTGAAGGATTGCCCAGGCCCATCGACTTTGCTCCATGGCTTTTTGAATGCCTCTGTGGCATTTGCGTCGAATGAAGCTGGGTCGATGTAGTTGAATGCTGCTGTCGTCATTTTGGGCAAGGGTTGAGTGGAGAAAAGACGGCTGCTTCGGGAAAATAGAGACAGCGCTCTGTTCATATGGACCTTGAAATTAGTTGATTCGACTTAATAGTGATCGAATCAATCCTTTATAGAAAGAAAGTGCATCAAAGCCCGAGAATTGCAAATCACCGCATTACTCAGCAGAGCGATCAAACCCCGCCTTCGGAGACATTTCGAGAGTTCAACGCTGGCATTTGAAAGCAGAATACTTTCCTACGGTTAGTCTTTGCATTTGTAATGGCGACTTCGTATGATTTTTCGGGAAAGAACATCGTGATTACCGGTGCTGCAAGTGGAATTGGGTGTGTCTTGTCGCTTTCTTGGTTCCTACCCATGATGCTATAGCTCATCGCGGTCAAAAATGTATACTTCGGCTAACACCTTGCAAGATTGGCAACTGCCACAGCATTATCAGCCTGCAATGCCCGACTGGCACTATGCGACCTGAACGTGAAGGGATTAGAGTCTTTCGATCTCGCCGAAGGAAAACACCATGTCTTCAAGCTAGATGTGACATCATCAGCCGATATAACCAACACCGTCAAGTTGATCGCTCAAGAATTCGGGACAGTAAGCCATTTGTTCAATTGTGCCGGTGTAAACCCGACAGCCTATCCATTGACTGAAACGACGGATGAATATTGGAATAAAATCGTCGACACCAATGTCAAGGGAACTTATCTGATGACTCGAGCCTTGATTCCTCATCTGAAAGCTGGATCTTCGATTGTTAATGTCTCGTCTATTGCTGGATCCCGTGCCATGGCTGGATGGGCAATCTATAATGCTTCGAAGTTTGGCATTGTTGGATTTTCAAAGTCCATGGCGTTGGAGTTGGGCCCGAAACAAATTCGGGTCAATGTGGTGGCCCCTGGGCATATTCATACACCGACGAATATTGCTGTAAAGCAGGGCGATGATGCTGTCAAGGCTGTTGGGAAACAGGCGAGTGCGATGGAGAGAATTGGGACTATGGATGAGGTTGTGGGTGTGGTGTTGTTCTTGATGAGTGATGCGGCAAGCTATGTCAACGGGAGTGTGGTGGAGGTAGATGGTGGAGCGAAGTGATGATGGTCAGCGATTGAAGCATACATGGAGCGATGTATATAGTGCATTTTGATATACATATTCCCCCATAGAAATGAAAGTCACGTATGAGGATACTTTGAGAATGCCTACATTAAGAACCCCAGACAGGAGACGGGAAACGATAAAAGTCCTGCAATCGCACAAACCTAGTACCTGATACTTCATTCGGTCAACTTATTCATTTGCACAACATGTATATTGCACCGAATGCAACATAAACAAGCTGCATTGCCAGCCATGTCTCCCAGCCAATTACCGCCCGCCCGTAAACCACGATTCCGCGCACCGGCGATTCAAGTCCCCCAAATCACTACTGAATAGACCAAAATTTCGCGTTTCGCAGTGATCGACACTTGAACTGCGACTTTCTGGAAGTCGCGCTTCATCCCGACGAGCCCGGCCCTACAACCGGCGCATTGTCCCCCCGCGTTCCATCGCGGATTCCACACGGTACGAAGTGGGCCAAAATCCGAACTAGCTTAGCTTCCTGCAAGCCAGCATTGCTCGTGCAACGAGCTCACAATCTGATTTGAAAGATGCCTTCGGCTCATTCTTCACGCCCCTTGTGGCAGTCAGGTGAATGCTTGGCGTGGTTATACCCCGTGAAACACGATATTATACTTTGGACCAGATCGGTGTGCCTGTCTATCCCCTCTCCCCCTGCCAATCAACTTCAGGGTATGGGACAGTTGGTAGCTGGCAGGTCTCACTGGCAGGACGTGATAAGTGAGGCAGTCGCCAATCGGACGCTCTTCATATCAACATTATTCATCCTAGACAGACTTCTGGCCTCGTCGAATTAATGATACCCCGCAGCTGGGTGCCATTCGTACACCATGCTTCAATGTGACTTGACCGAGCCAACGAGCTCTAGAACAACACGTGGGAGGGGGTGTTGAGAGATGGATTGTTCTGAGGAATGTCGGGGATTTTGGAGAGATTGCGACAGGGCAGGGACTTATAAAAGCAACATCGATTCCGGCATGGAAATGCGGAGGAATTGAGAACATAACACAAACCTTGAACCTCGATTCACTGGTCTGAGATGCATCTTGCTGCCCTTTTCGGTCTGCTGTCCCTCGCGGCAGCAGTCTCCGCTGCTCCCCCCAAGGCTCACAAGTCCCGAGCCCATTCCTCGGCTTCTATCAGCAATCTGCAGAGCAAGATTAAGAATGTTGTTATTCTTGAGATGGAGAACCGCTCTTTGGACAACGTCCTTGGTGGTCAGACTCTCAAGGGACTAGAGAACCCCATCAACAACGGTCCATTCTGCAACCCATATAATCTGACCGAGCCCTCTTTAGGCCAGGTCTGCAGCTCCGCCAAGGACTTTGACTCTATCCTGGATGATCCAGATCACTCGGTGACTGGCAACAACATTGAATTCTACGGCACTTTTAGTCCCAGCAATGAGAACATCGCTCAGGGCCAGCTCACCCCTTCTCAACAGGGATTCGTGCACGAGCAGCTGCGCCGCTATGGTAACGATGTAAACAAGACCGAGCTTGCTCAGCAAGTCCTCAACTATTATACCGAGGATGAGGTGCCAGTTTTGACATCTCTGGTCCAAAATTACCTCACTTTTAACCATTGGCACTCTGACCACCCTGGTGTGAGTGCTCCAAACTCATGTATCCATATATCGATAAGAAAACTAACATAAACCAGCCCACCAACCCCAACCGCGCCTATGTTCTGTCCGGAACATCAGCCGGCCACGGTACCAACGACGAAGCGTTCGATTCTGACGTCCACGGACTAACTCAGCGCTCAATTTTCCAGCAACTCTCCGAGACCAACCACAGCTGGAAAAACTACTACACAAGCACCGACATGATCGATGCCTTCTTCTTTGACTGGACCTTCACCAGCAACAACACCGACAAGGCCCAGCCCCTGTCAAACTTCTACGACGACGCCGCAGCAGGCACTCTACCCGAATTTTCCTTCGTCGACCCCTCCTGCTGCGGCCAAGGCACAAGCTCCATGCACCCAACAGGCCTGATCTCCGACGGAGAAACCCTCATCAAGAACGTCTACGACGCCCTCCGCGCCAGCCCCCAGTGGGAAGAGACTCTCTTCATCCTGACCTTTGATGAGACCGGTGGTTTCCACGACCACGTCCCTCCCCCTCTGGCCCCCCGTCCAGATGACCTGACTTACACCGAGACTGCGCCCAACGGCGAGTCGTACACTTTCACCTTCAACCGTCTTGGTGGCCGTATCCCTACGCTGCTTATCTCCCCCTGGATTGCCAAGGGCCAGGTTGAGCAGAAGGGCACAAACTCCGACGGAGCTGTTGTTTCGTACTCGGCTTCTTCGATTCTGCGTACTCTCGGTTACCTTTGGGAGTTTGAGCCTTTCACCCCCCGTGTTGGTGGTGCTGCTTCCTTTGAGCATCTCATCGAGAGCAATATGCGTACTGATACCCCTGCTCAATTGCCGGCGCCCAAGGCTTTCAAGGCTAAGGTTTGATTTGAAAATATTGTCGGATGGGCCAGTCTACTATGCTATCGGCAATCTCGTTATGTGCATAAATGACTCACTCTTTAATGGAAATATAGATCAAGCTCGCGAGCTCCTCCGTAACAGAAGTATTAGTCATATCCAATTGAACAGTAAGCCCTAGAGATAGTACCGTATCTGTGATGTTCCAAATCTCACACTATAAAATGACGTCATGTATAACAAACTCGGGGTTGACACTGAGCCCGAGCCGCCACTGACTGACAAACGTCGCATCTATGGCCACGCAAGAACCGAATTGGATGAGCCTTGAGGTTGAGATTTAAAAAGCCATTGAAGCCCAGATATTACAGCTTTATCACAGAATCTCTTTGATCCTACTCAGTCGGCTTCTGTTATATACCCGCAACAATGACTTCTGTCCTCATAACCGGTGCCACTGGCAAACAAGGAGGTTCTCTAATCAACAATCTCAAAAATACCTCATTCAAAATCTTCGCCGTGACGAGAGACATCAATTCCACCTCGGCGAGGAACCTAGCCCAGAAATCCCCCAATATCACACTCATCCAAGGAAACCTCAACGACCCAGCTGCCATTTTCCAGAATGTCAAGCGGGAAACCTCGGAGCCCGTCTGGGGCGTATTCAGTGTCCAAGTGAGCTCCGTCCATCAGAGCAATCCATAAACCAACCCTGGTCCAAACCCAAACTGACGATTTTTAAAAAAAAGGCCGCCAACCCCCGCAACGACGACGAAAGACGCCAAGGAATAGCCCTAATCGACGAATCGCTCAAACAGCGCGTCAAATTCTTCGTCTACAGCTCCGTCGACAGAGGCGGCCCCCAATCCGACACCAACCCAACGACCGTACCACACTTCATCTACAAACACGAAATCGAAAAGCACCTCAAAGAAAAAGCCAAAGGCACCGAGATGAACTGGACGATTCTCCGACCCGTAGCCTTCTACGAGAACTTCACAAACGACTACTTCGGCCGGGTCTTCGCGACGGCATGGCAGATGGCGTTGAATGGCAAACCGCTGCAGCTCGTTGCGACGAGCGATATCGGGTTCTTCGGTGCAGCGGCTTTCACGAATCCCGAAGCGTCGAAGAACCATGCGCTTTCGCTTGCGGGTGATGAGTTGACGTTTGAGGAGATGAGGGGGATTTTTGAGAGGGAGACGGGGAGGAAGGTTCCTACTACTTTTCGGTTGCCGGTTTGGTTGATGATGGCTGCTGTTAAGGAGCTTGGGGTTATGTTTCGCTGGTTTCATGATGAGGGTTATCGGGCTGATATTGGGACTTTGAGGAGGTTGAATCCTGGATTGAAGGATTTTGGGACTTGGTTGAGGACTGAGAGTCAGTTTGAGACTCGTTGATCTTTGGTCTGTATTGGTTGGATTTGCAAGGAGATTCTGTTTTTAGTTTATTTTATTTTAATTTTGGGTTTGGTTTTGTCGATTGTCACCCTAACATTAATTTACTAGTTTGCATAAGATGTTCGTAAGTTAACTTATACATCGTTAAAAGATGTCAGGATTCAGACCATGTCCGTCGCTGTAACTTGTGCCTTTTCCAGACCTTCTAAATTGCGGTGAAACGAATATCCTTGAAACCTCTCAAAGCAATGTGCTCACCATCAGTTACTGCTGACACAAAAAGCCTTGAAAAGCAACGTTGGAATTGAAGTTATCGTTAAGTCATCAATGGACTCAAGATGGTTACGTAACAATCTCGAGGGATCACTCCAGGGCTGCTTGTCCCCTCCACCTCTACAGTACACGTCCATTGAAATATGCCCGAGAATTCCGACCCAAAAATACCACAGGCGAGTTCAGCGCGCCTTGAATTCAACAAGCGCAGCTGTTCTCGCTGCAGCGCAAGAAAAGTTCGATGTGATAGAACCAATCCCTGTGGTGCATGCGTTAAGGCGGAAGTGGAATGCGCCTATCCAGGCCCTAAAAGAATAAGAAGAACATTGAAAAGACCGCCAATTAGCGAGCTACTTGTGCAACTGAAGAGCCTGGAAGAGGAGGTCTCTCAGCTTCGGTCGACGCATGCGTCACCTCGCGACTCGGATATTAATCCTGTATCGGAGGGGGATGACCCTTCGAGCCTAGCAAAAAAGACAGAGCTGCTTGTTATTAAAGAGGGTAAAAGTCGGTATGTTGGCGACGAAGCTTCCGTGGCCCTTGGGGAAAAGGTAGGGATGAGTGCGGAGGGGAGGGCATAGGAAAAAGCGATAACTAATTTCTTGTCAGATATCTGAGCTTCGGGACATTATCGAAAGTGATTCAGATGAAGAAGACTGCTCGCCGTACGCAAATTCGACTTCCAATATTCTGCCTCAGGGTGAGCTTTTTGGAGGCGAGTCCTACGATGGCTGGTCTCTTGAGTTCTTCCGCCTTCATTATTTCCAAGCGGCAAGGATTGAAGGGATATGGCGTGTGTATCAAGAGAATGTGGCACCGATGATTAGCATAATTCACAAGGATACTATCGCTCAGATTGTCCAAAATTGCAGCGCGGGCATCTCTCTAACTACGTCAGATGAGGCATTGCTGTTTGCCGTTTATTATGCCGCTGTGGCGAGCATGAGATCTGATATTTGCCATCCAATACTCGACGTCGAACATGAGATTGCTATCCAGGACTGCAAAAGAGCAGTGAGCCAAGGTCTTCGCCGCGCCAATTTCATACGGTGTCAAAATATTTCCGTTCTGCAAGCTGCCGTGCTGTTCTTGCTTTGCTATCGTGTTGGCGGTGATACATGTCTTGTATGGGCCGAGTCAGCGGTTGTCATTCGGGTTGCGCAGGCACAGGGTATTCACCGTGATGGAAAGAACTTTTCCTTGCCGCCCTTTGAAACGGAGATCCGTCGTCGGCTATGGTGGCATATTTGCCTATTAGATATGTTATCTTCAGGAGACCAAGGTGTTGATACACAGATCAGACCTGAGATGTTCGACACCCAATTTCCGGCCAATATCGACGACGACGATCTTATTTTGAACATGCCAAACTCGCCAAAATCGAAGTCTGGTTTCACTGATAGCACACTTTGCATCATGAATTCTCAGATCATGACCAGATTATACTGGCAGTTTCATGGAACCTCCAAGATGTCTACACAAGACCGAGAGACCCTCGTTACCAATCTCGGCAAAGATCTCCACAAAAAATATCTGGATCATTTCAACCTCGATATCCCAATCCACTGGGCATCAGCAACAATAGTCCGACTTCAACTTTCAAAATCATGGCTAGCAGTCCATTTCATGTCCTCACCAAGTCCCAATTCACCCGGCACAATCCCCAGCCATGATGATCGAGTTTTCGAAATGGCAGTCGAAATAGTGCAATTCGCCTACCTTCTCCAAACAAACGAAGCCACACTCCAATGGAGCTGGCTCTGTCAAAGCTACAAGGAATGGCACGTTGTCGCTTTTATCTTGTCAGAACTGTGTCTCCGCCCACTGAATGCAGAAACTGACCATGCGTGGGACATCGTCAGTAAGATGTATGGATTGTGGCAGCGTGGCGTTCCGCACACCGACGCCGTTCTTCAGAAGCCGCTGGCTCGGCTCATGCAGCGTACGGCCGCGTCGAGAGAATCCAAGCTTGTTCGAGATCATTCCGAGATACCTGTTTCGCTGAACATGCCTTATTCGGCTACTTTGGGACTTGAAGAGGATGTTGATCTTGAGTTGGATGCTTTTCCCGAACAGCTTTCCAGCTTGAATTGGTTTTCTGGACCTTTTTTCTAAATGTTTCTTTACGGTCAAGGATATGTGTGATTATTAGTCCCAAGACATACAGCATCACCCGGTTCGTTCACAGTTATAAGTGATCAAGTCACTGCTTGCTACTAAAAATTATGGCTGCTGGCCATGGTTTATGCCATGAATGAACCGTGATAGCTATCATGATTATTCATTATATGAGAATCGAATTAGGACTAGCTTGAGGCAGAGAATTCTAGTACCGCCTCGTATACCGCCTTCTAAGGTTTCTATATTACCTATTACCACTTTGTACGAATAGCCCCTAGGAGATCTATGATATTATCTATACTTATTACCTTTCTTTCACATTTTAGCGAAAGGACCATTTACATTAATGAGAAAACGGGGAGAATTAAGAGAGAAAACTGAGAGTGTGTTGCTTCTTTATTAACTTATTAACTTATGTCTTAAAGTCGAAGATATTTTCAGAAATCTTCTATAATTTTACATAGTTCTAGTGAAACTTAGTTTGAAGTTCTATATTCAAAAGGTACTTACTGTAAGTTATAGGGCCAGTATACTTAATGGAGAATGAGCCTGTCCCACTGCGATGGAGGCTAGCGGACTTCATTCGAGCACCGTTATCAGACCATTCCAGATCCTCACGACTTCATCTGGCTAGCCCGAGTGAGCACCAGCAGGTCGTGGCGGTGAGTACGAAAGGGTGTGAGGCGCTTCAGGCATCGTTGGCCATGATCGTTTGGCTTGACTGAGCAGCTCAGTTTGTCTTGTTTTGAATTTGCTGTTATACCTTTTATCTGGGCCACGGTCTTGTGTTCTTTTCCAAGGCTTCGCTGGCTCCGCTGTTCTGGTTTCGCCTATACCATTTTACAATCCACTGAAACTGAAACTAAATCAATTTTATATTTCAATCAATGATGCACAGGTTTTAAAAACAGGGTTTGCACTAGAAGTAAAAGGCTCAAATATCGGAGCAAACTTGACAAGGCAATTTATAAATCTATAGTCCTCCTATAAGTTAATACCCAATCAACCAAAAATACTCTTCGGCACAGCAGCCGAAACAACAGGCTCCATCCCCGGTTCAGCCTTCGCCATGGCACTCTTATAACCCGCACGCCTCGAAACACGCTCCAAATACCGCACGATATTGGGATAAGCCTCCAACGAGAACGGCGAAAACGTCCGGAAAGTAGTCAACGAGAAAAGCACCATACAATCCGCCGCCGTGAGCTCCTCACCGGCCAGATACGGATACTGCGCCAGCTGCGCATCCATGCCCTGGAAGTTCGCGTCGACACGCTTCTGAAAGACCTGCGCGCCCATGTCCTCCGTAGGACTAGTCGGGCTGTTCATGCGACTGAACATCAATTGCAAGAGTCCTGGCATCAGGGAGCCGTTGGCGTTGTGGAGCCAGAAGAGGTAGTCCGGGTATTGGGGGTGGGTTGGGGGCAGGGCGAGTTTGCCATGGCCGTATTTGGTCAGGAGGTATTCGAAGATGGCGCCTGTTTCGGCGAGGGTGATGGGTCCGTCGGTGATTATTGGGGCTGTTCCTGTCCAGTGCAGGTTGCGGTATTGGGCTGGGGCTGAGAGGGTTGTTGGGTCTCGGTCGTAGGTTTCTAGCTTGTAGGGGATGTTGAGTTCTTCGCAGAGCCAGACTACCCTTTCGGATTGGGAGCGGTGGAGGTGGTGGATTGTTAGGGTCATGTTGATGGGAGGGTTGGAGGTCTGTAATTGATATTCGGGGAGCTTTGGCTTGTAAGTGAAGTTAGTTGGGAGACCATACTTGACTTATACTTTGCACTTTATCCTATGAATGCATTGGCTTGCACAACTAGAGGGATCAACTAGGCACCTGGATAGCTCTAGATTGTCCAATTATTAATCTTCGGGAAGTTGAAGAGTCGAAATCCGAGAAACATATCTGCTTCCGAGAGCCGGTCGTTTTCGTATTGACTCCACATCGTTCCACGTTGAATTGCCTGTTCCGACTGGATGAACTGGAGCTTAAGAGTTCTAGAAATCCACTAGTTTCTTATGCATGAGTTTATTCCCTCGGTATAGTACATTTGCAGAAACCCCTATGCATTGGATCCTGCATTTGCTGATTTGAGTAAATTCTCCGTCAATGGCCTTCCCTCTGTAATAGTGGATGTAAAATATTAGTGTTAGGATTAGCGCATTTTCAGTGTTATATTTGACCTTATATTCCACCTTTTTTTCACCTCATATTTTGACTAAACAAATGCATCAAATTCTTGGAATCTGATTGATTCAGACCAATCATCAATTCTCGCCTATTAGCCTATGGATAAGTTGACTTTTTTTTTTAAGGGTATAGAGTTAATACGTACCTAGGATACATAAATTTCCTAGGGATATTCTTTCTAAGAAAATTGTAACCCTTAGAGTCTAGAGTCCCTAAGTCCACAATATATAGGCGAGAATTAATGATTGATCTAATTTTTTATGACATATTTGATGCGTATTTTAGGTAAAGTATTAGGTGAAGTACAAGGTGAAATATGATTTCAAATATAATACTGAAAATGCGCTAATTCTAACACTAATGTCTTACATCCACTATTATACAGAGAGGGGTGTGCTTTTACCAGATCCCGGCCGAGACGGACATTATCTACGATGCGGTCCAAGGCACTCCGCACTGGAATGCCGAGGAAATCGGGTTCTTCACACCCAATCCTGCCGCGGAAACACATGTTCGTATAGTCAGAGGTTCAACTTATCACGAGAATGTGCAGGTGTTAGCCAGCTCAGAGCCCAAGTCCCGCTGAAGACAGAAGCAGGGGTAAGAGCCAATATCCAGAGTTGCCTACGAGAAGCTGCCCAGGAGTGGTACATGATCGAGCTCTCAGACCTCGAACGAAAAACGCTACGCATATACCCACTAGAAGACGACGACGGATGGTTCAAAGAACTAGAGAACTGGTTCAAACAACGCGCATCTTCAGCACTCAAGCAGTTGCTCAGCGTCTCGCGTGGGTAGAACGACGTTCGTGATGCGAAGTCTCCCACGGGATGGGCACAACGCGTTCCAAGACTCGCGCAGGATGCTGGATGGCCATTGAATTCACAATTGACGCTTCCTGTGCAGTGACAAAATTTCTTTCATCCCTGGTTAGGTGTGAAGAGGGGAGGGCGGGGATGCGAAGTAAGCTGCAGTACTGCGGCTACCATACGGGCCGTGGCCGGCTACGAGACAACCGGCAACGGATAACTCAACACGAAACTATAAGATGTGACGGGCACGTCAAATTGTGGGGGATTTCTGGGGAGCGAAAGAGCCAAATTCTGCACCAAACACAACCTTCAACTCCCACCAGTTCACCTAGCCATGTCAAACCCAGCCGAGAGCACCGATACTAACAATGCCACCGAACCTCGCCCAAATCTGATAATCTTCATGCCAGACCAGCTACGATACGACTCACTAGGTTGTTTTGGAAACCCTCATGTTCAAACCCCCAACATCGACGCCTTCGCCACCCAGGGCACCAAATTCACCAATTGCTACCTCCAAGCCACAACCTGCTCGCAAAGCCGCTGCTCGTTATATACCGGGCAGTACCCACATGTCTCCGGCCATCGCAGCTTAACCAACCTGATCAAACCCTGGGAGCCAAACATGTTCCGCGCCCTCAAGGAAAGCGGCTACCACGTCGCATGTCTAGCCCCCCGAGGCGACACATTCGCACCGACAGTCACCGAGTTGAGCGTGACCGAGTACGGCTTCTTAGTCCCGCCCGAGACCATGCCGCAATTTGCAGGAGGGAATGAACCGACAAGATCCGAGGATCTACTGGACCGACTATTCTACAAAGGACTGCGAGACCAGGAAAAGGCAGTTGATTATGATGAGGCAGCCGTACAATCAGCCATCAAATGGCTCGAACATCCCCCGCAAGGCCCCTGGGTCCTCTATCTACCATTAATATTCCCGCATTGTCCATTCCAAGTCGAAGAACCATTTTTCTCGATGTACGATCGGGCCATGATGCCCATTCCCTCCAAGCCCGAGAACAAGACGGGGTATGAGCCGCGATATTTTGAGGAGAACCGGAAGCGATATGGGACGGAGCGGGCCACGGATGGCATTTGGGCTGAGATTATTGCTACGTACTACGGCATGATATCGCGTCTTGATGGGCAATTTGGTCGGGTTATGGATGCCGTAACGGGGACGGGGTTGTCAGCGAACACTGTTACTGTCTTCTACACGGACCACGGCGAGTATCTGGGTGACCATGGCATGATTGAGAAATGGCCCAGTGGGGTGTCGGAAGTCCTTGCTCGAGAACCGCTCATTATTGGAGGTGCTGGGCTGCCAGTTGGGGAAACGAATGATGAGATTTGTGAGATGGTGGATCTTCTTCCAACTATTCTGGAACTGTGCAGTGTTCAAGAATCGTTTCCTCACAATGGTGTGTCTTTGCTCCCGACGCTTCTTCGCAAATCGAAGCATCCGAAGCAGTATGCATATACCGAAGGGGGATTCCTTGTCTCGGAGGAGCCGTTACTTGAACAAGCGCCCTATCCGTACGATATTAAATCAACGCTTCAACATGAAGATACAGAGATTGTTGGCAAGGCAGTTGCTATGAGAAGCGCCGATTGGACGTATGTCTATCGATTGTATGAGCCGGCTGAGCTGTACAATAGAAAGACTGATATTGCGGAGCTTCATAATCTCGCCGCCGATCCGTCGTATCGTCATATTGTTCAAGAAATGCAAGGGGAAATGTTCCGGTGGATGGTTGAGACGGCTGACTTCCTTCCTTTGAAAAAGGATGCTCGATTTCCGCCTGTGGAGCTTGAAAGTCCAGAGAAGCAGTATGAAAAGAGAATTCAGACTCTGTGACATATTCTTGTTGTAACTTGTGGTTTCTTCTTTGAGTCATTTAAGTATGCTTTGCTAAAATTGGTTGAAATCAGATGGGTGGAAATTCACAATCGGTCCTCCGAAATCATCAAAGACCGCTGTAAATGCATCCAGCATGTGTTCAGGCTCGAATTCTAGATCCCAAAGAGTTGTTTCTAGACTTGACTTTCCAGACGTTTCCGCAGTTTGCGAGTTTTCAGTACTACAACATTCCTCTAATGCACTCCCTGGCTCTGTAGGAGTAGTCGCCGTTGGACTTTCCGGGGAGTGTTGCAGAACTTCCTCTCCTCTTTCTGTGTCATGATTTCGGATGCGAGCAAGAATGTCGAGTATATTATAATCGCGTAGTCCACGTTCGGTTGATGTTTTCCTTCTTTTTATGTAAGAATGCGGATCTGCTGCATTGGAAGCCCGGGCAGCCTTGTCGATCAATGATTTAATCTCTCCATACTGCATTTCACAAGTATTAGCGTGTATAGACCATGGATTTCTTTGGAAGAACACTACTCACAATCTGATCTGCAAACTGGCTCGCTTTGCTGATGACAGACAGTATATCAACTGCAGACCGTAACTGGCGTATCATTTCAAGCCCATTCTCACTGTTCCCCAAAAGACCAATCTGATGAGCCCGAATGATAATCCTGGTGCACTGAAACACGCAAACACTAATTCCAGGATCAAGTGGCGTCTGATCACCAACGTCTTGAACCAGCTGGAAGAGATGCACCAGAGCCTTTGCATGCTCAACGGCTCGGACTTGGCAGTATAGTGCGTAGTCTGGTAGTGTCGTTTTGAAAGCCTCTTCGGAGAGCGATTCACGAATTCCGGGTAGCATAAACCTATACAGATCGCAATGGCATTGGTGCCACATTGTGTGAAGCATTATATACCGCTGCAGGTGAGAAGAGTATGCTCGGAGATACATGTTGCTTTTATTCAGTGTCAGTGAATCTGGCAGGGAGGTGCGGACATCCTGTAGATGGCTTTCTAGCCGGAAGAGCTCATTTCGAGACTCGTGTGCGCTGGATCCTTCTGCAATCACTCTTCTCGTGTATCTTCATTGGTGGTTAGTATATTATCAAGTAGTAATAGTAAGGATCAGTACCACTCACGCGAGAATCTCATGGCGGATATGAGAAAGCCTGCAAAAATATGCCCTAGTGCCCATATGAGTAGAGCAGTCTTCCTCCCCGGATTCAGGAATCAGTTTACCAGTCTTGCCCGCTATAGCAAGATCAAATCCTTTCTCATCAATCGGCAATTGAATCTGCATTGATTTCACAGGACAGGTAATCAGATCCGACTGTCCAGCAGCAAGCCTCCTATCAAAAATGAATATCGACCACATAATCCGCCGTCGAATCTCACGAGCAGTGGTGGATAACCTCTCATTTTCATGATTCAGGCGAAGCATATAAGCCATCTTTGCTGCGATACCCAGAAGCGGCTGCAGGGTCAGAAACCGAAATAAAGCGCAGTTTTGTGAGATCAGGAGGACGATAATCTGAAGCACAGTCATGGATGGTCGTCCGATGTTTGCCCATACATAAGCTTCCACCTCGGAGCGCCACTTCTCTGCCTGTTTTAGGATGGCGGTTTCTGTGGACACAAAGGCTGCGGAGGCGCTACAGACTGCTTTGAGTAGCGTCGGATTAACTGCCCCACTTGACCAGGCTCGCAGGAAAATAGCACGGTGGATGAAGCCATTCTCAGGTCTTGGTGCAATGTGCTCGAAATAGGCATTGATGTATGGCTTGAGGATAGTACGTTCACATTCGAGTTCCTTGACAAGGTCCAAGCTCAGATCTTGGCTTCTCGTTTCTCCGTCTCTGCTAGTACTTTCTGTGCTAGTGAGTGGTGTGGTGCTTGGTGGTAGACTGACAACAGTATTGCTTTCACTTGCTTCTTCTTCTTCTTCTTCTTCGGCCAGCGGCGAGTGGTTTCGATGATATCTGGGTGGAAGGCTTCTGCGTTTCCTTTTCCCACACCCGGGCTTGAGGGATTCATATTCACATTCGTGTCCTTTCTGGCTACATCGCTGACATGATGGCAGTGCACCTGAGCATTTTGCCTTCAGGACGTGACACGCCTTACAGGCGCGCCTAGTCCGTTTGCGCTCCGTCCCAGCCTGGGTGAGCTCGCTAGGCCCGGCTTGATCCATCGGGCATAGATATGCAAGGCCTAGAATGGGATGAAGTGAAGCATATCACGGCTAGTAAACGGCAGGGGAATGACCCGCCATTGCGTGCTCTATAGCGTGGATGGCGCTTCTCCAGGTTTGTGACTAAGCCCCCCGCTATTCGGCTCAAAGTTCGTCTCGTTGGACTTGGACTAACTTCTTCTTGGTTTAGTCTATAAGTATGGCGTGTTTGGGTACACCTTTGTCGAGTTCCGGCTATGCTCTGACGGCTGACGGCTAACGGCTAGTATAACAATAGGGGCCGATACTTATTAGGCTCAGATATAAAGTATGCATAGCCTCAAGATGTTGAATATTCGAATAAGAATTGATTTGAGTCATTATGTTGGGCCAATATAATATCCGAAGATACTTCAACCAAAGACTAGCATTATCATGCAGCCTGGTTGCTCTTTCAAGCTTCAACTATGCTTTTGATAACCAGGGCTTTGCCCAAGCACAGGCTATGGATGCCTTTGCAAAGAAATTTGGTGTATACAGCACTGCGACAGATACCTGGACTCTCGATACCCAGTGGAAGTCATATTTCAATGGGTTACCTTATTTGACGTTTGCCTGTGGTATGATATGATCAGACTACCATGCATCCACGGCTAATCAAATCCTAGGTGTGGTGATTGGAAGTATGATAAGCGCTCGATTTGGTCGCCGATGGTGCATGTGTATAATGAGCATCTATGCACTGGCTACTGCTGCGGTTGTCACGACGTCTCAAACCAAAGAACAGATCTTGGCAGCAAGAATCCTGAACTGTAAGTCTGCTATGGAAATGCCTTGCATTTGATACTGACATTCCAGACATCTATATTGGCATGGAACTTTCTGTGGTGCCAGTCTTTCAAGCTGAGATTGCTCCAACTCAAGTCCGTGGGTTCATGGTGGGAACTTATCAGTTGACTATTACTGTGGGTATATCTCAAATTGCAGATCTGACAGTTGACACATACTAACATAGGATATAAGTTTGGAGGCATGGTGATTGGCTGGGTGTGCAATGGCACGAGCAAGATATATGACGACCGAGCTTGGAGGATCCCATTAGGGCTGTTTTTCATCATACCAAGTATCATTATATCTCTCATTTGGTTTATTCCAGAGGTACGAGGCTCTGTTCATGAGTTAATATCAGCTAGAAGCTAATGATATTTAGTCTCCTCGATGGCTTCTTGTCAAAGGCCGCACAGAAGAGGCTCGAGCTAATTTGCAGAAATTACGACAAGGAGCTTTCACCCCAGAAGAGATTGAAGAAGAGTTCTCCTTGTTGAAGACAAGGCTGGAAGAAGAACCCGAGCAAGGCCATTTCAGAGAATTATTTTCCCAAGTCAACCGGAAACGAACAGCCATCGTGGTTGGACTCAACTTTTTCCAACAAGCGACCGGGCAGGCATTCGCTTCTCAATATGGGACTTTATACGTCAAATCTCTGCAAACAATCAACAGTTTCAATTTCAACGTGATTAATGGGTTCGTCGGACTCTGCGTGATCATAGTCTGCTTATTCCTCAATGATCGGGTTGGCAGAAGGTATGAGAGCTCTCATTCTATAAACGCAGCCAAGAAGCCCCTGCTGATATAGCTAGACCTTTACTATTAATCGGCGCGGCTGTTCAAATGGCAGCCTTGATGACCATGGGAGCGCTTGGGGTACACTCCCCAAATTATACAGCGAAATCAGCCATTGTCGCAATGCTGTCCCTATTCACGGTCGGCTTTAACATCGGCTGGGCAGCTTTGACATACGTTGTGACTACGGAAATCCCAGCACTCCGGTTGCGAGATAATTCACAGCGCATTGCATCTGTTGCAAATGTGCTAACGTTGTAAGTGGACTTCGGAACATGTTAACTATATCCTGTAAAGTTGGAATGAGAGAGCTGACTATCTTCCATATAGCTTTGTGGTTGCATTTACTATGCCATATCTAATGGATTCTGATTATGCAAACCTCCAGTCAAAGGTTGGTTTTATCTACGGAAGTCTCTCTGTTGCATCGATTTTTTTCGTGTACTTTTGTGTGCCAGAATGTCATGGACGGTCATTTGAGGAAATTGACCAGATGTTCCGCGAGAAAGTTAGCCTTCGAAAGTTTGGTACTCATGAGCAGTCTGAACTTGTCGTGGAAGTCCACTTCAAGGACCGGTCAGGGAAGATTGATAGTGTCTAGGTAACCTAATGAGAGTAACAGATTGATATCAGCACATAAGTATATTTTCAGAGTAGGATCCTCCACATGAAATTATCAGGCAGATGAACAACGCATTGTGAAACCAACAACTTCCCTTGCCTTCCTTTCCAAGTTTTGATGCTTCGATACCTGGGGTCCCGTGCCCGATGACTAAGAAGCCATCCCGGGTAGCTCCCAAGGTCTTGTCCGCCTCCCATTTCCGGTGATGAGCTGCCTTGGAACTTCCCCTTCTTCTCTGTAGACTAATATATCTATCTATCCTTATCTACTCTATCAGGACCATCGCGCTAAGATCGCTGGATTCGCATTCCCTGTTTTAGACTCCCGCTGAGCCTGATGTTCCACTCTGCGTTGCCACCCGCGTCATCCCCACGCTAAGCTGCAGCTTTCGTGCATTCTCGATTGCGGTGCCTGGACACTGAATGCCCGCCGAACATGCCGGTGTCGCTTCTTCCATGATCAACAGCGCTAACTAGATCGCTTGGAACAAATCCTGCATGCTGCGAGACTCTTCGGAATTCGAGGACCCTGTTCTGCCTGCCTTAATTGGCTGATAGGATCTTGAATCAAATCCCCTTTTACAGTACAGAACACACCTTGTGTCACTCGGAGGTTTTGAACCCAACCGCTATCGATTTGACGTGTTCGCTGCCATGGATCCACCAATGAACCCGACAACTGGCAGTGCGGACTCTCGACTGTCTCCTGCCTCGCATTCTAGCCCCAAAAAACGTCCCCAACCCAGCAGTGATTACCCACCCTCTGATAACAAGGCTAATTACGGTCCAATGGGCGGTCGGGCCTCAGGGACTGGTCCGGTCCCAGTCTCCGAGCCTACGCCAGCTGGAGAGACCCGCTCAGCACACCCCGCCGATAGTGCTGCTGGAAAACCCTCCAAGTCCTCCAAACGCAAGAAGAACCGCAATCGTAAACGTCGCAATCGGCACGAGTCTTTCCTTACGCCTTCGCGAGAGGAAGCCCATGACAGCGGTGAAGAGCATCCAGGTGCTGGAGGTGTTCGGGATTCAATGGAGGCCGATCGGCCAACCTCGAGGGACACTTCGTTCTTCAATTTGAGAAGAAATCTAAGTAATACAAGCTTGGAGAGCGATGCATTGTTGGATCATCGGTATGTTCGTTGATATAGGCGAGTGTTCAGCTCCTGGCATTGATGCTAACAAAAGTTGCTAAATAGGGACCAGCCTATGATGCGACCTCGTCGGGACAGCCGCCTTGGTTCATCATTACGTCCGACCTCGATCATATCCAACGTATTCCGTTCAAACGACGGACAATCCCGCAGCACCCCGAAAGCGAGTCGAAGCCAGCATCGTGATGGTGATAGTGACGAAGAAGTTAACGACCGAACGCCATTGGTGCGGGCTACCTCAGGACACACCTCTAATACAGCTCGCTATGGCGCAGACTCCCGCTCCGGTTTGCTCTCCTCTCGTGCTCGCCAACCATCCGTTCAGACCATATCCTCAGGATGCTCCCCTCGAGACAACCGCAGCCCACTTGATTCCCCCGCTATCGAACGAGACTACGATGTGAACAACCCACCATCAATCCCCGGGTCTCCAAAGCTAGGCCCGGAGATGAATTATGATGATGCTGTGGTGACTGGGGCCGATTGGGACTTTTCTTTGGCCCGGTCCTTGGAAATGCGCAGGGACTCTCTAAACATCTTGAACGACACATTGATTGATATGGATGGCCATGGGGTACATCCGCACTCGGCGCCCTCTTCCCCCGGCTCGCCATTACTTTCACCACATCAAGAACTGCGGCGTCGCCGGACTGTCGCATTACCAGCAGAGGAGGACGTGTGTTTTCCTACTGAAACGATATCCGAAATTGGAGACGAGGGATCTAGACCACGGGATGATACTGGTGAGCGTCGACGCCGCAGACATCGGCGATGGCCTGATCTTGGTGCGCTGGAAGAATGGAGCCGCGAAGAGAAAGAGGAACGCAACGGGGATCTTCGAGTTAAGAAGATCAATGAGCCGATGTTCATTGAAGGTAGATTGCGTCCTCAATATAAAGTCTGGCGACGTGAAGAGGAGGAGGCACCTTACCGTTTCACATATTTCAACGAGGAGTTCCCGAGCACTATTCACGCCCAAACAATCTCGGAACTAGTACAACCAGGAGGAAGCTTCCGTGAATTGTTTATTCCGAACCCTCCAGAATTGGAGGATTCATCTGATGACTCGGACTCGGACGAGGAGTCGTTCATGGAGCCTGCAGCGGCCTTACATTCAACTCACCCCGTTAACACCGGCCCACGAGTAGCGGCGCCTGTACCGGAAGGTCAAGGCCATCAAACAAACGTCAATCCTAACATGACTGGCCCTACCGCTCAAATTCCTAGTGAAAAGAAAACCAGTGATCTTCTCACCGGCAACGTTCCTCCTGTTAGAGGTCCCTCGCGCTTGTCTGTCATAAGTGAAGGACAGCCCAACTCTCACCGAGAGCTCTCACCTGCGCAATCAAATGTAGGCCCCAAACCCAAGCCTAAGCGCTACGGTCCCCGGCCTACTTTCTGGTTGGATGTTCTCTCTCCGACAGATGCGGAGATGCGAACAATCGCGAAAGCATTTGGAATCCACGCACTGACGGCAGAAGATATCATGATGCAAGAAGCCCGAGAGAAAGTGGAACTTTTCCGAAGCTACTACTTCGTCAATTATCGGACTTTTGAGCAAGATACCAATAGTGAGGACTATCTTGAGCCAGTCAACATGTACGTTGTGGTTTTCCGTGAAGGTGTAATTTCCTTCCATTTCTCACAAACGCCTCACCCCGCCAATGTGCGACGGCGTGTTCGCCAACTGATGGACTACCTAATTTTGAGTTCTGACTGGATTTCTTATGCCCTGATTGACGACATTACTGATGTCTTCGGTCCACTGATCCAAGCCATTGAAGATGAGGTAGATGAGATCGACGAGATGATCATGCAAATGCATTCATCTAGCAAGGAAGGATCGCCCAGTGACAACGTGCTTCCTTCATTCGCACCAGGAGAAATGCTCCGACGAGTAGGAGAGTGCCGCAAGAAGGTCATGGGATTATACCGGCTGCTGAGCAACAAGGCAGATGTTGTCAAGGGCTTTGCCAAACGTTGCAATGAGCAATGGGAGGTAGCACCCAAGTCCGAGATTGGTCTATACCTGGGTGATATTCAAGATCACATTATGACGATGACAGGCAATTTGACACATTACGAGACGTAAGTATCCGGTTCCCTGATTCTGCAGGATCTGACGGCGGACTGACCCTTTCCAGGATTCTCTCGCGTGCGCATTCCAATTACCTTGCGCAAATTAACATTTTGATGAACGAGCGCCAGGAACATACTGCTGATGTTTTGGGTAAGCTGACTGTTCTTGGTACGATCGTCTTACCGATGAATATCATTTGCGGTATGTGGGGTATGAACGTCAAGGTTCCTGGTCAGGAAATTGAGAACTTGAACTGGTTTTGGTGCAGTAAGTCTTCCCATGGTCGATGTCTTGCTGGTTCTTTTTCTGACGAATCATAGTTACTGGTGGACTGTTTGTATTCGCCTTTGTATCAGTTTGGATTGCCAAAAGAGTCTACAAAATTGTGTAAATGGGCAAAAGCTTGTTTCTGTCTGCGTCTCATGATTTCTACTTGGTGATGGATCGATACCCAGGAATTGTCTCTTTCTGTTTTCCTTCTCCCGGTTGGTTTTATATAACCCATACGATATTAACGATACACGGTGTATATATCTTGGGTTCTTTGTTGGCTATTATAGAGCTGTACATTATCAACAAGACATAATCTTTAACTCATTATTGGTGCTAGGTTCATTACTTTCTCCCTTGCAGTGGCGTCTGCAACTTTGTCTGAAATCACAAATAATTTGAAAGTACCACCAAAGAAACTTCAAGCATTCAAGGAATAACTTTAGAGAAGAACCTTGAGATGACTTACTAACGCTATCTCACACTAAGAGTATCCTGGTGGTCACCTGCTCTTCCTGTTTAGTACCTGGTACTTTTGAAGACGATGAGGTCATTGTGGCTGGTATTCCCCTTACCGTAATTTATGCCCACGTTTTTATTACATACTCATCTTGGTCTCAGAGCTGTTACCTCATCGTCAACCCCGGATTTCATATTTCTCTTCTCTCCATCTCTGAACCTTTTATTTCCTCATCTTGACTTTCTTCTCATTCCCAGGATTGTCACTTGAGGTTCTAGACCAGCCGCGTGCTCTGTGCTGCAGTACGAGGCCCCCCTTTCTTGACGTGGGCTATTGTCATTGGCCTTTGCCGAGCGCGGACCTGACCCTCTCAGCCACTTTCACCGAGGTTTTCGTCACCGACATCTCTGGTGCATTCGGCAGCCAAACACCCTCTTTCACGAAAACCAGTCAAGCCAAAACGTTGAGCCGGATCGGCGGACCCCCATCTGCGCAAATCCGCCAACCATAAGCCGTCTTCGATTCAGTCGTTCTAGACGCACTTGTCCTTGTTTCGAAACAAAGCCAAACGACATGTGTGTGTCTCTTTGCGATACTCTGACGGCCCACTTAGTATTCTAAACACACTCCATCAATCTCCAGTTTCCCCAACCCCCCTGTCACTGCTGCAGCCCTTCGTTTTCCCGGTTCTTCTGTACAGCAACCCCATCTCCAACAGCATGTGGTGCTCGGCTATTCGTTCTGCTACACCCTCGCATGTGTAACGACCCGTATTCTGCGCAACATTTCCCTCGATACCTCGTGAGATACCTAATTCGCTCTTGCCTACAACAACTCATCTCTTCACCGTTGAACGTTCCCTGCCTGGCGCCGTGCCTTGCTTTTTCTGATCCCCTTTGGGACTTGTTTCTGCCCAACTACCAGGCTTCCTCTCGGGTCTCCTGACTTGTCTACGCTGTGTCAGCCCATTTTGACTCGACGCAGACCATGGCTGCGGAATCCGAGAGGCTGCCTCACCTTAATGGTGCCTCTGGATCGTCCAAAGGCGCCAAGGATGCAGAGGCGGCATCGGATGCTGTGCATCGGTCGACCAGCGAAGGTGCTGCAACTGAGCGCTCTTCCGTTAAATCCCAGTCACAGCCCATGTCCCAGGTGCCCAGGCTCTCTCCAAATATTTCCAACCCTTCCGCACCGGCATCCGCTACAAACTCCGCCGTCCCCTCTCGCGAATCCTCCCCGGTCCGATTTTCCTCACGTCCCGTTAATCACTCCCCGACCCGACTGTCCTCTCAGTCCCGAAAGGCTAGTCAAGACCGATCAAGCCCGACCCGAACCTCAAACGGCCCAACATCTGTTCCACCGGGATACAATACAACTTCCAATTCACAGCGTTCATCCTCCTCTCCTGTGAACCCTCTCGTCCTCTCCGCGCCTCTCGAGACGCTGGCCAATGTTGCCAGTCCAGAAAAGTCTAACATGCCATCATGGGCTGGGAGCCGTCGCACAGATTTGGATCCGGCTGTTGCGAATACGTCACTTAAGAGGGCGTCGCCCACGGAGGAACCCGCCACAAAGGTCGATCGAAGCACGCCTCGGGCTGCCACTAGGGGCACCAGTGGTCAAGGGTCTTCTTTGGAAACAGTTGAAGAGATGGCTAGCAATCCTTCAACCCCATCCAGTGAAAGTGCCCTCAAGCCGGTCACCGCGGAGGAGGCTCGGCTGCACCGGATTGATGAAAACCCAACTTCGCGTTCTTTGCAGCAAAATACAGGGAGTGGCAGTGATAGTGGAGACACTCGAAGCTCTACCGCAACGGCAAAGGAGGAGCCTCGCTCTCAAGCATCTGGAGCAACGAAACCGCCTGGAACACTTATGCCAAAGCAATCAACAACATCTCTTAGCGCCGGTGCTCGCGGAAAGCCTGCAGACGGGTCGGTCCGCAACATGACCGTCGAAACGGAGACTGTTAGCTCCATCCCACAAGTCTCCCTAGGCGTGGGCGCGGGAGAACGAGGCAACACTTCTCGTGCTGACCAAGGTACACTTCGCATGAAGCCTTCCACGGAAACAATTCGTCCACGCAAAGAAAAGAAGAAGCATCGCCGTCCCAACAATATTCAAACGGGGCCAGCAACCAGCAAAGCGGACATCTTCGAAGCTAAAGTGGCTAATGCGGTGGACGAGGCTGATGTTTCGGATTCTGACGAAACTTTCGTTTACGAGTCTAATCCACCGGACCCCTTTCCTTCCCGACCCTCTCGTTATCACTCCCGGACGCCTAGTGCAACATCCATGGCCAGTCAAGTGGACCAGCTGGCTGGTCGTGCACGAGGAATGCGGGACGGCTCTCATAGCGTAACCAGCAAGCGGAGCATGAAGTTCACCAACAATCCCTACAACAGTAGTATTGACGGCGATGGTCCTGATGTTGAGCTAAGTCGCAATGGTTCCAGAGTCAGTGGAAGCGGAACCATCACCCCACGACACCACAACATCGGCCGCCACGTCCGGAACGGTGTACCCGCGGGTCTCTTCGATAACGAAAGCACACCTTTCCCCCAATCACAATCACAACCTAAATCCCCAAGGCATTTCATCGGGAGTGGATATCGGCACTCGCGTCACAGCAATACTCGTTCCTCGCCCAATTACAAAACCATCAATGGCACCAAGAAGGCTGGTGAGGTGTTCGGCTATGACTTTGACGCAGAAGGCGCCGACGATGAGCGCACTCCTTTGGTTGGGACGCCACGTCAAGTCCGCAGTCGGCATGGCCGCAGACCTAACAGCGCAAGTCTGCGGCAAATGGAGTACATGGCACAGCGCCAGCGCGGATATTTCTCCCAATTTGGCTCATGTGCCATTATACTTCTTTTATTGGTCATTGTGGCAGGTGGTGCCACATCGTTCATTGTGGCGGCCACCCAGCCTTTATTGGATGTCCAAGTTGTTGCTATTCAAAACGTGCTCGCGTCAGAACAAGAAATCATGTTGGACCTGAACGTGGAATCGGTCAATCCAAATCTGTTCCCTGTCACAATCGAGGATACTGATATCAATATCTTCGCCAAGAGCCGCTTCGTCGGCACTGACAAGCTTTGGCGCGACCATGGTGACCTGGATGGTTTCCCGCGTGTCGAACAAAGTCGGCAGCGCTGGCAGCTGTCGCAGACTGTGCGCTGTCTTGGAAGTGTGGACTGTATGAAAGAAGCCATGTCAGGCCATTCAAACGGCGGCGTCGACAAAGGAACAGACCCACCAACGGACCCAGAGGGCGATTCTCAAACCATGCTCCTTGGTCGTGTGTTCCACTTCGATTCCCCCCTATCGTTTGAGTCCTCCCCATGGAACCATTTCACCTCCGGTTCGAAGGGACAGATTCGCCTAACCCGACCCGGTAACAAAACCGAGGAAGGAGGCACAGAGCGCTGGGAACGTGTCCTACAGCATCCATTTGAGCTGATCGTCCGTGGCGTCGTCAAATACCAGCTCCCACTGAGCTCCCATTACCTGTCAGCATCCATCAGTTCCAGCGTCAAGTACGTCCCAGATGATGAGGACACGAACCCCAAACACCCACCTAGCAACGACACAGCCCGCATCACCCTGGCGAAAAAAGCCACAGCCCCTATCCGTCTCCCACTCTCTAAAACTCCATCTTCCACGCCCGAGTCCGGTACAAGACGACCTTTTACGGCATAACAATCACCCATTTAGCGATAGACTGATATCATTGACTTACGACAGCCCTATTCCTTTCCTTTCCTTATCTTATATTTTTATTTATTCTTTTACCTACCTATCATGTAACGAGACAAAAGCAAAGAGTCCCAACCCTACCTATATCCCTCTTCCCTCTTCTCTCCCAGGAAACCCCCACCCAAGGGACCTGGAATGGAATAGGAATATTAGGTCTAGGGAAACCAGCTTGGACGCCCCCTTCATGGCTTGAGATCTTTCTTTCCCTTCCCGCTGTATACCCATTTGCAAGCCCTCTGTCTTACGCCGACTTCGATTCATTGTTTCTAGCCTCTGCATCGAAACCAAGTTATAATACTTGTTCCCTGTTAATTGTATTGGAAATGGTAGTAGGCCCGGTCCAACCACTTCCAACCTGCCTTGCTTTTTTGTCGCTTTGCTATCATCATTATTTTCTCTCTTGCCTTTTTTGGAAGAATACGATTATTTCTGGATCTGGGTTCCATTTTCATTCTCATTATATCCCATTCCGCTTCATTCCTTGTCTAGCGCTCACCTGTTTCCTTTTCGGACTATCGTTGAGATGTGGTCTACTATCATCGTCTTCTCGAGAACACACACACACACACAACCTGTATCAACATTGTATTTTGTTTTGGCTCAGCTCTTTACTGATTTCGAACATGGAGATGAGATGGATTTAGACCCGCCTGTATGCTACTGCCTCTTTTGTATGCCATTGCCTTGTTGACTCGGGTTATTATTCTCTTAGCTCGGTCCTCGATTATTGAAATACGAGTGTTGGACTGGCTGTTCATTGTGTACGAAATGGGGTTCCTTCCGTGTCTATCTTATCTTATGTTTCTGGTACCCAGTATCTATCTTATTAGATATTATGAATGGATGAATCATGATTATGACCTTTGACTGGGAGCGGTGTTTGCTACACAGCAAGATAGGAGGTCGAGGTCTACAGCATGAAAGTATTTGTTTATTTGTATGATTGAGTGCGGGCAATTACGATTTTCAGATAGGATTTGGAAGTAAGATTGTGTTGTCAAATAAAAAAAATGCATTGAACTATCAGAGCATCTGAGCACATAAGAGTCATAAATCATAATCATAGACATAGAGACAAGCACCATACCCTCTACAAGCGAACGATGGATAGGCACGTTAAAAGGAACTCAAAACCGCAAGCAGGAAGTAATGTACCAAGGAAACGAGAATCGACGGATACAGAGGGGATCCGCGGGAAGTGAAAGGGGAAGGAAGGGGAAGGGAAGTGCGAGGAAATTTCAAATCAGAAAAGCACCTTGCTGAAGCGAGTTACTAGATCCTCGATTTTCTCAAGGGTAGGATCACGTTCTTGGATGAGACGGCCGTGGGAGTCAAAGCGGTCTGGTAAATCCTCTGTTGAGTCTGAGTCTAGATCTGCTCCGGAAGACCGGTGTTTTCCGTTGGAAGAGTAGCGGTGATCATGGCGGCGAGAAGAATGGGAAGCAGAATCATGGCGAGAAACGGGGGAGTGGGGAACAGAGGAAGAGCGTCGTCGACGGTGGTGGCGATGGGATCTGCCTCCACTGTGCGAATCAGGGCCAATGGTATCATCACTGTCATCTGTCTCGTAGCCTTTGTCTGGTGTCAAGTCAAAAGCAACAGACTTGGAGCTTGACGACTGGGGCGGTTGGCTATTTGACCTAGACCGAGCTGGAGATGAGGGATATGGATTGTGGCTCTTTAGACCTAGAAGAATGCGGTGTTAGTATATGTTATGTTGGATTTATGGGATTAGTCCAGTCCTGGACTTGGACTTGGACTCTTGAGTTCATAGAACCCACCATCTTGCACGGTGTTCTCATCAGAGGAGGGAGGGCTCACATTCTCATCTGCCCTACGAGGTCGGGGAGCGTAAGTTTCTGGTCCCATGCCTGGGCCTGGTGGAACAGCTCCATAACCGTAAGGCTGGGGCTGTGGTGCAGCACCAGGGGGGGGAGGGTAGTCGCCTGGGTTGTAGGGGGCAGGGGTGGTGTTGAGATTATGAGTCGAGTCGCCCGGCGGAGGGGGAAGTAGTTGTTGTTTGGATAGTAGTGGGGGTCGCTACCCCCGGGTGGGCCCTGAGCTGCGGCGTGGGGCGAAGGCGGGTAGGGCTCAGGGTCGTAGGACTCCTCGTAAGGATCGCGGTTCGGATCGTGATCGTACCCTAATACGCCACTAGTCAGGGTGAATATTTCTCAGAGGCATCACGGGGGATGAGGAACTTACGAGAGTGCTCACGCTCTTTGGACTTCTCACGGTCCTTACGCTGGGAGTACTTGTGAGCTGCATAACCGAGCCCAGTGGCACCTAGTGCGGCCGATGCAATATCACGCGAGCGGCTGCGGTGCTTCTGGCGGTGGCGGCGCTCCTTGTCAGAGCCATCAGAGCTGCTGTAGCGGGCACCACGGCTGCGACTGCGGCTTCGGCTATGGCGGCGTGGAGCATAGGCCTCATGTCCATCAGAGTAGTAAGGGCCACCAGGGCTGACAGGTGCACCATAATAGTGCTCAGCTGGAATGCTGCCTGCAACTGGGTGGTTTCCGTACTCAATCAGCCCGGCTGAATCACGAGCAGGATCGGGGAAAGCCTCTGAAGGGGCTCGACTGCGGGATCTGGAGCGATGGCGGCCACGGTGCGCGCTCACACCTTCTTTGTCATCCTTCTCGCTCTTCTTCTTCTCATAAAGACCAGTAGCTGCAGCGGTGGCTAGGCCAGCAGCTGCAATGGGGAGGGCCTGTCTAAACTTGCTGCGAGAACGGGAACGCTCGCCCTTTCGAGAGCGTGAGTGGCTTCGGACTTTCTCGACAAGTCCTGCAACGGCTGCACCAGCTAAACCGGCGCCAGCCATGTGCTTGCGACGCTCAGACATGCTACGCTCGGAATCTTTGCCGTCTTTGAGGGAGCGACCTCTGCTGGCAGCACGAGAACGGGAGCGAGTGCGAGATCGGCTCTTGCGGTCGTTGTTGGACTTGCTGCGCAATGCAGCCACACCGGCCGCCACGGCAGCGGCACCCACACCAAGCTCAAGAAGGGTCTTCGCACGCGAGTGCGAGTGAGAGCGGCTACGACTTCGGCTGTGATGACGACCACGGCTGTGGCGGCTGTGATGGTGGGACGAACGTTCGTCATCAAATGAGTGTGCACGGTGACGGCTCTTACTACGGCGGTAGTAGTCGCGTGCATGCGAAGCAGCGTTGACAGCCACTGCTCCGAGAGCACCCGCGCCAAGGGTCTTACCCAGACGACCGACGCCATCGCTGACATCTTCGCCGTCCCGCTTGCGGTGACTACGGATCAATTCTGCTGCTCCAACACCGACCAATGCACCTTCTGCGAGGTGACGGCGGTGGTGGGGGTGGTCATCAACGTCACGGGTCTCTTTGCGAATGTAGACCATGCTATCATCGCTGCTGTAGTCCTCGCGCTCGCCACGGCGGTGACTTGTCTGGGAAATCGAGTCTCCGGGGCTCAGCTCCCGACGAGAACGTCGGTCATCGTATTCGCGGACTCGGCGATGTCTGGCGTAGTAGTACGGATCTTCGTCGACTTCGGAGCGGCGCACAACATTGTACTCGGATTCGCGGGCTTGATAAATGAGCATGTTTTCTTGTATGATATGAGATGTATGGGGCTCCACTCGCTCCTGGGGATCCATGGGTGGCCGAAGACGAGAGTGGGGGTGCAGAAGCGCATCACTGGGGTGTAGGGACTCACGATCATAATAATCTCGCTCGTACTCATAGCGGCGAGTTGGGGGTTCGTAGTCCACTTCTCGTTCGTAGCGGGAAATGGTCATGGGCTCACTGCGATCGGTCTTGCGCCGAATGACAAGCTCGCGCTCGCCGGCATAGTCGTCATGTCGTGACATGAAGTCTCGACGGTCGTCCTCGGCTGGAATGACGTAACGCTTTATAGAGACGGGGCGGGACTCATCCCAATCTCGGTCACGGCTGTAGGTGTACGACATCAGGTGCAATGGCCGATAGAACTGTGGGTGAGAAATAGAAAGGAAGATCCGAGGGAGATGTAAGAAATCCAAAGCACGGAAAAAAAGTGAGATGCACAATGCAGGGAATGAGGGGGGCGGCAGGACAGGGAAGTGGGGGGTTGTGCAGAGAGGCTGTGATCGACTAGTGGCGATCTTTCTGGAAGCCTGATTGGTAACTGTCGCACCAAGTGAAATACACCCGAAACTTCAGTCGGGCGTCAAATCGTAGGGCAGAAGCGGATCCGGCTCAGCCTCAGACGTGCAGATGTTGCAGAAGTGCGGCAAATCAGAGACAATAAATGGAGATGAATACCGTTGAAGAGAGATGTCGAGATGTTGACGAGAGACGGGGACCGCAGACCAGATAAGGCTGCCACGTGAGGCTCCAGAATCGTTTGCCCGGGTGTGGCGAAACACGAGCTGTCGAGGCAGAGATGAAAGAGAGGTGTGAGATGATGGATGAAAGACAAGGAAGAGAGAGAAGAGATGAGAGATGAGGGACGAGAGGACTGTAGTTGTTTGTTGACGGGCGAAGTTTGGTCCCTCCCGTTCTCACCCATGGAACTCTGGCTCTCTCTACACAATAACCCTAAACCCTCATTTACATTCCAGAGATCAGACCTGTTTCATGGTCAGGAGGCCTTTCTAGTCTGATGCACAGATAGATTAACTGTCCTGTATAGATTACTGTAATCTCGGTCTTGACGGGCTAACTAAATGACTTGTCTAGACTGGTTTCCCCAAAGTCTTGACATCATAAAGATACAATCTTTCACTCTGGACCACATATACCCTGCACTGACTCGCTCTCAGTTCTATCACGGGGATGACACAGCAGCATCCGCGCCCCGATCTTTGTCTCTGCCCGCATGACGTCAAGTCTGGTCGCGGGGCGTTCTGGCGTTCTCGGCATCTGGACTACGCCACGGTTTCGGGGCAAACGGGTGCACCAAATGGGGCTATGGGGCACTTCTTTCGTATTTCGTATTTTCAAGGCTGAAAGACTGCTTCAAGGGCGACACGGGCATTTGGGTCAAAATTCGGATTCAAAAAGCCCACTGTAGGCCATTTCAGGAGTGTGGGCTGGGGGTGGCTTACTATTGGACGATTCGACCAGTTCCCTTTGACAGTACTGTACATCCAATTTCTTTCAACGTTGCTTAGGTCCCAATTTATCCTCTTTCATGGAATACAGGTATGCTCGGCCTTTCTGGCTCTTTGCTAGTCTTTCTGTGGTGTGGCGACCTGTCCCGACCACATAGTGTACTCGGTATAGTTCCCACAGTTGGATTGACCATGAATGATATGCATGCCGCAGTGATGGTCCGCATACATAGAAGCGTCTAGATCAACTTGTGTAGCTTGACAAGACAATGATCGACTATTTATGAACTCTAACAATATTCTATTGTGCCGATCAGCGTACTAGTCTCCGCGCAAAACCCTCCGGGGTATGGTTGGCAATAGACTGTGAATTGTATCACAAAACAGGTGACTCATTGATCATCTTCAAAATCTGGGGTCTATTTCCAAGTTTTGTACGAGTTCAGGAAAGATCCGGATTTTCCCTGTTACCCAGGGAATTCACATGGCCCTCGCAAAACTACAGGTTCTTGGGGAAGCCATAAAAATCTAGCATATTGCGAACCAAAAAAATAAAAGAGAAGCAATTAGAGAGAGACATTTCTACCTGAACAAGTGGAAATTAAAAATCATCACTTTGCACGCACCTTTGATGTCTTGACACGAACTCGGGATATTCCTACTGTTATAGTAAGTAAATTGTTCTGTTCTGCCTTCTTTCTTCGGCCTTCTTGGACTTTGACATTCATTTGAAATTTTGCTTATTGCTAAAAGCCCCCGATTATAGTCAATTGAAAGCAGTGATTTGGTGGTTTTTTATACTTAACGACTAATAATCACAGTTGTCCATGAAACATTTAGAAAAAAGGTCCAGAAAGTCTATTCAAGCTAAAAAGCTGTTTAGGAAGAGTATCTAACCCAAGATTAACATCCTCTCCGAATCCTAAAGAAGTCGAATAGAGTAGGTTCTTTAATAATCTAGGGATGTGCCATTCGAAGGGCGTAATTCGCTCTGAAGCAGGGTAGCCTGTAGCTCCGGCATGGTGTGTAGTTCCGTGTAGATAACGGCGGCAGACAGGCGGGTTTGCACTTCTAAATTTTTTGTTACAGAGATTATTCATCCCTGCAATATGGGCCAGAAGTTCTGCTCTGTTCGTTTCCCAACCCATTGGGCTGGGACGTTGGCTTTCCATAGTGAAGACTTGAAGGATGTGGAAGAGGAGAATGTTGTGTGTGGATGAAAAGATGAAGAAGGGTAGAAGTAAAGGTAAGTGACATGCTCGATTCACCCATTGGATAAAATTTGGGTAAAAGTATAGGTAAAAGTATAGTGAAAGTCGAAAGTCAACAAGTAGGTTAAAGGTCAAGTGAAAGTAAAAATCTATATCGTGGTATATACGACTTTGAAGCTTTAAAGGCCTCAGTTAGGTCAAAACGGTTTTCCCGTGCCTATTTCTCTATCCTACAGTTGTCCTAGGTACGGTTTATACCGCGCCAATGCAGTAAGACTTCCTAGAGAAACTCGTCTAGCTCACTCTGATCGTCAACATAATCCGGACAGTACCTTAGGGTAGCCAAGTGCGTTACATAACCGCCGTCCCTCTATACCAGGCAGCCATACATTTAGTGAGTGTGTGATGTACGGTACGGTTTCTACAGCCAGTATAAGGGAGCCTGTGGTTAACTGACTGGTGTTGCGCTTATTTTTGAGACCTTTCTGGCCAGGGCAAATCAATGGGCTCCGACCTGAGAGAAATTTCAGCCAGGACATGCGAACACTATCGGTAGTGATCTTGTTTAAGTCTATCTTACTCCTAGAGTCCTCTTCCGTGAGAAAGCATTAGAAAATGAGTTGATTCTACTTGCCAACCACACATCTAAATAGCACCGGCCTCCTTCAACACCGCCTTCAATTGAGCAGTATTCAACTTCTGCAAATCAGAGTTGCCGCCAATATGCTTGCCCTTGATGAAGATGTTAGGAACAGTGCGCTGCTTAGTGAGCTCCTGCAACGCATCTTGGATCTCGCCACCGTCCTCTGAAGACAATGTCAGCACCGGTCCCAAAAAACAAAAAAAAAAAAAAAAAAGAAACAAAAGATCTAGAGCCTAAAGAAGCAGATACACTCGCTACTTACTCATCTTATCCAGTTCGAGGCATTCGAACTCGGCATCTAAGCTGCGAAGTGTGCTCTTCGCCGAACTGCAGTGCGGGCAGTAGGACTTGGAGAAGACGACTGCCATGAGTTAGCTTTGATTATCTGTGCACTTGTAAAGTACGTACCGACTCCATTGTCGTCAATGATCTTTTGAACTTTGGCGACGGACATGATGGGTGATTGGTTGCAGGTTGGGGTTTGCTTGCTTTCCGAGCTTGCCGCTTTGATAGAGCCAGTCATGTGACTTGATGCTTATTTCCTTCTGACGTCATATCGAACTATATTCTTGCCAAACGGTGTGGATGGAATTCACTTTCGGAAAGGAGTCTTGCTTGCACCAGCATCATTAGCACCGAGAGCTCAATAAAAAGAGTTAACGGCAGCCCTAGAGTTATCAATCTACTGTCTTGGTCATTGAAAATAATCATAAAGTGGAAATTGTATTAAATTGTCTTGCCAGAAGTACAGGGTCATCACTCATAAGACATCAAGGCCATGATAAACACAGTTGACTGACACATTGTCTTAGGAACACATAAATGCAAGAAATAACAAAGGAAGAATAAAACAAATATGAAAACAAAGTAGAATTCATAACTCCAAATGCAAACATCACCGGTCTGTAAACCGTGGCATCAAGCCAAACTCCAGGATCCGGCCAACGAAACAAAAAATACGCAAGACGCGAGAGAGTAAAAGCGGAAGTGAGATCGCATGCTAGATGGGAGTAATCATGATCAGAGTGTGACGCCTCAGATCACATTACTCATGTCCATCATAGATGACGGTGCCATGCTGTGGACGGACTTGGTGGCATCGATGGACATACGATCACCACTCATCATCCGTGATACTCTTTTGTCTTTGCCGGGACGGGCAATGAGAACTTGAGCGGGACAAACGACAACTTCGTCCTCACCCTCGCCCACGTCATTGCCCTTTTTGACGACGAGAGGGAAGAGCACAATGCGGACGACGGACTGCTGGGCTTCCAGCTCGCCATTGTCGTTGGTGAGACCACTGCGCTCATTCATCAGTGCCGCGTTGAAATACACCTGCCGTGCGAGGTCGCCATTGGTATCGTACTCTGGCTGCAGGGGCGGGAGCATAATAAACTCAGCCAGCTGAGTGCGCATCTCCAGGGACAGATTGACTGCGACTCGCATGATCTTGCGAAGGCTGTCCAAGAGTTGCGACTCAACGTGGGAGGGGGAGGGAGAACCTTAGACAAGGTCTTGAAGATCTCTAGGGTGACCGCCTCTGTATCGCTCTCGCGTTGAGCGGCAAAGGCTGGTCTCCGAGAGAGGAGGGTCAGGGTGGTGGCTCGCCAGCGGTGGACAGCGCGGCTTGGGCCAACTTCACCTAGTTGTTTCTCAAGGGATTTGAGCTTTTGACGTTGCTCACGATCCATACCAAATAGGTAGCGAGTGAAGACATACTCCCAGACCATGGTCATGATCACCGACATGAACACATCGCGGCGTCGAACACGGTCGGAAAGGTAAGCATCGGGATCGGAGCCGTCGAGAAGGGCATTGTCGAATCGGTCTGCGATTTTCTCGTCACGCAATTCACTAAGTGAGCGGCAGCGACGCTTGTCATTGTGCTTGGAAAAGCGCAGTACCCAGGATTGGACATGGCCACAGAGCTTCTGGCAAGCAGCGTCAAAGTATTCCTCGTCTCGGAAGACGAGAGCATTGTCATTGACTGACGCTGAGATTTGTTGTTGTAGCTCCTTGACCTTGTCGCGAGTCTCCTCAAGTTCAGTGCGAAGACGACGCAACTCGATGTCTTTTTGTGCAAGAGCTGATTCTATCTCTTGACGGACTCGTTTGTCCACCTCAGATGAAAGCTCAGTGTGTTGCAATCGGAGGTCGTCGAGTTCCCGCGTAGAGGATTCGCGGACGGTGGTCACTTCGGCAGCGTGGGCGGCGGCAAGGGCAGCATTGGACGCTGTCAACCCTTCGTTCTCCTGAGTCAAACGGGTTGTCTCCTTCTGCAGCCACTCCACCGAGCTCTTTAATTGTTCCACTTCGGCTTCCTTGTCGCGCAAGTCGCCATCGCGGGTGTTGAGAGCCCGGTCGCTCTTCCGACGAGCGACGCTAGAGTGTTTTAAATTGTATTCAGCTTCATCACGAGCGGCGATGAGCAGACGATTTTCGGAAATAAGTTGATCGAGACGAGTTTCGATATCTTGCAAGTGTTGCATGCTGCGGCGGCGACGGACACTAGGCGGTCGACTGGGCGACCGTGGGGAGTTGGGCGTTTCACCCCATCCCTCCTAAAAAAAATTAGTAAACAAAACAAACCAAAATCACACAACACAATCACAATTAAATACTCACATAGACATCCGACATATTTCGCACCGGACGTTTGCCCTTGTCGGTGACGGGGTCGTAAGAGGAAGAAGAGGGAAGCTGATCAAGGTCCGAAGGCTGGGAACCCGCCAGACTAGCCGCCCGCAGATCGCCGCTAGCGCTGCGATTCGTCCGACGCAGCTTACCGCTGCTGGTGCTGGGCCTCAATATCTGCTCGGGCGTCTTGGTAACTTCGCGTTTGAGATCTTCTCGTGAGCCCTTTCGACTCTCGTTTTCAGGCGTAGGCCATTGTTCCCGATCGAACGCAGTATCAGTAAATTTGCGCACAGGAGTTTGAGGTCGTGGGAGAACATGTTCGGGTTTGATCTCCAGACGGGGCGTCCCGCGGCGGCCCTTGGTTGATCCACGGCCATCCCGTGGTTCTTGTTCGGCAATCGTATCAAGCGGAGTTCGGGGCCGGGTGTACGCATCGTCAGGGCCAAAGAGTGAGCGAGGGGGAGATGGGGCGAGAGCTGGTACGGAAGGCTCATCTAAACTCCACGTACGAGGTGTCTTTTCATGTCGTCCGTGGATAGATGGGGAGCGGCGTAGTCCAGAGAGGTCTTCTCCGGCTGCCACCTGCGATACATGGCTCTTGGTAGGAGATGACGGTTCCTGGGTGGGCTCTGGATGCGCGAATGGTGCATCCAAGGACTTCTCGCTTTGTACCGGGAAGTCTAGCTCTCTTGATTGTTCGTCTGTAGCTGTAGCAACTTCGACTGGAGCCTTGTGCGAAATTGCGGACTCGATTTGCTGCTGGAGACTACTGGAAAGCTCGTCACTGGTATCTTTGGCAACCTCTGTGACTTCAGACGTCGGCTTAGGTGCCTCCAAAACAGGGAGAGCAATGTCGCGACTGGCTCCCACTCCTGTCTCTTCCTCAGCACTATCATTCAGCGATGGTGTTTTGGGCCGCTTGAACCCACCACGCTCCAACCCGGGGAATAGGTTGGCAATCTTAGATCCCCCAGGCGTAGTTGTCCGAGTAGGGGGTTCGAACTCTCTCGTAGTCTGTGTAGGTTCTGGTAGACTTTGCAAGGCGGTTTGCTCGCTGCTCTTATCATTGGAAATCTCAGGCAAAGATTGGGGTTCATCTGCTTGCTGTGACTGCTTCTTGTTCTTCTTGGCCTTTTTCTTGTCTTTCTTGCTCAGCGGCGCAGCCCAAGCATCTTCCTCGGCAGCATCTGTATGCTGTTGTAGATCTTTGGATGTTGAAGCATCCTCAAATTCCCCAATGGTCTCTGTTGGCGGGATCACAGATTCGGACTCAGGCTCAAGAGCTGTATCTTGAAATTGCTGCCCATGTTCACCCTTTGCATGCTCCCAGTCAATTGCGGGCCAGTTCTCGTCTTCCTGGATTCGCTTCTCGACGGGGGCATCTGCAAGATCGGTATCTTGAGGCTTGGGGGCGTCTTCTTCAAAGGGCGCGATGACAGCTCGTTCAGTTTCGTTCGAGGTCTCAGTTTGTGGCTCGGCGTCAAAGCCTTGGCTGGCCTTTTTGGCCTTCTTCGCCTTCTTCTTGGAGGCCTTGCGCGAAAGAGAAGTTTCTTCTTCGGAGAAATGCTCCGGCTCAGTCTGCATCGACTCAACAGTCTCGGGCTCAACCTCGGGTGTAGGTGCAGGTGCAGACGCAGGTGTAGACGCAGGCTGTTCATCCGTCACAAATGGAACGTCAATGGGCAGCTCTCGCTCCGCAAGTGGTGTAGGCTCCGAGGCAGCACCAAGGTCGCGTGGAACTTCAAGCTCTGCAACGGCTTCTGCTGGCTGGCTGCCAATCTCTCTGGACTCTTCAGCAACATCGGCTTGATGCTCCTCCGGGACATCTTCGCTGACATCCTTCTTGGCCTTGCGCTTGTCCTTCTTTGACTTTTTCTTGGACAAAGCAGGTGTCACTTCAACGTCCACGGGTAAGTCTTCGGGATCAGCTGCTTTTTCAATTTCTTGCACGGAAGGCTCTGCGGTTCCAAGTTCCTTCTCGAGATGGGCATTGCTCGTCTCCTCTGCTTTAATGGGCTCTTCGGAGGTTGACTGCTCCCAGGCTACAGCTTCCGCGGGCTTGGGCGCATTGAAAGGGTCCTGAGGAACGAGGTCATTGTCTTGCTCGCTCACCAGGGGATGCTTGTCCTCCAATGCGATGCTCTCGGGCTCGGGCTGCATAGAAATTTTCTGCGGGTCCTGAATGGCAGACTCAGCCTCTGGGGCAGGGATCTCCTTGGTAATGTTTTCGGAAGCAGCCTCTGTCGTTTCAGGCTCGGAGATGGGAACAGCCTCTTGGGCGGGAGAATTATGCTCAATCAGTTCAACTTGTTCTTGCTTCGGCTCGGCCGCAATCGGTTCCTCGACAACCTCTTCTGCTGGTTGCTCGGGAGTCAACTCTGGCTCGATAGCCTGTTGTTCAGCGGGTGCATCTTCCTTTGTCTCGAAGGCTACCAGCTCTTGCGCCTCGTCAAGGCTCTTTTCTACCTGGAGCTGGGACTCATCAACAACTGGTTGCTCAGTGGGCTCCAATGGAGCTTGCGGCACAGAAACCAATGGCTCTTCAGCGACAGTCACTTCCTTGTCGTTAATCTCCACGGCAAGCCGAGCGGCAGCTGCTGCCGCAGCAGCAGCCTTCTTTTTCTCCTTCTTACTGAGCTTCTTCGTCTCAGGCTCAGCTTCGACATGCTCAGTGGGGGTTTGCTCTGCGGGTTGCTCAACCTCAAGGTTCTCTGCTGGGATCTCGGTGACAGGCTCTTCCACAATCTCCTCCGTATTCAGATCGTTTGAGGGAGGTTCGATTGAGTGCTCTCCAGTTTCAAGCACTTGTGTTGCGGTCGGCTCTTCAGCCTCTGGGGCTAGCTGTTGATCCTTTTCCTCGGCCTCTACCGCAACATCGGGCGGAGGGAGGGTAGCGTCCTCTGCACCAGCAACGGGCTCATCTTGCGGTTCTTCCTCGGCTGGTGCAGTTTCAGTCGCAATCTCAGCCTCCGGAATAGTAGCTTCGGTAACCTCGGGAGTTGGAACCTGTTCGGGCTGCTGTTGAGCTTCAGCTTCCTGAGCAAGTTGCAATTGCCGTTGCTTCTTCTTATCCTTCTTGCTCAGTTTGACGGCGGGTGCTGACTCCTCTTCACTAGCAGGGGCAATCGGTTCGGCCTCTGCAACAGTGGGCTCGAGTGTGGCCTGAGCAGCTTCGGTTGATACGACCGCGGAAGATTCTTCAACATCCTCCGGCTGGTCAATGAGTTGCTCGTCTGAGCTTGGCATTGCTTCACGCTGCGCAGCAGGCTCGGGCTCATGCTCGGCGACTACCTTCTCCTCTGGTTGTGGTTCCGATTCAGCTTCAGTCAAAGTCACAGCTTCAGGCTGTTCCTTTTCTTCAGCGATCGTCGGTTCAAGCTGGTTCGCTGATGCTTCCTCCTCGATAGCATCAACCTCCTTGTTTTTTTTCTTGTTTTTCTTATTCTGCTTCTTCGACAAAGCCGTCTCCAAAGCCTTTTCCTCCACAGGAGCTTCTTCTGTCTGTGCCTCCGGGGCAACATCATCTGGCACATCCACAGGCGGCTCTTCTAAAGTTTTCTCTCCAGAGAGATCGTCTGCTTCCGGCACAGACGATATCTCCTCTGCACCAAGTGCAGGCTCAACCAACTCCTCTTGTGGCTTCTCGCCATCTTCCTTCTGACCTCCAACTTCAAGGTCTTGCTCCTTCGTCAACGGTTCGGGCTCTGGGATAGCAGGGGCATCGTCACCCTGTTCCGGAGCAGGTACCTCCTCCAACTCGCCGGAATTGACTGAACGCTCAAGCACGGGCTGGGGAGGATAATCTAAAAAAGGACTCTCTAACTGAGGCTGCTCTACCTGCGAAGACATGAATTCATCAGTCGAAGCCAAATTTTGCGCCGCGGCGGTATCTATGTCGTGGGACTGATGTTCTTTACCGTCATGTTCCGCAGGCGAGTCTGCCTTCACGGCTGAGAGTCCCGAGGTGTCCGTCGATGTGAGGACTTTTTCAACGCTATCGGCAGGTTCACCGGGGGTGCCAGGGGCAGAAGAGGCGTCGTTGTCGGCGTCGGCAAGCTTGGACTGGCGTTTCTTGGCTTTCTTCGCCTTGCGTTTCTGGGCCGGAGTCATGGCAGCTTCTTCGGCTACCTCGGTGTCGTTTTCGATAGCAGGAGACTCTTCGATCTTCTCTTCTTTCGGCAAATCTTCGGTTGTGGGCTCAATTGTCGCAGGTTCCTCGGTCCTGACGAGCTCAGCCTCAACAGGCTTTTCCTCCTCCAAGACAGGCGCGGCCTCAGTAGTGGTATCGGCAGGTGTGTCAGCAGGAGTCTCGGTTGTCGCCTCATTTTCAATAGGGGCGTCTTCGGTCAAGTCAACAGACTTGCCCTTCTTCTTGTTCTTCTTCGCCTTGCGACGCTCCTTTGCGGTCATACCAGCCTCCGATTGTTCCTCTTCATCTTGACCGCTGGGTGACTGCGGCTCTGAGGCAGGTTTGGATTGATCCTCGGCCTGAACGAGGGCAGAAGGTTCCTGCTCAGTAAGTTCCCTAACTTCTTCGGATGGAACAGACTCGGCTATCTTCTCTGACTCGCCCAAGACATCGGTCTCGGGTACTGAGACTTCCTTGTCAATGGCAGCCTCGGCCACTTCTTCGGTCACGGGGAGCTCCTTGGTAGCAACTTCGAAAGGAACACTTGGCTCGGCGGGAGGATCCCGTGACTCAATCCTTTCTTGCGACACAGAGGAGTCCTGCTCAGGCTTGGAGTCGTCGGCCTGAGAAGCACTTTCGTCATCACCCCCAGCGACAGACTTGCGGTTCTTCTTCTTCTTATCTTTCTTGGCTTTGCGCTTCTCAGCAGGGGTCATGGCTTCCTCCACAGCTTCAGGTGTGATGGTATCAGCGGGGGCATCCTGCTGAGTAGCCTCCTCTGGCTTGGGCTCCTCTGCCTTTGTCGCTTCATCAGGTGCCACAGGAGTCTCGGCTTCCTCCGTCACGACAGGATGGTCATTGTCCTGGCTTGGTGTAGGCTCGGAGGATACCTCTTCGGTAGGCATAGCCTTGATCTCCTCTTCAATAACTGCGGGCTGCTCTTCAGAAGGCACAGGCTGTTGCTCAGCGGCGAGTGACTGACGCTTTTTCTTATCTTTCTTGGCCTTGCGCTTCTGAGCGGGAGTCATGGCAGCCTCTTCGGCGGCCTCAACAGCTGCATCATCGGCAAGGGCATCTTGTGAAGTGGCTCCCTCTGGTAGTGGGTCTTCGGCTTTTGGGGCCTCTTCAGTCACATCAGGGAGCTCAGCATCCCTCTCCAAAGTGGGCTGCTCAATCTCAGCAAGTGCAGGCTCGGTAGACTCTGCTGCAGTGGGCTCAGTGACCTCTTCAGTGGGCACAACGGTTGATTCTTCTTCAACGGGTGTGTCCTTGATTTCTTCCTCGGCGGGTGTGGTCTGCTGTTCATCGCCGGCAACTGACTGACGCTTCTTCTTATCTTTCTTGGCCTTTCGCTTTTGGGCGGGTGTCATCGCAGCCTCTTCAGCGGCCTCACTTTCCGCCTCATTGGCATGGGCTTCAATTTGGGTGTTCTCAGGCAATGGTTCTCCAGGTTTGATCTCCTCTGCCACGAGAGAAGCGTCGATCTCCTTTTCGGCGGGATGTTGCTCAACGTCCTGGGCTGACACGGGCTCTGTAGGCTCTGTGGACTCTGCAGCGGGTGTGGGCTCAATTGGCTCTTCAGCAGGCACTGGAATGGACTCCTCCTCGGCAGGCATAGCCTGTGAATCTTCGGCAGCAAGAGACTGGCGCTTCTTCTTGTCTTTCTTAGCCTTGCGTTTTTGAGCTGGAGTCATGGCAGCCTCTTCAGCGGCCTCGGTGGCCTCGGCATTCTCAGTCTCGGCTTGATCGGTAGTGGCATCCTGTTGAATTGTCTCTGGAGATGCTTCATTAAGAATCCCTTCCTCTGCTGGCACAGGGACTTCGGTCTCTGTCTCGGTGAAGGCTGGCTGGATGGTGGGCTCTGTAGCTTCCTCAACAGGAGGAGGCGTGGGGTCCTCAACAGGGGCAGCCACAGTCTCTTCCTCCACAGCTAGAGCCTTCGACTCCTCTTCAACCAGCGTAGGCTGTTGCTCTTCGGGGGAGGCTGAGAGTCCCTTGTTCTTCTTCTTGTCTTTCTTAGCCTTGCGCTTCTGAGCTGGGGTCATGGCAGCCTCCTCCGCTGCTGCTGCTGCTGCCTCGTTAGATTCAGTGATTGTAGTTTCCTCCGTGACAGGCTCCTTTTCATCTGTAGGCTTCTCCTCCAAAGGCTGGTCCAAGGCAGCGTCGTCTTTCTGCTCTCCTGGGACTTCTTCCGCAGGAGCAGTTGGCTCAGTGACGGCCTCTGGGGCAACCTCTGGAGCCGCTTCTTGAGCATCCGTGGCTTGGCTGAGGGGCTCAGTTGCAGCTGCAATCTCATCTGAGACAGGCTCTATGTTGGCTTCTTTGTCCGCAGTAGAAACATTTTGGGCCTGCTCCTCTTGGGTTATTGCCTCGACTTCAGCCGCCGGGACTACCTCTACCTCAATGGGCTCAGGAACGGGCACTTCTTCGGTGTTATTTGGCTCCTCGACTGGAGGGACAGCTTCCTCGGCGGTGGTAGACTCAGACTGCTTTTGCTGCTTTTTCTTGTTCTTCTTAGCCTTCTTCTTCTCGGCTGCAGTCATTGGAACTTCGGCCTCTGCTAGTGCTTCTGGCTCTTGAGTGACTTCGGTCTCAACAGCGCGGGTGGCTTCTTCGGCAGGTGCTGGGATTACATCTTCTAACTTTGGGTCCTCTGACTGAGCCAGGTCAGCAGGGGCGGTAGATTCCTCCGATGGAGGCACAACATCAGTTCTGGCTTCAAGAGGCTCAGCATCGGCTACTGCGGGAGCATCCTCAGTGGGAGGCTCGAGATCTTTGCTTGGCTCGGTGATCGCAGCCTCCACTGGCAAGCTCGTCTCCTCAATGGCAGGAGCTTCAATTTCAGCAGTAGACACAGCCTCTTGTTCGGCTTCAGTAGGCTTGTCTTCCACCACTGGTGCGTCATCTATAGGACCAGGAGTCTCAGTAGATTCAGCCTCGGGAACAGGCTCGGTTTCGGCGGGGTTGGCCGTTGCAGAAGCAGCGGCAAGAGCAGCCTCTTCCTCTTGCTTCTTCTTGGCTGCTTTCTTGGCTTTCTTCCTCTGAGCTGCGGTCATAGGCACCTCGGGCTCCGCAGGGGCGTCTTCTGTCTGGACTTGTTCCTCCTGTACTGTGGGTTCGTCTTTGGGAGTCTCCGCACTTGTCTCCTCGGCAATGGGCTCGATGATAGAGACGGGAGCCACATCTTCTTGAGGCAGCTCGGCTTCAAGATTATCTTGGAGCTCGGCTGGTTGCTCCGGCTCAGAAGATTTCTCAGGCTCAGTGATCTCGTCAGGCTGAATGGACTGCTCAAGCTCAATGGGCATCTCTTTCTCGGTCTCTTGTGCTGCCACATCAGCCAGGACCTCAGCCTTCTCGGCATTTTGCTCGACATCCGGCTCTGCAGCAGTCTCGGCAGTAGGCTCGACGATAGGCTCGACACTAGGCTCGACAACAGGCTCGACACTAGGCTTGACAACAGGTTCGACAGGAGCCTCGGGAACAATTGAAGAAGGCTCAGTAGGCGCAGACTCAGCAGGTAGTTGTTCTTCATCGGGAACAGAAGATTGACTCTGCTTGTTCTTCTTTTTCCTATCCTTCTTTGCCTTCTTCTTTTCCGCAGCAGTCAAGGCAACCTCTGGCTCGGCCTCAGCTTCAGGTTGAGGTTGAGATTGAGATTGAGATTCAGGTTCAGGTTCAGGTTCAGCGGGGGTTTCAGGCTGGGCCTCTTGTTGAATCTCAACAGCAGCTGGCTCGGCGATTTCACGAGAGGACTCGTCTGTGGGAGCTTCTACTTCGACTGGAGCAGGGGCGGCATCAACAGCAGCCTCATGTAGAGGGCTATCTTGCTCTTGCTCTGGTGCGGTGGCAGATTCTTGGGCAGGAGTCTCAGAAGCAAGCTCGACATCCTTGGGAGGTTCTTCGGGATCAGAAGGCAAGGGTTCCTCGCTACTTGGAACAGTCTGATTGTCTGCAGGTTCGGTCGAGGCGGACTCCTCCGGATTGGCCTCCTGGACCTCGCCTTCGGGTGCAGATGTTGGCTCTTCCTCGGTGGGAACTGGGCTCTCTTCGACAGCGGCGGACTTTCGGTTCTTCTTTTTGTTCTTCTTTTTCTGGGCCTTGGTCTCCTGGGTGTCGGTATTCGCCACAGCGGTTTCGTCAGCCACAGGCTCAGCGGCAGGCTCAGCGACAGGCTCAGCGACAGGCTCAGCAACAGGTTCAGCCACAGGCTCAGCGACAGGCTCAGCGACAGGCTCAGCGACAGGCTCAGCGACAGGCTCAGCGACAGGCTCAGCGATAGGCTCTGGCACAAGCTCTGGTGTGTAGTCTTGTGCAACCTCGGGCTCCTTCTCTTCGGCAGGCTGAGAAGTCTGTTCCTCAACAGCTTCCTGGAAATTATCCTCACCTTCTGTCTCCTCTTTAGTTGGTTCGGAGAAAACAGGGGCAGCGATATCGCCAGAGGCCACAGGTGTTGATTCTTCGATTGGCTGTTCAACGTCTGCCAGACTGCGAGATGCTTCCTGAGTTTCTGGCTGTGGAGCCTCGGGAGCCACAGGCTCTTCGGTAGTAGGCACAACAGTCTCTTCCTTGGGTGTCTCAGGAACATCGACAGTCTCATCGGCGGGTTCCTCAGCCGAGACATCCTTGGACTTGTTCTTCTTCTTTTTGTCCTTCTTGGCCTTCTTCTTCTGAGCAGCTGTCATGGCGACCTCAGGCTCAACCTCGGTCTCGGTTTCAGGTACGGAAATAGGCTCTGGGGTCTCAACCGCCAGAGAAGACTCAAGACCAAGATCGCGCGAGGCTTCGACGGGCTCGGCTTCGGCTTGTGGCTGCACAGTCTCGGAGATATTTTCCTGGGTGGAGGCGACAGTCTCTGGCTCAACTGGAATAGTGCTAGTCTCGACAGGAGCATCCGGGACAGAAGGCGTCTCGACCGTAGGCTCCTGTTCAGCCTCTTTAGGAGCATCTTCCTGAACAACGGGAACATCCTCATAAACCAATTCCACACTTTGATCTTGGCTCTTCCCCTTCTTCTTGTTCTTCTTCGCCTTGCGCTTCTGAGCTGGAGTCATGGCCGCCTCCTCGGCAGTATCGGTCTCAGCAGGCTTTTCTGTCGCCTCAGGGAGAGACTCTTCTGTAATATCCCTTGACGCTTCAACCGGCTGCTCGGCATTTAGTTGAACAGGAGCACTCTCTTCAATAGCAGTACCCGGCTCGCCGATTTCCTCGTCTGCAGGCGCATTATCATGCGAAGCAACTTCTGTCGCAACAGCTGCATCAACTATATCGCCAAAGCCATGGATCTTAGGTTCAGCTGACGTAGTCTCTCCTTCGTCTTCTGGCAAACCACGAGATTCAGACTCGCCTGCATGCTCGGTAGAGTGCTCGTTTTCTCTTTCCTTCACAGCAGCGATAGCAGCAGCATCAACTATGCCAGCGAAGCCTGTTCCCATGGCAAGATCACCGCTGTTCTGAGACTCACTCTCCTGGATATCTTCAGCGGGAGTCTCATACTCTGATTGGGGAGTCTCGGGCTCAGCAGGAGGAAGAGCCTCCAACTGAGTCTCGGCAGGCAACTTCTCAAAGCCATCCGGGTTTCGCAGCAGCTCTGAAGGCGAATGGAACTCGTATTTGAGTTTCTCTCGCTTGGCGGAGGGACTGGTAGTGTCGAAGGTTTCGGCGGTGGGAGTAGCCTGCTGCGAATCCAGGAGATCAATCTCACGCTCGCGATCGTGGTGCTCGTTCGCATGATCCGTCTCGATTGTCAGGCCTGTAGGTCGGCGGTTCTCCATCATAGAGTGACTGAGGTCAACCTGCTCCCAGCTTCGGATGCCATCGTCGTCATTGAGAGCTTTGAGGTCTTCGATGGATGGGACGCGAGACGAGGTCTTGCTGGATGGGAGGGAGGGCAGACCCTCCTGAGGCTCGGAGTCGCCCTTCACAGAGCTGTGGCGTTCGACTAGCCATAGCGGTCTGATCTCACGGGAATTGCGGAACTCGACTGAGCCTGGACGGCGGTGGCGTTGTTGGCTTGGTGAGCCGGGGGATTCAAGGCTCGGTGCATCGACGGGGACAACGCGGGAAAGGCCTGGCGATGTTGGGGGACGGCGGAAGTGGAGAGGCACGGCTGTTGGAGACTCAGTGACTGATTTGGCGACGGAGCCGCGGCGTGCCTTCGGCGATCGGCTGGTTTCAGGTGAAGCCGGTCTGCTCTGAGACTTGGGAGTCAGGTCGAGAGCTTTCTCCGTGCTTGGGGGTGAGGTTGAGCGGCTTCGGGGTCTATGCTGGAGCATCTCTCCAAGACCTAGGCCTGCGGCTGCGCCGAGGGCGGTTCCTGCTGCCGATGGGAGCCCCGAAGCACCACCTTCATGGTCGTGATCATCGCGCTCAGCCGCGACTAGCGTTCCGGGGCGCTCGTTTAAAAAAGATTGATTGTCGTAGTCGTCATTAAAGTCCTGCACGTGGATAATACCAGTAAAAGCTTAGTACAATTCTTGTTTGTTCGGGTTTTGTGGTTTTTGTGCAAAGCCAGTATGACCGAGGCCATCGCCAGCGTAAAAGGGAAACTATATGGCACATAACAGTGTACAATAAAATCGAAAACATGAGTAACAACAAAAGGAAATGTCAGATGCTATACCTTCTCAGAATCCCGTTTCCGTCCTGAATCCACAATTTCCTCATACCGATGCCGACGTCGCTCTTCCTTGCGCTGTCTACTGGACCTGTAATCCTCCAGATTTGTGCCATCCTCGACATCCTTCTCCTTGTCAGATGCATCATCTAATTCATCTCCATTACTGGAGCTGCGGTGCTTGGAAGAACGCTTCTTGCGGCGACGGCGTTCATCATCAACACCGACTTCAGACAGGGCTTCGCGGGAGGAACGCTTGTCCACTGAGGATGAACGGGCTCGCTCGGCGGGAGCTGAGACCTGAGACCCAAAGATACTTCTCAAGAAGCCGCCTGGCTTCTTCTCTTTTTCTTCATCCTTGTTCTTGCGTCTCTCGCGGGACTCGCTGATTCTGGCGGGAGAAGAAGTTACAGAGGCCGTATCATCAAAGTCGCGAGATGAGCGGTGACGGTGCTTGCGGCGCTCAGATTTATCATCTGCCAGATCCGTGATAGCAGAGCGAGCATCATCATCAATGGAGAAGGTATCACTGCCATGTCTGGAGCGGTGTTTGCGGCGTCTTCTCTTCTCCTCGCCCTCCTCTCCGTCTTCGGGGGTGGTGTTCCAGTGTCACGGGGAGAATCCACGTTGTCCCCACTTCTGCGAGACTTTCTGTGTCTATAAGACTCAGAAGCAACAGAGCGAGATTCAGAGACGTCACGAGAGCGGGAGACGTAGTCATCACCACTGCGGCGGGATCTTCTGTGTCTAGACCCCGAGGTAGCAGAACGAGACTCGGAAGGATCACGAGATCGGGAGATGTCAAAGTCATCTCCACTGCGTCGGGAGCGTCTTGACTTGCTGGTCTCATCCTTGGTTGCCGGAACGGAAAACACGGAGCGAGTGTCATCCCGGGATTCAGATACATCGCGCGAACGAGAAATGTCAAAGTCATCGCCACTGCGTCGAGATCTGCGGGACTTGCTTGTCTCATCTTTAGTAGCGGGAGTAGAGAAGACAGATCGATCATCACGAGACTCGGAGATATCTCGAGATGGGACAATTTCAAAGTCATCGTCGTTTCGTCTGGATGACTTGGATCGGGGAGACTCGTATTCCTTCGGTGCAGGAGCAGTAGCAGGGGGAGAAGGCTCACGGGACTCAGGCGCTTCTCGCGATCTGTAGATCTCAAAATCATCACCGCTGCGTCGAGACTTCTTGGATTTAGACGTCTCATCCTTGGTAGCCGGAACAGAGAAAGTAGAGCGGGTATCATCACGAGGATCAGTAACATCTTGCAACGGAGCAACATCGAAATCATCACCACTGCGTCGAGACTTCTTGGATTTAGACGTCTCATCCTTGGTAGCGGGAACAGAGAAAGTAGAGCGAGTGTCATCGCGAGGATCAATAACGTCTTGCAACGGAGCAACATCGAAATCATCACCACTGCGTCGAGACTTCTTCGACTTAGACGTCTCGTCCTTAGTAGCCGGAACAGAGAAAGTAGAGCGGGTATCATCGCGAGGATCAGTAACATCTTGCAACGGGGCAATATCGAAATCATCACCGCTGCGTCTAGATCGTCTAGACTTCGATGTCTCATCTTTAGTAGCGGGGGCAGAGACAATAGAACGATTCTCGTCCTGATACTCGATCGCCTCGGGTTCGTGCTCGTGCTGGTGCTTATGCTCGTGCGCACGCACAGGCTCAGGCTCAGGCACTGGTTCTGACACCGGCTCGAATTGACGTTCTGGTTCTGGCTGTGGCTGTGGCTGTGGCTTTGTCTCTGGCTCTGGCTCACGTTTCTTTGTCTCAATCACAAAGTCATCAATGCTCTTCCTGGAGCTTTTCTTCTTGGACTTGGACTTCTTGGATTGGGTAGGCGACTCGGGATCTTGAGTTGTAGGGCCAGGGGCAGAGAAGACGGATCTTTCATCGCGGGAATCAATGACATCTCTCGAATCAGCTGTGTCAAAGCCACCGGGCATGGAGAAGGTATCGATGTCAACATCACGCTCGCGCTCCCGCTCGGGAGATGTGGGTTGAGTGTGCTTATCGCGCTTGCCGTTCAACTGCTCGAGAACCTCCTGGGCGATTGAGGACTTGTCGCGGCGTGCTGAGATATCTCTGTCCTTTGAAAAGGACTCGGGTTCAGCGAAGAAGAGTTCATCCCTGTCGGTTATTTGCTTCGAAGCTGGCACGTCTCTGATTGATTCGGGTCCGACATCTTCAATTTCGCCTTCGACGAAGCCATGGGGCTTGGCGGGTGGTTTCGCCCAGGATGAGTTGAAATGTCCTTCATCCTCCGATCCGGGAGGAGAAGTGCGAGTGTGGTAGGCGGGGTCATCTGTGATCATGGCGGGATCAAAGCCTGCAGCGGCCGTTGCGGCAGCAAGGGTGGCAGCAAATTCGATATCGTTGCCGTAGTCAGACTTGCTGGCAATATCCCTGGTGGAACTGATCTCAGAGACAGGCAGAGGGACGTCTTTGGGAGAAACCTCCTCGTAGGGAGAAATGTCATGCTCCAGGGGGTCTTGTTCAGAGGAAGATGGGATCTCATATTCATGGGTCTTGTCGTCACCCCACGAGACACGGGAGCCAGTGGTTGACCGTTCACGAGGCTTGGTGTCATAGGATGATGTTACTTCGGGCGCTACAATGGGGGAGTTGGCATCACGAACGGATCCACCGTTTGTGCTCTGGGGAGGGGTCGGCTCAATGAAGTTGAGACGAGGGACTGGCCATGGGAGACGGTCGACGTTTTCGTAAGGCTCGTGCGAATAGTCCGGCTCTTCGCGTTTAGGTTCGTCGCGGGTGCGGCGCTCACTAGCGGGCTCAATTTCCACAATTGTGGGCATACCGCTGGATCCGCTGCGCTTGTGGTCATCAGGGCTGTGTCGTAACTCTTCGGGGGCGTAGAACTCTGCGTAATCGTCGTAAACTTGTGGTTGGCGGGGAGAGTAAGGGCGAGGAGAGCGTGTCTTCTTCTGTTCCTGGTGCTGCACCTCGGGTGCTGCTTCAATGGCCAGGGGAGGCTCGAACCTTGACACAAGGGATGACTCGGCGTCAATCTCACCTTCCCGACGACGCTCAGCACGGCGTTTTTCCCGGCGTTCATTGCGTCGCAGGCTGGCTTCAGACGCTTCATCGTCATCTGTGGTGCGAGAGAGAAGGGTGCTAGCAGCAGCAGCGCCAAGGGCTCCGGCAGCGGCTACCCCAACCCAAGAAGAAGAATTATTCTCTCTTTCACTGGTATCTCGGCGCCTGTCGTCTTCGCGCCTCGCCTCTTCGCGTTTCGCCTCTTCACGCTCCTTGCGACGGCGATCAAGACGTTCCATCTCTAGACGATCCTCTTCCTCTCGCTCTCTACGGCGACGATCGAGACGTTCGGCCTCCTGGCGATCTTCATCTTCTCGGTCGAGCAACTGAAGAGGCGCCGGGGCGAAGAGGTCATCTCGGGAGCTCCGATCCCGGCGATCAAGGCGGCGTTCCCTCTCCGCTTGCTCCTCCGTCAGGTTGAATTGAACGGAAGCCTGGTCCTTTGCGGTTGCCCGGCGCTTCAGGCCAGAAGCAGTCTCCTGTGTTGGGAAAATGGGGAAAGAATCACTGCGCCGATGAGGTCTGGGTACATCGGATTGTGGAACTTCAGGAGCAAATACCACATCCCGAGAGTCGTGGAACTGCATGTCATGAGGTCCGAATCCGTTGGCGGCAAAGGCAGGAGGAACCGCTGGTGCACTGTAGGCAGGGATCGACCCTGGCAGAGCTCCCTGGGTAGTGAACACGGCTTGGGAGACAGGGGTGACAGGCTGTGGCTGCTGGAGGGGAATCGGTCCAGGGCGAACGAGAGCCGGGTGACCACCAGACACAGAAGGAGACATCTTTGCAACATCGAAGCGACATGGATCCGAAGTTGGCGTAGGGTAGACTTGTTGGAGACTGCCAGAGCTGCTTGGGGGCTCGCTATCACGGTGACGAGCTGAAGCGATGGCAGCTGCTCCAAGAGCACCGGCACCGACTGCGAGAGCAGTGTTGGTACCGCTGGACTTCTTGTCCTTCTTCTTTTTGTCTTTCTTGCTGCCCCGGAGCCAGCCCCAACGGCCGCTTGAGTCGGAAGACGAATCAACACTGCTTGCTCCGAATGCCAGCGCGGAGCTGACACTAGAAGCAGAGTGGTCGGATTCATCAATCCACTCATCGTCGTTAGCAGATGAAGCGTAGTTGGAATGACGGGATTTGGTGTACAGCTGGCCAGCACTACGACCAGGGCCATGGGGCGATGAGCCAGCCAGGCGGTTCGCAGTAGCACCAAGTCCTACCAAAGCGGCATCGACATCTTTACCCTTCTTGTCCTTCTTCTTGGACTTGGATGACTTCTTTGAGAACCCATCTCCGAAAGCGAGGTCGTTATCAAGTGAAGATGATGAAGAGCCACCTTTCAAAGAGAAGAATCCACTACTTTTCTTGCTCTGGCGCTTCTTCCGGTTCTCAGATGAAGAAGTGAAGAAGGAGCCGATACCACCAGCGACAGATTTCTTCGAGCGGCGAGAGAGATTCACAACGGATGACGACGAGGTTGAATCCTTGCGGCGTCGGTCTCTTCCAGAAGACGGGCTGCGGGAACGAGTACGCGACTTGGTAACAGCCAATGCAGCTCCACCCACAGCAGCGCCCAGCGCAGCCTCCTTCAAGAAAGAATGGCGATCAGAACGGGACGAAGAGCGGGATCGGGAGCGTGTTCGTCGTGAGTGTCCGGATGGGCGTTTCCCGTCGGAGTTGTAATCTCTCTGGGGACTGCGACCAGAACGGCGGACCACGCCACGAGAAGTGTAGCTCCTACGGTCATCGTCGTCATGGGACGAATTTACTCGGCCAGAACGGACGCTGTAGGAATCATCAAACTCCTTGTTCGTGAAGAGTGACTTGGTCGCATAGCCCGCTAGCATGCCGGGCAGCCATGAGGATTTCTTGGACTTCTTGCGTCGACGACTTTCGTCTTCAGATGACTGATATCGGCTGACCTTGCTCACTCTGGAAGAGCTGGCACTGCTGTATCGATCAGCAGAGTTCCGACGGCGCCTGTCATAGTGATGCTTGCGGGGAGCATCCAGGGAGGTCGTTCCAGGTTGGAAGCAGTATTTGCACACGCCAATTGATTCTGTGTAATCCTCGAATCTTCCAACTGCCTCGGGATCGCGCCAGAAATCAACGAATCGACCGAGTGGGCCACGTTCGCGCTCCTGGAGAGCAAGAGCACCGGGGCCGTGAGGATAAAATCCAGGATTATGAGCGGCATTGGAGGCGTATCCCGCTGCACCTGCAGCATACAGGGCATTGTTGTGGTTGTGGTTGTGGTTGTGAGTATGGATGTGGTTGGGATACCCTGGGGCATACGGCGGGATACCAGCTTGAGATGAGCCCTCGTAATTCTGGAAATCGTGCTGTGATGCGTGTTCCGGGCTCGAGGAATGATGATGATGGCCCATCATGTATCCAGCTGCGCCACCAGCGGCTGCCAGGCCAACACCTTCACTGAAGCTGTGTGAATGGGGGGGCCTGTGTGTAGGCTTCTGGCTGCTGCTTGCAATTGGTTGAGCTGCTAGCTGTGTCATTGGTGGGCTCATAGGCTGGGTCATTTGTTGGTTATAAGAACTAGAATGGTGCACCTCAGAAGACGAATGTTCATTGTGAGAGTGAGACATCATGCCAGAAATGCCATAAGCAGCAGCTCCAACGGCGGCAGCAGGAAGCACGTTGGATGAGGAAGGTCTGCTAGGCTTGGGAGGTTTTGAAGGTCTGGATGAAGATGCTGTGGAAGGCTTGACAGGTTGCGTAGGGACATGGAAGTCATCATCGAAATAAGCCGCCGCCGCACCAGTCTGACCCATGCTACTGGGCTCTGGGGGAGGGTTGGCGGTGGGCGATGCGGCCATCAAGTGCGCCTGGGTGTTGGGCAGTACAGATGGACGCGCTGGGCGAACACCGGGCTGCATCTCTACTGACTGACCCTGGTCCCCGTAGTAGTCAGCCGCGGCGCCGGCAGGGTTCATCGGCAGGTACGGTTGCGCAACACCTTCTGGGAATTGACCGGGGAATTGTTGCTGCACATGAGGATCATAAGGCACCTCATGCTCCGGTGAATGGCCAGCCGACGGCATGCCCGTGTCGTATTGCATGGGGAACTGCGAGAAGCCCGGCGCCGCGATATCGGTGGCGAACTGTACAGCGGGGGCGCTCGGCGGCGGCGGCATGCTCGTTGACACTGGCGGCACATAATGATCCCCAGACTGGGTGCGACGACGCTCAGGGCGGTCGCGATCCCGCTCCCGCTCCCGATCCACGCCGTCATCCAGTGTCTCATTCGTCGCCCGTCGACTTCTTCTTCTCTCCCGGTCTGGACTCACAGATCGGTCGCGTTCGCGGCGGCGAGAACTTTTGCTCTCCCGGTCACTGTCTCTGCGTTTGGGGGTGCGCTCAATGATGTAGCGATCGGAGTCCTCCATGGCTTCTGGTTCCGCGGTCACATAGCTGGAGGCGATCGAGTCGCCGGCGACACTAGATGACCCCCGCTTGGTGCGGGAGCCCGATGGTGAGTACGAGGATAAATCGCCCAAGCCACGGTCACGGTCGTCACCCCGTGAGGATTTGCGACTTGAGGTCGATTTGGCATCGGAGTTGTCGGTCTTGCGCCGGCTCTTGGAGCGCACGTCGGTGGACGACGATGACCGACTGCCCATCAGAGCCTTGAACATGGTGGGCAATTAATTAGAGCCCTCAGGAATCCACCATGTGGGAAGGGAATGAGGAATGTAGGAGTATGGGGAAGGGAAGTTCGTCCCCAGCCTCTGGTTGTTATGGGTTTGTTTGTAAACAAGCTGAACCGTGGATCGGCGGGACTTAACCGCTTATCCTTCCGGCTCAGTCAGCACTTTGTGACTGCCAGGTTAAGTGTTGGGATCTGTTAATGGAGTGAATCGAGTGTAGTGAGTATGTCGAGTATGTCGGGTATGTCGGGCACTTCCAGCATCAATGCATGAAAGTGAAAAATGGGAATCCCTCACTCGTTTGCCTTGATGAGCTGTCGGTGCAACGAGTGGAGCGAATCAAAGTCGCGGTGAAGCATCGTGCACGTGCCACGGGGGCTGGGATTTCAGCTGAGCTGGGAAATACAATAGAGCAGAATCAAGATGGCTGTTACTATGACTATTACTAGGACTATTAGTTGACTATTACTGCAATTCCTACAATATCATCATCTATAAAGACCACCAGCTTAACCTTGGAATTAACTCGGGTCTGATATCATGGCGGAACCACGGTTGAGATCTCAGCTGTGGATCGTTGCATCGTTGGGCTCCATGCCAATTGACGCCTGAGGCTCGGATCCTGAAGAGGGATACAATGTTCACCATGTGGCCATTCACTATATTCCCCTTCTTGCTGATATATAAGTTATATACCGGAAAGTCCTTACAGAGCACATAAGTCACATGATCCGTACTAGAATGGAAGACCTTACATAGGCCCAATAATTTCTCCAGTAATACAGTACAGGAGTACAGGAATAGCACCTCCTTTTATACAGCGCGGACACGTCACTAAAGCACCAATTACTCTGTCTGATGCGGCTTAATTGTTATCTCGTTTTGTTGCCATGTTCCTCTTTCGGGGATCGAGGAATCCGTTTCTTGTTCCCGTCTTTCGATGGAGACGATGACTTCGACTTTGCCAAGCTCGTATCTGGAGGTGAAGGTCCCGGGTGCTCGATCTCTCGAGTCCGACGATTCACGCCCAAGGAAGCCGGGTTCTTGCCCTCGGGGTCGCCGCTGCCACCTTGATCGCCATAGCCACCTGTCGAGTATGGGACTCTGTGGAGAATGGATCGGGGGTAAACGGCATCGAGTCTTGGATAGCTTGTTTGTTTATTCAGGAGAATGCTAGTGTGGTTCATTCGGGCCGACATGGCCTTGGGATAGATCGTGACAGGGTTCGGCATTGTTTGCACTGATTACTATCACGTAGAGTAATGTTATATGGAATAATAGGCTGGTGAGAGGAAGATAAAAAAAATATGCAGGAATTAACTCATTGGAAATATATATAACTTAGAAATGCTTATGCCCCGGTGACGTTGTAGACCTCTTGGATGGATGATAGTTAATCATGATGACCTCACACAAGAACATATTTGTATTGACCGAATTCGCCATCAAGCATCTCAAATCCTGTTTACATATGAATCCATCAGCCGTGGAAGTTGATGTTTGAAACCATGGTATATCATGGACAGCAAGAGTGGAAAGATATGAGCGGGGATAAGCGAACCACCTACGAACCTCGAACCTTTGGGAACTGAGTTGAATTCAAATCCAAATTCTACTTCAAGGAATCTAATTCCCATCCCTCAACTCCTCCAAATGAGCACTCTCCCCACCAACCTTCTCCCCCCTACCCTTAGCAGCCTGCGAAAGCCTCCGCTGCCGATTCTGCTCCATCATCTGCTTCGCAAACGGCGACCTCTCCCGAATGGCCGGTCCATTCCGATAGAAGAAGTAAATAGGCGCCGTAACAAGAATAGAGACAGAAGCTAGAATCGTGGACGCATACGCATACGGGTACTTGTTTCCGATATTCGTGAACATCGGCGTAGAATACATCGCTGCGATTCCGGCTAGGAAGTCGCGCGCGAAGTCGTTGCCTCCGGTTGCGGAGGCTGCGTATTCGCCGTAGGCGGCTATGGTGTAGTCGATGGATGATTGGTAGATTGAGTACTGGGGATGTTAGTTTGGGTTGAGTCCTTTGGGATGGGTAGGTGGGTGCTCACGTTGGCGATTCCTATTACCATGGTGAAGATCATGGGTGCGATCCAATGCACGTTTGGTGGTCCTAGGGTTGTCCAGGCGAAGCCGAATAGGCCTATTGGGAGGCAGGGTATGACTGGTATCACGTTCAGTTTCAAGGTTACTAGAATAGAGGTGCGACTTGTCTAGATGGGAGATCTTGGCTTACCATATAGTAACCACCATAACCGCGCTTCGGGAGGGACAGATTCAGATCCGTTTTTGCGTCGTCTCTGACGGAACATGTGAATGGAGGGTAAGAAGGAGAGGTAGGCGATGCCGTATCCAATAATCAGCCTGGCAAGAAAGTAAGTTGTTAGCATGCATTCCAAGAGAAAGTATATAATCCCACTGACGGTATAAAAGCAAGACTAATCTGAATAGTCCCAAACCCCCACTGTTTATACACGGGCTGGAACCCCTGAAGAAAGGTAAAGATCAAAGAATCACTAAAGCCACTCAGCAGCGACAGCCACAGAACAATAGGCTCAGTGAGAAGCATGACGAAAGGCCGTTTCCACACTCTCCAGATCTCCCGCGGCGAGAGCGAAAACCCATGGATCTCATGTGGACCCCAGATATTCACCTTGCCAGGCCCAGCCTTGCGTCTCTTCTTCGCTATCCGGTCGAGCAAGATAGTAGCCCGCGTTTCAGGTACCAGGAAGAAATGCATGATCTGAACACATCCCCCGGCAAGCAGTTGAACCCAGAAGATCCAGGGTAACGGATGGCGTTCCTCGACGAAGCCACCAACAACAGCACCAACGACCGAACCACCGACAGAAGACAAAACAAGAAACGCAACAGCGTACTCCTGATCATCCGGCTCCCACATATCGGCGATAACGCCCAGCGTCACCGACCCGCCAGCTGTACTCAATCCGCCCAGCAACCGCACCACAATATAAGTTGCGAAGTTGGGGGCCAGCGCACACGGTAACTGCCATATGTTGACGAGGAACAGGCTCAGCTGCTGCGTTGGCCATCGTCCCAGCTCTTCGCTCCACGGGGCCCACAGCTCGCAGCCAAAGGCGTAGGCGCAGAGGAAGGTCAATTGCGGGATTCGCGCGACTTGTTCGCTTACATTGTGTTCTTTGGATATGGCGGCAACTCCGTTGGCGTAGAGACTTGCGTTTAGGTTGATGGAGATTTGGATGCAGAACATTACACAGAGGATTTGCCATTTTCGCCAGCTGGGGAAGCTGTAGCCCAGTTCATTGTAGCCGGCTGATTGTGTGAGTTCTATCTTGCTTTCGTGGGGGATGTCGTCGCCGTCGGTCAGATTCACTGCTTCTAGACCTTGGGGTTCGTCTAAAGTGGTGGATTGATTACTGGTCATTGTAGTAATTGAGCAATTGAACAATTGTAATAATAGATGTAGAGCTGTATCATATTATACAATTAACCTGGACGAAAAAAACCCCCCAAATTGAGCATAGATATAGGTCTACCATAGGGTACATCCATGACGTGTGTGGAAACGTCGCCCATGGCATCGCACGACATATTTCTAGATCGGAAATGCTTCTTTCATCAGCTGCTCACTCCTCTTCGTATTCACAATGCCAAACCATGGGACCGAAAAATAAAGCCAGCAGGACATTGGACGCGTATACGAGGAGGTAGCTCTTGGTAAATGGGGTCGCTTCGTGCCGCTTCCATCCATAATTTCGCCTTACAGTCTCAATCGACACTAGACAGTAAATGACGCAGTGAAATGTCATATACGGACGTAAAAATTGATAAATAATATATTGGATATCAAATTGGTATTATAATCACATGTGGGGGGAAATAATACAGAATCGTTCACTCATAATGCAACCCCTTTACTCGGACTTCTTGCCATGTAGCGGGTGCGCGATCTTCTCCTTGAGCTTCTCCATGGTGCTCTGCTTGTGGCCGTCGCCCTTGTCGTGGTCGCCCTTGGCGTGATCCTTTGTTTCGGATGAGTCGCCCTCTTCTATAGGATATTAGTGTTGTTCCAGTATAGGGCTGACGGTATATCTTGGCAAAAGCTTACCAGCAATAGATCCACCGGCAGGCTTGCCGGTCTTGTTCTCTTTCTCGAACTCTGCTGCGGTTTTCTTTGCGTCACCGGTAGGTCCCTTCAGGGCCTCCCTGCTGACGTGGTGGTCTTCCATGATGGCTGCAGTGCCGCGACGGCCTTGGTCCATGGTCTTCTCGGCATTCTCTGAGTTTCCGGCGGTCTCTGAGCTACCGGCGTTCTCGGCGTTCTCGACCTTTCCGGAGCTCACGGCGTGGTCCTTGTTCTCGATGTTCTGCGGCTGAGAGGTATTCTGGGAAAAGCTCTCGTGCTTGGCACCTCCGGTGCTGGTGTTGTCCATGGCAGGGATTTGAGGCTGAGCAGAACTCTGGGAAAAGCTCTCGTGCTTGGCATCTCCGGTGCTGGCGTTGTCCATGGCAGGGATTTGAGGCTGAGAGGGATTCTGAGAAATGCTCTCCTGCTTAGCAACTTCGGGGCCGGCGTTATCCCGGGCGGGAATTTGGGGTTGTCCTTCGATGGAGGTCGACATTTTGATCTGAGATGGTATGGTTTGAGAGATTGTTTGAAATAGAGTGTAGTAGTGTAGTCAAATAAGCTTAGTTCGAAGAACTGGATTGCCCAGAGTCGCCTTGGCTTTATATACTTCGAACCCCATACTCCTACTGAGGCTATGACGATGATGACATCATGGGGGGAGGGGGGCCTGTTTGGGAAACCGGCAGACAGCCACACTGCATTGACTGGGTGGACTGGATCAGAGTTGACCTCATTGACCTCATAGTGCAGCGGAGATTGGTTCTTTGTTCCACTTGACGTAGCTCGACGTTCTGATCAACTGCTATTTATGTCGGGGCCTGGACAAAGCCCGTCTTGACCCGCTGCAGTACACTACACCACACGTGAGGACCACGTTTGAGCTCAACCATTCTTTTACTGTTCGATAAGCATATCCAGCTGAGATATTCACTACATGTAAAGCCAATACTTGCACCCCTTAAACCAACCATACAGTAAAACCCACGACAGTAAAATCCCAATTCACCCAGCCCTCATCAACCTCTCCAACCGACACCTCAAAACATGCTGAAACCAACCCGGCAACCCCCTCAACCTCCTCGAAACCCACCCCGCCGACCCCGGCAGCAAAACATGCCCACTCTCCCCCGTCAACACCTGCCCCACCACCCGTGCAGCCACACTCTCCGGCCACAGCAGCGGATTAAACCACGTATCCTCAGGCGTTAGGTCCTTAATCAACGCCGTCCTCGTAAACCCCTGTGTAACCAGCACCGTGCGCACGCGCGGCGCCGCATACCGCGTAACCAGCTCCGCCGCCAGACCCTCATGGAACGCAATCGCCGCCGCCTTGGACGCGCTGTAGTCGACCATGTTCGGCGTGACGGTGTACCCGGCCTGCGAGGCGATCGTCACGACCATCCCGTGGTTCTGGGAGATCATGTCCGGCAGGAATTGCTGGGCCAGGTGGTAGTGCGAGAAGGTGTTGACGGCGAACATGTGGGCGGTTTGGGAGGGCGTGCTGGAGAGGATGGTTTGCGCGGTGCAGATGCCGGCGTTGTTGATTAGGATGGTGGGGCGGCCGAGCGTGCTGAGGATGGAGGTGGCTGTGGTGGAGATTTGGGTTGGGGAGGTTATGTCGCATTCGAAGAAGCGGACGCTGTTGGGGAGGGCTGGGGTGCTTGTTGGGTCTGGGGGGTGAATGTCGAGAATGGCAACTTTGATTTCTTGCGCGCCGAGTTGTTGCGCGATTTGGCGGCCAATGCCTGTGCTGCCGCCGGTGACGATTATGACTTCTTTGTTCCAGTTGTAGTGGTCTTTTTGGTTGTTGTTTAGGATGCGGTGGTCCAGGTAGGTTTCGAGGGCTGTGAGGATGGATATGGTTGTTAGGGCTTGGAGGGCTTTGTGGAGGTTTGGGTGAGTTTGGCTTAGGGTTTGGCCTTTGTTGGTGTATTTGGATAAGATGAAGAGGGGGAGGATCTTCCAGGGGTCGAGGAGCGTTTTGGAGATGATCTTTCCAAGAACATCTGCCGTGAAGCCTAGATTGGGTGTGAGTTGGGATACAGGGGGATCAGGGATGTCGAGAGACTTGACCTTCTCTCGAAAGCCAGGGCTTTGCTTGTGCCATGTCGCCAGATTACTGTAAGTTAGAGTGGAGATATCAAAGAGATCGAATGGGATGAAGTTCACGGGTTTTATGCATGAGCTGACTCCCAGGTTGATATACAGCCCTGGAGACTTGCTCCAAAGGCGGGGAAGCCGAGGCCCGCATGCATTTGACAGCTTATGTCGAGCATATTATTGGACGGCACTGCCATAAAAGGACATTTATGCATACTATGCGGTCCATTTGTCCCATTTTAGAGTTCATATCTCGAGGGCCTTTCTGACAGAAGTCAAGTATGATCAATAATTGGATCCGGCATTCAATTTGTAGAGTCCCTGCTGCGCCCTCATGCACTATAAACAATCCCCACCAAACACACGCGACCTCAAAGACGCCTTGTCATCCAAGCATGAGATCCATATCAATAACCGCCATATCGAGGCGTAGTAGGAACATCCATCTCCCAAACCAAATCCAAGCACGATCCAACATATCAAATCAACCCCACGTGTCCAACCGAATCACGGGGTGGGTTGAAAGAACATCCATGAAAGAAACAAGACAATATCAATATTCGATGCAATGTATGCACACGCCACGCTAGACGAAACTCCCCAGACATACTGTATACCTCGGTGGCAATGTTGCAACGCGAGTCAAATACAATGTACGTCGATATTCAAAGCCAAAGAAACAAAGCACAGCCGTGTCAAGGTATAATCCATAATCCAAATCAAATCTCGGTAAGTCAAAAGGTAAGTGCAAGTATGGCACCCATCATCGCCAGGATGAATAGGTAGTTCAGAGTTGAAACAATTTAACAACTAGTTCCGCTGAGTATAAGATCCAATGAAATAGAAGATAGGGAATAAAGAAAGAAAGAAAGAAGTAAAGAAAAAGAAAGAAAGAAAAAATGCCTGTCGTGATTTGGATCCGAAGACGGGCCAGATACACCAGTGTTGAATTTGATGAGGGGAATCATTGAAGATAGTAAGAGTATAGTGCACAATGTATAGATAACACAGACAGATAAACGAGCTGCAGAAGAAGAGCAGAGAGAAAAGTGAAGGCTGAAGTGAGAGGGACATGCATGATGCGGTCATAAGGAGAAAAGAGGATTGAGGAGGTCGGACACGGGATCACAATGCTGATCCCGGGAGTTCAGAGGATAGAGAAGGACTTGCACGCTAGATGGAGACAGACAGGTATATGCGTAAGCGAATGCATGTAGAAATCAACGGTAGTTGACGTTAATACCAGGTGGGAGATTCGTCAGATCAGGTTCTTTGTCGAAGATCTTGTTATAAATCTCGGTGAGGATGCGGGCGTCGGCGCGCAGAGTGGGGGAGATGTTTTCGTGTTGGGCGAGAAAACAGATCGTCCTTCGGAGGAGGCGGTCGAGGATTTCTGTGTCGACGAATTCCCGCAGACTGGACATGTAGGTGGCGGAGAGGACGAGCATGTTACCGAATTGGCTGGAAGAGAGGTTAGTGGGATGCAAGTTCTGAGTTGCACGATATGTGACAGTGGCTACTTACGCATGAGCTGTGCCAAAGATATTGGTTACCACCAATCGATGCCCACCAACGCCATCGAACGCTTCCGTGCTCAGAATCGCCGAGTCAATGCAGACTTTACATGCACGACGAAGCTTTGCTGGAAGGTCCCGCACTGCGACCTTGGGCGGAACCCAGGCGTGACCGGGGGAGGAAGCCGAGCCCATATCACTCGACATTCGCGACATGTTTGGAGCGCGGCTGGAGTGCAACATGGACGGTGACATTTGTTGTGTGGAAGTAGGCGAGTCCACCTTGTTAGGCTGGTTGATGGGACCGATCCGGGCACCGGTATGGCCATAGTGTAGGGCATGGTAGAGGAGAGGTCGGTGAATGATATAGCGCGCGCCGTAGTACTTCGCACGCATGCGAGCAGAATTGATCTCCTTGGCGGGAGGGTCCGTGTCTTTCCACAACATACTGGATGGTAGACTTGTCCGCCACAGGTCAAGGTTCATGCTTAGTGCTTCTTGGACCGTTGATGACCACCGTCTCTGGCCTTGTCTCTCAACCTTGTAAAGATCGGTATGTACTCGATTGAGGACTTTGCGGAGATGAATTTGGGCAGAGTAATGTAACATCACCGCCGTAGCAGGGTCATCGTGGTCGTCAGGTAGAGGAATAGTGAATCTTCCCCTGGGAAGCGTCATGCGGCTCTCGGACCGCGAGATACCACTCGCTGGAATGTCGAGCTCTGCGAGCAAATCACTCTCTAGTTGTAGACAGGTCCAGTATGCAAAATTGTAGAGATCTAGAACAGCCCCTTCTCCAAGTCGCTCATAACGCTTTGTTCTCACAAGTACTTGACAGGCTCTTGAGGCCTGAGAGATCCAGCTGTGACTCTGGAAGGGATGTGCCAACTGTCCAGCATATAGACCAGCAAGCAACGCCGCCTGGATGTGCTCGAGTTCATTGGCACCTTGCAGGTGGCCCAGAATCTCAGTACAATATCCGTAAAGCGTCAAACCAGGAATGACCTGGTAGTTCTTCGTGTGTCCAGCATGGTCTCGAGCATGTGAGACAGCTCGTCGGGAAAGATTTCTGCGAGGCTCGGTACTTGATGTTGATGATGGCCCAAAGGACTGACTTGTGGCCTGCATAGGCACTGTGTATAAAGGAGCCGTAAATTGCAACGCGGAGTCGGAATTGGCAGGTGATAGAACACCATTGACGCCAAATTGCCCGGTTCCCATAGGAATCGGTGGCAGGGGCGAGGGAATATGCTGATTGCGGTAATCAATTTCCTGGTCCATGATAGGCCCAGGGATAGGAGCAGGACATTCACAGATAGCACCAAGAGCTAGACAAAGCATAACAATGGCATTGTCAATATTCCTTCCAACACGAGGTGGCCGACTTGACGTAGAACTCGGGCTCAAGAACTCGCCTCGTACGCCTAAATTTTCATTGGAGCGCTTCCGCTTCGCTGGCCGTGGGCCGTCACTGCTCATCTGAGTATTTCTCGCCATCGGCGACGGGGTCATACGGCAGTAGACTCGGATGAAGTTCTCAACCTTTTGATCAAGCTCTCCCTGGTCAATGAAGGGGTGAAGCTTGTACATGTGGTTCATGTAACTTTGATAGTAGCGCTGAGCGGTGTGCATCTCCAGGTTCAGGCTACCGAACTTGTCAATGTCAACGTCCGAGTCTGGACCTGCGCCATCTCCATCTGGTTGAGCACCATTCATACCGCCATCACGCAGGCCGGTGGCCCCCGGTAGCTGACTGTCGTCGGCCGAATATGAGATTTCGCCCTGGCCGTAGACACTGATGAGACCGCGCTCTTCTTCTAAGCGCATGACATAATCTTCGTCATACACCTCAGGGTATAGCAATCTCTTGATTGAAGGCCACATCAAGAGCTTGTGAGCAGCAGTGGTGTGCTCCACCGGAATTGAAAGCTCGCCCTCTTGGTCCATGTTTACTTCATCTCCAGGTCCCAGCTTTTGGCCATAATGCGAAGTACCCACATCTTGACTGCCAGCAAATAAGGCTGGAGTACCATTTGAGGGAGGCTTGGAAGGCGTTGGCCGCTCTTGCTTGAGTACCGGCTCTGGCACAGGGGCCGGCGGTGCTGGAGGTAAGTGCGAGCGTTCCTTGCCCACCCATGAGGGTGGCGGGTTAGACTTCTTTAGCCATTCTCGGAGCAAACCGTCGTGCCCTTGGGACGCAGCGGCTAGCAAATCCATCTTCGAAACCAAAGTGTCTTCCAGATGGGTGATTCGATCTATCAAAAGTTGGGTACTTTTCTCTTGCTTGTGCGGCGGCACTTCCTTGTAAACACAAGTCAAATTATTCTCTTTGCAATGACTGCAACCTGGTCGTCCTTCATCACACTTGGCTTTCCTTGCGCGGCATTGGTCACAGGCCTACAGCTCTCACGTTAGTTCTCCATCCAACGACATCGACTTTCGATCTCGCCTACCTGCTGGGCACGAGCCGCTTTTCGTTGACGCGCTCCATACGCCTGGTTTTGGTTATAATAAGGATCATAGCCGCCCACCGGGGTCGCTGGAGCCATTGACGGGCCGGGGGTCATGAATTGTGACGCCGGGGGTAACGGGCCCGCCGTCGGTGTATGTTCCGCGCTGCTGATCTGATCGGCTGGCGGGTAGGCCATGCGAGGGCGATATTCCGGTGAAGCCTCGTGCGGGGTGCCGTTGATGGGCGGGCGGAATCCATGAGGGGGAGTTGGATCTTGCGGGGAATGTACGGGCGCGTGCGGTTGGAGACCATTCGGACGATGGTAGGGCCCGTCTGGTGATAGTCCGGGTAGCTCGCGGCCTGGCAACACGGAATAGCTTTGCATCGGCGCCTGAGTTGCCGAGGGACGGCGCGAATCGGCTGGGTGGTCGAAAGACGGAGGATATTGAGGGCGCCATGAGGGTTCGTAGCTAGGATGCGCTCCCGGAGGCGCATGCGGCCCTTCGGGAGGAGGCATGCGATTCATGGTCGAGGGACAGAGGAGATTCCCGCGCGTTCTTCTCGCCAGTCGATTTGGTCAGGCACTGTACCGGGAGGGGGGGTGGATGCTTGGAGTACTCCGGGGGACTCAAATCAACATGGCGGGAGAGGAGAGAAAAGCAGAAACAGGATAGAAACGGGACGATCTGATCGTGTCGGGAAGCGCAAAGTCGAAACAATGAAATGAAATCGGGTGCCGTTCCAGGTGCGAATCAAATCACGCGCTTAAAGCTCCGAAATCCTTAGGTCGCAAAAATGCGAGGTTGACGTCTTCTTGAGTGGGCAAGGTGGAGCTGGACAAAGAAATAGTCAGATTACCGCGAAGATCCAGCACAGGGGTATCACGAGTTGGGCGAATATGCAAATATGAAGAAACGGCGGAATGGAGGGAAAGAAGAAGAAGAGGAAGCAGGGTCAGAGATTCAAGGCCAAAGCGAAGTCCATCAGATAGATCGAAAGGGCAGAAGTACAAGGTTGGGCAGGAGGGGGTATGGTATGGTAATTTACATTACGAGTGGGGAAATGCTCAGCTTATTACAGTGTAGGAGATCGACAGGTTGTTTGCCCCTCCCTTGAACTCTCTCTGCAAATGGCTGGTTTTTGAATAGAACAGTTGACAGGTCTGCTTGTTTTCTTTTTATCATCCTGGTTTGATCCGGGGTTCTAGCATGTACAGTGTAGTATGGGGGGAGGGGGCGATTACTGTCTACTGGGAAGTCGGACTACGCTCTACCGGGCAAGTTTACTTAGAGTCATGAATCATGATCGAAGCTAGGAGCCAACTCGCACCGCGTGGAACGGGGATCGCACTTCCCGAAGGTCAACCACTTCACCGGGAAACGCGCCATGCAAGTTGGGAAGTTCATCCGGGCCCGGAGAGATATACTAATTTGGACTGGGATCTGAGGTTTTGACGGTGTCGAATCGAGAACTGGGGGTTTTTTGAGCTTCCATTTCACATTGTGACCCGTGTCAGACAGGGATCGTCTCCCAGTACCTAGGACTCGGGTTTTCTTAACCAACGTACGCCGTAACCGCCAATCCCATCCACGGAAATCGCCGCAATCGCGAAATCCGCCATTCACCAAAGTTTAATATAAAGGAGGTCAGTGAATGAGCGAGAGAGAGAGAGAGACACACACATACACATACACATACACATACACAATCGACATATGCAGTACACTGTCGAAACGAAGACCTCTCCGCCAATCAGAGACGGACGATGGCCGACATCGATTGGCAAGGGAGTCCCTAAAGTTTGTTAGGCTTCGATTCTGAAATCAGATACTTTTGATCGAAGATTTCTTCCCAGGGATAACTCTAACATGTCGATTGTGTTCCATCTGGACGTTGTGTGTAGTTTACGGTAGACGCGTGTATGGTAACGGAAATACTCGGCAAGTCCCGTCTGCACCCATGGATACAGCCGGGAATCATCCACGGACAACACCAACCTGGGAAGTAGTCACGACTGGTTCTCTATGATATCACCTACCCCTGGCTGGATGAGGCAGTTCAACAACGGTGCCACCTGCCCCCTCTGGAGTCGTCGGAGCGAGTCAAACGCGAAGCCAAGTGGCACAGGAGAAACACAAAGTCTGCTCCATGGCTGGTTTTTTTGCTTCTTTGGGCCGTTGTCCTGTCTGTGCCGTCACCCGTGATGGCAGACAACAGTCGACCAGCAATGGCTGAATGGTGGAGTAAGTATGCCTGAGTAGGGTATACCGGGTGGAGAAAGGGCTGGTTACCGTACAATAGTGTCAATTCAAGGAAGCCAAGACCCACGATTTTCTTGCTTTTGATTACTTTAAGACATCAATATCACATGCATGGGTATCTGTTACCGCAGTGGCTCCCAGGTCTTGAATCTCCAGTAGCTAGCAGAGTGGAATCAGTGACGTGCATGAATGACGGGGCTTCGAAATTAGGAACTGTCCAAGCTGGAGATTGACACGCCGGGAGGAAAAGTGAAGCGCAGCTGGGATTGGTCCGTGGGAACCAAGATATGCCATTGCTGGGGTTGACCGTCGTCATTAAGGGGGTGAGGCTAGGTTACATATATGGTAATTCTGTCTCTCTCTCTCTGGCGTCCCGGGTCTAATTTGCCCATGTCGATCCGCCGCTCCCAACATCCCGTTCCTTGGGTTCGGTAGGGCGCATTGATTGCGATCGTGAGTTCTGAACCGACGGACTGTCTTGATATGGTATGCAGTACTGTGCACCATGGAAATAGAGGATTTGGAATAGCAATCCCAGAGCGGGAAGATAGCCACCACCTGTCGATGCCGCCTCACTTTCCACCCCCCTGATAAAGCCCAGGATCACCAGTACTGTACTGTATAGCCATCAAACCACCTACAGATGGTAACTGCACACCATGCATAGTGCAGAATGTATCCAGAATAGAGTTTGGAGAGCCCTTGGACATCCAATGTCGAATGCAAGGGGTTGGAAACAGACACGACCAAGCCCACTATCAATGCGGCCTTGACGCCTGTTACAGGGACGTCTATATGTCATGCTCTAAATCTTAACAGCACTTCCATGTATCTCAGAGCCTCTGCTTCTGACATCTCACCGCATCCTTTGCCTAACCCTGCGGCCTGGTATACTAGTAGGTGGCTCGATGTGTATAATGCAGACCTGCAGAATCCAGAGTCCCCTTCACGCCTGTACTGGATGTACGGTGTACCTGCTCTACGCAGCAGACACAGATATGCAGCAGGCCTGCCTGTGTCCAATCAGCGCAGGCCATGACCTTCACGAGATCAGTGGAATGGCTCCATATGGGGAAGATGCAGGTGATCTGCCCTCCCTTGACATCTCCACACTCTGTGCTGGAAGGGGGATACGGGAGGTCGCAGTGTGATTGTCTGGTCTTACTGTAGCTTGGACTGGGACTTGTTTGGCTCTACGGGACGGGTGGTCAAGATTGAAGATTTGAGGTCAATGCGAAGACACTGTCCTGTAGCCTGTAGACTGGACTGTCCTGTATAGCGTCCCCCAAAAACAAGACAGGTCTACCCTCTCCTACAATCATAAGCTAAGCGAGGTGTTGCTAACACGCGCTAAATGTCCACAGTCTGAAATCTCACATTGCAACGGCAACCCCAGTCGATTGACGGAACATGTGTAAGTACCGTACTGGAATGCGCAGTAATGGTATGTAAGATACGATATACCGCAACAGCCATCACTTTCCATCGCGAGCTGCATCGGCGATGGAAGCGCATGATTCGCGCTCCCGCCACCGATCGGTTATGCCACGCCCACCGCTCCCGAATATGATCGCCTCTATCTGTTCACGGCTGGGGCCAGACTTTGCTGTAGAGGCTATATGAACGGGACATGCAGCTCTCCTCATGTCCAGCTTACTCTCTAGACGAAGATGCTCTCTCCAGTAGTCCAGTCCATATCTGTCGAGACCTGTACAACTGATCGGGACGCTGCAGACTTCATCGCACAAGCGGTTGTGAATCGCGAATCGCGCGGTAAATCTTGGGCGCTTTCGTCCCCGCACACGGTTTGCTTTCGGATGTGATCTGTACGCCGTTTGGCTCCGTCGCTGAAACTGATACGTCGAGATTCGATTGCCTCTTCGGTTCCCACGTGGGACTAGCACCATGTGGGATGAGTTAGGGTTGTTCTACAGTACGATTCTCGAGTGCTCTCACACACTCGATCATAGAGTAACTGATGTGAAATGGGTTTCTGGCACTATCTCCAGTCTGAAACTGACTCCTAAAGTCCAACTCTGCTAGCGTGTACTGTATAGCTTCTAGCAGAAATACCAGCCCCGCCAGCTCGCCCAAGTACAGTACTCGACCTCCACAAGGCTGTCGACAACCCTCAATCTCAATCTGGTCACTTGCATAACAACAACCTCCTCACGCTGCACCATCCCTTGAATATTGACTTCAGGTCTACAGTAAAGGACTGTCCAGAGCTGATCTCACAAGAACTCCTGGTCTGTTCCTCAGACGCAAGGAAAATCCTCAACCCAGATCCAAATTCAAATCTACTGTCCGTCCAGTCCAGCATGCAGTCGAGTCGGCATCAGAACCAACCCCTCTCCCCAAAAAAGCAGGCTCTTTGCAGAAACCTCAGTCTTTAAGTCAATCCTGCAGTTGCAGTTGCCATCCAGCAAGCATCCCGTACGTATCAGGCAAGAGCCATCTCCCAACCCGGAGCTACAGTACTGCATACTGTACCGTAGACAATACCCAGTCCCCAATCCAGCCTGCTTTAGCTTTATTTCAAACTCCCCCCGGCGCTCTTGGAAATTATCACCGCTCCCCTGTCAACCATGGACTTTGTCCTTTCCGTTTGAATAGTACCGTGCAGAATTCCCGACAAGCCATCGCCATCGTGCCGCCCGGCGGCTGAGCCTCGTCTGCAGTTTGCTGTGGGCGCTGCACTGCACTGTACTGTATACGGAATATGTGCATGTACTGTGCTGCATCATGCTCTGCAGTGTCTGTGTACCTTGCTGGGAGGGCCGGGGCGTTTCAAACGCGACTGCCTTTGAGCGCTGGGGTTGAATCCGCCGTTTTGGAGTCACACTCTACTTACTGTATGCATCGCTGGATGGGTTTGTTACTGTATTGCCTACTTAGGGGAGGAGACAAAGGGTGCTTGTTAAAGATGTATTTTTTTTTTAAAAAAAAAGATCAACTTTCTAGATGTGACTGCATATTATGCAGTACGTTACTTACAGTAGCTCGACTGCACTGTATGATCAGAAATTGTGAATCGTGAGGATATGTGCATGATTCCAAGATGCAAGAACCAACACCCAGTTGGGTACAGTACAGTAGTTGAAGGCAAGTCTAAAATGTGTAATCTCCATCTTACTATATTCCTACCTCATCTCACCTTACCATTCCTCGTCCTCCTAAAAGCTCACTTATACAGTTCAGCAAGTGATCCCATCACACTCTATCCTATCAAATGATCCAACCCATCCAATCTCAAACTCTCCCCCTTCAGCCATCAAGGGGCACGCAAAAGTACATCAAAACGTACCTCTCCACCCCTAACACCAACACTAACTTAACACTAACACTAACACACCTCCACAACCAGCTCCCAGGTCCCCGAGGACCCCGATCCCAACACTTAACTGACATCCCCTATACTGGACATGCCCATCTTCGCATAACTTAGCTTAACTTACTTACATGTACGGAGTACCTCGCATCCTCACGGAGCCAGCGTGTGCCAATCTGCGCCCCTAGCCCCCAGCCTCCACATGGCTGCCCAGTCTAGCGGGTATTCACCGTACTTTTGTAGGGTCCCCATTGGGCGGTTTTCCGAGGTAGGGGCGTTGGGGGCGTACTGTATGGACAGTCTCAGTTGTTTTCTGCTTGAGATCTGGTTGCCGGGCTCTTTTCCGATTTCGGGGTTGGCTTAGGGAGGGATGTGATGTGATGAGTTTACCACAGGTCGGTGGTGCGTACATGTATGGGGTTTACTGTAAGTTAAGTTAAGTTACGGGTTACTGGCCTTGTACTTGTTCGGTGCTGGACAGTCGATCGGGTTATATTTGGAGGTTTGCTGGTTCTTCTGATTGCCATAGTCATGGGTACTGTAGGATCGGCTTCACTGGAATATCCAATCCCAATGCAATAATACCGGAATCTCCCCAATCGTGAAATAAGTTAAGCGAACCCCGTGGGAACGTTACGGAAGAATTCGACCCACTCAGGAAACACAGCACAAACCGTTCACAGTCCAGGTCCAAGTCCAAGTTGCTGAAGAACACACAACGTGGGGAAATTCCCGATACCAGACTTCGATCTACTGTAGTCAATGCAGAGATTTCACAATATCATACAACTTACACATCCACAATTGTTCTAAGGTTTCTTCAACCCACAGAGTTCACCGGTGTATCTACTAGTCCCTTTCCGCATCCCCTTCCCCTTCCACTTCCACTTCCCACACATCAATCCGACACCTACAGCAACGCCATGTACAGTACTATAGAAATACCCGGAAAAAATAACAATAATACAGTATACCTCAAGGCCATAGCGGCTCCCCATCTCCACCTACGCCATTCAATTTCCACCACTCCAGCACGATAATCCACAGACCACACGGAAACCCCGACCTCGGGACTATCAAATGGATACATCACATCGGAGAGGGTCTGGAACAGGTTGTGGCAAGGCTAACTTAAGCCTGATCGGGTGTTTTGGTTCGAATCTTGAGCTCTTCGTTGGTACTTTGTAGACGACCGAATATCTCCGGTCAGGGCGGTGTTTGGGATTTCCAGTTGATGTCTTGCCTTTGTGCAGTAAGTCATGGTGGATGAGGAGGGATGTTGGATATCAGATATTGGGTATTGGACATTCGATATGTGGAGTTGGGGATCTTGGCCTGGTGGGGAGAGTGGGATGGTTATTGTCATGGCTACTGTACATGTACATGTACTGTAGGTTACTATTGATGTGCGGTACATGTGCATGCATCCATTCCCTGAAGAATTGAGGGTCCTGATGGACTGTGGACACCAGTCTATCGCTTCGGGTTGAAAATCTGTTTTCACTGGCTGGGGGACTATGTCGCTGGTCTGTTGATGACGTTCACTTGCGTCTGTGTACTGGGATACTACAGTACGGTATATCCACTACAGTGCTGTGCTGTGATGCTGGGAGCAGGATTGGTGATGTTGACGATCTGGAACGTGTCATTGGGATTGAAGTCACTGTGGCGCTTCTTCGTTTTGGTAGATGCAGTTCACTGGTCGGAGATATTGTAAGTGATATTTAGGGGGGATATCATGAGCTGTTTCTGCTTTGAGGGATTCCCGTGTGCAGGACTAGGGGATAGTGTCGTGTTGGCCTCGTTGACCAAAGTACGGTGTCGGGTTGGACGGTGACAGATATCGATGGCATGGGAACTGAGAGTGAAATTATAACGATACATCAAGAGAGGATCTCTTGCGCTAGAAACGAACTGACTTGATATCAAGCGTGATGTTCGTTACTTGTATGTGGCTCCGAGCTTCCCTTAATACTCAGGTGAGACAGCTACGACATCAATCGAATCATCTGAAGCTCTTCAAGATATAACCCTCTAGTCTAGATCTCGCCTGGAAACCAAGGTGGCCCAAAATGGCCCTCGATCTCAACTTCAAGGCCAGCAGACATGATATCAAAGTCCCGAAAATGCCATCCAATATCCAAAGAAAGAAACCCTCCCCAGAACCAACGCAAGAACAAGATGCAGGATATCAAGTGTCATTGGGGTATGGAAGATGCGCAGAGCAAAAAACGTCACAGCAACTCTACCTATTGCCGCGTATGTACAAGATGCATCGCTTTCGAAAAATCCAGTCTAGATCCAGAACCCAGATTGCAACTTATAGTGCAGGTTCCCGACATGCTATACGCCATGTGCCAGCTATATCATAACTTCTGTCTCTACGAAGAGACAGGCATTGTGTCGCGCAGCTGGTAGTGGAACAGCTGCCACACGCCCTTGAGGGCTTCTAAACGATCATCCTTGTCGAAGAGGTCGAACCATTTAGTTCGCTGCAATTTCAGAACATGCCATGGCTGCTCTGTGTCGGAGTTTGGTGGGAATGTGCTCTCGCCGTTGGTGAGAATGTCCAAGTAGCGTTTGTGAACGCGGAGATGGAGAATTGAAACGTGGTGGTTGATTGAGGAGATCATGTAAATCTAAACGAGAGATTAGCTCGACTGCCACTATAACGGCACCTCAGCTGAGGAAGAAAAATTCACTTACATCGTCAAATGGACTTTCCCGGGCCTTACCGATCTGCATATAACTCATTCTCTTATCCCAGAGACTCGGCCCAGGCTGAATAATCTTCCACTTCTCACTGCTCGTCAGTCGGCGCATGGCACTCGGCCTCCGCGACAGCGATGTGACGAATGGATGCTCGAACTGGTGTCGCTTGCGCGCAATGTCCGCCGCCGGGGCGGAAGGCCTGGCTTCTTCCATCATAGAGTCTGGCAGGGACATCCCGTGTCCCATATTGACGAGATCATCCAGGATCCCATCGTGGGGGGCGCCTCCAAAGCGGGGCGCCATCGTCCACCACTTGCCCTCTCCGGGTCGCTGTTCAATTTCGCCCTCGCGAGCTCGCTCTTGGGCTGCGAGGAGCATACCTCCGACTTCGCGGAAGATATCACTGACTTCGCCAATTCCGTGGCCTTCGGTATCCGCGTTGGTGCGGAATGTGGTTTCAGGTCGGCATTGCGCGATCAATACAGGGCCTTCGAGCATGCCGCTTCGTGCAATCTGGCGGTCTCGTGGTGATCGTGATGCCTGGAAGGACTGCCGCACGGGGAAGAGGAGGTTCTTGGTCATCAATCGTGGGGGAAGTGTTGGTACTGTGACTTGACAGCCGAATGGCCACGCGACCATCTCGACAAAGGCTCGAATTGTCTCGTCACGTACTTCGTCGGGCATATCGTGCCCCGTGCCGATTCTGCGACCCGTATACATGGCCACATAAGGCATGTGCTCGTCAAGGGGGGTTGCGGCTGTAGTGGTCGAGGTTTCAGAGGTCTGTATCCTGTCCACTTCCATTTCATCCTCCGTGGGAATGATTCCCGTGGCTGCTGCCCGTTCCATTTGCTCTTCCAGGTGCATTTGGGCATCTTCTTCCAACTCCATCTCATTGGGAGGCGTCGGTTCGGGAGTTGCTGGACGCTCAAAGTAGTGGTCCAAGCTGGTGTCCCAGTATTGAGCCACATGCTCTAATCCTGTCCAGAACTTCCTGGACTGTGTCACGCGAACCCGACTCCGGCCCTCACGCGGCGGCAAACGTGCCACCTCACGGAAACTGTCGTCGTTGTCCAAGGTCAACTCGCTTTTGAGTACCTCATATCGATCCTTGGCGGGGTAGGGAACTCCGTTGCCCATCAGCGGACGGGCCTCATCCTCTGTTGGCTCGGATGTGGCTTCCCATGGCAAAGGAGCAAGGGCGAGTGTCTGGTCGGGAAACATGTGGCATACATCAACGTCGGATTCTAATTGAAGATTCAACGCCTTGAATCGGTCCAAACAGATATCTTGGGGGCGTTTGATATCAGCCAGGAGATCTGAAATATCCTTGAGTTTCGAGTCCGCTTCATTAGGAACGACATTGGGCAGGGTGTAGGCGGGGAAATCGAGGGGTGTTGGGTCGGCGGGGGGACGTCTTTCTTTCTCCGGCTCCGAGGTGGCAGAGGGCAAGGCTGTATCGATGTTGAGTTAGCTGCTGACACCACAGATATTGGAGTCCGATGTCATGGGGGATTGAAGGTCGCGTGGGAGAACCATGCGCCACATTCCACCTATGACGATTCAGGGACTCGAACAGTTGCCCAGGGAGGGGCAGGGAAAGACCATCAAGAACAGGGAGGCTCACCCAGCCCAGAACCCCAGCCAAACATCGTGAGCTGGATGCAAATGCAAGATTACCGCAAACTCTCAGGTCACATGCGGGGAAGGCAAAGTGACCGAGCGGTATAGAAACAAGACCGAGACCGAAACAAAGGCAGAGAGGGAGAGATCAGGCAAAATGCGAAAGACTAAGGGAGAGACTGATAGAGAGAGAGAGAGAGAGAGACAAAACAGACACAATAGATCAAAGCGAATGTGTTTAGGAGGGAAGTTTCACGGGACTTGTGGGGAACCGTAATATTCGCCCCAACATCCAACTATGTTCGAACCGTGTGGTATGCAAAAGTACGGATGGAACGTATTACTAGGGGATGTAGATATGTGTCTGTGTTCATAACTATACTCCTCACAGCCCTCGATCTCGCGTTGGAGTCTGCGATTCTATTTGTTTATGGGTCACATGACTGGGTCATGCCCGAAGAGGGCACTGCTCCTCAGTCTCACAAGAGGTTACAACATCACATCACAATATCAGAATATCATATCACAATATCACAAGCTCACCAGATCACTCTGAACCCCTAAAGAACGCCTTGTCCTCCAAACTAAGCTAAGCATGAAACATCCAGGAGTGGACTGGTCCAAAGGGCCACACTTCGGTTCTCCCCACAAAGCCGAAACCGCCCTGTTTCGTCTGCCGGGGCGATATATCCCTCGAAGCCTATGAACAATGACGACCCAGTGTGCAGAGAACTTAGCCAGTGTCACATTTGTTCAGAGTTTGGGGGGCTGATCAGCCTCATCTGGGCCTCTTATTGGACCGGGGGTGGCTAAGCGCTCTCCTGTCACAGATGGAGGGGTGAGTTACTACTTGGGCAGAGGCGCCTAGCTTCAAACAAATCCTCATAAACCCTTAGACCCCTGGAGACGGTGAAGAATGCAAAACTCTTCTATGCTGTATATAACCCTCCGGGCTTCGTATCCCAACACCCTGGCTGTTTTTGCCTCTAGGAAGCTGACGGGATGGCTTCGAGAAGGGGGCGTGGATTAACCTTAAGGAAGTGTACAATTGTGTGGTTTCCTTTGTCGTATACTTTGTGCTCGTCGTCGTTGTCGTCGTTGACGTTGACGTTGCGCTTTGTATCGTCGCGGAAACCCTTTCATACAAAGAGATTTCCGCCACAACCACCGTTCTCATGTTTATGTTCTTTATGCACAGACTTGAGGAAGACATCCAGACTCTGCTTCTAGGCTTTCTTGAGGATTCTTGAAGAATTTAATTGAAATGGTCTCCATCTCCGTCACGCCGAGTGCATCTCCCTCATCCAAACCCTCGCCGACACGCTCCTGGGCCACGATCACGTCAATTACGACGGAAACCGTTCACCCAACTTATTTGTTTACTCTCACAGAGTCTGAAACTGTTTCTCGTTCTGTCACGTCCAGCGCGTTCGCGGAATCATCGCAAACCTCACGTTCAGCCGTGGATACTCATGCCATTGTTGAAACGTCATCCACCACACTTGATACTCCAGTGACATTTACGGGATCAAGTATTATCATGACCTCGGTCATGGATGTCCCATTGTCAACAATGAGCCCTTCTGATCCGTTAGCCCATTTGAGCGGCTTCAACTCGTTGGAGAACGCACAGTCAACGTCGACATACTTCGAACAGCCAGAGGCTACCACAAGCTCCACGAGCTCCACGAGTATTTCAATTACTTCTGCCTCGTCTTCAACAGCAGCAGCATCAATCTCTCCAGTCATCTCACCATTCATCGGAACTGTAACGGGCACAATCTCGCCAGACAATTCCACCTCATCCACCACTACTCCATTCATCGGAACTGTATCGAGTAAAGTCTCACCATACAAATCCCCAACCTCGTCCAATGCTACAGAATCCTCCCCTTTCTTCAACACCAAAGATGACAAGGCGATCAAGCCCGCCGTCATAGTCGGCATCGTCATAGGAGTATCAGCCCTGATCATGTTCGCACTAGCAGGCTGTTTCATCCTCCGACGCAGACGTCAAAAAATCATGAAGAAGCAAAAGATCATCGGCGCACAAATCAAACGCCCCTCCTTCCGTTCATCATTAGGATTAGGGTACAAAACCCTGCATATCCGCCGCGCAGCAACACCCACAACTACCAGGACCATTCGAACCCCAACCCTCCCAGTCATCCCAGAAGAGGCCCACACAGTCCCAGCCTGCTCCAATGACCCGTTCACCCACGCGCACTCAAACCCAGACCTGTCAATGGACAGTCTGTACCTACGCAGTGAACGTTTACATCGCGCCTCCTACGCTCAGCCCGGGCTCACTTCCGGCTCCCCGACTGACCACTCCCCCTGGAAATCAACGTCTGTCCTCCCTCACGCGGGGTCTCGGGCTACTCCCACACCTCGTGGGAGGATGCAAGCGTAGAGGCAGACATCGTTGATTTCTACGCGACTGGGGCCCGGCCCGGCTCCTCCTCCCTGCCACACGAGCACGAGCACGATGGCTTCACTCTTGCGCCTTCCAACGCGAAGTACTTGGAGGCCTGCATGTTGCGCGACAGTCTACGCAGTGATCCCTTCGACCTCGAGGCTCCGAGTGTCTCGAACCCCCCTGGCAGCCCACCCGTTCCACCTGTTCCTACGGAGTGGGGAACCAAGTTTTAGGCTGGTTTCGGGCGGGCGCTTGAAAATGTGTTCGTTTTACTTTGTCGTCGGTGCTTGGTCGGCATTGTTTTGTTTTGCATCTTTCGGTTTCTTGTTTGTCTCTTTTCTATTGTTGTTTTTCATATGGATACTTGGGGCGTTTTGTCAATGCCTCGGTTTTAGCTTTGCGTCGCATGTTTGGCGTGTTTCGTCTACGATGGAAAGATTTTGATGTCCCCCTGGTGTGTCTCTCCCTTTTTTTCTGTTGATTGTGCTTCTGTCTTTTTCTACTTGGTACTTGGTGCCTGCTTCTTTGTTGTTGAGATTCCCCGGGTCGCGTTTCTTCTTGTTGGAGTTAGTGGGGGGTGAATAGTGAATATCCTCATTCGATCAGTAAGATAGGTAGAGTACGATTATTTAGCTCTCTCTAGTGAAAGCTCTTAATCCTATTTCTTCCTTGATTTCCTTTCCTTGAGTGTGAAACCATACGTGGTTTTAAAGCTTGAAGCCGCAATCACATGGGCTAAATCTTAGCTTCACCGTTCATCGTTCATATTTCAACTTACTTTGTTTCACCAACAACTCACTCTAGACCGCCATTCCAAGTCTAACCCAACAATCCCGTCAAAGAAACATGGTCAGAAAGAGAAATTCCCCTTCGTATCGGACGGAAAGGTAGTTGCCCAACCTTCCATATTGGTTCTTCGGGTGTTCGGAAGTCAACAACAAAGACCCATCAACCAATCGAAAGACAAAGCCGCAGCCTGGAGGCTTAAACTTTAACTTCATTGTTAGGATACTTCGAGGCTTCGGGCTGATTCTTCATGGTCAAGGGCTTGTCATGTTCACGGTCAGGCGGTGTGGGCTGTCCTTCACGGCCACATCCTAGATACACAGGGTATGAGTATATAGTTGCAACCCAGTTCATCCAGAAAGCAGCGGTGTGCCGGATCAAGTAGGCAGCATATCCTAAATTCTGATAGATGGGCCGTAATATCTTCTACGCTATGGTTTGAGTCTGAGGAAAATTCTACACCGAGGGCCTCCCTCCGCCATGGTGAGATCAGAGGCGTCGCCTTCCCGTCCTTCTAGACTAGGGGTGGGAGTATTACTGCGGCTTTGTCTTTGTCAAGGGATGAGAGTAGCAGGGACTTGGATGTGAGACTTGTCTTGTACTGTAGACTTTGCCGGGCTAGGTGGTGTAGGCGAGTGTTCCTTGGGTTGGCTATTCTTCGCGCTGGAGTAAGTAAGGTGGCTGCTCGGGATACAGAATCGACGCTGTGGCCATATTTTCCAATGGATAGACTAGACTTGTGTTCCTTTTACCCTTTTGTGGGCTCTTCGTCTTCAACGTTCTCGGGGAGTTACTTGGGGAATGTGGATTCCTTGTTGCAGGATTTGTCGATTCGCCGCGTTCAACCCAAAGTTATTCTGTTGGAGCTAGCGAGGTTGCTAAAGGTAGATTTCATATTAAAGATTCCTTTTCTGTATGGGTGTATCTTGTACTTTTGCAAGGCTTCGACTTTGTGTTCTTTAATGTTCACTTTTATACTGGTCATGACATGGAGTCGTAGTAGAAATATATATGCAACCAAGCAACCATTCAACGCAAACTGGGTTCTTTTCCTGCGAAGCTATTAATTATTTAGAATATTACAATCAATGCCACGACAACTATCGTGAGATAAACATTCCAAATCATCAGGTAGGATGATATTCTAGTGTGAGTGGATGGACGATTCCCCCCAAGTGGGTAGATCTTCTACGATCAAAAGCCCCAGACACCACAAGTAGCCACAAGACCCATAAATTACTTAGAGAGGTGTCTGCTCCACGGCCTGACATTGCCAATGGGAGAAGATGCAGCATATGTAATGAAATTAAGCCTGCATAGCGCATGAGTTGACATTCTGTGTCCGCGTGTGGGCTCAGCCCTGCACATGACGATGACGACGACATCAAACCAGCGCTGTCAGTAGTGTTTCAGGGGATGACCTCAGAGAATACAGCGATGTCTACCGGTAGGTTGTCTAGGTGGCATGGATACCTACAAATCTACTGCTTACAACGAGCCTCGGCGTTGGCAAGTTACTGGCGACGAGCGAGCTAAGATGTGACCCCGCGTAGGTGAAGTAAAAAAAGATTTCCTTTTGCTTTCTCGTTACATTTTAGAACAAGAATAGCTTGAGTATCACATCATCATCGCATCTTCCTATTTTCCCATGGCCATGTTTCCCCTAAGATCCAAGAAGCCCACGAACCCCACGCGATCGAGAGGGAAACGGCATAGAAGAAAGTCGTCACAACAGAAATCTAGACTAATAGGAAGAGTCGAAGGCCGACCTGGATTCGAGTTCGGGAGCAGCCTCGAATCCCGGATCTCCAACCCAGAAGTAACCGTTTCCAACCTCTGCACCGCCGAACGATATAAAGAACTTCAATCAACGGAAGGGAAAACTTGAATTTTTGTTATCAGATTTACTCCTGAGTCTCGTTGATCAGAGCATCGCGCTTAGCCTCCTTGCGCTCCAACCGGCGCTCACGGAGAGCCTTGTTCTTGGCACGCTTAGCGTCCATCTCCTCGCGGAGGACACGGTCACGCGCACGCTCAGCCTTAGCCTTCTGGATCTGTTGCGAGGAAAAGAACAAGTCAGTCTGGATGTCCTTCGGGTATAATTCATGATCGACCATATGCATATGCTTTCGTCATCCGGGTGATGGGTTCGGGTTGTGACTTACGTGCTCAACGAGGGCACGCTTGTGCTTGAAGGTGTTACCCTTGCTCAGGTGGTAGAGCTCGTGGTAGAGGTGCTTGTCGATCTTGCCGGCGGCACGGTAGCGGACGAGCAGACGACGGAGAACACGCATGCGGCGCATCCAGAGGACCTGGCTATAGGTGGGAATGGATATCAGTATTTGCATTCTCGGGTTTCCGAGCCTCTTGGATGAAGAGTCCATCACAGGCCGGATCGAAGATAAGAGCGATGGTGTGCATACCTGGGCATACGGGCGTCCTTGGTACCCTTGCGCTTACCGAGACCACGGTGACGACCGATACGGCGGGCCTCGTTGAGCTCACGAGCGCGAGCACGGGAGTGCATGGTGACGGGCTTGCGGATGATCAGGCCATCGCTGACGAGCTTGCGGATAGTCTGGCGGGAGTTGGCGTTGGAGATCTCGCTCATCTCGTTGGGGTCGAGCCAGATCTTGCGCTTGCCGCAGCCGACCACGGAGGCGGCGAGGCGCTTCTGGGTGGTAAGGTTGACCCTGTGGTGGAAAAAGAAACACAGGTCAGCATCATGGCCACACACATCACGAAAGTTGTTTCCTCCACATAGCGAAAAAATATCGGTCCACGGGGTTGGGTGTTTTCGATTGAGGATTTCCTGGCAGGTGTCTGCTCGGATTGCAATAACAGTTGGAGACTCACATCTTGATGTCGGCGTATCGACGGTCGTTGGCGGATGATGTTCGTGGCACTGAGAAATCCCGACGGTGAGAGTTTGAGAGGGCACTGCGGGCCAGCTTAGGTCAGCGAGGGCTAAGCGAGTGAATTTCCACCACGGGAGGAGAGGGTCAAGGGTTGGCAGCCCTAACACTAACCCGATTGGGAAGAATATACCAAATGATGATCTAGTCCGGGGAAATCAGACTGGAATAGTTTTATGATTCAAGCAATATCATGGAAGACAAAAAACAGATACAGTTTGCTCTTCCATCTTTCCTTGTCTTTTCATCTAGCCTTCTTTGTAGAAAACAGCGAGGCACGGCCATGGAGATCACATGACATCAAATTTTCATCAGAGATCACCTGACTATCTATGCCCTATGGATCTATAGAGTTACTCAAGCTACTATAGACACCCTAACGTGCTTCACGTTTATGTAGAACCAAATAAATGCATTCAATCATAACTCTACAATATACACATACTGCAACATATGTATAACTTTTATACGACTAAAAGCAAAACGCGAAGGATATCTATAAACAGATGCTCCCTGATGCGTAAACAAATCATCAGTCATCGCCAAAGGCTTCACCAAGATCAACCTTGCCAATGCTCCACACTTCCTTCTCATCATCAACCTCATCGTTGGACAATCCCAAGCCACCTTCGCCACCTTCGGCTTCCCGACGCTCACGCGCCTGGTTAGCTAGACGAGTGGCAATGCGCTTGAAGTAGTCGGACATGCTGCGCTTAGGTCCTGGCGGGAGAGATGCACCCGGACCGGCCATATACTTGTCAAACACCTCGCTGTCGGACTCAACAACCGAGAAGATAGACAAGAAGGCTGCTTCCGCAGCGAGCTTGACCGGGATCACCAGATCGCGAACACTGCCGAAGATAGGCGGCGCTAGTAGAGCCAGGTGAGGCCGTGTAAGCTCTGGATGCAGACGGCTGACAGTCCGGATCACGACCAAGCTCAGACGGCGAGTGTCGGCGGGGCTGCCGACCTGGATGGCAGGTGCCAATGCTTCGAAGATAGTCTTGCTTGTTTCGAAGGCATGGTTGCCATCATTAGACAGGAGGTACTTGCCTGCAGCGAGGGCGCTGTTATCAGACACGAAGGGCTGTTTTTGTTAGCTTTGAGCTTTAATAGTAGGTTGAAAGTCTACTTACGTCTTTGTTGGCCATGCCTTGGCAGATAACCGTAGGCAGCTCGACAGAGAAGTTTTCTGTCAGAACATCGGGGCATTCGGCCAAGAGGGCATTGAGACCAAGCACTGAGGCGTGGGAGAAAGTTCCATTGAGAATACGGTTCCTAATGAGGTTAGCATGAGTCTGATAATCCCAACGGGGAACGAAGATGCATACTTGATAAGAGGGACCGCGCTCTCAACTGGAAGGACCTTGACGAGAGCACCAAGCAGGTGTGCGTTGGTAATAGCAACAGAATCAGTTTGGTCACTTGCATCATCGTCAATGAGTGCAAGGATCGCCTGTCGAGAAGCCTCGCTCATGTTGGCACCGGCCTTGCCGACAACCTCCTGGAGAGCCTTCATCATGGCGTTCTTCACACCAATGTCGGTAGTCTTCGATCCAGCAATGAGTTCTAGAAGATGAGTTAGTATTTTTTTATATTGCATAAACAGTCTCGAAACATACCTGCAATGAGTGGGTCAACTCTGGGCGTCAGAGTAATCAAGATACCAAGACCCTTGGCAGCCCGATTCCGCAGTGTCTCGCTGGTGGTATCGGCCAGACCACGAGCGAAGGTACGCTGAAGTTGAGGCAGGAAAGGCTTGACGGCCAGGGGAATTTTCTCCAACAACTTGTTAAGTGTGTAGAAGATAGCACACTTGATGTCGACCGAGCGCTCCGATACAACACGAATGAGGGGACCAGTGATTTGAGTAACGAAAGGCTTCAATGACTCGGCGCGAGTACGGTCGATAATGTCCGAAATTGCAAGAGCAGATTGAGTACGCTGGTCAGTGGTACCATTGAGAAGACCTTGCAAGAAGATAGGCAGAATGGCCATGATGCCCTTGGGAAGGCTGAAGCCAGCCAGATCAGCACCAGCCACGCCGACCTGGCGCAGAATCTGTCGAGTAGGAATGGCCAACACTTCCATCTCTTCCTTGCGGATGTGAGCTGTGAGACCACTGAGAGCAGTCCACGCCGACTTCACGACATCCTTGTCCCGGTCGTCGAAGGAGATTAACAAGGCGCGGATCAAGTCCTGGTAGTAGCGCGAGAAGTCTTGCTCGGCCTCCGAGAAGAACTTGTTGAGGTGCAATGCAGCAGCAGAGCGACGGCGGTGATCGTCGTGCTTGGCAAGAGTAACCATCACGTTCATGGCGACGTTCAGACCATCGTACTCATCCACAGACACCAACACTGTATCGAAAGAGTTGCTGAGCTCTGTGCGAAGCTCCTCGTCGGTAGTCTCGATAATACCGTCCATGAGGGAATTGAGGATAGTTGGCAATCTTCTGGTCATGGCAGATCCTGCAACCTCGGCCAACGATGCCAGGGCCTTGGCGTTGAACGCCGTGATTGGCGATGTGAGCAAGGTAGGAATGAGGTTGGGGAGAATAATGTTGGCACGAGTCTGCTCCGTGAGCAGGGTCAACAGGGCAGACAAAGCCTGCTCGGCATCCTCGTCGTTTCTCAGCAAGTGAAGAAGGTAAGGCAGAACCTGATCCACGACTCTCTTGCCCATAATTTGTTGCAGGCCATCGAAAGCCTCGGCAGCAGCCTCTCGCACATCCTCGTCGTTGTCGACCAGAGCCACGCGCACAGTGGAGATGAGAATCTTTTCATAGTCGTCCAGAGCATCAGGAGAAGCGGCAGTGATAAGCTCACGAAGAGCAATACAGATACCCTGCTTGACGTCCACGTCGGGCGAGGTTTGCAAACCATCCTCCAGCAAGGGCAGCAAAGTAGAGAGAACAGACTCGCCAGCCTTCTTGATAAGATCGCCAAGGGCGTTGCTGGCAATAACCTTCTGCTCCATGTTGGTTGATCCGAGACGGCGAATGATGAGTTGAGATAGGGTGGGAACCATATCCTTGAGGGTCCTGGGGGAGGCAACGAGCGACTTCCAGACACCCATAGCCGCAGTCCTGACCATACCCGAAGTATCGCAGCGACAGATGAAGAGAGCAGAAAGAACCTTGTCGCGGCGCTCCTCTCCGAGAACCTCCAGCAAGGACTGGCCAGCTTGAGTGGCTTCCTCCTCCTCCTCCTCGCCTTCGGTCTTTCCAGTGATACCAGTAAGACTGAAGAGGAGATCGCCGACCAGCTCGACGGAGCTGAGACGAATACGGTAGCTGTCGTCCGCAAGACCACGCTCCAACTCGGGAAGCAGGAGATCAATGGCCTTGTGTGCGAAGTTCTTGACAAGCAGGCGACCGGCACGGAGAGCAGTCTCACGAATAGCCTCAACATCATCGGCAAGACCAGCAAGAATAGGGGGAATGATCTTGCTGAGGTAGTTGGCAAAGCTGTTACCGAAGCAGGCAGGCAAGAAGATGAACAGAGTCATGAAGCCCTCACGCACAGAGGCCTTGGAGCTGGAGACATTCTGGAGGATAGTAGGCAAGGTCTCTTCGAGTCTGGTTGTACCCAGACCGGCAAGAACCTCCGAAAGGGCTTGAGCAGATCCAAGTCTGTCACCAGCGCCAGTATCCGACTTGAGAGTAGACATGAGGTTGGGAATGAGATCGGGCAGAGCATCCTCTCCAAGCTTCTCGATGAGTGAACCAAGAGCCTTGGAAGCGGTAGCACGGGTAGTAGGAACTGGATCAACAATAGCCAAGTTGAGGCCAGCCACAAGAATAGGCAAGTGCGAAATGAGGTCCTTGCGCTCAGTAAGGTGGGCCAGACTACCAATAATTTGTGCCGACTTCCGCTTGGTGTTTGATCGGTCACTGAGACCACGCTCGAGAATGCGGACAACAAGGGCCAGCGAGGGAGCATCAAGATAGTGCACAAAGGAAACCTTGATCAGGGAGTCCAATGCCTCATCGGTGTACTTGGTCGGGTCGCTGAGAGCCTTCAGAAGCACACCAACCAAGCTCTTGACTTCGGGGTTGCTGATGACCTCACCGAAGCGCTGAAGACTGCGATTCGCTGCGTTACGGACCTCCTTATGAGTATCGTTGAGAACGACAGTAAGAGGAGGAATGATATCAGGCAAGCTGGCCGCAAGTTGCTGAGGGTCCAAGTAAGCCATAGCTCCAAGCAGATCACAAGCACCCTTCTGACTACGCCATTGGGTATCATCCAAACCGTCGAGAAGGGTAGGAAGAATCTGCTTCACACCGTAAGAGCTAAGGTTTTGGAAGCATGCTCTGGAGGCCTCGAGACAGCAATCACGGACACTAATGCTAGTATCGCCAAATCCACCGAGAAGCTGGGGCACAATCTGGATAACGTAAGGCTCAAAGCTACGGCCAAGGACAGTGGCGAATAGCTCGTAAGCCAACAGAGCACCCTTTCGGTGACCCGACTCTCTCTTGTTCTCGGTAGCTTCCTTGAGCAAGCTCATGATCCGGAGTTCGCGTAGGGTTGAGATACCCTGACCGCACACGATAGCCGCAAGACCGAAAGCAGCACCACGTTGAGGGGGGAATGACTTGGCATTGAAAAGCGGATCGAAGAGTTCTTCCACATACTGCGATGTCTTGGAGGTGTTCAATCGGATCAAGGGGGGAAGACACTCGGCTACAGCATATTGCACAGATTCTGACGGCGTATCAAGGGCAGCGAGTAGTTTCTGGACAACGGTCTGCAGACGAGGGTCATCCGCCTTGAGATGGGTGGCCACGGATCCGTAAAGCACAACGACAGCCTCGTTCAGCTTGTCAGAGCTCTCAGAATCCTTATCCGAAGTCTCAAGGGTCGTTTGCAAGAGCTTCATGATCTCCTCGACCTTTGGCTGGCCTCGCATAGTGATAACTAATTTACCGCTCTCGGTCATCTGATGACCAACTCGGGAGTTCGGATCGAGGAGAGGACCTCTCTCGATGAGGAACTGCAAGAAGGAGACAGTGTCGTCTGCGCTAAACTGTTTGGTCATGGCACTGAACGCAAGTGCGATACCACTGCGAGCCTCCCAGTGGTCAACGTTGTCTATTTTCTTGGGCATGCCGTATGCGTCCTTCTCGGGGACTTTGGGCTTGATTTCCTCGATGTATTTGGCCTGGAGTTCCGACAAGATACCAGCAAACTTGCTCTTATCAAATTCAATCGCATGTGCCAATGCACGGGCCGCAGCACCTCTGAGCTGATAGTCCTTAGAGTCCAGGTACTTCATGATCTTGCTGAAAGTGGTGTCATCCACTTCTAGTGCATTGTCTTCCCAGATCGTGTCCGCAATTTCGGCATTTTCCTCCACGCTGTCGTGGCAGCCAAGCCAGATGTGTTCAGAAAAGTCGAGGTCGGTCAAATCAATCTCAGCCTCAATGACCTGAAGCACGGTAGTCCGGACGGAGGCATCAGTGACGATGGATCCTTCCAGTAGTGTCTCGAGCTCTTCGCTGCTGATGTTAGGAGAGATGCACCGACAGAAGTCGAACAACGTATCCTTGACCAGCTTGTAGTGCTGAGCGTATTTTTGCATGGCAGACAGAAGCTGGTTCAGAACCTCAACGCGAGGAAGACGTGTGTCGGAGACTAGAAAAAAAATTAGCGTACGGCGTTACATAGATGTAATCGATAGACTCACAAGATCCGGAGTGGAAGGACAGGAATTCAAGGGCAAGAAGAACCTGGGTGCCTTCTTCTTCTCCCTTCGCCTCATCAATACCGTTCTGGGTAAGAACCAGAGATATAAGCGGAAGAACATAGGCAAGAGAAGCAGTATCGAAAGGACGTTGCTCAGAGGCAAAGCGCAAGCGGTACAGAATTCTTGTAACAAGTTGCCCGAGAGCCTCCAGTTCCATCTCAGCAGGAAGATTTGTGTTGCCAATGGCTCGCAGTGTTGCGATACCCACGAAGGAACGCAGGTTGCCAAGACGAGACGACACCTCGTCGGCACAAGTGACGAACGCGCGAGAGACGACATCACCGACGAAAAGACCAGCGCCAGCTTGAGCCTCTGCTAGCAAGCAGCCAACAGCAGTATTGATCCATCCCTCGACATCGTTTAAGGGGCCAGATGCCAGACCTTGGATGAGGCCCGCTCCTCTTTCGATACGCTTGATTTCTTGTTGGACATCTTCGCGGATCTTGGCCTCCTTAGCGAGCTGGGCTTTAACCTTGGAGTGCTCCTCGGCTGTAAGCTTCTTCTGTTGTTGTCCCTTCTTTTCAGCCAACTGAGCTCGGAGCTCCTCTTCCCACTTCAAAGTATCATAGTCTTTGGTGCTCTTATTGAAGGCAGGCTGTTTCGACTTGCTGCTAAGAACATCAATGAAGGCTGTGCCCTCGGGAGTGCGCGAAATGGCAGCATCGGTGGCAGTGAACTTAGAGAGGCGAGAAGCATCCAAATCGTCCTTGATCTGATCGACAAGACGCGGAATCATGGTATCGGGGGCAACAAATGCCAAATCAGCTGCTGCGCTCCAAATGGCGAGGTTGACATCTGGCACTGCCGACTGCACGGGGTCTGCGTTGACGCCCACCAGCTGTTCAATACATTTGGCAGGGTGAGCGCGAACAAGATCACCGGGATCGGTGCCGGTCTTCAAGCACAAACCAATCCATGAAGTGTTAGGAACTAACTCAGGCCGACTCAGAACCAGAATCTCAATGAGCTGGTTCTGGAGATCAGAAGCATTCACTGGCTTGTCAAGGCCAGCTGCAGACGGGCAAAGGGCCTTCAAAACCAAATGAAGGAGCTTAGCACTGCCCGGACCAGCAGAAACAGCTGCGGATTCCTTTTCGGAAGTCCGGAAGGACAAGATCCAAGACCACAGTGCATTGATGACGATGCGACCAAATGATGCAACATCAGCCAAATAAACACGGGTAAGAGTTTCCACGGCGTTATCGCGGAACTTCGAGGGAATAGCAGGCGCCGCAATGGTATAGATGAAGGATTGAGCCCAAGCGTTCTTGGATGCATTTTCAGAATCAATAAACTTGGATCCGGAGGCGACAGAGGCCAATGCCCTGACGAACCATTGAATCTCTTCTTTGGAACCCAGCTTGGTGTAGGCCCTAGGGTTGAGCAAGAAAGACGGCTTAGGGCTCAATGTCATGGATAGAGTCACATGTTCCTCCCAAGCGGATTTTTCCGATCCCTGAATATCGGAGACTCGGTGGAACAAAGCAAGGAAAAGATACGCAGATGACAAGGCACCGCTTTGGGCCGAAGGAAGCGGGTTGGAAGCAACCTCACTGAACATGTCCTTCATCTTAGCAAGGAACTTGGTGACAAGGGGAGCAATTTCAGCGCTCTTCAAAGCCTCAAGCTCGGACTTCCAAAGCACTTCTCCTACATTGAGTTGCCAGATCTTTCGGAATGGAACTCGCTTGTCGGAGATACCCTTGACAATAGTGTTGATAACATCATCGCCGATCTTAACAGTAGATTGGACAAGATAGGAAAGGTGCTTGCTGAAAGATTTGATCTCTTCCTCTAAAGCAGCCTCATTAGACTCGCGTGAAAAGACGAGGCCAAATCCCTGGGTAATGTCCTTGGAGACATCCACTGCAGGTGGAACAGCCGCAAGTGCCTGAGCGTAGGCCACACGATGTTCAGGAGTGGTGATCTTGTTGGTTTTCAGAGGACCAATGATTTCACCGGCAATTTTCACAGTCAAAGGCTCATTCTTGGACCGGGTGAGCAAAGAACCAAAAGAATCAGCCGCTCCTTGCCGAATAGCCGGGTTGTTAGACTTCATACTAGCCAGGAGGTGCTTTGAAAGGCGGGTTTGCACTAATTCTGAGAGGTCAATCTCTTCTGGGAGAGATTCGCAGAGTGACTGAATCACGCCGCCGAGGACCACCTCGGGTGCCCTCAGCATGGACTTCTCCATAGGGGGCATCAGATCAGTGGCGATGTCATCATAGGAAACAAAGGACTCAAAGAAATCGGACATGCCACTGGAGGCATGTTTGGGCACAGCGGTTTTTGAGCTGACGATTTCTTTGATATAGAATGCGAGAAGATCCTTCTTGCTTTCCTCGAGAATCGACTTCCTGTCCGGTAAGCGTGCACATACTCCGCATACAACGCCGATAAGAGGCGCATTTCGGTAGGCGGCGGTAGAATCAGCAGTAAGTCGACCAACGGATTGGCGCACCGCATCGGCGCCAAATGTCTCAGATGAGAACACGGCGCGCAAAGCACGTCTTGTCACACGGATGGCCGACTCTTTGACTGCAGGCTTGGGATTATGAGCAAGACAATTCTCCAGAGCCTTGGCATCGACTGCAATCAAGTCCAGCACAACATCCAGTGGTGTGTTTGAATCTTCGCTGGCCTGTTGCAGCAGGATACAGCACCACTCCACTAGCACAAATGCAAATGTGGAAGCCAAACCAGGTCTAGACGCCTCTGTCTGCAATTTTTGAGTGAGGAATTTCAGTTGTTCGGTTGCATTGGGGTTCCGGAGGAGAGAGCGGAGGCATTGCTGGACCGTCTGTCGGGAGGATCGATCGACATAGAGAGGATAAGTTCGGAAGAGGAGTTCCAGGATATCTTGGTTGATCTCCGGAGATAATTCAGACCCTAAAGGATAGATTGTCAGTAAATTTCTCACCTGAGAGCCACGGGGTCACACTACCATTCCTGTCGCGGAGTTCGTGCAGGGCCCGGAGCCTGCGCGAGGTCGAACTCGACAAGAGTACGACCTGCAAGGCATCCAGATCCCCGGCCTTGACCTGGTCCCATGGAATACCATCCATGATCGGCGGTCAATACGGGGGAATGGAAAGGAGGAGGGGTGGTTCAGAGAGTGTTGAAGATGGTGAAGTGGGCTAGGAATGCTGTCATAAGATTTTTGTGTGGGGAGCTGGATTCCATCCCGCCATTCAACAGCCATGACCGACAACTTTCTTTGTGATTCACCTCACCCTTTTTGTGAGTACTGTGCTGCAGGGCTCTGTACATGAATGCGAATTTATTATACTGACTTTACACTTTCTGACCAGTTCGATTACCTCCGGCATAATTAGACATGCCTCCGAACAACAAGAAAAAGAAGAAGCCCGCCTCCAACCCGGCTCGTGGCTTTGCCACGGTTTCTATGCCATCGAAACCTAAGCCTGATACCACCGCGACTCCATCTCCGGCAACTGGAGAATCGAAAGCCACACCAGAGAGCGAGCCGCAGGCCGCACGCACAGAAGAGCGCCCAGCAGAGACTAGCGCACCACAAGCAGTGACATCATTGCAAGATTATACACCGGAGGAATTAGAGAAGCATCTTGAAGAAGCCGAGCTTCAGATCCTCGTCGACAAATATGCAGCGAAGTGCAAGAACGATGCGATTCGCCAGGCCACCAAGCTGGAAAATGAGAGGCGTGTCATGCGACAGCAATCTGTGACATTGAGTCTCTTGGAATGGCTATCGACAGACGTTCAAGACAGAATTCTCGAGCTAGCCGGAACGGAAGAGCATGAATACCTCTTAGCCAATGCAAAGACGACAAATCCCAAGCAAGTCGGTTCCGAAGAGGAGTTATACAACAAGCTCTGGGTATTAAAGGAGACATTGATCAGACTCGACTTCCCAGAAAACAGAGTCGAGGACGCATTGAAGCATGTTCTGCAGTATTTTGCTGGAAACTCGACGAGCGCCGGTCGCGATGCTGTGTGGAACTTGGACGAGGCGCTGGAATGGCTGGCCACCCACAGTGACAAAAATGAACTTCCCTCTTATACGCATGCAAACGCTCGACAGAAGGACGCAGACAGTGTCACTTCCTGGATGACTGGTAAATTCCTCGCTGTTTTCGAAATTTCTACGCGGACAATATGCTGACTCTAATTAGACTCGAAAATGTCGGGAACTTCAACCCCTAATGGACAGAGCAAGAAAAAGCAAGGCGGTCAAAAAGCGGACTGGAAAGCGAATAAGGTTGCGCCTCCAATTTCATACGACTCAGATAGCTCGGTCGATCCCGACATTATGATTCCCGAGTGGCTTGAGTTGCAGACTCAACTGTACAGCCTCCAGCCTGATAGCTTCGATCGCCCTGGAAAAAGCAAGAAAAGCCGCGGAGCTGCTCTGAACTTATCAGATGACCCGGATGTCTCCAGACTACAGCGTAAGATTGCCAAGATTGAACGTGACGTTCTGTTCGAAAAGCGAGAAGCAGAGTACCTATGGGAACAAAAGCTGGATGAGCTCAGAAAGGATGCATCATTTGTTCGGCGCCCGGTGGAGAAGAAGAAGAACCCCCCAGCCGAAGAAGATCCTCAATCCGAGGTCAATGTAGACGCAGACATGGCTGCTCTACAGATTGATGGCCTGGAGGATGCACTTGGAGACATGTTCGCAGCTGAGCCTGAAGACTCGGGGTCTATCTTGGGTCTCCCTCCTCCCGAGGTGAACGCCGCAATCACACTTCGTGACTTTGGAAAACAGACAGGCTTGACCCCACGACGAATCTTGGAGGAGAGCTGCAAGGCAAGAGATTCATCTTGTACCATTGTCTACCAAGACTTCTCTTCATCTAGCCATTCTAACAGGAAAGCTGCTGAGGTGCGATGGTCAAAGCCACAAGAAGTGCCATTTTCATTAGCTGTGGAGTCGACCACCCATAAGTCTAATGCCATGGCTACCTTTGTTTCAATGGATGCACTCGCAACACCCACCGCACAACAAGCTGAGGGATATGTATCGACCTTGCTTCTGTTCATTTTGTTCCCGCAGAATTCCAAGGAGGGCAAGGCCTACCTGCGGTTGCCAGCAGTCTGGAGAGATCTCTGGACAGAATTCGCAGGTCTGAAAAAGACCCAAGAGGATGAGATTGATAAGGCTACTGTCAAGGAACTGAAGCTTTTGATTCAGGAGAATCCAAGCCACTTCGAGGATGATGTCGTGCTCTCCGATAACTTCCGCAAGAGAAACGGTGTTGGTAGCAAGCCAGGTACTCCGGCAAGAGGTTCAGGACGTGATAATTACTCTGGTATCGATGAACAGCTGAGGGACGCATGGATAGCAAAGTCATCCACGCCATCCTTCAACCGTATGATACAGGGTAGAATGAACCTCCCAATCTGGGGCTTCAAGGACGAGATTATGCACACCTTGGACACTCACCGTGCCGTGATCATCTGCAGTGAGACAGGAAGTGGAAAGAGTACCCAGATCCCATCGTTCATTCTTGAGCATGAGATGCTCAATGGTCGACCCTGCAAGATCTATGTGACTGAGCCCCGCCGTATCTCTGCCATCTCACTTGCTCGTCGTGTTAGCGAAGAGCTCGGAGAGAGTAAGAACGACGTGGGAACAGCTCGCTCGTTCATTGGTTTTGCTGTTCGACTGGAGAGCAAGTTCACCCACTCTACCAAATTAGTCTATGCAACTACTGGTGTAGTTGTGCGGATGCTCGAGCGCCCTGATGATTTCCAAGACATCACCCACGTTGTTCTTGATGAGGTCCACGAGCGCACCATTGACAGCGACTTCCTACTCATTGTGCTCCGGCGTCTCATGGAGAAGCGACCCGATTTGAAGTTGATTCTCATGTCAGCTACGCTCGAGGCGCAGCGATTCTCAAATTATCTTGGAGGTGTTCCTGTGATGAACATCCCTGGGCGAACTTTCCCCGTGGAAATGAAGTATCTGGAAGATGCAGTCGAGTTGACTAACTACCGTCTTTCAGAGGACGAGCACCACACAGTTCTCGATGATGATATGGACGATCCACCGGCCGATGCAGACACATCTGGAGGTCTTCAAGCCAGTCTTGATGGATATTCTAGACAAACCAAGGAAACCATCCTAAATATTGATGAGTACAAACTGGACTACGAGCTGATCAAGAGATTGGTTCTCCAAATTGCCACGGCTCCTGAGATGGATCACTATAGCAAGGCTATTCTGATATTTATGCCTGGATTGGCAGAAATTCGTCGTTTGAACGACGAGATTCTGTCCGAGCCAACGTTCCAGAGGAATTGGATTGTGCACGCGCTACACTCATCTATCGCCAGTGAAGATCAAGAGAAGGCCTTCAATGTGCCTCCGGAGGGCACTAGGAAGATTGTGATCGCAACAAACATTGCAGAGACCGGTATCACAATTCCGGATATTACGGCTGTGATTGATGCAGGAAAGGAGAAGATGATGCGGTGAGTCCTGCCATGTTGTGTTTGTTTTAAGAAGATCGAGGCTCATTTTTCCCAGCTTCGACGAGAGACGTCAATTGTCTCGACTTGTAGAGTCCTTCATCTCCCGTGCAAACGCGAAGCAGCGACGTGGTCGTGCTGGCCGTGTTCAGAATGGTATTTGTTTCCATCTATTTACCAAACACCGCCATGAGAAGCTGGTATGTATAAGTTCAGTTGCTGAACATGAGACTTTAAACTAAAATAATACAGCTCGCTGAGCAGCAAACACCTGAACTTCTTCGACTCTCCTTGCAGGATCTTGTGCTCCGAGTGAAGATCTGTAAGTTGGGAGAAGTGGAGCAGACACTCCTTGAGGCCCTCGATCCGCCATCGTCGAAGAACATTCGACGTGCCATTGATTCGCTCAAGGAAGTCAAAGCACTGACCAGCAACGAGAGTCTAACGTCTCTTGGAACACAATTGGCCAAATTGCCGCTGGACGTCTTCCTGGGCAAGATGATCATCCACGGTGCCTTCTTCCGATGCTTAGATACAACTGTCAGCATTGCTGCAATTCTCTCCTCAAAGTCTCCGTTCGTAAATACCATCGGATCCAATTCACAGCGGGATGGGGCGCGAGTGTCTTTCCAGAAAGGTAAGCCTAACTTCTCAACCTCGCATGCGATAACTGACATTTCCAGGTGACTCCGACCTCTTGACTGTATACAATGCATACTGCAGCTGGAGACGCGTCCGAAGCACCCCAGGCTCGAACGAATTCGCCTTTTGCAGAAAGAATTTCCTCAGTCCGCAGACACTGCTCGGCATCGAGGATATCAAAATGCAGCTGGTAGTTTCAATTGCCGACGCAGGTCTGCTCACACTGGATGCATCCCAAAAGGCAGCGCTCAATCGGTAAGTGACAGCTTTCATTCGAATTTTGAATTCAAGTGACGATTGCTAACCATATATCTTCTACATAGCGCGCGCTCCAACAGCCGAAACCGCCAGTTCTTCACCATCCCAGAAGAGTACGATCTTAACAGCAGCAACGATGTCGTAGTCAACTCTGTCATCGCCTGGAGTTTCTACCCGAAGCTTCTGGCGCGCGAAGGCAAGGGCTGGCGCAACGTCGGAAACAACCAGACAGTGACTCTGCATCCAACCTCGATTAACAAACGAGTCGACTCGTCGGTGAAGTGGCTTTCCTATTACCACATCATGCAAGCGCGCAACCGAAATCTCAACGCGCATGATACTAGTGCGGTTGATGATTTCGCTATAGCCTTGCTATGTGGCGATGCTGAGTTCAAGGTAAGCTAGCAACAATGAAGCACAGCCCCAACTGCGGCTATGGTCGCTGTTCAATCTTTAATATCACGCTAACGCTTGTAACAGCTATACTCTGGTGTCATCTCCATCGACGCAAACCGCATCCGTTTCGCCCTGCGCGACTGGAAATCTATGCTCGCGCTGAAGATTCTCAACAGTCGTCTGCGTGAAATTCTCTCCAACACTTTCCGTAATCCCCACCGCCCACTGTCTTATAAGCAACAGCAGTGGATTGATATCTGGCAACAGATCTTCACTCAGGCTGGCAAGCGTTGAATATAGCTGACTTCGTCCTGTGTGGATATACTCTTTGCTTTTGATGAGATATGCATGTAAAAAATCATGATAGATAGGCTCGGTCGGGTATGGATATAGAGCGTGGATTCAGGATATACTTTCATTTATATATTGTTTCTTTCCAAGAGTATTGACTTTGTATTTCACCTCTTGAAGGTTGAAGGTTGTGACAAAATATATAATCATGATCTCTAGTCATTTCGTCTCCCTGCATCAATATATATCCAACCGCTTGCTGTACGTAGAAGCAAGCAAAAGAAACAGACACTACATACGTCCCTGTACTAACTGATCTGATTACTACATACAGTACTCGCGAGGCAACACAGCAACCTAGGTATATCCCTGGCGAACCATGAGCAGGAACCAAAGCATCCCTACATAACGACGGGAGACAGCATCAAACTGCGTCAACCACAGCTTCTAGAAGCGCTCATATAGCACAGAGTACTGCAGATATGTCCGTCCATCGAGTCAATGCACTCCGTCAGCACTGATCCGCCGTGCGTAAACCATTGCATTATTACCACATACACATACACCTGTACCAAGATCAAGATCCGATCAAAGCACAACTGCATCAAGAATATAAGCATAACCGAAGCCGAAGCATAAAAATGAGATCTCATCTCATCTCGAGCGACGGGTCTCCAGCCTCGCACAACTCACCCCCAGTGGAACGCGAACAAGACCAGAAACATGAACATGAATCTAGAACAACCAAGCTAGCCACAACCCTTTCCACGGGAAATGATCGGTCTACCATCTGCATCGATCTCGATACCGCCACCCCAAGCCCCCAATCAAGGGATATCAACCCCAATAATCCCTATACCGCTCCCAACCCGACACCGACACCGACACGACCCCAGCGCTGGGTGCCAGGTGCTCGGTGCTCGGTGCCGGTGCACCAGCACCCAACTTGCACGGATATCCCTTGATTAGAACGAGCTGCAGATGCAGGTCCTCCAAGCAGCGGTGTGTACGTAGCTCCCGTTCCTCGTGCGAGAGAATCTTGAAGCCTGCGCAGCTCTCTGCACAGGCACAGGCTGCATGCTACTGTACATGTACAGGTACATGTAACACGTCCACCTACATCATACATGTCTATCGCATGCGGTATACTGTACAGTCCTGTGTGCCTAGCGCAGCCCAGTCCGGTCCGGTAGTTGGCCTGTCCCCATCCCCATCTTCATCCCATCCATCCCCGTCCCCAATCCCCAGCATTGGCCCCGATTCCCCAGCTAAACTACTGTAGATTGATGCCAGTGCAATGCGCCAAACCCGAGACTCTTTTGTTTTGTTTTGTTTTTGTTTTTGTTTGGGCGGAGAGAAGGACTGGAAGTGAGATTTCAACTTCCAAGACATTCTCCTCTGTTCATCCTTTGATAGCCGAGACAAGTGCTGTATATTGTATACTACACCCACCACCCTAAACCTCGTACCACTACCACTACCACTGCCACTCCCAACCCGAAACCACAGACTAGAATCTAAACCCAAATTCCTCTGGATCGGCGTTAATCTGCATCGTGTTCCAGATCTGTAGATATATTAACTTATAACTTATTACCTGGTACAGTATTCTTCTTCAGGAATGGAATGCGGTCATTGCGCTGCGTCCACGTTACTGTAGATCAAGTCAAGATATCGTTCACCCTGCTGTACAGGGTACTGTACAGAGCACTGTACATGAACCTGAACATACACAACCCAATCTGAGACTGACACACGCCTCAACACCCCCGGCCCTCCGTCCAGAAACGGTACTTGCACTTGCATCTGCAGCCGTACTTGGCGGCTTGGCAGTCTTTTAGTAGAGTAGCACTGCTGTATACTATACTGTAGACTGTACTGTATACTGGTTTCCACGTACATGATACATGATGCTGGCCATGATATGGTAGCTACCTTGATAATACACTAGATAATAGATAATAGATAGTAGTAATAATAATAATAATAATAATTACAATAATAATCATGAGAATAATGTAAAAATCACTCTACCCTGCAGCGCCCAGCCAGCCTGTCAGCGCATCTTGTACAGTGCATTCCTCGATCGACGACAACCGCCCCATCCCTGAAACAAGCTAAGCCATATAGTCCCATCTCCGGGTACGAGAGAGCGCGCGCGTGGACAGTTCGACTAGTACCGTAGTTCCATGGATAACGATACTGTACAGTATGCGGGCGTTAAGGTTGGCATTTCGTTCTGGAATGTTGGGACGGGGTTGCGGTGAGCGGAGGTCTCTTTTCCTGTATGGCATTGTAGAATCTAGATCTAAATCTAAACCCAACCCTGATCGTACTGTAAATCTACTTTAGAATCCGGATTTGGAACGTGCTGGAATTTGAATTGGGCTGTTGCGCTTGATTTCGTGGCTTGCCGAGGTCCCTGCGCGGGGGCTTACAGTACTGGAGGACTGGAGTGGGGATGGGGATTTGGGATTCAGGATTAATACGATCGAATATCGAATAGTGTAGAATGGAATAAGCAACAGGGAAGGGAAACATGACGGCATGCCAAAGGTGGGGAGAGGCCAGTTCGTAGTGTGTATGTCGTACATGAGAAACTTCTTATCGTTTCAGGGCGATGGGCTTTTCCTGCCAGTGGGCACACACACACTTCCACCACACACATTCTCTCACTTTCAGACTTCTGAGGGAATTGCCACGCAGGGGAGGAAGAGGAGGGGAAGGGGGAGGGGAGGCAACTGGCGGTGAATCCGATCTAGCCCTTCCTACGTGGTCGTCGCCAGAGCCAGTCATCATCAGCGCCGGATCATCGATCGGCGGGCAGCTGCAGTGCAAGGCCAATCATTGGCAAAAGAGGCTTGGGGATGGGGCGCGCTTTTACTGTAGTCTCGTTACACATTTGGCCCGAGCCATCCTGGCCATTTCGGAGATATGAGAAGGGATTAGGGGATTCCGCTCCAATGATGGAAATGACTCGATATTGTGGCGGTTGCAGACGGCTACGGCGGTTGACTTACTCGTCCTGAGCTCGTCCGCTTCCCCCCCCTTCGCTCCTTCACGGTGTTACATGTGTTGAGTCTCAACCTTGGACGTGCAGTCGATCTCTTGGCTCCACGGGACAATGCAATGCGAGGTTAAATCCTCAGTTGCACGGTCCCCCCTCCCCAACCAGGCCATCACGCCCGATCCTGCCGTGGTGTCTTGTCATTCGTGAAGAGAGTGGGCGTCTCGCTCGTACAAGGAAATTATCAGGGCGTCACATGAAGAGGCTAGCTTCAGTACAACACATCAGGGTCAGCTCAGGGAATATCCCTGTCGTCTCGGCCAATTTCTCTTTCTTTCTCTTCCCCCTCCCCTCTCCTCGTGTCCCTCAAAGGCCTTGTACCCCATTATGTGCTCTCGTCCGACGGCCTTATCTGACATCAACGTCTGCCCAGACGGCTTCGGGCATAATTTTTGGAAGGTACAACATGGAGCATGGTCTGTGAAACATACTTCGACTCTATACTTTATCGTACTGTATCCGCGTATCCCACTCTCCATGTATCCCTATACACTACACTACGGTACACTACGGTAGACAATCGACAAAAGCAAGTTTAATTAATTAAATCTCGGAAAGTCTGGAGTCTGCACGGACAGAGTCCGCTGCAGGGTAGCTCGCTGCAAGGTACGGACGAACCCGTCGATCGAGAATAGTCAAGTGGAGGAAAACGCCATATTGTTCTGCCTGAAGCTATCTCTCACGTATCCACCAGGCTGATACAGGAGAACAAGGGAGGGCGTTAATAGTTTCATCCTTTCACCACTCCCGCGTTCCCGAGTTCCATAGTTCCATAGTTCCCACCGGATGACCCATGAATTTATCAGTCATAACGAGTAGGAAGAGAAAAGAAAATGCAATATTGACCGGATTGAAAGGATCGTCTCCTTGCATTCTCGGACTCAACGGCCTTTGGACGATACATCACAAGTGCGGAGGACGATAACTGTGTGGTGGGGGCGTCGCTAGTGAGTGGACTCTCTCTCGCTTGATCTGTAATAGTTTTCTAGTGTCGACACTTGGTCTCTTCAGCTCGGCTCTTCAGCTCGGGGAGAAGATAACGAAGAGAGAAAAGCTAAAACCAGAAGAGAAAGAGAGAGAACAAAAGTCCACACCATACTCTAAGTGACTGTACCGACTAATTCCAATTTCAGAGGCGGATCCCCTGTACGCTGTATGTGCAGCGGGTATCGGGCCGTCGATAGCGAGCTGCCATGGTGCAGGGATCTCCCCCCTCTTTTCGACCTTTTTTTTCTTCTTTTTTCTCCCTTTGGCTTTTGGCTTTTCCGTTTCGTACCTGCTTTGGCTTTTGGTCTTTGAACCCCGTTCGCAGATTATGCATCTTTGGTACATGGTACAGTAACTCTCTACTTAATATCCACCTCGACTATAGAAAAGAAGAGGGATAAAAAAGAACGAAAAAGAAAAAAAAAAGAAATGACTGAAAGTGATATAAGACTCCGTTTCTTCCCGACCCCCAGTTCACCGACCTCTCAAGGGCCCGTGTGGCGGGCTGGACTCGAGACCGGCGCCACTCTGGAGAATCAATCCACTTTGTGTTTGTGAGGGAAATTGGAATTACTTGCCAAAATTGGAGAATTGGGGATTTGGGCCAAAAGGAATTCATATCCCGATCCTGCTCTGGGACTGGTCCCTAAGATGGGAATCATGGTACGGTCCAGTAGCCCTAGGCCACCGACTAAGTATGTTAGGTGTTAGGCCTATGTTAGGCCCCATGTTAGGCCCCATGTACTACTACTGTATGGTGGTCCATGCATGCGAACGGGAGCAATGACCATGAAGCTGTCACGGATGCGTGGGCAAGAGAATGACATCTGTCACCCTGGAACTCTTGTCCGGGACTCACCAAGGAGCGAGATAATAATAGATAGTGATGACAAAAACGCTGGAAATGTAAGGAGACACGCGCTCTCTCTCTCCTTGAACGAAATAAGCGGTGTACTGGGGGCCGAGCTGTCTCGACATCCGTCACTTTGCCCCTTGCTGGGATCTCTCTCCCTTTTTTTTTTTGTTTTCTTTTTATTTTTTTGTTGAGAGCTTTTGGGGGTAAGCGACAACTGTAAATTGTCATGATATTTCAGTATCATGGTCATTATCATTCGGATGATTCACCACTATTTGCTATTATTATTCAGACTACTGTATTCACTTATTTGCTATGATTCGCATCTTGACTGCTGTACTAGTATGCAGAATATTGGGACTGTCATCCCAGCCGATCTATCAGGCCATCCGATCTTTACTGTACATCAAACATGGCAAGGAGAGTCCTTCATTGTCACGGGGTCCGTCAGGCCAGATTGTGATGCTACGTGTGAATCTCATTTCAATCCGGGCTAAAAGTCGGTGGTTGGACAGGAATCCATCTTTCTGCTTTTTCTGTGGATTTATTCTTTATTCTTTATTTATTATTCATTTTTTTTTTCTATTTCTATTTTCTATTTTGTATTTTGGAATTTCGCTTTTTGAAATTTTCTCATTTTGGTTCCTTTTCTCCCCAATTTCTCTCTCTCTCTCTCGGTCAACGCCTGGACTCTGCTGGTGACAGGGATCTCTCAGAGAACAGACCCTTGATCGACTCAAGCCACCCGTGTTTCGTGGTGCTCTCTGAGCCACTGATTTTCCCCTCTGCATCCCTAGGGTGTGACGAGCTTGCTCTGTTTCTGTTCTTTTCGTTTCTTTTATTTTTCTCTTTTTTCTTTTTGTTTTCCCCCGTTACTCGCGGCCCGTCTGAATACATGTAGATCGTCCCGAACCATGTACCTGTAGGATAGGAATTTAATATTAGGATATTATTCCAACTAATGAGATGGTCCACTTAGGTCGGTTATAGCCGTAGTATCTGACGGGGTTGAAACTGAACTAGGATAGAGACCGGTGTCGGCCTCAGTAATTAAGCCGGAGAGGCTCGGCCGGTGTGTTCGGACCTTGCAGGCTAGAGAAGCGCTCGCAATCGACAGTGCAGCCGCCGCGCATTTCGATGAAAGAGATCTAGACAAGACTGGAATCTGGGTTGACTTTACCGTTCAGGTCACAGTTCACCGTTCACCATTCACAGTTCCGTTCATAGTTCCAGTTCCCACCGTCACCATAGATTCCATGGTTGACTAGGTGGAACCCATCGACTCCCGCACTTCAACCGTAAACACTTCACGATGTGAGATATTCCTGTAATTAATAACGATCGATCCCCACTCAGATCCAGCGGGCCTATCCCGGCCGATCAGCGCAGTCACACAGACCAGGATGCCGAATTGGTATAGCCATGTTAACGCTGATCCGGAGAGTCCTTGCTTGGTGGCGTACAGGGAAAAATAACCCCAATGAATTATTACATCGAGTCGAGAGCATCTCCACCGCGCTGTCTCTGTCTCTCTCAAAAGACGGGGCGAGCCGGGATTTCTGCAGACTTCTTCTCTTCTTCTTAGACACCTTAGTCAGCTCTTTCGTTTTCCCTCCACTGATCGACTTTCCCGCTGCGGCTCAGCGTCATCTTCTCTCTTCTCTGTAAGTTTGTGTGTGCTTTGCGTTGGTCTGCGCTTTTTTTGTCATCGGTTCGCTGCTATATCATCTCCTGGTCACTTGTTCCCTTGTTCTCTTGTCTCTTGTTCTCTTGTTCTCTTGTTCCCCCACTTCATGACTTGCCCTTTCTCAAACGCCTCTCCAGCCTGCAGCGCATAGGGATGCGTTTGCTGCACCACCCCAGCCTCCACCTTTCTGTACGTCTAACCGCGCACTTCTTCCCCCCCCCTCGACTTGTCTGAGACTTTGGCCTTTCTTTCCCCCTACCTTCCCGGCTTCGGCCTTATTTTTACCATTGAATGCGCTCCATTTCACATGTTCTTCTTCCTTCTGCATGACCTGAAACGACCCAACTAACGTGATCGCCCAGTTCCCTGAAGCTTCGATCTAGAGTATTCGACCTTCAGATGTGTTCAATTTCTCACGACGCTTAATGACTTTGATGATACTTCGACTCTGAAGTTCTTTTATTTATTTGTTGTCTATTTGACCACCCCTCCCCCTCTCCTCCACACCCCCAAAAAAGTCCTATTTCCCGCTTTGCCGATTTCCCTTCCGACCTCGAGTCTTGAAGGTGACGATTAACTACGCTTTTCCACGACTATTTGTCCCCCCCCAACCACTCCTGCATTGCGTCTTGCATCTTTGCTTTGACTGAAAGCCGATTGATATTTTGTTTGCATTTGCCGTGCAACATCCTCCTCCCCCAGCTTCTGTGGTGGATATACAATCGTGCGCCAATTCCACCCCATAGCACGCCGGACTTTTAAGCACGTCCGACGTCCGCTTCATCTCCTGCCCTTCCAAACCGTTTCTCAGTTCAACCGAAAAGCTGGAGCTGCCGTCGATCTCGCAGGTCCACACCCGCGGTCCTGCTGACATCCCCTGGTACAACCCGCACGCGGCCGAACGACCGTTATTGTCCGGCGATAAACTCCCCGCGCTGAGCTTGCCGACAGCGATCCAGGGCATCTCCCGACCCGCCTATCAGGATCCCCCGTCTGCCAACTCAAGCGCCCGCACGAGTCTGTCTGGGGTCTCTATCCCGGTCAACGAGCCTAGGAGCCCTCCGCCCTCTGCGGACCTCTCAGGGACACAGGGTCGATTGTCACTGGACTCTTCTGCTCCGACGGAATATAGTCTACCTCCCTCGGTCAACGACGGGTACTATCCTAGCCCAACTTCGCTCGGAAGCATGAACCAAGCCCAGCCGTATATGGATGTTCACTCGCACATGTCCTCAGCTCAATCATACGCTCCCCAGGGTACAACCGCCGGCGCCATGTCCCACTATCAGTACCCCCAGCAACCGCCCGTGATGCAGCCGTCCGCGTCTTATGCTCCTGTCTCATACCCCCAGTATGGGTATCATACCGGGGCCACATCCCCCCCAACCGGACAGCCCCCAAGCTCAATGGGTGGCCAGATGCCCACCCAGCTGCTGCCTTTGCCTGGTAAGCTTCAAAGCATCAGTTCGGTCGATGATTATTCTGATCGTTATCAAGTGAACAACCATGGTGTGGCACCTGCCGGTGGTTATGGAAACAGCACAGGCGCTCCCCTCCAAGGATTCGTCTTTGACCCTACTGGCCAAGTGGCTCCCCCAGGAGCGAAACCCCGTGTGACAGCTACTCTGTGGGAAGACGAGGGCAGCCTATGCTACCAGGTGGAAGCGAAGGGAGTCTGCGTGGCTCGACGTGAAGGTGAGTTTAGATGATTTTCACTTTGAGGATTTGGCTGACTCGATTGTAGATAACCACATGATCAACGGCACAAAGCTGCTCAACGTGGCTGGTATGACCCGTGGTCGACGTGATGGAATCTTGAAGAGCGAGAAGCTACGCCATGTTGTGAAGATTGGCCCAATGCATCTGAAAGGCGTCTGGTATGTAACTTGCGAAACCACAGTGAGAGAAAGTCGCTAACCAGTCGAACAGGATTCCTTTCGAGCGTGCCTTGGAGTTTGCAAACAAGGAGAAGATCACTGATCTTTTGTACCCGCTCTTTGTGCACAACATCGGCGGTCTGCTGTACCACCCAGCCAACCAGACTCGCACTAATATTGTCGTGCAAGAATCTGCCCAGAGACGCATGGAAGGCCCCCCACCGGGGACCCAACGCACACCCTCTGGACCTCAGCAACCCCCCAGCCTTGTTCACCATCACTCTCTGCAGACCCCTATGTCCTCTCACATGTCGCAAGGTCCGATGTCCGGACAGCCAGGCTCCCGCCCATCACTTGACCGGGCCAACACTTTCCCCACACCCCCAGCCAGTGCGTCGAGCGTGATGGGGATGAACAACCAAAACACTTCATACGAGTGGGGTAACCAGGGCATGAGCTCCAGCGTGCCACACACACAGCCTCTGTCAATTGACACTGCGCTCAGCAACCAGCGGTCAATGCCCACTACGCCAGCCACAACACCCCCCGGCAACAACATGCAACATGGCCTTGCCTCTTACCAAGGCCAAACAGGCTACGACAACAAGCCTTACTACTCGGCTGCTCCTCAATCCCAATCCCAGTACGCCCCGCATACACCATTGACCCAGTCAGGGATGCCCAGCTACGGCCAGCCGCTGCCGGGCAACTACATGAAGAACGAGATGGCCCCACCGAATACAAGGGCCCCTGGTGCGACTGACCCAGAGAGCGCAGAACGCCAACCGGAGCAGCACTACTCCCGGGGCAATGGTGCGCCAGGTGAATCTGTCTCGGAGCACGAGCAGGAGTACTTGCAGGACCACAACAGCGGTTATAACTCCAACCGCAACTCCTACACCTACTCGACCAACCCCTCCGTGAATTCACTGACCGGCGAGCACTCCCAGCTCACCCCAGAGATGACCAGCTCGCCTTCACAGCAGAATGGCTCGGGTCGCATGACCCCCCGCACAGGCGGTGCTCCTCCCCACTGGGCTTCCGGGTACAACACTCCTCCCCGCCCAGCTGCCGCCACGACCCTGTACAACGCCGTCAGTGACACCCGTGGTACCCCCGCGAACGGTGCCCCAGACCCGTACTCCATGGCGCAGTCCTCGACCCCAGTCTACGCCACCGTCAATGGATCACTCGGCTCAGGCAGCAAGCGCATGCGCGAGGACGACGATGTCATCCGCCCCGACCATGGCGCAGAGTACGAGACCAAGCGCCGCAAGACCATCACCGAAACCACCCTCGGCGGTCCAGTCGGCGGCGCTCCGATCCTACAGCCCATGAAGACCAGCGGAGTCATGGCTCGCCACCGTTGAGCAGCATCAGTGTTATCCGCCTCGCTGGTGATTTGTGCGCTCTCAGCTCCCTTTTGTTAGGCTATTCTTCCTGGTTTTGGTTCTTTTTGGCTTCAATTTTTTTTTCCGGTCGGAGTTTTTCATGATAGACTGCGCATGCTCCACATCCGCCGTGGCGTCGCGGACTCTCTTCTCTCAAGGTGTTCTTATCACCCACTCTCACAAACACCCCCCCCAATTCCAATCCCAATCCCCAATGCATGATGACATCTCGGATACCAAGCCCAGATGTCGAAACGAAACGAAGCTCATTTGTCATCCGTGTTTTGCTTCCTGTTCCTCCAGTTTGCGTTCTGTTTCATGTTGGGCAAGAATATCTCGGCTTTGTGCTTTGAGAACAATGATCCTGTGTGGTTCGAGGCGCTCTGATCCTGACGGTGACTGTGATCGTGACCATGACCCTGAACCAATATACAACTCGACATTTAAATCGAGCCATTTGGATACTGGTCAGGTCTGGTCCAGTCAGGCCAGGTCAGATCTGCCCGACCTTGATGACCATGATGTGACGAATCTCTTATGAACGAATTTATTATGTGTAACGGGGCCATTCATTTAATTGCTTTGACTCGTGCGTCTCTTTATCTATCTGCTATTTTCTCTTCGCATTTCTTTCCCTTTTGGTTTTCTTGTTTTGTTGGGTTGAAAAGGATACTTGTGGCATGGGCTTTTTTTATTTTTCTTCTGTTGCGCCCTCCTCCGCCAACCCTTGACTCTTTAGAGAGATGATTATCATGCTAATGAACGGTTATGAACTCTGTCTGCATGTCTGCATGTCTTTAGCGACATACAACGTTGGTTTTTGGTTCGGTCGAATTCATTGATCTTCTCATTCAATTTTTTCAGTGTAGTAGCACCGTCGTTGGTTGTAGACTATAGACTGTAGACATAGACTATGATCCCCAGCCCACTGTATCCTTTAGATTCATCTGGAATACCAATAAAATCCCAACCCACCCACAACAAAACCATACATCCCTTCCCCAGTTCCCCAGTCCTATCAACACACAACTTAAAGTTAACCTAAACGTCCAACATACTTCTCCCACGTGATCCAACTAACCCAAAACAGCAAAACCCAAACACACCAGAACCACGGTTCATGTACGGTCCATCCACCGGACAAAATATTCCACTTCAATTCCGACGACAAACCATCTTCAACACCCTCACCCTCACCCTCATATCTCGCGCCACGCCATGCCCACCAAGCCAAATCCCCACACCGGGAAACTAGTCCCCGAACCCTGCAACCATCTCGTCTTCGATCCCTGGCAGTCCGTTTCAACAGGTCACCAGGTTGCAAATGCTGGTTATTCGGCTCATGGTACTACGGGCTGGAGGAATATGCGCTCTGCGAAGCTTAGTGAACAGTATAAATCTGGTGACTGTAATTCCAGACAGGGATATGGACATGGACACACCCGGAAAGAGATAACAAGTCGTTCGAACGTCCAACAGCAGAGTCTAGTCCCAGGTGCCTTTGACGGCCGTGTTCCGAGTCAGTCGCCGCCTCGAACAACAACATCAACAACAACAATAAGAACTGGAACTGGAACTGGAACTAGTGCAGAACGGGCTGTCGTACCCACTCATACATCGACTCGACGACAGGCTGGGTTGCTTGGTATTCGCGGCTTTATGGGTGTGAGTAAGCGGAAGGCTGGTGATGATCATTATGGGTCTAAGAGTGTTGAAGAGAAGGTGGAGAAGAAAGTCAAGTACACCGAGAAGGAAAACCATGCTCAGGTCCAGACTCAAGATAGGCTTCAGTCTGGATCAGACTCTAGCTCTACCTCTACCGAGTCCAATCCCAGTCTCAGTCTTGATCTCAGTCTTAGTCTTAAGGCCCAGTCGACCATCTTCGCCGGTCTGACTATCTACATCAACGGCTCGACCCTGCCGAGGATCTCGGATCATAAGTTGAAACTGCTGCTTACCTCCCATGGTGCCAATTATACGATTTACATGGCGCGGAAGACTGTCACTCATGTTGTGATCGGTCAACCGAATGCTGTGGGGTCTGGTGGTGGAGCTGGTGGTGGGCTTTCTGCGTCGAAGCTTCAACAGGAAATTGAACGGGGTGGGTGGAAGGGTGTTAAGGTTGTTAGTGTTGACTGGTACGTGATCCTTCTTTTTTTCTTCTTCTTTCTTATATGACTGGCTGGTCAATTGTCTTTTCTGACACTGGCACCGACACTGATACTGATATTGACATGTTTGTGTAGGGCTATCGAGAGTATAAAAGCTGGTCGCCGACTCGCCGAGTCTCGGTTTCCTGGTATGCATGTTGCAGCGAAGGGGCAGCGGAGTGTTGTGGGCATGTTCGGTGCTCAGACTCGGACTCGGGCTGGGATAACGAAATGATTCGAGTATTCTTTTGGTGAGAGTCTATCTATAGTGAGTCGTTTTCTTTCATTGCATCTGTGGGTTATAACACAGCACTGGCGGCGTTTGGTATTTGCATATCTGGTTTCAGCTTATACCCTTATGATACCCAATGATCATCATGGTCTTTCTTCATTGAATTTTGCATATCGGACTTAAAATATCATACTGCCAATCACGACAAGACACAACATCTCAATTGCTTATGTTATTTGTATTCTTATTGATCATGTATCGCCGTTATCATGACATCCATATAGCTATATACACTAATACATCAGGGTAAGAACAAGAATAAGGACAAAAGTACACATCCGATACTCAAAACCGGGACAGACCCAAACCATATGTGACACAAGAACAGAAAAAGGCAATAAATCCAAAAAAAATCAGCGCCACAGCTATGCGGTACATTAAAAACAAGATATATGCAAAGGCATCATAGATCGTAGATCATCAATGACAACACGCTCTTTTCGAATGCCCTTCTTCAATGATTTCACGACATGTGTCTCCGCCAACCACTCTGTCGACGGGTAGGGGGATGGTCGTCGACATTGCTTTCCGCATCGCCAGAGACTGATGTCAAGTCTGCAGATTCGGAAGAGACGGACCTCATCGCTGGAGCATCGGTAGTGGTTGGCATGAGGTCGTTTGTGTTGATGGGTGTGATATCAGGGAGAGGGGGAGAGGGTTTGGATGGCGGTGTGTGGAGAAGGAGGACTGAGCGGGTGGTGGAGCACGGGCGTAGGCTTGAGCAGAGGAGTTGGTTCGTGTGCGAGTCTTACTTCCTGCTGATGATGGGGGATGTTGTTGCCAGGTGGAATTATCGTGTGAGATAGGCTCAGGGGAAGATGTTGCTTGGCGGTTGTGAGGGAGGTAGTAGGGGTTTGAGTTGGTGTCATAAACGTGGTGGTTGTCTTCGTACGCTGGGAATGCTGCGGTCGACATGCTTGACACTGAGTTTCCATGGGGGCGCCCTGTATATAATGGCTGAGGTTCACCGAGGTCAGATTCACCGCTCGACCAGCGCTCCAGCTTTTCGTTCAAGGGTTCTTCTTCGGGCTGCGAAGTTCGCGAGTCACCATGAACTAGGCCAAGTGATTCCTCTTCTGTGGCAGACTTGCGAAGATCGCCTCCCAGGTGAGTTCGGCGTAAGATGCCGCGGGGTGAAGTGACGTGAGGTTCACTGCCGGTCTTGACACGGTTCATCATGTTATTAAAGGAGAATTGACGACGAGCAGTATTGGCGAGGGGTTCTGCGGCCAGGCTGTCGGGCTTTTCGTCAGCCCAGGCGATTGATCGTGGGGTATCGCTACGCGGACGAGTTGGATGGAACGGAGCATCCAAGCCTCCGGCTCCGTGATACTCTGTATCGTCATCGCCGTGGTGAGGCATATCTGTCATACCGACAGACTGTGTGTTGGCATCAAGGTTTTTCTCCTCCTGAGTTTGTACAGGCCTCCACTGACCATGGTATAAAACACTGGTGGCGCGGGACCGGATACCATCCAAGAAAGAATGTCCGCTTTGCTTTGTCGTAGGTCTGTGCTCATCTTCTCCCTCTTCCTCTTCGGCAGTAGGAAAGTGTGACATGCCCCAGGGTGGATGCTGCTGCTTGATAGAGGGTGTTCGAGGAGTGTGTGGTCGCGACATGGTAGGGCCATCGCCAATGACAGTCTTGCGCCGGCGCAGACCATCCCATTCAATAATCTCGCCCTCGCCGGGTGGCTTCAGATGGTCCTCGTGCTTGTCGTGGAAGAAGCGACGGGCTTCATCTGATTCCATAGTGCGACGAGCTGTAGAGATACGACGGATGATAGAAGCCGCACCACGAATGGAGTCAGCCCTAGGCTCGGATTCGGGCTCTTCCACAGTAGCAACCTCTCGGATCTGATCCAGATCACCCTTGAAAACGGCCGCGTCGGGGACATCTTTGGCAGACTTTGATAGCTGCAGCAGAACTACGCCTGCGCAGATTTGCATGAATCCAATGATCACTGTTGCGATTTGAATACCCGTACCCTTGAAGCCCTGGAACAGAATAGCCGAAGTAATGATTGTGGCACTGGTGAACATCACGTAGTAAGTTGGGGTGACTAAAGCAGCGTTGAACAGGTTCAGAGCTTTCTATAAAACGAGTCAGCACAATTCAAAAACTCCCCAAAGTAACTGAAACATACGTTCAGATAAATAATCTCAGTCAGTAATGTCCCAATCACAAAGACAAACAAGACATAGAGAAACCAATGCTTGAACTGCTCCTCGCCATTAATCTGAGCCAGAATAGCAGATCCCAGCCCCTGAGTAGCAACGACACTCAGTCCACCAACCATGCTGCAAATACTGATATAAACAAACATACTCTGCTTGCCATACCGAGGACCAGCCCAAAGCGCCGTAAAAACAGCCCCGAGAATGATCACGCCAGCATAAGACAAAAACCCCGGCTGAATGACAAAATGCTGCATGGCCTGAATATCATCGACAGAAGACTGTTCAGGCGCATTCATAGCAATAGTCACCGACCCAATGATACAACAGAAGCAGCCAACCTTCCCAACAAAACTCAACCGCTCCTTGAGAAAGATAGCCGACAAAATCGTCGTAATAACAACTGACAGCGCACCAAGCGGCGTCACCAGAATCGCATCCACAAACGCATACGCAACAAAGTTGCATATCTCCCCAATAATCATCAACGACATCCCAGTCCACCACCAGAAATTCTTCAAATATCCATATCCCTCTCCGGCCTCCTCATTATATTTCACATTCGCTTTGAGTAACCCGATCTTCTTGATCACAAATGAGATTCCAATAAACACACCAGACGCAACCGCCAGCGAAATTCCAATGGCTTTGTATACCGGCGGCCGACCCGAGCTATCGGCGCGAGCGAGCAGCGTCGAGGCCTGCGATAACGCGGATTCGGGGTCCATGGCGATGTGTGAGGGTGTCGTGAATTTACCACACTGGCCGGCAGTGCGAGGCGAACAAGTGGGTGGGAATCTATCGGGGTAGAGAGTCGTCCGAAGACGAGACTCGGCGACTATCTGAAACACTTATCGATTCTGCCACGCTGTATCTCTCGTATCGCGCGGGTCGCCTGGGCGACTATCTGATTGGTTTGGATCGAAATGGCGAAATGGCGAAAAAGTGATATGTTGCGACAAGGATAAGGGGGATGATCTGGGGTAGAGGGACGATCTAGGAATGCTTCTGGAAGTGAAACCACGAGGGAAAGAAATATGTTGGGTTTCCGTAAGGGGTAATGGCTTTGACTCGCTTTGATGCAGCGCGAAGATCAAGGGTTTTGGGATGGGAAGGATGTAGAGATGTATGAGAAGATATCATTAAGTGAAAAGGGGAAGGGAAAGGAGGAGAAAAAGAAGGAGAAGGAGATTGTCAAAGTAGAACGAAGTGGCTGGGGTGAGACCTGAGAAAGGAGGTACAGGCGGGTACTTGGTGGTGGGGGCAACGATACTGCGATCGTCAGGTACCTGAAGGGTACCTTTCATGTGCCTGGATCATTGTGGCGAGTCCAGACTGCGGCTTGGCTTAATATAGAAAGATATGAGTTCGTATAACAGGCTGCACTGGCGCTGATTACTCTGTTGAATTTACACTTGCATATTTCATGGTTTCAGGGTTTCACTGAGACCCTCTTTTTGTTTCATTCGAACTGACCATTACTATACAGATATCCCCACATTGAAGTCTGTCATAAATGTCATCATTCATTAGGCCCGAGAGCCGATATTGGCCATCTCTTGAGTGTCAAGAAACATTCAACTAAGAAAAGAAAAGAAAAAGCGCGAAGGAAGAATAGACCAGGTACATGATTGCCTCCATGCGCCATGACACCGACGTCCCAACCTTCATCACCGTCTCGAACGAGGGGTATTCAGTTCAGCACGAGAGTAAAGAAGAGAGAAAAAAGTAAAAGAAAAGCAAAACGTAACAATGCAAATATGAAGTTGATATCGAAACAAAGGATCCCAGGTATGAGCACATGCAAATGAGATTACCGCACATGGAAGCTGGGTTTGCGCTGTCTGTTGACCACGGGGGGAGCCTCATCATCGGGGTAAGGAGGTCGGACTTTGTTGCCAGAGGAAGCGTGGGAGAACAGAGGTGCGGGCATAGCTACACCACCCTCATCCTGCGATGGATATGGGATGGGTGTTTTGGGAGGGACAGGTGGTGCCCCATGGAATGTTGAAAAGTGTTCATCGCTGCGGTGAGGAGAGCCCTGTTGCTGAGAGCTTGGACGGCCTTGCTCGTGGCTATAACGATAGTTGACACCGTCGCTGGATTGCCTTGGGGAGGTAGGCATGTTGTCTTGTGGCGTAGAATGAGCAGGTAGTGAATCGTCCGGCGGAGAGATCGTCACACTAGTGGGGATTGGAGGTGGTGCGTGTGTGGGTTGATGGGCGAAGTCAATGGGATCAGCAGGGAGTTCTGCGGGCAACTCGACGGCGAAGTGATGGGGAGGCGGCACATATGATTGTTGAACGGGAGAAGACACAGTGAGCTCTTCGGTTTCAAGATCAAAGGACAGGTCGTCACGATCACCACCAGCCGCAGCATGGTTTGCCAGGCGGCGATTCATCCGATCAATCTTGGCAAATCGGACACCAGCATCCAGAATCATCTTCTTGACTTCAGGCTTGGCCAGATATTGCCGTGTGTTGGTACTGATATCAGCCAACCGATTCCATTCATTCATGCCAAACTCGCCAACGCCAACTTCAACATTGAGCCGGAAGTAATTATCCTTGGGAACATTGCGTTTGGCTAGTCGATCTCGTAGCATCTCATTGTGAATATCCTCACACCCCTCGATCTTGGTGATAAGTCGACGACGTGCCTCGGCGAAGGTACCAAGCGCATCGCCGAAGAAATCCTCCCACCATTCATGCTGTCGGTTGTTGGTACCAGCAGGTCGCTTTCCTGTTCCTACACTGATGAATACACCAACCTCCCGACCTGGCCACTCGTTCACCACAGCTTCATCAAGAACCTGCGGCGCCGGGTTATATGTGCCCGGACCTTCATCAATAAAGACGTGTTGACCAATCTGGATCGGCTTGAAAGCAAGTCCTGTCGCAGAAGTCGCACGGCCTGCTTGCCAGATTGTGCAGTCAAACTCAGGTGGGGGTTCTCTACGGGAATCGTAGGACCGTAGAAGCACAGCCGTTCCTTTGCGTGGCGTGCCCTTGTAGAGAGCAGTGACGGCACTAAGTTGCAGGTTAGAAACCACAATTGATAACCATTGCATGGTGGGACTCACGTTTTAGTACGATACTCTCGGTTATCATAGAGTAGCGCATCAGGATTACCCCAACGCAAGCCATTGATGAAAGCAGAGCCTCGTTGGCTCGTCGGAGACATCGGCTGAGACGCAGCAGAAGTGCTAAAGCTCCCCCGACTAATAGACCGCTGAGGGACAGAGTTGGGACTATATGGATGACTGGCAATGGAATTACGCGCGTTTGCATTCGGCATGTCATTGCCCTCTGCCTCGAAGACTGTATGTTCCCGCACACATTCCCGAATCGCCTCCTCGAGCTTGGAGGCCTTGAAAAGCGTCGAGCGGTACGGAATACCAGCGATGGTTTTATCGGTCTCGAATACTTTGCGCGTCATGCGCACGTAGACTTCTTTGCAGGTCTCGAGGTCGAGGCGGAGACGACCGAGCATCAGCGCGATGAGACCGCCCGTGCCCGTGCCCGTGATCAAGTCGAAGTGGTCGCATGGTTTGGGAATTTGGTCGCGACGGGGTGGCTTGCCTTCGCATTCAACATAGGTGCGGTACATGAGTTCCTGGAGGAGGATAAGCATGGAGTAGCCACGTACACCACCGCCATCTGGTCAAGTCAGCTGGGTTTTGATATTGGCAGGGAAGTGAGAGAGAACTGACCGAGCGAGAGGATCCTCAGCGGAGGACCCTTGGTGGTATCTTTGCGACGCAGATGAGCTGGATCCATGGCGATTGTAGTCGCAGTAACGATTGCGATCGCTTTTTTTCGGTGGCAGCTTACCCGCGGCGGGGTTTAGTGCCTTATGCACTGAGAAACTAAAGGGTTTGACGCCTGATCAATCCAGTCGGCGTGTAGAAAAGGGTCGAAGTGTCACACCGGTGAAACAGCGGTTCAGTTCTGTCGGGCGTGACAATGTGTGGGCTCAAATAGGCAGCGGCGGGTGGATGATTGGAGGGGCTTGAGCCACGGTCCCTGCGGTAGTTCGGTAAGGCTGGCTCTGCAGCAACAGAAACTTTCTGCGAACAAATGGAGGATATGGAGTGCAGTATGCAGGGAAACAGGTCGTCAACAAGTCTAAAGATTCAAAGTTATTCTTGGAATCTTCTTTCCATGGATCAGGCAGGTCAGGTGACTCTGGATGTGGCGGTGCACCGATGATGTCGCTGTGGCGTCCACCAATCGGGCCTGCTTATTTGTCTCTCAAGGATTCAATTTGTAGAATAGTTTCAGCTCAAAGATTCTTGACTACTGTAGGCTATGTCTTTACCCGATGCATACTGCTATCCCCACTGCTACTTTGGGGGGTTGATCAAGTCCAACATGACGTCATGGTGCAAAAGCTGAAGTATAAATCCTTTTGACCAAACATCTCTGAGTGCCCGACATGAATCTAATTCGTCAAACCGGGCCAATCTGAAAACCAATTAGCAAACCCACAATGTATCCCAAACAAAGAAAGCATCAAAACACTCACCGAGGACAGTCCTCTCCTTGCCGCGCTCCGCAACAACAACCTCATCCCCAACTCTAAGATTCGTCCCACTGCCCCGGGGCTCCAAAAACGAATAGCGTCCAAACACAGGGCTAAATCGCGCCCCCTTATCCACCCTACGATCTTTCATCAATTTCTTGAGAACAGCCCCAGACTCATCAGTTCCCATCTTGCCAGTCGTATAATCAACATTAAGACTCTGACAGCGTACACAATTACCAGTCAATAGCAACCGCATCTTTTCAGAGCCTAGGGTAAGCACACTCCAATAGTCCTCTTCAAAGGCATTCTCAGCCCCGGAAACAACGATGTTAGGCCGGAATTTAGTCCGATCCATCTCCGTCCCGTCCGGCAGTCGTGCCGAGACATTATCGACGGATGTCTCGGAGATCACTAGGTAGGGCGCACAGTCTGCGAAGGTGATGCGGTCCTCTTCAGTCTTTGCGCCTAGCATGGAAAACAGTACTAGCGCAACAGGGGCGATGAGTGCGGGCAGGAGACTACTTGCCGTCTGGGGAGTCCTTCCGTGTCGGATGAAACTGTCTGCATGGATGAGTACGTTGGCCATGAATGCGATTACCAACACGGGTAAGACCCAATCTCGCTTGTTGTCTGTGGATTTGTTTCGGAAAAGATCCTGGATTCGTTGTAGGGTTGGCTTTTTGTTGGCTTTGGCTGGTGCTAATGTGCCCAGTACTTCTCGTGAGTTTGGTCCGAGGTACGCGAGGACTACGGGATATCCGAAACAGGAGCTGAACCAGTCGCTGTATTCGACGCCCATGTTGTAACCTGTGGTTGGGCTCTGGTGCATTGTGACTTTGAGAGGTTGGAGGGTCTTGATGTCGGGTTGGAGGGGGATCTCGAGTCTTTTGATGTCGCGGGGCTCGGGTTCGGACCCCGACGAGGGTGGGTGATATGTGACGATTACTTTTCCACTGTCGTTCTCCGTCTGGGGGTACTCAAGGTCGGTGTGGAAAAGGGCCATCTCTGGGAAGTGGGGGACATGCATATTCTTCAGAATTGTCGAATTGGAGCCATCCTCAGCAGGCAAGACCTTGAGGAGCATAAAGTGGCGGTCATATTTGAAGCCGCGAGGTGTTAAAATGCCCTCTTTAACGGTCGTTGGCCGTAGCGACTTGACCGGGTAGACGTAGAGCTGTTTAGGTTAGTTGCGTCGCATTGAATATCTATTGCGATAAAGGTTCGCACCTGGCTAACTTTCATGGTCGTGACTTGAAGGATGGAAGAAGAGGAGAAACTTTTGCACGCCGATCCCGGGGAAACGATGTCATTGGAACCCAGTTCGCGAACAAAGCGCTGATAAGTGTGATAAGACGATCTACCATATACAGCGCCAATATCCACTTATGGAAGAATACATCTACAACAGTTCTACCGTTTGATCTGGGTAACTTGAAAATCTTGAGTCATATTCGTTTCGAATCCGGGATATACAGAGAAAGGAAATTAGAAAGGAAATTGTCTATTGGTCCTCAGACCAGGGCAAGCTGAATGTGCCAACCCAGTCCTCAACCTCTTGGCGCAGGAGAACAATCTCGGAGATCTCCTCGCCCTCACCCAGGTAGTCCAGGAAGGCCTTGACTGTGCCGGGGTTCTTGACACCCTTGGACTGAGCATGCTCACGAGCAACCTTGTCCAGCTTCTGAGTGATAATAACGGCGCGATCGACGATTTCAGCCACGCGACGGAAATCCTCAGGCTGGAAGCCACGGGAGGTCATGGCGGGGGTGCCAAGACGCAGACCACCGGGCTTGAGAGCGGACTTGTCACCAGGTACGGTGTTCTTGTTGCTAGCAACTCCGCACAGCTCGAGGACACGCTCAACACGAGCACCGTCCACACCGCGGTTCTTTAGGTCCACAAGCACCAGGTGGTTGTCGGTTCCGCCAGAGACAATGTTGTAGCCGAGTCCGCCATCGTTGGTGGAACCTCCGAGACGCTCAGCCAAGGCTGTAGCGTTGGACAGAACGGTCTGCTGGTAGTGCTGGAAGTCGGATGACTGGGCCTGCTTAAGAGCCACGGCCAGCGCGGTGATAGTGTGGTTGTGAGGGCCACCCTGGTGACCGGGGAAGACGGAAGCGTTGATTGGGTTCTCAAGATCGTACATGATCTTGTTTCCCTTCTTGTCAGTGCTGCGCACGCCCTTACGGTAGAAGATCATAGCGCCACGGGGGCCACGCAGAGACTTGTGGGTGGTGGTTGTCACAATGTCCGAGTAGGGGAAGGGTGATGGGAGCACATCGGCAGCCACGAGGCCGGAAATGTGCGCCATGTCGGCCAGCAAGTAGGCACCCACGGAGTCGGCAATCGCGCGCATGCGGGGGTAGTCAATGAGACGGCTGTAGGCTGAGGTACCGGCAACAATCAGCTTAGGTCGGTAGAGGTTGGCCATCTTCTCCAGTCCGTCGTAGTCAATCAAGCCAGTTGACTCATCAAGGCGGTAGGGGAGAGTCTCGAAGTACTTGGAGATAGCGGAAATCTTCTTGGTAGGGGTCTGGTATCCGTGGGACAAGTGACCACCGTGAGGCAGGTCCAGACCCATGAGGCGGTCGTGAGTGTTGAGGACAGCGGAGTAAGCCATCAGATTGGCGGGGGATCCGGAAAGAGCTGGTAAAAGTTAGCACTACATCCCAATACATAGGAGGACATCTCATACGCTGAACGTTCACTCCCCACTCCTCGGGGTTGAGACGGTAGGTCTCGAGAGCGCGCTGTTGGCACAGGCGCTCTGAGGCATCAATGTGTTCATTTCCACCGTAGTAACGGGCACCGGGATATCCTTCGGAGTACTTGTCTGCATTGTGGTTAGGATGGCTTGTCGGGGCTAGCAAAACCGGGATACCGAAGTACATACTTTGCATAACACTGCCAAGGGCATCGAGAACAGCTTGCGAGGTGAAGTTCTCAGAGGGAATCAGGTTAATGAAATGCTTTTGGCGTCTTTTCTCCTAGAGAGGTATTAGCAATGGTCGATTTTTGGAGCTCTATCAGCAATGACGCACCTTCTGCAGGATGTCGTAAACGGCGGGGTCGGAGTCCTTCAAGGACGACGATAGCAGCTAGCCCTAGGTCAATACATATGTCTGTCTTGCCATTGACCATCCCACATACCTTGTGCTGTGACTCGGGAGAAGATGATACTCCCCGCGATTGAGGAACCGATCTGATTGAAGGCACGATAGAGGCCCGGGAAACGATAGCCCGGGAGCCCCCAAGGGGGAGCAGGCGAGCAGCAGATCTGCCACAGCGAGACAACATGGTGCAAAGCTGAAGCTGAAGCTGAAGTTGAAAAGTTCACGATCGAGGGGTATATGTACTTTGCCGATAGGGAAGCATCGGCTTTTAAACAAACGAATGCTTGTCGGACGGTAACTGACGCCTTTCCGTTCTCCGCGGAAAGCGGGAAACCACGCTATTCCCAGTTGAGCTCTCCGCCTGGTCCGTGCAGCCGCTGGGGGTTTTTCTTCGCTCGGCAAAATTCCTCCCTTCTTTTCTTCTTCACACAACTAAATCCAAGATGAAGAAACGGCGTTTCATCTGTGTCAGCACTCGTCGGTGACGGCTGGACTTCGGTCTGGCTGGAGCTGGACGGGCGCTGCTGACAGGTCCCACGCCTTTAACCATCCTTTCGGGACCAGTACCATCGGATTGGACTTGTTGTGCGTTTGGTTTGCCGATCGGAATCAGGCCGGCTTGGGCTTCCCTTGCCATGGTCCGGGATATCTCGCGGCATCCAACACTTCCACTGTCGCATTGCGATGCTCTAGTCCAGTGAGGAGTTGCTCTCTAACAGCAAACTCCAAGCGCCTCGAAGAGTCGACCCCTTAGCCTACCCCCTAGTGAATAGAACATATATAATCACTCAATTGAACCTGAAAAGACTGTGACACCACTTGCCTATGTAATCATCGTTGCTAAACAAGTCACAGCACAGCCTATGGGGCTGGTGCTAGTAATTCACCCCTAGTGACCAACCTTCCAAAGTCAAAAGGTCTGCCGTGGTGATGTTTTGCACAACAGGCTGTGTAGGGATGATTATAATTGAGATCACCAACCCCTGTTTTTTCTTGATGCCTTGCGTTGACCGTCAATTCATAACTTACAAAGATAGTCTACTATTATTAGCGATAACATTGACCACCGACGATCCAAATTCATGACTGTTGCTACTGCACTCGTATCCTGAGCCGAGGTCTTTACATGAATGATACTAAAAGGACTCTGTAGAAAGCAAGATAGAGTACCATTAAACAGTTCAACAGTCACGAGGGAGATATTAGAGTGAGACCTTGGAGTGCCTAACGCACATTGCCAAGCTGTAATCTTATTGTTGGACTGTCGTGCCCTTCACATTGGCCAGAAATAACCAATACAGTAGTTAGATAATTGGTCATCTGGCCAACAGAGTTATAAATATAATCCTTTTCATTGAGGCTTTTTTTCAAACTCGACTGTGCATGATGGGATTCTCAAATCAGTTCAACGATTACTGCTACTTATCAACAGGCTTGCCCAAGGTGTACAACATTGACGGCTCACTATCGCGGGAACTTAGCGGGGGCATACAAATTATGAATGACTCCCGGAACTTGCAAGCAAAATCCTCTGTAGTACTTCTCAGATCTCCAGTCTACTGTAACTCGCCCACAAAGGGATTGAAATGACTACAAACCCACATCTACTGTACAGTAAGTAAGAAGATCAAAGAACCTAGATTCGGATAGCCAATGCCTAGAAAATCTCATTCAACCCTAGCAGCCACAACAGCCAAAAGAGGAAAAGATTCTCGGCCGCGCACGACAAACTGGTTCATCAGGGCGTGTCCATAGAGTTGAAGGACGCCAGGAGGACTGGACCCATAGTAACCTGGGGCTGTAGAACAAGTCCTGATTGACTGAAAAGCAGATTAAATGACGCCGTTAGGATACGAACCTATTGCCACGCCCTATCGCTCCCCCCTTTTCCCGTCTTTCCAGTCTAGTGCACGGGTACCTGAATCTCATGAAATTAGCATTATATACAGCCCCGGTCTCCCCCCCTTCTCCCTTCTCTTCTTCACCCACGCTTACATTCTCTATATCCCGGTTCTTGCACCGATTACATTCTTTTAACAAGCCACTCTTTACACTTCGCGTGTCCATCCCTTTCAACGAACATTCTTCGAATCCCCCCCCACATCTATCACAATGCGTTTCTCCATCGCTGCTCTCGCTGCCGCTGCCGTTGGCGCTGCCGCCTCCGGTGTCACCACCGAGGTCGTCACCGAGTACACCACCTTCTGCCCCGAGGCCACCTCCGTTGTGCACGGTAGCCAGACCTACAGCATCTCCACCGTACGTTCCTACCAAAACACCACAACCAAACATGGGCAAAAAAACGAACCTTAATCGCTAATCAATCAAAATAGCCCGGTCACATCACCATGACCAACGGTCCCTTCACTGTCACCCGTCCCCTCGTGACCTCGACCGTGACCCAGTGCAAGAGCTGGTAAGCAAAATCCTACCTATAAACAAACAAACAAGCCCCAATTCTAATGCCTCCTAGCTCCTCCGCCACTCCCCTGGCCAGCAGCAGCAGCAGCGTCCCCGTCATCCCCGTCGCCCCCAGCGTCGCTACCTCCACCCCTCTGGTCCCCGGCGTCGGTGCCACTGGTGTCCCCGGCTCCTCCGCCGGTTCTTCCGCTGGCACCCCTACCCCCTCCCAGCCTGCCTTCAACGCCGGTGCCATCAACGCCGCTACCGGCGCTGGTGCCGCTCTGGCTGCCGTCTTCGGTGCCGTTGCCCTCCTGCTGTAAAGTGGCTGAGTAAAATGGTATCATGATGGGATGGCGTGTGTTTCTCCATGCTTGTTTTCAGCCTGGAGTCTCGCTGCTGTCGGGTGTTTGGGCTTGGGTTCTTCTTGGGTGTACATGTCTTGTCTACGTCTTCTTAGATAATACATAATTTGTTCGTTTCGATTTGGGTGTATTTTGTTTTGCTTCTTTTTCGTCTCCCCTCGCTGGGACTTTTTGTTGGTTTTGCTAGTGATTCTCCTGGACATATGTTTTTTCTTTATCCCACTTCGAACACGAATGATCTCTTTTCTCATACTTGTCTCCTGTAAAGAAGTAGTTTGCTGCCAACCCTGACCTCTGTATGTCGGTCTCTTTCGAGTGTATCTTGACTCTGATCTAAGCATTCTAGGCCAAGCTCCGACGATCGTCTCTTCTCGATCTCGATCTACATATGGTGGGTATTGGTTGTTCGGCTCGAAGTGTCATAAGGCCATTGAGAAGGGCACTCGATGAGATCTTGAATGATGTATCAGAATCCAATTGTATAGTTATAGCCTCGTGGGGCAACGTTATTGCGGGGATCATGCAGGTCTATCAAAGACTGAAAAAGCAAAGTAACAGCACATGATGTGATCCATCTTTTCTCAATAAGTACAGGAAAGTTTATATACACTTCACATCCTCGTACATTTTCCTTTTTTCCCGTGTAGTGCCTGACATATACTCCCACAGTTTCATATAGAATAAGGGATCCAAGTGTTGATAATCATCTTCATCACTATCAGATATGTACAGTATTCATCCTACAAAACCACGTATCCAACCCCCCAAACAAAACAAAACTAAAGCCTCGCTTTTTCAGCCCTCCCTTCAAAATACTCCCTCACCCTCCCCCTAGCAACATCAACAACATCCCCATCCTCAACCGTAGGCGGCACATTGACAAAGCCCTCATAATCCCCCTTCACAGCCAACTCAACAAGCTCCCTCAGAACCCGTCTAAGGGTCTTCCCACTCCTGGTCTTAGGCAACATACCTCGGCCCTGAATCATCCCACCCAGCGACGCAATGGCGCCGATCTGTTCGCGCACGAGGGTATTCACTTCTGTGAAGAGTTTCTCGCTTGGTTTTGCTGGAAGATGGCTATCATGTCCACCAGCGGTGGATGGAGGTGTGCTCTTTTCCGGTATGTATCCTGTTTTAGGTTGGATGAATGCAAAGGGCAGGTGGCCCTTGACTGGATCTGGAAGGCCAATTACCACGGCTTCGCTGATTGCGGGGTGGGAGAGGATTGCTTGTTCAATTGTACCTGTTGATTTGTGTTAGCAATTTCGTTTTTCATCTTTCATTGTTCAACGCCGAATATGAAAGGTGGAGCGGGTGTATAACGTGTGACATACCAGTCCCAAGTCTATGCGCTGCAACATTAATGATATCATCGGACCTTGACATAACATGCAAATAGCCATCTCCATCAAGCATCCCCGAATCACCGGTATCAACCCACCGTCCATCAAATCTTTTCAGATACCCGTGGTAAAAGCGCTCGTCTTCCATGAATAGATTGGTAAATGCTGTCGGAGCAAGCGGTAGTCCCAGGACGATATTCCCCATCGTGCCAGATGACAACTCATTGCCCTCGTCGTCGACAACGCGAACATCAAACCCAGGTAACGGCAACCCAGCCGATCCAGGACGGAGAGCAAGAGATTTTTCATCCCCAACCTGTCCCTGTTCATGTCCTTCGCCTTCTGCATCAGAACTCGAACTCGAAGAAATAATAGCACCCCGGGAATTCTGCATCAACCCGGTAATAGGAGACCCAGACTCCGAAGACCACCAATTATCAACAACAGTAGCACCGTCTGCTCCAAACCTTCCAAGCAGCTTTTGATAAACATTCACAATGGACGGCTCGCTGCGCTCACCGGCGAGGAATAGAGCCCTTAGCGACCTCAGCCCACCCCTACCTCCAACCTCCTCGATAAAAGCGTTCTCGGGATCATCCTTGCGCATGGCACGCATGGCAGTCGGCGCCGTGAACAGCACATTAGCTTTATGTTTCTCGATTAATCGCCAGAATATGCCCGCGTCTGGTGTTCCTACTGGCTTTCCTTCATAGAGGATAGTCGTTGCGCCTACTAGCAGTGGTCCGTATAGAATGTAGGAATGGCCTACTACCCAGCCGATATCTGATGCGCAGAACATCACATCGCCAGGTCCCTTGATGTTAAAGAGAGTTTTCGTGCTAAGGGCTAGGCCTACGGCGTGGCCGCCTGCTTCGCGGAGGACGCCTTTTGGCAGCCCTGTTGTGCCTGTATGTCTGTTAGTGTAATGTTCTGGTTCCGTAGAATTGGAGCATAGTCCCCAGATCCAATAGGGAAGAAGAACTCACCACTAGTATAGATGATATAAACCCCCTCCGTCCCCTTAACAGGAACAGTGGCCGCCTTGATTCCCCGTCCCCGTGCACTCTTAACAAGCCTCTGCCAATTCCGCTGTCCGTTTCGTTTATCAGGATGGTTCCAGCGCAACTGGTCGCGCTGCCAGATGATCACTTTGCTAGGCTTAAACTTGCTTGCGTTTATGGCGCCTTCTACTAGTGGTCTGTATGCAATGGGACCCTTGCTACCCTCGATGCCACATGAAGCGGTCAGTATTGCGCGTGGGCGTGCGGCTTCGATGCGCTGGGCTAGGGATTGTGGGGCGAAACCACCGAAAACGGCGGCGTGAATTGCGCCTAGGCGTGTTATGGCTAGTGAGGCTATTAGGGCGGCGGGGATCATGGGCACTATTCGGTTGTTGTTTGTTAGTTTGATTTTGGGTCTGGATTGTTGTCATGTGGTTGATATTGTGGGGTTATTGTGGGGTGATGCTGGCGGGGATGGGGGATGGATGTGAACTTAGTTCTGGGTGAAATGGGCAAGATGCCTGCCATTGAGAGGTTCTGGGGGTAATGCATACTGTATATGATGACTACATCGCCCTTCTTAATCCCTTCCTCTCTCAGAACTCCTGCAAGAACCTCGATCTCGTCCAGGAGCTGGGCGTAAGTGTATGTCTCTGTCGATCCCGTAACGGGCGACTCCCATATTATGGCTACATTATCGCCGTGGCCTGCGAGGACGTGGCGATCGACGCAATTGTAGGAGGTGGAGATCTCGCCGTCGGCAAACCACGACCAATGCTCGTGGGATACTCCACTGGGGAGAGTTTTGGTGTGGCGTGTCAGGGCGCGTGATGGCTTGCGGTGCCAATGGAGCTTAGTTGCGTGATAGCTCCAGAAGGACTCTGGGTCGGCGAGGGAATGGGCAGTTGCTATTACTTGGGTGTGAGGTGGCATGGTTTGAATGGTCTTATGGGATGTGAAGAAGGTAGGTTGAAACTGAAGAGGGGAAGGTCTGGGGATCCCATAGCTCAGCTACCCGAGGTTGGGAGCAAGGCGCCCCGAGGTTTTAAAGGGCTGCATGAAGTACAGGGATGCTGCGGGGAGAGCACCCCCCCGCACGTGAATATTTGGTAGAACCTGTATTGTCTATATATCGCAAAATCAAAATAAAAACAAGCTCAGTCGTAGGGTATCATATCGAAATGCCTGCTAATGCGCGACTGCGATCTGGCTTCGTCGCCTGGGGATTTTTTTTGTATGGTGGAGAGAAAGGTTGTTCGAGAGAACCACCTAGGACCACCAACGCCGAGATAAAAGACAGAACCCTCCAGATGCACCCGGGACCAAAAATGGAGAGAGATAGAGAGAGAGATGGGAAAAAAAGAAATAGAAAAAATCAGGTCAAAAGACTCCGGACGGACGCGACCGATCACAAGAGGACACAATTAAGGCGACTGCGATGTCGCGACTTGTCGGGCCGGAAGGACTTGGGATATTCGGGACCGGCGTCGCGATCACGGCCACCAGGCTGGCGGCGATCCTGACGGCCACCTTGCTGCTGTTGTCGCTGTTGGCGCAGCATGCGGACGACATCGTAAAAGGCCTTCTCCACGTTGATGCAGTTCTTGGCGGACGCCTCAACGAACTCGCATCCCAACTCTTTGGCCAGGGCCTGGCCTTCTTGTGCTGAGACTGCGCGTTCCACAGCCTTGTCGCTCTTATTTCCGACCAGCATCACCGGGACGGGCATTGCGGGACCGGAGGATGCGCTCATTGGGGAGTTCAGGTAGCTGGGCCCGGAGGGGGAGCCCGAGCTTGACGATTCCTTGACCATCTTGATCTGGTTGTAAAATTTGGTGATGCGCGAGAAGGAGGCGCGCGACGTGATGCTGTACACCAGCACGAACCCCTCTCCGTCTCGAATCCACTGGTCTCGTAGTGCGGTATATTCTTCCTGGCCCGCAGTGTCCAGCACCTCGAGCATACACGATTGTTGATCGATCACGACTTGTTTGCGATATGAATCCTCGATGGTTGGATCATATGTTTCGACGAAGTGGTTGAGGCATAACTGGAGGGCGTTAGCGACCTGATCTCGTGTGTCCCGGGAGTCGGGCAACCAACCTGAATGGTAAGGGCGGTCTTTCCGACACCTCCATCACCCAGCACCACCAGTTTATACAGCGTCATTTTCCCAGACATGGCGACAGAGAGCTATTGAGAGTAAGCGACAGAAGCGCAAACCACTCAACACATGGTGAACTTACTAAGGGGGAAAAGAGGGGAAAGAGAGGGAGGGGGTGAAGTGGCCCACGTTCCAGGCGGGGGCGAAAAAGGGAGTGCCAATTGAGAGTGTGTAGGCAATTAGGCGAAGTCGAGGGGAAGGGGAAGAAGTCAAAAGCGAAAGCTAGAATAAAGTAAGAGAGAGCAATTGAAGAAAATAGAGAGTCAGAATTTCTAAAATCTATCCCTGTCGGGTTGAAATCTTCTCCCCCTCCCCCCCCCCCCCCCCCCTACCCTACCCTACCCTACGGTTTTTTTTGCCTCGAATTTTTTTTTTCACTATATTTCTTTTCCCGCTGAAACAGTTTCGGGTAAGACCTCGAAAAAATATAGACAAACGACAGAAATGACTGGTAGAAATCCTATAATTAGGGGAATACAAGTGACAGCTCCATGAAGTCATACACTTTCGACCAGGGGGAATCCACTTTAGGAAGTTAGTGCGATTTTTCTTAGCCACAGCGTAGCGTGACACTATTCATACCAAGTTGGATACTATATAGGCCTCATTCTTTCTATCTCTTTCCAAGGTCTACTCGGGGTTCTCTCTCTCTCATATCGCCAGTGTTTGGGGGGCTAGATCCTATCCTCTATATCCTCGATCCTATATTCCATCTCTCTCTACTAAGCTCCACACGGAAAAGGAGAGCAGGCCCGGCCCTCAACGCACAGGACACAGTGGATATCGGAATGAGCTTTTCTTGGCCTCAATTTCCTTCCCTTGACGGTGGAGAAGCATAGAAGCTCTCTCGGGTGGGACGGAAGCCCCCTAAGCGAGCCCTGACGCCTGTGTATCCAAGTCGCTAATATTGATTAGGTTGAGTTTAATTCGTAGACCCCAGTCCACACGTGGGAAGTGTGTCATCGTATGTTTCAGGAGTCTATACATCTGCAATATTATTCTGTTAGTGTCGATGGTGGCGCCCCATATCCCCACAGCCTCGTGGTTTGGGAAATGAGCCGGCTCTATGGAGGTTAGTATGGTTATGGTTCGTAGCATTGTCTTGGAATGAGGAGGACTGGGATGCTATTCCTCCAGTCTAAACCCGAACCCGAAATCATGCACGCCGATGGGTCTCAGCACACCATCACACATTCCAGAATGTGTTTAAAGGTTTGAACCAGACTGGACTGGGGTTAGGGTGAAGGTTATCCCTCTCGTTATCACGGTTCTGTTCAAGGTGCGGATGAGGGTCTTTGCGTTCCCGGTCCGCGGTGCTGTTAGCCGCCGGGTAAAAGGTCTCCGAACCCCAACACTCGACTGAATTCTGAAAGATTCGGGATGTGGGAACAATCTTTGGGAGGCACTTTACTACTTGTCTTCCAAGGTTTCCTGTATATTCTCGTTGGGCATCGACAAACTCAAAACACCAATTCGTTCTCGTTCCCAGTTCCAGGGGGGAGAACACCCATTTCCTCTTCGAGATTGGAGGCCCCCCCCCCCGGGGACCCCCTTCTGGACGGGTCTCGACGGGGACTTTTTCCCTTCTTTTCTTCTTTTCTTTTTCTGTTCTTCCTTCTTCTTTGAGTCTATCTCATTCCTTTCATCTTGATCCAATCAGCTGGGATCTGCACTCACCGTGCCCACCGGGGACTATCTGACCCGACTCCTCCAAGATGCAGATATGCATCCTGCCTCCAAAGTGTAACTTCATGTACAAACACACTGATCTTTGAGTCGAGTTGCCGGTCTAGAGAATCATACAGACACGGACTGCAGACTGCAGACCACAGACCGCATACTTTGGAAAGTGTTTCAACCCCCTGTTCACACGGACGGAATGGTCCGGGTAACGGCTGGACCGGGGAGCTTTGAACGCCGCACCAATGATTGCCGTCAATGGATATGAAAAGTGACAGGGGGGAGAGTGACGGATCCTCCCGCCAGGCCGTTAGATGGAGACGTGTTGAACGGTCCACCATGGCCTCGTCCTGGCCCTGGCTGGGGACGTAATCTCGAGATTGGGTTGCATTGGCGACGACTTTGTCCAACGGGTATGATGTAAGATGTAACGACATATCCCTTGTCTTGATAATGCTCGACTGCATCGTGATAGGTCTGTTGTTTGCTTCTTGATCCCTTCCTTCCGCCGTCCGTTGCTGCCCTTGGTAAGCCGTTGATAGGCACGGTTCCCAAGATCAATTCGCACAAACCAGCTGCCTGTTTGAGGATGGCGTGGGAATCCTTTGGTGGTAGGTGTATCCCTCGTTGTGGCCCGATCTTGGGATGTTGTTATCGAAGGATCGGTCGATCCTTGCATTGAGGGTGCCGATCACCAATTTTTGGGATCACATGCAGTTACATGTACAGTAGTAAGAAGAATCATGTCGATCTCGATGCTTGTGCCTGATAGATCCGGTGGACTCTCTTTCTGTCTGCCCAAATTCCTGCATTGGGATCGCGGATGGGATCTTCGTTGCGCTATTGGTTTAAACGTCAGGTGAGCATGTGGCCGGTGACTCCAATAATGAATAGCGTTGTTTGTGGAGTCAGGGGGCTGGACGTAGCTTGGAGCTTGCTCGAGCTTGCTCAAGCTATGAGACACCTTATCTGTCGTTATTGGTGGTACAATGTACCGGTTTATTATTCAAAGTCTTGGTCTTCTCCCGGTAAATGTTATACTGTAGGCCGCTACTCGGCCGGACGTTTTGGGTGGGATCAGATACACTAGTATAGATCTACAAGTATAGTCAATTGGGTTCGGACATTATGCTCTGCTTCAGGCCTCAATCGGGATATCTCAAAGAAAAGGGGACGTAGCGTAGTGGATGCTAGATAAACTCGATCAGGTTTTGTGAGTGAAATGTTCAGAGAATCGGTCTGCAAATTGATAAGGTTGTTTGACAGCTGTCATGACTGTGATATTTGTCGATTCCAGTATAGGGGAATCGCTCAGGGTCGCGTACTGTTGGTAATCCGTCGGCTTGCTCCAAAGTCTGACCGATATTTATCTCAAACACATCGAAGGAAGTACGTGCCGCGGTCACTTTTTCCCTTGGGATCTCTGCTCGGCGTTGTTTAGATTTCTTACTGCCCGTGGACTCAAGCGTACTGAAAGGCTTCATTTCTAGGCTCCACGTCTGTTCTTAGACATCCGATCATCCGCGTGCCTATTTCTGTCCGGACAATTTCCGAAGTAGTGGCTTCAATGTTGAACTGTGGCTTGACTGTTGAAGGTGGAAATTGGACGCACAGCCCCCATATTGAGCTGAGATAAGCTCTAATGCCTCAGCCTAACTACCCTGGACCTCTTCTGCCTCTCAGTCTCCCTATTTTACATCCGAGAGAGAATACCTGTGGCTCCCCATCGCTAAAATCATGGGCCCCTTCCAGAATGTAATTTGTTACTCATGTTCACGAGGAGGACTAGCAGGAGACTGCGGCATAGCCTTCCAACCGAGATTATGCACGCAAAAACTCTATGCAGCTGCAATATCAGGGAGTACTAGCCACGAGCAGTTTCTCTCGCTCTTTACTAGATCAAGCCTGATAGATGAGAACGGCCCAAGCTCAAATACCTTCCAAAGAAGCTGAAGCCACAGAAGTATTCAGGGAAGCAAGCTCTCATATAAACTTTCTGTAGAGTAAAGCGCGGTCTCGGAACCACAGGGCTGCGTTAGTCACAATTGGGATCATGGCACAGCCATATTCAGGCTCTATATCTCACCTCATAATGTAGTAGAATTTGACATGTAACAGCGGTTTGAAATCAAATCCTCTCTATCATCATATATTGCCAGGAGCTATTTGACAGATCGTGCGAAGCCAACTATCACTATAGAATACTATAACTTAAATCATCTCTTTCACAAGGTACGCCTCGCCTTATATCTCTCCATTAAAAAGCAACACCAAACCCGTTGATCAGGTCAAATGAAAATTTTCAGCTTGATTTGGGCCTGGTTGGACATCTTACGTGCTCCAAGTCCCAGGGGTTGTTGCCGTAAGCTTTTACGTATCCTATAATTTATATGCAGCTTCGGTTATATTCTTTAATATCTACCTGGTCCTGATCTGCCGACAAATAACTTTTGAGTAACAAATAACAGAAGAAACATCCTTTCGGATATCAATCATCTCCGCTGGATATCACTCAGGTAAGACGTCACCTGTTCGACCAATATCTGCCGCGGCCTCGTCTGGTCGTTATCACTCAAAGCATGTGAAGCACCAGGAATGACCATACTCCTCGTATCCCAGATCTGCCGCCCACTCCCATCAGCAGCAGCCTGCCACCTCTTCAACAAGGCCTCCTTATTCACCCACGGAGGCACAGACTGATCACGCCCAGAATACAGCACAAGCATCTTCTGCTTCAACAAGCCTCGCTTCGCAATCATACCAAAAGTCGACCGGAATTGCTCATCACTCAAATCGGAACTGAACAAATCATCCTCAGACGGATTCTCCGGACTATCCGGACTAACCAGGCTCAAAAACCGACGACTGCTTACCGGCGCAGAAGGCGGGTATCCAATTCGCGATGTCACAACCAACGGAACAACAGTGTCAACTAAGTCATGATCTTCATATGTCGCTCGACGCGCATCCGCCACAGCCTTATCATAAATCTCACGCATCTTAAGCGGACTGTCACGCTCAGTCCCACACTTGACAACCCACAAGATCCCCTCTCGATCCGAGACAGGCGCTTGCATAATGGCACCATCAACCTGTTCGCGCAGAATGGGCTTCCAATCGCGGTCGAAGACGGGATGGGCGGGTCGCGGGTTGGGACAGTTGATGTAGTGCATCACGTCCTGACTACCAGTCGAATGGCCCATGATCACCACCTTGCCCGATCCAAATTGTGGCTCCTTGTAGCTGCGCACGTAGGAGACGCATTGGGATAGTTCGTCGATGTCTTGACCTAGTCGGCCCATTCCCCACCCCCCGCCGGCGCAGGACAGGCCTAGGTTGAAGATGCTCCATTCTGTTGGGTCGAGGGCCTTGACTACTTCATTCAAATAGTCGACTGAGCCGAGGCTGTCGCCTAGTCCGCCGACGAAGACTAACGTGTGTGGTTTGCGGATTTGGCTGCGGGTGTACTCGAATGCGACTAGGGTGTCGGTCTGGTCGGTTAGGGTCGGTTAGCTAGGGGTTTATCTGGGTATTTTTTGCGGAGAGAGGGGTAATGTACGCAGTGGTGGAGGATTCCAGGCTGGCCTCGGGCCAGAGATAATTGTTTGATTTGCATTGTGAGATGTGTTGCTTGCAGTGGGGGTTTGGGAATGGGAATTTGCGTCAGATCTGATAAGGCGGCATCTGATAAGGCGGTGCAGGTCATTGCCGATACCGGCTCAAGGCGGGTTATGCTGGCATTATGGGCTGGGAAGTGTAAGATCACTACAACACAGCCTTCTCGAGCTGCCACACTTGTTCTTCACCTGCTGGTTCTAGCTTTAGAACTGAGGGAGTCACATTCAGAGTCAAAGCTTGGTATAGGCCAAGGGTATGCTGGAAAAAGCTTATTGCCAAAGTACACTGCCGAAGTACTCAATGCTTTAGGGATGAGTCGCTGAGGAAAATGAACAAAAATGCCGCTAACTAGCTCGCACATGACTAGATATGTCCTAGACTTCAGGTGTCATGTCTGTTGTTAAGCTATTTATTGAAGAGCTATTGTCAAGAGCGTTGATAGTCAACCTGCACGCATTAGGTCTAAAACGATTTATTAGGGTTTCCAGCATTCTTGGTGGAGACTGCTTGCATAGTGGTTGAAGAAATGTATGTCCGAAGTCTCGAGTATCTCTCTCCAAATCTGTCATTGTCTTTGTTCAAGTGCAGCACAACTGCAGCGAAGAGCATAAGCAATCCACTGAAATCGAGCTCCCTAGGAACTTGATCTAACGTTATAGCAAACATGTCAAGCTTTGCCAAGTCTGATGGAATAGACTCTGACAAATAACAGTAAGCATAGCTCAAAGGGCACTATTGTAGATCGGCTCAAGTCAAATGCAAGGCAGTGGCCTAGGTGCGTATCATCGAATTGGCCACCATGACTACAGGCATTGAATGCATGCAAAAAGTCAGTCAAAGAGTATTACACTTAAGATTTCCAGCCCCGGAATCTTTCTTGATATACAGACATCAACCCAGGATAACCGGAAAATGAGCAATGCAACGCTTCTAGCAAGAACACGATGGCACAACTACTGTATCACAGCAAAATCATTTTGGTGCATTGGATTAAACTACAAAACGCAAAGTAGAAATAAAATTGCCGATCAAGTAATTTGTCGACGCAAAGATAATCTCGGAGATTGATAATGACATCTTAAGGGCTTCTAGAACAACGCACATCCTCTCGACACGAGGTCAATAGGATCCATTAGTGTAGGTATTACTCATTACTTCTTTTATTTAATCATTTAATACAAAAAGATCGGTTACCGTATTTACTCCGCTCATTTCCACATGCTTAAGTCTGCATCATTGGGGATCCACTGACTTTCGAAGAAATGAGGCGATGGGCAACTGTTTCCATACTTCTGTATTGTTTTGTGGTTAATACGGGTATATTATACAATACATACACAGTAAAGTTACCAGACCGAACTGGTACAGTAACTTTGACCTCGGGAGCAATACTCCGCTTATTAAGCAGGTGCCCCACCAGTTGACGGCCGCAACGACGTGTGGTGAACTCCACAGGTTATGTCGATCCCCATGGTATGTACAGTGTACTGTATGTTTAGAAAGCAACCGAGATGAAGCGAAGACTCACTTGGACCAGGTTTCTCAATGAATGTAAGGCTTCAATGGATACCCAAAATAAGCCGAAAGTTTTTCCAAGTTCGCCATGCAGGGCACATTAGCTTTTTCGGGGATTATTACCACTAAGACTAGGTACATGTTCTCATCAGCATATACGAATACGATCGTCATATTTGTCCAACAATTTGGTCCAGACAATTCCACTGCAGCTAACTTGATCGACGACCCAATTTCCTTGTTGATCTAGTCTCCGGCGGGTCAGCTCCATGTCCTTTCAATTCATTCAATTTACAGTACTGGGACCTGACGCTGCGAAATCGGTTGAGGCCCACGGAGTGTTCCGGAATTTGTGAAAATGGTGCTCCAGATCAGCCGAGCATTTATCTGATCTTGTATAAGTGCGTGCAGGCCCATGTTGATCTGATTACAACCTGTCACCTTCCACAGCTTCGCCCAAAAAATGTCTTTCTCCCAGCCACTGGCCTCGGCCAAGATTCGCCTACCTCATCCTTATTTGACCACGTACAACGTGGTACCCTCCAGCAATGATGTGAATGAAATTAAGTCATTCCAGTTGCGCAAGGCCGACAATGCCCAGGAAGCGCAGGCATTCCCCCAGGCATTGCACAATGACCAGCTCTTCTTCACGGCCCCCAACCCCGTGAAGTTAGAGAATGCCCCGCCAACCTCCAACAACACCGCCTGGGCTCGCGCGCAAAGAAGTCCCTCAGCCATAGCAAGCTGGGAGAGCCAAACCACGCCCACAGTAGGCCAAATCTGGCTCTACCTTTACACAATCTTCACGGTACAAGAAGAAATCGAAAGCTTCCGTCTCGAGCTCCGAGGCCCGCACGCAGACACCGTGGCGCATGCGCTGCGCCTATCAATGGTTGCCATTGACCACCCGCGCCCAGTCAGCACCTCGACAGCCTTCACCCCCACTCCCAATGAGATCCTCGTTCTCCGCAGCGCCTTCTGGCAGGGCTGTGGCTCTCCATTGGGATCCCAGCCTATCTGGCTTCCATCCTGGAACCCCGCCGCTGCAGTCCCTCACCTCGACTGGACCATGACTTCAACGGAAACCATGCACAGACGCCACCCGCGCCGTAACCCTAAGCCGACTCCCGGCGAGGTCGTGTACAGTCGCTATATCCCCTTCTTGGATGAGCACTTCTCCCTCGTCGCTTTAGATTACCGCAACCCGGCCCACCTCAACCTCTTTCACACTTGGCAAAATGACCCGCGCGTTGCGCAGGGCTGGAAAGAGACTGGTACGCTGGACGAGCACCGCGAGTATCTGCGCCGACAGGATGAAGACCCCCACACGTTGACCGTGCTGGGTCATTTCAATGATACGCCTTTCTCGTACTATGAGATCTTCTGGGCCAAGGAGGATAATGTTGGCGCGCATTACTCTTCTGGCAACTTTGACCGCGGCCGGCACACGCTTGTCGGCAACGATGCGTTCCGTGGCCCCCATCGTGTTATGGCTTGGTGGCCTAGTATGATTCACTACTGCTTCCTTGATGATCACCGGACAGAGAATATCATTGGTGAGCCTATGAGCACTAATGATAAGGTTCTCACTTATGATTACACTTTTGGTTTGCATCAGGATCAGCTTATTGATTTGCCTCATAAGCGTGCTAGTTTGGTGAAGTCTACCCGTGAGCGATTCTTCCAGCTTTGTCCATTTAACCAGGGCAGTCCGCACATTGCGGGTACGGGGCTGGGCTTTAAGCCTCGCTTGTAAATTTAGATACGATAAAAATGTGGAATGGCGTCTTTGATAGCTTCAAAATCGGTCTTTTTTGTTAAAATAGTGTCTTGTAATTTCGAGAAATTTTTCTCACTAGACTGAAGGGAAATGAAACGTCCTGAATTTACTGCTGAGACTTTGAGACGAATGGTCTATAGAGAATGTATATGTGGATGAGTCTATATTACAATTATGCATAAAATATACGTATATGCAAGGGTTATAAAAATGTAAAAGAAATGCACCCAAGCTTAATCACCGCCAAAAGTCTGGCTGAGAACGTTGGTACGATAGCTCCCAGAGCGAGTAAACAGCTCTTCATGAGTACCAGCATCAACACACAAGCCAGCTTCAATAAGGTAAATTGTATCAGCCTTGCGAATTGTATGCAGCCTGTGCGCAATAGCCAAAACACTAATGCCCTTCGATGCAACCTCTAGTCCCTCCTGCAAGAGTTTCTCAGACTCTGCATCGAGGGCACTAGTAGGCTCATCGAGAATAAGTAGTCTAGGCTTGCGCACGAGAGCTCGTGCAATAGCAAGCCGCTGCTTCTGTCCACCTGAAAGCTTGCTTCCATTTGCTCCACATGGTGTATCATAGCCCTGTGGGAGGTTGACGATGGTATCGTGGATGTTGGCTAGCTTGCAGGCCTCGATAATCTCTTCGTCTGATACCTCTGTGTTGGGGCGTGCACCTAAGGATACATTGAAGCGCACTGTACCTTCAAAGAGAACTCCTTCCTGTGGAACAAGGGCGATGTGGTCTCTGAAAGAGATGTCGTCTCGCTTCGTGATGTCTGTTCCGTCCACGAGGATCTCGCCTGAGGTGGGGAGGTACATGCGCTCTACCAGAGAAATTATCGTGGATTTACCAGCGCCTGATGGCCCGACTAGTGCACAGAACTGGCCTGGTCGAACGTGCACATTGAGACCGCGAAGGACAGGGGCATGCGCGCGTGCCGGGTAGGAGAATTTGACGTCTCGGAATTCGACATCTACTCCGCCCTGTGCCTCGGGGGTGAATGACTGGGTTTTCCCCGTGGCTTCGACGTCTTTCTCCGTCAAGAGCTCGGGAAGGGTATGAGGTTGGTATTTTGCGCCTGATGATCCAATTTCCAAAATAGACAGAACTCGTGCGACTGCAGCTCGTGCGTTGGATACTTCTGGAGCAAGTGCAAACATTTGACTCCAGAGCTGGGCGCTGACAAGCAAGGCGAACATGACAATAATGAATTGAGTCTCGCTGTAGGTCCCGTTGAAGATCTGCTTAGACCCCCACCAGAAAGCCAAAGCATAAGACAAATTACCAAGGAAATAGGCAAGCCCTAACCAGAGATTGGCATGGAGGCTGATCGCAGTGGTCTCTCGACGGGGACCACGAAGAGTCCTCCGGAAAGCAGCTAGAGTCTCTTCTTCCAGAGACAGCGAGGCAATGGTCTTGATAGAGTTAATAGCCTCAACACTGATACTGACAGATTGATTGAAGGCATTTTCGTGGCGCTCCTCAAATTGGCCAAGGACTCGTAGTTGCATAACACCCGTACCTAACAGGAGTGGCACAACAGCGATACATACAAGAGCAATCTTCCAGGCAATGCAAAGAGACATCACGACCGCGACGACGAGGTTGATACAAATTGAGAAGATCGTACCAATGACTGAGCCGCTGAGGCCTGCAATCAGATTCCCATCGTTCGTGATATATCCCAGCAAGCCGGTAGGGTTGCGATCATCGGATTGATGCCATTGCAGGTCCTGCTCAAACAATGAACGGAATAACAATACCCGTACGTTATAAATGGATTTCTCCGACACCCAGCCGAATCCTACCCAACTGACAACATTGGCAAAGAATTCGATGATTGCAAGAATGAAAAACATCAAGCCGAAGAAGTTACCCCGGGAGCGAATATAATCAGGTGTCTCGCAGGGAGTGAGGCTGCCCACGGTGTTACCAAAGATCACGGCTTCAGCGGAAAAGGCAGCACCGACGATACTAGCACCGACGAGAGCAATCAGAGAAAGGAGGAGATATGGACGCATGATCGGTAACATCCCCTTGCTCAGGTGCCAAAGGGACTTCTTAGATGGTTTCTGGGGATGCTTCGAACGGGGAGACAATTCGGGGAGCTGTTCGGTGGTTTTGATGGAGACAATGTCCTTACTCTTAGACGTTTCGATCGTGTCTTCATGCTCCTTGCGTGGTTCTGTTTCGGTAATATCACTCGAGTGGCTGTCAACTTTGGTGTCCGGCGAGTTAGTGTTCAGGTTTTGCAGTTTGACGAGACCACAGTAAGCCCCTTCCTTGGCCATCAATTCAGCATGGTTTCCTTCTTCGACGAGTTCTCCATCACGCATCACAATAATCTTGTCGGCGTTCTTGATTGTTGAAAGACGATGCGCGATCGATATCATCGTCCTTCCTTCGGAGCAGCGTCCGACAGCTTCAAGAATCTCCTTCTCACTCCGAGAATCGAGGGAGGCCGTGGCTTCGTCAAGAATCAAGACTTTGGGATCTTTTACCAATGCCCGGGCAACGGCAATTCTTTGCTTTTGACCACCGCTCAGTAGGGTACCATTCGAACCAACAACGGTACCGAGTCCTTCTGAAAGTCCATCAATGAATCGTGCGGCATCCGCAAGATTGGCTGCATGTTGAACCATCTCGACGATTTTTACCACATCGGGCCCGTGGACCAAAGCAGCTTCGCTCGCAGACTGACCACCACGAATTGCAGTAGCCGTTTCCCCAAGTTTGGGCCCAATCAATACAGCATGAAGGGCTTCGTGCTCTGGAGATGCCGAGTTGACCAATCCATGGGCGATGTTCTCCAAAATTGATCGATCAAGCAGTGTCGCTTCTTGCTGAACCATTCCAATACAGCTACGAAGCTGTCGTGTATTAAGCTCACGCACATCTTGGCCATCCAACAAAATAGATCCTTCAGTTGGATCATACAGTCGAAGCATCAGACTGGCAACGGTAGACTTTCCACTACCAGACAGTCCAATGATAGCGGTCTGCTTTCCCGCTGGACATTCCAAAGACACGTTACGGAGGACTGGCTGCTCCGGGCGAGAAGCATAGGTGAAGCCCACATTTCGGAGTTCAAAGTTTCCGGCGGTGGTTGAAGGCAGGGAGAGACCAGTATCAGACATGCCGTCAATTTGCGATTCGTGATTCATGTCCTTCTTCAGTTTCGTGAAAGCGGCCGAAGCAGCACCAAAAATTTGCAAGAACGGTGCAACCTGGCTGAGAACAAGAGTTGCTATGATAGAGATCAGTATAACTTCACAAGATTTGCAGCTATTATTACTTACCGTCAACCAGAACAAAGATCACGGTAAAGATCGATCCTACGGATGTGCCACCACCCGAATTTTTGGCCACTGAATTGGCAATAGTCCGACTTCCTTGCCAAAAGGCCAGGGCATTTGCCGCGTATGCAATGAAATACATGAATCCAGCTTGCACACCTGTTGCAAAAGCTTTCTTCAAACCCTCATTCCGTGCCAGGCGTAGATGGCCCTCGAACTTGCTTTCAAGGCGTTCATTGGCATTGAATGCGTGCACGACCGAAATATTAGACAGTCCCTCGGAGGCAACGGAAGAGGCAGCCGCAAAGCAATCAGACATGGTACCCGAATATTTTTCAATAAACCAGCCACCCACAAGTGACATGACAAAGTATGCAGGCACTAGTGAGACAAGGATTCCTGCCAACTTGGCATCTTTAATGAAGGCCACAACATACGAGGTGACGAAGAATGAAACACTGGAAATACAGATTCCAACTTTCTCGGAGGTCCCTGAGCGAATTGTTGAAATGTCACCATTCAGCCGCGAGGAGACTTCTCCTGAGGGTAGATGATCGAAAAAGGAGGGTTCCTGGCGCAAGAGACTCCGGAAGTACTGTTCGCGCAGACGCTGGGCCAGCCGAGCGCCACCGAGGGACCAGCACACCAATTGGATGTACATGAATCCAAACTGTGCAATAGCGAGGTAGAGAACATAGAGAATTTTGCTGTTGACTTCGGATTGGTACTCGGCCTGGACTTGTGGGCTGTAGTTTGTTTTGGCTGTGCAGCTTTCCGAGTTAAAGTCATCGATCAGTTGACCGAAGATAATACCCAGGAGAGGGAAAGGGACACCGGAGGCGACAGCAAAGACCAAACCAGTGACGAGAAGCAAGATATCGAATTTGGTCGGGTTGACTTGGACATAGATCGTGAAATATCCAAAGACTTTCTTGAGCTGTTTGTGAATGGCAACTTAGCTTTGGATCTTGAAATCAGGAGATATATCAGATTTACCTTTTCAATGACACTGGAGCTCGCCTTGGGGGGCGTTGAGTCTACCATGATGGCTATAGGATGCCCTGCAGAGCACCACCGACTTCAGCTGTAGGATACTGGCTTGTAGCACTGCCAACATTTGAAACAGTTTACGTTCACAGCTTTACTTCAACGATCGACTCAGAAGCTCTCTGCAGGGGTTCTCGGCCCGATACCGGATCATCCTACTGCTTCACCCGTCTAATGAAAAAAAATCTGATAAGATCGTCCGCTCCACGTAGCGATGCAGCACTGCCACGGAGCCATCTTCTCATGTGGATGAACTTGCCCCCTGACGTGGAAATCCACCGTGTAATTCAGATACGAATAGGAGATCAGCACTCCGTGATGGACAGTGTTACGTGCTGTGTCGATCACTTCAAGCTTTTCTTGGCGCCATACCACGGGCTACGTAAGTTCCCGAAAGGCTTGTCAATGCTTGACTGGGCGGGATTAACTTCTTGGAATCTGCATTGTACCATACAAGCCCTCAGTAGCAACTATTTGCTCTACAGTGACTCTTATGCCGTTGATATACACTTCGTAAAGGGTACGGGGAATTCCGCCGTTCCATGGAAACGGAGACAAAGTGGAAAGATAAGCCAAACTCAAATTTATCAGATCGACAGACGGCGTTTCAACCCTGGTACCGTGGCCCCACTGTTGCTCGTATCTGTTCGGTATTACCAAATACATGGAATCGGATGAATGGTCAGGTATACAGGTATTCATATACCAAGGATTGGAAATCTCTTGTTCGATTTTGATCATCATATCTCTCTTCTTTATACGCTTGCACTTTCCTGAAAGCAACTAGCAAACCTGAACTACTCGTCTCTTGGTAGAAACTCGCAGAGCCATGCAAGTTCAATCATTCAAGCGGCAACCACCGCCACAGACCTACGGGGCTGTGTCTTTCCCTGCTCCGCATGTCATGCTGGTCGTGTTCAATCGACCCAAGGCCCTCAACTCTATGACCAGCGCGGGCCAATATGAGCTCGAACGTCTCTTCGCCTGGTATGACAGTGAGCCATCCCTACGCTGCGCCATTGTCACTGGGGCTGGCCGTGCCTTCTGTGCGGGCATGGACCTGAAAGAGTGGAACCAGTTAAACGCTCGTCGTGCTCGTGGAGAAATAGAACAGCAGCCGATGATGCCACGATCAGGGTTCGGCGCTCTTTCCCGGCGTCATGGCAAAAAACCAGTCATTGGTGCAATTAATGGGTTAGCTTTTGGTGGGGGGATGGAGATTGTTGCAAACCTGGATCTTGTCATTGCTGCACGGAGTGCGCTCTTTGGTCTTCCAGAAGCTAAGCGAGGTGTGGTTGCAATGGCTGGCTCGCTGCCGAGATTGGCTCGAACGATTGGCCGGCCGAGGGCAACTGAGTTGGCTTTGACAGGGAAGAATATTACAGCTGCGGAAGCAAAGGACTGGGGCTTAATAAACTCTGTCACAGAAGACGCTGCAGCTGACTGCACGGTGGTGGAGCGCCCGGTTGTCAAAGCGGCTTTGGACCTTGCAGCGAGCATTGTTGATAATAGTCCCGACAGTGTGATTATTAGTCGCGCTGGAATTGTTGCTGGATATGAGGACGGGAGTGCAGAGAATGCTAGCCGCTTGTTGAGCGAGAATTGGGAGTCTGCTCTTGATGATGGAGCAAATTTGCACGAAGGTGTACAAGCATTCGCTGAAAAGCGGGCTCCTCGGTGGGTTGATAGCAAGCTGTAGAGATTTGTTCTGGTATACAAACTGTAAATAGCCTTGTGGTCTATTTGATCGTGATTCTTTCCGTGCTCGGCGCTATAATAGGTGTCTTTTGGCTCCATCAGTCAAAAGTTAGCATACAGTACAACAATGTCTCCCAATCTTTCAATCTATAGATTTTCAGCTTCGCAACTGATCGGAACTAAGCGACGAGATATCGTTTTATCTATTAGGTATAATGTATAGTGGTTCAATCGTCTAGTTACATTCAAACACCAGTTAATCTTCCGCAATCAATCAATACAAATCTAGTTTCGGTACGGTTTCGCTGTCGGTGAAAGAAATTCTTGACTCTTGGCAAAAGAGCTAGAATACTGAGCAAATCAATGCTTGGCTTTGCCTTGTAGGGCATTTTCCAGAACATGCTACCCAATCAGCAAAAGAGGTAAATTGTTACAATATATGGCTGTGTATTACACTTACACGAACAAGTCCTTGGTAATGCTGTGGTAACAGTACTAAATACAAGCTTATACCAGGGTCCATTAGACCTGGCGGGATCGGCAGGCATGAAATCTTTCTCAGCAAATGAAACGCGCACGTTTGTAAGTCCACATCACCTGGTCCAATTTTGTATTTAATCTAAGGTAATTTGGTGTTGAAATATTGTGTTATACAGAGGTTGACGTATCGTATTCGGCAGGCGAGTGGTGAAACTGAACACCGCCTAAAATACTTCAATTTACGTTGTGCTTGGTGAGAAATTGTACAGCTACGGTATTTATCCTTTATGATCATGATACAAGGCCCACCGGTCGCGCAGTTGCGCGGCCCATTTGCTTCTTGCACCTATGATGCGAGGGCTTATAAAACCTAGTGCTAGGATAAGAAGCTACAATACAACTTACCTCATGTGCTTAGGAATAGAAATTCATTTAAGATAGTTCTGGATGTGATAAATACTTTGCACAATTTTCGAGGACGAAGCAACTGAAAGCACGCAGAATGCGTGGTCACGGGAATATTGCTCTTTAAGCGACTCTTCAGCATCTCCTTCTCGGAAAACAGGACTTTTTAGAATGGACCTGGACGGTTGGACCTGGTTGTGTGGACATGTTTGCTAAGGTAGTGTTCGCTCTACGTGCTAAAGCACATCTTCGAAAAGTAGCTGTATACCCCGTTTCCTGTTATATGTCCACCTGTAGACTCCCGGGCTTCCGAGAAATCGTCCCCAAGAAAGCAGACCGAAAAGAGAAAGCAAAATGGCGGGTAGTCAGGCGATGCAGCCTTTCCGAGGGGAGCAACGGGATCGAGAACTCCGATGGATTCATCAGTGATATCATGCTCACAGTCCGGAGACACTATACAAGCCAGATAGCGGAGTACCCAGCGCTGAGGAAGGGCGAAAACGACAAGAATCGGTCTCAGCAGGAGGAGTTGATCTGGAGTGAGAAACCTCAATTGGCATCAGCTGTGAAATCTTGAAGCAACCAGGGACAGCTCCAATCTACATTCTTTTTTTTGTCCCATTTTCAACGTCTTGGACCGATAATCAAGATCATACAAAGGCTGCAGGGATTCATGATTGGAGTTTCTTACGAAAGTATTGATTTTGCCACCATTCAAGTATTGAACCCGAAAAAAAGGTAAACAATCGCACCTTTCCCTTGCAAATGATGTTGTTCTCATGCTAGTGAGAAACAGATTTGTCGCTTTCAGGCCAAATTTAAGTACTTGGTCAAGTTTCTTTCACTTGTGCGTAAGTCTAAAAGCAGGCATAGCTGATCGAAAATGCAATAAAAACAGTTGTTGAGACGTGATAGACATCATAGTAGAACAAGGCTAACCAAATAAACATAAATGTTCTTGCATCTAAATTCGTTAATACTTGAGTAGATCTTAAAGTCTCAAGACTACTGAGGTACATGCAGTGAAGCTGTCCACAAGGGCAGGATGCCACGAACTACTCGTGGTCTCATTCGATCCCAAATCGCCTAGCTACTTCCAGAAAACCATCAGACTTCAAATCAATCCACATATCAACCCAACCCTCAGCCTTGGCTTGTGCAATCTCCTCGGGTGAGAAAGCCTCCTCAAGCTCCCGCTCAACATAGATGGTCTGAAGCCCACAGCTTTTAGCCCCCTTCAAATCACGAAGGTGGGCCGCAACCATTCCACACTGGCCCGGCTCCAAGTTGAACTTTTTGGCAGCACCATTATAAACCAGTGGCGATGGCTTATAAGCACCAAAATTCTCCGAGCTGGTTAAATGCGTGAAAGGCAACGAACCGTATCGCTGTAGATCTTGCAGCAAGGAGACATTACCATTCGACAGCGTCGAGGTCTGGAATTTCTTATTGAGTTGAGTAAGGCCCGAGACACTATCCGCCCAAGGGTTGAGTCGGTGCCAGCTGAAAGCAAGTTCCCACCGCTCCTCGTCGGTAAACAGACCATCCAAGCTGTGTTTGTGAAGGAGGTCTTGGAGAGCATTGAAGTGGTGCTGATCGACCGACACGAACTCAGTTGATGGATCAAATGTAGCTGTGAAAGTGCCGTAAGACTGCCGCCATTGTTCGGCAAATGCGAGCCAGTCGTGGGAGGTCATGGCTGCTGCGCGGTCCCGCACGTCGGCTGAGAGGCCCTTGCGAGTAGAGTTCACAGCCACTTTGCAGGCTGTGTTCAATTCTTGGGAGACGCATGTACGCCACTCGACCACTGTGCCGAATGTATCAAAAAAGAGCATCTGGGGTGGGTGGGTTGTCGACATGGTGGGGTTGGATGGATCTGCAAGATTGCTGATATTCAGGATGTCCCCCGCCTTGGAGATTCTGTAGGCTGCCGAGATGCGTCAGAATCTTCAGTTGAGATCCTAGCTCGGCGAGAGTTAAATGAGTCTATTGGAACGTTCATTGCCCATGTGCTCATGATATATGCTTAGTCACGCCGAGGTTAATCAAATCTGCGGATCTAACAGGCTGATAGTTCTGGCGCAAGTTGTTCAAACGATCAGCCTTGTCAGAGCCTGCGAGTTGACCTGATTATGACAAGTATGAACCTTATGATGGGGCTGGTATTGAGCAGTGGAATGTGGACAGTCCACAGTGTGAGAGCGCCAAAAGGGACAACATTCTGCCTCTTCTTTCCATTCCCTCTTTTGTCTCTCTCTCTTTCTGTGACCTTTCAACTCATTATTATCAACTACACCATTGACAATTTTATCCTCAACCATCGATGTTGTTATCAATTTATCAATAGACTACTGTATGCACGAGCACCCCACCAAGCCATCACTAGCGCTCCTGTCAAAAGAAACTCTCGGCACAGAAAATAGACGAGTCTCAGCGACCTGTCAACGTCCAAATCAAAAAGTACCGTGATTGCCCCTGAGGAGTGGAGACACGGTAAATGGTTCGCGGAGACTCTTCCTCCTTTGCGGTGTCCCCGTTGCTAGTCCAATTGGAAATGGGACTATCTCGGGGGCTTAACACTTGCATAGAAAGAGTCTGGTCACGGACTACACCGGATATTACACCAAGTTGAGCTTATTGCCAATGATTGGCTTGTGGCAATTCCGTTATTTTTCATATTGCCGCCACATTTAACGTCCGCAGGGTGCTAGGGTGCTGGGGTGCTGGGGTGCTGGGGTGCGACCGGGACTTGCATGGAGAAATGCACAATGCAGGCGAAACAACACACCCCAGCCATTTGAGAGATCCAGACCTTCTGACTTGGGGCCAAATCCCGCCTCAGAATTGCGTCCAAGACTTCGAACGGGCAGAATTCGGTTCTCATTTCGGCCGGTGTGGATTCTTCTGTTTCCAAGCTCCGGTGGAGACCTCGGACCTGAAGCTCTACCCCTGATCGGCATTGTTTGAGACATTTGTTGCAATACAGCATTGTTTGAAGAGAAAATACATCACAAAGAGGCTTGTCCAAACAAGCACTCATCAGATGCAACTTGGAGTTATGAAACACAGACCACAGGCTCTCGAATGGAATTACTTTCGCCGATCAAGACACGCTAGGGTCAGAGAGAACAGTTAATGTTACTCTCAAACGCGCTAACCACCGCTTTCCCCCATGCAGAACGGGCTCCAATTTATTTGATGCACTTGCTTTAGTGCTCCAAAATAAAGGATTCGGAATTAATTCTATTGGCCACGACTTCGCCTTCAATTTCATATTATTTGCCCTTTTTTCTTCTGCGTCGCTGCACACTGGACGCCTTTAGTCCACTTGATATCATTATCAGAATAAGGGGGATCTTCCCTGCACAGCCGTCTCAGAAGCTTTGGAGAACTTGAGCTACGCGGTTGGGACCCATCCGACGCGCAGTGGAGCATCCAGCCTTCAAACGAACACCTTCCCCATGTCCAAAAAGAAGAGCTGCATTTGCTGTAACGTCAGGATTCGACCTCTTCTCCTTTTGCAGTGGATCAATGCCGTACAACTCGCATCGCGAGATTGCAAGGGCTCCATTGGAACCCATTTTAATCTTTTAACCTTTCTTTGTTTCTTTGTTCTACTTTTCAGAACGTGTTCGGATCCCTGACAGCTCCACTCCGAATGACCGTGGCGTTTTCCTGTAGACTGTTTGCCTGTTTTCGATGATCTTTATCTCGCGAACAGGCCTCGACATTAAACATTCCGGGCGACTATACCTAACTGGCTCAACATCCATGCGTTTTCTGTCTTAGGCTGCTGGCAGTGGAGCATCTATTCGTGGTGGCTAATCGGGTGGGTTTATTGCTTCCCCATGTCACCCCCTAACGAACACCCCTGGTCTTTTTTTTTCTGCTGAGGCGTGAAACCCAGTCCTGGTCTCCTCGCATCCGTACTTCCGACATGCGGCAAGGCTGATCTAGGTCATCAATCTAAGTAGGCGTGCCTCGTCTCAGATCGTTGCCGTGTTCGTAAATTAAGTGGCTGTTGAGCACTCACCTTCATCACTGCGCCCCTCTGGTACGGTGATCGCGATCGGCCTTTCTCGAAGACCGCGTCTTTTTGACTGATCTCATTTCCTTCCTCATCCTCCTCGGGATCGGCAACTATTCTGGTTTCCAATCTTACTCATCTCCTAGACGGGTTACTGTTAGATCTGTTCTCGATCCTGGATATCATACAGTAAGTATGTGTCGGCTTTCCCATGCATATCCCAATGTTCGGTATTGGCTCATCACGCTCAAGCTTGCATCCCGCATCTGCGTTGTAACCGTGGCTGACCTATTCGTTCCACAGAGTTCTACAAGGTCCCACGTTGAATACTCTCCTCATCTCGAGTCGCGCGGACTGGTCAATAGCGATAGTGAAACATTGAGTGGAGGCAATATCATACGAGCAAAATCGACGGTTATCACTCGGATGGTCGAACTACGGTAGCCTGTGGGATCCGCGGTGTGACGTGCTCTGGTCAGCACAGGGAATCGCGAAATCTGGGGTTTGGTTTGAAGCCAGTACACGAACGAGATGGCCACAAACTTGCAGTCCCCGGCCTCAATGGTCCACCCATCGCCGGTACCATCCCGACCTCGTGCTATATCGAAAACGAGATCGAGATCGAAACCATCTTTGCGCCGGCAAGATTCCTCCCCGCCACCTTCCTCCCCACCTGGTCTGCCGACGCCTGCATTCTCACCGGACGGAATCAGCGGACAAAGTGACGACGATGATGATTTTGTTGAAAATACATTATCGCCCTTTGATCCGCGCAGGATCACCCCGACTCTCCATGCATCTCTTGTTTCAGAGATTCTCGCATTACGACGCGATATAGAAAGCAAAACCAAGGCTATCGATGTATTGGAAGAAAGTTTGGACGAGTCGAGGACGGAAAATGAAACATTAACCGCGAATTTGTCGCAAGCCACTCAAGATGGACGATCTTTGAAACACCAAATTCAATTACTAGAAGGAGGGACATCATCTGCGCTCACGGAGCTGGCCCGGGAGCGCGATGAAGCGGTCGAAAACATCAGCGATGTTCGAAAGAAGCTTGAGCAGGCGCAAAAGAAAGCTCGCAGCCGGGAACATGAAGTTGAGCAAACACAATCATTATACGCGCGCGATCAAGAGGTCTGGGCAAGTGAACGTCGAACGTTGGAGCACAAGGTCAACGTGGTGGAAGGTCGACTGAAGACTGTCTTGAGTGAAGTCGCAGCCGCCCAGGAAGCGGGAACCCTCCATTCTCATCCGAGTGAGAATGGTGAGATCGCTCGCGATAGGACTAAAGGAAGCGATACCGCCAGTATCGCTTCTAGTAGCCTGGGTCGCCGGCGCACGAGTGTAACCACCGTTAGCTCCGACGAGGGCGAAGAAGCGGCCAATTATCGCAACGCACGGTACTCTGTCATGAGTATGGCTCATGGTGTGAAGAACGATTCTGGCTTGAACTTGGCGGAGGAATTGGCATTTGATGAAGAGGACGATTTTGTTCAATCTGATGACGATGATAGGCCCGCCTCCCCCGAAGCTCTGCCCGAGGAACGCCCAGCATCGGTTCACTCACAGGCATCTTATACTGTGGCTTCCAAGGCTAGGAGGATTCTGGGTCTTTCCATTCAAAGCTCTGATTCTGTCAATGGTGCTGATTTCCGTGCTCGAGAACTCAGTAGCCCTAAGAAATTGGACGAACTCCCAGTTCAATACCGCGATATGGGTATTCAGTACTCACCTCCGCCTTCTCCTCCAGTGTTACCCAGGTTCGAGATACAGGATGTTCCTAGGTCCTTAGAAACACTTTCGGAGCATAACCACGACGACCGTGTGAAAATCTCTAAGATGAAGGATAGTTCCACTCTCACAATCGCAGCTGAAATGGTCTCTTCATCTTGTCAAACCATGGACGAACTGCCTAGTCCTCCTTGGACACCCAAAGTTGCAGACTCGCCCCCGCAATCTGTTGAATATAGCCCAGAGCCTGTGCAAATGGCATCGACATCTACTCAAACCGATTCTGCCCAAAAGCCAGACGCTCGCCGGAAAGATCTCAACCTATCACCGACTGATGTTCCATCTCAAATGGACATTCCTATGATTGCCATACACCCGCCTGGCTCAGAGCCTCCTTCACCTCGGAACAGTGTTGTCCTTCCGCCGCAAACCAAGAATGTGTCTTGCCAAGCCAACTTCCGCCCAGTTGTTGAAAGTCGATCCGTTTCCGTTCAAACCGAAGGGATTCGTGTCGACCAACGCCCGGTCAAGCTTCCCGCGAGCCTTCTTCCATCTGCTATTTCGGATATTCTGCCACGTCCTGAAAGCCGAGATTCCAGCATCGAGGCATACCCTGTACCGCCAATCCCACCACGGTCCGCAAAGCGAACTCAGAGGGCTTTGGCTACAGACCGTCCCGTGAAGCCTCCAAGAGCACCTCTATTGGACCATGTGCAAGCCTACCCAGGCCATAACAACGACAACGGGCCACTCTCAGAGGATGCTGTGTCCGGAATTCGACGACCATTCCGATCCAGCAGTCTCTTTGCTGGCTTCGACCACAATAGCGAAGATGAAGGTCGCCATATGGAGCGTGACGTCTTTACGGACGATGAGCTTCTTAACCGTCCATTCGCTGCATACACTATCAGCCGCGGCAAGCTTGTGAATTCCAAGTCAAGACCCAGCTTGGACGACATGGCTCTCCCTGAAATTGACGAGCAGCTATCAGATCCCGACTCAAAACCCCCTGATATCAGCCGCGGGCCTTCTCGGGCTACCCGAAGATCTAGCACGACCACTTCTAGTAGTCGCCAACCTGGCATGCGCAAGATGGCCATTATCTCCAGTGGCACGGCTGCGCACCAGAAGATCCGCTCTCGCAGTCCCAGTGAACCAAGTCTCGATGGTGGCAGTGTAACTTCAAGCATTGCGCCACCATTCCCCGTTCCTATTCGCCTGAGCTCACGCAAAGTTCCGCTCAACGGCAGCGACGGGCCCCCGAGTCCGACCCGCTCAGCTGGTAGGCAATTCTCAGATCGGGGTCGCCAACCCCTCGCCCGGCGACCAACTCTCCGTCGAGTCCGTTCTGCGGCAGCAATGTCACAGTCGGACCTTACAGAACGACCTGAGACTAGGTCTTCCCCTACACGGTCAAGCTCATCCTTTGCTCCTGATAGCCCACCCTATCGGCCCCCACCCATGCCATTTGATGATATTACGGTACCCCGTCAGTGGCGCGCAACTCAAAGACGTGCCTCTCACCGTACTAATCCATCTAACAACTGGAGCACCCATGAGCGTCAGGATCATGAGAGGAAGGATTCTATTGGTGGCGTTCAGCCCACCAGTGTTGTTGATGCTATTGCCCAAACCATGGTGGGCGAATGGATGTTCAAATACGTCCGTCGACGCAAGTCTTTTGGAATGGGCGAGTCCAAGGATAACTGGGAGGGCAAGAATCCCGATGAAGTATCGGCACATATCACGAGCAGTGGGGTCCGGCACAAGAGATGGGTATGGCTTGCACCTTATGAAGGCTCCATCATGTGGAGTAGCAAACAGCCCACCAGCGGGCCAGCCTTGCTGGGCAAGAGTGGCCGAAAGTGTAAGCTCATGTATCTGATCGGTCGACATAGACCTTACTAATATGTCCTCGCAGTCACCATCCAATCAGTTCTAGACGTCAAAGACGACAATCCCATGCCAAAGGGCACAGGCTCTGCTACTCCATTCAATCGCTCCATTCTGGTCTTAACCCCCCAGCGAGCTCTCAAATTCACGGCTCTGACCATCGAACGACACTACGTCTGGTTAACAGCCCTATCTTTCCTAAGCCATTCCTCAATGGGCCTGCAAGAACTAGCATCCCTACCTCCAATCCCCCAACAAGAAGGCTCTGCAACACCACCAACAGCCACACTCCGCAGGAACCCAATCCGTGATTCTATTCGCGTGGCGAAAGGTCGGCCCCGCCCCATGCCAAAGGGTAAACGCTCCTTCAACAGCGCCGGCGCACCAGCACCAGTCCCCGAAGTCCCGAACGGTAGCATCGACCTCGCCGCCGATGCACCGCACGTTCCCCGCTTCTCCTCTCATAATCGCAAGCGCAGTAACACCGCACCCCGCCCTCCGGCTCTGCACGCCCTACGCAGCTTCTCCAGTCAAGGTACTATGCCTTCATCACATAGCGGGACAACCATCGGCTCTCCAGAACTCTATTTCCCTCCCATGCCACCTCCAAGTCTCCCACCAGGCATTGGGAGCCGTCGCAGCAGCGTCAGTCGCCGGACCTCTGAAGCCAGCGGCCGCGCCTCTAGTGCCGGACAGAGTAACATGTTTGATATGGGCACTGTTCGAATGGAAGCGTTCATTGATCACCATGCTGAGCAGATTAATCGGCCGCCGCCACGCCAGCGTTCGCGCCATGTTCGCCAGACTTCTAGTCAGTGGAGTCAGGCCCGCTATGATTTTGATGCACCTTCTATCCACGGCAGCGAGATGTCTTTCCGGCCTGATGATCCATTCCGCGGATTCTAGGGTTTGATTCCTCCATTTAATCTTTACATTCTTTCTTTATTCTCCCCTTTATTCCTGCCTTATACCTTACTTGTCTTATACCTAGTGTCTATTATCCTCTCCCATTCATTTGCAAACACATTTTTATTGGCGCAGGTCGATCGTCACATCTTTGAGGCTTGTCTGTCATTGCCTCATACACTTTACTTCTTTCACTTCTTGTCATCTACCTCTTCCTTGTCCTTCTGTATCTTCCATCGCCATTCATAACCCGTCTTTTAACTCACCATTTGTCGCTTTCGAGCTACCACTTTGATTTGACCAGATACCAATTCTCGTGCAGCGCGGGGGGAAAGAAAGGCGTTCTTGGTTTTGTTCTCATTCTTGTTGACATCGCATCCATAGCCATAGCCATCCACTGGATCATGGGGCTCGCCTCCAGGTACATAGCATAATGTCTAAGTTATGTTTTTATTGCATTGACCTCAACTTAGTCATAACCTTTACATAGAAACCTCGAAATCGCGGGTATATTTCGCTAGCAAAGTACATACAGATCTGGCTTGCCGCTAGATTCGGAGCGTGAGCGGGCACAACTGAAACCAAGTGGGCGGATGTGGATGCCCCAACCCCAACTCCAATATCCCATCTTCTATCATGTCCATATTGCGGGTTGCATGTTGTATAAGAATTCCAGAATTAGATATTCACAGCTTTGCAGCTTCCTTCACTTCGCCGACCTTCAGCTTGGGCGAGTACTTCTTCAGTACGGATTCGTTGTGGTACTATCACCGCGTGTCAGCATGTGTTGTTTCAATAGCCGACAACTCGGCCGATTGCCGGTCCGAGAGTGAAAATTGAGCAAAGCAAGAAGAGCAATCAGATCCAGGATACGATTGTGCGAGCAGTCGTATAGAGCTTACCTTCCAGAACTGCTTTGAGGCATCCTTGCCTGCTACGCGCTTGAGGATCTTCGCGCCGCCGGGGTGCTCGTCGATGAAGTTGGTTACATCGTAGACATTGTTATCAACGATGATATAGAGCCCCTTGTCGGCGGAGTTATGGGCGGCAACGTCAGCAGGAGTGAATGATTGAGACATGATGTGAATTGTGTAGGGAGAGAAAGAGGATGTAGAAATGAAGTGACGTATAAAATTCGGGGGGGGGGAGGGAAAGCGGAGAAACCGAGGTTGATTTGTTTGCCGCGGTTGGAATTAGGTCAGCTGTGATTGGTCATGAGATTGGTACCTCAGGCTCTGGTTTATATACGAAGTCTTTGCCCTAGATAGTAGTCTTATAAAGTGGTTTGTTTGAGCTCAGGGTACTATTAATCACATAATGCTAGTTGATATTTCGAATATACAGTTCACGTAAAAGTCAGAACGTAAACTCAATTTACATTTACTCTCGACTCTTCTCTCCAACAGCTCCTTGTCCCTTGCCCATCTTCTTTTCTAAGCCCAGACTCTCCAAATCCTTCTTCTTATAATAATGCGGCGCAACTTCAACGAGCCACTCTGCCTGTAAGGGCATGTTGCTGCGCATATACTCCTTGCTGGTAAGAACCAGCTCAAAGTAGATTACCCAGCGTGGGTTCACCTCCATCAGGGTACTAGATGGATGCAAGTACACTGACTGCCCATTCTTTATGGTCCGGTAGCTATCACCACCGCGCTGAAGTCGCGCTGCGTTGGGGAAGAAGCCGGATGTGATGGCCTTCTGAATGGGCTGGATATTGGTAGAGCCGCAGGTGCTGATGGTCACTTCGACACGGTCACACAGTTTCGCTAACTGATCGCGCACGTCGCGAGCTCGTGTCAGACTTCGCTGCTGGAGGAAGTTTTCCTTGGCCCAGATGAAACTAAAGTCTGAGTCGACCCATTGGTTCCAGATGTTGAGAAGAGTGAGGTGGTCGCCACCCTCTTTGATGGTGAAGCGGTTGCGAGCGCTGTCGGCGTGGATCTTCTTATCCTTGGGTCGGAAGAAGAGCGCGCTGGACTCGCCCAGCATTGCGATGATTGAGAGAACCTCTTCCACACACCCGTACTTGTCGGATGCAAGGATTGCCTTGGCGAGCATTGGGTCTGTGGGGAACTCAGCCATCTGGCGGCCAACCTTGGTCAGGTCGCCTCGGTCGTTGAGTGCTCCGAGTGCGTACAGCATTTCCAGAGCTCGAATGATCGTCTCAGCAGGCGGCGGGTCCATGAAGTCGAAGTCGAGCAATTGGTCAATACCCAGAGACTTGAGCATGAGAATAACTCCGTTCAGATTGGTACGTTGGATCTCTGGGGTGGTGTTCTCCTCAAGTTCGTTGTAGTACGCCCACTTGGTATAGAGACGGAAGCATTTGCCAGGCCCAACACGACCGGCACGACCAGCACGCTGGTTAGCCGACGCCCGCGAACAGGGCGTCACCACCAAGCTTTCCATACCGGTGCGTGGGTTGAATACGTTTTCTTTCACGAAACCAGGATCAATCACGTAGACAATACCATCAATAGTCAAACTGGTCTCGGCGATGTTAGTCGCAAGCACCACCTTGCGCGCTTTGGGTGGCGTAGGCTCAAAGATCTTAGTCTGTAGCTCTGATGGCAGGTTGGCGTAAATAGGAGCAATGATCATCTCCGGTATTTTGCTCCCTAGTTTTCGAGCCGTTTCTTGTAAACTTTGCTCGGCTGCTTCGATTTCTTCTTGACCCGTCAGGAACACTAGGATATCTCCTGGGCCTTGAGAAACGTGAATCTGGAAAACTGTAGTGATGGCCGCGGCGAGATAGTTGGCCTCTGGCTGTGAAGTGTAGTGTACGTCGACTGGGTATCGACGACCGGGGATGTTGAAAATAGGCGCATCATCGAAATACTTTTGGAATTTCTGAGCGTCCATCGTCGCCGAGGAAATCAGCAACTTCAGATCAGGTCGTGCCTTGGCAATATCTTTGAGCAAACCACAAGCAATGTCTGTAGGTACAGTCCGTTCGTGGGCCTCATCAATCATCAGCGCGGAGTATTGGCTCAGGTCCGGCTCTGTCAACAGTTCTCGCAGCAACATTCCGTCAGTCATATACTTCAGGACTGTCTTGTCGCTTGTGTTATCTTCGAATCGAATGGCATATCCGACCTCATTTCCGATCTTGGTGCCCATTTCCTCGGCCACACGAGCTGCAACACTCATGGCAGCCACCCGACGTGGTTGAGTACAGCCAATCTTCATTCCATCCTTGGTATATCCAGCCTCATGGAGATATTGGGGGATTTGAGTTGTCTTTCCGGAACCTGTTTCACCAACGATGATCAGAACCTGGTGGTCCTGTACAGCCTGGATGATCTGGTCACGGAACTGGTAGATCGGCAGACTCTTGCGGGTTTCCTCCATCGATAAAGCCTTTTTCTCTGCTTCGTCGACCTGTTCCTTGAATCGCAACTGTTCCTTTGTCATTGGCTTTTGCGTGCCCTCGAGCTTCGCGTCCATGACAAAGTTGATTTGCTGAGAATCATCGAAGACATACTCGTAATCTCCCTCGTCAACAAACTCGGCCTTCTTAATCTGTGCCTTGGCCTTGGCTGACTGCTCCAACTCCCATTCCTCGTGCTCGGTGACATGCCGCTCCTGACCCAATTCGTCGCGCTCGACGTATCGTTTGTACAGAGCATCTTCTTTCTTCTTCCGATCAATCTTGCCCTTCTCGGTGATATAGTCGTCGGGCATCATGTAACCATCGCGATGGTCATCGATCCGAAGCCGTTCTTCAGCAATACGAAGGACTTCACGATTGCGCGCAAATTCCTCTTTCTCCCTTCGAGAGAGATTCGGGTTCTCGCGCAGTTCCGTGGCTTCCTCTATAACCTGTCGTCGCAATAACGCTAATCGCTCAGTCTCACGCTTTTTCAAGTACTCCTGTCGAGATCTCTCGCGCAGATCGGGCATCATCTCGGCCCTCGCACTAGCATCATCACCCAGCGCACGTCTCCGTGCAGCCTCACCATCGCGCGTTCGATCTTCGACAATCTTCTTCGTCTTGCTGCTATCCTTGTTGGCCAATCGCTTCGCGAACTCGTCTCGTTCACGGAGGTCTTTTTGGCGATCAATCTCCTCCCTAGTCCGAGGGTCGACCTCTTCGGCGGGAGATGCAGGGCGGGGGAAGCAGAGCCGTCGTCGAGTCGTGTGCGCTTCGGGGTAGATTCTTCAAATTCTTCTTCGGGGTACATCTCATCGTCCGGGATCTCCTCATCACCCCATCGGTCCTCAAAGTCATCATCCTTCTTACGTAGCTTCTTCGTGCGCGGCCGATCCCGACCCTCTGCATCTCGACTACGATCCCGCTTCCGGCTGTCATCCTTGTCTGCGCGGCTTCGTTCAGAGTCTCGCTTCCCCCTGCTCCTATCGAGGTCATTGTCCATGTCTCGGTCCCGTCTCCTCCGTCGCTCTCGATCTGCCTCGACGTTTGTAGGTCCTAGTGAAGTAGACAGATCCGGCTGGTCTTCGGCCATGTCCAACATGCGGTACTTCTTTTTCGAGGACTCCTTTGAAGGTGCGGGCTTGGAGGATGACGCGCTGGGCTGTGCGCCCTTGCCCAGACGGCCATGGAGCTCTCGAGCGAATGCACTGATATCAGATGAGCTAGTTTCTGGGCTGTCGAGGAAGGATACCAGTGTGTCTTGGAGGGAGGAGGCTGATTTTGATGAGCTGGCGGTGGCGAGGACGAAATCGATGACAGTCGGGTCTGATGCGCCGGTCAGACGGATAAGCGAATCAGAGACAAAAGTTTTATTGTCCATGATGTGCGATCTTGTCTTGTTGGTAGCAAAGTGAAGTAGCTTGGCTCCGGCGGGGAGCTAGGTCGTGAAGGTGCAGGTAAGGTGAAATGTCGTCAACCCGGCTTAGGCGCAGCGGCGCATAATGCTGAGCACCAATTAATGTAGGAAATAAAGCCCAGGTTTGCAGTGAAACTGCCAAATAGCAGGTGGGATATAGATAAAGAGAAAGATGGTTTCGATTGAAGTTGGAGAATATCCAGAATCACCTGATTCGTCAGGTACGGCCTCAAGCTCAATCAAATTTTGCCCATATATAACTTCTTACCGCTTAGTATACCGCCCATTCTACCGCCTCCTTTGCCGCTTTTATTTTCCCTTACTATCTATCGGAGTCCTCTATTTCTAGCTCTTAGGCAGCGCACTGGTGTATAAGAAAGAATAGATATATCTTAAATTACTGTCTTATTTATAGATCTAACGGATCAAATGGTATATGAAAGAACGAGACTTATCATTTTAGGGTGTGAGTAATATAGGAGCAAGAAGTAACGTTATATCTCACATGTTATAGTGACTACCTTGACCAACACATAAATATGCAATCTAGTAGCCCTGGAGATCAACAGTTGTTCCGAGATAGATACCATTGGGCCTTGATTGTAGGGCCAGAAATTGAACAACAAAATGCGAAGGGGTCCGCTTTCATGAAAAGGAGAGAATGACGAGCAAATACTCTACATGGTCATTCTATGAGCGCACGTGTCCACTCAACCCTACTAGCATGTTGCTGGTCCGTATTATGGTTGGTAAAATAACGGATGGAGACCGAGTAGCCGAAATTATGCGAAACACGCCTATTCGGCAAGGCCAATCGGGTTGGAATTGTGTCTCCTGGGTGCAAGAAGCTCTGGCGACGCTTCAATCCGATCCGAAGACTCTAGGTACAAGCGTTGAGGAGTGGGAAAAGTTGCGCAATCAGGCGATGGATTACTGTCAGCAGAAGAAAGACCAGCGCCGTATTGATGGCCAGGGCAAATTTGATATGGAAAGGTTCCAACCTATGACGGAGGAGCGTGAACTAAACAGCTCCAAACCATTTTTGACGGATCTGTTCCATCGCCAGCTCTTCGGGCATTGGTTGTAGAAATTTGTCAATTTCATGGACCCAAAAGGAATTTTGTGGGTTGACTTGGTGGGCAGAAGTGTATTCCCAATACGAAGGATACCAGCCAGCAGTCTCCCAATCAATAATACCAACGATATCATCTCCACGAGCAAGAATGTTAAGGCTGCTAAGGTCCCCGTGAGTAAAAACCAAAGGCCAAGTCTTGCTTTGCTGTTTGATCAGTTCCTGGCCTTCGAGCATCATCCCTGGATCAAACTCCAAGCCCATGCGCAAATGCCGATGGAAGTCTTGGAGCGTATCAAAAGGACCAAAGCGGGGGGTAGGGCCCGCAATACGACAGTCATAAAGGGATCCGCCATCGACAGAAGAGATCGTAGTGCCTTCTGAGGGCTGAAGTTCACGCATCTCGCGGAATTTCTCAGCTAATTGCGAGAGAAGTTTCGCCTTTGAATCCTCTTTTCGTCGAACCCAGCCCTTGCCAATGATATCTCCCTTGATCCTTTCCATCACGATGTACGTCCACCCGGATTGAGTGAATGTACAAAAAATCTTTGGTACTGGGATAGATGTATGCTGCGATATGAACCGCATTGTTGATGCCTCCGATAAATCAACGAGGCTACCGAACTTGACGCATATTCTGTCTGTCAATATAAGAACACCCCCATGGCTAGGTCGAATGTGCTTGAGGACTTTTATTGCTAAAAGTGTCGAATATCGACGCAAAAATGTGTCTTTGAATGGTTTCGATGCACCGAACGAAGCAGGGGAGGGCGAGGAGGGAGGCCCTTTTTGACTCGACAACATGACTCGACAACATTGTGATTGTGCTCAAGAGAAATTTCGTTCCTGGTCCTTCTTGGTCTCCAAAAAGGACTATGTTTTAGATTCCAAAAAATATAGTCAATCAATGAAGCGTGGGATCCGAGAGTGAGTCTTCCATAGGAAGTGATGTGGTTGTGCTTAGCCCCTTCACGTGATATCACCGGAGCCAGGTCGATTTTAATGCACCCTCACTGGGCCTCAGGAAATGGCTCTATTCTAGAGAATAGACCTCCAGTACTAGTCTCTTAGCAAAGTCTTATTCAGTAAATATTGTTAAAATATAAAGTTCCTTTGTGAATCCTTAATCCTATGTATTGCTAGTGAAGTATAGATTTCTCTCATTTATATTCATGATATAACATATATATATCAGCCACCTTTTGACATCTGAACTCGAGGCTTTCTATCGGAAAGCTGTATTATAGCCATAGACCGTTCAATACTTTTTTTAATCCACAGCCCTCAAGACTATTCGGACGTAGGTAAGCAACCAATATTGTCAGAAGAAAGTACGCCTGGTCAGACATCAGAGGTTGTTTTGAGGCATGACACGATAAGCTATACAGACATTGAGAATAACCAAACAAAACAAACAAAACAAACATGGCAGTAATGCTCACAAGTCAATCAGGATGATCTGATCCCAGTGAGATCAATCTAAAGGATAGGACTACTAGTAGATTACGAAAGACTGGAGCAATCAAAAACTGCCAGATCCCCAGAGTGAACGATAAGCACCTTGTGATTGTTGGTACATTTTCTGGCATCTCGTAATGCTAGTTATGAATCGTACAAAGGAAAAAAAAAAAGATCATTCGTCAAACGAAGGGAGGCAAGTACTCCAGCGCTGAAAAAATCCGGGGTAAACACCCTTCAAACTCCACCGCGTCATAAACGTTCGTGCAAACTGCCCCGGGTAGCGCCGCTAGACCCCAATGCATATCCAAGGATCAGAAACGCCCCAAATTCCAGCCCACAACATGAGAAAGCCCCCAGAGCATCACCCATGAAGCCCGGGGTAGGAGGAAGATAAAGTCGTGACGTGAAAACATGGCATCAAAGATAGGAAGAAACAAATGCTCCGAGTGTGTGGTCAAACGCCGAAAAAAAGAGGTGACAAAGGAAACAAAGAAAGGGGAATAAAGCATGGAACACCTCCATATGCACAATGGTTGTAAGGGTAATAAATTACACATCGATCATTTCGGCATCTTCGGCCAAGATCTCGTCAGCGGGGCCCCAATTACCCTCAAAGACGGTGGCGCCTGCGCGGCGTCGTTGGTTAATAAATTGCACTCCGTAGCTCTCCAGGATTTGGTCGGCCGTGGGACGGTGCTGAGGCTCAGGGGTAATCATCCAGCGGACGATTCCATCCAGAGCCTGTGGGTGGTTGGCATCAACCATGAAACTGGGGGGATCAACCAGTTCACCACTGCGTGCAAGTCGCTGCGGCTTGGGTTGGTTCAATTGGCGACTTGTCAGGAAATCGTCGTCAAATCCGTGACCACCAAGATCCGAGGTACAAAGCTCCTCGAAGGAGGTTCCATCGGAAATAGGATTTCCAGTTGCATCACGGAAGATGCTGGTAGTTTCCGTGCTCCAAGTTAGACTGGGAACATCACTAATATCCCCATTTCTAAGCTTTTGCCAGGATACGCCGTTGTCGGGGAGTTCAACATTTCCAGCAATCTCAAACATGATGAGACCAAGAGAGAAAATATCGGCAGGCTTGTCGTAACGGCCCATAAGGATCTCGGGTCCAATGTACTCGCGGTCACCTTCACCCTCAATGCCCTCTTCAGCAGGCCAGCGTGCGGCCATACCAAAGTCACCGATCTTTAAGGTCCCTTCAAATGTGACCAGAATATTGGCAGGCTTGAGGTCAAGATGAATGAAGCCCTCGTCATGGATCTGCTTCAGTCCCAGCGACAATTCAAGTAGAATCTTCCAAATACGGAAGTCATCAAGTCGGGCCTTGAGTCCAGCTTGAGCCAAGAATCCATCCAGACTGCCCTCCTCACAAAATTCTGTTTGGATGTAGAGATGACCATTGTTTTCCCAGCTGTTCATGAAGGAAACGACATGATCACACTTGGTCAAGGTCTTGAGAACGTCCACCTCGCGGATACGACGTTCACGATCCTTCAGTCCAAGGTATGGCTGCTTGCTTTTTTTGACAGCCCAGACCTGATGCGGCATTGAGCTAGGCGACTTCGGTTCACTTGATGGAAGAGAGAACACAGAAGGGAAAGAGGCATCGTGAGGCTGTGCAACGCGATATACTTGGGAAAATTCACCAGTGCCAATAAGCTCAACGCTGTCAAAGCGGGAGCTAAGACTTGGATCTACATCTGGGGCGTGATAGCCGCTGATTTGCAGACTGGGTCGTCGGAGTGACGACCAAGAGTCGCGAGGGCCAGTTGGTGTAGCAGGGAGTTCGTGCTCTAGCTGCACAGAATGGTCGTTGGGAACTGAGATCGATAAGCCGCTTGGGTCAGGAGGGAAGAACTGGTCGCGGGGAGTGTGAGGCGATGCCTGCAGGAACTTCTCGTGCAATGGACTGGCAGTCTCAGAGAATCGCTCTAGAGAAGGCATTTGAGAGGTGGTGGGAGGATAGGTGCGAGAAGGCAGGAAAGGTTGCTTGGTGGGAGTAGGAGGAAAGTCGGAGTCATTAAGATTTTGGCTATCATGTCGGGAAGAGGGCGATTGAGCCACAAGATCGTCACCATCAATGCTGACGAAGCTTCCCCGGCGCGAGGCCTCGGGTCGGTTGAAGTTGTTGCCAAAGATGCCCATGCCTCGACCAAAGGGCCCTCCCTTGGGGCGCGACACAGTGGGAGGATTGAAGGGCGAGGCGGAGACAGACTCTGACTGGTGAACCAGGCGTGACTTGTCAAAGAGTCGATCTGTCGGATTCGCGCCAGATGCGAACATGTTGACAGGTCGTTTGCACGGTGTATCAGGCATACTCTTATTAAAACCAGGACCGTTCTCCTCGGCATTGCGGTTCTTCTTGGAGATGAGACCGGTTGACATGAATGCCGCTGGTAATGGTTTGACCAACTTGTAGTTCTCTGGGGTAGCAAAGTTTTCTGATGAATCCTCTCGTGTAATTCGACGCACGGGAGCTGGACGAGTAGCTCCGGCGGGAAGGGACTTTGAGAAGTTGAACATCGGTCGAGGGTTGTGAACAGGCTCATGCGTAGGCGAATCATCGAGACTTGATCCCGAAGAGGATTGAGTGATAGTGCGAGATAGAGGATGGGCAGCAGGCCGAGGTGGTTGAGCATTGATAATACTGGCAGGAGGGTTAGGTGCGAAGAGAGGGCTAGCTGGTGGTCGGGGAGAGAAGATGTTTTCGCTGCCTGGCTGGAAAAGACTGCTATCAAAAGAGTTGCGAGGCCTAACAGTCAATGGAGTACCAGCCGGAGATTCTTCAGGCGAGTCACCCAATGCTCTGGGTCGTCCAAAAAGAGGACGCTCGCCTCGTTGCTGTAGGGTAGAGCGGCGTAAAGAAGATGAGCGCTTGGGAATCGTTGCGAAGGGACTGTGGGGTTGGACTGGCGTGGGGAACGATGGAATATCGTTTCCTGGAGATCCACATGGGGTGGTATTCTCATCCTCGTCATCATCGTTGTCAAAGATACTGAAATCATTGGTGAAAGTTGGCGTGTGCACGCTACGCCGTTTCGCAGAGGGGCTCCCTCGCGATGCCTGGTCCAAATTCATAATTCCGTCGCTGCGCTTCAAAGGACTGCCAGTCGCGATGGCCCCGAAAGTCCCACTTCGTCGTTTCTCGATACGCGATAATGTTGATCGCGGCGCAAATGTTGTTTCCCCTTGGGGGGCCGATGGAGTGTTGATAAAACAGGGACTGTCCGGGGTGGTACTTTCTGGCATAAGGTCGTCGAGCGTCAGAGCATTTTCGTCACCCGGGAGCATAATGGGTTGCGCTGGAGTCGCGTTGCCGCCGTCTGTTGACACGCTCAGAACGCGTTTTGGCGGACTGCGGGGTGACGTGCGGCGACGCATGGCCGGTCGAGAGATTTTCGCACTAGGAGGATAAGGTACAGCAAGAGGAGATTGATGCGAGGATGGGAAAAGAACGAAGTTGTTCTGAGAGGCCCGACGTGATGGCGACAATGGAGAGGAAATGTAGGCAGATTTGGAGGGAGACTGAGTACGCGTGTTGAGGAAGAAGTTTGAGCTTTTGGAAGGAGAACGCGACAGCGAGCGTCTTAGTTGGCGAATAGCAGAGCTGGCATCAACATGATGAATCCCCGAATGAGGCAGATGCAGTGTGCCGCCCGAGTCCCGGTGCGGCGAGAAGGTTGCAACCATGATCGGGGAGAATGTGTCCACGACTTGCCGCGTAATAAAAGCAGAACAGAGAAGCGCGTCGCGGATCTCTCACTTTTTTTCTTGCTCTAGGCAAGAGACTTGGAAAAAAGTAGCTCCAAGTAAAATCAGATGAAGGTGACTTGAGATCGCAGACTCAGGCCAACTCTCCAAAGAGCAAAGGCAGTGAAGTTTGAGTCAAGGATTAGGAAGGCACGCGCTTGGAATGCTGAGGAAGGTGCAAGTGGCAACACGTATGGAAAAGGCTGATCAAGTCATCCACTCATTGCACCTGAGGAATTCACTGTTGACCCTCCCATGCGCCTACGCGGGGAGAGGGCGCAAAACACACAACACGCGTGAGGTGTTTCACTTTATGGTCCTATTTTTCGCGTGAGTCCCGGAATGTTTCAGAGACACACATTCGCGTGATTAGGGCGGTGTTGATGGTGCTGGCCCCAAAAGGTGTAAGGGGGGGGTTGTTGTTTCCGCGATAGTTGGGCTCCACGAGGGCGGAAGGGCGAGATAGAGGGGGGGTGCGATAGACTGATATGATCCAGGAAGTGTGGTATGTGAGATGGAAGCAATAAAATAAAACGGATCGTTCGAGGGGCCACGGCGTTGACCGAAGGAGTGTCAATATAGGGAGGGAATACGGAGTGAAGAATGCTTAATGGAAGGCTGGTCTCATTAACGCGGAGTCGCGTTGTTGATCGTCCAAGGCCCAAAGTGGATTAGGGTGACGCGTGAATTGTGACATAAACAAATAACTTAGGTAAGCATGCAAAACATCAACTGCAACATCCAACCTCACTTTGGCTCTCCTTGTGAATACCTTCTGGGGTTTATAGGTTGTATCTATATTTGCTTCTTCTTTTCTTGTTTTTCATGCATAGCTCGGATCCCCCGTCCTAGAATTCTAGAGGGTATGCGCGTGAATTCGCACGGCCCCTGCAGAGACTGAACGCCACAATCCATATTCCCCATAACACCCTGGTGCATATTTATTTCCGGCTGTACATTGGGGCACTGCGTATCCCCAAGTACACAAAGTTTCAGACTGGTATAAACCACGCGAACCATCGCCCTTGCATGATGGGCTGCCCCATGAGCCTGACTAGCCCACTCACACGCCTGGAATCCCTCAATCTGATTGACCCGTCTCTGTTCGGGGATCCGGAATGAGAGAAGTCTACCCACCCGGGTGGTGTCCGAGTGGATGGACTGACTGGTGGAGGCGTATAGTTGAAAGCGTGTACTGTATGGGAGGCTCATGGCGGTACCGTAGCTGTACTCTCTACAGTGCCTTGAAACCCTATATCCCAATCCTGCCTTTCCTATACCTTGTAATGGCCCCCTTTTCTGGCGGTGCAATGCACATATAGACTCACTGACACAAAGTCCTTGTTCCCGTGTGTTCCTAGCCCGGGATCTGCCCGTCCCGTTCGTGGGTCCCGCCGCCAGTTATCAAATCATGACTTCATCTCATACAAACTCGATACATAGATTTCTGAAGCCACAACATACACATCGATTTCTCTAGAAAAGCAAATAATATGCACAGGAAAGGAGATACCCCGTATGAGAAGTCAGAACTCCAGTAACACCAAAAGAGAAAACCCATATACAATCTCCGTGGGAACACCGTCTTCATACTTCTTGATCTTCTCATCCCTTCCTACCCTCCTTGCTCCTCCCATATGGTTCTACAGTTCGAAGCCTGTCACCAATGCATCCATCTCCCGTCGCATAGCGTCGATCATGCACTCGGCACAGTCGGAGCTCAGCCGACTCTCGGGCGCGAACAGTCCAAAGTCCAACCGACCATCGCGAATCGCCGCTTCGACGTCGATTGTTGGCTGTTAAAACCGTTAGCAATTGCAGTACTGACCAGTTGTCATTGTCAAATGCAGGCAGTCTTACCTGGTAGACAGTTTCATTAGCCGCCGTTGGGGCGCTCGGGTGCTTGTTCTCGGCTGGACCCGGTGGCGCTGCACCATTGCCATTAATCTGGGTCTCGGTCTGCGTTGCAGGCGTGGATTCGGCCCCGCTCAGTCTTGACAACTCCTCGCGTTGAATCGCGGACAGAGAAAACTTAGTCTCGTTGCTAGGCAATTCATCCTCTGGAAGTCGCAGGAAATTGACGCAGGTATCAATGTGGACTCCGGTCCATTCGGCAATCTCCAGGAGAGATACGCCCGAGTATTCCACTCGACTGATCTCATTGATTTCGGTTTGAATTCTGCGGGCGGCTTCGAGTAGGCTGTCATTTGTGTCGCTAAATTTGTCATCCAATCGCAGTGGAACGATATTGACGGTGGGAATGACAGATTCTGCAAGGCCTTCGATGGAATGCGATCGATTAGCAAGGTAAAGACCAATCGTTAAGCGCCTGCCAGATTCATCGTGGCCAGCTGTTTCAGATGTGCGAAAGTTCTGCGCATGAATTCGAGCATAGATGGCTAGGAAAATGGTTTGAATGCTTAGCCCTTGACGCTTAGCAACCTTTTCGACACAGGCCATGCTGGGTACAAGACCCGGTCGGTAGTACTGTTGCACAGAGCCAAAGTCATTCACTCGCTTTGTCGTCTGGTGAGTTGGGATTTGGCCTAGATATTTTTGCCAGAATTGACGCCGAATGTGAACCGGCGAATGAACATGCTGGAACGCCACGAGATGCGAGAGGTCAAGGTCAGGCTGTGATTGAATAGCCTCATCTTGACTGCATTGAGCGACAAGCCTGCTCAGAATATGTGGGAGACTGACAGCGTCATACAGCGCGTGGTGAATCTGCAGATTTAGCGCCGTGCCCTTTGTTGTTTGACAAGCACGCAGTGCGACCGGCACAGCCCCAAATTCTTTCCTAGAATTTTCTGAAACGAGTTGATCGGGTGTGGAATGCCAGATGATAGGAATGTGCACCGCCTCAAGCTCGATCTGAATGTACGGCACAAGCTGAGGCCCGTGGACAGGGAGGAATGCTGTTCGAAGCATCGGTGTTTGCTCGATGACACGAGTCCAGGCACTGTCAAGTGCTTGCCGGCTCAATTGCCGTGATGCCATGTAGTAAAATTCTGGATAGAAAACCTCTGGATTCAAAGTGTGCATTGAAAGGAAATAGGACTGTCCTGCAGTTGCAGAGAATACCTTCCTCACTCGCTGTGAATCAATGCCATGCGACTGTAATAAGGCTTCCACATCTATACCATCAAGCGACTTGTCAAGGATGCTTGGTAGGTTCGTGATTGAGAACTCTGTTTGGCTGTTGTTGGCAACTTCAGCCATATTCTCGATTGTACCAGCCCTAAGCATGTCACTGACAGCGAGCCTAATCGACTGTTTCTTGAGAAGCGCAGCGACCTTGATGGCACTGATACTGTCCAGTCCAAGCTCGAAAATAGTCGAGCTCTTTGTAATAGAGCCCTCTGGTATACCAGAGACCGCAGAGAGAATATTGCGAATCTTAGACTCAACTGACGACCATTTGGATTGATTTGAGGCTGGTCGCAGCGGCGCATTCTCAATACCCTGAGCGGGAACATCATCAAAAGATGGAAGTCCACAGACACTCACACCCTTGTCAATGGATTCGATCGTCTTTTCCGCTGACTGATCGACGATGGACGAAACGACATCTGCCATCTGGGCCAAAAGCACAAGGGTATCTTCATGTCCCATCACATCACCTCGACATGCAACACGACCAACAAGCTCTTGTCCAACTCCCTCGATTTCAGCACAAACAGGATATTCAACATTCGCATCTCCACCAGTGGGCTTGTACAAAGCCGGCACAGACCCAGGCTGGGATTCTTCAACTGGTCTCTTTTGATAGATGAAAAGTGTATCAAACAGCTGCTTCGACCCTGTGTCTGGTCGTGCGCGCCGAAGTGGGAAATGCTGGTACTCAGCCATCATGAGCAGAGCTTCCTGTACATACTTCACGAGCTCTAAACGGGATCCATGAAGAATGACACGCATGGCCACTGTATTCATCGTTGGGAACATCACATGCTCGGACTGGGCCACATTTCGACCCGACAGGACCAGGCCAAAGACTACATCCAGCTTTTGAACATGAGTAGCAAGAACGAGAGACCAGCAGGTGACCAAAAGTGCTTGGAGAGTGATGCCATGGAGTTTACAAAATGACTCTGCCTTGGAAAGCGGAATGGAGAACGAATGCTCTGCTCGGTGGATGACAGCTGGGTCACTACCAGCATGTTCCATCGGCAAAAAGGACGCTGGTGTGAAATTTGATAGCGTCGCTCTCCAGAACTTGAACGCTTGATCACCAGAGGATTCAATAATTTGCTCGAGGATGTCATCGGAAGATGGGCGACTGCAATCCTCGCCCGCGTAGGACTTGGCAACATCCTCATGGAGCAAATTGATCGACCAGCCATCATAAAGAGCGTGTGAGATTGACAAAACAAGGTACCGCTTGTCCCCTTCTAGCGCGATGGTGATGCTAAGCAAGGGGCGGCTCGCGAGTTCATGGCGGGCCCTTGACCGCTGGGTCTCTATGATGGTATCCACGGACAAACCATGCAAATGAACAGTTTGAACATCAAAGCAATCCTCATCCTGGATGATTTGGGCGTAGGATACTGCAATATTTGGATCCCAAATTTCAACAAACGAGGTTCGGAGTATAGGGTGAGCTCTGACAACGGCTCGCCACGCCTGTTCCATCTTTCCAATGTCCACTTCAGGCTCAAGCTGAAGTATTTCATGATTGTAGTAATGCTTGTATCCAGATGCAGCAATTTCAGCAACCATAGCTTCTTGAATAGGAGTGGCCGGTAGAACTCGCCTAACGCGCGGAAGAAGAAGCCCTTCCTGTTCAAGGAACTTGGTCAAAGACTTCTCCATTTGACCGAGCAAAGGCTGTGCCCCGTTTTTATGGTGCCCGTTTGTCATTGAGAGTTGCTTGCTCATGGCCTTCACTGTACGGTGGCGCATGATGGAGCTGACAGGGAGTTTAATTCCGGCTTTACCCAGGCGCGAGGATATCTTGATTGCATCAATGCTGTCAAGTCCGATTTCAAAGATGGATGTTTCCTCGCTGATAGACTCAGGCTCCACCCCAGCAAGAATCGCAATGATGTCGCGAATAGTGGATGCGTGAGAAGTCCATTCAAAGAGAGCGCCATTGGTTTGTTCAGGAGCTCTGAAAGACTCGCGGTCACCCTTGATTTGGCCATTGGTTACGACTGGTGCATGTAAGACCCCGTCTAGCTCAGGCAATCTCTTGTTTGAATCTTGCGCAAATTCGAATAAGATCTGTTCGAACTTGGAAAGAAGTAGCTGGGCATCGTCGGATGATACGACGTTGCTCTTCGCAGCAAGAGTAGCCGTGAATGACCGTGTACCATGACGCACAATCTCAAATGCAAGAGGATATTCATGCTGAGCCTCTGAATTAATTGTAGACCAAAGACTCTTTGACAAAACTTCGTCGTCATCATTGTCCCTTTGGAAAACGAACATGGAGTCGAAGAGTCGCTCTTCAGGGCTTCTACCGAGCCATTTCACAATATCTCGCAGTGCAGTGTACTGGAAGGGCATCATGGACACCTGGTACTCATGACAACGCCGCGCAACATCGGACCATGTCTCCAAGCCAGTTAGTTGGACATTGCTTGGGACAGTATTGAATAGTGGTCCGATCACATTTTCAATGCCTAGGACATCGATTGTCCGACCCGAGGCGATGATACCAAGTGGTGGCACAAATGAGTATTGCTGCTGTAGAGTCAAGAGCCAACAAGCATGGAGGACAGCTTGTTCGGTTACATTGAGGGAACGACGAAGCTGGTCGACCTGCTCCGTGGCATTAATTTGAGCTTTGTGGAGGATTGGTGTGCTTTCTTGTCCGTTTGTGACTAAAGGCCGATTGTTACAATCTGCCAAATGCTCTCTCCAGAATTCCTTTGCAGCAGGGTCTTTGCAAAGAGGCCCTAAGTGTAGAACATCAAGGAAATCGCAACGCGGCAGACCTTTCTTGCTTAGATAGTTCTCGGCAACAGACTCAAAAATAAAAGTCAGGCTGGTTCCATCGTAGAGACCGTGGAAGATGTTCAAATACATCACTGATGTAGTTGAGCAGCTGATGACTCCAACTTCCCACAAATTGGAAGAGAGACTATCAAGTCGAGCTGTCCATTGTTCATGTCGCCCTTTACGAAGACTCTCAATTTCTGCTTCAGTTTCGACCGTATCAAAGGCCCAAGAAAGCGCGTCTTTCTTCAGGATAACTTGAGCATAGCCATCTGGGGATGGCGAAAATCGAGCACGCAACATTTGAACGTCTTGCTGAGTTTGACCCCAAGCCGTCTTGAGGGCTTCAAAGTCGACAGAGGAGTCAAGCTCAAAGGTGAAAGACGAGCAGTACAATGGTGTATCACTGGAAAGATAATGGTAGATAATACCTTCTTGAAGAGGAGTACAAGGCGCAATCCTTTCAACATCATCGTTTAGAACTCCAAGGTGTTCAATCACATTATGAGAGTTCTTCTGTGCGAAAGCCTCAATATGCTGCTTGGCGTTTCGCTGAAGGGTTTCAATTGAGAAAGTAGATGGAGTAGAAGTCTGCAGAGCAGAGGCCATTCCAGCGATGGTAGGATTTTTCATGATGATAGAAGGCTGAGCCTGCGAGAGCCCAGCCTCTCTCAAACTCCTCGAGAAAGCAATAACAGAAATCGAATCAAGACCCATTTCATAAATACTAGACCAAGAAGATATCTCCGTATCAGACAAGCCAATGAACTTTGCAAGAACGGAAACAAGCTGCCGTTCGAGTACGTTGTCGGTGGGTAGGTCGACACCCATAGAACTCAAATTTTGAATATCTTCCAATGGAAGCTCTTGATAGATACTTTTCAAGACTTTCATATCTGCCTTGTTGTTGGCTGATAGAGGAAATCGAGTCATTGGGATGATATGTGTTGGCACCATATACCCGGGAAGGTGAGTGCGACAAGCGTTCTTGATCTTTGAGAGGAGGATACGGTCATCATCTGAGGATCGAACCTGTACACCGACTTTGCGGGATTTCTTATCCCCATTTGATGATAAAGTGGTGAAGAAAGAGACAAGTTGATCCTTGGCTTGAGTTGGATGTGTGATAACCAGAGTAGCAACCTCATTTAATTCAGGTGTAGCCTGCTTGATCACTTCGTTGATCTCCCCAATCTCGAGACGCTGTCCACGTAGTTTAACCTGGTCATCAATTCGACCAAGGAATTGGAAGCTTCCATCGTGCAAGATCCTGACCAGATCACCAGTACGGTAAATACGGTCTCCAGACTCGGGTAGAGTTTGGAATCGCTCTTTCGTGAGCTCTGCGCGATTGAGATAGCCTTTTCCGACAAGCGGTCCCGAGACACAAAGTTCACCAATACTACCACGTAGCACTGGTGTGATTGTACCAGGACGGAAGACATATGAGCCAACATTATCGAACTGGGGCCCGATGTTCGAGGCCTTGTCATTGGCAGACATGCGAGGCAGCATTGTGCATCCGATAGTCACCTCTGTCGGCCCGTACCCGTTGTAGATAACGCCATGTTTGCCCCAGGCATCGAGGATTTCTTGCTTCAAAGCCTCGCCACCAGTGATAAAGACTCCCCGACAGAGTGAGGGGACTTCATCTGGGTGAACCAGTTTTGCCAAACTGGGCGTGAGATCGATGTGTGTGATTTGAAGTTTCTGGATTGTGCCTGGTAGATCCTCGAACAAAAGATCTCGGGGACAAGATGTGACACAAATACCAACACTCCAACTCCAGTATTGTTCCAAAACACTGACGTCAAAATGAAAAGATGCGAATTGCAACCACCGGGAATCTTCATCCCAATGGCCTGCGAACAGCCTTTGGAAAGCTAGCATTGCTTGTACGGCATTGTCATGTGTGATCTCGCATCCCTTGGGTGTTCCAGTAGTACCAGAAGTATACAGACAATAAGAGGTATCATCTGGCCTGATTGCGCGGATGAGTGACACATCAGCGGTTGAGATGCTATCCAGTAGACCAGGTTCATCCAATGCCTGAACATCCACACCCGAGAGCTCCACTAAGTCGGATAACTTGGACTCATTGCAGAGCAAAATCTTGGTACCGGAATCTTCCAGCATGAACTGCTTGCGGGAAATGGGAGCGCCGGGATCAATAGCCAAGTACGAACAGCCTGTCTTTAAAATACCCAAAATGGCCATAGATGCTTCAGGGGACTTGTCAAAGCAAATACCGATCATCCCACCAGGAACAGCTCCCTTAGCCTGCAGGAAATGTGCGATTTGATTTCCACATTCATTGAACTGGCGATAAGTCCAAGATTTCTTCTGTAGACTCTCTGCAGTGTCCCCATAAGCAAACTCAAAAGCAATCTTCTCGGGAATTTTGACGGCGTTGACCTCAACAAACTGGTGCAGCAGGGAGACCGTGGTTGGAATGGGTGCTTCTTTGGCTGGTGTCACTGAGAGAAGGTCGCCACCCACAGATGCATAATCGGTGGAAATATGATTCGGATGGAAGACGACATCTTCCAACAATTTGTCATACTGGCTGAGAAGGATGTGAGCTTGCTCCGGGGGCACGATATCACTACGGTAGCTCAGTTGGATCTCGAAGTCCGTTGGGTGTGGAATCAACTCAATAGAGACAGGGTACTAGAGAAAAATTAGCTCGACATCGCAGAAGGGGGGATTTTGCTAGAAATGCAGTGCCCACTTACATCAATCCTCGTCTCTTCATCAACGACATTCCATCCGTCAACCTCGGTGTCATCCGAAGCGAACTTTTGGTAGACAAATAGAGTATCAAAGAGAGCTTCGTCGCTACCGACCCAACGTTGAACATGTGAGAGCGGCGCGAATTGATTCTTGACAAATAGCGCATTCCGTTTCAAATTGCGATCCAGAAGATCCCGGTTAGAACCCTCGATGCAAAGAGGGGTTGGAACAGTCACTAAACATGGGAATATAGCATTCTGTGCATCGGTGGAAAGATTTCTGCCTGAAAGAACAGTGCCAAAGGTAACATTCGACTCTCCAGTGTAGGCAGAAAGCAACCTAGCCCATGCAACTTGGCCGGCTGCCTGAAGAGTCACACCAATACTCCGACAAGCATCTTCGAGTACCTTGCGCGGGTATGTGCAGCGAACAGATGTGCTGAGAAGTTTACGCTTGTCGCTGCGGATGGGATGAAGATCGGGGAATTTGGAGGAGTGAACCTCTGGACCTAAATCTTGCCAAAAGCCTTGTGCAGATTGGGTTTGACTCTTGCTTTCAAGTAGGATGGGCCCGAGGGTTGTGGTGATTGGAGCAAGGGTAGATAGTGTTTTGTTCTCATATGCTGCTCTGACATCTGCGAAAATAGCAGAAAGAGACTGGGCATCGTACATAGCATGCAGTGCAGAGAAATGCAGAACTGTAAGACTTTCTTCAGCTGAAACCTCAATGCTCCAAGGAGGACGGTGGAGATTATTCAACACTTGGTTTGCTTCAATACAAGATGCTGTGGTCTCATGCCAGGGCAGTTCGATATTCTCGGGATATGTGATCATAGCAAATGGATGTTGATGATCGCGTAACTGAACAAAACCAGTACGAAGCATCTCATGGCGAGCCATCACCGTAGACCAGGCTGCCTTGAGAAGATGTCTATTCAAGGGCGTTGAAAACTTCAAAGACATTCGGTTGAAGTACACGTCACCATGCGAATGCGTGAACATGGCGAGCATGCCATTTTGAACTGGTGTGCAGGGGCGCAGAGCCTGCACATTATCCGAGGAAATTTCAAGCTGCTCACAAACAGATTGTAAATGTTGGTTCTGGAATGACAAAAAGTCGAACTCGGCTTCCGTGACATTTTTCTCACTAGAGGTGAGAAGAGCAGCAATTTGGCCGATGGAAGCAGCCTAGTCAAGTTAGTTTCGTTAATTCAATAGAAGCGACTTCGGCCTGGCTCAAGTGCCTACCTCAAGAATCTCACCGGAGGAGATCTTATACCTCATTCCACGCAACTTGGCAGCTATTTGAACAGCATTGATACTGTCCAGACCAAGCTGGAAGATGGTTGAATCCGGGGATAAGTCGTTTGATTCAACATCAGAAAATTCACAGAGAATGTCGCGCACTGTACTTTCTTGGGCGGACCAGGGGCGAGTCTGTCGGGAAGTATTCAAGGGTCTCACCGTGTTCATCGTCGAAGACTGCTTTTGCTCAAAGACTTTGGGGATATCCACCCCAAGTATTCTCTTATCAGATGCTTGAGCAGAGGGGTATTGAATGAAATGTTCAATGAGAGTCACGAAATGAGCGGCAATGGTTTCAGCAATAACCTGGGAGATATGTGACGACTGGAAATGAAGACAGATCTGGATCTTATCTTCTCTTTCATCGGGAATAATCTCGCATATCAAAGGAAATCCCATATTCCCTTCGTCTTGAAGAAGCTCCCAAATTTGGGAATCCAGACCAATGTTGCCGTTCTGGAAAATGAGCAGACTATCGAAGAGGTAAGAACCTCCGCCAAGGATGCGCCGCTGAATGCGTCGCAGCGGACTGAGTTGATGAGGCAAAATATCGCTATTGCTCTTTTGCGACAACTTCATGATATCAATATTTGTCGCGGTGGAAGGAAATTTGATTCGGATGGGGAGGGTGTTGAAGCAAGGTCCGACTATCCGATCTGCACCATTTACGGGAACGGTTCGGCAACTGAATACATTTCCAAAAGTGACGTCGGAAGAATTGGCGTAAAGGGCGAGAAGCCGGGCCCATGCTGCATGGAATATGTTCAAGGGAGTCACAGAGAGCTCCTTGCATTGTTGTTTGAAAGATGAAAAAGACGCCTTGTAAGTTGTGTGATATTGTTGAGAGGCCGATTCGTCTCCATTGGCGGAGGTCATTGGTAGAAGAGTTGGTGAAAAACCAGACAAGTAGTCGTCCCAATATTTGTCAGACGATTCATGATCCACAGATGTCATATAGTCAATGAACCGGTAGAACGGAGTAGCAACCGGTAATTCCTTATTTGAAAGTGACTGCTGAACCTCGTTCAATAATTGAGCAATTCCCTCTCCATCATAGAGAGCATGATGAATTGAAAGCAGCAGATGCGCCTTCTGTGTAGTGGACTCCGTGATAAATGTCAAGGAGTATGGCAATTTGCCGTTGATTGGAGAGAGACCCTCGAAGCTAGACTTGCTTTCCTTAATCATATCATTTAGTTGGCTGTCGGTGGAAATCTCGATATGAGACCAGGGCAACGCCGAGCTGTCCAGCACGACCTGAGCATACGCAAATCGTTTGTCATTGGTCTGCATAAAACAAGTTCTGAGAATGTCATGTCGCTGCATCATCTGAGCCCAAGCAGCTCTCATAGCGTCGGCATCAGTGTTCACAAGAAGCAGGAGATGATTAAAGTATGCCGAGTGGTCTCCAGACTCAGCTGCAAGCATAGCCTCTTGTAGGGGTGTACAAGGATAGATCTTCTGAACAGAGGCAGCTGCAGCGCTGTATTCACCTTCTACTTGGTGAATGAAGGTCTCGTCAAACACCGCTGGAGGCTGGTGTGCTTCGACCTGCTCTGGCTGATCTTCGTTGATCATGGGAGGAATGACTGCTGCAAGCTGGGCGATAGAGCTATGGCGGAGAATTGTGGAAACCATCAGTCTTCCACAGCCAGCTTCTTGCAGCTTACGAGAAAAGGATACGGCAGAAAGGGAGTCCAATCCCAGTCTATAGAATGATGTGTGTTTGCGGATGTTGCTTTGCTCAGCGCCAGTGACTGCGGATAGAGCCGACGAGATTGTCTGCTCAAGCTCGGTAAAGCTGTTGTCAGAATCATCGGAAATGGATTTCGACGAAAACATAGCAAGCGCCTCTGGCTCTAGCTGTTCCACCCGTCGCTTTAATACGGAGAAATCAGTCTTGTTGGAGCGGGTGAGAGGAATTTCGTCAATTGGAATGAGGAGTGAAGGCATGCTCGATGAAGGAAGCTTTTTGCCAAGCTCCTTGAAGAGGTTGGTCGTGACATCTTCACTTTGTACAGGCCCCGCGGATTCAGAAGGAATCCAAAATGTTACCAAATATTGTTGGCTCCGTGCCGGGCTATCCAAAATCATGCTCACAGATTCGCGAATATCTGAAACAGACAAAAGAGAATGGGCAACTTCATCAATACCAATGAGCTGAGCTCGGAGGCTTGTACCGCCTCTTTTCTGGAGGAGAATGGTTCCATCAGGAAGAAGCCTAGCAAAATCGCCTGTTCTGTAAAGCTTCCCGTATTGAGGGTGCTCAATGAATTTCGCTGCATAGGAGGAATTGGAGTTCGACAGGGAGCGTCCAACTTGATCACCACCAAAGCAAAGCTCTCCAATGGCACCGCGAGGAAGAAGAGAGAATGATTCTTGATCTGCCACAATCATAGCAGAGGTGTTATTCAGTGGCTTTCCAATGTTTCGGAGAGATGCTGAATCTTTGACATTAGGATAGATGGCGCAAATATGAGCAATTGCACCAGAGCTGTAGGTTTGGTAGATCTCTTTCTTGCCCCAGTTCTGATGAACATTGGGGGTTAGCTCTTCGCCCGAAGTTAGTAGATACTTGACACTTGGCATAGACTTCGGGCTAACACGAGACGCCAGCGTGGGTGTCATATGTAAATGCGTGATGGCCATTTCTTGAGCAGCTTGCACAACATCATGCTCGGAGGAAATTGAGCAAAGTGCCATGCCATTATGCCAGGCAAAAAATGTCTCAAAAATCGAGACTATTGAAAGTTAGCAGATAATTCCTTGGGGTTGGTATTTCTATCAAAACTTACCGCCCGATCCAGAGGGAGCCATGGATAAGATCTTTGAACCAGCCGGCGTTGGGTATACCTCCGAAAGAGCCTTTATGCTGCTCTCCAGATTACGACGAGAAATAACAACATCATCTATGGAGTCACTGTTATAAGTGATCTCAACATAGGCCACATCAGACCCTTCCTCGACAGTCGGAGGATTGTCATAATGACAGGGATACATCGACGAAGAAACAGAGATCTGTTGGACAGAAGACACAGAATCTAAATCAAATCTCTGCACGGATTCTGAGTCAACAATGCATAATTTGGACTCTGTTGTAGACAGAGCAGATTTAACAACCTGCGAGGTGGCATGAGGAATAAGGAGAAGACCAGCAGTCGATTTGGCGACCGCAAGAACCGCAACATAAAAGTCAACCGAGTTGCTCAAGAGAACACCAATCAGGTCAGTGTGAGTAACACCGACATGATGTAAGTGATGCGCCAGACGATTGGCGCGAGTGTTCAGTTCAGCATATGTCACGCGTTCAATCGACGGGGTGGTAGTGTCTCGAGTTGAAAGCATCAACTCGAGCGCTACCAGACTTGGATTGGTCGTGGCAGTTTTCTCGACTCCGGACGCCAGGCTTGGAAGTGTGACTTGCTCGACTGCAGCTGCATTAAGAACAGACAATGTTGATGAAGGCAGAAAAGAGCGAATATTCTCGATTGGAAGTTGAACATTATCGATCAAAGTTGAAGCCACAGAATCAATCTGCTCCAGGAGAAGAGTAGCTTGCTCCAATGGCAAGATGGACTGCAGATAAGTTGCCCGGGCAAAGATGCAATCAGGTCGAGGCTCAAACTCTAACAAAAGCGCAAATTCCAAGAACTCTGCTGCATTGACTTCTTTGAATGGCGAGTCTCGCTGATCATCGGACCAAATGCTTTCTTGCCACACAACAGTCGTATCGAAGAGGTTGCGATCTGGCTCGATACCAGATGCTTTCTTGATGTCTTGCAATGATAAGCTGCCATGCTCAAGGGACTTGCGGTTCATGTTCTGGATGGCTAGGAGGAGGTCTGTCACGTCTTGCATCTTAGTCAGATTCATACGTGTTGGTAAGGTTCTAATGCATGGTCCGAGGACTGTTTCTATCCCTTTCACGGGGAGTGTACGGCCCGAGAAGACGGTTCCAAATGTCACGTCGTCTGTGCCAAGATAAGATGAGAGGATGTAGCAAAAGGCGGCTTGGAATATTGTTTGTCGACTGATGCGGAGATGCTGAGTGATTTCGTTGAGTTTCGAAACGGAAACTTCAAGTATGCGGGTGGTTTGCTGAGTAGTTGGTGGTACATCAATCTTCCCTTGGAAGTTGGGAAAACTAGCAGGATATAGTCCTTGGAGCTGGTCGCGCCAATAGGTCAAAGATTCTGTTGCTGATTTGTCCAGCTTGTGCTCGAGGAAGAAGTTCGTGACGATATTGTAAGGATGCTTTAAGGCAATTTCACCCCCGGACAAGATATCGCGAAGGTCGTTCAAAATCAGTTGCCATGACCATCCATCATACAGCGCATGATGAATATGTACGACGACTCGGAGTTGGCTCTTCTCCTCCTTGATCTGGACTCTGAATGGGTTCAATACATCGTGACCCGCACCTAATGACACATTGTAGTCAAGATCTGCTTGTTCACTGATATGCTCATCAATTGCATTCCAAACGAATCGACCATACAACTGATCCTTGAGGCCGATTTCCACGAACCCGGAGCGCAAAATCTCATTGTGCTGAACAAGTTGAGCAAAAGCATTTTTTAGAGAGGCTGAACCGATCGAGGGCTCGAATTCCAGCTCGATCCAGTTGCAGTAGGCTTTGCTGTTGCGTACAGTCTCCAAAACCATCGCCTGTTGGATATGGCTACACGGAACGACCTCTGAGACCTGTGGAGACAACCCTAAGTGTTCAACCCTTGCTGCACCTGCATTCGAGACAAGCTGCAAAATCGGTTCAAGGACTGCCTGGGTATCTCCGGTAGAACCAGAGCCTTCCAGCATTGTAGAAAGCTGCCAGATTCCATCTACAGAATCCGCTTCAAGCAGGGTTGCCACCTCAATACGGATTCCCGCACCCAAAAGGTGGGACGCTAGACGGATCGCACCTAGCGAATCAAGCCCTGCCGATGCCAAACTCTCTGCAGATGCGAGTCGACGACCGAGAACATCAATCACACATGACATAATTGCCTCTTCTTTTGCATCCCGGCCAAGCTCCTCGTCAAAAGACTGAGCTGTGCTACGGTTGCGCAGGAAGTCAGCTTCCAACGTCTTGCGGTCAACCTTGCCTGAAGGAAGTTGAGGAAATTGATCCACAATTACAAATTCTCCAGGAATCATAAATCGTGGTAGAAGCTGGCGGCAGACATCTCGAATAGCACGGTCAGTCGTTCCTTGTCCGGTGACCAGGACAAAAGCAATTAAATTGCCGCCAATAACGATAGTCACAGCACTGCGAACGCCTTCGGTTCTGGCAATAACGTGCTCTATCTCGCCCAGTTCAATACGCTGGCCTCGCAATTTCACTTGGTCGCTGGAGATTCGACCGAAACATTCGATGTCTCCGTTTGGAAGCATGCGGGCTTTGTCACCTGTCCGGTAGAGTCGACCGTACAACGGACTATCAATAAACGCTTTGGCATTCTCTTCGGGGCGGTTGATATAGCCATCCGCTAGTTGAGGACCACCCACCACGAGCTCTCCAATCTGGCCGAGTGGAAGCATGGAAAGCTCACTGGAGGAAGCGTCGTCTGAAGGGAGAGACATGATGTATGCTGAAACTGTCTTGAACGGCTTTCCAATCATGTTCACGCGATCTTTGGCTTGGAAATGGGTGGCAGCAGTGCAATGAATGGCTGCCTCGGTGGGCCCGTACATGCCATGAAGAATGCCATCTTTGCCTTCAGACTGACCGAACTCATCCACCACGTGTCTGGTGAGCATTTCACCGATAGTCAGGAGCACACGAAGAGAAGGCGCCGCGGCTCGCGTGCGTAGTAGCTCACCTGCTACTGTAGGAGTCAACTCCGCAGCATCGACTTGCATGCGGGTCATCACATGAGAGATATCGAGAAGCATATTCTCTCGCTCGGAGCCAATCAGGGTGGCCCCTCGCATCATAGGAAAAAAGACCTCGAACACGGAAACGTCAAAGGTGGGTGACGCAAATTGTAAAAATCGCTTGAATGGGGGTATCAAATCATCATGAGCAAGAAGTGACTGGGTCGCAGCGAGGTGGGACACTCCAACACCTTTGGGGCGTCCCGTCGACCCGGAGGTGTACATCACATAGGCCAAATTTGAGGATGTGCATGTAGTGGCACAGGGCTCTGTGCCATCTGGCCTAGATTCAAGGTCGTCTACTGTTAGAATGGACAGGTTCTCTGTCGGTGGGATCTTCGATACAAGAGCATCTTGTGTGATCACCACGGATGCAGCTACATCCTGGAGAATGAACTCGATGCGATCTGGTGGTGCATCGGTGTTGAGAGGGCAGAATGCGGCGCCAGCTTTGAGAATGCCTAGCCAGGAAATGTACAGCTCCACTGACTGGGGCAAAAGCACTGGAACAACCACGCTTCCACCGGTTGTTGTCGAAACACGGGCAATATCACCTGCTAGCTTCGAAGACAACCGGTCCAATGCCTCATAGGACAAGCAGCGGATGTTTCCATCTGCGGCAAGAAATTCAATAGCATGATTGGCATCATTGATACCGCGTACTGCTAGATCATGCAGTAGTTGTGGCCCTGGAAGTGTGGCGGGATCGCTATTTGTAATAGATAGAGTGGGCGTTTCGGATACAGGAATGCTCATTTGCATGTCGGCGCGAACAGCCTGTTCCTGTACAATTTGCTTGAGCTGTTGACCTAGCTGCCGCAGGAAGCCGAGATCCATGCCACCGGTCGCATGCAGTGCTCCCGACTGCATCGTGGGGTCCATGGTCCACAGTAACGCCGCAGGCTGTCCGGACGGATGATCGCCCAGCACAACGGCCGTGTGCTTGACGGACAGACTGGCTACCTCGGCGAGATCTGCTGAAAGCACAGTCTGCGCCGATAAATCTGCTTTGACCGGGTTCCCGTTCAACAGAAAGACCGGAGTATCATCGGTCGTGAATGCACGCAATAATACGGCCCATGACATAGCCAGCAGCTCTGCGGGGAGTTGGGCATCGACCTGCCATGGCAGGACATGAACCGCATGGCCGTCGTCATTGACGACAGGGAATTGAGTGAATCGATCCATGACCGAGTTCAACGTTTATTTTTTTTTCTTGCGTGGGATGTCACTCCAGCATATTCGTATATAGTTGGGGTCTGCTTATTACCTGCACTGTGAGTGGCTGGAGCACAGGATCTAATGCAGGCGCTTGGTCGAAAAAGAACTCCGAAAAGTGGCCCTTTAAATCAAATGACGCTGAGTTAAAAAGCGCAAAGCGTGAGAGGGGTAGCAAGAATCTTGATGATCTTCAGCGAGCCAAGCGCGAAAAAAGGTTGGAGGGGGGTGCCTGAGATGCCTAAACCCAGAGAGAGTATCTCCGATCGGTCATCCGCACTTGGGCATACAGAGAGAGAGAGAGAGCTATGCAACCCTACATTTAGCACTACGAAGCTATGAACCATATTGCATTCCTCATACAGTAGTTCTACTGTATAGTGCATTATCTACGCACCTATGAGAGATGATCATACCACCATCATATGAATCAAACTATCTCCGAGCACAACGGTGGAGCAGGACTCGGTCATTGTACATGTATTGGAGTATGGCTGTATTGCTGTATTGAAATCTATGTATTGGGCGTGACCAGTATTCACGTTACTTTGTTGCTTATTTCGTCATTTTCCCGGTTAGGGTTTTGGGGCTAGCCAACACAATCTATTGTAGCCTGATAGCGTGGATATCTTGTTCTATTGTTCGATAGTTTTCAGGAGTTTGAGCACCATGCAAGCTGCATGGCATGTTGCATTTTACATTGGTCTTGTATGCAATGTCCCTTTTTCGGCAGACCATTACATCGTCTAAGCGTCCAGATCAAGCCGGAGCAATTTTCCCACCTGCAGGAAACCCCACCAGACACGAGTTCAATGCGTCTGCCAAGCCATAACGGAAAGTCTGTAGAAAAACACTAACACGGAATGTTGACAGCCACTTATGTATGGCCGACAGACCCCCATTTTTCCCGACATCGGCAGTAAATTGCTCGATCCGGGTGAATGCGCTATTATTAATTGCCTGCCTCCGAAAAGGCGAAAAGACGAAAAAGCGCAAAAGCGCAAAACAGTGCCCCATATTGTTCCATCGCACGCGGTAGTGGGCAACAAAAGCCTCCGAAATCCCGGAATCAAGTCCCCCAAGATGGCGTGAAGAGCAGGAAAATAATAAATGGTGGAGACACTGATTGATAAATTCATCGCCAACCTTGGAAATACGAAACTTGGCGACTCAAGCGAGTAAGTAAAAAATCCAGATCCACTTGGCTTTTTTTTTATCTGATCCGCTTAGATTCTTCTCGGACATATGGTCAGGTAGGGTGGGCCAACAAGACTCTTGAAACATAAAGTCCGCATCCCTGCTCTTTTTTCTTTCTCCTTCTTTTCTCAAAGCTTGGAAAGCTCCTCCTTTTAAGCTCCTCTCATCCTCTCTGAAGGTTTTCTTCCTCTTCCTATACTTTTTGAGGTTGATCTCATACCCCGTCATGGAGCATATCAAGTCTGAGCTTCCCTACCTGAACGAGGTGCCACGCACCCAGCCTCAGACAGGCCGGTCTCTGTTGCGGCCTACCCCAGCCGACGAGATGCACGACTTGCTCTGCGTGGGCTTCGGTCCGGCTTCGTTGGCCATCGGTATCGCTTTGAATGACGCCATGGACCCGGGCCTTGGCGCAAAGCAATCCAACTTCAAGCCCAAGGTCACATTTCTCGAGAAGCAAAACCAGTTCGCCTGGCACTCGGGCATGCTGGTCCCCGGCTCGCGCATGCAGATCTCCTTCGTCAAGGACCTGGCGACCATGCGTGACCCCCGCTCCAGCTTCACATTCCTCAACTACCTGCACCACAAGAACCGCCTAATCCACTTTACCAACCTGGGTACATTCCTCCCAGCTCGCGTGGAGTTTGAGGATTATATGCGCTGGTGTGCCAAGCGCTTTGATAATGTGGTGAACTACGGCGAGGAGGTGGTCGAGGTGGTTCCGGGTCAGACTGATGCCCGTGGCGTCGTGGATTATTTCACGGTTGTGTCGCGTAACACCGGCACTGGGGAGATTACCTCGCGCAACGCTCGCAAGGTGGTGATTGCCATTGGTGGCAAGGCCAAGATGCCGCCTGGATTCCCTCAGGACCCCCGCATCATGCACTCGTCCAAGTACTGCACGACTTTGCCTAAGATGCTGAACAATGATATGGCTCCTTATAACATTGCTGTTGTTGGCAGTGGCCAGTCCGCCGCTGAGATCTACCACGATCTGCACCGTCGCTACCCCAACTCGCGGACCACCCTTATCCTCCGTGACTCTGCTCTCCGTCCTAGTGACGACTCTCCCTTGTTTGTCTCTCTTCACATGATATGGATTTGATCCACAAAAAAAAAGACACCCTGAAGCTAATTCATATGTTCTAGTGTCAACGAAATCTTCAACCCCGAGCGCGTCGACAAGTTCTACGGCATGTCCATCGACGAGCGCAAGAAGCGCATTGCCACCGAAAAAGCAACCAACTACTCCGTCGTCCGTCTGGAACTCATCGAAGAAATCTACAATGACATGTACCTGCAGCGGGTCGAGAACCCCGACGAAACCCAATGGCAGCAGCGCATCCTGCCTGAGACCAAGGTCGCCCGCATCGAGCACCACAACCCCAGCAGCCGCATGCGCATCCATGTCAAGTCGGTCAAGAACGAGACTGAGGGCAAGGAAGTGCTGGATGTGGACGCCGTGATGGTGGCTACGGGTTACCTGCGCGATGCGCACGAGGAGATGCTCGAGCAGGTGCGCTCGCTCCGGCCCGCCGGAGCCGCGGCATGGAACCCCGGTCGTGATTACCGGGTTTCGCTGGACGGCGCCAAGGTCAGTGCCCAGGCCGGTATCTGGCTGCAGGGTTGCAATGAGAAGACCCACGGTCTGAGCGATTCTTTGCTTTCGGTGCTTGCTGTCCGGGGTGGCGAGATTGTCTCGTCTGTCTTTGGCGAGCAGTTGGCTGGTGCTGGCTTGGTGCAGGACACCCGGTTGCGTGCTATGCTGTGAACCCTTGACCGCGATCGTCTCGACTTGACTCCTTTGGAGAGAGATCCGAGACATTAAAAAGATATTTATCAAGGAGAGGCTACGGCAGAATTGCTCTCCACGGCTTTGTTTGGTACATGATTCCCCCTCAGTCTTGGGTGAACATTAGATTTTCCCTTAGATCGATTTGCATTAATGATAAGCTATTCTCAATTACTTCAATGCTTCAATGTTTCAATGCTCTATTGCTTCATGATTTATCCTTCCTTTGCTCTTAGCTCCTCGGCGTATTCCAGATCTTCAGGGACCGATCAACATGGCCTGACACAGTGGAGTCACGGAAGTGAGCAGTTCCTGTCGCAGTAAAAGTCGGCCTCGGCCGCAAATACCACGCCAACCGCGCTGAAATTTGACCAGCCGATCTTAAGAAATGAAATGGCGGGAAAAGCAATTAAAACCTTGGCAGGCTACTGTAATTTCCTTTCCTTTTTTTTTTTTTGCCCCGAGATCAAATCAGATAATCTCAAGTGGGTCCTGCATGGATCAGATAACTGGGAACTTTTTATCTGATCAGAGACACTCGGTTGGGGGAGGCAATTGGGTGCCGAGACACACTTTTCATTTTTTTTTCGCGGGTACCGTTAGGCCTGACCGTAATTCACAATCCTCGTTTATATCGCATCTGGCATCTGGCATCTGTTGTGGAGTGTGAGGCTGTTGTCTATCACCTGCCTAGTTAGTCCCTTAGCGAGATATGGAGCCGGGGCTTACGTTGTCCGTACGGACTTGATCTGTATCTATACTTGTCTTTGTATGCCTCTTCTTTCGTATCGTAACATTCTTTTCTTTTGTATTTTTCTAATTGAGTTTTCCCAAGGTCCATGTGTCCGCTATGTCCGCTGTGTCCGTTGTGTACGATGGGACTAGAACCCTAACCCCCTCCTAACCCACTTAACCCGAGGTCACGCAGGGCTCCCGAAGCCGAGATTAGATCTTTCAAGCAAGTTCGTACTTGTACCAGTATATCTGTAACCGGTAACATGAACGTGAACGCGTATAACTTAGTATTCGGCGACATCGGATGGAAGTGGAAACCGCAATATTCCGAACTGTCACCCTCGGAGCCAGTCCTACCGTCCTCTTTTTTTTAATTCTTAGTTTTTTTACCTCTGGTCTCCATTTTCCTATCTTGCTTGAACCTGCCTATGGATCCACGTCTCGTCTCGTGGAGAGCTCCGGCCCGGAAATAAACAGTCGGGGCTCGGAGCTGTGTTAGGTAGGTGACTGTCGAGATTTTAGGCTCGCTTTGCCTAGTACTAGGCGAGACCCTGCATTGTTTGAACGGTGTATCAGATCAGGCCACTCTTGAACCTACATTAAGGCTGAGTCAGGACTTGCGCAAGCTCATCTTGGCTACATGGTCGCCCTTTTTTTTTTAAATTATATTTCATTTCTTGGCACCCCTGTTGCTTGTGTGGGTTGCCACATGCTGCTGTATGCAGAATGGGTGGCTACATGGTACAGAAGTACGGCCTAGGCTTCATGCAAGGTACTTGTATGACTCTTGTATTGTAAAGTGGAATGCGGTCACACTGTACACTTCGTGTATACTGGGCCAATCGGGCTTCTTCGGACGAGACAACGGCTTTGGGGATGTTTCCAGAAGGCTGGAATATCCCTGTGAGGAGAGTATCTTATCTGATGGTGGGGAGATGGAACCTTTACTGAGGTTGCGAAGAATTCATTAATGTCTGACGTCAAATGTACAGGTCTCTAAATGCAAACGTTCATACTAGGTGTCCTTAAAATGCAACACCAAGAGCTGTGGGGATATACGCCCTGCAAATCCATTAAAGCAAAACAGAACAGAGGTCCAAAATCATATTTCACTTAGACCATGCGTTCGGGGTCCTCGGCTGCCACACTGTGGTAGTTGCCGGCGTCGGACCGGTTACCGGTGTGCATGCGCATCGGGGATTCATACATGTCATGATAGTTCACCACTTCACCCCCCAGCATGGCGGAGCCAGAATGGCGCTTGCCAAAGAGAGGAGCTGGGTCGCACCAGAAGTCGCGGCAGTTGGTGATGGGGCCGCGAGAGAATGGGTTGCGGGGGCGAGCAGCGTGCGGTCCATCGCGTAGTCCATCCTTCGCGGTCGTCCAGAAAGTGTCAACGCCGAGAAGCGAGGACCATTGTCGGAGGCAGCCGCCCTTGGGGCGGGGTGCAGGGCCACGGTTAAGGGCTGGGTTGGGACCGGCGCCAGTGGCAGAGAGGCCGGCAGCTTCCATGGAGGTGGTTCCGGCAGTCATGGCTGAGGCGAAGGCTTGGGAGCTTGGGTAGGACCGGTCGATGTGGTGGCCTCGCATGTTCTCAGAGGTGGTTTGGTTGCGTGAAATTTGGACCAGTTGGACGGCGCACAACATCGTGACCCAGACCAGCTGGAGGATGGTCCAGATGGTGAGAACCATAGTGAAGGTGTCCCGCGAGACGTAATCACACAGCGTGTCGTTGATGACGCTGCATTTGGCGTCAGCGGGGGCAGGAAGAGCCGTGATATCTGATTGGTGTTAGTCAAGAATCGAGCTGAATATTGTTGGAAAAACGCACAAGCAATTGACAGCTGGACAAAAAGGATGATTCCAACTTCTAAGGAGATGATATATAGAACGAAATGACGGAGGTTGTTTGCTCCCACACAGTTGTCAATCCATGGGCAGTGGCTGTTCAATGATTAGTAAAAAAGATTAATATACGGAGGAATCCCCAGGTCAAACACATACTGATCATGTTTCGCGACACAACGGCCGCAACGACGACAGTGCTTGCTTCGGAGTGGTTTTCTCGACATGCAGGGAATACAGAAGTTTTCCTCGTCAAATTTCCACTGCTCGAAAAGCTCTTTGACAATCTCTCTCTGTTGGTTCCTGCTGCTGAGCTTCGGGACATAGCCAGGGTCTTGTACCATGGCAAAGATATAGAAGTAGGCAGTTAAGCAGAAGAAGACGGCGAAAAATATGTTCAGGATTGGGTTAGAAGAGTAGGTTGCCGGTACCAACTTGAAGGCATAACGGAAACCGACCCAAAACAATGTAGCTGCGAAGACACCAGCGAGATATGGCGTCTTTTGCAAAATTCGATATTCCGAAGGTCCTTTGTTCGCCACCTGCTGTGCGATGTACTGCATACCGAACACAGTCACCAATGTAACAGGCACACCGATGAAGATGACCAGATTACTCAACAACCAAACGGCCAGGACGAGAGTCAAGAAGGGCCACAGGAAGAAGAATTTGGCCATGAGGCTCTTGTTTCGCGTGAAGCTTGACATCCCAAAAGGCACCACTTTCTGGCTTCCATCGGGCTCATAGCCGCGCTCGTTGAGCGAGCGATACCACACCCGCAAAGTGTTCATTTCCTGCGCCACAGTCGCGGGGGACTTGCCATCTCGGGTCGGCGCGAATCGGTCAGCGCCAAACTCAAGCAGCTTCAGGACGCAGGGCATAGATCCCTTTACCAGCGCCCAGTGCAGCGGTGTCAGGCCACCTTCATCCACGGCGTTCACATTAGCACCCCAGCGCAGGAACAAGTCCACGCAAGCGGGATATCCCTTATATGCAGCCCACATCAGTCCAGTATGTCCTTGCTGGTCAATGACGTCCACGGGGATTTCCTGGTGGAGAAGCAGCAAAACTAGGAAAGCGTTGCCGTCGATGGTCGCGAGGTGAAGGATGTTGTACCCTTGCACATCCGTCAACAGAGGATCTCCGCCGTTCTGGAGAAGCAAGTTGACAATGTAGTAATGGCACCGCTGTGCTGCCCACATGGCTGGCGTTGCCACCGACTCTCCTCCCTTGGCGTTGACATCGGCTCCGGAGTCGAGGAGGAATTTACACATCGCATATTGGTTGTTGATAGCGGCCCACTATAAAGAAAAAAATGTACAATCAGTAATCATGCCTTCCTTATTTGCGCAGTGCGCAACCCTCCATCGGAGAACGAACATGTAACGGGGTGATGCCCTCTTCATCTCGGTGGTTTGCGGTCATATTCTTGGCCACAAATAGGTTTTTCATGGCGCCAATCTCTCCCATCCGAGCCAGCTGCATCACGTCCTCCCCCAGAGGGATTGAGCCCTTCGGGGGGTCAGATCGCATGGGCTTCATCTCCACGTCGGTGTTCGAGGGGCCATTGACGGCTGACTGGGATCCGGGGTTTTGACCGGGGCTCGGGCCCCGGGATTCTGACGGTGACGTTTTTGAGGACATCTTTGTCTAATATTTGATTATTTTGGTAACGGTAACCGTAACGGTAACGAGGGACGCTGAAGGCCTGTCGGTAAAAAGGAGACGTAATCGATTCGAGGTTCAGACGCGGTGATCTAAGGGAACATTGCGAATCTCTCGGCGCATTAAAAGGAATCAAATAAGGCAGATCTCTATTGAACAGAGATGCGGAAACGAGGCGAGTAAAACGTGAAGGATATAGGGAGGACTTGGGGATGCGGTCACGTTTTGCGGAGACGCTAAACGCTAAGACTCCAAACTCCGAAACTCCCTGACAGCACAGCAACACAGAACACACTGTACAGAGGGTTGGGGGAAATTCGGAATTGTCGTGTCTGTTGCGAACGTTTGGAAATGTCCACCTGGGCACAAGTGTTTTCGATTACTCAGCCACAGGCAGCCGCATTTTGGCTTATTTTGGGTTGTCGCCCTGTTGATCTCCACAGAGTTGGTGGAGATCGCATTTCTGTAGGGCGTCGACTCTTTTCAAGGGGTTCTTTCGCGTGGTAGGAGTGAGTGCCGGTGATAGGCATCTTGTCTGGATCCCCAGTTACATATGCCATGTGCAGGACATACAGTAGTGGCAGTTCTCCCTCGGCCAGGCCAATAGCACTCGCCTACCTGCTCCAAGTGAATCATGTCTATTGGGGCATAAAAACTGCTGACAGCCAGTCAGGAGCTCAATTGCTTGCTATAAGATTTCTGCACTAGCTAGACACACTATACCTCAATGGTGAGTTAATTTGACTGGTGTGTTTCATCTTTATCCTATAGATCTATGTGGAATAGTAACACGGAGAGCTGGGGATTTCAGCATTTTAGGATATAAACAAATGAGAGGCATTCCCCTACGGTATTTACATTTCATGGGCAATGAAGGAAAAAATGGATGGTGTACCGAAATAAGCTGCCTGATCTGTTCGCGATAGATCTCATTGTGTCGCAAAATGGGCGTCTCCTGAGCCTCCGCCCACCTAGTCGGGCCATCCCCAAAACAACAAACATGGGAGAATCCCTCGCCGACAGCATTCTATTCATTTTGAAAGAGCGAGACATACCCGCTAAGCGCGATGCCATCGAGACCGCCTTTGATGGCGATTCCGCCGACACGGAATGGGCAGTGAAATATCTCCGACCCGATACCCTGCTATCAAAGGAGGAACTGACCTTGTATGTCTTTGGCTATGATATCGCAGTAACAGACTGAGATATGATACTCACTGTTATGATATCAGCGTCGGTGTGAATTTAAAAGCTAATTTGGGCGTTCAGGTACTCGAGACTTCAAGCCTCCGGCGCTCTCCAACCCATCCTCCGCAACCCCGACCTGCCCGCCACGCGCCCTATCCTCGAAGATGACCTCCAGACCGCGATCAAGTCCCTCGAGACCTCCACGGCTACCATTCAGAAACAAACAGAGACTTTGAAGTTCCAGTGCGACAGTCTCAATAAGCAATTGGGACTAGCGAACAACGTGGAGCAACAGCGGAATCGGGACGTGACTCGGCTGCGCAAGAAGCATGAAGGAGGGAGGCAGAGCACAACAATGGCGGTAGGTTGAGATGTGCCACGGCGTGTGGAAGCGTGTGACTGATTCGCGCAGGCCAGTGAGCTGTCCGACGAACTGGAGACCAATTTCAGGAACGCGACGGACAAGTCGGGCACGGAAAGCAAGAGGATCCTGGCATCTCTGTCGACTCGGCTTAAGCAGGACGATAAGACTCTTGCTAGCCTAGAGACTCTCGTGTCCGGTATCAAATATCGTGGCAATGATGCATCTACGGTGTCGCGAACGAAGGACCTGAGCGCCATGCTGGCAGACTACGTTGCCGAAGAAATACACTATCGGCTCGATCGACTTTACTTGGAAACGGTCCAGGCTGGGGGCACAGGTGCCAAGGCACCAGCAGGAGAGACGATTGCTGCGCTCGAGGAAGAACTTGAATCTTTGTATCCGGAGATTGGGATATTGGCCGAAATGTCGATCAGGCAGCAGTTCAACGAGCCCATCCTGCGAGAACTTCAGAATGAGCATGGAAAGCTGCAAGTGGCGTCGCAGGAGAGTCTGGAGCAGGTACCGTGCTTACAGTGTTCCTGCGCATTCTGGCAGAAAGAGAGCTAAGAGATATTTAGGCACTCGACACATTGATCGAAATGACATTGTCCAAGCAGGATATCACGAAGCACTTGGCACAACGACTGTCATCTTCCGTGCTGTTGGACCAATTAGCCACCCTATATCAAGCCGAAGCGGGTGAACTCGTTACACAGCCCTCTTCTCGAAGAGATTCACTGCGCCGCCGATCTTTGCAGCCAGGTCTTCTGCTTGCGGCTAAAGCCCCTGCAGCGCCTACGCCCGACCAGCCTGCCCTAGGAAGCATTTTGCGACGTGTTGGTGTGAGTTCTGAATCTGTCCTTCGACCAAAAGGAAACGGCGACAACGGTGGGATCAGTGAGCTTCACGAAAAACGAATTCAAATGTCCGAAACACTGGGTAATCTCAAGGGTGCGGTCGATTCTCCTCTGGTGGCTCACCTATCGCCATCTGATAGCGCATCTCAACTCCTTCAGTCTGCTTTGACTGCCAGTGGTCATTATGAAACATCGCTGCACAATACACCGGAGCAGCAGCGGATTCTAGGCCTCGAAAGTGAGGTAATGAGGCTCCAATCCAGAGTCCAGGGCCTAAACATGGATGTTCTGCATCAGCGTGACAAGATCCAGGACAGGGTACTGCAAAGGTGGGCCTAGTTGATTTGGTCATATTAATCTACGACAAGAAGAAGGATTCGATGGCTTGTGTTGTCTAAATCGTTGGTTCTAAAGTGATGTTGGTGACAGTAGCGCCGTTTGCGCCACCCACAGCTGCACCTCTGGATGGACAATCCACTGTGGCTGTGTGATTGTTGCTCTGTAACGTACGAACTATCTTCATCAAGTAGACTGAAGGATCGGGCACCCGATGCGCAATAAACAATCCCATTCAATGAAGTTATGGAGTTCTTAGTGTTAAGTGATCATCTCATTGGGTTCTATGTTTCCTGCACGTCATACCGGGCATGGCTAACGCTGTGCACATCCGTCTCTTGCAGACTGAGAATTCAGACAGATGAATGTATATCAGACTGTTTTGTATGGATGGACTCTTTGAATACCGAAAGGTCTCTCATATGGTCCAAATCATCTTGACGTCGTCACCCGATATTGGGCGATTCCCCATGACTTTCACCTACGCCCCCTGTGACTAGAGGCGCATCAGCCACCATATATCCTTACAATAGCTTCAAGTATGGATGATGCCCCTGTTGTAGGCGTGTTGCTGCCTATGTCCGTGTGAACCTGCCTCGAGTTCATTTTAGCTATAAAGGTGTCCCTGTCTCGTGTTTTTAGATGCTCTGCCTCACGAGTCTTGTCTTTGAGTCTTTCGGTTTCAAGTCTGCTTTGTTCAACTCTATGAATATACAATATACAATACACAATCTATTATCATCATTCTACGTCCATCAAGTACTGGCTTCAGACCTTTGTCTGGGCAGTCTCTTTGTCTTCCATCCATTATATGTTTAGATTAGCCTCGAATAGGCATTGTGAAGTGTGTTTCCCCTGATGTTTATTTCGGTTCGCTATGGCTGTGTCCCTCTTCAGCTCCTGTTTCGAGTCTATATTTGTCCATAGAGTCACTGTTTGGAGATTCTATTTACTTGGGCTGTCGCCATGCGTACTTGGTTTCAAACATCACGGCCAACAGCTAACCTCAACATAGATGGAATATTTCGCTAACAAACACGGATTCTTTCGAAAGCCTCGAAGACGCGACTATTACCCTGCGCCAGACTGCGATGACTATTGGTCACCTCCAGACTACTCACACGACAGCGCCGACACATTCTGGGCCCGAGGAAAGCGTTATCGTCATCGATATACTTGCAACACGGACCCATTCGACAGTAACATGCCCTTCTCCATTTGGATGCCTTTCCCACACGGCACATATAGAAGACACCATTCATATGCCCATGGAGGACACTGGACTGGCGACAGACCTGGATCTCGACCAGATGTCATATACATCGATCGCAATACATACAGAGGCAGAAAATCAGCTCGCGAAAATCGACCTCAGTCCCGGCCTCAACCTCGTGATCATTCCTATGAGCGGCTTCGACCGATCACTAAGCCTGTCAATGATTCGGCCGATGAACCCAACATCATAGAGAGGGCACCAAAGTCTTACAAGCAGACTCGTTTCGCAGAGCCATCTACGACGTCTCGAGCGAGACAAAATCGCTCGAGCTCGCCCGTCGGTGAGAGAAGACCTTTTCGTGATGGGAGAAGCATGTCGGGTTCTTCAACTGGCTCGGGCATCCCCGAGAGAGACCGAATGCCATACAGCAGAGGGCCTGCGTCTCCGCGTTCGTTTGTGGGTGAGCGCCAGCGAAGGCCCTATTCAGAGACCCCTTTCTCACCTCGAACGCAGGTTGATGAGCGCCAACGAAGGATGTATTCGTACGTCCCTGAGCCTACTCGGACCACACATCGTACCCGACCCTGGGCCCCTGAAACGCCTGATATTATTCGGGATGGCTATGAGTCCATCTTTGACCGAGCTCAACGTGTTTACAACATGGGGCGGTATGGATTTGGATATCGGGAGTGAGTGTTGATTTTTGGTTCCTACGATGTCTGTTTCTTGATAAAAGAAAACAATGAGGGGAAAGGGTTCAAGTGCGGAGAAGAAAGGCAGGAAGTGAATACGTTTAAACCCGGTTAAAGGCGCTTATCGGAATGCATCCAATACCCCTGGAGAAGAACATGGTAAAATGTACATGTCTTGTACATTAGGAGTTTGGCATTGAATGATTATTTATTGGTTACATCGAACGCAAATCCCTGTATCCAGAGACTCAATCTCATTTATAATTCACCTTAATAACTTAGTTGAATCAACGCATCAAAGTGATGCAATGCTGATACCTTATCTTTGCCCCTGGCACACTTTCAACTTTCCCAAACTTGCTTGAACGAGTCTAGACTGGAGAGTTCTTCATTTCTTGTTTGGTGTCTACTTTGATTTTCTCCTTTTAAAGACTACTGGAACTACTGCGTACTATCCTTGCCGCTATACTTGATTCCATTCACTTCCATCCCTCCCTCTCCTCCCCTTCCCCCGTGATCACACATCGCCACGAGACCGATACCACCACCTCCTATTCCAAGTCAGAAAATGAGATATTCAACTGCTGAGCCACCATCCACAAGGCTCAGGTGCACTCTCTCACTCGCTTTCCCAATCCACCGAGCAGCCTGCGCCTGCGCGCAATGAACCTCCAGGCCAAAATGGCCGCCGTCACACAAACGGAGTGCATGCCGGATGACACTGACACGCGCCGGAATAGTAACGGGGATGTCGAGGTCGACGTGAATGCGACAACGCGCCCCGCACTTGCCATGTTGACACTGGACGACCCCGACAGCTGTCGTGCCATCGGGGACGCTGATCATGCCGCTGATCATGTCGCTGCCGTGTTTGATATTTCGCCCGAGGCTGCAGTTCACCTGCTTTGCTTTAATGTCGAGGCTTTGGGGACGCAGTTTGTCGAGAGGCCTTCTGGGACGGATGAGTTGAACTCGCATAGCTCCACACCGCTGGAATGTGGGACGCCTGTTGGTGAGGGTCAGCTGGGTGTGCAGTCGATTGGGTTGCATGTGAATGATCCGAATGACTCGCCTAACCCGGCACGCGCGACAGAGGAGGCGGTTCAGTTGGCCATTCTGGCGAAGAAGTTCCTTTCAAAGAAGGTGCCTGCCTTTCCTTTGAAGGAGTATCTGCTGAGGCTGCACAAGTATTGTCCTATGTCTACGGCGGTGTATCTCGCGGCCAGCGTGTATATATCAAAGATGACCTTGGATGAGAATGTTCTAAGGGTAATGCCGAGGAATGTGCATAGGTTGGTGCTTGCTGGTATATGGGTAGCATCCAAGGCGCTGGAGGACCTGAAGTATTCACCTAGCCGGGTGGCCAAAGTAGGTGGTGTCTCCGAACAGGAACTGTCGAAACTGGAGATCAGTTTTTGTTTCTTAGCCAATTTTGAGTTGCGGGTTGATGCACAGATGCTTCTGAATGAGACCTTGCGCTTCAAGTCTCCTGAATAGCTTTCAAGATCATGTCTGCGTTGTGGTTCAATATGGGTGTGGCTATCTAGGTGCGGTCTTCAGACCGCATTTCTCCCAGGACTTTGGTCCGGAATTAAAATCTTTCAAACATTGAGATTCATGATATTTTGGAGTCAATAGTAAACATTTATATCAGACATATTGGGGTTGGTTTCCTCTGGTTGTCGGTTCTTGTTAAGACTGATTCGTCGAAGCAATTTCCACACCAGGATAGTACCAAGTGCAAACAGCCACGATGAAATATACCAAAACACAAAGAGCTCCTTCGAGGTAATTAGATTTGCCATCCCGCAAGAAGTTGCCAACAACCAAAATCGAGAGGACAAGGAGGACAACCATGAAGATTTCAAAGTTCAAACTCATCTCCTTGTCCATTGCCCAGCCAACAATGACAGTGAGTGGTGCATTCAGCAGTGCAGTCTGAATAGAAGGGCCCAGACAGTGGAAGAGTGCAAAGTTAATTTGGTTATCCCAGGCTTCATCCACAGCAGTAAGATGTTCGGCAGCCTTTTCGACCAGCGGGACAAGGATCAAACCGAGGAAATTGTCCGAGACACCACGGGCCACAATGAACTCGATCTCTTGGACCAGAAAGACGGCAGACATACAAACACAAGTCAGGGAGACCGTAATTGCAACGAAGCACTCGATCAACGTGAGTTTGGCCCTGGCGCGTTCTTCGTGTCTATCTTCATCATTATCTTCGTCTTGCGCTAAGACTTCGTCGAAGATGGAGTTGTGGCTGTGTAGGTTGAAGACCAGGTAGCTATTCAAGGTTAGATCTTGACTTCTCTTTTTCAATGTGGAGTTACTCACGTCAAAAATGCTACGAGAAGAATAACCGAAGTGGCACGGCTAATTGTGAGGGCATAATCGCCTAATTCATACAGCGTGAACTCTTCATTGACGCTCCCACGCAGCGCCGAGTAAAAGGCACTAGGGATCAAAAGTCCGAAGCCTGCAACAAGCAGTAGTCCCGTGCCAACCTCACTGACCGCTTCGTGGAAGACCTGCTCCTCGCGTCGGATACCACCAACAAAGAAGCACATGCCCAGGCAAAGCAGCAGGTTTGCCATAATGGAACCGAGGATCGCGGCCTGAATAACGGGGATCAGATTGGCATGTTCGGTTTTGTCATGATTGTGCAATAGCACCATGAAAAGGACCAGTTCCACCACGGAGCTGAGTGTCGTCTCAACCAAGATGCCCAACATCTTGGGTAGCTTCTTGGCTAGCTCTCCACCTGCGAAACCGAGTAGATTTGCCGAGGGCACCATGGCGATGTAATTGAGACTGAACACCCAGACATGAAGATCGGGTCGAGCGAAGTGCATCACGATGGCCGCCGGGACAAAGGGCCATAGGATGTTCACCACCATGGACAGAGTGCAAACACTCTTGAAGCATACTTTGAGGAGGTGCCACGGGTGGATTCCAGTCCGACCGCTCTCTCCCGCGGATTTGACCCGAAAGAGGCCATATCGTCGCTTGGAGCCATTCGAGTTGACGGGCAATATCGAGTTGCTCTGCGACGGCTTTTCTTTCACGGTTTTTGATTCCTCGCCATTCCCGCGGAGGCGCAGATCACTGTTTAGGTTTTCGGCTGGCCTGATTAAGCTCATGATCGCAGCGCTTGGGGGTTAATGACTTGGGCAAGCACAGTACCAGACTGTGAAGCGACCCAAAAATATAATCGAGACTTTTGTTTCTGGGAATCGAGCGCTAGACAATGGACAACTAAAACATGAAAGGAAGAACGCTGCAAAGACCAGGAAAACGTGCTGAGGGTAAGAAAAAAGCAAAGACAGATTATGGGGGGGGAGGGGAGGGACTATACAGCTCTAGCCCGTGCGAAAGGAGGCAAAGAAAAACAACCAGCTGGCAGACCTCCTAGCCAATCAGCCAATGATTGAGGGTCATGAAGCAGGACTGGAGCATCTCTCCAGCCAGGAGGTCTTGGCACATCCATGTGCTGCTGTGCTACTTAGCTCTGAAATAATACTCAGCTGGCACCTTGGGCTTCTCATCGGCGCCCAATGCCCTTTGCCAATGGCTGACATCTTGGCAGTGGCCCAGCGGAAACCCCCAGGTATACAAGAACTGTACAAGCACTGTACAAGAACATTGTTTGGAGGAGAAGTGGTGGGCTATGCACAGCCACGGTCTTGGCTCTGCAGAACTCCGATGGCCCGTCTTTACCCAAAACACTGCAGGAAGAGCTTGGTTTAGCCTTTTTTGGGGTGGAATGATTGGAGGACAGAGTGGATAAAGAGATCGTCAAAGGAAAGACCCGTCAGATCGGTGAAGCCCTTCTAGCGTCTGGGTAGCTTCAGGTTGACTAGTCCAAATCGCTTGAGGCACTGCAAAGAGAGTATATGATCAGGTACATGCCTCGGTTGGTGGACAAGTTGAATAGGTCCTGTTTGCAGGAACCAAAGACGTGTATGCAGTCCACCTGTCGTCTATACCTGTTACCTTTTGATCTTATCATGGTCACTGGATCACTTACCACTTAGCTTCACTATAGTTAACAATCAACCCCGACTGAACAGTATAGAATAAGTTAACTCGGAACTGAAAGACTAAACAGAATAAATGACCGGGTTCCACCCCCGGCTACCATCGGGCGGGGCGCAAAAAGTCGGCAACTTTACTTTTCGCCTTTGGGACTCTTCTCTTCTCTCTTTTACCTGTCGAGGTTCATATCCATAATGTCGTCGAATACCTTTAACCCCCCAGTGGCCCTGGATGCCATTACCCAGCAGATCGGCAACACCCCCCTTGTTCGCCTGAACCGTCTGCCCCGCAGCCTCGGAATCGAGGCCACCGTCTACGCCAAATTGGAATATTTCAATGCCGGTGGCAGTGTCAAGGACCGCATTGCCTTGCGCATGATTGAGGAGGCTGAGCGAGAGGGTCGCATCAAGCCTGGTGATACCCTCATCGAGCCGACCAGTGGCAACACGTTCGTCTTTTCTTCGCGATGGTGTGATCCGGGTTGCTAATTGGTGATTTAGTGGTATCGGTTTGGCGCTGGTTGGTGCTGTCAAGGGTATGAAGTGATGGATCGAATCGGATTGTGATCAAGGATCAACTAACCATGATTCGTTATAGGCTACAAGACTATCATCACCCTCCCCGAGAAGATGTCTGCCGAGAAAGTCGCCGTCCTGCGCGCCTTGAACGCCACCATCATCCGGACTCCCAATGAGGCTGCCTATGACTCGCCCGAGTCTCACATTGGTGTCGCCAAGCGTCTCGAGAAGGAGTTGCCCAACGCCCACATTCTAGACCAGTACGGCAACGTGAACAACCCCTTGGCCCACGAGCTCGGTACCGCCGAGGAGATCTGGAACCAGACCAATGGCCAGATCAATGCGATTGTGGCCGGTGCCGGAACGGGTGGTACCATTACCGGTCTTGCACGGGGTCTCAAGAAGCACAATGCCGATATCAAAGTGATCGCCGCCGATCCCTTTGGTTCCATTTTGGCTCTGCCTTCCACTCTGAACGATGCTCGCGCCAACGAGCCCTACAAGGTAGAGGGTATTGGATACGACTTCATTCCTGATGTGCTTGACCGACAGGCTGTGGATCACTGGTACAAGACGGCCGATAAGGAATCTTTCAAGTACTCTCGCCAATTGATTGCTCAGGAGGGTCTGCTCGTTGGTGGTAGCAGTGGCAGTGCCATTGCCGCTCTCGTCAAGGCTAATGAGGAGCACAAGTTCTCCAAGGACGACGTGCTTGTTGTGGTTCTCCCCGACAGCATTCGCAGTTACCTCACCAAGGTAAGACCAGATGAATGCAACATGCAAATTCAAAATGCCGCGATACTAATACCTTCCAGTTCGCTGATGACGACTGGCTCGCCGCCAACGACCTGCTCCCCCAAGTCCCCGCTGAAGTTGCCGCCACAACGGAGACCGAGCCCGAGTCTAACCCTCTGGCCGATGCCAAGGTCAGCGCTCTGCGCCTGAAGCCCATCACCGCCGTTACAGCCAGCTCGCCCTGCGAGACCGCCATTGAGATCATGCGTGACCGAGGCTTTGACCAGCTCCCCGTCCTCGCCCCCTCGGGCCGCAGGCTGGTGGGTCTCGTCACTTTGGGCAATGTGCTTAGCCGTCTGACGCACGGGCGAGCTTCCGGTCAGAGCCCTGTCTCCGATGTCATGTTTGACTTCTCCAAGATTTCCGAGGTTGTCACCGACCCCCGTGATCTCGGCAAGGGCAAGGATATCCTCAAGCCTCAGGCTCGCAGCCGTGGCTTCATTGAAATCACCATGGACACCCCTCTCAGTGTGCTGAACCGCTTCTTCGAGTGGAACAGTGCCGCCGTTGTTACCGAGAAAGATGAGAGCGGTGCTATGAAGCCTTTGGCTGTCGTTACCAAGGTCGATCTCCTTACCTGGATGCTGCACCAGAGCAAGGCAACTCAGGCCTGAGCTTCTTCTGATCGGATCGATATTTATCTGTCCAAAATGTATTCGGCATGATAAATTGCTTCTTGGGGGTAGAGGTTCAACATTGGGCATTCTGATATTTGGGATGGGCGTTTATTTCCTCTTGCGCAGGCCTCAGTGAGATTCAACTACACGATACCTGGGCAAAGATAATTGGCGTTGAATATGATGCATACTTAATACACATAGAGAATAGCATAGTTCAAATGGTACTGGTGGCGATGACGTATACTTGCTACACCTCCAGTTATGACAACTTCAACTATTTCTCAACTCCGAACAAAATGACTGGAATATTTACCTACCGTAACTTTTCTCTGGAAGATGTGCCGGATTTGCAGGACCGAGTGGCTGTCGTCACGGTGAATCATCCTGACTATCACATCAACTATAAGGCTAATCCTTGACTAGGGTGGGCACGCAGGCATTGGCAAAGGCACGTACAGTTTGCCATCTGAGAACATAAAGTTGGCATGCTAGATATATGACTGAAACAAATTGACACATATTAGAAATCACGGCTCAACTTCTCTGCCATGGAATAGCGAGAGTGATCATCCTCGCCAGAAGCCAAGACAAGTTCATCACTGCCTGCAATGAATGGCGACAGAACCAGGCTATCTCCCTCAGCGAAGATGACCCTCGAGTCAAGTTTGTCAAGTGTGACTTGGGAGATATCGAGAATGTCAAAGCTGCCACGGAGAAGATTCAAGAAATGACAGATCGAGTCCACATCCTGGTCTGCAACGCAGGTGAGAGAGTGTCTCTTTTTCCTTCCACTTACCGTTTCAGTGATATCTCACACAAACATGAAGCTCTCGGTGTCCCCAATGAATACACCCGCTCGCCACAGAATATCGAGGGTGTCTTCGCGGCAAACTGCGTCGGCCACCAAGTTCTGACTACGTTGCTCATGCCTCTGTTGAAGCATGGCGTGGTAACAATACGCAACGGCGATGTCCGGATCGTGGTCGCCAGTTCGTCTTTGCACTTGACATGCCAGGAGCTTGATCTCGATCTTTTGACTTCGTCCTGCCGCATCAAATGGCCCGTCTTGTACGATGGAGTTTGGCGATATGGCCGGTCAAAGCTCGGTAATATTCTGTTTGCAAAAGAGCTTAGTCGTCGGCTTTTGAATGATCGAGATCCGGCTAGTAAGCATATCTATGTCAATTCTTTCTTCCCCGGAAATATTGTCACTGATCAATGGCTTGACTGGTCTTCTTATTTTGGGTCGTTCCTCGGTTGGCTTATGAGATTGGGAGGCTCGTCTTGGGGCCAGACGTTGGAGGACGGGGCTGCGACAGCGTTGTATCTTGCTGCTGCCACTGAAGTGAGAGAGGAGAATATACGTGGTCAGTACTTTATACCTATCGCTACGCTGTGTGAGCCCAGTTCGATTGCTGGCGATATGAAGGTTTCAAGGGATCTCTGGGTGAGTATCTCATCTTTCATTCCGATCTATCTGCATTTCAGGGCTCATCACCTGTAGGACTGGATTGATGCTCAGGCTACCGAGACACTTGGGTTGGACTGGGAATGGCAGAATTAGATCGAAACATAGGAGAATCGCTGAAGAACTCAATGCACTTTTGGTATCTGCCATATTAAATACAACGCAGAATCGATCTATTTACTGTTTTGGATCGAGACAATAGAGCAAAAGAGTGATTGGTCATAAACCCATTACTCATAGGCACATGCCAACCCAATCTTCCCAGCGACGCACTCCAGAGCCATATTCTTCCTGCGAGTCACCCTTGACGGCACCACCAACCACCTCGACCTTGACACCAACCTCATGTTCCAGCAGCTTGAAGCTGAAGGCTTCCTGGTCGTCATTGCCGAGGATTTCCTCATCGTCATCCAAGGAACTGTCCGCACTTGCATCCAAAAGACCCTTGTTCTTTGAATTGCGGATGCGGTCAATCTCAGCCTCCAGCTTCTCTTTTACCGAGCCAGGAGGAAGAGCCGTGAACAGATCCTGTTTGTTGGCGGCGACCAGGACAGGAATCTCGGTGGTCCGCTTGCTGGACGATCCATTCTTAGCACGCTTCTGGAGTACCAGAAGAACATCGTGAAGATAGGTCGCGGTGTCGCGAAGTGTGGTTTCGTCCACCAGGGCAGCGGTATCAACCATGAAGACTACACCCCGTAGCCGGGTCTTAATGTCCTTGGACTGAGCCATAGCCTGGAGCTCCGATAGCCCCTGCGAGGCACGGAGCTTGCCATGGCCAGGGGTATCCCTTACACGGTACTTGATCGGGTTTCGTGCAGCCTCCTTCAAGGAAGGATCGTTGACCGAACGGTACCGGTTGGAAGCAGTTGGAACATCGGGTGGCAGGCTAACAGTTACCAGAGTCGACTGTTGAGAGGTGTGGGTGGTTTGCGACTTCTTCGACGCGGGGGAAGACTTGGCCTCAAGCTATAGATTTATTAGCAAGGAGCCCCTTTGATTATCCCCGACATGATATTAGATATTGGATCTTACCAAGGTTGTGAAAGCAGTTTTGCCAGCTCCGCTGGGTCCTAGGAGTAGAAAGTTGCTCGAGGGCGGAGATGCAACCGCTTGGAAGAAGAACAGGTGCAATGTGATTGGGACACCGAAAGTGAAGAGAATGGCAATGGCAATGGCCACCAAGTTGCCATCGAATAGCAATGTGGCAATGCCTGTCACCGAATCCCAGCCTGCTTTGCTCGACATGGTTGAGACTGGAGAGTGTGCGCGGAGAAGAAGGCGTGGGCTGATGACGGAGAAGAGGTGGCCCGCACAGACCACCGGGACATGTATGAGACGCCCTTTGAAGGAAAGGAATGTCCACTTTGCATACCACAGGGAAATGAAGGGATGTGTGGTCTCTTTCCTCTGGGGAGATTCCTCTCTGGAAAGACATCTCTGTCAACCATCTCAGTATGCGAGTCCAACTTCCGGCAGTCGTGCTGTCATTTGCTGCCTTGGTCTGCGCCCAGATCAATGGCCTGAGTTTCGATGGCGGAGAAGTTGTGAGCCTTCTTTGGGGCTTGGATAGTGAAGAGCCTTCAAATTATGACTTCTATCTTTGCGCTGGCGACGAAACTACAGATTCATATGTACGTTGTTGGTTCGAGAGTTACGTTGGACACTTGCTCACCACTGTGTAGGATTCTCTATCCAAAGTCATTGAGAATGGCGCCTATTCTTCCGGGGATAGCGTCTCTTTCCGAGTCGACCAAAGTATTGGTGGGAACGACCCTGATGCATAGTAAGACGAATTCTCCCGTTGAGACATACCAAAAGGGTGAATTAACTGACCATCGCTCTCATGTTCAATCAGCTTCCTCAAAGTGGTTTCTACAGACTCTCAAGGGTACTGGTCCGGATTCACATCTCATTTCACCCTGCGAAACATGAAAGGCTCCTTTTCCCCCAAAGTCATGGACGCAATCAAGACAATGAAACTGAAGCCCCATACTGCAATCCCCTGGCCTATAGTCCAGGATGATCACCTACTCGAGGAGAAAGTTCCTCCAACCTTCAACATCTCGAGTCTAAGCGTTCCATCGACTGGGACCCTCTTGCAGTTCCCGACACCGACGGTGGACAGTGAAACTGACCACAATGAGTTGCGGAGACGACAAGTGATGGCGATCGGCGGTGTTGGAGCTGCCGCCGTTGCAGCCGCCGCTGTTGACCAGCACACTGTCCCATTCGGCGAGCAGACTGGCCTAACGAAGTATGCCCCCATGCCCAAGAGGGCTGGGTCAACTATTGCAACTAGATCAGCTACTCCTCAGTATCCGCCTTTCCCATTCTCAATTGCTACTGCCTATCTTGGGGCTCCAACAATTCAGTACACGGAAATGGCCTATGCTACGTGGACAGCAAACAGCATTGAGAACACGGTATGTTTGTCATTTTCTGTCTTATACTGGCGGCCCGAAAGCTAATCCCTCAACCCAGGCTGCTCCTGCTGCTCAGCCCACCTTAGACAAGAGAATGCAAAAATGGCTCGACCGCTGGAAGGACTGATTATCTCTTTACATCATAATCTTGATGAATATTGACCACCGGCGCTCACATCAGTGAGAAGATATTTGTGTGTTTGTGTTTTATGGCCCGTTGTCATGGTTTTGGCGTTTGTTGGCCAATTGGATGGCCTTGTATTGTTTGAACTTTTTGTGCTTATATCCCCAGCTATATATTGAAACAAATATCCAATACGAATGGGAACATCAGCATGCCTATTTCTATCCAATGCGGTTGAGCGCAAGAAATCTTTCGTCTCGGTTGTTCGTTGAATGCGTATAATCAATGATCGGACATGATGCTAATTATTTTCACTTCCACTCATCAAGTGCCGGCGTTAATGAGGGTGTTACCGGATGACTGACGATATCTTCAGGATGGAACGAAATGTTCTCCCGCATCGCCACATAATCGCTATCGGCATAGCCAAGCAGCGTTTCAATTTCTGTACTGCGGTGTCCCTTGATGTGCGCGATCTCGAGGCTTCCGTAGTTCACTAAAGCACGACCGACTTCCTTCGGCTCCTGGGCGTGGTGGTAGAAATCGCCATTCAGAGCGTCGGGGGATGGACGCTCTACAACAACTAGACGAACAGCCTCCTGTTGGCCGAAATGACCTTCAACTCCAACCACTCCGGCTGGGAGCAAATTTGCCTTATTCAAAAGGGCATTATAGGCTCCGTGGTCGATGAACAAAGTTCCGTGCGGGTAAAGCCCATGTAGCAGCCAGAAAGTTCGTGATTGAACCGGTGTATCAGACCGAAGGAATCGGGTATGGAGAGGGGCTGTTGGGGCATCTTGTTCATTTGCTGTGCCATTGGAGCGAGCTTCAACGTGTTGTAGATACTTCACAATCTCGTGGACGTTGCCTGGTTTCGAGCTCTTGGTGATGACGGTGGTGACACCAGCACTGGTTCCAAGTTTAGCAGCCACGATCTTCGTACTCATGCCTCCAGTTCCAAGAGAGGAGCCAGCTGATGAGACGTCGGCTTCAAGAGAGGCAATGTCGGACACAACTTCAATAGGTTTCGCGTCAGGATTAGTTCGTGGGTTTGCAGTATAAAGACAATCGACATCAGTCATCAAGAAAAGGTAGTCGGCTTTGACCATAGCCGCTGTAATCGCAGAAAGGGTATCGTTGTCGCCAAATTTAATTTCCTAGGAGCATTATCAGTAATTGACGACGAATGACAAGATTGGAGCTCTTACAGAAACAGCCAGGGTATCATTTTCGTTCACAATAGGAATGACTCCCATGTCGAACAACTGTCCAAAGGTATTTTGGGCGTTGACATATTGGGTCCTCTGGATTGAACGTCAGTGTTGCAAAGAAATATGAAGAAAGACACATACATCTGCAATATCATTTCTCGTCAGAAGAATTTGGGCTACAGGGACGCGGAGGTGCGAAAAGAGGTTGTCCCACAGACTCATCAGTCGACATTGGCCAACTGCAGCGAGTGCCTGAAAGAGGTGGTTAGCTTCAACATGGAACACATGTCGGAATGGTGCGCTAATCCACGGCCCAGTGTCTCATACCTGTATCCGTGGAAGATATGTTGGTCTTTCGTCGACATCCATCCTGCGGAGACCAACCCCCACTGCGCCAGACGATACAAGGACAACTCGGTGGCCTTCCTTGTGTAGCCTTGCAACCGTTTCAACAATCAAGGTTAAAATTGACAAAATTGGTTCGTGTGTCTTTTCGTCGACGATTGAACTCGTCCCTATAATAAGAACCAAAGCTGTCAGTATGGCGGTTCGAGTCATCGCGCATGTATAGATTCCCCGCACCGAGTTTAATCACAATTGTCAGGCTTGATGTTGCTGCCATAATGTCAGATCCAGTCGATCCAAATGGATCTTGCAGTCAATCAAGATGAGAAACAAAAGGAGTACACAGAATCCTTGTTGACTGCCTGTGGCAATTGTCCGCGGAGGAGTCACTTTTTGCCCGAAGCCGGATGATTCTGCCACTAACCACCGCTCGCTGCGGAGGTTCTTCCTGTACTGCGCGCGACCATCTAACAAACCAAAGTCAGAATTCACGATGACAGACTCCCAAACGCCAGGTGCGTCTGCGCCTACAAAGGAAAAGCCCGATACGACAGGGTTCATCCCCGGTGATGACACATGGACCCAATTCCGCAACATCTATTCCATCCTCACCGGCAAGATGTCCAACGAAGGCATCGAGAAGTTCCGTGTCGCGCGAGATACCCGAAATGAAGCCGCAGATTGTAAGCGTTGTGAAGAGCAGCGCGATTATCTTCTCCAATACAGTGCGTTGTTTGCTGAGACTTGAACCGGGGCTGTAAACTTACATGATCAATGCGCAGGTCCTACTATCCGTTTCCTTAGTGAAAGCATTCAACAATTAGGAGGTGATCTCCATAATCACAATATCTATTGCCGCCGCTGTACGGATCGAAAGGGCGGTGGTTTCGACCCCGAGTATGGGATTTTGATTTGCGCGAATGAGATGAAGGACCAGGGACATCTCGAGGACACAATGGCCCATGAGATGGTTCATGCCTTTGACCACCTGCGGTTCAAGGTCAATTGGTCCAATAATCTGCGACACGCAGCCTGTACCGAGGTATATACTACTTTGTCTTTGCTCTACTGGGTTACGGCAGCTAACTTTATCTAGATTCGGGCTAGTTCGCTCAGCGGCGAATGCAGATGGGCGCGCGAGTTCTTCAGGAGAGGACAGTGGAAACTTACACAACAGCATCAAGAGTGTGTCCGCAGACGAGCTATTCTCTCTGTGAAGGCTCGCCCGACCTGCAAAGACGAGGCCCATGCTGAGAGGGTTGTCAATGAAGTCTGGGACAGCTGCTTCAGGGACACCAGACCTTTTGATGAAATCTACCGATGATACCACTCCCTTCTTTGACAATCCGCCCTATAAATTCTCCACCCTTGTATCATAGATATGTATGTTTGAATGTACCATATTTCATTGGCGATGTTGAAAACAAAATAAAACAGCAACATATCGCCGTATCATGTAAAACACTCTCTCCTAACTAGACTCCAGAAACAAACCAGCGCGCCCAAAAATGCTAAACAGACTAGAAGCTCCAAAGACTCCATCCACATGGGGGCAGAAAAAAAAAGACAAAAAGGACACCAAAACACCCCAAGACCTGTCATGTAGGGATCATTCATGCTTTCTCGGCCTTAGAGGAACCAGAGGTCCGTTTCACAGGCTGCTCATCCTTTGCACAGTGCTTGACAATCCAAGGGTGACGCTGGATCTCATCGAGAGGAATTCGCTTCGCAGGGTCAAGGACCAGCAACTATAAAGTATTAACAAAAGAAGCACGTATGCAAAAGACGATTAAGCTTACTTTCTTGATGAGGTCTTTTGCCTCAGGGCTCACGAATGATGGGACCGACATATCTGCCCGGCTAATTCTCCGTTGGGTCATGATGGGAGTATCCTCAAATGGTGCCTCGCCAACCAAGAACTCGTAGGTCAAAACACCCAAACTCCACAGGTCAATTTTCTCGCTGTAGTAGTTGGTCTGGGAGCCACTGTGCAGCATCTCTGGGGGCAGATAGTCGAGAGTTCCGCACATCGTCTGACGTCGGTTGTTGGGGGCGTGTACACTCCATCCAAAGTCACTGATTTTGATCTCTCCGTGAATGCCAACAAGAATATTCTCAGGCTTGATATCACGGTGCATAACATGCTTCTTGTGGAGATATTTCAGTGCCGCAGCCATTTGAGCTATGTATTGGGCAGCCTTCCACTCTGGGAATCGGTGCTCCTTGCGAAGATGCTTGTAAAGCTCTCCACGACCGGCAAACTCGAGAATCAAAAAGATACGCTTGCTGTCATGGAAGTGACCATAGAGTCTTAGAACATTCGGGTGTCGTAGGTTACTTTGGATCTCGATTTCACGGCGAACTTGCTTCTGGACTCCACCCTGTTGAAGTTCGGACTTGTGCAGCACCTTCAGTGCACACACAAAGCCGGATGAACGTTCCTTGGCCAGATAAACTCGTCCGAACTTTCCCTTTCCAAGAGGTTTGCCGATTTCGAACATCCCCAGATGCAGTTCCCTCGGTATAGAGGGCTGTTCATGAAGAGAAGGGGTGCGCTTCTCACCATTTTCGTCGGTGTTTCGGGAGACTAACGTTCCATGACCCTTGCCCGGCGACGGAGGAACATTCATAGCATTGACCTTGTTGTCATTGTTGTTTTGAAGGGCCAACTTGAGCAATTGTGCTCGGTTTGAGTTGCTGTTTGTCTGTGAGACGCCTGCCGAGGCAGAGCCCTGAACCAATATCAGCAACTTAATTCGCACACAGCGGACACGTTCAAATACCTTCTTTCCATAGCTCCTTTCATTGCTTCCCTCTTTCTCGTCTTTGACAGACAAATGCTCAAAGCGAGATTCAAGCGTCTTAGTCGCCATGGTGAGACTCGGCTGTGGGGGAAATCAAAGTAGAAGGACAGGCAATGCAAGAGCAAAATAAGAATTCGATAAAGGGATAAAAGCTGGATAATGTTAGTATAAGGCGGTCATGGTCTTGTTGTCGTTTGGTGTTGGTCGATGGAAAGAGATCGCAAAGATCGAGAGAGAGACAAAGCTCGGGTGTTTGGGGAATCCCAAGCGCGTCTCCGAGGCAACCTGTTGCTTATGTCATCATGTCGTCTTTGTACGAGTCACCGCCTTCCTTTCCGCTTTGAGGGCCAGAATGCATTGAATAACATTCACAAAGCTGCTATACCTTCAACTAAAATGACGTAGGTTCAATGATCATGTTTGTATCACTTATATCACAGACTATATGTGTTTTACACCTCACCTTATAGCATACTGCACCGTCGCAGTCACCAGCTTATTCTGCCGGACAAAACACCTCGGGCTGTCGGTCCGCCTCTTTCTCCGTCCGCGGGGTTATCGCTATCAGCTCCGAGCGCAAACGTTTATAGATCTCAGGTCCATTTTCTCGTCTTGGTCGTACTTGCTAGCTGCAATAGCTGTGGATATCACCCACAATGGCTACAACACAGGCAACAGTGTCTCCAGAGGCGAAGAAGCCCAACACGATTCGCATCAATGGATTCCTGATCTCAACACAAAAGCTACCCATCCTCAAAGCCAACCCGATTGAGGGAATGACCCAAAAGTTGGGGATCACACCCCCAGAAATGATATTTGGTGACAACTATGTTGCAATCGAGTCAGAGAAGGGTGATTGGGGCATTAACTTCAATGCGTTTGATGCCTTGGATCTGGTGGACAAGACCGGTCAATCTATGCTTCAGGTCGCATACTCAAGAGAATGGCAAAAGAGCAGGTACTGGCATCTAATATCCATCCCCATACATTGCTTTATCTATACTAATATTTCTCGATTTACAGAGAGAAAACACATGAAGGCATCAAAGAAGTCGTGAAGCCATTCGACTGGTCCTATAGTACTGATTACAAGGGTACTCTTCATCCCAATGCGCGCTCATTCGAAGAAACAACGAAACCAATTCCGATCGAATTATTGAAACGTCCAGATCCCATCGTATTTTTCGACGAGGTTGTGCTTTACGAGGATGAACTGGCCGATAATGGAATTGCGATGTTATCTTGCAAAATCCGAGTGATGCCCGGAAGACTGCTTCTGCTGTCAAGGCTATTTATGAGACTTGATAACGTCTTGATCCGACTTCGAGATACCCGAGTCTACGTAGACTTTGAAACCCGTGAGGTGATTAGAGAATATTTATCCAAGGAGTGTGATTATGGAAAAGTCCGCGAGGTATGTAATGTTCTGTAGTTTTTATTGAAGGTCCGCTAACTTTTAAATCACACATAGATGCTGGCGGCCACCAGGGACGATATCCCAGCATTTTTGAGAGATGCCAACCGACTTTCAGAGATTCTCCCTGTTGTTGAACATCGCACTGAACGAGTGGATCTCAGTGTATGAGGATCTACAACTTGCCTTTTCATGGCATGTCCTAGCCCTGATTTTCACTATGTGTATCACCTTGCCTTTTGATTTCAAGACCTTGGGGTTTTGTATCGGTATCCAGATCAGAGCTACATTGATCAAGCATATTGTAACTTGTGGTATCTGGGCAAAAAAAATCTAAAACAGTCCAATACTCCAAATAGGGCCAATCAATCAAAGTTCAATGAACCTGTTGCAGCCTGATCAGTATCGTAATGGCTATGCAGGCGCTTCTATCCACTTGAACTAGGACCTTAGCCGTACGCCTGATAATATCAAATACAGAAAATGAGCTGGCTCCCGTAGTGAGATAGAGGGTACCAGCCCTACAAATATGCCCAATTCCATACCCAAAACATAGGAAAACCTGGTGCCGAAGGCAGCCAGGTACAAACTGAAAGCGCAGATACACCATCTGCCATTCCCCTGTCCCTATTCCTCACTTAAATGGAGGTGCAGTACTGCAAAATACTTAATGATCAAAACCATCGATAAGACGTAAATATTACAAGAGATATTACAATACTGATTGAGTCAAATACTTGAAATTATGCTTAGGCCTGCCTGCTTCTAAAGAGTGTGAACTTTTCACCCTAGAGAGAACATATACAAGCCACGAAGGGCAACGCCCTATTTACAACATTGGATGTTATCCGCATTGTAAGAGAGAGCAATTAATGCATCCACTTAGAAAGCTCTGATGAATGAGCGCCCTTGACTGTAGGTTGGCCTCGAGTATCAAATTGTATATCCAAACAAACAGTGCAAACAGCCCATTTATCAAAAAAAGATGCAAGTCGCCAATCACGATAGACCGATTCACCTCAATCATCAACTATGTCATCCAGGAGATTGTCAACACTATGGGCGCGCGAAATGCGCGGCTCTCGGTCATCTTTCATGTCCCAATGTGCTCGTAGCACCACCTCAACAACGCCGCTGGCATCCGCCACATGCCCGTCTACGCGATCAACCCGGCAGTCCTCATTGCACCCGACTGTCGCCATTCGATCGTATTCGCAGGGCAAGGTCGCTGACATGGCCAAGAACTTCTCCCGTCGACCTGGAACTGCCGCTGAAACCTATGTCGCATATGGCATGACCCAGAAGCTATTCGAGGCTTGCTCTAGCCAAGCGGACTACAAAATCCCTCAAGCATCGCAGAAAGGTGTCGAGGTTCCTAAGACGGAAGCTGGGGAGGATCTTGGTGTTGGAGAGGGCTGGTGGTATAAAGGTAAGCTTGGCCCTTTTTTTCGTGGCCTGGGACCCTGGCAATCTTTTGGATACCAACTAATCGTGCACATTACTGCAGAACTCGGCCTTAAGCCAACTTTCTCTACGTGGTCTCAGGTGACTTTCCTCCACATGTACCTTTTGACTGTCCGTCTTCGTGCCCTTCCCCACCGCGAAAGCGTTACCACCTACTCTCGTCATTTGATCGACCACTTTTCGCACGAGGCTGAACACCGAATGGACGTGTACCATGACCTGGGAAGCCGCACGATCCGTAACAAGTACTTGAAGGATCTTTTCATTCAATGGCGTGGAATCATTGCTGCATATGATGAGGGATTGGCCAAGGGTGATGCGGTTCTCGGTGCCGCTGTCTGGAGAAACCTCTGGAAGGGCAGCCAGACTGGACCCGATGGCGAAGAGATTGACTGGGCTAAGGTTGCCCAGGTGGTCGTATACATTAGGCGAGTCTTGTCGGAGCTTGCAAAGAAAGACGAGGTCGATATTGTTTTTGCCATTGGAAGCGCCGACAAGAAGACCCATGGTATTTTCGGGTACTCCGAGGCGGACAAGAAGCTTGTCGAGTCAAGCAAATAATATGGATAGTAACTGAGACGGAGCGAAATCCTGACTGGCGTTTTTGAGGCATTTGTTTGATGTCTACGTATGGTGGATTTTCACATGGAACTTCGAAATATGTACAATACTAATTGCCCTACTCTTCTTTGCATATGAAATTATTTATGGTGTTCACATCTTCATTTCTGGTACAGAACCGACTGAACTAAGTCAAAATTTAGTTTTCTTTCTTGCCGAAGAGGTCTTTTTCCACCATGCCGCGACAGATAGGGTGGTAGAAGTCCTTGTACTTCTCGAAAGTTTCGAGGGCAACAGGGCGGTTGATCTTTTGAAGATTGCGGAAGCTAAGAGAGTTGTCAGTATTACAAGCATTTTGAACTTAGATGGGGGAGGTCTTACAGAGGTCGAACAAACTTCATGCGTCCAATGCGGCCAAGCAACTCAGTGGTCGGCTCAATGACGCTGTCATCGCCGGCCTTCATGCCAACCTGCAAATAGAGGTTGGAAACCTCAATGTTCTCACTCTTGGACAACCCGTAGACATCACCCATCAACTTCGAGATCTCCGGAGTGAGTGGCTTCTCCAGCAAGAGCATCTGTTCAAGGAAGACAACCAATTGGTTTGCGGTCAGGCCCTTGATATCACTGGCTTGAGGCTTGAAGGACGATCCAGGAAGGGACTGCCATTTCTTGGAAAGCTCATAGACAACATCCACAAGCGACGTGTCAAAGCTTGGTTTGGGCGGCAAGCCTGGTGCATAGAACCACTTGTCCCAGTCTATGTCGTTCAAGAGCTTGGATGCCTCGGCATCTGACGCAAAGAAATCCAAGATCGTGGCCTTGAACTCATAGGAGTCCAGGGATTTGCACTTGAATGTCGTAAAGTACTGGGAACAAGGCTTAATAAGGATCGAAAAACGCAAAAAGGGGGTCAACATACGTGAGGAATAAATTTGTCGAATTTGGGCTTTCCAACAAGGTTCTCAAGGTAGAACAGGAAGTTGAAGCCCTTCTCGTAAGGGATACTGGAGAATGCGTCATCAGGGTCCTTACCCTTCAGATCCACGATAAGTTTAGTGAACTCGTGATCATTGCCAAAGTGCTCGACAGCATCAGTCAGAGACTTCCATCCAATGATGGCTGAGAAGTGACGATAGGCTTCGCCGTGGCTGCGAAAGTTAGCGTACCATTTAAATGAAATAAAGCCGTGAAGACGTACACAGCAGCCAGAATCTATTAAGTAGTTAGTAACACGCACACAGAAAGGTTTCAGTGTGACTTACTCTTCTCTCCAGATAAACAGTCCAACCTTCGTTCAGCCAGAAGTGCTCCCAAGAGGCATTGGTGACAAGGTTGCCACTCCAACTGTGAGCCAGTTCGTGCGCGATAACATCGATATTCTCACGATCCTGGGTTTCTCAGTTTCCTGTCATCAAAGACTATACTGTGAGATGAGATAAGACATACCTTGGAGATGATGCTTGGAGTAGCGAAAGTGAAGATAGGGTTCTCCATGCCACCATAAGGGAAACTGGGCGGTAAGATCAAGACATTGTACTCGCCCCAGGCGTAGGGATAGACAATTTTCTACGGCATATCAGTATTCGATCAGGTCAAGAAGGATTCCTTCCGTTTTCTTTACCTCGATTGTGGTGATGAAGTTCTCGGTATCAGCTTCGAGCTCCCATTTACATTCATCCAGCTTGTCAGGGCTGGTAGCAACAACACTCCGGGGTCCAATTGAAGCCTCTGCGACGTCTCTTTAGACTTCAAGTCAGTAGATATAAGGGATTTGGAGCGCCACAGGGACTTTCTTACCCACTGGCAATAGCGAAGAGATAGCTGGGAATTGGCACCGACTGGTGGAATCGATACAGCTGATGCTCAGACTTGGTCTCTGAGGATTTTCGAATGGGCAGACCACTGGTCATGACCGGAAGAGGGGAAGTGATATTAAAATCAAAGGTGCTCTTCACATCCGGGGTATCCTGACAAGGGAAGATAGACCGGGCATGGATTGCCTGGCATTGCGAGACTAGGACGCGATATTGTCAGTACAGTTGCAGAGCATTGCTACTGAAAGATAACCTACACATGTACGGATGCTTCTTGTTTGAGGTTTGCGCCGGAGTCAACCATTGCAGTGCTGTGCACTTGTCGGTGGTTTGCACGGCAATCTATGCTTGAATGAGATGGAACTCCTTATAAACCTGAGACAATGGGGAGTCAAACATACATCGACCTCAACGGTGCCATCCAATTCAACCCCTTGCTCAAGAGTGATTTTCAAGGGAACCCCATAGGGTTCCAGTGGGGGTAGCAACTCCCATTTGGATGGCTGGCCATTGACCTTCACAGTACCAATGTCAAGATAACTAGTATCTAGAATGATCTCACGAGACTCGGCATTGGTGATGGACTTGAACTGATGAACGACATTGCCCACCAGCTTCTTCTGGTCGAACAGAATATCGAAATTGGCGGTGATGTGGGTAGACCGCCAATTGTTGTAGTTACTCACGGTATTCGGATCCCGCGGATTGGTGACCATCTTGCGGGCTTGGTTGAAGCGCACAGTGATATGCGCTGAACGTAACGAAGAGAAATTGAAGCTCCGGAGAGAAGGCGATTTCCACAAAGTCATGAGGTTGTGGGAGGGGGGGAGGGGAGGGTTTTTTTTTCTGTTTTCCGTTGCTAAGCGGGACACTATTTACACCTCAGAAGGGAACATGAGACAGTTCGAGTAGCGACTGACGTTATAGAGTAGACAGTGGACATGAGAGAGCAGAGAGTAGAGGAGAATAGGGTCCAATTGACTTTGTTATAGATCCCATCCTGGTTCATCCTTTTATCCCTGTGCGATGTGTTATACCAGCTAGGGAGACACCCCTTTTCTCAGTCTCGCTATTGATTTCGCGTGTTTGTCTGTTCTCTGTTCATCGGGTTCATTTATTCATCTCCTCGTCTATTCACTGAGTCCTCTTTGCCCCTATCTGCTCATCTTGTGCCCATCGCAACCGTCCTCTCTTGATTTCCCTCCCATTCGCCCACCGCCCCACGACACCGCCCCTGAATGTGGATGGGTTCCCCTGACCTCAGACAACCCCAGAGCGCATTTGCTTGCTATTCTTAGGCTGTTGCAGTGTAAGAGCTTTGCGATCTGGACTTTGTCGTGCGGTGCTCCACTTAATACTCCATCTGTGAGTGCTATTTCCCCATATGTTCTCCCCCTCATATCTGATCGGAAGTGTACTAGGTTCAATTGCATGAAACCATGTCTCCCTCTCAAGCGATTGTCTTGCTATAAATCGACCCGATCATAAGATTTACGAAATGTGTTAAGACAAGGGGTTCGAACAAGGATCTTCACGAAGCATACGATCACTTCAGCACTTCCCGAAGAATGAGTGAAGACACCCAACACACGGTTCCCTATACCCAATTCTTCTACCAACTACGATTTGCCAACTGCGCATAGCCTCGAGAGGAAGCAACTGCTTGTGCTGTTATATCCGATCTTCCGCGCTATAATATTCAAACTTGATCGCTCGTTGAGAATATCTACCTTGATACCGCTATCGCTTTGCGAAAATGATTCACCACTCAGCCATGGAGGATGACCCCCATTCGTCTTATCCGCGGCATCCAGCGGGGCCCCTCTCATCGGAACTACCCCCGGCACCGCCTCCAAACAGGTCATCCTCTCGTTCGTCTCGGCCCGGCTCTCGGACTCGAATGGTGAAACCATCAGGCGCAGTGACCCCAACTGGCCTGGGAGTGCTCACAGAGAACGTCGCAAACTTTCCTCCGGAGGGCCTTGGTCCTACCAGCCCTATCAAAGAAGGGCTGGGTAGTTTGAATCGTTGGTCACAGTCTACAGCATCTAGCAAGAGCCCGTCAGAATATACCGGTCATCGCCGCGGGAGCTCAAAGATATCTATCTCCGGCTACAGCCGCCACAGTCCCCAGCGTGTCCCCGTGGCAAATGGGCTTCCAATGCTCAACCTCCCAGCGCTTGAGAAATCTCCCATATTCAATGCGGACTCAACATCATCACAACTTGGTTCTTCTATCACAGCCTCGGATAATCTTTTTCAGCCCTCCATCGAATCGACATATGCTTATCAAGTCCCGCAAGATCATGTGGCGCAAAATAGCGGGGACACCATTCCTTTCAATGACTTGGAGGGGGATCCAGAGATCCGACAGCACGGTCAAACCCAAAAAGCGATGCTTTCAAAGGCACTTCAGAAAGCAAACACGGCGGTTCTTCTTGACAATGCTGCCAATTTCGAGGGCGCCATGGATGCTTACTCCGACGCTTGCAATCTATTGCAGCTTGTCATGCTCCGTAGCAATGGGGGCGACGAAGAAAAGCTCAAACTACAAGAAATTCGCGACACTTATATGATACGAGTAACGGAACTCCAGCGTATGGATTTCCCCCTCCCTGAGAGCGATGATAAGGCTCTCCCTGAGCGTCCCCCCAGTCAAGAGTCGTACGGAGAGTTGCTTCATTCGGTAAACGATGATTCTCAGGTCGACAGCCAGCAGAGTTCCGCACATTCTAGCTTCGGGCTCCACCACCAGCTATCGTTGGAAGAGACCAAGGGCTTTCCCATAGAAGCACTCCCTCCACGGCGCCAATCTCTCAAACCCTCCGCGATGGAAGATCAACTCGGATCTCTGACGCTACCCGTGATAAATCAAGAAACCAACGAATCTACTTCGTGGCTAGACACGATTGACGAATCAGGCGCCTCGTCACCATCATCTACGAACTCAAAAGCGTCATCAGTCTATCTTCGTCGTCGGACCAGCCGCCGTCTCAGCAATGATACCGAAGCTGAATTTGACGCTGCTCTCGATGCAGCTGTCGAAGCTGCGTATGATGATGGTCTGGAGCCAGTGATAGAATACAATGAAGATGAGAGTGGTGATAATGATGTGGTTGCGAATGCACGCCGGAACATTGAGTTGGCGAAGCAAAGGGTAAGAGAGGCAGAAAGAGAGGCAGAGGCAATGAACCGTGATCGCGAATTACGTCGACTTCAGGACCAGACCGTTGATCCCACTGCCCGCATTTCGGACTACCTGGACGACGAAGCAGAAGAAGAAGAGCGCTTGTTGGAGGAAATGACCAAGGGCTACGTAATGGATGACTTCGAATTCGGAATATCATCCAAGTCGGCTCTTCCGCGAGAATCGGGTTCGAGCAATGTGTCTGGGAGAACATGGGAAAGCTCTGCAACGTCCAATGTCGCAAGCACAGGTGCGGCATTGTCGACTCTTGCGGAAGATGACGTTCTGCCGTTAGACGACCATATCATTCCACCACATGTCTTTCCCTCTTTGCCTCCATCTTCTGCCTTGCCGCCTCTTCCAGTGTCGTCTGATTTCCCTGCCCCCAAGCGGACTTCGATGTCCAACCGTTCTGGCTCTATCAGTTCAATTGCCGGTCAAGGAGTTCGTGCCCGGAGACTATCTAACCTGAACACCCGCGAGCTCACAATTGAGACAAATTCCCGCTCCCGAGCCGATTCTAATACGTCTGGTCTAGAAGGCTTTGCAACCCCAATGACCAGCCGCCCACCTGTACCATTGCCCAAGGATGAGCCTACTGCAGATCCTGCCCGCGCTTCTACTCCAAGTTCCCGTTCCACTTTACATCCTACACAGCGCAATCCGTCGGTGGGTTCGTTCATAGAAAATGTCACTCTCGCTCAAACCCGCACTCATGAAGATGATGAGGCTGAACTCCCGCCATTACCACTATCCGCGCGGCCTATGGGTAAAGTACCTTCGGCTCCAGATGGCTTGGATAAAGTACTTTCCGGTACGAAACCCTTCCGGGCTCGAAACGCCTCAGTTCCAATTCAGATTTCCGATACTGCACCAGAATCTCCAAGCACGCCATGGAGTGGTGCATTCCCATCCCTGGATACCCAGAAGGCTGTAATGGCTGGCAGCATTCCCATTATGCCTACTCCGACCCTCGCCAACTTTAACTTCAATCAGAATGGCTTGCCAACTAGCGGGATGAACCTATTTGACAGTAATATTCACTCTCCTACTGCTCTCGGACGTCCAAACTCACTGGTTTTGAACGCACCACTTCCTCTGGAACCTTGTCCGGAGTCTTTCCTCCTCCGCCCATTTTGGTTGATGAGGTGTCTCTACCAAACGCTCGCTCATCCCCATGGTGGCTATCTTTCGGAGAAGCTCTTTATTCCACGAGATGTCTGGCGTGTTAAGAATGTCAAACTCAAGGCTCTCGAAGACAAAGTGTCCAACTGTGATCTTTTGACAGCTGCTCTGCTCAAGTTGGCCCAGGTCGATACGTATGACGCAGATGCAGTCTTGGAGGAGATGCAGTCGTTTGAAAGTGTTCTTGACCAAGTTCAGGCCTTTTTGTCTAAAAAGCTAGGCAATGAGGTTGGTGTGCAGGCCTCGATGCCACTGTTCAAGCCTGCTTCAACCCCCGATGAGCCTGCTCCTGTTGAAAGCGCGCCTAATAAATCATACCTGACTTGGAAAAGAATCAGAGCAAAAACCTCTGGGCTGGGGACAACTACTCCAACGCCGAGTGCACGTGAAAGCAATAAAGACAATCTGACCCTCAACTCTGTTCCTATGACATCCGTTCATGGAACGCGTGCAAAGCGCAATGTGACCCAGCTTGAGTTCTCTGGGCCCAATGCAAACTATATGGGGGCATTGGCGCGACTATTCGATGCTGCTCAAGTGCTAGGTAAGGAATATTGCGGCATATTGAACCTAAATCATGCTAACATGCCAAACAGAGCAAATTGCCCATCAAGTTGAAGATCCTGGCCTTAAACACTCGTCTCCTACCCATGTTGGCCTGGAGCTCAGCACACGACATGCTGCTGAATTTTTTGGCTTTTATATTTGTCGGTTTGCACTAGCTGACGTGAGCTTAATGCTTGATAAATTCATTAAGCGTGGCAGCGAGTGGGTACTGGTCTAGGAAGTATATGAGGCCATACGATCATCATCACCCTTTGGGCGATTCAATGCCCAGGGGTTACTGCATTCTTGTTTTTTTTTTATGTCCATATTTTTGATGTTTATATTGATCTCCCCATGTTTTTGAGATACCATGATGTTAACCCGTGAAATATTTGATGATTTAAAGAACATAATTGTCATGAAAGGGGAATGTATGTATTGCTGTTTGATCTGTTCTTTTACTCATATAAACTGCTTTCCTGTTTCCTTCCATTGCTGATCTACTTTCCCTGGGTTGGTTCAATTCATCGAAAATCCGATTGTTTTCACATATCAAATAGATAGAAGCATATAACGTGAACGCATACCCAAAAAATGACAATCCTTTTAGTTCGCAGTCAACCTTTATCTCCATGCCAGGGGTTCATCATCTCCTCATGTACAATATAAGATACATATGGACCCAGACATGCGTTAACTTGGTGCAGAATCAAAGACACATACCGGCGGACCGAAGACAAATCTGCCTTCGTCTCTCGGCATCTCGGATTATATCAGCAGACAGTTTCAAACTCGGCGCTAAATGTGCATATCTCTCTACCTCACCTACAACACCCGCGATGATGAAATCCATTCTTGGTGCAGGTGGAAGTAGAGTGGAGAGGGACGGAGACATAGTGGCACCCATGATCAACAGGGTCTGTGATACCATTGATAGCGCACCCTGCCATAGGTATGGTAGGTGGCCCTCGCGGTGACTGGTAATGTGCTCCAGTTGGCGAAGAGTAGCATCCAAGCATCGCCGGCAACACTCTCTCACCCCGGAATCCGCCCCTGCTTGTTCGTTCTCAAAGACCGCCAAGATATAAGGACGGTAGATTATTGTACGGCATGCGTTGTAGCGAAGCCTCAGCACTGTTTGGACCGGGTTGGAAAGAGGTGCCTGTGTAAGAGGGAACTGCACGGGACCGGGCAGGCTCTCGTACCATTGCGACAGCTGGAAATCGAGCTCGGAGACAATTGGGCCAAGGGATGAAAGAGTATGTGTGCGGTCTTTTTGGTAGATGATATGGCTGACGCGATTTAGGAGTCTTCGCAGCGCGATCTCTGCCAGAAAGTACCAAAGCTGCTCACGCCCGGCAGCTTCCTCCCTAAACCTGCTCATCCGACTTTCTTTGCCTTGGTCTGTGTCGCCATCCTCTTCGTCATCTTCATCCTCTGCATCTTCATCTTCGAATCCTCCGGGGAGGTCCACACGCTCCTCGAAATGAACGATACCAGAGTGTGGAAGGTCCAATTCTGCGAGAAGGTCACTTTCAAACAATAGGGCATTCCAATACACTCTGACACTCAGCTCCCTCCATTGGTTAGGGATTCGGTTGGGACTGCCAAATAACAGCTGCAGTTTCATGCTAACATTTGACAGCAGAGTCCAGGCCTCCAAAGGCCGCACAAGGTAGAACAAGTAGGCAGATGTTAAGACCATGCACTGTGTTGAAAACACAGTGTTTCGCATCATGACCGATGGCAACAGGCTCCATGCGGCTGCAAAATAGGGCAGTCCTGGTGGCTCACGATCTGGTGGGACGAACGAGATACTACCACTATGGCTGGCACATCCTAGGGCTAAGACCAGCAAGACAAGGCAGCTCATCGGTCCTTCTTGAAAGCCTTGTGCGAGAGCAGTCTGATAATATCGATTCCATGTAAAAGGATTCACACATGAATACCAAACATTGCCATGGTTGAAAAAGGCCTGGGCATATGTGGATGCATTCGTCAAATCGAACCCTGAGTTTGGTGTCATCCGCAGTGGCTCGCGAGCCATTTCTAGCTGTAGTAAGTGCTGTGGATCATAAGCCACAGATACCAAGTCCCGAATCAATGGCCATTGCAGAAGATGCAGAGCTGGAGTAGTGTGCATTTTGGGCATCGTAGAAATACTAGTACTGGCTGGTGGGTTGACCCAGGACCCGAGTCCAACAGCGGACAATCTACCAGGCACCTGCAGTCCACCAGACATCCTAGCTGATGTTTCCTCACTGCCAAGATTGGTGTCATTGCTGGTGGCCGGGGAAGTCGAAGACAAAGCGAGGTGAGATCCTTGACCTGCCAAGCTTGAATGCAGGAGTCCCTCTATTCTAGCCAAATGATCTAGAATGAGCTTGTCGCCGGCATCTAGTTTGATGCCAGGTTCTCGGTAGACACATTCTGCGTTCAAATCTGAGCAGAGTTGACACTTAGGACGAGCCCCATTGCACCGAGTCTTGCGCAGCCGACATATTTGACACTATATTGCCCCGATTTAGTCGGATTGCCCTGTATTCCACAAGGTCAAAGGGACTTACAGCTATGGTTGCCCGTCGTCGGGGGTATTCAGCGGTCTCGGAGCTGGAGCGCTTTTTCTTGCCCAGGGAAGTATCACTGGCTGTGAAATCTGCCCCAAGGTCTGCACCAAGGTCTGCCTCCTTCTCTGAAGGGATTTCCATGGTAGGAAATATTGGAGAACGTCGCTTGTTTCTTGGATTGTAGTCTAATATATACCACTCCAAACCGATATGGCGGGGTGGTTGAGTGGGAGCATCAGACCATAGTGAACAATACAAAATCTAGAGTTTAAGAAGGGCAAAGATTGTAGGAAGGCAGTGCAAAGTCTCAGAATAAAAGGTCCCAATGGCTTTTTCGGATTGAGCCGGGCATTATAGATTGCGTAGGGCTGCTTTCATGAAATGTCTAAGATAGCTCGACTAACTCGACACGGGGCGGTTCCGTGACCGGGTAAGCATGTCCAATGCAGTGACATGGGACGAACAGAAAGACATCGGTCAAGGCAAAAAATAGAACAGAGCAACAAACCCAATGGTGCTTGAGTAGTCAGTAGTGAGGTGAAGTTGTTAAGGTGAAGTCAGTTGATGTTGAAGTTGTGTAGAAAGATAGTTTTAGTCCACGTGCACGCGTCCCAAACAACGCGTCTCTCTTTCAACTTCACACTTTCTTCTCGACTCAACCTCATATTGAATATCATGCCGCGCCCTGCCCCAAAACGAAGCCGCACGAAAGGCCAGCCAGTCAAAAAGGCGGAAGAACCAACGCGACAGAATGACTCTGTATCTCAGTCCCCCGCGCAACCTGAACGCGGCTCAGTCCTGGATCCACGACAGACATTGCGCAGCCAAACACCTTTGACCAAGAGTTATGAACAGGCGATTGAGTCTTCTCCCACCGGGGACCGAACAGGCACAGGTAGTCGACCTGGAACTGGCAGTCGCCCTCCTACAAGGTCGCGCGGTTATTCCTCAACGCTATCCTTCGCTGGGCGCAAAGGCGACACAAGCTCCCGAGTCCCCGGCACACCTGGCTTCGAAAGCTCCGTGCTGAGTAACTTCAGACGACGGCCGCGACAGCAGAGTATCCTGCAGATGATGCAGGCTGAAGATGGCTCTTCTGAATTGGACGACGATGACTTCCTTGGTGGGCTCAGTCCTGACGATGAATCTACGCCGCTCAACCTTCCCAGAGGAAAGTCAATCCTGATAAACCCCCCCGAAGACTCGCCAACACGATTCGAATCTCCACTTTCCTCGCCCGAGGGGTCGCGCAAGCGCAAGCGAACGACCCGAGAGATACAGGTGCCTCAATCGCCTATGCAATCACCTGTTAATGTTGTCAAAGATACACCAACCGCAACACCAATCCAGCGTGGCGGCTCTTCGGCTCATGAAGATGAAGAAGCCGAGACCGAAGAACTTGAGCAAGATGACGATGAAGTCGACCGAGTCGAGGATACGCAACACTCTCAACAATACCCGGAAATCTTCAGTCAGACTATGCTTCCACCCACCAGTAGTCCCATGCGAAGTCCTACTGGTTCCACTGCAGTAGCCGGTGATTCTACGCCTACTGCGCCGCAGCCCATCGCCAGAAAGAAGTCCAAGGCCCCTACCCATCTATCAACAGCGAGTCTACAAGACAAACTTCTACCTAGACGCCGTCGACGCAAGAACGAAGCTAGCAACGAATTTGACGTCCCCAGTGACGAAAGTGATGGCCAACATGATGCAGCATCTGGCGACGAAGACGAACTGAGCTACCCATCAAGGCGGCCCTCCAGGCGAAAGACAGACTCCAAAAAGCCCAAGGCACTATCAAATGCACAGCACAAATCAAAACTTAACAATCCAAAGCAAAAGCTAGCCAAAGTCAAAGCAGCTCCCAAGGCGCCTGCAACATATTCACGTTCTGGTGGCAGTGCTGGTGTCGAAAAGGAAAATGAAGTGCTGGCTCTATCTTCACCATCCTCCTCGCCCTTGTCGTCACCGCCTGAGTCCGATGTGTCTGATAATGAATCTGCTGGAACCGAGCCAACACCTCGTTGCGTGAGTGATGAGTTGCGCGCGGCAGTCAAGAAATTTGCTGAAGTGGATCAATGGGAGATGGAGTTTGAAGATGTGTCTGCCTCTGAGACACTAGGCAGTCCATCACGATAGTTGTTTTTGACGTGTTATGAAGCTCTTTTATTTTCTGTTTGTTACCGAAAGTAGCCGTTGTGAGGCCCCGCAATGTAACCGATTTAGTAAATACGACACTGTTTCTGCTTCCCCCCCCCCCCGCGTCTTCTTTTTTCTCGATCTCTCTTTCTCTCTCCCTCCCTCTCTCCCTCTCTCAACTCTCTCAAAATGACCTCCGTGGATAATATCCTCGCTGCCAAATATCCTGCCAAGGCCCATGCGCGCCGTGTCGCAGAGTCTATCAAGGCCCGGCATGGCGGGGCCGGTGCTATCTATCTCGAGGCTCAAAAAACTCGCATGATCGAGGACAGCGACGAGGCTATGCCCTTCCGGTATTGTAAAGTGGCCCCGAAGCCCATGATGAGACTGACACCATTGTAGTCAACGTCGTCCCTTCTTCTATCTCACTGGCTGTCTTTTGCCTGATGCCGCGGTGGTTTACGATGCTGTCGCAGACCAATTGACCCTCTTTATTCCTCCAATCGATGCCGAGTCGGTTATTTGGTCTGGACTTCCACTTTCTCCCGAGGAGGCCGTTAAGCTTTACGACGTGGATCGCGTGCTGTTCACGACCGATGTCAATTCGACCCTGGCGTCGATCGCCTCGACCCACAATGGACAAACTGCCGCATTTGCAATTGCCGAGCAGGTGTCAGAGGAAACCAAGTTCGAAGGTTTTGCGGAAGTCAACATTTCCACCCTGAAGTCTACCATTGAGGACACTCGTGTCATCAAGGATGCTTACGAGGTTGCCCTCTTGAGAAAGGCAAACGATATCTCGGCCAAGGCTCACATTGCCGCCATCAAGGCCTCCAAAACCGCCACCAACGAACGCGAAATTGAGGCTGCTATCATCGGTGCTTGCATTGCCAATGGATGCCGTGAGCAATCCTACCACCCTATCGTCGCTGGCGGTGAAGGCGGTGCCACCCTCCACTACGTCAGAAACGATGTTGACCTCGTCGACCCTGCCACTGGCAAGCGGAAGAACAATGTCCTCATCGATGCTGGTGGTGAGTATCAGACCTACTGTGCTGATATCACTCGTGTCATCCCTCTGGGTGGCCGGTTCGCGCCAGAGACCCGCCAGATCTACGAGATTGTCCTCCAGATGCAAACAGAATGTATTGCGATGCTGAAGGAAGGAGTGTGTTGGGACGATGTTCACGCCTTGGCGCATCGCATTGCTATCCGTGGCCTGTTGAAGCTCGGCATCCTACGTGGATCTGAGGAAGAGTTATTTGAGAAGCGTGTCAGCGTGGCTTTCTTCCCTCACGGCCTCGGTCATTACCTTGGAATGGACACCCATGACACCGGTGGTAACCCCAAGTACGACGACAAGGACACCATGTTCCGCTACCTGCGCGTCCGTGCTAACCTCCCGGCTGGCTCCGTGATCACTGTTGAGCCCGGTGTAAGGTTATCCCGTCCCATCTTTGCTACGTCGAAACTAACTCGCAACGTGATACTAGATCTATTTCTGCCGTTTTATCATTGACCCCGTTTTGAAGGCCCCAGAGACCGGTAAGTATATCGATACCGAGGTACTGGAGCGGTATTGGAGCGTGGGAGGCGTGCGGATCGAGGACAACATCCACATCACCAAGGATGGCTCCGAAAATCTGACAACCGCCCCGAAGATCATCGCTGAGGTCGAGAGCCTGGCCTTGTAGATAAAGCATTTGGTATCAGTTGGTTATAGACAACGATGTTTAATTTTAGTTTTCTCTTGGAATGGTCATTGATCTGAAATGGTCGCTGGTATCGATGTGATACAGACGGACAAATGATGCGAACTGGGGTATCGGGGTAATATCTGGACTGCAGACGTGGTAGGCCTCTCAATCCCATCACAGATCCCTTCTGCGCTTGCGCGCACTCCCCTTATCTCATCAGACGGTATCTGCTTGTCCTTCCGGTCCAGGATAATGGTCAATCGAAAGAGAACTCAGGCACCTCAATACAGAGTTTCTTGAAGTCATCACCAACATCGCGACGTAGCGTATGGCTGTGGCTGGCCCAATAGGAGGCAACTGGCTTTCGAATCGTGATGTCCGAAGCAGGGGTATTGGTATACACATAGCGAGCATAGAGATGTTCTGCATGAGGTGAGCTTTTAACCTTGTGGATCTTGCCATGGGCAAGACTCTTCAATGCTGGCAATCCCAGCTTGTCTGCCAATGTGTATACTCGCGCATGGCGGAGTAACGTCTCGGAGCCATCATTCACTGCGAGGTCTGTAGAGTCAGGCTGCGGTGCGGTTCAATCGCGCGTGTATTGGAATTGTAAAAAGCAACCAAAGGCATCGACATCCTCATCGGGTAGTTTTATCAGTCGCTATTGGCCAAGATGTTAGTTTCTAGCCAAGTGGGATAGGTGATCGGCTCACAGGTCCCGCTGGTTCAAATTCGGCGACCAAGCTCGCAAGCAATGGCGATTGTAGGAGGAAGGTCTGGTGGGCAGTCAAAATCGTCTGGTTCGCGTCTTTTCCAACCACAATTTCCACAATTGGCGAGGTAAGGAAGCTAGCAGTCAGTCCAGTTGTCTCCTCACGCGACAAATGACGTGATGTGTGATACCATGAAGAGGGTAAAGCAAGTGGACTGGGGACTGTAGAATAGGGAAATGGAATGTGCTCACTCGAGGAAGTTGAACCCAGCATTCTTCTTCACGGGAGGCTCTGGATCAAGCTCAATTGACTCAAGCTCAAGCTCAGGCGCAGGCTCTTGGGCATTAGGGAGAGTCGCATCATGTGTTCCTCCCATCACTACCTCGGCGGAGGTGTGGTTTGCGGGGGGTTGGACCGGTGCCGATGGAGTCATAGTTGCAGTCGCGCTGGGGGATCAGGTCGATTCAGGTCTTTCGGCAAGCAATTTAACCTGGGGCGTTTGAGGCGTGCCCATGGTGTAGAGTGAATGAAGGACGTCTTGAGGGAGCCCAGGAGAGCTCAGGCGGTAAAGTCACGGGGAAGTGTGCATCTCGTCACAAAGCCAGAGACCTTCGACAAGTCAAGTGTTTTCCGAGTCTGGTTTTACCAAATGCGTGTAAGGTACCTCCCATACCGCAGAAAGGCAACTCGAGGCCTCGGAAGCCAGAGCATAGCTTCACGTCAGTTAAACCCCATCTCCAACGTGAACTCTCCACAACCCTCAACGTCATATGTTTACTATTTCGCCACTGGGATTGAACACCCGAACCACCCGAATGATGCGAAGACATTTGCCCGTTTCTCTTTTTGGTGTGCACATCCATCATGAGCCCAGCCAGATTAAAAGGTCAGCTAGCGTCGGCTCCAAGCTCCCCTAGCTCACCCAGCTCGCCTTCTTTGAGCTCGGATGACCTTGATGATTCCACTCGGCAAAGTGTCTCGGTAAAGCTTCGGGAGACCGACAATGCTGGACAATACCTGCTCACCGCAGAGGACGCTGAGCTTTTACGGGAGATCCTTAAACACAACCTTTACTTGGAAAAAGCAGAATCGTCTCAGAAACCGCGCTTCAGGTTCCGAGACTTGGAATTTACAAGGCAACTCAGTACATTTGACCGCCAGAATTTGACCTTCAGTTCGTCTGAGTTTCATGGCTTCTTTGTGCTCTTCTGGATGGGGGTGGCCTTGATGCTGCTCAAGGTCATGGCCAATAACTGGAAGATATATGGCACTATTTGGGGTCAGAACGAGATCATTCACCTCATGTTCTCTAAAGATATTATGGTTCTCGGACTGACTGACTTGGTCTTGTCTTGGTCTACGATATTCTGCCTGCTTGTTCAACGAGCGGTATTCAAAGGGTACATGCGCTGGAGTGGCCCCGGTTGGCTGGTTCAAAATGTCTGTTTCAGGATATACCTTCCTGTGTTTTTCTACTGACTTGCTGATCTATCAGATCTGGCAAACGATATATCTGGCTACCATCACATGGTGGACATATCATCGTGATTGGCCCTGGACACACACTGTCTTTATAGTGCTGCATTGCTTGACCATGCTGATGAAACAGCATAGCTATGCAGCCTACAATGGGTACTGTAAGTAGAAATAAGCTCCCGGTGGCTGAGTCTGGGTTAATGAAAATAGTGTCGGAGCTGTACTTCAAACGAGAGCTGGTTAAGGTAAGACTATCGCAGTTGAAGAACCTAAGCAGACACAACAGCTGGTCAAAACAAGGACATACCTCTGCGGTTGACACAGATGTTGATGCCGAAATCATTGAGCTCAGAAGAAAGGAATTCCGGCGACGATCCTCCAATCTCAATAATAATTCCCGTGCCCGCGAAACGGACCAGCTCATCTCTCTTGTCGAAACCATTGAACACGGGGTATTTCTTCAACCGGAGCAGGTGCAATCCCTGAACGAGCTACTAGAGAGAGAATTTGAAATCTTATCCGAAGGACTTCAGGGCAGGTGTTCGTTGACCTCGAATCACTATCCGCGGAATCTGACCTTGAAAAACTTCTGCGACTTTATCACATTACCCACCTTGGTATATGAGCTAGAGTACCCACGCACAGACAAGATCGACTGGATTTATGTGGCAGAGAAGACCGCGGCCACATTTGGTATCATTGTGGTAATGATAGCAGTATCTCAGTCATGGATATATCCGGTGGTGATGTACACTATGCAGATGAAAGAAGAAGGGTTGACTGCGCAGCAGAGGCTGCAGGAATTCCCCTGGGTGCTGAGTGACTTGCTCTTCCCTTTCATGATGGAGTATCTGCTGGCATTTTATGTGATTTGGGAGTGTGTAGTATGTACTACCGATCTCAAAGACACGATCTTTTGCTGATCATCATAGCTTAATGCTTTAGCCGAGATTACCATGTTTGCAGATCGGGGTTTCTATGCGGACTGGTGGAATTCAGTCTCTTGGGATCAATTTGCTCGAGATTGGAACCGCCCTGTGCATAATTTCTTGCTCCGGCATGTATACCACAGCTCCATCAGCGCTTATCGTCTATCACGGGTATCAGCGAGCCTGATGACTTTTTTCCTGTCTGCATGTGTGCATGAGCTGATCATGCTGTGCATATTCCGGCGCCTTCGGGGGTATTTGCTTATCCTCCAAATGTCGCAACTGCCACTCGTTTCACTCAGTCGGACTCGTATGATGCGAGGCCGACGATTGATTGGGAACATCTTTTTCTGGCTTGGAATCTTTACAGGACCGAGTCTGTTGTGCAGCTTGTATCTGATTATATGATTATCATCATGTCATTCACCACACACGGTGATTGGCTTTACATTGGAGTTAACGTGGATATGGTAGCCTTGGTCTAGGGTTTATTCAGAAAGGGAGGGGGAGGAGGTTAACAATAAGTACTTCGTGGATATGTAATGGTTACATTTATATATTCTCGGCTGGGTCCATATCCATCAACTTGTATAGTATTGGAATATGATTGAAAAGCATATTCATTGCATACATTCTCCTCCAGAGCAGACGCAGATCTATAAAAGAAAAGCCCCGAGCTCCCCGTATTTGCCGTACCCCACCCCCCACTCACTGATATCACACTTCCCTCTGTCTTCCCTTTCTTTTCTTTCTTTTCTTTTCTTCTCTTTTCTTCTCTTTTCTTCCCTTTTCTTTCCTGTCCTATCATTTACACACAACTACTATCTTGAGCTTCGAAATGACTTCTAACCTACCATCTTCCTGTTGCACCGTAGGTGTCAAGCATGAAGGCGACGCCAAGGGCGATTACCAACAGATCGGCGACGGTATATATAGACCTCTAATTAAGCCATCTGATCTCAACTGCTAACGGTCGCAGTTGAGGCTTATATCTCACGTCCCGCAGATCAGTCCACCGAGCGTGCTATTCTGCTTCTGACTGATGTGATCGGCCATCGCTTCATCAACGCCCAGCTGATTGCGGATCAACTGGCGGCCAATGGCTACTTTGTCGTTATGCCGGATCTGTTTCATGGCGACCCAGTACTGTTAAACCGTCCCGCTGGGTTTGATCTGATGGCTTGGCTGAAGGGCCCCCCCGGTCACCTACCTGACCGCGTGGAACCCGTGGTACAGGCGGTTTTGAAGGAAATGAAGTCCAACATGGGCTGTCAGCGAGTCGGCGCTATCGGATATTGCTTTGGGGTATGATCTCATCGTTGCAGTAGGTCAGATCCACAGCTGACGCGAAAGGTATCTAGGCAAAGTATGCTGTCCGGCTGCTCCAGCCGGGTCTTTGTGATGTTGCCTACGTGGCTCACCCCAGTTTCGTCGAGGCGGATGAGCTTCGAGCTATCAAAGGCCCACTTTCCATTGCTGCTGCTGGTGAGTCTAATACGCAATGCGCTCATGTAACAGATCTGACTAAACTTACTGGGATTGCAGAGACCGATTCAATCTTCCCGGCCCCCAAACGCCATGAGTCCGAGGAAATCCTCGTCAAAAGTGGTCAGCCGTATCAAATTAACCTATTCAGCGGCGTCGAGCATGGTTTCGCTGTCCGCGCTGACATTACCAAGCCAACCATTCGCTTTGCTAAGGAGGCTGCTTTCGCGCAAGCTACTGCTTGGTTTAACCAATATCTGTAGATTGTGACGTATTATCCACAGTTCTCACGAATCTACACTCACATTGGGCAATAATAAAAATCCTCGATTTTAAGATTCTAGCCACCCTTTTGGTTTGTCTCGGTTGGATAGAAGATTTACATTCATTTGAAAAAGGACAGGAGTAGACAGAGTAACAGGAAATAGGGAGTAAGGCACGTAATACTACATAAATCGATGCCAAATCCCGAGCGAGCCATGAAAGATGACTGCGTTGCCGATAGTGTTCTGTGAAAAGAGGTTGCCTTACATCTTCTCGTGGGTGGCCATGAGAGAACCTGTGTAAAATGTCAGATACTGAGACAATGCCAGTCGAGGGTGCATAAGAGGGGGTCTTACCAATAAACGTAGTGACCAAACGAGATCGGACTTGACAGATATCCTCGGGAACCAGCCAGATGGTGGCACCCATCTTTCTGGCAATACTGATGGAGAGCTTAGCGTTGGCATATGCCTCCTCGTCGGTCCGGCCCGGGGTAACCAGATCATAGTCCACATAACTGCTCTTCATGCCATTGAGCACGTCCAAAAGGAATACTCCAGTGCCAATAGACTTGTCCTTGAAGCTTCGTATCGTTGAAGACTTTCCGCCGCTGCTAGACATATCATTGGCCCAGCGGATCATCTCGGTATCGGTGATTTCACGCTTGCCCAAACGTTGGGCCAACGCAGAGAGTGTGTTGGTGATATCACGACGCATCAGCTGCCACACCAAACCAAGAGTGAGAGTTCGCTGGCCATCAGTGATATCAGCGCCTTGGACACCGACAAGGGAGAAGCCATTGTGCTTTCCAAGTTCAATTGAGTAGTTGGTGTTTTCCACCGCCTTGAACCGCATCATCTCACCACCAGACGCTGGGGGCTTGTTCACATGTCTCCAGTTGACGGTTCCAGGAATAACCTTGTCGTACGCCTGCAGGAGGATTGATCCATCCCGAAGGTCATCAAACAGCGAGTTGACTGCCGGCTGCACATCCAAAGAGTTCAACCAGAGAGTGAAGACTCTGGCCTCTCGTTCACCTTCGGCGTCAAAGTCTTCGACCTCGAGTTTCTCCTCTTCAGTGATCGGATCCAGACCAGGGTGAGTGTTGAAAAGGTTGGCAACGAAGGCAAGGTTCAGCTTGGGATTTCCAGCAACTAACGAGGTCGGAGTCAGGAATTTCCGGCAATCAAGCCTGTCAGCGTTCTGCAGGACCTGTTCAGCTCGCTCGAGTAAGTCTCGGGTCTGGAGAGCTCCACGGGAGCAGACATCAGGGGCCAGTTGGTTAAGAAGAACAGTGTAATTTTCGCCGTCCTTCACATCAGTAGAAAAGTTTGTCACACTAAATTCATAATTGATTAGCCACCGGTTCTTGATCGTCTGATATACGGGCCAACCGATGTTAGCTTACCGTCTGTCCCATTTCGCGTTCTTGAGATGGTAGTTGAACCAACGAAGGAGGATCTGTTCTGGGGGCAAGCGCAAAAACTGCTCGAGGGTCTCATCCTCGTCCAAAAGTCTGTAAAGCTCCGGGTGAAGCTTGATATCAATCTTGCCCAGCAGACCACGGCGAATGACCTGCCAGATAAGACCCAAAATCAGATGCTCACGCACTTCAATGATATCTCCACTTCCGATGTTCACAACTGAACACCCAATACCCTTGGCGGAGTTGATGACAATATTGTTATTTTCAGTCATGTGGAAGGCGTTGAGTTGCTTGATCTTCTTTCCGGCCTTGTTCAAAACACGCTCATCAATGGTGTCCGGCACACTGTCATTGATCAACTTTGCCAGAACCAAACCATCCTTGCATTTGTCAAACATCTCAAATGTATCGGTAGGGAATGGCAGGAGGTTGCCAATATCCGGGTCTCCCGCGAGGACAGCATTAATGTGTCGCGTGAACTCGGTCCGTTCGTCTTCGTTGATCGTGTGTGTGACATTGGAGGATGATCCCTGAACGTGGATACGTCCACCAACACTGCCCTTGGAAACATGACGAGAAGCGCCAGTGCCGGCACCGGCGCCGGCTCCTTGGATCACGGCCGCGGGGCTGGATACGCCGCGGGGACCTTCTGCGGGTGCCGACCGAAGCTTCGAAACCAGCTATCACAGCTTTAGCATTTGTTCGTCGTTTTGAGCAGTACCATAGAGACGGGTCTCCTTACATCGACATAGTCTTCCAACTCCACGCGCCGGGAGCTGTCGAGTTCGACACCCTTTAGCGCCTGGCGCACCACGTCGTACGGCTGACGTTCGGATTGTTGAGCGGCCTTGATCGCAGTTGATTCATCAAGATAGCCACGGTCATCAACATCTAGTCGGTTGAATGCATCCTGGAGCGAGAAGATATCACCTTGGTCCAGCTGCGGGAACCGCCTGTAGCCAGCACACCCTTAGCATATAACCCAAGATACCTTCGGAATTACGTCGCATAGCCAGCGAGGTACAAAGAACCGGGGGAAGGGAGGGTGAGACTTACTTCTGAAGCTTGAGCGCATTCATGGTGTGAGAATGCGTCCCAGTAAGTGGGGGTTCCGCGAGTTAACCAGAGACGCGGACTTGAGTAGGCAGAGAAAAAGGGAACTCCTAGAGGAGTACAATTGGTTTGGATTCACCAGAGAGATAGCAACAAGTGATCCGAAAAGTTCAGATCCAAGTTGGAGAAGTGAATTGGGTAGAGAAATAAGGAGCGAAAGGCAAAAGTATACACGAACCGAGAGGGGGGATGAGCCACACTGTAACGCGTAATGTAAGGTAAGCAAGCGGTACATGGCATTACTAGTAATTTTGTAGTGGATGCCAAGTATCTTTCCTGGTCTCGTATTCGTAACGGCAAATGACGTCGAACATCTCCAGGCTTCCGGGCTTCCAGGGTTTCAGGCTTCCCTTTTATGCTTCATTTCCTCTTTCGTCTCTCTTGCCACACATTCTCTACATTTCAGGCGCCAGGATTACTATTTGTCTGCCTTGGAAATGAATGAAAAGAAAAAGTAAAAGAAAAGAAAAGAAGATACTCCATAGTCATAGAAACACCCAATGAATTACTTCCAATACATGATCAGCCGAAGAGACCGCGAACAGTTAATTGTTTGTGCTGGTGAACTCCAGCGCTGCTAACAAACGTGGAGAAATTATTGGCGAGTCCCGGATTACATCATGCGGATCACCGAGAGACCCCCCCAAAATAAAGATCGACTTTGACAGCTCCAGCTTAACTTACTCCCAAGCCTTGAACACGTTGCTAACCTTCTGATTCCACTATCCCACATTGATTCGGTTCACTGCCCGGGTGTGTCTCCCCATGGAGCAAAAGTCATTCCTGGGGACATTATCCCCATGGAGTACCCCGAGGAGCACAACGCCGCAACCCGATCGCCAGGGCTCAGAGGTCTTGCAGCGGTCCCAAGGAGAGGATCATACAGTGACACATAGGCATCGATTAAGCCTGCGTCGTTATCCTCCGGATTGCCCTCCGTTGAAAGTGAGGTGGTTTTACGCAGTGGACTCGCCCAAACGAAAGCCATCCTTACTAGAGCAGAAAAAGACCGACCAGAAGCCATTGCCATTGCCAAAGAAATTTATTCCTTTCCCTGGAAAAGACTCTCAGTCTATTGAAGCCACATTTCAAAAACTTTCGGAAATTGAAGATGCCCAGGAAGTTCAGGCCGAGGAATCCAAGAAACCCGCACAGTCTGTCTCAACCAAAGTGCCTGTGAACGAGGATTATCTGTTTGATGTGGATGTAGAACAGCGAGAATTAAGTCCCACCTATTGGATCGGCCCTGTTTATGAAGTTCGCCGTGGAACCTGGTTCGTCCAAGATGGGTCTGGATTAAAACCATGCGAAGAGAATCTTGCTACGCAGCTTGAAGAAGGCTACATCAAGCTTCGTCCCTGGAAGAGCGAGCCAACAGAGTCGGAGTCCTCGGAGCAGGCTTTCAAAATCAACGAACAGGATCTTGCTATTCGACAAGAGGATGTGCAGACCACCTCCCAATCATTTCGACGGCCAACCAACCCAGCCTCTACCGACAAGGGCACAGGAAACGATCCCAGCCAATTCGCGACAGAGCCTCAACAGTATCGTCTGTTTGGGGCTTATATGAACAAGATTGTTTCCTATCAAGATTCTTCAACTGCCTGGCTGATAAATGATGATATGATGTCACGGTTCAGTACTACCGTCTATCAGAAACTAGGAGGTGTTCCGGGTGCCAAATTGGTGCGTGGCTTCGAGCCCAAGAAGTCGAAGGAAACGGACAACAAGACTTCTGATCGAAAGGCCGAGAAGGCATCAAAGTCCAACGACAAATTCGGAATGAATCCCGAAAAGAACAAGTTAGACACACCAAAAGCGTCGCCCGTGGAATCAGTCGAAGGAGCCGATAATTCTGAAACCAGATCGATGACTACCTTGGAAAGACAAATGTCGTCCCTTGCCGGCGAACCGCAGAACCCTGCTGAACTTGAGGAGCAGGCTCGAAAGCAGGAAGAACAAGAAATGGAGGATTCGAGGGAAGTTGACAGTGAGGACAGAGAGCGTGAGGTTGACCATTTGGTCCTTGTCACCCATGGGATTGGCCAGCGGCTAGGGTTGCGACTTGAGAGCATCAATTTCATACATGATGTGAATGTACTCCGCAAGACACTGAAGACTGTCTATAAAGCTTCGCCTGATCTTCAGGCATTAAACTCTGCACTGCCTGACAGCGAGAAGAATTGCCGTGTTCAAGTGCTTCCTGTGTGAGTGTCTCTCTATTTCCTCTCTGATCATACCAGGGGTCGAATTTCTTAGGCAGACCAGTCTGAAAGTGAATGACTGCTACTCAATGCTCTCAATGCCCATTCATCCCTCGCATGCTAACAAGCATCCAGGTGCTGGCGACATCGACTCGACTTTCCTCATAGAGGAGTTCGACAGAACAGAAAAGAACAAGATCTTACCGACACCGATACTTTTGAAGATGATGTCTACCCGAGCCTGTCGGACATTACACTAGAGAGTGTACCTGCTGTTCGAAATCTCATTTCAGATTTAGCAATGGATGTGCTGCTATATCAGAGTGGATATTGCGAGCATATTTCCAATATTGTTAAACAGGAAAGCAATCGAATCCTCCAGCTATACAAACAGCGGAATCCTTCTTTCAATGGGTCGGTCAGCCTCTGTGGCCATTCTCTTGGAAGTGCGATCCTGTTTGATATTCTGTGCCATCAACCGGGCGAGGTTGCCGACCCTGCAAAGCGAGAATTGCCAAAGGCCCAAGAGACCGATATACCAAAACATATTGGTGGGTCGAGTGCGTTTGAGTTTGAAACCGAAGAATTCTTCTGCTTGGGATCCCCTATTGCCCTCTTTCAAATGTTAAAGGGCAAAACGATAGGAGGTTATTCTGTTCTGGACCCTCGGAACCGGAAGAATCCCTTAGATGTCGAAATTGACACCAATGGATTGAGGTCTTCAAAAAGAGATTCACTTCCCCCTGGACTTGGATTCAACGAAAACCCTGCTATTGTTTCCACGCCGAAATGTCGAGATCTTTACAACATCTTTCATCCTTCAGACCCAGTGAGCTACCGAATTGAACCTTTAATATCTCCAGCGATGGCGACTTTAAAACCCCAACCTCTCCCTTCGGTCAAAAAAAGCCTTTGGACAACCTCTGGGCAAAGTTTATCTATTCTTGGTACCCGAATGGGCCAAAGTGTGGGTTCCCTATGGACGAATTTCACTACAGGTGTTGCCAGCAGTTTGTTGAACCGCAGTTTGGGCCTAAACGACGACGATCCATCGGCTGGTAGTGCCATTGACAAAAAAGACGATAAGAAATCCCATAAACGAACACAGTCTGGATCAGTTCAACATGACCCACATGAATCAGACGACCATTATCAAACATTGATTGAGTCGGATCTAGAAACTCTCTACGACGGATTCCAGAAAAGCCGGGATGATCGCAGATCACAGACATCGTCAACTGACCCTGATACCGATACCAAAGATCAAGAAAGGAAAGTGAGATTTGAAGATGCCAAAGTGCGCGCGTTGAATGCCAACGGTCGTGTTGACTACAGCGTGCAAGAGTAAGAGCGTCCATTCGCACATACTGAACCAAACTTAACTTTTTCTACAACAGGGGTGCATTTGATATCTCGTTGATTGCCAGTATTGCCAGTCATCTCACCTACTGGGGGGACGAGGATGTCAATCACTTTATGCTATCTCAAATGCTGTCCAGGCGAATTCGACATAGAAAGACAGGAAGGTAGGTATGGGATCTCAACATTAGAAGATGGTCACAGATATAACAGTGAGCAATGTTCAATAAGTTATTTAATACTCCGAAATATACCAAAGAGACCACAGATCCTAGAGGGGCTATAGATGTCAAGCGAGCCTAATTGGGACTAGCGTTGTCGGTTAGGTGAGCACAGCATTTCTCCGTTCATTTCCTCCTTCTCTCTCCTCTCTTCACTCCCTACCCTTTCCCAACTTTCACCTCGCCTCGGAATTACAGCGGGCTCAAAAATCTAGAGCATACACTTGCTCGGACAGTCAAACAGTTTTGTCTAGGACCTCTTTTTAATGAGGTTGATGTCCAAAATGACGAGAGTTTGATCAGAGCCCGCCAGTCCGCTGTCGTCGACTCAATCTCAAAGAGTCAATTGGTACATTTTTGTACTAGTGTCGTTGACAAGGATGCAAGATTATGTGTTGTCTCGGATGACCCATCTTTGCTGGAGAGGCCTCCCAATATCCATGTGAACAGAACCTCACTGAGATTGAAGACCGAGGCAAGGTGGCGGTGCAATTTCTCGTTTTCGAGATGGCAATGATATTTACCAGATCGATGCAGATCTGGAGGCTGCAACGATCTGGATGAATATCCAGTAGATTCCTTGTAGATTCTCCTTTACCCTCACCCTTGAGCCGCAATCTCTTTACGTCTGGCATGAAGCACATGTTCTATGAATGCTCGGATTCACTCAAATTGCGGAGATCAACTCCTTTCTATTTGCTTTAGATTCCTGGTGAACTCATGATCACGAGGAAATTATGAATGGATACATATATAACGTTACTTGAAGCAATAGAATTTTACGATTACGAAGTTCCTCTGTTCTATTTGCGTTCTCGCACCAGCCACACGGGGTAGCGCCAAGGATTTCGCTCCCTTAGCTTCCCACCTTCATCTATAACGTTAACCATTACTGAACATGAGAGGTTTGTGTCTCTTTGGCCAGTCTTGAATGCTCGCTGACCTATTCTAGCACAATGAGTCGCCTCAGCGATGATTTGGGCAACTCCAAAGTTGATCTAGCCACATCGATCGACGCAATCCCCGCGAACCTCGAGACGTCTGAACATAGCTCGAACTCGGCTTCCACGAAGGAACTCATCAATTTGGCCCTTGAATTTCTGTCAACCTCTAGCAATGAAGCCCTGTTGGGGGTCTTTTCTCTCCTTACACTTGTCACCTACGTTATTCTCGGGCGAATCGGACTCGTCCTTATCGGAGTAGTGCTAGGGGTTGTCCTTCACGCATCGTGGGAGGGACCAGTTTCATCATCAGAAGGATCGCGTGGACCAAAAAAGAGAAGAGAACTTGCGCTAGAAGTGTCCAGCAGGCTGTTGGACTGGTCGAAACGGGACAGTGCTACGAAAACCCAGAGCAACAATGATGGGTCTATGACTGGCCCTGAGGGTCTATCCTCGGCAGACCTTGAGTATGCCACATTTCAACCAGCCACCGCGAGTGCGTTGAAGACACTCACAGACGCTGTCATAAGAGACTATGTTCAGTAAGATTCCCTTTTCTTCCGAAATAATCCCAGTAGCTTACCAGAACACAAGATATTGGTATGAACCCATATTACCTTCCGAATCAACGTTCCCAGGTACATGTCGAAGGATCTTGACCCATTTTGTTACGTCTGTTTCACTGCATCTGTCACGGAAACGGACAGAGGACACTTTTTTGCAGTTCCTGACCAACTCTTCGTCTATTGTCATTGTATTTCTCAATGAACTCGCTGCAGCATTTGATACTGGAGACTCTCAGCCCATGGAGGCTCAGAAAATGGTGGACCGGTATCTCGAAAATTTTCCGGACAGCAGTCTAGCCAATGTCTTGTCCCAGAAACAGCAACAAAAGAAACTCAATATGATTGCAGACGATATCTTATCAAACTTTCTGGACTCGAAGGCATATGATTGTCCGGCTGTGCGGGATTTCCTCCGCGAGATTTTTGCGGGCGTTATATTGGAATCTACAGTGATCAGTCTCGCTCGGCCCGAGTTCATCAATGACTGGATCATCTATCTCTTGCAAGATGGTGAGTCTGAAATTATGCACGCCATTGATGCGGGCGTCGAGGGTGCACGAAACCAGGGCACCAGTGCCCCCAAGTCCTCGGAAACTGTACCCGCGGGGTCAATTCCAGATCTAGCTTCCCCAGACAGCCAGAGACAATCTATGCAGGCGGATAGAGCGACGGAAGAGGCAGTTCTCGAAGCAAAACGTCTCAGTGCTATGATTGCGTCGCAGGATATACGAAGCCCTAGATCCACACTGGAAAGCGATGGATCTCGATCGAACACAGAGTCAGGCTCAATATCAATCCGTAAAATTCAAGACAGTCAGGAACAAGGCGAAACTCCCACAGCCACCTTGTCGAGGTCACCGTCACCCACAGATCTGGAAAGATTCGTGGATACACCCCATTCGCCTCAAGCAAGTGCCCAAGAAAATACATCTATGCCTTTGGTTCTTCATGGTGCCCAAGTCTTGGTCGATGATGATGGATCGAGGAATGAAAAAAGCCAAATCAAGTCACGACCGACGTGGGATTACCTACTACAGGTTGAGCCAGCCTCAACACGCTCGACTGGGTGGATGGTTTTTCGGAAGTATTCGGACTTCCAGTCCCTTCATGAGATGCTCGAGACTGTTTCACGATTAAATCGAATTCAAAATTTCTCGGATCGCTACCCTGCGCTACCCTCGTGGAAGGGAAAATCGAGGCAAACCCTCGCTCGGGATCTAGAAGGATATCTGCATGATGCTATGAGACATGAAGCTCTTGCTGACACGGATCGAATGCACCGATTCCTGGAAAAGGATGCTGAATTCAATGAACCAGATCCCAAAAAGCCAGGATTTTCTTTCCCCAGTCAGATTGCATTTGAGAACATGGGCAAGGGTATGCTGGGTGCGCTAACCAATGCACCCAAAGGGATGGCAGGAGGAGGTAAGGCTGTCTTTGATGGAGTGACGGGGGTATTTGGAGGCGCTGCCAATAATAAAAAGCCAGCTTCCGTCGCCGAAATCCAGCCTCAACACCGGAAAAGTCTTTCTCTTTCTAAGACGAATGTTGAAACCCCAGTCTCCATTACCCCAAGTCGAGCCAGCCTGTCCAAGGCCGATCCCAATCTCGACGACCCTACGAGGACTTCAGAAACTGATGATCCTATTAGGCCGCCAGCGTTGCCTTTACTTTCTAATGACTCCTTGGAGATCCAAAGAAGAGAAGCTTCCAAGTCACCTTCGGTCAATAGTGCGGATAGTGTCGTCAACCCAAGAGCCAACGAACAGGAACAGGATACACGGGTTTCAGAGTCGACCCTCGCGCTCTCCCAAAGTACACCGTCACCTGATCTAATGACCGAACATCCAGAGATTAGCACAAATGAGGGTGTGAATCAGACACCGTCACATCGCCGATCTGAGACCGAGCAGAGCAATCCAGGGCTGGCCAAATTACGCAATGAAGGAAAGCCAATCACAGTCGATGAGACGCAAATAGCAGTGGAATTGATATTTGCGGTCATCAACGAACTCTACACCCTGTCGTCTGCATGGAATATTCGGCGAACCCTATTGAACGCTGCAAGGTCTTATATTCTGCGTCCCGGTAGTCCGACCTTGGAAACAATTCGCGCACTATTACAGGACTCTATGATTCAAGGCCATACTTCGGACGAAGCCCTTGGAAATTACATCACCAAGCTTCGAGAGAATGCGCTCCCGACAGAGACAGAACTGAAAACCTGGCCAGCTCCACCCAGCGAAGAGGAGAAGGCCCGTCTACGAGATACTGCACGCCGGTTGTTCGTGCAGCGAGGAATTCCCCAGGCATTGACAAGTGTCATGGGAGCAGCTGCTAGCCGGGAGGCATTGGAAAAGATCTTTGATAGCCTTCAGGTGGAATCTGTCGCCCGAGGATTCATCTTTTCGGTCTTGCTTCAGGGTTTGAGAGTATTGACCCTGTAGCATTCACGCAATGTATTGATAAATGAATAGAAATAGCACACTTAAATACCAATGGTGGTTTCTATGCCATGTCATACCTTTTTTGACGCATAAGATAAACCAATGCAGAGTCATGGTAGTCGAGTTGAGTATAAACTCATACAAAGAAGTAATCGCCACGTGACCTCGCGTTTGACGCGTGACCTAGAAGCTGTCCATCTGCTTTGAATGCTTCCACTCCGCAACACATCTCTCGACTCTCAATATGACATCCAGAAAGCGCTCCGAGTCAGACGCTGGGCCTGACGATGCAAACAAAAAGGTCAAGATCAATATAGACACAAGCAAAACAGACTCCAATGGAGATCGCTACTGGGAGATATCTAAAACGCGCCGCGTTACTGTCTCTTCTTTCCGAGAAAAGAATATGGTGAACATTCGGGAATACTACACGAAAGATGGACAGGACTTACCCGGCAAAAAGGTGAAGATCTTGTTCACACATGCTATACTCTGAGTTAATATTGACTTTGTCTAGGGGATCTCGCTCCCCATGGATCAGTTTTCTACTCTCATAACTCTTCTTCCTCAGCTTGAACAGGCATTGAAGGACAGTGGTGAAATCTTGCCTCGGCCTGCGTATCTTGGAACCCCCAGTGAAGGCGAGACACAGGATCACTCAGACAGCAACCGAAGCCCATCGAAGCAGAATATTGAGGCGACTAGTGACGAGGATGAAGGGGAATGAGACTGTAGGGACATGAAGACTATGCAGAAACCAGAAAGGTACTACTAAGGCAGTCCTCGCCAGTTCTCAACTGTATCCTAAGCCTAATTCAAACATCTTCAATTATTTTGAAAGACCTCCCGTCTAGATACTCGCCTCCTGCGTTGCCATGCGGTTGGCGATGGAACTACCTCGCCAAGCATGGCGAGCCTCTTGACGAAGCATTTGACTTCTAGTACTGGGCAAACCCATCCTCCAGGGGTGCGAACGATGACTCGTTCCTCTGCCTGCACGGGGATTCGAAATTCAATATCTCGGACAACGCCATCCCCTCTACGGCGTTGACCCTTGCCTCCAGAATTTGGCCCGCAGCAAAATTCTCGTAGTATCACTGGGTAACGCCGCTCAAATCCTTCAGCGTCAGTGAGTCGGGTATTGGCAATGTGCGTATGAACCCCTGAGGTGCCTCCCCATGCTGGGCCAGCTCCGCTTCCACCTGCGATGATCTCGTCATAGCCAAATCCCTCCATATCAGTCTCACCGCGTTGGTATCACCCTGCGAGGCAGCACATGCTTGGAAGCATTTCAATATGACATCCGTCACTCGTTGACTCTAGCCAAAACATTATTAGCCCATGTCGTTTCAGAGTGTATGTAAGGTTTCACCCTCAGTATATTGCCACTAACCATAGCAGCAGTTTCCGAGGGGGACAAAGTACTTCCTGGGGGATTCATACTTCAATCGGCTTCAAGCAGCCTTGGTTCACTTCATCGAAACCCTGGTCCCGCAGCCTCTGTGCGGCTCGCTTTTTAGGCTCTTGTATCCAGGTTTCAAGATCGGGTAGAGTCTCATTCCCCCATATCTTGGATTCAGGCTCTTGGTGTTCATCAACGGCATCTGCCAGAGCCATTCGTATGCCGAAAGCACAGGCGAGTGCCGGTGTATCAAAATCTCCCGGATCCCTAGGTTTTCATCAATAATAACGACATGCTGTCCCCCAGCCCCTCCGAAGGTAGCCAATCTGTGTTTCGAAGTATTGTGCCCTTTTGCCTGTGTCAAGGACCGAATTGGTCGGGTCATTGTCTCATTGGCGACATTGATAAATCCAAATGCAACCTCATTGGGGCTTATCTCTCTGCTTTTGCCTCCCTCGACTAGTTGTTCATTGATATCTCTGGTGGGTTTTCCAAAATGGCACCGGCTTTCATCCTTGTCCATTTCTGTGTCGTCCTTGGGACCAAATATACTCGGAGAAAAAAATCTGGAACCAAGGGCCCAAGGAACAGGTTGGCATCAGTGACCGTCAAAGGGCCATCTTTGTGATAGCACGCGGGCCCCAGATTTGCACCGACAGATTTAGGCCCTACGACAAATAGACCATGGCGGTAGAATCAACTCGAGCCACCTGCCGCAGCGACAGTGTTGATGTCCAATTGAGGGGAATGGATAGTCACCCCAGCAGTAGTCGTCTCAAAAACATCCCTTATCCCTCCCATATTGAAGCCGATCACTGGGATCTTCAATGGAGGATCATCATATGAAGTCAATGCATAGCCGGCCACCCCACCAGCAGGGCCAGAAAGAATGGCTCGTAAGCCTGAGAATTGGTCCACGTCCATCAAACCTCCGTCTGATTGCATTCATAGCGTGCTCCTGTGGTGCCTGCTTCTTGTTTGACACTTTCTCTTTCCAGTCCACCTTCAAATCCAGCCGGAAACCCCGAAATATACATCTTGATGGTCGGGGTCGGGTATGCATCGGCACTTGCTGAAGTAGTGCGTGGCACCAGCTTGATCACTGACAAGAGCACGTTAGGACGTTTGATGGCTAGATCGAAAATCTTTCACCAGGACTGATTCCAGATCAACAGACAGTCCTTAAATCCCTTGGTGACCACCAGTGCAATTTCTTTGCCTTTCCGTTCCAGCAATGCGTCGGTTGCAACAGTTGTGCCCATGCCGATACTTTGTATCAAAGAAGTATCTACAGGCTCATCGCGAGGGATATCACGGCCTGTGGATATGGAAAGGATGCGTCGGATACCCTCCGAAGGTGCATCTTTGTAGTTGGCCGGATATTTTGAAAACAATTTGATCACAATATCATCTTCAACACGTCCTATCCCTGGATTGCCCACGCAATCTGTAAAGGTTCCGCCCCGCCATGAACAGTCCGTATATCGAAACCCACGAGCCGGGGTAAGGGTCAAACATCGATGGCAATACTAATTCCTTGTGCCTTGGGGCTCATGAGAACCAAGTGAGATCATCTGTATCTTTCCCGGGTGTGTAAGGAACAGACAGGCGGGTGATGCTTTTTCTCCGCATATCAAGCTCGCTCTACTTGATCGGTATTATGAGATATACAATGCATTTGTCGATGTGTTGTATGGCAACAGGAAATCGTGAATATCGGGCCAAATTTTGCAAGGAAAACGTTTTTTGAAGAAAAAAATTTGGTGCCTACAGCATTAAACCCACATACAACTAAAACACTACATTGATCGACAGGAATTCGTGGTAACCGGTCGGAAAGGGCGAGGAAGGGAAAGAATCGCTTTCATATTAAATTGCGCACATGAGACGGAGGGCGCCATGTAATTCATCGTGGTAAGAGGGCGAGGAATTGGAACGTTCGCTCGACGCTTCGGTGGACTCCGAGCTGCTGACCAGAATAAATACCGACACCTCAAAAAAAGTTAAGCATATTTGGGGGAGGGGAATTCAAAAGAAAAATGAAAGTTGACGCGGGCCCGATAATGATGTCGACAAGCAATGCTCAGGGGCATTTGGAATCAACAAAGGCACAAGAAAACGATAGGGAAATTTTGCTGCACGTGGGAGACCAGCATCAAACCGATAGTCAAACAAGTGAAATAACCTTATCCTTTGCCTAATTGGCATCTCTGCAATCAATGTGATCCGAGCAGGGGCGAGATACTGAGTGATCTACTCAGCAGTATCAAGCTCATCATGAGCAGAGGGCATTGGGTCCAGGGGTACTAGATAGGTGTGAGCAAACAGAAAAGATTGTTTGGACCGAATATTGGGACGACTTACCTTTCCTGTCTTCACCGTTGGGGACAGCCTCACGGTCGTCTTCGCGGCGCTCACGGTCATCCTCACGTCTTTCCCGATCATCCTTGCCCTCACGTTCACGGTCATCAGGGCTACGGGAGCGGTCACGGGAGCGGTCACGGTCACGACGATCGTGGTCGCGGTCGCGGCGATCAGAATCACGGTCACGGCGGTCGTAGTCACGGTCATAGTCCCGCTCATAGCGATCATCGCGGCGAGGAGAATAATCACCGCCACGGCTGCGACGGGGGGAAGGAGAGCGACCACGACGAGGGGGAGTGCGGTCACGACGGCGTTCACGGCCAGCATCACGGCCAGCATCACGGCCAGTTTCACGGCCAGCTTCACGACCAGCTTCACGACCAGCTTCACGACCGGGCTCACGGCCTGAATCAAAGCGCCAAGAGGCAGAAGGGGGGAGTACGGGCCCACTATAGATGGGGTTAGAGAAAAATATAGCAAACAAGATGTAAAATAATATTACCTCGATTTTCAACAGATCATCGCGGCCGATGCGCTTGTTGTGCATTTCGTGGTAGGCATCATCAGCATCACGACGGCTTTCGTACTCCACAAATGCAAACCTGGGCTGAGGTCAGAGACAAGTATGTCGCAAATATCAAAGTAGTAACTTACAGCCGGCTAGAGGGAGTTCTTGGAGCAGGGATGTCACAGCGAACAAGACGCCCATAGCTATTTCGAAGATCAGTTTTGAACAGCTCCAGATGCCCAAGTTAGGAGAAAATTATGACAAATGACCCCAGGACCAGTAGTAGCCCATGGACCGAAGGGCGGGGTAGGGTCAAACTGAAAAAAAGAGGTAACATATATCCTCCAAGTCCATCGAAAGTGGTCTCGTTACGTCGTCGGAAGGATTGGGGGGGGAGTGAGGGGGGGGTCCGATGGTCGTAGGTGCGAAGCTAAAGGCGACACGTACCGTTCGAATTCGTAGGCAAGATCGCGAGCCCGGGTGCCGTGGCCGAACCCGGTGACATACAGAGTGGTTCCCGAGCGAGACATTGTGTCGTGCAAGAGAATCCAAGAAGAAGGGGAGAGAGCTTGGGAAGCTTCAAGAGTTAAGTATCGGGAAGGGGAGAAGGTTGAAAGAATTGGGTGATGAAGGTGCTACGGTGAACCAAATGTGCCACAAATGCCGATGGAAGTGACGTTTCAACCATTTCTTGAAATACGTCATTCTACTGGACCATAGATGGCCAAGGATCAGTTTCTCACATCATGTAAAGGGCCAATTCACAAGTTTATATAGTAGGTTTGGGTGGTTTGAGGTGCCCGGGAATGGTAGTGGCGGACTATCGGGAGGTACCGTGTCTGTCGGCAAGTCGGGAGGTCTTCTATCGCCCCAAACCTCCCCAAAGCTCCTTGAACCTCTCCCTTTTCACTCCAGTCAAGATTTCCTCCAAGATTTCTCTTTCATAATACAGTACTCTCCACTCCTCTGCTAGAATTGGGCTCGTTCCACTTACCGCAATCTTCTTCGCTCCGATCCTTGAACCCCCAGCTGCAAGCTGTTATACCCTTTCACATCGATTTTACAAGTCCTCGGAGTTGTCCAGACCAACGATGGGCATCTAAACCGGCAGAACTTGAATTATAGCCTACATTCATGGCCAGCACTACATCACTAGAAAACAGAATTTCCGGTCCTTTCTTATTCCGTCAGGCTATCACACGATCTGTCTGGACGCTGCGCAATCGAGATCAACAGCAACCGAACTCGATTTGAGTCACAATATCCTCAAGATATCTGAGGCAGAATCTTTTTTCCACTCTGTCATCTACAAAACTCGATGTGCCTTTTGTCAAGATGAGCTTGGATCGCCAAAATGACACCCAGAAACATGAGCTGGAAAGCGCTGGAAAGCCTGCCTTGCAAAACCTGTCTCAATTTTCCACTTCGAATTCTCTCAAGGTAAAGGTTGCCAAAATAAAGTTTGATGTGTGGGAAAACTGATTGGTTTTGAGCAGGAGACTGTCGTGGAGCAAGCTCCGTCACTGTTAGATCGGACTCGAAACAATCTCGCCGAGCCAGTGGTGGCTGCTTTTATGGCTGGTGGAGTTGCCGGTGCTGTTTCCAGGACGATAGTATCGCCTCTTGAGCGGTTGAAAATTCTCCTTCAAATCCAAAGCGTTGGTCGAACAGAATACAGACTGTCAATTTGGAAGGCCCTGGTGAAGATGGGCCGTGAAGAAGGTTGGCGAGGTTTCATGCGAGGAAATGGAACCAACTGCATTCGTATTATCCCGTATTCAGCGGTGCAGTTTGGGAGCTATAACTTTTACAAGAAAGTGAGTGATACCGCACCGCGACTGAGGCCTGTCTATGAGGATCCAGACAGAGACTTATGTTACTCTAGTTTGCCGAATCTCCCGATGGTGAGATGACACCCATGCGTCGCCTTATTTGCGGAGGCGCTGCAGGAATCACCTCGGTCACCTTCACATATCCTTTGGACATTGTTCGAACCCGGTTATCTATCCAGTCAGCTTCGTTTGCCGACCTTGGAGCACGAGACCCTGGCCAAAGATTACCGGGCATGTTCACCACAATGGTGGCGATATATAAAAATGAGGGTGGGACCAGAGCTTTGTATCGTGGGATTGCCCCCACTGTCGCCGGAGTGGCCCCCTACGTGAGTTTTGTCTACTGGATTTTCCCCGTTTGACCTCCCAAGCTAACCAACAACAGGTGGGGCTCAATTTTATGACCTACGAATCAGTGCGCACATATTTGACACCGGATGGAGACAAAAACCCCAGTCCCTATCGAAAATTACTAGCTGGCGCGATCTCTGGCGCAGTCGCCCAGACATGCACCTATCCTTTGTCAGTTCTTTGATACCTCCTTTTTACCTTCCCGGTTGCTCCAGGGCTAATTCTGAAGTAGCGATGTGCTCCGTCGACGGTTCCAAATTAATACCATGTCCGGAATGGGGTACCAGTACACATCTATTTGGGATGCTGTGAGGGTGATTGTTGCTGAGGAAGGACTACGAGGTTTGTTCAAGGGAATAGGGCCCAATCTTCTCAAGGTTGCTCCTAGTATGGCCAGCAGCTGGCTGAGCTTTGAGATGACTCGGGATTTCCTCATCACTTTGGGAGATAGAGAGTAGTCCAATATATCTAGAGATGCATTGTTTCTGTATTTGACCATTATTTTAGGTTTCCAGACATTTGGATCGTTCATAATTCCTTATCAAAAAGGTACAACTTGTACAGTACATAACTATAGAACTACCGCTAATGTTAAGTTGCATGTGAAATCTACTTTTACTACTTCGGCGCTAAGATTTTCGTCCGCGAGGCTGATGATTGACACGTGATTCATGGAGTGGCGATTGTATCATGTGACTCCATGGTCAGGTGCCTCGCCTTTCCTATTTGGGTCTAGGGTAGGGCTCAACCCGCACACCACCGTCCAGGCGAAACTTGAGGATCAAAAACCTCCTACACTTTCCGTGCGACAGCAAGCTATTTCCCAGGAAGTCGATCAATAGCAGCCATGGGTATGTTCTATCTTATTCGACTTGTTGACTACTGTTGTTTGCAGTATTCATCAGATCCGAATTCTTTTCCCCCTGCTCGCTGCGCAAGTTCGCTGACCATGTTCAAATCGCAGGTATCGACCTGGACCGCCACCATGTGCGGAGCAGCCACCGCAAGGCTCCCAAGAGCGAGAACGTTTATTTGCAGGTTCTGGTGAAGCTTTACCGCTTCCTTGCCCGTATGAATCCCCTGTCCCGATCACGATTTATTTTTTGCGCAGGGCGCACCCTTTGGAGGACATGAAAGGCTGATTTGGGATGATTGATAGGCCGTACCGAGTCCAACTTCAACAAGGCTGTTCTCCGTCGTCTCTTCATGTCGAGAATTAACCGCCCCCCTGTTTCACTCTCCCGTGCCGTCGCCAACATCGGCGAGACCCACAAGGGCAAGACAGTCGTCGTCATCGGCACCGTTACCGATGACAACCGCCTCCTGAACGTTCCCAAGCTCTCGATCGCTGCTCTCCGCTTCACCGCCACTGCTCGCGCTCGCATTGAGAAGGCTGGTGGTGAGACTTTGACTCTGGACCAGCTTGCTCTCCGCGCTCCCACCGGTGCCAACACTCTCCTCCTCCGCGGACCCAAGAACGCCCGTGAGGCTGTGAAGCACTTCGGCTTCGGTCCCCACACTGACAAGGTGCGTTTCACAAAATATCCTGCCTTCTACCCGGTGACAACAAAATATGGTTTACATTTGCTAACTCAAAACAGAAGCCTTACGTCGGAAGCAAGGGCCGCAAGTTCGAGCGTGCCCGTGGCCGCAGAAGATCCAAGGGTTTCAAGGTCTAAGGGACTTGGTGTGTGTGAGGATGGCAGCGCAGCATGGATACACCATCACACTGGCCTGTCTAGTGCCTGGAATCATTCCGGTCTTAGCCAGAGAACTCGAGTCTTTGTACCTAAAAGTGGCGGGAAGTCTTTGGTTGGACTGGGAAATGAGAATTTACGAATGAAAGGGCAAAAGAAAATTGAATCAGGCTTTGTCCAAAATTTTTCTTACGACATTTTTTTTGAACTGGAACAACCAAAAGAAGGGGAAAATATACTTTTATTTTAAAATTGTATTAAAGATACACCAAGTAGGTTGCCTCATTGGCCCAGAGGCAGGTTTCTGTGAAGATATTTCCGTCCTCCTGCACCATCGTGGTAGTCTGCCGCCCGATGGCCATTTCCTCGAATCAGGTACTTATAGATGGTCAAACCCTCCAGGCCAACTGGTCCTCGAGAATGGATTTTGTTGGTGCTGATTCCCACTTCTGTGCCAAATCCAAACCTCATTCCATCCGCAAATCTAGAAGATGCGTTCCAAAAAACTCCCGCGCTGTCAATGCCGCTCATAAATAGATTCGCCACCTCCTGAGACTCAGTCAAAATAATTTCGGTGTGCTTAGATGAGTGAGAGTTAATGTGAGCGATAGCAGCTTCTACTGCGGCGATCGGTGAGTTGGCCGCAGGAACAGTCTTCACGGCTAGAACAAGGTCTAGAAATTCAGTGTTGTAGTCGGATTCGGTTGCCAGCTGCAATTGGGCACTCTTCTCGGCAGGCAACGCTTTTGTCAGAGCGGCTTTTGATGCAGCATCACAGCGGAGAGATACGCCTTTTTCCAGGAGTGCAGAGGCTACCGCGGGGACAACCGACTCGAGAATATCCTCGTGGACAAGCAAGGTCTCCAGAGAGTTGCATGCGGCTGGATAGTCTGTTTTGGAGTCCACAATGACTTTCGTGGCAGTTTCAGCGTTGGCATCAGAGTGAATGTAAGCAGAGCAAAGACCGTCTGCATGCCCAAGAACAGGAATTTTGGTGTTGTCCTTGACAAATCGAACAAGCTCGTTCGAGCCACGAGGGATGACCAGGTCAATCAACGAATCTTGAGCCAGAAGGGATGATACAGCATCGCGTGTCTTAACCAATTGGACTGATGCTACTGGCACTTGCGAGCCAGCAATAGCTTCCGATACAACATTGGCAATTGCCGCGAAAGACTCCATGGATTCCTTCCCGCCTATTGATATATGTCAATGAAGAGTGGAGAGTTTACTTTGCTTGGGGCACAAGTACCTTTCAAGATAGCAGCATTGCCGGACTTGATAGCCAATGCAGCGATATTGGCTATGACTTCTGGGCGGGCTTCAAAGATGATGAGCAGAACGCCAATGGGGCAGCTGACTCTCTCGAGGGTCAAGCCGTCGTCAAGAAGAGTTCTCAATGTGACTTTTCCGACTATTTCATTTGGGTCAGAATCTATCCAATTTGATATACATAGGATTTAGGCATACCAGGATCTTCCAGATCTCGCACACTCAGTATGCCCTCAAGCATGTCATCATACTTTCCAGGTCGCGACAAATCAAGTCTCTTGATCACGCTGTGACTGAGGTCTCCGCTGTCAGCCGCACGGTTAGCAGCTTCTAGGTCTTTAGCATTGGCAGCCAAAATAATCTCTCGATTCACATCCAATGCATGATGGAGCGATGTCAAGGCTTCATTGCGGGCGGCGTTAGACAATGTAGCGAGACTACGAGAGGCAAGCGATGCATTCCGTGCGACATCAATCGCAGCCGAGTCAGTCAACGACATAGTATGGAATAATTGAAATGAGTAAAAAGCTGGGGGAGTTGAGAAAATCAAGAAATGAGTCAAGGTCAAGATTCGGAGGGGCACGTTATCGGTCCCGCTTGGTGGCTCCCCCGGAGCTATCGTTGACGTTAGCTCTCTCTGTCTCTCTCCCTCTCTCCCACTCTTTCTTTCTGCTGTACTTCATATTAGCCAACTTAGCTCTGGCGGTCTCTTTGTGCTCTCTTGTCGACTGTTTTATCATTTTGAGCGCTGATTATTCCCCTTTGCGGCTACGATCGTGTTTGCGATCTTGAAGCCAGTACTCTTGCGTCGGCTCTTGCGAACACAGCACGTTACTTTTGTTTCAATATATTTCCAGAGTCCCTGTCTCTGCATCGCCAAAATGACAATTCTCTCGGACTTTGCCGCTGCATCAGCTCATTTACATGACTCTGCCAGGCTTACTAGCGGCGAGTATGACCGTGGACTTCGCGAGTTGGTTGAATACTCGAGGCGACTTCTATCCACTAAAGCCCTTGACACCCTTGCCAGTGACGAATCAATCTTAGATGTGAGTGATTTTTGATTTATGGCAGTAATGGATGAGTGTTTGGTGGAACTACTTCTGACATTTGTCTTCGTTTCCTTCTGTGCAGCGTTTCGACCCAACAAGAGATTCTATCCCATATCTCTTCATCCTTCGACTACAAATTCAGACGGCACAGGAATCTACTGGCGAAATGTTCCCAGCAAAAATTCAACCCAAGGGGGCACTATGGACACGGAGTGTGGTTTTCTTGAGGAATTTTGATGGGATTCAGGTCAGATATGTCGGGCGAGAATGGCGTGAGCTCGTTGAGATCGTGGGGCATGCTTCACAAGCTGTATCTAAGGCAAGTTCGTTCTTTTCGTGTCTTTGCACTTCTAAGCTGACAGTCCACAGCCACTCCTAGCTACGAGGCTGGTGAGAGACGCTATGTTGCGTCTCGATCCATCATGTGCTGTGTTCACGTCAACATACCTGTTACTAGTCCGACTCTGTCTCCAGGCCAATGCCTTTTCATGTGCATTACCGGTGTTGGAAAAACATATTTGCCATCTTCCATTGGTGCCTGGGCGTCCTTCTTCGGAGCTTCCTGTGCTTTGTGCAGCGCACGAGTCCGGTGTACCTTTTGTGACAGATGCATCTGGTCTTTCATCCAAGATATCTCATCGAGATTATTTACAATATTTCCTCTATGGCGGTATGGTGTACATGGCCCTCAAGGATTGGCCCAAGGCATTTCACTTCCTTGGCGTTGTTGTCTCTGCGCCTGTTGCTAGCTCGGTGAGCTTGGTCATGGTGGAAGCATACAAAAAATGGGTTCTAGTTGGTCTACTCAAACATGGCAAGGTACGTCAAGTGAGCACTGAACCGCCACTTTCGTCCGATTCCACTTCGTTCTTCGGCTAACTTGACTTTTGGTGCTAGTTGTACCCACCTCCAACTATCACGACCCCTCATGTGATGAAGATATATCAGTCGATCGCGAGACCTTATGTTATACTTGCAAACGCCTTTGAGCAAGGTGATATTCGAAGACTGAAAGCTGAAGCCGATTCAGCAGAAGACATCTGGCGCACTGTAAGTCACGTTTGGATTTCACTCAAGCGAAACCTGGTCGATATAGCTAACACATCAATGAAGGACAATAACACAGGCCTGGTCTCCCAGGTGGTGAACAGTCTTTACCGCCAGGCTATCATCAGGCTTGGCAATACGTTCGCAGCTTTAACAGTCGCCGACCTCGCCAAACAAGTCTTCCCTTTCCCCGTGACTGATGAGGTTGCCGAGTCTGTTATTTTGTCCCTCGTGCTGGCTGGTACTTTAGATGCCACATTGCTGCAAACTCCAGATCCGATCGTGTCGTCAATGCTGCGATTTTCGGCTACATCTTCATTTACTCGGCTCTCGCATGAGTTGGATATACAACTCCAACTCAAGAAGGAGCGATTTGTAATGGAGGCTTTGGTGGGAAATGTCATTGAGAGCAATCAAAACCTCGGCTTGAGTGATGAGTGTGTTGACAGTTTTCATAAAGGACAAGCCTGGTCGGGTTCTGAGGTGAATGCAATTCTAGGGGAGGAAGTTGGCTTGGAGATGGATGAGGATCTTATGGGAGATATGCCGTAGATGATAATTTTTTGGATACAATCCACGTCTCGGCTTAACTTTCTCTATGTCTAGGCACTTATGATACTATGAATGAATTATTTTATTATCACAATATGGCTAAGAAGCCCGTTATGGCGTCCCGTCTGATATCATTTAGAATTATACACACATACAGCATGCTAGAATCGGATGTGCATTAGATAACCATTGCCATATTTACGAGTTCATACTTAGTTCTTAATTAAAAGTACAGATATAGAATATCCACAATGCAACTATACCCAGCCTTAACTGCAACGCAAAACTTCATCAAAACTTCATCAAAACTACAAGTCAATACTAATTCGATCTTGGCTACTTATCCTATTGACTTTAGAACAGGAATGTCCTGTTATAATGTTTTGACCAAGAAATATGTGCCTACGCTTCCTTTATAGACTTATCTATATGACCCTAGCTCGCATTCACATGGTTTGATTTATAGAGCTTCTCTGTGGCCAAAATGATATCACTATCTTTTATATAAATTCTATAGCACAAGTCTTAATAACGAACGAGCTAAAATTGATGAATCAAGTATGATCAATCTATGAATCTTTCAATTTCATGATTTTACCTTGTCATTCTAGCGCTATGTTAGGTACGTTGTATCTACTTCTATCACATCCATTATTGAATTACCCCTTCAACTACAAGCCATTTTAATTTATGATTATATCGTATTACGCTTATTTAATCATTTTGAGTACGTATAGCCTTTTTAGCCCCGTTTCTTTCCTAGAAGCTTCTCTGGTTGTTCACAGTATCACATTTTCGGTGCCATTTTTGAATAAGACTTCATGAGATACCTACCCAGACACAAAGAAGCGAATTTGTCAGGTGTAGATGGATCCGACCTTATCGTGTCAAGCAAGTTGAGTTGGCATACATTGATGTGAATAAAAGTATGATTAGCGAATTGAGTGATGCTTTACCTATGCCTACTGAAGGGCTGGCTAATCTTGATAAGGATTGAATCGCATCCTGATAGCTTGGCTTGAAAATAGTAATACATGTCTCTAGAGTTATTTCTTATTGAAACTTTTCTTTTGACTAGTTTAGATCGGGCTTATAGTGTCAGTACCACCTCCTAATTGGGTCAGTTGGGAGCCTTGGGAACCTGACCATGGAATTTGGACATTACTACTATCTGTCACAGTTGATTGTCTCAACAGGGACTGGCCCAGTTCCTATGTTACCAAATCATATGAACCCCACATAATCTGGCCATATGAGGTCAGTAGTAAATAGCAAACCCCACGCTGATGCCAGGGATCCGCGTTCAGTCTATTCTCTATTACGACACCATCATCATATTATAACTTATGCGCTATCGTCAAATCTTACCTAGCTTACCCGTCTAAACCCAGAGACTAACGTCGTCTCACATATAGGAACCATCATCCTAGTGATAAAGACTTGAATCGACATTAGTGCCTCGCTACCCTCTATATCTTTCTCTGGGGTTGAAAGCAGTCTCAATGTATGCCACCCGCATGATGGTCTTTGTCACAGTTACTGCGATCTTAGGTGTGCTTTCAGCAGTATTCAAATTCTGGACAAGATTACCTGGCTAGTATATAGGTTAAATTGTCATACATTCTCACTGCTGGTACGTTTCGAATGTTTTGTTTCCTAGCACCGTGGATTAACTTGCTTCGGTTGTGATTCCATTCCCATGAGTACAGTCGGTGTCAGATGTAACTTATTCTCTCATCTACATTGAGCGATAAGTAATTTAGTCACTGATTAGTAAGTTATCAAAAAGCCTACCTCGGCAAAAGCGAGTGCAGCAATCTTAGATCTCTTGTTTGACTTGTCCGGGATACCTAGTAAGTTTGACCTAACGAGTATTAAGGCCACCCGAAATCCGGCGACTGGGCTGTTATCACCGGTTCGTAATTTAAATCCAAGGATTCTTTGTCAGAGCCAGCATGGTTTGACAGAGACTGCGCCGAACGGTACACGGTAGTGGCTGCGGTTATGTGTGGCCTGACGGAGTGCGCTACTTGATGTGGTGGGAGAGCACGACTGCTCAGGCAGTCATAGTAACCTTATGGTTCGGTGTGCACCTCACTTAACTCCCCTGGTGGGTCGTAGCATTAACACCCTTTTTTCCAGAAAAATAAATGAAAAAAAAAAAAAAAAAACCAGAAAGACCTACGTAGTTTTAACGATATTAAGTATGTCTGACTTCTTAGTAATAAAGCACTGAGTAAGAGAATTGCGTTGGATCTACCTAGCGAGCTATAGATAGGTATATGTAGGTAAGTCATAATATCCTCGCTGATATAGTAATTTTAATAACTCTGATTAGCAAGTGAACCAATTAAATTTAAAATATGTTTTATGGAGTTTATTATAGAATATATTATAACAACTATAAGTTTACATTACGAAGTATCCTAGGGATAGATAAATTAAGCCCCTTACAAGCCATATAGACGTTATTATAATTATAAGTTATTGTCTTTCTAGAATAAAGTGTATTAAGACTATATAGATTATAATTGTGTTTTCGGTTAGGAATTAATACTAAATATTGTAGTGTGGGAACTTACTGCATGAAGTAGCGGTCTACGGATGATTCAGCATTCATGATGTATTTAAGACCTCTCTAGTCTACGTAGAACAAGACAGACACATTCTTCTCTTCAGACCACCCCTATGTGCTCTCCTTTGCTATAGCCCTTCCTATTATTGGGTTTTGCCTATGCTCCCATTGCTAGTGTCGACCCGTCTGTTTTGAACAGACTGCCATCGCGCTATCCCCATTTCAATATCTTAAATACTAGAAATGCTAAATTCAAAACGTATTTCTTCACAGTTTTGTTTTCCATATAAAAAACATCTCTAACAGGATTTATTCTAGGGGAGTAAAAGTACGACGACAGCATAACGTATTGAGGCAACAAGTAGCGGATGTAAACGCGTAACGACAATCGCGTTAGTATTCAATTATATTATCTTTTGCTATATTCGGACTTAATATTTCTAAAGACGTACGTAGTTAGGATAGTATCTTAATTGCTCTTTTAGCGCGTAGTTGTAATATACTAAGGGTAACTTATAAGAAAACTAACGCCTTTCCGGTACTTGATATTGGTAGCTAGAAGTTAATAATTACAGAAGATATAACGTGATTCATACCGAAGCTGCGCACCCCAAAACACATAGTAAATTCGATCAATTACTACTTCATACATCAACAACCATATGTTAGTTTTACTTGGATATTAAGATACAGGCTTTTCTTAGCGTATGAAATTACATGCTTTAAAATCAAACAATTAAGAGTATTATTTTGATGGTTTGCCTTGAAATACGGCGTAATTTTGACATTGGGGACATTGATATATATATGTCCACCAATACTTGTAGTGATCTTCTTATAATTCACTAGTAGGCTGGAGATACTATCTAGATTATATGGTTTTAATGTATTATTATAAATAGACAGGGTTGTTGGGATATGACATGGTAATTTATCGCATTTACTCTGTGTTTTGGGGTGCGCAGCTTCGCTATGTGCGCAGCTTCGCTATGAATCACGTTACGTAGCTCTTTTTTAATTTTTAAAAGTACGACTAAGGTGATTTTTCTTATTATTAATAAAAGAGTCTATAACTAAGATAACTGGATGTACCTATAGCGGTACCTCTATTACCTAGACTGTATATAGCTAAATCTCTCTTTTAAGCTAGGAAGTCGATAGTAGGCAACGTTGATTAAATTATTAAATAAGTTAGAGTAGGTATTATCGCTATAATTCATTTTAAAGGGAAGGAAGGGTTTATAATGAGCTATTTTACTATATTAGTCGGACCTTTAAAATATTCGAGAAAATAGAGGGGCGCGGTTCTAATATAAGAGGGGGATTAAGGCAGAAAGTTTGCCTAAGAATACTTCATTGAAAGAGAATATACAAATAATTTTGATTAATTAATAGAATAGTTAGATATAGCCGCCGATATCTATATAAGATAAATAAAGGGTATTAGATCGCTATATGAAGCTTTACCTTTACACGATTATAAATAGATAAATTTTCGCCGCTATTACTAAGTCTGCGTATAAATAGTGGTTGTTAGTACACGAATTAAAGGATATACTAATAATATAGTTAGTACCTTAGGAAGGTAGCTATATGTATCGCCGATAACGAGTTTAATAAACAAAAGGCCGCTAATTTTGTATAATATATATAGTATACCTAGTCTAAATAGCTTTGCTTTAAGTAAAACATGGCTACTCATAATTATGAAATATATTTTATAGTATAGTAATTAGAAGTCCTTCGCACTCGTTTAGTATATACGTTATATTATGTGGTACTCATTAAATGTATTAGTAACGATAGAATCATTCATCTAAATACGTGATCATATATTGACTATATTTGATAGGTACTTAACAGACTATACTTAGTAAGTAAGCTAAATAGATATTAAAATATATACAATAATATATTGTAGTAGTAGAGCATACTCCTGGATTACGGAACCTTAAAAGTATACACTAAACAAATAAAAATGGAAAGGAATATATTAAGTTAAGGAAAAGTAGTAGTTCTAAAGGAAGTCGGTTATTAGGACTATCTCTAACTATAGGTATTGAGTTTTTATAAGTAATTATAGGGACTAACTTAGTCCTTTATAACACGTTAGGCTTATATAACTGTTATATAAGCCTAGTATTTAAATAATAGGAAGATCTAGCTAACTTAGCCCTAGTTAGTAAAGAAGAAGAATAGGAGCTTGTTATAGAGTAAGAGGAATATAAGATTAAGATATCTCGGGTTATTTATTTCCTTTCAAGAAGAATAGGCCTATTCGCTCGCCTATTAGTCGATCGATCTCCCTTGGTTAGTCGCTAGCCGATAGTCAACCGTTCCGCCAGCAGTATACGAGGGCAGTAAGCTTATATCTTTAAGAACCGAAAAAGGGATACCCTACGTATATCCCTATCGCTATAGGATAAGAAGCGGTAAAAAATATAATTAAAGATTATAATTTTCGACCGCCCTAGTTCTTAGATTTTAAAATTAAGCGAAGAAAGGGTTCATTAACCCTCTGATATTGTAATATTAAAAACATAAAGACTAGCTAAACCCTATCATGTGTAAGGCTAAAATTAAGATAAGTATAGGAAATAGCCCTTCTCATTGAAAAAATACTTGAAGGTAGATCATACCTATATATACTAACTCGACTACTAGCCCTATAAATTTAGATCAGCCCTAGATTAAAGGAGCTATATAAGGTAAAGTTTCTTTATAATATATTAAACTTTAAAAGATACAAAATTAGGTTATTAGCTTAATCAATAAATATTGAAATCTTAAGGGGTAATATCTTAAAAACTTAACTAAGTGAGCTAATAAGGGAATTAACTAGTTTATAAATATATACCGTATCCAATTTAGTACTCGGTTTAAATAAAAAAGAGGTAGAATATGCTAGAAATTTCTAAATCTATATCTAACTATAGAACTTAATCCTTCTTATTATGAAACAAAGAAAGGAATACTTTAATACCCAAAGAACTTCGACTTAATAGAGTATATTAACTACCTTATTGGTATTTAAAAATTCTTCTTTAATATTTATTGACCGGATTAAGAGACAAAGAAGAAAAGGATTAAGATAAATCTAATAGTGAATAATGAGTTTATTCTTAAAATAAGTAGAGTACTATATATTATTATTTCCTTATAATAAAAGAGGAGACCCAAAATTAGGCCGTTATAGGGTCTAACAAAAAAAAAGGAAAAGGAGATAATAAATAATAGAGCTACTTAGCTAAGAAACGTAAGATATACCGTTTTCATCGTTGTGACTATAGGTAGACCTAAAGGCTATTTATTAAATCTCTAAACAATATGAACCCTTAGTGAAAATAACTTGAACTAGGCTAGGAGGTACGCTAATAAGATAAAGGAATAATAAGGGCATTTATATATAGCGCTAATTTTAAAAAAGATGATAGGGCTATTGTTATAAGAATCTTTATAAATAATAGGGTAAGGTAAGCTTCGTAAATTAACGTTAGACGAGATTATGCTTACAAGATAGTCGGCTAGTACTGAAAACGTCGAAGGCTATATATAAAAAAATGATCTATTTATTAAAGGCGTTTAATATATATCTCGAAATAATAGATAGCGATAGAGATCTTAGAGAAAATAATATTTTAATCGAGATAATCGACATTAAAAAAATAAGATTTAATGCTAGGAATCGACTAGCTTACTTTATTTAACCCGACTAGCAATTATCGCGATAAGATATAGTATTATCAAGACAAAGCACTAAAGAGGATTATAAGAACATTCGTGTCAGAACCAGTATAGCTTGATAGGAGTCAAACGTGGTATATAGCCTGACTAAGTGCGCTATTTAATGTGGTGAGAGAGCTGACTACCGTTAGACAGTCATAGTAACCTTTTGGTTCGGTGTGCAACCTACTAAGCTCTCCTAGTGGGTCGTAACAATATTCGAACGTATTAGGGGGGTAGGGGGGGGGCGGGTGGGGTGGGTTTACTAAGCTAGGGAAGTCGCGAATCGAAGATTCTTCGTCGTATTAGCGTAGATACCTACAATTATTATCTTTAAGATTGCCTAGTTTTTAAAACCTATATAGGATCTAGTAGCTATATAGCCTTAGATCTAAACGAAGGAAGAATTATTCTAGACTTTAATAGGCGTCGCCGAATCGTATTAATATCCCGGAAAAAGTTCCGTTCTTTACTACTTCTACCCTACGCTATAAATACACTATTTACTACTTTAAAATGATATTTTAGGCTTAAAAAAGCCTATATATTAAGTAGCTTATGTAGATAAGTGAAATAAGGTATAAAATACTAAGGAGTTATATTATTTTCTATATAAAATTCGACGAATCCGAAGGTAATATAGCTCGAATAATTATCTATTAATAAAGACCTTAGTCGCCTATGATATACGCGCTTCGCTATAGCTTTTTAAAACCGAGTTTAGCTATCGGAAAGAGGTCCCCGGATTAGTCTACCCTTTAGTCGATTATAGGGCTCAAAGCTTTACGATACTAATATTCTATGTAAACGCTAACTTTTATTAGATACTAGGGAAATATTATCTAACTATCGGCGGTAATATATTTAGTAATAGTAATTATTTCCCTATAGTCACTAGTAGTAATACTCGTTCGTAGTTTAACGCGTAGAAACGATATACTAATTAAGCCCTTAGCCGATGAAGAAGCCGGTTTCGTCGAAGTTATAGATCTCGTAAGACTTGAATTTATACCACTTATAGATAATAGCTAATTTATCGTACTAATAGTTAGTAGCCCCTAGGTTCGCGGGCTTAATTCTCTATGCTTCCTACGGCTTTTACCTAGTTAGCTTTATATACGGAGGTAGGCGTCGAATAAATTAGTAGCTATATATCGGGCTATTAACCCGCTCCGAACCCGCGTTTTTAAATAGTCGATTTACCGTATTCGTATTATCTTTTACAATTAGAGGTATACCGTAAGAACTAAGAAATTTAATCTATTTTATTAGGGATTTCTTTCAATTCGAACTTCACGCGTTATTTTCCGTTAGGCGACGCGAAAGAGATCTTAGTCCCTTTTTCCGACCGCGAAGCTCAGAATAAGAGAGGTGATGATAGTTTACAGCCTTCTTAAGTGATAGAAATTCCCCTTAATTACTGGAAGTTAGGGCAATAGCTGAATCCTTCTCCTTATTTTTAACTATTTTCGGCCTAGTTTGGTTATCGTAAATCGAGGTTTAAATTCAGAAATAGAAATTTTATTTCAGATAATAATTGTATTTCAGCTAAAGGACTCTCTCCCCTACCCGGTGAGGTGGGCGGAGGTGACCCGTGACACGACTAGTAATACTATTGAATCTAAGAAATACCGTAGCGATGTCCTAGACGTATATTAACTAAGTATTAGGTAGCCTATTGGATATAATATATAGTAAAGAGATAATAATACGTCGTATTCTATAGTGATATAAGAAATTATAAAATAATATGAAGGCTATATCGCATTTATTTATCTTTTCACTATATCACTATAGTAATTTCTAATCATAGAAGAGTTTGTTTATTAAGATCTATTTAAAGTCACTAATTCTTAAATCTAACATGGTATTTCCACCGCGCCACTCGTTAACTAGATACTATTCCTATCTTTTCGGTTTAAATAGAAGAGCATATTTTACATACTAAGTAAGTCGTCTAATAACTATGAACTGATTAGTCATATACTAAATAAAGTAAATAATATATACTTATTTCTATACTAAGATAGCAATATTCTTAAGATTTACACTTGAAAAAGGAATTAAAATAGAATAAGAATATTTTAAAGCTATTAAGGAATCGCCTAGTCCTAAATATATATTGTAGTGGGGGAATTGCTTACTGCATGAAGTAGCGGTCTATGGATGATTAAGCACTCATGATGTATTTAAGACCACTCTACTCTACGTAGAACAAGACAGACACATTCTTCTCTTCAGACCATCCCTATGTGCTCTCCTTTCCTATAGCCCTACCTCTTGTTGGGTTTGCCTATGCTCCTACTGCTATTGTCGACCCGTCTGCTTTGACCAGACTGCCATCGCGCTATCCCATTTCAATATTTTAATATATAACAATTTATCGGCTAGATACGATTTTACTAGTTTTTTATTTATAACTTCTTAGTAATTATTATATCTATATTAGGAAAAAGCCTATTGTTATACAATAGGAAAATAAACGAGATGAAAGAATGGTTTACTTAGGTTAAGGTAGCCTAGATAGCTCCTAAAATACGAAAGGTAGTATTTTCATATTAAAATATTTTAAGAATAGTTTCTATATATACTACTCCTATTAGTCCAATATAATATATTAGGCTCAAGACTTACAGGTATATTAAACAAGCTACGATAGTAGCTGATATATAATTACTTATTAGTTAAGAAAAGTAGTTTATAGGCCAGAATTATCGTATTTAGAGGGTTATAAGTTCTAAGTATAGGAACTCACTAACTATACTAATATATAGTACTTCTTGATAACGAAATTTTGAAATATGGTAGGTAAGTAAGGTAGTCCTAGTGTTACGACCTACCAGGAGAGATTAGTTAGGTATACACGGCCTAAGAGGTTACTACATAAAATACCATTAATTAATAAGGTTATAATAAGAGTATAAGACCACGCTAGTCTCGGGGTTTAAATAGGTAAGCGAGATATAATCCTATTAATACGTATTGTAGTGGGGAAATCACGACACTTGTATGATCACTGCCTCAGGCAGTGATATCCTCGAGGAAGGGTTATGGGCAACCTACGACTGTAGAGAAGGATAGACAGTTACAACAATGCCACTCATTTCCTGATTCAAGATTTATGATCATTATGCTCCTTGATATAGCATCTGATTATCCCTGATAGGCATCATCTGCCTAGAGCTCACAGACCTGACTTGTTGGGTTTTCTTGCCACCATTTGTCGACCCGTCTGTTTTGACCAGACTGCCATCGAGCATCTCCCATTTCAGTATATAATAATAAGAGATATGATATAGAAGGTAGTCTAAACGCTAATTCCTAGAAGTCGTGTAAGTTTACTATAATTATAACTACTAGGCTTATATCAGCTAGTCACGTAAGTATAACGTCGTACGAGGGACTAGCCTAGTCCATATAATCAAATATAAGGACTCGATACTTGTCCTATATTCTTAAGTATCGAGGCTTTACTAGCCCTAGTCGGTAGTAGTTCCAATAAAGAGGAATAGGTATTCTGACTCACTAGGAAAGCTTAGTAGTCGCACATTAAACTAAAAGGTTACTATTACTACCGTTAGGTCGTTTGTTCTCCTACTATATTAAGTAGCGCACTCCGTTAGGCTATATACGTAACTCACTAGTCACCGTATCTAGAGTATGCCATTAGGTGTAGTCTCCCTATTAGACTAGATATATCTATGCTAGTTCTGAAAGGTATGTACCTTATTAAGGTCTACTAGTAGCTCGTAATAACTTAATAGACTATATCTAGTTTACTAGATAGGTTTCTCTATATATTATAAGTAAGGGAGATAGTCTACAATGTAGTGAATAGGATATATATTACATATACACATTTCCGACTGAGCTAGGAATAAAAAGTCCTTAGACTTAACTTAAGTAATATTTAGAATATCGAGATTATATAGAACAAGCATATAGAAAGATTTAGATATATTTATTTGTCGTATTTATTATTTATTCTATATAACGTAGCTTTCTAGTTATATATATACGTTATAGATAATTTTAAAAAATGGATTATCTTTTATAGTTATAGGATCGATAAGCCACCTCTATTAAATATAACGTACAACAAATATATTACATATAGTAGATAACCGCAGTAAATTCCATTAATAAATATTATTAATAGGGTATATATATACCTTATAGAACCTCAAGTAGTGTTACCTATTAGTCGAATAGATAAAGGCCCTCTTTATAAAATAAACATACTATTTCTTATAATTTTTTTAAGTAAAGCTTTAATTACTAAAGGTACTTTATAGTAGATGCTACGAAATATAGATTAATTTAATAACACATTTTAAGAAACTTAAGAGTTGCGCGGAATATTAGTAGAATTTCAGAGAAAGATAATTATTTAAGAATTAGCTGTATATATTATCCATAAATAATCGAAGATTAAGATATAAAACGATGTAGTATGTAGTTAGGATCAATATATGATCGATCTATATACTAGAATGCTCCACTTGTATCTTAATTTAATATACTTCTTGGATATTAGTTTAATCGTAGAAATTAGCTATTAGTATATCTATAGATAATGGTTATATACTCTATATCTATATTTCTTATATCAGAGCAAGGGAAAGCTATAATCATAATATATTAAGCACTTAGAGGTCCTAACTAAATATACTTAGATTAAGATATCTCTCATTTACTATTATTATTGATTATAAAAGAAAGCCAAGAAGCTAAAGCTAGCTGCTTTAGCTTAGAAGAGGGAGAAAGAGAAGAGAAAAGTAACTATTTATATACTATATAGTAGAGATAGTAGAGTAGAAGAAGAACTAGCTATTTAAAGATTTCACTAAATACTCTTAGCAATTTTTATTATGGAATACTCTAATAGGTTATATTGTATAGTAAATAGCTTATAATTATTAGAAAAAGCGTTTATAAAAGAAATAAATGGTCGATTAAATAGAGGTTCTTATTTAGTGAATAGGATTATAAGAGAAAGATTATATATTATAAGTTCTAGTATATGTAAATCGTAAGTAACATATTATCTTATTGTAAGGCTTCTAATTAGGTATTAAACTCGCTAAAATTAGGCTTATAGTCACTGAGGAACCTATCCTTGTCTACTATATTAGCTTTTAAGAGTTAAGAATCATAGCCGCTAGTTATAGCTTATACTATAAATAAGCTATAATAGCCACTAACGTGAGTTATATATCGACGCTACGTACCCTACTTCAGAACGCGTTATTTAATCAGACCTTTCTTCTTTAACTACCCACTATACCACTAATTCGTACTCAATCCCCATAAAGACGTACGTAGTAAGAGGGTTAGCTCTTATTAGCTATCAAAGTAATTTAGAAGCAAATTTTTACCTCTATATATAGAGTCGTGCGCTATTTTAACGTACCTGAATCGACCCACCGTACGCGTGTTAATATAATTTAAAACTGTGTAACTATACGCATTAAGAAGCTTAAATTAGCTAATTCTAAGGATGAAATATCTAAGAAAATAGATAATCTCTATAGAATCTCGCCAAGTAGCCCTCTAACCGGCGACTATACGAGAAAAAGTAGATTTACTACCTACGGCGCGTAGATCTATACGCCCTCTTACGGTCGGCGAATATTAGGTTATAAACTTTACTAAAAGGTATCATTTGTTATCCTCCCGTTTCTTAAGACGCCACGATTATTAGCGAGCTAAATACGACGACCCGAAGGTTCTCTCTAAGTAATTTTCTCTTATTTAAAAGATAATCTTAATATACCGTATCGACTCCGACGATATCTAGAGCTTTAATAAGACTAGTTTCATGATAGGCTTAATTACGACTATGAAGGTTACAATAAGAAAGGGATTTTACGGTTAGCGATAACTTTAATAACCTAGAACCCGCGCGGAGGTAACTATAATGAAGTATACAATTTTGATAGGGTGGACGCCTCCTTTATATATAACTCTTCAGGGAAAAAAGCCTTTATCGAATCTTAGTTCGATAACCTCCCGAATAATTAGAGACTTAAGGATAGTCCTACCGGATAGATCTCTAATAAAATTAGCCCTCGGTAGCTTAAAAAGCTCTTTATTCTATCTACTTCTTCTCGTATAAAGGGGAAATATAGACTCTGATATTTAATAGCTATAGTAGCTAACTATTGTGAGACTATGCCAGTCTCAGGGTCGTAAATGGGCAAGCGGGATATCTGAGCCTGATATAGCTGGATGGGGTACGTAGCTTCGATATAAATCATGTTATGATGATTTATTATCTAGGAATCAACTTAGGACTAGCTTAAGGTAGATATTCTAGTATATATATAAGGAGTTTACTATAAAAAGATGAACGACTACTTACTTAGCCCGATTCCTTTTTGAGAATATCTCTATTCGTTTATCTGTCGAGATTTATGGTGGCTGGCCATGGTTTATGCCATGAATGAGCCATGACGGCAACTGAAGTGATTTATCACCTAGGAAATCTAATTAGTACTAACTTAAGGCTGAGTTTTCTGGTACATAAGGAGGTTCTCATACAAATAAGAATCTCCAGACTTAAACAACTCGGTAATCTATCAAAAGATTATCTATATTGTATCTTCGTACCCGTCATCATTCCCTACTTGCATCACAACTTTTAACATATCCATTATCATTATTAGTTCCCTTAAGATATCATAATTTATAGCATAACTTAGAGTAAAATAAACGTTCATAATCCTTTCTTTTTAAAGTACCACATAGCGGTAATACCTATCCTAATGTATTAAATATTTTTTGAACTTAATATAAGTAATGCTTAGTTACATTGTTGAAAGATAGATTCCTTACTATATATAGTCTTGCGGACTAAAATAAAATATGTTAGTATAATAAGTTGAGATTATAGACCTATTACATAGGATAAGTTAAAAATACCTAAGGGAAATATTAATCACATGCGACCAATACTAGTATATGATGTTAGAGAAAAAGTTTAGTTAATTAAGTCTAGGAGTTTATAAGTATACAGTGCTTAGATATTGAAAAATATTTGCTCATGCTAATTCTAACAAGATCCTAAGGTAAAATATGGTTATTGTAGTTGGATACCACTTATTTATAGTATAGGATATAGCCAGTAGCTATGGTTCTCTATACTTTTTACCGATAGATATAGTGAGGTTCAGTCTTCTATCGGTAGCGTATCTATCTAATGAAGAGCTAGTAAGTATAAATGAACGGTAGGTACAGGAATAAGCCCCTAAATACGATGGCTTTCAATCTCTTACTTCTATACTTTATTTTTATATTATATATAAAAAGCTGTGATTATTAAACACATACTACTTCTCTTTTATAGATAGTCATTACCAAGAGTACAATATTAATCTTAGAACCTATAAAGATAATTTATTTTAATCGACTTATATTACTATCTTTACTCTAAAGTTGAAATTATGGAGGAGTTCGATGATTACATTATATTTATTATTCCCGTACTTAAGGTAGTATTATCGTATATTCTATTCCGCTTACTTTTGATAGAAAACACTTTTCTACTACTAAGTAGTAAATTAGCCACCTTATCTATAGTAAAAGACTAGAGGTATACTATATAATTAGGTATCTATCAGTAATAAATCTTTTTATAAGGCCTAGTCTAGATTAGTTTCTTCGTATTATTTTTTGTTAATGAGATCCCGTCTTAAATATTATCTCTAGTATAGTAAAATTGCGCGTTAAATAAGTAATATGGAAAATATATAACCTTTAAATTAAGAGTAAATAACTAATTATATCCTACTTGATTACTATATATATCACTATATATTTATTTAGATATAAGCCGCTAATTAGAGTATAATAGATACTTTAGTCTACTAAAATGAACGATAGCATAAAACTAACGTTATATAATCAACGTCCGTCTTTCTACCTTAATTACTATATCTAATATATTATTTAGGATATAGTTGAAGTATAGTTAATTTATATAAAAGAGTGGATAAAGAAGACGTTCAACTATTGAACTTAAAAGTAACGTTACTTAAAGGTATCAGGCTTATATCCTAATACTTATAAACTAGAGTATATACTGTAAAAGATTAGCGTTAGTATAAACTTTATTACCTTTTACTATCTTATACACTATTAATTTGTAATAAAAAATCTAAGAATCGAAGTAATAAGAATGTAAGATTATGTTAGCTATCAAGCCCTTTTAAAATCTATAACTACGTATGTATCAAATACGTTGCTTTTAGATACTAGTGGTAACT